AGTATATAGCCCTTATACTTATAATATATATAATAATATAAAGAATTATTTATATACTAATATTAATTAAGAGTATATTAAGGAATCTATAGTATATAGAAAAGTATTATTAAGTATAGAAAGTAGGGGAGTTTAGGGAAGTCCTTAGTATAGGATAAGTTAGCAAGGCTATAAATAGTCTCTATTAAGATCTTAGAAGGGCCCCTTATCTAATTTACTAAGGTTTAGATATTAATAAAGAAGATATTATCCCTAGTAAAGATATTAATAAGAAGAGATCTTATAATAAGATAAAGGTCTTTAATAAGGGATATATACTACTAGTTAGTCTATAGATCCTATTTAGCCCTAATCGCTATAGTATAGATATTAGAATAATTAATTTAGAGATTATTAAGATTACTATATAATCTAGGACTATTAGTAGTCTAAGGGGTAGATATCTAGGATATAGTTAGTTATAGATAAAGGAGATATATAAGAGGGACCTATCTTAATATAGATTAGGAGTAAGAGTTACTAGAGTAGTAAATAATAGATTAGGGAAAGTTCTTCTTAGAAGACTAAAGATTACTTTAATAAAACTAAAAGATAAAGAGTACTATAAGGGAGCTTCTAATAAAAAGTAGAGTAGACCAAGCTAGATAAAGATAAGAAGCTATAGATTAATAAAGATAATAAAAGAAAAAGAGAGAGAGAGAAAGAGATAGTTTATATATCTATCTTTTATAGTAAATATTATAGTAAATATTATAGTAAATATTATAGTAAATATTATAGTAAATATTATAGTAAATAAATATACTCTAGTAAATTAAATAAAATTAGATAAAATTAGTTTAAATTAAATTAGAGCGAATTAAGGTAAAATATATTAAATTAATTAGAATTAAAATAAAGAATAGAGTTAGATAAAATTAAAGTAGAAGTAAACTTAATAGTAAATATAGAAATATATATATAATATAGTCTAGTACTTCTAGCTATTAAAAACTACTAGATAAGTTAAATATAGTTAAATTACTCTTAAAAGATATAGAGATTCTATTAATTATAATTACCCTACTTATTAACTTTTAATAAATAAAATCCTTAATTTACTAATATATCTAACTATTAGTTTTCTTAGGGTAGATAGATAAGCTATATTTTAGTTAGGGATAATATAGGAAGAGAGTTACCCTATTAAAAAAATATACTAACTTTATATCCTAGTAACTATACTTTTTACTACACTAAATATCCTAAAAATTAAATAGAGGGTAATTAGACTATTAATTAAGAATATATATAAATTTTAGTCTTATTAGAGCCTAGAATATTAATATAATATATAAAAGAGTATATTTAATATAATATACCCTAATCTACTTCTTTTTCCCTATACTTAAGAAATCTACCTTAAATATAATATAGTATATTATAATTACCCTTATAGATTAGATAAGGTATAGTAGAAGTATAAGAGAGACTAGGAGGTGGCTATAAGATATTAATAGGATAAGCATTAATAAGAGGGAGACCCTATACTAGTAGAGGACCTACTAGCGCTAAATCTACCTAGCGTAGATAGTAGTATACTTTAGTAGTTTACTAGGCCTTTAAGGAGAAGGCCTTTATAAGTAGAGCTAATATATTAGGAAGGAGTCTAAAATAGTTAGACTAAGAAGAAGATTAAAGAGAAGGTCTAGAAGATAGAGTAGACGCGCCTAAAGTGACTTAAGCGACTATAGATCTAAAACTAACGCGCTCCTTATAAGCTATAGATAAATCGCGCTCTAATTCCTTAGAGTAGTATAGAGACTTAGTATTTACTTAAATTATAGTATAAGTATAGGAGGTAATAGTCCCTTATCTAGGAGAAGGACTTAGCTTTAAAAACCCCTTAGCTATAGTAATAGACCTAAGGCTATCTAAGGGATAAAATCTATTAATTAGAAGATATAATAGCTAAGTAAGAGCTTAAGGATTATAAATATTAAAGAGAGTACTAATAAGATACTAGGAGTAGGTTTTAAATACTAAAGAGAATATTTAGGATAGCTATTTTAGAGATAGAACTAGAAAGGATTATATATACTTTAGTACTAGGGTAGTAATATATACTATATACTATTTCTTTATATATTTATTTCTAGCTACTTAAATTATTAGCTTATATATAAAATTAATATATAGAAACTATAAGATATTAGGATTAGAGTAGCGTAAGAGAGGGTATATAACCCTATATTATATAGTAAGTAGCGCGAGTAAGAGATATAAGTAAATAGTATAAGATTATATAAGGAGTATATAATAGTAAGGATTTAAATAACTTATATATATTAATAGGCCTATATTAACTAGAAACTTAAAGATATATATCTATTAAGTTAATTAATCTAATTAATAGTAAATTTAAGAGGTAAAATTTAGTATTAAGGAATACTAATAGAGGGATACTTCTTTAAGTAGACACTAAATATAGGCCTATTTTAATAATATTAGAAACCTATACTTTAGATTAGAGCGAAATAAAAACTTATTAGGAATCTACTAATATTAATTCTCTATTAGAGGATTAAATCTTAGCTTAATATCTATTTTCCTAGGTAACTTATTTAAGAAAATAAGTATAAGAATTTATTACTTAATTAGGATTAGTATAGTTTTTTCTATAAGTATATAAGACTTACTAGATATTAACTTTAATTATTAGCTATAGCTACCTTATAACTTAGACTAATATAAAACTTAGTAGGGTAGTTATATAGAATAAGATAAACTATTTAGGAGCGACTAGAGTAGAAAAGTTATTTACTAGTATAATTATAGTTATAATTATATCTATATTATATATAATTTTATAGGCCTTATTAAATAGCCTACTACCTATATATAAGAGAAGGTAGTAGGTTTAGAATAATATAGACTAATACTAGTATATAAATCCTAGATCTTATTAAATTTCTAGCTTCTATAATATTTCTTTAGGCGAGATATTAAAGATTATAAGTATAAGAATTTTATTACTATATCAAGACTAGCGTAGTTTCGCTTACTCTTATAAGACTACTAATAAGTACTAACTTTAAATATAGATTATAAGGGCTATAATCTTTTAATATTAAATATAAAGATACTTTTTAAATAGCTAAAGACAGGAGATTTTTTTACTACTAATTTTATATAGTATTAAGCCTATATTATAGTAAGTATATATTCATGATTCCCCTTATAGAGATTATATTAGTTTTAAAACTAATTCTTAAGGAAGGGAAGAATTAAAAGAGAGAGATTCTTCTTCTTCCTTAATATAGAGGAAGTGAGAGCTAAGTAAGAGCTAGATAAACGGTTTATAATAATCTTACTTTAAATATCTCTTCATTATAGACTAGCTCTAGGTAAGCCTAGAGCTCACTCTTAATCTAGATACTAAATTAGAAGCGATTCAGTACTATTTCGGGATACCTAAAGTATCCCATGATTTCTGCCTTAGAAAAATGGGTATCTATCTTTTCTTTCATAACACTTACCTAGCCCTTTTATTCCTTATATAAAGTATCCTATGATTTCTATCTTAGAAAAATAGGTATCTATCTTTTCTTTTATAATACCTATCCTCTACTTCTATATTATCTATTTTAAAGAAGTTATTAAGGTCAACTCTATTAAAAAAGAAGGGAGATAATTATTATAGCGTAACCCTATTATTAGAGTATAATATTAGGGTAGGCTAATATATTATCTAATCCCGCCTAATCTACTCCTAGAGAGCACCTATATAACTCACTTAATTAGGGTTCTACCCTATTATATATATATCTATCGTACTTAAGGAATAAGATAATTCCTTAAGGATTAGTCTCTATCTATTCTATAGTGGAATTATATATAATATCTTTAACCTTATCTAGTTAATACCTTTACCTTAACACTACTAGATTTTCTAATTATTCTAAGTATTAGTTTAATTAGGGTAGTTAGATAAGCTATACTTTAGTTAGGGATAATATAGGAAGAGAGCTACCTTATTAAAAAAATCCCTAATTTTTAACCCCTAGTAATTCATCTTTCTATAAGGCTAAATCGCTTAAAATTAAAAACTTTAGTAGATCTTATTATAAAATAAAATATACTAAAATCTTAGACTTATCTAATCTTTAAAATTAAATCTATCCTACCTCTAATTATTTTTAAATCTATCCTACCCCTAACCCACTTTTCTTCCTATACTTAAGAAACCTTAATTAAATCTATTATACTATAATAGAATTACCCCTATAGGTTAGATTAGGGATAATATAAGAAGAGAGCTATTCTATTAAAAAAAATCCCTAATTTTTAACCCTTAGTAATTTATCTTTCTATAAGGCTAAATTACTTAAAACTAAAAACTTTAGTAGATCTAGTAGATCTTATTATAAAATAAAATATACTAAAATCTTAGACTTATCTAACCTTAAATATTAAATCTATCCTATCTCTAATTATTTTTAAATCTATCCTACCCCTAACCTACTTTTCTTCTTATACTTAAGAAACCTTAATTAATTAATAATCTTACCTTGATAAGTAGAATAGACTAAAATTAAAAAAAAGTCTTAGTAAAAAATATATAAAATCAGGTAGGGATAGGTAGAAATCAGGCTAAAATTAGGCTAAATTAGGTATCTACGCTAACCTTATTTTAAATAGGCCTAAAAATAGGGGCCTATAGGCCCGCTATGAATTTTATAGGTTAGGCTAGGGGCCTATTACTAAAGCCTAGTTGCTGCTAAGGGGGATATATTATCAGACCTCTTAGGCGATGAATAAGTTGTTTATTGATAGTTTCTATAAAAAATGGTTACAAAAAGTTAGGATGAATACAAAAAACCTGGTTGAGCACCAAAACCTAGTTAAGCAGCGGCCCACGTAATACGCCGTAGAGACGTATCCATGGGCAGCCTAGTCAAGTGATTCAAACTTGACTAAGCCACGATTAGTACTTAAGTTACGGTGCGGGCCAAGTGGTTCTATAATAAATGCCTTCTCGCAATGTAGACGATTCCCAGTACCAAGAATAGAAAGGCAATGCCCCCCAATAGAACGCCGATTCTTAGATGGTCAGCAATATAATTAAGTGCCTGCCCATCCAGTTTATGCCATGATCTCCCTGCTGCGTGCCGTATCGCGACCCTCGAGTATCCATTCTCTAACAAGCCCATGTCGTACCAAAGCGTGCCATATATCCATGCGTAACTTCTAAAAGCAGCCGTTACCATCGTCGGCCCGGTAGACCAAAATACCTGCAGGTATGGCAGGGAAATATGTTGGGATTTCACGCCGCCGCGTCGTTTGGCCTCGTACAGCACCCATTGCAGGAATGGGGACCCACGTTCAGCCATGAAGAAATGGTTGCTCAGCCCCAGTGTTCTTGCCGTGGAAGCAAACACGGCTTGCAAGCCGAGATGTTGGAGGCACTGTATCTGATGGGGTGAGGTTGGGTACACGTCTAAGTCTGCGTAGATGCCGCCTTCTGCATGGATAATGAGCAGCCTGGCGATGTCGGCACGTTGGATATTCTGGGGGTAGGACTCGTATGTCGTCAAAATCCAAGGATAATTGGTTTTGACGAGTTGGAGAATAGCGTCGTCTGTCCAGAGCTTGACTGTGTAGTTCAAGGGCCCAAACATGTTCTTCCATAAGTCAAGGGATGCTTCTATCTCTCTAGAATATGTCCGCACGTTGTTTGTTTTCCAGATTTGATGAATGACATTCGGTATCTTTGAGTCAAAAGCAAGATGAGGATCGTTGAAGGGCTTGAAGGGGTTGGTATCGCATTTGGTGATTATATTTATCGACTTGGACAACTCGCTGGCGAGGATAAAGTTGTCTGTGTAGCTGAAACGAAGAGTAATGAGTATGATAGTGAGGGACAATACTGTCATGGTTATGAGCCTTCGTAAGGCCTTTCCAGCAAGAGTCACCATTATAAATTATCAGTCGAGATGGGACAACGATAACTTGAAGATCAGAAATAGAGGCCGTTGACTATGCGAAAGATCAACTGAATTTAAGGGGGAACAGGGGGAAGCAAGAGAAGATCTGGCTATTTTGGCAATAGAGACACGTAACAACTTGTCAAAGAACAAAGCGAATGTGGCTGTAAGATGCAGCCCGGAATATACCCAGCGTGGCTATCTGGGCGCAAGTGTCCGCCCCACAGCATAGAGAAAAGCCCCCCTCAGGAAGCATAATGTTGTTGATGGTTATAAAAAAGAATTTACAATACCAAGTATCATCAGCGTCTATCAATCGTTAGATAGTCGAAGCGAAAGAAACGTTCCTGGATAAGAGCGCTCATGAACTCTTGCTTACTGATATAGACCTTGTGTAGCATACTTACATGATCACCAATTGATTAGCCGATTAGTTCAAGCGTTCAAAAGTCAATACGAGCAATCAAAGTTAGAGGTGGTGGCAATTAGAGACATGTTTTGAAGTTTTCTTTCCTTTCCCATTGAGTTTCAATAGCTTCTTTTTGCCATTTCCCCACGCTTTCGCATACACTAGTAGCCCTTCTAGGCAGTGCATGTTTCTACGCTCCCGTATACTTCTATTATTCCCAAATATTACCCTCCCTCAGAAAGCGCTACTGCGAGGTTGAACAATTTTGACATTTATATATCGTGTACCTGGAACGCGCATGGCATGCCTGGAATGCCTTTTAATCCCTCCCGTAAGTGGACGATCTACCTTCCCAATCTGGCTACTAAATCATATCAGGCCAAGCCAAGGAAGGTCTTGGCGGTGGATCATTCGATAATGACGTATGCTTCGAATTTGGAGAATGAGCCGTGTAACAGCCCTTTCATCAGACCGCTTATAACACATGGCATAGTTAGGATATGGTTGAAGCTTACTGTTCATCATCATGTTTAGTAGAAAGAAACCGTTAGATCTCCGGATGACTTGATATATCTTGGTATACTATCTCGCCATAACAAACTTTCGATTCTTTATTAAGATTATTGGTGTGAAGATATAAGATCCTAGACGGTAGATTATTGTGTCTAGATCTCACTATTCCCTGTTCAAAGCTACAGGAGTACCATTGGATAATTACCTAAGAGGCGATAAGGAGTTAGGTGGAAGAGTTCTAAGTTTAGTTACACTAAGGCTCTTGGCGGGACTAGTCTCAGCGAAGAATATAGAGGTCTGAATATGTCATATGATCTAGTAGTAACTTTGAATTTTCCATCGCATAGCTATACTAAGAGACTTATTTTAGTATCCTAATATGATATCAGAAAGATTAATTAGTAGTAGTATATGAAACCCCCGCAACCCCTTAGACTCCGCCACCTTACCTTTGGCATCTACACGGCACTATAGCTACTGGGTGGGAGCAGTCCAATGGGGATCAACCATATCTTTGCAACCCCCGGGGCCTCGCCCCTCTGAATAGTCCATCTAAATTGCAAAAAACAGCAGTTCATCGTATATCTCTTCGCGGGAATAAGATTCTGAGACGCCAACTGTCGGGAACTCTGACCTTGAAGACTTATAAACTCCTTTTTATGGAGCGTAAGTGACCATAGAGGCTTAATTTCCCTGCCCTTACGAATCAGACTAATTTATCTACTAAACTGCTACATTATCCGACAAAGAGGTCTCATTGTGCACGGAGGGCCGTGTCGAGAATAGGAGTTTAATTATGACCCGCAACATGTTCTGGATAAAACAAACATCTTACACATGCTAAGACATTCTGACTTCGACTGTTCTATTCAATTCTCTAGCTTGCGTGTCTGTATGGGCGTAATAAAAAGGTTTATATATCATTTAGGCTCGTAGGGTATGAAGTCCAAACTACCCATGTCCTCATGTAACTCATTTCCCTTATCTGTCGTCGTACACTCTTAAAATGAAGTTCTGGGTTGGTCTGGCTTACTCCAACGTTTATCCAGAATTTTCACTACCCTGATGACATTCCAAATATGAAGCTTATTATATAAATCCAGCAAAAGCTCTTTCAGTACCATCCTATCTTTGCTCATAGCTTCGCAACTGAAAATCGATGGATATGGTAAGTATTACTACTATAAGGAATTGGGTATGCAAAAAGGAGCGAATAACACTCATCCTGCGGTGCGAATTGGCGTGGTAGATAAGATCCAAGGAGAGAGTACTGTGACGGGAGGAATGGTACAAGCCGTATCCAAAGTTACCCTCACATACCGTTGAACTTCACAAGAAAATGGGGGTAATTATTGTAATCGCCGATAAAAGGTTATTAACGTCGCATACTGGTAGGCAATCTTGCTGGCTTGGAATTGATGAATGAATTCAGTACTGAGCGAGACAGGTTTTATGAACTTCAGCCCATCCTCCATGTCGCGGCGGAGCATACATAGAACCATCGCTTCAAGCTTGTTAGCTGAATCTTGGTCCTTTATAAAGCTCTCACTGTGCAGGATACCAACATGTTCATTGGCAGCCTGCTGTTGAACAAGAGTGCCAAATCTTACCATCAGAACATTTCCGATGAATATCCAGTATAAGTATCAAAGGGGGTTTTTCACCATTACCATGAAGTAATGATAATCCCAAGGCTCGTGCTGACCGAGTTTCAGTTTTGGTAGAGGCAGTCAGTGCTTGTATAGACGAAAATCAGCTAGACCATAGCCATAAGCTGAATTCTGAAGAATACAAGCCTTTCCTTGATGCTACTTCTGCAAACACAGTCTCCGCACCATTGACATGAATGCACCAAGATGAGGTAGCGCGTCCTGAAAACACCTCGCAATGGCAGAGAGACCTTATAGTGTGAGTAAGAGGTTGAATCGGGTAACACTGAGTCTCCAGGTCCCGGCGAAGACAATACGTACTGGCAGAGAACAGCTTGGACACAATTCCTCTGGTATATACAGGTCAAGAGCCCCATTCAAAAGCGTCGAACGTTGAAGGGCTACAAGAGCTATTGTGACGTGTAGTAAGGAATCAAACTGCTGTAACATGGACAGAATGGTCTGACACATTCGGTCTCGGATGTAGGCACGAGAGATCATGGGAAGCGCACATTGGCTGTTGAAGATAGGAGTGCAATGTGACCAACTGGGGCTTTTTAGGCAATGGTAGCGCGGAGTCAATAGAGGACAGCCCAATATCCCTATGATTGTAAATCTGGCTTCCATCTATAGAAGATGGATTTTGCAGCCTTGGAATACGCCCGTTCCACTTCAAGGCAATTCTGTACTCACACAGGGCCCCAGCTTCTAAGCAGCGGGTGCAGCTTGGTGTTTGTTCGTCGCATTATTGTTGACGGCTCTTGCACCTCGTGCAGCCATGGCAGGAGCGTTTCACAGGCGTATACATTTGCACTCTGAGTTGTTCCACAATGGGTAGATGCGGGAAAGCGTCTTGCGTACTCTGCGCAATCAAGTGTTCATCAGTGAGTGGCGGAAACAAGCGGGTCCTCTAGAAGCAGCGGGTAGAATACAGGAAGTACAATAATGAATCTCGCATTGTGCGGTTATCGTCTAGCTTAGTAAAGACGACAGGTTGATTGGCATACCTGGTTTTCTGGTTTCTAAGTGGCGCTCAAAGTGCCAAAATCCGATGCCATTTCGGGGGCTGACTCCACTCCAGGTGACAACGCTACACCCATTGTGGCATTAGTGGTATCCACTTTAGGCCCCCTCTTTAAACAAGGGGGTCGAACTGGAGAGAGTGGTTAATTTGTCCTCGGTATTAATTGAAGCCAAAGATTCTAGTCTAGGCGGCTGAATCCACTAAGACTATTAAAGCGTCATCATGTAGGTTCAGTGTGCGATGTGGGAAAGATAGATAAGAAGGACTAGGTCTGCAACCTACTTTTGGAAAAGTCATTAGCTATGTACCATGGCGAGATGAGCATATTACACTGAATGCCACAAGCTTACACGTTTATACTCCGCGCCGGCGTTGGAAATGTCTTTAATGCTCTAGTTATTCCGACCACTCACGGCGACGAGCTGATATTCTTGTTTTGTGGTGTGGATGTTTAGGGTCTTCTAGTCCAAGTTTGTCCTATTCATCAGACGATCCATTACTGGTAAAGGAGGCTTTCGGCATCGGAGGGTTCCGAGTAATGGCCGATATGAGCAGGGCATTATATAAGATGGACCTTAACCGCGGTCATAATTACAGAAAGGGTATAATCAGCCTATTAGGTGGATTAGCAGTAACTGTTCGGCGACGCTAGAACTCTTAATGTGTGCAAAATTTCGTATCATATATCGTATGATGGAAATTTGGGCGCCGGGTGCCCTAGAGTATTATTGGTCATTGCTCATACTGGGTAAGGGATCTCAACAGAACTTTCAATCGGTAGAGATTGTTATGCCTAGCAGGAGCGTAAGGCATTACCGTTCTAGATTTCTCCCTCTCCAATTTGCGCCTTGTGGAAATGAGATCAGAGAATGTCGCCCTCGCACAGAATGCGAACTCTTTAATTATAATAACTTTTTCAGCTTTACTTGCTTAATTTCTAGAATGGGTGCTGTATAAGGCGAAGTAACGCGGTGGCGCAGCGAACCGATACACTTTCTTGCCTTATATGTAGTCCTTTGAACTGAAAGGCCACTGATGGTTACGGTATTGCTTAGGGAGTACGCAATGACGTATGATGCTCTGGAAATGATATTGATATGCTATAGACTGAATACTCAAGGGTCGAGGATACGGCACGTAGTAGTGCGATTCTCATATGGATTGGATGGGTAATCTCTGAACTTTATCGTAGATAAATATTGATATATAGTCTTAGTGTGCTTATTCTGCCTTTATTTGGCGGTAGGATTGAGCTTTGTGGCTAGGGGATCTGGCTTTGGATTTAAACTAATATAGTAATATATTGTAATACACGTAACATATATTTATTTGACTTTACAAATTTTGGCTGGTCAAGGTGTTAGACTTGTGGAAGTTTATCTGGAGTATATTACACTCCGGTTAGGCCAATGATTTATGATACGATGAAGTTAAAACGAATCTATGGCTAGTCCGTGAGGTTATTTCATCTTCGTCTTCTTTGCGATCTTCGTAGTGTTCTAGTTCTACAATCCTGCCGGACCAAAGCCCCTTATAAGCCCCGTGATCTAAATTGAAGTTGTCTGGAAATAGAGGGGCGACACTGCTGGCCGATTAAAATATTTACTCTGATGTAGCAGCACTTTTGAACTTTCGAATCAGCCGATCTAACTGACGAATTTTTTAAATCGCGTATTACTAAGAATACCCTAACCAGAGATTGACCAACGAGCCAACATTTTCTGACCGACTCAGTTTGAGTCGTTCTATACATGACTGTAGCATGGTTTCCTGAACGGGCATGTAGTATATCATCAAAAAACCAGTTGCAAATAGTTAAGGTAAGTGTTGAGCCAGCTATGAAACCTTGCCGATATGCGAGGATATGTCGTCTACTCCGATCTTTGAAGTGCTGAACTAGACCTGTCGGTCGAACATATCGGAAGATGTCATCCTCAATGACGTTAGACTTGATCAATTCGGGTCTTTTGACGTGGAAGAAAGTTCATCTTAAAGTACATCAACGAACTGCTCAAGCTCGGGGGCATGTTTTTCACTTTTCTGCGACAAGAAGGGGTGTTTTATCACGCCCAATGTTGATCGTTTCCACCAACTTTTCAAGCTTGGATATATGTTGCTCACATACTTCCAAGCGAGCTTGCCATTGCCAGATCTGTTGCCCAACTTCCTTCGACTGTTTAGCCTCTTTTTGAAGTGCGTGAAGACGTTCTTGAGACACTTGAAGGTATTGATCCTTGACCTTCAACAATTGAAGATCTTTCTCCCTCTCTTCATGCAACTGGTGTAGTGAGCCTCTCAAGCTCGCATTGGCATCGGCTAAATAACAATAGTGATGTTTTATCGCCGTGAGAAGATCTTCGAAGCGATTGCAGGGGGAGGTTTCTGCGTTTTGCGGAAGACATGGGTGATGATTGGACATGACACGAAGAATGTTTCGGGTGGGAAAACAGCAACCAAGCTTTTATGTCGCTTACGTACTCCGTGAAGTAGAGGGTCTCTGGCTAGACGTGATTGTCCGACTGAAGGCTTTCAAGTTCGAAGCCCGTGGACTGATGAAGGGTGGAAGTGGAATTGAGAAAGTGGAATTGAGAGAGATGAATTGACTCTACTTGTCGCCCGCATTGCCTTAAGTATTTTGAACAACAGATTACGTACTAATATCAAGTGTTGTTGGCCAAGAAAGTTTTACAGAGATTAGTGGTAAATTCAATTACCAATGAACATATTACGTCTAGAATAACGAATTATGCCAAGAATTCACCGGGATTTGCCACTGAAGTCCGCCAAACATTTGGTGAAATTCTTACTCGAATTGATTTTAAGGTTTTGGATATACGGTCGGCCGGAAGCCGGCCGCTGGTCGGCCAGATGCTTAAGCTGTGCTGCCAGAAGCTGTCTAGAGGCGTAGTAAATTGCGGCCTAGTTTTCAAGTGTAGGAAAAACAATATGGGAAGTCAGCTGATTTCTGGCATGGAGCAAACTTGACCTCAACAATAATGGTTGATTCATACCGATCGCCGTGTGGTTTTCTTCCGTAGCAGTGCCAAAAGCAACCACTGGTGGTGAGCCCGTAGGTTATCCAATGCATATCTTAGCGTGTTCTACCAACGAGTGTTTTCTTCTTCAGTTAGTAGGCTTAGCTGTTCGAACAATTGGCAATCAAGCTACATGTGGGTTGCATATATCTTGACACGAGAGCCAGGCCGTTATGGAGACTAGCTTGCAACAACCTTATGCTGCCATTCTGAGTCAAAGCAGAGGACCGTTGATCAGCCTTCATTATCTTCAGGTCTCACGAATATGAGAGCTCTCGACTTAACAGGGAAATAAAGATCTATTGCGTGCTGGTTACATCCAAGAAACCTGCCTCAATTCCACAAGAAGCTACCTTGATAGGGTTATGCCCAGCTGTGTCCTGGAATACCTCTGGCGATTCGGGGAAACTCGGAAAACGGAAACTCACAGGACAACTTTGGCTCTTGAATACATTTCACCTTTTTCCAACGAAAAAGGTCTTGAAAATCCCAAAAGTATGATTTTCAGCAAAGAGAGAATAAGTTTTCTGTGGTATCAGTCGATCTTGTATGGTAGTTTATTTTATGTCTCGTAAGAAAAGGGCTTTGAAGAGCGAAGTGACAGCGATTCTTTCTCTCGCGAGGTCTGATATCGATTTATTATATACATAGGCACCGGGGAAGAGCTAAAAACCCCCCGACGGATCATTCCTGGTAAATTTTGACCAGTCAAGCAACCGCATATCATTACGCACACACAAACTCGAAGCAATGATAGGCTAAGCCTTGATTTGACTTCGGATGCCGAACGAGACCGAGTAAGACTACAAGTTTACCCGGTCTGGCGTGAACACCTATTATTCATGAGGACAGACATGGTTTCGAAAGTAGGCTTAACGGCGGGTACTGAGAGCGCAATTAGTGTGCCAGCGAGTTCGGCATTCTCGACACACAGCATGGGGTTGTAAGCCCAGCTACCGTCGGTAGCCCACTCGCCCTTCACGACTAGCCATACTCGGACGGCGGAAATGACAATCACGCTGTGAAATGGTTAGCTAAGTAACTAGGGGAGGGGGGGAGTACTAACAAAACACCGGGGAACAACATAAATGAGAGTTTGACCTTTCTGTCTGAGGAGATTTGAAGTTGCTTGATGAGAAGCGTAGGGATGGCGAACATCATGACATCGCAGGGTAGCGAGAGGCCCGAGTTGACGGAGTAGACCAGACCCCAAGAGAGACACTTATAGTTCTCGACACCTAGTTGCCAGGCATAGCGCCATAGGCTAGTGACGGGGTTGCAGTGAAAAATCAGAAGAAAGAGCTGGAGGAGATATATAGCGAAGAGGAATGATACAGCGTAGGGAATAGATCTGTGCAGCCTGCTTGTCCGTGCGGTTAGTCGGTGATAAAAGGCGAAACCGGAAAGTCGGCATAGAAAAAGGGCGGTGGTATAGAGAATATGTGCAGCGAAGTCGATGACTTCGGTTTGGTACACGACTGCCGTTGATAGGACATATTGGATATACTCAATATGACGACCACTTCCCATATTGATTAGAATAATAGAGAGAGAAACGAAACTAATGTAGATCGTCTGATCGAGATATCATTAGTTTAGATAATTATTGCAAGGCCTCAAAGTGAAAAGTTGAGGAGGATGATAAGTACTTAGTTAGAAGTACATACCCATGTCAAAATCGCCAGCCAATCGTCAAGACCAGCTTTCTTGATGAGAGAAATACGTGTATAAAGTCGCAGGATGAACACAATTCCTGTCAGACAGGCCATGAGCACGATGCCCACAAGGGCCGAATGGTCGCGCGACTGCGCTAGGTATTTGAGAGAGACCCCATTTGGTATTCTCCCCGCCTCGTGTGCGTCGAGAATGTTGGCAGGAAGTTTCATCGTAAATACAATGGATTGACGAGTCCCTAGCAGGACATAGTGAGCATAGCAAAAGGACTTTGGGGGTGAGGATTGGTCTGTTTTGAACGGACAATGGGAGTATGAAGAATGAGCCGTACTCTGCAAAAGACGTAAGGAGCAAACGAAAGGGTTGTCAGCAAGCCGTTTTTGGAGGCGGCCAAGAAAGACAAAAGCCTTTCTATTTTGGTTATCAGCCAGATCCGTTCTATGTACAAAGCTGGCGAGGGCGAATTCACTGTGCTTCACTCAAAACAGAGGAAAAAGAGTTGGGTTTCCACTGATTCAAATCCCATGCGAGAGCATAAAATCATTCAAGAGACGTTAGTATCCGGGCTGAGACCTTGAAATATGCCAAGTTGTTCCTAGGCGGAAAGCCACCCACGTAAGGCACTATTCGGTGGACCTCAGGACCCATTAAGTGAGACTTAAGCCTATCAACCATTAGCATTCGTAATAGGAAGGCCGCAAAGTTTCGATGTAAGCCAATATGCTTGATGGAGTCTGTATGTCCATGCATGCGTCTATTGTAGATTAGGGTGGCCAATTTGGGAAAGCGGGCGGAACTCGTCTCCGCCGGGGATTGATTCGCCGTGCAGTATCTTCGGCTCTGATGGCATATGCAAATCCAAATAGGCGGCGATCCATTACCTCGGATAAAAAATCTTTGCAGTGGCTATCAATGCGAGAATCAAGATGCCTCCGCAGTATATTGTACAGGCATTCTCGCAGGGGCTTTGACCGGTGCACACTGAGGAACTTTTTTCGGCCCCGCAACCAGGGCCTTGGCGTAGATCATGAGTTAATTGGAGTACAGTCAATTGAGGATAGTAGTTTGGTGCACTTTATAGTATAACTCCACCATAAGGTTGAGGCTTTGTGGTGCGTGTTCATCGCTGCGAGAATGCCTGGAAAAAATATCTGCGTTATGTAGAACGTTGAACTGCCTTAGTGATTGGTGCGCGCAAGCAACGCTTTGACCGTATTGGAGGGCCTATGGAACTCTCTTCTTGAAGCTTGGGATCATGAGTTAGGTAGATCTTCCTTATCCGCCGAAATCATGGTCTGTAAATTGTACATATGCGATATCGCACAGCATTTCTTGTAGGAGGAATGGGTATGCAAGTGCATATACAACATCAGAGTATACGTTTTTTATGATACTCTTCTTATGAGCCCCCTTGTCATGTTTGTAAGACCTGTTGCTCAACATATGCCCGCGGCCACCCAGTTTCGCGTTCCGTCCGACGCAGCAGGTTGAATAGTGAGTTGCGAGCGAGGCGGTCGTCGATCCACGCGCTGCCTATAATAGTTAAGGTCAGCTAATATAGTGCTAGAACTAGTAGAAAGCGAAGCCCTACAGGCATATAGAGCATGACAAGCTATGACCGTAAGGATGGTTCGTCGTTAGTAGAGAGAGCAATAGCGAATGTTTAGTCTAAATTATCCGAAATCTATTCGTATCCAACCCGTGTTAGATAATATATCTTTAAATATATTAATTCTCCTTACTTTCAAATGCAACTGCTTTTCTAGAGATGATATACTATACTAAAATGCGTATTTCCGAATTAGCATAAGTGCCTTAGTAAGATAAATATACTATATCGTAATAGCTAAAGCCACTATTAGTATACCACGCAACCTTTAGTATTAATACCCGCACCCTAAAAAGTAATATTACTTATAGTAAGCTAGATTATTATACTAGATTTATACTAAATGACTAGGAGTAGATTCCCCTTTATAGGATTAGGAGGTAAAATATATAGTAGTCTAATAGCTTTAGATACCTTAAGTTCCTACTCCCTAATCCTTAACCTCATACGTAAAATTAAGTCTATGGATAAAGTTACGCCTAGGAATACTAATATAGGCATTAATCGTTTTAGTTAATATATAAAGAGCCCGTTTGACCTAGTCTCTATCACTAGGAACCGATTTTGACGCCCATAACCTACGTAGCTACTAGCTAGTTATTAAATAGTTCGAAGTCTAATTCAAGACGTTCCTAATACGTAAGCATGGACTAAATATCTTACACTATAAAGGCCTGAAATGAAGCCGATGAGATACCCCCTCTTATTACGTAGTCAACGTGGGAGCTAAAATAGACTAAATCTATAAGGTGGTATTCACGGTCGTTAGATAGGGTGTTATATTACGAAAGAAAAGACGGTTACCTATTTTATAAGGCGGAATTTATAGGATACCTCAAATATCCCGAAATGGTAGTAAATCACTTCTGATTCAGCATCTAGATTAAGAGTGAGCTCTAGACTTGCCTAGAGCTAGTCTATGACGAAGAGATATTTAAAGTAAGATCATTATAAATCGCTCACTTAGCTCTCACTTCCTCCATATTAAGGAAGAAGAAGAATATCTCTCTTTTGATTCTTCAGGATTAGTTTTGAAACCAATATGATCTATATTGCCTTAGACTTTGATTCCATAATATATTAGTACTATTTTATATTCCTTTTAGATCTCCTTTACTATCTTCTTACCTAGCCCTTTTACTCCTTATATATCAGCTATAATATTAGTATTATTAGCACACTAAGGGAAGGGTTTAGCTTATAGGATATCTATTCAAAGATATGGAGAATAATAGTCGAGCTAAGAAGAATATCGATCTTAATATCGAATACGGGCTTATAGAAAGTAGTAAGAATAATCGAGATATAGCGTTTGTAGAATTTATCCACTAGCGTAGGGGAGATAGTATATAATATTCGCGAGAGGTGAAATATAGCCATGGCGATATAGGCGTATAGTAAAATTGGAGACTAGATCGCGCGTCTAGCGATTTTAGTTAAGAATTAGCGCTTAATATTTCTAGCATTAAGCTATATAGCGATTAATCAAGAGTCATAATATACGATATAGAGTCACCGACGTACCTAGTCTACTAGATATTACTAGAAATATCGGAAAAGATAGGCCTAATCTATATTTTCGAGTCATGGTTACTAGATCATGGCTAGTTCCAGATATTCAGATAGAGAGGACAAATTCATTTTTGACCCTAATTGATCAGGTACAAGGACTATACTAGATCAAGACATGGATTCCAGATATATAGACGCTAAACGCGCTTTAGATGACCACTAGGAGACAGACGGGTGCACGGTCATAGGGATAGGGAAATTCTCTGCAGCTGTCTTATCAGTTTAGCTTTATAGGTGTCTAAGGGTTTTACTTTAGTTTCATTATGTGGAAGTAATGATTCTCAACCCTTACGCGCCACTTACATCCAGAGGAGGTTTTAAGACAGACTTGGTCGTTCGGCACGGCCAGGGCGCTCTTACCGTACCTAGGAGGCGGACTTTCTGGGAGAGAAGGACTTTGACCATAGCGGAAGAAGTTCTTCAATTCTCCTTGGTTAGAACGAATTTGCAGGCGCATAGTTGACAGTGTGGACATTTTGTTGCAATCACCTCAGGGAGGGGGTTAGTTCATGCTCCTGAGAAACGGCCATGGGCAAACCTACACTCAGACGACACGGATGACATGTGCAGCTTGGTTCCAGTCAGTACTCATGTACTTTATAAGCTGGGAGCGGATAGAGGGTATCACTAGCCATTCCCTTACTACGCAGGACTTACAATAACAATTCATTAGGTTCTTAATGGTCATCATATTTCATTCCACATCCAGATCGCGTTTAAAAAGAAATTATAGACAAGTATGTTCCCCCTTAATTACTAGGTTACGTAGTTACAGGTTGGGTATGAGTGTAAGCCAAGTAACTTTAAGATGCAGGTCAAGTGGCGCTATCAGTATTTAATCAGCCAGTGGCCAGCATTTAGCGCAACGGTCCCGTCAGATGTATGATAATCTAGCAATTATATGGAATGTCGGTTTTATTCCTAAACGATGTTTTATTTCCATCAAATCCTATCGTCGCTGAATGAAGACTTTGGCGAAGCGGTCTGTATCAGGAACCCGCCATGGCAACATGAGTTAAGAGGGGTGAGAGTTGGGTCGATGGATTTAGGTATACTCTGCAGGGTGTTCAAATCAGGAATAGTCAATCTTCACGCTAGTGCGTGCAAGGGGACACTAGTGTTATGAGAATCCACTATTAGGACTACCGACCTGCCTTATTAGGTACTCCACGTTGCCAAATAATAGCAATAGTAGCTCCCAAGCCAGGTCTCTAATAACCTAAGCCCATTCTGGGTTCTGCTCGGCGACGCATAGAAGCATGAAGCATAAGCAGCATTAGAAAAATCTACATAACCAACCTTAACAGCCTTCATAGACGGAAGGAATCCATATAGTCATATGTGACCCTGTGGCGGTTCTTCCACCACTCCTCAAACTAATTTCATTACATGATGATTGAACCGCTGATACTGAATCGAATGAACGAATCCCGCACGGTGGAAATGGTGCCTCTCCTGTGTTGTTCGAGCGTTGGGGGCTTCTTGGCGGCTCGGCCTCTGGTTTTCGGATCCGAATAGGGTATAATAAAGTTCAAAATAGAGTTTTGGTTTAACACGAACGTCGCAAAAGTGGCAGCCCCGCTTGTCCGAAAGCAAAATCCAGCTTAGCCATCGACCTTGAGTAGCTAACAATAAGTTACTACTTTATTGAACGATTGACCATATCTTGTTATATGAATAAGCCTTCTGGCATGAACGTATACTTGGAGCAAAGAGAATCGTCTATTAGAGCAGGCGCTGCTTCAAGCCCCGGATAAATAAATGAAACCAGCGACACTATTACTGTTTATCACGCCACTGCCAAGTTGGCATGTTTACTATAGGTTTTTATAATTGGTGAATCATATTGAAAGCAAAATTTCTCGGTTCGGCGTCGCCGAATACTACCTTGGAGGTGTCTAATGAATCCGATACCAATGCTGGAGTCTTACATACCAGAAGCCGAAATTTCATAATCATTGGCAATAGAAACGCCATAGGGAAGCTCACTTCTTGCATGCAATCTATGTCTGCTGCCTATTCCGTACGAGGCGCCTTGTTAAAGCTTCATGTAGTATCTACTAGCAACCTCTCCATCGGCGCTTGACTATGAAGGAAAACCATATTCGCCACATTGATTAGGCTGTGACTTTGCTACAAGCAATGCTTGACGGCTTTTGAAGAGTCCTTTCCTAGATACAGCCCTGCGCCAAGATAGCCAAGGATCGTGGAATATATCTACGATTTCCAGTATGAGACAATTGTTTGAATGCAGGATGCCTAGTGCATTTGACCTAAATCCTCGAGGCCTTTTAGGTACTCTTTAACATTGTCATAGGGGCGTCCAGTGTTAATAACGGCGATGAAGGAATGTATACCTTGCTTGTCGCACAAATTTGTAGACCCTTCAGCTTTCGGAGCGATATGTGTAAGTGTCCGTTCACGTAATCATGGTGGAAAATTCAACCAATAGGGGTCCGATCGAGTATATGCAGTTGTCTATGCATTCTTCTACCTGTGTGCCCACACTCTAACGTGTGTGCTGACTAAAGTCATGTGATCTAGCTAGCTTACACCATCTAATATACTGACAGTAAGTATATGTCACATGACTTGACCACAGGTGGTGTGCTGACCAAAACGGGCCTCAGCCACACCGATCTTTAGATCCACGCCGTAATTCAACTATTTTCAGTTTCTGGCCAATTCCCCTTTCATCCCTTCTTTATCGGTTATGTAAGGTAGACTTCCTGATTCTCTGAAAGCATCGAAAGTTTCAATGTCGAGGTTTTCGTCTGATCTTTCAGGAATTGAGACCGATTGTTATCCCAAGGCCCGGAGAATACAGGCCCATTCCCTTCTTTTCGCCTCTTCGTCACGCTTACAAATTCGCCGATAGGCATCTTTTGGTGTTCAAACAATCTTACTAGATAGCTGCTTTTTGGTCCCCTTTACGTTTTTCGGTCGTCGACGAGCTCGAATTGATACAAATTGCCCTGAAGCTCTTCTGTATATCCAGCGTTGGATTTAGTTCCCGCCCGGAAGAGCTGGAAATCCACGTTTTAGTGATTCAAGCTCTTTGGTCTGATCTTTGCTTTGGCCCAATAACTTCTTAACACGTTTTTCGACTTGATCTGCTCCTTGATTAAACTTTTCGACTGATTGAGGTGGTGAATAATGGTAGAAGAGCATGGTGCTGGGGTATGACCATATATCTCGAGAATTGGGTCATTTTGATGCCTCTAATCCCATACTTTTTGCATTGGTCTGATAATAATATCAGGGTTAAAAGGGCAAAGCCCTGTCTCCTAGAAAGTCCTTCGGATAATACGTTGTTCTTTTCAGTGCCGACAATGCAATTCCATTCATGGAGCTGAAAAGGGCTGGGCTTCTCTCATTTCACAAATCCTGAAGACATGCATCCTATATACTTGATCTAACCATTTTATTAAGATTCATTTTCATCGTCAAGCATCAACCATCTCGAAAAACTTTCCGTCAATCCGGTTGCCCTGTGCTCCAAGCTCTCTTCTTCCTGTTCAATTTTTTCAAGTTCTTGTAACGAGGGTTACTTTGGCTTCTTGTAGAGCCCATCGTGCAAATTATGAATTTCAAAAGAGAATATGGAGCGTCTACACCCTGCTGTAGGTTAAAATTTGGTACGTAGTTCACTGAAAGACAGGCATGTAACAAGCTTTGCTCAGTAAGCCCGTGATGTGGTCTGCGGTGCACGTATCGACGAAATTCACCTGATTTTTCAAAGGCATTTTTGTAGTATCGTACTTCTTCGAGTAGTTTCTTGCTATGCCTACTTATTTGTAATTATCAATCGGAATACAGCCGGCCTCATCGGTAGATATCCAAAGTCAAGGAGAATGCTTAGAGGTTAGAATTATTACAGGTTCCCTTTTACTGTTGACTTTCAACGTGATAGACATGTTTGTTCCAGATTTGGTTATTCAAAAACAACGGGGCGTCACCACAACACTTTGCCTCGCGACAGGTTCGGAAGGCCCAAGCAGTCTATTATTATGTTATGGCATATTTCTTGGCCCATGGCGGGATATGGCAGCCTTACTATCGAAGAGACAGCTCCTTTAGGCTAAGCTAAATGGGCTGAGGATTTGTCGACGACCAAGATGGTTTGCAGGAATTCTAGGCTGGGACGTATGAGCAGCACATCTTACACATTGCTTTGAGACGCGAGTCCTCTTATAGAAGAATTAACAAATTCCAATGTTTGCCACGGTGACAGAACCTCTTTGTAGTTGGGATAGCTTTCATGATTTATTTTAAACCTGATATCGATGCGTCGTAATGTTGTGTAGTATAACTCAGTAGATTGGAGATCAAAGTAAATTTTCTGGCCTCTCATGCGTCGGAGCTCGGAGGAACTGGAACCTTAGATGGAGATATCCTAGAGAGTAGTTCTTAGGGTTATCTGAGGTCTCTAAAGCAGACGTGTCGGGCTTCGTTGCCTGGAAAGGGTTCGAAGCTTAAGTAAGGTTAATCCCGGTTGGCTCTATAAACTTTAATGCGACTGTGGCAGGAACCATCCCATCAAAACCCCTAGTAGGACGCATTTGTTTTTTATGGATGCCACAAAATTCATAACAGACCTTATATGCCGAGGGAATAGGGGTCGAAAGATTCAACCGCCATCACGATACTTGTAGGCTTAGTGACAGCGTTGAGAGTAGTATAATCTCCAAGATCCTTTATTATTCTTCTTCATAATTCCCCCAACGGAGATGAAAGTATGATCTCTGTAGGTAGAAGATAGCAATAGGGTTCCACGCGTATATCACTAGCGCTTGATCAACCTTGTGCGTGTGTGTTGGAGCCACGTTGAGTCATCCCACTACGATCCAGGGACATGATTTAGCACCAATCGCTACTTGTCCATTCTAGAAACAAAAGATTCAGTCACAACTCATTAAGTGGAACACACGGAGCAACGTAAACCTATAGACAGGGACAAACGGCAGTCGTTCTTCCTTTCTCTTTCGCCTCGAAGACTCGTGTGAGGTCGGTTTACCGCTGTTACAGTGGGTAGTGAAATCCTAGATTCTTTGCTTGACCTCCACATCCTCGAGGATATGGGACAACTCTCATGGGGTACTCCTTGCTCCTACGTGACTACTAATTGCTAACCAAGGGAGCCACCTGCCTCGCCGGGCCACCCTAACTTAACTCTGATGATCCAACTTAACAACCTAACCACAACCATACTGCAACAGTAGTCTTAAACTACATTTACACCAACATCTCCTAAAAAGAGAATCATACGCATCCGATAATTTAGCCCATGTGCGAAAATAAAATAGTAGAGCATTCCTAAAGCACTATGTCAAATTGCGCTGCAGGCCAATTGGGCGTGATAGGAATTGAGGATGTATTATCCGAGGCCGAACTGAGAAATTAGCTGCATGCCATATACATCCCCATCAAGTGTCCCATACAGCTGTCAAAACTCGTCTTTGTGATCTCAAAGTAGAGGTAGATGAGCCAGCTGGCGGAGAGGAGCCTTTGTGTTCGAAGTGTATCTAAAATTGGTGGCTGGGACTCAATTGGTTGAGATGAATGATGGCGCACTATGGGCTCCTGTCAATATTCGGGGTTGATTTCTGGGACCAAAGTGCCAATTATCTTTTAAAAATAAATCTGACCTGCTGTTGCTGGGGCGTTGAACGAAGTTGGAGACGATAGAATGTCCGGACTGGCTCACTTTCTCAGATCAACAGCCTTCAACCATCAGGCCATCACTTCTAGAGAAGCTGGAATGCTTGATTCGTAAGATTGAAAAAGGAAGTCTCTCCCCATTTGAGCCAATAAAATGAGCAGGTACCGTTGGGCTAATCAGCTCTTACTAGCGTGGAGTCAACTACACTATCATTGCAGGATCTTCGCCGTATGCTCTTATGACGAGCTGTTAAGGACTTCCCCATCTCACCACTTTCAAAATCGTTTCTCTATACTTTCATTTCTTTATAATGACTATCTAGAGGTGAGTTTCATTAAGAACTATCAAACAGGCAAGTACATTCTGTTACTGAATTCGCGTTCGCGCTTTGAACTTCGAATAGCAACCAAACAAAAAAGAACATCACAATCAATCTCATGTAGGGTCTTCTGCCTCTACACAGTGCGCTGTATCTGTATATATCTATGCGTCAGCTTATCCTATCTTGTTTGATAGAGTCAAACATTAATGTGAAAAATCAGGGCATCAATAATGCCCTTTCTTCAGCGATTTTTAAAGGCCATGAACAAGTTAAGACAGGCGCCCGACTTATTATTGTGCTCTTGACGAAAGCGAAACAATAGTGAAACCGCATCCTGCTAGTAAGCCTTCCATATGGGGTGAAAGTTGTAAACGCAAAGTTGTGCAAAGGAAATAGTGAGAGTCATTCCAAGTAGCGACAGTGGTTAAAGTCACCATTGTAGACCAACTCGCCTCGTGAAATGCGCAGAATTTGATATTTTTACACAACCCCAGTAGCAGCGTTCAGCGAGATCGGCCTATCAAATAGTCAGTCCCAAATAATTACATTGCTTCTTGGCAGTTATGCGAGGACTTTCGTGGAAAGCTTATTGATCAACCGACTGTAACTGCTTCTGAGCTTCGGAAAATGCAAGCGGAATGCAAAAGTCGCAAGACCCCCAAGAAGGGGAGAACGGGTGATAGAGAACACCGAAGGGTTTCCGATCGTGTGCAGTAGTGTTCGGCTGACTTGTTTGCTTGCAGAGCACGCTCCACCTGATCGGAGCTTCGAGAGGGGTAGACATACCTGGAACTACCAGGTAGCCAGCAAGCATAGCTCGGTTGGCCACATTGATGTTGATAAGAAAGATGACATACCATTTCTGCTTATCTCTAAGCATTCTCGCATAGGTCTTATCATGTATGCAACGAGTTGGCAGGGGCGTACGTAGGCTGGAGGAAATACACTCCTCAGTTGGGAAGCTATTTATATGTGCAGGTTTCGCGCGTGGAAGATGGATGCCTGCTATGAGAAAGCTGGACTTGATAGACATTTTCATTAGAGATAAGTATGAATCTTGACGCGATGGAAGATTCGAATTTTCAATCAAATCTACCGTTAGGTCAGCGGGAATTCCTGGGATTCTTAACAAAGCCATCCCTGTCCACGATGCGATGAACCCGGCATTCAGTTTGCAAGTCAAGGCACCTGAAGTACTTAATTCACTTTTATTTTCCATGCCACATAGAATAGAAAGGCTTGGGAATATGGACCTCCGGATAATGAAAATATGTACCTTTTCAAAGGGTATCTAGATTCTTTCCCACTGTATTGTCAAAATGCTATCAAATCTTAGGGTCTTGTCATATAATCAAAACAATCGCAGGAAATTTATTGCAGTTTTTGATTAGTAAGGTACCGTTCTATAGATTATACTCCACCATGCAGCATTATTATACCAATGCGCCGTGCTTTATTACAGATAAAGGCACAGCAAAATCTTTTTCAAGGGTTGAACCCACACTGCCAATTTCGTATCTGACACAAAAGTATAGTAGTCTGTCGTATTCACAACTCTAAGTACAACACAGGTGCTTCTTCAAGCAACACCAAAATAACTGAGTATCAATGGATGCCATGAAATTTGAAGGAGGCAAACAAGCAACGACGTCCCCGGCGTGAAGTATCATCCTATTGACCATTTCATATCATATGGATAGGTCATGTTGCCCGTAACAGGTGGTTATAGCTGATGATGATTTGCAGCGAGAGCACATGACAAAAATTGAATATGCATGAATGTGATCTTTATAGTCCAACAGGGGCTGTAATTGGCTCTGATGAGGAAATTTAGAAGAGGGCACGCAGCGCCTAGTTACCGCTACACATTCGTGTTTAAGTTGCAAGAAAGTGCGAAACCACGAATTGTAACAGCTTTTCGTGGTGGTAGACACCACTATGGTGGAAAGGCAGGAACGTTGAAGCAAATCATGTAAAGGCAACGGGGCAGAGCTAACTAATGCCACGATGCAGGATCAGAGTCCATGGAAGAATGTTCCGCTTTTTCTGCATTGAATATATGGCCGGCTGGTATTGGAGACCAATCCACGAGTCTTGAATTCGACCGACGCCCTACAGAACCGCAGAGGCTGTACAGCGTCTATCAATTTCGGCTTGCAACATCAACCTGGGTCACAAGTGCTGTGGTATTTACTGTAGGCTGCCCTTCATATGATCGACATTCAATACATGGCCCAGTCCAATTTGGTATGAGATGAAAGACTTTATCTTGGTCAACGCAAGAACAATAGAAGTTATAGGCTCAATTCATAGCAGGAAGTTTCCTTTACAACGACCGTGGCATCAAGAGTGGGACTGTTTGATGCATGCCAAATTATCTTGAGAAATGAGTTTTGATGGACCATGGAGTCCCTCACTCGTTGAGAGATTGAAATTTCCATGAAATGATTTGAAAAAGGGCCAAGTTCATTCCGGCCGAATGTCGGACCCGATTCTTGATGGACGTTTCATCCACTGTGACAAGCCGGGCAGCTCCTGGAACCACAGCGATCGGCGCGGTAGGTCCCAACCCACCTTCCCCGAAGACTATTACAGAAGGTACTCGGCACATTTGTTATTCGACTTTCGCGATGGAGGAGAATACTTCTTTCTTTTAACATATGTGTATTTCAAGAACACCGGACTTTAGAGATTCTGACCCTAAGTTCCGGCTTCCTTAGCCATCACCACAACCAATTTAGAAAGTAAGAGAAGCAGACGCCTCTAGATAAACCTTCCGTATGAGTCAAAGTCTAGATTTTACTGGTTCTTCCTTGGCTCCACGGCTTACCTTTGCCCTGTTGATTCCTGGTGGAATTCTTTTTTTCTTTTACGGTTCCACACTCTCGAAGGCGGCAGTGCATTAGAGTTGATCTCGGCAGCACTTTACCAAGGATGGGATCAATTTTTGTGCAGGGGCTCGAAATATCCGACATGACTCTCCTTTGGCTGCCATCTCTGTTCACCTACCGTTGAGTCATAATCCAAGCCCGTTACCCCTATAGGCGATCTATTAAACTTATATATAAGTTGTGCGGCTGAAAAAATTCAACTTTGTTCCCATTTTAACATGGCATTTTTTGTGATCTTGTTTGGATGCTCGGTCTATCGCCCCCTCCCTGCTGTACGCATCTATATCTATCCTACTACCATTTGTCCCTCATTCAGTCATTGCCAAACTTTCTATGATTGGCTTCAACTGAAATCATCTCTCCAAACTTACGATGGAGCACCAAGATCTCAGTCAGCAACTGATTCCTCAATCTCCAATTAACATGTCTTCTTCCATGGCTTTCAATACACTTGGCCTCTGGAACTACGACAGCATTATCGATATTTCCTCTATGACGACTACCGATGATTCAGTCTCCTTCGATACCATCGACAGCTTTATAAATGGTAGCACGAATTACCTCTCCGTGGACTCATTTGAAATCGCATCGGCCATCAACGGGTTCACCATGCCAGCCAAAGATACCGTTTCCATGTCATCGGTAATAACCCCTTATCTCATCCAGGTATTATAATTTAAATACTAACATAGTCACTTCCAGACATTTGACAGCGACAGTCAATCATGGTCCATTCGCCAGTCCATCATGACCCCCTCGGTTTCGGAAAAGCAATCCAAACAAACAACCCGTAGCTCAACCTCAACCCAGAACTCCTCAAGACGCTGGCGTTTAAGTCCCGAAATCCGTCCTCAAGAATATATCGCTCCCCGCGAAGAATCCACATCCTCTTGCGAAACGCGCAGCCTATCCCAAGACTCTCATCAATCCAATACGGGCCAGGACCCCCAAATGCGTATTGCCGCCAAACGCGCGGCCCATAACATTACCGAGAAGCGATACCGCACCAAAATCAACACCAAGTTCCTCTCCTTGGAGAAAGCCATCTCCCCTGCTGGTATTCACAAGAAGTCTTCTCGTGCTGGTACGCAGTTTTTGAAGAAATCCGAGATCCTGACTAATGCTATTGCATACATCGAGAGTATTAAGCATGAGAATCAGGTTATGCGTAAGGAACTTGCTATTTTGAAGCGAAATATGGTTCTGAATAGCATGTGACGACATAAACAATCACCATCGTGATTATTTTGTTTTTGATGGAATCTGTTGCTTCAGCCCCTGGCCTCCTTTTGTTCTGCGCTTTTTGGCTAGAAAGACTTTATTTAAAGCATTAAGCATGGTGTGAATCATGGTAGGTCGCCTTGTCACTGCCACCCGTCGCAGTCTTTGATTCCTGTTAGGGCTTCATGTTAATGGGCTTTTAAGTTTCTGTTATCATATTACATTTATTGGACCACCATCCCTTCCCTTTTCCTCTTCGTTACACTTTTAACTCGCCAGTTAGCATATAAAGGCGTTAAGAGCAGTCAAACCCCATAGCTGTTGTTTTTCGCTTTAAGTCTGAATAGGACAGTGACGATGTTGAACTAAAGAGCAATTTCCTTCGTTAGTATACTCCGCATTGATCTGCTGACCTTTCTGGCAGTTCTTAAAGTCGCGATTTAATCGTTTGACCTCTTCGGTCTGATGTTCGGCCTAGACTGATAGTCAACATCTTAGGTATACTTCCCATATGATCATGCTTTTATATGGTTAAATTTATTCAACTGCGCGACGTAGTGAGCCACTGACGTAGCAAACAACAGGCTAAGACTGTGGTTGCGTTGCAAGGCCTAGTAACTCGAGGATCGAGACCTTCCGACTCCTTTGATACCATTCCTTTCGTTGAATCGGCCCGATAATGGTATTGGTATTAGAAGGCTAAGTGCCAGTATCTTAGAACGCACTTCGGACGATACGTTAACTGAAAGCTCCAGATCAATGTAATATCCTCGAGGGACTGACGTTTGTAAATAAGGGTCCTTTCCGAGGAAATTGCTTTAGTTTGAAGATGGCGTTTGGTCTAAAGCTTGATCAAAATTGGGCGTACGGGTTCAAAAGCTATTTAGAGTAATGCGATTTTTCACGCAAAATGGAGAAATCTAAAGCTTTGATGGAACCCATTCTCATCGACGGAAACGATAAATTATCTATTGATCACAATGCGACAACTTCGGATTCTCATGGGGGATATGTAGCCGTATTATAGCAATAGACCGGATGACTGGCCATTTGGAGAGTTTTGAATATTATAGCGCTCATTAAGCGCTGGATTGTCGTGGAATCAATCTTCTAGATGAGTCTAATCTTTAATGACCAGATACGGGACCATAAACCAGAGCTCTACAGCAATACACTCCATTAAGGTTAAGGTTAGGCCACGATCTTTCGCAGCGAAGTTCTGGAGGTTCTGTCAGGTAGGGAAATTGAGCACCGGGTGCCACAGCGCACCATTTTCGCTTTCTATACCTTTAGACATCAAGTTTCTCCCGTCTCCCGTCAATCGATAGTTCAGTACTTTGTTCCAAGATTCTAAAATCAAGAGCAATTTTTAGTATGTTTGGTGTACATGAATAGTGCAGGAGATCCAGGTTTTCTCAGGTGTTCATGGCGTGGATCCAAGGTCGGATGCAATGCTTTTTTAAGTGCCTACGTCGGTTATGTAGGGGGACTAGTGTTAGTAGCTCTAAGTAAGTACGATTGCTCGGCAGCCTAATGTAGCCCCACGTGAAATGTTAACGACCATAAATCAAAATGACAGAATTTTGAATATTACCTCTACCTGCCAGAGCTCGCTGGTACAGCTCTTCTGCCTCACTGATATTCGTCTTTGTGACTGCAAAGCTTGACCAGATTTTTGACTGCATCAAAAAGGGACAAATTGGTTTATCAAACCTACCACACACTCCATTTACCTTCAAATACTCGCGTCAAAAAGTATCTTACATTCATCATGATGTCGTCCTCAAGGGTACTGATCATTTCTTCCAGGTGGAATTCTAGTCTTTCAATACACCATGCGTTGCTAAATTGTCATAGAATATGCGAAGTTCCTCATGTCTGTAACAAAAAAGTACGTAATTGACATTCGATATGATAGAAGAAAGAAACAAATAAAAGAAAAAGAAGAAAAGCCATCAAACAATACAAAGCAGATAGACTCAATAGCGAAAGTAAGTGATATCTATCGAATGAGATGTTGAGTCTTCATGTCGGTATATGACCGCATTTAATGTTGAATTAAATGGGTTATAGCATTGGGTATGCCCTTGGATCTACTAAGCATCTGCTAGATCAACAGACAGCTTTCGCTCTTCACGCTTTCTCAAGTCTTTCATGAAAGCAAGCAGTCTTTGACGCCGGAGATACATGTTGGTCAAGTCAACCCGAGCTTTTTTCTCCGCATCATTCTGACCAGTGATGAGAATTAGCATGAAGAACGTCTCTATGATACTCGGAGCGACATTCGACACGAGCTGTCCTGTTAGGCTCCACTTCAACGCACTCGAAGTGACCAAGCAACCAATGGTAAGGAGGAAGCCAGCAACGACGGTGAGGAGATGGGAGCTAACAGCATCCATCCAATGAGATACTCGTTGGGTTAGAGATAGCCTCTCATCACTGCCAGCGGAAGGGACTTCCAACGAGAGTCTAGCAAGGACGCCCATGTCTCCCTTCTCTATTTGGCGAACTTGACTGCCGACGTATTGATGAACTTTGTTCTGCACGTTGCGCAAGACAAAAGAATCGAGCAGACCGACCAATCCTGCATATGTCCCGATAAGTAGCCACCAGGTACTGTTGAATTTGAATACAGGACCAATGGCTAACCAGATGATGAATACCAGCACGAGGATTATAATGCCGACAAGTGTCCCAACAATATCGGCATAGTAAAATATACCAACCTGCATGAAATTCTCTTTAGGGGGTGAGGCTACCTCTGGCGGATGAGGCATTTCATCCTTAGTAAGATGGCGAAGCTCTCTCTCGAGACTAATATCGAGTCTGAAGATGGCATCTAGGCAGTTGTTGTTGTAGTCTCCATAGCGCTCCCTGAGGCATGTGAGAAACGCAAAAACCAAGGCCATCAGTGCGGAAGTCGCGTCGTTGATATAGAGTTGCCACTGGCTCGACCAGCCGCAGTATTTGCCAAATGCCAACCACACAAATATGCAAATCCAGTAAAGACCAACTGTAATGATATGTCCAAAGACTTTGGCTGAGCGAATAATACACCGAGCAAAGAGAGTCTGGGGGTGCAATGCTTGACTCAGCGATTCAAGAGACCGATTGTTGCATTCCTCGGCGGCAATACGGATTCCTTCAGGTCCGAACTTCGTCTTGACGGTAGCGGTCATGCGTTCATGACTATCAAGTCGAGACTGAATTTCAAGCATGGCTTCACGATGTTCGGTGTATTCACGGAGAAGCTGCCTCATCAACAGCGAGTCAAAAATGTAACACATAATAGCCTGGACATCTGAGATTCCTGCGACCCAGATATCGGAATCGCCATAGGGAATTCCCATGAAGGCCCACGTCAAAAGTCCAGCTATAATGAAGAGAAAGACTGGGGCTGAGCCTGCCCATCGTACCGTCGCGTCAAGCCATCTGTCCAGTAGTCTGGGGCTCGCTCTGACTGCATAACCCAAAGGCAAAGGGTTCGTGGTATCTAGCTCCGCCTTGTCGCTAACTTGGTGCGTCTCTGCCTTCCCCTCGAATTCCAACCGAAAAACAGGTTTGAAGTTCTTCATTGTGATCAATGAGGAGATGATCCGATGCAGTGCAACTCGACGGGGAACAAATCAGGACGGGTGAGTCTCGACAGGAAATTACGACGCAGCGAGTCCACCTGGTGTTGAGAGTATTGAGAAATCGATAGAGACGGGAGATTCCATAGAGCGAGGATATACCATTGGAGCAAACGGCAAGACAGTTTGGTTGATATAGTTTCAAACAAGTGAATAAGACAGAGAGGAAATAATTGCAAAAGATGGTAAAATTGGAAGGAAGGAAGGAAAAAAGCCTACAATTTATATGAGCTGCATTTGAATCTGCATCCAGAACAAAATCTTTTTAGCCCTGCGCTATTCTATAATAATTTCCACATACGTATTTCTGGTGGGCCTCCGCGTATTGTCAAAGGGAAAACGTGTCCCGTGTTAAGCTTCAATGCATGTGAAAATAAGACCTAACCGTGATGATCCTATGCAGTAGCGAGCGAAGGCTCACCGGTGAGTCTCTTCATGGACTTGATTATAGTGTTCCCGAATCTAAAGTCATCAGTACCACGGTATGCCTTTATGTGGAGCATTTGGACCCAGCATAACCTTAAACCTAGAAATTCGACGCAGCAATGACAGGTGATACATATGACAACCTCCGCGGAGATGAAAGTTTCGCCTCAAGTACCAACTTTGCAATGGTTCCGAGACCCACTTAGTGATTCAGAGAGTAACTGTGGGTATGACCTGATTCGGGATCATCCTGCATTTATACAATACTGCATACCAAATTAGGATAGTTCAATATTGGACCAACCCACCATCCGGCCACGCTTCATCAAAAGGAAGGGGTTTGGTATTTTACTAACAATAATTCCATTAAACGTTCGTCAAGTCACATCAGCAATGTACAGGCAGCAACATCAGAACTGCGAACTAATAATCAGAATTACGCTTTTCTTTCTGTTCTGAATTGGGAGATAAGACGATCTTCTAGGATGTACAAAGATCTTGGATGAAGAATGACGTTAAGAAGTGTTACTGTGTACTACATATCTGGTGTCAAACCGAAACATGGAAAACAATGTGTCTTGAAATATTTCTCAGAGTTAAACATTATTTTCCTCATAGCCCTGTTCAAGGTTACCTTGGTATCACAGCGCCTTTGTGTGTTCTCATCAGGAACTAGAGAACTCACTTTGATTGGTAAAATGATCTTTGCAGTCGCAGCCTGGTATTCGACGTGACGTACAACAATGACTAAGGTTAGAAGAGGTGGTGCGGTGTTTTTGCTACTACCTCGTATTACGGGGCTGTGCTTTCGGACTTCACCGACAGACTGTGGATGGGCCCAGAGAGACCAATCGTAACAGTAGCTAACCCCACATCATTCTTAACTAGACAACCGCGAGCCATTGTGCTTTCGGGGCTGTTAAATGTAACATCGAAAGGGGCGGTGCACGAAAAGCGGTATCAAGATTAACGTAATCCACAAGCGAGCGGTTAGAAGATGGTCGAACGTTTTCAAGCCTGGCAGGAGCCAAGCCAGTACCGTCGTTGTTTAATCACTATAAAGTCTGGACTTTTTTGGATCATATTAGACCTTCCCGCGCGCATTTGATTTTGCAAAAGCTATTCGACCACATTCTGATCACCATTAACTGTGGGCAGATGTATCCAGTCGTGAGCACTGTGCTCGTGGCATTGGCCACGGTCTTGGTTAACATACGCATTGCTGTTCAAATAACCAACTCGGCCTTGAAATGGGATGACTATTTCATATGTCTGTCGCTTGTCCTTTTGTATAGCGTGTTGGGGCAACCAATAATTTGTAAACACCCCTGGTGACAGTCGAGAGGTCAAGGCTAATCAATGTTGCACAGGGACTCATGATGGAGGTGTCGGAAAAAACGGGGACGAACTCACTACGGAAGAGGAAGATAACTTTCATAAAGTGGGTATGATTTCGTCTAGCCAATCCAATGTATGCTAATGGCATGTCCAGAGTTTCTTTGCGAATGAAATTTTGTACACACTGCTCAACCTTTTCATAAAGGCCTCCATCCTCTTGCTATATCGACGAATTCTCAATACGCCCAGACTCATACTCCCCAGTCTAGTCACCTTCGGACTGGTCCTGGCATGGAGTATTGTTGTTTTCATTGCCGTCCTTTTCCAATGCCGTCCGACGTCCCTGAATTGGGTGAAAGCTAAGCCTGGTACTTGCATCAATGAGGACATATTTCTCCTAGGTAACGCGACTTTTAACATCCTGATTGATCTAATACTACTCGTCTTGCCGACGCCTTTCATTATACAGCTTCAACTTAGCCTTCCGCAGAAACTATGTACGCTGGGTCTTTTACTCCTCGGGGCTTTGTGAGTTGAACTGTACACGCCCTCGTACTGCACAGACTAATTTAGGTTAGTGCGTGTATTGCAAATATCATGCGAGTCAAATCTCTGCATATCTCTGGGACGGAAGAGAAATCATGTGAGTTGTTGAATCCCTCTTCCATATGCGAGCACAGTGGCTGATGCCCAGTCCACTTAAGATTCTGTCATGCAAGCCGCAACCTGGACCATAACCGAGCCTTGGGTTTCTATAATCTGCGCTTGCTTGCCGATTGTGTTCCCCTTTCTACGAAGCCAATGCAGTCTGTTATCGTGGGATAAAGAGTAAGCTATGAGTCCAGCGGTTACAAAGCATCATCGGATAGGGAGACAAGCTAGCCCTCTAGCGAGGCCTGATAAAGAAGGATGGGGCCATGATGAGTACGAGTTGATGGAAGCAAGGGAATCCTCAAGGGCTTAGAGGAATCATATTATTCTGGCCTTGTCTGCCAGTGCCTTCTTTTGGGCTCTTAGCGTCTGGTTCTTCTGGAATTCGTTGATTGCGGTCCTTCAGCCCTCATGTACTGCATTTCATCTTAATTGGTGTTCTCCCGAGTACTGAATTCCCTATTTCTTCTATCACTTTGGGCTCCTCATTTGAAAGGACTGCTATCAAGGGTGTTGGATCGGCATTATCGACTTGTTATTCCCATGTGATTGTTTATCATTGTCGACCATGTACTGGCGGCTATCAATAATTTTGGCGTACGTTTGGTGGCTGGTTGGTGGGTGCAGATTGTTTTCAGCACACCTGAAGCATTCCAACTTAGAGCGGACGCGACTCAGTCGGATTGATCGAAAGTCGTGTACAGAGGTTGTCCCCGTAGACCAACAAGGATGTCATACTCGGCCATGCCCGTATGTGGTCCTGGGAATCACGAGTCGAAGTTCGGAGACGCCTGCATTCTTAAGTGAGGTGTTCGCGTTGCATCGGCTACGCGCCCAGGCACGATTCATGTGATTGATTTGATTCCTCTGCAAGATAACGACTATATCAAGGTGCATTTCTCAGCTGATGAACAAGACTGACAGTTTATTTAACTCCTGAACTCGGGATGAGTACTGTAGTCTAGGTAGTTCGACGTCCTTGGGCAGAGAGGACGTTGGGTGAATTCCCTATACAAACAACGCTGCCGTTACAGTATCAGGAAAGCATTACGCATTCAAAGTCACTTGGAATTTCAGTCATAGGTAAAGGAAGAATTCCGGAGACAAGACCAGGATTTGGTAAAGAAAACGTCTCGATTCGCCAGCATATTCCTTTACTCCGGGATGTCTGTGAGGTCTTAAGCGGCCAATGACTTGCACGAGATATATTTCTGGCACATCGTCGCACATAGTATCGTTCCAGGCCATGCAGCCCCATCGCGTTCGATATTCGACGTTTTCAAATTGGGGACGCAGATTTTATTTTCTCCAACTCTACAGTCTAAATGAAAAGGCTGCACTCAATGAGAATATTTTTTCATGGGCTGTAGCTAGGACTCTGTCCGACAGTACTCACTAAGTGGGGGTACGTTGACGCAGACTTACTCAGAACACAACATGCTCATCAGTCTCACTGTCAAATCTACAGCCAGTGCGGAAGGTGACAGATGGCTATGACAGCCTGCATCAATGCAGTGCATCGGTGATCCGCTGCACATCCGGTTTAAATTTTGAAATCATGGTCGTTGATGAAACGCACAATCTTGAAGGGACCTTCAACACTATTCAACGAATGTTTGCACACTGACTTGACATCACAGCTTTTGCGGCCATTGTAGCACCCTGGGGGAGAGTCAAACTGGTCAACCATGATTGTCGTCATCCGGAGTTGTCTTGATAGAGATATAATGCCTGGTCCTTTTTAACCAGCACCGACTAGGTGTTTCTTCAAAGGCACCTATCAAACCTGTTAATAATGCTATGTAGAATGAACCTATGGTGCGAACTGAGCCAATATAATACCCAAGCCGCGAGTGTCCCTGATCGCAAGTGAATAAGTAAGGGAGCCCTAGAATAATCCAATCGAGATCTCTAACGATGTTTTGCCTTGTTATTAAAGAAAGGAGGGAGTACAGTCGACAAGAGATCGGGAGCGGAGGGACGAGAACAGCGAAGACATAAAGAGCCAATGACATAAAAACAAGGAAAAACGACAAGAGATGTCTCCCTTATATAAGAGAAGGAAAGTTGACTGTCAGCAGAGATAAAGAAGACCGATATAGGCATACTCGAAACGGAAAGACGGGGCAGCAGCGCAGGCGCATTACATGATACTGGTTTCAAATGCTAACACTAATTAGATGCCGTGATCATGCTGAACCAAATCCAAAGATTTTGATAGAAGGCAGGTGCGCAGGGGCTTCGTTTAGAGTTTGGATCTAGTATTTCCGCGGGATTCAATTGTTCTATGGAAGCCTAGGAAAGCATGCGCGGAATGTTTTCCATCACGGGTCCCTGTACGTTCATAATTACCCTTGAACTCTAAAATATTGCCAGGGATTTTGAGAGATACTTGGCTCTCCCATCATGCTGTACGCAAGGATAATCGATAGGTATGCCAAAGGATCATCCCACCCTATGGCAGACTTGATCATTCGAACTGCGATGCATATCCTAATAGAGACCATGGCACGAAGATAGTGCTTATAATATGGTCTATATACCCATCATTATTAAGATTTACGATGTGGTAGAATCGCTCTTGCGAAGTCTGAGTGCGAGATACTGTAAATTCAATTCAAAAAATTTTGATACCGGATCGGGATTGGACACCTACGGTACTGGAGCAGGCTCTTGCTGGGCACGACAAAGTCCCGCGTACTAAGCGAAGGTTCCGCTTATATTCTACGGAGACCGAACGACCATTCCGTATCATATGATGCCAAGAAAGCCAAATATCTATATTTGGCATTTGGGGTCGCCGAAAAGTGAGCTCTCTGCTATTTAGTCTGATAGGCTAGTCGCTCCCTTCTTGGCACTTGCAAACAAAGTTAAGAAAGTAAGGTCTTGAATATCACCCGGCTCATATTGATCATTCTGTTCTCTTTGTTGGTTTCTTTTGAGGGCAAGAACAACGACGAGTACATGGAAAACTGACTTCAATAAAAGCCAATGCATAGATTTTGTATATGATTGTAAGGTAGCGGTGACCCTGTGAAATAGGATATCGACATTCTCCTCGTTGATTTTGCCATCCCAACTAGCTCATTGATTGTGACCGCCCATGGGCAATGAATAAGAAAGTTCTACCCCTATTCAATTTCTGTTCAAACGTTTGCGGTCCATTTCATCGAGGCCTTCAGACGGGTAAGAAGGAGGATATGCCACAGACAAGACCATTTCAGACTATGTGCCATGTAAACGAAAGATCTCGCAATCTATTTTTGATAGCAAAAAGTCTTTCATCATGGTAGTCCACTCTAATAGTGGCGGGGCTAGCAAGGAGGCTTTATATGACATGGCGATAAAGCCACTAATCTAAATAATGGTCGAGGTACCTTCATGAATGATGGCTAGACGACTAGTGCGATGGCCTTGCATGAGTAGCAATTTATAAAGATACAGAAAACAGGCAAGTGAGCCAGCCAGTAGATCTTATTCTATGCAGCGGCTATGATCGTAACGAAGCCTAGCCCCAAAAGCATGATAAGAGTGATCTTATACTTAAAAGGGGTTGGGAACCTGCATAAGCACAGTAGTTACAGGCAACATAGAAATATTGAATATAACAAAGGGGCATCCTTGGACGGCTTAACAGTATCGTTACAACGAATATATTAGTCTGTATGTTTTTTAGTATTAGGTACGCGTAGTATGAATCCAAAGGCGTTGCTACTTACATTATAGAGTAGGAACGGCCTCGCAATTTGATAGTGGCCGGTGAACAAGCAAAAGAAGATCTAGTGGCATCAAATCTGAGGGCAATATAGACGGCGATATAATTAATCTAATTCTCGCTAGTGCCCTCCCTTGCTAGCGACGAGCTCAGCAATTAGTACTAAGTATATTTTTAATATAGCCACACATTGGCGATGGTGGTTTCTATCATGGAAACGGTGCAGGTCATCATTTAGTCTTTGCGGTAGGAGTAGATTGCCTGAACAACTGGCATGTGGTTTAGCGGAGATGATGTGGGACGAGAGAGAGGAGACGTACTGCTGACGATGACTACAAGAATACCTAGGAGGAAGATGCTAATGACCAAACACTTTTGTTTATTGGGCATCTTGGTTCGCGCGATTTGCGTAATGGGGAGGCAGATTACTAGTTAAATTAGGGGCGATTTGGATGAAATTGACTTAGCACCTTACTCAGGACATTACTAAGGATGATGTTAAGGTTAGATGGAGCCAAGAAAGCAAAAGAAGAGGGCCATACGGAGAATTGTGAGCCATTAATTGACTATGGACAGTCCTAGGGGACATGTCACTATAAAATCGTTAGTCCTTTCGGCTACGTCGTAGTTGGACATTGAAGTATTCTCACACTCCGGATTTGAAATCTGCTCCCACCGTCGCCGGACAGGGTAGCAGATTAAATTATTACTGGAAATTAGAACTAGCCAGGTCGCAGCCAAAATACCAAGTGTGATGTTATACACATTCTCATAGCGGGTGCGATCTCCCAGGCGCTTATAGAGGGTCACCATGCCGGCCTTGATTAGCCATAGCGAGGTGATGTATAACATGGATCCCCGGATGATCATCTGTTCGATCAGCGGGTAGGGATCGAATGCCATAAGTTCCCAAGACCAGACAGATTGACCTTCATGATATTGGCCCGTCCATCTACAGTCGACTTTGCCATTCCAGACAAGCCTATGCATCGTTAGTGGAGTGCTAGTGACATGGTGCATCAACTCGCTGATTACACCACCTACCCTGGTCAAACATATAGTGCTGGATCGCCAGATCTCTGATTAGACATAAGGAAGCCAGAAGAACGAACAAATCGTCGAGGTAAAGCCGCTTCAGAAGTCGTACCCGGGCCACGAGGCGAGAGATTAAGATTACCCCTGCTACCACTGTGCAAACATATCAGGCAATCTACACAGAGACTCTGTCAGAAACTCTAGTAGCCAGTGATGCAATGGCAGAATTGATGAAAAGGCGCCATATCACTTGGTTTTGATTCTGGGGTACCATGTTGAGGTGCGTTTGCTTCTATTTTGAATGACAGAGAGGGAGAAAGGTAAAGTGAGTGGTGGGGCATCAAAGAATACCCCCGCGTCGACACGAATATAAAATGGAAATTCAAATTCTGTAGGCAATCTTCAAATCAAGAGGATAGACTGAGACACTTTTTGGAATACCTGTTGCTAAGGCCCCGTCCGAAGATATTTGCTTTGGGGTCATGCGCGGCTCATCGCCTATAGTATGGATATAATATTCCATGGTGAGGTTAAGTCTGGATTTCAACTTAGAGGAAACGCCAATTGTTATGATAGAGACGAGAATTTCACTTGAAACCCACTCGATGCCCCACTTGATAATACACGTATCCGAAGTACTCCTAGACTTATTGCACGGTTGAACAAGTTGCCAAAGTCGGGGTGGGCGAATGAAGCTAAAACCCGTTAGTTGATCTATATCTTTCATTCATCAAGTGCTAGAACACGTTATGTGCTATGAGCAGTGAAGACTAATATAGCTTCATCATTCGAAGTCACTGGTCCGCGACTAGCGCTGCCAAGATGCCTTCATATTGCGCAATAGCCCAACTGCGAAGATGAATTCTCTCTGTCCAGTGAAAAGGACAGAAGAAAAAAGAAAAACAGAAAAAGAAGACGTAGCAAAAGGAGGCTATGATCACTCTGCGTGAAGAGACAGACGTGAGTGGCGAGGCATCACTTATTTCTTGCGCCACTTCGGAGCTCCCCGGCGGCTCACAAGGTTAGGTCTAAGTCAGGGGGTGAGGGGGGGGTGGTCTTGACTGAGCGATCTCAGCCTCACGGCTAGTCAAAGGGCGCATTAGTCGGGGTCATCAAATATTCAGCGTAATTGACCAATTGCAGCGAAGACAGCATTAAGCATAACCCTTGGAAAACATTCGGATATCTAATTTGTGGCGAGCCTAAGCTCACACCTGCGGGGCCTACCGTCTTACTGTTCTCAACTGCGGTACATTGTTGGGTCGTTTTTCATATGAAATGGTACGAAGTATGACTTTAGAACTAATCCCGTATGATGTATAAGACTCTACGGACGTACGGGTAGAGCTCATAACATAGGTATGTGCTTTACGAACATATAATACAAGGCAGGAAGTCTAAGCTCTATATCTAGTGGAGAGAAATAGTGGCAACTAGGTTAGATGACCTAATGGGAACGAAAAGCAGAATTCTGTTCTCACGGACTCTCAGTCAGCAAAGGAGTGTCTCACACCATAGGGAAGTCAGGATAGTTGGGCTTGTAGAGGTTCTGGCAGCGTGCGTTATAAGCGCCAGTCGTGCTCGTGACGATCTCCTCTTCCTGTGCACGAACACCCAAGCACGCCAGGGCTCCATCAAAAGGCTTGACCTGCTCGCAACCAGGTCCAGCGCTGTGACCCATGCGACGAATCAAGAGCTCATGTGGTCCCCCAGCTGCTGCTCCGCTTTGGTCACACCGTGCAGTAGGGAGAAGCACTCATACCGCCGTGGAAAAATGGAACCTCGCTGCCATGCGACGCTCCAAGATTTGGGATTGGCAGTAAGTCTAGAAGTCCGCCAAAACAGCGGTAGATCTAGGTCTGTTTCTCAGACGCGCGCAGGCTCAACAGGTAGTCAGTCGCGCAGAGGAAGGGTCGCCGTATGAGGCACCGCTCATCTGGAAGGCAGAAGAGTAGTCGGTCTCTTTTTAGCTGGCCAGCAGCTCGTCTACAGTCATTTAATTCAAGCCAGCATCAGAAGTGTGGTTCCAGGACGAAAAGTCCGTGTTATCACTCTGTCAATGTACTCGAGGATCTCGCCATCCTTGTCAGGGTTGCCAAGAATCAGCAGGAATGATTTGGGGTATCTTGACGTTGCGGTTAGTGTACTTGGAGAGATAAGTAATCTCATCCACCACTGGTGAAAATCAGGTGTTTCAGGATGTGAAGTCTGGTCAGAAGACTTCACGAACGAGGGCCCAAAATCTGTCAGCTTCACATGCTGGTCGAAAATTGGAGAAGAGATTAAGAAACACAAGCTGCTACAGCTTACTGCTACAAGAAGGAACAGAAAGACAGCGCATTATGTTTATTGTGGTGGTATCGAGGAAAATAGGAGAGAAGAGGAGGAAGAAGCGTTGCTCTATCTACAGAACTAGGGTCACCTGATCTCTAGGCTCTGACAAACTTTGACAATCCTGACTGTGTGGTCATGCAGTGCGGTCTAGTGCGGGGTTGCCACCGCATACCCAGACCAGAATCGGGGGAAAACGAGATACGAAAATGATTTTACTTTGTCTCATCCAACTCACACTTAAGCTTAGGAACTATTCCTGTAATGCTAGTGGAAATGTTATCAAGAAGAAGACAGTACAACCCTAAGCTTACATGTGGTCTAGACTCGCATTATGCAAGATACAATGAGGTAGTAGTAAAATCTAATCACTAAATTATATTTATTCAAGATGCTCATTATTTATAACATCAATATCGAAAAGTGACTCTAACCTACTTCAGAAATCAATCATAGTCTATTTCAACTATATCTCCTCCCCCCCCCCCCTGACTTCAAAAACACACTGGTGCTCTAGTCTATCAAAAGCTAGAAGTACCCCTTTAGGTTACGATAGGCTTTTCATTTAGCCTCAATTCAAGCACTTGATATTGACATTATGCTCATTATCTTATATACCCCTCGAGAAGGAGAGATACATATAAAATCCTCACTATTTCGCAATGTTAGAAAATCAAAACCCAGTTTACATTCACGATACCGGTGAATATACAGTTTGCCCATTCTGGATGTCTAGTGAATCTGCCATAGAAATGGTGGATGTTGTTCTGAAGATAATTCCAGCGCTGGTCATTTGTCAGTGAGAGACGCCTTCGTCTCTGATCGTATCAATTTGACAACCAACTTTCACGCCATCCTGCTTGCCATAATATTATATCCACCTTTGATAGCCACTAATTATGGGCATTGCGGGGGCAGTAGAGAAGATCAGGCCCGTCGTGTAGTTGATCAGGTATGAGCGGAAGGCGGAATTAACAAATACAGCGGCTATCGATGGGTCAGATTTTCAATCTCTTTCAAATGATCAGCGAGCTCTTGCAATGGAACTTGCCGCCAGTTGAGTCGAGCCCTCTTCGATATGTCTGCAGTTGATGGGGAACTCCTTCTCAAGATTGTAGTAACACAAATAGCGTGATCCAATTTCACCGACCACGCTATTGGAATGTGCCACATCAATCGAGAATACCGCTTTACCGTAGGGCAATATTTCCTTTGCTAGCCTCAGCATTTCATGAACTGAAGCTATGCCTAAATCCATGTTGTACAATAATTCGACAGCAATGAACACCGATTGTTCTCCTTTTGCCACGGCTGGGTAAAATTTGCATATGTTCAAGAGAGGCTCTCGAAGATTTACAGCTATGATGAGAGAACATTCGAGTCATGATTATCCCTTATCGCATGCCAATACGGATACTGCATGGAAATATTCGTCATAAACAACAACGTCACCAGGCTGGGGGATCTTTGACTAGACTGCGCCATCGCCCGTCCATGGGCCTTAAGGTAAGGCCCAACGCCCGTCCACGGTGGGCCCTGGGCGTTTTGGGTTCGGGTACGCCCGCCCATGATGGGCTGGGCAATGCCCACTCACTTAATTGTACATACAATTGCGAGAAATGGACGCACAAACTGCTGATTTATCGGTGTCACATATATAAGAAAACTGGAAATATGGTATAAATCACGTGTTGACTGCCAAGAAAGGAGGGTACAGGTCACGTCGCCACTGCCATAAGCCACAGGTCGCCATTGAAAATAATCGGACGGGAAAAACAGTCCAGATTCTGCTCTGTGAGATTGAGCCATAAATCCTTCCAGGTCTAGCCGGTACTGAGAAATGCCAACACATAAGATTAGTATCCCTTTTTTTTCCCGTATAGCATAGCAGCAATGTCAAGATCACAACATAAGGTCTATTCTCCATACGGACGTAGTTAAAACCATCCAAATAAGCCAGATATCATGAAGAGAAGTACAGGCGGAAATACCCAGTGTTGCAGCTCGCCGCCTCCAATAACCAAGCGACTAACAAACCCATCAGTGATAGGCAGGGTCAGAGCTGCACACAAGCCCTTGCCCATTAGCCTCTCATCGCCAGTAGTCCAAAGAAGGGCGACGAGGAGGCCGACAGATATGTTCCTCACACCCCAGATGCGCATTAGTGCGTGGCTGAATGTTTTAGCCTGGGGCTCGGTAGGCACAGGAAAACCAAGACTTCTTAGATGAGTGTTGGGGCGCAGGGTGGCATTCGTGCCGAGTGAAATGAGCACAAGGCCTAGGCCGAGGCTGCCGTTAAAGATGACGGGGTGTGTCATGGTGAAAAGTTTTTGTGACCTTCAGTGGCTAATTCTTCACGGTGAAGCTGCGTTGTTTTAATGGAAATTTATGAAAAAGGGTCTTGACGATAACTTACAAAATTGTACTGCGAAGAAAGGGGTTACTTATATAAAGTGACCTTGCTAAGGAACAGCTCCACCCATGACTCCGAAGCTTACCAATACGCTGAACTCCGAAGCGTACGCATTTGGCATAACTCCGAAGCTTACCAATAGACGTAACTCCGAAGCTTACCCTCTGAAGCACCACTGATAAGAAGGGTAATGTGGCTTAGGGCCGATAAAACATCAATGCTTGTAATGTCTGGGTACAGAGTACGTGTGGCGCGGGCTTTAGGTTATCCAGTAGGATATATAAACCCATTCTCCTTTCTCTACTACGATTCCTCGACTCAATCCAAAGAAACTCCTTATGAAACGTTTCCCACATAATGTCTTCGGCAATAAAAATACCTTGTAATGATTATAAGATAGCTTCCGTCAAGTCCCCGCTGCAGTGAGTTCTCCTGAGTTTCAGTAGTTGGTAATCTTATGAAATAAGCTAGCAGGACCGGGTGCGCGGGTCAAGCGTTTTAGACACAAAAGGACACACTATTGGGTGTGGAAGGTTAGAGGTGTCTGGCTTTAGTGGACTCTCTAGCCCTCGCTTCCCTCATTAACGTCTTTTCCTACCGGACATATTAGCTAGAATGTTCCTATCGCTGGTTGGTGGGTTATCCGTTGGAGTTCCTTTTTCCACGGCTCTTACACTGCGATGACATCTGGTGTGAGAACCTTCTTATCTACAAAAATCCCCTAGTGGCGCTTTCAATAGTCAAGGTAATTCGAAAATAATCGCTACCGTTCAATAAGCTATAATCCTGTCATCTTCTACCGCTGGCCAGATTCAAGGGGTGGATAATGATCAAATGACAATTAGTAATGAGCCAAGGCATCATTATTACCACCATCACCACCACTAGATCTTCCATATAGTAGGCGTCAGAGCCCGGCAAGATATCCATAACCAATCTCGAGATATAAACCTACTGCTATATACCGGTAATGAATTTTCAGAACTTAGTTTAAAAGACTTTATTCGGGAAACTTAGAAGTATCTCCCCTATAAGGGATAAGTCTTACGTAATTCGCAATTCTATGGCCTCTTAGCCATTAAGCGCGAAGAATTAGGCGGTGCAGAGTATAAGGCTATCGCATTCCTATTATAGATTATCTCACTTTACTTTATTATGTTTATCACCCTTAGCATCATCAATATTAGCAGTTAGCTATAGGCGAATCATCTAGAGTTAAGTCAGGAGAATAGGCAGGATTTATTCTAGATAGATGCATCTTTTACCATTTCCACGTTTGTAAATAGCAGTATATCACCATTAGATAAGGACATCACTACTTTATAGTTGAAATGAGTATTTCTAACCAATAACTGAAGTGATTAAAGCTAATCTACTTTTTATATAATGCTTACCCACTTCTCACCTTAGGAATGTTCATTCTTCCTGGCGATATGCTCTATCCTTGCTTCCTACGCTTTATTATTTAACCTGAAAAGAGCCTTCCTTCTAGGAAGCACGATATAGTAGTCATAGAGGAACACGCTAGACTTCGTTCTAGAACATTCGCGAAGACTTTATACGAACCCCTTTCCTACACGCCATAAATAGTACCTACTCGGCACAATTATTATTCTTAATAGAATAGATTGGGCAGCGTTTAAAGTGCTATCTATCGGCAATACAAGATTAAAGCGCTTCCTTCTAAGTATAAGGTTCTCGAGGGCTTGTTCCAAGCATTAGGTAAGGAAATTGATTTATATCGCCTGATCATTGCTGATCGCTTCAAGCTGTTCGTGCAGGTGGATTTTATGTTGTGACTATTGCCGATCTACGGCAAGGTTTACTTATCCTTTATGGTGAGTGTACATATAATCTTCCAAATTACATACTAACATACCATGTCCCAAACAATTTGTCTTTCCCTTAGAAAGTTGCAATACTACAATTCACACAGCTGGGCATAGAGATCGACATCAACGCCTCTCCTGTTACCACCAGATGAGCTGTAAGTTTTGCTTTCTTCTTTAGGGAAGAATCAATTAGTTTCACACTGAATTTCTGAACACAATGCTTGGACTTTGCCGCTATCCCAAACTACCAAACTAACTTCTTTCAGTCCACCACCCAAGCGAAAGCTGAAAAGAAATCACCTAGACCCGATGATAAGCTTATCTGCATTATCAATGGGATGATATTGTTTCCTGTCATTGAGGTTAAGTCACCCACTGAGTTCACCTGGCGCGGCATTTTTGGAAGCAACTTGCTATTTACAGGCGCCTAGCTTCAAACTCTTGCCAGTCCACGATAGGGTAATATGTGTGCATACTGAGGAGACTGGCGGGGTCTTGCCTCCAGTCTTTATGAGAATTGGAAAGGCAAAGGCGGAAAAAGGGTTTAGAAGATTCAATAATGACTTCAAAAACTTTGTAGAGATCGCGAAAGTAACGTAACATGAGGAACTCTGGGTTCTTCATAGAAAGAAGACTCTATAAGGCCATTTCTCGACTACATTATAAATGGCAATGGGATACAACTGCTAAAGGTCAGTGCGAGACCATAGTAGGCGTTTGATTCGAAGTTTGCGATAGGACCGATTTTCAACCATCCATCCCAAGTGCCTCCATGGTCCATACGCAGACATTCAGTGCCGCAAAGCTTATTGCCATTGGTATCATCGAGATACTTCTCGATTGCACCTACTGTGGTAGCCTTCTGTGCTATTTGTATCGCAACTTCGGCCGGAGGAGTAATAGACCCATGACATAGACTCGTAGGTTCCCCGCAGAGTGTTGCAGGAACCTTGATCGAACAGTTCCTTGAAAGTACTAGCAAGGGATTTTGCCATAACAATTGCAAAGTTCGTGATCACGACACCGGATGCAGTGGCAGCAAGAACCCGCTCACAAACTCTGACAGGGGTTCGCTCCATAAGGGCATGATCGAGTTTCCTTGTCTGAAGACTACATTCTATTGTAGCGATCTCATTGAAGCTTATTTGCAATCACCTGTGTTGGTTGCCCATCGATAAATTAAGGCCAGGTAGAGGCCTGCACTGATGTTGAACAACAATAAATTGCTATCAAGAGGCCTTTGAGTAGACGCATAGTAGGTCAAGCTGTTGAAAATGGTATGGCCGGCTAAACAACAAACACGAGCGAAATCTGGGAGTCGGTCTAAAAGACTAGGCATAGCTTGAAGATTTCTTGCAACGATAATTAAATCGCACAGGAGGTTCCCTCCTTTGTATTTTTAGCAATGGCCCCCAAAATTTCCTGTAATCTTAGGTAGTATCCATGAGAATGAAAGTTCAAGACATACCCGCCCATAAATCACGCTAATCCGCACTAGTTCATAAGTGGGGCTTCTTGAGGTTCTCGGCCAATGAGGCACAGGATATCGTGGATTGATATAATCAAAGTATTCAAGGTAGACTTTGCCCTAGTCTGATGCACTTTTGAGCTGGATTCTTACCCAAGCTTCTTGAAGAAGCACACAGCGGGTCTACGTGATTTACTACTGAGATGGACTTGCTAAACAGAAAATTCGTATGGCTCAAGGCCTTCGAAGGGTTTAGCAGAATCAAGTATGAGAGGTTTTATGGGCTGAGGCTTGAGCGCTGATGAGCAGCTACATGGGCTAAGCTAATATAGTGTTTGAACGAAGCTAAGGTAACTACCTAGAACCCGCATGGCTCCGTCGCTGAACCTGCCTATAAAAACAGTTGGCATATCCGGGAAATTTTCGGACAATCATGAGACATGATGTTAGTCACCATGCAGTACAAAGTGCTTCATACACAAAGCCAATAATCACATGTTCGAATCACGCTATAAATCATACCATAACGATAGAGAATAATAGTTAATGGGCAATATTCATTGCCCTCATTCCCTCCAACGACTAAAGAATCGCCCACGAAGAGCCATATCTATGAGGTTGAATTTCGAGACTGGCCTCTCAAGAAAACTTTCACACGAAGAACAGTGCCCATCGATTGGTCCATAACGTAGCATGACTTCCATTCTCATCAAAAATAATCTTGGTATTTGACAGGTATGAGGGCTTCAAGCCTATCAATAACTCTGCATTTCTATAGCCCTAATTTTAGCGATTCATGTTTGATTCTGACAAGAATCATAGTCAGAACCGTGTATTGGCATCGTATCACGTGAATCATGCGTGCCACGAATGTCTCAGGAATGGGCGCCCGAACCGCAGTACAGTCTACAGTCAAAAGGTGGAACCTGAGGATCTGCTCAATGGTGCCCAGTGGTTTGAGTATAGTCTGACAGAATAGCCCCAACTACTGTTTCAAGAATTTGTCCGAGATCTAAGAGATCCCACAATCACATGCGATCTCTGTAGTTAGCATTTCGAAGGGGTTCCAAGAAGCGCCTGGATCGTCAAAAAGCCTTGGCAAAACTCTCCCAAGCCCGAAACCCTTAATTCGTCCGATCCGTCTGAAAGTACTTTGAATACTCCGTGTGATTAGGAGCCAGTATCATCCATTTAGAAAACCTAGCTAGTGCAAGAGCTGTGCACCCACGTTTCCACCAGCCAGGTGGGAGCTCAGACTGCCTCGTCTTTCGCGGATCATCGGCCGAAGGCGACTAGGACCCATGCTACGAACGCCGCAGTTCCTTTCGATAGCCAACGGCGGCAGCTGGAAAATTGGTGGGTTCGTCTAGGTTTCCTTTTTGAAAATTTCATTATTTTAGTATATTTTAGTTTGCCAAGAATTGAAATGGTATTTTTATTAGTACCCCACATCCCATCTGAATGACAAAGTAGAGAAATTGAATCTCGACAATGCTACACTTCAGAGAGCTCTCTGTCTTTGTTACCATTAAGCAAAATATAAGGCGGATAGCACACCAATCAGTCGCAAGTAAGACATTCATGTTACAAAGTAAAACCCTTGAGAGATAGCCTTGTAGGGTTTTATCACATTCAGTGCGAGGCGATCCAAAATTCCAATCAGATTAGATTAACGCACATAGCTCTGAAGCTTGGCTTGCAGCAACGACTAAGCCATTTTAAGACACAATGTAACCCCAGTGCTATTCCATTAAGTAATGATGGGACGTTGTGATTAATTCAATCTAATCTCATCTCGATGGACTATTTATCAGTGCCCCTTCCCTCCTGAGTAGGACAATTAGAGGAATCTTCAATTTCTCTCTCTTCATTCTGGCCACCCATTCTGGCCACCCTTGCCTTTTGTCGAGATGCTTGAAAAGACCGTATCCGGTCAAGCGGTCACCTCAGTCAGCGAGGCCCCTCCGACTGCGGAGTCTCAAGAGGCAAATATACAGGTCCAACATGGCGTGTCAATTGCAGAAGCGGTAACTATGTCATGGTCCAAAAGATCATTGATTCTGGTTTATGTCTGGTCAGTAAACAAGAAATATATATACACAAAATACATCTAACATCTCGCTGGCAAAAGCATGTGGTTGATATATTTTGTACGCGCTTTGAATGGAAGCCTAACGGCAAATTTGTCCCCATACATTACCAGTGATTTCCAAGGCCACTCTCTATTGACGGTGATCGAGGTTGTTACGAATGTTATGAGTGCTGCCTGTACAATGCCGATCGCCAAAATGCTAAACATTTGGGATCGCGTGGTCGCATTGACCTCGATGCTATTTATCGCACTCGTGGGCCTCATTCTGATGGCATGCTGCCATAACATTTCGACCTATTGCGTGGCGCAGGTATATTTATTACATCACCAATTTTACAATGCCCAGTACTGATGATATTTAAAGGCATTTGTGACGGTGGGCTTTACGGGCCTGATATTCTGCGTGGACGTATTGACGGCGGACACATCAAAAGTGCAGGACCGAGCTCTTGCATTTGCCTTTACCTCATCGCCGTATATTATCATGGCATTTGCAGGCGCACCACTTTCAGAGTCCTTCAACAATACGAACTGGCGCTGGGCGTATGGCACAATTGCAATTCTTTTACCGACTGTAACAATGCCGCTGGTTGTTATCTGGTCATTCGCCCGAAAAAAAGCCCAGCAGGGCAAAGTCCTGGACCATGCGACTAGCAAAAGCTCCTGGACCCAGCGCATCCACCATCTTATTACTGAATTTGATATGGTTGGCATCTTACTTCTAACTGCTGGCCTATCCCTCTTCCTTCTGGCATTTGTCCTGGCAGGTTCTCAAGAAGGCACATGGCACTCCACGAAAATAATATGCATGATCGTGATAGGTGGCGTTACTATTGGAGTATTCGTGATTTATGAACGATTCTTTGCTACAAGGCCATTCATCCCGTACCACCTCCTTGTTTCACGAACAATTATTGGTACCTGCCTTTTGAACTTTACCTATATCATTGCTGCCAGTTGCTGGGGCACATACTTCACATCCTTCCTACAGGTTGTGTATAATACCACTCTCATGCAAGCAGGTTATATAACAGCGATTTCAAACCTGATTTCTCCTCTCTGGTTGATTGGAGTTGGGTGGCTTGTTCAAATTACAGGGCGCTTCAAGTGGCTGCTCCTTTGTGCAATCCCAGTTTACATGCTTGCAATAGGTTTAATGATCTATTTCCGGACCCCCGGTCATAGTATTGGTTACATCTGCATGTGTGAGGTGTTTCTAGGGCTCGGTACTGGTACCATCATTGCCCTTGAACAGACAGCAGTCCTAGCAGCATCCGAACATGACAATTATGCATCAACGCTAGCATTGCTTGGTCTAAGCGGAAGTATTGGCGGTGCTATTGGCAATAGTATCTCTGGCGCCATATGGACAAACACCCTACCCAAGAAGCTCAAGGAATTCTTGCCAACCGAGGCAAAGCCACGATGGAATGAGATCTATGAGTCACTTCCAGTGCAGCTGAGCTTTGACATTGGATCGACAACTCGTCATGCTATTGAGCAGGCATATGCTATTGCCCAACGGGACATGCTCATAGCAGGTATTTCAATCATGGCAGTGACAGTTGTGTGGGTTCTACTGATCAAAGATATCCGGATGAAGGAAAGGACCGATATAAAGGGGCTGCTTTTCTAGTTCTTATTCTATGGTGGACCAGGCTGTTGTTTAGATAGCACTCTTCATTAGTTGCATTTGATATTCTAGACTTAATATATCATCATAGCCTAAGCAATAACGGTAATTATCTTATGCTATATTTTTTTTTGGGTGCCTTTATAAAGTATCGTTAATCGTACCGCTTGCTACAGTGAATCCTACTTTAATGCAGATAGCCATACCTGTATTCGTGGGGTCTGCCACTTCAATTGCAAGCCTAAATCCCTTTGGGATCCTAATCTTGATTGGGATTGCAAATACTTCACTCTCTAGTGACACTATCTCCTCCTGATTCGCACCGGTACCTTTCCTTTGGGGCCAGCGATCCCAAATCCAAAGTTTCGCATACTCATTTCCAGAGCTTTGGAATCTGCATGATCAAATTCACAGTCGAATGTATGAACAATCAACGCTGTTGCGAATATGTTCATCGTTTTAGCGAATCTCCGACCGGGACAGGCATGGTGGCCACCACCAAAGGGATTCCAGGCGCCTTTGGACATCTCAAGACTGAACTCAGACGATAGCCCATTCGCAGACAATTTCAAAAATCGCCCTGGCCAGAATTCTTCAACAGGATGATCTTGAAACGCACCGGTACTCCAAATGTCTGGGTTCATATGCCCTTGCATTGTATTGGTGAGAATATAGTAGTTTTTTGGAATGCGCCAGCCTTCAACATTCAGATCATCTTGTGTCTGTTGTCGCACGAGAAACCCTCCTATTCTGAGTCGAAGCGTCTCCGCATAAATAGCTTGTAACATTGGCTGCTCCTCGAGCCTTTTCACGTCAAATTGAGGCAAACCACCATCTGGATTGACAGTTAAGCAGGACTTTGCTTCTTCGCGTACTTGGAAGAGAATTTCAGGGTCTCTAAAGGCTTCGTAAGTTGTCCAGAAAGCTGAGATGCCAACATTGTTGGTCGCTCTGGAAGATTTACATGACATGTTAGCTTTCTCTTATCATTAATAATAAAAGTCCCACGTACCCCCAAATAAAAGCAAAGTCATGAGTAGCAATGGCATCCTGATCGAATCCGTCAACCTTATTGAAAAGCTCCTTTCTTTCTCTAAAGAATTTCGAGCCCCAGATAGGATCGTCCCCAGCCACATCAACAGCACTTGCATTAAATTTCTCAGACGCCCAGGAATGCCAGTCTTTGAGTGCAGCTAGGCCCTTGTCGCGGTTGCTATAGACTTTTGGGAATAAGAATCGTGGTAGACCACTCATCAGTTTCCAGACGTTATTTTCAACGGTCCACAGATAAGTCAAAAACTCCGGATGTCGGTGGAGCAGAGCTTTCCCGCAGAGCGCATTCAGTAATGAAGCAGTAAGATCATGCGTGTAAAGGGTAATGAAGTTGTCCCATTCCACCCAGTCTTTACCTACAGCAAGACGCTGTACTCGCTGGGCGTAATCGGCTTGAAAACGCTGGGCGAATGATAGCAAACCTGGACCAAGCAGGAAGCGATGTAGAAGTTTTCCCATGGGATATTCAATCCGATTGTGGGGCTTTACTTTGCTGTGGATAATAGGCTTGGGGTAGGCGCCTGAGTCATCCTCATCGTACCTCTCGAGCGCCTTGGGTGGAAGAGAGAACACGCGTTGCAGGAGGAAGCCATGGAGGCTAAATGGGGACGGATGGCGCTGACGAAACAGCGTTTGAACATTTTCCGTTCCTTGAACTATATATACTTTTTGTGCCATTATCCAGGCACTCACAGGGTGATCATGGTGGAATAGCTCCCTATAGGTAAGTCTTAGCCATACTAGCTTGAGTAATTCTTTCAATATCTGAAGCTCACTTTGTTTGGAGTGCCCACTGACGGGGGTTCCACACCATCTGCCACGATATGTGACCAATGAAAGGGATTTGTGAAGGGACCAATGGTGGCTCCTTTAACCCTTGTTTATCAGGGGTTGCATGGTGGAATAAGATATGACAAGCTGCATAGTGCCCAAAGGAAATGATGGAAAGGAAAGCGACGAAAGTTGTGAGCAAATCCTGCTGGCAGATCTTGAGTAGCCACAGGGCCACAGAGTCCTGTCCCATGGTGAGTAATAAACTCATATATGACCGGTCAGAATCAAGTGGAGTTTCGTTTATTGATCTTGTGAGATAGGAAAGTCTGCTCTTTGAGTAGTTCAAGCTCAGTGAAGCAGCTCTGGGAGAGGGTAAGATGAGCGAAATAGAAGCGGAGTTAAAAGGCTAGGAATTCGGTGGCCATGAAACGAGGCTTTTAACTATTAACACCTTTACTATTTGACTTAGTAATGAAGGAGCTTTACTATGGTATGGCTAAGAAATTGCCGAGCCATTAGTGGGCAATCCATAGCGAGATAGTGCACCCGGGTGGACTTGTGGCCAATTACATGTATTCTTAGATTAACCAAACCCTAAGTTAGAATGTCGTAGATATGGGTTTTCCCCAGGATAGGAATAGGTCAGCAATGATTAATACAAGGCATAATCATGATAGATCCACTTACCCACATGTACGACTTAAAATAATCCCATGCGAGCATAACCGCTGGGCCTTGCCTGGGCCGTGTGTGGGCCGTTTGTGGGCCGTGCCGTCGCATGGGGGCTATGTATGTGCCTAAGGAAGGGTTCTCCGTTTTTAAATCACATGTTTTGATACTTTACTTAAACCCGACAAGTGATGTCTCCATATATCAGTGAAGTGAATGGCTGACAGAATGTTTAGAATGCACCAAATATAGCTGGAGAGAGAATTCGCAGATGTAACCGTTTCTAACAAGAGGACTGAATTGATAAGGGTCTATCAGGATTTAAGCTTCTTCGAATTTTAAGCCATAACCTTGTAATGACCCGGTATATCACAATATCCATACATAAAACCATTCCCTTTATATGAGAAACAGGCTCCGGCAAGAGTACAGTAACATGGGGGCTGAATCATTTCATGCCTGCATGAATGGGGCTAAAGTTGCTTGAATAATGGTTTGAACATGCGAGATGGAGAATTAAAATTAGGCAACACAGCTTCAAATGGTCGCATGCAGCTTTGGTAAATTTACGTGGATGAGGAGGGTAGGAGTAGCAGTCGCTATTGGTTAAAACGCCGGTGTTTGCTTTGCGATGCGTTTGGTAGGCTGTTACTAGCGACTGCACAGACCGTGGAGTATTGGGATTCATACAAACGAAACTACTGTGGAGCAGTCTGTATTTGCGGCCAATTTCAGAGAGCGCCCCCAACATTTAAGCAAAGCCCCCAGGGCAAGATCTGAACTTAGCTGACCTTGGCCTTTGCTGGATTTTAGCTTTCTCAAATACATTGCTATATAAATTTCACCATGTTATTGAACCAACTTAACGTCCAAAATCTCTTACCGCACTCCCTGCACATGTGGGGATAATTCATTTAACAGTCAGTGAAGGCTCTAAAGTTGCAAACCTGCCCTTTTGGGGGAGGGGCCAATTTGGGTGACCCACAATCATGATTGCTCTAATTCGCCTCTACTCAAGTGGGGTGCCCACCGCCGATCGCCTTTCACTACGCACTGAAGGTTTGATTCCCTTCTATTTCAATTCGCCTATTGACTTGAGAGGGGTAATTCCGTGTTTCTGCTTTCAGAAAACTTGAGACTTCCCGCATCCGTGCATGCATCTTACGTGGCAGCGTGAGGGGATTTTTGGTGGTTTTGCAATACAACCAGTGCGACTAGTATAGAAAAAATTTCAGCCCCCGATTTCAGACTTTTGGAAACCGAAAGAAGAATAATCGACCTCAAGAGAAAATAATTTTAGACCAAGAGCGACGTGGTCACGGGCTTTAACTATGGCATACTGTATATGTGAATGGTGCCCCTGTGCCAAAGTGATCTCCATTCATACATTCCTCAATACATCCTTTTTACACAATAATATTCGAGCATCTTAACACCAACATTATGTCGAATTCAACTAGCTCGGAGATTGCAGTCTTCTGCTTCCTGCTTATCTTACCCTTTTACATCACTCATTGCATGATTCTGGCTGTGAACTCTCTGCTCGACGAGAGACCGACTAGACCGTCTAGACAATCCCAAGTCTCGAAACACCTAGCGACTATACAATTTCGAGGGTACTCAGTATCATTGGAATGTTTTGAGCCGTTAGTTCTACGTGAATGAAATCCGTTGAATATGTGTGTTTCCTCTACCTAGCATAAAACTATCGAAGAACCTAATTTTTTATGAGATACTCTCTACAATTGAACCTTGAATAATAGGTCTCATCCAGTTGATGCAATCCTGCAATTATTCCTTTACGATATGTGGATAGTAAGACATGAAGGAGAATGGCGTGAAGCGGCTTGGTGTGACTTGATTGGCGATAGCTTCCTCTACTAGCTTGGACTCTAAAAACCCTCCACCAAATCACGCACCCTCTCTTCTTCGACTTTTTTGATGAATGGATATGCCACCAAATTAATTACATCATTTGGGGTCGACTTTCTTTTCTCCTAGGGCAACGCAGTGAGGGTCAGCATCACCAAGTACTTGTTTGTTTGCAAAACACCTATTGTAGGGTCTTCTGTTTCCTGGTTTTGCGCCTGTAAAAGGTACAGAGACTCCGTCTTGGCCCTATTTCCCTCCCCAAGTGACCCCGATTGCCCCCTAGTACGGTAAGCACCAGCGGCCAGTAGCTCGCACGCTGATATAAGCATATTCTTCCTGATCTTCGGGCAGAAAGCTCAAAACTACTTGAATTACCCATACAAACAGAAACATCAGTCAAAACACCAAGTCCAACGCTTAAATAAGCAAGAAACCTCCATTTTGATTGCCATAGTAAAATGCAGCTTATATTGACGGTTTTGAAGCCTCAAATCATGCAATTTGACGTATAATCCTATAATTACTCCCATATAATAACGCAGCACGCACATGTAATTCAAAATATCAAAAGTGAAGCTATTGCTACCCATAAGGTAAAAAAGGCGGTCAAAACCACCCAGAAAGGTGGGGCGGAACCAGTAGATTGAATCAATCATACACATGTGAGCTCCTGGCCGCTATTGCTTGCCGTACCTTTAGGCTCGCTAGCGGGGCTCTCCATCACTATGAATTTTTTCCATTTATTTTATTTTGATTTCTCATTCAAATTTTTTTCCATCGTCTACGGAATAAGATGTCTCATTTCGAGTCTTGCTTGTCAATGCATCAATCTATTCAAATGCCAAGTCTTGCTCATGGAAGATAATGGCCAGGTGCTAACTCCCGCGTCCGATTGATCGCAGTCTATTAATCCTGCGACATTCAGATTGTAAAGGTGTCCATTTGAAAGTTTGGCGAGCCGGCCTTCTGGGTCCTAATACATCATCACAGTTTTCAAGACCATTTGGTGCATCAGAGTCATATAAGGTGTTTCAAACATTCTCATGCAGAGCGGTTCTATCGCGAGATTGTTTCACGATAGCAGGGCTCGGTCGCAAGAGGACTTCAGTAGCCTCTACCATCCAGTTGGACTCCAAGTCCACATTACTTGCACCGACTGTAGTAGGACTGCTCATATAATTCCCATCCCCTATGAAGACGTGTTTTGGCAACGACTTCATCTCGCTCTCTGGTGAGTCCAACCACGAGTCAGAAACAGACATGGTGTTACGTCGCTTTGGCGAGTGAAAAGAGTCTTTGAATAATCTTTTGACCGAGTAGTTTGGGCTGGCATTAGATCTGTTTCGAGACACAAAGAGCGACCGGAATGAGACAGCCGAGGCTAAGAAGACGCCAATTTCGGCACTCAAGAACTGCCAATAAGTCTCCCAAACGGTGTCAACCAAGTCGTGGTATACAAGTCCACATACTCGAATAATTGAAAGTATAATCATTATGACGGTCAAGCATAGAGAAAAGCTCAGGAAGATCTTTTGTCCCCAACGGACTTGGATTTTCCAAATTACATTGATTGGAATGGCCAGAACTTTCATTAGGTCAGCGGGCAAGACCAGAAGACGTGGTAGAAAGGCAGGGAACTTACTTAAAGCGTCACCCACGACATCAAGAACTGCGAGCGAAATTGACTCCTGCACGATCTGATCCTTCTTTTTCCCGACGTTACATGCGTCTTTCATAAGTTCAGTGTAAGGAGCCAAGGAAAGTGCAAGATTGGATGGTTGACTCACTCTCCTTGGGGCTGTTGAAGAAAGGACAGCTAACAAAGAAAACCAAGGCTCCATAGATCAGAACACAAACTGTGTAGGCAAAGACCATCCGCCAGTAAATTTGCCAGACTCGCATCCGATCAATCAGCTTCTTAAAAAAGAAAAGAAAGCTTAGTTTGACGGCGCTGAAAGAACACCACGAGATCAACAGACAGACATCACTATACAAGTGAAATTTGTATCCGACTTCGACGATATCGGTGGGGATAGTGACATTTGTCATGCCTAGTTCAATTGCCCATGTCAAATACATACCATCGATCACCTTCGCATACATTATGATGATACTGGCTAAGAGAAAGCCGAGAGCGACAATCAATAAGTAGTCATCCAAAGATATCCTCTGCTTTTGCACACGAATAATGATGAACAGGCGCAAAAGTACGCCTAGAACTGCCGGAACAAGAAGAACCGAGATCGAGGCCTTTCATCATAGTCAATAAGTTAGTCAATGAGTTTGCTTACTTCTGAAGCAACTTACAAGGAGCCCATCCTTGGGTATCCGTCCTGCGGTGTCTTGAGGTGCCATTATTAAGGTTTAGGGTAGCTAAGAATTGTGAGATGGTAGGCTTTGACTACTGCATAGATCCGTGGAGCATAAAGAGTTTCTGCGCATTTTAAACTTATCCTTCAGGTGTCTCTGAGGTAGCATCCTAACCGGTTTCTTCGCCCCTCTTCGCTATGCATGAGTGCATTAGTGCGTGGCCCCCAAAGTATGGTTCAAATGAGTCTGCACAGAATACTTTCATCAGGCTGAGAGGAGAGGCATGGCATAGAGGGGCCGGAGGTGGAGAATCTGGTGAGCCCGCATGTAGTAGCTGCATTACGCAAATATAGTGCTGAATCATTAAGGAGTATCTTCCGAAGATCTTAACATCAGGTTGTATGGACAACCCTGCATACTCCACTTATTTTCCCTAGACAGAATCATGATTGGACACTTTCCCGGTGGCGTAATGACTAGTAACTAATACAGGTCATACATTCGGTGTAAATATGTACGGTCCATGCACGGGTGATTGCATGTGCGGCTAATGCATTGGTGCCCAGATGTTCTTTCTTGCTCCTCCCGTCTTTATTAGCTAATTTTAGTAACCACGTCTAGTTTTCGACCCCAAGAATAATTGAGAAAGTATGAAACAAATGACTCTAGGTAGCCCTTAGCAGGGATATACGTTATACCGCCCCACTTTAGATTTTCACCCTGGTCCAGGGGCTCGCTACCTATCACTGACTTGTCCGCTGGATTAAGTTGTGTTTGGACCTCATTGCTTCCCCCCTTGTGTTCTTTTATTAAGCCTGACATTTATTTCCTACTGCGCATTCTGTCTATGCATATATCGCTTTCGTGCTCGCTCATATCCCACCAATTACCCCTCAGTCTCCATCCAATTGCATCATGGACAATCTTACCACGCAATGGGGGAAGGTGGGACGCATGGTGGTGACACTTGGCGCCATCGGTCTCATCACCTTCTGCTATAGGCTCATTCAAGCACGACTGGTTTTCTACCGTCTAAGGAAGAAGGGTTTGGTATGTGCCCCAGGGTGCCCTATTTCTGAATCCATGCCCTCTTGATGCATGCTGATAGACATCATAGCCGACTCCTCCTTGGAACCCCGTCTTAGGGAATTTAGCCGCGCTGGCTGCACTGCAGAAGAATGGCCCAAGTGACCTTCGGGAGGCGGATTTGTTTGCTTACTATGCTGCGGAGACGAAAGGTCTGGAAGCCGGCTTCTACGTTGATGTTTGGCCCTTTGCAGCAGAGCCCATGTTATGTGTGACATCGCCCACCATGGCGATTGAAGCTTGCCAGACACATGATTTACCAAAACCAAAGGCCCTCCAGTCATTTATCAATCCAATGGCTGGCGGCTCAGACAACATGTTTGTCACTAATGGTGCCATTTGGAAACACGCTCGAGATCTATTCAGCCATGGATTCAGCATGTCCGCCTCACTAGGTCATATGAAATGTATTCTGGAAGAGGCTAATGTCTATGTCAAAATTCTGAGGAGCCATGCCCAGAAAGGAGATACCTTTTTACTTGATCCACTCACTTGCGCCTATGGTATGGACATTATTGGAAACATAACCTTGTGAGTTACTGCCCTGAACTATCCTTAAGTCTAGAAGATGTTATAGTCCAGCCTTCTCACTGACTCCTGGATTTCTAGAAACACACGCTTCAGATTCCAAGAGGACCAGCGTAACCCAATTGCTGCAGCAATGCGGGATACTATTGAACAACAATTTGGGATCGAGACAGGTGGTTTCTTACAGTGGAGTCCATATCGACTTTACAAACAGTGGCAGAATTCACGTACTATGAACCATCATATTGGAGTTGAGCTAGAAAGGTGTTTCCAAGACTGGAAGCACAGCAATCAATTGAGCCAGTCAAGCTCACGCCCGAGGTCGATTATAGACATCATTCTCGCCGAGTACATGAAAACCCGACCCAATGCACAGAAGCAGACACATCTCGACCCGGAATTCAAAAAATGGGCCACCGTTCAAACCCGTTTATTTTTATTTGTTGGCCATGATTCGGAGGCAGCAACCATTATTTACTCTATTTATCTGCTATCCAAAAACCCCGTTGCACTTGCTAAGGTTCGCATGGAGCATGAGACTGTTTTTGGACCTGGTGTCAGTGCATACGACGTGCTTATGAAACACCCCGAAAACATCAATCAGCTTCCATACACCCATGCGGTTATCAAGGAAACTCTCCGGTTGTATCCACCCGCAAATGGTCTCAGAGGTGGTCAAACCGGTGTTTCTCTCCATGACGAGCATGGGAGATCCTTCCCCACAGAGGGCGTCAACATTTGGATCATTCACACTGCCGTGCAGCGTAATCCAGCTTTCTGGCCTAAACCACACGACTTTATTCCAGAGCGCTGGCTGGTCGAAAAGGACGATCCATTATACCCCCCAGCTGGAGGTTGGCGACCATTTGAGCACGGGGCCCGACAGTGTATTGGTCAGAACATCTCGCTTATGGGTGTCAAAGCTTCGCTTGTCATGGTTTTACGCCAGTTTGATTTTCATGATGCGTATGCTGAGTATGATGCCTTGCATCCTTCAGGAAATGGCTTAAAGACGATGTTCGGTGACCGAGTCTACATGATTCAGAAGGGATCTGGGCATCCAGCTCATGGATTCCCTTGCAAGGTTAGTCTCCGTGATGCATAATCTTTTACTTTGTATAGCATTCCCCTCAAAGCGAGATCTTTGAGTAAAACAACCAACTTTGCCATGGAGGATAATCAAGTACCTATGAAAGAGAATGCTCCATGGCAGCACACTTGGAGATGTGCGGGTCGGTCCAATGGCAAGAAAAATTCCGGATATTTATGCATAAGATCCACTTCTTACGTTTGAAGTTGCTGTTAGAATTTCATATTCCTATTGTGCTGAGAAAAACAAAAACAGAAAAAATATGCATCATCCGTGAATCGAACACGGGCCTCGTCGATGGCAACGACGAATTCTACCACTAGACCAATGATGCTGTGTCACGTGAGATTAAAAGGACAGATGCATAATGAAGCAAAGACCTTCATTCCGCAATTTTCAGTTTTACTTTTCTTCGTGTTGGCATGCATTATGGTTGCTAGCGGAGCCTTTCATGATGAAAGTGGCGTCAAGTCGCCGATGGTATTTAGCTATATGATGATATAGGATCATCGTTGCTAGTACACCCCACTATAGAATCGAGAGAATTCCCTAGCCGAAAGTCACCACACCATATTGGAAAGAGTCATTCATAAAGCATAGTACATATTGGGCTCAGTCTTGTGGCGTTCGAGATATTCCTCCCATCAGAGTTACCCAGATGTACCATGGTGGTCCCTAGGGCAAGAAAATTATATTTCAGGGCGGAACTCTCAATTCTGACCTCCAATGGCGTCCGTTTCCATTCAGGTTCAGGTGCTCAAGGTCCTACATGACTGGCGAAATCCAGTCCCAAAGTCCGACATAATATACATAGCATATATGTTATGATGGATATCTCGTCCAAAATAAGACTGTACAGTACCCATCTTAATGAAAGTCATGATATTCCAGGCTTTCATTGCCTTAATGAAGCAAGATTCCAAGTTTACTTACACTTTCGGTGATTAATTCTTTATCATTGAAGACTGGACATAGCCACGCGCCTGTGAGACCTTGAACGTGCTCCCTTATATTTGTAAAGTCGCCTGTGGTGAGGTCTGTGGCCTGCCTAGAATAACCTGCCACTGCAGAATACCATATTCGTCCTTCCGCATCAGGGCCTCTTTTATCAAAGTCAAAGTAGCACCCAAACCACTCAAATCTGAAGCGCTGGTCGTGCCCTTTCTTTCCTAGAATGCAGATACTCCCGATGCCAACATCACCCGTGATATAGCGTACTGGTGGGTTGCGTAGCCGTTGAAGAAATTCTGCGCAGTGACGCCCTGCTCTCCATGAGAAGTTGGTGTTATATCAGATAAGGATCCATCATCTAAAGCAGAAGAAGGAAGGATCTCGAGCATGATATGGCGGGTATCAAAGACAAAGACAACGCAGCCGCTAAGGAGACTCTACTCCCCCGTCAAATCAGGTTGCTGATTGCCCAGGGCCTGCCTCGGAACTACTCATGATAGATATGATTCTGATATCTTTCCATAAACAGCCTTGATGAAGCCTCGCTTGGGAATCGGCCAGAAGCTCGGAAGTATAAATGGCATTTTTAAGACAGATACGACTTCAATATCTTGCGCGGTCGTAGAGATGTGTTGAACGGCTTGGATAATTTGGCTTCCATCCTCCGTCAGAGCGTTAACATGGTAATCGGCGAGAGCTTTCGAAACCTCGGCAAGCTGCATATAACTACCAGTACTGAGGACGGTAGCTCCAGCATTTTCCGCGATGTCTGTTGTGAGATCGAGAGACCTTAATGTTCCCTCATCAGAAAACAACACCTTTCTCGGTTTCAGGGTTGGGTTCAAGTACCTATGGAACCCTCCTGCCTGATGAGTAGATAGAACCCAATCTCCGAGCTCGACGACTCCAGGGATCATGAGAAATGTCCCCATTTGAGCTCTCTGTCAGCGATGTTCATATGCGTCTACGGCAAACAACACGAAAATTCCCCCAGAGCCACCGCCAGTGATGCTCAAGTAAGAACTATGTCGATACTTATTCCGCAGGCTCACGCATGCGTCAGCCCCGCGATTGTTTTGTACCTAACGTTGGAAATGATTTATTGCACATCCAGGAGAGTAGATCTCAGACTGCCAACAATACCTTACAGTGCTTATTTGTCAATTGATGGCTGATTCTGGAGGTTGGCTTTCATTTTGTGGTCAACGATCAAGTTCCACATTTCTTGAACCACGCCTGAAGTGACGGGGGACAAGGTATCTGGGTTGTAAAAAGGGTGATTCTTAGCAACGACTAGTACTTCTGCCAATGAGCTATTTCTGTGGCCATTTTGGCGAGCACAACTGTGGGGAAAGAGATATTAAAGTATTTAGGTCAACACTGGGACATAGCAAGGGCGAGCGAGCATGAGCTTAATGTGGAGCGCCAAGAAGTTATTTCGATCCGCTGCACGTGATTCGTTTACCGCTTTCGGCCCTAGGCACTTTTAGGGAAAGACTTCAGCAGAAACATGCCTTGGAAAGTGCGCATCCGGGGGTAATTAGAATCATGTTGCCACCAAGAAATTCTATCGGTCGAATAGCGAGCCACGTTCGACTTGTACTTCCACGAACAAGTGGCCCCAATGTTCACCTCCGGCCTTTCACACACCGAACACAACTGCTCTTCTCCCCACCACCGGGCCGGCCTCAACTACCATTCCTATCACCACTAGCGCCATCTCGACCTCTCCCGCCACTATCTATTCACTTGCGCAAACATTTCGGACGACTTATATCCACTGAAAGCCGCGAGGGATACAAGCGTCGCTTTGGCCGCAGCCTAAAAGTCGGCATTTCATTCGGCGCCATCCTGGTCCTCTTCTCCATCATCCAGCTCGGCGTCTACCAAGAAGATATCGAGCACCAATGGCCCACCCCACCGGAATGGTCCTGGAAAAGTCGCTGGTCGCTGCGCTCTGCACAGGCGCTCCAGCATCCTGATTACGTTGGGAAGCTAATGACTAACTGGCCCATGGTCGCCGGGTACATGGCCGAGCTGCTGGAGCGGCTAGAGGATGTTGAAGGTGAAGGTAAGGGGATTGTCGAACAATACGATGGCGGTCTCCTTGTTGAGGGTGTTGGGCGCACGGGTCTTGATATCTCTGCCAAAAGTGAGCCGTGGCGACGGGGTTACTTCCAGGCCCTTATGGGCGCCGCGAAGGCGGCCGAAAACCTGGATGGCTGGGTGACTGATCGCAGACAGAAGATTTCTGCGCCTGCGGAATATGCTGTTGGGCCGTCCAATCCCAGACCCAAGCCCATGCCTGCCGGTCAGAGGAAGGTAATCCATGAGGAGGACTGTGAACGAGCGTCACCACCGCCCGAGACCTTCTACATGAAAGTCCTTACAACGAACGGATTCGACACAAGGCAGAAGCTCGATGCTGCACTTGCGTATGCCGATTGGTTGGACTTTAAGGGTCTGCATGAGACAGCTGGGGATATGTATGTTTGGGCCATGGATATTGCTGCGGGTGGATTTGAAGGCGATGCCAACAAGATCGTGGATCTCAGAACCGGCGTGCTGAGAAATAATGCTACCGATTTGCCATCCGAGAACATTCTTCGTGTATCGACTGCGCTCGCCGTTCATAATGCTCGCCAGCGCAACCTCCCCACCGCGCTCTCTATTTTCACATCCATCCTCAAGGCGCGCCGGAACCTCCCCCTAGCATCTGACTCCTCCCTGCAATTTTCTCTCTCTGCACCGCCCACGAAATTTTCCAACGATCCCTTCTCCGCTCTCTACAAATCCCTCAAAACGGTTCTTATTCCTGTTGAATACCCACCGCCCCTTCCCTCAGGCGATGAGCCGCCTCATCGAACCGCCAGCTCCCCTTGTGACGAAGCAGGCCTGATGACCTACATCGGAGAAATCATTTACGCCTCTTCGTCTCATGACCAAGGCCTCGCTTGGACACGTGATGCAGTCGAAATTGCGGAGTCGACGATGCTGAGTCTTGGCGCGGACGAAAAGACCGCACGCGCACAGTGCGCGCAATGTCTGAAGGTCGGACTTGAGAACTGGAAGACTATGGTCTCTGCACTTGTTGCGCGTGCTCAAAGGGAAGGAGTGGAAAGTGTTGCGCAGGCCAAGAAGGCCTGGTATGGTGGTGAGCGTCATGCTAAGAAAAAGGCCGAGATATCGAGAAGGTGGAAAGCCGAAGAGGCTATTCTTGAGGATCGAATTCGGAACATCTTCCCGCTACTTGTTGGGGAATCCGAGTTGGATTCCTTATCACCAAATAGTTCTCTATTTTTGTAAATGTATAATAGTGCATCGGGTGTTTCCACTGGGGGTTTACGGAGTTGGTGTACCCGTCATTTGAAACTAAGAATGTTAGTATATATAGCCCAAATCTCGGTAGTCTTGAGCACACGAGTACTTAATCTATGTACATTATGTCTAACCTTGGAAGTCCTATGTATGTATAGGTATGTTACAGTACCTAGATAGGACAGCACCCATGAACTGCGTTGAGATGCAGTCCACTGAAACAAATATTTCAACCAAAGTTTGACTTCCAAGCTTGATTGTGGTTGGAATTGCCAATCTTGGAACCCACGGAGGTCTTGGTATTCCGTGGTAAAGTTCCACTCTACGGGAAACGAAAATCTACTACTGTCGAAGGTTGCCGCATAGGTACGGCCAATTCCCTTTTACTCTGTAAAACAAGCATACAAAGGTACCTTACTGCTAAATTCAATTAATGGCTCACTATAAGCTCCAGATCCTAGAACTTCTGGTGGGCGAGATATTCAAGTTAAGCAGCTTTGCGAAGCTAAAGTTATACTCGGTAAGCACAGACACTAGTTTCCCGTCGGCGAAACGACCGAATCAGAGTGCGCATTCCAAGGTTGCGCCATCGCGATAAGGCCCCGGGTTCCTGATACATTTGGAGATCATCTTTCTTTCTTCCCTATCACCAATTGCTCACCATGGAATACGAAGCATTCGAGGACATTGAGAAGGGAGGCGGTGCTCTGCGCACCCTCAAGGATTTGGCCTCTGGCGCCGCGGGTGGCATGGCACAGGTTCTTCTGGGTATGTGAATTTTACTCCCCCGCACGAGGGCTCTGGAGCGACCCCGGAAAACGCATCAAGGAGACTCTCGTCTCCCCTCTTTCACCTTTCATATTATGATGCTTAGTGCTGATGCTAACTTTCTTCTAGGTCAACCGTTTGGTTTGTAAAGGCCACAAACCCCGCATTGAAGTTGGCTAACCCACCTCCAGATATCGTCAAGGTCCGCCTTCAAACCACCACCCAGTACTCGAGTGCGCTGGATTGCGCAACCCAGATCTTCAAGAACGAAGGCCCCGCAGCTTTCTACAAGGGAACCTTGACTCCCTTGATCGGAATTGGTGCCTGTGTAAGCTCATGTTCACCCGCACTCCCCATTATGCCTACGTCACTGCGGCTCCAGTCATCCATCTAACCCGACCTCATTATTACAGGTCAGCGTGCAATTTGGAGCCTTTCACCAAGCTCGCCGGAAGCTTGAAGAGCTGAACCAGAAAAAATATGCCAACGGCGCCTTATCCTACGGACAGTACTACATGGCCGGTTCGTTCGCCGGTGTCACCAACTCCGTTCTCTCGGGTCCCATCGAGCACGTCCGTATCCGTTTGCAGGCACAGCCCCACGGCGCTGGTCGTCTCTACTCGGGCCCCATTGACTGTGTTAAGAAGCTCTCTGCTCACGACGGCGCCATGCGCGGTCTGTTCCGCGGTCAGGCAGTGACTGTTCTACGTGAGGCCCAAGCGTATGGTACTTGGTTCATGGCCTTTGAGTACATGATGAACCAGGATGCGAAGCGCAACAACGTGAAACGCGAGGATATTGGAGCCATGAAGGTCGCCACCTATGGTGGTCTCGCTGGTGAGGCACTGTGGCTGTCTAGTTATCCGTTTGATGTGGTGAAGAGTAAGATGCAGACCGACGGGTTCGGTGCCAACCAGAAGTTTTCCAGTATGCGCGACTGCTTTAAGAAGACCTATGCTATCGAGGGTCTTGGTGGGTTCTGGAAGGGCATCGGTCCTACCCTGCTAAGAGCAATGCCCGTGTCCGCGGGTACTTTTGTTGTGTACGTTACCTCTCTGCAATCTTGCATCAGCCGCTATGATGACTAACTTTTGCTTCCTAGTGTCGAGCTCACCATGAAGGCTCTGGGCTAACTACCCTGAACGCCAAAATTGAAGCGCTCTCTTTATTTCGGACGCAATGATATCCAACGGAAAAAAGTTAAATAGGAACCTAGATATTAGAGATACGGTGGTCTGTATTGTATAATGATTCTGATCCCTATATATTCATACATGGGTCTGATGATAGCCCTTGAGCTAAATCAAAACCTGGACTATTTCGCCGGGTCTTATGTTTATTGCATTCTAGAATATCCACTAGGCCTGCTCTTCGGATGCATAATGGTTAATGCAACATTCAATCGTCTTCTGAAGAAGCTCCGTCGACATCTGCCATTTGGGTGTCACCAGCCGTGCCAGCAGCAGCCTTTTGCTCCCGCGCCTTTTGGCGACGCTTGATCTTGCGCTCGCGATTTTTGCGGGTCCGTTTCTCAGCCTCGTTCTCTTTCGCCACCTGAGCCGCTACAGCGCGCTTTCGAAGCAAAAGACGTCGCTTCTTACCTGGCTTCTTGCGAGTTTTTGGGGACTTTGATGGCGGTTCGCCCTCAACCACGTAGACTGGAACATCTTTGTCTTTTCGAGGTAGTTTTGTTTGGTGACGTTTTAGATGACACACTCTCCAAGGAAGATGACAACCAGGCTGTAATATATCAGTAAAGTTCCAAGAGACTGAGTAGGCGAATTGACTCACCCATGGCTGTGACTTGGCCCGAGTCACTATTTGCTCGCCTGTCACGGCCATATCTTCAAATTGCCCTCGCTTTTCCGACTGAGATGCCTGATCTTCCAGTTCGACACTTGGTCCCCACAGTGAAGGAGTAGAAAAGTAATACTGCCACCCACGGGAGGCCTTCACAAACCGACCTTCAGAGGGGTCGCCTGACCCTGGCGTCGGGGATCGCAATCGAATCCGCAACCTCTGTGTCCCTGTATTAACCTGATTCCCAATTCCTGGAGTGTGCTTTCCATCTTCATGTGTCTTCCCAGCTTCTTCTCCGGCAGTTTTGGGGTTTGCCGGAATGCTGAATAACCGGAATTCGAATTCTTGTTCCTCGTCCTCACCACCCGCTTGTTCCGGAATATCTTCGGCAATCTTAGATATCGCACTGACTTCGAGTAGGCCATCAAGGTTAAGCAGTTTCCCTAGACGGGCATGAGCATCTTGCAGATCGGATTCGTCGACTGGGGACGGTGAGCGAGACGAAGCTGAGGATCGGACCTCATCGCGGCGCACACTGCGAATTATCAGCAAACAGTCAATAGAGGTAGCCAATTGACGTAGCTAAGAGAGAAGCAACATACCGCTTGGCTTCTGGTAGGTCAAACATTCTGTGTGATTGTGAGAAGAACCACAGGTGTGGAGTGGTGCCAAAAGAAAAAGAGGCTATCGCGGATGATTCCACGGATTACGGCCACGGCCTTATCGATGACATCGCACGGACTTTCCAACCTCCAATCTTCGCAACCTTCCGATACTTCGTCTCCTCCCAGCCTTCCTCACACCATCTTTCCTTCTTTTGCTTCGTCTCTACAGATCTCACACTCTTTACTCTACCGAGGCTCCTCGGTTTTATCTTCTTCAAGTCTGAGCGCACCCGGGTCCCACCTTTGTTACGACAACTGAAAGGCGTTTAATGCCTCGTGCCGGTCGCATTGTGCCCCAGTGAATTCCTCCCAGCTCTATTTCATCCTTGACTTATAAATGGGTATCTGTGCCTCGTGCCTGGGCGGTAACCGTCACGAATCCCCCGAGGTGAGTTTTGATGCTGAGCAGGCATGATCAACACCTCCAATGCACATCATTGGAACGTACTCTGAATGTATTCTGATGGGTCTTTCTTTAGCCCGAGTCCTCCCGTCTACTGGATGAGGATCCTTATCAGGCTGGATACGGCTACGGAGCGCTCAACCAAGCTCAACAGGCCAATCAGCCGGATCCGGAGTATGTGAGGCGCGAAAGGGAGGCCCTAGATGCCATTTGCCAACGAACGTCCGAGTGAGTCTGATGCTTGATAACAATGTTCCCAAGTCTGTCACAATTTTGTTTCTGTGACTGATCCTGTGTCTCGTTTTTTTTAGCACCGTCATCGATATTTGGTCCCTCCAACCCCAACCGCATCTCCAACCGCATGCAACCCTCCATGTTCCCCGATCCACGTCAACGTCACCTGCTACAAATGATGGAAGTACACATCTCATTGTCACTTCGGACCAGGCATCGATAACCAGTCGTCCTAACTCTGGAGGCGCCGTGCCCAAGCACTGGGGTGAGGTTGTCGTTAACCCGAATAAGAAGCGCTCTCGCCCCAACATGAAGGCAGAACATGATGCAAGTCGCGACGTTTTTGGAGTCCTCAAGGTGACGTAAGGCTGATGCTGCCGGAAAGTATCATCCTGTAAATGAAAACGATGAATCCTATGAAAAGGGTCTGGGGTAAGGGAATCTGTCTGGAGTCGATGTCTCTGGTATCTCAGGTGTATCCTTGGGCTATTTATTCTTCTGTCTATTGTGTTTTGTGAAAGGCGTCTTTGCCTTCCTTTTGTCTTTTCCTTTTGTTCACTTCTTTGCATGGATCGCGGGTCGACTGTCTCGCACATACATAGCTATCTACATTGTGTCTCTCCTTTTTCATCCTGTCAATACCCACGGCGCGGGCCTCCATCAAATTCTTTCTTTTACTTGATTCGGATCGTATTATCGTTGCCGATGTCTTGAGTTACTGCTCCATTTACAATATGATGTGAAACGAAGATCTATATATAATCAATCACAGTACGCAAAATACCCTTCAAGCATGAAATAGAAATTGGGCAACATGTACTTCTCCTAGGTATACAACAAATGTACGACAACCTTGGAATATCAGTCCCCTCGTAATTATGGTCACAAAGAGATGTTCTGGTATGGAAGGTTTGGCGGTCTGCATTTTTCTGTCGCGTCCCGTCTTCAACTCCGATCTTGGATTTCCCCCGATTTTCAGTGAGCTCCCTGATTCACTAAGCTTCATATCTATGCCAGCAAGGCCCGTCCCCGAGTGGGGATTACGATGCTTGTCGCGTAGCTCCTTCAAGCGAGCTTCATACGCAAGAAAACACACAGAGAGACGATGGAATAGTGCTTATACCTGGCTCACCAGAACACCAGAAGCTATTGTGAGCCATATCAACCTCTGTGATTTTTTTTTTCTACTAATGGAATTGCACAGACCTCGCATGACATCGTCTCGTCTTTGCCTTCAACCTTACAAAGCAATTCGAGCTGTGTCCCCCTCCTACTTGTCACCCCGAATCTTGCACACTTACTCGATCCTACATCACCATTCATTGGCGACTTGATAAGCAAGCTACTTCGAGATACACCCCAAAAACCCGATACCCTTCATGCAATTGCGGCTGTGGTGGACAGGATTCCGAATAGTGCTCCGCAGCGGCCCAAGGCCCTAATAGCCGATGATGCTATTGCCGATCCAGGAGAATATGATGGCGTGTCTATGTTAATTATTGGGGAAGATGATGTGCAATGGAAAGCTACGCCGTCTCGTCGGATCGGAAGCCCAGCTGGCGACGAACCTAGTCTAACGGTCTCTGTTCGGGACAAAATGTCCGTTTACGCGGTTGGCCTACGCCTTACCAACACTGTTTTTCTCAATGGAAGCGAACGAACTTTTATGGGCATGCGCTGGGTTGCCCGGAAAGATGGATATGTCTTGGACAAGTCTAGAGACCTTGCGAGCTGCGTTGTTACATCCAAACAAGACAGCATTCGCCCCAGACTGATGCTTCCACTAGAGCCAGTCACCCAACGACGAAGGGTGGTAACAGGAATGGGAAACATTCTGCGACAACTGGCTAAATCAACGGACGGATGTTCGGATGAGACAATGCCTGCATCCACCGAGCTGGAAAAGGAACTTCCACGGTATATTGAAGAACATAACATCGCCGACCGAAGAGTCTCTGTCTGGGCTTTGGTTGAGACACCTGACGTGGAAATTGCAGATTCCACTTTATCAATACAAGATCAACTAACCCGGTCACTGCGTCATGGAGGTAAACTACATCGCGTTATGAGTGGCGGAGGCGGCTGGGGAAAGAAGCAGGGTCTTCTTTCCCTAGATCCAGAGGTTGCTTTCCCAACTATCAGTCTCCGTGATAAGTCTACCAACCTGGATCAAGTATTTGAACCGCATTCTAGTGCAACTGAACCCTTGGAGATGCCACCGTTCTTCGGAAATTGTTTGATAGGCGAAGATCTCTCCCATCTCTCCCAAGTTGCCAATGCAGGAGATTTCATTCAATTCTTTGTGGCGGTAGAACCCACACCCTCCCCCAGGGCTGAGGATCAGACAAGGTTGGCATACTGCTTTGGCGTGGTCGCCGATGCTGAAGAACCACAGGCTCGAGGAGCCCATGGCGAAGAAAAGCATCTTGAAATGGTAGTCGATACATTTGGTGCCATGTCTGAAAAGGCGATCACCTTTTCTCAGCCAGCGCCCCGGGGTGGCAAGGCGGGTGAATCCAGCACAAAGTTGGACATTCCGGGGTGTCAAGTAATTTTAGAGTTTGAGCAATTATGAAACACTGAGTTGATTGATATAATGCCAAGAGGCTTTTCGAATATATCGATCCATTCAATCAGTCCAGGCACACAGTAGATCATTGATTGGTTCTCGGATTCTATCCCAACAGCGGTTCATCATCATCTCTTCGGTCCTGCTTTCAACTTGTGCATCAATGCCCCCGTTTACTTGGTTCCCTGAATGGAGTCAAATAGTGCTGTCAGACTGATCTAACGACCAATCAAGGGTGGAATTTTTTGCTAGACTGCGTCTTTTTTGCGATATCCAATGAGTCAGTGCATCTTTATAAAAGAGCTTTCCTTTGCCTCTTCTTTCCTTCCATCACCCACAAACATATCGTCCAGTCGGTACGGCAGCAGTTGTGAGCAAGAAAACACCTTAAGAACATACCAGAGGGATCACCACCAGGAGTCTGGAAATCACCACCAGAAGTCTGGAAACATAATCGATCGCATGCTGCAGGCATCGTTGTTTGCAATTGGCTTTGATGGTTATCCTTCAAGATTGGTAGCATATGACATGGAGAAGCGATCGATCTTCTTTGCACAAGACCTGTCTCCTGCCGGTCTTTGGTCTATTCAATTCCATTGGGTTTCAATTTCAGGAAATTAAAGATGACCAGCACGCGGCGTATTGTTTAACGTTGCTGAAGGATCAAAGAAAATAGTATCAAGTTGCCAGCACTACGAAAACTGGTCATGCTTGTTGTTGACCGGAAAAGTAAGACTCGTGGTAGCGGGAAAAAAGTCTTGGAACCAACTACCGCGGTAGCGGTGAAGAGAGGCTGGTACTCTGCTACCCAAGCAAAAGCGCCGATTTTGGCCTCATGTGCATCATAACAATCGTTAAGATTTTAAACTTTGTCGTCTTCACCCGTGTGGTTCGCAGGTGTCAGTTGTGGTGACTCTGCCCTGTCGCTTGCCGGCAAGATGAATCTCAACTATCCTGGCTAGGTGACGAGAAAGGCTAGCTGGAGTTTCACTAGGCAGGCTTACAGCTGATAATTCCAATCGACCTTGTTGAAGCCACGAATCTTTTCAAGGTGTGCCAAACTCGGAGAACACCGAACCGAATTCAGAAAAGTTCCAATACTAGTTCACCAGCATTAAAGACCTATCTTCCGCCGAGGCCAGGCCAATGAATCTGCCCAGCGAGAATTTCCCGGTTGTAGGATCAGCAAAAGCTCTGAAACAAGCGCCCGGCCAGAGTTGCGGGCCCACCACCACTGGCCATCCAGCTCCCACAGCAGCACGCCCCAATGCATGAGAATCAGAAGAGCCAACGGCTGGCGACGCCGCACGTTGTCCACGAATCCTTTGTCGACGGCAGCTAGCCAGGCGAGAGCATTTGCTGGCCCTCCATCATTGCTGTACATTGTAAAACAGTGGTGCAGATGAGCTATGACATCTTTATTGATCCGGTACTGGTCTGTATCGATACTGGAAAGAGTCTCATCGTTCAGCAAGGCCAGTCGATCCAGAGCAGTTTCGGTCACACTGTCTAGTGTTGGGCCGCCACTCTTGAATCCCTTCTGGTGCGGATATAAATTGAGTTTAATCCAAGGCTGGCCGATGGTGATGATGTTTTTAACGCCCTGGAGAAGCTCGAACAGAACGATGATATTTTCCGTCATATTTGAGCTCTCCCCACGAGCAGCCGTAACCCGCGGCAAGGCAATGCCCAAAACTGTAGTGATGATAGACTGTGCTAGCACCGCTTCACAGTTTTGTTCGGTCAGGTGGTCAATGGAGGCACGAAATGGAGCAAAGGTGAGATTATGATAGTGCAGAGCCGTGTCCATGTATACGAAAGATGCTGGTGGTTCCAAGGTGGAAGCGATGTGCAATGCCGCTAGCGCCAATATGCCGTTCATGAGGAATTCAAACTGCAAAGCCAAGCGCGGGACATGAATCTGCCACACCTGCATCTCTGACTCGCTGGTGCTGATGCTTCGGTATGTATCCGTGGCAAAACGATGCATTAACTCCAGCTCCCGCACGCCGGACACGGCGGAGGGAGTGGAGGCTGGACTGCCCGGAGCTAGAGACCGTGGGGTGACGGGGCCTTTCTCTCTAACCGGCGCCGGCAAAGCCGTAGCCTGTCGACCCAGACTGGGCGCATCCTTCGGTGAAGCTTTCACGTAGGTGCAGCCGAGTTCACGGGAGATACAATTTGTGCAAGGGGGGCCCGTTTCGTCACACTGCGCCCGTTAGGAATTGATATTTCCCGAAAAAAAATCCACTGACCTTAACACGCCGTCTTTTACATTGATCACACCCACTGCGGCTTTTTGTATGGGCCCGACGAGGAGGCATGGCGTCGCTGGTTGGAACATGATCAAATCCTTGAATATCTCGCGACACTCAAGCGCGGATGAAGTTGGTCACGTGGCTTGATGAGAGGCAAGAGATAAAGCCGAAGTCTTGAGCAATATTCTTCATGCTGAAAGTCTTTTTGGATGGAAAAATGATCTCCTATACCTATGAGCTTCCAAACCCTAGGGGCTTTCACATGGATGCATAGCTAATTTACTGCTCCCCGCGTACGGATCCATATATTCATGGGGATATATATATAATCTAATCTTGAGACTAATTAATGTTTTAAACTTGCTCTTGGCCTCTATACTGCAAGGCTTTTCCCTTTTCCAACATGTCTGTCATGCTCCACCTGTAATACATCAAGGTGATGTATTCTTCCTTACTTGCAGATCCCGAGATCCCGATTGTGCAGAATATACGTGGCCGAGTGAAAGCTAGCGAGGGGAACACCGTGATCTACAGATCATCACGCACTATTGAATTGCGCATAAAGACCTTGAAAGTTGCTTCCACCTTTGACAAAATTTCCTATGTACACTCTACTGTAGTAGATAATTTCAGTATCTCGATATCATTGATCTTCAAGTCGGGAGCACATCCGGCTGATCAATCATTCTAAATGACGCCTCTACTCCGCATGCAAGGCCTCATTTTTCCAACTTGAATCATGCTGGTAACTCGACTCAGCTGATCATCAAACTTTCTATTTGATTATCCTAATTGCTTATAGTCGATATTAAGTGGTCTAATCCAAGGCGCCACCTGGATCAGAGATTATGCACAACTATGTATTGTTGACAGACTAAGACTACAGTAGGTTGCAAGAATACTACCCCACCTGGTGTACAATGCTCTTTAATCTGTATAGCGTCTTACAGATTCTCATGTGGACCAAGCCACATGCTTATTGGACTCGGGATTGACGTCCATGAAATAGTCAAAATTCATCTCTTGAAAGAGGTGGACCCATTTCCTTTCCTCGGGCAGAATAGATGTGACTGATCATGGGAAATCATAGTTCATTGGGTCCCACATGAACGTATGAGACTATGCGACTGACAACCTTCATTGAGTTAACTCCATACGTGGGTTTATATGGCCTTGGAATGATACTAAGACATAATTCTTGCTAGTGCAGATTGAGACTCTGCTTTGATCTTTAGAAATAGGCATAGCGGATTATCGTTGTTTCACCGCCAAAGGCACAAACATACGTTGTCTCACGGGTTCCACAAAGGTTACATGAGCTGCTCCATCTCGGTCATTATCAGGATTAGTCTAACCCGGTTTGACCAGTTTTCCAACGTATTGAGCATTGGCATCAACAAATCTGAGTTCTGGCCTTTCTCTCAAACCATAATATCTCATTTGGTGAGTTGCATTGAACTATTTGCTCAAATGATGAAGATCGTGGAGACAGCTCCCGGCCCATTCCAAATATGGACCTTCGATATAGAGAAAAAGTAAATCGAGGATTGGTCTTAGATTTCATTGGACCACGATTATTAATCGGCAGCGATGTGATAAAAGGCCCCGACTAGTCTCATTCACTCTGCATCGCTCTGCATCGCTCTGCATCACCCCGCTTCCTCTCTCCTACCTTCATATTGTAATGTGACACGTCCAAGTTGACTCTCCAACTTAGGCATATTACCACACCGACTCTCTTCTCACTCAAGAGCTATCTCCTCCTTTGAATTACCCACTGCCAAAGAAATGACGAACGCATCCTACACCGAGGCATACCAAAGCCTGAGTGCTTTGTGGGACTTCTCCGATGAAAACCAAAAGCTATGGTGGCATAGCACAGCTCCTATGTTTGCCCATATGCTACAGTCCGCAAACTACAACCAGCGGAGCCAGAGCCACCACCTCGAGATCTACAAGAAAGCGATCATCCCTATGCTAGGGGCCTACCCTGTGAATGACCGTCCCCGTTGGATGAGTATTCTCACTCGATATGGCACCCCGTTTGAGCTGAGCCTCAATTGCTCGAATAATGTTGTCAGCTACACCTATGAGCCCATCTCTTGGACAACGGGGACCTCACAGGACCCATTCAATACTATTGCCATTTGGGAGGCTTTGCAGCACCTCATGGCTTCTCAAAAGGGCATTGATCTTGAATGGTTCACTCATTTCAAAAAAGCTCTTACCCTGGACTCGGACGAATCTGCTTTTCTTCTAGCGAGCGATATGGTCGGGGATCAGATCAAGACCCAGAACAAACTTTCCCTGGAGCTCGGTGAAGATCAATTCATTCTTAAGGCCTATATGTATCCCGCTTTGAAATCACTCGTGGCGAAAAAGTCGATCCACGACCTGATCTTTGAGGCAGCCCACGACTTGGCCCAAACCTATCCCAGAATATCAACTCCTTTGAAAGTTCTTGAGGAGTACTTGAAGTCTCGAGCTCCCAATAGCACTGTTAAGCCCCGGCTTTTATCTTGTGATTTGGCGGAACCCTCGAAGTCGCGCATCAAGATCTATCTTCTAGAAGACATGGTCACGCTCACGAATTTGGAAGATTTGTGGACGCTAGGAGGCCGAAGGAATGATCAATCCACGGTGGAGGGGCTCTCGGTATTGCATGAGCTCTGGAACCTTATCAATCTGACCGCACAGTTCTGCTCTTATCCAGTGGGTTATTTGTCTCTCAATGATCCTGTCAACGAGCAGCTCCCCCTTATGGCCGACTTTACTCTTCACGCAGACGATCCTATTCCCGAGCCGCAGATCTACTTTCAGACGTTCGGAAGTCGGGACAAAAAGTTGACAAAGGGATTGACGACTTTTTTCCAGAAGCAAGGCTGGAATAAGATTGCCCAATCCTATGAGACTGATTTACGTTCTTGGTAGTAAGTGTCTCTCTGGCATCACTCTGCAACTACTATTCGAGTTGATGAGTGCTAACTGTGAGAAGTCCAATGGCAAATCTGAAGCGTCTGAATAAAATCCATACATTGGTGTCCTTTTCCTACCGCAATAACAGCCCTTCTGTGAGCGTTTATCTCCAGTCGTTCGAGACTGGTGAATGGGAGATGTGTAAGACCTCATACTATATTTACTTACACCATGTGAGAGGCTGGACTGACAACATTGACAGCCAAGTTTTCAAGCACCCCTAACCTCTAGCCCATGACTTTGAGAATCATTGAGTATGCATCAGTCTTTCGCAACCGCTCTGCCCTTTCCCTTTCCCTTTCCTGTAAGAATTGAATAGAGAGTTGACTAGGCCCCGAGAGCTGAATTTAAGATATCATTGCGATAGTTCTCTCGTATCTAAACGACTGGCGTTCAATGAGCACCGAGTAGCTAGCCAACAACATCGATGAGTACTTCGCCTAAACATCCAACTCGTACATGCTTCCATGGCACTTGAGCCTTTCCAAGAGTCTCTCCTATCACAGTGGTGGCCCACACTCTATATCTACCTGAGCTGTGCTACACTCAGTGCAAAGGGTTTTCTTTCCGAGATCATTGGGTCATAACTAAGTTATACAGACAAAATTTCGTGACTGACAGGTTCGTATCCGCTAATTAGCTCAATATCCAATATTCAATGGGCCAACCCTCGCCTTTTGGGGTTTGGCATTGATCCTTTTACACCTCTTCTATCTCTTCATGCGGTTGCGACAGGTCTACTTTTGGCGACCGCTCACAAGCACGAACATGTCCATCGGCTTGATACTGAAAGCACCGTTCGCATGGAGCTTGTAGTCTGGATCCTCCAGTTCAAACGCAACGTCCTTGATAATATTGGCTAGAGTGAAGAAAGACCACTGCCAGGCCCACAGTTTGCCAATACACTCGCGTTTGCCGTTACCGAAGCCCTTCTTAGCGGCGGCAGGCAGTTTGTCCCACTTGTCCCCAATTACTTGCTCGGGCTTGAATGCCAACGGGTCTTCGAACACAGCAGGGTCACGGTTAACAGCATTTAAGATGGCAATCATGGGCTGGTTGTTGGGGATCTGATATTCGCCACCTCCAAGGAGCACAGGGGTCTTGTCCTTCTTGTCCTTAGGCGGAATAGGCTCAATGTTGAAGCCGGGTGCGGTGGCAGACAGACGAATAGTCTCACGGAGAATGGCTTCGACGTAGTTCAACTGCTTCAAATGGGAAAGGTCAATGGGACCATCTCCCACGACGGAGTCGATCTCATCTTGGCCCTTCTTCAGGGCCTCGGGGTTGTTGCTAAGGTAATATACCGCATAAGTGAGCAGGTTGGCGGCCGTAGCAGCACCAATAAAGATCGTGACGATCTCGTCCAGCACCTGAGAATCTTTGAGCTTCAGGCCACTCTCGGGATCGACACCATTCAAGAGAGCATCCAACATATCCTTGCGAGCCAGCTCAGGGCTATCCTTTCGGCGCTTCACAATGTCGGTAGCGTAGTTGCGCATGGTTTTGGTCAAGCTAGAGAATCGGCCCTGGTATAGCCAGTTCATGACCTTCGGGCGAGTGGGCCGCTTCATTGCTTCCATGGTGGCACCCTCCCATCCCTGGACCATATCCCAAGCCTTTTTCTGAACCTCATCCTTCTCACCTAGCACGTGCACCCGCTCGTTAAAGAAACACTTCATACACGAAGCCAACAGAATCAAATCGAGGTCGTCACTGGCCTTCACACGTTGCTTGGTGCCTGCGCTCCACTTTTTGGTCAGGTCCGGGACGACCTCCATCATATCCTTATACACGCTATCGGTCGCTTCCTGGGTAAGGTGTGGCATCATAATCCGGTGGGCGATTCCCCAACTCTTCTCGTCGTCATACGCGGTGAACAGACTGTCGTGAACTGAATACCGAATCTCAACGACGGGGCCGGTCACACACTTGCGAAATCGGGTTTGATCGCAAATCTCCTCGAGCAGAGCCACGCTGCAGATAAAGACGATTTGGTGACCCAACACGTTGATCTTGAAAATGGGACCTAGTCGAAGGATTAGTATTCAATCTCATCGCCCGAGGACTGTCCCAAGCATACCATATTTGCTGGCCAGGCTATTGAGAGAGTTCCAAGTTTCATTTGGGTTGACATCGAAGATGTTGCCCAGAACGGGCACGCCGGGTGGGCCAGGAATTTCGGTAGGCATGGCTGGAGGAGATACGATGTTATTGAACAAAGCACAGGAAAGCCCACAAGATGAAGCTTCAAAGCTGGGACCGTGGACAAGGGTGTGGAGGAGAAAAAGAGGTAAAAAGCTATCCCGCAGCTGGGAGTGGGGAGAGCAAAGACCTCATTAAAACCTTCAGCTTCCACCAAATCCACCAATCTTCAGCTGGTGTGGGTGCCACGATCAACAGATCGTATTTGGTCCAATCATCGGAGGGGGAGAGGGGGGTTGGGTCAAGCAAGTCCCCATCGTTCACCATAGGTTCGGTCGAGTTGGTGGGGATCGGCACGATCGAGATGTAATAGTGCAGATTGGCGGACGCCGATCCCACCTGGATTGGCAGTCAAAGGGACAATCCTGGATCCTCAGCTGCAGCTATCTGGGTCACGGGCTGTAGTGCGACCGCGAAAGGGGCAATGGGCTTCGTCAGAATGGTCAGCGTTGCACCACTCGCAGGGCTTTTACCTCCACCCTTGACCGCTCCTGGCTTTGGTGATTGAAGTTGGTATTATTTTATCTTCGTTTATTTCCTGATTAATATGTACATGAGTATGTTTACATGTCATACTCTGTCGAACCCTGGAACCGTGGAATGGACGAGAATCATCATCATCGTGAGTGGCTGTCATCGCGGGGCATAAGTGGGTCTTGGTTGCTAGGGAACTTGACATCATTCCTTGAAAAAGGTTTGAAGTGGGTCTCATGTAAAGCAGGAGTCAACGTAGTACAATATTCAATTATGCGATATTCTATACAGGTTCTCCATATTTATTTACTTGGCTTGGTGTCTATCACATCGGCAGACCCTGCAGCAGTATCTCCCTCCTGAGGAACCAGATCCATAACGTCGGATGGCCCAGAAAAGTGTTTGGTCGCAGTGGTGAACCAGGTCACGAAACTGAGCAGCGTCACAAGCCCAATGGCCGCACTGGTATAGTTCATGGAACTCGAAGTGACTGGAGCCTCCGAGGGGAAATTGAAGGTGATGGAGCCAAACAGCAGAAAAATGAGTCCAATCGCATTAAAGGCGATAGATACGGATGATGGAAGCGAGTATGGTCCAGTGAAGGTGGATGTATGATGGCCAAACATGTAGCCAAGGAGTCGTGCCAATAGTACAAGACCATAGGAGACGTCTAGTAAGGATTCCTGCATTAGCATGTTTGACTCCTGTTACGAAAGAGGTGTGACGTACAGAAACCCGTGGTAGCAATGGAAATCACCGTTTCAAATCCCGTCACCGTACCAAAGTAGATTGCGTTAAGAGCCAGCTGGACGACCAAGGTAAGGAAAATGGCGTATACGGGAATTTTCTGCTTCGGCTCGACTTTAGACCACACCCTGGAGCATGGCAATCCCTGATCCCGTGCAAAGGCGTACACGGATCGCGATCCTTCTGCCACAAGACTCACAGATGCCACGACAATAATGACAGTCATCATGCTTGCTAGGATACAGGTTCCTGCTTTGCTTTGGGTTGAATCATAGAAGATCTGGATGACCGGGACGCCAGTGGTGGAGTTTGCTGTGCTGTCAATATCACCCATACAGAAGCAAAGTGTGAGAATAAAGAAGAAGCCGGTCACAGCGCCCATAAGGACAGCCAGTATAATGGCCTTGGGAGCATCGCGGCTCGCATGAGTCATTTCTTCCGTCATATGGCTGGGGGCATCGTAGCAGCACATGCCGAAAAAGCTCTGTAGAATCCCCACGATCGTGGCCATCGCCGCACCCAAGCCAGTCGTGTTGCGAAATTCCCCAAAGACAAAGTCTGCACTTTGCTTATGATCATTGGTCGCGAGGAGCGTGATAATGATGATAATGAACGACGCAATATTCCATACCAAAATCATGCGTGACAGGCGATGGAGCGCATGAGGCGCAAAAAGATTGATACCTAAAGCAAAGAGTGCCACAGCCCATGCAACTAGAACCGTATGCCATCTCTCGATAGTATAGTCAGGGAAAACCAGGTTGGCCATGCCCAAAATGAAGTTGGATGCCACGGAATTATTCACCGCACCCATCGCCAATATACCTGAACGAATTGAATTAGCTCCTGCGAGCCGACCAAGGGTCAGAAAAACGAACCAACCAGCATGAACCATCCCGTGATGTAAGACAATTGTCGGGATACCTTGGGCGGTGCCAGCATGGCCACCCACGAGTACTGGCCTCCACTGACTGGCCATCTTGCACACATCTCCGCCATGGCTAGCGCAATAAACAGTGTGACCACGCAAACCCCTATCCAACCAAAAATCATCACCGGCGGTCCGCCTGCCTCGACGCCAATGATGAATACTCCACTCAAGGCTGTCCAGCTAAGCGAGTATTAGCTCAGTTGTGAAGGGCAACCAAGACTTCTTACCAAGTTACAATGCTGAAACTAAAGCCCACCATATCAAATAAGCCAAAAGAGCGCTTGAACTCTAACATTCGCAGTTTAGTGCCAGAACTTGCAGTGATTAAGTTTGGTCTGTCCTACCTTGTTGGTACCCAAGATGTTCGAGAGCGACATCTTCGTCGATTGAGGTATTGAACACCTCTTTCACCATTGTAGCGTTTTGTTGTCAATCATGGAGGTCCGCGGGTGCGGGGAATATAATATTTGAATCTATGTACTCAGTATCATGAACCCTTATCATGACAAGGGTGGGGTCTAGATAAGAGCAAATGATCGAATCAGACTGGATCGGAGATACCGTCGATTCTGAGATAAAACATGACAAACCTAATTGATTATCGGCCGATCCGAACAAGATCTTATCTATATTCGCTGGCACTTGCCTGTTTAAAGATTGGTCTTTTCCCGCAACCACTTGGAGAATAGCATCATGACGTTGAGCACAGCCTTATGGGTGGTACCACTGGTGTTCATTGGCCTAATTTGCAAATGGGTTTATAGACTCTACTGTCATCCTTTATCTAAAATCCCCGGACCGAAAATTGCGGCATGTACCTCACTATGGCTTGCCTATCATACTTATATCGGTAACGAGTGCACGGCCGTCTACAGTCTCCATCGCAGATATGGCCCGGTATTGCGCGTCGGTCCCAATGACGTCGATATCTCTAACGCAGATGCCATCGAGCCAGTTTACGTCGCTCGAGGCGGATTCCCAAAGTCTGACGTGTACTCCAAATTCGATATCGACGGTCACAATACCATATTTTCCACGCTCACTCTTCCCGAGAGAGCGACAAGAGCCAAGGCTGTCGCATCACTGTTTTCCACCGCTTCCCTCCGACAAGCCGAACCTCTTTTATCACAGGTTTTTGACGATTTCATCGCCAGACTTCGACTTGAAGCGAAAAAGGGAGAACCAGTCAACGTGTTAAATATTTGCCGATGCATGGCCATCGATGCCATTAGTGTGTATCTGTTCCAGCATCGCTATGGGGCTCTCGATGAGGACTCCGGGGTCATGTCCGCATCTCCCTTTGTGGACGCATATGTCGGCGTCGGTGCATTCTTCAACCTCGCTCCCGGGAGAATAGGAGACCTTATAATGGCAATCTCGGAAAGGATGACATCTACTGACATGACGAAGAAAGCGTTCGATCTAATAGACCGCTTTACGGGGCAACTTGTAGCCGTCGCAACGCCCAAAAGTGGGAGTTATCAAAGCCGCCTTTTGGAGAAGCAGACATCTCTCCAGTCTCAGATCGAAGTGAAGGACCTTTGTTTTGCTGGCACCGACTCAACTAGTATGAACACAGCAACGATAATGTGGTATCTTTCCAAATGTCCGAAAATGTATGTTTCGAGTCAATTGATAACCCTTAAATCCGCTCTAACGCACCGATCAGATACCGTCGACTTCGCGAAGAGATACAAAGTACTGTTGCGAAAGGTGCAGATCCTATGACCTGTAGCTATCTTCGTGGAACGATTAGAGAGGGACTACGATTATCATGGGCCAACCCCATCCGACTCCCCCGAGCAGTACCCGTTGGTGGCTGGACCTATCACGATTATCACCTCCCAAAGGGCACAAGTGTCGGGGTTGCCTCATTTCAACTGCACCAAGACGAGAAAATCTTCCCGAACCCACTTTGCTTTATGCCTGACCGATGGCTGGATCCCACACAGGACATGCTCGACCATTTCTTTGCGTTCGGCAAGGGGTCTAGAGCATGCATCGCGCAGAATCTAGGCACACTTGAGGTCACAATGGCAATCTTCAGAATCGTCAAGGCAGATCTGCTTTGTGACGCGAAAGTTTTTGACGAATCAATCCAGATCAAACAGTGGTTTAATTCCCGTGTCAGGGGGGAAGAGATTTTGATCCAATTCCGCCCTGAGCTAGCTGATAATTGACGACCCAGTCTGATATTAATTGATGGATTAGGTGGACATAATGAAATGCAGATTTTCGGCCCCTGTTTTTCAAATGCATAGACTCGCTACCCACCCCCTAAAATAGCCTCGCTAGGTCGGTTGTTCGAACTACTGACACCGATATTCATTGATATTTGAACATCTCATGACCAGACACTGTAAATACAAGCCTCCCTTCTGGGAATCTGGGTATTTAGATTTGCTGTTCACCCACCATCATTTACAAGACAGCAATGCATTCGATTTCCACGTCTGTATTGAGTGGCAGAGTTTTGACCGCAACACACCTGCATAGTTCATCCTGTTAGCAGCGGGACACATTTAAATGCAAGGGGTAAAAATGACAACTCACGTGCGACATGGCTTCACATCGCCCCAGTATTGCGTGTACACCGAGTTCATATCGGCAAAGTCATCCATATTGGAGAGAAACACGTTGACCTTCACCACTTTGGTAATGTCAGAGCCTGCCTCCTTAAGGACATGAGTCAAGTTCTTGATGCACTGGTGCTACATTGAGGCCCCGTATTAGCCCATGTAAGCCTTAAGCTGGCTTGATTTCGATGCTTACAGTATGCGCCTTCACATCACCGTCAATGAGCTTGCCAGTGGTGGCATCCATAGGCACGGCTCCGGAACAGTACACGACGCCATTGGCGATGATGGCTTGTGAGTAAATTCCGGGAAGGGGCTTGGGAGCCTGGTCAGTGAGAACTGCAATCTTGGTAGTCATCTTGAAAGCCTTGTTAACAGAAGCAATGCATAGTAGTATGGCCTTCCATTATGGGAAACTTCGTAAATAAAAAGGAGTCTCATCCCACGCTCGGAGGAAGACTGACGTTGAAAGTCCCACGTTCGAAGCTCATCCGCCACGTTACAGTGTAAAGAAGACCCTTCCCCTTCCATTCGCGATAATCTCTACTGAATTTGGTAAGTCTTATCGTACCTTTTTTGGTTCATCCCCGCATCCCACCCGTCGCGTGGGGGCCTTTCTGCGCGGGATTCAAATTACGGTATTACATGTGTCCCAAGGGATGTGAGATGTGCTTCTTTATTCATCTTTCTTTTTCCTTTTCCCTACCATCCCCCTTGCACTCTTCTCATCATGTCTGCCATTGCTGGTGTCACACAGCCTCCTTATCCGCTCCATGAGTCCGTTCGAGATCTACTGGATCCCGAGTACGTCGCCTTCTATAACCAGCATGTGATCAACAACCAACAGGTGCATCTCCAGCCCGTTGCAGCATCGCGGACCAGTGGCGTTCTGATCCCAGGTGCGGGCCCAATGCTGGAGGTTGGCAAGACTCATGATCTTACTATTGTGCGACGAGAGACCGAAGGACCTCCAGTTGCAGTCCGCTGCTTTACACCCAAGGGCGAAGTGCCCGCTGGTGGATGGCCAGTCATGCTCTATTTCCACGGCGGCGGTTGGGTCCTTGGTAATATTGACACCGAAAATGTGGTGTGTTCCAACCTTTGCGTGCGTGGTAACTGCGTGGTGGTGACTGTGGATTACCGGTGAGTAGCAGCTCTTCTTAGATTGATGAGAGATTAGAGCTAATGGCCTGGAAACCATCAGTCTTGCCCCCGAAAACCCATGGCCTGCAGCAGTTCACGATTGCTGGGAAACTCTGCTCTGGCTGGTGGCGGAGGGACCCGCCGCGCTGTCAATCGACACGTCCAAAATCGCGACAGGCGGGTCCTCGGCCGGTGGAAACTTGGCTGCAATCATGACCCACAAGGCATTGACCCTTTCCCCCCCACTCCGCTTCTCCGCTCAGTTACTCTCGGTCCCCGTCACAGACAATACCGCCACCGTGGAAAATAACGAGTCGTATCGCCGCTACGAACACACCGCCGCCCTTCCCTCGCAGAAGATGATCTGGTACCGTGACCATTACCTGCCAAACGAAGCGGATTGCAAAAACCCCGAGGCTAGTCCCTTGTTCTACGCCGATGACTGGTCGCAGCTTCCCCCTGCCCTCGTGATGGTGGGCGAGCTGGACGTGTTGCGGACCGAGGGCGAACAGTATGCTGAGAAGCTTCAGAAGGCGGGCGTGGCGGTAGACTTACAGGTGATGAAGGGCATGCCACATCCATTCCTCGCGATGGACGGCGTACTCTCCGAGGGGAAAAGGTGTATCACATTGATGTGCGATGCTTTGCAAAAGGCGTTCTGGGGCTAATTGGGATGAAGCTGTGTAATAGACTTGATTTGATAGATTCTCAAATTTACCCAAGAACTTGATTTAGCAAGCGTTCTTGCCTGCATGTCAAACTCCGCCTGCTTTTCAGCGGCTAGCTACTCAGCCTTGCCACGACATGTGCAACATGATTCTCCATCAGTCCAGACCCTTGAATACATCGTCGAACCGCAGTTCATTCCACCGCACATTGGGCTTGAGGCCGGCAAACTTCCACACTCCGTTGACCTTTCGGTAGTAGTGCTCGTTGGTGGCGTGGCCGTGCCCACGAAGCTTGACCTCTTTTAAATCCGCATCGGTATACACCTGGTGCGCTGCACGAAGCTGGTGATGACCGATAACCTCAGTGTCGGAGATCTTCTCCCACCAAGTTTGACCAAGCAAGTGCTGTGTCTTTACAGTGGGGTCACCCAGAAATCCAGGGTGAGTCACCATGGCCATATAATCATCCGCTGACATGTCGTCCCATCTTCGGAGTCCAATCTTGGTGTAGTCCACCTATAATTGTGGGTATCAGCCTTTTTTGTCATTGTGAACAAGTAAATCATTTCCTACCGTCAAAGTTGGAGCAATTATGCTGCGCAGACGATCCCAGTCCTAGCAAGCGATTTTAGTTCCTAATGACCTTTTATCTTTGCTAGCGGTCATATACCTTGGCATCATAGCTATCTGCCCAGTCGAAAACGAGCTTTGACAAGACCAGGTAGTCTGCAATGGTTAGCGAGCACCATCAAATAGCATGTTGCAATTTTGATACTAACCTTGGAAGCTAATGTCCAGATTAGGCTCTTGGTTCTTAATAGCAGGAGACATAATGATTTGGGTGATCGATAATTTACTAAAGGGGAGCGCAAAATAAAGTATTACCTCTGGGGGTATATCTATCGATTCTCGTGGCCACAACTCAACCTTCCGGATGCAGCGCGAACCACAAATAGGATTGTTGGATACAAGGAATGCAACATGACCCTGTTGATGTGACCTGATGGCCAGGCGTAAAGCCGGCTGTCGTGGAGGCGCTTCCGCATGCGGCAATCATTCCACGCCCTAGACCATCAACTACTCGAAAGCAGGTTGACCTTTACAAAACATCGAAAGGCTGCATTCATTTAAAATGTTCAGGCTGTAATTATGCTTTCGACTCGAAATATATTCTACGTCCTGTCGCCCTGAAAGAGTTTTTTTTTCTTTCTCCATTTTACTATCTGTTCACATTACACAATTCCACTTTCGCCCAGGCCCAGCAATCTCATCAACATGGTTGCTCCACTATCCCAGACTGGCCCTGCCGAACTGGCGGGCAAGGTTGCTCTAGTCACCGGTGGCAGTCGGGGTATTGGTTCGGGAATCGCGTTGGAGCTCGCCAAGAAAGGTGCCTCGGTGGCTATTAACTACGCCCGGGACCCCGTCTCTGCCGAAAAGATTGTCCAGGAGATCCAGGCCATGGGCAACCGCGCGGCTGCTTTCCAGGCCAATTTAACCCAAGTCGACTCGATTGAGACCCTGTTTCAGCAAGTCGTGGCGCATTTCGGGCAACTTGATATTGTTGTTTCCAACTCTGGAACTGAAAAGTTTGTCTCGCTCGCCGATACCACCCTTGATGATTTCAACGAAGTGTTCGATCTCAACACCCGTGCTCAGTTCTTCGTGGCTCAGAATGCCTATAAATACATCCAGCCCGGCGGCCGAGTGGTGCTGATGTCGTCGATCGCTGCGGGAGTCGGTGTTCCGGGTCATTCCTTGTATGCCGGCAGCAAGAGTGCGATCGAGGGCTTCACTCGCTGCTTTGCCGCTGATTTCGGGAAGAAGCGATGCACCGTCAACGCCATCGCCCCAGCTGGCGTGAAGAGTGATATGTGGTTGAAGAACTCGTGGCGTTATGCGCCTGGCTGCGACCAGAGCTCATCCCTCGAGGAGATCGAACAAGCTCTAGCCAGCGGTAGTCCCTTAAAGCGGTGCGGCGTGCCGGCCGACATTGGCCGAGTCGTGGCATTTCTGGCCAGTCCAGGAGGGGAATGGATCAACGGTAAGTTGCAAAATGCAGAAACATAGCCCTGGCCCCTGGGATTCGGACTAATTGGTATGCAGGTCAAATCTTGCCGCTCAATGGAGGTGCCAACATTTGATGGAATATGTGACATGTTGCCAACTGGCATCTTTTCTTTTGCATCCGGGCGACTCTCGCATTTGAACTTTCGAGTATGGGTCTGGATTTTATGTATGAATTGTCCGGTATGGATTGTGCGAAATTAGTGCGAACCCTTGCAAAGCCATGGAATACTTTTGATGCAAATAATCCATATCTCACCTAAACCATCTCTGGCATACTCATCCTCCCCCTCACAGTTAGCAAAGGGGAAGCCGGGTTCTACTCATCTCCTTACCCAATTCAAGTCGCCTCATTTGAGGAAATCGGAGCAGTGTGAATTTAATTTGTAATTTCATTTCGGTCATCAAAATACGTTATAAAAATCCTTCGCCCCGTAAGGACCCTATGAGGAGTGTCAGATTGTTGGTGCATCGACCATTTCACCTTCTTAATATGCGACTGAGTAAAGTGGCCTGGGCATTGTCAATTTCAACGATGATGGCAACGGAAATGACCAAGGTGACCAAAATGATCTAGACGAAGTCAATGTGAGACTCTCCCAAGCATTCACAGGAGATGTAACCTACCGCAAAAAGTAGGATCCCCACTGAATTGAGCTCCCAGCCTCCGGCATGAATTTTCCCTAGAGAAATGGCGTTTTGTTGTCTCCAAAATCGAAAGGCCCCGATCAGGGCGACGAGAACAGCCACGCCGTAGCAAGAGACGGCAAGCGGAATGCCGACTTGGTAGAATCGCAGCCGGTCCTCGTCCGATGGGGCACGTTGGAGGCGGAACAGCTGCGCAATCACCACCCCTTGCATTGCAATAACCACCGAGGTACGGATATAAGCGAGGAATGTTCTCTCCAATGCTATATTTCCGATCAGTACCAACCACTGATGCTCTGCATGATGTGGGTGATATACTGACCATAATGGTCCCTGTTGCTTTTCCGCGGCACCGTAAGGGTGACATTATGGGTCCAAAGTCGACAGATGCGGCTCCACAGCCCCGTTCGATCGTGGTGGGAGCGTTGGGTCGTGACGCGAGATATCGTTCGCCGGGTCGTGACTCGATACTCGTCCCCGGACGAGGCAGATGGTGAGGAATAATCCAACTCGTTATCCTCGCGGGTTTGGATCTCATGTAGCTCGAGCGCTTCGCGATCGTCCCGATGAGGCGGAGACGGTGGTCGGGTCTCCCTCAAAACAGCACTGATGGGTCTTTCTAAAGACGGCAACGGAGCACTTGATTCTGTCATACTGGAAAGCAGCAGCTATCGGGAGTGGCATGGCTATCGCAGAAATTGCCAGGTTGGAGGGGGTCAAAGCAAGTTCTGGGGAATGATCCCCGGATCGGCTGGAGCCGAATTGTCCGCCAAATACCATTCATCCCTATTCCACCAAATTCATCGTCCATAGGATGTTGCAAGAGTCAAATTACTACGGAGCATAGTAAACGGAATCGTCGATTTTATTCTTTAAATATTTCAGGTGACACTGCATCGGCTTGGTACCTAGATCAATTGACCAATCAGGGCATTGCAAACATCAATTGCATCATTCATGGTTCGGATGTTGAAATGTGCCGCCAATGGCGGTGCTTAAGGCACATTAAGCATATTAGCATACAAGTGCTTGATACGAAGAGTACTTCAGGCAGTGTTACTAAGCAGACATTCTACCAAGTTCTAGTATTCTAATCTGTTGAATCCTCAAGTGCTCGTTGTCTAGTTGTCATTCTGTGGACTCATACCTTGGAAGTTGGAAGCTACGAAGAATAAGGCCAGGGTTCTTGGTGTATTTATGTGCACCTTTATATCCTAGTGATTACCCTTGGAAGGTTACCTCCTTTTCATGATAGATAACATTTCCGCTCGTCTCCAACGCCATCTGTGTATTTACAGAGGTCTACATGGCCCTCGGGACTCGGGACCCTTAAGATGAGGCGCCCGAGAAGGGTTCTGGGATTGTTGTCAGGAATTCGGTCATTAAAACTACATGGGTTACCTCCGAAGACTCAAAGCTGAAAGCAAATTGTTTTGGATTTCAATCCCCATGAGGATCAGCTCAACGTGATTTTCGTGATAACGACTATCTGAGGCACCCTTTCCTATTCCAGCCTAGCGCCACTCTCCCCAGAAATTCTGGTCGCAATCAACGGTAACCTGAATCTTTGAAGCCCACACGATGCGACATCCCAAGCGAGTTTTGGGGCTCTTCGGCTCTCCATTACCTCAGAGACTACCCGTTAAACCATGCATCCGAACACTCACCCCCCGTTTCCAAAGCTCGTCCTCCGATGATAGCCAACCCACGCGTCCGGAGCATGCCAACCTGAACAGCCAGTCGATCAAAACCACCCGCCGCTGGCCGAAGAAACGCAAAGAAGCCTCGAAAGTACCGATTGGGGTAGACTCCCTCGGTGAACCCGGTGAAATATTTCTCGTACCTCCCAAAGACGTGAAGGCGAGGCGCGGTCGCAAACATTTTGAGAGAGGAGGACCCATACCGCAAGAGGGTGAAGGTTCACTCTCCTCGATCCTAGACGATCTCGCTGATGAGGCATCTATCATGACCGCGGAGCTGGTTTGGAAAAGATTGGAAAGTCTTCAGACTTATCGACCTAAACAAAAGCTGCCCGCCCGCAATTGGGAGGACCTTCTTTCGACCGTGGAATCATCCTTTACCTTCGTGCAGCTGTCTGATTACCTGGCTCAACATAACGACGGCGACTCCACAATTGAAAATAACATTGGGGCATGGCGACCGGGGACATCCGTGTTTTTGGAGCACGGCCGGCGGCAGGGAAACCAGACCAAAAAGTCTGTGTTGGTGGAACGTATTCTTCGAGAATGTTGGCAGCTCTCTGTCATGGATGAGGTGGGCCAGTTGGATCTTAGTCTACCTCCTCTTCACATCAACCTACTGCTGGCAGCCAATGACTTCTCCTTCGATGAAGTGGCCAGCCTCCACAAGTCTAGTATTGACATCACTCAGTCTCTAGGGCTGGTGCGAATTACGGGACCCCAAACCGCCTGCGAATCAACTCTCGAAGTCATCTCAGATGCCACCACTAGAATTCGGGAGGAAGAGGTTGGGATTGACTTCGCCACCGCTGGCTCGCGGCTTACCCCGAGCTTCATTGACTGGGTTTGCCAAACATACAGTGTTGCCATAGACCAACATGCCATGCAGGCTCCAGCGAAGATTCTCTATCTCATCGAGAACAAACAGGGCGCCGAGGATGCCCGGAGGACACTAGGCTTAGCAGCTCATGATGCCAATTCGACACCCCGACCGTTCTCCACATACCTCTCAGCCTCCGAGCCGGCAAATATATACGATTATACCCCCGAGGCCAGTGCCAACTGGTTTGATCGACAAAAATCCTGGTTCCGATGGGCGATGCCTGCGGTTCAAACCACTGCCACCGAAACTCAACCGACCCCCTATTTTGACGGCCACCAAAGTCGGCTCTCCGACGAGTTGCTCAAGCTGCTTCGGAACCGACCCGGTGCAAAGCCACCGTCTCCCGGTGGGTCCGTCGTTCATGAATCGGTGACCGTCGCAGTTGGAAGGTGTCTATTTGGCCGGAAGCCTGCGTTTGACGAGACAGTGATCAGCGCCTCACAGCTTGGAAAGCTTTCTTTGCCGCGAACTTTTGTACCTGATGTACCTCGAATCAAGCCTTTCTTGGACTCTCTTGCCCCAGTCAATCCAGAGCATGGGGTCCCGACTCATGTTGTTCGGCTAATCCCATTCCCTGGATCGTCTGGTAATCTTCCAGAGTTAGACGTGGAATTTGTTCCCAGACCTGCCAATGGTTTGGAACAGTCCCAGGGCGCGATTGACATCAAGAGGGTCAAGTTTGTCATTGATACAAACAGTGTTGACTATCTTCTCCCGGAAACCGGACTTGATCTACGCTTTACGCGCACTCTCTACTCCCAGGTCTCGACTGATACTACCACGGACCCCGCAGAGTATGAAGAGCTTTTGAACAGCATTAGACAACCCCTTCATGACACCTTCATCTCTCGATCAGGCGACGAGAGATCCGCTTCTCTCCCTGCATTTGGTCACATATGCCTAGCCAACAATATTTTCCAGGCTGGCCCTGTCGAGTACATGTTCCCGCCATTCAATGACGCCCGAGGAGCTGCTGCTCGACGATATGACTTTGATGGTAGACAGTTAAGCTACCGCTTCTATGAAAGTGGACCATTCCTTGCCGCGAGATCAACTGAAGTTTCCCTCGACATGGATATACCCCAGGACGCCATGCACTCAGTGGAAGGGGAATTCCAGGACGCCGTGGAACAAAATTTCCATTCCTTCTACAATGCGGCATGCGATATGGCGTTCAAAATCCACAAGGCAAGATATCTGGACGAGCACGACGCCTAGACCATTTCGATTCAATTATGTATAACTACAATCTCCAATTAAATAGATGAAAAGTGCCCTCTTTCCAAAGGGCTGTATAATATAATCATGATGAAGGATCATGAAAGAAATTCAATGTTTCCTTGGTCTTGGTGATCCTTACCTTTAATGTCATCGTCGTTAGGATTGGAATGCCTAGCGTTTTGTTATCTTTGATCTCGACAAGATTGTGGTTTAAGGAATAGTGGAAATTATCGTTTGGGGTTGAAGGCCTTGATCCACGTATTACTGGACTTCCGTACCCATCGTCAACGTCAACCTTCGGGTCTCACCTCCATCAAGTCGAACCACCGAGTGGATCTTTGTTTCGGATCTGTGAAAGCCCCACGTTGATTTTAATCAGATAGCGAGCCTTCCACAGAAAAGACTCTCCATCGGTCATTTTTCGGAGAATGTGGGCCCAATGGCAGTATTTGAGACATGTCCACACACAATCGACTCTCAACCGTGTCAATCTTTACCACATTCACTACTTTATTATACCATATGAAAAACCCACCTGCTAGTGGATCCTTGAGCCCTCAAGGCCTGAAAGCTAGAGTTAAACTGAAACAACAGTACCTGGGAGAACTGATCAAGGAACGGGGATGTGTCTTGACGATCAGGGGCTCCACCGATATAAATTAGGTATTCATGAAGCAATGACGGCAGAAGATCGTCAAACCAGTTGCACAGAACGGTATAGACTCTCACTGATAATTGCAGGTCTACTCAAGTTCAAACAAAGCCAAGATCGTTTGTCAATCTGTGACGATGGCAAATGGGCCTAGGGGCATACAATAAGTTATAACTGAGTCGACATCTCTCAATCATGGTTACAGCTGGCAATCAGTCTCTCCTTTGCTATTTTCTCCCTAGTTTTTTTTTGTTGCTGTTTTAAAAGGTGAAACCAGCTGCTGGTCCAGTCATTCCTTTCTTGTTTCCCATTCTTTACAGCATGCCACTCTCTCGGTCGCTTTTGGCCGCGGTTGTGCTTCTGGGTGCCACTGTTCAAGCCACCGCAGTCTCGGGCACCGCAATCGGATTTGCAACTGGCACCACGGGTGGTGGTGATGCGACCGCCGCTGCTCCGAGTGACATTACGGAGCTTACGGAGTGGTTGACTGACAGCACCCCTCGGGTGATTTTGATCGATAAAGAGTTCAACTATCTCGAGAGCCAGGGAAAATGTACCGACTGCAAGTGCTGCATTCCCTCCTCCAACACGTGCGGAAGCTCTGGTCAGAATGCCATCGACGACTCGGACTGGTGCGGTGACTACCCTACGACAACATGCGCATACGATAAGGCGGCTATCGAAGGTATTAATGTGGCCTCAAACAAGTCTATCGTGGGTGTCGGCAGCGCCGGTGTCATTCGTGGTAAGGGGCTGCGGATGGAGAACGGTGTTAGCAACGTCATCATCCAAAACATTCACATTACCGAGTTGAACCCTCAGTATATCTGGGGTGGTGATGCCATCACTCTCGACGGCACAGACCAGATTTGGATCGATCATGTCAAGATTTCCCTCATCGGTCGCCAAATGTTCGTTGCGGGTTACAAGGCTAGTAGGTATTGATATAATTGTGTCTAAAGTCTATGAAGGTTGACAAGTTTGTTCTAGGCGGCCGCGTCACAATCTCGAACTGTGAATTTGATGGTCAGACTAGCTGGTCTGCAACCTGTGATGGCCACCACTACTGGACTATGTGAGATCATGACCTTCGACTATCAGACCTTGGACTAATGACTTCCTCTAGTCTAGGATACGGCAAAAATGATAAGGTGACTTTTACCGGAAATTACATCCATCATACTTCGGGTCGATCCCCCAAGCTCGAGTTCAACAGCTACTGGCACACCTATAACAATTACTGGTTCAACAACACTGGCCATGCTTTCGATGTCGGTGATGGAACAAACGCTTTGATTGAAGGCAACGTCTTCCACCAGGTTGACACGCCTTTCCTCACGGACAGCAGTCCCGGCGAGTCCTACGCAGTGAGCTCTAGTGATAAGTCTACCTGTGACTCTAAGCTCGGCCGAACCTGTGCTGTCAATAGCCTGGTCTCGTCTGGAAGTCTCTCAGCCAGTGACGAGTCCGTCCTGTCTAGCTGGCCGAGTGGCGAGTCTGGCATCACTGTTACGAGCGCCAGCCGGGTGAGATCCTCGGTTCTCAGCAATGCTGGAATCGGCAAGCTGAGCAGCAGCTCTTCCAAGCGACAGGTTCAGCCTGTTCCTTATGTTCCTGCCCACTCCCAGGCCGGCCCCGGTGCTACACCAGTCAGCGAGCCCCACAAGTGGACTTGGAAGACTGTGGGCGTCAAGCCTACCAAAGCCCCGCAGCCTGGCGCTAACTGAGGCTAGAGAGTGTATCATAAAGATTGATATTTCTCAGGCATGACTTCTAGGTCATTTGACTCCCGGTCACCTGAATTACCACATGTCTCGTAGCTAGATCATTTTACTTCTTGCACACCTCATTAACCAATCATATTTCACTACGCCTAGTACTCCTGACATTTTCTTTTTCCATTGTCTACACCATGAAAGTTTATGTATTCCGATAAATAAGGCATGGATAGAACTATACATATACATCTAGCATTTGCGGTTTGAATCCATTAGGATTTCCCGTGTTCATCATGAAGTTCATATTCCATCAGCAATTAACAAGACCCATGAAAGCGAGGGTCAGGGTGAACGATACACACATAGCTGTACCTACAGACCCTCTGTCTTTTGTTAGGTGTAGCTTCCAAGCGTAGCTACATGTTGGACTTGTCTTATTCCAAGGTTTGGGATCTTGAGCACAAAACCTTCATATGCGAGGTCAACTTGAGATAAATGGCTAGTCTCTTGATTGCCTTCTTCAGACAACGCTCAGATGTGATAAAATGGAGTGAATAAAAAGATATACTAAACAGTCCTACACAGTGATTCGCTACAGTGCATGATCGACGTCTTTCATATTAGGAGCCGAGCGGTAGCAATAAAATGAATCTCGTATTTAAAGTACTTAGTGGAGACCATACATGCCAATAAAAGATATCCATTTATGCAGCAGTGTCTGTATTACATGTCCAGAATTCGTACAATGCAAATTTGTATTTGAACAACCTAGATGATCTTTACCCAATGCCGAGGTCCTTCTCTGCCTTGACTAGTGCAATACTGAATATCTTACAGAAGCGAAGAGACTAATAAGGACCGCAAATATGATGAGTTGTCACTTCTACCACCTCTCCATGAATAATTAGTAGAAGTTCTGGCCCCCATGTTGCCAGTTCTAAAACAAAGTAAACGCCCGTGGATTGATTCAATCAACCTCATCATTCCATCTCAGGTAGGCATGGACGGTGATCAGCTATATAATCTACTGACTTCCTTCGTCTTTTCATAGCATCTCCATTCAATGAAATATGGCTTTGCACAACATTCATGATCTCGTCGCATGATTAGGATACCGTACAATGTGAGAAGAACTGGGTCGGAATGGCATATATCTCGGGCCTTTTTCATCTCTCACTGACAGCTATGGGGAAGTTTAATGATTTGATTCGAGCCTGCTTCTTGATACTTGCTATTCAGCTTTGTATATATTGAACCATAAGGTCACACCTCGCAGGCTGTCATGTTGACAATCTCGGCCGTGTGGTATAATTTTTGTCCTTGCCCGAGCCTCTTCATTTCCTTGACCGTAGGTATTCTCGAGACTTGCATTTCATACGATAGTGTCCTTGTAATGCCTTGAAAGTCCAGATATCCATCATGGTGGCCGACCTGTCTGGTGTTCCAGATTAATTGTAACAAAAGGTTATCATGAAATCTTTGAGTGACCATCGAGGCCATGTTAAAGAGACTCAAACATCCTGCTTGTCCAGTTCAATCCCCCGAAGAATGAATTGATGTCTGGTGCGCCGCGACTAGATGTAGCTCTCGGGAATAGGCGTGTTTGGGCTAAGGCTCGATGCTGTCGAGTGAGGGAGGGTGAAGGATTTGTGGTTCTTCTTATGTTGAAATTGTTCATCAAGGCATGAAGGTCCATCACCCAGTGTATGTCCACTGAGAGGAGCCTGATGGGATAAATGCTTCCCGGACATCATGAAGGCCCTCTAAATGGAAATCTGGACCATCAGGGAATGAACACGATCCAATTGTAAAGCCGGCCTCGGGGTCGACAGGAAGCCAGTTGGAGGTCTTGCGAGATGAGCCATCGGGCATTTCCAGCATCGTGGGGCAGACCTCATCATCTGTCTTCCAAGCGGTACAGTCCGGAAGCCAGCCTGTTGCCAGCGGACCATGAATAGCTGAGCTGCTCTCAGACATAGCATCCGATAACGGCGATGCGCCTCTGTCTTCATATCGGCTGTAGGGAGCCTGGATGTTCTCGGGTGTGCTGGAGTGATCGGATATAGGTGAATCTGGAAAAGTGGACACCGATAAAGCATGCACAGAGGGAGTCATGAAGAGGGCCCTTTCGGCTGCCACGCGCGACAGCGTGTTCTGCCTTTCTACTTGATCTGAATTTGGAAAGGGGCTGATGGGTATTTGGTAGTCAGGCATCCAGGAGCTTTTGGGCAACTTGTTAGCAAATCTTCCATATGCTCTCTTCAGCATGAACTAACCCTGCCATGTCCAAGTTCCTTTCTTCGTCAAGGGTTGCGGCATAGGGCCCATCATAGAGCTGCCAGGATTGGACAAAATCGCTGGAAGGCTTCAAAGCCATGTCACCACTCCAGTCGTAATTTTCCAAAGCCCATGGATCAGGCTCGCCTTGAAGCACAATGGGAAAGCCATGGGCTCTGGGGTCCTGCTCCGCCTTCTCATATCCTTGAACATTGTTGGCCATACTTGAGGTTTTCTGGCTCTTGGGGTGAACCTGTTGCCAGTATTCCAGGCTGTAGGAGAGGTTGGGTGCCGTCATGGTTGGGCAATTCACTCACTGCGGTGAGGTATACGGATCGCGCGAATTTGTTTTGCGTGATCAGCAGAGAAAAAAGAAAAAAAACTATTAATCCGTTCCCCGCAAATCCGGGGCATCCTGGTGTACTTAAAAAGAATTTGCGGAGAACAAGCGACTTCGAAAGCTCCGAAGCGAGCTAGAGCTCACCTGGTTCTCGGCAAATTACAAAAAAGAACCCTGCACCGCATGATCCCATGGATTTATCCGATCTTTCCCCGGATTCTTGTCCTTCTTGTCCAAGCGGATCGGACCGAGTCCAGTCAGCACCAATCGGTGCATTCCCCTCGGCATCGGTAACGATGAAATCTCTTTTAACCGACCAGCCCCGCAGATTGTGGAGGTCAAGGAGATGAGCAGGAGCATTCCCCTTGTGATCCTAACGTTGATTCACATCGTGCATACGGTTCCTGGTAAACTACGCAAGGTACAATATCCACGACGTTCATAGGTGTCTTGCAGACCACACCATTTGACAGTGCGATGTGGCCGGAGTAATTCATATCCACCTCCATATCAACCGACTTGAAGAGATCCAACATAGATCAAACCTGGCTGACCCTTGCTATTTCGCCTATTTGGCCTTGAATGCATACGCAAGCAGCGGTCATTGCCACAACTCAAAGTACCATTGTAAACTCCATATCCCAGTCGTCGGTGATACTCAGCTGATCACCTAGAGTGGCTGATCGTCTGGATTCAGATTTATTGGCTTCGCACGGTGGTCAAATTTCTAGAGCGAAGAGCCGAGCGATATGAAAGTGGACACCCCGATGCAATCTCGGTAAAAAAAAGTCATTAGTCATTAAGTAAGCTCTAAGCTATAGTCTAGTATCTAGGACTGGCTTAGGAGTGTGAGATCGTGGAAGGAATGGACTCATCGTCCGTTGCGGTCGCTTTTTTCCGTCCAATATAAGTCTGCACCCCAAGCACTGCTGCTTGCATCCACGACACTCCTGCTAACACACAGATAGCGGTCAAGCCCTTCAGGTACTTGGGTGCGTCTTCAGTCCGGAAGATCTGCGAGCCAGAAATTCCCGCACAGTTGGCTCCCATTATAATCAGTCTGAAGAAACGTCAGTGCTCCGATTTCATGACAATAGACGATTCTGGGTGGGTAGACTTACGCCATGGCAACACTTCGCTCTTGGGGAGTTCGGCAGTAGATGGACAACCAACCGACATTGAGAATGCTACATTCAAGTCAGTATTAAACCTCAGGTAGCCAGTCAGGGATAAACATACTGCATGCTACAGTATGACACATTACTTATAGCAAGGACTCCATAACGGTGCCACTTGCCAGAATCATACAAGTCTGTACGCAAGCAGACGTAGGAAATCACATTCCAGGTAATGGCAATCAACACAAATGGACCACGGTGACCAAGGCGATCCCTACCTCCAGGTTAGTGAGGCCCAAAGACAATTCAAATCGATTTTGACTTACGCAAGGAATGACAAGATTGTCAACCAGACGATACCGCAGTAGACCGGGACAGACGCTAGGGCATTGGCCTTGACTGATCCGAATCCGAACGACTTGATCATGGTAGGGGTGTATTGGGTCAGCCCCTGGAAAGCGGACATGGATACCAGCGTCAACAGCACGTGCTGCATGATGCGTGGGTTTTTGAGGGCTCGTCCGACATCCGATTTGGAGATCTGAATGTGGCCCCGAGCCTTCTTAGGGTCGTCTAGCAAGACCCGATTGCGCATGATCTGCGATTCTCTCTCGGTGAAGTAGCTCCAGCGACCAAAAGAAATCAGTGGACGACCATCACCTACACTGGGCGGGACCAAGAGTGTAAATACGATGCCGATAAACAGAGTGATGACACCCTCGACTAGTCATTGATGTTAGTAAGATGTTGACTTAAGACAGGAATGGCTTACTCACTGAGAAAAATCCATCTCCAACCGGCCATGCCATTTACGCCACTAAGCTTGAGTACACCGGCAGAGATTAGACTTGAAGTCGCAGAAGCAAACATTTGGCCATAGAAGAACAGGCTAGTCCGAAGGCTGGTTTCGTCCTTCTTATACCATGTGGAAAGGTAATATAGCGCGCCTATCCAAAATAAACTATCAGTCCCCTGGCACGAGTATGCATCATCAACAAGAGCGCTTACCTGGAATAAATCCGCCTTCACAAAGACCAAGTAGTATGCGCGTCACTAGGTATGCCGGATAAGACTGCACAAAGGCCTGGAAGGTAGCGACCAGTCCCCAGGCGAACAATTGACCCGATAGCCATGTGCGGGGTCCGATACGTTGCAGAAGGAAGTTCGATGGAATTTCTGAGAGAACAATGCCGGCCGACATGAGTTGAGTGCCGATATTTACTTGGTTGGTGGTGATGCCGAGATCTTCGGTGATGGTTGAGGTGAGGACAGCACTGATGTTGCCACGGTCAAGTTGCAGGGAGAAGAAGGCAAGAGCAAGAGTAGGGATTAAGATAAAGTCAATCCTATTGGATTCAAATCGTTAGCTCCTGAGACTCCAGATGCTAAAGGTCCAAAGCCACGTACTTGCGTCGAACTGCCGACTCTTCCTTATCCCAGTCCTTGATGATGCCATGTTCGACTTCACTTGGAGGAGCGTCAATGACCTTTTCTTCAACTCCATTCTTTTCTGATGGGAAGTCTTGGTCCATAATAGTGTTTTCGGCTCAGTCAAGCAAAATGAGACCGACACTGTGAGGGGTTTCAATGTCTGGCTTGATAGAATGCGTGGGGATAGCTTCAACGGTGGGAGCATGGGGATTTTATACGAAAAAAATCTCCCAGTCCCTTATCATGGATTGCGTATGTTGTTGTATATGCAGCATCTAGTTTCCACCAAAACCTGTCATTGTGGCCCCGTTCACCGTCGCGACACGGCGGGAAGGTATGGCGCAATCATGGCGCCCTTGACGTGCAAGTATCGGCCCCATTTTTTTTTTGGCTATGGATATTATCATTGCCGAGCGTATAGAAAACTGAATAAAGAATATGGAAAATAAATTTACGAACATCCGGATTAAGTCAGGGATTACCGAAACGTACGCCATGGATGTGGCCAACGAATCATGTTTGTGGTCGCTTTCCATCTATGAAAGGAAAGAACAAGATTCTCTCCTTGGACAGACTTTCTACTTGTTGATCTTGAAATCAGATTCAAACAGTTGGTCATTTCATTGCTATATAGCCATATGTTTACAATGGTCAATGTACATGCTAGATATTTCATGGTTTACACCCAGGCATCCCAAGGAAGACCATGCCGAGTCGTCAACGGCGCCTGAGGGCCTTCTGCCTCAATGACGTATCCAGCGTCGCACCAATCGAACGAGACTTGAGGTTGTGCCTGATAAAACTGATCATACTTCTCATCGAGAGCATCTCGCAAGGTATGAATAGAGTGCTGAGGCTGGAGCACCTTCCATGGCTCGATGCAAGTAAATCCCTGGCACGATTTCAAAACGAGCAGGAGAGCATCAAGTCGGCTGATAGCTTGTGACAGGGTTCGCCCCAAAAGGTGAGGCTCATTTTCGCAAAGACCAGAGCCACTGGGATATAGATTGTGTAATTGGTATGGATCAGTCTGTTCAGCAAGATCAGTACACCGAGCCAGATCCGTTGTGAATCAAAACTCACTGATAGGTCATAAAGTTCGTGCTCGTTATTGCACCACACGGAATAATATAGGTTATAGTCGTCTCCCAGTAGGCGAACTGACTTATATGTGTTATTTGGGATGAAGATGCCACCATCCATACCTAAAAGGGTCTGGATCAGCCTCTATGCATCGGTCAAAAGAAAAATAAAAAGTCCAATGCGCGCAAAACATACCAATCTGGCTGAAGTCACCTTCGAACACTGCCTTCCCCCAGAATTCGACAGTAACATGCTCGTGTCGGGGTCCCGCATGGTCAGGGGTCAAGGGGATGGCGGTTCCATCGAAGTCATCACGGTGGGGAATGCCGGCGAGATGAAAAATGGTCGGGGCGAGGTCAATATGTGTTGTCACCGAATTTTGCACATATCCCTCCGGAATACCGGGACCACGGATGAATAGTGGGACACGGATATCCTCCTCAAAGCCACAAGTCTTGCCCGGCGGCAACCGATGCTGTCCGATGTGGAACCCGTTGTCGGAGGTGTAGATAACATAGGTGTTGTCCAGCTGGTCACTCTCTTCTAGGCGGGTAACAAGCGAATCCACTAGCTCGTCAACACTCTGTAGAGCCTGTAGGCGCGAACGATAATAGAAATCCCCATAATCGATGATCGATTGGTTCTGTTGTGGTAGATCACGAATCCAACTGACTCCGCTAGGCTATAGTCAGGTTAACAAAATGTTCGTTGGTGGTAGATTTGCGTGAGACGCACCTCGTCTGGGTTGAAATGGTCAGTCCGAGGCACCTTCACATCGGGGAACAGATGCCGATGTCTTTCTAATGGGATCGGTGCACCCATAACAAGTTGATCTGACCGATCCAGCGCGTGTGGATCCACATTCGAGTGGGGAGCAATGGGGGCGACCGTGACAAAGAAAGGGCGGTCCCCTTCCAAAGCATCATCTAGAAAGCCTAGAGCTTTGCCAGTGATGACATCCATCGTGTGTTGACCTTCATAGCTCACGGGCGGATCTTGATTGCGTTGATAGGTAGAATTGAGGTAGGAATAGGTGAATGGATCGAGCAAGAAATCGGAACCGTTGAATCCGTTGACGTAAGGACTGTCGTAGTTCCCGACAGTGTGCGCGTTGAATAGTTTACCCGTGTAGTAGGTGTCGTACCCAGCCTCTTGCAGCCAGACCGGCAAGAAGTTGTCATTGAATCCGCGGTCCACGAACTTAGGATATCCACCTAATTTGGTCAGTCCAGAATATATCTGTTTGCACTAAGCAGGACTACTGACCATAGGGCGGGTTGACATCTGTCACATTGGTGTTGTGTGCTTGTCGTCCAGTCCACAAGCTGACCCGCGAGGGACAGCAGAGAGCCGTGGTCACAAAGTGATTGCTGAAGAATGTGCCCTTGTCGCGCATATGCTTCAGAATGTGCGGTGTGTACAAAAGGGAGTCAAGTTGCAGGTCTTGGTCGTCTGTGATCACGAACAGAACGTTCGGCGGTTTGGATGATTTCAACGGTCGCGACTGCGCTATGCTGAGCACCGATTGAAGGACATTCTGCACATCCATTGCATTTCCGATGGCAGCGCCCTCGGCGGCCACAATGAGCCCGGCAATGGCGGTGAGCAGCTTCATTCTGGAGGGGCTTAATGTGTGAAGCCAAAAGATTGGAGTGGTCGCAACCTTGACGGTGACGCGTGTCGATCATGGCTCTTGCAACTGATAGCTGACAAACTTCCACGACTCGCAGTACATCTGCCGAACATCCAATGGTGCACGGTGAGATCTCGTGCTCGGCAAAAGTGGAGTGGGGAGCTTGATGATGCCATCAGTGGTTTCAATGGCGATCGGGGGATCCACTTTGAATCTCGATACTGTATCATTGTTTGAGTGGTTGTCAATTTAATGCCATGTGGTGCAAGGTTGCACGAGAAAGTTAATCTCGACATGAAGCCCGAAATGCATTTCCAGTAGTGTGTAGTGACACGATCAGAAAAATCCATCTCCTGAAAATAATGATGAGTCCATATCGTGCCATCTCCATGCTTCGAGAGTGGGTCCCCATTGCGTGCTTTGCGTGGCAGATGAGAACAGTTGAGTACATAGCTAGATTAAATGTCGCCATTTGGATCTTCTAATATCTAGAAGGATCGGATAATCCGAGACTCTGATTTCATTGTGGGTTCGCTATCCATGGATGACACTAGCCCACTTGGCATATAGATAGGAACCTTCTTTGCTCTATATTACCTAACTAATGAAACGCCAGAACCTTGCATTATAGGCCATTGAATACTGGTATATTATAGTTCAACTCGGAACTAAAGCTCCACGAGCCTCCCGACGCCACATGAAAAGAAAAACCATGTACAACCAAAGACCGTTATATATACAAAGGTTGCAGCCCCACTATGGGGTAGCGGTGCTCCTCCAGGAGCCGCCAGCAGTGGGGTCACAAAGCTAATCCAGTCCCTTTACGGGTCCATCGGTAGAGGGCTAGCACCGCCTTACGACGATGGCGGATTTCGCTGGGGTTAACGGGCCTGCCGCGAGCTTGAGCGACCGCGCTGCGCATCACCTGCCTAAAGCTTCGTTGGTATTCCGTATTGAGGGTGACCACGCAGGATTCCGTGGCACGAATCATGGTCTCACAGGCGTTGAGAATGCCCTCCCCTGCCTCCTTTTGCAATCGCTCCACGATTAGCAGTAGAAGAAAGCTTCCCTGGAGGAGCTGGATGCCAAAGAAGTAGGGCATGAAGCTGATGTCTGGGTCGAACCGCAGGATTTGCTGCACAGAATCCGCAGCTTCCAAGGCGTGCGAGATGGTGGATGCAAAGGCTGGCGAGGACGTCCAAAAGTCCTTGTCCTCGATCAAGGACACCGGGTCCCATTTACCAACGAGAAGAATATGGAGAACGTGGACCAAATAGGACGAATAGGCAATCACTGTTTGCGTATGCCACGAATACGCTTCAGATAACTTCGAGTCAACGGGCTCATCTAGCTTTGGGTTGAAGGCAGTCGACAGGGGTGCTTCGGGGTCAACAGTTGTGGCAGCGGCGAATGTGGTCAGGCTCGCCTTGTAGGTCTCAAGCTGCCGTAGCACCTCCGCGACATGGACCTCCCAGGCCTCCTTGCCTTGTAACCGCAGACCAAGGGTGGGGTGATTTCGCGCTTGATTCAGATCAATCAACTCCCCAGTGATGGTCATGAGCGGTAGAAAGAAGCCCAGAATAGAGTGATCATGACAGATGAAATTGGGAAAGACACGGCGCTTGTTTCGATCGCCTGATCGAGGACATTGAGGCCCATCGGAGCGAGGACTGTTGCTGTGAATATTCCCAGCCTGCCAGGAACCCTCGTCCAGGGGTAGAAGTAAGTCTTCACTTTCAGCGTCTAGGAGAGCTAGCGGCCGATTGTAACATAATGCCAGATGACGATCCATGATGTAGAGCAGCCACCAAGTGCGACGGCGTTCTTCGCGGTACTCCTCGGTCACTGTGAAGCTGTTCTGAGGATTCCGTGTTTCATCGCAGATACAGTTCAAACTTGGCCGTGATGGATTGGAATAGTCAAATGCAGGGCCTCCTGGGGAGCTCGCCCAGCTCCCTAAGGGGTATCCAAAGGATGGACTCGATCCATCGCTTTGGCCATCTACATTCGGCACAACTTCAATCTCCTGGTTGAGCTTCAGTTCTCGAGCTAGTGTGAAGGCCGCATGCCACCTGGAAACTCCGTTAGTCTAAGGCAGGGAGACAGTCAATATAATATGAATGACCTACCATCGCATGCTAGCAGCCTTCTGTTCACTGGAGGATATGATAGACGCGACATGTATATATGTGATTACATCATCGAGGGAGCCTGCTGGGCCTACGAGCCCCTTGTCATCGCCCACACCTTCGAACGGATGATGCGCTCCCGCCGCTGCGAAGTCTTGAGAGCCATTGGGATTCTCCGCGGACTCTTGGTCTTTGAATGAAACATGGATTAACGGTCGTAAGAGTCGAATCGTTAAAGCACACAAGAATTGACAAATTTTCCGTCGCTGGAGCGGAGAGATTGACAAAGAGAATGCACGATCATCGACCGCAGCGACCCAAAGCATACTGGCCAACAAGGCTGGGCTGCTCGGCCGAGGATGGTCGGTGCTCAAAAAGGAGGCCTTTCGTAAAACATAACAATGGATATGGTGACAAACGGGATGCATGTGTGTTGAAAAGGCACTTGTAAAATAAAGTTCAAGCAGATCGCCGACCAGTCGACGGGGCAAATTGGACCCCAGAAATGGCATGATGGGTTCCAGCACAGGGTATTTTAGGCCTGATCGCGAACTAGAGCCGTAGCTTTGGCCAGGAACGTTCGGCGCCGGCATAGATCGGGCTTGCGAGGGTTGTGGCGGATGGCCTGCCAAATCAAGTGGGTTCCAAACGTCCAACAAGCGTGGCAATGGCCCATCTCCTCCATTCACTCCACCCAGAAGCTCATACGAGTCTGGGGATAGATGAGCCGCCGATAGCCATTCCTCCGTTGTGTTGTTCGCTTCCGGCGCTGCTCGAGAAGGATGGTGGTCATCCGCCGCGGGATGTGGACCTTCAACGCTGGGTGCCGAGAGACTCGGTTCATTCGTCATTGGTGATCTGGGATGGAAGGACGATTCAGGCGAGCTTTGCAGCATTGGCGACAGCGCTGGCTGCATGAGGACTTTCTGATCTCCATTGGATCCCCTCGTGTAGTTTGAGGTAGAGGTAGACGCGGCAGCCCCAGTCTCTGGTTTGGAACGCGCGATCCGCCCTCGTTTTCTGCGCTCCCGCGTAAACTCACAGTGGGTGTCACTGCGCAGACAGCGGGAGCAGGGAAAAGCCCGGTCGCATCGAACGCGCCGAGTGTGACATGAATCGCACGCTACACGATTGCGACGCCATCGTCGTTTACCATTTGGAAGGTCATCCGGCGCGGGTGCAGAAGACTGCCGGTCCCCGGACTGGGCTTCCATGTCCGGGATTATTGCAGCGTCATGGACAAGATGAAGACATGGGGAAGAAGTTCGGGGGAGAAAGTTAAAGCGCGGGGAAATTGTGGCGGCTGTCTCAGCGGCAGCGCCAATCACGGGCGTTGCACTGCCCAGAGCACTATACTAGTTTCAAAATTTAATCTACAAAGTCGTTCGGTTTAGCCGATGCACAGATCAATGATTGTTTCCAGATCTCCCATGATTATTACCGGCCCACTACTTCTGCAGGGCCTTTTTATACCGCGTTAGTGCGCGATCCCGACACTCCGCGTGATTGACGATGGGCCGGGGATATCCATTTTTTTCAGCAATGGACCCAGCACCTCGTTCATATGGGTCATGGATCGCCTTGCCCTCCACATCCTTCAGCTCCGGGACCCAGTGTCGGATGTATTCCCCATCAGGATCGAATCGCTCACTCTGTCGCAAAGGATTGAAGATGCGAAAGTACGGTTGTGGATCAACACCGGTGCTAGAGCCAAATCCCCAGCCGCCATGATTGGATGCAAAGTCACCATCGATCAGGTTCTCCATGAAGTATCGCTCTCCCCGACGCCAATCAAGTAGTAGGTCTTTTGACAAGAAGGATGAAACCACCATCCTTGTCCTGTTGTGCATCCATGCACAATGGCGAAGTTGTCGCATCGCGGCATCCACGATGGGAAATCCGGTCTTACCATCGCACCAGGCCTGGAATTGATCCACATCATATTCCCACTCGATATTGGTATGTTCTGGTTTGAAACATTTATTCATACTGCAGTTATCATTAGCGTCTGGGGGAGCGAAAGGCAGTCAGGGCCATCTTACCAGATGAAAGGCCAATGGGTCAATACATGCTTGTAAAAGTCACGCCAGGCGACCTCGCTAATCCAAGTCATATAGCCCGCGTCATACCGGTCCAGATGGTTCTTGTTTGCTCTTTTTGCTGTCACTACTGCAGTGCGGGCGCTGATAGATCCGCAGGCGAAGTACGGACTCAGTATGGACGTGTGCGTCCCAGGCAGAACGCTGCGCATCTCGTCATACCGACGACCTTTTTCCTCCAGGAACTTCTCCAGTCGTTGAAGAGCCTCGTGCTCACCTGCGGGGTAGAGTTCTTCAAACCGTTTTCTCTCCTTGTCAGAAAGCTTTTTGTTCTCGGGCGCCTTTGGCAGCTTGCAATCAAAGAGGCCAGATAGCCTTTTCCGCGCATCACCCGGGTTCGAGCCAGGTTCCTCCGACAGCTCCAGATAATCTGGGTTCTCTTTCAAGAATGCGAGCCATGAGCGAAACCAGGGCGTGTACACGGCGTATTGCTTGCTTTGCTGGCTGCTCAGAGCACCTGGCGTGACTACACAGTTGTCGTGAGAGGGAGAGAAGTCGATATTGTTCTTAGCACACAGTCGCACAAGCTTAGCATCCCGACGCAGCTCGTCCACTTCATACTCAATATTAGCACATAAGTGCTTAGCCTCCCACTGTTGGCACAACTCCACAATACGGCCCGGGATGACTTTGCGCTTCTCCACGGTCTCCATGTAAAGGGGAATATCCAATTCGGAGAGGTCCTGCTGGAGCCGCTGCAAGGTGCGCAGAGTAAGATCTACCCGGGCTGGGCTGGTAATATGAGCAGTCAAATCCTCTGGGGACTGAATATAGAGGCAGATCAAGGGCAGCCCGTTCTCCTTGGCTATATCGAAGGCCATGCGAAGAGCCCGGTTGTCCTGTAGGCGCAGGTCACTCTTGAACCAATGCACCACCGCTTGTCCGGCTTCCGTAGAACGTCGGTGTTCTGCGGTATCCCGACACGCTTTCTCCAGGGTCTCGATCGGTCGTTCGAGGGTCCCATCAATGTAGGCCTGGCAGCGCTCATTTGCCATTTCCGGTGGATAGAAGTCGCGCAGAACGATCCCAAAGTCTTCGGTTTGTTGCGCATTGGGATGGGGAGACCGCAAGTCGGTCAATCGCTCTTTCTTGTGCGCGTGTTGGGTTGTTGCAACGTCCTGTTTGGTGTCTGCGTCGGGACTCTCGCTTTTAGTCGCCTTTCGCTTGCGGGGTGCCATTGGTGCAACTGGATTGAACAATCGAGTCGAAATGCTCGGTCGGCGAGCGAATGTGAAGATTTGAGTTGTCAATCGCGTACGCATCATTTATAGACGTGTCCCAACGACGCGTCCTGGCATTTTGTATGGGGATCGATCGATCGAAATTCCTGACGTCACCCGATCTAGGATCGCGCGGAACTGCAAACCCTGGCAGTAGCCATGGGGTTTCCATGGCTGCAAACTATGATAAACCTGCATGAACTGAAGATAACTCCAGCAGTCCAAATTGCTATCCCGTGACTTTCTGGGCATATACCTGTGCTTAGCTTCAGGATCCCCCTGATGATGATTGACACACATTTGAATCTTATTGGACTATTTTCTCGGAAGCAGAACCCTTGGAAAGGGGTCTACAGTAGTACACTTTCCCCCAAATTTCTTAAATTTCAGGATCTCCAAGGCCAATCAGCGGAAGAGCTTTAACATCCCTGCACCACGCATGGAGACAATGTTATAACCCCAGATCACGTCAAACCCTTCTTGTATCCACCAATTCAGGAGTTATACTTACTAAAAAATAAATAATATCTAGACGAAGATCATTAGGTCCACTAGCGAATCCCCCAGATCCCATTTCCCCATATCCCCGTAAACTAGTATCTTTCCCCGCGTAGAGTTCCAAGACCATGGAAGCAGTAACGTCGTAATCCCCCCAATAAAAGATCCATGGAACCAAAGTCATTAAGTCAACGGGGTTCCGTGCCAGTCTGCGTCCGTTTCATACACTAAAAAAATGAAAAAACCTTAACTCTGCTTTGACCGCATGGTCAATAGTCGAGACCATATTCTTCGTGCCTCAATTGATCGACCGTGCATGCCCCCTTCCATCGCACACATTCCTTTTGAACTCGGGGGTGTCCCTGTTGTCTTTTGGTTCACTCAAACCTGTGGAGCGATGTTCCCCCGTCGCTCATGTCGACTGTTAACGCTTCCGACATCGCGAACGCGCTGACACGCAAGTACGCCAACGGAGATCAAGTTCGCACCCACATCTTTGCGGCCTTTGCCGCCATCGCCTGGTATAATGCCATTGAACTCATAATCCTGTGCTTTGTCTCCTTCAAGCGACATCGCGGTTGCTACTTTTGGAGTTTGCTCATCGCCTCTTCCGCCATCATCCCACACTGCCTAGGCTATGTCCTTCTCTTCTTCCCTACAGGAGTCTCACCCTATGTCTGCGTCACATTGATTATCGTCGGCTGGATCGCCATGGTGACAGGCCAATCCATGGTACTCTGGTCTCGCCTCCATCTGGTCTTGCAAAATACAAAAGTACTGTGGGGGGTGTTATGGATGATCATCATCGATGCCGTCCTCTTCCATGTTCCCACCACCGTATTGCTCTATGGGACCGCCGCCGCGCCGAGCAGTGTCTGGGATAGTGGGTACAATATTATGGAGCGGATCCAGCTCGTTGGGTTCTGCATCCAGGAGCTGCTCATCTCTGGTATATACGTGTGGGAGACTGGGAAGCTGTTGCGGCTACGCCCGGAGGGCCGACCTCAAGGTATTCTCCATCAACTTCTTTTCATCAACATCATCATCCTTATCCTCGACGTCGCCATCGTCGCCATTGAATACGTTGGCTTCTATGCCGTCCAGGTCATGTTCAAGCCCGTGGCCTATAGCATCAAACTAAAACTCGAATACGCCATTCTTGGAAGACTCGTCGCTATCGCCCGGGGATCCTACGAGGATGATCAACCCTCCAGTTCCCGCGACATCATGTCATTCCCTTCATCACAAGAGACTCAATCACCGAACGAGCCTCGTCACAACAACCACCGCAAATATAGCCTGCCCTGGTTTTGGGAGACTTCACATCGCTCGAGTTGCACATCCTCGGGGAACTGACTGCTCGGCATTGATTGAAATTAGTCCAGAGTTGTACCTAGAACATTTCCTTTCATATGTCAATATTCGAGGCAGAGGATACTCCCACCTTACACTATTTTCCGCTAAAAGCCTTTCGGCGACAACTTACTGAGATCCAATAAAATCAAAGAATTTGCACATGGATTATAGCCAAGTTACCAGTCTATAAATGAAAATTGTTGGGTAGGTAACCAAAACCAGCCTGTAAAACCAATACACTGCCAAACAGGTACCAATTTGGGTAAAGCGAAACTGTCAGAGGAGTTGTCATGAAGGTGGTGACAAGTGCCATGACAACGAACATGGTGAATATCCGTACACTGAGGATTTTGGCTTGCAGACCGATATTCTAAAGGTTTAGTAGGGGCTTCAAAATTGCTCCAATCAGATAAAACAGGATACCAAGAACCTACCAAGACAATCAGTTCCACCAACCCTTTGCAACTCATCAAAACATCAATGGTGAAGCTCTCACGCCATAACATGCCACAAAAACGAGAGGCGACCGCGCCGCCAATGACCTTGGCCGAGAAGGCAATGGCGATAATGCCTATCACGTAGCCCCGGACCGTTCCGTTGTCCAACAAGCCTAGATTGGTACTAAGACCGGATAAGGTGAAGTACAGAGGCAGGAAAAGGGCAGCAACCAGACCCTCAATCTTCTCGGTCAATTTGATGGCAAAACTGCCTTCATGAGGACAGATAAGGCCAATGAGGAAGCCCCCAAATATGGCATAAATTCCAATGACATGAGTAAAGAACGCCGAAGCCAACGCAATCAACAATGTCAGCATTACGACTGATTGACTTGGGCCTTTATGCAAGTTTCCTGTTCGTCCAAGGAAGAGGATAAAGAGCGGGCATGCTACAAAAAATAAGAACAGGACGTATGCCGCCGCTATGAGAAGAACATAGAGGGCAGTGACCCCACTCCCTGCGTTGACCAGGGCCACGCAAAGAGCGAGTAGGATTCAGCCCACCATATCATTCCCAACGCCCGCTGATAGCACAATGACGCCGACCTGAGTGCCAAGTAGCTTCAGATCTGTCAAAATGCGACACAGGACAGGGAAGGCTGCGATTGCCATGGCAGTACCGATGAAGAGCAAGAAAGTGCCAAAGTCGACGTAGACTGTTCCGGGATAGTCGTGAAACTAATTGTAAAGTCCGTATGAGATCACACATCACAGTCCGAATGGCAGGACCATTCCCGCTGCCGAAACACTTAGCGCGACACGCCAGTGACTGATGAGGAAGTGGAGGTCTGTCTCTAGTCCCACCAGGAATAGAAAAAGGATCAAACTGAGATTGGCTACAACACTCAAGCTGGGCAGACTGGCGGTTGGGAAGATTGTGTCCGTAAATGCTGGGATATGGCCCAGCACTGAGGGACCTAGAATAATCCCACTGATGACCTCTGCGATGACCCTGGGCTGACGAATCTTGGAGAGTGGCCAGTGAACCAGGCGACTTAATATGATGATGAAACCCGTCTATATGAGGACATTTAGCATCAAGTTTCAGAGGCATATCAAAAGTGGGATGTATGGACTATCGCCCGGACATACCTGAATGGTAAACATGACTACGGGATTGGACGAGTCATAATGAGACGGGTTGCCTCCCTGAAGAATGCCTTGGGGCGCTGGCCCGGGTCGCGCTGGAATCTGTCGCCATTCATAGAAGAGATATTTGGAGTATTCATTATGGATGAACCTATGCTTGAGCTGTGCACGAGAGCTGGTCAAGGCGGGGGCGCCAAGGCTATTGCAGCACCTGGGTTAAGATCTAGCCATTTACGGATTGGTGGAGTGAGGGATATGATCATTGGCTCATTAGTGAGCAAAATTGAAGTGGACCCATCAGCCCCATCAACCCCACAGTCTGGATATATCTACAAGCTGCCATTGTACAAGACCTAGCGCGCAGCAGTCGGAGAAAATCATGGCTGTTCTGCATATGATCGCCCTTTCCCGGGCGGACTAAGTTGACCATGTTGGTATGCAGGTCATATAATTTGGGAGAGTTATACCAGACATAAGAATGACAAGGTACGATCACCATTTCAGTAGTGATTCATCTAGGTAGGCAGCAACCTTGGAACCCTTGGCATCAGCCAATGCCAAAATAGAAAGTAAGACCCCAGAAAGTCAAAGAGATAGGCATCTAGAAGACTTTCGAGATTTGCCTTGGGAAGCTCCGGGTAAAGTAATAGACGCCAAGGTTTCTACATCCCTTTTCAACCTTGGAATCACAGTAGACAAGACGTTCCACACTCAACCCTTGGAAGGCTTCTTATTATATTGTAGTAAGTGATGTTGTAGGCACCTACCAAAGGGATATATATTGTCAATCAGTGTCCAGTACCTAACCAAGATTTCACAATCGTTTATCTCGATAAGACTTGGGGTTGATAACGAAGTCTGAGATACATAACAAGGCTGTCTAAGCGGAGTTAGAAATGAAACTAACCCCGACTAGTCGGAGAATCGATCTTGTCCGCGGACAGGAGATCAAGGGGTTCCAGAACAGTCGGCAAATTCACAATCTCGGCATTTAGCCCACACGGCTTAACTCCGTGATCGGATCTCGGGGCTCCGCTTCCCCGAAAATTGATATAGGATTGATCTTCCGACGATTATTACTTGAAGCAGTTTAGCATTCGTAATAGACGTTTTATGCGTGTTTTTTAAGCCTTAAAACCTGGAAGTCGCCACCTCGCACAATATCATTGAATGCGATGGAAATATTTCACCCCATCAGCTCTATCCAAGTTTACATGAAACCCCCAACCTTATGAATGCACTCTATATATGAGATGCTCAAGTGCTGATAGTGTTGTAGAAGGATATCACCCGGAAAGTACAATCCAAGGTCTGTCTCCATGTCAATATGAACTGTCCACCTGGGCATGGATTTGCCTATGCATGAGATGTACAGTATTTTCTAGGTGATCGACAAAACGTTGCATATTGCCACATGTAGTGTAATAACGTCAAAGTGACATCTGCAGTATCGGGCAATTTTCGACTCTATTCCCTGTGCCAGTCCCCCTGGATTCGCTCTTCAAACACTCCAGGATAGGGTCGACGTACCTACTGTAAGCTTAAACTGGGGCCACGGGGCTCATTACTAGAGCCACGCACTGGGATCCACTTTTCCCTCTAGTAAACTCCGTCTGTGGGGCTCGGGCAGGTGGGTTTCCGAATTAAAATATGCATTCGTCGGCCAATCTCGCTCCGTCCCCGAGGCAATAGTAAGGAAATTTCGAGATGGATTTGGATTTAACCCTTTTATATGATGCGTGGCTTCCGTTCGTGTCAATCTCTTCATTTTTTCGGTTGAACCAGTTCACCGGATTACTCTTTGCCCAGCATGGAGAAAGACCGTGACGACTCCGATGTGGAGTTTGCGCCTATCACAACGAAAACCCCTACAGTTGAGGAGAAGAGGGAATTTGAAACTAGCAACCAGCTCAACCGGATTGCTTCTAGCAAACTTGGAAGAGCAGTCTCCGCTCTTTCTGCTGGATCAAAGAGAAATGATCCCCGACTGGATCCATCAAGCCCCGAATTCGATCACTACAGATGGGCCCAAACCGTCTTAGACCAGATGCACGAGGAGGGTATCGAAGCGCCTCGGCAGAGTGTGGTCTTCAAGGATCTATCCATTAGTGGCAATGGTGAGGCTATTCAGTTTCAAGAAACCCTGACATCGGTTCTCGCGGTTCCCTTCCGTTCTGCGGTTCGATTCCTGACTGGACATCGCTCCCAACCTCGCCGTATCCTACGAAACTTCGATGGCCTGCTGGAAGCCGGTGAGCTTTTGCTCGTGCTGGGTCGCCCTGGAAGCGGCTGTACCACTTTTCTCAAGACAATCACTGGCCATCTCGGAGGGTTGGCCATGGATCCCAAGAGCGTCATCCACTATGAAGGTATTTCCTTTGAGGATATGATCAAGCATCACCGTGGTGAGGTCGCATACAACAAAGAGGTAAAGTGCCAATATCTCATGTATTTTCAGCCCACCGTCTGCTAACCTCAGTTTCTGTTAGGTCGAACTTCATTTCCCTCACCTGACAGTTGGCCAGACCCTCTCGTTCGCAGCCCATGCTCGAGCTCCCCACAAGCGCCTGGAAGGGTTGAGCCGAGCAGAATACTGCGAGACATTAGTGCAGGTAGTGATGAGTATATTTGGTCTTACTCACACCGTCAACACCAAGGTCGGCAGCGAATTTGTGCGTGGTGTCAGTGGAGGTGAACGAAAGCGAGTTAGTATCGCGGAAATGTTCCTTAGCCGTTGTCGTCTGGGAGCATGGGACAACAGCACGCGGGGTTTGGATGCAGCTTCAGCCCTCAGATTTGTCCGGTCACAACGTCTTGCTGCAGATATGGGAAAATCCTGCCACGCCATTGCAGCCTATCAAGCATCCCAGTCGATGTATGACCTATTCGACAAGGTTGTGGTTCTTTACGAAGGGTATCAGATCTACTATGGTCCTCGCGATCGAGCTGTGTCTTATTTCGAAGATCAAGGATGGCAAAGGCCGGAGCGCCAGGTATCAGGAGATTTTTTGACTGCCATCACCAACCCTAATGAGCGGACCACGCGCCCTGGCATGGAGTCCAAGGTACCGCGAACCGCAAAGGAATTCAATGAGTTCTGGACGCGGAGCCCCGAGTACAAGACTCTGCGCGAGCAGATCGCCACCTTCGAATCCCAGCATGCGCCCAATAGCGAGGCTGCCAAACAATTCCAGATCAGCCACGAGGAACAGCAGGCTCGCCATACCCGCACTCGCAGCCCTTACCTGCTTTCAATCCCTATGCAGATTCGCCTCTGTACAACTCGCGCTTACCAGCGAGTCTTGAACGACATTCCCACAGCAGTAGCCCCACTCGTTGTTCAGTTGATCTTGGCTCTGATCATCGGCTCCGCATTCTACAATACCCCCGACACTACTAGCTATTTCTTCCAAAAGGGCGGAGTGTGCTACTTTGCTGTCCTCATGAATGCTTTGCTTACCATCAACGAAATTCTTCAACTCTACAGCCAACGCCCGATTGTTGAAAAACAGGCTGGGTATGCATTCGTTCATCCGTTTACCGAAGCTCTCGCCAGCATTGTTATCGACCTGCCCATCAAACTCCTGCGACTCACTGTTTTCAGTATCATCCTCTACTTCATGGCAAATTTGCGCCGAGAACCAGGCAACTTCTTTATCTTCTACCTGTTCTTGCTGGTCGCCGTCTTGACCATGTCTGGTCTTTTCCGCAGCTTGGGAGCTCTTACCAAGTCAGTCGGTCAGGCAATGGCCATGGCGGGTGTTTTGGTTCTCTGTATTGTCGTCTACACTGGATTTACCTTGCCACAGCCTTACATGCACCCGTGGTTCTCCTGGATTCGGTGGATCAACCCGATTTACTACACGTTTGAGGCTCTCATCGCCAACGAATTCCATGGGAAAAACTATGAGTGCTCAGCTCTAATTCCAAGCTATGGGACAGGATCAAACTTTGTGTGCTCGGTCGTGGGTTCAGTGGCGGGCCAGGCATACGTGAGCGGTGATACCTTCATAGAAGAAAACTATGAGTACTACTACTCCCACCTGTGGCGAAACTTTGGCATCTTAATTGCCTTTATGATTTTCTTCAATACGCTCTACTTGGTAGCCTCGGAATTTATCTCTCGTGACACATCCAAGGCTGAAGCCCTGGTTTACCGCCCTGGCCATGTTCCCCAGCACATCCAGGATAGCCAAAGGGACTCGGAGAATGGAGCTGGTGGTCTTACGAAACTCGAAGTGCAGCGCACAAACGACGATATTCGCCTTCCGGAACAGACTGACATTTTCTCCTGGAAAAATCTCCAATACGAAATTCCTGTGAAGGAAGGCACTCGGCGTTTGCTGGACGATGTAAACGGCTGGGTCAAGCCAGGAACATTGACTGCATTGATGGGAGTTTCCGGCGCAGGTAAAACTACTTTGTTGGATGTTCTTGCACAGCGCGTGTCAATCGGTGTTGTCACTGGTGATGTCTTTGTCAATGGCAAGCTGCCAACGGCAAACTTCCCCCGGAGAACAGGGTACGTTCAGCAACAGGATCTCCACATGGATACTACAACCGTTCGAGAAGCCCTTCAGTTCAGTGCACTTCTCCGTCAGCCGCAGAGCGTATCCAAAAAGGAGAAGTACGAATATGTGGAACAGGTCATTCAGGTTCTGGGCATGGAGGATTTCGCCGAGGCTGTTGTCGGATCTCTCGGAGAAGGACTGAACGTTGAGCAGCGCAAGCTTCTCAGCATCGGAGTTGAGCTTGCCGCAAAGCCTACTCTTCTAATCTTCCTAGACGAGCCCACTAGTGGTCTGGACTCGCAGAGTTCATGGACAATTTGTCAATTCTTAAGGCGACTGGCCGACCACGGTCAGGCTGTGCTGGCGACAATCCATCAGCCCAGTGCGACATTGTTCCAGACTTTTGACCGTCTTCTTTTCCTTGCCAAGGGCGGCAGGACAGTTTACTTTGGCGAGGTGGGAGAACAGTCTACCACACTCCTTGAATACTTTGAACGCAATGGAGCTCGCCCCTGTGAGACTCTGGAGAACCCTGCCGAGTACATTCTTGACATGGTGGCCGGAGACGGCTGTCCCGATGTTGATTGGGTTCAAACTTGGAAGAACAGTCAAGAATTTCAGGATGTTGTTGCGGAAGTTGATCGTCTCCACTCTATTAAGGGACCCAGAGATGAGCCTTCCACCCACGATGATGGTGATGATGATAACGCCGAGTTTGCTATGCCTATAACCACCCAGCTCTGGGTAGTCCTTGGCCGATGCTTCCAAGCCTACTACCGTAGGCCCGACTATATCTACTCCAAATTTGTTCTAGGCATTGTCAGTGGTCTGTTCATTGGATTCTCATTCTACAAGGCCGACAGCTCCGAACAAGGCTTCCAGAACGCACTTTTCAGTATCTTCCTTCTTTGCACCATCTTTAATACTCTCGCCAATGCTATCATGCCTAACCTGGTGGCACAAAGGTCCCTCTATGAGGTCCGCGAGCGACCGTCTAGAACTTACTCGTGGCAGGTTTTCATTGTCTCGCAAATGCTGGTGGAGGTCCCTTGGCAATTCTGCTTGGGTGTTTGCTCCTGGGCCTCATTCTACTGGGCAGTCTTTGGCGCCAATCAAACTACGGAACAGAATGGTCTTGTTCTGCTCTACATTTGCCAATTCTACATGTACGCGGCCAGCATGGCACAGTTCGTCGTGTGCGCTATCCCCGAGCCTGCTCTTGCCGCCATGGTAGCAACCCTCATGTTCGGTCTGTCCTTCATCTTCAATGGAGTGATGCAGCCTCCAAGTGCGTTGCCTCGCTTCTGGATCTTTATGTATCGCGTATCTCCATTCACATACTACATTGCCGGTATCAGTGGTACAGCGCTTCATGGCCGCGCTGTCGAGTGCAGCAGTGATGAGCTCAACATTTTCGATCCACCTTCCGGTCAGACGTGCTATGAGTACATGGCAAAGTACCTTGAGACTTCTACGGGCACCATCTACAACCCCAATGCCACTGCCAATTGCGAGTATTGCAGCATGAAATCTGCGGATACTTACCTGGCAGCCCGCGAAATCTACTATGACGATCGCTGGCGTGATTATGGCATCTTTTGGTGCTACTTTGTTTTCAACATGGCTGCTAGCGTGCTAGTGTACTACCTCTTCAGAGTCCGGACTTCAAAGGCGAAGGTCTCTAGAGGTAAGACTGTTGCTTAAAGATGATACCCTGGCCCGTATTTTATAGGTTTCTTTTCTTCCCTCTCTCATTCCACACTTTTTTTCTTACTGTGTTTACCATCATTCCTTGCACATGTGCCCATTATTCCTTATATAGTCTTTACTTTTATAAATATTCATGGCACTGTCGTGACCTTTCTTACTTTTCGCCATTTCTACAACTTAAAATGACTATAAAGTTTAGTCCTGCTAGATAACCTTGAATTAAATAACTTTCAATATTAATAGCAAATGCGCTTGGCATTGCTAACCAGTTTGGTACGCACGTGTGAAGTATAAAAAGGACCAAGACTTTGTCACATTTATAGCTTTCACGTGTTATCAATTGATCTTTATTGGACAGACCGTCAAAGACCCTAAGGCTTAAATAGGCAAGTATCACGCAGATAAGTCTACACATTACTTTGTTCACACGTATATCACTCAGATGAAAAATGACAAAAATTCATTCATTAAGCTTAACTATCGTAATCATCATAAACCTCATAATTAAACACGTTGAGAGCCAGAGCCAAGAGTCTTAGATCCATCAAGGTCCGAGTCGACGCGGGGGTCAAGCTTGTTGGCAACATCACTGCTGTGAGGACCAGCCGTCTTCTGAGCATTGTAGCTGCTACCGGCGGTAGCACCAGCACCTGCATCCTCATTTTGGGACTTCTCAAAGGTCTGAGTAGTAGTCGGAGCCTTGTTACCGGACATGTGCATCACGCCTCCACCACCAAGGCTGCCCTTGTGAACATCGTTATCAAACCGGGAGTCACCACCAACGAAAGTAGCATTGCTGCGGTCGCTGTCGACACGAGGATCGGCCTCATTGGCAGCGTTGCTCTTGTGGGGACCAGCGGTTGAGGAGGCAGGACCAGTGGAAGTGGAGTAACGGTCGTTGGGAGTGTCGCTGTCAACGCGGGGATCCATCTTATTCTCTAGGTTGTTAGAGTGAGGACCAGAAGTCGAGGTGGCAGGACCGGTGGAAGGGTGAGTTGAGGAGTGGTGGTGGGAACCAGCATAACCAGCGCCAGCACCGACAGCGGCGCCTGTAGCAGCGTAGCCAGCCCCATGACCAGAGGAAGTGCTGTGGTGAGCGGCACGGCCGTCACGATCACTGTCTACACGAGGGTCGACAGCGTTGCCCATGTTGCTGTCATGAGGGCCATGGTTGGAGGATCCAACGGAATCGTAGGTATTGGCGGTGCGGCCGGTGCCATAGCTGTTGCCGGTCGTGCTGTAGCCAGCCCCAGCGGCAGTGGGTCCAGTTGAACCGAAACCAGTCGAAGTATTGCGGGCACCACGGCTGTCTAGGTCGCTATCGACACGAGGGTCGACGGCGTTGCCCATGTTGCTGTCGTGAGGACCATAGTTTGAGGAGCGGGCAGAGTCATAAGTGTTGGTGGTGCCGTGGTTAATGCCGGTAGAGCCGTAACCAGCGCCAGTAGAGCCGTAGCCAGTGCCAGTGGAGCCGTAGCCAGCGCCCGCGCCTGTAGCAGCTGGGGTGGCAGTAGAGGTGTGGTGGGCCGCACGACCATCCAGATCGCTATCAACACGAGGGTCGGCCTTATTCGCCATGCCGCTGCCATGGGGTCCGTAGTTGCCAGTAGTTGAGCCGGTACCATAGTTGCCAGTAGTAGTTGAGCCGGTCCCGTAGTTGCCAGTAGTTGAGCTGGTCAAGTTAGACCGGTCGCTATCAACGCGAGGGTCGGCCTTGTTCGCCATCTTGCTGTCATGGGGTCCGTAGTTGCCAGTAGTTGAGCCGGTACCATAGCTGCCAGTAGTAGTTGAGCCGGCCCCGTAGTTGCCAGTAGTTGAGCTGGTCAAGTTAGACCGGTCGCTATCAACGCGAGGGTCGGCCTTATTCGCCATCTTGCTGTCATGGGGTCCGTAATTGCCAGTAGTTGAACTGGTCAAGTTTGACCGGTCGCTATCGATACGAGGGTCGGCCTCGTTGGCGATTTTGCTATCATGGGGACCGTGGTTGGAAGACTTGGTGGAATCATAGGCGTTGTCATGGGTGCCGGTGTGGTGCTCAGCAGTGTTCTCAGCTTTCTCCTCCGCCTTGTTCTCCTTGTGCTGGGCAATTGTGTCCTTGACTTTGTGAATGATTCCAGACATGATGATAGATTGTTCAAAAAGAGATGTTGGGAAAGATGGATATTTGAAGATATGAGGGAATTGTGTAAAATTGTTTGGTTGTGTAGGATTGTTTTAATTGATAATGATAAGTTGGCCGTCCATGGACGAAGTATAAATACTGTGTTCGTAGGATCGTGACGCCATTTCTGAGACAAAGAACCTGGAAATAAATGACGTGCCCCGCAGCTATAGATCGACATAGAGATACAGGCTGGGGATTTTGTTTAACTTCCAACGTGTTGACGCTGATAGTGGAGACTGAACCAGATCCAGTCGCTGACATCGGATAACGTCATCCCCGCCACCGCGTATAGTTGTTTGCCTTGAATTGACCCTCAGCCCTACGCAGATAATACTATTCCTCAATCGAGCTAGAAGCTCATACGTAACGATCTGCAGGGTTGGTCCCGTATTGACGAAGCCTGGCCACTGCTTCCATGGTTCTATTTTGAAACGCTGCTAACGTACCAAGCACTGGTCAACCCCGTAGAAGCACCCCTTGTACAAGATGACCTCATAACCAAAACTCTAGGGTTTCGGGTACCTATCAGCTTAGGTTTTGTCTTTGGAAATGATATAACTTGGGAATCCTGAATAGGGGAGGTGGTTTTTCTTGATACTAGAAGCCAGATCAGGAATGATCTACAGGTCGGAGCTAACGTATGTAGCGTCATTCCAATATATTCTTAGACCTGCCTAGCTACTGTACTCTACCTAGTACTGGGGACCTAGGAGTGGGTTTAGGAGCTCCAGGGCTGAAGATCCAGACATCTGCTCATATCAAGTTTGCTCGGTTGTATATCCACAGAATGCTGGGATTATGTTGGGCCTTTTCAATGCTTGAGAGATTATATATGTTGACGATATTTACCAGTCATCATCGAGATACCGCTTGTGGACCCCTAAGATTGTAATTTTTCCTGTCCCTTTAGAGAGTAAAAGATTGCACGTCTTGTAAGTTGAGTCAATATAATATTGTGACCGGAAGAAGAGATTGTGTAGAGACAAAGAAACAAATCACTCACACTAGTGACTGCCACCAAATTCAGGCTTCAAGATATCATCGCTTACATAATCCGACCAATCATGTGATGCCTGAGGATGTAGGCCCATCTATTTGGAAATGCAAAGTAAATCTTGGAAACGGCACCACTTGAACTCGACAACTGGGCATTTAGGTCAATCCGCTAATTGCTTTTAGAATACTCTGTGACATATCTATATATCAGCCTTACACGGAGGACACCAAAGACGCATACCGATCGATTCGATCCTACTCGGGCTAGTGCTGTTTTTACGTGCTAGAAACCGGGTTTTGCAAGTTCCAAGGCCCCACTCTTTCCTGGACACCTAAGACAGTGTAAATCAAGGGCAATGAAGCGACAATTTGTTCCGCACTGAGATAGGGATACCTGTGCATGAAGAGACTCGTATCCCAAGGTTCTCTATGTATTGTCTAGATGCTCCCCAGGGCTACTGATCGACAAAGCTTCCCTTGGTCCTGGGCCGTCAACGATGCCGATCAGGGCAGTGGGCCCGTGTTTGGGGTAATCGCTTCAAACCCAATTGTGTACGAATGAGATCTGACTGATATGGAAAGACGAAGCTATCCAACAGTCTACGGATTCAATGAAATGAACCTTAAACTAGAGCTAGACCCTTCATATCAGAGGGATGAAATAGCCGAAATGACCTAATAATAAACAAGCCCGTACGTGCCGGTGGATTCTTCCCCCTCTCTTTCTCATTCCCCTATAGGTGCGCCTGATTATGCTATTGCGTATGGGCCCGACCCTGAATTTCTAATTTCTAATTTCTAAGATCATTCGATTTGGACCGAACTTTCGCTTATCGATCTTGCATTGATCTGCGCATTTCTTCTTCCCGCTGGGAAGCACACGCGTTTCTGACCTCATTCAACCGGCTTTTCCTCTGGGCTGTTTTTATTTTTATTTTTTCCAGCTCTCACCTTCCCTACAGGCAAACCCAGAATGGCCGATGGGAATCAAGGCTGGTAGGTTCTGGTTGAGCGCAATTCGTCGCGTTCGTCGCATTTGTCGCAATTCCGAAGTGCAAATACTAACTGTCAACAGGTGGCACTCACACTACAGATGGGTGATCATGGTGGGTTCACAGCTTGGAGTCGATGTCGTTGAACGGAATTGCTAATTCAGCCCAGGTCATCGTGTTGGTAATCGCCTTTGGGTTGATTGCCGCCTTTGGGGTCTGGTTCAGACGCCGTCGTGATACCAAACGTGGTCTACAGCTGTACGGCAATCCCGTGAGCGGCGCCGGGCCCCTTCAAAGCTCCGGCATCTTGAGCACTGTATCTGGTGTATTACCGTCCGACCAATCCCAGCCCCCGTCCCAGGCGCGCAGTCTACCCTCCAACTCGGTCGCCAGCTCTCGCACCAATGTCGCTCACCCCAGGTCTGTCACACCGGGAAGTAATAATCGATTGCAAAAACAAAGCCCTGCTGCCGCTGTGAATTTCCGAAATGTGGAGACTAGACAAGTTCCATCGCTATAATACCGTTATTTTCCGTGTTCCTATTTCCTGCGTTGCACTAGAGATCTGGGTCCTTTTTTCTTCTTTGGCATGCGACGACCATCCGATTGCTTTCCCGTCACACTTGCATTTATCGGCGTTGGGTGATAAGAACCGATCTTTGCCTATCTATCACATTTATTTCAAGAATGGCTGGAATCTGTCTTTCGATACTATGTTTCTTCTATTCAAAATCCGGTTTAAGGTACATAGCGTGTGCATGGCTTAGCCAATGCAATTGGAGTTGATTCATCGTTATTCGTTTATATATGTACAATTTCCCTACTATCAGGAGATGCTGATGCTTACAATCTTCACATCAACCTCTGGCTTCTCCTTATAGGTCTTGACATTTTCAATCTTGTGTACCACGTCCAACCCCTGCACAGCCCGGCCGAAGACGGTGTGCTTGTTGTCCAACCAAGGTGTTTTCTCGGTCGTGATAAAAAACTGACTGCCATTGGAGTTGGGTCCCGCATTGGCCATGGACAGCGTGTACGGTTTGTCGTGACGCAGGGTAGAAAATTCATCCGCGAACTCCCCCCCCAGATGGACTCTCCACCGGTTCCATCACCCTGCGGATCACCACCTTGAATCATGAATTTGCGAATAACACGGTGGAAGATAGTGTTGTTGTAGTATCCTTGCCGAGCGTGGGTGACAAAGTTTTCCACTGTTCGGGGGGCAGCGGACGGGAAGAGACGCAGATGAATATCTCCCATGGTCGTGTGGAGAACGGCGGCAGTCCCACTTTCGCTGGCCTTGGTAGTCCCGGCATCAGCCCCAGCAGCAGCCTGGGTGGGCTTCTCATTCTGAACGTCTCGTGACGACTTGGATACGTCGGTCTCGTTGGTAAACATGTAGAAGCGCACCTTGCCGAAACCAGTGCTAATCAAAATGGCATCCCGTTCTTCCGCTTCCTGCAGCAAGGGATTACTGCTGGCAGCCATGGAGACAGTCACAACGCCTTTGCGTTGAGGCTGACCCTGGTAGAGGGCGAGGTTCAGGGCACGGAACGGCTCATCACGACCGTACACACGCACCACACGATTCGTGTAGGTGTTGATGCACTTGGTGCCGTAGAGAGATCCATAAAGCAGGAAGTGACCAGACTCGTCAAAGGAGACGTTGACCTTGTTGCGTATCGACTCACCCTCTAGCTCCCGCTCAACTCCCAGTCGCCGTCCAAATTCCAATTCGTCCAGCTGGTACGGGGCCGTCCCAGCCTGCTGCATCTCCATGAGCGTGCCTATAGATTCATCGTATGTGCGATACAACTTGCCCGTTGCAAATTCGAACACGCGCACCTGACGATCTGGAAAAGATACCGTGGCAAACTGTTCCCCTGAGGGCGAGATAGTAATGGCCGTAGCGGTCGATTTGGCCTTTTTGAAAGCGAATAGATTGGTCGATGATTTGAGTTCGAACACATTGTCGGGTTTTTCAAAGGAGCCATCCCCAGCTCTCCAGTATTCAATCATCCCAGACTCGTCGGCGGAGATGACACAGTCATACGCATTGTTGAATGCCAACGAGACCACGGGGCTTCGGTGGACCGACTTTACCGTATGCAAGGGCTCGGGGTTCTCCCCTCGCCCGTCAAAGACTTGAATGATGTTACTGGACTGATCGGTCACTGCCAGTAGCGGTAAAGATGCCCCTCGGCGATGCACCCAGCAAACACAACGGGGCACGAAATCCAAGGTATACATGGCGAGTAAATCTGTCCCACGCAAGTTAGCCAGCCTTGACCTTTAATTTCTGTCCTAAGGACCACAAACCAAAAGTGATGACATCGAAGATCTTCACTGTCTTATCCGCTCCCACTGTCGCAAAGCTGCGGCCATCTGCACTAACGCTAGTGCTATGAATCTCGCCCGGATGGGCGCGAAACTCCTTGACAAACTCGATGCCCTCGGCCATCTTTTTCCAAAACTTGACGACTCCATCAATAGAGCTGGTAATAACAAAGTCGGTCACCGGAGTGACTGTCACAAAAGACAATTGCTCCTTGTGCATGAGGGACTTGGAGTAGCGAGGCGAGGCGGGTAGCGCCTTGACGTAAATCTTCTCGAAGGGAAGCTTGCGGCGCTTCTTCTTGGGTGCGGCCTCAGAGGGCAGCGCAGGGCCGAAGTCATCATCGGAGGAGGAATCGTCGCCTGCTCATCGCGATTAGTGGACTGCGCCAGCTGGAATTTGCGGGAGCTCGGAGGAGCCATGTACGAACCATTGTCGTCGCCATCAACAGCGGAGTGCGGACGCTTGGCTGCAGGGACAGGAGCTTCTTCAGAGCCCGCCATTCTAAATCAGAGTGCAAAGAATCAAAAGAAATACAAATATGCCTCTGAAAAAGGACAGTTTCTAAGGTCAAAAGGGAGAGAAAGCCGGAGAAAGCAGCGGGCGGTGGGAGAAGACAGAAGCTCGGGCCACCCAACTTTTCTCCTTTCCTTCCCCCCACTGTTGACGAACTCATTGCTTTCAACTTCCAAACAGTCGCTTGGATCAGTTGAGTCAATTGTTTAGTCTACACAGATCATAATGGTATGCTCATCTTGGGAATATCCGTCTTTTAAAACTCAGACCCGGGAATATCGGCCCCGCTAACTTGTATCTAGGCGTCGTTTGGTAATCCCACACAGATCTTCGCCGACGATGTGACCGAGGAGAAGGGTGAGAACGCCCGTCTGTCGGCCTTCGTCGGTGCTATCGCAGTCGGTGACCTTGTGAAGAGCACCTTGGGCCCTAAGGGAATGGACAAGATCCTACAATCTGCGTACGTGAAGAAAGAACAAAAATGAGACTATCTGGATGGATGATTGCGGGCGAGGATCGAGATGCTAACATAGGGTGCGGGACAACAGATCAACCGGAGAAATCCTCGTGACGAACGACGGTGCTACCATCTTGAAATCGATTGCTCTGGATAACGCCGCGGCGAAGGTGCTGGTCAACATTTCCAAGGTTCAAGACGATGAGGTTGGTGACGGAACTACATCTGTTACCGTGCTGGCCGCAGAATTGCTTCGGGAGGCAGAGAAGCTTGTCAACTCGAAGATTCACCCCCAGACCATCATTGAGGGCTACCGGATAGCCAGCAAAGCCGCCCTGGCCGCTCTCGAGAGCATTGCCATCGACCGAAGCAAGGACGCCGAGGCTTTCCGCAAGGACCTGCACGCCATTGCCCGTACCACCCTGAGCTCTAAGGTTCTGTCACAAGACCGTGACCACTTCGCCCGGCTGGCATGTGAGGCCGTCCTTCGCCTTAAGGGGTCCACCGACCTGAGCCACATCCAAATTATCAAGAAGGCCGGCGGCAAGCTGATCGACTCGTACTTGGATGAGGGCTTCATCATGGACAAGAAGATCGGTGTGAACCAGCCCAAGCGACTGGAAAATGCCAAGATCCTGGTGGCCAACACCGCCATGGACACAGACAAGGTCAAGATTTTTGGAGCTCGCGTCAAGGTTGACTCCACTGGAAAGCTGGCCGACCTAGAGAAGGCTGAGCGGGAGAAGATGCGCGCCAAGGTTGAGCGAATTAAGTCTCACGGTATCAATTGTTTCGTCAACCGACAGCTGATTTACAACTGGCCCGAGCAGCTGTTCACCGAGGCCGGCATTATGTCTATTGAGCACGCCGACTTCGATGGTATTGAGCGCCTGGCACTTGTGACTGGTGGTGAGATTGCCTCCACTTTCGACCACCCGGATCAGGTGAAGCTGGGCTCTTGTGACTTGATTGAGGAGGTGATTATTGGTGAGGACACTTTGATCAAGTTCTCGGGCGTGGCTGCTGGCCAGGCCTGCACCATTGTGCTCCGTGGTGCCACCGAGCAGCTCTTGGATGAAGCCGAGCGCTCCCTCCACGATGCCCTGGCTGTTCTGTCCCAAACAGTCAAGGATCCCCGTGTCACACTTGGTGGTGGCTGTGCCGAGATGGTGATGTCTAAGGCTGTTGAGCAGGCGGCCCAGAATACCACCGGCAAGAAGCAACTTGCCGTGGACTCGTTCTCCCATGCGCTGAAGCAACTGCCAACCATTCTGGCAGATAATGCGGGTCTTGACTCGAGCGACCTGGTCACCCGCCTGCGGCAAGCAATCAACAATGGCATGACCAGCTCCGGTCTGGACCTTTTGACCCCTGGTGGCGGTATCGCAGACATGCGCGAGCTCGGTGTTGTGGAGGCTTATAAGCTGAAGAAGGCGGTGGTGTCATCGGCCTCGGAGGCTGCTGAGGTATGTGTTTCTTGTTTTCTCTCTTCCCATTGTTGACCAAGACTAACATTGTCTAGCTTCTTCTACGTGTCGACAATATCATTCGCTCCGCGCCTAGACAAAGAAACCGTATGTAAAGTCATGTTACGACTCACGGGTGATGACTTGTATCTTCCAGAAATCAAAAAGCACAAATTATCAGTTATAGATGAAATCGAATAGCTTCATGGATGACAAGAGTAGAGTACCTGGCCAAAATTGTAGGAACATCACGCTTTTACGTGCATTAGCCAGGGGTATGAGTCAGGCAGCTAAATAGGCACCTTTGGTTTTTTTGGTTTTTATTTTTACTTCACTGCATCCACTCAGGACGAGAGAAGCTTAGGATAGGAATCCATTCACCGTAAATCTAGGAAAACACTGGACCTCATCCACGCACATCTCAGGCCAGAACTGTACACTGGTGCTATGTAAGCATTCTTGTTGCCTGGTTGGTGCCTTCTTTCAAGGTTTAGCTGCCTCGATTATCGGGCGTGAACACTAGTCCTGATCCACCTGCATTTGGACCCTGTGGATCATGAACCTGGACCCTGAACAGAAACCATGCCTTTATTCTGTCAACTTTCGAAAGTGTCTTTGATTGGATCTTTCGCAACCTCGACATCAGATCCAGAATAACCACTTGAATAGTCGCCTCCAAGTTCCCTCCACTTCTCGGCCTTGGCATTTGACACAGGGTGTCAGCCGGGGTGATCCGCGATCTTCCATGATCAGTGGGGAAGTGACAGCATGGACGATCATACACCTAGGTAGGTCAGCAGCACGCGATTACAGGTACATATCTGGAGCGTTAACATGTACACAGGTTAATGCTGCACAATAATGTATTCCCTATAGGAGAGGTCATGCTTCTCCTAGACATCCACAGCAAGGGGATCCGCGCCAAGGACCCTTTTCTGCTGTAAGTTCTAGCCCAAGGAAAGTTATTTTAGGACGGTCCGAATGCCCCCTATTTACTAGATGCCACATGAAATAGTACCGGTACACAGCTTCAATACTCATAGGGCGTCTCCAGATACCCATGAATTTCGTCATAGATAATCCCTCCAAGCAATTCAACTCCGCACACTACCTTTCCTCTGGTCAGCCCCACCGAACCAGGGACCTAGGCTGTCAAACCTACTTGCGCCCCGACTCTTTTCTTCCCCATGCTTTTTCATCCTTCTCTTCCCCACTCTCCAAAGATCGTCCTCGATCTTGCTTTTCTCACCTCACCTCGTTTCGATGCCTTGACCTCTTCCCTCGTTTAACATGATTCTTTCCAAATGGCTTCCCGCCCTACTGGGTGGCGCCTTGGCTGCCCAGTGTACTCTCGCTATTACCCTCAACGTGGACGATGAAAGTCGGTGGCCCGCATTCCTGTCCCCCCTCATATAATGTAAATCGTGGGCGCATGAACTAATATGAGAGCGGCGCATTCCAGACTCCCTCAAATCCGCCGCTAAAACAGTCGCCGTTGATATGATGAATTACTACAATGACCGGGAGTCCAAAGACATCCCTGGGAAGCTCGACGGCACTTGGTGGGAGGGTGGCTCGATGTTTATGATCCTCATTCAGTATTGGTTCTTGACCGGGGACAGCCAGTTCAACAGCGCGGTCCAGGACGGGATGTACTGGCAACAGGGCGACGACAACTTCTTCCCAGCAAATTACAGTCAGTATCTAGGAAATGATGACCAGGTCTTTTGGGGCCTGGCGGCGATTACAGCTGCGGAACTAAACTACCCGGAGCGCAGCGGTCAACCCTCATGGGTCTCTTTAGCCCAGGGTGTGTTCAATACTCAGGTTCCTCGTTGGGATACCAGCAGCTGTCACGGTGGTATGCGCTGGCAGATCTGGCCCTACCAGCCGGGATACACAACCAAGAACGCCATTTCCAATGGTGGACTCTTTCAGCTGGCCGCGCGCTTGGCCCTCTATACCAACAATGCGACATATGCGACCTGGGCTGAGCGTATCTGGGACTGGAGTGCGAGTACCCCTCTGCTCCGGAAGACTTGGGTCATTGCGGACACCACCAGCTGTGAATCCCAATGTACGGATCATGGCGACTATCAGTGGTCATATAACTATGCGACGTACATCAGCGGTGCAGCCTACATGTACAACTACGTAAGTGATTCACCTCCTAAACTTCTGTCCGAATGTGACTGGCAAGAGCTGAACAGCCTATAGACCAATGGCACTCAAAAGTGGCTAGAAGGCATCGATGGGCTGGTAGGAACGTCAAGTCAATTTTATCCCACAAGCAGTACCTTTGGTAATGCCAACGGGAACATCCTCAGCGAAATAACCTGTGAACCAATCCTAAAATGTGACCGAAACCAGATCACATTTAAGGCTTATTTCTCTTCCTGGCTGGCTTTTATGACCTTGATCGTCCCTGGAACTTCTGACCTGGTGATGCCGAAACTCAAGACTTCAGCTACCGCCGCCGCTTTATCCTGTACAGGTCTCAGTGATGGCTCACATTGCGGTACCAAATGGTACACGCAGAGTTGGGATGGCACTGATTCACTTGAAAACCAGATGGCTGTACTGGGTGTCCTCAATGCGAACCTAGTCCCCTTCAAAAATAAGGCACCATTCACAGCCGACACCGGTGGTACTTCCAAGAGTAATCCCAGCGCCGGTACCAACAGCTCGGATGTTGAAGCCCCTCAACTGAATACAGTTCGCACGGGAGATCGGGCCGGTGCTGGAATCTTGACTGTTGTCTTCGTGACTGGTTGGGCTGTGGCCATCACATGGATGGTCCGAGGGGGTTGAGATCTATCAAAGGTCTTGCGGGGGACAGGGTTTCTCTTGTATCGCCTTCTCTTTCTTCCTTTGCTGTCACGCAATGCGCGCGTCTGCTGTTTTTATAAGTTATCTTTTGACCAGCTGTATGTCTCCACTTTTTCCATTCTTTGTATCTATGGACTTTCTTCTTTGTCTTTTTTTTTTTTTTTCTTTCTTTCTTGGTTCCTCTAATGATTCCCTTGTCTGGCGTGATTTCCTTAGCGGTATGGAGGATTCCATCAGGCGCCTGGAGGTTTACACTTTGATATGGTCCCCTTAGAAACTATTGTGAAACAATTAATCTCACTTCGAGGATGTGATATGATTGGTTGTCAAATGGGGCGCCTGGACGGGAGGCCGAATTCCCCGGGCATGATCAACCACAGCGGCTCGAAGAGATTGAAAGATAATTTGTAATTTTTCCCACCCAGTTTACTCGGGTGATAGTTGTGCTGACCTGCATCACACGCTGTATGACCCGATATGATGCATCTTCATTGAAACAATAACAAAAGCAACCACACCAGTTCAAGGGGCTTTCGAAACACTTGCGTAGCCTCGATGGCGCGGCCCCAATTAATTACGGTGCTAGTACGTACAATACCACGAGCAATAAAGGGGGCGGAAGGGCGGAAGGGGTCGGGGCCTCCGTGTATTGTACAACGGTATTACACACAATCCATCTGCCTTCCATCTTCAACTTCTCGATTCTTCTCTTTCCCCCTTTCATCTTTCCAGTCTAGGGAGCAAGCCTCGCATCCTCCCCACCATCACTATACCCGGGAGCATCCAAATTCTTCTGCTCTCTAGTCGTAGCAGTTTCCTATCTCAGCCCTGTCATCCAACTGTGGGTGGGGGACGATCCGCTATCCGAGTTCTCGATTATTTGCTCCACATTCGCCATCTATCCAAACCAGCCACTCCAATCTCCTCCTGCCTCGACGTATGCGATCGACCGCCTGTGCTCTAAAGCCTTCGTTCTTCACACTGGATTGAACCGCACTGCTGAAGTTCCACGATGCGGTGGCGGTTACCGGGCGTTAGTTCGACCCTCCCCGCCAGCGTCGCCCTTCTTCTCCTCCCAGGCCTGGTTGTTCCGCAGCAGCACCCAGAGTCTTATGACTCCGCTCCTCGAATCTCCGTGCCCCTAGCGGCTGACGGAGCTGCATCTTATTCCAAACATACAGTCTCCGCGGCTGTACCTCCCATCGTGAAATCCAACGATGCGAGCGCCCTGGCAACTCTGGCTCTGGCGGGCTCCGGCCGCGCCGTTCGAGCCCCTCTCACCCAGACTAGCAGTACAGCTGCTGGTCTGGCGTCGCAGCTTCACGCGCGGTCCTTGCAGGACTGGGAGGTTGAGGACTTTGTCCTGTTGGCGACCGTTGACGGAACCATTCACGCTCGAGACCGCAAGACCGGTGCTCCCCGCTGGGCCCTGGAAGTGCCCAGTAGCCCAGTGGTCGAGAGTATTTACCACCGTGCCAATCGGACCAGTTTCGATGCGACCCAACCCGAGGACGACTTCCTTTGGATCGTGGAACCCAGTCAAGATGGAAGCTTATACATCTACAGCCCAGGTCCCGAGGCAGGACTGCAAAAGCTTGGTCTGACGGTCAAGCAATTAGTCGACGAAACACCATATTCCGGCATTGAACCTGCCGTGACATATACTGCCCGGAAAGAAACAACTTTGTACACGATTGACGCCCGCACTGGAAGCATTTTGCGGGTCTTCAGCTCTCGTGGACCATTCCAGGCTGGTCAAGAATGTCGCAAGGTAGACGGACAAGATGTGGACCCGGAGGAGTGCGAAACATCCTCCGGGACATTGGTCCTTGGCCGTGTGGAGTATGCCGTGGCTATCCAGAATACCGAGACGGGAGATCCGATCTGTACCTTGAAATACTCCGAATGGGCGCCCAACAACCGAGACATGGATTTACAAAGTCAGTACTACCGTACAATGGACCTAAGTCATGTCTATAGCATGCATGATGGTGTTGTACTGGGCTTTGATCACTCACGGATGGTACGCCCTCGTTATACGCAGCGCTTCCAGTCCCCTGTGGCTCGAGTATTCGATGTGGTGCGGCCCACTAACAAGGATGCTCCCGACGCTTCAACCCCATTAGTACTTCTGTCTCAACCACTTCAGCCACCGGACCCCGACTACGGCACCTTAGACGATGACCGAGACATGCGTGTGTTCATTGATTCGACTAGCGCGGGTGGATGGTTTGCTCTTTCCGAGGAGACTTACCCTCTGGTCACTGGTCGTGCCCCCATGGCTCAATGTTACGAAAAAGACTTTTTCCGTCGAGGGCAGTCACTGATGAGCCTGACGCCGCATCAGCAACGAGATGCCCTGGCTGGTGTTCATTCGTTGAATGGCCCACAAATCCGGCCTTCCATTCCCCGACTGGGAAGCTCCACAACTGAACTTTCCAATGACACTCCACGAGAGGTTTCACGCAGCCCATCAGAGCTAGCTCTTCCTCCTGCTCTGCGACACAGCGCTATAATTCGCAAAAGCTGGGACAATGCCCTCGACATCGTTGTCACTCTTGTTCTGCTCTTTATTGGTACATTTATCTACTTCAACTCGCATCATATTCGGGACCTCGCCAAGCAGAAGCTCGATATTAAGAACATTATCAACTCAAATGACAAATCCTCTCTCTCGACCCCAACTACCCCGATTATCGGTACGGCCCCGGATCTACCCCGCGCACCTACCCCTCGGCCGATGACCGATGTGACTGTCGATGTTGATTTGATCGACTCTGGGGAGGCCACGCCGCGACCATCTCGGGACCGCAGTGTACCACCGGATAGGACACCCCGGGTGAAGATTAGCGAGCCTGATCGTGAAACAGAAGAAGGCGATCTAGACGAGGGAAGCCAGAATCCCGATAAACCAGCGAAAAAGAAACGTTCGCGTGGTACACGAGGTGGCAAAGGCCATAAACGCAAGCCAAAGCCTGGTATCGAAGGCGAGCTTAGAGAGCACTCTGATCCGGGAGTCGAACTTCTGAATCGTCCAAATTCACAGTCCCGGCTTGAGTCCGATGCCCGCTTTACTCAAAATGTATCAACTGAAATAGTGCAACCGGACGGGGTAGTTCGCATTGGAAGACTAGAGGTATATACTGATATTGTGCTTGGACACGGCAGCCACGGAACCGTGGTCTACCGCGGTACTTTCGATGGACGAAATGTGGCTGTCAAGCGCATGCTCATGGAATTTTATGACATTGCCTCACATGAGGTAGGTCTGTTACAAGAGAGCGATGACCACCACAATGTCATCCGTTATTTCTGCCGTGAACAAGCAACTGGGTTCTTGTACATCGGTCTAGAGCTCTGTCCGGCGTCTCTCCAGGATGTCATTGAGCGCCCTGTTCAATTCCCAGAGCTGGTTCAAGGTGGCCTTGACATGCCAGATGTTCTTCGTCAGATCACGCAAGGAGTCCGATACTTGCATTCGCTCAAGATTGTTCATCGTGACTTGAAACCTCAAAATATCCTGGTTGCCATGCCTCGTGGGCGAACGACATCGCGGGCCATTCGCCTCCTCATCTCAGATTTTGGTCTGTGCAAGAAACTGGAGGATAATCAAAGTTCTTTCCGAGCCACTACTGCTCACGCTGCTGGAACGTCTGGCTGGCGTGCCCCGGAACTGCTCGTCGACGATGACACTGGACCCTTGAGTCTTGCATCCCAGCACACTGAATCCTCTGAACCCGCTGTCGTTGATCCCCAGACCAATCGCCGCGCCACTCGTGCCATTGATATCTTCTCACTCGGCTGCGTATTTTATTACGTGCTGACTCGGGGCAGCCATCCGTTCGATAAGAATGGCAAGTTCATGCGAGAGGCCAATATCGTGAAAGGTCACTTTGATTTGCAAGAATTGGATCGCTTGGGTGATTATGCCTTTGAGGCAGATGACTTGATTCGTTCCATGTTGTCTCTCGACCCACGCCATCGGTATGCTTTAAGCCTTTTACACAAAACAGTACATATCCCGATACTAATGGTTTTTTCCTCCCATATAGCCCCGACGCCAGTGCTGTCCTGATGCACCCCTTCTTTTGGGCCCCCTCCGACCGGCTTAGCTTCTTATGTGACGTATCGGATCACTTCGAGTTTGAACCGCGCGACCCCCCATCAGATGCACTGCTCTGCTTGGAGTCGGTAGCCCCGCAAGTTCTCGGACCTGACATGGATTTTTTGCGCCTGCTCCCTCGCGATTTCAAGGATAACCTAGGCAAGCAGCGCAAGTACACTGGTTCTCGAATGCTGGATCTACTGCGTGCTCTCCGTAACAAGCGCAACCATTACAATGACATGCCGGAGCACCTGAAGGTGCATATCGGTGGACTGCCAGAAGGTTATCTGAACTTCTGGACTGTCCGTTTCCCTAGTCTCCTGATGAGTTGCCATTGGGTCATTGCTGAGCTGCAATTGACTAGGATTGATCGGTTCCAGCGGTACTTCCAGCCGCCGGAGTAGTCATTTTCAATGTTCAAATCTTGCATCTTAGATACATAGATAGACCAAATACAGAAAACTGGAAACTTGTAATTTTATACTACCTAGGTACACACCTAGGCATCTACTGAAAATATATTGCCCACCTACCTATGGGGATGCCCTGAGCTCTGAAGAGTGACAGTCGTACTCTGGCCATTACCATCAAAGCCCTCCAAACACATTAGCTGATCATTTCTTATACAACGCCCGAATGAATCTATCCTTGTACAGTTTCCTCATATCAATCTCAAGTGACTGGTAGAACTAGCGGTAATGATTTCCTCCTATTGGTCTTCTCTTTTTGATCCATCAATTGAACTGAGGCCTGAGGCATCAAACGCGAATCCCCGCGTCTTTTCCTTTGTCGCGTTTGACCTTTTACTTTTCCCCCATTGACACGACACTAACGACCTCGTTCTTTCACATTTTGTTCACATGGCCGAGCCTGCTACCTATTTCTACTGCTCGATCACCTAATTTAATCTAACTTTTCTCCACCTCGCGCAATCGCAACCGTCCCCCATGGTCTTCCTTCGTTTAGAAGTCCGGGTGTACCCGCGGGAGCAAGAGCAAGTTCCCTCATGGTCGGGGTCCCTGCGCTCAATCTTGCCTAATAAGAAACCAGATTCTGAGGATACCAACACGATAAAGAGCTTCGCAGGGCTTTTGTTAACAGTGGAGAAGCCGGAGGAGCTATCGTTGGCTGATCTTGCTACATTGATCAAACAAAAATGGAAAGCGCTTCGCCCAAATTCCGAGTGAGTGAGAATGCAGAGCGATTGAAGAGAATAATAGCGCTGAACGTTCATTCTCCTATAGGCCTCTTGTTATTAAGAAACTACTCGATGATACAATGCCATTGATTGACCTCGATGCTGGAATGTCAGTTGAGGAGGTTTTCGTGAACCGCGGAAAAGCCCGCGCAGATGGCCACGACCAACGCGGCACCGTCCGTGTCATTCAAAAACCTCATGCCCATGCCCCCGAGCGGTTCCCTTCCGTCGAATTGGACTTTGAAGCGGCCAGTGAAGCGTTCACCCGGAAACGAAAGCATCAAACCCCCGAGAACGATGTACCGTCAAAGGAACCTCGGATAGAGGGTCAATTTGGCCGAGTGGCTCCTCAATCACCTAAAAGCCATACCTCAACCCGAAGACAGGAGCTTGGGCCATCCTGGACGAGTCCGCATCGCAGACCATCCAATGTGCTTCCGCCTAATAAGAAAGGACTAGGGCTCGGTATCACCAGTAGTCCTCCCAAGAGGCCCGACTACGACCGCCATGTTTCCTTCAGCGAAACCAGCACTCCAATTGCCAGGAACCCACCTAAGCCTTCCATTCCACGCAGTAGCCAAGGTCCTACTCCCTCTAGTAGCCAAATTGAAGGAATCGTTTATCCCCCTAACTTTAACCCGGAAAAAATTCAACAGTTGAAATCAGACCTGGAAAATGAGGAACGGGAGATGCCTGAGATTATCCAAAAGTTAAAGGATCCAAATACGCATACATCATTACTACCAATCTTGAGGGATATGCTTGATCTCCACGAGAGGATTAAGGCCCCAGCTACATCAAAGAGCAACAGAAGGAGAAGTATGGTGAAAACTGAACACAGGAAGAAACTTGAAGAAAAACGAATGGAATTGCATAAGCGTGAGGCTGCGCTTGCTGCTAAGTCTTTACAACCGCTTGAAGAAAACGGCCATGCGACATCCGAAATTGAGGAGTCAGTCGAAGTCTCGGACATTCCGGATACCGATGACGAAGTGACGAGCGGGGTCAATGGAAACAACGATCTCGAGAAGCCTGAAGATCAAAGCGACGAGAAGGCCATTGACAGTGATGAAGAAATGACGGATGCGGAATCAGTCAAAATGAATGGCCAACCTCAGACTGCGAACGATAAGGGTGAATCGTCAGAGGAGTCCGAATCGTCAGAGGATTCAGATTCGACAGATGAGTCAGAACCCGAAGCAGATCACTCAGTCAAATCACCTTTGGACGAGGGAGCTGCAATCGTTGATGACAGTGACGACGAGCCAGAATTGCCAACAAACCATCAAGCGAAAGCATCTGTAGATGATAAGACCGGAAACGTTAGCGATGACGGTGACGAGGAGCCAGTCTCGACAAAAATGCAGCAAGTACAAACACTTGCTGAAGATGAGGCTGGGTCTGATGGTGATACCGAAGACAATGACGAGTCAGAATCGGCAACAGAGAACCTCGCCAAAGCATTAGTGGATGATGAGGCTGATGTGGATGATGATGGCGAAGAGCATGAGGAAGAAGAGCAGGAAGAAGAGCTGGAGGAGGAGGAGGGGGAGGGGGGGGGAGGATGATGGCGAGGAAGAGGTGGAGGACAAAGACATTGGCGCGGATGAAGGATCGGACGAAGAGAGCAGTGACTCTCAAGAGGACGACAATATGTCCGAATCGGAACAAGAGAATGCGCTCAATGAGAAGAGCGGGGCGACCATCAAAGACAATGATGAGACCGGCAAAATCGAACACACGAATGGGACTGAGACGGTCGAAGTCAAGACAACTGCTGGGCCCGCAAAGCTCCCCGAGAGAAACAAAGTTCAACAGCCAGTCCAGGACAGCTCTTCCTCTTCAGAAGACTCGGAGAGTGAAGATGAACTTGACCTCTCCAAGTTTGGGTATGCTAGTTTATCGTCTTGCCTAGTATCATAGCCGCTGACCTACAAAACTAGTCGTTCTTCCATTCCTGGTCCCTCTGCCGCCACTGCCAAACCAATTGAGCAACCTCTGCCGGAAAAAACCACTCCACGAGTGACACCAAGAAGAACATTGAAAGGTCTCCTCAAAGATCAAAAGGATCAGCAGGCACGCAGGGCGCAACAGCCCCCGATACAGCACAAAGCTATCAAGTCTGCTCCTACCCCGAAGAAATCTAGCATTTACTCTGTGTCCGATAGCGAATCCGAAAGCAGCAACAGTGATGGACCCGGTGGTGACATCCTCGCCAACGGACAATCTGGGAAACTCCGCCAGCCTTGGAGCCGATAAGCATCTATTCTTGAGCTTTTTTTTTTTTGTACTGGATGCAAGTTCCACGTCTTGTGATATCCCTTTCTTTTGATGTTTTTCATATCTCTCTCGCATGGCAATGGCAATGTCGGCGTTATTTTCATCTAAGTCAGACTTGATCTCGCCTCTCGGCATATAAAAAAGCGGGTGTACATAGCCATTACGCAACCTACCTTGTTCTAGGTAGTAAGTAAATACAGAAGCCGACGGACAATTGTTCCGCATGACAAGATTCATTGGCCCATGGCGAGCGACGGGAACAGCTTCCAAAGTTGAAGGGTATTGCCATTTGTTTGGCGCACCTGAAGTATATACCGAGCAGGGGCGCTTATGAGCTCATGTCACTGAAATCGACACTTTTTGAATTGGAACATCGGGCCCGGTGTTCAACCTATGAAATCCGACTTTCAAAGGTTCCTCTATCACTTCGTAAATATATCCTTGCGTCGAATCATCGTTGTTTGCCGACTGCTTTTTTAAATCCTGGTAGGTCTACTCTTTACCTGAGTATCCCAGCAATACTGATTATTCCAGGAAATCAGCCATTAGGACTGCCCCTGTCGTTGAGGGAGTGAAGACCGATTATCTCAATATCTGGCCCTCATGTCTAGTCAGGAGAGTGGTAGCAACGGCTCGTCGACCGAAGGCGGCAGCGATAATGATGCGGATCGGCCAGAGGCAACAGAGGGTCTTGATGGAAAGTATCATGGACACGACAAAAGCCAAGGGGAATCACCGACACCGCGGGTACATTTCAGATCGTCCCCCAGCTTTGCAAACAATGTACCTCGTCCATCGCGGCATGAAAAGTCTCGTTCTGAGGACCGACCTCATCCCCCTACAGCCCCCTATGCCCACGAGTCAGCGGATATCGCCGACACGCCACTTTGGGAACAAGCTCAATGCACTGGTCAGGCCGGAGTAGCTCCAGACGAAAAGGCACCCGACGAACCACCGGAACAAACACAGAATATCAGGACTATCCTGAACACATTCAGTATCAACACCGCGAAAACCCGCCTTCGTTCGGCAACGTCAAGCTTCAAACAGCGGGCTTCGCGCCTAGGCGACCGGCTAGGTCGACCTACAACCGGAGGTGATGACCTTGGGTCGGGTATGTACCATGCAGACTGGGCGACCGGCAGCGAGCCTCCAATGTCGGATGTGACCGACGATAAGCACAAAACTTATGAAGAAAAGCGTCAGCATCAAGCGACAAGTAGTTCTGAAGCACATCGACTCGTCCGCGACCTGACACAGGACCATTCCGCCAAACGGCGCAAAACTCGAGGGCGACATGGTCCAGGGAACGTAACCGAATTCGTGGGAGGTGAACACGAGTCGAGCCTTGACTCGGGCCTGCGTTATCGATCTGGGGGTGGAGGTGTGCTGTCACAGCTGATCAAGCTCAATGGCGGACAGCAGCAGCACCAAGGAAGCACATTCAGGACCCCGAGTCAATCTTCGGTCGAAACTACATCCAGTAGTGCATCTTCGACGAGTCAGGGACCACAATCAAAAAGAAATATACCAAAATGGTACAAGAGGCCATCCAACACATCAACTTCCACGTTGATTGGGGCGAGCAGCAGTCTGAGCGGAGCGAGCACGCCGGTTTCAAGTGAGGTCATGTCGGCAGCATCCAAAAGACGTGGCAAACAGCTAGATCATGGACCTCGACTAGAAGACGAGATCCGAGTCACTATTCACATCGCAGAGATCATCTGCCGACAGCGATATATCATGCAGCTCTGTCGGGCATTGATGCTATTCGGAGCACCAACTCATCGATTGGAAGAATATATGCAAATGACATCCAAGGTACTTGAGATCGATAGTCAGTTTCTGTATTTACCGGGATGCATGATCATGTCATTCGATGATCCTTCGACGCGAACAACGGAGATGAAACTCGTCCGAGTCGGGCAGGGAGTGGACCTAGCGCGTCTCTCAGATACTCATCTCATATATAAGAATGTTATCCACGACGTGGTTGGGATCGAAGAAGCAATTCAAGACCTAGACGAAGTGATGAACAAGGGGCCACGCTACAACAAGTTCATCGTTGTTATGGTATATGGTCTAGCTACGGCCACTGTTGGTCCTTTTGCGTTCAACGCCCGACCTATTGACATGCCGATTATCTTCATCAATGGGTTACTGGTCGGGGCCATGCAACATCTCGCAGCACCTCGATCTGTTCTCTATTCCAATGTCTTCGAGGTGACGTCGACAGTATTGACATCATTCATTGCCCGTGCCTTTGGAAGCATTCCATTGAGGACCATCGATGGTAAGCGAGAATATCTCTTCTGCTTTTCTGCGATCGCACAAGCTTCAATTGCGTTGATTTTGCCTGGATTTCTGGTACTATGTAGCAGCTTGGAATTGCAATCGCACCAGATCATCGCAGGCTCGATTCGAATGGTGTATGCGATCATTTTCTCATTGTTTATCGGATATGGAATCACAGTCGGCACCACAATTTATGGCCTGATGGACAACAGCGCCGTATCTGACCTCAGTTGCCCCAAGACCGGATCATTTCCAAACCCCTATGTCGCGCGGTTTCCCTTCGTATCCATTATGATCGTGTGGCTCCTCATTATCAACCAAGGGAAATGGAAACAATTTCCGCCAATGGCCTTTATTGCCTTGTCCGGGTACACGGCCAACTACTTTAGCACCAAGCGACTCGGATCGAATTCGCAAGTTGCCAATACCGTTGGGGCATTTACGATAGGCATGCTGGGGAACCTCTATAGTCGACTCTGGCACGGTCATGCCGCGACAGCTATCTTACCGGGTATCTTTATTCTTGTGCCTTCTGGCCTTGCAGCGACTGGGTCATTGATCACGGGCGTGCAGTCTGCCGATGAAATCCGGCAAAACGTGTCTTCTCATTCCTCGTCCAGTAATACGCCTGGAGCTGGGTTGAGCAGTACCTCGGTGTTCACTTTGGGATTTGGTATGATCCAGGTGGCAATTGGGATTACAATTGGTTTGTTTATAGCAGCCCTGATTGTTTACCCATATGGGAAACGGAGAAGTGGGCTGTTTAGTTTTTGAGCTGGATATGAGATGTTTACGGCGCATATGTACCATGACGCCATAATTTCTTACAGCCTGAGGTCGAGACCAGCTGGTGGAATTATGTAAAAGAGACTAGGAAACGAGAAAGGCATTCGCGATTGGTGCTACATGGTCTTAGCTGCAGATGTAGTGGAGCAGAGGGAGAAGTTGATAGGTCGATCACCTGCACAAGTGGAACACTCCATACCTATTCAGGTATACGATGTTGATCCAAAGCCATGATCCACTTTGCATGAACCAAAACCTGCTCTAGCTGTCAGTCTGTGCCAATTTTTAGGTTCGATCGATCCGACGATGGTTCCTTGGATGGATGAAAGCCCAGCATGTCGAGCGGTTCATTGCATGAAGGGGCAGATTGATTCTCATGCCATCGACAGTCAACTTATGCAAGCAGGTGGAGTGATTCTCCACAGTTGGGCATCTTGACCCTGTTTTAATTGAACTAAGATCTGTCGATCACTAATGTACGCAACTATTTAGAAGGCTGGCATTCAGCTCTCGTCTCTCTCTCAAGTCTCCCCCGCCCCTACTCCACATACGCGTTCGAACTGCCACGCCACATGAACTCTCCATAGTGGGAACACTTTCTTTGCCTTTTCGGCTGCTGTTTCTTCCAGCGTCTTTGTCTTTGGTTCATCATGTCGCGTGCCAACGCCCAGCCCGATATAGGCGCTCCGCCAAATGAGATCACCTCGCTAATCCCCAAACCGACCCCAAATCCGACCACATGGAGCGAAATCGAGGCTCAAAGAAAATGGTCGACTGCTCCGGCCAAATCGTTGCTCGCAGAATGCTGGCAGTTGCTGAAGGACTCTTTACCCGTGATATTTGGATACACATTGCAAATGAGTCTACAAACAACAACCGCGATCATTATAGGGCAATCATCTCCCATGAACTTGGCGGTCGCTGCTTTTGCACAGATGTTTGCACTGGTGACTGGATGGATGATTGCGCTAGGAGGAACAACAGCTCTCGATACGATTGCGTCCTCGACCTTCACAGGGAGCGAGAATAAGCACGACCTTGGAATTCTACTTCAACGGGCACTATTCGTTTTGTCTCTGTTCTTTGTCCCAGTCGCCATTCTCTGGGCATGCTCCGACTCTGTTTTCCAGGCGCTTGGCCAAGACCCGGAGCTTTCCTACCTGAGTTCCCAATATCTGACTGTACTGATTCCAGGTGGACTGGGATATATCTTTTTTGAAGTCATGAAGAAGTACTTGCAGGCTCAGGGTAAGCAGACTGGCAGCCATCACGTTGGAACCTCCTGCTGACCACTCTCCTATTCGACAGGTCTCATGAGAGCCGGAACGTACGTTATGTTAATCGTCTTACCGTGCCATATTGCAATGACTTATGTGTTCTGTTATACACTGGATATCGGTCTACTTGGTGCCCCTCTGGCCTCCGATATCTCATACTGGCTTGCATTTGCACTACTGGTCTTACACAGCAAATTCATCGCTGGAGCTGAGTGCTGGGGCGGATGGTCATGGGCGGCTTTCGACAACATGTGGACATTCGTGCGGTTATCACTCCTGGGCATTATGCACATCGGAACGGAATGGCTGGCCTTTGAGATTGTGGCGTTGGCAGCAGGTCGTCTGGGTACGATCGCCCTAGCCGCCCAGAGTGTGATCATGACCGCTGATTCCGTGATGAACACAATCCCCTTTGGCCTCGGTGTGGCAACTTCATCTCGCATCGGTAATCTCCTTGGAGCCCGCAATGCAAAGGGGGCGGCACGCACGGCTCATATTTCGGCCTTTCTAGCGATCATCCTGGGATCGATGGTTTTGGCAGTGCTAATGGGAAGCCGCGACCACTTTGCCAAAATCTTTAACGATGATCCGAGAGTAGTGGAGCTGGTATCGGAAATCATGCCACTGGTCGCTCTTTTCCAAATTGCAGATGGAGTCAATGGAAGTTGTGGTGGCAGTTTGCGTGGTATGGGCCGACAGCACATTGGTGCTGTCGTGAATATTGTCAGCTACTATTTCTTTGCCCTGCCGCTGGGTATTTATCTGGCCTTCCATGGCTGGGGCCTGAAAGGCCTCTGGGTTGGCCAGTGTGTTGCACTCTACTGCGTTGGAGTCGTGCAGTGGATCATCGTTGCTTGTAGTCGATGGGACAAAGAGGTGATCAAGGCATTCGATCGTATGGATGCTCATGATGAGCTAGTCTCGTAGAAGGAGATAATGAGAAGTCAACTAAGAAAATGAAGCAAAACAAAAGCTCTGGAAAATGAGAAGCCCTGGATAGACATCCTTTCTGTCATACTAATTAGGCCATGCCGTTCTCGAGATAAGATCAAGGCCACAGACAGAGAAGCCGAACGTGAAGCCGAGAAAGCATCGGACCTGCATGAAACAAGAAAAGCTTCAAATCGCACTTCCATTTCTTCCTCCTGTGCGATAATCACCGAATTGTACTGTTCGTATTGCTCATCGTTCTGATGGAAAGACCATGGCCCTGAAGTATGGAGGCCCGTTGGTACCCAGACAACATATCCCAATGTTGACGAGATCAATTGCGTCAGCTCGAGCCAAATATGTTTAAGGAGAAGCAACATTGATTCGGTCCATTCATTTCAGGCCAGAGAGTCAAAGTATACTCAAAGCGTGGTGGGGAAGAATGGTATGCAGAAGCATAAAGTCGCTCATGTCGGAGTCTGATGGCTGAAGGTAGACATTGACGTACATTGTGGGTGTAAGAGATGAAGTAGTATAGGGGAACTGGTGATGGCCTGTACGGTATACCTCAGCGACTTGTCTACTTCTGTTGACTGGATTCGAAATCAGAAGCTTGGAAGCTGGAAAGTTTGTAGGTACTGGAAGACTTCGTGATGACGAATTCAAATGGTCCTCACTGATCAGTTAAGAGTGAGAGATGGTGGAATTGAAGAGAATCATTCAAGCGCACTCAATAACTATGTTGGAGCCATCTGTCTTGCCTCGCTACCTTGAGTATCGATTCTATATAGGGTTCTGTAAATCGAGAAATTTTTGCCCCATCAAGAGGTAAATGTGGAAAATAAAATGATACGAGATGAAGCGTCAAAAGGCCATATCAGCTTAGCACGCCCTGGTAAAGCGAAAGTGATGTGGGGTATCTCATGAATGCCATAAACATAAAGAGGCATAAAAGTCGTCACTATCAAGCGCTATGTACATGTATTCATGATCAAGATGGTAGATTCCAAATGAAATCCAAGGCACCGCCTTCGCACATGGGAAATTGGCTACCGCTAGTCATCCCAAAGGGTGCCATTGATGGATCAAAAGGCAGCGATAGCCAATCATCTGTCATATCGTTGAGAGATGGCATAAAAGCTAAATCCGAGGACAGGTCCTCGGGGGCTGGGGGTTGACTTGATTGGCACGATCGTTCGCATCGGGCCAAGCCGGAGGACCCATTGAAGATCGACTAGCAGCTCCTCGGTTGTTCTTGACAGCCTTGGAGGAAGCCAACAGATTACGACGCAGCCGTGAAACGTGCATGTCCAGAAGTGCGGCGTAGCGAGTACTTAAATGAACGTCATCCAGGGCATTGGACTTGAGCGCACTGATGCTATTTTCCAGTACCTCGAGTGACTCTCGGAGGACTGCCTCACGCGTGCCAAGACTGAGTGCTTTCATTAAGAAGATCGAAGCGCTAGTAACGCGCAAGATGATGCGCACGGGTGAGAATCGCAGTGCCCCGGTTTCTGCAAGCTGTGTGACTTTACGTAAGATCTGACAACAGCCATCGATAACCTCTTGAATATATTCGTAGTCGGTTTGTTCAATCGTCATCGGCCGAACCTCATCGAAGTTAGAGTCCGCGTCTGCCAGGGCACGCTCTACCACGGCTTGCATACCCACGGAGTGGGTATACACGCGGACAAAATGATACTCAATAAAAAGATCATTGTAGAAAGATTTATCAAGAACGTGGGGGTGCAGATACTTGTCTTTCCATTGGTTAAGGAGAGGCCGGAAATGGTCGAGAAGTCCAATGTACCGGCCACTGTGCAGCTGCTGGCGGGCAAATTTTGCAGATGGAAAGAACATATCAGTGACTGATTGTGCCAACTTGGTAAGCTCAATCCATGAGTCCATGAATGTAAGCCATGTGCTACCGGGCTGACTCAATCCTCGAGGCTTCCGCCCGCCGAGGACTGCATGGTTAAGGGATTGAGGGATCGGCGACATACACCCAATGCGCCATGCAAGTTGATTTATGTAGACATAAAGTAAACGCTGCACTCTCTGCCGCCGGAGAGCTATTTGCTCTTTCCACTGTGGATCCTCTTCCACGGACTCATCCTCCTCGGTCTCAAAGATACCGAGCTCATGTGCAAGTGAGAGAGCGCACCCAAGTAGCATCCAAGACATTTGGTCGGACCTTCTTGATGGCTCAATCATATCTTCTAACCATCTACTTGCGGAGCCATTGTTTGGGTCGGTTGATTCCGAGGGCTGAGGGCCCATGGAGATCAAATCGTCGTCCCAGCCATCCGTTTCCGGCGGGAAATGTAGTGATCGAGGATGCCACTCAGCCATTAACAGAAGGGCCTCCACAGTTCCAAGGCTTCGGATCTTGGACTTTGTTGCCTTTTCTTGCCCGAAGATCAGTCGCATTGTGAGCTGCTGGCAATGCTGCCAAAGCCGGTGGTGAATGAAAAAGTTCCTGGAGTCTCCCCCAGCGCCGGGGAGGATATGATAGCGGGAAGATATCATGAGAATGGTACAACATAGAACCGGTTCGCGGGTAATGAGCGTGTAATGATTCCGGTGGTTTGAGTAAAAGTCAGTAAGGATAGGAGATAGACAGGACATGTTTTTGAAGAATCTAGATTATGGTTAACAGAGTCGACACGTAGAGCCAAGAGAAGCTTGGAATGACATAGGAAGAAGGAAATTTCAACAACTCACAAATCAATGAACGTAGCTGCCTCTCGAGCGGTAAACCAACCCATCCTGACAAAGCGACACGCTTGCCAAATTTGAAGGGTATCTTGCGTAACTTCGGCCAAATCTACCGGGCGCGTGTTTCGGGGTACGGGCTCGAAGGGTATGGGGCTTTCAAAGTTCCGGGGAGTATTTCGCTCCTTCGCATTGACGTTGCCATTCTTTGAGTTACCTCCAATTGATGAAGTGGGCTCATTCTGGACATTGTCCTCTTGGCTTTGCGCTGTGGCTGCCTCGAACAGGATGTTGAGGGCATCATTACCGCTGGCGACGACCGTCCGCATCATAGAGCTCGCCAAATTCGGATTAGATCGATGGCGATGCTCATTTTGGGTATGCGGTGAAGTATGGTTCGCATGGTTTATTGGCTCGGTGCCAGGTCTTGGGCTAATGTTTATAGGGGGGCTATGTTTATGCTGCAGGGATGCTGAATGTCCGTTGAGCGCCCAGCCTGATTGGAAAGGGCTAGAGCCGGCATACTGAGCTGGCGATTGGTGATTATGGGTATACCTTCCGCTGGTTGTCTCCGGTGCAGCGTCTGATAGGTATTGCTCTGTGTGTGGAGATATTTGCTCATCGGTTTCTTCGATGGATCGAGCTTTAGGGCCGGTTAGGAACAACGGATCAAGTGTTTCCAGCTCTCACATACCACGTTTGCGGGACCTCTCCCAGGCCCGTTTCTCGGGGAATACACACTCTCTCATCTCTCGGCGACAACGCGCACAGGGTGGGCCGATCGGTAGGCCATCCGGGCCCGCACCCAAGTCGCACTTAGCCTTGCGTTGCCGGCAGGGTATGCATGCCTTGTAGGTTCGCTGATACGGCCGGTCCGGGCGGGAAGGCCTCGAATCCATAATGAGCCGTGCCGATCCGAGATCAGGATGTGAATCAGGAGATCGTGATTAGCAAGGATTGCCGCGAGAAGGAGTCGGGTGTTTTGGAGGGGAAGACGCGGAGGCAAGCGCCTACGTTAACCGACGATTTCCGCACACAATGCCGCTGATAAGGCGATAAGGCGATAAGATATAAGATAAACACAGAATCCGAAAGAGGATTAGATGCGTCTAGTATGCACAAATATTCCGGTCCTACCGGCTGACACAGGACACAATGAGGAAACTAGGTTTAGGACCTTACAAAACTATGATCAAGCAAATCATTGAATATAAATTTTGATAAAACATTTCAGAAACCAGAGGATATTAGGTACAAAGTACTACCTACACAATCGGAGAGGTAGGTATATCAAATCCGATCGCCCAGCGTATAAAGGAAACGCAAATAACCACAAAATAATACAGCCAAATGTCAAAAAAAGTGCTCCAAAACTGACACGCTCAGTAAAATCATTTGCCGCCCAATCCCAGAGCATCTGTCAGTCCACCAAGCCCCAAACCATTGACCAACTTGTCCAGTCCCAATCCACCAAGGATACCATTTAACAGTCCACCCAAGCCAAGACCATCCAGCAGACGACCAACCAATGACAAGACTCCATTCAAGAGGAGTCCAACAGCAGCAATGATCTGGAACAATGGCTCGGAGAGAAGAGACCAGAGAGGGCTAAGCTTCTTCTTGGCATGGGGCATGTCAGCAATCCGTCTCTTGCCGTTGTCGATTGTCTTAACGACAGTCTCAGTCAGAGTCTTGAGCAGCTCAGCCAGCTGATTCTCCTCGGGTGTGGCATCACGAGAAGAAGCGCGGGCCTTAGCAGTAGCAGCGATGCGACCATCGGGATCAAGGGCACGAATGGCACCGTTGCACTCTTGCAGGATTTTACCTCCCTGCTCTAGCAGGGGCTTGACATCCTTGACCAGCTTCTCCTCGTCAAGTTCATCCTTGGGAGTGCGGTCAGCCTTTTCGATTTTCTGTACAGACAATATATTAGCTATGAAGTTCACATTTCGATCACGACTGGAACTTACCTCGGAGATCATATCGCACACAGGCTTGACCTGATCCAAAGTCTGCCGAAGAATATGACACATCTTCTCAGCCAGCTGGCGGTCGTGCTCAGCCTTGGCTTGAGCTTCTTGCTCTTCAGGTGATGGACCTTCTTCCTCAACCTCGGGCTCAGGCTCAGGCTCCTCAGGCTCTGGAATGTTTTCCAGTAGGGTGCACTCGCCAATCTTGTTGCCGTCGTTGTCAACCACGTAACCATTGTCATCAATGGACTTGCCCACAAGGGTGGCCAGATTTCCAGAAGTCAGTTTTCCAATGAGGTTGCCATCAGCGTCGCGGACTTCTCCCTCCTTGTTGACCTTTCGACCAGACATAGGGTTGACATCGCGAGCCTTCTCCTCAGGCTCCCAGCGCTCAGCTTTGCCTATGGTGTTGCCGTTTTTGTCGACAACATCACCGTCCTCATCGACTTTGCGGCCAAGCAGGCGTTTAGCATCACCCTCAATGAGACGACCGATGATACGGCCGGCATCAATGACGACGCCATCCTTTCCAACTTCGGCATTATCGAATCCAAAGAAAGGACCCTCGGCCTTTTGCTGCTCGGCGCCCGGGATCAGCTCGGCGCGTCCGATAATCTGACCATTGTCACCCCAGATCTGGCCCTTGCCATCGACCTTGCGACCAGCAAGACGCTTGTCACCTTCGACAATGCGTCCGACGACAGCACCAGTGGCAGGATCGACGACATTGCCCATCTTGTTGACAACCTTGCCTTCGAGCAGCGACAGGTCCGCTTCTTCGGGGACCTCTTCCTCTTCTTCGGGGACCTCATAAGGCTCGGCGCGGCCCTTCACATTGCCATATTTGTCGGTAATCTCGCCGTCCTCATCAACAGCACGGCCGCGAAGTCTCTTCGCGTCGCCCTCGATGAGCTTTCCGACAATTGAGCCCTCCTCATCCTCAACGAAGCCATCCTTCGTGACGACCAGGCTCTCTAGACCGGCAAATGGACCCTCGGGCTTGTTTTCCAGCTCCTCCTCAGGGATGAGCTCAACACGACCAACAACCTTCTTGCCATCGTAGATTTCACCGTCTTCGATTTTCTTGCCGGCAAGTTCCTTGGGATTACCCTCGACAACTTGGGCAATAGGGAAGCCCTCACTGCCGATGACATACCCTGCCTTGTTGCAAGTCAAACCATTGAGCATGGAGAGATCAGGAGCAGCCTCCTCCTCGGGCTCCTCTTCAGGCTCGGGCTCGGGCTCCTCCCATCGCTCAGCGCGACCGATGACAGAGCCGTGACGATCGAGGACTTCACCATCTTCGTCAACACCGCGACCAAGAAGCTTCTTCGCGTCGCCTTCAACCAGCTTTCCGACGCGAGTCTGGTTCTCATCTTCGACAAAGCCTTCTTGGCCAACAACGAGACCCTCAAGGCCAGCGAATGGTCCCTCCTCATCCTTGCCGTCTTCGACGGGGAGTGCCTTGACCTTTCCGATCACATTTCCTCGGTTGTCCCAGAATTGTCCCTCCTTATCGAGGGTAGCTCCAAGTCGCGACAGCTTCTTAGGGTCACCTTCGATGACTTCACCGACAGGCTTTCCAGTCTCTTCATCGATGACGAATCCGCGCTTGTTGCACTTCAAGCCTTCCAGAGTGTCGAGTTCAGGAATGTGCTGGGTGGCTTCATCGACAGCATCTTCTGCGGCCTCAGGGTTGTCTTCAGCGGTTTCTTCAACGTCGTCCTGGGCTCCGTCGACATTCTCGTCGGCTGGGTCCTTAACATCGTCGACAGCATCTTTAGCAACACCCTCGGCGTCGACGTCGGCATCAGCGTCAGCATCGGCATCAGCATCAGCGTCAACATCAGCGTCAGCATCAGCGTCAACATCGACATCAGCATCCGCGTCGACATCAACGTCCTCGGCATCAACATCAGGAGCGGCTTCTTCAGCGGTGGACTTGGCTTGGTCGAGTCCTTCAGGCGCCGCATCTTCAGCGTCGGGCGCATCTTCTTGAGCATCCTCGGCTTCATCGGCAACATTGTCTGCATCATCCGTTGCGTCATCGACGGGAAGGCCGTCGTGGGCGTCCTCAAACTCGTCATCACCATCACCCTTGATGCCATTGACGTTATCGGTAGCGTCGCCGACAGCATCCTCGATAGCCTTCTGTTGCTCCTCAACCGGGAGAAGTTCCACTCGGCCGATCGCATCGCCTTCATCGTCAACGATCTCACCCGAATCGTTGAGAGTGTATCCGATGAGATCCTCGGGGTCACCTTCAACAATCTTGCCCAGGACCTGACCAGCAGCATTCTTGATCACACCGCCATCAGAGACAGGTAGACCCTCTAGCTCGGCCAGATCAGTGACAACATCCTGAGCCTCGCCGACCTTGGACTCAGCATCGTCAGGAAGGTTCTGAGCATCCTCGACGGCATCATGGAGGACATCAACGCGGCCAATCAAATCGCCATCTTCGTCGACGATCTCGCCGTCATCACCGACAGTCTGACCGACCAAGTCCTCGGGATCACCTTCCACCACCTCACCCAGTGGGTTACCGTCCTGACCCAGAATCTTGCCTCCGTCAGAGACGACAAGACCCTTCAGCGCAGAGAGGTCGAGCGGAGTAGCATCGGTGGCATTCTGGACTCCATTGTTCATAGTATCCTTCGTCTTTTCAGCAGAGCCCTTGGCCTTGCCAGACAACTCAGATGCAGCTCCACCAAGTGGGGCAGCTGAACCAGAAGCCTGAGATGCAGCATCATCGGGTGGAGAGATGGGTCGACGCTGCTCCGATGAGGGGGCCTTCTTCTTCGATTTGGGTGACGGGGTCTCAGGGATAGATACTTCGTCGTCTTGGATCGGCTTGGGCGACTTAGGAGCGAGCTTGCGGGAGGGTGTCTTCTTCACGGACTTGGGTGATTCAGTGACACTGGGTTTGGAGGCGGCGCTCGAGCCGGAACCTTTGCGGAGTTTGGTGGGAGTTCCAGCCTTCGAACCGAGCTTAGGGGGCTTGCTCACTGCAGGGGACGACATTTTGATGGGATGTGACAAATTTCAAGGTGAACGGATATCGGAATAATTTGAAATCAATAGCTGAAAAGGCGTAGAGTCTTTGACACAGTGACGTCGTGAAAATCGTATCAGCAAGGTGTAATGTACAATAGTATAGATGGAGGTAAAGTTTCGAGATAAAAGTAGAGATTCAAGGGGAAAGCGTATAAGATTCAAGAACTTTTGCAGTGACTTGAGAATTGGAATGTATAATGAAAGATTAGGAACTCATCGTGAAGTAGGCAAACTATATACCTTGCGACAACGTCCCAGGCACAGGGCAGAGCCTACTACGTCATGGTCGTTGATATCATCGCGAGACTTCATCTCTAAACCCAGTCGATCGATCCAAACCTTCTGCAGGGGGGTGCATAGTGGAGAGCCACCGGTTGATATTGATGTTATCATCATAGTGGGTCTGTCCGAATGGAAACGTGTAGGAGTGACGATCCCTGTGTCTGGCCACGCCATGTACCAATCAAGGTTGTGGATCCAAGAATTCCATGAGAGCATGTGGAGTACAGGCTAACATGACGCGGGCCATCGTGACACGAATCTGGGGTTGTAGGGGAAATCAGGCCGTGGGGTTCTCTGGTTTCCTGCGTCACGGCCTAGAATACGAGGTCAAATCTATTTCACTATTTATCTCTACTACTTTTAGTTATTTCCCCTTCCAATATGACGTGAAACCAACAGGGGCTTCCAAGGTTCCAGTGCATGTACCTCGAATGTATACTCCAATTTGACTCTAACCCGGTTATTAGCAGGTTACGACCCATGGGACCAAATTGGCCACCCTATATGGATCAAACACAACGAAGCGAATGAGAAGCCAGAGATGGATAGAAATAGATTTTTCGTAATTTGCCTCGAGCTGTCACTTCTGTGGCTGAAGGCTCCAAACTTGACTTATGACTGGTTCGTCATGTCGGACTGGTGCAGCATGAATTTCTCCGGTGATAAGCCTGGTCATCATTACATCAAGCGCTTGCTAGATCCGATGTTGTGCAGTGTTACTGTTCACGGTGCATCGATCGTCTCGTCTACAGAATACTGATTTGGTACTGGAGCAGTCGAGAAGACACTTGCTTTACTGGTCTGAATAACTCTTCCCTTGATTAGTATTTCCCGGGGAATTGATGTAGAATCCTGGTGGATAAAAGACGTAAACGCCACATGGAGAGCACGGGTCTCGGCCGGATGAGATCATGTTTAATCTATTTGAGTGGAGCCGTCAGCCACACAAGTCATCCTTGATATCATCGGCTCCAATTCAAGGCATGAGATTCTGACCGGGTCGGACCCCTGGTGCCAGGCCCTGGAGAAAGTGGTGAGAATCAATTTGACGAATTTTGAAAGTGAAAAGGCATGGCAGACCATCTTTTATAAAAGATCATGGCGGATCCGTGCTCAAATTTGACGCGTGGAGAGTGGATCTGGGTAAATCCCCGCTCGAATCAAAGTTTGGCCCTAGTGTCAACGGCGTAGCCAAGTTTTGGGGTCACAGATCACTTAGTGCAGCCCACTTTGGTTGCATCTTTTTTATTTTTCCTTTTTGGAAATTTATCTAAGTCGCATTATGCCCACTATCAACCCATCCCGATCGCATACCCTTTCAAACTACATCGGTCCATTCTCGCCTTACGGAAACCTTGACAATGAGATTTCATTGGATGCTAGTCTAAGCGCCGAAACCTCCAATCCAGATGCCGATAATTCTTGAGCACTATTACGAGGCGATACATCTGTCACGGCCCTATTTAACCGCCCTTTGCCCGAAACCAGCCCACGAGAAGCCACCAAGAAGCTCCGGACTACAGGGCACAATATTGAGAAGAAAATATCCCTACCATTGCTAGATATGGTATGTTGTACAGACATATGCAACAAGCCGATTGACCCGCAAACTGTGTCTGCCTATCAATTTTTGGCAGATTGCATCATAGGTGTCGCCGAATCTCGCCCGGTGTGTCGTACCATCATGGCGGGAGCATGTATGGGATACAAATTGATCACGAGACTTGACTAGGCTCAGATGTATCGTCTTTGCGCGGAACAAAACGCGACCGGGGATTCTAAAGTCAACGCAGCCGATATACCACATATGACATAATACAGCAGTCGGAGCCTCCAGTTAATGGCGAACACAAAATTTGTTCACTGGTTTTCTCTCCCCGACCAGGACCTTCAATCCGCTCAAGCCCCATGCGAAAGATGTGGGGCCATGGCGATAATCAGAGGAAAAAAGAAGGGCCTACGCAGCTCATCTTATAGTGAGTGGTGGACATTCGCGACCATTATTTCCTGGAAAACGGAAAGCTGGTTCGGCTTCCAATCCTCACCCCCGTGAATAGCACATATATGGCTTGGAAGTTGCACAAGAACAGATAACAGCCTTGTGGACACCTTGCGCTTATCACAGATAAACACGGCAATATTCTCTGTCGCCTTGTCACGGAAGTTCCGGACTTTATCACCTCAACTCGTGGGTTCGCGTCTCATTTGTCATACCGCTCTTTGACGGATTCCCGAACCGAGCATGCAATTGAAGCAATTGATACAGTCGCCACTGGATTAATGCGTGGACAGCTATCACTGGCTCTGATAAATGGGGCGACACCGCCCGCAACATGATCGAGAGGGGTGGGAGCATGGACCCACCATAAATAGCGCTGCTTTTACTCGATTCGGTAGGTCGTGGGGCACCGATCAGGTTCTCTCTGCAGCTAGTTGGGTAGCTGGAGCACTGCACGCATATCAGCAATTGACATCTGCCGGCCAACAACGAGTCACCCTATTGCCGGGATAGCGATTGAGTCCTTGTGTACCTAATCTGCATCGGAAGAATTTCAACTTACCGCGATCTCCACTTAGAAGTCATCAATCCGGGCCCACCTACCCGAAAACCTATTGGAGAAAAAGATCCAAGTATGGTGCACAGGCCACATGATGGACCGGGCTCGGAATATTCGAAGCATGGACACAAAGGCGTTCAGTTGTCGGGATGACATGCATATCCCCAAATCAGCAACTGGACGATCTCGCTGAATCACAATGCATATCTGGAATTTGTTTGGGGATCATGCGGTTTACAGGTAGCGTATGATACTTCCTAACAGAAGCCCCAGTGCATATACCGCATTCAGTCAAGGGGTCAGGGGTCCCTAGTCAGCAAGCTTACCTAAAGGAAATTACAGGCGAGGGCAAAGAATTGATCCCCTTGCTCGCTCTCACTAGCCCTACAGGCTACTGTAGATCAGAAAATTATGGCAGTGGCCCTATCGGGTAAGAGTAAGGGCATCGGTTGGAAGATGCCGGTGGCGCACGTTAATGACATAAGCTGGACAAGCTGCATAGTTAAGTCGGGACTATGCGGGAAAATAGAAGTCTGGTGGCATTCGAGAAGAAAGGTTAATAATGAAAGGCAACTATTTGACCATTTAAGGCTGAAACAGCCAAAGTGGAGGAAACAGATACCATAGCCGTATATCCCCAGGGACAAGATTAATGACTAAATATTATAACTGCAGTGGTATTCAACTTGGTTCTGAAATCCCCTGTGGCGGCAGAAGTGGGAAGTTCTGCTTTGACCATCTTGCGTTTGCCCCGATTTGGAAAACGCATGGCTCAGCGTGCTGAGTCATGCATGATGCGGATAGACTCGACCTATCAGGTTCATGTGGATCGATGCCCCTTTCCACCTCCCAGGCTTAACTCGAAACGGATTATGTTGATCTCCTTGTCATTGGTCCCTTTTACTTGCTAGCTTTACATTGGACCCAACTTGCAGGTTCGACATTACTGTAAATCAATAAACCCAGTCCCCAACCATTACTAAGTGGAGTTCGGTCCGATTATGTCATTCCAGTGAAGCTGCATTTGCCAAATTAGGATACACTATCTCTTAAATTTGTTTTTTTTCTTGGGGGTTCTGCAAGATGATCAATTCCCCTCTTGGATGTTCACCTAATGATGGCCCCACTGACTCTAATCGAAGCCATTTCTTTTGTTTGTTTTCCTTTTATATAGACATCTACGCAGCCAGAGAACGAACCAGGAAATGAAAAGATCGAAATCTCACCGCGATCCAATTAATGCCGTCAAGTAAGCGGGTTTGCCAGGGAACGTTGAGAAGCAAACACCAGGTAAGTTCCAACTGGGTGATCCGTGTGATCCGCGCCCATAACTCCTGCATCGTGACCCCTCGTCAAAAAGTGATTGGAATTTTCAAGGTCTTATTCTGACACTTACCACATTTAGTTCTCCGAGCCGAGCTGCTCTCACTATATAGATCGAAAGATGGTCGGCCAGACCTGTCGACCTCGCATGACTCGATTGGACACCAAAGCTCGGGGCTTGGCAGCCTCAAGAGGCTCGTCGACGCCAACTTCAGTCTCCCCGGAATTATCGCCGACTATGACCGCTGCAAGGCCTCATCCAGCTCATACCGTAGTGACAAAAGTCTGTCCCAGTACTTTGCCGGCAGACATGGAGGAAATACTGGGTCTGCAGGATCTCGAATTAATGATACACTGGTGCACCACGACATATCGTTCCATGGCCAAGGATCGTGCCACCGAGACCCTATGGCAAACAGTCATCCCTCGATTGTCGCTGGAATTTCCCTCTCTGCGACATGGACTATTAGCCTTATCAGCATTGCAGGTATCCGGGGCATGCACAAGCCCGGAACGCAGATGGCGATATTTGCTCGCGGCACGCGAATATCAGAGCCAAGCTCTGATAGGTATTCATCTCGACACGACACAAGAGCTCACCAACGCCCAATGTGATGCCCATTTCGCCCTATGCAGTGCCATGACTGTGTTCTCCTTTGCATATTGTTTGATAGACGATGGCCTGGAAGAAGATGACGAACAGGCAGAGATCCTGGATGAGTTTCTGGAGGTATTCCAGCTCACTCGGTGGCTCATAAGTGCCATGGTTTTATCCTTGGACCGCGTGGGCACCGGCGAGCTCCATTCGTTGGTTCGACCGGAACCAAGACGTGCTAGGTTGCCGAATATGTCTCATTTGGTGATTATAGGCCTGCGACGATATAATGAGAGTGAAGCCTTGCGGGACTCAGCCCACGAGAAAGAGACATATACCGAGACGATTAACCACCTGGGCACCTCCCTCGAACAATTGATGAGTGGGAGCGAGCCCAAAGATTTCGCTTTTTGCTGGACCTTTTATATTCCCGTTCGCTTCCCGGAACTGGTGCGTGAGCGCAAGCCCTTTGCACTAGTTATTCTGGCCCACTTTGCCGTCATACTGCACCATCTGCGGGAGACATGGTGGATGGGAGACTGGGCCACCCGCATTCTGAAAGAGGTTGTGGAGGGGCTGGACAGTGAATGGCATGACCTGCTCAGCTGGCCAGTAGATGCTATGGGGTGGTCTTTGCCGAAGGTGAAAGCTTGACACTATCCATAACTGGTGGGTTGCCATTACACCATCCACTTAAAGACTCGCGACTGGATTTAGTTCTATTTTGCAAAACTACCGTACCTATCACATGGGTACGACGACACATAATGAATCATCAAAGCGTTGTGATTAGGATAGATACCTAATCTTCATAGAGCATCTAACTACAAGCCCGACGCTAGATAACCAGTAGAAACAAGCCTTCGGAAGCCAACATGACACCAAGCGCCGAAACCAATCCCAGCGGACAAAGTGGTACCCGCAGATAGGAGTTGGGTAAAGATAAGGGGGAAAAAAACGAAAAGAAAAAAACACGCATATTAATACCAAAGATAAGAGATTCGCCCTAGCGCAACCCCGCATTAAGTACTGCCTGCAGCACTTCTGGCAGTTTCTTCCTTGCACTTTTCCCAAGTGACAAATGCTGTGTTGAGCGCAGAATAACCCGAGTACCGACTGGAAAGACACTACCGGAGAATCTATCGCGTCTATCGCAGAACTGACTAGGTCGAGGGTTCCTGATGCCGCAATTCCTGTCGCTCGTGTTCCACCTCCTTGATACGGTCCCTGTCTTGTGTGCGCACCCGCACAAGCTCAGCCTCCTGCAGACGAGCTCGCTCCTCCTCCTCGGCAGTAGGGATATAGGCATTGGCGACACCTCCTAGAAGAAAGAGAAAGAAAGATCAGTTTCCGAGCGTTTTGACTGTGTCCTGCATATCTGCATACCTCGGCCAGTATGGTGGGGGATCTGCTGCGCCCGCAGCGGTGGGGATTCCACGTCCTGACTTTCACGAGCAATCTCAGGTCGCTCGGGATCATTCTGAACCATGTTCCCTGAGCCTCCGCGACCGGTGGTATAGACTTCTTGCTTGATTGTTGGAGTGACGAGATCCCTCGGCGTGGTGGCGGACTGCTGGCGGGAGATGTTGCCTAGAGAGAGCAAGGTCAGGGCGCATTCCAATCGATGCCAGAACTTGGAAGTACCTACCAGCTCCGCCGCGACCGTATGAGATATTGCGACCAGACATGGCGATCTGGTATGGGATAGCGATCGAAGACGAGCTTGGAGGGAAAGTGGGGGGAGATGGCAGAACAAATTCTGGCTCCGCCTCGTGACCTTTGGTTGCCTGGATGTGCGTTGGATGAAATATGTAAGTGAGAGAGGATCTCTATGTCTGCTGAAAGAAGGTCCGGTCCTGTCAAGGGAAGAGGCGGTTTTCCTATGGTGTCTACCGCGGATGGTGCGCACCGGGTCCACTGAAATCTTTTCCGTGCCAAGAGCCCCCGATGAGGTCATGAGCCAAACGGCGGGTCGGGATCGATTGCTTTTGCCTATCTACTATCTCTCGGGATACAGCTGGAGACAAGCATATCTATGACACAAGCTGATAAGGAATGACATTCTGCTATAGGGCCAATGAGGTATTTCTTGAGCAGTTGCTCTTCTATTGCCCGGGCTTCTTACCGACACAGCACCCGAGCTGGTACCCTTGATTGAACGAGGAGTCGAATAGATACGGTTCGTTCTTCTCGGAGATGTACAGCACGGCCCCGAATTGTCACTTGGCGGGTAGGAAAAATGAATATAGTGCTTCGTGAAGCCAGTCTCACCATTCGTCATCATTCGTATTGTTGCTGGCAGGGCTAACATTGTCGGCTGCGCGAGAAGAGTCAGATGGGACCTTCGAGCCGATGAACTTCACACTTGCCTTCACACCTGCCCGTCTTGGCTTTGTAATATCCAATCTGAGCCCTGCCGTTTGTATACTGACTCACGACATTGACGATACACAAGTCCGCGTCTTCAGGAGAATGGTAGATGATGGCCAGGGGAGGGACATCGCAGAGAGAAAGTAATTGATGTACGACTTGAATTGATATGAAGGGAAGATAACTGGTTGTGATTTCCTGGGTTCGGAACGAGATACTTATACCCACAGGAAGAGGGTTTTGAACCCTTCTCTGGTTACTACCAAGTCACGTTGAAGGATGCCTAATACACCAGTGCTTTGCGGTCATTTTTTTCGCATGAGGTGATGTTCAGAAGAGAACATGAGGTCTATATATTGGATTTGGATGATCTTCCCCAATTCCTTCGTTCAATGGCAAACCATGAACCCTCATTGCTGTCACTTTCAAGGCTGGGATAGGGTCAAGGACAAAACACCATGTCAATTGATGGGGGAAAGGAGTAAGAATTTACTTTCCTTTGAAGGATTTTGTGGGTCAATAGCTCAAAAAACTTCAAAGAATCTAGGTATCGCCGCAATAGAGATTTTCATTACTTGAATTTTTAGTTCAGCTCTTCTCAGTCTTTCAAAATTGGTGATGAGCTGTGCCGATCTGTGTGTCTTCTAATTCTACAAGCCTGGTGCGTGAATAAGGGCTATCTTGTGTATGGATCAGACTTGGCTTATGTCCACTTACACCTGCTCTGTATAGTGATATAAGTTGTTTATTCACCAGATCTTCTGTTCATTCGTGTTTCTGTGGTTTTATACGTACCAGTCTATACCCCGCACAAACACCTTCCCCACAGTAAGATGGACCGAGGCTGTCAAGAGCCGAGAACTAAAGAATAATCACCTATAATTATCGACTAATTCCCCATAACCAGTCCAATTTACCCAAATTCAAACTCTTGTTACTGCCCAGTATGATCTTCGATCCCAAATCCTTAGACCTCCCAACTTCTTATGAACATGTCCCAACATCGGGTCATGTCATCGTCAAGCATCATCCACCGGGTGCCCCAACGGTGACTCCCGTCGTTGTGGTTACGCTGAATCGCCCTCAAAATCAGAATGCTTTCACTGGACAAATGGTCTTCGATTTTGAGAAACTATACGCCCTATTTGACGTGGATGAACGTGTCAAGGTCATCGTGCTAACTGGCGCTGGCAAGACCTTCTGCGCTGGTGCAGATCTGGATATTGGCTTTCAAAGACACGTCGGCAAAGAGAGACCGGCAGATCACCGTGATGGGTACGTAACACTCTGGGAGTACGAGTGAATTCCCTTTAGGCTAACCAATCCAGTGGCGGGCGTGTTTCACTCGCGATTCATCACTGCCGCAAGCCCACTATCGCAGCGATGCAAGGATCTGCAGTGGGTGTGGGCATGACCATGACTCTGCCCACTATTATACGGTAAAAATTCCAGTCGTCACGACATGGATATATATCCTAAGCATACTGACTGCGACCAGGATTGCCTACGAGAAAGGAAAATACGGATTTGTATTCGGACGCCGCGGTATCACAATGGAAGCATGCTCATCATATTTCCTGCCTCGTCTGGTCGGTCACTCAAACGCCAGCTACCTCGTCAGTACTGGTGCTGTATTCCCACCCACCGCAAGACACTTCGGAAGCTTGTTCAATGAAATCATGCCAGAAGCATCTCAGGTTCTCCCCCGAGCTCTCGAGCTAGCCACTGAGATTGCCGAGAACGTCAGTCCGACCGCGTCCTATATCAGCCGCGCCATGATGTGGCGCAACGTGGGCTCACCCGAAGGCGCGCATCTGGTCGAATCAAAGTCGATCTTCCACATGTTCGCATCAGCGTACGTATATATTATCTGCTGCAAGTTCAGGTTCAAGTCTGACTATCTTTTAGAGATCAGAAGGAAGGTGTCGCCGCGTTTTTCGAAAAGCGAAAACCTAACTTCCGGGCCAATTTGGATGATGATGTGCCTGCACATGTGCCTTGGTGGACGGAGGTTGATACTGGTAGGGCACCCAAGGCCAGCACTTCGTCAAAGCTGTAGTCGACTCGTACGGTTATCCGACTCTCATAGAGCGAGATCATATATAAGAAGCAAGATCAATAAACCGTAATTGTTTATGTAAATAAGCTTAATTGAACATGGTGCTTGACGGTGCTATCAAAGGTCATTTTCAAATACAAAATATGATGCCCCAGGTCGCCCAGACCGCTAATGAGATCGAATAAAAAGCACAAAACACCAATCCAAATCCAGAGAAAAGAAAGCGACCGGCCTTGGTCCAGAATTTGCGAGTTGCAGGGTCAAGCGTATAGACAAACATGCAAAGGTAATCGTCTCAAAAAGCAAAATCAAGCAATGAAGTTTCGGCGCTTCCGGTTGTACGCCCGCTGGTCCTTCAGCCACTGGCGATATCCTTGCACACTACCGATCTTCTCGCCGTAGTAATCGGGGACAGGGTTGGCAATGGAGTTGGTCGATGGGTCCACACGGAATCGTCGAATGCGATCGAAGAACTCCTTCTCTTTCTATTTGACACGGTATTTCATTAGCAAATCTTATCTTGTCATTACGTAGGCTTTTGAACTCACTGTTGCTACAGAGGGGGTGAACCGACGGTAAACCAAACCCCAGAGTCCGTTGCCGACAATTGGACCCAAGAGCCATCCAGCGGCACCGCAGGCAGCTGTCGCCATTCCCAACACGACGAATGGATCGAGACCCATCACCTGAGCACCGAGAGATTCCAGATCTTGTGAAGACAGAATCTGCACGCCGGCGGTAGTAGACACGAGGCAGGTCGCAACGGAGGATGCGAGGGAGTATCGGCGGCGAGAAGCGCGAAGCTTGAAGAAAGAGTCCCAGTCGAGCTTCACCTCATCTTTACCGGCGGAAGAAGTGGAGTTCATCCGCAGGCCCGGACGGCTCGATACTGTGGGAGTAGGTCGGGCATTTTGTTTGATGGAGAGCTTAGATGCAACGCCCGGGGAGGGACGGACAACGGTCGAGTGGAGACGTGCAAGCTGCTGGGATGTGATCCGCGGGGAGGGGGTGGCGAGGGAGCTAAGGGCAGAGGTGCCCAGTCGACCACCGATTACTGTGCGAGCTGACATGGTGAATATGATCAGGAATGTCAGAAACCGGGGAATTGGATCGGAGACAAGAGATTGCGTTGCTTCCAGCGGAAACCGAAGGTGGAGTTGTGATTATGTAAGCATATGGCCATGGACGAGACAACAGTGTATTCGTGACAATGTGACAAGGAAAAGTAGAGATTCATTAGGGACTCCTTTATCATTTCCTAAGGTATCATAAACATCGGGCAATCACCTAGATAAATCTGTCAAGCGTCTGGAGTCGGAGTGCTTCGCGGATCTCATGCATAGACCGGTCACGTGAAACTTGAGAGTGTGTGTAGTCACGTGTCTGTTTTACTACACGTAAACATGACAGTCAATCAATTATCCTGCTCTACTGGCTTTAGATGATGGTGTAAAGCTTTCGTAGCAGACAGATGGGTCCATGAGCTTCTCAAATCATTTATTCCAGGCGCAAATGGTGAGTTCTAGAACTGACGGAGGGCAGAGCGGGGGCAAATGAAGGTCAATACATATCCCTCGATATATTTCATAACAGGAAGCTGCATTGGAAGAGGATCACGGCCATACTTTCAACCAGTGCTCGCTAGTATAATACTCCACTTTGATTCATATCAATGATGGACAAAGGGTCAACCCCCGAATTGCTAGAGAAGCTGTTATGGACCAAACCGACAGGGATTTCAATATCAGTAGGAATGAGAACCATCGCAGCATTATAGGCTCATGCGGTCAATGTCACCTGGAAAGATATGTTTACCTACGAGCATATATTGTCAAGGCGTTTATTTTTCTGAACGAGGGTCATGGGGGCAGTGCATTCCTGAAGCAGAAGATACGTGAGCACTGCCTGGAGCACAAAGCCGCTCATTGCTGTCCTCAACAAAGCTGCAGACTTCTTGCCTAAGACTTTCACCGGGAAGGTCATTCGTAAACAGCTGCGGATGTTAGAAATGCCCTAACCTTGGAGTTTCAAGTCAAATCCATTAATAGGTTGTGTACCTAACATCTGATCGTTCGTTCTTCAGGGCTCCTGGCTAGTTAAACCAAACAAACTCTATGGATGTCTTCCCATGTGAACTGACTTACTCATCTGCCGGGTAGAATGATCATAGGGTACACAAGAAGTAGGCCCACGAGGCCTGGCTGGCGCCTCCCAGCAAATGTTTTTCCAAGATTGGCAGATCAGTGCAAATTATGTTTATATTGAAATCAAGCACATGTACTTATTGCCATTTGTTGTTCACCTTGAATTATTGTTCAAAACCATAAGTTCAGGTTGACAATTCATGTATGTGCATAAAATCGCCGCTCGCAGACACAAATACTTCGATGAAGAACTACTACATGGAACCCCAAGAAAGACCAAACCTGATGTAAGTCCGAAAGAAGTCCGCTGCAATCCAGACCTGATGATCGCTGCAATGCAAATGCCGTCGTCTATATCTATGAGATAGCATGGCCTTGCGGGTGCTTTGCGTGGGAAACTCAATCAAATCATCGAACTGGGAAATCTCCCGTCGCACCATTCTAATCATACCCGAGAACGGACCCTGAGTGAGGCAGCAGATCTTTGAATGCAATATTTTGCCACATCACTCATACCGAGGTAGCGAAGGCATTTCATAGACCATCCTTTCGTTTGATATTACCTGGACGGGACAGAGGCTGAGTACCAGTCCCAAACCCATTGACTCGACCATACAACCATTGAATCGACACAGTACTCAGCGCCATCACAACAGCACTCAGCGAGAAAAGGCCGACACGGCCCACTGTTGACAGCTGCTCAAAAATAGGGTACGGGTACCATCCATTGTACAGGAAGCACTGCTCCACCCAAAACCAGTACCCAAAGGCAATAGTTCCAGACAATCCCAGAGAAGGGAGGGCAGTGATAGTCCACGGGGGAGATAGGAACAGTAGATCCACTAGCATGACGATAGACGGAATGGCATGGAAGCCAATATCTGCTCAGACTACGTTAGCACGGGGTCAGTGCGAAGCGGGACTTAATGTTTCAACAAACCCGCATGAAGTGGAATGACAGCCCAATCAGGCAACACTAGTCGCTCGTCGATCTGGGGTCTTGATTAGCTCTTCATACAATGACATATGATATTTTTGACTCACAACTCGAAGCCCCCAATAAAGAACACTGATCAGTACCTCCATTGGGGCGCTGCATACCGACAGCAGGTTTTTGATCAGAAACAGGCGCCGGGATAAGGTGATATCTGCCAACAGAGCAACAATAAAAGTCAAAGTAGACAACGTCAACCCAATAACCGTCAAATACTGGAAATGCCAGCCATATGCCTCATTTCTAACTTCATTAGTCATTCTTTTCATCCTGACATGTATCCCCTGTAGAGAACCAAAGTTAAACGTACGCCTTATTCGGATTATCATGCATACTATTGGATTTGTGTTAGTTGGCAGGTATATTTCGGGAAAAATCTGAAAGTAGTGATTGATGACTGACTATTTGAAAGACCAGAGAAAGCTCGCCAGACCGGCCATCTGTGTATGTTAGTTCCATGAGGCTCTGTATTCTGATTGAACCCGGAAAGTCATACATGAACCAGAGCCGAAACGCCCCTGGAAGGGCTAGAGAGCCTTTGCAGCGGGTGCTGTTGAACCAAATTGCCGGCCATGTTGTGAATTGAGTTTCGAGACTCGAGTGTGACCACTCCAGGGTTCTGAGGGTCGGGAGATCAAGGAAACCCAGGGAACCAAGGACACATCGGAGCCAGGCCCCAATGACGATGGCCCATGTGACCGGGATCCCGCGGCATCCCGCATCGGATCTATAGTTAATCCGACATCCGGCTGAGTCAGTCTTATCTTTGGCCTTCCCCACACTTTCTCGCGACTTTCTCGATAGCCATTCCAGAACGTGCTTTTTTCCTTACTGCATGCATATCCTGAACCTCATGGTGTGTGCATGGTGAACGGGTCTTATATTGAAAGTGGGCCCTTACCCTGGATATCTTTAGCTTGTCTTGTCCCGCATCTTGTGATCTTCACGATCGTCATAACTCTATCACTCTTGGAGCTGCACCTGCAGAATACCAAACCCCATTGCTGCAGTCGCAGCGGGATCCTGAAGTCTTTGTTGGGCACATCTCCCTCCCACACCTCGATGTCCCTGTCTACTAGGTGTGGGTGCTTGGTCGACTATCGTTTCGTCGCCACTTGGGGTCAACACAGTTCTGGACGCAAAAAGCGATCCAATCGCGTCCTGTGTGCCCTGTGAAGAGGCCTCGACAGTTTCCTTCAACGCATTTCTTTCTGCTGTTGGATGGAATCTCCTTGGAGACGACCTTCACTCGTTTTATTTGTTTCGGTCTCGTCGTTGCTCTGCTCTGGGGCTGGTCATTGATACATTTCATCTGAGGTGCAATGCCTCGTCCCCGAAGGCCTGGTGCGCCAGAGCCGAAGAGGAGAAGCCGAAAAGGTTGTTGGTATGTATATGTTTGTGAAATCCAAATCCTGCTTCTGCCCTTCGGAGGACTAATTCGATTGTTCCATTATAGGCCGTGCAAAGCACGCAAAGTCAAATGGTAAGCAATCAACATGTTCACGCAACGTGACAATCCCACTAATTGCGAAGCACAGCGGAGAAGAAAAGCCATTATGTCTCAATTGCCAACGACAAGGAGAGGTGTGTGACTATAGCGTCCGCCTCAATTGGGGTGGCCGGACCAAACGAACGTCCGTTGACTCCCCCAGTTCCCAGTCAAGTGGATACGCAGGGACAATTATGTCTTTCTCCGATGCAACGCCAACAAGCAATGTGAACTCTACTTCTATGCCAATGTCAGCAAACAGACATTCAGTGGATGGCTTCGTCAACGTTCACTCTGGTGATTTGGGTTCCCCTGGGGCCATGTCGCCGCCACCACTTGGCATATTTGAGTCGCCCAAGCCGCCAGTAGGACCAGAGGGTGGAAATTCACCAGACCGAGCCGATACTCACTTCCCATCCACCTGGCCGGAACAATCTCCCCTGACATCTCCAGTGTCGTCGGGCCCTCTAGCACATTATCCTTTTGGTTCGGGGTTTCACGGTACTTTCTCAGCGGCTGCTGATCAAGGTGTAGGCCTTCGGTCACTGTCGGCCTTTGCATTTCATTCGAACTCGGTATCACAGCCCGTATCATTTCTTCGAAATACCGTCGATGATTTAAGACATGCATCTAATCACAATGAAGGCTCGCACGGTTCCAATTCCCAGGATGAGCACAGTATGGGATACTCGATCGACGAAATGGTACAGCATAATCACCACTCTCCGGGCATGCCGAATGATGGTGGTATCTCGTCCTTGATGCTCGGGTCGCATGACCCAGTGGCCCGAAGCAATGTGGCTTCGTCTCCTGGGGATAGAATGACGACGTTTGACCAGCCGGCAGAGGCGACATCGAATGATCGCAAAGATGATGATCAAGCTGCACGCGAATCGTTTGCAGCCCAGAGCAGATGGCAAGCTTACCTCACCAGTGTGACGGACAACTATGGATTTGATTCCGGGCGGCCAGATCGTGATGTAGCATTAAATAACGACCATGCCGCAATTGATGTCAATTCGTCCTTCGGTCTGACTGGCACACGGGGGCACTCCGAAGATGGGTCACCCAAAGGCTATTGCACGCCGTCTGAACTCCAGAACACCGATCTCAGTGGGTATTATGTCGTGCCGGTGCCAATCAACATCCCAAGATATCTTTCTCCGCTGCCATCATCTTTGCTGGGTAATCCGATCAATCTGATGTACTTTCATCACTTCATCAATCATACGTCTCGAATGTTAGTCCCTCATGACTGTGACAATAACCCGTTCACGTCAGTCCTGCCCTCAAGTAAGTTTCTCATACTGAATTATTCGATGACTTTGTGTAGTTCTAAACTGACAAATGGTATCAGTGGCGATTGGCGACCCCAATTTGCTCAATTTGTTGTTGGCGTACTCAGCCAGTCATCGTGCGCGGTATTTAGGGCATCCCGAACCGGCCAATCGAATTGCGCACTGGGTAAGTGATGTCTTTCCAACTCTGCGTGTGGCATTGGAAGCATCCCATGAGGAAATTACCGATAGTCACTTAGCTACCGCAATTCTGCTCTTGTCCTTGAAAATTGTGTCCCCAGGAACATTCGAAGTTCCCATCACATGGCAGAGTCATCTCAAACTTGCCCGGGAGTTATTCATTGCGCGGAGTGATCGACTCGGTCGGTCTGGTAATCGAATTGGCGCATTCTTTGCCCGTTGGTTGGGGTACATCGACACCGTTGGTGCATTGTCCTGTCGTCAAGCCGGTCGACCGCTAATGCTGTATCATTCTGTTCTTGAGGCCTGTTCGAATCCAGAGAGCTATGACGAGTCTAGCGTGGACTGCTTCACAGGATTTACTCCTCGTACTGGATTGTTCCTCATCCGCCTGGCAAAGCTGGTCCAGGAATGTGATAATCAGCGTTTTGACGAGCTGGGCAACTTCCGCCGGGGATGGCACCCATCTGCGGACATGGTCCTTCAAGCTCAAGCCGTGCTAGGAGATCTAGATGCACTAACGGATCATGCCCATGCTGACCCGGATCACCACCAGGGACTCGAGGCCCAGGATATGATGGCAACGGAAGAGGCCTTCCGATGTGCTGGTCTCATTCATCTTCATCGCCGTGTGCTTGGGTCTTCAACAGATTCGTTCCCGGTTAAAGAGGCCCTTCGACAGCTGATTGATGCACTCGGACGTATGAGACTCGGTGCCTCAACCGAGGTTTGTTCGTTGCTTCCGTTGTTCACGGCGGGTTGCGAGTCTCGGGACCCATCGCAACAGGCCAGAATCCTAAACCGGTTCCTGGTGTTAGAGAAATCAGGGATGAAACAGGTAATATTTGCGGGCTGACTGTTTATCCTCCTTTTGCTGACTTTGATTTTCAGATTCAAGATGCTCGCCAGTTAATGCAGCGGTGTTGGGAAGAAAACCTTCCCTGGGTTGCGTTGGCCGGCGGAGAGTTCTTCGGATAGATATGCGAAAATCAGGTGCCACCTTTGAACTGGACAGCAATCATGCCTTTCATATATGATCTTGCATACATCTTTAACAAGAATTGCTCCGCTTCTTGCACCTATCAATCACGCAAATTTCAATGCTTTTCTGATCTGTCAATCCTTTTGCGACTCATCTACTTTGATCATATTGTACCTATTGCCGCTGTCCTTAGATTCATGTCCACAAACGTTATGCTGTTCTTTGAATTGAAGTATGGATATCCACTGTTACTCCAGTCCCGGCGTGTTCGACAAACCTTTCCTCCCATTCCTTCTATCCCTCCCTTCACCCATCTTGCGGTCGTCTACAAATCTGCCTACCACCAGATCCTACTTTCATTTGTCTGATACCCGCACATCACAACGCCATTATCGTCATCATGCCCCTTACCCCGTACGACACCAGTGCCTGGCCCGTTATCCACTGGATGGCTGGATTTGGTCCCATAGGTGATGCCGAGGATGTCCCGCCTTACCCCCCTCCTCCACCTCCTCCATCTCCTGCTCCTCCTGCCTCTCCTGCCTCTCCTGCTTCTCCTTCTTCTAGCAAGGTTAGTAAAGATCAGATCACCACCTCCATCTCATTCCAAGTCATTGACTAGTATTCAGAGCACTCGCATTCAAACTCCGACTCGGAACCGGTCAGGCCTTACTCCGGGACTTGCAGGTCTGGGTCTGGATGATGGCCTTCCTCTTCACCAGCAAAGGATTGTGCGGGAACGCCGCCGCCGCCTGCCGCCACTGCGCCGCTGGGCCCCAGGGCCTTGGGCCAGGCCGAGCAACCAGCTGGGACCCGGGCAGCCTACCCGCGAGGATGCCCTCGACCTTCCCCGCGCCTCGGATCTGAACCTGCAGTATGGAGTACCCATGACACTGGGTCGAAATGATGACGACGTTTACCGTACCGTCGCGATTGAGGGCATGCCTAACAACTATGGTGCAACCCGTATCTTATCTCTCATCCGAGGAGGCGGGGTCTATTCTTTCCATCTCGACCCCACACCTAGGAGGTCCTGGATGACTGCATTGATCGTCTTCGTCACGGAGAGCGGTGCCGACGCCTTCATTGAGTATTCGCGGGGCAGCCACTTCGCCCTCACCTCAGGCGGTGCCCAGGCGATGAAGCTCGCCAATCCCACTTATCCCATGCCGCTCCCTTTGCTTGAATGCCCAATGACAAGATGCCTGGTGATTCGCAACGGCCTGCACCGTATTGCCCAGTCGAGGCTTGCCAACTGGCCCAATGCTGGCAATCTAATTGCAGCTAAAACGCACACTGGGGTCTCTGGAGAGCGAGTCCTCCAGTTTTTCTCGGTGAGAGCTGCCAACTGGGTCTTCCGCCGGCTTTCCGAGTGCGAAGAGTTCAACTCGACGACCCTGGACTTTGCCCCGGATCCTGCCGCCGCCGCCATGTGAGCTCGATATATGCCGGGTCAAAATTAGGGATCATATCCTGGGATGTATGTTTGTTCTGTCGTGGGCGCCTTGGTGAGGTCGGCCCGTAGGCGGGGCGGAGTGGATGTGCCCTGGAGAAGTTGGGGCGACGTCCCCGCAAAATCGCGGAGACGTCGCCCCAACTTCTCCACAGTCTCCACGATAGATAGAAGAGAATTGGCGGTTCCAGTGCCTTTTCATTGCTCCCATCTTTTTCCAAATGGCGTAGCCCCCCATCACAGTAGCTCTATGTATCTACCCCTCGGTTTCCCGTCTCTATAGGGAATTGCAGCCCCGAGGCCCCAATCGGGTATCTCTCGATGAAGATCGCGGCCAGTGCCGATCTCTGGGGATACCATTGGCACCCCCTGCAAGTAAATGCGGAGTCAATCCCAATGATTGGACAGGCCAATTTCAAGACCCTTACTCACGTTGCACAAGCGCTTACAACGTGCAGATTCACTTGTCCTCTCGTTTAGGCTCCGCTAGTTCGTTTATTCCCCGCTCCGCTTGTCCACTCACCACTTCGTGATTTCTCCTCTCCTTTCTTTTGATTCCTCTTTCAGTTGTGTCCCGCATACTGCAGGATCTTGAGCAAGGATAACTGCAACTGCCGTGTAACTCCATGGCTACCGAGGTCGTGGATGTTGACAAGGGAGCCCGTTTAGACCCGGAGATGCCTTTGGATGTCAAATCGGACAGATTGGCGAACTTGGAAGACCCCGATGAGGGACTCAGTGATGAAGAACGGGCCAAGATTGTAATTTTATCTCTGCCATCCCCTGACATGTGCTATGCATTGATTCATGCAATGCCGATCCTGTCTCAAACTAACTATACATGCATGTAGGACCGTAAGCTTCTTTGGAAGCTTGACCTTCGTCTTCTTCCATGGCTGAGTCTATTATATCTAGCCTCCTTCCTCGATCGGTATGTCGTTTGATTCACAAAGTCATCTAGCTACCAGAATATCTGCGCTGACATGGAAAAGTACCAACATCGGCAATGCCAAGATCGACGGCCTTAGCAAGCAACTGGGTATGACAGCGAACCAGTACAACGCCACCCTGACCATCTTTTTCGTCTCATACTCCGTTTTTGAGCCCGCCACAAACGTGCTCCTTAAACGATTACGACCAAGCATCTTTATTCCTTCTATCATGATTGGCTGGGTAAGTAATGAACTATATTCTTCAGGTCAAACCTTTACTTCTGTCTCTAATTTATAGTCATATCCAGGGAATTTGCATGACCCTTATGGGTACAGTGCATAACTACAGCGGACTGATGGCAGTGCGGTGGTTTCTTGGTCTCACGGAAGCCGGCTTATTCCCAGGCATAGGCTACTTCCTTTCTTGCTGGTATCGGCGCGAAGAGTTTGGCGTACGAATGGCCATTTTCTTCTCAGCTGCCGCCCTTGCTGGTTCCTTCGGTGGACTTTTAGCAGCCGCCATCGCCAACATGGACGGAGTCGGAGGCAAAGCCGGTTGGGCGTGGATCTTCATCCTAGAAGGACTGGCAACCGTCGTTATTGGCGTGGCCTCCTTCTGGTGTGTCTACGATTTCCCCGACCAGGCCCGATTCCTGTCCGAGAAGGATCGGGCCCGTGTGGTTCGCCGACTCGCCCTGGATGCGCAGTCGAGCGCCGAGCACGAGGAGTTCAAGATGTCCTACTTCTGGGCTAGCGTCAAGGACTGGAAGACCTGGACGGGTGCGATAGTGTACATGGGAGCTGACGGATCGCTGTATGCCTTCTCACTGTTTGTGCCAACAATCATCAGCGAACTAGTAAGTGATAACCAGTTGCTCGAGCTCAGAGGAAAGGCCGTTGCTGACTTGACTTAGGGTAACTTCTATCATCCAGTCTGAGGTAACTTCTAGAGTACACAACTAACTTTTTTCAGGCTACAGCTCAATTCGTGCTCAGTTACTGAGCGTTCCCCCTTTACGCTGCTGCTGCCATTTTGACCGTTACGGTTGGCTTCATTGCTGATCGTACGCGCCAGCGGGGTTTGTGCAACATCGCCACCTCGATCCTCGGTATCGTGGGATTTTCCATGCTCCTGGGATGTCAGTCTGCTGGGGCACGCTATGCAGGGACATTTCTCGGGGCGATGGGTATCTATCCCGCAATCGCCAACACGATCTCCTGGTCGAGCAACAACATCGAGGGTATGTGGTGACAGATAGTTCCTCTACTTGTTTCTATTGCTCGAACCGACTAACCGATATCTGTTTAGGGGTGTATAAGCGCGGCGTATCGCTAGGATTTATCATCGGCTGGGGCAATCTGAACGGTATTGTTTCCTCCAATATCTACCGTGAAGCAGATGCCCCCCGATTTTATCCTGGACATGGCACTGTGCTCGCCTACCTCGTGGTGTTTCTCTTTGGGGGCTCGATCGTCCAGTACGTCCTGCTCCGCCGGGAGAATGCCAAGCGTCGGCGCGGTGAGCGAGATCACTGGATCGAAGGCCTTGATCAGAATGAGATCGAGTTGCTAGGTGATAAGCGGCCCGATTTTATGTACACTCTGTGAGATGTCCAACTGAAAAACGACGGGGCGGGCAAACCAGGAAATGCAAGTGTATCGCAATGTGAGGATATCTAACGTCGGACTAATTGATGCCCATTTTCATTTTCTACATCCATATCGTAGCTCCATTCCAATAAACGTCTCTGCTGAGGACAAACGCTTGATATCGTTTGCACGGTCATGTGACATTTTCAATGTTTTAGTCAAGACTCAAGACCAGACTTGCCCCTTGCTTCTTGTCTGTGCTGTTTTAGTACAATCTCCAAGAAATCACTTGGAGTCCTCCAATCTCCTAGGACTCTGGAACTTAGAAAGACAAGGACCCGTTTTCCCGAGCTGTTTTCTTTCACCCCCTGACTTACATGTTCTCCTCGATCTCATTGGGCGCTCGGGCTCGACCACGTCTAGGTCGTGTGACCACCGCCAGATGTTTCTCTTCAACAAAGACAGCTTCGTCACATTGGGCTAGAAATGCTGTGGTTGGAGGTCTCATCAGTGGCCCGGGTCTATGGTGGGCAACTTCTAGTCGCAATGATGTGCCTGAAGTGTCGGGTGTGTCTGATGTACCGCGGCTAGACACGCCACCCACCGATCATTTGACGTTCGGGCCGGGCCTTTCACCAGACCAGGTGACCCAGGTTATCTCACAACACGCATTTTCGCTTCCAGTTACTGGCATTGCTGGTGTTCATAGATACGATGGCACTCAATGGGCATCTAATAGCCCCTGTGAGGATCGCTTACTCCATGGTCAATTTCCTTCGCCGTGGAATGACGGCAAGCAGTGGATGGCCTGGGCAGTGTTTGATGGACATGCAGGGTGGCAAACAGCAGAATTATTGAAACACCAACTGCTCCCTTACGTACGACGCAGTCTAGACCAGGTCCGATCGGATGGATCAGTCCCGCCAGAACGGGTCCAAGAGGCTCTTGTCAAAGGGTTTTTGAATCTTGACGCCTCTATTTTCAAGACAGCCGAGGATGCATCTCGCAGCGAAGAACCACTGCAAGACAGAGCCCAGAAGATGGAACCCGCGTATGCAGGTTCGTGCGCTCTGCTCTCTATCTTGGACCCTACTACGAGTACGTTGCATGTTGCATGCACCGGCGATTCTAGAGCTGTGCTGGGCCAACAAAGACCAGACGGCACCTGGGAGACGATTCCTTTGTCGGTGGATCAAAGCGGCAGTAATCAAGAGGAGATTGCTAGGCTGCAGCAAGAGCACCCAGGGGAAGAGAACATCATCAAAGGCGGACGTGTACTGGGCATTATGGTGTCCCGAGCATTTGGAGATAGTCGGTGGAAGTGGCCCTTGGATTTTCAGAAAGAGATGCAGCAGCGATTCTACGGACCGGCCCCTTTGACGCCTAGGTACGATGTTCGGACGCCACCATATCTGACTGCCGAGCCTGTGGTGACTAGTACAAAGATCGACCCTAGTAGACCTTCCTTCTTGATCATGGCCAGCGATGGATTATGGGATAATCTATCCAGTGAGCAGGCGGTGGGTTTGATGGGCAAATGGCTCGGTTCGGAGAAGCAGAGCCCGCCAACGCTGACAGCAACCCCTGCACCGCAGGATTTTGTCTTTGGGAAGGGAGTAGAGGAGAAATTTTTGGAGGAGCGGACGACCGTCCAAGATGATAATGCTGCCGTTCATTTGACTCGCAATTCTCTTGGTGGAAACCAGCATGAGCTGATTGCGGGACGACTGGCTTTCAATTCTCCATTCTCTCGGTATGCGCGGGATGATATAACGGTGCAGGTTGTTTTCTTCCATGATTTCCAGCGATAGATGTAAACTGTTATCAGTGCTTATCATGGAGAGGTAAACCTGACGTATGCCAATCCGTCAGCTTACAGTACAGCTACCATGTCTAGACTCTCCTGTACTTCTAGGATAGATTCTATTCCAGACCCTTCTGCATATACCCTCGTTTCAGGAAATCAGGATACTCCACGGAGCAGTCCACTCCGTTGTGGATGATCTAGATTAGCTTGGGCACAATAATCTGAATCATAGCCACAACGGAGAAACCACGGGCGATCTATAGCACTAAGTATTCTCTGCATGGGCAGCACGGGTGAGGCGCCCAATGGGCCAAAACTCTGAGAACCAATGATCCAGCGGTGACGCAAACTCTATCTACATACAAACTTGGGCTTTTGATCTCTCTCGGGCCCCCCTGAGAGCACGAAAATCGGTCATTGGTTAAGCCTATGCGGGATTATTTTGCATGATTCCCCAATGATCATCATGCAAGTCCCGAGGCATAACCTTTTTGCATTGGGCACATTGTGCAGGCAAACTTGAAAAATGGAGGGGTGGTGGGGTTCCCTGCTGCGCAACTGTACTGTACAGAAACGGGACATCAACACGGAGTGGACTGATCCCAAGATCCGTACCTGAACCCCCAAATCCTCATTTTTGGTTTCATCGGATCCGTTTGATTAGCACAGGGGCTATGTTCGACTGTTTACAGTCACCGCGGGCCCTATAAGGAAAGAGGGATCCGGTTTTCCACGAGAGAAGCGGAAGAACATTAATGCGCTTATGGTAACCCGAAAACGTCCGGCCAGGTTCGGCATAATCGGCATTAGGTCATCGTGCGCTAGAGCACGGGATGTGAGGCTTAATCAGCCAATCACGGCGCTGAGATAAACGGCTTCTACCGATTGAGCTTCGTCCCGTCCATACCGATTGCATTATTCTGTCTCGGCCTCGCTTGTGCTTGGACCTTTAGGCCATGTAGATCCCTTTAGTCACCTCATGCACTCCGTGCATACCTTCCATTTTTCTTTAGGAGCTCGGTGTTGCGGGAACCCGCATGTTACATCTCCGGCGCCACCTCAACCCACCTTACGGGTGGTATAGTGGAGCTCCAACCCACTGATACCCACCTAAATGCGTCCTTTTCGGTTAGCCCGCAATGGGTAAACCCGGAGGGGTTTGTCGAATGAATGCATTAGTGATTATTAGCGACTCTACGTCATGGGTAGAACAGCAATGCTGGTGAGAAGTGTAGGAGCAAAATCGAGTTTTTTTTTTTTTATGAAGCTTGAAGCTATATTGGCAAGGAAGAAGCTATTCAGGACTAAGGAAAGTCGGCCGAGGGGGACAAGCTTATTCTGACATCCCGTGCAATCGGTGCAAAACGAATCTGAAATTACACGATGACGTCAACTGAATTCTAAACAAAATTCCAAAACCACCCCGCCATGAGCGCTTTCTGAATGTGCGCTTGCCAGCGCTTTTGCATATCATGATTGGTACTCATTGCCACGTCACTTGCCGTCTCCATAATTTTCTCTTTGTTAGTGGTCTTACTAGGCTTGGTTGAGACAATCGGGCGTTTGGTCGGACGTTGGCCGTATAGGAGGACTTGAAGAATTTATGGGGCTCCACCAGTCAGAGCTCGTAGACCGGGACTGCTTCATAAGGGAACCGATCAGCGCGTCATCGTTTATAAGTAAATCGGGTCCCTCGTCATCAACCAAACATTGCTCTTCGGTACTCTACTCCGTGACCCAGTTTTGAGGGGTCCATTGAAACTTTCCACTTTCTTCACTTCTTCTACATATATACCTTTTAAGATACCCAATTCCAAGGCCGTTGACTTTCCTTCTCCCATATACCCCTCCAACCACAACATCCATCCACCATGTCTCGCTTTTCTGACGCTGACCTTGGCGTCGAGTCCGCCGCCCCTGGCGATGCGCAGGCCGCTCGCTCCCCACGGGACCTTAACTCGGGTATCCCTATTCCCGATGAGCATGGAGAGACCATCGAAATCCCCGCCACTCGCAGCTCCATGAGCGGCACCTCCGCCATGATGCACCACCTCAGCTTGGGTCCCTCCACACGGGACCGTCGTGGCTCTCGCAACTCCTTCGGTACCTCTCTCCCCATCCCCCGGTCCCCGCGGATGTCGCGGAGCTCGCGTCTGTCTCGTGCCACCCGGCCGAGCGTCGTGGGACGGGATATTATGGCCTCCCAAGTGCAGGACATGTCCCCGGAGAAGGTGGCCGCTGTGAAGAACATGGCCTTTGCCTTCGACATTGATGGTGTCCTGGTTCACGGTAACAACCCGATCCAGGAGGGTCGTGATACCCTTAAGATGCTGAACGGTGACAACGAGCTTGGTAAGAAGCCCAATTCCAACTTAACACAACAAAAAAATAATGTCTAACATGATATTCCACAGGCATCAAGTTCCCCTACATTCTCCTCACCAACGGTGGTGGTAAGACTGAGAAGGCTCGTACTGAGCAGCTCTCTGAGATCCTGGAGCAGCCCGTCCACCTTGACCAATTCATTCAATCACACACTCCCATGCAGGCTCTTGCTGAGTACTACGACACCGTGCTGGTTTGCGGTGGTGAAGGCTACAAGATCCGTGACGTGGCTGAACAGTACGGTTTCAAGAACGTCATCCACCCCAAGGACATCCTCGCCTGGGACCCTACGATCTCCCCCCAACGCTACTTCACCGAGGAGGACCTCAAGGGCGCCCGCCCCCGTGACTTCTCCAAGGTCAAGTTCGACGCCATCCTCTGCTTCGCCGAGTCTTGGGATATGATGACCGACTTCCAGATCATCAACGATCTCCTCATGTCCGAGGACGGATACCTCCTCACCCGCACCAAGAACCCCAAGGAGCACAAGCACATCCCCATCTACTTCTCGCAAGGTGATCTCCTCTGCCCCACCGAGCACAAGGGTCCCCCACGTCTTCACCTCGGTGCCTTCCGTCTCGGTGTCGAAGCGATGTACAAGGCCACCTCCGGTAACGACCTCGAGCGTGTTCTGTACGGTAAGCCCGAGCGCGCCACCTATATCTATGCCGACGAGGTGATGCAAGACTGGATGGAGGATCTGCACGGCGAGAAGAAGCTCCCCAAGAACATCTACATGATCGGTGACAACCCCGCCTCCGATATCGTTGGTGGTAACATGTACGGCTGGAACACTTGTCTTGTCCGCACTGGTGTCTTCCAGGGAGGTGACAACGACGAGGAGAACCCCGCCAACTTCGGTGTCTTCAAGAATGTCAAGGAGGCTGTCCAGGCTGCTATCCGCAAGGAGCTTGGCGATGACTTCAAGTTCAAGTGGGAGTCCAAGATCAACCCTGTCATGCACGGCAACTCTCAGTCCGCTATTGAGTAAAGGATTTTGATGAAGGGAAGAAAAAAACCAACGAGAAAAACAAAAATGCGTTCGCGTGCCAGTGGAAAGTGTAATTTCGGGCTGATGAACAAACACGTTGAATTTACTGATGAACGAGTTATGGATTTTTTTTATATACCACGTATAGAGTGCATAGAAGGGATTTTCTTGACCAAGTTATGACAATTTGACTTTTACCATCTTTATTTCGTCCCAATATTTGTTATTATCGTAGTATATTAAGTTTGAATGTTCAAGTTTTCATCTAAAATGTGAACCTTAAGTTATCCGAGTTAATCCTACTGATTGGTGTACCTATATCTATATAGTACCCAATCATACATCCCTGTATATAGAAACCAATAATATGGGAAGCTAGGCAGGAGTCATGCCCAGGTGCTACTGTAGACCACACTAATGGTAGCCTTGTCGACGATCGTTGCTCATTTGGTCCACGAGCCTCTGGGGCCATATACATATGAACCCCGAGGCCCCAACCTCGACCCTGATTCACATCCCCACCTGGCATCTGTACCAGCTAGACAACACTAAAAACCCAACGTTCAAATTTGTATGCCCTCAAGTACTATCAGATCATTGGGAAGCTAACAAGCTTCCAAGGTTCTGTATTTCAGGTCACCACAGCCACCGTTTTGCCGTTCTTAGAAACACACACTTCACGATGTTCGAGCAGGTGAAAGCCAAACTATGGTCGAATCCTGAAAGACCATCAAAGGACGGATATGAACGAACCGCCGATGAGAAACCATCTAAGAGTGAGGAAAAATCCCAGAAGCGATTCTCAAGGGAACATAGTAAACGAGTGCGCGCACGAGAGAAGGCTTTGGTGAAAGCACAAGAGAAACGAGCAGGGGGTGGGAAATTCGAGATGAGAGGAAGTTTTTTGACGATTGGTGGTGGTGGATGCTGATTCACTTCGAGTCATGATCCCCAGGCACTGTGAGTTTACGACGGATAGACAATTAAAGGCACGAATTATGTATTATGACTGGGTGGACAACAGTATAAGCTAAGATCCACGGGTATTCAAGAGTGAAAGGGTGAATAGCCTCTAAGGTCATTACTTCCTCCAAATGCAATGCAAATATTCAATCATTATGACCAGATATTGGCCCCAGAGAGTGCGGCCAAAGCAAAGTGGCTGCCTAATGTCGGCCGCGCTCGGAATGAATAAGATTCGCCAGCGGAGTAGCCGTCAGTGGCAGTGACCCAATACCTGTCACAAAACGGGGCGGTGTTCAGACCGTTCGAGATGTACGCCCAAATGTCATTAATGAAGCTGTCCCGTGCATCGCCGCTGACAGTGGCAGCCACGAAGCTTTGCCAGTTTGTCTGACCCCAGCCGATGGTACCGTCTAGAGGCACACCTGCATCTTCCCGCACGGTCGGGTAAAATTCGGTGGTTGTGTTATACGTATCATCTGGGAAGACGTCCAGTCCGAACAGCTTGTCTGGGTAGTGGTTAAAGACGAGGAACCAGGGTGTGATATCGTACTGGATCAAGAAGCGGGTTCCAGCAGCATCAGTACCCAAATGATCCGTCCAAATTTTGTCTGCCCAGTCGCGACCCGTCGTCACATACGTTGTATCGCTAGCCAGCTTGCCGTAGGTTGTCAGCGCGACGGCAGCCTTGACGGCTAGATTGGTCTGGTTCGCGAGATCTCCCAGCGCGTCGTTCAAGGACAGCTGTGCAGCCGGATACAGGCCATTGTTATATAGGTAGGTCGCATATGTCTTGATCTGGGAGGAATAGGCGTCATATAGGTCGGTATCTCCGCCGGCCTTCTGGTATGCGTAGGTGAGGAAGATCACATTGCCGCTCTCCTCAATCGGCATGGACTCGCCGGAAGACAGATGACCCGTCGCATTCGGATATGAGGCCCCAATATCGTGCACTGCGTAGCTCTCGGAGTAGGCGTCGGTAGCCATGTACTCGAACACGGGGGTGAGGAGCAGCTTGATATAGTCGGGACTCAGGACGTAAAAGATAGGGAAGGTCGCATAAATGACGTCGACGGTGTTGATGTTGCCATCACTAGAGATCTCTTTAATGAAGGCGCGGGTCTCGCTGGTGTCAAGGGACTCATTTGGAATGGTCACCTCAATCCCGCCGTAGACCTGGCGCACGGACAGGGCCAGCACATCGGAGTAATTGGATCCAAAGCTGGATGACCCTGTGCTGGAAATCAAGTCATCGAACTGGGTCGACTCGGAATTGGCAGCATCGTAGTCATCGAGGAAGTAGGAGACGGCATCAACGGTATCAGGGTAGGTTGCACGATAGTAACCCGTTTGCGCGGCTCCCAGGAAGTTAATGGACGCCTCTCGCACGTGACCGATCGCGAAAGTGACCGCCGATTCGTCCGCGGTCGTACCCAAATCATGAGCAAATCCCACCACCGCACCTGAGGTCCAATCCGCGTAGGTGTCGGTCAGGGTGCCGTCGCTAATGAACTGCTTCCTCACAGTGACCCGCGGACCGGCCTGAGTGGAGAGCGTACTACTGCCAGACGGACGGGTGGCGTAGACGGCGCTGCCCCACAGAGCTTGGCCATCGCTGTTTTCTGAATAGGTCGCCTGCCCGACCGCTTCGATCTGGAAGACGCTTGTCGACCCAGTGGTGGAGTAACTCCAGCTGGAGTCAGTGGACTGGCCCGTCCAACTGCCACTAATATCGGAGTAGATCTGAACGGAGCTCGAATCGCCTGCAGCGAGCGTCACCGTCAAATAAGAGAAGGGCAGGGATTGGCGGAGATAATTCTTGGGGGACACGGGTGAGAAGAAGTCTAGCGTGAAGCTGCGCGAGCCGGCTGTAACAGTGAAAGTGGAATGCGTCGAGGTGTACGTGGCCGCGGTCACAGTGCCCGACGTGGTGCCGTCATTGGGGCTGGCCACGCCAAATAAATTATAGGTGGTATCATCTACACGAGCGATGACCGACCAGACCAGATCATTTCCAGCCCAGAACTGGGCATTAAAGGAAGGTAATGATTCAACTTCGTTGCCAGGGATCCACGCTGCCGATCACCAACGTTAGATCGCCGATCCCGGGGTAAATGGGGGAAACCAAAACACAGAAGATCAGCACGCACCTGATAGATATGGACTCCGCACCGCCAAAGGATATGACGGAGGTTTTAATGGAGTATAGGTGACCGCATTGCTAGGCGACACCAGAAACGAGGCCAGCAAAACAATCACGCCCCAGGTGTGAGTGAACATGATTATATAGTAAACCTCTCAACCTGACGTGTCAGGGAGTATACCAGGTATGTAGATCTTGAGTCGAAGCGGGACTACAAATTTCAAGGGGGAGATGAATAAATAATATACTGTTTAAGACAAACAGAAGCTTCCTGCAGGTCCAGGCTAGAACAACATGCCCGAAACCGGGGGAATTCGACCTTCAAATAGCTGACTCCATGCGATGCGCCATCCAATCTCGCATACAATCCGATCACAACATGTCAAGTGCTCCTTGCGTGAGAAAGGCCCTAATGCACATCAGCACAGAGCAGGAAGGTGGGGATGCACTGTCAGTTGATAAGCCGATGTATATACTTCACATTGGGCTTGAACTAGTTGACACTAAGCACGCCATCTAGTGTAGACATGATGAGCCACCGAGCACTACTCACAGAATGATCTACCTATCCCTGTTTAGTTAGTCGAGAGGCGAGAGCCGATCGGACAGCAATAGTGCGCAAAGCCTCAGCAAAATGGCGTCATGAGGATTCACATGAGATTTGTTGATAGGATACAGAACTAGACTACTGTACATCTGCCGTGGACCTTTTCGGAAAACATGCCGTCCTTGGAAGTACTGACCAAAGCAAGGAAATGGACCCAGTCAAGGGATATGGATGGAATGGCTCGGATTGTAGCTGAGGCTGGAGTCCGGGGTGTAAATGAACGGCCCCACATGTCCTGCAAGCGCAAAACACGGTGAAAGGGAGAACATCGTACTCGCATATGTCCACTCGGAACGTGGATCAGCGAGTGAATGATAGTCTGGTGGACGCATCACACCAGTTTGGGGAAGTATGGCATATATCATCCATTCCCCCTCAATCTAGTCCATAACCACTACACTCAACTATATCCAGTTCTGAACACGCAGATACCTCCTTCTGCGGGGTATCATCCCCGAGCCAATGGGGCTGTTTTCTTTAGAATAGCGCACGGCACTCGCGGTGGGTTGAGGTCATCGGGCAGCTTCAAAGAAACCCACACTCAGCCCAGGGCCTGTCCTCAAGCCTCAAGATTGGATCTTGGCCATGTGTCCCTCATCGTATGACTCCACCCCAAGTTGCATGAATCAGGGTGACCGCTGGTTTATCCTAGTCAACCAACACACCAAATCCAATATGTCTCAGATGGAAAAGAGAAAAATCTTGGTCCCGAGGTCTCTTGCACCATTTCCCCACCTTTAGGCGATGATAAACAAAAAATGATGTGCGAAGCCCACTGTCACCAGAGCAAAAGAAAATTCCCAATTATCTTTCTTTCCTAAGATTCCTCAAGTATTTCCTTGGAATATACTCAGTTCCACAACATCTCTGGTGCAACATGTCAGGTTCTGCAGAGTCTAAGCTTGCATGATGATCAGGGGAAAACGCGGATCAGCTGACGAAAGCTGACGACAACTCTAGCCTCGTTCACCACTTACCGATCTGAACGCGTTGCTCCCCCCGGAAGTTACCACGAGACTGGGCTCATCGTACATAGATGACTGGAGGGGTGGCTGCAAGGGGCTGACTGTTTTAGCACCTTCCCCTGAATATCATAGGGCAGAACAGGTTTTCGTTCCTCGATCCGAGATATGGAATTACTATCCAATATTGGGAGAACCCGATCTGAGTACATTCCTTGCATGATCAAGATTCAAGACCGCGTGGGCGCGACAAGGATAAAGGACGCCTCATTGATGACGGAGATTAGTTGAAGGCAAGGTGGAGATAAAGGCCTTGCCAATTTCCCTTGAACTCGGCTGCATTTGACCTGGATGAGCTGTCTTTGCGGTATCTGCGTTCTTACCCCTGAGCTCCTTGAATAAATCAATCCATCTACGCGGCCATACGCGGCCAGATGCAGGTGGGAAATGAAGGCCGCGAGTCGTGAATACATACCCCTGAGTATCTGTCATCAGAGCACGCAAAATGATGCGACTGAAGTTGCAGAATGAGTGATCGACAGAACTACACTCGAGACTCATATTTTTTACAATGGGTGACACGGACCGGGCTCTATCTTGATCTCTGGGTACTCGGCTGTTGGATGTATCGCAATACAAGTGGAGTACTCGAATTTGATCCCGTCGGTTCGTGGATATACCGTTTTTTATATATTTACTCTGGACCCAATATGGTGATTTGAACTCGGCATGTTCCTGGATAGCGAAACAAGAGCCGATTATGCCGACTATGCCAGGTCACACGTGGGATTTGAGGTCAAATACTCCACAGGCATGGTTTTGTGAGCAATCCAAAGAAATCAGTGAAGATATGATCCGTTGAAGCATGGATTTGTCAAACTCATATTTCAAAGCAAAAGAAAACGCTAAGATTAGTACAATGAAGAGATAACATTGGCATATCAGCGCATGTCGGGGATTTATATAGTTAAAGGCTCCGGATTGAGGCTCCGTATTCCCTCTCATCCACGGACTTGATCCCCCCGCATCAAACACTCGTACCATAGGACACGCCGGCGAGGTTCGTGTATTCTTGGGACAGGAGGCGCCTACTAAAACATGGGCCGACGAGAAGTGGTTCCGGGACAGGGCCCGGTGTCCATCAGAAAAGAAACAACAAAGATGTATAGAATCGGAAGATAAAGTCACCTCTCACAACGGAATTGCCCTGTACTCTATGATTAATTGTACAACCTCGCGGGACGTTATACTCCGTAATCTCCGAGCGTGCACGGTCCCGAGAATCAGCCGAGCGTCAAAGCAGATTGCAGAACCAATCCCGTTCCGGTCAAGCCAGATTTGCTTTGTGGTTCTCAAGTCCCGGTTGACCCGCCGAGTGGGACGGCTTTTCCGCAAACGGCGGTGGCAGGGGTTTAGGGAATCCCTAGAGAGAGTGAAAGAAAACCCTGCAAGTTCGCGGTTACATCGGCAGGTTCTGTCGCGCGCAAATGGTGGCTTGCGATTCGTCAGGACCGGGGTTGTTGAGCGAACCCGACCGTTTGGGTTCTGGGCGAATGTGGCAGACCAGATGGTGACAGGGTTGACCGCTTTTCTTTCCGCCTTGAAATGTGGATGTTGGACTGGGAAAAGAAGCATGATTTTGAAGAGATCAGGTGGAAATCAAAGTCTAGTAATTCATAAAGTAGTCTCTCATCATCCGATTGGCCATGGTCTACGTCAATTCGACCTCTATCGATAGATCGATGAGCTACGTGCTACATTCTTGGGCTAGATAGGCGCCAACACCCCATATACCAGATCCATGAAATCGATCGTGTGGAATGTTGAATAAATGACCAATGACTGAAATGAAAGCTTTCAATTCTTTTTTCATAAAACCCTCGGGTTCTTCCAAGATTCTTTCTTCTCGAGATGTAACGGTGAAAGTGATCTAAATTCTGCCGGTCCACCGCTTAGCTAATGACCGCAATCGTCGCACCTTACAGTCTTTGGGTCTAGGTTCCTGCGCGGCGGATCTTTCATGGCGGAAACTGCAACCAAAGTCTGCTTCGAGAACGTCACTCTCTCCTCCCCCCCCGGCTTAGCTCTGCACTTTGTTCGATTCCTTCTCTCTTCTCTCCTTTCCCTCCCTCTCTCTCTTCAACCACCTATCTCTGCCTTAATAAACCACTTATTCCCGGACCCTCGGATACTCGCGACCGCCCCAACCCCGGGAAGTCGATGCTTCAACTCTGACGTGTGGATTTCTAGCGGGGTCGCATGCCACTTATCTTGTCCCCCCGCCTCTAAACAACTTTAAACAAGGGTCCACCAGCACCCCAGAGAATATCAAAAAAACAATCGGACCCATCCTTTCAATCGTGAGCTTCGGCCCTCGGTTCATCGCCTGCACGAACCATGTACGCTGTTGAGCAGGAAAGGGCCCATCCGGTGCCGCCGCCACCACCACCTCTTTCAATGGATCGCATCTCTGCGCCGTCAGCCGCATATCCCACGCCCGGGACTGGCCCACTACGCTCATCCGATCATCTTGCGCCCGTGACGACCATGCATGATGGCCGTCTCTGGTCATTGCAGGTCGTCCAACAGCCCATCCGAGCTCGCATGTGTGGCTTTGGTGATAAAGTGCGTCCGATTGCTTCCCACCATACACCATATTGCTTTGGATATCTGGACTAACATAAGTGTCTTTAGGATCGACGACCAATTACACCGCCACCGTGTATCCGACTCATTGTGAGAGATGCGCAAACGGATAAAGAGATTGATATCAAGTAAGATGCTCCGTCGAAGCGCTCGACGATTTGGCTCTAATACACTACAGTGAGATCGACACTTCATTTTACGTACTTACCGTCGACCTATGGAATGCCGAGGGCACCAATGAAGTCAACCTCGTGAAACACTCTGCTACCTCACCTTCAATCTCAACCGCCATGTCATCCTCGTACCCGCCTCCACCCCAAAGCATGTCTCCTACCTACCCTCCTGGCTATGGCCAGCCCTATGGCAATCCAGTTGGATATCCACCAGTGAACAACTACTACGGCGCTCCACAGATGCAGTATCAAAATGCCTACAACCAGCAAGTAGGCTACCCTCAGTACGGTTATCCACCTCAAGCTCAGATGCAACCCGCCATGTCTCCCGCACCGGCAGTTACCGGTGGACCTGGAGGGATGTTCACTCGCAATCTGATTGGAAGCTTGAGCGCTAGTGCTTTCAGATTGACGGATCCCGACAACAAGATTGGTGTGTGGTTTATTTTGCAAGATTTGAGTGTACGCACAGAAGGTTCCTTCCGGTAAGATCCGCCCTGATCCCAAAACAAGATGGCATTTGCTAATGGCCAACAGACTGAAAATGAGTTTTGTCAACGTGGGGACACAGTCTACCGAAACAAGCAATGGGGCTCCCGTCATTAACCATGGAACGGCCCCAGTTCTCGCGTCAGTTTTCAGCGAGCCATTCCAGGTTTTCTCAGCAAAGAAGTTCCCCGGTGTTATTGAAAGCACCCAACTGAGCAAATGCTTCGCTTTGCAGGGCATCAAGATTCCCATCCGGAAGGATGGAGTGAAGGGTCCTCGCGGCCGGGGTGGTGGTGATGATGACGATGATGAGGGAGATTATTAGAAAGAGCATAAAAGCAACTTTTTTTTTCATAGATGGGCCTGACCCATCTTGCTCCAGCACGAAATGATTCCCCCGAGGCGGAGACGCATTCGCCGGAGATGAATGAATGGATGAGGGTTATTTTCTTGCTTGGGTGGATCAAGACGTGGGGCAACTAAAAGGGGGCGTGTTGGCTTTACGGTGTTCTCGGTGGCCTCTTTTCCTTATTTTATTGGGATTATATTGCTAAACGGATAGGTTCTGGGTGGGGTGCTTGGCTTTTTCATTTCTGCTGGCTTCGGCCATGTTTATACCAGGAGTCGGACCAGCCGGTCATATATATACACCTTTATTATTGTCAATCCATGCCCATTTCGGGTTGGACTATACTTTCAGTGATCTTGGAATTCTCTGCATCGTTTGGCCCTCGAAAACTCAGGTGGAAGGTGTAGCGGGTGGCATTGAAGAGCAGAGGTACTATCATACCACTTTAGGGGGTAGGTACCTATATTGGTTAGCTAACTAATTATTGGAGGAAGATACTCGGTCTTTCAGCAGTCGTGAAGATCAAAATCTGCTTGACGCTTCTATGCTTTGGCGCCAGGACCTTGCGTCTCCATGATACTTTACTATTTATTCGGAACCTAATAACTTCAAACGTTTATGAATCACAAACGAATACACGCTTTGATCTAATTGAGTATCCATGCAACTGAAAGTACTGGTTTTGATCGCGTAAGTCCTGCCCGGTTAAATGTTTAGATATGGATACTGAGACTCATTGTCTACATTCATGCTTAGACCAACCCCTGCATAAAACAGCCCTGGAGATGCATAGCCCGCTATGATAACGGCGAGGTGTATTTTCAAGTCACTATGAAGTTGTTATCATCTGGACAGAAGTCCGAGCCTTCCCCGCACGTCGCGCTCTTTGAGCCGAGATTACGAGAGGGCTATTAGTGTTCATAGTATAAAAATCATCTTGAGACCCTCCATTCACGGTAACCCATCTACCAATTTGATGAGCACTTTTGCTAATTGCTCCTCCGAAGTAAACATAATCATGCCTGGTCTAGTTGCGCCTCCGTTCACGCGCATCGCCATCACGGAGTTACATCCTACATTCGGAGCTGAAATCAGCGGTGTCGACTTTTCACGTCCAGTAGATAAGGATGTCTTTCAGGAGATCTTAGCCGCCATCAGCAAGGTTTGTATACCCCTGTCATGCAGCAGCATCCCCTTGAGTCTTGACACTATAATAGTATGGCATCTGCGTGTTCCGCAATACAGCCCTCGACGACGCCCACCACGTCGAATTCGCAGCTCAGTTTGGCGAGCTGGACGACGTCACCCCCTACATCTCTGGCGGGCGAGCCCACCGCCTCTCCGATGTCCGTCTATTCGACGTAAGCAACATTGATCTAGATGGGATGGTATTTCCATTAGACAACGTCCGACGCCAGTGGAACAAGGTGCTAGCATAACCCTATCTCATCTGATGCATCTAACAGACCCAGGGAAACGGATTGTTCCACGTCGACTCAAGCTTCAACCCCCGACGAGCCGGGTACTCACTTCTCCGGGCGCATGAACTCCCCCCCGCTGACCTGGGTGGAGAAACCGAGTTTGCAGATGTGCGAACAGCCTTTGCCGACCTCCCACCTAGTCTCCAGACCGAGCTTCGAGAACGAGATTACATAGCTGCGCATTCACTGTGGCATTCCCGCAAAGTCGCTGCACCAGAAACGTTCATAGATATCGATCCGGCTGAGTACCCCATGAGTCGACATCACCTACTCCAGCGCCACGAGGCATCGGGTCGGGAGACGCTGTACATAGCGGCGCATATTCACCATATCGAGGGGCTAGAGGAGGGCGAGTCCAGAGCGCTTTTTGAACGGTTATTCAAGCATGCAACGCAGGCGAAATATGTCCTGCGAGTGAGATGGGAGAATGCAGGGGATTTGGTACTCTGGGATAATACCAGCGTCATGCATCGGGCTGTGGGCGGTGAGTTCGAGGGAAAGTATCGGCGCGACATGCGTAGGGCTACCGTTCATGACGGGAGCAGCTCGGCGTGGGGACTGAATGAGCGCACGGAAGAACGACAAGGTCTGCCGTGAAGTTATCTGGTTACATCATTGTCAATGGTAATATGGAGTATAGTTACATTGAAGAGTTGATGTTTCTCGTATTAAAGTCTAAGAATATGAAGACAGAGTAAAAATGGATAAGAATAGTGTACAAGAATAGAATAGAATGAGACATGGAATGCAGATCAACATCGTTCACCAACTCGTGTTTGCGCTCACATTTCAAATCCACGGATAATACGGGGCCCACCGAGTCATTTTCCCGGTTTTAATGCTTCTTGGCATCTTGTCTCACTCATGGAGCTCACTATACCATCTCGAGAACCAGGGGAGAGACATACGGCAGCTCGGGTAAAGAGTTGTGCACACGATTTCGTTAACGGGACTAGTGGCGCATAGCAACGAGCCTAAAATTCATGTTGTCTCACTCACGACCAATAGGCTTTGCCACTCGGTGACCCCGCTAATCGGTTGTGGCCGACCCTGAACAGTGTCATCGATTTTGGTTCCTTGGGATTGAAGCCTGGTGGACCCTTGTTTTACTTTCAATGTTCGCGGGGTTAACCGATACCCTGATGCCTTCCTGCTCTCTATATAAAGAGGTGGTATGCGCCAGAACTTAGAAATATCATTCACTCATCTCATCACATTCAAATCCGATTAATACTTATATCCACCTATACTCTTATTAAACCATGAAGACCGTCATTGCTTCTATTGCGCTGCCTCTCTTGGCTGCTGCGGCGCCAGCTCCCGCTGCTACTCCCAGCGCAGCCAACCTCCCAGCCTTCGGCGTCATGTCCGTCCGCTCTGCCTCGCCAATTCACTACATGCAGATGAACGCTGCAGGCCAGAAGTTCTACCTCGGTGGAACCACTGCCTCCTACTGCCCGAGCATTGATGGCATCGTTTGCCCCCCTGGTAATCAGACCGTTTTCGCTCCAGGTGGTAACGCCATGGTATGTGACACAATATATTGGAATGTGGGACAAGACGTATAGACACCATACTAACAAAACATATAGGATGTTGAGGTTCCTGGTGGTCAACAGGTCTATGTTGATCCCACTGGTGCTCTGAGCTTTACCCAGGCCCACTCTGCTTCTATTCCCGCTGGTTCTGCGGTCGGTGGTTTGGTGTATGAGACTGGTCAGCCTTGGTCTCACTACAGCTTCAACGGCTGGGATGCTCAGGGTCTCATGGCTTGCCCGACTACCGATAACCGTTGGCAGGTATTCGCTGCCATGCAGAACGCTACTGTGCCCTCCGGTGATGTGGCTGACTGTCTTGGCTTCTCTGCTATCGCCTTGACCTATAGTGGTGATATTCCTGCCTGGCAGTACATTTAAGGAAGCTGCTCCGAGTTGCTCCATCGCTGGTCTTGTGATTATTCGTTAGAATCCACCCGCGCACATAGCTCTGTACATACGTTGTCTTATATTGCTTGTTACCACTTAGCTTTTAGCCTGCTATGAAATGTTCATATTAATAAGATCAATGAATAAACCAAAACACTCTGCACTTTTAAATCTATCGGGCAATGGGTATCATTCTATACATTTTGTCTAGTTCCGCCAAATCCGAATCGCTTTGTCCTTGCCTCCACTGCCGACCTTCTGCCCATCGGGACTCCAGTCAACGGCAAAGACTTCATCCTGGTGACCTGGCAGATCCACTGACAGTTTACCCGAGCGCACATCCCACACTTTGAGGGTTGTGTCCTTGGATGAGGATACGAGAAGTCGTGAATCTGCGGAGAAGCAGCACTGGTAAACAGCACCAACGTGGCCGCGGAAAGTGGTAATGAACCTAAAAGCACCCATTAGCAATTGTTTTTCACTGATTACGAGAGACGAGGTTAATGTACTTTCCGTCACGTCCGTTCCACAACTTGACGTGGTTATCAAATCCAGCAGAGGCGATGTATGCCATATCAGGGGAGAAAGTAACGTGATTAACCTCCTTCTGGTGACCCAAGAGACGAGCCACGGGCTTGGTCGAATTGGATGGGTCCCACAGGTACATAGTGAAATCATCACTGGCCGACACCAGGCGCTCAACAATCTTGTTGTTCACAGTGGCAGCCTCCTCAAATCGCTTCTTCGCCGCAGCAACCTTCTCGGCTTCTGTTGAAGGAACCTTTCCTGTGTGGTCGTGGTAAGAAACGCGCAGGGCGAAATCGGTAGAAAGAGCAAGGTGGTTCACGCGGTGGGCATGTGCCGACAGAGTCTGAATAAGGGTGCCGTCCTTAGAGTTCCAAATCTTGATAGTCTTATCGTGCGATGCAGTATAGATCTTGCCAGTACCACCCCATCGCACACAGGTAACAGAGCCTTTGTGTCCAGTCAAAACTTTGTCAATGCGCTTAGAGACAACATCCCAAATGCGGACAGTTGAGTCCTTAGACGCCGAAGCCAGAAGAGGCCGCCCAGACTCCTGCACATGGTAGGGCTCCCAAGCCAGACTGGTGATCCACTTTGCGTGACCCTTAAGCGGGCCACCGAGCGCCTGTCCTTTCTTCGCATCCCACAGCCGCACGGTGTTGTCCATACTACCGGTCGCGATCATGGCACCGTTGGGCGAGTATGCCACGGCCAACACCCAGCTAGTGTGACCCTTCAATGTGTGAAGTGGGGTGCCAGTATCGCAATCCCAAACACGAGCGGTAGAGTCTCCACTTCCAGAGACCATGGTGGAGGACGAGACGGGGGAGAAGGAAGTTGCGAGAATGGCTTCGCCATGACCGGCGATAGAGGCGGCACAGCGGGAGACAGCCTTGACTCGGAACACCGCTTGCGGGGTAAAGAAGAGAGAGATTGTATCTTCGGTGGTCTTGACGCCAGACTGGAGTAGCGAGTGGTACAAGTCCGAGAGAATATCAATGGTTTGTCCTTCTGGTTTGTCGGGGTGGTGGGTGAAGCGATACGGGACTCGTTCATCGTCTTCCTAATTGACCAAAATGAGTTAGAATGCTCAATTGCTAAATGAAAACCAAAAATGAGGAGCATACATTTCCTTGCAATGTGTTCAAAAGTGTTTCCAGGTTCTTGATGTTTGCATCGGCCACGGGAACCGAGACTGCAGGCCCGGTAGCATTACCGGTGGCCTGGTCGAAGAATTGCACACGAACACTGCCAAGATCAGTGGGGATACTTTGAATCTCCTGCTGCTCGCGTGCCTTTTCGGCAGCAGCAAGCTTCTGGCGTTTACTAGGTGGGGGCACGAGAGTCGACATTGTCTTTTTTTTTGGTGGTAGTTGGAGAAGAGAAGAAAATTTAAGATCGGGGCCTTATCTTATCGCGGGGTTTAACGTCACTTATCGATAGCGGATATAGATCGCAATCATTATAGATTCTGTGTCAACATCTATGCGATATGATGTTTCAAATGAAGGGAATGTATTCAATGGGGTAATAGACACATTTTAAGTTGGAAAGATAACCTAAAGCCCAGTTAAATGGCGAAAAGGAGAAGAAAAAAAATGGTGAGGCAGTCATGTATCTATTGGCCCTAGTATTGCTCTGCATTAGAAACAAGAGTATTCACATTCACCCTTCTAACCTTTCCGAATCTAATCTTCCCCAACAATCACTATGTCCACTTTATTCCGAGAGTCCTCGGTCAAATCATCTATTCCATTGCCAACAAGGACCACGACAAGTAGACGCCCCGCAACTGCCAGACCAACGACAACCGCGACCAGCATCGTATCACAGGACATTGTTTGTGCCGTCAGTGAATCCCGTGGCATTTCATCCACTGTCGGCCTAGCCTTTGTCAATTTGGCTACGGCCGAGGCGGTATTGTGCCAAATATGCGACAGCCCAACGTACGTCAAGACCGTCACCAAGATAGGTGTCTTCGAGCCAAATGAGATCCTTTTCATGAATACTGTCGCCGAATCCAAGCTACGCTTCATTATCCAAGAGAACCTACCCGACCCCATCCTCACCTTCCTAGATCGACGATACTGGTCTGATAAAGCTGGGCAGGAATGCTTGGATCGTTTGGCATTCTCAGATGAGGCAGATTCACTGAAGGTTACCTTGGGTGGAAGCTACTTTGCTGCGTGCTGTTTTGCTGCGGTATGCAAATGAGGTCTTTCCCGACCAGTGCTGCTACTGATTTCAAGACAGGCGCTGAGATATATCGAGTCGGAACTTCAGCGGGTCTTCACCCCTCATTCGCTCCGCATTAGATTTGAGCCCTCGCAGGGGTCCATGACAATTGATCTGAAGACAATCGTATCTCTAGAGTTGATCCAGAACCTCCGTATTGCAAAGTCCCGTGACAGCTTGTATGGCCTACTCAATGAGACATTGACACCAATGGGAGCTAGATTGCTTCGATCGACTATTCTCCAGCCCTGCACAGAGCGGAATAAGCTGACAGCCAGATACAATGCCGTGGAAGACTTATCCACCAAGGAAGACATGTTTGTATCAGTCCGGCAGGCTTTGAAGGGTTTACTCGATGCTGATAAAGTCTTGAGCTCGGTCAGTATATGGTTCCACGAAATGGACACTGTTGACTGGTACTCAGATCATATTGGTCCCCACAAAACAAACCATTCAGTATGTTGCACAGTCTGTCAACAATGTCATCATCCTTAAGACCTACGTCTCCGCCATCAAAAGGATATACCAGGCTTTGGGTGCAGCAGACAGTGATTTGCTTATCACGATCCGTGAGGTATCTACCCATCTCAAAGCCGGCACGCTGCAAAGTCTGATTTATCTAGGTGTGCTACCCCGCGGGACATCGTGTGGTGGAGCAACTCATTCAAGATGTATTGAATGAGAATGTCACCTACCAAAGCAAGCCGCTGGATCTTCGAAATCAACGAATATACTGTGTAAAGGTGGGATAGTACTTTGTGCCAACAATGTCAACGATGCCTGACAAAGACTATAGGCTGGTGTCAACAGTCTTCTTGATGTTGCGAGGCAAACTTACAAGGAAGCGAATGCTGATGCAGCAGAGCTTGTGTCCAAACTAGGAGGTAAGTCGAAGGTTCTTCTACGGAGACCTGGCCCTGATGTCTTAAGATACCCATGACATGACTCTAGATCTCAAATATGATTCTGCTCGCCATTACTACATATGCATTCCTTCCGCTGAGCCCGAGCCACTGCCCGATATTCTTATCAACATATTCCGAAAGAGGAATCGCATCGAATGCCAAACACTCGATCTAGTAAAACTGAACCAGAAAATTACAGATGCTCACAACGAAGTGATCAGCCTGAGCGACCAAACCATCCAGCAACTTCTTCGAGATGTCTGCTCCGAAGTCGCAGGGCTGTTCCGAATCAGCGAGGCGATAGCCATGCTCGACATGCTCGCAGCTTTTGCCCAACTATCAACAAGCTACGACTACATCCGGCCCGAGCTGACTGATACCCTAGCCATAAAGGCCGGACGTCATCCCATCCGAGAGCAGATCCATGCCAGCAAATTCATCCCCAACGACGCGTACGCAACACCGCAGACCCGATTCCAGATTATCACTGGGTGCAACATGAGCGGTAAATCAACGTATATCCGGTCTCTCGCCTTAACAACAGTCATGGCACAGATTGGCTGCTTTGTACCGGCGCAGTATGCTTCATTTCCAATCATGCACCAGCTCTTCGCGCGCGTCGCGACAACCGATGACCTGGACGCGAATGTGTCAACTTTCGCAGCAGAGATGCGTGAGATGGCTTTCATTCTGCGGAACGTCCAACCGCGAGGCATGGTTCTTGTCGACGAGTTGGGAAGGGGAACAAGCACGAAAGACGGGCTCGCCATCGCCATCGCTCTAGCCGAAGCGCTTCTCGCAAGTAACTCATTCGTCTGGTTCGCCACGCACTTCCATGATTTAGCACGTATTTTGTCCGAGCGCAGCGGTGTTATCAACTTGCATTTAGCCGCTGAGATTACCTCGGACGCCACCAAGATCACTATGTTGTACCGCATCGCCGAAGGTCCAGTGCCAGATCGTCGATATGGAATTGCGCTCGCTAAGCTGGCGAATCTTCCACCTGAAGTTCTTAACGTCGCAAGTACCGTATCAGAAGAACTAGATCGGATATCTCAATCCCGGAACAATCCATCGCGTATTGTGGCTATCGCTCGAAAACGGAAATTGTTGCTCTCCCTGCACGAACAGCTTATCATCGCTCGAAACGGAAAGATGACCAACAAATCCCTTTTCCGATGGCTGAAGAAGCTGCAGGATGAGTTTGCACTGCAGATGGCTGTCAATAGCCAGGAAGTGGATGCAGCTAAGGAGACCGACGATGACCCGACAGAAGAAAATGAAATGGTTCCAGAGGCCTTGGGACCACCAGATGACGTCTCGTCAGAGAAAGACAAACAGAATCTAGATGGACCCCGATCATTCGCAGAAGCAACTGTTGATGATCCAATTTTGATCAAATCCGATTCTGAGGAAAACAGTACTGGTAATGACAGCGTGGTGCTCGTCTAGGGTTAGGGTCCTGGAGGTTGTATGACTATTCTACGATTTGTATCCATTGAAGCTGTATCGTTTTATGTATCGTTTTATGTGCCTGGTGACGAAGGAGAGCAAGGGGTGGAGCATTATATCAGTATATGATCAATCAACAGTAGCCCATAGAGTATTCTGTGAAATGACCAACTCTCTCAAACCTCAGACGTATGTTAAAATTTTCATTTTTATTTATTGGACCTTAGGATGGCCGCAACACGTATCTAGGGTATCCCAAATTATCCGAAGTGATAAAGGGTCTGTTTGCCCTTCTTCTTTTTACCCTTTTTGGACCCGTTACCAGCGTCATCGTCAAAGTCTGCATCGGCCGGTTCAGCGGGAGAAGCAAGACCAGAAGAGGGGTTGGATCCCCAAGCAGTCGGGGCTGGCCCACGACGATCGTCCCAGCGGACGTAGCCACGCGTCTTGCCGGCCATCATCACGTTGGGCCGGGCAGCTGCGGGGAGAGCCGGGAAGGCGTCAGCACTGGTCTTAGCCGGCAAGGCACGAGCAGGTGTGGATGGGCCTGAAGAAGAGGAGCGAACGGGTCCATTAGGAATAGATGGGCGGGAAAGAGGTGATGGGGCGGCAGCGGCCCATGGAGTGGAGGCAGCAGGTTTGTTACGACGGGTGGAAGGGCCAGCCGAGGCAGCAAGAGGGGGGAAGGGATTTGAGGATGGTGACGGCATAGCACCACTCCGGCCAACAGCGGACCGCGAGGACTGGGCTGTGGACGACTTCAGACGCAAGACACGACTGCCGCCAGTGTTAGCGGTGCCCGGTGACATGCCAGGCAAAAGTCCACCGGGACCTGGCAGGGCAGGGTAGTCCTCATTGATGGCTCGCCAATCATTCCAGGCCTGCAAGAGACCAGTACGCTTGGAGTCTTCCTCATAAATGTCGGCGAGTTCCTTGATGAGCTTGCCCAGATCAGAGCTGGATGTGTCAAACAGAGAAAAGAATGCGTCGATGAGCTCGGTGGCTGAAATGGCAGAGGTTCGGTAACTGGACACTCTGGAGCGAAATTCGGCAAGCTTATTTGTGTCGTTGCGGAGGAGACTAGTAGCTCGTTCAACCACTGCCATATGGCGCATTTTGCGGGCTTGGTCTTGTGGACCAAGTGGCTCTGGATCAGCGGCGAGGCTAAGGCTCTCAAGCTCCGCAGCTGGAGGTCTAGGGCGTGAGGATGATGGAACTGGTGTAGCACCGGTTGACCGGGGTGGGGCTTGGACTGTTTGAGTATCATTTCTGGTAAGCTGGCCGCCGAAGCTACGCGTTGAAACGGACTGCGCGCTCTGAATGTCCATTTGTCGTTGAAAAGCAAGCTCAGCGCGCGATAATGTCTGTGCACTCGAGGCCGGTAATGGCTCAGCATTGGGGTCTCGTCCTCGACCAGCACCACGCCGTTGACGTTGTGGCTGATATGGGCTGCGCATATTATCAAACTCCGAGAGGTCGACTAGCCGTGCATCTCTTCGAATATCCTTCGAGACGCCGTCCGGGTGTGACTCAATTTGGTGTGCTTTAAGATCCATTTGGGACTCGAACACCACGAATTTCTTCTCCAGACACTCCTTGTCGAGGCACACAAAATGGTCACGCTGGAAATGGTCTTCAAGGGCATTATAATCGACATAGTATTGTTGCTGGCGGTTGGAATTGCGTCGGTCACAAATATGACAGCGTTCGTGGCGCTCCCGACAGTGGGCGTAGAGTTCATCATCTCCATAGAATCGTTGGCGGCAGAAGCCACACTCGGGGTGTCCCTTAAATCCGCTCTGGTTGATCGCGCCTGGTTTGTCGTCGCCGTGCTTTTCGTGTTTGCGCAATTCGTCTCTCGTGAAGAGGACATGTTCGTGGGTAAACACCTTTTTGTTCCGAGTGCAAAGGTCGCTAGAAGAATAGCAATCAGTCATCTAGTCCGCATGCACAGCGATGTATGGGAACGTACCACATAATCTTATTATGCTTGCTCTTCACATGGCGATGCAAATCCGGCCACCCCAAGCAAGCCACATCACAGTCCTCGTCGGGGCAGTTGTAGCGAAGTAACAAGACAGTGTCCTCAAAGATTTCATCTTTTTCATACAGAACTCCAAGGTTATCATCCGTCCTGGCAAAATCCTTTTTCTCAAAGTCTTCGAATCGTCGAACGGGATCGTCGGTAAAGATAACAAAATTTGACTCGGTCTATATTCCTACAAATCAGCAGTTGCGAATGACTCGTGGCCAAAACCGGGGAAACTTACACGACAATGCGCACAACCCTTGTTTTTGTACAGCGCGCGTAGTCTCAGCGCACAAATGTGACAAGTCCGGTGATTGCATGGGGATACAGAGGTATGTTCGACCTTCGAAGCACAGATGAAGCACACCTCCCCGTCATCGGCGTCGTCGGTGGCAGCCGGGAGAGCCTTTGAACCGAGCGTCGCAGTTGGAGCTGGCGCAGCCTGTGTATCCTTGGCCTGAGACCCATCCACCGCCTGTGAGGTATCACGACCTCCAGTGCCCTTGCCTCCTCGACCGCGAGGCTTGGATCCCCTGCTAGCGGCACCCCCTGCGTTGCGTGGGCCGTCCGTCTGGCCCGATGGAGCCCCTCCGCGACCGCGGCGGCGACCACCACGACCTCGTCCTGATGACTCTGAGGCGGCGGGGACGTTGTCAGTCATAGCAGGATATCAGCAGTCGAGACCGACCCAGGAACCAATTAGCAATGACAGGCCTTGAGCTAAGGAGCTCGGGGTTGTTGGTGGGGTGCGGAAAAAGTTGTGTCGCTGACTGATCCATTCCGCTGACCATAGCATTAACATATGCATTTGATTGACTGGACATTCTACAGAGAGATTATACACCAGTTTACCTTGGGGAAATAGGTTCACTGCAAATTATTCTGGTCTCCATACTCCAGGGCTCAAATCGCCGTCATCTGTTATTTCATGTAGGCAAACGCGATCACAAGCGATCGCAAGCATCGACGCCTGCGATATATATGTTGCTCGCTTTGCTCGAAATAGTAAGACGATTTCTTCCACCCACCTGGGCATGGCCGTTCAAGATTTATCACTATTGTTAGATTCATTGGAATTTCATGAGAAATAATCAACATGCTAAGCTTCCAAGGGTTGCGATCTCATTTGTTCCTGGTCATCTTGCAGGTGCAGCGGGGAAACTCCAAATTGCAACCAAATTACATCCAAATTATTCCATGCACTTAGATAGACATCAAATAAAGTCCTAAATCACAAAGAAACTACAACCATACAGTTCTCTGTGAATAGTATCTAGTATTCATACGAGCCTTTTCCCCTCTGTGAGCTCTACTCGAGGAGCGAAACTTCCAGGTCATCATAGGACATCCAAATCATTAGTTTGTCTACAGGTGACTTGTGACCAACTAGACAGATTGGCCCCACGAAAGTACCGCATGTGAAAGGGCTTACCAGATCCGTGTTCAAGTCCTCCATGAGCAGACCTGGTTCCATCTCCGACGTCACTCGACAGCTGAATAGGTAGTCGTACGGACGATCCGCCATTTTCCCGGGGAAGTATTATGTAATCGGGCCGGGCCTACAGGACTGAGAGGTGGATCTTTTGGTCATAAATCGTACGACTGGCAAACAATTCTGAGTGGATTGCGCTCATAGGCATCGCGCCAAGTTTGAGTTACATCCTATCAATTCAAGGAAACCTAGTTTGAGATCATGATGACCGGTTACCGTGGTTGGTAAAACTGGGATGTGGGTTGACGTTGAGGCTTCACCTTGGAACGATGACGTAGTCGTGATATGAGATATTGCTTCCACCCAAGTATAAATAGCCCTGGTTCTCGACGGAATCAAATCCTTTCTCATTCACAACACAATCACAAACCATCCACTTCAAACCATCCACAAACCATCCACTTCAAACCATCCACAAACCATTCAATTCATTAAACTCCAACTTATTCACCATGGACACTGTCAAGGTGGGTGATCATGTTCAACAACTGTGCTAGTGCCCAGTGTTTGTTAACATTTCAATAGAACGCCGCCAACTACGTCTCTGAGAGCATTCAGGGCACCGGTGCCGAGGCTTCCAAGGAGACCAACAAGCAAGTCGCCAAGGACAGCGACGCCAAGATCAGCACTCGTGCCTCTGCTGCCAAGGATGCCGTCGTTGACAAGAAGGACGAGAAGTCCCACGACGTCAAGGCCGATGTGCACAAGGGTAAGCGGACCTTCTTAGTGATTCTGGGGTCAGGACTGATGCTAACAACCACACAGAGCAGGCTAAGCACTAAATTTGACGGAATTGAATTTCTTGATGGTGCTACTGCTGTCATTGTATAAGACAGATACAACGTTTACTATTCATCATGTATATAACGCGATAACACGATAAGGTCATTCGTGACACTCAATGAATACCCAATTGAAACGAATCTCAGAACCCCCATCAAACGGTTCGGTATGCCGTGCTCTGCACCTAATGCTTCTTAACAGTAATTGCCGCTTATGTCACGTAAGCGTTTCCTATGGCAGCATATATCGACTGTATTGCCCCAGTGGTCTATTGAAAGGCTTCCAGAGCTTGATCATTCCATCTTTTTCTTATCAGCTGTGTGCGAACAATCGTAGAGCAAGTATGGGCAAAAACTCACGATAGGAATTTGCCGGTCAATGAGTTCGGCGCATCAATCACCAATTTTGCAATGACATGACCGGGCTGTTCTGGTTTCAGCAATTCCCCTTCCTTGTGGACTGTGGTGAACATCGCATGGAACTGAGGGTCCAGAGTGGTAGCGAGATCTTCCCGTATCTCGCGCTGCATTTCGGTGTCGACCAAGCCCGGTTGAATTGACACGGCCGTCACGTCGGGCTCTTCTTCTCCAATGCTCATGGCCAAGTGGTTCATGGCAGCCTTGCTTGCGCCGTACAGACCCCATCCCCTGAAGGCCGAGACGGCTGCCGCAGACGAAGTGAAAATGATCCTGCCCCTGGATTGGCGAAGCGCAGGAAGTCCAGCTTTGATCTGCAGCAATATGAGCATGAACAGCCCTATGTCTAACAATCTCCAGCATGCATAATATCAGTACTCTTAACTTACAAAGGCCACCAAGCTGATAAAGTTGACATCAAACCCCTGCTTCCATTGTTCCGGATCCGCCTCGGCAATCTTGCCCACTTGGCTGAGTATGCCGTGGTTGAGAACCAATCCATCGAGACGCCCGAAAGACTTCAGAGCCAGATCGACGGCCTTCTGGCCGAGAGTCAAATCCGCAAGATCGCCATTCAGCACCTCAACTTGCTTGGAGAACTGATCTTTCAGCTTCTGGAGGGGCTCGAAACTGCGGGCAATCACAATAACGTTGTAGCATTGAGGTGCGGTGAGGAGAAACTTAGCAATTGCGAGACCAATACCTGTAACGTGGACAGCATGAGTTAGATTTTCAAGGACCTCGGGTGAAATGCTGATATGAGCGATTGATTGAAATGACTATTCACCTCTAGAGGCACCAGTGACGATGAAAGTTTTGGCTGACATATCCGGAACGAGGTTTAGCCAAAAGGTTATTGAGTATGAATATGGAAACTTTTGAGTATTGAATACGGGAATTTGTTGAGAGGAGTTCCCGGTCGGCGGGGATAATCTGCCATGCAATACTCGTTGCAGCCTTGTAGACAGTGGCCCCATTCGCCAAGCCCGAAATTTACATGGAAATAGGGCAAATCTCGGAGTCAAGAATGTACCGATGTATGTGCTCAACCCGTTCCTTTTCCTGAAGATGTGTGGCAGACAAATGATCGTCCAAAAAGTAACAACAGATCTAGTCTTCTCAAGCAGTTCTTGTAAAGCAGGCTTTCCAAGGTTGTTGACACAATCGACTCAGCAGCATTTAAGATAGCCCCGGGGGCCATTTTCGAAACCTCTTTGGGCCTAGTGCCAAGGTGATAGCTATGATTTTCCTCTGGACCTTGAACGATAGAGTTATCCACTAGAACAGAAGAATATAATATAAGGTTATATCAGTATGCGACCTGGTTATATATAGACATAAATTACATTGGCCGATGAGATGCTTTGCCATGCCTATATCTTGCAAGATATATATATCTATCACGGTGCTGCCCAGATGGGCGAATGCTTTACATAGGACAGGCAATTGTATTCTGAACAAGGGACCCATGTCTCATAAATTAGATAAAGGTGCATGATAAATAAGGCCAGGGGCATGATCCTAGAGTCTGCTCATGATTGGCCTGCTGGCCGGATATGCAAGCCGACGAAATGGCCCAATATCATGAGCAACGGGTACTCTCGGGCGATTAATACGAAGATTCTAGAGAAACCTTGAAAGTCGCCACAAGGCAGTGGAGCATTGTGTTGATCAAACCAAAGTGGACGCCACCGACCGATACCTAGGTATCATTGGTTCTCCACGTAATGGTGGGGCTCAGGTCTATTGACATGGATGAGAAGACACTCTCATTGGATAATTTACAGGCACCAGAATGATGTGACTGGCGGATAACATCCGGTCCTAAAATGGAATACATTGCAGCTATCAATTGATGTCATCGAACTTTCGGCCCCTCTTGCGATGTTCTCTATTTACTCTCATGCTTCCCACAGCTTGACACCATAACAGACCGATTTGCCCGGATCAAACATGTTTGGCAACAGGTACATGAATAGCCTATTATCTCACCACCGTGAAACTAACCATATCTAGACCGAACGCGCAAAAACCCAAAGAGGGTCTCATCAATCAATTTCAAGCAGCTTTTGCTGATGTGGTCCGTCCCACCATCAAACAAAATTCTCTTGCAGGGTATACCACCCCCGCATACTCATCCTCGCACCCCCAGAATATTGGTCATGGGCTAATCATCGATCAATTCCTTTCCATTGCAGGCCCGCCATAAACCCCGATCAGAACCACGTTCAGATCACCCCTAGCCTTCGTTTCACGCCCTTTCTCGATGATCACTGTCTTCCTACGCCGAAAACACCTGCCTACAACAATAATATTTTCGATGACTTGAATAAATTGTATCATGGCCCCGCCGGAGACCTACACACCCCAACCGTGGGGTCAAATCTGTTGACACCCAAAACGCTTCTCGAACAATTTGCAGTTACCCCTCTGCCTAGAAACCCGGCAGGAATTGCTTATGACAGCTTAGACCCACTATTCTTTGCAAGAGAGTCTCAGAGCATGGACTGGGGTAACCCGAGCGCCGCGTATCCACCCAGCGCATTCGTTCACTCCGACCTGGCCGATGGTTTTCTCGATGAACCAAGCGAACAATTTCTTCCGAGTGATATGGGTAACCAGGAACCATTGGTCTCTCAGCTCAATGTTCCACAAGAGAGCGAGACAAATGTCGACAATTCTCCTAGCGAGGGTCAGAACGAGTAAGCTTTTCACTAAGCCCATACTAACGGATCCAAGCTAATAGACCGACAGTTTCAGGTACCAGGTGACATTGAACACACCCACAGCGATGATTCATGATCCAAATGACACCCCAGTGACCTACCTCAATAAAGGGCACCAATATACTTTATCGGTAAGCGATTCAACACCTCCGTTAGTCAACGGATTGGTCCATTATCGAACCTCGGTCCGCGTATCCTTCGAAGAGCCTGAGCATGTAGCAAACCCTGCTGCTTGTTGGAGCCTATGGACGGGGGCACGGGGCCATGAGGGGAATCAGGAGAATGGAAATAAGCATGCGGTAGAAATGGTTGATTTAGTGCAAGGAAATAAAGACCCAAGCTATCCTGTTCATCTAGAAAGAACATCGCTTGATGGCTTTTGTGTGACATGGTGTGCAAATCCTAGCACGGGAAGATCAGGTTGCACAATAGGGATCCGATTTAATTTCCTCTCAACGGATTTCAGTCATTCAAAGGGCGTGAAGGGGGCCCCTCTCAGACTTTGTGCTAAGACCGAGACGGCCCTTCCAGGTACTGCTGAGTCGAGCTTTTGCTATGTGAAGCTATTCCGCGACCATGGAGCTGAGCGGAAAATGTTCAACGACGTTTCTCAGCTGAAACGAGCCATTGAAAAACGCAAGCAGGACTTTCTCAAAGCTGAAAGTGGGGACAGCCTTGGAAAGCGAAAACGGGGCAGTCGCTCGGTCTATAGCAACGACCAGATCCCGGAAAAGGAGCGAAAGGCTGAATTGCGCAGTCGAATGGATGCGGAGTTGGCATCAATGCAACAAATATTCTATTCCAACCGACCTGTGACTACCCTTTGTCTTCGGGGTGAACACAAGGATGATCCGGATCTGTTCCCGGTCTTCTTGGAAGACCAGACTCACTTAACCACCAAGAGTCAACCGCACTTGCAAATTGTGACACCGCCATCGACTTTAACTGGCGCATCTAGCCATACGTCGCAGAGCTCGGTCGATCCCCAGCTACCCGGGCCGCAACGTGACGCTGAGAATATCGAGTGGATTGGCCGCAGTGGTCCTTCAGGGCAATATTCCAGCAGTGTTGGTAGCGAAGATCCCTCAGACAGTATAACAACAACACACACAAGCCCTGCAGTGCCGATGATATCCACTGAGGACGCCGAATTGATGGATGTTGATTCGAAGTCAAACGCACCAGGTAAGCTTTCCTCGCCACACAAAGACGAGATTCATACTCATACAGACTTAGCCAAATGTTTGTATCTCCGTTTCCACCAAAATGGTGTACAGAAGGATGATTATCACACCGCGGTATACCTGACCGAGCCCACTGCCAATGAATTGGTAGACAAGATCTCGCAGAAGCAAAACTTCAATCGAGATCACAGAGTCCACCTGTTCCATCTCAAACCAAACGGCATGAAAATAATGATTGATGATGATGTTGTCGAGCGAATTCCAAATGGTCAGGACATGACCGCTGAAGTATCTGAGCTCGAGGGGTCAAACGACACGGATACCAATCGTGACTCAGTGCCCACCATTGATGTTCGATTGTCTTTCTAGATCTTCTTGATGCAAGCGTAGTATGATCTATGTTATGTTTCATCTTTTGATTATCACTTAGTTGCTAGTTAGCGAATTGATGAACCAATTTTGACGATCATTTCAAGCAGTCATGTCAAGCAAAGTGGTCTTTTTCCTGTATCATGTTAAGAAGAGATAATGTGCCTGTAGTGTAGTGCTGGCAGTGATGACATAATCTTCGACATTGATCTTGCATGGGGAGCACGCTATACTGTAGAAATTCCGTGAAACGAGACGCACCCACATGCGTTAAGTACATACCCGTACTGAGTAATGTTGCCACCTGTGTGGATCTGGTCGAAGAATCTCATTCGCCGGAAGACCTTGCGGTATTAAACTTGGACAGGCGGGGCGTCCACGGTGGACCTGAACCTGATTGCAGGTGCGAGGGGGGCGGTGCAGCCCTGTGGAATCGGCACGCCATCAAGTTTGCAATAGACTGCCCCGTGGGCCAGATTTCCAAGGTCATATAGATCTTTATCCTGATGTGCAGGCATCTTGTTCTGATGTACAACCTATGTAAGCTCCCAATCAATGATGTAAACACCATTACTGGACAGGTAAAATGACATCATAGAGACAACAATATAATTGTACTCCATACTACTCCTCTTCTGTGTACACTCAATTGAGTTACCCCAGTAATTGCCCTATCTTCAACCCCTCAATAATGGCACAGTTCGTAACCCAAGAAATTATGGGTACAACCCTAGAAACTACCAATAGGTATTCGGACTTGAAACCACGAGACATTGGTGCCTCTGGCATAGTCTGGTATATCCCCTCGTATAAGACCTCCAATCTCATCAATCACTGACGCCCAACAGTTCAGCGCACGATACGGTGGCAAACCAAACAGTCGCGATAAAGAAAATAGCGAAGCCGTTCGAGCATACCGGGGTGGCCAGGCGCGCCTATCGTGAGGTTCATCTGTTAAGTAATATGCGACATGACAACGTGCGTGGATTAATAGTCGGAATCGTGATGACGAAAGCTAATCGATTGCAATAGTTGATCAACATGAGAGATATCTTCATCTCTCCTTCAGAGGACCTGTGGGACACCCCTGGTAATTCCACATTGAAAGAAGTGACTAACGTCTGTTGCAGATATATTGTGACCGACTGCATCCAAACAAACCTTTATCATGTCATCCGGTCTAGGTCAAAGTCATTGGAGGGTCAATTCGTGCAATTCTTCACATATCAGCTGCTGGTATGTTCACTCAAGTCGGTTCCGAGAGCCTATCACTGACCGATCCAGCGAGGGTTAAAATATCTCCATTCAGCCGGCGTCATTCATCGCGACCTGAAGCCTAGCAATCTTCTGATCAACGACAACTGCGATTTGAAAATATGTGATTTCGGACTGGCTCGAGAGCAGGACCACAAAATGACCGGCTATGTCACTACACGATACTACCGAGCACCAGAGATCATGTTGACATGGCAGAAATACAGCTATGCTGTAGACATTTGGAGTGTCGGGTGCATTTTGGCGGAAATGATCTCAGGAGAGACGCTCTTCCCTGGAAAAGACCATGTGCACCAATTTACTCTTATCGCTGAGACCTTGGGCAAACCACCCAAAGAGGTCATGGAAAGAGTGTATAGCAAGAGTGTATGATCCAACCGTGAACCTGATGTATACGGTTAGATGCTGACAACAAGTTACAGACATTGAAATTTGTGGAAAATCTGCCTGAACCGAAGCCATGTCCACTTTCATCTCGCTTTAAAGATGCTGACCCTCAAGGTACGCACTCCCATCAGCGATTGTTCTTGTAACTGCCGTATTTCAATGCTAATTTTCGTAGCAATCGATCTCTTAGAGAAAATGCTCAATCTCGACCCGGAAAAGAGAATAACTGCGGCCGACGCTCTCATGCATCCATACCTGTCAACATACCAGGACTCTGAAGACGAACCCGCTTTTGACAATGAACTTAGTTGGTCTCTTTTGGAGTCAGAGCTATCAGCGGACGAGTGGAAGACCAATATGTAAGTTTCCAGCTGTCCGCTTTGGGTTTGCATTTTGTATTAACAGCTTGAAGGTACTTCGAGGTGTTGGATTATCACCGCGGTGCTTGTGATGGGCAAGACAAGGATGTTCCCACCACCAAAGTAAACCTTAACAAGTTGCCTAATGAGATGATGATGGAAACTTACTGAAATCCATTTTTGATGGATTCTTCTACGAGAAGCAATGAATTACCTAAATATTAATATCACATTTTGAACATATCTGCTTGTGACCTTTTACGTACGACACACCATACTTACAACGGACAATCCTAACAGTATCTACATCACCCATTTGTGACCACTGGAATAAAGTATAGACAACTGGACAGTTTCTTGTATATATTGCGGAGAGTGGAGAAGGCGCAATTCCCGCATTCGGAAACCCCGCCCGCATGGGGGACTTTTACTATTCCGCCGTGGCATGTCTTGAAAGATTCTTGAATGGAATTGCCTCATAAAGGAGCTTTCCCGCATCAATGCCACGTAAGTCGTGTGCAGGAGATTTAGACGGGATAGCATTCCGCCTACTATTTAAAAGCTGCACAAGAACCCCGCCACAAACATCGTGTTGTTTCTCTGTCTCTCAAATACTCTACAAAATCGCAGCTTTCGCTAAAAATCACTTCTACAATGGCAGAGCATCCCATTATAAAGGGCAACTTCTGCCATGGCAACAACACATTTGAAGGCAAAGCTAGTGTGATGGAGATGTTCTCATTGAAAGGGAAAACTGCGGTTGTCACAGGAGCAGGCGCGGGTATTGGGTTGAGCGTTGCACATGCTCTTGCTGAAGCCGGCGCCAATGTTGTCATTTGGTACAACAGCAATAGCAAAGCGATTGAAGAAGCTGCAAACATTGAGAAAGCCTACGGAGTTCAGTGTAGGTTATCGGCTGATTCAGCACTTTGTGATTTGAGCTGATTGTTTGTTCATGATCAGGCCGCGCTTATCAAGTCAACATCAAACAAAGTGAAGAGATCGAAAAGCTCCTTGAAACATGCGTCCGTGAATTCCAAGGTCGGCTCGACATCTTCATTGCCAATTCTGGCATTCCATGGACCAAGGGGCCTATGGTGGATGCCCCACTCGACCACTACTCAAATGTGACCCAGACAGATCTGGATGGAACTTTCTATTGTGCCAGAGCAGCAGCAACTCACTGGAGACGCCAGAAAGCAGAGAACACCAATATATTTGGACTACCTCTTGAAGGATTCACTTATGGCAGCTTTGTCGCTACTGCTTCAATGAGTGGCAGCATCGTCAACGTTCCTCAGCTCCAGGCTGCCTATAATGCCGCTAAAGCTGGAGTTATTCACCTTTGTATGTTATCCACTTGTGATGCAGTCCTCACTTACCACAGAGCCATCTGTTAACTGTCAATAGGCAAGTCGCTTGCGGTAGAGTGGGTTCGGTTTGCCCGTGCGAATACCGTCTCTCCGGGTTACATTGCGACGGAGATTTCTCAATTTATTGATGCTGAAACGAAGATGATGTGGAGGGATAAAATCCCCATGGGTCGAGAAGGGCTACCGCAAGAGCTGAAGGGAGCTTATCTATACCTCGCCTCCGATGCTTCCAGTTACACAACCGGAGCTGACCTTATTGTTGATGGAGGCTATACACTACCATAGATCCACTGAATTAAAACCGGCGCTACCTTGGCTTTAAGACTATAAAAATGAGATTTGAGCCTAGGGCATCTTGTAGATCAAGACGCAATCGTAGGTTGGCTTCCTACATGAACGCTCTATCGCTGTCATATGTTCAATTTGCAATGGAACGTAGGAAGAGTGTCTGGCTATTAATTAGACAAACAAAGAGGTGACCTTGGAAGCTGGGAAGGTAAGTGAAAGGAAATTCCTAAGAATCTATCAGTCTAGTGACCTCATCGGATTAAATTTCCAAGACCTTAGATCTTCCAAGGTTCGCAGTAACTATTGCCATTCTGCGGTCCCAGGCGGGTAGACTACCCTGTTTGGCAGGAATCCGCTTATTCTTCCGCCCTTCAACCAATGATCAGCGTCGGCTCGTTCTACTTTCAGAAAAGCTCTCGAACATTTCCGTTTTTGGCCACCTCCCCGACGGTGTATACAAGCTAATGTCGGAATAGATGCTATACCGCCAGTGGCGACGTAGTGCTTTCACCGACACATAAAAGAAGCTAGACAACCCCCGAACTTTGGTCATCTTATCTAGTCAGCTCACCCATCTTCCTTTTTTCGACATTGTGAACCTTATCACACAATCTGTCATGTACATTCCGAAAGCCAGGGGTGGTCTTTCCACCCAGCTGGCACGTCCATTTTGCAAAAGAAGCCTTCCAGCAAGTTCAAAATGCCTTTCCACAAACACCCAGACACCCCGAAAAGAGGGCGACATCTCTTCCGTCTTTGTCTCGCTATCCGGCGACGGAAAGGCCGCACCACTCGATGAACGGTTCGCAGATCAGAAAAAGAAGTTGATCGCAGGTCGCGGAGATCAGCTTAAAAGGAGCTGGGACCGTCTCCTCTGTAAGCTCAGAGACGAGGTTGAGACCATCGAACAGCGTGGGTCAGATATTATCCCCAGTATCAACTTCAACGATATCCATGCCGCCCCGAGATCTTTCCATGATGAGCTTCGGAAGCGAGGAGTTGCCATCATCCGTGGTGTGGTCCCAGAGGCAGAAGCTAGGGAATACAAAGACGAAATTGAAGCCTACGCACGGGCTAACCCGGGCACAAAAGGTATGTTGTTGTCAATGCTTAACTATCCCTGAGAGGATACTAACGTGGCTAGCCTTCCCACCAAATGATCCCCAGGTGTATGAGCTGTACTGGTCTCGCCCTCAAGTTCGAGCCCGCTCCCACGCCAACATGCTCGAGACACAGCGATTTCTCATGAGCTTCTGGCATTCATCCGAATCAGACGCCATGATCTCCCCCGTGCATCCAGTCACCTATGCAGATCGTCTGCGAATTCGTCAACCCGGGGATGCTGGATTCGCACTAGGTCCTCACACCGATGCTGGAAGCGTTGAGCGCTGGGAAGACAATGGCTACGGCTTGGGTCAAGTCTATCAACGAATCTTCGAGGGGCATTGGGAAGAGTACAATCCTTGGGAAGCTAGCTGCCGTCTTCCTGTGATGTCAAACCTCTACGATGGTGCTGGAGCCTGTTCCATGTTCCGCATGTTCCAAGGATGGTTAAGTATGTCTCATACTGGGCCGAACGAAGGAACTCTTCTTGTTAACCCTCTTCTCTCAATGGCGACTGCTTATATACTCCTCCGCCCTTTCTTCGTGCCTATCAATCAGCCCCCAGCCGATGGGAGCTCTCGCATTGCGATTGATACCTTCTTGGAGCCGTCCAACTGGCAACTTGAAGAAAAACCCTCTAGCAAGTTGGAGGGTGCTACACCGGGGTATTCGCAAGAGCTGAACTCGGTCCTTCACCCCCACCTTGAGCTTCAGAAGACGATGGTTCACGTTCCCCAGATCGGACCGGGTGACTATGTTGCCTGGCACTGTGACAGTAAGTGCTTCCTTGCTTCTGCCTCTATGAAATGTGCTACTAACTGCAAATTAGCCATCCACGCTGTTGACAAGGTCCACAAGGGGAATGGAGACTCGAGCGTGTTGTACATTCCTGCCTGTCCAGTCACGGAAGCAAATATTGAATACGTCAAACGCCAGAAGAATGACTTCCTGAAGGGCATTCCCCCGCCTGACTTTCCCGGTGGTACGGGTGAGAGTGAACATATCGGCCGTGCCACTGTTAAGGATCTTCAAAACTACTCGAATGAGCAGGCTCTGCGTGCCTTTGGATTTGGCAAATGGAATGCCGAAGAGGAAAATCTCAACCACGGACAGCGACGTGTCTTGAAAAAGGCCAACGAAATCCTTGGCCTGTAGTTAGTTGGTTTGTTCTTCTGCATTGCATTGACCTGTGTATATCAATTCCTATCATAATCCATTGTACATTATGCATTTTTCTCATCGATCATCTCTCTTTCTAAAGGTCGTCCGGAACAGGTGCGCCATGAATCTGGCTCATTCCTCCAATCACCCCAAAATCAAAATCAAAGTTGTCAAATATTCCTAGAATAGACATTGGATCCAATAAGCCCGGATCATATGGCTGGTATACAGTCTCAGCAGGGCTCGAATCTTGCACATGCTGCATTACAGAACCTTTTATTACCAGGTTAGCAAGGATCTCAAACAGGGATGAAGCTCTTCTAACCGGTCAATATATCCGCATGTCTTCTGGGTAGATCATTATCACTGTTTCCCCTTGTGCCTGACCCTCGATCTTGATTTTGCTTATCCACTTCGCTGACCAGGTACTCTCCCAGATTCGCCATCATCGAGGCATAAACAAAGACCTCCCCCAATTCTCTCAAAATCAAACAATTCGAAACAAGTTGTTTTCGAGCTCTTGCCTGGAAAATCGGAACTTTGCTTCGTTGCAGGTTGTGATACGCAACCCGCAAGGAAAGAGCCACAGCATACGGGATGATTGGAAACGAGGATAATTCGTTATGAAACTCATCTCCCACGATGGATGTGACTCTCGATACCGAGAGACTTTGACGCAGACCCGACTCTGAAGATTGAGAGATACCCTCCGGAGTTACTAACCGACAAGACAAAATGGCCACTGCATGATACAGGACCTCTACCGTGGCTATAAACTTCATTAGTGTTTGACTCAATGTCTCAATAGAGATAACATTACCGATCAGATGCACAGGGGTATCAGATGTCCCCACTTCCTGCAATAAATCCTCGAATGAGGGAAATGGCCCATTCCAAATTCCAATCTCGGAGGGTCGGTATATTTCGATGACTCGTTCCAACAAAACGATGGTACGAAGGAAAAGCTGGAAGCAGCCCTCCTGTGCTGCTATGGATGATGGGAGGTCACGACCAAAGTCTCGTCGATGCAATTGAACTGGCCTACCTAGACATGCAGCGTTAAGCATGTCTAGAGCATAAAGACAGCAGAATATTCGATTATAGATGTGTTCGTGTTGTGTCACTGGATGGGAAGGATGATGCAGGCCAATGGTATGCGCGTGACAAATGGCCCGATACAAGAGCTCGGCTGACTCTTGTCGATCTCCCGAGAATTGCGTGAACAGTGAAGTTAAAGACAAGGCTTGAATCAAGACTAGCTTGTCTCTCACTAATCCCACCGCTATTGAGGTGGTGATTGCATCCGAGAGGCTCAGAGAGAAATCGCTTCGAGATGCATTAATTGTGGGTAAGTTGAGAAATTGTTTGGCCTTTCGATCTAAACTGGCAGCGAGGCATATTGACTGCGACAGAATAATTTTGTCCGGGGTGGTACCGGGCATCATTCGATATGCGTCATAGTCCAGAACCGGGAAAATGGGATGGATGTTCTCGAGGTAGATACGAAGAAGCCCTTCCATATCACCAGGACTTGGGACAATAGAGCATTTTTCTTGCAGGTAAGGCAGGAGACCAGTCGATATAAGAGGTTTGAAATAAGATTCACCTGATATGGGTTTCTTAGTTGCAAGCTCAGAGCATGTCTTATCTGGTGATAACCAGATGCCGACATCATGCCGTCGAAGTGGACTGGGGCTTGATGAACCTGCTGCAGTCCAAAATGCGCTTGCAGGGTCCATTTCGCCCACGAACCAAGATTCACTATCTATACGAGGCCTTGAAGCATGTGGCTGGGTATTCTGTTGCACAGCCACAGAGTACCCAGGACTCGTGGAGACGATCTCTTCATGCACACTCGGTGGAGACGCCGTATTGACTATTTGGACATCTCCAAGCTGAGTTTCGGGATGCCGAGAGGCCTTCGGTCCGTGAGTGCAGCGCCGCTTGCGCTTGCGACAATGTGCACATGCTCGGTGGGTTCCCTTGCGGTTCTGGGGAAGGCCTACCGGATCATTCGCAATGAAGGTGAAAAGCTTCTGTCGACCCCGCATATCAAAGGCCGAATGGATATATGGTGAAGAGAACGCAGCATGACTTGGCTGGCTTGTGAGGCCATTCCGCCCCGCTCAACGCTTTCATGGCGCGGAGCTTCCTATTTGGGGAAGTGGGCCGCATCCACCGCAAATCATTTGGTCGTGCAGTACATCATGGAGGGGGTTTCACACGTACGTAGCCATTGCGGAGGCGAGGTTTTTGTTATAAATACTAGAGAACCTACAATTCTCACATAAGATAGAAGTCAATATCAGTGCCGAAAATGACCGCTTTACTGCGTGCATGTGGCACTGCTGTCTAGCACCCACTAAGCATTTTCAGAATTCGGCCTGAACCAAATTTTTGTCAAACTCAAACGGCCCAATCGCACCGAAAGACAAGATTTGATATTTGAGGAGCGGTGTCATATAACGATATCGATCTGCAGACAGCACCTCTGGGTCACAGAACCACCCGCAAGACCATCAGTGGAAGGATATCAGCCAGGCGCAAATAGAGCGTCTACTTGGTTATCGTACCTCCCCATGCCATCCATGGATCTGAATAGCCCAGGAGACCTGTAGGGCCAGTGATCCGTCATGATCGGCTAAAATATTGACCCGAGACTATGATTGATGGTGTCATTGTGCTGGCCAATATATGATAGAGACCAATCCGTAAGGTTCCTTCGAGAGTCCAAGGGAGCTATTAGATAATGAATATCAATACATTCCACGATGGAGACCAACCCTTTCGTGTTCTATCGAGCAGTCTTTCTTCAGCCTCAAGAGTCAGCTTGAATAATCTTGACAAAGGGGGAGGTTTTCAAAGCTTCACGCGAAACTCTTAGACATTGGACAACGGTATCCAGTTGCAGTCTGGTCATGCATGCAGTCGGCTCTGCACCCAAGGCTTCACCGAGACGGCCACGTAGAATGTCAGGCCTATTCCGCCTCGCAGGTCAGCTTAATTCTCTTTGATCGACCCCGAAACGGGGTTCTACATCAATACTGCAGGATCATTTCCGTCAGACCCTCTATATCCTCATTATTTCCACGAGGTATGTGATATCTGGTAGAAAGAGGACCTGAAACACCCATCGCGAAAGCTGCTCAAGAGGTACATTTATCACATGACCTAAATACATGACCGTAATGGCGGGAGGTTCGCTCGTTTACATCCTTATGGCGCGGTTCCAATGCGATACGAAAAAGGCACGACGTTTGTGAGCCTTGACTATTGAAGTTCATAAATTCGGCCTTTTGAGTCTATGGAAATTGAGGCCTGAAGAAGTTAGATGCAATTGCTAATAATGATAAACACTCGAGAGCCAATTCCTGCTGGATGGCAAGAAGCAAATCTTAATGAATTAAAGCAGAAGTCAAAGCGCCAGAAGATACCAAAGCCTCGACGGGCAAAACGGTTGAATGAGTCACGCCAGCATCCCCATGCATCGCAGAAAAATATCCAAGAAATCAATCTTGAAAGGATGAGAGTCATTACATCGGATACTGAACCGATCCGAGAGTGCAGCACAGCCAGCCAACAACTGACGGCTACTCGTCAGGGTTATATAGGTTCTGATTGAGGATCTTAGTCATGGTGAACATGTGCACCCGATCCTGCTTGAAGACAGCGCGCATTGCATCGTCACAACGAATCTGGCGACGGTCACTCGGGTCCTGAAGTTCATTTTCCCGAATATATTGCCAGACCTTCTTTACCGTTTGAGGTCGTGACAGCTGTACGCCATGTCAGTAAAAGGCCAGATCCCATTGCCGTGAAACAAAACATACCGTAGCCTCGCCCAGGAGCGCAGATAGAGGGGGTGAGAGATTGAGAGGTTTCTGCAGTATGTTAGTGAAACATAAGAACACTGAGCATATACCACCCTTACATGGAAACCACCCGTCCGATTGACTTCCTTCTTTGTGTCTGAACCAGACTCGACATCCGAATCATCTTCTGCCTTAACCCTCTTGGAAGTCTTGGCCTTGGCCTTGCTCTTTTTCTTTGCCGGAGCCGCCCGTCGTGTATTTCCTCCTCGTGTTGGTCGCGCGCGCAAATTTTCTTCTGCTTGCAACTTAGCAGCAAACAGGGCGTCGGCGTCAACATCGGCGTCCGGCTTGAGTTTCTTCGGGGGAGGGGAGGAATCGCTCGGATCAGACGCTTCTTCACTTTCGGCCTGGCGCTTCACCGGGGATGAGGATGGGGGTGGCGAGGGGACCCCGGAGGCAGAATCACCATCCTGGTGACCGTTGTTTGCGGTTTCCTCTGAGGCTTCCTCGGGTGATTCGCCAACTCCATTTTTCTCCGCGTAGATGTCGAATCGCTCCATGATGAGCTGCTTCACCGCAGCCTACATGATTCCTGGTCAGTTTATGCCTTGGCAATTTGCGTGTTTGTTGGTGGTTCACGATCTCGGGCAAAAACCGACCTTTTGGGGGGTGAGGTCATAGCCGACTTCCTCCTGCAGACCTTTGCGAATGCGCTTCTCGGAGATGGTATTGAGATCACTTTTCGCTAAAATCGAGTCGATTATCTCGATAAACCGATCGCGCACCTCAGATGAAACTATTGCGACACGTTAAAATCTGAACTGCGCCATCTAGAGAGCACCCGACAATGGCGCCGGGGCAACGCCGAGGTAACCTACGCGACATCGTGTCGGCGGGTCAATCGTGGATCGCCTTTGGAATTGTACAGAAACCAGGCAAAGCTGGAGGTTTGGAATGCGATTAGAAGCTTATCGCCAACGATGGGTACGTGGATTATGCGCAACGGGTTGAAGGTACTTCAGGTGGCCGTCAACGGTGTCAGGTGGATATAGTCGCACTGGCGCTTAGGACCCGCGGCGGTGGGGGAAGAAAGGTCGGGACCGGGAAGGCACAAAGAGCACTAATTAGCCCGCATTAATTAAATGCAAGAAGGAGAATCAAGCTCTGCGATGGATCGAAATAAACCAAATAAGTAGGTCACCAACAGAAACAGCTAAAGAAAGATGCATGTATCAATAGACCCCGCTGTAGCTCTCGGAAGCAACTGCGACTTGTTCGTACTTCCGTTTTGCCAATCTGTTCCGTATTTGGTCTGGGGAGGCTGACTCAGCCGATCAGTCAGCTCTGGCTACATCACATGATCTACGCACAAAGAACCCGCTTGGCAGAAGATTTGTGGATTTGTGTTCCTGGCCGAAAATCTCCCTTGAAGTCCCCCAATCCACCACTTCTTGCACCCGGTCGCCTACCGCTCACCCATCATGGCGCCCAGCTTCGATACCCTGTCCGAACAGGACCTCCACGAGGAGGAAGAGGAGGAGATTGATTTCTCCGGTGCGTGTGCAGAAACTTTCCCCGATGCCCCTCCTCACTAACAGACCTTCAGATCTTAAGGAGCAGTTTGACGTCAAGCTCGACGAGGGCCTGGACACTTTTGTTGTTATCGACGGCCTCCCTGTCGTCCCCGAAGACTCCCGCCAGAAACTGATCAAGTTCTTGTTGAGAAAGCTTAACTCCGTTGGTCAGGCCTCCGAAGATGCCGTCTTTATGCCGGTCACCGACAAGGGCATGACCGAAGGGTGCGTATCATGGGAATATCTATATTTGTGGGGGAACAATTTTGACTGAGACCGGATTTTCATGGTGTATAGATTCGCTTTCGTTGAGTACGAGACTCCCGAACAGGCCGTCGCCGCCGTCAAGCAGCTGCACGGTGTCCCCCTCGACAAGAAGCACACCCTTTCCGTGAACAAGTTGATGGATATCGAGCGCTATGGTCGTGAAGGTCGCATTGAGGATGAATACGTCGAGCCCCAGGTCGAGGCGTTCAAGGAGAAGGAGCACCTGCGCTCTTGGATGGGAGATAGCAACGCCCGTGATCAATTCGCCCTTTACCGCAACGACAAGGTTGGTGTGTTCTGGAACAACAAGTCGAACCCCCCCAGAGAACGTCGTCGACCGCGCACACTGGACACAACTCTTCGTCCAATGGTCCCCCAAGGGTACCTTCCTCGCCTCCGTCCACCCCCAGGGTGTCCAACTTTGGGGTGGTGCTTCCTTCTCCAAGCAGAAACAGTTCCCCCACCCCTTCGTCCAGCTCGTTGAATTCTCTCCTCTGGAAGGTTACCTGACTACCTGGTCCTCACGCCCCATTCAGGTCGAGGAAGGCCAGCCCATCCTGACCTACGAGGAAGATGGCAAGAACATCATTGTTTGGGATATTGAGACTGGAAAGCCCCTCCGTTCGTTTGTGTCCCACGATCTGGCCGCTGGTCCCGCCGACGAGGGTGAGGTTGCGCCCAAGAAGAAGGTGCAGTGGCCCGCTTTCAAGTGGTCTGCGGATGAGAAGTACGTGGCGCGCATGCTCCAGGGTCAGTCGATCTCCATCTACGAGCTGCCCAACATGAACCTCCTGAACAAGACCTCGATCAAGATCGAGGGTGTGAACGACTTTGAGTGGTCTCCGGCTACCGTCACCCGTGATGGTGTCAAGCAGTACGAGCAGCTGCTCTGCTTCTGGACCCCCGAGATTGGCAGCAACCCGGCCCGTGTCGCCATGATGAGTGTTCCTTCCAAGGAGATCGTCCGTACCCGTAACTTGTTCAATGTGTCGGATGTCAAACTGCACTGGCAATCACAGGGTGCATACGTCTGTGTCAAGGTCGACCGTCACTCCAAGTCTAAGAAGTCTATGGCTACCAACTTGGAGATTTTCCGCGTCAAGGAGAAGGGTGTCCCCGTTGAGGTTGTTGACAACCTGAAGGACACCGTTGTTAACTTCGCCTGGGAGCCCAATGGATCCCGCTTCGTCGCTATCACCACCGGTGAGAACCCTGCCGGTCCTGCCGCTCCCCCCAAGACCGGTGTCCAGTTCTTTGCTACAGAGAAGAAGGGCAGCACTGCCGGTAACTTCAAGCTCGTGCGCACAGTTGAGAAGAAGACCAGCAACGGAATTTATTGGTCTCCCAAGGGTCGCTTCGTCATTGTGGCCACCGTCCACTCCCAGTCCAGCTTCGATCTTGACTTCTGGGACATGGACTTCGAGGGTGAGAAGATTGAGGCTGAGAAGGATCTCGCTGCCAACCTGCAATTGATGAAGACCGTTGAGCACTACGGTGTCACAGATGTCGAGTGGGACCCCACAGGTCGCTACGTCGTCACCAGTGCCAGTGTCTGGACTCACTCTGTAAGAATGCTCTTTCTATCTATATATTTCTTTACTAATTTGTCTTTTAGATGGAAAACGGCTGGAACCTTCACACTTTCTCCGGAACTACCCTCTCCGAGAACCCCACCGAGAAGTTCAAGCAGTTCCTGTGGCGCCCGCGTCCCCCGACCCTTCTCAGCAAGGAGGAGCAGAAGCAAGTGCGCAAGAACCTGCGCGAGTACTCCAAGGAGTTCGACGAGGAGGACCGTTTCGCCGTGGATATCGCCAACACCGCTGTCGTCGAGACCCGCAAGCGTGTGCTCAACGAGTGGCTTGCCTGGATGCGCCAGGAGAAGGAGCTCCAGGCCGAGGAGAAGGAGGCTCTTGGTCTTTCCGAGGATGTCGACTCACCCCAGGCCGCCAAGGATGCTCCCATCGGTGGCCAAGAGCAAGGCGACACCGTGGTGGAGGAGATTGTGGAGGAGATCATCGAGGAGACCGAGGAGGTCATTGGTTGACGAACCCTTTCTTTTCCCTTTCGCATATAATGTGTTTACATTTTCCTTTTGTTCCTTTATTCTCCGGCGTCCTCTGTGCTTGAGGCTCGGCTTTCTGCCCCCCATGTGTTTTGGTCCTGTGTAGCGAGGATCGGGGCCTCTCCAAAAATCTGATTGATAGAGCTGTTTGCGAAGCTCTGATGTGCAATGTGGATAAGCATGAGAAATGCCCTACGAAATAAACCGCGCGCCGTTTCCACTTCCTTTATTCTCTAAGTATTATGTGTACAGGCTCATACCCACCCCTACCACCCCAAGGGCTAGAATCATCATTCCCACAGTCGATTCGACACTATTCTGCATATTTGCACCTCCGCTTGGTTGACTCGTGGTTGTAGATGCCGCTCCAGTGGTTGACGGTGATCCGGAGGTTGATGCGCTTGAGTTTGTCTTTGACGAAATGCTCGGCCGTACATTCTTCTTGAAGTATTCATCATGGTCTCCAACCACATTTCCCGGCGGCGTGTATTCACACACAACATACCAGCCCTGCGCCCTCGAGCTATCGTCCGTATCCGTCCTTGAGACCAGATCGTCTCCATCTCTTCGGACTTTTGAAAGGTCCTCAGTATATCCACAGTTCACAGCTGCACATCCGACCTCTTCTGTAGACCTCCACACCAGTTGTGTGAAGTGGCCTGTCGCCTCAGTGTACCCAGTTGGTTTCTTGAAGTTGTATAGTTTGCCCTCATCTCCCCAAGCTTCCACTGCAGCAGATGCATTGGGGTATCCATATGCGAGGTTTTCACCATAAGGACCATCCTGTGAATCCATTAGACCAGAGTCTTTCAACATTAGCACAGGTACATACCGAGTGTTTCCAGATACAAGTCTCCGCCCAACTTTGAGCGTATTTCACTAGCGTCTCGTTCCATACTACTTCTTCCGCTTCGTGGCTCCCGCGATAGTTGTTGCTGACCTGCAGAACGATTTCTTTGAAATCTGAAAGCGAGGTATAGGATGCCGGACTGGGGATAGTAGGCGTTTCATAGACAGTCGTCGCTGCTTCGACAGTAGTCTTGACCGTGACGACAATCTTCTCTTGGCCGACGACACCCATAACTAAGCATCCTATTAAAGAAAGCCATTGGACTAACAAGTGGCAGGTTTTCATGGTGATCATGAGATACCCCCACAGAGGTAAGAAGAAAGGAAAATAATCAGAAAGAAGTTAATGAAGTATGCATTCCCCGATCACCACATCATTCAAGCACCCAATTCACTTCTTTGGCAATCGGAACAAAGGCCCCGTTTCAAGTCTGCAAAGGTGTGTCAGAGGGGTGAATGACCACCCTTTCTTCAGGCGCGCCACTAGTGCATATATAACCTTCAAGGTCCCAGGATCAGCCGGGTAGACCAGCGCTAAGAGTAAAATGGAACATGGTTTTCACCTGTGAAGATTCCAGCGTCACATCTGCTCGTAATGATTATTGGGACATGGACCAGTTTCTGTGGAGATGCAGGAGTACCTGAGATCCAGGCAAACAGGGACACGCGCTCTATCTTCATTCGAATACTGGTTTGACCCTGCATGCGGATTTGTGTGGTTGTTGGTTCTCGGAAAGTCTGGATGTTGTTTCAGACGGGGTGTGGTGTTCCAGTAGCCGCCGTTGACGTCAGATGCTACGCCGCGGATGAGTCGGAGACGGAGTACCTCTTTTTATAAATATGAAAGAATCATGGGTAATGGAAATAGGAATTCAGTGTCTAAACATGTTCCACTGGCAATATTTGGGGTGTAGAAAGTCAATTCGTATATACTTCGGGCATTGACATACCCGCAGATGCAAGGAACTCTATACAACCAATCACGCTATGCAATTCCGGGTATCAGTCATTGTTTACATCACGCTACATCCAATTCCGTACATCGCTCGTTCCACGTCACGCTTGACCTGGTACCAGTCGGCTCGGCGCTCCGCAAACTCATACACCTCCTCGACACGCCAGATCCCTTGGAACCGGTCGGCGTCGGCGATGATCGTCGCTAGTTCCTTGGCATGGGACGGGTCGATCAGGTAGATCTGTGCGAGTTCGCGGAAGGCCTTGAAGTATAAGAGAAGCTCGCTGTTTCGAAGGGTCTGGACAAACTTGAAGTAGTGATTCATGTCACTGATAGGCATATTTAGCATGGATCACGAAAGGCTGAGGTGTGGGGGAAGACTTACCTGATCAGCTTGAGGGATCCCTCGGTGCTAATCCGCTGACGCTTGAGGTGCTTACACAACGCGGTGAACAGACGCAGTCCGACTTCTTGGTTGAACACGTCCAATGTGCTCTTGTCGGTGCTGCCTACCAGCATCTGTGTGTGCGATGACACCACATCCACTACAGCTGCCGCAACATCACTGACTCCCACATCCATGGTCTGTCGGTGAGGATCCGATGAGACTTCTGGATTAAAATCGGTGGCTAGCTGCCGTGTAGCGAGAATGTAGTCGACTTCCTCCATGAGGACGTCAATTCCCTTATTCAATCCAGCCGCAACGCGCTCGTCCAGCATCTGCTCAAATTTCTTTTTCTCCTTCACAGCGGGGTCAAGGAAATCGTGGCGATCGGTGAGACGTGTAGCGATCAGTTCTTGCTCGTAAAATACATCCACCATCTGTAGAATCAGATCACCGACATTGACCAACTCCAGGAACGTGACCAGGGGCTCAACCCCAGACTGATCGCGCTCCTCCTGTTCGCGGGGCCGGTAGTTTGATAGGTGATCAACAGCTTTATCAAAACCGACAATGACATGGCGCTGGCCCAGGATACGCAGCAGATCCACAAAAATGGCCTGGCATTGATGCTTGGCTGCTTTGCCATAGTCTCCACCCAGTCTGACAAATTGGGCGGCTCTCTCAATACTGGATTTGGCGGTATGAACAAGGCTCAGTGCGATCTCAATACTAAATAATGATCGAATACCTTCCATTTTGGACTTCATTAGCAGCGCTTTGGCCGCCAGTTCTGTTTTTGGGGCTTCTTCGATTGGAAGGGGAGAGGGCGAGGAGATCGTGGAGAATCGGTGGGAATTCTTCAAAGCACCGGGCCCCGTGCTTTCTTCCACTTTGGTTTCCTCGCTGGCCTTGTTGCTGGAAAAGCTAGGAAGGATATTGACTGGCATCATGATCACTTTCTTGAATGATGTAAGGAAATCTCGCTTGTCGGCTTGTCGGTTGACATTGGACATCAAAAAGGACTCTGTCGAGGCAGCTTGTTCCGAAAGCTGGCGATCCCAATCGTTTACCGTTGCCTCGGAGCCCTTGCGGAAAAAGTCCAGCTCCTCGGCTAGGTAAAGGTCGATATGTGGTTCGTAAATCTTGGCCACAACAGAGTCTAGGTAGTGGTCGAAATTCTCGCCAGAGTTCCGTATGGGCAACAGAGTTTCGGACAGATTCATACACTGTATAAAGGTCAGGGAGATAGCAGTCAGGTAGGACTCCTTGTTGATGCGATGCAGTTCGTCGAAAATGGCTGTCAGGAAGGGGAAAAGAACATCCTGACCAACTTTCTCCATGAAAGCCAATGCGACTTGTAATTCAGGGGGGAAGGCCCGATGCATAATTGAGACTTCTTCATTATAGGCGACACTCAAGCGTGTAAAAAAGCTTTGTGTCTGTTGGATCTTCACTCGTCCAGTAAGACCATCTATGCAGTCCGCCAATGTGCCAAGGTCAGACTTTCGAGTCATCAAATGGTTATGATGGATGAATAAATCGACTGCTGATTGGCCACCATTAAGTGCATACAGAATGTGGGCGTACTTGCGCATGAGGCCATCAATATCGTCTGTCTCATAGCCTTTTCGGAATTCATTTAACGCAGCGGTTTCAAACATGGCTGTCGTGCTTTCCAGACGACTTTCTCGCCATTCCCAGCCCGTAGTCATGTCACTCTTTGCAAAAGCCATCAATTGAGATAGCATTTTTGCTTGAACCTGGGGGTCTTTGTACTTTGTGAACACCAGATTCTCAGTAGATGGTCCAGATGTCACGATGTCATCGTAAAGGGGTGCTAACGCGGCATGGATTCTTCCATACTCCTGACGAGCTTCACCTCGAACTGACCTGGCATTCTGCAAGATAACCAGATCAGGGTCACTCGCTTCGTTTTCCAAAGGCTCAAGTTGTGTGGCGGACTTGCCCAGCTCTATCTTGTCGAACCCATCGGATATGACATTGACTTCTGAACCGGCGATCCGAGCACTTGCAATGGCCGGAGCTACAACACCCGCCTCCTCCGCAATTTCATGTTGTTCAACGACTTCTAAGTCGGCGACGGTTCCGTACACTTGCTCCACGTGTTTGCGTGCATCCGACTCATCCCAACATCCAATTCGCTTTAGTCGTTGTACCCATCGAGTATCGTCATACGCCATTTCGTGTAGGAGCTTGCAGGACTTGGCTGCCCGGATGAGGTCGACCGGCCCAAGGTAATCAAGAATCAACGACATGATTTCTGTAGGTTGTCAACGACTGTGGCTCTTATAGGCTAATCATCCGTGCGACGTACCTGCAGGCAGGGAAGCTCGAGAGATCCCTTCCAATGATGCCATACGCAATGAAGCCAGCACATCCCTGCGCGGCTTTGCTGGCACCGTCCCTTTCTTTCCGTTCGGCATTGCTGGTGCTTGGCCACTTCATCGGGAGTGGGCCGAGTGTTCGCGGGGTGCTCGGGAGCGGAAGTGAGGTGTTTGACCCTGGCAGCCAACCAAGCTCGCTACTCCAGGATCTGTGGGGCGTGGGATGTTCAGGTAAGTTAATTCGGAGTTAGCACTTGGGCAGAGGAAAAAAAACACAGAGTATCGGCAGACATGAAGATCGCCTCCGGTCTAAGCGTCGATCAGCACGGCAGGGTCCATCTCACCGCCGTATGTTATTGACCGGCATAATATAGCGGTGAGGCAGTGAAGTATACAGCATATCAACCTTGGAAATAAATCCAAGTGATCAACCTAGTGGAGTGCACGGAAGAAAAAAAAACTCGCATACCAAGTCATGTATATGCCAATATTCTGTAGTGGTACGTTCAGTTCTAGGTATGAGCTCGCTATGAATAAGCAACTTTCTTCAGAGAACCAGTACGAGCGTTCCAAGGCATATTCCATGCAACATCACGGCACGTGAAATCCGGAGACTTAGGGATCGACTCAATCAAATCTTATAGAGGAGAGATTGCGATTTTATACTCGACCCGTCATGAACAACTTTTGTAATCCCATCCAATTGAGAAACCCCAGAAATGTGGACGATCTACCGGCACCGAACCCCTCTTCAAAGGAGGCCTTCCTTTCAATGTCAAAACACTTCCAGCACCGCAGAGTCCAAAGACCCCAAGATCCTAAAAGAAACATACACCCAACAAATATCTGCGTATGTAAATACCCAGAGCCTTTGACAAGACTGAGGGCAACCGGCTCAGCGACAGTGGTGGGAACGACCAAAGCCAGGCAAGTGATGGCAAAGGTACGTGACATACGACCCAGGCCGACGACCTCGGCCAAAACGGGAGTTATAGTCGCCCAGAATGTGCCACAAACCATACCGGATAGGAAGGCAAAGACTAACAGGACGGCATAAGAGTTTGCAGGTATCCAGATGGCTAAGCATACCACGCTGCAGAAGGCTGTCAGGATAGTAGGCACAGTAATCCTACCAAATCTATCGCTGACATAGCCAACGAGGGGGCGGGCAACTGTCATGCCCACATTGAGCATGGCTCCAGCGACAGATCCTTGGTTGGCTGTCAAGCCAATAGAGGTGGCATAGTTGGGCAATGAATAGAATAAGGCGATATACCCGAACTCGGTTGTCATTCCCCAAAAGATCACAAAAAGAACCTCAGGACGCTTTAAGTCGCGGGGATCAAGGGCGTAAGTTTGCTGATTGTGTTGGGATTTTCGCGCCTTGAGGAGCAGTGACGACATGAGATTGGCTCCCAGAGAGCAACCCGCCAGAATCTTGTATGCAGTACGCCATCCAAGGTGTTGAATGATGTAGCTTGTCGCGAGGTTATATACAATTCCGCCAATGCCAGCACCCGATGCTGCGATACCCATAGCAAGGCTTCTGTGACTCGAAAACCAATGTGGCAACACCGACATTGAGGGAATATAGAGAAGTCCCATTCCGAACCCGAAACAAATGCCTTGGGAGAGAAAGAGATGCCAGACCTCGTGTGCGTAAGCAGCCCCAAGCATGGAAGCAGAAAGTAGAAGAGTTCCCAGTAAGAGAAGTACTCTTGTCCCGACGACACCTTGTGCCTTATGCACAAGCGGTCCGATAAGAAGGGCTTGGGAGATGGACAGCCCTCCGATGAATGCATAGTCAATTCGAGTCGCCTTCGGAAAGGTAGAATCGGTAATGAAGTGATCGAGAATCACCCCCCAGGCGCTGTTTATGCCCCAGGTGTGTATGATTATCATGAATACACAGAAAGTGCACACCCAGGCGTAGCCTCCATTTGGTGGGGTATTTTCCAGAGGAATAGTCTCGACGGTCGTGAGTCCTTTCGGCTGATCATGCAACTGGACTACTTCAATAGACCTTGAAGCCATACCTAACTTCCACTCGTAGGACGGTGGGAAAGATAAAAGTCAATAGCCAGCGAATGTGGGGTCAAATTACATTGGGTTGTTATAGTTCACTCCGATGTGATCCAAGTGACCAATCAACGGGCAGAGGTCTAAGACCATTTAGGCAAGTCGATAAGCGATAAGGGGGCCTGGACTCTGATGATCGGAGTCTCTTTCGTCCAAGCCTACATGCCACACCAAATAAAGAGATGATTAAACAAGCTGAGATGGATGACTCCCCCAGTATTCCTCCAGAAAGGACGACGACTACGGTGTATTTTCCCTTGGAGATGTCGTGAACTAACGGGAGAGTGCTCCAGATGATGTAGTCGACGCCCTGCTGTACGGCGATGTCGGCGATTTGCTGAGCGTTATCGAGCTCAACATTCGAAGGCGCCAGGACCCAGGGCAGGTGTGGTCATGGCGAAGACGGTATGTATACCGGCCAAGGCCGTTGTCAGCGAGGCGGCGCTCGTGACATCACCACTAACAACCTGAACATTATGAACAAAATATGGTATGTACATAACACCCCATGTTACTACATATAGATGGAACACCACGTCTCTGCATTCGGTGCATGGACTGTCTGCAATAGCAAGGCTTACAAAAAAAAAACCCCTCGAAGAACAAAGAGCCCGCAGGGTGCTTCAAAATCAACAAAGGGGGTATCTACAAAGAACCTTGGATCTTTGAGGCTTGACAAGTGACTCTGTTGCCAGTCTGCTATTATCTATGAAGGAAACCCTTCCTTTACACTAAATTCTAGATGTTGAATGTTCTCTACTCAATAAATACCTAGCCAAAACTAAGGTTCGACACCAATGCAAAGCAATCATCATCACGATGAAGCTCTAATTGAGGCACCAGGTCACGAAGTTCCTTTATGTCAAGTTTGGAAGCAAGAAAATAAGAGAAAATAATCAAAATGCTTAAGATAATGTAAATCATTAAGTTACCTACTTGGTTCGTTATTCAGACGAAATTATCTGACGAGCCGGCATGGTCTTAAGGTATTGACCTAAATAAAGGCATTCCCCACACTTTCTACATAAGCTTTGGAGGACTATCTTGCATACTCTGTTTTCGTTATGTATAGATATCTTCCAAAGACAGCTTAATCTAGAGGGACCATCATCCATATCCATAGGTCAGCTCCTGCTGTCCTTATGGTATATCACTATACGCTGGAAGGTCAAATTATTCATCTCGAGCTGTGCGCAACAGGTCTACAAAACACGAGGTTTGGCTAAATGCGGTTCAAGAGCACGGTCTAGACAGATTCCAAAAGTCCGTGTCTCTTTACCCGTGGAAACGGATGGTTAGTCAGCAGATGCGGGAATCTTAGCTGCGTCAACTAGTTCATGGGGGCCAAACGACCTTGAGCATAATGACCAATGACATTTTAAAGCGGAGGCTGTTCAAATCCACGCTAGCCGAGGTCCTCACGAGGAAGTGAAAGAACCCATTTTCCCAGCAGCTTGGTTTTCCCTACATTTCATCCCCATTGTCTCCCAGCTCACCACTGGATAATCACCATACAGAGACCCGAAAATGTCTTTTCCATTTCAGATAATCGAGCATGTAATCCCTGGCCAACATATTAGAGAATACCCGCAAAGCACCAGAGGGAAACAAGAGACACCCCATCATATCGCCATCAAACAATACATCCCCATCGACCGTCCCTCTCCGATACCTGATAATGCAATCACCATCATCGGGAGCCCGGGCAATGGTTCCCCTAAGGAGGCCTTTGAGCCCCTCTGGGAGGACCTACTTACCGAATTGAAACAGAAAGGAATTCCTCTGCGTGGAATATGGATAGCAGACATGTCCAACCAGGGAGCAAGCGGGGTTCTCAATGAACATATTCAGGGTGATCAAAGTATGTTCCCAGTGTCCAAGCTTAGAGAGCCGAAAAAAAAGGAAATCAGAACACAAAGCTGAACATATTAAGCAAACTGGCACGACCACTCGCGTGACCTCCTTCACATGATCAATCATTTTCGTGATGACATCCCTCGTCCCATAATCGGTGTCGCGCATAGCATGGGTTGCGCCCAACTGTATGGCTCATTTCCCTTCAAAATCATCACATGAAAAACCTAACTAGTGACAGCGTAAACCTCTCAATAATTCATCCACGTCTTCTCTCAACGCTCATTCTCTTTGATCCCGTCATCCTCGATATCTCTTTTGGGGGCCCCAACCCAGGCCTTCCCTCTAGTCTGCGCCGTGATCTCTGGCCGAGCGCCGAGCAAGCTAAAACCTCATTATCGAAAGGCTTACGTAAATGGGATCCCCGCGTTCAAGAAAGATACATGAAATACGCACTCCGTAACGTACCGACAGCTATTTACAACCCTTCTGATCCGAATGTGGGTCCAGACGCCGTGACATTGACGACAACAAAGCATCAGGAAGCATGGAACTACTTCACGACGAATCTCGAACATGAATCTCTGGATAGACTATTGCTACCCGATTGGCATTCTGAGAAGGAGCGGCCGTATATCTTTTCCCGACCGGAGTGCATGGCAGCTATGAGGAGCCTGCCGTTCCTGAGACCGAGTCTGCTGTGGATTTTTGCGGAGAAGAGTTATCTTTCTCCTCCTAGAGCACAGGATGAAAAGATGCGCATCACTGGGACTGGAATAGGTGGGAGTGGGGGTGTCAAAGCCGGGATGGTAGAGAAGGTCGTTCTGAAAGATGGATTACATACGCTTGTTTTTGAGAATGTGGGATGGTGTGCTCAGACTGGGGCTGACTGGATTCAGAAGTGGTTTGATGGGTGGTTGGCGGATGAGAAGTTTTGGTCCGAATATCAGAGTCGGCAGTCGGATGCGGAGATGCTAAGATTGTCGAAGGAGGCTAGTGTTCTAGCAATGATGCCTTGCGGGACGAAAAGGGGGGATTTTCCAAAGGGGAAGCTGTAAATAGCTTCAACCTGCTGCCTTATCAAATCCTCTAGTGATGGTTACTTATCGATAGATACACGGCTATAGGAGATGGCCTCATGGGGAAAGCCAGAAGCTTCTGTTCAGGGTGTTGATGACCATGCCGCATCATCATAGTAATCCGTGGCTTCAACATTACTCAACTCTCATATGGCTCACATGTGAACATGCTCTTAATCTTTAGTGATAGTCGAGCTCACCGTGGGTGGACAGGCTCGTCTCCAATTTCCTCCATCTTCAGTTCAAGTAGGGAAGTCATTTGTTTCACCACATCACTATACTTATCCTCATGGTAGCAGTTGAACAGTTCCAACGGATCCTCATCCAGATCAAACAATTCCCACTCTTTCTCCTCACCACCCAGCCTAGCGCCCTCAATACCAAAGCTCTCGTTGTACCAATAGATTAACTTATACCGCTTATCTCTGACAGCATAGTGTGCATGCGCATCATGGATAATGTCGCGATGCATCCAGTATCGATGATAGGCAACCTGTTGCCACTCCGCTGGGGTCTTCTGCTGTACCAACGGTCTGAAACTGACACCCTGCATATACGTCGGCAGGCGCACTTTCGCGAAATCTAGCCACGTTGGCGCGAAGTCAACGTTGCAGATGATATCATTGCAGACACTTCCAGCGGGGATTTCCCGCGGGTACTTGATGAGGAAGGGCATGTTAAAGCTGTTTTCGTAAACGAGGCGCTTATCGAACCAGCCATGTTCGCCAAGGAAGAACCCTTGGTCAGATGTATAGATGACGATAGTGTTCTCAGAAAGACCCTCAGCATCAAGATAGTCTAGCATCCGACCCACGTTATCATCGACGCTTTGGATCGTGCGCAGGTAGCGCTGCATGTAGCGCTGAAACTTGAACTCGGCGAGCTCTTGGCGCGTTTGGAAGTTGAACACAATTCCATCTTCTTTGTCAATCAATTTGAGTGTTGTTACGTCCTCAGGGTCAGGAATTTTTCGTTCCTGCGACCACCACTCATCGACCATTTTCTCTCCGACTATATGAGCGGGCCCGTCTGGTTGTGCGAGTCCAAGATCAAAGTAGGTCAAGTCCTGTGCCACGCGCATCTTCGAAGCCGCAGCCGATTTAGCGCGATTTTTATAGTCATCTGTGAATGTATCTGGCACCTTGATAGGGTCTTTGTATAAGTCCTTGTGCTTTGGATCGCATTCCCAGCTGCGGTGTGGCGCCTTGTGGTGGCACATTAGGAAAAAAGGCTTCTTAGTGTCCCGGGCTTTAATCCAGTCCAAACTTTTGTCGGTAATGATATCTGTCGCGTATCCCTTTTCGCGCACAATACCATTGGGCCCAATGAACTGCGGATCGTGATATTCGCCCTGTCCGGGGACAACTTCCCAGTAGTCGAATCCTGTCGGCTCATGTGCTTTTCCTTCCCCCAGATGCCATTTTCCAATCATGGCAGTCTGATAGCCACCCACTCGGAGGTGCTTGGCCACATTTGGCATGTGTTTGTTGATTTTGGAATCGAGGGTCATAACGCCGTTCACGTGGTTGTGAGTGCCTGTCAAGATCGCGGCACGAGAAGGGGTGCAAATACTGTTGGTGACATAACAGTGGTTGAACTTCATGCCTTCGTTGGCTATGCGATCGAGATTAGGGGTGTGGTTGATGCCGGCCCCATAGCAGGAAATTGCTTTGGAGGCATGGTCATCGGCCATGATAAAGACGATGTTTGGGCGAACGTCGGCCATGGTGCTAATAATTGGAAGGGAATGAGCTCAGCCAATTGATCATTTGAAAGGAGACACAGCCTGGAGAAAGGCCTGGAGGTATTGGGGATTATCCTTGTTTATAAACGCGTAGGGCAAAGGTCAGAAGGGTGAAACTTGTTCGGGGCCGCAGATGCATGACTTCAATTCCGAATCGCGCCACCTCATGATGCGTTGATTGGGGAGACTGGGCAGCTTCATTATGTAGCCCCTCCTTGAACAACCCCGCAATATATCATTTGCGTTGATGTGAATGGCAGAAACACGCTGAGTCGCGCCGGTACAGCAAGATCTCCCCGGCGGATCCACAAATGAACGGCAGTCGGCGGGTGTCGGTAATATGGAGAGTTAATTGGTCAGTTTTATGCCCCACATTATTGTAAAACGCGGAGTTTGAATGGAATCAACACAGATGATGAGTGACTGGGTGAGAGATATCAATTCCGCAGTCAATGATTGGAAGCATTTCTATTTTCTGAGAGCTCAAATGTCAGATAGTAAATGAGCCCGGTTTGGTCTGAGGTAATACGGTCCAATATTGACGTCCGTGATAAACACCTATGTACATCTTCCCCCGGCGCCTTGACATCAGTACTTATATATATATATTCCCCGACCAACTCACTTTTAAAATAATATATTCAAATTGAGTACTCGGTACCTATATGGTTACAGTAAGGACACATGGCATCTAAAGGTCATTCTTCGATTTACAAGGGTTGGGTGAATTGAGATAACCTTAGGAAGGTTTTGACTATTCTCATGGCTTGAGTGATATTACATACATGCCCATAATCTCCGAATTCCCAGGTGGCAAAAATACCGGGTTGAATGAGAAGTGACAGGCTACGTTGTTCTTTCCCTGGCCATTTCGTATATCATAAGTATGCCAGACGTTCTATTATTGAGAAATACGACTTCGAGGACGAATGCGAATACCTGTGGCAACGGATGATTGAGGAATTTAAAGAACACTTGCAGGAAATCTAGATCCCTGAAAGAACTGCAAGGCTTGTCGAAACGCGATACGCATTGGTACTTCGTGTTAATCGCCGTGTGATGTCACCAAATGTCCGCATGCATGATCGCGGATTACCTAAATAGGGACGCTATAGCACTTGGGTTTCCTAAATCGATCCGTTGCCCCAAACGAGTGGCACTATTCTACTTTATCTCATATTCTAGAGTCATCCATAAGAGGCAACCTGAGATCGGCAGATTTGCGTCTCACAAGGGTCAAATAATCTCGCATCATCCTCGGTTGACAGCCACGTGTTTCAGGCATTGGGAGCATGCTCAGAAACATGCAAGGTCAAATTTCCGGGCCAGAGGCAAGATATTAAGTGGCGGCGACTATTGGCAAGACTGCATGCCCTAAGCCGATCCGTTATGCAAGCGCCGAAAGAAACAAGTGACCGGGCTAAGGCCATCGACCGAATCACAGGTGAGAGAAATAATGAACTCCCGGCATGCAAGCTATCCAATCGGCTCAGGCCGAGCCGGAGTACGGAGTAAAAGAGTCTAGAATAATAATAGAAGTCGGGACCGGCAGTTCAGTCACAAGGCCTGAGGGATCGACCAGTCGATATGGCGATCTATGGGCACGTTCCTGCATGACACGGTGGGGACTGCAGGGCGTAGGCGAACCTGCGTTCATGTTCAACGGGCGTTAGACGCCTTCCACGCCTCCCAAGGGGCTGAACTAGTGATCTCGCGTTGCATTGACCACATTTAAGCGATCCAATATCAGGCATGTGATCTATATCCGATAATCGGGAGGATATTCGATATTGGGGCAGACATTAGCTTCGGCGGATGAGATATTCTTGGCTAGGCAGCTTCAGAGAGCTCCATGGTCGTGTGTCTTCCCAGCCAATCTTGTTGTCCTATGTCGGAATGTTGACATGCTCGTGTGGTCAATGTTGCCTAGACCGTGGGCCGGTGTAGGAGAGTCGTGTGCTCTCCGGTGGTCCCACGGAAGCTCTGATGTCCCACGTTCCCTGTTTTGACATGGTAAGTTGATAATTGGACAAGGTCAATGGATGGATCTCATGCCATATGGTTTAGCGTGGCATACGATCGGAGGAGGCCGTAAAAAGCGTAAAGACGTAGGCGGGAAAGTGGATGAAGCGGGGACTCCGAGTACGGAATGGGCCAATAGTGGGGCTAAATGCGGGCAATACAGTCAACTCCAGTCAATCGACTCCAGATCCCCATGTGCCTCGAGCGAGCATTATGAGTCGGGGGAAAAGTGGGGACTAAATGTAGAATGTGGAGGGTATGATTGGTTGATGATATTAGATAAGTGGGGCCGATCCTTATATAAGGTTCGCATTCAGCACGGGGTGGCACCCGAGGCTCTGATTGGTCGGTCGCCACAACTATACAGAGTTTCATTTTGGCACACGCGAGTGCCTCGTCCGCTTCGCATAATGTGGTCGCATGAGAACAAGCCATGTCTGTCTATGCCCAGGTGCCAATACTGCCAAGTTACGCCTTGAGAAGTCTTGGTGTTCTTGTGTTTTGCTTGTCTGTTATAAAGTTGATATCAAGTAGATAAATGATAATTCCATTGTCAATTGACGTTCTTCCAAGACAAAGAGGGTCTTTAACGGGCGCAACGAACCCACCTGTTCCACGTATGTTTCCAAAAGGGGGGCCGAGCCCAGAATCCAATCATTCCTGCTCGTCTCAGATTACATGCGCGTGCTGTACTGTTCTAGAAGGGATCGAATTGCCACTCGAGTATTGGTCCGGTGTTTCTTTTAGTTTTTTCCTGGATTTTTTTTTTTTATTCTCGTTTATTTTTTCGCCCCAGAACAGACATTCGTTAGCTGCATGGGTAAACATTTCAACCACTCGCGTGCCTCCAATGTCACACTCGGTCAATGCACCCGAGACGTCCCCGAATGGACCCAACCGACCCAAGCAACTAGTGCCAAAAGGGAGATTGTCCGTCTCCACTATCATCGGGAATCGTGCTCGCGTACATGCATTCTATAGGCCCTTGGGCTTACTCTGCTTCCACCTCGTGGTTCACGTTGTCTAGCGCCCTGCTGGGTCTTTTTTCCTCCTTCCCGTTGCATTGCGCGCGCCCGGGATCTCGCCCGTCGTTCTGTAAGATAAATATGCCGTGATCTGCTCCTCCTTTTTTTTTTCTCCCGTGTCGCTCTCTCCCTTCAAACCACCACCTTACTAGCAATTCCTTGCTTCTAACCCACTTGGGTTCGACATCCATTTCACAATGGAGGCCCCTAAGGAAGTTCTCTACCACTTCGAGGAGATGGAGATCCATGAGAAGGCTGCCTTCGATGAGATCATCCGCCCCGCCGACAGCTACACCCCCGATGGTCGGTACTGGGCTGATTTGCCCATTGGCGAGCGCGTCGGCTTCTGCACCAAGCAGGACCGCGAGGAGATCAAGAAAGAGTCCGCCTGGCTCTGGGACATGATCAAGACTGACCCTCTGTCGCCCATCTCCTACTACTTCCGCAACTTTGTTCTGCCCGGTGCTGGTCTTGGTCTGGAAGGGTATGTATGACATCTTGTGCAACATCAATATGCGAACAGAAACTGACAGATCTCTTCATCGCAATAGTTACGTCCTCTTCTCCATCAGCAACGTCAGCAGTCTGTTCGATGTCTCCTTCAAGGATTGCTGGAAGGACGGCAAGACTTGCGACAAGAACTGGGTCGCCGCTGTCAACTACATGGAGATCGTCGGTATCATGGTCGGTCAGGTGCTCGTTGGTTATCTCGGTGATGCGTAAGAGACCCACTCCTTGATATTGATTTCGGGAGACAATGGCTAATAGGAACTACAGTATCGGTCGTCGCTGGGGTCTGATTCAGGACGCCATCATCATGTTCGTCGGTCTTATCATGCTTACTGCCGCTTGGGGTCTTACCGAGAACGGTTGGGTTATCTGTTACATGTGGTCTCTCTTCTTCTACTCCATCGGTGTCGGTGGTGAGTACCCCATGACCGCCACCATTGGTATGGAGAACGGATACGGATCTGGCAAGGTCACCACCGCTCAGGATCGTCTTCACCGTGGTCGTACCGTCGTCGGTGCCTTCACCATGCAGGGTTGGGGACAGTTCGCCAACCAGGCTATTCTCATCCTTCTCCTGCTGATCTTCAACGGTGGTCACTCCACTGGATTCTCCGAGACTACCACCCAGTGGGTCTACCGTGTTTCCTTCGCCATCCCCGCTGCCGGTACCCTTTGGCTCGTCTACTACCGTGCCTACCACATGCGCGCTGCTAGCAAGCAGCTTGAGGCCCAGAAGAAGAAGGCTTCGGTCACCGGATACGACACCCAGTCGCTCAAGCTGACCTTCCGCTACTTCACTCCTCGTCTCATCGCCACCGCCGGTGGATGGTTCGCCAACGACGTTTTCTTCTACGGTAACAAGCTCTTCCAGAGCAACTTCATCAAGGCCATTTCCCCCAACGATGACACTGTCATGACCAGCTGGCTCTGGACCCTGGCCAACGTCGGTGTTGAGCTGGCCGGTTACTACGGTGCCATGTGGACCATTGACAACAAGCTCTACGGTCGCAAGTGGGGTCAGATCATCGGTTTCATGATGTGCTTCATCCTCTTCGTCGTTCCTTGCTTCAAGTACGACTACTACACCCAGCCCGAGAACATCCACTCTTTCCAGGCCATGTACTTCCTGTCCTCGTTCTTCAACCAGTTCGGTCCCAACTGTATTACCTTCTTGGTCGCCGCTGAGGTCTTCCCCACTCCCATCCGTGGTACCGCTCACGGTATTTCCGCTGCCTTCGGTAAACTCGGTGCCCTGATCATCGCCATCGTCGGTTCCTACACCACCACCCAGCAGCGCTTCTACATTGTGCCCTGGTTCGGTCTGTTTGGTGCCCTCGTCACCTACCTGTTCCTCCCCGATACCACCGGTCTTGATCTCCGCGAGCAGGAGCGCCGCTGGCAATACCTCCGCTCCGGTCGCGAGGCTGACTACCACGGTCCTGCCGTGCACGCCAAGCACTTGTCCATCTGGGAGCGCTGGACCGGCAAGGGCAAGTACTACGATGCTGCCCTGGACTACAAGATGAAGGTCGAGGAGTTCCGTGGTGAGTGGGAGACTGCCATGGCCTCTCGCAGCACCGAGTCCGAGACAGCCTCCGAGGACGCTTTCGATGTCGATGAGTCTGTCCTTTCCGGCTCCATTCACAAGTACTTCGAGCGCACCAGCCCGAGAATGGAGGCCATGCAGAAGGATAACATCGACCACCTGGTTCTGCCCGCCGCTGCCTCTGACGAGAAGACTCTCTCCCACGAGTAAGCGATTCAAAAGATCACCGATCATACGCAATTGCTGCACCTGGTCCCCTCCAACTTGGATATAACTGTCTCTTCTCTGTGAACATATTTCTTGGAGTGTGGACAGTGCAGTTCTTGTATAATATTAATTTACTTCCTGGATGTCTGTTTGTCGAAGGAACGTTCGAACACGGGAGATTGTACAAGGATGCCCACCATTATGCTGTTAGAATACCCTGAATACCCCGAGTTACCTCTTCTCCTTCTGTTTATATAAATTGCGCTTGGATATAGCAATGTCAAAGATTTGCTTTTCAACTTTACTTCAAATATCTCGTAGATTTCATACTATAAACTCTGAGTTCGGACCTCGACTTCGGGAGCTAAAAGGGCTATCCTGCACCTGGCACTGATTTCAGCCTAGCTTCATGCATTCCCGCAGCCACACCTTATTTATAATCAAATCGCCACACTTTGTTCTTGTCTCTATGTCCAGAATAATCCAATCTCTCAAGAAGTCTTCTCCAACCCCTCCTTCAAAGCAAGTACCAATCCATCCGCCACTTGATCTGGCACACTCAAGAAAGCAGAGTGCGACCCATCCGCATGGTGAGTCCCCGGATTTCCCAGTGTCCGAGCAAGACCTTCCTGAAGCTGCAAAGGCACAGCCTTATCCTGATCACAAAAAAGGTAAAAAGACGGCATATCATGCCAAGGTTCATAAATCGCCTTCTCATGAAAAGAAGGCTTAGCATGAGGCTTGAGTTTTGAGATCGCTGTCTTCTGAGCCTCAGGTGTCATATCATGATAGAATATAGTCTCCTCCTGAGAAGAGTAACAGTACCCATCATCCGGATCCTAGCCCGATAAGCAGTCATGACAATTAGCCCCAAATTCTCTGTTGTAATCGATAAAGCGAAGCTCTCACCTTCAACAACATCCAGGGAAGATAATCGCCTCCCAGCATATCGATCACGGACATACCCTTTGGAGCCACAAAAGCAGCCATCCAAACTACCTGAATCACACCACCAGACAAACCTGCCTGTGCCCGCTGCTTAAGACCAAGACCTTCTACCGCACCTGCGCCAACAAGGCCTCCATAAGAATGATTCACCACGACGATCTGCCGTCCCTGATCAGCCAAAGTCTGTACGACAATCTTGGTATGCGCGACATCAGCAAGCAATCCAAACGAGGTATCTGTCGCGCCACCAGAAACATTCGGAACAGCCTCCGACTCATATCCGCGCTTTGCTAGTACATCACGGACAATGTCAAAGGTGTCAGGGGTATGCCAAGCACCGGGAACAAACACAAAGATAGGACTGGAGTTCAGGTCCATCTTGACAGCCATTGTGTTGGATCAAAGTATCTAACAAAGAAGAACGAGACTCAATTAGGCCGTTCTTTCAAGTTGCGGGACAGCCCCCCTTATATAACGGACACTTAAATGAGTGGCCATATCTAGTCAAAGTAAATCCATTATTTCTTGTAGGCCAAGAGCTCCACAGACTCACCCCCGCACGGAGTATCTTCGCAATTACTCAGAGTTCCCCACTATATCGGGACGTTAGTTGTGCTATCCGAGACAATAAGTTTTCCCCAAGTTACCCCATAATATGGCCTAGAGATGCCTCGTGTATGATAGGCCAATCGACTGTCGGAGTCGATTCAGGCGGAAGCTTAAATTACTATCGGAAGCGACCGGCTGAAGCCTTCCGATCGGAAGCGTACTAAACCCCAGTCACAACTTTCAAGAGTCATGGCCATTGGGCGCGACACAATACTATCAACAGAATTTGTGAACATTTTCGTTAACAATTTATGTTTAGTGGCTGTAGACTGCTTGGCAAAGAGAGACAGACCCGCCTTTAGCTCTAAAGGAAAGGTCACTTTGGCGACAAGTCCCGGACCATCAATACTATTTCCATTTTCACTATGACTAGAGAATTCTCTATAGTGGAGATGAAAGGATTAGTAGCATAAAGGCATTACTTGTCACATTATTGGTGACAATAGTTCCCTCTAGGGCTCGTCACTAATACCACAGCCGTGTAGTGTGGCGGCGGATGTGCTCTGCTAAATTAGCCTCCGATACCTTAACGTGCTAAAAGCCACTAGGCGCAGTCACCTGTCGTACTAATGTGCCGTGCCAATAGTTACTACTATCTTACGTTAGTGCCGATCCTATCCTAATGAGTTAGTGTACCGTCCGCTTATCTAGGTGGAGGCTCCGGAGAACTCCACTGCTAGACCTGACGTGTAGATGATCAGCGAAAACATAGAGGCACAGCACCTGAATTGGAATAGAACCCGTGATCTCACATCCGGTTGGTTTTCGCGCTCATTGTGGCTTCTTTAAAGTTCATCTCTTAAGTCTCAAATATTGGTTCATGAAATCTTTGGGTCTTGATGACATAATAAGGTTGTGGCATTTGTGGTGGCGGTGGCGGATATCCATCCTTCGTGAAGTAGGTGCCGCTACTCCGAAAGGCTTAGTAAAAGGGAGAAGCAGGACCAGGGATATCCAAGGAAGTCACTAAAGACTGGCAAAATGGCGAGCTTGTGCTTGGTGTCATATAAGGCGTTTGGCCCTGTGGCACTGAAAGTTTTAGATATCTCAGCAACAAGGCTATAGGTTGCTTGGGTAATTTATTACATCTTCCGGTTGTGGTTCAAGTATGTCTTCTGTATCGGGGTTGACGGAGTCTCGGGTGGTCGGCAATCGGTCTGACTTCTACTATGGTTAGTTCACAGTTTGAAAATTCCACCGGATTTAGCGGATAACGAATTTTTGCCTTCTAAACTCAATTCATTTACAATCAGGAAAATATGATGAAATTGAAACTTTAAAATCTGAAATTGGGTTTCTGTCTATATACAGGTGACAGGTCTATAACGTCTATATCTATATGCATATATAGAACAATCTTTTGTGATGACCAAATGGGGCATAGCCAGCATGCGACAATGAACATAAGAGGAATGTAGAATATAATCCAGTCTTAAATGGTCCTGACCCAAGCAGGATATGAAATGAAAGTATAAACACAGTAAAATGACACTTAGCCCAGAGTCAGAACGTACTGGGCGCTGGTGGAGCACGAGTTGGTGTCGGTGTCATCAGGTTGCTGGTAAGAAGCAGCACAGTTGGTGTCACCAGCCTCGCAGGTAGCCGAAGAGCAGCTAGAGTCACTGGGGGTGACCGAGAAACCAGAGGTAATGAAGTCAGAGTCAGAGTCGAGGTTGATGGAGGAAAGATCCCAGTAAAGAGTCTCACCCTCCTCGGTGTACTCGAACTGAAGGACGCTGTCCTCGCTGGTGGAGGTGGACATCTTGATGGAGATACCGCCGCCGTTGGGGTTAATCTGCCAGTTCTCGCTGTAGGTGCCGCCACCGGTGCTGAGGGTCTGCATGTCACCGGAGCTGGATGAAGTGCTCCAGACGTAGACATCTGTGTCCAGGTTGTTGACGATCTGGACGCTGCCGGAGCTCGACGAAGTGGAGCTGGCGCTGGTGCTAGTCGAGGTGGAGGTAGCATCGCGGGCCACGTTGTTGGGGCGGGGCATGGCGGCAGCAGTGACAGCAAGGATGCTGGTGACAAGAACGTTGGAGAAGTACATCTTGAAAAAGATTGGAATGGAAAGTCTTCAAATGAACCGAAGTGAATGTCTTCAAAGAGAGAAGAAGTGACTGTCTGTGACCGAAGGGCCGTCTGTTCAACAGAAGACAAGAGAATGTACGTGTCAAAAGACACAAAAAAAACAAAGAATAGAGAAAGAGAGAGTGTGAAAGACTGGTCTGGTTGGGGAACAGAACACAACTGAGGGGGACATGAGGCCCTATTTATCCTCCATGGTGGAGCCGGCAATGGCTGGAAACCGATGAAAATCCAAAAAGTTTGGGGATAAAGAAAATGGAGCCTCCGGAACAACGGTTGAGCAATAAGGTTATTTTGAGTGGATCTCGCGTGGAAGCCAAGGCGTTCTCGGCCATTTTGTCATCGTCTGACGTGGTGACCCTATACTTCAGAGTTCTAGAATTGTTCTCCAACCGTTCTCTGGGCTTCAACGGTACGACTTCCTGTTCGTCTAGAGCGGGGGCGACTTTGACATAAGCTGGTCCATTGGAAGACCTTTGGTTCGCCTACGAAGGGTTCGCCTCTCTTCACGCCGCTACCAAAGTATTCAGGCGGCAACTTTTTCCCGCGGTACCTGGCCTCGGGATTCAGAATTCTGAGAAGAAACTTCTCGAATTTGGGGTTCTCGAATGAGCTACTGTTTTTGGTCGGGTACCTTTTGCCCGGATCCCTTTCAAGCTGAGGGATTTCCAAGGTTCCAACTTCGAAAGAAAGAAAGAGAAGGCTCTCGGACGACTGGAAATTTTGGTCCAGAAGGTACAGTCTCTTCGAACCATTGGATCAGGACGGTCCCCCATAGTTTTCATACCCTCCATCGATGAAATTGGCCTGGCGGATCAAACTGTGGACTGCCAGATGGCTGTGGCGATGCAGACCCTGATCATATGGTGGCAAAGGGTAGCAAAGTTCTTTGTAAATCGAACCGGGTCCATCGCTCGACAGATCTACCAGATATTGCATGTCTTGGATAATCTTCTCGGCGGACGCAGAGTTTGCAAAGTATCGCCGCAGGACAGTCAATGCCACATTTGCGCTTTTGATTGCACTATTTAGTTCGATTGTCACATCCAGATCTGGGGCACAGGGGAGAAACATTGTCAAGCGGGTCGCATGGTATGCGCATACTGCAACGTAGGGTGGGAGTAAGGCTGGGGGTGGGGACAGGTCTAGAACCCCACGGATGATGCAATTAATGTTCTGAACATGCTCTTGGCATTTTTCCACGGCTTGTACCTTGAGGCTGGGCTCGATGGAATCTGTGATTATTTTGGGGGCGGCGCCATTGTACTCAGCAAGGAACAACCGGTACAGGTCACAATGTGCCTGGTGCCAGGTAATCGAAATCTGGAGATAGCGCACAAACCAGCGCGAGTTGGCCATCTGAGCTACGCAGGTGGGGGTTGCAACCTGGTATTGAAAGGAAAGCTCGACGTCTGCTTGGAGTCTCCACAGGTCGTTCTGGATCTCCTGGACAAGCCCACTTAATTGCGCGAGTGGCTGTTCCGAAAGGGCGAGTTGCCGCGTAAGCCGCATGATATCCTTTGAAATCTTGGAAATTCGAATGCAAGCTGAGAATAGATTGCAGCCTGGTGATGGATCTCTGTCCAGCCATGGTGAGTGTGTGCTCGTTGTAAATGTGGGCCGACCGTCGCGAAATGCGTTTTCGGAACTTGGGAGTCTTTGGTAGATGACAGCATGTGGAATTGTTTCATATTCCGGGAGGCCCACAGAGAACGAGCCGTCAATGGAACTGAGAGCCCAGAGAACTCGTCGACGTATCTCTTGGGCTATGAAGCTTAGCTCAGGCCGCTCGTGGTTCAATCGCAAGGCAGTTGCCCCTCTAGCGGCTAGTCCGGCAAGCATGTAAGCCCTTGAGAACCGACCGATTTGTATATAGTAATGAATCACGAGAAGAAGGCATTGCAAGCAAACAATATTTGGGCTCTCCAGCTGATTCCAAATGTCCATTTCCACTTTACAAATCCAACGATATGTCTTGTCCAAAGGGCCTGGGCTTGGTGATAAGACTTCTTTAGCCACAGCAGCGATTGACAGTCCCAAATTCCGATCAAGCGTGCTCTTTATAAATTGCTGCTGAATTGAGAATTCATGCAAAAAGGCATATGTCGGGATTGGGTACAAGTATTGGAAATAATCATTGATGCTCTGCTCCAGTTCATCTCGTTGGACAAGAGAATCCGTCCTATTTGGTCGGTCAGCGGCCGCTGTCAAATATGGGAAGCCTTTGAGAGACTTGCGCTGATTCTTCGAGTTCATCAGATTGAAACTTGCCAGGTTCAGAAAGCCCCTCGTATGTTTGGTCGTGACGAGGACCCGATCTTGGGTACCGGCATCTTCTTTGGCGTCGCTTGCACTTTGCACATTCGGGGAACTCCCCTGAACATCGCGCCTTTTCACGATGACAATCCACACATGCTTGGTTTGCCCGAAGGCGCTCGGGATGTTCTACGGGTCTGTGATCTGCCTGTGCATTCACAGGTCCAATCTGCTTTTGAAAAGAGCAGGAAAATTGCAACCGCTCACAATTCCCACATTTGTCTTGCTGACGGTCACAGCGAACCTATCATCTTTGCCTTAGTTCCATCATATTTGTGTCGATAAGTAGTGGTGGCAGATGCTAGCTAGGGACATACCTTTCGGCATCGGCATTGAAAGCATGGAGGTTGCTGGACACGGCCCATAAGGAGGTACCCAATGAGGGCCAAGCTCTCAATGTGTTACAATCCATACATAGAATGATTTGTAGGTAGCTGAAGTATGGAATCTCCGTGGATGGTTGTATGAGTGAGCGAATAAAGTGTCGAACACTTGTTGAGGTCAGATAAATTGATGCTGTTTGACGGCAAAACTACGGCAACTCATTTTGCGGGGTCAGATGCTATCCGTCACTGAATCACACCATTTAGACCATCTTCTCACACTAATTGTATATTCGGTTCAAAATTTTGCTGTTATTAACACGCATTCCGAGATGTTTATCCTGCTTGACTAAAGACTAAGATGATTGAATTTTCAAGGTTGGATGATGCACTTGCGCGTCTCTTGTTACATTACGGGTATATATTTTGCCATCAGAGGTCGGTTTCATGATACTCGGTGTTGATCAAATGTCATCTAGAGTTTGCAGGAAAACACGTCACATTCATGAATAATTGAGCGTAGTTGCGACTATGTGTGGCAGAAACATTGCATGATCTACATCAGGTAATCGGATCAAGTTGTCATAACCGAGGTAAAGCACCAGGAGCGATGGTGGTCCACGGGTCAGGTGCCTGTGATATCGACGATCGATGGCAAGGTGAAGGTGACTAGGATGGAATATCCTTTGAAACAAGATTTACCATCATACCATGTTTTGACCATCGATTTCAATCATGTCTACATCACCATTTACTATTCCCCGCCGGTGATAGGCCTTCGGAGCACGGATTATATTCTAGTCCGGACCCCACCCAGCAGCTTTCCTTCGCCATTAAGAGTAAAAAGTCACGATCAGCCAGTTTGTCCCCTGATGCCTTCGCCTCTCGCCTTCATCCTTATGAATCCGCCATCATGAAATTCTTCGAGAACAAATCTACCTACGACTATTCTTTCCCTGCTGTCTCTCTCGCCTACTTCCTCCGCTATCCCAACCCCTACTCCCGCCATGTCCTCACCACCGACGTGATCGATCGCTATGTCGATCCCAGCACCCAACGCCTTCATACCACTCGACTCCATCTGAAAAAGTCCAAAATTCCGGCCGGAATCCTGAAATTATTGCCCAAGGGAATGGGTGGCTCGGACAATTCCGGCCAGAGCTACATCCTCGAGACCACTATCGTGGATCCGCGGGAAGGCTGGATGGAGACCGAATCACGCAACATGGAATGGACCGGCATCCTCAGCGTCGTGGAAAAACAGCGATACCAGCGCCTCCACGCTGATAATGATGTTCGCGCCCTTGATGGTCTCTCCATCGATCAGCGAGCCGAACAGACCACCGTGCGCACCACTGTGACATTCAAGTCTCGACTCGGACAGGGCAAATTGCTTGGCAGGAAGAAAGCGGATCACACCGAGGGGGAGGATGAAGCACCTAAGAAGGGATTTTTCTCCTCTCTGTCCACTGCTGGTATCCAGCGGACCATCGAGTTGATCGGCGTGAGTCGTACTCGAGATGCCGTGCTGAAAAGCAAGGAGGGAATGAATGTCGTCCTGGAACGCCTGCGCAGTGGTGGTATTGTCGGTGTTCTGGAAGGTATGCGACGAGACCGCGAGGCATTGGGACTCGATAAGGCCTTGGCGCGTGTGTAGCTGCCCCCAAACCGCCTCCCAAAGATCAGGCTCATTGCGGCCATGACGAGAATTAGGCTACCAACTCTTGGCAGCTTCGTTGTTTCAATTGAAACATCTCCTTGCATCTTCTTCTTTGATTTTCCAGCGTGGAGTTACGGCGTTATGGGCATCGATGGACACTCTCCCATGACAATTTTGATTTTGTGACTGATTCGAAAACGAAAACCACTGTACATGGCCACCAAGCTTGGAAGGCCTGCATATTCCAAGCATCTGCTTTAAAGCGTTGTATCATAGGGGAAACTGGAGGGCGGAATGCCACTATCAAGTGTATCTGTACTATATATTAACTTGTTGATTATGGACTTTAATATCAACTTTTTTTTGCTTTGATGGATATACTAGTATCTTTTCCAGCACTTCGGAAACGATCAACCGTTTTTCAGTCTCCTGGGGCTCAGATCCCATCGCGGGCGGAGAGGCGGAGACGCCGGTGATCTGTTCCGATGGAAGGAACGCGTCCCAGAATGGAAGGCATCAACAGTGCCCTCGCTTCATCGGGCACTTTATCGGCCCTTCTCCCGCTCCAACCTCATTCCCAGCTCATATTAGCGCCATATCTACAAAGTCCATGTGAACCAGACCCACTCTGGGGGAAGCCAACAAGGAAGGCATGATCTTGCTTGCACAAACATGAGTCTACGCGCCAAACGCCCTAGGTAGGTTGTTACTGCACATTCGTGAGAAATATCTCGGCGCTACTTGAGCCAGACTAATAGAACACGGTCTACAGAATGAGCACGGATGAAGCAGGAACAGAAAATGAGGGCGATGACTTCGCGGAGCTCCCAGACCAGCATGCTCTCCTCACTCATCACGACCTCCCTTTCGTATTGCCGATCCCGAAGGCAGGTGAGAGCCTGGAAGTCACCGCAAAAAAGCTTCGCAGCATAGCCGATGCAATCCGCAGTGGGGGAAGCTTATCTTTGACGAAAATGGACCCTACTCAACCTCCGCTCAGCAACGCAGAAGCTCACGCCATTGAACGAATGAAAGAAGTCGAACTGGAGCAGTACGAGAAGTGGAAACAGGGAAATTTCCAATTGCCCAGCATCATTTGGGACCGGCACCGCTCGTACGTGGACGAGCCCGGCATGAAGACGTTCTCCCTGCGCGCCGCGGCGATGAATACCATCTGGAATGTTCAATGTGCAGTGCCAGAGAACGCAGTCTGGGCGAGCCTCAATCTACCCACCGTGCTGCCGCTGATGAAGGCTGTCACGAAGCTCTTGACGATTCAAATGTCCGAAACCCCCAGTCTGAGTGAAAGCGAGATTGCTGAGATTCAAACCCTCCAACTCATTGCTGTCTCGGCGGACGGAAACATTGCACGAGAACGAGAGCGGGTACGCCAGTTAGTCAGCTCTATCACTGAGTCGCAAGCGGTGCTCAGGGAGAGGAGTAATAGGCTAAAGAGCTCTGCAAAGTAGTACGGCTTTCAATATGTGCCTGGGTTTATATTTTTCCTACTTTGTGGCGCCCGATACGAGGACATGATTACGCAGGAGACGAACGAATCAACGAATTAGTCAGATAAACATGTGCGAATCTCAATATTGATCAATTCCTAGTTCGCTCATATTTGGCCTTGCCCTTTTTTTCGGTGAGCATGACCGGGTCGCTGATACGAGATCGGTGAATAGGTTCACCAAAAATCTGCTCGCCAAGGGTTTCAAGTATCGGCTTGATCCAGTTAGTTGAACTCGCGATTCCCTTTGTGTCCATTAGATCCCGAAGACCCGCTCGCCAATAAGACACCGCATGTCCCAGCCCAATCTATGACGCAGTCCGATATGCGCAAAGCCTCCTGTCGGAATGCCCCGAATCATCTTACGTCAGAGGATTTGCGAGAGTCCATGGAGACCCTGAATGGATTGACAGGAGATCATCATCTCAGATCTGATACTTGGTATCCGCTCGAGGAAAATATCGGGTTGCTACAGACCACACTATGCACCAGAGCAACCCTGGTGTGACCATGTCCATGCCAAGATAGCCGGACTCCGTAGTAATGTTTGGGGCGAAGGGAAAAGAAAAAGAGAAAAGAAAAAAAATTGAGAAATTTCGAGAGTTAGATTTTGCCCAGTCATATTCCCGAGGTGGGCCATATTAACCTTGATGCTAATCTTGTTTCATTTTCCACTCTCTATGCCGATAACCACAAAAAACCCTACAGATCTATTCTTGGTCTAACGCGAGACGAAGCGCAGTCTAGACAGGGTTCAATAGCGCCACTAAGAGGAAGGGGGGTTGGGGCCACAACAAGGGTCCTAGGCCACCACCAAATGGACGACCTAGCGAGATAATGCGGACCCACAGCACGACTGTGAATGGATGGACCCTGCTGAGCTCTGCAACCCTGACTTACGATCGCCGCCAGTATTTGCCTCTTTTGTGTGCAATGCGGGGACTGGAACTTGGCGTGTTCGCTGTGCCCAGAGATTCCGGCTCAGTTATGTTAACCTATCGGTGACTTACGTTCCTGTGTTCCGCAAGACCCTGCAGCAAGTATCCCCGAGGTACTCCTTCGTGGAATGCTCGGGGTTATTTATTTCTCTTAGCCTGCGTTACCCTGCGTTGAACGAGGCTCTGGGGAGTTTTTTTCTCTCTTTCCTTTCTCGCTGGAAGCTCGAATTCCCTGGGTTCTTCTCTTATCCATCTTGGCAAAGACCCTTTTTTTTTCTTCGTTCCGGAGCCACCGACTCCGCAGGCTAGATTCCATTGGCCTTTATTGATCCGGCGATTAGGGACAGGGTCAAATATCCGCCTAAAAATCCCCTGCGGGGGCTATTTTCCCTGAAAAAGTGATCCTCTTACGGACTAATCTGTTTTATGACCCGTGCAATTATCATTTGATGATTTTCCTCTTTCTTTCTCTGTCATAACTCAACCGCCGCCCGCTTTGCCTTCCCCCCGACCGTTTGAAGACGATGACCCTGGAAATCGCTGCCCGGGCCAATCACTCGTCATTCTGCATTTAGAGGGCCTTCACGGTCGCTCTCGAGGACCCGATCCTCCCTTTCTCCACCGCGATGTCCTCCTGCCGAGGGTTTGGCCACCTGCGGCCCTGGGTCCTGTTGGTCGCATTCACCCTACTACAATGCGGCTCGGCCCAATTCTGTTCCTTTTGGAATAACGGCTGTATCGACCCGCTGGCCCAGACCGCGGTGGCGTTCAGCTTCCCACCTCTATTCCTCGACCCAATTACCTTGTTTTACTCCTTCGACTCCAGCTCATCCGGCAAAGGCGAGGGCCCTATGACCAAGACGGCATTCTGGCTCGGATATCAGGATCATAACATTAACCCTCAAGTCGTCGACACGAACCGTACCTCCGAGATTGCTTTACGAGTAGGAAACATGACAGGCACACCAACAGGACCAAATAATGGATGCGATGGTATCTGGGGTGGACGTTGTTCTCACGATATCAAGACTTCGTTGCAAGCGACCATGTTTCAACTTGCGACATCGGGCGATTATTATAACCAACCATTAGCGACAGCTCTGGATCAATTCATGATGACTCCACCAGAGCTACCCTCTTGCGGTGCACCCGTATTCGATGTCGCCGCCATTCCTGTACAAGGTATGTCTTGATCTGTCTATGTCATCGCCGAACTATTCACTAATCCTTCGCTATTAGACTTTGCGTATGAGCAGGCTCCCTCTCAAGAGGTCACCGTAATGAAGCCTGGATCAAGTCATCACCCTTGGCAGGTGTGGTACCTTGATCGCATGACTGATATCCAACAAGCCTCGCAGGTCGCGGTTGGGATTGTCAGTCGTTCTCCCAGCTTTGATAGCCATCCGCCGCTCAGCCCCGATGATATCCAAATCGAGCTCGTCTGTCTTCAGGCACCCCAAGGCCCACCCACAGGATCAGGTTCTTCTGAGGACCACGATTGAGATTGATCTGGTCGGACCGTTGTTTTCAGACCGTCCATCAGTAACTTTTCTCTTCTAGTCGACTTGATTGTCGTTGCCGGTGGTTTTGAGCCCGGTACGAGGGTTTCTTTAGTGGCCTAATAATTGGTGAACGATGCATGCCCAGAAGTCCTAAGTCTGAAACGTACCCGGTTTCCACCATCTCTTCCCTACGACTTGTGACGTCTCATGTACTCCAGGTTTGATTACTCCTGCTGGAACCGCAGGCTATGTACAGTCATCCCTGCAGAACACGTCCTGTCATTCCGGGACATGACCACAAAGTCTTGGCCCATGCCACCACTGGCCATTCCTGCATCGCGACGTGGCCACATCCCACCACTCGCTCACAGAGTAGGCCAGCTATTGTCCGCCGGCTTGAGATCACCCGGACCCCGGAAATCCTCCAAGATATCCGCCTGCTCGCTCAATATATGACGGTCGGTCTGGATACCCAGCTTTGCCAAGCCACGCCACCTCTCCAAGTCTTTCGGATTCCGCTTATCGCCGTGGGCGTCCTCTGCCTTTTCCCAATGGCCCTTGGAGAAGCCAAGCAAGGTGGTGATCTTCCGTCGCGGAATATCGTATACCAGCGAGCATATGGTTCCCGTCTCTTCCAACCAGTTGCACTGCCACAATTCACCTGGTCGAATGCATTGGTAGTCGGCCGCTTGGAAGTTGATGCGACCTGCCATCGGCCCGCCATGGATAGCATAGTTGATACGATCCTCGTTTTGGAACCACATCTCATACCGCCATTTCTCCGGATTACCGTGCTCATCTTGTGCTGCGTAATCGTAGATCAGATGCCGGTCGCGCAAATCGGCATTGAAGGTCGATCCTTCCAGTGAAGGATGAACGGGCATACTGGATAGGAATCACCCGATTTAAGTGGTTCAGGAATAGTTTTGGGAGTTAATAAATAATAATATGAAAAAAATCTTCACAGATCCCCTGAACACTGGACTTGTTAAGTATCCATTCATATGCTTTCTCTCGCGGTAGATCTCTTTGATGTTCTTCTACCGAGTGACGTTCTTGGGCCACTTAATTCAATCCGGTCCTTGGAAACCTAGTTCGGATCTTGCGCGTCATCGACTTCCAAGTCCGGGGGATGCAATACGTAAAGATGTGCTGTTTCAATACAAATTATGCCACTCCTAGTAGACGGAACGGCACATCTGACCATGATCTGGGGCAATTACTTTCAACTAAGGTCTAGCAACGGCGGTAACCTTATCAGGAACGCGCTGTGTGGCCGAGGAACACCGAAAAGGCCGGTGTTCTTGAATTCCAAGGTCTCATCAAAAGTATCCACAACTGTTCGCAAGTTCCATCTAAAAAAGCGACCAATTACCTAACAGCTCATCCCATAGTTAAGTTAGCGACTTTTCGACTCTCGCCGCGCCTACCCTGACTTTCACACCACACAAGCACAATGTCTTTTCCATTCTAGATAATTGAGCATGTGATCCCCGGTTAACACATCAGATATATCCTACAAAGTACCGGGGGGAAACAAGAACATCACCACCAAACACTACGTCCCCATCGACCGCCTCACTCCGGTCCCAAATACCGCTATTACCGTCATCAAGGAAGGGATGCGTAGGTAATCCCATGCTTGCACGTGAATGGACTCACTCGGACTATAAGTAACAAAACTACAGTAGGCTTTGATATGGATAATATCGATACCTAGTATGTGAACCATTTGACTTTTGGACGGACATGTATATCCACGGATATTTCTCGAAAGTGGGCCTCTAACTACTTATACGTATCTTTCGGAAGTTACCGTACCTGCCTAGAGAGCTGCGCCCGAGGTCAGTTGTTTCCTCCTGTTGATATATTTCTCTCTCTCTCTCTCCCCCCCCCCACTTAGCTCATTCCACAATCTTCTCGATTCCGTCATCCATCTTCCTCTCACAGTACGAAGCATAAAATACTCTTAGTAACTTTGCTTTCTACATCAAAAAGCTAGCTCAAATTACCAAAAAAAATACTCCTGTGAAGAATTTCGCAATTTTCGCAATTTTCCATTAAGATTCCAATATTTCCAAGCTCACTGTAAGAACTAACGTTTCTCACCTCAATTTCTTCATTGTTGTATTATACTACAGACCAATTGAATTGTCGCATAATTATAGCCTGGCATTTCAGGACCACGTAATAACGTAATAGCAGTATCGAAGGTGGTCAAATGAACCAACCGGGACAGAGTTGCGAATTGAGCTAATGATCGCTATAGCACGCCCTACCCTGTCTTGGTTTCCCTATCTGATACCCTATTTTAAGTATACAACGAGCACAAGCGCCCTTTTCCTTATCTTCCCTCTTCGCGGAGCGCAATATCATGCATGTCTATGTACACATGTGCCAAATCCCTCCAGATGCTTCTCTTACCCCTCTTCCCTCTTCACCCTCAACTCTCCAGAAGTGGCCCTAAATATTTCCAACTCCAGGGGACCAGTTAAAATAGTCATAGGCATATCCGTACTTTGTTCCAATTTCGACGCATCCGCTTCCACCATCCCCGACAGAAAGGCTCTTAGCACCTGGGCACGTGGTAGCTGGTGATCCGGAGCAAGACCAGAAGGCCAGGCTAAGAATGTCACCGCATGTCCAGTAGGCCGACCCAACATAGGTGTTCCAAGTGCAACGGCCGCTTGCTGTGTCATCGGGAATACAGGAAGCGATTGCGGTGCCTGCACATTTCGCTCCTGAGTGAAACTTTATATTGCACTGCTCGGCGGCAACGAGGTTTGGTACCACAAGAGTTGCGGCGAGGCAGACAAGCACAGACGTTCCAGCTGATTGAGAGAACATCCTATGATGGTTGTTAGCTCGATGGAGTGGCTCAGGACTGATTTGGCTGGTACCAACTTGGTAGTCTGAGGTTGAATTGTGAAGAATGGCACCGTATATGTAGTTGGAGAGGAGTGTCCGCCGTGTGCAAGCAGGAGGCTAATCAGAGGATTTTGGAAGTCTGGATTCTCAAAAACCTGGCAATTGAGTGTGTATTTATACTTGAGCGTATCGCCCACGTGCGCTATACAGGCCTTGCCTTTGGTTTTTCAGTTGTGAGAACTGCATTGATAGCGGGAAAATCTATGGGGGCCAAAATATTAGCGCGCCACGGGCCGCCTCGGGAGCCAATGATCGAGGGTGCACATATAGAGCATCTCGCACTAGCGTCCGTATGGGCTGATCAAGACGCTGTCTAGGGAACTCCTAGCAGTTCGCGCCATGAATTTTTGCTTAGTCCAGTGCCCACATGTCCTCCCCTTTGATCTACTACCTGGTCAAATCATTAAGAGGGTGGGTCCTCAATCCGCCTCCGTTCTTTGACCTTATCTGCCCATGGCAATCCTTGGCGATCAAGAGCTTGATTTGCAAATTTGGATCCAATCGGTCAATTTGACCCGATTCTGTACCACCTTTATGGGAGTGTTTGACCGTTTTTCTACCGCATTTCCGTTGTCCTGTACCTTCTGTCGGATTGAGATGCGCGTGTGGTGAATGTTGCCTAGACCGTGGGCCGCCTTGACACTGTACACACATCTGGCTTAGACAACATCTCATTCCCGCGCTGCTAGGCATGGATGCACAGTGGAACCAAGGTACACATCGCTAACCAAAAACGACTAGGAAGATCTAAATTTCATCTTCGGTGAAAGGTTTGAAAATTCCCGATCATAGTATACTATAAGGGTAAGTATTGAGGTAGATCTGGAAGCTCGCTATCTAGCATGTTGGTTCTTGGATCCGGTTTATCATCAGCATTAGGATCTCAGAATAAAATGAGATCTCGTGTGTATCAAGCAAAGAATTTAGAATAAAAAAAGACTCTCTCGAATTGATTCGTCTACTCCATACTCCGTACCTTAAGGGGGAGATGTATACCCATGCTTATGACGTAAGAGTACGGGACTCGGGCTAAGTGTATCTAGTGTTTGGATCTATTCTGCCTCAGACTCAAGGAGAAATGTGAGTTCATTCATAAGGACGTGTCAGGAAACTCAAGGATTACGGATAAATCAAGCTTAAGGTCTGCAATCGATTCTTAATGACAGGAATGAATAGCCTGTTGAGGAAGACCAAGATAGGCCACTTCTAGCTAGTAAATATTTCAAAGTGGGTCTCGAACTAGTGAATTTGGAGCTGTAAGGATCAAAACATCTGCTATGAGGTTAATTTGAAAGTGGCTGGGAAGGTGGCTGGGTAAGATGTTTGGAATGACAAGAGACTTTGAGCAGAAACATAAACACCAGAGAAATAAATCAAATCAATATAAGAGTCGCTGTCATCAAATTCATCAGCCAAGTTCAAACAGGCAATTGCAGGATTGGTGTCGGCCACTCCCCTCCCCACGTGGTTCTGATGAACTCATGTTTACTTTTCACCTTTTCAATCCTCTTTCTTCACAACCTCCCGTTCAATCTTGTGTGATCTTGCAGCCTTTTCACTATGCTGCAAGCCTTCATTGGGATGTTTACCCTGGTGAACAACACGGCGTCCTTCCCTGGGGAGGCGTCGTACGTCGCAGCACCCGGATTCCCGACTTCTGCTTTCGCGTATGATACCACTGAAGTCCTTATCGGTGCAATACTAATGCGCTGACAGATCATACTATGACTCGCCAGCCCTGCCAACTAAAGAGCCTCAGCCTATTATCTACGACCCAATCTTGGACTACACCTTCCCGTTTGAGTTGACTAACCCTGATGCCATTCCTGCGGGTAATGATGAGCTGCTCTTTCCCCCATCTCTGGCAAATTTGTCACCAGTTGAGGAGCATGCTTTCATCCAAGCCGTGGTTATTAATGTGACCAAAGTCATCAAGAATAACACTATTGAAAGCCAATGCAACAGATGCAAGAGGGCACTTGCGGCAGCCAAACCTGCTGCTCTGTTTACTCCAACAATGGCTCCTAAGGCCATGGTCAGCTTGTGCCAGACGTTCAAATTTGCCTCTAATAAGACGTGTGAAGAGCAGTACTCTGCTCATGCGATGGGCACCATCTGGACCCAGGTCTTGGCGTATGCAGACGTCGAAGGTCTTGATGGTCAGTACATATGCCATGCACTCAAGAAGAGCTTCTGTCCTCAGCCCAATACTCGTCCACTTGATACATCTGACTGGTTCTCCAAGCCCAAGCCTGCCAATGCCCATGCCCCGAAGGCGAGTGGGAAACGGGTGAAGGTGCTCCATATGTCGGATTTCCACCTGGATGCGCGATATGCCGTCAGCTCCGAGGCAAATTGCTCATCATATTTGTGCTGTCGCAGTGACAACTACAATGAGCACTCGGAGGACAAGGTACTTGTTCCTGCAACCCCTTATGGGAACTTCAGATGCGATACTCCATACGATCTTGGCCTCGCTGCTCTGCAGGCTGTGGGCCCGCTGACGGGTACGGGAAAAGATTACTGTGATGAGAACCTGGCATGGACCATTTACACGGGAGATCTGCAATCGCATGACCCGGAACTACAGATCTCTCATGAATATCTTGAATATACCGAGACCAGCATCTTTCAAATGTTCAAGGAATATCTCACTGGGCCCGTGTTTGTCACGCTAGGAAACCATGATTCGGCCCCGTCCAACATTGATTCTCCCCACAACCTCCCAGGGCGTCTGGGTGAACAGTCGAGCTGGAACTACGAACATGTAGCTCGTCTGTGGCAGCATGAGGGCTGGATCAGCAATCAGACTGCAGATGAAGCTGCAACGCACTACGGCGGTTATTCTATCAAAACCCACTACGGACTACGTATTATTTCCATCAACACTGGTATTACTTCCTTCGTGTCCTCACTTTTGAATTCGCATGTTTCTCGATAGGCTGACAAGCTCGCACAGATTTTTGGTACAGGTCGAACATCCTCAATTTTATCAACACTACCAATCCCGACAACTCAGGTATGCTGGCCTGGATGACCAATGAGCTGCAAAAGGCAGAGGATGCAGGTGAGCGGGTCTGGATCATCGGCCATGTCCTCAGTGGTTGGGATGGCTACAATCCATTGCCCGACCCAACCAACCTTTTCTATCAAATTGTGGACCGTTACTCGCCACATGTTATTGCAAATACATTCTGGGGTCACAACCACGAAGACCAATTCATGGTTTACTATGCAAACAATGGAAGCATTCAGACCGCCGACACCGCGCTCTCATCCGGGTGGGTTGCGCCCAGCGTCACACCTCTGACCAATCTTAACAGCGGGTTCCGGCTGTACGAGGTTGACACCGGCGACTTCAATATCTACGAAGCTTACACATTCTTCAGTAATGTGTCGGAATATTCTTCTCTCAGTGAGACGGGCCCGATCTTCCGGCCTGAGTACTCCACTCGTGATACATATGGTCCAGCTGCTGGGTGGGACAAGCGAGCACCTCTTAACGCTACATTTTGGCATCGTGTCACCGAAGCCATGGAGACTGATATTGGTCTGGTTACTATGCAAAATGCTCTGCAAGGAAAGCTGAGTGTCCAGAGTCCCATCTGCAACACAACGGCGTGTCAAGAGGCCAAGATCTGCTACATGCGAAGTGGCAGTGCTGGGCTGGGGTACAATTGCCCCCAAGGGTACGTCTTCATCATTTTCTGTCCTTCTGCATCAAGTCTCTGTTCAAGAAAATCGCTAACTTTTCTTCGAAGATATGGCTCCGTGCAGAGTGCTTTCACGGCGAAGTAAAGGAGCTGATTAATACTCTAACGTTCTAGTGCGACTTGCTCGAAATATCTTTACATAGCGATGCGCTGTTTACTAGCATACTCGGTGAACACGCCGTAGAATTTGAAGTTTAGTGACTAACTTTCGATCGCCGCTCATACTTTAGTCTTGTAATATTGATACCTACATCCATAGGAGATCTATCTCCTCAAACATATTTTGTTTCTTCCTCATATTCACATATTCACAACAAAGGCCTCTTGTCATTAGTTCCTCCTTATGATATGGGTCACGGTGAAGAAGACACTGATCCATTGACGCCGCCTTGATTTTATTTCTTTGACCGCTTCGAAAAACAAATCCTTCGGTAATCTGGGACGGAAAGGGTTATTCTAGTCTTGGAAGAGATGCAAGCGCTTTCCAATATTTCATTGAGAATATACTTCGTGACTCTATTCAACTCTTTGCTTAACTTATTTCGGAGTGTATAGTGGGTATGATTTAGCTTTAGGACACATTTCGTAGCCCCCAGTGGACCTCGTGAGGTGGTGTGTGAGGTGGTGTGTGAGGTTGTGTGTGAGGAATTCTCGATATCCACTCTGATATATATGTCAACTCAACCTTGGAATCTCTTGTAATGCAACAATCTGGCCACCCATTGCATGAGAGTATAGCTATAACTGTTGGAAGCCGCTATCATATGACGGGGTTGATCAGTCCACGGGTTGTATACTTGTCTCCAAAGACCGAGACAACTGCAAAGATATGGAGAGGAGGACAGAAGACAATTACAGTCGACTCTCACCCTTAGCACACTCCCGCTTATAGCACACAATTCGCTTGGATGGACCCACTTTTCTTGTTTTTACATACAAATCTCCCGCTTTAGCACTTTAGCACACTCACCTTTGCACACCCTTTTTTTGCTGAGTAGTTTACTTAGTCAGCCCGATTGACCAATCATAGTGCCCAAAAGTTACACTTTCCCCACCTTTACCAAGACCGGACACTTAGTTCTAAGTCCAGATTAAGTGGTGAGATTCAAGTTCTATATAATCAAGTAATGAGAAGCTTGGTTATAAGAATATAATACTATTTGATTAGTCCTTGGATCTAACACAGGAGGATATCATAGTTGAAGATGAGACCGATGGGTAAGATATACATATTGATATAGAGAGCTTAGAAGCATAAGATATTAAAGAAACGGGCCACTACCTAAGATATCATCTAATTCTAAGGAAATAGGTCATCTATAGGATAAATTACTATGGGCTAGAAGCAAGGAAAAGAGCACGTCAGACCATATACGTCAGGTTAAGAGCTTAATCAGCGAATTAAGCAGGATTCAGGTCGAGGAGAAGCGTTAGGAGACCTGAAGAGGATATGGGATAGAAACCCAAATAGGCAGTAGGGCTTAGGGGTAGCTGACTAATTGATTACGTCATCCTCTCACCTATTGCACACAATTTTCTATGGATAGGAGGGTGCTCAGGTGTGCAATAGGTGAAAGTTGACTGTATGAGAGGTTGTGGCACAAAACTAAACCAAGAGGTCATTAATACAGAGTAAGCTCCATATTTCAATAACTGGTTCCATAACTCAGTTGGTTAGAGTGTGGTGCTAATAACGCCAAAGTCGAGGATTCCCCTCTGGAACCATTTCTTTTTGCATATTCTTTTTTAACCTTCCTATGATTTGCAAAACTCAAAGCTTCTTTTTCTCGTACCAGACTTGTTTTATTTTCTATTTTTTACATTTGATCCATCCGGCCAAAACTTGGATCAGGCCTATCACATCGAATTGAAGCTACACACCTTTGCAAACTACACGTAACTTCAAGTATCATAATGAGCTCGTATTTTATTTAGCATACTAAATGTACGCTTTCGCCTTTGGAATGAAATGAGGCGCACATGCATACTTCCTGCTTGAAGATCCAGTTCCCATCGCCGTGTACCCGTAGAGTAAAGGGTACCCGCATTTCGGCCCTGTGGGGTTTCAACCACTGTCACCTTGGAGCATGAAGATCTTTGGACGTGCAAACTCATTTGGTCATCGACCCAAAATTACGTTGCAAGATTTACACCTGATTCTGCCCCTCTTTCAAAGCCCAATCATTCGTGGTGCCGCCAGTTCCCGAGTGCATCACTGTATGAATGCATGACGTAGCGAGTCTGGAGCTTGGCCTTTCTATATCGTCATCACCATCCTCCGGCCTATCCGTCATTTATTAACTACATCCCTTGACCACTGACCCTATTTCTTCAGATTTTCTACAGCTGTGCGATCAAACTCAGTGTAATCCCCCTTCGATATACTCGACAATCTATATTCTATCTCTCGAAATCAGCTATCATGCGGGGTATTCAGCTGGGTCTGCGCGTGTGGGAGGTATGATGCGCATTCTTGAATTTTTTTTTTTGTGAGGAAGACTGGCTAATGAAGAGCTTGTATAGTTCGTATGGACTCTCCTTATTATGTCCCTTGTCGGTAACATGATCAACGAGGCCATCGCCGGCAACCCAAGCTCGGTCAACTATACCATGTTCGTGTCGGCGTTCTCCATGTTCACCCTCTTCTATTTGATCCCGGCTTCATGGAACCCGGACTGGGCTATTCACCCAATCATCATGATCATTGTCGACGTACTCAACACCATTTTCTTCTTCTGCGCGGCCATCGCTCTGGCTGCGAAGCTGCATGTCCACTCCTGCGGCAACTTGGTATGTTAAATTCTAACAATATCCAAAAAGAAGAGCATATCCAGGAAACAGCGACTAATGTATTTGTTTGTAGTCGTACACCACCAGCAACGAAATCACCAACGGCTCCAACAACACAGGGAAGCGTTGCCGTGAAGCTCAGGCCAGTACTGCCTTCCTGTGGTTTGGCTGGGCTGGATACATGGCTTCGACTATCATCTCGGTCTTCATGTCCCGCTCGGCTACTGTGAACATGCGCGGTCGCAGCGGCAGTGCCCGCCGCCCTGCCCGGCCCAGCATGGCTCAGGTTTAAGCCGTGATTAGGAGGACCTGTTGATGACCAAAGGAAGCTTCGGGGCCTGTGTAAGTGCAAGTGTCTGATAATGGCTCTTTGCCATATCAGCCTTGTTCACGGGGCCTGGATTTTCTTACTGTGACTGATATGACGAACATGACCATGTACGGATGGACATGACTTTGACAATGGGTACTCAAGATGAAGATGTGGTATTGGTGCTTGCCGGCTTATATCTTCACCCTGATGATTCGAAAACGAAACAGATACTTATTTGGGGTCTCTTTTTTGTGTTCGAAATGGCGTACTTTGCGATGTGTTACTATGTTTAATAATACCTACCGGTTTAATATTTGAGCTTCGTACTTTACATTGGAAACACGACAAAAATCTATGGAGCTTTTTATTGAATTGAAACATAGACTTCTAGCACTGATGTCCGTCAACTGGCTGACGTACATATAGTTCTGTACGGAGAACTGCAAGTTGACTCATTCCCGGACCGTGCGCAGAACACAATTCAACTTGAACCTCCCAGAATCTCTTATTTCTCTTTTCTTAATCATCTTTCTCATCTCTTTCGATCCCTTTTCCTTGTTGTTTTCTGTTGATTAGGGCTCAGCGGGGCACGTCTGTCCCCTCTGCTCCACTCGTGAATAATTTCTCCAGAGCTCGGATCCGCCACGGGTTTCGACACCCCTTCTCCATCCCTTTTCCGTTTCCCAAGTCACCCCACCATCATGCCCATCAAGTGAGTTCTGGAACCTGTTGATGTGATTTTCATCTGTACTGACTCTCTCAGCTACCTAATTCTCCTGTCCCGCCAGGGCAAAGTGGTGCGTCTCCCTCGTGGCCCACCCTCATACCCGTCCCTCATTTAAGCCGACTGACTTTTTTTTTGTACCTCAGCGTCTGGCCAAGTGGTTTACTACTCTCTCTCCCAAGGAGAAGGCCAAGATCATCAAGGATGTGACCCAGCTGGTTCTGTCGCGTCGCACGCGCATGTGCAATTTCCTCGAATACAAAGGTGGCTTCATCCTCTATACCCCCTCTATACCTCCGAGCTCGGACTGGACCAAGGATTAACATGGATTGCCTACAGACTCCAAGGTTGTCTATCGTCGCTATGCCTCCCTCTTCTTTATCGCCGGATGTTCCTCGACCGACAACGAATTGATCAGCCTCGAGGTGGTCCACCGCTACGTCGAACAAATGGATAAATACTACGGGAATGTGTGTGAGCTGGACATCATCTTCAATTTCCAAAAGGCCTACTTCATCCTGGATGAGCTGTTACTGGCCGGAGAAATGCAAGAGAGTAGTAAGAAGAATGTGCTCCGCTGCATCAGTCAACAAGACAGCCTGGAAGATATGGAGGTGAGTTCATCCCCTGACAATTATCCTTTTCCCTTATTACCTTGAAAACCTCTCCCCTTTCTGAGTGGTCTCTTTTATGCAGCATGGACTTGCTGCATGAAACCGACTATTCTGTTTCCATCTCACCCCTTTTCCTCCCCGGCGCAATCGGGCTAATGCTCTTCTGCCCCAGGTTGAGGAAGATGTGGTCACAAAGATTATGTAGTGACCTTGGAGAGACTGTTGGGATTTGATTTTACATTGAAAGTTTATTTATAGCGTTGTGTTTTTTACTGATGAATACCAACTCTGCCGATTCAGGACGCTGAGGACGTGGCGCGCAACTTGGACCGAGTTGGTCTGTGATGATGACTGATGCCTGAACCATGGAATAGGTGCAACAGCGTGAGGTCAGTGCGTGATCTCACTGGCTTAGACCAGATCCACGTGACACCCGGTCGCAAATCCCCCTCTTACAACTCATCATCAGGTGGGAAAGGCAGCGAACATCCCATCTTTCATTCTACCCTCACCAGCAATCCCGGCATATATACTTGGGTGGTGCCTACCTGCGCTACCTACACCGCTGTTCCGACTCCTGCTTGCGGTTACCTCCGATCGGCAACCACCTCCGCCTCCGGCGCGACCATCCGCGTTATCTCCCCATCATCCCAGTCAACTCTGAATCGCCTGTGCAGGTCATAATTGTACTAGCCGTCGTCAGTTTATCTAGAAATAGCGACTGGATACCCTTATCGCCCAGTGTCTCACAATGAAGGTTCGTTGGCACTTCCCCCTTGACCTCCCCGGTCGCCACGGTGACCTGATCGGAGTCATCACTCGCCAACCCCTCACAATTCGTTCATTTATACTCAAACATCTGCATCAATAGTTTCTTCCCCTACCCGAGTTCGAGGATGTCACAGGCTCTTTGAACTTCGATACAGCCGATTGTCATATTGTTGGTGCATGCGACCTGTACACCACAAAGGCTGCCCGATCCGACCGGAAACTGTACAACCACATCGAACAGTCTCTGGAAGCCCAATACGAATCAATTCTCCGCTTGTCTGCGTCCTTATCTCCTCCTAATGCGCACGATGCCGCCGAGGCTTTAAATTTGTCGCGATCCAGCCCCTTCGGCCCCCTGAGCGAGCACTCCAGTCGTCGAACATTCGCCTACCTAATCGCGACTCTTAACGCCAGTCATCCGGACTATGATTTCTCGAATGTGCTGCGCCCGACCGATTTCCGCCGGGAGCGTCACCTCAAGCGCGTCATGAATACTGTCAACTCCACCCTTTACAACCTGCGACCCCGCGAGTCAATCGATCTTTCGCCATCATCTCCGGCGACCCTCTCCGGATCATACAACTCGGGATATCCATGGGGCCCGCGGATGTGGAGAATCATTGATGAGCATATGTCCTTAAAAGAGTGCTCGGTATACTCATATTCACCGGATGAAGACGCATCCGACTCCGATGACGGAGCGATCTGGAGTCTGCACTATTTCTTCTTCAATCCGCTGCGCAAGCGTGTCTGTTATATCCATTTGCGCGCGATCCCAATCCTCAGCCATACCCCCCAGAGGAGGGCGTTTCCACACCCACTGGCAAGCGTACGTTCGACGATGGGTACCTCACACCCGATTTGAGCTCCAGCAAGCGTACCCGCTACTGGCTTGGAACCCGGGCTGAGTCATCGCTTCGTCACAGCGAATCTGATGATGATGATGATGATTTGGGCCACCCATCGCAGCCATCGCATCCGATCTTGGATGAGGATGATCAGTACATGCTCAGCGATGAGGAGCTTCAATCTCGCTCCGGTCATAAGGGCATGGTCCGTGCAATGAGTGAGGAGATGATGGACACTATGGAAGTCTGAGCTGATTTGTTTGCAATGTTCACTCCGTTGATCGGTAGTTGTCATTTTTGGTTTTCTTTCTGGCGTTCGGATGGTTTTCGATGGACTTGGGGCGCAATTCAACCTGCATATCTCTTATCCACGAAGGGCATTGGGCAAGAGTGACATGCAAGACGCCTCCACACTGATGTTTTCTTTTTTCCAATTATTTCAATTCGTGTTAATACGCTTTAATAATATCCTATTCAACAATTGATTTAGTCCGGCTGGTGATCAGTGGTGATCAGCACTGATGAGGTTTGGTGTAGACGCATAACTGCTATATCAGTGAGACTAGATCTGATTTTGAATAGTCTGCGCAGACGTAAGATGTCAACAAGCGCTAGAGCTTGCTATCTTCCAGATAGCCCATGATGCCATAGTATACATAGTAAGTGGTCCGTGCACCTGATGGGGAAAGCTGTCCATTCTCCCCGTTCACTTCCAGTCTTCCCCACCACCTACTCCATTGCTTCCACTTGATCAATAACAATCATGGCTGACGAGGAGGAGCGCATTAAAGCTGAGAAGCTGGCTGCCGCCAAGAAAAGAGTATGTATCGTCTCATTATCCGGTGTACATCACTAACAAACAATGTTTTGCAGGTGGCCCAGCTCCAGAAACAGAAGAAAAAGGCCAATAAGAAGACCTCACCCGACACCGAAACCTCCAAAGATACAGATATATCCAAGGCAGCCGAAAATGCCTCGACCGAAGAGACTGCAGTGGCAGCAGACAGCCCACTAGCAGATGGCCCCGCCGAGGAGAAGCCGCAGGAAGATGCCATTACAGAGACCAGCACCGAGCAGCCGACCGATCCGGAGTCAGTAACAGCTGAGCCAGAAGCGCAAGAAAAGTGCGATGAGTCTATTGGGTCCCCAACCGAACCCATGCCCCCAGCGCCCGGCTCCCCAGACCCAGACGCAGAGCCACAACTCGCTCGACTGGATACTCCCCGAGCGGGCCATGGCCGCGCGCCATCCTTGTCAATCCAATCGAAGATGCGCTCGTCATCTTTCCGCAAGACTTCTGTGTCTCAAGGCAGCCACTCGCCATCTCCAATAACTCATAAATCGCCCCCGCCATCACTACCGCCCCTGACTGGTGATGGGGACTCGGTGCACGAAGTGTTTCGGAAACAGTCAATGCGGATTGAAGATTTGGAAAGGGATAACAAGCGTATGGAGAATGAGCTGACTGATGCGACAGCGCGCTGGCGAAAGACCGAGGATCAGTTAGAGGATCTTCGGGAGGCCAGCGTGGATGCGGTGGAGCTGCGAGAGAAATTGAAGAAGGCAGAGGAGAAGGCCGCTGGTATTGAGTCATTGGTATGTGTTACTGAATATGGTGATGAGCGGAAGAAGATGATATGCTAATCGCTTGCTACAGAAAGAAGAAATTGCTTCGCTACAACGACAAAACTCACAGCTCCAGTCCCGATCACACCGCAACAATTCCAGCGCTGTACCTGGACAATCAGAGTCACCCCCGGCTGACCTTGTACGCCAGCTGGAGTCTAAATCGACTACAATCGAGGCTATGGAGCTGGAGATTTCAAACTTGCGAGCTCAAATAAACTCCCAGTCATCCTCTAATAGTGCGCATGAGAACCAGCTTGCGGCCTTGGAAGAGAAGGTCTCCCAGGGCCAAATTGCACTTGAGAAGTCCCAAAGTGAGCTAGCAGACACCAAGCAAGCGTTGACGCGGGCTTCGGAGAAAGCCGTGAAAGAAGGCGTGGACAAGACGTCCACTGAGACCCTGATCAAGACTCTAGAGCGAGAAATTGAAGGCCTCAAGGACGGAAAGACCGAGGCCGACAAGAAGATAGAAACGCTGGAGAAAAAACTTCAGGCCATGGGCAACCTGCATAAAGAATCGGAGACCCGTCATCAAGCCAGGCTTCGCGAGAGCGAAAAGTCCGACAAGGAGACCGCTGTGCTTCGCAAAAAACTAGCCAGCATTGAGAACGAGAATCTTCGGCTCCGCGAAGAGCTTGATCGCATGAAGAAACGCGATGCTGGAGGAACCGACGACGATGCCTTGGATGAGCTTGAGGATGAAGAACGCCAGCGTCTTGAGCGCCGTATTCGCGAGCTGGAAGGCGAAGTCTTCGATCTCCGCCGCGGGGTCTGGGAGGAGAGACGCCATGAACTCACGGGCCAGCCTTTTTCTGACGAGAACCCTGAATACTCCGCTGGTGATGCTGCAGCCAACGCCTTTGACGACGTCGATCTTGTCGGTGGTCGTCCGGACCACGCCCGCCGCCGCAGTATGGCGTACCAGCAACAACACTCGTCTTTTTCGACTGTGCTATCAAGCGGGTTTGCGGCGTTCACAGGTGGTAATAACCCCAACCGCGCTCGCGCCGGCTCCTCTAACCCGCCTCACCCGCATGGTCCTGCAACGCGCGGCAGTCTCGAACTGCTTTCCGAGGAGAACCTGGAAGATGAGTTCGATGAAGCGGAGTTCAGACGTGCCCAAGCCGAGGAAGAAGCACGTAAACGTGTCGAATGGGTTCGTGAAATCAAGCGTAAGCTTCGCGACTGGAACTCCTGGCGCTTGGACCTGGTTGACAGTCGTGCTGGTGCCGAGGGTGCCGGTGTGGGAATGGGGGAAATCTTTGAGGTTTAGCATTTTTTTTGTGTAGGATCTTGGGCATGTGGTGGATGGACGCGGCGCTTTTTGTATGTTATATTATACCACGATCTTGTCTACCATACGGGATAACTGCAATGAAGGATTGTAAGCTATGACTACGTTCTTGATATATTGCCTGGCTATATACCATAGTATTCAATACGTAGCCATTGAAGAAAATGACAGGCCAGGATTGTGAGTCCTCGATTCTATCTCGATCGGGGTCCATTATGCCTAGGTCGCCCACGACCCCACTCTAGTATGTAGCTTGATCTAATGAAAGACGCCAACATGATCTAGCTAATCTTGCCTGTCGCTCAGAGTGGTCTATTTCGACAGATAAGTTTTACATTGAAGAGGCTCAGTGTACCCACCGCGTGTTCAAGCCATGTGGACGCTTTCCTCGGTTACCCCGTATTCCCCCGCAGTTCACAACATATAAGGTTGCATGTACTTCCAAAGCCGCATGATCAAGTGTCAAGATACAGCCCACAATCTTACAGCCATTTCCATCCAGTATTTTCCAGAATGCAGTCCCAGATTTCGAAAAATTTCAATACGAACTTCCCCGACCTCCCACCCTTTCCCACCGACATACCCACCGCTCCTCTCCTTCGGCTGTCCCTCGGCAAGCTACTAGCAGGAGATAAATTAGAACTGGACCGCCTTTTCGAAGCATCTGTGGAAATTGGATTCTTCTACTTAGACTTCCAAGATTCTCAGCTCGGATCTTCCCTACTCCAAGATGTCGACAAGTTGTTTGGGGTAGGCAAAGAGCTGTTCGAACTCTGCTTAGAAGAGAAGAACAAGTATGACTTTAGCAAGCAGAACTCATACTTTGGGTATAAAGCGCAAGGTGTAGCGGTCGTGGACAAGGAGGGGAATTTGGATCGGAATGAGTTCTACAATGTGAGCTAAACTGCCTTTCTATTCTTGTTTTCATCTCCGAGCCAACCCTCTTCTCCTAAGGGAGTCTCATGTCAATTCCTTCTGAACCAGAGGTCTGACAGTGAACAGGTCTCAAAAGACGATATTCTCGGCATCTCAGAGCAACTTCCAGCACCAAGCCTCCTCAATCAAAACAGAAAGCCCATCGAATCCTTCATGCGCAACTCCCATGCCATCGTAACGCTAATCCTCACGATCCTCAACGACCAACTAGGCCTCCCAGAAAAAACACTACCAGACATGCATCGCCAAAGCGCTCTAAGCGGCGATCAAATCCGCTGGGTAAAAGCACCACCCCAACCCATGAACGACAGACGAGTCGCACTAGGCCAACACACCGACTTTGGCTCAGTAACAGTCCTACTCAACCGACTCGGCGGGCTCCAAGTCCAAATGCCCGGAACGGACGACTGGGTCTACGTACGTCCACTACCAGGGCATGCGATAATCAATCTCGGTGACGCAATGGTGAAATTCAGCAATGGGCTCTTACGCTCAAATATTCATCGCGTTAGTGCGCCACCTGGTGCGCAAGCTGAGTGCACAAGGTATAGTCTTGTTTACTTTGCACGTCCTGAGGATGAGGTTATACTGCGGCGGTTGGAGGGGAACCTGATTCCGCCTTTGGAGGGCAACGAGGTTGAAGAGGATGTTAGTAGTAAGGAGTGGATTATTAGGAGAGCTCTAGGGCCAAGGGTTAATCTTGGTCGGAAGGTTGATCTGGACAAATCGGCTGGAACGGAGGAGCTTAGTCGGAGAATCAAGGTTTAATGTGAATATTTGATTTTATTAGTCAATGGAAAATCACAAGACTGCGAAATCCAAGAGTACCAGTATAAAATATCTCCACAATTGTATTTTTCGTGGTCAGATTGGGAGCGCAATTGGGGTTTTCACGAGCCAATGGACTGTGTGGCCAGTTATGTTGCCCCTGCACATCAGACGTATATGCCTTATCGACTGATGGCGACGGCGGGAATTCCCAACAGAAGGCTATGAATGATTGACCTCATCATGCTTGACGGAGTCAAGTACCTACTGGTCCCGTTCCTTTTGAGCAATATAACTGTCAATCCATCTGTCTCAGCTGATATAGGTCACTCTCATGATGTGGGATCCCACGTAGCGACTTGATAAAGGACCGAGGACCGAGGACCGAAAGAGGTTGTCTTCATCAAATTCTGGTAGTTTCCAGACATGTCATAATCCTCAATTTTTGGGCCAGATCAAGAGACCCGCTCTTTCAAACAGAAAATGCTTCTATATCCACGATTGGTGGGATTCACCATTCGAATTCCTAAGTTGATATATTAGTCATGTTTTTCGTCTGGCGTTCCTCAACTTACCTCAGTGTAAAGCGTTATCGATACCCCGTCATCACGAATATCATTGTTAACGGCATTGCGTATCGTACTCATAAGGTCGCTAGGTCCACAAGCACCAACAATGACACGATCGTCTAAGTTGCCACCTGAAGTGGCAGCGGCTTCGATGAGATTGCCAATATCAGGGCGCCCGGATCGGATCTCATTAACCGAAGGTAGCTTGGGCGTAAACGTTTGCAAAGCGCTCTTCTCAAGGTCATTGGCTGAAACAGTTAAAGAAGGCTCCGCTGAAGCTACATCTCCATTCACAGAAACCTTTTCTGAGACTGAGCCTGTGGAGGTAGGGGATGATAGTCCGGTAATATCGGTCGGGCGAGTGATGTGAATGATCAGATTCACTTCCGGGTGAGACTCAAGTTGCTTCAGCTCTTGAGCAAACCATTCGAGGCTCTCTATGGAAGAAGTCAGACAATGCTAGAAAATTCGTTGTCTCAGCGGCAGAATACCACTCACCGTAGTTTCTTACTACCCAGATGAAATCAATAGACTTGACCACTTTAGTAGTTGACTCGATCAGATCCAGCGCAACCGCAAATGTGAAGCTAGCACCGCTGCCACCGGCGATAAGAATGACCTTATCAAACTTCTTAAAGTTGGGGACTTGGCCATAGGGGCCATCCACAGAGCAGCGTAGAGACATGCCCGGCGCCTGCTGAGCAGTTTTATGCAAATCCCGCGTAAAGCCGTCATATACTCTAATGACAAACTCCGAAGGGGTCGAAGAAAGTAGAGTGAACGGATGGCTTTCGACCCAACGGATGGCAGGAACCCATAAGAAGGCATGGGAACCGGGACTGGAGTACATGCGGCGACTGAGCTTTACTCGAAGAGCATCGTCAGGTAAGGCTGTCACAGTAGCATGATTCCCAAAGAAGTTCCACACTATCTTTGCGCCTCGAATGAGGCGATCCATGACCCAAAGACAAGCAGTGAAGATAATGATAATCACAGTGTGACTTGAGAATTCCGGACGGTGCATCCCCACCGTTATCATAATCAAGATGAACATGGAGAGGTGCAGCATGTAGAAGACTATGAGCTATCAGTATTGGGGGACATAAAATTATTCAGGCAGATGACTCACGTTCATAATGTCCTCGCATGAAGTAGGTGATGGTTGAAAAGCCAATGATGACCATGGAAAAACCTGCAATGGCACCAGAATAATTCTTTCTCAGTTGCATTTTCTCGAGCTTTCCAGTCTCTGACCACGCAGATAGGTACACTATAGCATGCAGGACACTCGTGAAGATACAGGTGTAGCCGGCAACCTTGTGAAGTGGACGAAGCTTCTCATAGGATTTCGCGGTCAAGATTGCGAGAGGGGTGTTCTTTAAGGCCAAGAAGACCAACAGCACCAGATTTGCGACGGAAATCCTATCAATCAATACTTGTCAATAACGAGACAGGAGAAGTCGAAAGTGTCTGGAGAGTGCACGAACCAGCCAAATCGTTTACCAACCTAGCAATTCAGGAACCCGTCAGCAAAGAATCGAAGTAAAGCAATGGTTGAGATCAGCTCACATATGAAAGCTCGGTAAGGTCAACATTGGTCACGGCCAGGATCAAATTGATAGCCCAATAGATGATATAAAGAATAGACCGATCTGTTCTTAATCCCATGACTGAGCTGGCAAGAAAGCGTCGAGCTTGTCTGTTGTATTCAAGAAGCATGAGTTCTTTCTTGATCATATGGAAATGAATGGATTCAAGTTACCTATACTTCCGAGACAAGGCAGGATGACTCTTCCTTGGGCCATAATGAAAGTGAATCACGCTTAACCAGTGGTATACAGCAAAAAGACACATTATTGAGCCGACAGCAATGGCAAAGTATTTGTTGCTCCACTCATTATTAGATTGGCGCAATACCTTTGCAGCGGCCTTTGCAGCAGCCTTTGCGGCTTTGGATTCACTCATTGTGATTCTTCCAGAAAGACTCAATGTCAAAATGTCCAAAACATGAAAGGAAAATCTCTATGGAGTCCGATCGGCCCAATCTGACTACTGGGAGGGGCAGAATTATCAATCAGTAACCCATCGAAGAAACTTGCTGTGAGCCAAGAGACAAGACTCGGATCAAGGCAGACCCCACTGGCTCCAAAGATGGAAGCTCGGTGTCCTTCCGCTATTCGAGATATCCATACTGAGTAGAATGGAGCCATGTCTGAGCCTGTAGCATAGCATGCCAAGATGCCAAGATGATTCTTAGATCAAGGTAGGAAACACAGCCGGAAGATCATCGTAGAATTTACGCTCCCGACGATCTGATAGGGGAGACGTTGCAAAATTGCTGTGGGGCACTCAAGGCTGGGCATTCGATACTTCTATTCTCGCCATATTTACTAGACATAGACCAGCAGCGATTTATAGTCTTAAAAATCTACCAGGAAGTTCTTAAGGGCATGGTGTACTCAGCGAAAAATGGTTGTCGCGTGCGGAAGACTAGGGCAAGTGTGGTAAAGGTTATATTTTTTTTTATCTAATCAAAATCAGAATCAAATCAGATAAACCAGTAAACTTTCCTGTGCGTCATACCGGGTCCATGGAAAATTCAGCATGAAACACCCGCGAAAAGATGGTAATGGCAGTGATTCGAGACCGAGATCAGAGGGTCTCAGCTCGGAAGCTAAGCTGGAAGGAGAATTGTGAGACAAACGTACCCAACGGTGCAATCTTAGTCAAATCCAGCGAGACTCGTTGAATCCTCGGCATTTGAAGTTTCCGTATCTTACCGGAGCGTACCAATGACTTCGGTGAAGCCACCAAGTAAACTTTTCCGCATATCTGATTTTGTTGAATTCGTATGATAAGATACCATTATCAATCTAAAATACTAGCTTGATACAAGGGTGGACCCAGCATATGCTTGAATTTTATCAAGCAAACCTGGCGCCCCACTACACGCCCAGGTAACATAGGGTCCACGGGGGAAAAGATTTACGGTGGGCCCACGCTCGGAAACCTTCACTGAAACCTTGGGAATGAGGGATTTTATGAGGAATTTGAGGAGTTTGCGGTTCCCGCGCTTGTGAAATACGTTGTTTAAACACTGAAGGTCAAAAAATAAAATACGTCAACTCAATCGAGAAAGAATCCCCTATTCTGATATAACACAATATGATTATTTTGATTGGACCCGTATTCTATATCTCATGAAACATCAAGACTAATGCGTCCTGATTGATTAATTTTAAAGAGCTATAAGGGAAGCCTCGGCACGCTTCTCCGGCACGGAAACTGTTGTCTCAACAGGTGCCACCGGGTCTTCATAGGGACGGCGCAGAATGAAGGCTCTAGCCTTGGCCTTGCTCCGTGCGATGCGGTTCATGGCCGGATCAATGACAGGAATAGCTCCACGTCTCTCACGGTAGAACATCAGCGAGTAGCCAACCATCACACAGATCCAGTATAGGTTGTAAGAGATCACGGAGCCATAGTCGGCCGAATTGGTCCAACCGAGAAGTGCGTTGAAGATACCCCAACCGCCACCACCTCCCAGCTCGGGGTTACAGCAGTTCACGTGCCAGACACTCTTTCGAATATCATAGGATCCAGGACCAGAGCCAGTCTCGGACGCGTCGCCTCCGATAATCTTGTTCCAGGCGTTGTTCTCAAAGTACCAGACACCTCGAGAGAAAAGACCACCAGCCACGAGGTAGAGGAAGCAAGTCGAGATAATCAAGAAAATCTGCATCGAGGTCTCTCGTCCACCCCTGTAGGAATAATTTCAAGGTTAGCTCTACGCATATAGTCTTCTTTTTGGAGGGGATTGACGAACCGGTAAATGAGATAGCCCACGGCAACACCAGCCAAAAGACCACAGAAGACGGCCAATGGGAAAGAAGTAGCCGGAAGTCCTAATCCCACGCCACCGACATAAACAACGCATTCAAGGCCCTCACGGAGAACGGTGATGAATGGAAGGATAAACATGGCGTATTTCTCCAACCATCTCTTGACCCGACCCTTCTTTGATTCATTGGGGTTCTTCTCCTGCTCAAGGGCCTTAGCAAGCTTGACCCGCCATTTGTCTTGTAGCTTAGACACGCGCAAGAGAGCAGCTCCCATAATGGTGATGATGATCGAGGCGATAATTCCCAGAACACCTTCCCAAATGTCCTCGGTGCTTGAGAAAGCGTCTGTTCCAAGACCGTAGAAAGCACCAATCATACCCGCGCCAACCGCCAGACAAATCAATAGGCCTGTCGCACATCCCCACCATACCTGTCGCTGTTAGCGCACAAAGTCGCATTGAATTGGAAGCGAGGTCCGACATACTTGTTTTACCAATCGTTTATATGTAGGGCGATCATCATTGTAGAGCGACTGCTTCAAGAAGGCCAGTAGAACCGACACAACCACCGTCGTCTCGAGACATTCTCGAAAACAAATAAAGAACACTAAATTGCGCCGAATTAGTTTAGTGACTTTGTCGAAAAACAAGGGGCGCGAATCCTACCGGTGACCGCGAAAACTTGGTTGTTGCCCATGATGCCTGGTGTGCTTTTGACGGCCCAAGGCTAAGAAGAGAAGGGATCCAAGAATTAAAGAACAGAAACACGAGCAGCACTCGGCTTGTTAAGGTCTCATGTAGTCCGGCAAATGAACTAGAGGTAATTTTGAAAATTACGCGGATCCACCCCTGAGCTTGGCGTAAGCTTTTTCATCAACGTTTAGCATGGTGATTCGTCGTGGTGGAGATTCCATACCCGACGACCACGGGCTCCTACTCAAGCTCCACTAAGTCATGGAAGTGAGTCGCCAGAAGCGACAGCATGCGTGCTCGATTTCCCGAAACGATACGAATCAAAGCCAGCTGGTTATATGAGCCGACCCAATGGAGCTCTGATTGACTCACACGTGAACCCGCATTGGCCGCTTTTCCAAACATCTGATTAGGGCACGGAAGATTAATTGGAAAACGATCGTCCAGAACCCGGGCGGGGCTTTGACTTTCTGGCTATTACCGGGATTGACCAAGGGTTCGTGTTTTTTTTTGCTAATCAATCTCTACTTCTCCTATGGTTCCGAGGGGTTTTCGTTCATTAATTTTCCCTTGAACCGGGATCTTCTTCACCTTCACCCCTTGGCGAACGCGTCAAACACAACATGGTTATCTTACACAGCCTATCGTTATGGCTTATGGCAGTACTGCCCTTTGTGCAATACTGTCAGGCGAAGACGGTGAATCTGGATTTCAACGTCACATGGGTTAATGTGAACCCCGACGGTCTCCATGAGCGCAAGGTGGTGGGTGTCAACGGCCAGTGGCCCCTGCCTGTCATTGAGGTAGACAAGGGTGATCGCCTGATTGTTAATATGTATAACGGCCTTGGCGACAAGGACACCTCCATCCACTGGCATGGCATGTTCCAGAATGGAACCAATAACATGGACGGTCCCTCGATGGTTACCCAGTGCCCAGTCGCTCCTGGTTCCTCGATTACCTATAACTTTACTATCCCCCAAAATGGCACTTATTGGTACCATTGCCACACCGATGCCTGTTACCCAGACGGGTACCGCCAAGCTTTGATCGTGCACGATAATCAATCATACTTCAATGATATGTATGATGAAGAATATACCGTGACAGTGAGTGATTGGTACCACGAGCTTGTCGAGGATATCCCATTTATTCGTGTTGAAAATCCTACTGGAGCCGAGCCGGTGCCTGATTCATTCCTCTTCAATGATACTGTGAGCGCTACGAATATCCCCGTCGAGGCGGGAAAGACGTATTTGTTGCGATTGATCAATATTGGTGCCTTTGTGGCGCAGTATTTCTATATCGAGGACCACACTTTCCGTATTGTCGAAATTGATGGCGTGTACGTTGATGAACAAGAGGCCGACACTCTCTACATTGCAGTGGCACAACGTTATTCTATCTTGGTGACCATGAAAAACTCCACGGATAAAAACTATCCGATCGTGACCGTTGCCGACTCGGAATTGTTAGATACAATTTTGCCTACCCTTCAGCTCAACCAGACCAACTGGCTTGAGTACAACAGCAGTGCGGCGCATCCACAAGCTGTGATGACTGTGGACACTGCCTCTGACCTTGTTCCATATGATGACTTCAAACTTGTTCCTCACGACCGGATGGCATTGCTTCCAGACCCAGACATGACCATTGAGGTCGATGTCATCATGGCCAACCTCGACAATGGAGCCGGTTACGCGTTCTTCAACAATATCACCTACACGAAGCCTAAGGTCCCAACATTGTACTCCGTCCTTACATCCGGGGACTTTGCCACAAATTCCGAGGTTTACGGCGAATACACACACCCGTTCATCCTCGAGCATAACGCGGTCATTGAGGTAATCCTCAACAACCAAGACACGGGTTCCCACCCCTTCCACTTGCACGGCCACAACTTCCAAGTCGTCAGCCGCACTCCCTCGTACGGTGCTTCTTTCTACGACTTCGTGGATGGCGACCCAGTCGCTTATAACGCTACCGAGAACCCCTCCAGCAGCTTCCCGGCCTACCCTGCTCGCCGAGACACCTTTGTCGCACCACCGCAGGGCAACTTTGTCATCCGATTCGTCGCCGATAACCCGGGTGTCTGGTTCTTCCACTGCCACATCGACTGGCACTTGCAGCAGGGCTTGGCAATGTCATTCATCGAAGCCCCCAAAGAGCTTCAAAAGCAGATGTCGTTGAGCGACAGCGAAATCAGCATCTGCAAGGCCGCCGACATCTCTTACGAGGGAAATGCCGCGGCTAACACTGTAGACCTGCTCGACCTTACTGGTCAAAACAAGCAGCTCCCGTGGCTACCTGCTGGATTCACAGCAAAGGGTATCGTCGCGATGGTCTTTTCCTGCGTGTCTGCCTTCCTGGGTATGGCTTTCATCACAGTATATGGCCTGTCTGGAATCCAAACCAAGAAACAAGAGACTGCTGTGGTCACTGAGCAGAATTCTCTGTGATTTTCGAATTTTCGCTATGATGATATAACCCGAGCCTGTATTTAATTGATAGTCGGACCAAATTAGAAGGTCAATTGATTTCTTAATGTTCAAGAGATTGTCGCTGCCTATAGACCCTAATTTAACACAAGATGAGATATGCCAAACATTTCTAGCCTAATTATAACAATATCATGTGACATCGTTCGCATGGAGATCGATCAGCAATGCGCTTAATGACGCCACATTTGGTTTCGATGTGAAGTGGAGACATTTTACTTATTAGGTATAGTAATGTTCGAAATCAGATTTACCTCCACACTCTTAGACTTTCAGTCCCGACACGGGACCTTCGTCTCTAGTCCCACTCTGAAATTCGCTAGCTTCTGGGAGTTCCATCAACCTCTTACTTCCCTGAGACTCCTGCCCAGGCTAAATATTGGTTAGGCTGCCAGAAACAAGGGGTAAATGCTGTGTGAACAGATTGAATAAATGTAATTTGATTTATGAACAACCAGAGCTTTCTCTTACGTCTTTCTCTTTCCCACCTCACCTTCTTTGGTGAAGGACGCGGAGCAAGATCTGATCCGCCGGCACAGTTCCTACGGGGATAGATCAACAACCACGCGCGTAGTATTTTGCATCGCAAATATGCTTCATGGCACTGGAATCATATTCTTTCCATAATAGTGTTGCCAGCATAAGATTGTCAATTCAAGCCTAGCCATCGGGATTTTGTGAATCGTTTAAATTTTCCCAATTGCAAGACAAGCGGCAACCAGTAGAGAAAGGTACAAGGCTGAGTACCATCTATATGAAACCCGGTCATCTTCGATGTTCCTGAGAAAGGCTATACGAAAGATGAGCGTTATGGTCATGACAGCTATGATGAACGAGATCAACAGTGTCGTTTTCTTGTGCTGTTGATTTAACACCCAGTGAAATATATAAAAGTACTGCGATAGATTGTCAGTCATTGTTAGATTTGTCATAACAAGCAGCTGACCTCGAAGAGAACAAGATTACAGGACGTATAAATGCGGGCTAGATAACATAGTCAGTAAAATGTGGCTTCCTGGAGATTGCATGACATACCTGGAATATCTCCAAGCAGCATTGGTGTTGTTCGACGACCGCTGGCCTTATCACCAGGAACATCGCGAAAATCCTGAATCGGCGCAGTGAAGAAAACCCAAGTCGCAATTATCTTCACCCAGGGCCATCCAAATTCGGATTTTGAACCTCCAAGCTCCCAGCAGGCCATCAGCTGAGCAACACAACCTAATGATATAGAGAGATCTTTCGCAGGCCCAAATTTAGCCGTGTGGAGTATGTACGAGCTGAAAACGGTAAATATCCAGAGCATGGTCCATATATGGACATTGAGGATGTAGCTGTATATGATCCAAGCCCCAGTCGAGACATAGTACCTGACTTTTGTTGCAGCGACGCTCGTTTTTCCGGAGACGACTGGTCGATTGGGCTTATTGATCGCATCTTCCAAGCTATCTCCTTCGGCGTTATTTGCAAGATCGATCGTGTAGGCATACAGGAATCCATATGTTATGGCATCTATCAATGAACTTAGCACTCCAGGGGTCTTTCAAATATTTTGCAAGGTTTATTACTGGCAAGCGAACGCAGGATCTCGAATATATCTGCTTCCCTGTGTAGCAATGACGCTATCGGGAATACCAAAAAAGGCAAAAAAGCAAGGTCGAGGTTGCTTCGCATATAATGATATGAGAGGTGAATTTCCTGCTTGAAAACTTTTGCTAAATTCAAGCGGCCCTTGGCTTCTTGACATTGATCTTGGGGAGCCATTATAAGAGCGAGGAGGATTATCAAAGGGAATCGGTTCGTGATAACACATAAGACCTACCTACTAGGACTATGCGTACCTAATTATATATAGTGTCAAGTAAGAGGAGGCCGATGATGCAATTCAATTATCATCCAACCAATGTAAGGCGCAAGGTGCCAACAGAAAAAAGCTACTGTGTTCTTGAGAAGAGCGCCTCCCTGTTTCCAAGGTTGCCCAAACAGCGATCAAGCTGAAGAAATGCCGAAACATGACTATGCGTGACGTGTAGTGGGCTTCATGCAATCAAGCAAATGAATATTGTGGCCTCAAGTAACGGACTCCACATCTCAACCTGCCGAAGGCTTTTTATTTTTATGCTGGTTAACGCCATGGGTTACATAGACCGAGACGAGCTGAAGGCTCCTGGGCTCTCGCTTCTGTAGATCTGTGTCGGTGAAGGATATGAATGTACTTCAACCTTGCAATGGCTATCGTCGTCACCCATCATCCAATGTGTGATTTCTCTAGCCTTGGGAAAACCTGCCAAAGGGCCACGCCTAGTGGTGATCAGCCTATGCACCTAAATCAGCCTTCTTGTCATATCAAGATCTAGCCGCATAAGCAAGATGATATGATTGGAAACTTGACAAACAGTAGAGATAAAGTTTCGTAGATCGGCATGACGCTCTTTTGCATGCAGCTGGGCCGTCTGATTTCGAATACTAGTAAACCTACGTCAAAATTACATGGGTCTACAGTCATGTCTACGCGAATAGGTATTCATTGATTATTTACCAAGTAGCAGATCGAACAGGATGCTGAGAGTTTGATTTGGTTCACAATTGACAAAGATAGGAGTGTTGGAGCGAACACTTGCTTTCTTCGATGGCCTGGTGGGGCAGCGGGCTATCCCAAGACCCCCACCAAACCAAAATCAAGTCAACGTCATCGAACAAAACTGACCACCTACAACTCACAATGGCTCAATTCAAAGACCTTTTATTGCCACATGGCCGCACGGAACTATGCAATTCCGTGCTACCGGGACTTCTAGACTGCATTGCTGACATCGCAAAGTCACTACGTCAGTCTCAGCACGTCTCCCTAGCGGGAACCACAAACACATTTGGTGATGGCCAGTTGAACGTCGACATCGCAGCAGAGAACCTTCTCCGAGCTGCACTTGCCAAATGTCCCTCCGTCCTGACAGCGAGCAGTGAAGAAGAGCCAATTGAGCGATCTGCCCGCGACGGCGAAACCGCGGAGAATGTTTCCACTGGCTCAGAAAAGTACACTGTCGCCTTTGACCCGCTAGACGGGAGTTCCATCATTGCCCCCAACTGGACCGTGGGAACTATCATCGGTATTTGGGACGGAAGCTCGGCGATCCACCAACAGCCCTCCGAGAAACAAATTGCCTCCATCTTAGGTGTCTATGGTCCCCGTACTACCGCCATCGTTGCCCTGAAGGTCCCTGGCGGCAAACCCCAATGTCTTGAGATCGGCATCGGGGAGTCAGGACAAGATCACGAAATCATTCGATCCGATGTCAAACTCGCGGACGCACCTTTCAAGACACGCTACTTTGCTCCGGCCAACCTTCGCGCTGCGGCTGAGAGCCCGGCTTACATGCGTCTGATTACACAGTACGTGGAGAAGAAGTATACGCTTCGGTATAGTGGCGGCTTGGTGCCTGATGTGGTGCACGCGCTCGTGAAGGGCCACGGAGTGTACTTGTCGCCTGTGACTGGTGCGAGCGAGGCAAAGCTACGCCGCTTGTATGAGCTGTTCCCTGTTGCACTGATAGTGGAATGTGCCGGAGGAAGGGCGATTGATCCTTCCAATGGAGAGGATATCTTGAGTCGACCATTGGAGAATTGTGATGAGAGAGCGGGGTTGATCTGTGGAACGGCCGAGGAGGTTGAGATTGTGAAAAAGGCACTGCTTGGTCAGTGAGATCACTCAGGCGGGAGATTCAAACTTAGAAGTGAAAACCATCATAAATGAGTGTTTTTATCCCCTATTTGTTTTCTTACATCTTAGAATCGGGATCTCAAGAGTTATGTAAAATGCAGAAGAGATAATCTAGATGGGCTTCAGGGGGTTTTAAGACGAGGTACGTCTTGCTACTATTTTCGATATTCTACGTGAAAGATATTGAAAGGAAAACGGTATATTGACAACGGTCTATGTAAGGAACCCAGCGATCTATGTAAGAAACAAAAATCAAGCTCGATCTAAAAAACAATAAGGAAACGTAAATCAAACTTACCTTGACCTTTAATCTCCTACTCAACTTTCCGACGGCAAGAAGGGCAGGTATTAGATCGACGAAGCCACGGCTCAATGCAGGCAGCATGAAAAGACCAGTGTGAACAAGGGAGCAGCATCACCTCGTCTCCTACCTTCATATCATCCTGGCAAATAACACAAGTCGCGTCCTCAGAGTTGATCATGCTCTGGGTAACAATTGGTCGGGCCAGCTGGCTAAGGACATCCCGAGGTACTGCAATCTGATCTCTCATTGAATCCACAGGCTCGTAGACGTAAGACACTGGGGCTTCATGTCGAGCATGTCGGGTTCCATGGTGATGACCCGGAGTTCCGTGTCGGGACGTGTGTCGAGGTGCATGGTTAGCCCCTGGAGCTTCATGGTGAGCAGGGGCTGCATGTCGGTTTCCGTGGTGGTGGTGATGACCTGGAGTTGCATTTCGGGATGTGTGTCGAGGGGCGTTATGAGCCACTGGAGCTTCATGTTGAGGTGCAGGGGTCACATGTCGGTCTCCGTGATGGTGGTGGCGACCTGGAGTTGCATGTCGAGATGCGTGTCGATGACCATGGTGACCAACTGGAGCTTCATGGTGCGTAGGGGTCTCATGTCGGGATGTACGTCGAGGGGTATGGTTGTGATGACCTGAAGCTTCATGGTGAGTCGCAGGAGTTCCATGCCGGGTCGTGCGTCGAGGGGTTTCCTGTCGATGAGCTGAGCCTCCATGCTCAGGCGCAGGATTTGCATGCAGAGTTCGGCCTGATCCGCTGATCCTTTGAGTTATGGGCATGATCCAATCGCGCAAAGTTGCCCGCCGTTCCCCGGGTCCTGACACAACTCGATCCAGCAATCTCGGTGGTAGACTGATACCTCCATCTCGCCGCTGGAGGCCTGCTTGCAGAAGCTCGCGCACTTCATCAGCAACGTCAGGTGTGGTCATGTATAGTCGGGCAACTAGTTCATTGATCTCAGCAAGGCCAGCGTGGCGCACTGGGGTGTTATGGTGTGGCATATTATAGATACTTCCTTGAGGTTAGAAAACAATAACAATTTTAGATAATGGATAGAGTGTGGACTGGAGTATTGATATACTGTTGATGATGTTGATAATGGAGTCCAAGAAGCTCGGGAGTTAGCGGATTTTTATAATCACTGGGCAGTATAGTCATGTTTGAATTGCATTGTTTTCCTGAAGAGAAGGATTCTTTGAGCTAAAATAGGAATTTCAGCTTTAAATATAACTATGATACATGAACCAATGACTCGACCACAAAGACTCGACGGGAATGATTCAATCATATATTTCTATTTCGAGGACAATCAATAGATTAGTAGAGTATGAAAGAACTGCGACATTGTCAATAACAGGACAAAGATTCAAAGAGCATGTTCTTCCAACCAGGGCTTTACAACAGAGACTTAAACAATGCGAATAAAGACTTCTATGAAGAACCTGCCCTGGTCTCGGGCTCACAATGAAAACAATGGATCTTTCTCTCATAACATACGACATATAATCAGACCCTTGTCAACAACCATTAACGCATCCGCACGTCCATTTGATTACTTCACCATGTCAATTAGCTATGTGGCACGGAATCGAACTCAATCAATCCAAGAGGCTATCGACAACCTTTTTATAGAGTTTGGAGCCACAGTGGAAAATCGAGACTGGGCCACAGAGCAGACACAGCAATCAGAAGAGCCCTGTGTTTTTCAAGTCCTCCGCGACTATGAAAATGGAGCAATCCCGAATGGCCGAGTCATTCTAGCCCACGACGGTGAGTTTATTGTTCTGGAAATTCCACGGCGACACCTCCCCCCTAACGCCACAGGTCCTATCCAAGAGAGAGAGTTAATCCCTCAGATATCCTGATTGATCTTCAGGTCTATCAAACTTGGCGATCAAATCCATCTGAGCATTTACCGCGCAAGCCTCTATGTGAGGTAGTCGAGGTCTCCAAGGATGAGAACCGCACCTGTTCTATATGCTACGAGCTTGTCAGTCCTCATCTAGAGGTGATTATACTTCCCTGTGGACATTGGTTTGAATGGTGCTGTATTCAATCATGGTTTGAGCGAAGCTTCACTTGTCCCATGTGTCGTGCGAATGTGCTTGAGGGTAGCATATCCCCAGATGATCTATGGATTATGTATGAAGTTGCTGAGTCTTAGCCTTGAGTTAGTAAGATTCGAAGATTCTTGGAATGTCAGTATATTCACGGAATTATATATAGTGTCATCCCTTTTTCATTGGTGATTCTAGCGCGGGGTAGCACCTCCTTCGAACATCATCTGGAGGAAGATGCAGTTATGATAGTCATGCACCACTGCCCAGATATACTATCATTTCTGATGAGACCTGCTTTTCAAAACCTACTTGATGTAGTCCTATGTGGGTACAAGATTAAGATGTATTAATGGTATACGAACTTGGTAGCCTTGGAATAAGGGCGTCCCACTGACCACTCGGAGTGTCGCTTTTACAGCGCCACCTGGGCAGATATCGCTATACCCTTGTCTCTAACAGAGTGACTATACATTAGGCACAAATCATGTGTTGGGTATCCAGCAAACACCCCTGAAGGTTTTAGTTCGCCTCATTATTTGCCTATATACTGCCCAGTCAGCCGCACGACTTTGTTTATCTCCCTTTCTGTCTCCCCCGTCTCCCCCCTCCTTCCACCTTCCCACAATCTAACGATACGTGAGTGTACTTGCTCTTATCCTATTCTCATATATGTTGTTTAATATGTACATACTTAATCAGTTAATCCTACCAGTGTATTCCGAGACATCTAATTCCGAGGTTCTCAACGCCCAAACAAAAGCTATGACCGAATCAACCCATCTATGGGTGGATTTTGTATCTTCGAGTCAAACCTACCGACGGTTAAGGGGACTTAAGGAAAGAGTAAGTCACGGAAAACATGTTACGAGATAAAACCCTCAATAACATGTATAGGGCTGGAAAAACCAAGACGGAGATCGATTCTTTGAAGAACGAAGGAAAACCGCATCGAACCCAACCCAAAGCAAAAAAGAAAGCTTCTATCAAATGACCTGCCATATCGGATCGGGACTGGCGGAAGGGACGGATATATTCAAATTAAAACCTCCCGGGCTCAAGGTGCTTGATCTCTGTATGGCACCAGGTGGGTTCACAACGGCAGCCGCGGACAACCTCTTGGAGCCACTGATCGACGGAATAACGCTCCCGCCCCAGATCGGGGACTATGAAGTGCTAGCGAAGAGACATTGTCAGAGAATCATCTATGCTGATATCACGATGTATCTCACGGAAATGGGATACGAGGGAACTATTCCTAATGGACATCCGGATGCGAACCATTTCGACACAAGTCGGCCCCTACTTGATAATACATATGATATCGTCATCTGCGGAGGAGCTGTTGGTCGAGATCATCCTAGGGAGGAATACCGCCAAGACTGTGAAGGAACACGGTTGACAGTTTCGCAAATGGTGTTCGCGATGAACCATCTCAAAACCGGCGGTTCTATGGTCCTACTTCTGCATCGCGTTGAGGCATGGGATACTGTTTGCATACTTCATGCTTTCAATCAGTTTTCTGAAATCCAGCTTTACAAACACCCCAAGTGTCATGCTATCAAATCGTCTTTCTATCTAGTTGCGAAGAACGTCGATTTGGAACACCCCGTTGCAAAGCAATCGGTGTCGCATTGGAGAAATCTTTGGGGATATCTGACCTTCAAGGAGTTTGAGGATGTCCCGCTTCCTGATTCAAAACTTGATGGATCAGATGTCGCTTTTGTTCAAAGCATGATAGACGACTTTGGTCCTCAATTTCAGAAGATTGCGCAGCCTGTCTGGAAATGCCAGGCGAAAGCATTGCGCAAGCAGCCATTTACAAAATAGGCTGCAGAATGAATGTAGCGTAGCTGTTCAACGACAATTTGGCGGTGTTCATTACGGAAATCTATGATGTTATTAAGTCACTCTCCTAGGCAGTTAGCAATTCATTGTGATGAATGTTGAAAATGTTGGTGTCATGAGGGTTTGCAGCGACTGTCCCGCTCTCTGAGTGAACTAGTATGTTTCGTGATAGAGATTGCGAAAGGATTCAAAAGGGATTTTGGACGCCCTCGTACATATAGTGCATACCCTTTAATGATTAGCATAAGCGCTGTTAAGTCGATAAGTACGGAGTCAGATTCCCATATAAAAATGTAAATGCATCCATAAATTGAAACTAGAATCAAAACACATGACGAAATCAGTCCTTATAATGCTTTCCTGTCAAATATCCCTCAGGCTGCTCCTTCTTCCTCCTCCCAGCAATCTCAGTGACCCAACCCGAGATCTGGTAAATCCAACCACCGGTGACAAGAACTCCACTAATGGTGTTGATCACGCGGATAACAAGCGCCAGGAACCCGCCCCGCTCTTCACTGACAAGCAGCAAAATCGGCTCAATATTATACTTGAAGAAGATACCCGGGACCAAGTATGGGGTCTCGGGCATCTCTTCAGACTGGCTAGTCGCTGCGTACTGGTTCGTGAAGACCGTGTTACGGCCAGTGCGGGCGGTGGCCGACGCCGGAGAACGAGTATATGCGTCCAGGGCGTTTCGGCCCTTGGTGTAGAGAGTAGGCACAACGGAGAGGAAGTACTGGTACTTGAAGTAATGCTTGTCGGTCTCGGCCATGGTTTTATCGAGAGGATTCATCAAAGATGGGTAGTGAGGGCCGAAAGAAAGCTCGGTGATCATGTGCGAGAAGTTGAAAGCTAGATTGAAGGATGAGTAAATGGGTCAAAGCTGGGGCGAAATCGGAATCGAAAATACCACTGTGATCCAAGTGCGGCGCAAACTCTCTATATCCATGACCTCTCGCGGTGATATGGAAATCTCCCTGTACTTTGTTTCCCTCCAGACTACCATAAATTCGACAAGAATCCGTGGTGTCGCCCCATCGCATCGAGGGACCCTTAGCAAACTTGCGCCTCGGGTTTCGTCGCGCCTCGCCTAGAACGTGGTGCGCATGCGCATCTGCCTCCTGTGCTGTCAATCGATCTTCCTCCTCGTGACTCAGTGTTTGGTACTCGTGCTTGTCCTTGTTCCGCTTGTGCATCCACAGGTTCCAGCTCGTTTCCTCGCGCTTGAGCATGTCGCTGGCTAAGATGCGGTCGCCGGCTGCGTCTTGGATGTTAACACGAAGGGTATCGCAGGGCATGTTGACGACGATATCGAGGTTGAGCTGGAGTTCATGGGAGACGCCCTTCTCCACGCTGAAGTGGTGCTGTTCTGTGCCACGCCACCATGTTTTTAGTTCGGAGAAGCTGAAGACAGTGCAGACGAGGAGAATAAGGACGGTCCATTGGCCACCGCGGTGGGTAGGGGTTGTGTAGGAAGCTTTTGTTTTCGCTATTAAGAGTAGGAAAATTAGCCTGCCATGTCTTTGTCTCGTAGTGGTCGTGAAATTGGGGTAAGGTTTGAGGTTGATTCGCGGATCGCGTGTCTGTATATGTACAGCTTTCAGGCAAAGAAGACTTACGGAAAGCGTCAAAGGTCTTCAGGCCCGACAGAGCGCTTTTCTCTCCAAAGGCATCCTCATCGAGGCCCTTAGAGTCAAAGCCATTCATTGCGAATTGGAGGACAGCAGTGAAGGAACAGAAATGGAAAGGTGGAGTGCGGGTCAGATAAGGCGATGAGGCCAAGTAGTCCGATTCGCCGCGACCCACTCTGTCAGGTACACGATAGCCGCGTTTTGTAGCGCTCACTGGGAATTTCCCGAGGTCTACTTGATGATAAAATGAGAGTGGAAAGAACAAATCTTGAACAATCACGTCTAATCCAATAGTGCTTTTTTTTTTTGAACATTCAGAGTTGATAACGTGGATTTAAATTTCTGTTGACGCGTGTACCTTGGCTGTGTATATATTCCGCGAGGATAATCGTCAGATTATACAAAACCTCAGCATTCCGAGGTTCGTAATCTCGTATCCTCAAGCTTCTGTGAATATGGAAGCCCTCGGGGCTTGAGGGCTGGAGATTACCTTTGAAAGAATAGAATGTGCAATCGTGTATTCAGTATTCGTACTCCAGGTCTATATTGATAGTTATGTATCGTAGTAATGCATTGATTCAAAGCCAATCCGAATGCTCTACAGAAAGCCCACGGTCATGAAGCTCTCTCGGAGAGATGCAAGGAAATAAAACAAACGTCAAACTGTACAAAAGCAGGACCGAAAGGGGCCTGATGGGGGTAATGATGGGTCATCAGTATAGAAGCGAAAGACAGCAGGACAAACGAAAGACATGAACATAATAAAACCCCGTCGCATGAATCATATCAGGGCCCAGATGCAAATGCTGTCCACAAACATAAAAGGGTATAGGATGGATGCCGTCCTTTTGGCTGTGGGTTCCCCGAACCAGATCAACAAATGCATGACATGACAAACCACCTGATGCATGAGAGAACATGAGACAAGAACAAAAGAAAACAATGTAGAAAACAAATATTATTACAGGGCGTAGGGGAGAAGAGGGTTTATTTGGTCCTCTGTTGGCTGGTCAGCTTTTGTTTTAAGGTTCCTAACCAGCCACTGGCTCCATGCTAACTCACCAAGCTGGTCGCTGCCGCCGCGGTGGCAAGGTCGGGCTTTCCACTGATGCTTCTTGCGGAAGCACGAGGCAGCGTGGTGGAATCCTTGACCGCTCGCTTGGCGGGGCTGGACGGCGGTGGACCGTTGATTGTCGAATGGCGCTTCCCGGAGCCCTTGACCGGAGAATTACCAGATGCATCACGGCTGCGCAGAAATCCGCCGGTCTTCAAGGTTGAGCTGGGAGGCTCAGGCAGCGGGCGCCCACTGGAGGCGCCACGCTTAGAGGGTGAGCTTGCGGTGGTCTGAGCATACATCCTGGGGCGAGCTGTCGGCTTGATACCGGTGAGGAATTCGTGCTTCAGCGCCTCGTGAGGGGTCATCCGGCGGGCCGGGTCCCATCGCAGACAAAGCGTAATGAAATCCAGGAAAGCCTCATCGTCGCACTTAAGAACTTGACGAAGCTCTTTAGAGCTGGGACGACGGCGCCGACCCTTGGAGGAAACGGTCAGACGTGGCTTGCCCAAGGAATCAAAGAACAACTTCTTGCGCGTGCTCTTTTCAATCAGGTGCTTTTCTGGAGGACCGAAGACTTCCATGATACAGGCCAGTTGCTCCTGTTCGTTCTCGCCTGGGAAGATAGGATAACCGGTGAACAACTCAGCCAGGATACATCCAACACTCCACATGTCGATGGGCATACCGTATGACATGCCCAAGATGACCTCAGGTGACCGATAGAATCGACTCTGGATATAAGTGTAGACCTTTTCGTTTTCGAAACAACTAGAGCCGAAATCGATAACACGAATTTCAGAATTCAACGGGTGAACGAGAAGAATGTTCTCCGGTTTCAGATCGCAATGAATGACCTTCTTTGCATGCAAGAGGGTAAGACTGCTGAGCATTTGCTTGGTGAATCGCCGAATGAGCTTGATGTTGAAGCCTCGGAAATCGTGAGCCTTGATAAACTCGTAGAGATTGATTCCCAGGAGTTCCGTCGATATGCAGAGATGGCCACGGAAGTAGAAATTCTCGACAAAGTTGACCACGCTGTGGCGGCGATCCGGATCCCAGTCCTTCAGTTTGCGGAGAAGGTTGACTTCGATCAAAGCCTGCTGATGGAAACGTTTCTTGTTGCGAATGATCTTGATTGCGACCAAAGCACCAGTCTTGTGGTCGACACATCTCACGACTTGTCCGAAACTTCCCTTACCAAGGACATCCACAACCTCGTAGCGGTATGCAAGATGATCGCCCATCACGATGTTATAGTCGCCCCTGTCGTCATCATATCCAAAGTTTGCAGCACCCGAGTGAAGATCTCCGACATGCTTCTTCGCATTTTGAGTACCGCAGAAGAAGATGTCTCGGTAATCAATAATTTCGCCGCGCTCAAAGATGTTCAAATTAGCCATCTTGAGAGCCGCAGCGGGACTGACACGATCCTTTGGTCCCGCCTTGCGACGCAATTCATCTAATGCTTTGGCGGCGCTTTCAAAGTCTTTCCGTTTGGCTCCAAGCCTGCGCATTTCCTCATCCGCCACCACTATGTCAGCGTCAACACTGGCATCGGTCGACCGAGAAGAAAGCCGCGGCGCTGGAACGAGCAGAGTTGATTATTTTATGTACCGGAGACACATAAGTGCTGTTGGGTCGGGCATGCGAGGGATCCAGACTTCCAGAAGAATCATTTGAACGAGTTGGCTCCAAGTTGACGCCTTGTTCACTGCTGACACTGGGCTTGCGAGGGGACGCCGGTTGTTTTGTTATGCTAGACACAGATGATTGACGGCGGGGCTTGAGGTAAGATGTCTTGACACTAGGACTGGTCGAAGGCACAGAAGACAAATTGTTCCAAGTTGCGGATGCCGGGAGCTTGGGTGGTGGCATATGGTCGTATTTGGCTGGATCGATATCCATGTCAGCCGAGGGCTTTATCTTGGAATTGCTGCGAACTCGTGCAACATTCAAGCGATCCCGAAGCGAGGGACCCGACACCGCAGTAGTGCTTTCCGGCTCAGAAGGGGTCGAAATCTGACTCAATCTTTCTGTAGCGGGTGTAAAACTGGCACTTTGTGTCTGCGGGCGTGGACCAGTCAACTTGTACGAGTGAGAAGCTCGGTTATTGGAATAGTCGCCGCTAGCTTGGTGACGGAGAGCATTAAAGTCGCTGCTGCTCTTGGGTAGTGTATATGATGCATATGGTGATATATTTCGGTTGCCACTGGGTGTATCGAGAGACTCGAACGCGCTGGTACTGCTGGCCGCCCGTAATGACGCCGCCGTTGCGCTAGTGCTGATTGCAAAATGGGACGTACTGCTACGTACCTGAGTAGCAGGTGCTTTATCTTCATCGTCGCGGAAAGACCAGAAGTTGGATGCCTTTGATGCAGTCATTGGCGTGCTGGGCGTCTTCGACATGACCTGGTTGGAAGGGGTGTAGGATTTCCGCTCTTCCGCTTCCCGGTCTCTTAAAGCCTCAATCTTGGTCGTCATTGGAGTTCCCAGCGGCAGAAGGTTTAGGGGAGGCAGCTTCAATGGCTGCAGGCCCTTGCGACCCAGAACCGTGGAGGTTCGTGTTCGCGACTCCGGCGTTTTCGCCGCCCGCTCAGTCGTATAGTCATTATTGTTGTCATCGGCGGTGGCACCGTGTCGGCCCTGGGTTTCCATGTCTGAATCCTGCGCAATATGCAATTGGCTGATATCCACTGGTAAGCTGGACTTCCTTGGGGCCGGGAAGACCGGCGCGTCCAGTTCACCCTTGGGGGATTCATAAGCCTTGGGGATTGCGGGGACCGGAGGCACTTCTTCCTCCGCATTCGATGATGATTGCTCCGTGCGCGGCTTGGGCGTGGGTAGTCGCGAGGACGAGAAATTTTGGGAGAGACGTGGCTGAAGCGAGCTGCTGGAGTTCCGGATTGAGTTGTAGCTGGTGTTCGATGACAGCGATAACCCAGAGCTGTAGGACTTGCGGTTGGGATCTGGCGTGGTCCGGTTAGAGGATGGGGTGATGCTTTTTCTTGGGAGGAAGGAAGGGGATTGGTTCGAGGAAAGAGGCCGAACAGGAAGGGGCTCTGTCTGGGTGGGTGGGGTATGTGGCATGGGAGGTGCAGGAGGTGCGATGGACATCCGCTTCATGCGGCGTGCATCCGTGGGACTGATGGTACGGGCACCTAAACCAGTTGCATGCGGCATGACAGACATACGCTTGGAAGATGAACACGAAGATGTGGGCGTCGTAGCAGTAGGGTTTCCGGTTGTGTTCTTGACCGGTGTGCGAACGGCATTAGTCGAAGATGATCGGCTGTGGTCCGAGGTCCCAGACGCGGTCAAGTAAGCTCCGCGTGGCTCTCGTGCAGTGGGCTGGAAAGACTTTGCTTTGAGGCTTCGCACAGAGGAGGGCACTTTAGGCTCATCTCGTCCCGAGTCTGGCTGTGTACCCCGCGGTCGAAGGGAATTGTTCGGGTCTCGTGATGGATCGGTGCTGACTTTGCGAGCACTCAAGCTGGCGCGTCTCGCTGAAGCACTGGTGGGCGCAAATGCGCCAGAGCTGATTGACTTGCGAGAAGCTCGCGCCCCGACAGTGGGATGATTACCTCCATTGGCGACCGGCTGAGCGAGACTTTGACGTCGCGATCGCGTGTTGCCAGAGGTCGTGAGCAACCCAGGATTTGGAACATTCTGACCGTGGAAGCGGGATACTTCGCTCTTCCGCCGGGCGGACGCGTTTCTTGTGCGATCCGAGATATTGCTCTCATAGCTGTTATTTGTCCAGGAGCTGTTGGTTGACAGGCCTGAGTCCCTATTTTCAGAGCCCGCGCCTCCATTTCCAGGCATGGGGAAGTGATTCAAGCTCGGCTCCGCCATGATGCTGTTGTGGAAGTCGTCAAAATTTATTGGCGCCAAAAAATCCATATTGTCCGGGGGAATTTGGGTGGTGTCTTGCTTCGCCAAATTTCCCACACTCGTAGATCGGAGATTATAACCCTTGGAATCGTTGGTGGAGTCAACCGATGAGGTTTCGGAGTGAAAATAGCCACCGGACGGTTTGCTATAAAAGATCATAATTAGTTATTATTGCCAAAATATCAATTGCCCGCCGCGAAAATCAGGGGGCAGTCAATACCCACCTCCAACGCGAAGCGTCCTGCGGTCGCGGCCCCTGAGGGGCATTGCCTCGAACAGACAATTGCCTGCGAGTTGTGCCCCCAACACGGGGCCCTGCTACACCCCTCGAGGGCTGAGAATCAAAATTGGTCGTAGAATTCGTATGGAAGGTGGTTGAAGCGGCCTTTACAAGACGTCTGCGGGCGGGGGTTTCCGCTATTTAAAAGTACGTTAGCAATCATCTCATTGCGTTACGAGGCTCAGCTCCCATCTAGCTTACCTCCGGAGCCCGAGTCATCGTTCCTAGACGGGTTAGATGAGCGGGATTGTACAGAACCAGCTTGACCCCTCCCTGGAGTTTGGGATGGGTTGGCGGGCATTGTTCCCAATCACGGTCCGATTGAAACAGGACCGATCCTTAAAAAGACAGCCCGATGCGCTGATCAGACCGAGAAGTGCCAGGAACTGGCCGCAATGGCATTCAGGAGAAAGCGGATTTGGAATCCCCACTCGGAAGAGCCTTGAGCACAGTCGCGCGACTCGTCAAATGGCGGTTACCGGTCCATATCGGGGCATAACAGAGGAACGGCCGTATGCGATGTCCGAGATAATGTGCGTTCGGGACTTTAGGGGGAGAACACTGAGGATGGGAGATTTCCAATCACTCAAAAATAATTTTGGTGTAGCTTTGGTCGTGTTGCTGGGGCAGGTGCTAAGGCGGTCGCAGGGTATCAGGATCCACCAACAAGGCACCACAAAGGGGATCAAGATGAAGTGGGAAATTCAAAGAACACTCAATGTGTCCTGAGAAGAAAGCAAAGGAAGAAGGTAAAAAAGCCAAAAAAACAGGAGAAACAAGACAAATCGCATTTAGTGTCGGAACTTCCCCTGATTGTAAACTGTGTTTGTATGGTACAACGGCTTACTAGATTACCCGCCATTGGAAATGAACCCCACATAGAACGTGCCGATCGCTGAAGGTAATATCGTATTAGCAATACACATAGTTAAGCCCTGGAGAAAATTATTTCTAGCCTTATTTAACAGGCAGAAAGTCGATCAACAGCATGTGCTCAGAACCATAGAAAGATCTCCCCTCGGCAGCTTTCCTCCTTCCAAGTTCCTGTTCTTGTCTACCTATTCCTCCAGATTCGTATACCATGCTATTGGTCTTCCAAGATGGATGATCCAGCTTCAGAAACTCGGACGAACCACAACCGAGCCGTCTCGGGCTCAGGCTTGTCCATGTTGAAGCCGCGGCACCAGAGACAAGGTTCGCCTGACAGCGCGCACTCGCGATCGTCTTCCATGTCCAAAAACTCCATTCAAGACAGGCTATTTAACAAGTAAGTGTCTGCCTAATACATGGAAGTGCATGTGATGAAGTGCAGTCTCTGATATAAACCCAGACTTCTACAACAAGTCATCCCCGCAGACGATGACGCGGAAACCGTCACCGGGGACAAGGCCATGGCAAACTCCCCTAAGAAACCACCATTTAGTCTCCCAGCAATGACAAATAACTTTCGTCGATTTAATGCAAGGTAAGTGCCAATTTACTCAGCGCCTCGAGGAATACTAGACATGAAGACTGATTCTCATATAGAATCGGTGTGGTGTTTCTCTTCCAGGCCCAGGCAGAGAGTCTGTTCAGCTGGAAAACGCCAACCCACACCTTGTCTTTCCTCTTCGTATATTCCTTTATCTGCTTGGATCCGCACTTATTATTGGTACTCCCACTGGTGATTTTCCTTCTCTTCATCATGGTGCCGGCTTTCCTGACTCGCCACCCTCCACCACCTTCTACATCTACCTCCAGCACGACACCCTATTATTCCTATGAGGGCCCGGCATTGGCCCCGGCAAAGACTATCAAACCGGCCCCTGAGACATCTAAGGACTTTTTCCGTAACATGCGTGATCTACAGAACTGCATGGCCGATTTCTCCGACGCTCATGATGCAACTGTCTCTGTAGTTGCGCCACTCACGAACTTCTCTAACGAAAAGCTGTCCTCGGCTCTATTCCTAGGGTGCACAGTGGCTACAGTGGTGTTATTCTTGACCGCGCATCTTGTACCAATTCGGCTGATCATGCTAGCGGCTGGGAATGCAGGTGTTTTGTCAAATAATCCCAAGGTGCGACAATTCTTCCAGGGTTTGATGCAGGATGTGAGCGGAGTAGGAGATCAAGATGTCTTCCTAAGTGATGAAGCTGAGCAAGAGTTGTTTGGACGACCGGTCCCGAAGACGCCATCCGCAGCCGCTTCAGCTCTGGAACAGTTGGCAGACATCTCCCTAGACACCGAACCAGAAGAGCGCGAGGTCGAGATCTTTGAAATACAACACCGAGCTCCAGGCGCTTCAGAATCAGGCTGGGAAAACTTCTTGTTCAGTCCACAACCGTATGACCCACTGTCTCCGTCTCGAATTGCAGGCGATCGGCCCCGTGGGTGTCGATTCTTTGACGATGTCCGCACGCCATCAGGGTGGAAGTGGAAGAGTAAGAAGTGGGAACTTGACCTAGACTGCCGGGAGTGGGTTGTGGAGCGCATGATTACTGGCGTTGGCTTCGAGGTTCCAGGTGTGGCACCAGAAGGAAATGCTGTCGTCGTCGACGAGGTAGGAGGCTGGGTCTGGGACCTTCCTGCTGAACCGTCTGCTAGTGAAGAAGAAGAAATGACTGGAATGGCCTATGGAGACTTGCCTCCAGAGAGAAAGCAAGATCGCACGCCATCAAAAGTGAACCGGGGCAAGGCTGCCACCCGAGACTGGGAAGAAGGAAACCCCGCTTCGTTCGGGGTGGGAGAATGGCGACGCCGTCGATGGGTGCGGATTGTGCAGCGCATGAATGCCCCCCCAGCTGGCACTACAACTATCACATACTCGACCCTGGGCCATTAATGTATAGTCACGAAATGAAATATGATATTTGCTCGATCCGAGCCACTATGTACTGCTTTAGGTTTATCTGTCATAGATATGCGTACAAACACTAGACCACTTTTTGTTTTCTGAAACACAACCCAGAGAACGCCCGAATCGCCGTAACCGAATGCTAGAGAGGAACGTGCAAGAGCCCAGTAATTTACTCCTGGGTCTGCTTCCACTGCTGCCACTTGTCGATTCTCCGCCGCAAATCTCCCACGCTCTGCTGCATAGGGTTGAGCTTGCGGTCCCGGACCATGGCCATAAGGTCATCTCCGTGCTTTTCAACGAGCCGTGAAACCCACTCGATTTCGCGAGTGCTCAGGTGTCGGGGCTTCTTGGTCTTCTCAGCAACACCCTCCTTGTTGGCCTGGCGCTCCAGCTTCTTCACAACATCAGTGTTGGAAGCATTAGTCTGGAAATCCAGAACCTTGTCCTCGATATCGTTCAAAGGGTCGTTAAGCGGGTTGGCGCGTCGGCGCAAGCGACCAGCAACTTCGATCTGCTCATCCTCACGAATGACACGGATAATGTTTCCAGTCTCGGGGTCACGCTCGACGCGGATCTCGCCGAGTTCGATCTGAGCAGCGGCCTTACCGCTGTCGCGGATCTGCAGAGAGTGGGAAGCATCGGCATCATCTTCTGTTCCGGGGAGGCGTTCACGACCACCGGTAGGAGCGTTCAGTTTGTGGAGAAGACCCAGGTTCTTGTAATTTTGTGTCAAAGTGAGGTTCTTGTCCCTAGATTCGGCATTAGTGTATTGATCTATTTTGATTTTTTCTTCAGATCGCTGCGTACCAGTTCTCAGCGATGATGGCGTTGCCCAGCACATTGATCTTCTTGTTACCGCTCTTGAGACGGCTGTTCTTGGCCCTGGCCTTAGACAAGCCGGACCGGTTCTTCTTCTTCTGCAAAAGTTTACCCATTTTGTTGTATAATAGGTGGTATTGGTTTGCAGATTGCGCGGCCCAGAAACTTTTTTTTTCGCCCTCCGCACGGAAGGCGGTGAAGTGCCAGAGTTTATCAGGGTCCGATAAGTGCTTAGTGGTGCGATGCCGGGTCGATAAGACCGCCCCCACGGCTTGTTTTGTTTCCACTTCTGCTCTCGGGGAACCTTCTCTTTGCTATACACACAATGGCTCCCAGGATGTTTTCTCGTCGGACAGGCCTTGCGATTGCCACAGGATGCTTTTTATTTTCGGCTTTAGCTGCGGCTAATGTTCGTCCTGGGGACATGTCTGTTAGCCAGATCGAGGAACAGCTGCAGGTACGGAAGAATATCCCAGCTCACCACGCAGTCAAACTTACATTACTAGAATTGCCCTCTTGTTGAATCACTCAACCAGCACAAACAGTCCACAGCCCCGGAAACTGCGAGTTTGACTTCCCAGATCTTCGCTGTTCTCTTCCCAGGAAGCCCCGCTGTGAACGCCTTGCTCGCGACGCTGTATATCTCCGGTCCCCCTAGTATGTCCATGAAGTCTAAATCGACACAATTGTTTTATGCTGACAGCTCAAGACTTCCTTCTGGCATTATGTCCTCCCAACATCGACCCCTCTTCTCTGTCCGTCATGGTCGCTTTCGCCGTCGGCGGATTACTGGGCGACACCCTGTTCCACCTCCTCCCGGAGATTTTCCTTGGTGAAGACTCCCCTGACCACGTCAGTTTCGTGATGGTCGAGCCAAACAAAAACCTGCTCCTCGGTCTAGGAATCATGGTTGGCTTCTTTACCTTTGTTGCAATGGACAAGACGCTGCGCATCGCAACGGGCGGCGAAGGGGGTCACGACCACTCGCACGGACATTCACACACAGAAGTATCCACCGCATCCACAAGTGGTGCGGACACTGGCAAGGCCGGTGATCTGAAGCAGCGCAAGTCAAACACCAAGTCCACAGATTCCGATGCCGCCCCCGAAAACGAGGAGAAGGAAATCAACCCTAGTGTCAAGCTGGGCGGATACCTCAATTTGATTGCCGACTTCACGCACAATATCACGGATGGTCTGGCCCTTTCTTCGTCATTCTATGCCTCGCCTACCCTTGGTGCAACCACCACTGTTGCCGTCTTCTTCCACGAGATCCCGCATGAGGTCGGTGACTTCGCTTTGCTTATTCAATCTGGCTTCTCAAAGCGCAAGGCTATGGGTGCTCAGTTCGTCACCGCCATAGGTGCCTTCTTAGGCACCTGCATTGGAATTGCGGTGCAGGAGTTTGGCGGAAACGGCGCTGTGCTGGAGGATGCGCCTGCTTCTGGTATTTGGGGCACTAGCCTCACTTGGGGTGACATGCTGCTCCCCTTCACTGCGGGAACATTCCTGTATGTTGGAACAGTGGCTGTCATCCCCGAGTTGTTGGAGACTGGAAAGAACAAGGGCGCCGAGGTGCGCAAGACCATTACTCAGTTTTTGGCCATTGCTCTCGGCGCGGGAATCATGCTTGCGTGAGTATCTTCATCTGGAACTTATTTTTGATTACTTGATTCACTGACTGGCTTATAGTATCTCTTGGCATTAGGCATTACCAAGCTTGGACTAGTGATATTTGGTAAGAGCTGCTCCACCAATAGAAAAAAGAAGCATTCTGAGCATCAAGAAGTCCGCGGGGACGACCTAGGTGGAAACATGTATCACCACTTTTAGTTTATAAAATATGAACTTAGTCGGAATTGATCAATTGTTCGGTTCTGTATTTACGAATTGCATCAGTCAAAACAAGACTGCACGTCTATATGTCTAGAATTTGGAATATACTCGAGAAATTCAAATGTTCATTTCTAACGCCATCAAACTCCTCATGTCTAGCGACTTGACCATAGACGACCTGATGATCATTTCCGTCATGTAAGCAACAGTAGAAATCAATTTTGATTGTCTGCAAGAAGAGAAACAAAACAATGAAAATGAGAAAATAAGGAAGACCCCCCCAGAAACCGAACAAGGACCCAGAAAAGAAATTATAGACGCCGAAGGATGTGCAATTTGCTTCATAAGCAAGGACAAGATGAAAATACATGATTGACGCACGGCGCTCAACCCATGCATAAGTTAAACCGAGATTTGCGAGTGGAAGACGAACACCAGTTACTCGTTATAGTGGTAGACCTGTATTGCATGTTAGTAAGAATCGATAGCATGAGAACCCAGATAGAGACCACATACAAAATAATCCGGCAGCCCAAATACAGCATATCCCAATCGTCGCGCCATCTTAGCGAAACCTTCCGTCTCAACAAGGTGGTAGAACGGGAAGGCAGGGAACATGGCGCCGTCACGATGTACATCCGCTTTCACCATCAAAGCAGTACCGCCAACTCCATCCAGGCCGACCATGCGGTGAGGATCGAGAGCAGAAAAGTCTGGCAGATACGCCATGAGGGTACGGTAAGTAGGAAGCTCCACATAGCCCTCGAGGAGGATCTCATCGGGACCCATATTCGCCGCCAATGCCTGCGCCTCTTCGCTATCCACCCACGAATTGTAGTCGTAGGGACGCACATCCCATTTGCGCTCTTTCGAGTCGTAGTAGCGCTGGAAACAGTTGGGCACAATGACAGGTTGGTCGTGACGTGTAAGGTCCTGGATGAGTGTTGGGGGAGTCTCGATAATATCGGCATCGAGCCAGAGGACCCATGATGTGCTTGGCCCAAGGGTTGTGAAGACGAGGCTGTTCCGGGCGCGACTCATGGACTCGCGGCGTTCCTTCTGTGCGGCCATTTGGTGACGGACCTTCTCATCTTGGGATTGGATCGGCGGGTCAAAGTCCTGGCGCAGGATGGAAATGCTCGCGAACCGGTCGTCAATGGGGCCTGATTGCGTGCGGGAGATTGCTTTCTCCAGAGCTGCGACGGCAGCGTTGCCATCTTTTGTCTTGGGAGCGATGAATCCAAGAGATATAAGCTCATGGGGATAGGTCAGTTTCTCCAGGTTATTCCAGTATTCTGGGAAGAAGCGAGCTAGCGGGGTGAGGATGAGAATGCGCTCGCCGTTGGCTGCGGAGGTGCTCGTGCTAGTGAGGTTGTTGAGATCGTATTGAACGACCGGTGGAGCCGCCTGGTAGCCATCACTTCGAATTGGCTGTGACGTGAGGAAGGGTTTCGTTGGTGGGGAGAGAGGGTGTTCAGCTGCGTCGTTTTGTCGCTGTTGCGATGTTGCGGCGGCTGCTGCGGAGGGTGTGGAGGGCGATAAGAGGAAACAGATGAACCCAAAGGCCAACAGAGCTGCCAGCACAAGGCTGGTGGGGCTTGTACGGCGCATTGAGCGTGCGACGGCCATGGCCGTTCCGACCAAATGTCCAATTTGAAGATGTACAAGTGTTGGAAGTGGCCGGACGCTCAATCTGAAACGGCGATCGACCTAGTGCCTCAGGCAGCAAGGGTCTAGGATCAAACCTTGGCTAACCTAAATGGCTTCGCTAACGAGAGTATGATAATAATGACCCCCTGTCGTTTAAAGGCGGATGAGCAAGGATAAGTGAGGGAAGACAAAGGAAGAGAAGAATAAAAACTTGAAATGTACTTTTGGCCAACCGGAAAGAGACATGGCAGGTACCTTTCACTATACTACACTATCAACCACAGCAGCCTCGGCCTACAATGGATCCAATACCAGCATGGTCTCGGAATCGACTCGCCGAGGATGCCGAGAGTCCAGAAACAGTTGCCCGAATCCCTGTTGACCGAATGCGGCCCCATGTTTTGATCGTGAACATTCTTGAGCTTGGACCCGTGCGTTTCCGTCAAATGATGTAAGGACATTCGAGAATTGGAAAGGATTAGATATCCATGGATCTTCGCGATACGGGTATATGTCTATGTTCTATTGTGTGACTATTTTCCAAGTCTTAATATGTACATTTCGAACTCATAAAAGCCTTGTTCATGGCAAAGCCCGCATCGCTCCCTCGAATGCAACCAGGGCCATAGCATTCGCCGGGAACGCCCTGATAAAACATGGCACGAAGCCCCGCCAGTACCCTTTCCACCCACGTTCACGCCCAACAGCCACAACCGCATCTTTCCAGCTGTGGAAACGTCTTTGTCCGTCATTGAGAGACCCGCCCATCGGATCTGTCATCAGACGCTGTTTCACCACGTCCGATGGGTATGCGGCGACCCAGAAGACCTGAGCTGAGATGCCACCAGCCCAGAAATTTATTGCAGGAGCTGAGAGGCTTGTGTTCTTCTGCATGTAACGAGTAATCAAGTCGTAGGAACCCCACCAACAGAAGAAAAAGGAGCGGAAAAACATGGTAGCACACAGACCACGGTACACCCCACTGATACCATGTGTGCGAAGCTAAATCCAGCCTGTCAGCAAATCGATTCATGGTGCCAAGATGTCCTTTAAGCTTACAATCTTGCGAATGCAGTCAATGGGACCGCTATACATGCGATTGCTCTTGTCAGCAGCATACTGCACCTGAAGCCGAGCCTTGATGTGTTCAACCGGGGCGGCAACGAGGCTAACCGTCATTCCCGACATGACACCAGCGATACCATGTCCAAATGTTGGAAGCGTTTTCAAGTCAGGTTGGCTGCGTGTAAAAGGGATGTATGGGCGGAGGCCGGGGTTAGAAAAGACGTTTTCCAAGAGTAGTCGTCGGTATAGTGTCAGTGACCCCAGCATACTGAATCAAATCATGATGTTAGCGTCGAAATGCCTGTTGCATCGTAGGAGACACCTACACAGAGTCCATCACCATCCATCCAACCAGCGGTGGACTTGCACCCTTGTACAAGCCTCGCACACCCTCTTTCCGTATTGTCTGCATGGTGCAATCTAACGGTCCCCGAAAGTGGCCATCTTTGCTGGTTTGAAGGCGGACTTTAATTGTATCGAAGCTGTCCAGAAATAACGCGGTCAATAAGGACAAAGGGAGTACGCGGAGGATTTCGCGGAACGTACGGATGGCCAACTAAGAGATGAAGACCGTAAGCAATCATTCAGGGTATAGCAGGAATTTTGGGGAGAGTGAGCACTGTTGCAATCGACTTACCACTCAATTTTGCAATACCAGAGAATATCCCACCCACAAAGCCTTTATAGTCTTTCTTGGCGGAGGTAGCGGGAGCTGATGCGGGTTTGGGTACTGGCGCAAGATTCGTACTGCCCGCTCTTTGGGATGAAGAGCTGTGTTCCGTCATTTCGAAGGTGTGAAGATGGCAAAGGCGCCTGCGCCGATGTAATCAGCCCAGAGAATCAAGAGTGGAGCGTCAGCGCGTCTCGATGAAGCGGAGAGGTCGCGCGACAAGCAGGAGCAGAACGCAGCTCGATTGCGGCTGGCAGGGCTGTGGATGAGGTTGTTTTTGCTGAGGAGGATGTCGCGCGGGGTCCTGAACCGGACTTATGGGGTAAATAGCAAGGAGCTGAGAAGGGCGAAGAGAAGAATTGGAACTCTTCAATGATCGGCCATGATGGCCCCGCATCTGCTGGTTTCTTTCGGGGAGGAAGGGTGCGGCTCCGGGATCAGATCCGATCTCGCAGACACCTCAGGTGTGAAGGGCTTCTGCCAATTAGCGACCAGGGGGGTCTGAACAGCCCAACAAGTACCTTGATGCTACGCAAGCGCAACAAAATGATATTTTCTCGATCATTGCTCACTGAAACTAGAAGACCATGCTTTGAAAAAAAGAGTAAGAACTTACCAATAAACTTCAACACCGGAATAACTGATCGAACCTACCAAATACCCGTCCTTGGGAATCAATCCTCGGGGCGAAATGAGCCACAAGGAACCACCTCTCAAAATAGCATGGGTGGCAGACTTTCAGTGATCGGCCATTGGACCTTCTACAACCGGTACAGCCGACTGAATCAGGACATTGGATCTTCAACAAGCAGTATAGCCGACTTAGTCTGGGATTCCGTTTAACCCTTCCGCGTGAGCAGTAAATTTCCGTCAACCAGGATTCTTCCAGAGGCACTTTATCCGTTCCACGTGGGCAGTGGGATTCTGTGCGCCGGTTTTGGAAAAGACACTCTTTCCGTTCTGCGTGAGCAGTCATTGAGTAATCTCGTGAGAGAAGCTCCGAGCCGTCTTGTATGCACCACTCATTCTCGCCGCGTGAGCAGTTTGACCTTTCGTGAGCATAAATTCCTAAAGTCAATCAGACTCTGTATTTTAATGTCAGCAAATATCTCAAAGAATTTACCTCAATTAGCTCCAAAGAACAATGATTGAGATATTGTCATTAGATTTCCAGCTCGAGTTCCTAATTAGTCGGGTCAGTTGAAACAAAGGTCCCACATGGATGCTTCAATAGAATAATGCCTTGATCGCCTTCATTAGGGAGACGAAGAGATCGAGAAGATGGAGGAGATGGAGGAGATGGAGGGAGGAAGAAGGATGTAAAGATAATGACGAAGAAGTAAAACCAAGAGGAGTGATTCAAGTCTGTCAGTGCCTGAGAAGTGCTGCCTCGTTCTTTCCATAGACTATGAACTTGGGGTGTTTACCTATTCCCTCTTAGGGCGCTCCTGCCTTGCCAAACAGGAGTCGATCCAGCTCATTGGGTTTGATCTGATTTCACGTGGGCTGCTCAATGGAAAGGATTTGTATGTTCGTGCCGAACCAAGGCATAATGCCAGGCCTTAGATATGTATATTGGATCACTTTGGAAATTCTGGAGTCGATATGCATATGATGGACTAAAGGGGGTATAGATACATGATGTCGTAATGAAAGGGGCAACATAAGCAATAGTTGCCCTTGAGACAAATGAGAAAGGATAGGAAAAACAAAAAACCCCGTGCACGGTCAGATACTGTAGTTCTCAAGACCGTGTTTTCATGCCCGAAACACCAAAGAAATATAGGGATGTATAAAACAATGACAGTCAATGGGTGTCAGTCTTTCAAAACCAAGAAAGCAAGACAACAAAACCAAGGAAATTGAAATTTGAAAATGAAAAGCTTAACGATAACGGCCCTCTGCAGTAGCAGTAGCTGCGAGGGTATCCGTGCACGGATATTGGCTCAAGCCACAGCGTCATCGGCCCTTGGGAGATTTGCGGCTCTTCTGGCGAGCCTTTTCTTTTTCTCGGGCAATCAGCTTCTCCACCAGCTCTGGAGGGGGTCCGACATGCTGGGAAGTGGCTTCCCGCATGGCAAGATCATTGCCGAGAGATCCGGCGGCGAGGTAATCGCCTGCTTCGAGGACAAGGGGAGTGACCGGGCCGGGACTGAGAAGTGGGTCCAGGCGCGGCGCGGACGGTCCCTGGCTTGTACCATCCAAGAGATCACGGTACTGAAGTTTCATCTCCCTCGATCCCGAAGTGGTGCGGTATCCATGGGATTGGCGGGATTGGCGAGGCGAGGGCGGTTGGCCCGTCACAGTGTGAGAGGTAGGACCAGGCTGATAGACCGCGGGGTGGAAGCGGGGCAAAGTTCCGAGATGGAAGCCCGGCATGGCCTTGGCTGAAGGTTGGGCACGCGAGGAGCGTGAAGGTTGGGGTGAACTGGGCCGTCTAGGCGACATAGTGGGCGAAGCAACCGGCGAGTAGAAGGGAGATGTATCAGAACGCATGCTTGAGTATCGGCCGCGGCGGCCGGATGGTCGTGGGGGCAAAATGTGCCGGGATTTGGCGGACAAGGAGGCACGTTCCCAATCGTCCAAATAATCGTCGTGATCGAAGCGGCCCGTGAGCGGTGTGACAGGCAGATCGTCGTCGTAGACTCGAATTGCTCGTCTGGGGATGGGAATTGGACGAGTAGAGGAGGAGAGAGCAAGAGATTCAAACGCTTCGGTGGGAGGAGAATCGGAACGGTAGTAGCGTGGGGATGGGGGATTATAAGTTGACGAGGTGGAGGTCAAGTCCCGCAAGGAGGACAGGGAGACCGGAGTGGGGTAACCGTGCCTCAGAATCAAAGTTTCAAGATGGTCCCTCGGTGACAAACGAGGTGAAGGAGAGGAGAGCCCTATGCATGCGATCAGAAATGGACGTAATTACGGAATGCGCACACGTGTCAAGCGAAGTATGGAATGTAGATTTCCAAGATTGACGGAATGTGTAGCAAGGAAGATGGAAATTCAACTATGGAAGCATTCCACTTACCTGAGAATGAACTGCTAAGCGAAGAGGGGTAATAAGACGATTCCGAGGACGAAGGAGATTTTATTTGTTTTCTGCGCATCTGCCCTTATATTAGTGGGGATTTTCTCATATTTTCCTACACTGTCTTCCAAGGTTGCGGGGATTCCCGACTCCACTCGGGCCCATTCTCAATCAATGCCAGGACATGGCGTCATTTTTCTCTTTGGCGTCTCTTTTGTGGTTGCTTCATAAATTCTCATAGGCTATTTCCCATGCCTATTTCCGAGATCCACTTTTGTGACATCCATGGCTCCCGTCCCGGATGGCGTCGGTACCTGACGACGAGAAGGAAAAAAAAAAGTCTAGAACTTCAAACTCACCATTGAACTGTTGAGACCGCCGAATTCAGTCTTGGCCTGATTTGATCCACCAGGCTCCCGCTTCCCCCACCGATTCGTTGCTGTACAGCATATGCCGTGTAATCCGGGTGGAGAGGTAAAGTTCAAGGGAAAATAAATAATCGGCAGATAGAAATATGCACAGACAGTAACTCAACGGGTACAAACATTCCCTTAGAAAAGACAAAGAGGAATGTCCTTTTTAAAAAGAAAAAGCTCCGGCCAGGCACCTGTGAAACCTCGATGACTCCTCTTCGGAAGCTCAGGCTTGTTTCCCACGCGGCTGCGCCTGGTGACCAAAGGGGTTCGTTCCAAGGCACAGAGACAAAAAAACCCCGGGAACAAAAAAAAAATAGGTGATATATTACTCTATAACGATCATCCACAGGCTCAATCGAGTCTGAAAGGCGGAGCTCGACAGGGCAACGGGGGCTGAAGATCTCCGACCAGGCGCGGTTGATCGCCTGCCGGTCATGCGTGAGATACGACCAGGTCATCCTGTGATTCGCACGCGTCCAGATCCATAATGGGATGACGTCCTTCCTCCCGCGCACTTAGAGCGTAGTGACCACTCAGAGCTCAGGGCGGCATCAATGTTTCCTGCACCCCTCAAGGGAGATCCTATCTGACCACTCAGAGTCGCGGCCGCCCTCAGCGTTCCCGATCAGCCGACACCTAATCAACGACCCAGCAGGGACGCATACATCACTTCTGATTGGTACAGATCCATTACGAATGCCACTGATTGCGCCTCTTTTATCCGCACACCTACATTGCTGGAGTTGTGTGTGGGTGTCTCGGAGGAGTGACTATTATTGATCTCTCACCCCCACCACACCTGGGCTTGTCCGCACCCCCTTGGAGGTGTGAGTCAGAAGATAGCTCCTGGCTGCTATATCCATGGTAGGATTATGGGTTGCAGAAACCGCATCCTGGCCGTTGGGTCGATCTGGATTGTCCCGGCTTGCCCGTTTTCAGACTCTGCAGAAGTTCATCATGGAATAAGCTAGTCTGTGCAGAATAAGGTGATGCGACATGAGATATTCCCCTGCATATGAGTGACCCCCCTGGCTTAATGCATATAGAATTACCCCTCCTGGCTTTCCCATTACTGTCATTCGACTACGGTCCAATTACTCTTTGTGTCCCCTACCCACGCACATACCATATCACTGCTGCAGTAGACTAACTCGATGAGGCGGTTATACCGACTTCAAATTTGGTTCTCACTCGATACTTCCATGCTGTTTTGAGACCAAAACAGCCTCAGCTGCCAGCCAAGCATGCACGGCTCCACTTCAAGTCTCTATGGCTACATGCCAATGGACCTTTTGCGACAGAGCAGTATAGGTGTGAGGGCTTCTTCAACCAGGGTCGCAAGCCATTATTCCGTCACGCGCTTCATTTATTCCATAAAGAAAACTGTTAACGACAGCACTCGGTGCCGCAGTTGCCAATCCAGTTATCCAAATAGGCGAATATGTATGCAACAACCTTGCCACTATGCCTGCAAATCCACATCACGACCCACACAGTTCGTTTGCTGCTCCACTATGCACTTGGTAGCCCCGATCAAGGTGGCTCGGGCGTGCGTTATGTATGTGGATCCGCCGAATAAGGTGCCTATGCATAAAGACGCACGGGAGTGCGGCTTGAGAGGATCCCTATGCCTGAGCAAAGGACCGAGTAGATAGAGACTGTGGGTGCAGTCCGCTCAAATGCCCCGAGATCAATCCATTTTTGACTTGATATAGTTGCCTTGAATATAACCTTCCAAGATTTAGGTGTAACCTTCGCCCACAGCGCATCTGACTAGCCATTCTAAATATATCTTGTCTGTTGTCAAGCAATGAATGAATTATCCTATTATCAAAATTCTTGACCGCTACCTAGAAGTAATCGTGTATCTTACTAACAGAATACAAAATAGTTGCGATACGAGCTCGGAAGTTGGTAATGCGCTTTATCATACTTGGTCGAGATAGGACGGCTAAACCTTGGAAGTACTTGTTCACCGACATCATCCATAGATCAACCCCGCAATCACAACCCGAACACAACGACCACACCCACGTCACACCGACAGTATGGGCATGAAAGCACGCTGTCAGTGCTCACAGGTGCAATTTACCACACCAACCGACAAGCCACTCGCACTTTACGCATGTCACTGCACCGAATGTCGTCACCAAAGCTCTGCCGCCTTCGGCATCACCGCCATCTTCCCCTACTTCGAGCTACCGGATTCAGCATCTGATCTGATTGGAAGATATACTCGCATTACGCTCAAGGGCAGATACATGGAATGTTTGTTTTGTAAGAACTGTGGCGCGCGACTGCTACATCTCATCCATGACACGGCACCTGTGCCTGGCGAAAAGCCAAAGCCTACTTCAACTGCGAATGTGAAGGGTGGTTGCCTTGAGGATTTGGACAAGCAAATGATGAAGAATGTTGTCCACATATGGACTAAGCACGCAGTCGTAGAGATTCCTGAGGGCGCAGAGAAGTGGGACGAAGCGCCGCCAGTTGTGAATCCCTTGAAACGTTAATGGCTCCACTGAGCTTCAAAGATTTATATTTATGAGTTCAATTCTGGGGTTAAAATGAAATGATTCATGGGTCAATATTCGTATTTCATTATCCCTGATTAAATATATCCTTCAATACCTTCGCGTACACAGATTATTCCAACGTCGACAACAATAAAATCATTCAGCCGAGATGAGCGGACCAGCCGTTGTCAGCCGAAATACAGCCTCCGTTCACGATGCCCACTCCTTTTCCGCCAGCCATATACAGAGATAACTCGGCAGCGTCTTCCAGCTCACATAACGGGATTTGGAGCGTCTTCATAACGGCCGTACATCTGTTCATACCATCGACATTCACGCCCGATTGGATCGATTCGAAGATGTTGGTGTGCATACCACCCATCATCAAAGCATTACACCGAATACCCTTCTCGCCATAGAATGCCGCCGTGTTCTTGGTCAGACCAACGACGCCATGTTTGCTGGCAGTATAGGCCGCACCTGAATAGAATGAACCTTAGACATGGCTCGCGAGAGTCAAAAGAGGAAGTAATAGCAACATACCAGCAGCACATCCCGCCTTACCAGCGACGGAGATGATATTGATAATTCGTCCTTCAGGTTTCTCCTGCTCTAGCATGTTGCGAACAGCCAATTTGCTCAACATGAATGGAGCCGTAAGGTTGATGGCAATAACCCGATTCCAAAGCTCGGGATCAAGGTCACCGATGGGATCGAACTTATCCATGATGCCAGCATTGTTGACAAGAACATCGATTTTGCCGAATTCCTGAATAATCTCCTTGAAAAGACTCTCCACTTCATTCTGATTGGTAATATCGGTTTTGACGGCCTTGAAAGGTCCCATAGGCGAGAGTTCCGTCGAAGTCTGCTGGAGACGTTCTTCATTGATATCGCAAATTACCACATTGGCGCCAGCTCCGAGGTACTTTGTTGCAATGGCCTTGCCCAGGCCACCTGCTCCACCGGTAACAAGGCATGTTTTGCCGACGAGGATTTGTTCAGTCATTGTGAAATATTAATGGTTGTTGAGAAAGAGGGGAATATCATGGCACGGGCTGGATTTAAGTAATTGGTCCATGTTGGTGACGGAAGACTGCGTATCCGATTTCCGTAGAAATTAGCTCCCCTATTATCCACTGTCAGGTCCGCATTTTGCGGGTCAGCTGTTGAGTATCCGGGAGGGACTACAAGTCGAACCACCCCTGGAGAACAGGGTTCCCGAGCGGTAAAGCTATATGCCGACCGCCACACAAATTTCGCTAGTTGTCAGACTGGATCAAGGGCTTTGCGAAATGATTGAGTGCCATATGTGCAATTGAAAATCTCTATTATAATGGTGTAATGAAGAGCTGTTCACCCTGATCCCTGATCTATAAATGCAAGTTGTGTGTATTCCAAAACTGGTGATTCGCTGTCATTTGGCGTATTCGACTTACATAATACGTAAGTGTGGGGCCATTTGAGCCGCCGCTTTAAGTGCTCAGTAGATGTCAGCACGGCTGTTAGCAATTGATTCAATGCTCCTTAATTTACAGCCCGTCCATTAAACAGATACCAACGGGAGAAGCAAGTACGAATCCCATTCACCTCCAGTATGAACAACATGATTTCCTTTGTTACATAGCACCGGGCGACAATCACTTGGACGAAGATGCTCCTTCATATTCCGCCCCGAGATAGTCAACCGTAGCTCTTCACCGGCATTGCAAACCATTCCATAGGGCCAGAATGCAATATCAAGCGGGACAATCTCACCAGGCTGTAGCAAAAGCCTCTTTCCGTGAGAATAAACTGGATGGAACAGAGAACTTTTCTCCTCATCCAACTCTCGATGACTCGCCCGAAGGCAACCCATTGGACCTGAATCAAAATACCCATCGCAGTCCTTGGAATCAGCAGCATGACGACGAAGAAGTTCCTTTCGCGCTGGCTCGAAATTCTCGGAAAGCCTGCCGACGTCGACTAGCAGACTTTCCATAACTTTTCCACTCTGAGAATTGTATTTTGCCAAAGAAGCAAAGATGTCCATGTCGTCTGCCCCCTGCGCTTCTACCCATATTCGTAGCTTGATGTAGCCTGTAATTTCCATGTAAGAGGGGACGGTCATTTTGAATTGAACTTGTTCTTTGCTCGAGTCGTAAGAAATGTTGCTGGGCGCTAGCAGAGGACTTTCTTGCAGTGTCGAAGTTCCCGCATTCAAAAAAAGCTTTAATGGTACCTGGCGTTCCAAAGGAAATTTTTTTTCTGGTCGGTTCATGATATCGGATCCTCCAGGATTGTGGGCACACATTCGGACTGGAGGTGTGTATTTCCAATCATTGTTGATGCCTTTCATGTAATGATCATAGAATCGGCGTAGATCCAACACACTGGCCTCGTCATAGAAATCTGATAGAAGAGATATCAGCATTGCAGAGTAAGATTCAGACATTGGGGAATATACCTGGCCACTCGTGGGAGTTGTGAACTCTCAACCATTTCTCTGCGCTTCCAACTTTCTGCCATGCACTAAAGGTGCCGTTCACATGCAGAGCGTTCGTCCAACTGGACACCATATAGATAGGACAATCGATCTTCTCGACTTCCGGACGAAACCTTTTCCAGAAATTGTTCTTCAATGGATACTTGTAAGCCATTGCCTGGAAGTCTATAACCTTGCTTCCCTTTGCTGATGCAATATCCCCACGGCACATTCCATCTATGAAGCCAGGATTCGGGATGCCTGACAAAACAAGTATCAGTATGGGATTTCATTCTCCGAAATGCATAGATAGTATCGATACCTCCTCTGCAAACCTGGTCGTCGTACAAGTCAAATATGCCTTCCCAGGGAGCCAAACAAGCAAGATGAGGCGGCCTCTCCGCTCCGGTATAGTATTGAGTCATAGTCAAATAACTGTTGCCAGCCATTGATACTTTGCCATTGCACCATACCTGCGCAGCGAGGAACTCGATGATATCGTAGTTATCTTGGCCTTCTTTCTCGGTTGGCATTTGGACAATCTCTCCATCTGACTCCCATACGCCTCGGCAGTCTATCATTGTCAGTTGAATTGTTTGGCACCCCGACCGACGTAGGAAATTACCAGTGTGAGCAATGGCATAACCGTGGTAGCACCAGTATCCTGGGTCCGGACCTTCGAACTTCTCTAGACCAGATGTAGCGATTCGCGGGCACCCAAACCGCCAGGGCCATTGATTGAAGTGCCACTTGTTCGGCCCTCCATCTTTACCGAAAGGACCCGCAGCGATAATGCAGGGGACGGTGCCATCTGGTGAATCTACAGGCCTATAGACGTCGGCATAGAGAGTTGCCCCATCGCGGACGGTGATTGCGACGTGATTCTCAACAAGGATGTCGGAGAGAAGGGGCCGGTGACCGTCCACCTGGACTGTACCAGCTTTGAGGACGTGCACTGATTTTGTAGGTGGTGTATAGTGATGCCTCTGGGTGATTGTGGGTGTCGGGAAGTATACAATATCCTCCTCATTGACGTATGGGAGCTCGGTTGATTGAGACGTTGTCATCTTCGGTAGAAGCAATCAGGTGCGAATTGAATAACAAGTGAATTGAAGTGCTATAATTCCATGGGGGGACAGTAATTTTGGATAAGGAAGCTTTTGCTCTTTAAGAACACCTCCCCACTTTCTAGCTCTTTATTGTTCAAGTGTCCAAGATACATAAAATCAAATGTGGGGAGTGCCGAGGGGTGATCTCCACGGCAAAGACCCGAGGACCCACAAATGCCGTGGAGAAGATATCCACCACTCCGGTATGGATAGTTTGCTGAATGTCCTATTCGTTGCCAAGTCCAAATGTCAATATTGCACTATTTGACGATAAGTTCCGCAATTCTTGCATTTATGGCCTACAATTATTACAGTGCATCGATCCTCTTCGGTTGTATGAGGACAGTGAGAACCAGACCCAGGACCACAAATCATATGCCGCTAAAACCTCAGACAAAACTTTTAGTGAAGCCATTGCATAGTACTTTAATAATGCGCAGAAACTGGAGTCAAACGTAGGCTACTTTAAGTTCACGGGAAAGAAGTTCATTCCGAAGAGAAGTTTTGTATCTTAGTTAAACGAAGCAAAAGCATAGAAAGATGCCTGCTCTTACTCGGATGGTCCCATTGTAAAGTACACATAAAGCACCGAAGCTGTACTTAGTCCCCTATGCCTGTCCTTAATCCTCTTCATCTTTGTCGGGAACCTCTTTGGGGACATTCGGCTCTTGGCCTTGGTCCTACTCAGAATCGTCCGCTGGGACAAGGGCCTCGAATTTGGTCTCGGCTTCAGCCTCGGGCTGAGGCTTGCGCTTAGTGGGAGTGAGGGGGGCATCGTCTCCGAGGTTCTTCAGGAGCTTCTTCTTGGTCTTGCCGTACACGGTTTTGGCGCTAGCAGGCTCGACATGGGTTTTCTTGGCAATTCTGTCAAAGTCAACCTAGTGAGATTATCAGTCAGTGTATGGACCAGAAACGTGTATCGTAAGTAAAACATCAAGATGAAGGAATGGGCAATGAAATAAACAAAGAGGGGCATAGATTCTTGATCAATCTTTTACTAACCTTGCCATCATCATTCACGAAAACCGTAGAGAGAAGGAGAAGGCGCGTCTCCGTCCCAGTGAGGCCGAAAGTGTCACGTTGGGTAGAGCTTGCCATCATGAAGGTTCTCAATGAGTGCAACTTGGAAGGATGGAAGTTGAAATGTGGACGTCGACAGAAGGAGGTTGGATGGGCGGAAGTGGCAAGAGTAAAAGTTGAATGGAGGAAAGAATGAATGTGTCGGAATAAGAGAGGCTGATATCATAACAAGAACCCTAGCAAGCCTAAAATGGACACTGCAGTATAGATCGCGATCAACAAGCATTCGATGACCTACGCTCATGAGTCACATGTACTGACGGGACTTAGAAATCGCTTTCTCTCTGGCTTTAAACTGGTCGCGCGGACATGATTCAAATTTAATAAAGCGAGGAGAAGAAGGCTCGCAACAGCCAGATTGATAGCTTGTATGGAATTTGGTAGTATCTAATCCCGACTGTGGGAGACGAGGAAGCCCAAGCAGTCTGAAGAGGATTCAGTTGATAGGCCATAGGCCGTGACTTTCGTCGAACAATACTTCAAAATGCATGCTATTGATTAACACTGTGCGCTAAGCGTCAGAAAAATTCTTCGATAGAGGAGAAAAACGATGTGAAGCTGGCCAGCATCAAGCTTGTGTTTGACAGAGTGAGATACCTAGAGGAATCATGGTGAGAAGGTAACGACCAGTGAGGGCCCATTGGAAAAACCTATCAACATTGGAATCTGCCATATACCATTGTACTAATCTATCAAACAAACGGCAGGATAATTCGACTGCGATGCTTCACCCCATAATGAACATTGTGTACCCCCTTATTCACACCACTCTTGGAACCACCGGCCAAAGGCTGGAATGCAGCAATAGACGGGTTGTAACCAAGAACATGCACTTCTAGAGACTCCCCGGCAGCAAAGTCAATTCCCATCGCCCATAGGCCAATCTCGAGCTCAATGACCTCGCCACGAGGCGCTGGAAGCAATTTCTCATGAGGATGGAATGGATATTGTGGGTGGATAGATCGGGACGCATCAATCTCGCGGTGGGAAGCACGTAGCATTCCAACCGGACCGGGATACAGAATCAGATCGCTCTTATCCTTGTCTTGGATATCATCGATTTTTGCCACGGGGGCGCGCTCCCAAGGGACGTTCAAGGCCACTAGCCTTTTGCCATCTTTGTCGAGTTTCCGGATGATCACAAATACATCCATGTCATCTGCATCGTTACAAGATACGTACAATATAGCCTTTGGTAGGCCGATCAGGCGCGTATCCTTCTCGAAAGTATATTTGAATCCAACCGTCTCGGGCTTGGTCGAATCATAACTGGTAACCCCTTCTTCTATGGATGAATCCATAAGCTGACCATTGATAGAGAAGAAAAGCTCTCGGTAAGTTGTGTTGGGTAGAGGAAAATCATCGACAACAATATTGTGTTCGGGATCTTGCTCGCCAAATTTCAAAGCAGTCACACGAACCCGTGGAGTCTTCTCCCATCCATTGTCCATTTGTTTCAAATAACGGTCAAAGAACATCTGAAGCTCATCTTGGGATTCTTTCTCGACCCAGATGTCATACCATTCTTGCCAAGGCCCTAGACGGAACCATTTATCCTTTGCGGCAACCTCTAGCCAGCCACGAATCGAGCCCATGACATGGACGTTGCTCGAATAGCTTCCGGTAAGATAGGTAGGAATTGTGATCTTGCTCAAATCTGCTCGTTTATCATCCCAGTAGCTGTTGCGTAGTCCCTTACTCCGGCGATACATCTCCTTGAAGTCCTCCATGCCATGGTGTCCCTGAATAAAGACACTGGAAATGTAGTCGAAAAAATCTCCATGCCACATTCCGCCTCGACCAAACTGTTCGCGGAAGAGATCCGAGCATGCTTCCCAGGGCGCGATGGCCTTCAATGACGGAGGCTGTTGCGACGCGACAAAATACTGTGTGATGGCAAGGTGGGAATTTCCAACCATCCCAACAGAACCGCTGCACCAGCCCATCTTAGCTAGGCTTTCAACAACGTCATAGCCGTCTTCTCCCTCTTGCGTTCCCATGATGACGACTGGCCCGTCCGAGTCCCCCGTTCCACGTGTATCGGCGCTGATAATAGCATAACCACGGGGAATCCACTCAGCGGGGTCGGGGGCCTCGAATTTCTCTAATCCGGAGAGATGACCATCGGGAACACCAACATTCCAAGGTGTCATCATATTCAACATGCTTATACCACTGAACTTCTTGCCGAAAGGACTAAATCCCAGAAGAGCAGGGACTTTGTTGAGGGGACCGGTGTCTGGAGATCGGTAAATATCGCAGTAGAGACGCGCTCCATCGCGGACTGTGATCTCGACATCGTGCTCAACTAGTATGTCACATGGCAGAGCTCGAGATCTGTATCCATTCCAGCCTTTCTGAAGAATTTCCTGTTGACCATTTTTGAAGCCTTGGTAATTGTTGCGGCCGAGTCTTGGAGGGTCAATGGGTTTTGTCGCGATGAAGACTGGAGGAGGCATTATGGGGAATAAAGATACTGTATCAATTGAGTTTGCAATACAAAGTGCCTGGAAGGAAACACTTTGTTCGCATATCTAGGGCACCGGCTGAATATATTGTTTGTAAATCGGATTCCGTGGACAGAGGTGGAGATGTGGGGTGTTCCGGCGTCACTCTCGGACCTCGTATCCCGTGGAAAAAGATGGAGATGAGATTGGCAATATTTCCCCTCAGGCCTGATATCCTTGAGCTCCACGTAGCAGGAGGTATGCTACTCAATCTGGCTGGTTGCTTACCAAGTCACAAAGTTGCATAGTTCGATCGGAGGGGTACACTTCGAATATACTTTATTAGATAATTAATCAGACTAGTTCATCTGCCTCTATGGGGTGCTCTACATCCACAGGCCAGAATTGCATCGACATGAGTGCATTCGAGTTCCCATTTAACCCAAAGAAATCACCAAAAGAAAAGTCGATCTCAGATTCCTCAGCCATGGGTACGCCATGACCATTTCCAAGACCCGAGTTGACAGGATCTGGAGCAGCAATTGATTGCGACAACATTCGCTGCTTTTTGACGTCAATAGCATTTAGGAGCGAGTCCAATAGAGCATCGAACGATGATATTGCTAAGAGATTATCATTGCTCTTGGAAAAGCAGTGCCGCATAGTCTTAAGTAGGGCAATATCCGTCTCCGTCGTCCACTGAACAATATTCTTCATGATACCAATGTAAAGCGTGAATAGCACATTCAAAATATAGGACGTTGTCCACCTATTAATAATGGTCAGCATCGGATTAGAACGTGATAAGGCGTCGTGAGGAGCACATACCTGACAATTGGCCAGCTCAAAGGTGTACTGACAAGGTCATTGAGAGTCCGAGCGAGAGCGCGACCTGAATTGAGACAAACCACTTCTGCAAAAAGCATGCGTGATTGACTCTGTTGATGAGGCTGTAGAGGGACCTCCCCAAATAAAGCAGCTCTATGAAGAACAAGCATCGTGTTGTAATACATACAATGCAGCAGTAGGCAACCAACCGATTTCAGACGGGTATTGGCCCCGGTCAAATCTTCATCAATCCGGAGCCCTGAAGGAAAGCTTTCCTTCCACAAAAGTAGTCGCTGATCCATTGCTTCAATTTCTTGTATCAGACTAGGGTTATCCTCTGCCGCTGTACAGAACAATCGAGAAATCATTGCTGATTGTATTTGGCATAGTTCTACCATCAGCCCGAAAAGCGACTCATCCTCTGGGAGTATCATATCTGAAGAGGGCGTTCGACAGAGATCACCTGGAGGGTCAACATCACATTCAGCATCGTTTATCGCAGATGGCCGACCGATCTCAAAGGATAATTTTCTACACAAAATTCAGTATGACTAAACCCAACGTCAGTTGGACGAGTAGCTCACTTGTCCAAACAGTAACATGCCCACCAAACGCGACTTCGGAGATGATACTCTTTCTCAACAAAGCCCCTTTCGCGTGGCTGTTTGTGGGCAGAGAGGGACCTGTGTATCCCAAGTGACTGGGAGATGCGGACAGCTGTACCCACGGCTAGCATAGCTTGGCCGTCTTTGTCACAGTGCATCAATTCAAGGGCCTATGTGTACGGACGAATTAGAATAGAAATGCAGCAATTTGACTTTGGCATACCATGAGAAGTAAAGCTTGGACACTGGCAAAGTAAGGCACGGAGATCACCCGGGCGTATAATTCCCAGCCAGCAGCAAATAACCTTGTCGAGTCTGCCGATGACTCGTTCTGTCGTGCCCCCAGGGCCAGCACCAAATTCAGACTGCAAACAAAGACGGCGTCGATAGAGAACCCAATGCGATAAAACTCCTCGTACACAGGCCAAAACTGGGCCTCAGAAAGGATTGGAAACAGTCTGTTAATACTGGTAAAGTACGCTTGGTACGTTTTAGCTCTCAGATTAATGGAAATGTGTGGGTGTGTGGGCCGAGTCATACCTTGGACATAACTGTCGGCTGTCGATCTGTCAACGATTGGATAATACTCCATGGACGGGACAGGAATATCCTCCGCAAAGCTCATGAGAGGACGAAAGAACCCCATGACTCGAATGCGGATTTGCCTATCTTGGAAAAGCTCCTCCGCGGATTTTGCTAAGACCTGGGTCGAGATCTTTCCTGCATATTTAGAGCGTTGTGGTACTGCGGCTTGTTCAATGGTCACAACCCCCTGCAAGCTTTCGTTTGTATGGCCGAAGACAGTAGAGCAGGTGATAGGCGGAGTTGAACCTTCTTCGAGTACTTCCGGAAGCTGATCGGCGTCATGGCGGCTAGACAACGTATTCGCGATAGGTGACCGATAGCTTGGCTCTCGCACATTAATGAAACCAGGTTGCCTCGAAGCTGGGGGTGTAATGATGGGATGAACATCATTGTGACTCTGGAGGTCATTAACAGGGGGAACGTCGACAACACGTCTAAAAATCGAACCGTCGGCTCGAGTGGCTTTACAATCGACCTTGTAGGTTTCACAATTTCGACATGGACCATGTCTATCATCACATCGGATCTGATGCCGGTCAAACCTGGTCCTTTTTTCTTTCTTAGCTGCGCTTACCTTTTTTCGCCAGCAACTATCACACTATGAGGCAATCAGTCTACCACTCAAGAAAAGGAAATGCTTCCTTACTGCTTTGGGTCTCTGTCTACGCGTCGGTGGCATGATGAATGCCGTGGAAAACCGGGAGGAGCACAGACGAAATAAGGGTTGACACAATGAAGAGAGTGATTCTCCAGAGGAGTTCCCACGGGATTGAGAATATGCCCTGCTTATCCACGGAGTTTCCTCGGCTATTAGCCCAAGCCCACTTCCCCGCTTCCCCATGGGGTTGACCAGGAACGTCTCTTAGCTTTCAACTATACCTCATACTTCCGCCTCAAAATCAAAATGTGCCACACAAAATACGGGGTAGCCACTGGAAATTTACCCAGATCTCTTGCACCTGATGTGAATTACACAGGCTTAAAAGACACAAATCCCCCACTCAGATGGCATTGTCGAAGTCCCATGCGCGTCTGCGATCATCATGGCAGACCCTATTCTTACCCGTCACAATAATGCGCACCCCCAATGGTGGAAGGATGCCGGTATTCGCAGGCTGAACCTTTATCTTGTGGGTACCATGTTGGGTAGTGTCAGTTTTGGTTACGACGCTTCCCTCATCAGCGGACTTCTCTCCAACCAGCAATGGTTCGCGGATTTGAAAATCGCTTCTTCTCACATGGAAGTACTAGTGATTGCAGCACAGTCTTTCGGTGCCATCGGTGCCTTACTTCCAGCCGCCTATATCTCCGATCTCATTGGCAGACGATGGACGGTCATCCTTGCCGACGTTGTCACAATTGCCACCGTCATTGGCCAGTCGTTTTGCCGAACGTCCACCTCATTCCTTGGAACTAGGTTGCTTCTAGGATTTTTCAGCGTTTGGAGCATTGTATCAACCAATGCCCTGGTCATTGAGCTGAGCCATCCTCGCCAGCGAGCTCAGGTCACCGCGTTGTGTAATACGTTTTTCTATCTGGGTGCTATCACAGCCGCTTGGACTAACTATGGGGCGCTTAGCATAACTGGCTCATGGAGTTGACGTCTACCGGTGCTTATACAAGTCGCCTTCCCGGCTGTCCAAATTATATTTCTGGCAATGACACCAGAATCTCCTCGATGGTTGTTAACGAAGGGTCAAGATGAGCGTGCCAAGGACATATTGATCTGTTTTCACGCCAATGGTGTTCACGACGACGAAATGGTAGATCTTGAATTCCGTGAGGCTAAGGCATCAGTGGAAGCCGAGGAACGCGGAGCGTCGTACAGCTGGTTGGCCCTTTTCTCCACAAAAGGGAACATCAAGCGCACAATTCTCACACTCTTCCTGGGACTGAGCTCACAGTGGGTTGGCAATGGTATTATAAGCTACTATCTTTCCCCCATACTCGAAAGTATCGGCATTGGAAGTTCTCGTCAGCAGATAGCGATCAACGGCGGTCTCCAAATTTTCAATTGGGCCGTATCTGCTATCGCTGCTCTGTTAGCAGAGCGCCTTGGAAGAAGAACTCTCCTCCTAATCTCCGCGAGTGGTATGATACTTTCTATGTCTGTGGTGACAGCATGTTCTGCGACTTACGCCAACACCGGTGATAAACAATCTGGCACAGCGGTGATTGTTTTCTTGTTTTTGTTCTTTGGTGCATATGATGTTGGATTTACGCCAATTCCGCCTCTCTATGTCAACGAAATTGCGTCCACACATCTTCGCGCTAAATACAGCAGCCTATACTGGTTCAGTACCGCGGTGGCGCTATGCTTCAACCAATACGTGAACCCAATAGCCTTCGACGCAATAACGTGGAAGTACTATCTTGTCTACATTTCCGTGTTATGCCCTGTCATCGCAGTGCTTTACTTCTATGCTCCAGAAACCAAGGGCCGGACTCTTGAACAAGTGGCTGCTATTTTCGACGGTGATATAGCGGATGGCCTTGCTCAAGCTGATAATGAAACCAAGACGGAGGGAGTCTCGGAGCATAGAGAGTTTGCCTAAGTGCGTGTGTATCTATGCTAGTTGTTTCGATTGATGTAACGAAGTCCACGACTCGCCAAGTGGCATAATGTATCTTTAAAATCATTCAAGACTGATCTAAGAGGCATTAGTTTACAACTATGGACAGCCTGTAAGCAAATTATTGGTAGCTGGAAGAGAACTTTTACTTTCGTTCTGCAGGGCTATTGACAATATGTCTTTTCATTCATGCTTCGCTTGCCTGGGCAGCCACTATAGGATTTGAATTTTAGTATTGATTATATACCATGTGAATTCAACAACAGCCAAGAATTGTATATTATTGATTGACACAGAGGTCCGTGAGCAAGTTCAAGTGGAGAGAAGATCAAACCCCGTGGATTATTCCTCCGTATCCACATTTTCCGTGGAATCGCCCGGCCAAGATTTTATTTCACTATCAGCCAAGGATATAGCACCCCGGGGGTCATGATCGCCGCCTTTTTAGTATTGCGAGGTCATGTTTGAGCTCGGCATTTCGCCACAATTCTAATACATAAATTTGCCCTAAAGTTCTTCAATGATCTCTTGGCTTACTACCCACAAAACAAGTACTGAAAAAATTCTCCTTTAAAAACAAAGCATTTCTTGAATAGACATCACTCTCATCATACCAATTTCATCATGTCTGCGGCTACCGTTGCTTACTCCAATATTAACGAGGGCTACCTCAAGACAAGCCACAATATCAGACACGATTATGCCGAAACAAAAGTGGGCGGTCAAAGCGATATTCTGAGTGAACAGGCCAACCGCCAAGGAGCATACGGAGACTGGCGTGACCAGTTCTTCAAGAATGGATATACGGTCATCAAAGGTGCCATTCCACGTGAGCGTGCACACGCCTATAGGGAGACTGCACTGGAGTGGTTCCAAAAGTTTCCCTTTGGATTTGATATAAACAACAAAGAAACATGGAAAGAGGAGAACCTACCGGTGCTGATGAATGGAGGCATGGTTCTCGGTTATTCTGCCGCCCATGAGAAATGGGTATGGGAGGCTCGAAGGTATGAGTTGAAGTAATGAAAAACCCTTTTCAATTCAATGGCTGCTAATATTACTGCTTTTGCTGCTTTAGTGAGCCTGGAGTGATCGAACCATTTGCTAGGCTTTGGGGCACAGATGAACTGCTCGTCTCTTTCGATGCTGTGAACATCACTCTCCCTGGCCGTACCGATCTGAAATGGAAGCCCTGGCCCCACGTTGACCAGTCTCCAACACGTAAGGGATTATCTTGCGCGCAGGGTATTATCAATCTTTCCGAGGCTGGCCCCAAAGACGGAGGTCTACAACTCCTTCGCGGCAGTTCGGAACTCTTTGATAAATTCTTTCAGGAAAACCCACCGAAGCCCAAGGCCGCAGACGCTCCTGGCCAATTTGACTGGTATGGATTCACTTTGGAAGATGTGGCATGGTTTGAAAGTCACGGGTGCAGTCTCATCAAGGTCAATGCTGAGCCGGGTGATCTGATTATATGGGACTCACGAACTGTGCACTATGCATCGCTTCCTGAAAGCGATACTATTCGGACAATTATCTACGCTACGTATACTCCCGCAAGTTTGGCTACATCCGAAGACTTGGCCAAGAAGGTGGAGCTCTTCAACAGGTATGAGGGTAGCACGCACTGGCCTCATTGCAATATTTTTGGGCAGGGCAAAGCGATGAGGAATGGGGCAATCTGTCCAGGCGAGCGAACCGAGCCACTTGAGAAGCCGGAATTGACCGATACTGTCCTCAAACTAGCGGGAGTCAAGCCTTACTAGAATGTTGGACGTGAATTTAGATCATGACGCGTGTCTTTCCAATGCTCTTCTATTGTTATTACATGCGTTTGATTTCAAAGACACTAAGAAGTTACTTTTTCACATGTGAGCATATATCGAACGATATATTTGTAGTATCTTCGGAGTGTGTTTAATGACGCTGTTATTTCGTAGCTGGATGTGAGTCGATCGTGGCTCCATGCCTGTAATTAAGCAATATGACAAGAGCAATACTCTGATGCGAGCTCGCTTTGAGTACGATATCGACATGAAGTTGTGCACATATCGTTCGTCTTGGGAGTGACGTTCAGCTATCAAGCACGCGTCACTGGTTTGTTTATTTGAGATTGGAATTTCTCACGTGTGTCACATGTACCTGAGCTGGAATGGGGCAATCGATGTGGAATCTTGGAGGTTCTATGGGTCCAGGGTGTTCAAGCAGGGTTATGTGGAGTCTACATACTACGTGAGCCTTACGGACCCTTTTCGGCCCACTTGTAGAGTCAATACGTTCGGCTTAATAGAATTCTAGGTAGGTGTTATAAGAGAAATTCTACCGAACTCGTTCCGAGACACCGGACAATCTTCATAGAATTGGTGCTCATATTAAACCTTATTTATCCAGGCTTATCAGGTATAAACTCTATCTAGAGGTGGCGACTTGAAGACTTATGTGATCTATGTATCTTAAGAAAAGACCGCAGAATATTTTGAATGTCAGATCAATTACGATGAATCAAGACGCTACTCTAACTAAACGACCTCGTGCTTGCCATCGATGCAGAGCCCGCAAACTTCGTTGTGATCGTCAGAGTCCTTGTGGAAGCTGTACAATGCGAGGTTGGGATTGTGTCGCCCAGGTGCCCCGGATTTACCCACGCCGCATCAATAAATCCACACGGCAAGTCGATAATTGGAATGAATTTTTTGCCAACCTAGATCATGGTCGCGAAAATATATTCGACTTCATTTACGGCGTTGATGATCGGGAAAATGAACAGCCTGTGAAACAGATTCAAAAGCATCATGCCAACCAGATCGCCGAATCCGACGACTCGAATACTCCAGAAACTCCAAAAAGCTGTTCTGGCTCCGAGATCAAAGATTCCGGCGGTTCAACCCACGATGATCCGAGTGGCGAACCAATAGGATTTGCAATTCAATTTTCCGACAAAGATGAGCAGCAATGGGACTTTTGTTCCGATCCAAGTCTATATCGCCTTGCAGCCGAGATAGTTCGCGATGTGAGAGCCACTGAGCAACCAGATTATAGTGTATCTAGACCCCGTTTGGACAAATTTGGCGGGGAAGCGAAGATCTCACGGACCAACTTCGGCTTCACTCGAAGCGTCGGGAATGATTGGACAGAACATAGGATTGTGGATCCGGGGAAAGTGCCATTATAATTTGGAGCATATGCTATTCATCTTTTTAACCTCTTAAATACGCACTGAAATCCGAGAACCACTTTAAGAGATTAAACACTTCAATACCATCATTATGTCTACCCAGCAAGCTCTGCAACTGATTGTCATCCCTCACCGACCTGCCAAGGCCGAGGAAATTGCCAATGATTTAGCACCCGCTTTTGCTATTCTCCAGAAGTATCTATCCCCACCGAAGAGTAAACAAGTCATCTCTAACCTTTCATAGAGCAAGTGGTCTCAAGGCAGTATGGAGAGGAAAGAAATTCGAAGACCGATACACCCAAGTTGCTTTGTGCCTGTGGGAAAGTCTCCAGGCTTCACACGCCTTCTTCACTAGCGATGCCTATGCCCAGTTCCACAAAATAATTCAGCCTGCACTTAACGGACGCAAGGTCGACTGGGCCCATCATGCATTGCTCGATCATTCCAAGTTGAGCGACCGTTCACATCTCGAATCTATCTTAAGTTCACCGGCAATTGAGGTCGCCCTGACCAAAGTCGTGGAAGGTGGAACCGCAGGCTATTACTCTCAGTTCAACAAGGTAGTTACTGGTATCCTGGATGAAGAATCTGGATGCGATGGCTACTTCATCTCGCCTCTGATGGAATATCCCGAGGACCAGTTGTTGCTGATCAATTGGAAATCTGTCGATGTAAGTTCCCAGGCTCGTTTACAAGCTGGAACAAGAGCTAACTTTCGAACCTAGGCTCATCATGAGGAATTTGAGAAGAAGCCTGGCTTCAAGGGGTGCATTGATGCTTTGTTTGACTATTACAAGGAATTTGTCGTTCCCTGGCATATCACTGAGTTGACTCGGGTACAATAAGTGGCTCAATTATATTGAATTCATGAATTATCCAGTGCATAATATGAAAGATGTGAATAACTTGCAATCGTGCATTACTTTACTCCGTACAAGTTCCGCTCTGGAGTCTCCGGTCATTCCGTCGACTTAGAACCCCCCGCATTTTACCCCGGATAAGCGGAACCGAAATTAGACCGAAAATGGCCCATGATGATCGCACGTCATCTCATCTCAGTTATAATAGTCTGGTCCTCCATCAATCAGTCTTCTTATCGATCACTATCAATAAAAATGAGCACACCCAAGTTTTTCGTTGTTGCACGCGTTGTTGGACGAGACGGTGCCCTTCCATTGGTACGCTTCCCTCAAGTATAAAAAAAACGAAATGAAACTCATAAATTCCAACAGTGGAAAGACCGTTTAGTTGCCCTTTGTGGCGTATCCTCAACAGAGCCTCTTGGTGACTCATACTACTGGGGCCAGGATCTGGATGGCGAGCCAGACACACTCTGGGGCCTGGAAGGCTACACCCATCCAATCGGATTCTTCCTCGGCCATGTCTCAACTGATATCTTCAAGGAAGAGATGGCAAAAGTTGACGCGGATGCATTGCTAAGACATGAACAAGGTCTTGCGAGCCCTGATTATGATCTCCACCACTACGACTGGGCAGGAGGCTGGCTCAAGCGTGATAACGACCCTGACCGTGATTCAACTACCAGCAATGTAGTTGTCTATCATTTCTGGGTCAAAGACTCGAGTCAGCGTGGAGAGGTGCTCAGTGAGCTGCGCGGATTTGCGGCAGGTCAAAAGGGGCTGTCCGATGGGCTGCTCCAGAGTTGTGGCCTCCTAGAGGAGTGTAGGGACGACAAAATGCTTACAATGTGGCTACGGTATGTAGACAAATTCGATCACCAGAAACATTGGAACTCAAACGCTGACGGATTTTTTTCTTTCTCTCTTTAGAACTACCAGTGCTGATGGAATGGAACGGTTTTTTTCATCGAGTCCATTCCAGTCACTGCTTGCTAAAATCAAGCCAATGGTAGGCAAAGAGGAGATTCACAGATCGCAAACATTCAATGGCCACCTGGACATCAAGCCAAACCCCTGAAAGAAAGATGATCGAAGACATTTGAACATCTCCGTATAATTTGGCTCCATTACTTGTACATTCGACCGACCCTCAATGCTGAAAATGTACACCAAGCCTAACCTCTGAATTAGTCTTATATTTATGTAGGTCCTTGGTGCATATTTGAATCTGTAAATAGTATAGACAGTGGCCAAATTCAAAGTCCTCCTTGAGTGAAGAAACTGCGTTCGTTCATTTGTGCCATCATTTACCTGTAGCAATCAAATAGCTACCTGCCTAAGGAGTCAATGCATTAAAGTTGACAAGAACGTTACACTCGAGCCTGGAATTTCAAATAGCTATGATTTTGAATACTTCATAGTTATACTATAGAATAAAAATAGTCTTATAATGCACAGAGAGGAATAGAATCAACCAAAAACGCAAACATGTATCTAAACGTGCATGCATCCTTCGATTGTAGTAAAATTATCATATATTGCATACTTCGTATGAGAATAGTGGTGAGACTATGTCACTGGTACGTGGAAGCGCCCGACTTGACATGCGCCAGCTTCTGGCTCTGTCTCTCTTCCCCTTTCCTTCCAGATCTTAGATCCTCGGAGATTCTGATCGTAGACAGCAATACGCCTAGATTGGTGACTGACTATCGCTTTTCGTCTTGATGAAAGCCAGCTTCTTAATGGATATTCCTAAATAGTACCATAAACTCTCACCAAACGTCCTCCTATCAAATGGTCAGTATTAGGGCGACTAGTGCTTGGTTTAGCATGGTTTCACCCACCTGGTATCGTGCCGCAGTCTTCAGTTGATGTATTGTTGCTTCTCCATTGCATAGTGGCTGATTGAGGAGCTCACCAAGAGTAACTTGCACCTCACGGGCCATTCGACCAGAGCCACAGACATAAATGTATCCGTTCTCTTCTATTATTAAGGACCGGAGACTCTTCCCATGCTCCACTAACCGCTGCTGAACGTAGACCTTTTCACTAGGCGACTGCCGAGAAAACGCAGTATATAGTTGGAACTTGTCACCAAGAACGCTCTTATATTTCTGTATAATTGTCAGTTGAGCTCTGTAATATGCTTGTTCAGTACTTACCTTCCAATCATCCCTGTAGAGGAAATCTTCTTGTTCTTTGCGGCAACCGAAGAAAAGGATCATATTTCCGATTTCGGTACCGGACTCTGCCTGCTTAATTCTCTCTTGCACAAATGCCCGGAAGGGAGCGACACCCGTTCCAGGTCCAATCATCACAATGGGCCGACTGGCATCGCGCGGTAACTTGAAGTGTGAATGTCGGATATGAATCGGGAGGCTCATATTGTACTTTTGTCGAGGCCCGGTTATTGTGTAAGGGCTTTCTGTTTTGGCTGGCTGCTCTCCATTCTGCATGTGCTTGATAGCCAGCAAGTAGTTGGATGCTACTCCTCTGAATTCGTGCTGGGCCGTCTTGACGGACTCGACGGCCGTCGTCAGGGAGACCGAGTTATTTTGCACCAAAGATGAAGATGAGATGGAATAATATCGCGGCTGCAGGGTGCGAACACCTTCGAGAAGAACTTCAAAGGGGACTGGACAGACAGGGTTCTCTGGACTGATTGACTCGATGAGCTGAGCTAGGTTGAAAAGTTTGCTGCCAACTTTCTCCCGGAAAGTGTCTTTGTTTTTGCTGAGTTCAAGCAATATGTTTTTCTGAGTATTGTCCGGTGCAAAATTGGCCAGGGCAGTAAGAAACTGCCGCGAAATGGGACCACAGATCTCCATGTAGTATCTCACAGCTGCTTCGTATGTTGTCGGTGATGGACAAGGTAGACTCTTGACAGAGCCTTGGGCCGAGGAGATGTGAATCACCGTTAGCCGCTTCTCTGCCAAACCAAAAACACGCAAAAAGCGATCGACCTCAATGTCAGAATTTGAAGGCCAAACTGCGACGTGGTCACCTGTTTCGTAGCTCAGTCCCGAGCCACGGAGGTCTATATCGATATGGAGGCAATTTCGATCCGGAGATTCGAAGAGTTCCTTGGATTCCAAGACCTTTGCAACGTACGGACTGTGAGGACCGTATTCTGTTGGGGTCCCCATAAGCTCTCCTTGGCACCTCTCTCCTAGAAAGATTGACTCCGACGCAGCTGTCTTCTCAACAATGGAAAACTCTGGCTCAAACTTCTCCTCTTGCTCGTGAAGGTGCATGATGTTCTTCAGAGAGTCCCACATGACTTCCTTCCATGCCAAAAAGTCATCTTCCTGGGTGCCTTTTCCATCATCGCCTTCTCCTCGGTCAGTGAAAGCTGTTGCACCGAGCCGTTGTAAAGAGCTCTCCACTTTTCGAACAACCCCGTTGAAATGTTCGTATGTGCTATTTCCCAGTCCAAATGCTGCAAATCTCATAGACTGAAGTGGGAAATCCTGATCATCAGAAAAGACGGCTTCGTCAGATGTGATGAAGTCGAAAAAGGTGGCTGCGTTGTCGGTGGGCTCTCCTTCACCATATGAAGACAAAATGAAAATAGCGATCTTGTCACTGGGGAATTCGGTAAGAGTCGTATAGTCATAGTCATCCAGGTCAGCAATCATGGTGTTAAGATTGAACCTTGAATGACCTTCTTTGACGAGCCTTTCCGCAAAGTCCTCTCCATTGCCCGTCTGGGAACCAAAAAAGACAACACAGTTCTTGTTCTCCTCTTCCATCTTCTTGATCACACATCTTGTCTTATCTCCGGATGGTATACTGCTCTTGGAAAATTCTCCTGTGCTCTGCTTCCAGGAGTTGCGATTCCAGAAAGCCAAGGTTGAAACAGCCACGAAGACCAAGCAAGCAAAAGACAAGACATCGACTTCAGTGCCGAACTATGAGATAATTTAGTGATTGTTCCTTCTGACTTGCATAAATCCCACATACCTTCGGGTTGAAATACGGGAGACCGCTTTGAGGCGACGGTGGTTCAGACAAAAATTGTCCTGGAATTATTTGTTCCATGTTGATGTTGACTGAAGTGACTCCAATCTGGCATGGATTAAGCTTTGGTTGCTGCAGATTTCACAGTGCTTATCAAGCATCTGGATTTTGCAGAGTATGTGCGAGAGGCTCCGATAAAGTATGAACTCGCTTCAGTATCATGTGAGTACCCAGCTTTGGAGGCCTTCATAAATTACCTTCGATCTTTCTATGTTGAGATCACACGCCTTTCTTATCATTGGTTGAATTGGGCCCCCCGTGGGGATGGAAATGCCAATCTGCCGTCGGGGAAATGAGATTGTGTGCCACCTCGCGGCAACTTCGGGCTATCTAAACAGAACGAAATATGAGAAAAGCAAGAGTCAAACTTTATTAGACTGGCTATTATTATAGATGAAACGCGGGGATTGAGTTTGAATCTGTCCGAAATCATTCCGCTTGTCCAAACACACGAAATCTGGAATTAAGTGTTTCTGGTCTTGTATACTTTTACTGTTTTACCCCACAAAACCAAGGAAATTCCACTTTAACCCCGGATTTCCAACTTGTATCTGAAGGTACGAATGCAAAAGCAACATGAACTTCCATCCTGATAGGTAAGCTTTTATCCTATCGACAGCTTTCAATCCCAGTGAGCCAACTCTTTCAAATGATAGTGTCGTATTCGTGACTGGTGCAGGAGGCACCGTCGGTCGTGCCACGATCCTTCAGTTCGCTCGCGACGGCGTCTCGAAGATTGCTGGACTAGATATCATGCCCGAGGGAATCGCCGAATCTGAGAAACTCTTGAAACTGGAGTTTCCCAATGTCAAGTTTCTACCAATTATTGCCGACTTGACTCAGATTTCTCAGGTTCAAAATGCCATAGAGCTCACGGTCAAGGAGTTTGGGCGTCTTGATCATGCTGTCAATAATGCCGGTATTGGCCAGACTCTTTTACCAACTGCAGAAACTTCCCCGGATGAGTTTGAAAAGGTCATGAATGTTAATGTGAAAGGTGTTTGGCATTGTGAGAAATTCGAACTGGAGCAGATGTTGAAGCAGGATCCATTGCCGACCAGTGTGTAAGTGAATATGAACGATTTTGAATATATAAGGCTTACTGACATTATTCGACCTGAAAGACCGGGTCGTACCCCAGCAAGGGGTACTATTGTTAATGTTGACTCAACCTTGGGGCTCCTGGCCATCCCTAATCTGGCAATCTATACAATGTCCAAGCATGGTATGTGAAATGACAGAGAACAGTCTCAGGTCCCCGCTTTTAACGTATCTGTGAAGCTGTTCTGGGTCTTACAAGAACCGATGCACTGGACTATGCCACGAAAGGCATTCGAATCAACTCCATTTGCCCAGGGTAGATATAGCCTTTTCAATCTTGAACCAAAACAAGTACTAACAAAGAGCAAGGTTTATCGACACACCATTACTGACGGAGGAGAAAAGAAAAGGGGTATGTGCTCCAAATTGAACTGTCCAAGGAAGGAATATATTAAGAAGATATAGCTTGCCCCTTCAATCGCCAAGACGCCCATGGGAAGACTCGCCACCCCCCAAGAGGTCGGTGATGGAATCGTCTTCCTTTCAAGTGAGAGATCAAGTTACATGACAGGCGCCGAGCTTAAGGTGAGAAAGGACGCGGTATTGAAAATGCAGACGTACACTGATCATTTCTTCAGGTTGATGGTGGATATTGCATCCATTGATTCTCAAGTAGGCTTCCATATAAATAGCTAGCAAGTGTACATTATACGCTAAATAAACTTGTCTATCAGTATCTTCGTCCCCGTCCAATCTCAGTATTGGTAGCTTGAAATCTTTTTAAAATTTAAAAAAATGCAGCCAAATAGCACCTTGTATGAGATGTCATTTATTGACTAGTGATCTCCAGCTGGAAGGCAACTCTTTATTTCTCAGCCGATGTTGACCGTACAACTACATTCCGAAAGATCTCGTGAGATTAGATATTGTCACCATCTAAAGACTTGGAGCTATGTTGTGAAACTCTTCTTTTTAGAATATATGAAAAGAAATAAGATAATATGAAACAAAGAACAAAGAACAAAGAGCGGCGAGTGGGTGGTTAAATATCTTATAGACGAAAGAACGTAATTTCAAGACCATAGAATTGTATAGTTATAGGATACAGATTAATCCAACTCAAGTGGCGTGACCATGGGGACAGGACCCGTGCAAGCCTCCTTTGTCGCCGCTGCTGTGAAGCCACTATCCGCCAGAATAGTCTGCCCATTGATCACAGCGGATGAGTCACTTGCAAGGAAAACGCCAACATTTGCGATCTCCTCTGCTTCTTGGAGCCGGTTGTAGTAGTATTGGCGGTTCTCCCGGAGCCCTGCGCGTTCAAAGAACCATTCGTGGTTACCCTGGATCTCTTTCGTTGTCTGCTTCAGGCCATACTCTGATCCATCTTCGGCGGTCTTCGAACTAGTCAAGATACTGGTCCGGGTGAAGCCCGGCGCAACACCGTTGACACGAATGTTGCTGGAGGCCAGCTGGACCGAGCCACTTTGTACCAAACCGTTGACAGCATTCTTGGATGCGGCTATATAACAATGTGAGAAGTTGGGCAAAATAGATCTGGGGTTTCAGAATATGCTTACTGTATGCGATATCCGCATATGCTCCAAGGAATGCGGCGCACGACGAGGTCAAAACAATGTTACCGCTTGGTTGCGGCTTCTCCTCTGACGTCACGACCATCGCCCGACTACCGTGCTTGATGGCATAGAAGCACGAAGAGGTCATGACGGACATAGCACGCTCCCAATTCTGCGATGTAATATCATTTAGGTTCCTAAGAGCTCGGTCAACTTCCTAATCTTCAAAAATTTCAAGTTGTGGAGAGACAAGTAATACCTATAATTCGCGAACCCTGCGTTTGCAAAGAAAAAGTCGAATCGACCATGTGCTTTCACGATTTTCTTCAGCAAAGCCACGGTCTGCTCCTCGGATGAAACATCAAGAAGAGCTCCCTCGACAATGCAATCACTACCCGTGTCTTTCACGTCCTGTTTGAGGGCATCAAAATGGGATGTGTTCAGGTCACAAGCGTAGATCGCTTTGGCACCAGCTTGAGCCAACTGAATTACCAACGAGCGTCCAATGCCGTACGGTGTGCCAGCGCCAGTGACCAACCCGACTTGTCCTGAAAGAGAGATATTAAGAGGCATTTCCGTATTTCCTTTTGAGGATTGAGCTGTATATTGGTTTGAGAAGTTGATTGCAGTAGAAGATCAAGGATACTTCGGCAAATGTTCCTGTGCGATTTAAATAGAGATTGGATATTGCTTCTCAACTAGTACTAGTATACCCCCGCAAATGCAGCATTGGCCTGGTGTTCGGTATTTCGCCCGGTATTTCGCATTATCTTCGCGACAATTTTCGTATTGGCTTGGCGTTAGTTGCCGGAGCTTGTAAATGCCGGGGGTTGTGACCAATCGGCTGTGTACGCTTCCCCAAGTAACCACTTCTAAAAGGTCCCACCGCCCATCACGCCACGGATAAACCAGCGAAGAGGGCTATTTATGTACATCAGGGCCGAGATGAACAGCGCATAATATCCCACCGAAACGTCATAATGCTCACCAATTTTCATTGTTGGGTAAGATGATCAGATCTCTTGGATGTTGACCTATCCATGTTGATCGTAGCATTACACACTGTCGATCAACTTTAAGCGTTTTTTGTCACTTGCTGTAGGATGATATTGTGTTATTACCCACAATGAAAACTGCATGCCTTTACTTCATACACCCTTCTCTACTGCGAACACACTGGCTACCCCCTGCTTGTATTGGCTCACTTTGATAATATTCATAACGAATACAAGGATAGTACAGTATAGCAGGCCAATAGAGCTCTTGGAACCTGAATATAGCAAAGTTTATGATGGGTAGATAGACTTATATTGAAACACCGTTCAGCGAATACTAGGTCCGTAATTGGAATTTGCCTGTAATACACGGCAAGAAAATCGGTAGAATCATGTGCGCAAAGAATCCCAAGAATAAGTTGCTGTATGAAACTTGTTCTTTCTATTCAGCATGCACTGTATCCTCCATCAACGGTCCAGTGGCCTGAGATATTGTCAGCTAATTGAAAGTCTCTGAAACAGGTTGAGGGAGTTCGAAACGTACATCCAGTCACATATGAAGCATCATCGGTGAGAAGGAAACAAAGTACCTTGGCAACCTCATCTGGTTTGCCCATGCGTTTGAGGCATGTGGCCTGACTAGTCATTTCTGAACTAAACAGACCTTTGGCTTCACCGTCACGGAATATAGGAGTATCAATCGGACCACTTCGCAGTATTAGTCACGGCACAAATGATGGATAAGATATTTGACCCACGGGAGCAATGCATTCACGCGAATACCATGTTGGCCAAACTCTCCAGCAGCAGACTCGGTCAACCCGATCACACCGAACTTGCTTGTTGCGTATGCAGCATTGTGCGGAAGACCGCGGAGGCCAGAAGTGCTCGAAACATTAACAATAGCACCGCCAGGACGGGGCAGATGAGGGAGCTGTGCTCGCATGCAAAACATGACTCCCCTAAGATTCACGTCGAGCATCTTGTCCCAATCTTCCGTCTTCTATGAGGGATGTTAATCTCGGCATTTGGGAGATTAGAGATGATGCATCAAAGATACTTACAATCGTCGCGCATGTTGTTTCGCCGTCACCCTCCGCGATGCCAGCCACATTAGCGGCGCCATCCAAGCGTCCAAAATCGCGAATTGTTGCTGCAATCCATTCTTCAATCTGGTCACTTTTACTAGCGTCGACCCGTGTTATGACGACTTTTGTGTTATATGTGGCGCCTACCGTTGTCAGCTATCATCCGCTATAATGCACATTTACACCCTTACATTTGCTCTTTGTCTCTTCGAGACCTTTCACATTCAAATCACTAAGTGCAAGCCCAGCGGCACCCAGCTCCGCAAGGCGAATGGCAACTGCTCGACCAATCCCCGACGCAGCACCCGTAATCGTATAAACGCGACCTTCGATAGACATGACTCAAGACTGGAAAGCAAACTGATCAGAAGTGGATGTTCTGTCGCAGCGAAGGTTTATTTTTGCAGCGGCTTAAGAGGAATAATCACACAAAATGCACGTGAGCTACTCCGTGAATAAAGCGTATTACCCCGAAGTCGCCCCCGTCCCGCCCCCGCCCCCGCGTAGATAGTCCAGGACCGGGCCATCATCGGGTGGTCTCCAATGGATAGAGTTCTCGGTAAACGTCGATCACAAAACTTATCATAATTAATCTGTTCTTAACTCATATCCTATAATATTAAAACCTCCTTCACTTCAGATCATCATCTCAAATATCAGAAAAGCAACCATGTCAGTTAAAGATCGTGTCGCTATCATCACCGGATCGGGTGGCGGACTTGGACGCGAATACGCCCTTCTCCTTGCGTCTCAGGGCGCCAAAGTTGTGATTAACGACTACGGTGGCACACTCGAAGGCCAAGCCGGCACTGCAACTCGGGCGCAGGCTGTTGCGGATGAAATCAAGCAAGCCGGTGGCATAGCTATCGCAGACGGCCACGATGTCTCTGTCAAGGCTGATACCTTAAAGATAGTCGAACGCACCATGGCCGAGTTTGGTCGCATTGATATCCTCATCAACAATGCCGGCATATCCGGCAAGCCAAGTTCGCATGCCGACCTTGATGGAGCCGCTTTCATGCGTGTCCTGGAAATCGGTGTCCTCGGTTCCCAACTCATGACGAGTGCAGTGTGGAACATTATGGAAAAACAGAATTACGGTCGAATTGTGAATATATCCTCTGATGCGATTATCGGCTTCGGAGCAGGCGGGGACTGCGCCTACGCAGCATCCAAGGGTGCTACATTTGCTCTTACCCGTGACCTCGGCCGGTTCTCCCCTTCCTCTGGCATCAAAATCAACGCCATTCTGCCTTCTGGCCATTCACGCATGACTGATCTGTCAGATGGCTCTAAATTCATTACCGAAACCTACTTTGCCGCCAAAAAGGTTGCCCCGATGATGGTAGCACTCTGCTCGGATGAATGTCCTGTCTCTGGGGAATGCTTTGCCACAGGTGCCGACCGAGCCGCACGAATGACTCTAGCAACCTTCCCCGGCCATACAAATGAAACCACTCCACAAGGGTTCCTGGAAAATTGGCCCGCGGTATTCGGAGACGTTAAAGACGCGTATATTCCCACAGATACCTTGGACCATGTTCGTTATGGTGTCAAGCATGCCTCTGGATTGGATGTTCCTGATATTGAAGGATTTGGCATTGTGCCGGATGCGAAATAGAAGAGATAATTCATGCATACAGATTCGTTGTGTTATTATATATATCAATTGACATGATTGGCCTACGCATTAATGTATAGCGATAATTGAAGGATAATCTTTTATGTAGTTTAAGCAATTCAATTTATTTGAATCTTCAAGTCAAGCTCATCCTACACGCTTCCTATCACAACTCAAGAGACGCCACGCTAGGTAGTTACGAAATTTCGACCTTTGATGGAGGATGGGCTTTCGGTACTCAGGTAGACGAAGGCGGGGAATGCCGCACTATTGAAACCTTATTCTTGTGAGGTCCTCAGACGCTGGATTACCGTAACGTAATATTGCAAAGACCAGTTGCCCCGGATATCGCTACATATTGGATACATAATCCAGGGTCTCTCCGCATAAAACGGTGCGGGGAATGTGGAGGCAATGAAACATCTTAGCCAATCAGAAGGACATCCACCAATGAACCCATGGGACAAACATGGTCACGCGGGGTGACGAGACGTCTCCACAACGCCCTGGGATGTACATGTAGCTGAAATTTAGCAGCGAAGTTGGGCCGAAGACAACCCCAAACCATATGCACATCCGACTCCCGGATGGCTGTCGCGTCAAAAACCCTACCATTGGAAATAAAAGCAATGTCTACTTCATCATTTGTATCCATTCACATCCAAATCAGATATTTCCTATAATTATAATCCCTCAAACAATCTTGAACAAACTTGAACAACCCTCATACCAATATGGCTGGCCAACCCACCCTCGAGTCTCTACACAAGCGTCTTCAACTTCTCGAGGACAAAGACGAACTCAACACTCTCCTGAACCACTATTGTAACACCGCCGATGACCACAAATGGGACGAATATGCCGCCACCTTTACTCCTGATGGTGTCCTCGGCTTCGAGAAATGGGGAGAGATCGTGGGACGCGATAAGATCTCCGCTGCAGCTGGTGGCGCTGAGAATCGCTTCCAGGGTCTACAACACTCTATGACCAACATGCAGTTTACCATCAACGAAGATACTGCGAGCGCAAGATGTTACTTGTGGTTTGCAGCTACAATGGATACTTCTAAGCCGCATGAATACCACGCATTTGGTGGACATTATCGATTCCAATTCAAGCGGACTTCTGAGGGCTGGCGGATTAGTCGCATGCAACTATCAAAGGTCTGGGCTCAGAATGAGGACACCGAGGGTGTGTTTGGGGCTTAAATATGAGTAATTACTTTTTCGATTGTTGCTACCTATGAGGCTTGTCATAAGTTTTCTTGTACATATGTGAAGGGTCTATGAAGCAGCAATGTCAGAGTCAGTACATTACATCGCTTTGGTAAATCACTTTGGGCAATCGCCTCGCAGGGGTTTTCATTTGAACGTAGATGAACCACTCACGCCACTTAGTAAAAAAGGCCAACAAACATAGAGCCTTACAAGTAAAGGGAAAATCAACGATAGTCGATGCTCCTGCATCAAAAGATCAATAGATACACGAAAAGGGTATAATCTCCTGAAATCCAAACTATTCATTTTATACGAGAGAAAGAGCGTTTGCGGTAATAATAAATGAATTCGAGACAAAATACAACTATCCAAGTGATGGAATTTGCTTATGACTGGGGCATGACAATCACTGCACGTCCTTTGAGCTCACCTTTCCTGAGTTTCTCATATGCCTTTGGAATTTGGTCAAAGTCAAACCGATCAATGTCGATTCTCAATTTGCCATCTGTGGCAAGTTGGCAAACTTCACGGAGGTCTTTGCGTGTGCTTCCCAAAGACAGAGCGAATTTCGAGCTTGTTGCCATGAGATTCCACCCAAGCTTCACACTGCCACCTTGCATCCCTACCACGGATATATATCCCTGGGGGCGAATCACATTGGCAGCAAGCTGAAGCGTTTGGTCACTCCCAACAAGATCTAAAACAGCGTCGACCCCTTTGCCACCCGTGACACTTCGGATAGACTTTGCAGCATTAGAGTCCGACAGAACTTCAGCATCCGCACCAAGCTCAGTTGCCATCTTAAGCCTAGAGTCTGCATTGTCGACGGCAATGATTCGGGCGGATGTGAGTAATTTAAGGAACTGCACAGCGTAGGCACCTAGTCCACCAACGCCAATTACTGCGACCGAATTTCCAGGACGAAGTTGAGAGACGAATCCTTTCATGCCAGCGTAAGCAGTCACACCGGCGTCGGTTAGGGGTGCATATATGATGGGATCTCCATCGCCGATCGAAACGACCTCGGTTCTTGGGACCACGAGGAACTCTGCAAGGCCACCATCAAAGCCACAGCCTCTTGTCATACCGATATCACCGCGTTTGTAGTATTCGCAGTGTTGTTCAATGCCAGCCTCGCAGAATTCGCAAAAGCCGCAATGACGCATATGATGAACCGCAACGCCTTCTCCGACCTTCAGATCGGTTATAGATGACCCCAACTCCTCGACCACTCCGGCAGTCTCGTGGCCAAGGATGTAGTCGGGCTCAAGTACAGATGCATATGGGTCCGTTCCCGGTGGGCTATCCATCATGTCGAGATCTGAACGGCATAGACCGACGGCCCTGACACGCAGGAGCACGTCAAAGGGTCCGGGTGTGGGTTTCGGCACTGTGACATACTGCCCGGGCTGACCCCATTCAACCAACTTGTATGCTTTCATGGTCGACATGATGTTTGTAGAGAAAGCACACTTTATTGTTGACAAGAAGATGATTTCGGGGGGTCGGTTGTTAGTTTGTAGAGAGGAGGTGAAGGTTTGATCTGCACAATTTTCTTTGCTGCTCACTGGATATTTAAGTTCACGTGTGTTGTTTCGCTTCCGCATTTATGCATCCCTGGAGCACGAATGTGGAGCAGAATGTAGGCTTTGCGGGACGTAATGTGACATTTGTGGGACCCCTCAGATCGACCACGGCTCGGAGGTAGAATTGTCACGGCGCTGGGATTAGCTTTCCCCAGATTTACGGATCAATTTCGTGCGGCCTGTCTTCGGGTCGACCCAAAATTGCAAAGACTTGGTCTGCGAACCTTAACCAGATCCAGAGGAACTGCATCAGATCCCCATGGGGTAAGCATCGCTCTGGATCAACTACGGTCAAGGTATATATTGATCGAGCATTGCAAGCAATTAGATATAGAACGAGGGCTGGTCACACCATCCTGAGACTTTTCATTTAATACATACCTACTGTCAAAGGGCTTTCAGTCCTCGACTCAATATGGCTAATATCCACCCCAACGATGGCGAGATCTCCCCAGCCAATCCCTCAAGTACCGAGGGTCTGACTGAGCACGAGCTTCATGAAATTCGATCCAAGGCCCTCACGGTCGATCGGTCTGAACTCCCAGAGGGATATTACGTTAGTCCACGATTCATCGGCACGTTTGCTGGTATTGCATTCAGTCTAGCAGCCACCTACTTCGCATTTGAGGCTGCCGCTGGATGTCTTGTCCAGATCAACGCAGATATCGGACCTAGTGACAATTACTACCTGTTCTCAATCGTCTGGAACATTGGCCAGCCAATCGGTATCCTTTTCTTTGGACGAAACTCGGACATATTTGGCCGTCGCAATTTTGCATTGGCAGCAAACTGCCTGGGAATTATTGGCGGCATCGTCGCCTGTACTGCCACAAGCATCAATCAGCTCATCGGTGCGAATGTGATTCTGGGCTTGGCCTCGGGAATTCCTGCCTCCTACCCCCTCTTGACTGGCGAGCTATTGGCAAACAGATTGAAGTATTTGGGCACCCTAATCGTGGTCGTTCCCAATATTGTTGCCACTGGATTCGGTCCGTACCTGGGTATTCGCCTGGCCACCCTGGCTAGCTGGAGGTGGATTTTCTATATTTACATCATCCTCATGGGTAAGTGCCACACTGGTCGATTGTAAGACTAAAGCTAACTTCTGCTAGTCTGTGGTACAACACTTTGGTTCTTTTTCTACCACCCTCCATCATTCACTCAACTCCACGGAAAGGAATTCACACGGAGAAAGCAGCTGGCCCAGCTTGACTATATCGGTATGTTCTTGCTTGTGGCTGGGCTTGTCCTGTTCTTGCTTGGCATCTCCTGGGGCGGACAGCCGTATGCTTGGGACTCTGGCCTTGTGCTCGGTCTTTTGATCTCTGGAGCAGCCACCTCAGTCATCTTCGTATTGTATGAAATATACGGAAACGTCTCTACCCCGATCATTCCTATGCACTTGTTCAAGGACGTGCGTGGATTTGCCTGTGTGGTGATTATCTCGGCAATCACTGGATGCCTACAGACCGCTGCATTTATTGTCTGGCCCTCGCAGGTGACGTACATCTTTGGAAGCACGGCCTCTGGCTGGCAAGAAACCGCCTGGATGTCTTCTATAGTGAACTTTGCATCGTGGGGTGGTATCATTCTCATTGGCCCTCTGTACCATATTGTGAAGCATTTGCGATCACAGCTGCTGGTCGGGTCAATTTGGATGACTGCCTTCCTTGGAGCAATGTCCACAATCAATTATATGGACCAAGCCTCTGCCGTTGCCTTTGCATTTCTGGCTGTGTTCCCAATGGGATGGGGAGAAATTTTCACGATGCTCATGGTTCAGTACATTGTGTCGGACTCAGATCTCGGTGTCGCATTTGGTAAGCCATAATAGTCCTCGGCTGCTGAGCCATTCAGAAATATACTAACGTCTGGAAGCCGTGGTCTCATCTATGAGAACTATCCTAGGATCGATTTTTACCGCGATCTTTGTCGCCATCTACACCAACAAGATCCCCGGCGAGATGAACACCTACGTGGTTCCCGCTCTCACTGATGCTGGCCTCCCTGCCTCTTCAATTGCGCAGGTTCTCAGTGTCGCAGCGTCAGCCAGCCAGGCAGCTTTGGAGAAGATCCCTGGCATGACGGCAGAGATCTTGAAGGTGACAAACGAGAGTGTGGCTACTGCGTACGGACATGCATATGCCTACGTTTACTATACAGCGGTCGCTCTAGGTGTGGTCTGCATTCTGGCAGCGGCCTCACTTCGAGATTTTGATCACTACCTTACTGATCACGTATCCCGTCAAGTCTATCACAAGGAAGACACCAAAGCAGACATCATTGAAAGCAGTCACATTGAGAAGTTCTCTACCACCACAGCTGACTCTTCTGTCTGATAAGCAGCGCTCTGTATCACTCGATACTTCGAGCAAAGCTTTCCTCAACCTGTCTCACCTGATTGGCCAAATATTATCGTGTCTTTTTCCCTTCCTTTTTTTTTTACCCAGTCACCGTCACGCCCTCTCTTATGACCAGCCTGTGATCTATTCCAATTGATTTTTGTGGAATTTATGCAGCTTTAGGGGATATGGTTGGTAATTACATACAGAGCTAGTTAATGAGGTAAATATCAATGTGTACCACTTTCTGGTGACAACTAATACATAACGTAAGATTACAAGCGCTACCGCCAGGGATCTTAAAGTCCAAGGTTGCGGTACTTTTCGCCATCCTCGTATTGCATTTACTCAATGACCGTAACTGGAAATCACATTTAAGAAAACCAAAAGGCTAAATTGGTGGAAGTTTGCAGTATAACCGGATTTGGTGCTGGCCACCCAGAACAACCTGCACGTGAGCGTGACAATAACTCGTATCCCAACGTTTTAAGCTTTCAAGGTTTGATCGACATCAATTATTGGAAGCATCCAACCTATTGAGATTAGTGTAATAGCAACCGAGAAATGGAATTGCCTATCATTGGCTGGATCCAGTTTACAGGCGTCAATGTGGGAAATTGCCCCCGGTGCCAAGGACATAGTTGATTCGAGAGTTTCACGCCACGCGCCTCATGATGGGCTGAGATTAATATGGGGCCTCATGAAGATCGAGCGAAATTCGACCGAGCCTCGAAGTGGCTGACTAAGTATCACGAGACCAGGGCACCCCCGCATTCCGGGCCTAAACCCCGTGGGGTAGATGCATAATTCTCTAATGCGGAAGTGGCGATGCTGCGCTCATTTTGCTCTTCCTGGTCTCTTTCTCTCTTTCAATGTCTCTACAGACGACAATAGCCGATGTGGCCACGAAGCACTGAATCATCCGCGAGAATGCCTAAATCTGACTTGGCCTGTCACTCGTGTCGCAAGTAAGTCTCATTGGGATTATACCACCCATCCAGGATGAACAGTCGCTAATCTTTTTTTTCTTGCTTGCAGGCGAAAGGTAAAGTGGTATGGTAGCTTGACTTCAAAAATTCCACGTAACTGTCAACTTACATGCTGTTAGCGACCGGGAGTTCCCTCAGTGCTTGGTCTGTGGACAGACAGGCCAACCATGCAACTATCCGCTTCGTCCGATGAAACCAGGGCCCAAAATTGGTAAGGCTTAGTCGCATCTTGAACTGGGAGATTGGCTCATTAGATCCAGGGACCTTGCAACGACAGAAACGATTACGCCAAAGGAAAACGAAAAGGACAGACCAACCTCAACACGATGGTTCACCTTCCAGCTCCCCCATCGACCATAGTCTACATCCATATGACGGGGAATTTGAGACTCCTCAAGAGGTTTCCGAGAACGATATCCCTTCGTTGGCCACCGATAATACCGACTTGACCGGTGGGACTAAGATACGGGAGGATGAAAGAAAGCAGGATTCGCACTTGAATATGCATGATCTTTCCTTTATACTACACCCATGCCATGAGCCTTCAACTCCAGAGAACGATCAAAACCAGAGCCCGGGATCGAAAGAAGGTGGTCAACCTGGTCTTTGTCGCCAAGCATGCAATGAGTTAGGAGTGTCGTTAAGTCTCATGAACCAAATGTACGCATACACCTGTCTTGAAATCGCATCACAGGCAGTGAGAAACGAATCTGGGCGCTGACTCAGTCTTAGGATTCGAGTTTATTTCGATAACATGGTCGCCATTAACCTCTTTCATGAACCTTCATTCCCTGAAAAGTTGATGGAAATTCCCTCTCTCTGCCAAATCAGTGCCCTTCTCGCTGCCATGGCTGCTTATGCCTCACGTTTCCTACCTTTTGAAACGGATCCTTTAACTGGGGGCGGACTAGCACTGACAGAAAAATGTCATCACAACCCTGCACATTTTGTTGATATTGCCTTTAATGAGATCAACAAGGCACTCGCAGAGTGTGACGATGAGTTACCACCTCTTTGCGTGATCCAAGCTCTCATAATTGCAACACACTGCCAATTAACCCGTGGGGTTCATGGGAAAGCGTGGAGATCCTTGGGACTTTGCGTTCGATTGGCATACGAGACTAACCTTCATCTTCTCGATTCGAGGACAGCGGGAAAGACAGAAGAATCCGCTCAATGGAAAGCAGATGAAGAAAAGCGCCGGGCATTCTGGGCCATTTGGGAGATGGATGTATTTGCCAGTACAATCCGCCGGACCCCAACTGCCATCGACTGGACGCAGATGGAGATCTTACTCCCGGTCGACAATGCCAACTGGTTTCAATCTCGCCCTGCCCCAAGCTGTTTCATGGAGGCCGAGCCAAATAAACGTTGGAAGGCACTACAGGACAGTGGGAACCAATCGCCCAAGGCATGGTTCCTGGTGATCAACTCTCTCATGAAAGCTGCCCAAGCCATCTCCAACCCGCGAGGGGTAGCTCCTACGGGTAACGCGGTTAACTATCAGCCAACACATCGTACGTCAACACCAGAATCGGTCGAGGAGGCCCGGAAAGGGTTAGAAACACTAGCAAACGCAGTGCGGTGCTTTGGGCTTGCTTTGCCTCGTCATCTCCAATATCGCGACCAACACTTGGCTTTCAGTGCAGTAGGACAGCACCAATCGGACTCTGAACGACAACAACATTGCTCTATATATAACATCTTCGTCATGACTCACCTGGCTCGGCTTATGATACACCGATATGATGCCTTCAGGCCACAGACTCGCCACTCGGAAGCCAAAAGTCGTCACCACCCTAGCGATTCAGCCAATGGGAATGAATTTGGTATCTATGATGCCGAGAGCGTCGCTTTACGGCATTATTTCGACGCAACAGATAGCATTCTGAGAATCGTTAACCAAAGCTGCGAGGAGCACATCCGGTATATCAATCCATTCCTCTCCAGCACCATATGGCTGGCTTCCGCTGTGCAGCTAGTTCGGAAGCATCTTTCACGAACGCCGTCCAATAGAAGCCTGATCAAGTCGCGCTTTGATGTACTATACCTGACGTACAAGCGATGCATTCAATTCTGGGATACACAGACCGCTCTCCAGCAAAACCTTGAGTCACTGGAGGTGCAGCTGGAGGCCCAGCAAGCTGAATCTAATAAGCGGGAGGCCCGGGCTTCCAGAAAAACGTCAAAGCGAGCTTCAGAAGAAGCAGCAATTGCGAATCAGTCCTCCAGTGACCGGCAATGGGGCCAAGCTGAGCATGATGCCAAGAGACAACGAATCTACCTGCATAATTCTTCTCATGCCACCAAGAAAAACAACGGCCCTAATTTATCAAACTCTGCAAAGATGCAAGACAATTACTCTACGCAATTCCTTCCTGATACACCATCCACACCCCCGGTGCAAATGTTGACGCTGGACCAAGATGAACTTGAGAGGATGACAAACCAGGCGTACCCCGGTGAACATCCCGATCCCTCCCAAAAGATGGCCATGCTGGATTTCATGCCTTTGCCAGAAGTCAATCCACATCCGATCTCTGAACCTTACATAGTGCCAACGAACCCTGTTTTCTTCGAGCCGATGAACATGCTTGATACACAGCAGGATCGGAGCATGGAGTGGCCCAATATTGAATTCGCTAGCGGCATACATGATTTATTGGCTGGGTGGTCTATGTACTAAACGCATTTTTCCCTTCTCCCATGTCTTTTTTTATATGCTCTATTTACCCTCATATGAGGCACTGCTATACCCATCCGTCTATCACAAGTGATATTAGTCGTCTGTGAGAATTGAAGATGCGAATAAGCGAGTGCGAATTTTGATGATCACGATGCACTTGGTTTACGATTTCCAATCGATTAATAGGGTATTCTCATAGCATTTATCGAATTTCTAGGATGCATGGAAATGATGTCAAGCCTGTTGATTTGCCGTTACCTAGCCCCAGCTTCGAATTAAGCTCACAGTATTAAGCTCTATTAAAGTCAAAATCTTCATCTTGGTCATCTGAACTGCCCCTATAGGCCGAATACCTTTACCAGAAGTCAAGAACTTGATCGACAGGTCCAAGAGACCATTTAATCTCTTGCTTTTTGCTCTGGGGTTTACCATGCCCGAACAGAGCGAAGTTGGTCCGCTACAAGCCCCGCGAAGATTCCCCGAAGTATGTGCGGAGCGGGGAAGCATCTATAGCCCCATTTTTGAGCTTTTTTAGACTTCAGAATCTGGGGTATGGCTCTTGGGTGGGGTTATGTTTCTGGGGTCCGGGGTTTCTACTGGAAGTGCACAAATTCGTCCTTGCGTCAAGAGTAACCCTATATCAATGCGGGGGATGCGACTCGATCCAGGTATCTTCTATTTCGAGCCTATTTAGTGACTCGAGCTGCATAAATTTGTTCTCTACACGATTTTTTTTTCTGTCAAATTCATAATGTCATCAGAAATGCCGTTTCACGTTTCCCCTACGGTAATAGCTGTGCTGGCAGTTATTTCATTCGCCGCATACAAACTGCTTTCTATGGGAAAGAGAGAAAAGGGTCTTCCTCCTGGTCCACCAACGATACCAATCCTCGGAAACCTTCACCAAATTCCTCTTACTGGCCTCCATGCAAAGTAAATTTATCTCGTGTGACCGTTGTATTCAGCACCTCTGACATTGTCTAGATTCCTTCAATGGGGTGAGACTTATGGCGGCATATTTTCTCTCAAAATGGGGTCTGGGACCATGATCGTCCTGTTTGACCGAAAGGCCGTTCACGATCTCGTCGACAAGAAGGGCGTCATCTACTCGGAACGCCCGAAAAACCATGTTGCCGACATTGTTACCCATGGTGACAGCTTTGCTTTTATGGATAACACAACGCTTTACCGTGAGCAGCGAAAAATCGCGTCTCACAATCTTTCCGTAGGTCTATGGTCTGGAAGTGGATTAATCCGGGCATACTCTAATGGTCTCTAGCCTCGAATCCTTGATGAGCGAGCTAGCGAGATACAAGACGCAGAGTCAGTGATCATATATATTAGAACTCTTTTTACCTTATATTAATCGTTTTGAAACAGAATTTCGGTTCTCATGCGTGATCTTGTGAAAACCCCTGATGAATTCTATCATCATGTTATGCGCACCACTTGCTCCATCTCATGCAGCATGGTATGGGGCCACCGAGGAGCCACATTCGAGTCATTCTTCGGTCGTGTAAGTCAATATTCCGGCCTGTCACGGCACTATTTTCAATACTGATGCCTCCTTTCCATAGTGTGTGTACGACGCCATGGACTCGGTAAGACCTCTTCAATACGCTTACGGTTAATCGCTTTCCAATTTACTAATACCGCCATTTTTGTCTCTGTCTTTATAGTACAGCGAGTCTTTGGAACCTGGAGCAAATCCCCCTGTGGATGAATTTCCTTTCCTGAAGTATCTACCGGGTTTCCTCAGCCCATGGCGACAGCGCGCAGTCAAATCATACACGGCCATGGATAACACCTGGGCTGCAGCCAGGGTATTCTGTGATAAGCGACGCAACCAGGGTGAACGTCGAGTTTGCATCGCCGACCGACTTCTAGACGATCCCAAGCAAGCTGGAAAAATGACCGATAAACAGATCAACCATTTCCTTGGAGTTCTTGTGGAGGGTGGTGCCGACACGACGTCCTCTGCTGTGTTGACCATGATTGCCTGTCTTGCTAGAAACCCTGAGCACCAAGTCATCGCCCAGAAAGAATTGGACGCAGTGTGTGGCACAACACGGTACGTATTCTCTTTGATATTTTTTCGTGCAAAGCGCTAACATCGACCGATCTCCTTTAGAATGCCTGTCTGGACCGATTTCAACGAGCTTCCATACATCAACTGTATAGTCAAAGAGGGCCTTCGCTGGCATCCAGTGTATGTTTAATCCCTTTCGAGATCGACATCAAACTCATAAATTTCGCAGACTACCTTTGGGTGTACCTCATCGCGTCGCCAAAGACGATTGGTACCAGGGAATGCTCATTCCAAAGGACGCGACCGTGGTGATTCCCTCCTATGCCATCCACCGTAGCGAGAAGTTCAACTACAAGGCACCGGATGAGTTCAACCCCCAGAGATACTTGAATCATCCAAGATTGGCTAGTGATTACGCTGGAAGCCCCGACTTTAATAACCGAGATAAGTCACCTTTTATCTATCCAAAACGACGCCAGGCTAACAAATGTAGGGTTTGAACATCACTACGGGTATGGAGCCGGTCGACGTATCTGCCCAGGCATGCATCTCGCAGAAAGAACCCAGTGGCGGGCCATTGCTAAGTTGCTGTGGGCTTTCACCATTGAACTCCCCGTTGATGCTGCTGGAAACAAGATTATCCCCGACCCAGAGGCTTATAAGGAAGGTATTGCCCATGGCCCATTGCCCTATCAAGTTGTGTTCAAGCCCCGGAGTCAGGAACATGTGGATATTATCATGAGAGACTGCGAACGAAGCTTGAAGACCCTCCAGCAGTGGGAATGATCGGGCTTAGTGCTAGGAGAATACTAGATTGTTTGTCTTGTTTTTATCTATAATAGCTATACAATATACGATATGAAGCAGCAAGTCAGCCAGCCATATATCAATTGATCACTTTTTTCCCTGACATCTATTCTTATGTAAATCATAAAACCCGTTGCCTAGATGTGTCCTGATGGTCTCTGACTCTTGAGTCATTGCTTTTGATTGGCCGCATCCATGAGCGACCAACTTGCTTCCTTTACGGCAAACCTATCTCGGATTACCAATGTCATGGCGCAGAGCGTTCGCGGCGTCACGTAATCAAAAATAGAATTAATCAATTGACTCACGTAGCACCCATACTGCACTACAAACTTTCCCTTTTTAAGTTCATGATGACGTACTGGCTTAAACCTTGTCAATGATATTTCCTATGGTTACTCGGCCCAACTCTGGTCCAACTTCTCGGTCGATCTTCGGTGCATCTCTACAAAATGCACGTTGCACAACTTCCGAATCCCCGCAAACCTTGAAAAATGGGGTCATGTGAGCATCCGGGGATCGTGACTGATCGCCAATGACATTTAGCTACCACGTATAATACTGCCTTTTGCTCCTATATTGTTGATTGATAGCACTTACGCCTCACCCTGGTCAATGAAACGCTATGTCAGGCATTCTATCATCAAAGACCATTCTCACCGCGGGTGGCCTGCTCCTTCTCTATGGCATTTACCGACTGTTCCAGGTCGGGAAACGCGACCCACGACTACCACCAGGACCACCGACCGTGCCGATTCTTGGAAATATGCTTGAGATTCCCTCCACAGGCCTAGGCAAAAAGTAGAGCTTTACAAGATCTGTTCTTCAATGGTAATGCTAACCGTTATGTAGGTTCATGGAATGGTCACAACAATATGGCAAAATATATTCCCTCAAAGTTGGATCAGGGACAATCATCGTTATATGCGATCGCAAAGCGGTTCACGAATTAATCGATAAGAAAGGCAGCATCTACTCCGATAGGCCGCCTAACATCGTGCCACTCTTCATCACTCGCGGCAACCATATGACAATGGAATGCCAGAGTCCTGGATGGCGTGAAAAGCGAACGGTTGTAACAAGAAACCTTAACCCAAAGTCACTTGATGAAAAGCATTTTCGTGTTCAGGAAGCCGAGTGAGTCTTTGTTGTCAAACTGGGCCCTTGTGAAGATGACGCGACTGACTATTGTCGACTAGAGCCGTCCTTTTAATGAATCGCTTAGCGACAGAACCAAAGAAATTCTTCCCCTACGCCAGACTGTATGCGTCCTCGGTTGCGGCTGTCCTGGCTTGGGGATTCCGCGCCAAGAGCCTCGACTCCTTCTGGTTTAAAGATGTCTCTGAAATGATTGAAGAGGTATTTTAATGAATGTCACTATTCCTGAAATCGCGGTCACTAATTGAAGTTCCATAGTGGCTCGAGGCGATCGAACCTGGTGCCAACCCGCCAGTGGATCTGATTCCCGCTCTGTGGTACCTGCCCGGCAAGTGGAAGAAGCGTGCTTATCGCATGCGTGCGAAGATGGACGCTATCTGGGGCAAAGGGCGCGAGTTGGTCGAAGAGCGCCGGGCCCGAGGCGACAAGCGTGAATGCATGATCGACATGAAGCTGGATGAGTATAACAAGGGTGGCTGGCCAATGAGTCAGCATGGCTTCAACAACCTCTTTGGTGAATTGATGGAGGCTGGCGCTGATACCACTGCGAATCAGATCCTCACTTTGATCCTGGCTTTGGCTAAGAACCCCCAGATTCAGGCTAAGGCCCGTGAAGAGATCGATGCGGTGTGTGGGGTTGAGCGAGCGCCGCTGTTCTCTGACTTTGAGAAGCTGCCTTATATTAACGCCATTATAAAGGAGGGTCTCCGATGGCGACCAACGTTAGTCTCCAGCCATATTTGTTCATGATATTATGCTGACCGGTGTTTGTACATGTAGATCTGATCTTGGTCTTCCCCACACTGTTACAAAAGGTCAGTCCTGAATCCTGCATTACAAGTGCGAAATCCCCAACTGACTTTGAATTTCCTGACCAGATGACTGGTACAATGGCATGTTAATCCCTAAGGGAAGCACCATTTTTGTTGGTGTATGGGCCATGCACCACGATGAGAAATACTATCCGGACCACGATACCTTCAACCCGGACCGATTCCTGAAGCACACGAAGCTGGCAAATGACTACGCAGTCGGACCTGACTACGAGAACCGAGATAAGTACCATATTGAGCATAAACATAGAGCGTTCACTAACAGTTTTTCACATCACTACGGCTACGGCGGTGGACGACGAATTTGCCCCGGTATTCACCTGGCTGAGCGTAGCATGTGGCGTATCACAGCCAAGTTACTGTGGGCCTTTGAGTTTGAGGAGCCTATCGACCCTGAAACTGGCAAGGTCAAACCTTTGGATACCAACGCGTACACTTCCGCCAACTTGGTATGCCCACTCCCCTTCGATGTACGAATCAAGCTGCGCAGTCCAGAGCATGGCGAGGTGATTAAGCGGGAGTTGGCGAGCGCAGAGGAATTCTTGTCTCAGTATAACTAGGTCCCTTCAATTTTGTCCTTAAGACGATGTCATGTACCGAAAATCCCATTTGTTGGACTTTATTACTTTTGACTATTTAGGGTTCACTACCACTACCCCTGCTGCTCCACCGCCTAGGAAACCACTTTGGCACATAATAGCGAAGAAATTGGCGGAGATAGGGAAGAGAGCCACACAATATGATAAAGTTAGCCTCAATGTTACTGTGTTATTTTCCACTTCTGTCAGATATATTGAATCAATCCTGGATGGAGATCAAGAGTGGAATGGCGGGTGAGAGCTTACGCAAAGGTCCAGACAAGGGCAAGTTCGTACGGGAAGTCATTTGAAGTCACTAGCGGCCACAAGGTTGCCAGTCGTACAATACTCGTGATGATGGTCCTTTGGGAGACTTTGTTAGCATAAAACGCTCCGACTCTTTGCATACTTATTAGGATCTCTCACAAACAACCAATACCGAACACAATAATTGCCCCCAACTTCTCAGCAAAGCGCAATCGTAGCTTCCATATAACCCGTACGGGGATAACGAGTAGTACTAAATCGCTGGCCGTGTTCGTAACTGCCGTTGCTAGATATGCTCCAGGTCTATTAATGCAAGATCCTCCCGTAATTGAAGGAGTCCAGTTTTTCTCCAGAGGGGTGCATGCAAAAAGAAGCGCTAGGGTAAGTGCGATGCTGTATCCAACAATCACAAAGCCGACAATATAGAGCGTATATACGTAGGCTCGAATGGATTGGAGGAGCCTGTAATACATCATAAGCAAGGCGAGCTTCGCGAATGCGAGACAAGGGATATATATAATGGAGGCAGCCAGGACGAGCTATATGGAAGGGGTTAGGTTGAGTATTAGCTATTGAGACTTTGTTGAGGGGCCTAGACAGGCACCTAGGTGAGAGATGATATACTCTTTGTAGCTTTTCCAATGTCGATGGGGATAATTCTGTAATATGTATCCCAACCCCAGCATGACTCCATCCATCTGAAAGACGATGAGCCGGATTCTTTCGACCTGGAACCTTCAACTTACAGAGGATGACTATTTGGACCCCAACAATACATATCTCTCTTCCAGTCAGTAGAGTTATTACAGGAGGTTGGAAATGAGGCCTTTACCCAGGCAATGATAAGAAATACTGGTTGATATGTGTGTCAATGATCCACCGGACATAGTTGATGAAGAAGAATTACTTACCGTCATCCCACCAAAATTGCTTCATTATAAATTTCTTTGTATATATCCGCATGATGAGGCAACCTGTGCTCACTCCTAGTCCGACCCCCACCAATACCTGGTTTACCGTTCGCAACCATGGCGTTGGGTGTACTGAGTCGACCGGATTTGAAGAGAATCCAGCCATCATAGAAAAGGCTGGGAACCTCGGTAGCGTCAGGCGCGGTACATCTTGTGAATCTTAGCTTGATTCAAATTTAGTTTCGAGCTTAGAAAGGTTGAACTTCAACTACTTATAAGTGGTGTCGAATATGATTCATCGATCTTCGTATTCCAAGGTTGACCAATGAAAATCGCTCAATCATAACGAGATGCCTCATTTGTGATTGGCTCTCGATCTCACCGCTTTATGAGCTATGATATTAGACAACCCTTCAAATATGCATATTAGGGCCTATGTACTGGATTTCCTTGACAGTTCTTGGCTTCTCTTTCTAGGTAAGTGCTCACCCCCTCGCCGCTTTGACTCACTGAATAGACCTGAGCACGGCCTCAGGCTCAGTGATCAGATCACCGATCATTATGTAACCCTTTTTCATGCTCACTGAGCCAGCCTGAGCTAACTGATCAGCTCACTGAGCGTATTCCACAGCTGACCAATTACATGTGTGCACTACATGGATTCTACTACGCTGCCTCAAGGCCCTACTCGTCTAGGATTAAAACCTATCTAAAAGCGATCGATTATTCCCACTTAAACCATGTGCTATCCTATTTTGAAATTAGACAATGTGATTTAATGAATGATTTATAAATTTTCGCCTATTAGGTTCTATCTAGCACTTTACTCCTAGCAACACTCGACTCTACTCCCGTATTCTCGTTACCCTTGAAGAAATACCTACATGTTTCTTATCAATATTTTTAGAAAGTTGTTCGCTAAAAGTACCTGGTGCTCTTGAAAAGGTCCCTAGAAGCAAAAAGGGACCATAGATTATCGCGCATTAGTCCTAGGAGCTTAGTATGTGTTATACTAAACAATAATGCAGAGGCGCTCCTTTATTATTACTTTATCGCAAACTTTAGACTTCCCTCTATTTATTTATCAAAGCAGCATATAAGAAAAACCGTCTTCCTCTAAATCCGGTTCTTCTCGTGTTCCTAACCATCATAGTTCTCTTCATTTCGAACTCTGATGAATTCAGAATTTCAGAGAGACGCACTCTGCCCACCTCTCATAAGGAGCGGATCCGCGATATAGTGCTCTGATCGCGATATAAAGGAGGTGGCTGGGTAGGATTAATGGATCCGAAAAAATGATGATATTCGAAAATTACAGTATGATCGACCTTCCAAACAATATGAAAGCCAACTTTTCATCTCCAACTGGAATCAAATCGGCAGCATTAAAATCACCACCATGTGTTAGGCAATGCATTGAAGTTCGTGTAAACTTATTGCGCGGCTGTACACAGAGCATCTTGACCAGCCTGAGAAAGTCTTATCAGCAAGACTATTGTGACGCGGATGTTTTTCTTTTTCATCTGACTCACCACTGGTACCACACAGCACATGGCGTGATGGCCTTGAGATGAACAAGATTGCCTGAAACTCCCTAAATCGGAAGTCTCAGCAGCTTTCTTGCAGCCAAGAGTCCTGAAGTCTAAGCCTCCAACAACGCAACATTGCGGCTGACTGTACAACTGGCTTTGGCATGGCGGATTTGCGCGATGCTGAAGAGGATTTGCAGAAGCCCCTAAGGCACCTACGGAAATCATGATCAGAGTATGAATAATGCTGGGCATATTGATCAAAAAGAAGATAAAGTAAAGCAGATTTTAGAGCCTTTCGAGAACTCTCCTGGATGAAAAAAACACGATGAGGGTTGGGTATCAATATCGACAGAAGCCGAAGCTGGCTTTTATAGACGGCTGGCATACCTTATGGACAAAATGCTTCTCATGACGCAAGGCGTGACTTGAATCAAGGAAAAATATATCATCAACAAAGCAAAAATCCATATTTCCGCTAATCACTATTGTCGAGTAACACATGTACGTCACGATCTCAGCCGCAGTTGTGTACTGTCATTAGGCTATGGGACAATATGTCAAAATTTTGGGGACTACTGACAAATAGATCCATTTTGTTTGCATTATGTGCAAGATGAACGTTCTAGAGGAGTTGAGACTCTCGCCCATCCGTCTCCCGTCTCCAGGGATTATTTAGGATGCGAAGAAAGGCATGTTTTAAGATAGAATGAGGCACAGTATGACGGACCTATGACGGACCAAGAGTGAAAAAGAGATTAAACCACAGGTGCAAAAGAGCTGTGGAGGAGAATAGGGGGCAGAGAAGGGAGGCATCTCATCTACAGGGGCGTTACATGAGTTTGAAAGCCTCTCCACTATGTTCTGCCATGTTTCCTGCCAGCCAAAGGCTCACATTGTTAGCTGTATAAGCTCAGTACGTAGAACTTACAACACTGAACATTATTGAGATCATTCTGGATAATATAACATATATGCATTGTATACAACAAACGTGTGTTAACCTGTGTTTCCTTGTCCAGTCAGCTTGCTGCGTATAGGTAGGCGGTAAGCTATGTTCAAGGAAGCGGGGTAAAGCTGTTTAAATTGATGAAAAGCCACTGTACAAAGACGATGGTCACATGACCTTACTAGCTCAAGCGTGCTTACGACCGTGCTCAAGTCTACTCAGTGATTAAAAGCGGCGAGAAACGATCAGCAGAACAGGAAACACGAGACCAGGACGTGGCAGACATTGGTCTTTGCGTTGAGAATGCGTATAGGATTCGTATTCACATTAGCCGGAACCTTCGTCTTCCGAACCCTATGCCCTAGCACCTATTCGGGAAAGGCTTTCCTAGTGCCATCGGACCAGGACTGAAGACCATCCGATTGGGCTCTTAAAAGAGTAGACAATTCTATTGCTATACAGCAGTCAGAGTTGACAAGTAGATAATTAAGTCAACTTCCGCTGTCATGACAAAACTAATATCATGCTCTTATCAACCCAGCCCGGTCCAAGTCACCCGAAGCTAAAACAACAAGGGCAATCCCAAGAGATACCAAGTCTCCCCGTATAATCCTAGGCTTCTCATTACACAATTCCCACGACAGACACCCCACGAATTGATATCAGCCCTGAGCCACAGCCCTCCCCGACAAATGGCATGCCTTGCAAGTATAGCCATGCTTATCAACGGTCATGGGGCGTCCCCGCAAAAGGCCGACAAAGTTCGCTGCCCGCTCGGGACTGGCAGACCGGCCCCACCGGCGTCGCGCAGACCTTCTCGATCAGGAAGGACAGTATGACAATCTATCTTAATGTCCCTGTGCCTCTCCATGGGGTCATGGGCCCAGCATGGGGGTTGTAGGAACAGCACTGGTATGCCTCGGATATTCTTAAGGATGTCCTTTGCCTGCTGGGCGCAAAGTATAGTTTGCCGTGTCAACACTCAAAGAACTCCCGGCTCGTCGCAAGAATGGCGAATGAAGAGGAGATCCAGGTGTTTAAAGGCACCACCAGCGAAGATGTTCGCTTGGAGAACTTGGGTTATGAGCAAGGTGAGTCTGTTCTTGGAAAATGGAGGTTCATAGGATGCTGACATCTTCTGTTAGAGCTCAAGCGTTCTTTTGGGTTGCTCAGCATGATTGGATTTAGTTTCAGTGTTGTGACATCGTGAGTCGTGATTTCATATCCAACTTGCGACAAAAGCTTATGGACTCTCTAGATGGACGGCTCTAAGTGGTGTGTTCATTGTCGGAGTTACATCTGGTGGACCACCGGTGATGATTTTCAGTTTCATTGGTGTCAGTCTTCTTACACTCGCCGTTGCCATTCCAATGGCGGAAATGTGCAGCATGCTCCCCGTTTCTGGTGGTCAATATTCATGGGTTGCTGCTCTCGCGCCTCCAAAGATCGCCCGAGGGCTGTCATATATTACTGGCTGGTTCATGCTTGTTGGTATGGGATTTGATATCGGAATTTCGCGTGAAGAGACACTGATATTTTTGATGGCTAGGTCTACTAGCAATGGGTGCGACGAACAACTCGATTGCATCGAACTTTGTGCTTGGAATGGCCAACCTGATATTCCCCGATTACGTTATTGAAAGATGGCAGACCGTGCTCGTCGCCTATCTTGTTGCTTTTCTCTCGGCCGCCGTCAATCTTTGGGGATCCCACCTGCTCCACCGCATCTCGAAGTTCATCCTGATCTGGAACGTTGCTTCCTTCATTATTGTGACAATTACACTTCTCGCAACGAACGACCACAAACAGTCACCCTCATTTGTTTTCACGGAATTTGAGAACACAACTGGTTGGGGCACAGGAATGGCCGCTATCATTGGTATCTTGCAGGCCTGCTTCGGAATGTGCTGTTATGATGCGCCCTCACACATGACGGAGGAAATGAAATCTGCGTCTAAGGAAGCTCCGAAGGCGATCGTGCTCGCAGTCATTCTTGGCGCCGTGACTGGTTTTGTCTTCCTTGTCACCCTTTGCTTTTGCATCGGTGATATCACATCTACCGCCAACAGCAGTACTGGAGTGCCTGTTATTCAAATCATCTACGATTCCACCGGAAGCAAGGCCGGGACAATTATATTGTCTACTTTGATCACTGTGATTGTTATAGTTGCCGGAAACAACATCCTGGCTGAAGGATCTCGCTCCGTGTATGCTTTTGCCCGTGACAACGGACTTCCCTTCTCGAAGGTTTTCAGCAAGGTCAATAGCAAGACCCAGGTACCTGTGAATGCGGTCTTGCTCACCCTGGTGGTACAACTGGCTTTGGATGCCATTGAATTCGGAACAACGACTGGATTTGAAACAGTCATTTCGATCTCCACTGAGGGATTTTGTAAGTTTCTCAACCCCCACCTCTATACCAAAAGCAACATCTAACAGTATCATAGATCTATCCTACGCCATGGCACTTGGTAGCAGATTACTCGGATACTTTTCAGGGCATGTTATCAAGCTGGACGGCCCATACTCATTCTCAGTCCCCGTCTCCATTGCATTGAACGCGATTGGCCTCGTGTTCCTCCTATTCGCTTCCATCACCTTCAACTTCCCAAGCACCTACCCGGTAAACCATGAGTCGATGAACTATACTAGCGCTGCCATTGGGGTCATTGCTCTTCTTAGTCTCATTACCTGGATCACAACCGGCAAGAAGAATTTCACTGGCCCAGGAGCTGTCAGCTTTATGAGCGGGCATACTACTGGCGCAGACGCAGCACAGCCCCAGGAAGTAGAAGAAAAGAAGAGTTGAGGGATTGAGTATGGCTTGTAGCTCAAGCTTAAATTTGTACCACTATTAAATTGAATATACTTCAGTACTAAATTACGCATCAAGAGTACTTTGGTGCATCGTTCTTCTCATTTATGCATTGAACCCTCCTAAAGCGTCGGCCCACTTTGCCCAGGGCTGGTTCATTGGTGCTTCACTGGTGTTCTGTAGATCCACCTAGCGCATAAGGCAAGACCCATTATTTGCATTGAAGTGGAGCATTTACTATGATCTATCTTTTGAAAATGCGCCCGTTTCCCATCCCTTGACGTTTGAATCGTCAGACCGATAACCCAAGGGATAGACGTAGCATAGGTAGCTATCACATGTGATACTTCCCCTAATGAATATGGCTGTGACGTGATCTATGTGTCTGAGAGTACTCCGTCATCTTTCGACTGGCTCCACGGGTATCTCCGCGATCTATGAAACAGCCATAATTGGTGCGATCTCTGGTGATGATCGCCGCTCGGCAAAGGATTGAACCATTTCTATCTATGTGCATGTTAAGCGATCGATCTTCATTGACCTCAGTCTGATCTCAGAGAAACCTTAACCCGCAGAGTTCGTGTAATTCTCCTGGGGGCTTTTTGATTCAACACCACAAAATTAGTTGAACATCCTCACTAACCGCATTCAAAGTAGCGCAGTATTCAAGATTCAGAGAGTAATATTATTGAGTACATGCCCAAATACATGACTGCTCACATTACTCTGTTGACTACGCTGGAATGTGAATGTCATTCAAGAGTGATACCCACTAAGCTACCTTTTATTACTTCTATCATCACTCTACTGAAGCGTCATGTCGTATATTGACGTGAATTTTGCGAGGTGATGCAATGTCCTTTAATACATGATATAGCAATTTCCTGTTTACAATTATCGCGCTACTTCAAATGCGGTTGGCGAGGGGTGTGGAACTTATTTTGTGATGTTCAATTATCGCGCTCCTTCTCCAGCGACATGTTACCCCAGTGCGCCAATCCTGCACGTGTGCGTCTTAGCGGAGACGATGGCAAATCACCCCACAAATCGCGATTCTCGTCCTTTCCACTGGGTGGATAACAGACCCATAGAGCACCCGGGGGCGACGTTCAAGATGATCGCTGATCTCATATTCTGAAGTCATACCCACTCCTTCCGAAAGTAAAGCGGAAGAATCATTAATTCCCAAGTTCGGCAGTTATCCCCATCACACGATACCCAATGCAGAATGACGTTCAACTCCCTGGGTTAGTGCATAAGGGCCCGATGATAGATCACAGTCGGTAAGGAAAGACTGTCAACTAGCGGTCTAACCTTGCGGCCTCAAGGTAAATGAAATAGATCGACCTGGATCCCAATGGATCCCAAGGAGGGGCCCCCGATCCGGGTAGTGGGCCCCATCAGCTCCGAGATAAAGTACACCACCAATCTTTAACGACAAGTAAACCCACGGGGCTGGAGACCAAACAAACCAGATCTCACGATAGGAAGCCATGCACAATATTCTAAGTTTTGTGGGATTGGCGGTATGACGAGCGGAGTGACCAATCAGCGTGCCGGGTGGAGCTGATCACCGCACGATGCGGTGTGTGCCACGCAGTGACACAGCCTTGGGAGCACTTGGTCCGTGTAAGATGGGCGAAGAAATTGCCCTGAGAAGCGAATGCAAAGTGCTCTTTTAGCTGTGACTCCCGTACCATTTTGACATTTTGTACTTGAGTTGATGCTGTACCACCACACCCACGCTACAGTACGAATTTGGTTGGGATCTTATCGTGGTCAACTGGTTGGCTTCAAGATATACAAAGTATAGGTATGTAAAGCATTCAAATGCCTTTTGTTTTAAGTCTTTCTACGCCACAAGGTGAACATGTCGTATTCTCATTCGAATCAACTAAACCAACCTACTCACAGGGTCGAAATGATTGCTTGTTTTTTCTTGGGCAGTGTCCTGGCCTACGGCCTGGTCATGACATTCTACAGACTACATGTCCACCCGTTAAGCAAGTACCCTGGACCCTGGCTCGCAGCTGTCACTGGTCTATATGAAATCTATTTCGCGGCATGGGGAGTCGGGTCCTTCGAGGACGAGATTGATCGAATGCACCAAAAATACGGTACGCATCCCAGATCACCCATCCAGACCCCTGCTAATACAGAACAGGACCAGTGGTGCGGATTACTCCAGACGAAGTTCATGTCCAGGAGCAATTGTACCACACCAGCTACGCCGACGGCTGGATCAAAGGCACAGAAAGACTAGACTCTGGCCGAAGCCTCTCAAGCAAACCCAGCCAACGCTTCCAGATAAAGAAGCGATCAATCTCAAGAGCTCGATCAATCCTACAGGTGGAAGTCCCCCAGATCATCCGCGGTCTGATACAAAGACACCAACTACATAGGGTATTTGGCGCGTCGTTTCCCTTGATTCCTTTACCAGGAGGGCACGAGACCCGAAGTGATCCGGAAGAGAGCGATCTAGAAGAAGGCCAACACAGGGTCGATCGAACGATTGGCCCGGTGATGCCGAACCAAAACATGGCGATGTCCTCAACAGCATGAAGCTAGGGCTGCTAAGCTCCAAAGCCAATGGCTAAGCGCCGTACTCGACCAAGGATCGAATCAACTCGGCATTGTCGAGTCATGGACCCCGCTCTGAACGAGAAATTCTCGGAGAAGATGTGGAAGGTTTGACATGGCACACGGTTCAACGCATTTACCCCGCATAGGGCAAAGCTTCCAATGTGAGAGACGCGCCAGCATGAAAGCAAACGAAGAGAAAAAAAAAACAAAGAATCTTTGTGTGGAATTCGAGATAACATGAACCAACCAAAACTCCGATTGGTCCAAAGCGGAAAGCCAGAACAAAGAAAGAAATGGCTCATTGGAGGGTCAAAGAAGGGCAAGGCCCAAGCACGGTGCGGAGCCCGTCCAGTCTCCACTTTGAAAGCCGATTTGAGATTTCGATTTCTGCCCTTTATACTCGCCATTGATCTTTCATTTCATTTCTGCGCTCATTTCATTGATTCAATTCTCCTTCACAATGGTATGTCTCGGCACTAGCAACTTACCCGCTGTCGATCCATCCCCAATCCTTATCCCTGCATATCATGTTTCAATAAGCGCGCCAGGAACGGAAGTCAGACTGACACAATGCAGCCTCACGCCGACGCTTCATACTTTTTCCCAGGCTCGTCCAAAGCCGACATCTACGAGCAAGTGCTAGACCAGACAAAAGGTCTCCTCTCAGGTCAACGCAATTGGGTAAGTCCTCGATCGTTTCGATCGCCCCAACCCAGAAATGAACCAGATAACTAACGCCAGAAAACAGGTCAGGTGAGCTAGCTCCCATTGCAGGCAATCGCAACAAACGATTAACCAAGACACCTTAGCAACCTCTCCAACGTCTCCTCTCTCCTCTGGCACGCCTACGCCGCCCTCCCAGCTCCCTCCTCCTCGGTCAACTGGGCCGGCTTCTACATCCGCGATGACAAGTTCCCCGCCCTCGCCTCGCCCATCTCCTCGCCTCCCCTCTCCGGCACAGACGGCGTCCCGGGCGTAACAATCTCAACTACATATGCCTCCCCAGAGAACCAGGTCCTCCTCCTAGGCCCCTTCCACGGAAAGCCGGCCTGCCAACAGATCAGCTTTGGAAAGGGTGTGTGCGGTACCGCCGCAGCGAACCAAAAGACTCTTATCGTGCCGGACGTGCTTAAGTTCCCGGGACATATTGCATGCGATGCAGAGAGTCGGAGTGAGATTGTGGTCCCGATTGTTATTCGGGGAGAGGTGAGTCATGCCTTGAAGGTACAATTGAGTGAAGAGTAGACTGCTAACGATATGCTAGACCGTTGCTATTATTGATATCGATTGCACTGAGCCTTCTGGCTTTGATGACGAGGATAAGAAATACCTAGAGGCTCTTGCTGAGATCTTGGCTACGAGCTGTGACTGGTAGTCACGTTTACTCCGGCATGGTACGAGTTACGGAATACTACGGGATACGATTGATATAATTATGGATTTGGATGGGAGGAAGCCAGTGAACCTCATCTCATAAAAGTTCGGATTGATGTATAAGATTAGTTTATTGTTAGCATGTTAAAATAATTGCGATGATATTCACTTCGATGATATATAAGGATGTGTACATTGAGAAACACTAGGCACACTAGGCACATAGGGAAAGATCTAGAACGATCCTTCATCTCAAGATCCCTGGTAGCCTAAGCCTCCACTACGTATGAAACATGCGATCGGCGCCTGTGACGCAGGGACTCAGGATCCTTGCCAAACAATACTTCTTGGCTAGTTACACTTGTATACGAATAAATTGGTCTTCAGATTTCCATTGATCAGACACTCGGTCTGTATAAATTCATGGTGAATATATGTCAGTCAAGCCACGCCTAACTGAGTACTGTTCAACCTCCCGAAATTAGAGGTAGAGACTGTCTAAGAACATGAGAGACACCGAACCATTCCGACAGCAACATGATGTAGCGACCGCTAAACTGTCTAAACAGGTAACCCCAGAGAAAAATCGTGAATCTATCCGTGAAATAATAGGACGCAGTCGGATGCAGAATATATGAAACGCCGAACGATAGGTCAGGTATATGCGGGTCATGAGGGGTAAAAAGAAGTAAAGTGCAGGAAAAAGGGCACATGTGTTATGGTCACATGTTTAGCAAAGACATTTGTCGACGCATAGGATTCGGGGAGAGAGAATCCCCATCTTCGCTGGGACCTATGCCGCTGTCTGTGCCGGCTAGTCCTGTGTCGGTGTCAATGTCCCATTGTTCATCCTCGTCGTTGATATCTCCGTCCCAGCTTTTCTGTACGGCGCCTCGGGTGTTCCAACGTAAGGCGCGCTGGACACTTGTGAACCATTCGCCGCTGTCGGAGACGACAGTAGGGAAGGGGTATTGACTTGCTTCGACGGTGACATAGTCGCCTTGTCGAAGCTCGACGCGGCCCTTGCCATCGAAGGAACAGTATGCGGTTGACCGAGAGGTATTGGGGACTGCGATGCGAAGAAGATGGGAGTCTGATAGAACCATGGGGCGGAAGGAGAGGGTGTGAGGGCAGATCGGTGTGAGGAGAATTCCAGGGATAGAGGGGTGCATGAGGGAGCCGCCAGCGGATAAAGAATAAGCAGTCGAGCCTAGAAATTTGGTTAGATGAGTTGATGACAATGACATTGAACGGATGAAACGTACCAGTCGGCGTAGAGAATATGCAGCCGTCCGCCTGGACGACCGTCAATAATTCGTTATCGGCATATAATTCCAAGTTCGATACGTAGGGAGATGGCCCTCGATCGATGACCACTTCATTGAGTACTTCGAACTGCTCGCCTTCCTCAACTGCTCCAACCTCCGCATTTTTGCTCCGATCTCTCCGGAACACTGTACAGGTGAAACGCATCCGCAAGTTGACGCGCATGCCCACATCTCCCATGACTGCATTGAGATGGGATTTATATTCCGTGAACTCAAAGTTGGTGAGGAATCCCAGACTCCCCAGTGAGAAACAAAGCACCGGCGGCACAACCCGTTGGAATAACCATGAGGTAAACAAGACTGTTCCATCGCCACCAAGCGTCAAGACCAAATCAAACTTATCTGGTGACGTCCAACACAGGTCTGGGGTCCAGAATTGCAGCATCTGGGCGAACCGTGGTTCCTTCTGAAGAAGGCCCGGGGCATCAAAGCGCTTAGAATTCCGTAATTTTGCATCGACATAGACGTTGACGCCCAGGTCGCTTCCATAGCGTGGGGTGGACAGCAGCCATTCGGCGAGTTCGCGCGTCAAAAGAACGAGACTATTATCACGCGCCTTGGTCACGATCATAATGTTGCGGACCGCGCGCTTGATTGGCCGCCGTTGTAATTGTTTGGAGACTTCTCGAACTCCCGTTGCGGTCTGTACTAATCGTGAATGTGATAGCCACTCATCGTCGGCGATCTCCTCGAGGACCTTTTTGATATTGACGGCGTCGTCGAACCGCTGGTGGAAATAACAAGGCGACTGTAGCACCAACCGGGCGGTCGCGGGGGATCGGTCCACATAATTACTGAGCTGCAAGTTGGACAAGGCGACCGATAACCCTTGGGATGACGCATTGCTAGCTCGGCGCTCCCGATCCTCTGGCGGAGAGTTCTGGTTGGCATTATTATTGGCAATCAAACCAGACCAGGAGGTTCCCAATGTCGAGTTTTGCCCATTAGTGGTAAAGGAGGTTCGTGAAGCGAGGGCCTTCATGATGGTCTGGCGCGGGATGCAATCGGTGGAGAGGGCCTTTTGGGTCTTCTGCGGACGATGTCCGGAGATTGATTTCTGGCGAAATCGGCGCAAGGATGAGGAGGGCAGCGACCTACTGGCCTCCTCCTGAGTCGGTTCTATCTTGCGAAAAGGCAGCGTGTCGCTGCCAGGAGCTTGAGGGGAAGGGTCGGGTTGGGAGATGTGTGTCTGGGAGGGCTCTATATGGAGGGCATAGTCACGGAGTAGAGCAGCACCGACGGTCGATGCGGACGGGGGTGGGGCGGTAGTTGGGGACGGAGTTAGGTGAGACGGGGCACGCAATGACGGCAGTGAGGACTGGACATCAGATCGGGGTGATTCACTACCGGGCGACGCCATGAGTGGATGTTCGGCAAAATTCCAGAAGATGACAGAAAAAAAAAAAAAGTCCCCAGCTTCCCAGATATAAGTCCGAACGGATGTAACGGGGTTTGAGCGCTAGCGCTACTGGAAATTCGGAAATTCCCCAGCGTGGGGTATTCCTGCCTTGGTCCTTTCTCCGTTGATTCCTCGGTTTCTATGGGTTATTTCCAGATTTGGAGATTTTGTCTTTCACTTGGATCTGCTGACAGGGATGTTTGCGCTTAGATCAACTGGGCCTGATCGGTGGGGGCCACTGCTGAGAGGCTTGGTCCCTGGGAGGGCTTATCCTGATATCCCGGAGATTGAAAAAAGGAGTTGACAATTTTCCAGGGATGATATGGAGTCAAACTTCAGACTGCATGCCGATTAAAGAATGAAAGAATGCTAGGATAAAATCCCTGGGTCATTTATGCTTAATTCCTGGAAACTTCGTCATTTTGGGAAAAGTCCACACCGTTCTTGTGCCCGAATTTAGCTGCGGAGTTCAAAAGTCGAACTGTGACGTTTACATTCCACCCCACAAAGTCTTAGTATCTACTTTATTGCTGTAGTTTCCTACATCTATAAATACATGTCCGCTCTACGCGCGATGATGCTCCAGTTCATGACTCGAGCGCAATATCGGGCCAATTGGAAAAAATATGACTGATAAGCCTTGGAATTCTTTTTTAGGATTCGATATGTATGAGCATCGTCGGGGATAAATCCTTATGTCCCCTGCTCGGATCCGGTGCTACCAACCCCGTCGGCTTCTTTGTTGAGTCGGTGATACCCCCGCTTTTCGAGGGCCTTGTCCAGTGCGACGTTCATGATCCAAGGAACGCCAGCTCCAAGGTACCAGTGCGATATTTGTTTTGCACGTGCAGTGACGGTCAGGTGATGGGCTCCGTGCTACGCAGCCACAAACTTGTCACACTGCTGCCTCGTATGGTGATAGCGAATAAGGTCCCGCGGCCGAGATAAGGGGTCACGGCAATGTAAGGGCAGCTCGTCGCTTGGGACTCCGATGTTTGGTCAGTTGTAGCCATGTTCGTCTAGTCCCCGGAACAACAGCCATAAGATGCACGGGCTCAAATAGACTCGAGTTTCCAGTTGTAGTCACGGTGCAGATGGTCCTCCACTGTCTCACGAACAAATCCATCCACATGGGCATTATCAGTTCCGCCCATGGCGGCATCGCCATCGGAGCCAGGGGTGGCAGCGCCTCGGCAAATAGTAGCGGCTTGCTGTCGAACCAATTCCCAGGTGTCAAAATCGAACCGTCCCAGACTTTCATTCATCAACAAATGCCCCTTCGAGGAGAACGAAATAGTGTGCAATGATGTAGCAGCTTTAGCAACTGCTGGCGACGGGTCACGAATGATCTCTCCGGATCGAGTCACACCGAGCAACGTAGTAGCGAGGGTCATGGACAAGGGAATGGCAGCGGAGATCAAGGCCAGTTGGGCGGCGTGGAGGAGAGCCGGGAGGAGGGTAAGATACTAAGTCTGTTAGCCTGGGCTTACTTCAGTGAGAACGAAGATTAAACCCACCGAGTCACCGCGTTCTGTGGCCTCGCCCCCGACAATTGCCAGTGTAATAACCACTCCGCGACGGGGAAGTCCCTTCTCACGTCGGAGGATGACTGTGCTCAGGACATCGCGCAAGATTCCTTCCACATATTTCTCACCCACTCCAGGAACGGCATTTCCAGGCTTCACGAATACTTCAACGGTGGCTTCTTCGGGTTTCAGAGCGTCGCGACGGGCTGGAAGCTCAACGGGTCCATTCACCGCACCGAGCACAGCGAAGCCGGTGGCGGGGCATTTGTAAGATGCAGAACCATCCGCCCGGTGCAAATTCGAAAGTGAAGCTGTAGGGCCGACCATTGTGGGTATGATGTGAGAAAAGTAAGGATTGGAGCTAAGGTTGTCGAGGAGCAAGAACGAGCTCAGCGATTTTTTTGAGCGGATGCGGGCCGGTCGCTGATTGGTCGGACTGTATAAGAAATGTCCATCAGCGATACAACGGTAATGGATTGATTGTGCGGTGTCGAGTACAAGCAATATTGATAGACTGTACGTTTTTCTCGACCTCTGTTCATAGGCACGGGGTATAGGTAAAACATACTACTGTACCTAGCATCCTAGCGCTTCCAAAGCTGCTACCCTGTCCCGATATACAATTCGAACTCTTGATTCTCAATAAATATTAGAGCAACCAAGTCTACCACCGTTAGCGAATCCTGATTATTTGAATAGAAGTCGAATTTGACTCGAGAAGCTAAAGCAGACCCTTGGAAAGAGAGTCAGATATTATGTAGGTGGCTATGTGGCTTTGCCTTTAACTCTTGGGATCATCGCCGGGGCGAGTTGCAGCCATTCAGAGCCAGATCAGGATCCGCGTCAGTGCTCCAGGGCTCAGAGACATCCTTTCAGAGAATCTAGCCTATCCGATCATGCCGAGTCTTGGAATTGTGGCATTGCATTGGCAAGAGGCAATGCGGTGCGATGCAGTCATGGACTCCCCGGAACCATGGGTTTCCACGCCCATGACAACAAACACAAACACAAAACTAAAACTGGTTTCCTATTTTCGCTCTCATAAGGACCCTCAGGAGAGAATATGTTCACTATCATGCTCATTATTACCGCGATAAGCCCTAGGGAGCAGGGATGAGAACGCCCGCAGATGGCTTCACCCCGTATAGCGGCACCCAATCAGCGCGGGGTCCAAGACAGGCCTATGAGCGAGCGTCGCAAGCTACCAACCCGATGATACCAGCCAAGCATATGCATCGACTTGCCCCAATGATAATGCAGATCCAAGAAAAGCGACCAGGAAATCCCCCCTCATTCCCCTCTTTTCGGAAGACTGCACATAGATATAAATGCAATCAAGCGCTACTTCCTACTTCCCCCCGAGAGCACCTTTCCACTCCGGAGATTATCACACTGTGATAAGGGACATCTAGACTAGATCACCTAGATAGTGGATATAACTCCGTTTGACCCTTCTTTCATTCCCTACTCCACCTTTTGAATGGGCATAGAGACTCTCCCCGACGTCGAGGAATCGACGGAACCTCCTATATGTGGTTATACGGAGTCCTCTACAAATTCACATGCAACCAACAGCTTAAGCTTTGAGCTGTGCGACGAGAAACTTAAACCGTCGATCAACCCTGAAGGCCAGTGCACCGTCGATGACCGACTGAAAGATGCCCATCTTTTGGAACCAGCCCACATCGCTTCGTTCCTCCATACAGACCTCCAGTACGTAGAATGAATGGTGAGACTTGAAGTTTTTACTGACCTCTGTTTAGGAATGGACTTTCTACTAGCGAGGCGCTCCTCCGCCTCGAGAGAGATGGTCCGAATGCCGTCCAAGAAGTCACGGGCATCTCCGTCTGGGGGATACTCCTAAGACAGGTTTCCAACAGCCTGACAATAGTAAGGTTACTAATGGTACAACTTCTGGAAATATATGATACTGACGAGGGAAAGATTCTACTCCTGACCATGGGCTTGTCCTTTGGGATTGACGATTATATCGAAGGAGGCGTCATCACCGCAGTGATCCTCTTGAACATTATTGTCGGGTAAGTGAGATATCTAGGGAAGTATAGGGTATTATTAACAACGTCAAGGTTCTTCCAGGACTACCGCGCGGAGAAAACCATTCTATCCTTGCAACGTCTCTCAGCTCCAGAATGTAAAGTCATTCGGGACAATCGAGTAACGCCCATCAAGGCCCAAACACTGGTCGTGGGAGACATTGTTCGTCTCTCAGTTGGCGATATTGTGCCTGCAGACCTACGGTTGTTTGAGGGGATGAATGCCTCGATTGACGAAGCACTCCTGACCGGCGAATCTCTCCCCGTCCTCAAGACTCCATATGAGACCCTTGTTTCCCCGGATATTCCAATCGGTGACAGGAGCAATATGGCATACTCAGGCTGTAGCACCACACAAGGTCGAGCCATGGGAATAGTCATAGCGACGGGAATGAACACGGAGGTTGGGAAGATTGCTCAACTGTTACAAGACCAAGATAACGAGGGTAAAAAGGTTCATTCTCGGGTCTTAAGCACTGTCCTGTCTTCTGCCAAGAAGATCTTGGGCTTAGTGGGAACACCACTGCAGGTCAAACTGAGCAAATTTGCGTTGCTACTATTTGCGCTAGCTATTCTGTTAGCCATTATTGTATTCTCAGTCAATCTCTGGGATGTACAGGGTGAGGTCCTCATCTATGGGATATGCGTTGCAGTTGCTGTCATTCCTGAATCCCTAATAGCTGTACTCACCATCACGATGGCTGTTGGCACCAAGGCAATGGCAAAAGGAAATGTCATCGTCCGAAAGTTGCAATGCTTAGAGGCGGTTGGTGGTGTCACCAATATCTGTTCAGACAAGACTGGTACCCTCACACAGGGAAGGATGGTTGCTCGTGCGGCATGGATTCCGGGTGCCGGTACATTGACAGTACGCGAAATCACCGATCCATATGACCCTATGAGTGGAATTGTGCAGCTAGATGAGATTGACTGGAATTCAAGCCACTCAATTGAGAATCATCCTGCATTGCATACCTTTCTTTCCGCACTCTCTCTCTGCAACCTCTCAGTTGTGCATCATGAAAATGACGTCTGGTTCGCAGTTGGTGAACCAACTGAAGCTGCACTCCATGTTTTGGCTATGCGTTTTGACTTTGGAAAAAATGCAGTAATCACCAAACGCCAGATCAAACTTCGCACTGAGTATCCATTTGACTCTGCCATCAAGAAAATGACAGTCGTTTATAGTAATGCGAGCGAGGATATCAACGAGGTGTACACGAAGGGTGCACCGGAAGCCATTCTTCCCTCATTATTGATTTCCGAACATGAGAAACAAATAATTCGCGAAACAGCAGATCGAATGGCAGGAGAAGGCCTTCGGGTCCTGTGCGTAGCCACCAAAAAGACACCAATCGACGAAGATGACAAGGTGTCCCCTCGCTCTGCTGCCGAGTCGGACCTTCAATTCGGTGGTTTGGTAGGACTATACGATCCACCCCGTATCGAAAGCGCAGCAGCTGTGTGCAAGTGCCAAATGGCGGGTATCACAGTGCATATGCTTACTGGAGATCACATCAAGACCGCTACGGCCATTGCGGCCCAAGTAGGCATTTTAGATCGTGTTTCACTCATCACAAAACAAACGAAGTTGATCATGGCTGCCGATGAATTTGACAGATTGACCGATGCCGAGATCGACGAGATTGAGGAGCTTCCCCTCGTCATCGCTCGCTGCAGCCCTGCAACGAAGGTCCGCATGGTTGAGGCGATGCACCGTCGTGAGGCATTTTGTGTCATGACCGGAGATGGTGTCAACGACTCTCCTGCGCTCAAAAGAGCTGATGTTGGTATAGCGATGGGGAAAAATGGGAGCGATGTCGCGAAAGAGGCCGCTGACATGGTTCTCACTGACGATAATTTTGCGTCTATTGTCAAAGCAGTTGAAGAAGGCAGACGACTGTTTGATAACATCCAAAAGGTTGAACCGTATAATTCTGTGCTTCAGGCTCATTGCTGACACTTATAGTTTCTGATGCATCTTCTGATATCAAATATCGCCCAAGTCATTCTTCTGCTAATTGCATTAGCTTTCAAAGATGCTGGAGGTAACTCAGTATTCCCTCTATCTCCTCTCGAGATCTTGTGGGCAAATCTTGTTACATCCTCATTTCTGGCTGTCGGTTTAGGCCTTGAGGAAGCCCAGCCAGACATCATGTACCGGCCGCCACACGATCTGCGCATCGGAGTGTTCACTCGCGAACTTATAGTCGACAAAATGATATACGGCACTTTTATGGGATCTCTATGCTTGGTAGCTTTTGTGTGCGTTGTGTACGCTGGAGGGACAGGGTCTTCAGATCTAGGAGACGGGTGCAACCAAGGATACAATTCAACCTGTCAAACAGTCTTCCGAGCTCGGGCTACAACCTATGCAACATTGACATTCCTGTTACTGGTCACCGCATGGGAAGTTAAGGATTTCTCGAGGTCCTTATTCAACATGGACCCGATCAGATACCCACAGCGTCTTTCAATTTTCCCTACCCTTTGGAGAAACCGGTTCCTCTTTTGGGCGGTTATAGCTGGATTCATCATTGCGTTCCCAGTGATATACCTTCCTGTTATTAACCAGGTTGTGTTCAAACATCATGCTATCACGTGGGAGTGGGGTATTGTCTTTGGGTGCACACTTGCCTATCTGGGGTGTGTTGAGAGCTGGAAAGGTGTCAAGAGGGCTTTTGGTATTGGAAGTGGGAAGCATAATATCCTTACTTTGGAGGATGCTGAAATGAGGGCTGGGTTGAAAACGCCAACCCTGATGTCTTCCAGTGCTAACGCGAGTGTGGAGATGAAGTGAGTTGCCTTGGAACCGAGCAATTGATTCAACATCAACTTGCTGGAGTTTTGCTTGCGTTCTTGTGATTATTTTGGATTCTTCGTTTTTATGTTGGCATCTAAATTGACCAAAGTTCACACATACACCAAAAATAGTTCATTTGGTGCCTGTTGTGTCACAGAGCCCGGCCAGTTATTGAACCTCTCGCAAAGTTTGAACCGTATTGTCCGGTTGTAGCATTAACCAATGCTAGCATGATGCACAACTCGTACATCTGGTGGGGTCGGATGCATGCATAATCCTGTAGGCGATTGCCGAGACCAGATAGATTGAGAACATTGAAGATCAATGTATAAGAACCATTGTGTTAGCCTATAACCATTTTTCAACCCACATCTGTTGGAAAAGTATTTCTCATAATTTTGAGACCCGTGAATGTGTATGGCTACGTCATGTGACCATGTGAAGTTTGACGGCAGCGACATCTCAATTGATTCATAAGCAATATGGAAAACCAACCACCAACTTTGAAACGACTTGACTTCAGTACTTCCTTGTCTGTCCTCGAGAATGACACCTGGCACATTGAAGCCAGTTACATTGCGGCGATCATGCCAAGCCTGCGCCAGGGGCAAGCGGCGATGCGATCAGCGATGGCCTCGGTGTACTCGGTGTGAAACGAGAGGTATAAACTGCGAATACGCGAATGAACCTTTTGCAGTTTCAAATGGCATACAGAAAGCGGCAAGAAAGCGCGCAAGCCCGGATAATCGCACGACAGGGACCATATCCTCGATACGCCTCCCTTTGCGGCTGGAGATCGCCAAAGAGTATGACGGAGCAGCCATCCGATTTCTGGTGAATGGACTGCGCGCATTCACGAACAAATTTGCCGAAACTTGCAAGACAACGTTTGTGCACCCAGATCTCTACGCATCGGGGCTTCCGGCGTCAATCCGAGAAATGCAGCTTCTTTGCAAATTACATGTTCAGGCCGATCATCAAAGACGCACTGGCGAACTTTTCCCACTTCTTCAAAGGCGGTCGGCTGAATTGCATCGTCGCTTCAAGCAATCATTGTCATTCGACGAGCTCTTGGGCTGTTCGCAAGCTCTCCTTCTAGCGCAATGCATTCTCGCCCTGGACGGAGGTGGCGACCCAGACCAGTATTCGGAGAATATAAGCGTCATGCTTGACGGAATTGCAATACGATTATGGGAGCAGGCTCCCGTCCAACTTCCGCCAACACTCAGTCGACGACATGCATGGCTCATGGCTGAGAGTGTTCGGCGCACCATCATTGTGAGCTTAATGTTAAAGAGTGCATATTCACTTAATACGAGGAATTATTCTGTTCGAACGCCTTTTGTCGATGCTTTACCTTTTGATGTGCGGACGAACTTGTGGGACGACGATTCGGATGCCACGTGGGCGGTTGAAGCGCCTGAATCCCCCGATTCTATGATTTCTTTACATGGGTATTCAGATGCTTTGGAAAGTGGGCGTTTCCGCAAAGTTCCTCCCTTTGGCGCCTTGATTTTAGCTGCATGCAAAGGAAGAGAAATTTCATCAATACCGTTCCCTCCGCCGGTTCCGTATTATGAGAGCTGATCCCAATAATCCTGAATTGTGACTGTTATATTTCAATCAAATACAAAATAACACTTTCATTTCATGCCTTGATTTGGCATGACGATCTCACCGCAAAAACTGCTTCAACAGTCCAGACAGCAACTCTGTCATTTGCTGGTACATATTCTGTCTCTTAACCTCAAAAGCCTCAAAAATATCTTTCGCCGATCCGACAGGGATCTGATCCTCCCCATTAGACAAGCGAGTCCACAACTCATCCACAAATTCCTGCAACGGCATCCCAATCAAATGCCCATCTTTCAGATCAGGCTGGTGCTTCGCATCATGCAACTCTGTCTGCACAGCAGGGGGATAAATCTCCAAGACCTTGATGTTACCAGGCCCATCATGGAGCTGCGTACGAAGAGCAAGGATGAAATGGTGGAGAGCGGCCTTGGAAGCGCCATAGTTCGGGCAGCGCATCATAGGGACGAGAGCCATCTGAGAGGTGGTGAATGCGAGAGCAGTCTGTGTCTGCTGCTTCTGGAGATGAGGGATAAAGGCCTTGGAGAGGCGGACGGCGGATGTATAGTTGGTGATTAACTCCTGGTCAAAGATGTCTAGGTCAACCGTCTCTGGTTGGGAGAAGTCGAATGGGCGCTGAATGCCCGAGTTGACAAAGATACAATCCAGGTCAGGATTTTCAGCAATGACGTCCGATGCAAACTGAGGGATCTTTCTATTTGTTAATTTGTGAAGTGATTTATAGTAGGGGTTACTTACCTGGTCAAGTTTCATGATATCGAAAACCTTAGACTTGACTTTATCAGCACCATGCTGCTCAATGAAGGTATCCAGGTTCTCCTTTCTCCGACCGGAGATGATAATTTGAGTTCCATTCTCGACAAGTTTGGTAGCCAGTGCCTTGCCGATGCCAGAGGTGGCACCGATGACCAAGACCTTCTTGTAACTGAATGGCATATTGAAAGATTGTTTGGGTTGGAAAATTGGAAGAAATGATTGGGATGCCTTTCAAGTGCCAGGCAACAGGCTTTTATATTGCCGATTCCTGGCTTTAGCAAGGTTTTATGAGCAGTGCCATGCTCAATGAATTAATCCTCGAACAGGCGGAGACTAAGCCGAATCCAAGCAAAGTGGAGCTATCCGCCAGGGAGCCGATTGGTTGTGCCATTGCGAGTTCTCAAGGTAACGCCACAACATGTGGAGGTTAAACTCGATACGGACAGGATCCATTGAGGGACTTATGGACTCTCAATAAGTATTCAAGGAACCAATTTGTCCATTAATAATGCTTATTTGACTGGTCAATCTAATGAAAGTGATTTGTGGCCATTTTGTTAGTTGCCACGGGCATATCCGAGTCCGATCAACGCGAGCTTGTACAGCACTTGAACGTAGAAATCCGTCACATTTTCTGCACTATGAAAGCTTGGTCTTTGATGTGGTGATCATCTAATTTGCTGTCGTCAAATCCCTCAAAATGTAGCTCTATATAGCCCCGCGACTCCCTTATGGGGTGTCCTCAACATTGTAGACCAACTTTTCACCGCTAACCTTTCCACTCTTCAACATCTCCAACCCCTCCAAAACACCCTTTAGGCCCTCCTTGCCAACCGTTGGAGGATGAACCTTGACCTTGCCTTGTGCCAGCAAAGTCTCCGCGATAGGAAAGAACATCTCTGCATAAGCCTTGTCCTCCGGCTTACCAGGGATAACCTTGTCGCCGTACTTGAAATCCTCTCCACTGATTGTGTAAGCCACAGTGAAGTGAGATTTAACATTCTCACGCTCAATCTTCACAGTAAGCAGAGCGCCGTAATCACCTCCCGAGGAAGATATGGCCTCATCACAGAACTTGATACTGTCCTCCAGCGCAATACAGTCCAAGACCAGCTTCAAGTTATCATTGGTGGATTTTTTGACCTCAGTAGCAGCCTTGGGATCCCTATAATCGAAGACTGCGTCCGCACCAAGAGAACGGACGAGATCGAAGTTGCGTGGGGAACAAGTGGTGAGTACAGTATAACCAGATAGCTTGGCGAACTGGATACACAAGGTTCCGGTAGCAGTAGAACCACCATAGATCAAAATTGGAGTAGCCTCCTTTATCGGCTCAGTAGGGAGAGCCAGCTTCAAAGTCTGGTAAAGAGCTTGGGCAACAGTGCCGATACCAACACCGAGAGTAGCACCTTCTTGGAAGCTCAGATTATCTGGTAGCCTCAACACTATGTCTCCCTTGACGGCGATGTACTCCGCAAATGAACCGTCTTCAGCCTGCGCGGGGTTGCAGCCGTGGGAGAATCCGCACACGCGGTCGCCTTTCTTCCATTGCTTCTTCACGTCTTTACCAACGGCTTCAACTATACCGGCAAAGTCACAACCAACTGTGACGCCAACAGGAGGAGGCCTGGCGATTGCTTTCCAGTCTGTAGGGTTCAAGCCCACGGCAACGGTCTTCACGAGAAGGCAATTATCCCGTAGAGCAGGGATGGGGCGGTTAGTGACCAGCTCGGCCTTCGCGGGGCCGGTGATGACAATAGCCTTTTGCGTAGACATGATGCTTCAGATTTGATGTTTCAAGACAGTAATGCGCCTTAGAAGGAAGAACAGAGATGACTATGACTTGGAATGGATGAGGCTTGGGGCAGCTTTCTTTGTCTATAGCTACTAGGACCAGATGACAAATGGAACTTATGACTCGTGCGGGGTAGGAGATGAATTACCAAGCATCTGGCTAAACAAGTAACGGGCGCCAGAAATCCTACTTTCACATTCCATCCTATTGCAACCTAGGGATAAGAATCTTGACATGCTAGGGAGGAATGCCGTCAATATGGTCCGGTCCACACGCATCACGGGCCGTTGTCGGGCCGTTACGGCACGTTATGATTCGGCTTCCGGAGCGCATCTGCCTCCGGACATGGCCAAACAACAGCAGCAAAGCTAATCCCAGACACGACCTCTTCGTTTGCAATCGAACCTTCTTCTTATCCGATACCATCGGGTTTGACTCGAATTTGGCGATTATTGTGGAAGAGTGGCCGATCGCTTTATCTTCGACCAGCAGGGAGCACACGCGAAAGTTGAAGCGAGATGAACTTGATCCTGTAAAACGTACTAGTTGGACTGTTTTTCAGCTTGCCAATCGAAGCTCAAGTGATTAATGGCGTAATGCTATGTGAAAAGCAAGGAGCTGACGTTTGGACACTCCACCCCGTAGACCGCGACATCTGAAGAGGTAAGCCTCCTAAGCTCGATATAAACAGATCATCGCTGCATGTATAATTGAGTCTACCATCTGAAATAGGAAAAAAACCCAAGTTAGGGAATAATGCGTTCCATATTATTGGTCTCTTCCACTAGTATGGGGTCGGAACTGGTTTTCAGATGTATAGATGACCTCCCGCCAACTTTACCCCTCGATTTGAATGTCAGTCTAATAGGTTCCCCTTGCTTAGAGAAATTTTTATATTCCTTAAAATAGCCACTTCTCATTCTCTAAAATTCATCCATTTCACCGATCCCCATTCGACCATCACTTTCTTATCGCCCCCAAACCTGTGCATCCTGTGCTTACCCATTACCAACAATTCTCCGCCACGCATCTCAAATCTCTCCTCCTCACCGACTCTTCCCACTGGCGTCCACACCTGAAACAAAATGAAGGTTCTCTGTCTTCACGGAAAAGGCACCAGTGGTGCCATTTTCAAATCTCAGACCTGTAACGCTCCTCTCAAATCATATTCGCAAAAGCAAAGACAAAAGATCGGCAAGCTAACCCCGCCCCCACAGCCTCATTCCGCGCCCAACTTGCCCAAAAAGACATCCAATTCGACTTCATAGATGGCCCTTTCAAATCAGAGCCAGCTGCAGGTGTAGATCTTTTCTACCCACCCCCTTACTATGGATTTTGGGAGCGGGGATCTGTGGACGACATCCGGTCAGGCTGCGACTGGCTCCGCGAATACATTAGCAAGCACGGACCCTACGACGCGGTGATGGGATTCTCGCAGGGAACCATCCTTGCCTCAGCATACCTACTTTTTCACGAAGAGGAAACGCCGCATCTCCCACCGCCATTTAAGATTGCTATTTTTCACTGTGGCGGTGTTTCTTTCCAGGTGTTGCAGGAACTTGGGTTTAATATCACGCCTGCCATGCATGCTCGGGATCTCGCGTCGCGGAATGCGCTTGCTAGCTCTGCTAGTGCCGAGGCGATCTTGAGGATGGGGACGAGTCGGTGGCAGGGGGATAATTCCGGTGGAGGCTTAAGTGAGCAGGCTATAAGGGATGAGATTAAGGGGCCGGTTCAAATTTCCATTCCGACTGTTCATGTTTACGGCACAAAGGATCCGAGGTATGCGGCTGGAGTGCAGTTATCTGGAGTTTGCGATCCGGCGAAGCGTCGGTGCTACAACCATGGTGGTGGTCATGAAATTCCGCGACAGTCAACTGTTACAAATGCGCTCGTTGAGCTCTTTGAGTGGGCTATTGATGCAGTTGATGAAGCGTGCTAGAGGCGAACCTGTGCTTTGATTTTTGAAGGTATTCTTGACCCATCATATATTTTGAAGCTTAACATAGAGCGAAGGAATTCAAACAGCGAACATACACAGCAAAATGTCTGCTTTTCGAGTAATCCATTGCATTCTTATGCCTGCATAATGTGGTCAATCTCACATTCCCTTTCAGGCTTCACCCCCAGTCTAGTATGCTGGGTATTGAAGTAACTGTGTCAATTGATCCAGACATTGAAGATATCTGACCAGAAACCATGATTTACCGATCCTCTTCATCTTGAAATTCCACCCAGGTCTTCATCTTAGCCCTCACATGCTCCCCATAAACCACAAATCCCTCATCCCCATCAACGGACCTAACCAAACAGTTCTCTCCTGGCTCAAAGAAGAAAGGCACACTGACTCTGCCCAGCGATGCAGGTTGGCCATTCAACTGTCCAATTGCAGAAGCCGAGGCACTTAGCCCGGGAGCCCGAACACGATGCATAGTAGCAACAAACCGACCGCCCGAAACCTTAGCCATCAAATCTCCAATATTGACTACAAGAGACCCAGGTATATAAGGCGCGGAAACCCACTCACCCTGTGCATTGCGCACCTCTAACCCGCCAGAGGAATCTTGGTGCAAAAGGGTTAAGATGCCGCTGTCGGTGTGTGGTGTACAGCTTAGTTTTACCTCTGTTCCAGAGGTCCCAGATCCCGAGGCAGTTGATGCATTGGCAGGGTAATGAAGAAGTCGTAGGGTGCTCAGGGAATCATCCAAGTATGGAGCAAAGTAATCCGATGGTTTATCGAGTGATATCGCCAAGAGAGATAATAGCTTAGACGCCAGGGCTTGTAGCTCAGAATATAGATTCTCCAGAGCAGATCGCATGGGGAAGCTTGTTGCATCGGGCCAGACGTTCGTTTCAGCTAAGTTGAATTTAGAAGAAGTGGTGGGCTGCGTATGGATGGGCTGCGATGGACCGATTTCGAAGCCTTCTTTTAAATTGTCGTTTGCCAGCTCTGGTTGCGTGGGGAAATACCTTCAATCCATTTTCTTGTTAGCTTGATTTCAGCAATTGAGGGATTTCATGCGTATCAACCCTCTATATGTGTTCTTGTGGTCTCTTCTAAAGGATCGTTTGGCGGGTTTCATCTTCTCTTCCTCAGGAAGGGCAAAGAACGCTCGCGACATGTCTAGTACTTGCTCATGGTTGTAGCTCAGGGGCGCATTGGTCAGGTAGGCAAACCCAGTGGTGGCGAAGACATCGTGAAGACGCTTGCTGAGCATGGCTAGCTCCTGTTCGGATGCATCAGAAGTAAGGTGCCCAACGTCAATGACGGGCACGGAGGAGAAGCTGGTGGTCATGATTTTGTTTCTTGTGTGAGGTAGGCTTTTGGAATTGAGTTCAAAACTACGTCCGATGCGCCTTTTATACCACTGCTTAGGGCACACAGATCTACAAAATTCACGTCTTCTACGGTAGGTGATCGTGTGTTAGTAAATGTGATCATTGAAATGGGGATCAGCGCCTGTATCACTTCATCATCAAATTGAATCGGACAAACTATGCCAGGTCCCACAGTCATGACACGCGAAAATTGCAGAGCAAATGAAATTAGATCGCTTGTTTCCATGGTCATCCATCTTAGCGGGGTGTGCCGCTGCTGGATCCACCGCGGGGAAACACACTTGGTTTATTGAAGCCAAAAACTTCAATCATCGTGGGGGTCAAATTGCCCTAAGGGTCTGTGCGTTTCTAGTAGTGGATAGGTATACGTAGCACTTTTGAGAGCCAAGGTGCGTAACGAGGAGTTTTGTCTCCACAATACGCCTTCCGGGGGTTTTCAAATAGTCACGAAGCCCAATTTGAAGTGTAAAGGTTCATATTTATAAATTATCTCAAGTCAGAAGCGTAAAGCGTCTAAACTATTTACCAACTAAACGCCCGACGGGAACATATTATATCACCAAGAGAATGACTCCTCAAAGAGATCAACCGTCTTCTCGCCTTGTACACGGCGAACAGCCTCACGGACACTATCACCGAGGCCACCAGGGCCACAAACGCTAACCGCCAACGCACCGACCTGCTCCGCTTTCTCATTCTCCAGTAGAGTGTTGAAGCACGGCTTGCCATATTCCACACTTACTGGCACATTAGCAGGAGCAGCATCTGTCCAAGGTGTCTCAGGTACAGGAATGTACTCTTCAATGTCTTCCTTGTGGCCTGTAACATGAACGCGAATGGAGAGCATTAGACCTGGGAATTGAAAGTAGGTATCGCCCTTCTGGTTAATTGACGTGTTTAGCGCGTCATGGCTTAGAACATCGAGCATCCATGTTTGGATCCAGGATAGATGATCTGAGAAATTCGGATTAGCGGGAGTAAGCGCTTATAAAAAGAGGTCAATCTTACCTAGACTTCGGATCATCCAGACTAAGTGGACTTTCCGCGTTGCGGAAGTCCGGGATGTGAAGTTTGTGACTACCTCATGGAGGTAGGACATTGGATGTGTGATTCCAATACCGCCAGCGATCAACAGGAGGGTCCCGTATGATTTTAATGAGTGGAGACCACCTGGTTAGGTCAGCGACATGTCAAGAAGGCATAGCTTAATCGATACATACCGAATGGCCCTTCTGCTAATGCCATAGCCTGAATTCTTCCCTCGGGAGAATCCTCTGCCTTCTGTAGAAGCTTTTTCGTAAATCCATCCTGTCCCTTGATAAGGACAGACATGGTAGTAGTCTCAGAGCCACCGAGAAGTGCAGCGAGCGAATCACTTGAGCTGCGCTTCTCATTGTGACTCAAACTTGAATCGCCAGTCGATGCCCATGCAACGGTGAATGGATGTGATGTCCACAGTCCCAGACACGGCATGTAGAGATACATGTACTGACCCGGTCGGAATTTCCAGGCACGAGCAACTTCCACCTCAACCTTTGCGACCGAGCCTGGTAAAGCTTCGACAGTGGCAGTTGTGCGACGCTTGGCACAGTTTCGCCAGAGTAGAATGAGAACTCGGCTGACGCGGTCTAGACCCCAAAGAACGAGGGTTCCAAATAGCACTCGCTGCTGAAGCAGGTTCTTGAGGTGGTACCAAAGGGCAACAAAAGACATGACAGCCAAGGCTATGTGTAGGTGCAGGAACAGTTCGTAGAAGGAGTGTCGGAGCGGCGACAATGATTGTATGAAAATGAAGACGAAGCCCAGGATTGCCTATGAGCGAAAGGGTTAGATAACATTCAACGAGTCTGGTCCATCAACTCCATCATACCACAAGGCCGTAAATATAGAACGGCATTTGCCAAATTGTGTATAGAATGTAATCCGTGCCATCTAACACAATTAGTTTGATGTGCATGAGAGGAGTGGATTTTACATACGCATATAGGCTTGATTCGCGAGAACAGCACTCATATGTATGACAGCATTCGCCGCAATAACTCTTCCAACCCATCGGTGCATGAAGTTGAACGTATCAAACGAAAGACCCAACATCATTACCAGAGGGTTATTCCGACCAGCACTGAGAACCAAACCAGGGGTATTCATCACAGCCAAGTGACCTGCAGCGTACTTCAACTGAAACATTTTCTTGGGGTACGTCTCCCACCAATCCACAGTCACAAAGACAAAGATGATGTTAAGGGAAAGGTAAATCAACAAGAGGATCACTTCCAGCCGCAGTGGAATTGATCCCATATGAAGTCGAAGGAACCGAAATTCCCGGCTATGTCGCGAGCCCCAAAGCGGTGCATACAGCAGATGCTTCTTCAAGCTGGCAATGGACCCATTTGTCATGGAGAGCTGCGTCTGATCGTCACCTTGTAAGGCCATATTCTTTCGTCGACGATCTCTCACCCGAATGATAGACCGATATATAAATATCATGGCGAGGAACCCACCCACGACGAACAGAGGAACCGCAATCTCTGGGTTCATTGGCGGCTCTCCAGGGCCATTTCCTGCGAGTTCAACACCCATGTTGCCATACAAGGAGAGCCAAGTTCCTTATGTTGACAATGTATATATATATCGGATATTCGGTGTCGAGTATGGGTATAAATTCGTCAACCGCTGAGCAGCGATCTCCAACAACACCTCGGGCCTTCGAATGTGAGTTCAGAAAGAAGGAGAAGAGCCGCGGATAAAGAAGGATAGAAAGAGCACGGATCGCGTGGAAACTGGGGCAAGAAAGTTAATCTAGTATGATTGTGTGGTATTGGAACTTTACTATGGATGCCGTCATCGACCCCTGGGGTTAGAAAGCGGGAGTATAATTCCTGGCAAATTGAAAACATCGTCATTTTCCTAACGCAAAAGCACGAGTGTAACCAGACGAATTGGGTCAATTAATCGGGGAGGAAAATTAAATTGTGAAAATGCCAAAGTCTAATTGGTGATCCTTGCCGGTAAGTGGTTCAATCTACGGTAAAGTTTTAAAGTCTAGATCTTAGTTCCCGCTGAACCCTCCTGTCAGGGAGGGCACGGCCTGCGTAATTTCGACCGTTTATGAGATGACATGGACATTTGCGGATTGACGAAACGAATTGCTTTAATTAATAAGGAATAAAAATAGCCGGTCTAGACGCTGATCGGCATTGTTGAAGGTGAAGCCCTGAAAGCGGAAATGGAATGTGGATGTCGACGCGGCTCTCCCGTCTGCGACCCTTGTTCTCTGCACTGGTACAACTCCAATTATAGCCCTGAAAATACACCCCAACACTTACTGGTTCAACCTCAATCTTGAATTCTATTGCTAAATATGATATATTATTGGCTCTTCATAGAGGGGCCACTTCGACTTGCACGTCATATCAATCCGAAAATCGGATAAGCTCGGCAATGACAAGGGCATGGGACCCAGTTTGATTATCTGGGACGCAACTGCAACGCTATACTATAACAATGGGTCAGTTCGATCATTGTGGAGATAGGTAGTAGAGGATGTACGAGCACCTATTGGTTCTCTGCTACGTAATCGTTCGAATACCTACCAAATTGGAAAGAACCCCCGCCTTTGAACTATACAACGTCGGGGTCTGATCATGGCTAGCGATGATGCAGTTCTGGATATTTCGTCAGTCAGAATCACAGTAGCAGGGATACTTAAGCGTTAAACTGGTAAACCTTGTGTTCTAGACTTCGTCGACCGTCCCCTGTTGTAGTTTCTCTTATTGGTTCGTGCGAACAGACCACGAGTGTACAGCTCTACCAAGGCTCAATGAGAAGGGGCAATGACGCAGTACTGAGTCCTTGTTTTCAAAGTTCGTCATGGCAGGTACAGGTTTATCACAATTAATCACAGGGGCCGTCGTCATTGCATCCACAGTAACTGCCTTGGAAATGCTCTATGCGATCAATATCAGCATGTGCCCCCAAACCTGATTGATTCTTCTCTTGTCCAGAATCGGCCATGATCTGTATAACAGTAACAGTCCAGGCACTGCCTCAGGCAAGTATGCACTCCTTAGCTTTCAGGCCCTTGGGGAGTGAAATGTGGCCCACGCGCCTAAGGTTGCTGATTGAAAGGGCTGAAATGTTGTATGAGAAAGGCGCAAAAGAGGAGACAGCAACGTGGAGAGGTCCAACGTGGAAACCAGGACAGGGGTATAATTGACCTTTCAGGCGAATTAAAGACCTGGCCACTTCTAGATTCAGGGTCTGGCCACTTTGGTTGTACGAATCTAGAAGTCTGGGGATTATGTGGCGCTACCATCCCAGTCACATGACCATATGAGGGTGTACAGCACCGTAGGAGTGTGGCCCCTCGTACCTTTCTCCTTTCTCATCTTACCTTCCATCCACAGTTCCAAAGTTCTGAGCGAATGCGGTGTTTCATCTAGCCTTAATGGTTGGCTGGTCTAGACGCTGACGGATTCAACAAATCTATGCGTTGGTGCTGCTCATGAGGTGCAAATATATAGGAATGTATGTGTTAAGATCAAAGTGAAAAGAGCATATTGCCGAGAGTGCAGTGATTGATTCCTATTTCTACATAAACGAAACGCCACGATGCGCCAGGTCCTTATTCCCATTCTAATTGTTTTCCCTCCAAGACCGGCCGCCGATCGTGACTACCTAATGATTGATATAAACATAATCCCAAACGCCTTCGTTATTATCTGGTACCCCATGATAATGTATAGTCGTACTTGGTATCAAGCTGAGACCTCCTGGACTCTTTCAGGAACTTGGGGAGTAGATTGCACATCCTCCTCAAGACTGAGACTTCCATACCCGGTGTCATTGCTCGCTGAGCGTTCCCGACGTAGCGGCTTTCCCATACAGGGCTCAACCAAGTCTTGGTCCGCATCACTCTGTAATGACTGGTCGGAACCACCTCGGCGACGGCGAAACTTTCGCTTTCGGGACGGGATGGGCTCAGGTGGAGTCTGTAGATAGTCATCCACCTTTACGCCGGCATTTTCGCAAACGGTTGTGCAGGACTTGACAATGACGTCCACAAGGCTAGAGGAGAAGCCGTAGAATGCTGGGTTGTATGCGTTGCGGGACCAGTAGATGAGCTCCGCGGCTACCCGACCGACGTTGGGGATGTCACGCGGGCAGACAGCGAGTTTGCGAGAAATTCTGGGCTTGTCCTCGGCTTCATCGTCTGCAGAGGATCCGGCCTCGGATACAGGCGAAGAAGGCGAAGAAGAGTCAGACGAAACAATATAGTCGACATCAGATGCCAATAGGTGCAGCAAATGGTACACTGCGGAGAAGCCAAGCAAGCTCAGCTCGACGGGGTCGATTGGCAGCTGATTGAACATGTTGATTGCCTTTTGAATGGTGAAAGACTCGGGAAGAGAAGTGTCACCAGCAGATCGCGCTGTGATAATAGCAGCGATCATAGCGCAGCGAACAGCAATGGAGATCTCGTCCCGAACAGATATAGGGAGTGAGGAGTCGAGAAAGTTGGCAGCTCGGCTCCATTCGCCCTTGCGTTTATCTTTGGGAAGGGTAGCTAGAACGGCACCCACATTCTTGATACGGTCTTGGTCGAAGAAGACGGCCTTCATCACAAGGGCCCGGGTATATGCAGCCGAGAGCCGGGGAGCAACCTCAAGAGCCATGCGGATCTTCTCCTTAAAGTGATCACGGCTTATTTTGGACACAGGTCCCCCCTTCGCTGGCTTCCATGTACTTGAGAAGGGCAGTCTGGAGAAGGTGACTGGACCACCAAGCCGCAAGAGCATCCACAGAGCATTGGATGGCAGGGTCTTCCTCGACAACGTCAAGAAGAACTTCGTCATCTCCAGTACCCTCCTGTGTTGGTCGATTCCATGTCAGGTTCACGGCGCGCTGAATGATAGCATCGATCATGACATCCTCACACTCAAGCTTAAGGAGCTCGGCAAGGTGGCTTGGGACCTGATCTGGATGGCCCTCGGGGAGTGCGCTGTTGATTTCTCTCGCGACACCCCACTGGTAGTTCGCAAGAGCACGAGCAATGTCATTAGAGACATGGAAGGTCCAGGAACCAGGCTCTCCAACTCTCCACATTAGAATGCGCACATGCAGCGCCTTCAGCATCATCCGCATAGGGCTGCTAGGAAGTGTGCCAGCCGCAAAGATTGTGAGAACCAGGCGACTCTTGGTAATCTCAGCGTCGCCTCCAGTGAGCTGGGCATCAATGGCAATATCCCATGTCTTCACTCGGCCTCTTTCATCTTCCTCGGTAATACCCGTAACCCAAGAGTAAATTTTCCATCCCATTAAGCATCGAAGAACATATTCAAAGCAGCGCGACGTCACCACGTACCATTCGCGGAAGAATCGGTGACGTGGCACACCGACTCGTTGCATGCTGGTAAGCCAGGCCTGTCGCCTAAAGTCGCTGGAGGTGGGGGCGCCATTCTGGGTCTCGGCGACCTGCTTGGGCGAGGCACGCTGTGTGGCTGGTTGAGCGTTGAAAAGGTAAACGAAAACAATGAACGCACTTCCGACAACCAGAGTCGCCAAAAGAAGGACATGTGAAATAGCGCGTGCATGCCAGGAATGCCAGAAGTTTCTGAGGTAGTACTCCCAGTGAGCTAGACTAGGAGACTGCAATCGACGGAGTAGATTCAAAGGAAGAGCAAACAGGCCTTTCGCCTCAGTCTCGCTTTCATCTGAACCAAAGCCTTCGAGCACCATTAGCCCAGCTAGAGCACCCAGCATATACTTGTTGGGCAGCTTGGACCGTCTCCGGGACCCATCTTCGCGGCCATAGTCAGAGCCACCAGTAGCCCGTGGAGAAGACTTCATATATGACTCTGCAAATATTCCCTTTTGACCCTCTTCACGCATCCGTTTGAATGCATCCGGAACCTTAATAAGACCCTCCGGAGGATGCGATGCGGACGAGCCAGGGGAGCTACCATCGAGCTCCTCGGGCTGGGAGAACACACTTGGCGATGTCCCCGCGTTTGAATCGCTGGAAGCAGTGTAGTTGCTAGGTGAAGATACGGAGGCGGACGAGGTGACAGCTTGGTCGGCTGCTTTATCGACCTGACGAAGACGGTTCTTGAGAGCGGTATTCTCGTCTTCCAATCTCTTGTTGCGAATTTCCAAGTGCTTGATGTATTCCGTTGCCTTTGACAAGATAGAAGCCTTGTTCAGCTTGCTTGCAGACTGAGCACCCTCCCCATCCTCATCATCCTCGTTGGATTCACCGTTGGCGTTCTTCGTTGTTCGTAAACTCGGTACACTGTCGCGTAGTTCGGCAATTTTCTCATTCAGATTGGCCCGGTATCGCTTTTCAATGACATTGTGTGCTCGCTTCTTCGCCGGCATCTTTTTACCGGGCTGAACAGGACCAGTCACAGTGGTGGCATCATCGTCGCTACCCGTCTTTCGCTTTCGGCTAGCCCCCACACTAGAAATGGGAGAGACTAGGCCTTGGTAGTTTGACACTATTGAGCCCCTCTGGTGCGTATGATCGGACGGAATTTCCATCAACCCTAGCGGAAGTTGCGGAGAGAAATCTGTAGGTTGAAGCTGATTTGGAGATGAGCTCATACTGGTGTGCGGGGAGACAAATGGGAGATCCATGGGGCGGTCGACATGCTTCTGGTCACTATCTGTGAACATCGGTTCATCCCACCGCATCCACTGTGTCCAGTCTTGGTTGTGGTTCTCGCTGGGTTGATGTTGGAAGCGAGAATCTCCCCCGCCGGACTGTCGACGAGAAGAGAACAGCTGAAAGTCATTTTCCATACCATGGGCAGACATTTTGCCTGGACATCCGCGGCGAGGATCCTCGGCCCACTAATGGTACTTTAAGTCGTAAGTGCACCCGACCAGGTGTTTGGCACTGCGTTCAGTCTTAGCTTTTAACACATGGTGGACAGCTTAGGAATTGACACGATCACCCCCCTACGAGGTGCCTCGGCCAGTCTAGCCTTGGCTATCGATGGCCAGACTTAAATCACGACAGGGACGTCATGTGCACTTACTGGACCTGGAGAATCGAGTAGATCTCAATTCGTATCAGTGACTGGCGAGGTCGAGCTGCATGCAAAGAAAGATGCAAGAAAACTGGGAGAGGGGGAAGATGTTAGAGTCATGAGCACATTTGGGGGCAGCTAGGCAGAGATACCCACTCGGGTCAGTAGCGTCTGCGGGCCCTGCTAAGGATGGGGGGTGGGTTCTCAAGTCAATTGGTCTTCCCCTGCTAAGAAGATCATCGCCGAATGGTGTGGACAGTGGACCAGGGTGCAGATGCAGGTCGCGCTACTCCGTACGCGTACACTAAATCAGACTACTTGAGAAAGGCTGAATTAATGTGGTTGTTGCTAGGATGAGAACGCGAATAGCAATCTGTTGTTGCAGGCATAAAGGAGACATGGATTTAGACATTTTTAGTCGTATGATCGCGGCTGGCCGCACTTCCGGCTCACCGGCTACCACGGATATTGGTAATATTATTGTTTGGTACAGGAAGTTTGGTAGGTTTCGCAGGAGCCTAGCCGTAAGTGACCGTAAAGTAGCGAAATCTATAACCATTATCATTGGTGGTCCTGGACTCCCGCAACGTCTGATGACTCAGCCACCCCATGTGATTCTTTTTTTAACTCCTTAACATACTAGCACTTCCACGACGTCAAACCCCTTAAATTTTTGTTTCCATTTTGCTTTTTCTGAACACCGACTTGAACAGAATTTTCATCCTGAATTCTGCTCTTACCCTGGATCAGCAGCCTTGGCACCCCACTCAAGTGGCGCACGGCAGAGAATGAATGCGCGGTCTGATCTTATCTGATCGTGTAGCGTCTCCACTCTGACCGCACCGGCAACCCGCGGAGTTTGCGCGACGGCGGCAAGCGCGAATAGGAACATGCAAGCAGACCCTCAGAAGGCCCAGTGGGTCAAACGTCCGGTGTCGGCGGGTCTTACTTTTGGGTAACAATTGCCCAAAATACCCCTCTCCCAAGCAGGCTAGCGTTCGATGAGTCTACTGTTGGTGAAACTCGGTTTGTTTGCTGGCAACCTGCGTCATTGACCTATACTAGTGCCCGCCACTGGATCGGTGTGCGCTTATTATTCCCGTTGTCCGGATCACGAGTAAAAGAATCCTTGGGCATTAAACTTCGAATATATTTGACCAGTGTTGGCCTTGCAAGGTCTTTGCCAGATGGGAACGGTCCACGGACCTGTGCGGGCCTTGTCCAACCTATTTAACTGACCTGTCGAGTACCTACGAAATAAGATAAACATGTGGGGTTGCCAAATCTATTGAGGACCTTGCGGAGAACCATGGAAATACCTATTCTACCTATTCGCAACACCTAGGTGATCATTGTAAATGAACTTCATTAGTCATGCCCGAGCCTGTTCTGTTCAATAATTTCTCAAAATCAATCAATTAATGCCCCTCTCTTCTCCATTTGATGACTGAATATCTTGTTTAATGCTGCGAAAGTCAGTCCAGATGCCTGAGAGATGAGGCCAGTGGATTATTTTGTCAATTCACTCACGGTGATATCTTCCCACTTCTCCCAGCCACGCCCTTTAACCTGTGCGAGCTCATCCATTGTGAACTGCTTGCCGGTTGTGAAATAACCCGCATTGATCTTGGCATCAATCTCTACCCGAGAATCATCGGGGATCATGTCCTCAGGTATGGGAACTCGTTCAAGAATCTTGATGCCGGTGTCCACAATAGCATCATGCTTCATATTGGACATGGATAGCATGCGGTCGATCTTCTTGATTCCGAGCCAATGAAGAACATCTGGCATGAGGGCTTGAAATCTCATCTAAAGCCAAAAGTGTTAGTTAGCTTCAACAAAAAGGGAAGATCTTCTTACATCTCGCACGCCGGCAATGTTCTCAGTCCGGGTGAAATACTTGTCCGCAGTGTCCCCACCACGTTTGCGCGCGTTATACACTAGATACTTGATGACTTCACCCAGTGCTCGACCCTCTTTGCGGAAGTAAATTACCACGCCACTACCACCATTCTGTGCTTCGCGGATTGCTTCGCGGATACCGAAGGCTAGGTATGGTCGACAAGTGCAGATATCGGACTGGAAAACATCACTTCCATTGCACTCGTCGTGAACTCGCAGTGACAGTTTGACGTTCTCATCAGAGATTCGCTCGGGTGGCCCAAATATATAGACAGTTTGACCTCCAATCGGCGGTAGGAATACCTTGAGGTCAGGCCGTGTGATGAGCTCTGGGTAACTGCCACCTGTATGCTCGAACAGATGGCGACGAAGTGTGCCCTCGTCCACGCCGAATCTCTCAGCCACACCAGGCAAATACCACACAGGCTCAACTGCTACCTTAGTGACCCGTACCTCACCTGAAGAGTCAACAACAATAGTGCCATCCACCTCCAACTGACCATCGCGCACCGCATCAGCAATCTCCGCCAATTTCATATTAGCCCTTGTGACAGCCATCGTGGGTCGGATATCCCATCCAGCCTGCAGCTCCTCCTTATACTGGTTCACAATGTCATGACCATACGGATCCATAGACACAATCTTCGTCTTATCCGCCCAAGCAGCCTGCCACGGGAAATCGAAAACAGGCTGACTATTCCGCAAGTCCGGCTTGAAGTTAGCATCTAAATCACCTGCTGCAATGGCGAGTGCGTTATAAATGCTGTAGCTGCCTCCGTGGGCACCGATGGCGTTGCGACGTTTCACTAGATTTCCACTGCGAGATACCACGACCGGGCCACGAGCTTTAGCGTCTGAGGCTCCCCATTCCAACGGTACAGGGTCAATTCCACTTTGGCCGGGGTAAGTTGTCAGCTAGGCATGTAGTTAGCATCTTCACCGCTAGATGTTTGGAGTAGCTCCTTCGGACATGTCCCTACGATGATATGTTTGCTAATCCGCGACTTGGGTGAAGTCGGGGATTGAGGAGTTGGTTCTGGCATATTGGGAGCAGATTCCAAGTCTCCCATTTTGAATGAAAGAAGATATGAAAGTGAGGAATCTTGTGCAGCGAGTGAACCGGATTAGTTGCAATCGGGCAGCGCAGGACCATGTGACTTCCCCCGCACTGTTATCGGCTTATCTATGCGTCATTGTTTGGGGACATCTCTGTTATTCGTATTGATATTTCTTGAAATATATCGCTTGAACCTTTACATGACTACATTCGCAAGGACTGAAAGTATATTGGGTCCACTGCTATACTACTCAAGCCCGGGATCACCGATCGACCCATCCCCCCACTTGGTCTCGGGAGTCTCGGCGTTCAACCCGAGATAGGCATCCACCACAACGAATGTTCATTTTGCGGTTACTTTCCAACATGCAAGAGTAGGTCTAGTATTGCACATAGGTCTAGATTGATCAATTTACCTGCCGACTCAGACAAGCTTTAGGGAACAATTACTAAACATTCACAACAGTTATGGATTCATCTATGAATGATACCATACTCCTCAGGGCTAAGAACCTCCCTCTTTTCGCGATTTGAGCAAGTACGGTTGAGGTCTTCCAAGCACGAGGTCTAGTTATAGGAGCAGATCCATGGATTTCGTCCAAATCTATTCTCTACCTGCTCGACGATTTCCAATGTTCCAAGGTTAAAATATGGAAATCTTGGAATGAGATCTTCATGTACAAGCTTGGTTGGGCCCGTTTTTATCTTGGAATAGAATCTGATAATGTTGCTATCATTCGTAAATTGGTATCTTATTTTACTTGAACATGCCAAGCCCTGTTGGAAGATTTAACATCCTCACAGATCATTACATTTCATAAATCGACTATTGTCCAGTGGCAAAGTTGGCCTGGGCACGCGAGTTCTTGATCGTCTTTTTAATCATATCCTCAACCTCATCCCAGTCACTGGTGTCGATGCGATCAATGGTACAGCCGAAGTGCTCTTGAATCATACGGAGCATCTCCCACTCATCCCGGTTTGCAACAAACGAGATAGCGACACCGATACGGCCGAACCGACCGGTGCGGCCGATACGGTGAAGGTAGGTCTGGTAATCCGGCTCCGTAGAACGCGAGCCGGCCTGGTAGGACTCAGGAATATCATAGTTAACAACCAGGGAAACAGTCGAGACGTCAATTCCACGAGCAAGGACGTTGGTAGTGATGAGAACCTTGGCTTCTCCACTGCGGAAGGCGTCAATAACAGCGTCACGCTGGGAGCCCTCGATTCCACCAGTGAGGGATGCCACAGTGTGTCCCTCAGCAACCATGCGCTTCTCAATCTCCTCGGCCGATTTGCGAGTCTAAATTTATCGTTAACATAGGCGACGATGAAACTTTTAGTTTCTACTTACGCGGACGAAGATGATGGATGAGCCAACGGTCAGCAGACCATAAAGCTGCACAAGGTTGGTGTACTTCTCCTCCTCGTTGTTGCAGTCCATGTAGAGCTGCTTGATGCCGTCAACGGTCAATTCCTCGTGCTTCAAAGTAATTTCGTTGGCCTCTGGGGCAAACTTGGTCGCGTAGCGGTAGACATGGGCGGGGAATGTCGCAGAGAAGAGAACAACTTGAATGGTCTTGGGAAGCATCCTACAGGTCTGGTAAGCAAAGTAAATTGGAACCGAGGCAATGGGCAACCTACGCCTTGACACGAATACACTGATCACCCATACCCTGCAAGTCCAGCATGTTGTCGGCCTCATCCAACACCAGAACCCTGAGTTGAGTAGGGTTCAATCGACGCCTCTTGATCATGTCCTGCACGGTACCTGGGGTACCAACCACGACAGAGCAATCCATCTGGGAAGGGCGAGCGGCAGCGTCGGTGGGCACAGCAGTACCGATGATCAATCCGTCGAGGAACTGACCCATGCATTGGATTACACCAACGATCTGACGCGCTAGCTCACGAGTCGGAGCCAAGATCAGAGCCTGGGGGGTAATCTGCGACTGCTCGGTGGAGAGGTCGATGCGGCTCAAAATGTTGAGAACGAAAGCAGCAGTCTTGCCAGTACCGGACTGAGATTGACCAACTAGGTTCTTAGGGGGGTTAACCATGAGGAGAGGAAGGGCGCGCTCCTGAACTTTGGAGGGTTGGCGGAAGTTCATGGAGGAAAGACCCTTGAGGATGCGCTCATCCCTGGTAGCGTTAATACCATCATTATTATCAAAAAGCAATGTGCTGGAAAACTTACAGGCCAAGGTCATTGAAAGTCTTGACGGAGAACAGGGGGTTATTTGGATCCGCCTGCAGGTCACTCAGCTTGACCTCGACTGAGTAGTCAGGCTCCTGGAGGGCGGAGCCCGAAGCACCACCACCCGCACCATCCTGGCCAGCCTCAGGGGCATCTAGAAAGGTAGAGATAGCTGATTAGTTGAATCATTCGATATTGTAGCCGTGCTTTCATGATATGGTGACGGTGGGTGTTCGCGTGTTGTCATCCTCGTACCGGTAGGGGGAGCCTCGGGCTTGGAGATGCGGTCGGCAAGAGAGCCTCCAGTCTGTTGAGTTGTCTCGGGAGTCTCAGACATGATGTAATTGGGGTTGCGACACAATATTCGGGGAATTGAGGGTTGGAGGGGTGTCGCGGGGTACGGAAGAATCGAATGGAGCTGGGGCCCACAGACACTTCAGTCAAGAGAAGGAAAGGTTGATCACCCGCAGTTAATAGAGCTTGCTAATAAGCCTAACACCACTGAATTGGGGAAGGATGGGTGAAGCAAAAGTTGCGAGCAAAAACAGAACAACGAGCTTCGAAGAAATGACGGAACTCCAGGAGCTAGGCCGAAAAAGGAAGTGTATTACCACCGTACTGCCGCCCCCAAATGCCCGATAACGATACCGTATCGTCACAGGCACCGGAGATGCTGCTCCCCGCCTTCTAAGATCATCGTCCTTGCTGCCCCATTGGCTTCCACTTTCTCTGCGCCTCGATCCTTTCTTATATTTCATAGCCGTGACCAGGGTTGACTCCCAGTCAATTTTCACCCGTACAACTGGGTCTTTCTTCCCAGCTCATGCGCGATCTCCCTTCGGTCCCTAGACAGCCATGGCGGCAGCAGACGTGGCTCCCCAGTTTGGAGCGGAACTAAAGGTATGGACTCCGAACTGACAGCCGTCTATCTTATTGCTAATGGACATTTCTATAGGACTCTTTCAAACCAGTGAATGCTTGGGTATGTCCCAGATCGGTCGTCTCGTTCCCCGCAACGCAGCGCGTCATATTACCACGTTTGGGGGGCGGAGCTAATGCAACCACGTTGCACAGGTATCGAATGGCATTACATGGCTCGAAGAGATCCAACAATTCTACCGCGAACGCAGCGCCATAGAAAAAGAATATGCAGCCAAACTGTCCGCGCTGTGCAAGAAATACCAAGATCGAAAAGCAAAGAAGATCAGCCCGTTAAGTGTCGGTGACACCCCGACTATGACCCCGGGTTCCCTCGAAAGCGCCTCACTCACAACATGGTCCGCCCAATTGACAACGGTCGAGGCTCACGCGGCGGAGCGCGACAAGTTCGGGACGGAGTTGGTCACTCATATTGCTGAACCGCTGAAGCAGGCGGCCACGCAATATGAAGAGGTTCGCAAATGCCATGCGGATTACCATGGCAAGCTTGAAAAAGAGCGAGATGCCTCATACGGTGAATTGAAGAAGGCCAAGGGCAAATATGATGGTGCTTGTCAGGAGGTCGAGTCGCGGCGCAAGAAGATGGACTCTTCATTCGATCATGGCAAGACCAAGGCGCAGAGCGCATTTCAGCAACAATTACTGGAGATGAATAACTACAAGGTGTGTCTCACAGAGACTATCTGCAAGCTGTGAACTGACCCATTAGAACTTATATCTACTCAGCATCAATGTGACGAACAAGTTGAAGGAGAAATTCTTCCACGAATATGTCCCGGAGGTTCTTGATGTAAGTCGCACTGCTAGATGGGATGCTGCAATCGCAAAAACTCATAATCATCTAGGGACTGCAAGACCTCAACCAGACTCGAGTGATCAAGTTGAATGCTCTGTGGACTCTTGCTACACAACTAGAAAAAACAAGTCTTACAAACAGCGTGAACAATGCCACTAGTCTCCTCACTGAGATCCCCCGCAATGACCCCCGCCTGGACTCAATGATGTTCCTCCAGCACAATGCAATTCAGACTCAAGAGCCCGCCAATATGGGTTTTGAGCCCAGTCCTGTTTGGTCCGATGATGCGTCTATCATCACTGACGATGCTGCTAAAATTTTCCTGCGCAATCTGCTGGGCCAGAGCAAAGCGCAAGTACGCGAACTGCGCGTTGAGTCAGACCGAAGGAGGCGTGAGGTTGAGGGTTGCAAAAAGATCAGAGATAATATCCGACAAGGCAAAGACAACCGCAATGAGCTTGACATTGTACGGAACATCTTCCAGTGGCAGGAGAGCTTGCATGAAGTAGACCGCAAATGGCTGACGGCCGAGGTCGAAACGTCCACCATTATCGCGGTGGTGGGAGACTTGTCTGTGGGGGCGCAGAACCATAATTTCCGATCGCAAACATTCAAAATACCTACCAACTGTGACTACTGTGGTGATCGTATCTGGGGATTGTCTGCCAAGGGTTTTGACTGCCAGGACTGTGGCTACACATGCCATAGCAAATGCCAGATGAAGGTGCCAGCAGAGTGTCCAGGCGAGCAGTCGAAGGAGGAAAAGAAGAAGCTTAAAGCTGCTAGACAAGAGCAAGCAGGTACTGGGCCTACTGTTGATCTTGAATCCTCCGCAGCCTCAACTACTGCGCCGTCCCTTACTCGCCAGAATACTATGAATTCTCTCAGCTCGGGATATGCAGCTAGTGGAGCCCGTTCGGTATCCAATGTGGCCACCCAACCTACACCTGAGGACCCAACAGATGAAGCCCCTCCCCCTGTCGCTGAGACTAAGCCAAACACTGGCCGTAAACACCGAATCATGGCACCGCCTCCCATCGCGTACACTACCGCGCCACCCCCAGAGCCAACCGCAACGCATAAACCCAAGGGCAAGATGCTGTACTCGTACGAAGCCACTGGTCCTGACGAAGTGACTGTACAGGATGGAGATAATGTGACAATTGTTGAAGCCGATGGTAAGTTCTGCTTGGGTAATAGATCTGGAGAAACATTATCTAATTATCCATAGATGGATCCGGTTGGCTGCGTGTGAGCATTGGTGGTCAAGATGGCCTTGTACCAGCCTCTTATGTCGAAGCGGCACCAGCCCCATCTCCAGTCCCATCAGCTAGCTCTGGCCTGCCCGAGCGACCAGGGTCTACCTACTCAAACTCCTCCGCCTCACTGGCAGCTCCGAAGCGAGTGGGTCCGGCAGTGGCGCCACGCAGAGGAGCTAAGAAACTCCAATATGTGGAGGCGTTGTATGACTATGAGGCCCGCAGTGATATGGAGTGGAACATGACAGAGGGTGATCGATTTGTCTTGGTCAATCGCGACAGCGGAGACGGTTGGGCAGATGTGGAGCGGGGTGGAGTCACAAAGAGTGTTCCAGCGAACTACATCCAGGAGGCGTGAAAACATCGTAAATAGCCTCAGTATAGCGAGAGAGGATTTTACGGTGGATTTTCGTGCTGCGTTCTACATTTCCCTTTTGCGTCTTGCCATATGGCGTTCTGTGACCCTCAGCACAATCTGCATCAGCAAGGAGCGTTGAGGGCGGGTTTTCTGTGTTGCATTTAGTCTATAGCATATATCACAACATTCAACCACTATCCGCATTGTCTATTGTATTTCAATATGTTTATATTCATTCCTAGACCAAACCATCCTCCCAAATTGTCCTCGAGCTTCAGCAAAACTGTCCTTGAACTCATCATTCATAATCATCATGACATTAACTCCCTACAGGGACACTTAATTGTCATCGCGTCACAGGGGGATACCCCATATCTAGATGCTCAAACCCAGTCTCCGGCGACCACATATACCGCGACCAATCCTCCACATGAAAGACTTCCTCCAATCCCTCCGTGATGTCCAAATCCATATCCTCCAGGCACCCAAGAGTACCATTAACAGTCAACTCAGGATCCAAGGGGAACTCAAATGGATTAGCACTGTCAAGCGGACTAATCAGCGGACCCGGCTGCATCAGCGCATCCGACGAAGAGGGAAGAAGCGAATACATGGGGTCAAAGATGGTATTCCCCATGATAGAAGGGTCGATGACACAGGTCCCCGGCGCAGAATGGGAAAGAGTCTGGCTAGGACCAGCTCCGCCGGTAGTACTACCAGCAGCAGTAGCAGCAGACAGGGTCCGACTACAAGACTCATTCCCAGAAGCCTCAGAACCAGACCAGTACCCTTCTCCGTACACGGATTCGGCAGTAGAAGTAGTAGCAGTAGAAGGAATATTCATCTGGGAAGAAGAAGAAGAGTTGAGCCGCTCCCTTTCACCAACGGCCGTGGTATTCGAATTCGAATCCTCAGCCGAAGTAGAAGTCGACCCAGATCTCTCCCCCCTCCCCTCCTGCCCCTTCTTAGAATGCAAATCCCTCTTCGCACCGGACGTCGGTCTGGGTGCAATGGGCTGGAAGCCGTTCGGGTTATGGTGCCGCGGATAAAGTCTAGCGTGGGAAGCTTTCTAAAACCAAGAAGCGATCAGCGACACGCCGTCTGCATATCTTCAGCGAAGATGTGCCAATCCGGTGTTGTTAAAACGGAACGGCATGTGAATTTGCGGTTGTGTTTGCGTTACTTTTGGATGTTTGAGTTCTGTCTCGCGCTTCTGGCGAGCGTGGTCTAGTGGAGATTTGCAGGGTGTTGCCTGGCAAACTGAGCATGTTGCGAAGGGGCGACCTTTTCGCTTTATGCGAATCAACGGTCGATCTGAAGTAGTTAGCATATGAATCAATATTGCCAGTCATTAGGAAGAAGAGCAAAAAAATTGACAATGGGAAAAACAAAAATGAAAGAATAACTCAAGGGAACTGTACCATGATGTTTGCAACTGGACACACGATGGCCCCGAATGCAAGCTTCACAAGCCCACTTTTGACCGTCGATAAGCATCCCTCGGTAAAAATGAAATGAATGGACCAGTTGCAGGTCGGGTAAGCTTATATACCTTTTCATTTAACCATTGATCGGATCAAGGGCCCATGTCTTTTTACGGTAGGACTGAGGGGCCACATTGAAAGCTATGACATACCATGCTACTGATTCTCTTAGCTCCATAAAGTGGTATAGGGCAATTTCTGTGTGTCGTGGAAACCAACCAACGACACTGATTCGATTTCACAGCCCCAGGATCGACTTCAGGTGGGACTGCGCGTGCCTTTCGGAGGGTTCCATGCGTTGGATCTGTATTTTACTTTTTTATTTAATCCGAGCTTGGACCAGCGCAAAAGTCCGAATGGCATATGTGAATTGGGAGGCACTATTTCCAAGTGGATCTACACGGGGATAGCCAGCTCGGTACTAATGCTCTAGAGCGGGAGCAAAATTTTCATATGGTAACAAGAATGAGGGATTTCTTGTCTCGGTTGCCTGGTAATTTCAGACCGGAAAAATGTTCAACGTACGGGAAACGGAAATGAAAATTCATTTCCCATTTCCACTGTCTACGTACTAGGCCGGCCCCTTTGATGCACTTCCGGGCTGCCAGATCGGTCCTAGATCTCATCTACAAATGCCTCATACATATCCCGTCTTAGCTCGGGAAAGCTCATGTTCCGGCGGGGACCAACAGAAAAAAAAGCTCGAACCTAGGAACTAGGCAATCGCCATGCAATGAATGGTTCCCTTCCATTTTTGCTCGGCAGACGAAACGGCCGCTCGGTTCACAATGGGGCTGATGTCGTGCAGGCCATGATATCACCCCCACTCTAGCTACACAGACCACAAGAAGGTATGATTTTAACTGGAGGTGGCTGTGCATCACATTTGTCTAAGTGGCGTTGCATTGTCCGATTTTCTAGACAGGCGCTGTAGCCTCGAGGTTTGAAGTTAATTTCTTGTTTCACAAGTGAGCATCATGTCATACCATGAAATCCCAAATCTAGGATTCCCGAACCTTAGAACTCGACTTGAACACAGGAACACAGATCTCGGAACGCCCAAAAATCGATACGCAAAACGCACGATAAAAAGAAAATAAAAAAATTAGGCAAAATTAAGGAAAAATAAGCTCCAACCTACTCCAATCATAAAATGATAAATTGCACAATTCAGGGCCCGCAAAACCAGCCATGTAATTTGCAAGATCTCCACATCCGTATCTTCAGTATGCGCCATTTTGTATACCTGAGGCATTTTTCTTTTCCAATTGTTTGGTCTTCCGTCCAAGCGAACTCGATTTTTACACACACCGTATCTTCCAAAATACGACTTGATCCTGTTTCCTCTGCTGAACACTTGTCCACACCAGATTTGCTGCTCGTAGCGTCTTCCACCTTTGTACCGAGGGCCGGGGAAGATAGTGAAGTTTTCCCGCATGTAATCCTGTTCAAATCTGGGTATCGCGATCTGTGTATGCCATGACCGCTCCTCTTAATGAAAATTATAGCCTGATTTTTCTTTTCTTCTCGCTATTCCCACAAAAGTGCTGGCAAGATTCTCACCAGGATGACAACGGGGTCAAGAGGATATTGGTTCATCTTCCTCGCACTCTTCCTCTGCTGATAATTCTCTTCCCCTCCCTTTGGCGGTTAGTAAAAGGTGGTAATATGATTTACCTGATAAGCATTTCCACGACGTGGCCATAGCACAAACCCATTCAGCCCCTTATCGGCGATCGGCTTGGAAGGGGCTCACTCTGTGCAATTTTCTGTGTGGGAATTTTTTTCACAACTGCAAGAATTCTTAGGTGCAAAGCCCCTATTTATATACTTAACGATCAGGATTTCTCGGGTCGGAGGCCCCGGAGTTACCGGCTTCGCCATCATTTCGTCCATATAGACCGCCACTCTCCTTCGTCCCGATTATATCGCGCAATGTCACACCATGGCTTCAGAGCTTGAAGCATACTGCAGATCAGGAGTCGCTCTAGGGGATTGGTCGGAGATAAAAAGCGCTCTGGGTTAACAATTCAAAAAATGCCTTGAAGCATCCAGCCTGCGGAAAGCCCAATGAACTTTTTGCTTTCATTTGACAGTGAGGTACCACTTATACATCACTAGTAGTATTCAAAACCTCGAGGCATCACCAGCATGTGTAGGCTAATTATAATCTCAATTTGAGCCTAATCCAGGGTAGCGCCAAGTATCCTGATGATGGCCTATCTCAGTTTTCACCAGAATCTTGGACAATACGGGAAATGTGTCTGTCAGCCGCGCTCTATATACAGGTTAACCTTAAAAAGAAGCCATGTTAGATCAAACGCTATTTAAAGCCGAAATGTTATTATCTAACTTTAACTTTCAACGGTACTCAAGCTTCATTAGTCCATGCACAGAAGTAGACACCTTAACTTCCAAGGCTTGTCAAACATTTCAATTCAATTTGGAGTGGCCATGGAACCAAAATTACACTGCCCCTTTACATATATCCCTAGTATGAACCACGTTCCAGGGCTAGAAAGCCTATTTCATGGTAACAATGACTGTAAAGATCACACTTAGTAGGGATGTGTTCATCTACTGTCAAAAGTCTCAGGTGCAACTCTCAAGCAACGTAGAGATGGTAATATCGGAATTTTAGATTAAAAGCTTTTCTATCTTAGTATTTCCTTCAGTTGCCCGTTAATTTTATCTTTGCACTTCGCAATACTCTATTATTCACCCTCCAACGCTTAGAGCATACGTGTATGGTCTAATGTCATCTTTCTATCACACCTTGGAATCCCAGGAAGATCATAAAAGTTAAAATCAACACTGTGGTTTCAAACTACACAATATTCACTGAAGCAGGGTTCAAGTTTTATCAACGTAGGATGTGAGGCGGTAGCGAGAATTGAAGCAAGCAAGAAGGTTATTCTGAGTGAAGAGTAAAGGAACGAAACATTCAATTCTTGCTATTAACTCCAGAGCTGTGGTTCAGATGTTTACCTCCGCATATAACTACTAATCACACCACCGCAGCCCCATTTTCTTCACCTCATTCATAGTCTTCCTGTTGTACGCAGTACTCAACAGCCCAAATTATTATACTGCTATATTTGTACACAATATGTCTGCCAAACTCACTGTTGGGGCAGGAGGCCGAGCAGGTTTTCCCCCGAGTCCTCCCTTCAAAAGGCCTGAGGCTACCGACTTCGATAAGGTCGCGGCCCTGGCAAAGTTCAGTACTGTTTGCACCATGAATAGCAAGGTATTCAAAGCTCATACGTTATCTCTGCAGGCCGAGGAACTCAAGGCTCTCGGCGCCCAGCTGATCAAGGCCGGTCTCGCCTTAATAAACACTGTTAAGTTTCATTCATCACTCTCGTCAAGAAATCTAGTTGACCATTTAACCATGCTAACTCTCATCACAGGCTGACGAGCCAGCTGCCAGACCTCGTCGTCACCGCCATGGCCGAGGACGTGAAGGGCGTGGAGGGGGAAAGAAGGCGCAAAATCCAGATGCTGCTGGGTTGAACTCGGCTCCTGTGGCAAGTGAGCGGTTTCGTCTAGATAGACACAAGCCTTGGACCCCCACCCTAACAGCCAATAGACGATGTCGCCCAGGCAGTCATCCTTGCACACCCAGCAAGCCCAACAACCCAAGGTACCACAGGCGCCACTAACGACAAGGAAGGAATTGTAGACAATCCCGGGAAGCGCACCCGTCACCGAGGGGGTCGCCGCCGCCGGCGCAGGCAGGCTGATGCTGGCGCTGGTGGAGGCGAGGAGACCACCAGCAGCTTTCCCCAGGCATCGCCTAGTAAGTCATTATCTTTATCTATTAATATTCAAAATATACTAATTATTACTAGTGCATCGTGAGGGTCGGGCCACTTCCCCACCTATGGAGATCAGCCTTCCTGAGGTTATTGCAGCCCTGGCAACCTCTTTGTCCCAGGTTATGAACGCCCGCCTCCCTTTTGAGTCGCAAGAAGACTGGCTCATCGAGTTCAGCGACTCTGAGTAGGGAAAGGCAGCTGGGACCGGGGTAGATTTGATGTGTGCGTGTAAGTATACTAGAATTTGCTACTGACTAGGCGTTTTTGGGACTTTTTTCTGCACTCTGTACTCATAGAGGATGTTGTGATATCACTAATAGTCACCCCTCCATCTAGGTCATGAATCTACCGTGGTGTATAGGAGGACCGATCAGATTCTGTCGATGAAAAACGTGTTGCATTGGGTACAACGCAGCCTACACATCATGTCAAATCCAGTAGGATCTACTTCACTATGAGTGGTAGACTAGGGTGTGAGGGAGTAAGAAGTTTGGTTGTTCCTAAACCATGCATGATGAGTTTTCCTATACATGATCTGGTTGGCTTGCTTTAGTCAAACAGGAAAGGCTCCCGGGCTAGTAAATGTATTGCTTCAAGGATCGTGCACGAAAGGAGAATGGTAGAACCCGAATGTCGTTGATCAATAGAAAAGAAGTGAGCATTTTGCCTAAGACAGGTTGAGAACCACTATGCCAACTTCTCCGACAATTACTCCCACCCCGGGACTTTGGACAGCTTCAAATGCATCCCCTCGATCGGCTGGCTCGTTAATATCCCACCAATTGTAGGCTTTTGTCCAAATTCCTTAAGCCCAACTTCGAATCTTCCAAAAACTCCTGCAACTGCACACCGAAGCATCGCCTTTGCAAGTTCTTTCCCGGGACAAGCCCTCGTTCCGTACAAAAATGTGAGCGACCCCAAATCTGGTCTCGCCCCACCATGTTTGTTAGGTACCTCTCTCCCTGTTTCCTTATCTGTATCTATCCATCTTTCCGGTAAAAAGAGTTCGGCCGATTCGCCCCAGAAGTCTGGACTTCTGTTAAGAGATTGTGGGCAGATTAGGACGACGGTACCAGCGGGGACCCTTTCGCCAATAATTGAGGTTTCGCAGATAGCTTCACGAGCAGACATGGGGACTACTGGGTATAATCTCAAAGCCTCTTCACAAACTCCATTAAGGTAAGGCATGTTTTCGAGAACCTTCCAGTCAGCTGAGACCGAAAAAGATGGGATTGTTGATCGGATCTCGTTGCGAAGCGTGATTTGTATATTAGGCTCTAGAGCCAAATGGTAACAGCACCAGGTAAGGACTCCTGCTGTTGTTTCGTGCTATAATCATCTCTATTAAATTCAATGTTCATGTCCTTGCGATAGTGAACAATCAAACTAGACGGGTGATAGAGGTGGAGAGAGAGCGACGTACACCCGCGGCAAGCAAATTGATGATTTGATCCACCAACTCACCATCACTGAAATCTCCGCCCCGCATGATAGTATCCAGAATATCTTTCTCGGCATTCTTAGGCTCTTTTCTCTCTGCTATGCCTAGTACCCGTTTCTCATGGAGGACATCGTAGCACATTGACTGTAGTTCGTTCCGGAAACGTGGAATAGTGATGCTGTTCAATTTGCAGGGGATCATTTTGATCAGCCATTGGGGGAGCATTAGTGACGCGGTGAAAACTCGCCAATGCTCGGGGGAGGGATCGAAAATGGACCTCAAGCTCTGAAAGATACTGTTGTTTTTGTTCTCCAATGATTGAAAGTCCCGACTGATGGTCGCGATGCCAGTGATGTCTAACATTAATCGGCTATATTTCTTTGTTAGTGCTTTATACGTGAAAGTGGTGAAATTGTCGGACATAGAGAGTTCGAGAACGACGCATACTTTGCCAATCCCCCAATCTCCACGAAACCTGCTAATTGACCCGATTGCCTTTCCAAAACTGGGCAAGTCTGCGCCTCTTTCTCTAACTGATCCAGAAACATTTGCGTCTTGGACCATAAGACTGGATACATGGCACGGGTCTTCTTAATAGTAAATGCAGGTGCACTGGCCTTTCGCTGCATCTTATGCACATTTCCTTCGGACAGCAGTGGTCCTTCACCCAATATCCGGACCAGAAATGCCTGTCCAATAGGTGGCTTCACAAAATCGTAGTTTCTGGTACTCAGAACGTCCTTAAGTGCCCGTTGATTGGTAACAAGCAGGGTACTAAAGTTCAGGAGAGAGCGGAAGTGGATGAGGCCATCATTCGGAATAGAACGGAGCCACGGCAGGGTTACCTTGCCGCGGGGAGTATACATGTACAATGAAATATCTACCAATAGGCCCTGGGATAGATATGAGATGATGAAAACTGGGTTTAGTAAAGAGAACGCACCCTGACTGTTGGCAGATGGCGAAGGGGATTGAAAAAGAATGGCCATATGAATATTTTCCAAATTGCCATCATTGTAAGATTCATAGCATATGCATAGACAAAGACGACTGCTGCACTCCTTGGTTCAAGGCTAAATCTGATTATGAGTATGGTTTCGACCACCGTGACTGGCAAGAGAAGGCCAAGTGCCATTGACGAAGACATTTGGCTGAGAACGACTTGCTCTGGGATCTATGTGATGAGGTCCTTTTTTGAGGAATAAAAATGTTCTCATTCCTCTTCACGCGATGAATAGACTCGAGCAAATTTATTCAAGTTACAAGGTTTCTAGTAGGATGACCAGACAACTATATCAGTAATGACCATGATGCATTGTATGATGTGGGGCCTTGTATCACTTTTTGACCATCATTAGCATTTGGGTTGTTGTCGATCAATGTGAGGAGTTCAATAGAATGGGTATAATGAATCAACAAGACCGAGATCGTCGGCGCTCCCAGCATGCAGATTCACCCAAGTAGCACGATCCAGCTGTCGAATTTCTTTTTTTTTTCACAGATGCTGAGAAACATTGCTATCTCATAATCTGCTACACGGCCAGTGGGCGAACATCGCATTCGCTATGCAAAATGTTTAACAAGATTATATCTCGTGCAACGTACTACAAACTCCTTCATCATCTTTTCGTACGACCTTCCTAAATGCGGGTTGTGATGATTAGAGCGCCTGTAGCGTGGACTAGTCTTGGTGACGCTATATCAATGTGTAACCAGGGACCCTCCCCTTTCCTGGGCAGCGTCATGGGCGGGTCTGCTTGAGGACCAAAGGTAATGGTAAATGGAACAAGGTAAGGATATGATCAGCGCTCCCCTTGGTAATACCTTCCTATGTAGTTCTAGGCAGCAGGGGAACTTGGGCAGATAGCCACAGAACTCGTCAGACCTTGGGCTGTGTCCTCCACTTGTGGTTTACTGGTCTTTCTATGCTCTCCCCCTGACCTTCTCGATCTCACGTCTGCGCGAGGCAGCAAATATTGTCTACGTCAGATTCTGATCATCGCAAGTATCTGTCTGTTCACTCAACCCAGCCAAGGCAGGCTATTGGCCTTTTGAATGCGTATTGTTCACAATCTTCGTTCATACATATTTTGTCACGCGAAAGGAAGTTGTAAATAGTAAAGAGTTTAGGGTCTGATTCCGTACAGACTAGTGGTGCATTCTATCAGCTGAGGAACTTTTTCTAGCGAAAGTAAAATCTAGGCCATACAGGCGACAATCGGATACAATCTCTGGTGTATTATTTGCTCCACACCTCATTGCTAAGCCTAATCCCTGGTTACCGAAAAAAACAAAAACCTGATTTGCTTTATCTATGATTTACCGTGATGATAGCGATCAAAAGTGAGGTCTAATCGACACCGGTATGTCGAAGACAGTGGTTAGGAAACGTTACATTCATATGATTATTTAACATTCAAGTTTGTCGGGCAACGAACCATGGTAAGGCGAGCCACACAGTTAGTATATTCTCAAAATAGCAGTTCGGGGGCCAAACTCTTTGTTCTTAGCCACGGCCCATCCAGGCTCACTGCATTTCTCACCTCAGAAAGACGGACTAAAATTAGCGAGAAATTTTACTTTTCGCCTTTAAGAAAGAGCGAGCGCATTAACTTGTAGTCCGACTCCGTATTCCTCGGATCCCATCGGAGTGGAGCCCTTAAACTCTTTTTGCGGGGGAAACATAAATCGGCCCCGATCTTCCGAGCCGAGGTGTACGGCTACGGGCCAAAGTGGATCGGGGGCCAAGGTGACATTCGCGATCAATGACGAACACCTTTCAATCTTACTGATAAGCCTCACTTCTCTATGCATTTCACCCTCGACACACTGTCCTACCCACCGCCATCATGACCATTCAAGCGGCGGCGGTTCGGATCGTCGAAGTAGGTCCGCGCGACGGCTTACAAAACATCCGAGATCAGATTCCCACTGCCACGAAGCTGGAGCTGATTCAGCGACTTGAAGAATGTGGGCTTCGGACTATTGAGCTGACATCTATTGTCTCACCGAGGGCTGTACCTCAACTTTCGGATTGTCGCGATGTACTCGGAAATGAAAGAGTACAGAAGTCTATTAAGAATACCGATTTACGACTGCCTGTTCTGGTTCCTAATATTAAAGGACTGAATATCGCCATTCAACACGGCGTCAGGGAGATCGCGGTATTTGTTAGCGCAACGGAGGGATTCAGCAAAGCAAACATCAACTGCAGCGTTGAAGAGGGCATCAATAGGGCAAAGGAAGTGACTTCACTAGCGCTTCAATCTAATATTGTCGTGAGAGGGTGAGTACCAGCACCAAAACGCTGAATAGATGTGTCTAACCGCCATAGCTATGTATCCTGTATCTTTAAGGACCCATATGACGGTCCCACTTCACCAGAATCAGTTCTCCGCTGTGTCAAATCACTCCTCGACGCCGGATGCTACGAAGTGAGTCTCGGCGATACACTCGGCGTAGGCTCACCATCCAACGTCCGCAGTCTTTTAACCTATTTAACGCAAAATGGCATCCCAATTGCCAATCTTGCTGGCCATTTCCATGATACATACGGCCAAGCAGCAGCAAATGTCTGCGAAGCGTATCGAGCTGGTATCCGCGTGTTCGACAGCAGCGTGGGTGGTCTTGGCGGATGTCCATTTGCACCCGGAGCAAAGGGCAATGTCGCCAGCGAAAGCCTCGTGGGCATGTTCCATGACGCGGGGATCGAAACAGGTGTCGACTTGCCCAAGTTGATGCAGACTGGAGAATGGATTTTGAAACAACTTAATAAACCGACTTCGGGCCGTATCGGCATGGTGGCCTCTGCTAATAAGATTGGGGATGTCAAGAACAAGACTTCTAGAATGGGCTTGCGCTGGTCTCTTCATTCCGAGACTGATGGATTTCATTTCCCTCCATCTGGTTTGAAGCTGAGGTCATTTTGGATAGGCCGTTGAGCTTAAGAAGTGATGTGGGCGAGCATGGTCATTGTGAGCCAACCCGGCATGCTCATCGTTCTTTGCAAGACACAAGAGGCGGTTTACTGGAATGAATAACGGATTTGACGAATTGATGGAACTGAGCGAAGTTTTTGACGAAAGCCGATCGAAATGGAGTTACTCTACTTCTGAAGCCTGTAAATTAGGATAATATTGACACTTAAATGGAAAGCTACGTTTTTGTTATAGGAATCCGGGAAGAGGCTAGTCCAGAGCATCTTATTCCATTGAGTTGCAGTATGGTTTTATCTGCTGTACAGTCTGAACGGACGTTACATAACAATCAAGAACGGCTAACTAGTCCCATAAAAGGGCAAAGGTCATAAGGTAAAAAGTAAAAACGTATACAGACCAAAGAAGAGCAAGCCAGGCGTGGCAAAATGGGTGAAAGGGATCACAGAAGAATGATGCTGGCGCCGAAAAGGGCGGAGATGGCAGTCACCAAGCCAACAGCAATGGGTGCCATGGCGAGGTGGGGAGGCTGAAGACCCGCAGCAGCACCCTTGGAGCTGGTGCTAGTGCTACTCGAGGTGCTGGCACTGACCGAGCCAGATCCTGGAGTGGCGGTGGTGGTAGACTCAGTTCCAGCATCCATGCTACCGCTGCCTTCAAAGCCCGTACCCTTGCCAGCACCCTCAGTCAAGTACTTCTTGGCAGGCGCAGGCATGGCAGGAAGGGCATCACTGTCAACATTCCAATTGGGGGCGTTCTTTGCGGGGCATCCATTGGCACCGCCAGTGCTGTTGTAGTCTCCGTCGCCCTTGGGGTTTGCTGTCTTGGAAAATGCAGTCCTGAGGGCAGTGTAGTCCGGGAGCTCCTTCACGTTATCTCCGTCAATCTTAACCAAGCCGTATTTGTTGCCTCCTTCGGCGTACTCGTAGACCAAGCCACCGGAGTAGACACCGGTCATGTCAGTCGAGTAGAGAGAGCTGACCTCTTCGAACTTGCGGGTGTTTGTGTTGCAGCCGTATTCGGAAAGGAAGAGGGGGAGCCCGTAGCCGGTGAAGTTCTTGACCTTCTGGTCCCACCCGGAAACAGTGAAAGAAGATGGATCGCACCAAGAGTAGTCATTGAAGGCGAAGAAGTCGCTACGCTCATCATCGGTACCGCAATTCATGTACTCGGCCATCTCGAGCCGGTTGGTATCAATGTCGGCCTAATAGTAGGTTAGCATGCAGTATAAACACAAACGAAAGGCAGCTCTTACAGCAGAATATCCGACGGGGACGTGACGGAGCTTGCGAGCACGCAGGAACGAGCGAATGTCACGAGTGACGGCCTTCACATACGGAGCAGCCGAAGATGAGGCCCCATCATTGACAACCTCGTTTCCAGAGAAGAAAGCCAGGGTGTTATCGTACTTGGCGAACATCTCTACCGTTGCAAAGATGTACTGGAGGTACACGTCGTTGTATGATTTCTCGGGGCTGGCACGGTTGATCGCATACTTGGGTGTGTTGACATCAAGCACCAGGTAGATGCCAGCATCGGCCAGTGCCTGCATGCACTCATCGTGGTCCTGCGAGTTATCTACAGAGTAGACACGAACAGTGTTGAGGCCAAGGTCCGTGAACTTCTTGATGTCGCGCTTGCAACCATCGACATCAGCAATGGGATCAGTCAACTTGGAAGAACCACCGGGCTGGTAGTCGACACCGCGAATGTAAAAGCGTTCATCGCCCTTGAAGAAGGCATTGCCCTTGACGGTGATGGGAGTAATACTGTCGCTTTGCTCGGTCGTTGATGGGGCACCAAAAACAGGGGATGCACCCAACGTGAGAGCTGCAGCGAGAGAAACAATGCTAGCCTTCATGATGAGGAGCTTGTTTTGGCGTGTGAGGTAATTGAGTAAAGTCGAGGTTACAAGTAGACGGTATGGTATGGTTGAATAAAACGAATGTGAGAATTTCGACAAACGAAGGAATGGATTCAATGTCGCGCGTGAAAGGAAAGAACGAAGGACTGTGGCTCAAGAACGTAGGGATGGGAAAGGGTGGGCTATGTACCTTATACCTTCCCCAAGGACCTTGTCACCCTTCAACTTAGGACTTGATCAACCCTGGCGCGTCACAGCCACTGGCCACAGCAAGGATAGTTAAAAGCTGGGCATCATGGCTCATAATGATTGGCAGGCTGCTCCATTGTACAACACAGTTTTATTAAGGAGATTTCCTCCGACTCGTCGATCATGCAAGGGGTTCCATGAATCAGGGACTTCTTGGCGACCCTAGCTTAGAGTTCTGCACTTTTTCAAACGCTTTTCAGTGTTTGCAAGCTTTGCTTTATGGTTTTCAGTCTGTTTCCCAATGTGAGACGTGTCTTTCAACTTGCTCGTACCTGGTTCTGAACAGCGCGTTCTGTAGATGGACACAAACTCGTTCCGAGGCAACATGCTGTACTACCAAAATCACAATGTCCAGAAATAGATCTTATCTCGGTGGAATTATATAGGTCATATACTTGACTGTTGCGGTGAATTCCGCTGGACCCTGGACGCATAGTATTGTCTTGGCATGATGCACGCTCGGCAGCGAGATGCATGAATGAGGAGGTTAAACTGATTTTGAAAGCCACTACACAAAGAGCATCATCGATGGCACACACTACCTGCCCAAGGTGCTATCTTGTTACCAGCACGCAATTCGAAATGCATTTGTGCTAAGTACAACGGAGAGACTATGAGCCTTGAGCACGTGATATATACACGTGACTTAGTAGGCAGGTCGTCATCTAAGTAGGAGACGATGCCAAAAGAGAAATATAAGTAGGTGAGATATGTGAGCCTCTTGGCTGTTGTTGCTGTTGCGATGGAAATGAACTGTTCTATTCTTAATACAATGTGTCACCAATACTACCTTTACGCGTGACCAGCCTTGAAACACCGGAGCACAACACGGGGGCAAAAACCAATTTGAAAGCAAAAGATAAATCTAACATTAGAGTGATCAAGCAGGGCCAGAACTCATTGTCACCTTCTTACGGTACCCAATTAGGGCCCTGAAATCCTTCCATACCCCGTCCAATATATCTCCCAAAGCTCCCGCACTTTCGACCTGAAGAAATGTTAGTAAGTATTATAGATCCAGGTAACTGAGAGTAGAGACTTACGATAGGATAAACAACACAGATAATAACACTGACCCAAATCCAGATAAACGAGACGACTACCCAACCAGTGAAGAAGGCTTTGCTGTAAATATAACCCGTGCCGAAAAGCGTGAACGGAACCAAGACAACAGCGCCAAAAAAGAAGATCGCGTTAGCAATCCAAGCGATGCGCTCACCTTTGCGGGCGAGAATAGGATCCATAGGCTCAGTATTGTTGGAGTTCAGGTAGTCCACCAAGTCGTTCGTTGTTGGGGCCGCAACTTCAGTTGCATTGGGAGGGGCGTCAGCCTTTTCCTTTTCATTCATGCCGCCGTTCTCAGAGGGGGATGATTCTTGGTCAGGACCGGTGGACACCTCCGGTATACCAGAAACAGCGGCCACAATCACTGTTGGAGGGACATGCTTCTTCGGGAATAGATATGTCAAAACAACAGCCATGATAAATCCCATACCAAAGGACGCCAGGTTTCCAGCCACCGCATTAGTGGTATCTCCAGTGGTAGCAACAGTAATGCCACCACTGCGTTTCCATGCGGTTACAAACCAGCAGATAAGGCCACAGACAAAGGCAATCCATGGAGCAGCGATGGCAGCCACTGTGGACATGGGCTCCCATAGAAGGATCATGCCAACTGGAAGGGCAGCACCACCAACGATAACACCCAACACGGTTAGAACCCAGGTCAGACTGATACCGACTGCATTTAGGATGCAGCAAAACGAGGCGAGTACAATTGCATAGAGTGCGATCGCCCAGTGGCTAACCTTGACTAGGGTCTCGGAACTGGTATTGGGTCGGTAGTATGTCTTGTATACATCAAATGTCAACAGGGACGATACAGCGATCAGTTCCGCGGAAGTGGAGCTGGTCACTGCCATAAAAAGCAAGATGAGCATTAGGACAGCACCACCTTTGCCGAGCAGTGCGATCGCCGTCGCAGGAGCCGAGAGTCCTGCTTCGACTTGCGCAGAGGATAATGGGTTGGGGTAAGTAGGAAAACGTGGATCACCCGTCAGAGCTGCACAGCCCAGGCCCATGACAGTCGCAAAGCCAAATGGAATCCCTAACTTCGTTAGCTTCGAATAAAGAATGATGAGACTAGACCGACTTACCATACCAAGCAATACCACCAAGGATATATGCCTTGACTGACGTCTCCGGCTTCGAAGCAATGGCACGTTGCCAGTAGGCTTGGTCCAGCCAAACAGTCGTAAAGCCAGCAACAAACAGATCACAAGCAAAGATGAGGCCCCCGACCGACCGGAATGACAGATAAGAGCCGCCGGTGTTGCGTGCGATCGGCATAGTCTTCGACGCCTCTTGGAGAAGATCATACAATTTCGATGGACTACCAACCAAGTCACTGGTAGCATTGAGCAAAAAGCCAAAAACCAAGATGGCCACAAATAGAATGACAGTATGAGTATAATCGGCAATGAAAGTTGAACGTAGTCCACCTGCGATAACATAGGCCGCAACGACCGCGGGGATCAAAAAGATTGCCGCATAAACACTCATACCAGTCAGAGCGCCCACAACCTGCGAACCTCCGAGGACCAAGCAAGCACCGACAAGCATGTTAGTCGCGAGTCCATAGTAAAGATACGTCAGATGCGCGATTGTCCCGTGGCGGGAGAGTACAATTTCAGGCATTGTGTGCGCACCGGGAGCATTAAGCTTGATCTTGATGGCGATCAAACCAAACAAGAGAATCTGCAATGTACCAGTGGCGGCATACCACATCGGTCCACAGACTCCATACTCGTATGCGAACGTGGAACTTGTCAACAAAGTTGCAGACCATGTCCACGAGGAAACGATTCCAGCACTGATTAGCCCTGGTTTGACGGATCGTGACGCTGTATTGAATTCTTCAGCTTGGTGTGTTGAGAATCGGGTGTATCTGTTTTGTAGCCAGGTCAGGCCGAGCATGAAGAGGGCAAAAATGCCTCCGATGCCGATAACAATGCCGTAGCCTGCACCCGGTGGCAGGACTTGGAGGTCTTGTGCCATTGTCACTGGTCTTCAAGGTGGAATTGATAATAAAAAGATTCATTTCGCGCCATATGTCTTCCCGCAGAGTATATGTATGCAGCCCGTGGGGGATTGGCTCTAACTGTCATATCAGTACTTACTCCGCTGATAAGATGATAAGAGAATGTCAGAATAGGTTACGATTTTCCTTCATGGTAAGCTACCCAGTACGGTACTCCAATAGACGCCATTACCCCAACGCATCTATTGGGGTAATGCGATAAGAACATTCCTGTATTGAATGGCTTGGGGTAGGTTTCGTCGTGGACAAGGAATATTTTAGCCTAAAAGATGACCCTATCTTCCGTCTCCAAAGGTCTGGTCATTTGTTAGATTGGGGTAGCGCCAAGCATCTGGGCAAGAGTACTTACTGACAGACGCCAATGATATGCACATGCATGTAAGATAAACATGTTGTGCTTGCGTCACTAGTGGCAGCTTTTTCTCAATCACCTTCGGCCCATTTCGCGAAAATCGGCAAGTGGGAGGAATCAGACAAGGTCTCGTATAATTTCAAACTACATTAGCATCTGTTATATACATACTCCAAAGAGTCATACACCTATAAGACGGCGAAGTAGCCCCATGCTTTCGGGGGCGTAGAGGGTTGAAAGTGTCTCATTCCCGCATACTTCCCCCTATATCATCGTTGACACCATGAGGTGTTATTCAGAGTGTCTCTTGCCGAGTTTATTCGTCCCATGCACCCAGTCCAACAAGCCTATTGACCCATAGTTCAAATTGAACTTCTCATGATGCAAGTCATGCATCTTTGCTTTATTGTGAAAGAAGTCGTACCCACTATGCACCGTCGCAGTGTTGAACAGCTCCCAGGCAAGGAATGCCCAGAACGTCAACACATGGCTTTTCAGAAGCTGCGGGGGCAACGAGATAGGCAAGGCATTGGCGAAGATCTGCTCAAGGGGATGGGCAAATTGAGCGGCAAGGGCAATCGGAGCTGTGAAGCGATGATGCTTCTTGTGGATTTTCCGATAGAAGTACGGCACATGCAGTAAGCGGTGACTGTAGTAGAACATCGTCTCGCGCATGAGAATGCTTATAAGAAAATCGCGCACAAATTCAGCTGCACCGGGCAGGGCTGCCTCCACGCGATATGAAAATTGTGAGCCTGCTTGACTCGATATGAAGAGGAGACCAAGATGCAGGACGGAAGACAGAATCTGGTTTTGTGTCACCACAAGGAAGCAGCGTAAGACATCGCGTCGCATGGGCTGCTTAGGAGCCGGTTGAATCTTGTGTTTTTGGGAAAAGGATGGCGCGATGGCATCTAGACAAAGATAGAATATTGAAGGTAGCCAGAATGACAGAATTTGAACTAGGAGCGTCCCTAGAAATTCTATTCTCTGCGGGGAGTAATTTTTCACGATCTCGGACCATATGGCCATAAATTGGCTAGTATGATGATTAATGGCCTCCATGGCCTCTGAAAGTCTTAGTAGAGGATTGAATGAAATGAATCGACAGCATATCGAGGGGGGGACCATACCTTTATAACAACCTCGGTTTCCCCGTCTCCCGCCCCGCAATCGATCGACAGGTGCCATCAGTGGGTCTCGGCTAGATCTTGATACCACGTGAATGAAGCCAAAACCCTAATCCCCCAGAAAGTGAATAAGACATGTTTGTTCTGTGTTTTAAATACTATTAGGATTGAGTTCAGAATAACGAAATACTCACGTTAGACGTGAATGATATCATTTGACGTTAATTTTTACTTTCAGCCTCTCATCATTCACGAGCCATTGGAGCCCATAAAAGGGTCTGATGCCGAGTAAACTCTAGTCATATATTATCCAAATATCTTTACTATTATTATTGCCTGAAAGCCTTTCTTTCCAGCCTGGCAGATCAGGCATCAAGCTTTTCCCTTCCGCAGCTGCAGCTGCAGCTGCTCAAAACCACCAGAATGCGTTTCACTCAATTATCTCCGGAATGTGAGGCCCTCAGACAGCAAATCAAAGCCTTGGTCCCTACAACCGCCATTCGTGATGACCAAATCAACAGCATCCGTGGAGCACTCATGTCATCCGAGAAAGCAGATGGATCTAAGCTTTACGGAGGATACGACATCCATTTTAAGCTTGCACATATGGCTGTCAAAATGCGCGTGGGTGACGTATTTTTTTCCTTTTGTCATTAATTGAGCCTGAGCTAATTGATGGATAGGACATGGTCTACAAGGTCGTCTCCTGGCCCGATACCCCTGCCTTTTCATTTGCCGAGGAAAGAGGATTCGTCATTCCATTGCACGAATTTCGTGCGCTGACTGGACTTTCCAGGAAGGTTACATGGTCCAGTTAAATGTCAAGGACGGTGACGTCGTCAAATTTTTCGGCAAGGGGACCGCCATTATCATCGTCCCGCGCAAGAACGGGACGGCTCGCGGTGCTCTGTGGCCTATGGAGTACGATACACTTTGGTTCTTCAGGTGATCTATCCATTATTTCCACATTTTCTTCCTCTTCTATCTGTTCAGCATACTATACTCTCTTCCTCTTCTATCTGTTAAGCATACTATACTCTCTTCCTTCAGCACTTGTGTCTCATAAGTCAGTTCTACCATTCTTATAACATAGATGTAATACAGATGGCAGCTGAATATACCGATCCATTCCAGGTTTGCCCAAACCATATAGCTACCCTATATAAGATGGGGCAAGTGATATGCAATGAAGCACATATAAAGGTGAGTCAGGTGTTCTCACTTTCGGACTTCAGTCAATCTCACGGCGCCAACCATAAAAATCAGAAATCGTCTAGAGAGTATCAGAAAGTGAAGACTTTAAGTATTATCTTGGGTTTTATTGCCGGTGGAGTTTTAATGCGCTTGTAGCCTGGAAGGAGGCATTGATGGCCATGGGCACTACTGCTCTCGGTCTGATACCTCTCCACCAAATTCTTGAACAAGGCGGGTGATATCCTCACACATATCCAAGGCCTCGCCAATTTTCCCCTGGTCTTCGAGGCAGTGCACTAAGAACCACATTGCTTGGGCTAAATGGGTGAAAAGTATTAGTATCGCATTGCGAAGAGCATAAACTTGGAATGTTGTACAAAAGAAAAGAAGACCACTTACGACGATCTGTATGCTCTCCGTCATTGGAGATAGACTAAACTGAATTTGGCATATTTTGCTTTCTAGGAGCGGCACCGGTTCCTACATATCGGAGTGAGAAAGAAGTAACGTAGTGTGGTGTGACTTGCGCATTGCTAATCTGGCTAACACCTTTTCCTGCCACATCAAAGAATTCAGATCATGCCGCGCTGTGTAGCAGCTTGTTTTCGAACGACTCAATGCCAATACCTAGGTAGGCATCCCTTGCTTGCATGAATATTTGGTGGAATATGTTGCTTCCAGGTTTGTGCGAATAGATATTGTATTGACCGAGGTACAACAAAGAGCAAACTCTGTGATATGGGGATCAAAGTTTAATCTACTTTATACGATTGGTTGTAATTATCCTTGATTCACCTGTCATATTTAGCCTCTAGACCCTGCATTCGAAGCTGTCACATCGGCGCTTACCGCTATTGTCGAGTTCTAGTTATATGTAGCTCAAAAGAAACAAAAAAGAAAAAGAAGAAAATAAAAGAATTGCAGATACCTAGCTCCTAGCACCCGTTTCACTCAATCATTTGGAACATCTATCTTTACTACACAATTTATGCAAATTCGAGCGTTGAATTCCGGCCAAAGATGTAAGCCCTGGTGCCTGCGGTGGGATCTGCATTGACATGTCACAAGCCAAGGAATGGCCTCCGAAGTATATCGGCTTTGGGACCTTGGAATTCAACTTGTTATTATTTAATGGGCAGCTCCCCAAAAAAACACTTTGATCATTATTCTGCAAATGAGTCTCGGTATTCTTGGGTCAAACTGGACACTGGATGCTGATACATTGAGTAGTGTTTGCACCAACATATTGAACATAGAATACTCTGAGCAAAAACATGATCATGCTCAGGCCCCTGGGACTGCTTCTCAGTCTAGGAACCGTGGTGTCGGCAGCTTGTGTTGCTCCAAAGCCAGCATGCAGCCCACACAACATGGCTATTCGAAAAGAATGGTAGGATCCGAGGTATCCAAATTGAGGCTCCATCGCTGATCAGGTACAGGGGTGAGATGGCTCCTGCTGAGCGGATCAGCTACACGGATGCCGTTCTATGTTTACAGCGACTTCCACCACATCTTCCAACAGCCGAATACCCGGGTGTCCGAAGCCGATTTGATGACTTTGTTGCGTAAGTGTCCAACCGCAGCTTTCGTAAAAGTCTAACACTCTGCTAGCACTCATATCAACTATACCCTCCATGTCCATTACAGTGGACTTTTCTTGCCATGGCATCGCCAATTTCTATGGCTGTGGGAGAGAGCAGTGCGAGAAGAATGCGGATACACAGGTCATCTTCCGTGAGTACCTGATAACCCAGGCAGCTTCCTCCAGTACCTCAGGCAGCCACTGACAAAACCAGATACTGGAATTGGCCCCTCTGGGCCGATGACCTAGCCAACAGCCCCCTCTTCGATGGCAGTGAGACATCTCTCTCGGGAGATGGAGAATATAACCCGGGTGAACAAAGTATTTCTAGCAGTGGAGTCACAATTCCACGCGGAAGCGGCGGAGGCTGTGCTCGAAGTGGTCCCTTTAAAGACATGCAAACCCACCTAGGCCCCTTTTCCCGCAGCCTAGCCTCTCTGACCGAGATCCCGGCACCGGGATTCGACTACAACCCCCGGTGCCTGAACCGAAGTCTGAACGACTGGGTCGCTAGTCACTACAGCAATACGACCATCGTGTCTCAATTAATGGCCGCACCCGATATTAACGGGTTCCAGATGGTGATGGATCACTGGCCGGCCCGACCGGAGGGCGTCCTGGGAGTGCACGGAGCCGGACACTTTAGTCTCGGCGCGACATTACAGGACCTATTCGCTTCTCCGCAGGATCCGGCATTCATGCTGCATCATGCAATGATCGACCGGGTGTGGGCCAAATGGCAGGATGCCGACGACAGTCGGCGCAATGCGCTTAATGGGACTAATGTTATTACAAATCCCCCCTGGGCTTCACTCGTCACTTTGGACACTGTGATGGAGTGGGGAGTACTCGATCGGCCTCGCCCGATTCATGAGGTCATGAATCCAAGAATCAACGAGTACTGCTACAAATATACATAAGAAAAACTAGGTTTGCTCTATATTATTATAAGTATTATGATTAATAATATTATTTTATCGTGATTCTGCGCGTTTTCGTGTTTCGGTGGGTTCTGTCTATTCGTCCACCTGTCGTATTGCATCTAGTTGATTCGGCCTCAGCCCCTAATGCACGCTGCACAACGGTGCATATGTATACGGGGCCTTGATGGCCGGAGGGGAAGATAGAACGCATGCCGATCACCCCAAACTCTCGAACTTGATACTCGATAGGAGTAGTATCCCAGTATTTGTTTGGCAATTTCCATTTTCAATCTCAGGTACAATAATTTTATTTACCAACTATTTATTTAATAGTGCTGTATGACAACACGACTTACCCGATGCGGTCGCGGTACTATTTTCGCTGACACGCAGCCAATCAGCGGAAGCCATTGTACGCTGCCTTGTTCATGCACGATGTAAACCTTGGGTCGGACCTCACTGTGTCCTGCCTAAACACAAATGATTTTTCAAAAATTCATTTTCCACATGTTATTCTTACGTTTGAATTGTAAGAGTGCAACGGAGACATTATTTGAACTGGAGAGAAACGAGGGTTTAAAAATAGGATCAAATTAGTGGTGGAAACATCCAAGCTTCTTTACTGTTTGTTTCGGGAATCGCGTCAGCCACTAGTGCGCTTTAGTTGATAAAACTGGGAAGTAGCGTCCTTCCCATTGCGTTGCCTCTCACTTTTCTGGTAGCGACCGCGGTTTTTTGCTTATCTGCTTGTTTCCTTCAATTGTTTCTTTTCTTCCTTCTTCATCACCCATCACCCTCACATAACCGACCTACAATCCCACATTCCTCGGCTTATCGCTTATCATGCCTCGTTTCAACGTTCTCCAGCTGCTCATCGCAGCGCTGATGATCCTGTCCGTGGTCATTGCTACCGACCAGCGCAACGAGGACAATCTTGTCCACCGTGAGTCCCTCCAGGATCTATTCGCCGACACCGATGCGAACCGCATTCACCTTGCTCTCCACGTGTTGTCCGACAAATTCCAAGACGGCGTTTTCCCAACTGACATGAGTGCCGCCGAGGCCCTTCAAGGTGAAGATCAAAACATCGCTAGTATCTTCAAGATCATGAAAAGAGAGAGCAATGCGACCGCCAGTGCATCTGCCAACCCCACCACCAGTGACACTGCCGCCACCTCTACCGATTCGAGCACCGACGCTGCGACCACTGATTCCACCGAGTCGACCGATAGCACCACTTCTTCCACTTCTAGCTCTAGCTCGATCTCGACCCCCACTTCGACTGAGGCTACTACCACCTCCACTTCCACATCCACATCCACATCGAGTACCCCAACCTCGACGAGCGAGAGCTCTACTTCTACCTCTACCTCTTCTACCTCCACCACTTCCTCTACTTCTTCCACTTCTACCTCAAGCACCACCTCCACTTCCACCTCCACCACCACCACCTCAACTACCTCGACTTCGTCGTCTACCTCCTCCACATCGACCAGCTCCTCCACCTCGAGCTCGTCGTCCAGCTCGACTGAGACGCAAACCACCCTCACAACCTCTGCTAGCCTCAGCACCTCGACCTACGAGAGTACCACTACTCTGCCCGATGGCAGTCTCAGCACCGTCACCGCTGTGACAGTTGTGCACGTCCACCCCACTGGTGTGTCAGCGACCACCACCACTTCCGCCAACCCTGGTCTTCAGACCGGTGGCGCCGCCATGCCCACCGGCCTCACTCGCGAGGTCGTCGCCATGGTTGGTGGTGCAGTTCTTGTCGCCATGGCTCTGTAAAACGCCGCCCCACTTTTCAGTTTCGACCAACGCCACGAGTCGCGTTCATTGCATTATATTCCTCAGCATCAATCCCTCTGCATAGCATTTGACATTGTCATATTACGATCCTTACGAGTTCCGACAGACGTCCCTCCTTTATCATCATCCCCTCGGCGTTCAAATTATCCGGCTTCACCTTAATTTGGGTGTTATCCGGCTTGGTCTTTTTTTGTTTCCGGCAATGGATTAGACTGGTGACATCTCAGCGTGCACACATATTTTCAAGTTCTCATTACATATTGCACATATATGCTAGGATCTTCATGGAAGACAAAATTCAATAATTTTTAGCCACCTGGCTCAAGAGTAATAGTCCATCAGTTAGCACATAGGGAACAGACTTCAGTATCTTGCTTGGGGAGAAACTCCGATCAAAGCTTAAAGTCATTTAATTATGAACTATGATACATTGATCATTTAATTCCAAGGCTGTCCCTCTCGGACCGATCCAGGGTTGCGTTGTATAAGATGACTAAACCCGCGGGGAGATCGTCGTTTGAGCTCCAACCCCACGTCACCACAACAGCGAAATTGACTAGCCTACCACTCTTTAGAACCAGCCATTACGCCACCAATGGAACACCTTGCTAAATAAAAAAACCTTTCCGATTCAATTCTGAATCCCCGCCGCCATGGCACCAACCCCAATATCGATTCCCTCCTTCGCCGAAACCCAACTCCAACTCCTGCTCCATGAGCACGAAGCCGAAGTATCCTCCTCCTCCCTCGCAACTACAGCCGCCTCAGTCTCACCAGCAACACGGCGAACACTTCAAGCGACCGGTAACGCCCTAACGGGTCTCATACTATCACAATGCCGCACCGGTCTCGGGGGTCGCGTGGTGGGTGAATTCGCTCCCGATCCAGCCATTGCAACTTCTGAATCTTCGGATGGGCAACCTCGTCTTGGCACCCATGGGATACGAGTTGGGGACGTTGTTCGCGTGAACGATATTTCTGCGGGGGCAAAGAAAGTTGGGAAAGACAAGCCGAAAGATGGGGCTGATGTGAAGGGTCCGGAGGGTGTTGTCACCCGCGTTAGTGATAAGGCTATTTGGATCGCATTTGGCCAAAGAGGGGGGTGGTGCGCGGTCCAAAGAGGATGATGAAGCGATTGAGGAATTATGGAGCAAGAAGTTATGGGTGTATGTTTGGAATTTGCTCGGTGGGAATGTCGCTAATGACTGGTAGGATCAAGCTTGCCAATGATGTTACGTATAGACGGTAAGGCAATTGCGCCTGCGGTGAAGGTCTCTGCTAATTTAATGCAGAATGAGGCAGACGATGGAGAAGATGGTCAAGATGACCGAGGGAGATCATTCACATTTCATGCGCGTGGCTTTTGGGCATACAACCCCGTTACAACCGGAAGAGATTACCGAGCCCATCGAGTTTCTCGACCCGACTCTCAATGACTCGCAAAAAGACGCTATTCAATTCGCGCTGGGATCTAAGGATATCGCCCTAATTCACGGACCGCCCGGTACAGGAAAGACACATACCTTGATCGAGCTCATTATGCAATTCGTGCAACGCAATAAACGCATTCTCGTATGCGGCCCATCGAATGTATCTGTCGATAACATTGTGGAGCGATTGGCTCTTAAAAAGGTTCCGGTAGTTCGCATTGGGCATCCTGCGCGTCTTCTTCCCTCGGTCCTGGAACATTCCCTTGAGGTTTTGACGCAAACGTCTGATGCGGCCAGTATTGTGAAGGATGTACGCAAGGAGATGGACGAGAAACAAGCGAGTATTCGCAAGACTAAGAGTGGTCGGGAAAGAAGGGTAATCTATGACGATCTGAAACACCTTCGGAAAGAGTTCAGGGAACGCGAATCCAAATGTGTTGATAATCTAGTGCGGGAAAGTAGTGTTGTTCTAGCAACTCTTCACGGCGCTGGCGGACACCAGCTCAAGAACCAGAAATTCGATGTGGTGATTATCGATGAGGCCAGTCAAGCACTCGAAGCACAATCTTGGATCTCACTGATGTCGGCTGAGAAAGTGGTTCTCGCGGGTGATCATTTGCAACTCCCGCCTACGGTCAAATCAACCAATCCAAAATCCAAGGACGCGCCCAAAAAAGATGCTCCAGAAGACAAGGAGATACTGAAAGGGTTCTCGCTTGAGCGCACATTATTTGACCGCTTGTTAGCATTACACGGAACCGGTATCAAACGCATGCTGACGACACAATACCGCATGCACGATAACATAATGCGATTCCCATCAGACGAGTTATACGAGTCCAAGTTGATGGCAGCTGATTCGGTGAAAGCCCGCCTGCTGGTGGATTTGCCGTACGAGGTACGGGGCTCAGACGATACGCAGGAGTCCCTTGTCTTCTGGGATACGCAGGGGGGTGATTTCCCTGAAAAGACCGAGGATGCCGAGGTCAGCAAAAAGGAAACACTTCTGGGGGAGAGCAAAAGCAACGAGATGGAGGCCTTAGTGGTTGCCCGACACGTTGATAACCTGGTGGATGCAGGAGTGAGACCTGAGGATATTGCCGTGATTACGCCCTACAATGGTCAGCGGGCCCTCCTGTCTCAGATGCTGCGGGAAAAATACGCTGGGCTGGAACTGGGCAGTGTGGATGGATTTCAGGGCCGCGAAAAGGAGGCTGTTGTTGTTAGTCTTGTGCGCAGTAATGAGGAACATGAGGTTGGATTCCTCGGTGAGAAGAGGCGTCTCAATGGTGAGTCTATCTCCATTTATGCACACTTTAACTTTATGCACAATCTAACTTCTCCAGTTGCTATGACCCGGCCCAAGCGACATCTTTGTATCTGCGGGGACTCGGACACTATCAGTCGGTCAGTAATTGCGTGTCCCAAAGCCGAACACTCGATATTAACTTTATACAGGGGAAGCTCCTTTTTGAAACACTGGATGGATTATTTAGAGGAAAATGCCGACCTACGATACCCCGATGCCGGGGATTTACTCTAATGCATTGTGGGGCGGACACGGGAAGGCACGATACGAGGTCCGCAGTGAAGAAATGGCGATCTTCGGCGGAGATACAGAAACGCAAGGCTCAGAGCCCAGCCTTGGAGCCCCTCACGGTAAACATTGTTACAGTAGTACAGCAGGGCAGCAGTGCTCGTGTGAACGCGCCAAGCCGTGGGCCTGCCGAGACACGCAGGAAGCATTCCAGCGAAGCAACTGCCACAGGCAAAAGCCGTGTTTCAAGATACACTTCCCACTGGAGTTGATCGCGATCCTATTCGGACATAGAATACCAGAAGTAGGACAAGCGTGAGGGGCTACTGCTGTCATCCCCCCTGTACGTAGGCAAATCAAGGTTGATTCGCTGGCCAAACAAACGGTCTGTGCGGCGTTAGAGAATTCTTACGATCGTCCATGTGGTGTTTCAGACTGGATCGTTTCCGAAGACATTCTGGATGCGCCTGGAAGTTCAAAACGGCGATGATCCACTCTTGAGGAGCATGAAAGTTCGGTCGCATTCCAAGTTTGGAAGCTAAGGCAAGCTAATTGATTAGCGTTGTTTAGAACCATAGACTCTGGACGCGCTCGGTCCTAACAAGTCAGTGACTCTCTCGGCTGTGGCTTGTGGGGGCAGAAGCTCTTCCTATCAGCTTTTCCAAAGCTTGTCTCCTATTCTCTTCAACTTCTCCCTTCCACTCGTTTGCGCTCCTTGTTCCTTTTTCTTTCTCGCTTGAAGTTCCCTCTACGCTGTGAAACCACAAACGGCCAACCCGTCGGGAACAGTGCAATTATGATCCTGATGTATGTAGGGATTGAGTGACTAGTTGAATGCAACTAATTTGTCAGCCCTTCTTAGTTCTCGACTCAGTCTCCGCTGAGCGGTTCATAATTCGCGTTTTATACCCTTTCTCGACATTCGCTATCGACCCCTTTTTTTCTTTTTCTTCTTTCTGCCTTTTTTTGCGATATACCCCTATGTGCCGCGACGAATAATCCTTTAATGAGGTGGAATCTCAACGGGTGACTTGAACGGACATCCCAGCGATGTCAGGACATTACCCTCGATCTATCACAAGCGCCGGAAGCGAGTCAGCTGGAAGTGAACAGCATCGATTATCGTCCGGGCGCGCCGAGCGCTCAGCTTCGAACCCGGCGGCCCTCTGCTTGGACCAGTACGATACCGCTCTACCCCCCATCAGCTTTCAGACTCCGACCCTTGCACACCGACGAACCGGAAGTACATTGAAAACTGTGATGCGCAAGATTTTCAATCGGAAAAGACAGAGCGCAGCGGATGGGATGGAAGAAAGCCCAAACGAGGCTCTCTATATAACCCCAGTGAGAAGATCAGGACCGGAAAGCAAATCATTCCTTGCAGTCCCCACACCTACAGATTCGAAACGGAGTAGTCCACTTTCGGAGGAGAACCTACAATTGCAGTTTGCGGAGACACATCTGTCACCGACAAGCGCGACGGGGGGTTCCTTGCCATCGCCTGGCTTACCAACACGCCGCCGACGAGCAACACTTCCCAGTGTAATCTTCTCCGACGACGAATCACGATTTGCAGTTGCGTCTGCAATTTCCGATCCACAAGAAGACCGTCATATCCAAGAAGGACGCCGGTACAGTATGCTACTTAACCGACGGTCTAGAAGTGCAGAAGCGCTGCAGAACCTTGTAAATGAACAATCACATGAGGAGTGGCCACCCCGCACCACCTCCATTCCGACTTCGGGCCCCGACGACAAATCACCCATCCTTGGAAGCTCTGTCAGCGCCCATTCCGCCAGACCGTCTTCAGGAACTACAGTGACCAGTGCTACTCAAACATCTGTGGCACCATCGATCAACGAAGCCGACGAACGGGCAGAACAAATGAGCCTACCCCCTAATGTGGGCAATTTTGTTTACACCATGCAACAAGACGACGGTCTAACTGTGGAGCAACGATTAAATACCCTCGAAGTAAAGATGATAGACCTGGAATTCGCAATTGCCCGCATGCAATCCAGTCCCACCAACGGGTCAACAGAACGATCGTCGTCCAGACAGAAACGCACCCCCTCCGCCGACCAATACAGCCCCCACACACGCAACAAACCATCATCCGGATACCTAGGCTCATCCGACCGAGACCGCGAACGTGACCGCGACCGGGACGAATCCCCTAGCCCCCTAGCCACTTTCTCCACGGTGCGCCCATCAAGCACAAGCACAATCCGACAAGAAACAATGAGCCGAAGCATCCGCCCCGCACCATCCGCAACCTCCCTCTCGGAATTCAGCGGCGTGTCAATCGAGCAGTACAGTACGCTAGTAACGCTCCTCCGCCGCGAACAAACCGCCCGCCGCAACCTCGAAAGCCAGGTCTCCGGCCTCCGCGACGATCTCCGTCAGATTCAACGGGCGGCGCTTCAGTCCATGGAAATGGGCACTATGTACCCGATTCACAATGTGGACTCACAGGAATTCCTGCGATTTCGGCGTGCACTTGATGACACGGATTCGACCTCGCCTAGTTCTAGAGAAAGGGAGCGGGGGAATGTTGATTTTGAGGATGCGTCAGAGTATGGGCGGGATGATCCGATTGGACCGCATAAATGGGATAACGGACAGCGGTCTGTGACGGCGCCTATGATCTGATTCTGTGCCTGGCATCGTTCAATCTCGAGGACGGTCTCTTTAATCTATTATCTGGATCCCGCTTTCTACAGGCTGCAAATTTGAAAGGCCTGGATGGATCTCGATGATCCAGTCTGCCAGTCCAGGTTCGTCCTCATGCTATGGTTAATGTCTTTCCCATGCTAATATCGACATAGTCATGCCGCTCACTGCAAATATAGAATGTACTTCTTCCAGGGCTTGATCCCCATTGTCGAGCTTTAACCAGCTCCTTTTCTTCTGGTGTCAGAACTCTTTTCGCCCGCGACAGGATCGCGTTGATGAATACCATCGAATACCCAGTTTGCAAATCTCAATTCAAATAAATCAAATACATCTGCAAATCACAATAAGCGGCTCTTCCCGCCAACCACCCACGGCTCATAGATCCCGGACCCCTGGACCAAATAAGCAAAACCCCGCATCAGTAACACAAACTTAAACCTTGTATACCCCTCAAACGATTGCCCAACACAACATCAATGGATGCCTCTAAAAACTTCACAATCACAATAGTAGGCGGCGGAATAGGTGGTCTGACGCTAGCAACAGCCCTCCTCCGCCGCGGTGTCCCAGTCCAAATCTATGAAGCAGCCTCCTGCTTCCAAGAAATCGGCCTCGGGCTCTCAATAGGACCAGCCGCCCACCGCGCCCTTCCCCTCCTAGACCCAGACATCCGCGCAATCTACGACTCACTCGTCACCACGCACGCAGATAGTCCAGGCTACGAATCATACCGCGAAACATGGTTCGAGATATTATGGGCCTGTGGCATCCACGAGGGAGACCTATTGATAGATCTAAAAGCAAACCCATCCGGACAGACGACAGTACGCAGATCCGACTTCCTAGATGCGCTCGTCAGCCTAATACCGGCCGAGATTGTGCATTTCGGAAAGCGGCTTGAGAATCTTATTCAAGATGGTACTGGAGTACAATTGAATTTTGAAGATGGGAGTCAAATACGCGCTGATGTGGTCATTGGTTGCGATGGGATTAAATCTAAGGTCAAAGAGTCTATTTTCCCGGGCTCGGGTCAACCGCGGTATAGTGGGATGTATGGATATCGTGCTGTGCTTGATATGGACGATATGGTCAAAGCAGTTGGGGATCAGCGCGCGAGGGTATCGACTCTATACCTTGGCGAAGGGGTTTATGGAATCTCATACCCGATTATGCGGGCGAAGAAGGTGAATGTAGGACTTTATGTTCTTAGTAAGAAGTGGGATTGCGAAACTTGGGTGCGGGGTGCGGAGAGGGAGGATATGCGTCGTGATGCTAAGGGGATGGGGAGGTATTGGAAGGAACTTGTTGAGGTATGTTCTCTGGTTTGAATCTTATAATCTAGATTTGATATGTCTTAACGACCTGAAGCATATGCCCGATCCGTCGCAATGGGCAATTTTCGAACATCCGCATCTAGAGACGTTTTCTCAGTCGCGTGTTGCGATTCTGGGTGATGCGGCTCATGCTTCAACGCCGCATCAGGGAGCTGGAGCTGGACAGGCCATTGAAGATGCCCATGTTCTGGCGGAGTTACTTGGTGATGCACGAGTTAGATCAGCGGACGATGTCGTGGCCGCCTTTCGGGCATATGATGAGATCAGACGGCCTCGTAGCCAACGGGTGGTCACAAGCAGCAAAGAGAATGCTGATCTTCTTTGCTTGTGTTTAGATGGAGTGGGAAGCGATGCTGAGAAGTTAAAAATTACATTTCAGGAACGGATGAAGTGGCTCTGGGACTTGGATGTACAGGATCAAGTGGAGCAAGCTCGGGAGAAAATGATTAATTATTTGACGTAATTTTGGAATGGAAATTATACTTTATGGTCTCCATTGTTTTCGGTCTCTCCGTGCTTACACTTTCGCAAATTCTGCGCAGGTCGGCATGGATTGCCTTGTGCTATACCAGCTGAAATTATTGAACTATGGAGACCCGTCAAGCCCCACTGCTTTAAGCCTAGGCACGTCCAATCGGCAAAGAAGGAAGTAAACTTTGGCATATGGCCCCGCACCAACTTATAAAGAGAGACTAGAGGAAGACATAGATTTCTTTTACTTATTCCAAGTTATAGACATCTCCAATCATGGCCAGAGTTCATATCACCGACGATGACCTTGTAGGCATCAAAGATAAAGTCATCCTGATCACAGGTAATCACCCCGCTCCCTCGAAAACACGCCATGATTCATCTGACAAGTATAGGTGGATCCTCCGGAATCGGCAGAGCAACGGCCCAACTATGTCTAGACCTAGGCGCAAAAGTGGTAGTGGGAGACATGAACCCCCCTAAGCCCGAATTCACCAACAACGAAAACCTCAAGTTCCTCAACGTCAATGTCACAGAATGGGAGAGTCTACGCAACATGTTCACCCAAGCAATGGAATGGTTCGGCCGCATCGACCACGTCTTCGCCAATGCAGGAATCGCCCCAACACCCAATTTCATGGAGGTGAAGCTCAACGAAGACGGCCAAGTTGAGCCCCCGAATCTTCGAGTTATCAATGTGAATTTCCTTGCCGTGATCAATACTATCCATCTCGCACACGCATACATGACAAAACTTGCCCCCGAGAACGCTGGAGTCGGCAGTATTGTGCTTGCGGCATCTGCTTCATCATTCCAGACCTTCAGTACTGGAGATTACACGATCGCCAAGCACGGCGTCCTGGGTATGGTCCGGGCCTTCGTTGAGCCATTTGAAGGCAAAGTACGAATCAATGCTATTGCACCTTCGTGGACGGATACTGGAATTATGCCTGGTGCTTTGCTCCAGAAGATCAATGTCAGCTCTCAGACTCCGGATGTTGTTGCCAGGAGTGTGGCTTTGCTCTTCGCAGATGAGAAGAGACATGGAGATGTTCTTTATAGTTGGGATGGCAATTACCGGGAGATTAACAACTCGGAAGGTGGACTTTTGGAGGGCGCTGCTAAATTACTGGATAATGCGGCTAGTGAACAGAGTGCGATTCTTAAAATTCGGGCTGCTTTTGCGAAGGCTACAAAGACTTGATCTACTCGGTTCAGCTAGCCTTTTGAATACTCTTTACTCCCGTGTCTCATCTTCTTCCTTTTCATAATGTATCCAGCACTAGGACTAGAATTCGTCTCTCTCGATGCCAGGACTCATACATGCAGGCATGTCTAAGCTGAAGTCATTGTGCATTGAATTCCCCTCCTTCTCCACATTCCGGATACATCACATTAGCCGACCCCGCAATATTGATATAAGGAAACCGAAATATCATCTGAGCATTTAGCCTTTCAAGGTTGCAGTCACCTACGCAAGGTTCCCGTAGACAGAAATTTATCCGCAGTTCAAGTCAACATGTCCAGCTTTCCACTTCAGTACCCACCAGGCCGCGAGCTGACAGGCGGAGACCTACTAGCCCAATCACTTAAGCAGCTCGGCGTGGAAGTCGCTTTTGGACTCCATGGAGGCCATCTAGATGCCTTTCTAATGGGATGCGAGAGCATCGGTATTCGTCTCATCGATACTCGACACGAGACTGTGGCTGTCCAGGCTGCAGAGGGATATTGTCGGATCAGTACAAAGCCAGGCGTGTGTTTTGTCACCGCCAACAGCGGGTGAGCTCAGCATTTAAACTTAATCTCATTATAGTTCAAATCTAAATTCCTATATAGCTTTTCAAATGGACTCGCCGGTTTAGCTACGGCGTCTGCCGATCGAAGCCCGATTCTGTGTATAACTTCTTCTCCTCCGATTCGAGATACGGAAAACAATTCCCTTCAAGGATCAATCGATCAAGTCGTTGCTGCACGTCCGTTGACGAAGTTCGCTCATCGAGTTATAGCACCGGAAGAATGCCCAAGGATTGTGTCCCATGCAATGCGGGTCGCTCAATCTAGCCCACCAGGTACTTCTTCGAGCAATAAGCTTCATGCTTCTCTCTAATATTTAACCAGGTCCCGTTCTTCTCGACTTCCCTATCGATGTACTCTTTTCCCCAATCCATCCCAAGCTCATCTCGTGGGGGTCTATTACATCTCCACCAACATACCCACCAGGTCCACATCCTGCTGCCATCGACGAAGCGGCTCAACTAATCCGCGCAGCAAAGCGTCCTGTGATCATCACAGGGACCGGCGCAGGGAGACTCCAGGTAAGTCATGCTCCGAGGACTCCTGACAAAGCTAACCAGATTAGGCACGAGAGAGTATCTTTAAGCTAGCAGAAACATGCAACATCCCAGTCTTTAACAGTTCAGAATATGCTATGTTTCATCCACAATCTATCATGCTTTCAAGCGGCACAGCAGGGACACTGGCGAAACTGCCACTTGTACAGCTCGCCAGACCAGACCTAGTGCTCCTCCTCGGTGCCCGGACAGGAATGTTCCTCGGTGGCAAGAGCGGCGCCATAATCCCCCATGACTGCACACTAATTCAAGTCGACTGTGATGGCAGTGAAATCGGTCGTACATTACCTGTCAAACTGGGAATTGTTTCTGATATTGAAGCGTTTTCATCAACGATGTACACCAAGCTCGGAACTGCGTACCAAAGCTCTGCCGATGAAGCATGGGTCCAATCGGTTCTGAGCCTGTCCTCTGCCAAATCACCCTTCGAGAAAGATCCTGCAGAAACAACGGGCCTTCTTCACCCTTACCATGCGCTGAAATCCCTCTTCTCCGCCATCGAGCCGGGAAGTATCATTGTACTGGATGGAGGGGAAGCAGGAGTCTGGGCAGGCGATCTGGCATCGCGTTGCCAACCTAGTACGGTCATTACTTCGACAGGATACCTAGGATTCCTCGGCAACGGCTTCGGATATACACTCGGCAGTGCAATTGCAGCACCCGATCGCAAGGTCGTCAATATCCAAGGCGATGGATCTGCGGGCTTCCACATAATGGAGCTTGATACATACAAACGATTCAATTTGAATGTCATGACTGTTGTGGTCAACAACTCTGTTTGGGGGATGAGCATCAACGGGCAGGATTTGGTATATGGAAGCAGTCACTCAGCACGACCGGCCAGTTCTCTGAATCCTGAAACTGAGTATGACGTTGTGGCGAAGGGATTGCAGAATACTGCTGCGAAGGTGACTAGGATCTCTGAAATTGCGAGCACTGTTGTCAATTACCAGGAACAATCGGGTCCAAGTTGCATTAATCTTATTGTGGATCGGAAGCCGACTCATCCTGTTACGACTATGATGGTTGGGCTTACTGATTCCCCGGACTTGGTTGTCGTGCCGTACTATGATAATATTCCACGGGCCTATTATAAGTTATAAGAGGGGACTTTGGATTTCATTTCTCAATATTGGAATCTGGAAGTATTTGAATAACTGACACAATTCAAACCGTACCCTAACGAATCTTCTTCCACTCCACAAATCGCTCTTTTCCGGAGATGCCTTCTCTCATACTCCGATCAAATTCCTCTTGAGCCCCAGGTTTTCCAGGTCGTAGTTTCAACCTGAAAGGCCATTTTTCAATAATAGTGTGTTTTTCCTTCATTTTCACGCCAAAGTCTTCGGCCGCTGTTTTGAATCCATTCTTCTTCATGAACCTTTATCAGTATTAGCATGGTGTCCGATATCGACGGGATAGTATGTTTCGCATTATACCTGTCAAAAACGTGATCGTATCTGCCGACAATCTCCCGGGCAAATGAGAACTTGACAACCCCGGTTTCGAATCCATCGATGGGAGACCCGTTTGGAGGGAGATACTCAAAGAGACTCCTCATTTCTCGGCCTGTCATACTCACGCTCTTAAGTTTGTCCTGGGCTGTCAAGTTATCGTTGACAGTGTTCAAGAAGAGGGTTATGAGGGTAGCGTGTGGGTTCTGGAGTGGTGATTGGAGTAGAGGAACCATCAGATTTAGCGTGCGGTGGATTCCAAGCGCACCTGCGTCTGCAATGCCCGACACCTAGTATTGTCAGTGATTTTACCCCTCAAAGAGTTGGAAAATTCCGAGATAGGGTGGTTTCATTCTATAGCGGGCCTTGGTAATTGTGGGATGATCACTTACCTCAATGCGGCTATAAAAGTCCTTTTCAACACGATCAGGAAGATCCTTTGGATTGAAGTTAAGAATCATAAAACGCATTCTAGAATTTTGAATTCGGTTCAAGAACGAATGGAACTGTCCGCGAAGGAAGAATAACAGCTTGCCGTACATGTCAACAGTTGCGGGTCCGCTCGACGTATGTAAGACCTCTTCCAAGGACCAGCTAGTAAGAGGATCAGCGCTGTCTTTCATCGGCCAGGTATCAGTATCCTGGAAAAATGTCCTGGTATTTGTCAGCCTTGTATCAATATCCTATTCTCTGCAACGTACGGGTTTGGCTCCGTAAATTCATGACGTGGATATCCAAATGGAAGCAAAAGACCATCCTCACGAAATTTGTAGAAACAAAGCCGCTGAGAAGGTGACAGGAAGGTCATGTGTCGGTCGCGATAGTCCCTCCTTGAATGTGCCAAGGTAGTAGCTGTGCGGATCTGGCGTACTCTCTCGGCATTTAAGCCGACTGGCTTCTCCAAGAAGCGTAAAAGGTGGTTCCACTGCGGTGGTGTGAGAATGACCCTCAGCGAGCGATCTCCAAATTCCCAGTTCCTGCTAAAGTGCTTTTCCGGTGGCTTGTTCTTGACTCTATGGCAAACGTCTCTGATCAGAGGTCGAATGCGAGTTTCAAGGACGACCATGTCCGATGGGCGCATGAGAGTCGAGTACCAGACGTGAATGATGCAATCAACAGCCTCGTCCATGTCATCGACAACCAATGCAATAAGAAGGATAATCACATTTCGTGCGACTAAGTCAATGTCAAAATCGTTTATCGTTATTGTGAGGCCGTGGTTGTAGCTAGTCGGAAGGTTGACAATCGTCTTCACAACATTCCGAAGGTCTCCAGCAGCTATTATCAAAGGTAAGCTCGAACAATCACCAAAGTCAGTAATCATCACTTACCTGCAAACAAAACATTTAGGTCTTTGGCATATCCCTCGCCTTCGTTTGACCCCAGCTTCAGGACGTCGTAAGCAGGGACGTTACCCCAGAGGTACTTCTGCCCTCCAAACAACTCTCCACCACTGTTATTAGCAAATTCTGTGGCTCTCTCTTCAAGGGCCCATGATGGCTGCCAGTCTTCTTTACCCAAGTCCGACTTGCACTCGACCTTATGCTCAGGCCAGTGTGACTTTTGGCATTCTGCACCGCAATACTGCACGCATATATGTTAAGGGCATTCATGGACAATCTAACCACTTAGGGGACTCACAATGACAAGTAAACAATTCTTACACGTAAAAGTGCCTTCTTTTTTGCAAGTTGGATGCTCCGGGCTCCAATTCGTGCATATGAACGTGGGGGCTGTCATGGTGGTTCTTTTTCTGGGGGTTGAAGGAGTGTAACCGCGACTCTGTTGATTAATGCTGGAGCAAGGTAGATTTGAATGGGTTCAGGAAGGAGGAACGTATGAAGTTGGAAGTTGTAGAGTAGAGAAGATGAGAGAAAGTAAACAAGATATTTATGAGAGTCCCTCCTCGTGGTCTCGTTTGCAACAACATTTCCCCTACACACATACGTGCTTAAGTCTCCGTTGGAAGAAGTCTTGTTGTTTTTCTATTTGGCAGCTTTCAATCAAATATGGACATATTGTCAAAGTTCTCATTTTCCTTGTAAAGTTCAACACCAGCTTATAGAAACATATCCAGGCACGCGTTTTGGTAGCTTAGCTGAATCAGGGACCGCTCAGGATATTTCGAAGTCACTCCCAGCCTTTTCAGCCTTATACATTCCTCAGGAATAGATTACCAAGGTACTGAGAATATCTTTTGGGTCCCCATAATCTATACTGGTTCATTGGAAATATCATGTAAGATCGTGTTGTCAAGTTCTTCGATATATTTCGAGTGGCGCAAATCCTGATTCTGCTGATTATGATGGACAGACAATACTCATCGTGACTACCAACAACGTTCAAAGACAATACTTAGGATGCTCTTAGTTCATGGAGCAGATTTCAATTTGCAAAACAGGGAAAGCACTACACCTTTCTCGTGACATGTGTATGGAGAGAATCAGGCTTCCAGAGTCCGATGGGGTGTGAAGATTACTCAAAGAATACGGTGCCACAGGACCTCTACATATAACGAGATACTTGGAACTGCAATACTTTAGATATACTATATACATCTCACAAGAATGGTCATTGATTAGTGCCATCATAGCTCAAGTGCCCAGGTGTAGATATCCTCCAATTCTTGAACTTACATATATGTACACTGCTAGTACAATTCAGGGATTTGTCTTCCAGCCTAATTTATTATTTTCGTTAGCTAATGCCCCTTGCTTAATTTTCATACGGTAAGTCCGAGTCTCTCTCCGAGACCCTGCACCCCGCATTCTAAAGTCCGGAGTACATATCGGATATCAGAAATTAGCGTATCCCCCACATGCACTAGTCCCAAGATCGACACAACCCCCGACTATTGCAACCGATGCCGCAGATATGAGCCTACAACATGCCACTACCTTGTTTCCGGGATTACCTCTTCGTATTGCGGGGTCGTGGGGGTGCCGTTGGAATATTTTGATCCCTGAAAAAGGAAGTATCCGGTTCTAAAGGTAGGCCGCGGGCTAATCCGAGGGTATATAGTAGTCGGCTTTTCCTTTAGTTTGTAACCTTGGATAGTGCTGAATAAAAACAATCCTCGCCTGCAGTGTTCATACTCCCGAGGGGTAGCAAAACATCTCAATGCGCGTTTTCACATCGATAGCTGCGCTTGCAGTGGCTTTTTGCAGCACAGCTATAGCAGCGCCGTCTCGTCATACCAGAAGCAGCGCACAGGAAATTGATCTGGAAGTCCAGACCTCCAGCGGAAAAAGTAAGACTCACAACCTCCAACCCTGAAATCCGACCTAACTCAAAGCGCAGTAATCGGCCTCATTAACGGAACAACCCCCAACGTCCGCCAATTCCTCAACGTCCCATACGCCCAACCACCGCTGAACAACCTCCGTTTCCGTCCCCCGCAAGCCTTATCCCAGCCCCGAGAGACCATAATATCCACAAGCCTAGGCCCAGCCTGTCCCCAGATCCACGGGACAAGCGCATCCATTGACAATACAGTTGTGACACAACTCAACTTCAACGGATCCACAGCCGAGGACTGTCTCAACCTCGCCATCTGGGCACCATTACACACCCCAAACAAAAAGACAGAACTCCTCCCGGTATTCATATACCTTTTCGGCGGTGGTTATACAACCGGTGGAATCGATGTATTGTATCAAATTCCCGCCCAGTGGGTTGAGCGCACACAGGCTCATATTGTTATCTCACTTAATACTCGGGTTAATATCTTTGGGTACCCCGGGTCTGGGGCACTTGAGTTCCAGAATCCGGGGCTACTGGATCAGAGGATGGCGCTTGAATGGGCGCAGGAGAATATTGCTGCGTTTGGTGGAGATCCGGATCGGATTGTTCTTTGGGGACAGAGTTCTGGGGCTGGGAGTGTTGATCTACTGAACTTTGCTTATCCAGAGGATCCCATTGCTAGTGGGTTTATTTCGGATTCGGGTTCTGTGTTTCTGAACAATCAGAAGTCCGATGCTACGTTTTCGAATTTCAGTTATGTGGCTGAGCAGGTGAATTGTTCGAGTGCGAACTATACGATTGAGTTGGAGTGTATGCAGGGTGTGGATTATGAGACTATTGAGACTGTGATTTTGGATTATGAGGAAGCGGGGAACAATCCGTTAAAGTTTGTGCCATTTGTTGATGACATTTCTATTTTTGGGAATTATACGCTTCGGTATGAGCTGGGTGCGTTGTCTGATCGGCCTGCTATTTTTGGAACGAATCTCAGAGAGGGCTATGAGGCTGCGCCTTGGCCAAGTGATCCTGAGACGACGGCGGCCAATGCTACTGTGGCAGATGGGTATACGGACTATGCGTTCTTGTGTCCGGCGATGCTGACGACGGGGTATCGAGAGACACTAGGATTGCCGACCTTTCGGTATCAGTATCGGGGTAATTTTAGCAATATCTCGCCGTATTTCTGGTTCGGCGCATTCCATGGCTCGGAGTTGCCGTTGCTGTTTGGGACTTATGGGGATTACCGAGGGCCGCCAACTGCCTTCGAGAATGAGGTTAGTTATACGATGCAGGACTTCTGGTTGGCTTTTGCGAGGGATGGAGCCAAGGGTGTGGAGGCGCTGGGATGGAAGAGTTCTGCGAATGGCGATGGCGTGAATATTCTTGCCGAAATGAAGACTCGCAAGGCGTCTACGATGATTCCTGCAAAGGACGTCGATACACCTTGTACGCAAGCGGTGATTGATACCATTCTCGGTGGCGCCAACCCGTTTGCTGTTGTTGTATAGTGGACTCTTCAGAGATTCTGAATGGGACAGGTAGTAATATATGGAGTAGGAGTCAATGATCCAATATCGATTAGATCAATCTGTGCTAAACAGATAGATGGTAATATGCAAAAGGTAACCAGAAATGTCCAACGGCCTCGATCCGGTCATGATTCATTGTGAACCGATGCAGAATACGCTTGCAAGCGTCTGCCGATAAAGAAAAGTAGATATGAGAAGGGAAGAAATGTTCAAAGAAGCGAAAGGGGGAATCAGCCCCCGAGGGGGGACTATGGCCAAGAAAAGATAAAAGAAATAGAAAAGCCACAGCGAGTGAAAAAATAAGATATCAGAGAAAAAAGGGTATCCACAAAGAACTGAAGTATTATGCCCGCGAGGCAGTTGGTCCAGTTCCAGATGCTCGAAAACAGCTGCCCTGGCGGCTTAGAAAAGGTGGGATATGCTGAAAAGAAATAGGGAATAAGAAATGAAAAGAATGGTCAAACCAAAGGTCGGCTCAGAACGCTCCAAAAACGCTTTGCTGGTAATGCAAGGTTCTGCCCCTAGGGGTTTCTGAGGGTACTTTATGCATAGTCTATGACTCGGGTACAGACTTCTTCCGTTGGAAGATACTGCGGGTGCGCGATTTACTGCGAGGGTTCTTCTTATCACTGCTGACCGTTCGCCCGCGCGAGCGAGATTCTTTGGCCTCGTCTCCCATGTATTTTTCTTTGTAGATCCTATTCAATCGTTAGTGGAAGCTTTGCGAAGTCAAGATATGACACTTACCAGCTGTTGCCGACCATGCTCATGCCATTGGACTCGGCCTGGCGGTAAAATCGTGCAGCCTTCTTCATGTCCTTCTTACAACCAACACCTTCTGCATAGCAGAAACCAGCTTCGGCCATGGCATCAACATCACCCCACTGACCAGCGATTTCGAAACAACGTAGAGCGAGAGACCTATCCTGTTCAATACCCCAGCCATTCAAGTGGCTAACGCCCAGCTCATAGATGCTGAGAGCAAATTGGGCACGGTAAGCCTTCTGCAGCTCCTTTGCCTTGGACGCGCCAGGAGCATCGGGGTTCTCCAGCATTTCCAACCCTACTGAATCCACAGCCTTGCGTAGCCATCGCACACCTTCTTTTTGATTGGAACGCATACCCCAACCATGACGGCAGGCAAGCGCGTATAGCAACATTCCAGTGGGGTGATTTTGCTTCGCAGCAATCCGCAGGTGATAGGTCGATTCATTCAAAGACCCACTCTCGTGCAGTTCAATGCCCTTAGTAACATGATCGTCAGCGGACAAAGTATTCGATGTTGCCTGGGTCGCGGCAGTCTGGGGACGCAAGGTGCTCGCAGAGCCAGCCGAGGAGGCCGTTTCGATTTTATCATTTGTCTTGTGGTTGGACCGGGTGGATTCTGTGGAAGGTCTAGGTTTCTCAGGTGTGGCCAGTGTCGGTGCAGAGGGCATTGGTGAAGTCGGCGGTTTTGACGAAGAAGTTGACGGCCGTGGCGAAGAGGCCGGTAGTTTGGGTGAGGGTGGAGCAGGCGTTGCAGGAGTCGGAACTTCGTACATCGAATGTGGCTTGGGTGAGTGATCCATTGGCTGGCGGTTGGTCGGTGGTGGAGTGCGGGCTGAGCGAGGTACTTCAACCGATTCACGCGGGGGAGAATTTTCAAACAGAGGCTCATTCCATTCAAAGTGTGGAGTCTGTAGGCCTGCAAAGATCACCGAGTCTCTGGAAGGCTCACGCCCGCGCGGCAATGCATACTTGGCGTACACAAATGAAGAAACCGCCGAGGATGGCTCCCCGTCGGCTGGTCGAGTAGCAGCTGCCTGGTCAGTGGACAAGGGAACCAGAATCGGAGTAGGCTTGCTCGGGCGATGCATATGGTTGGATTGATGCCGCTGGGGCGCCGGAGCTGGGGCGGTAGCTGGCTCTGGGGCCCCCGGTGCCGAGAGACTGGTGCTGGACCGACTGAGAGGTCGAGAGAAGTTGAAGGAGGGTCGCGCTAGGTAGCTGGTGCCCGTCGAAGTTTCCGAGCTTATTGAAGGCGAACGAGGATGTGGCCTAACTGGAAAGGTCGACATAGGTGAGTATGGAAGCGATACAGCACTCCCCGATGACAATTTCCGTGGCTTGGAGAATGTCGAACCTGCATTGGAACTACTGTAATCATCGTCAGAGCTCTCCAGCTGAGTCACCCGGGCGCTGCTCGATGGTCGAGAATGCGGCGAAACTGGCGGAGCCAGAGTTCGTGGAATATGAAGTCTGCTGGTAATGGAGTCCATCGACGACTGACGCGAGGGGTCATCCACCACCACCCCCACTGAGCCCTCCGCTTCATCTGCGTAAACCGAGTCTGTATCGGGTGAATGCGAACGAGGTATCCCCCACTCGCTGGGGTCGTCTTGGATTATAGTTGTCCGGGGGGTGGTCTCGTCGTCTTCGTAAAAGCTTGCCGCATTGCTGCTGGCGTGTGAGACCGAGCTAAATCGAGGGTGTTCCGAAATTGGGCGATACTTTGGCTCCTCTAACTCTGGAAGGCCTTTCTGAGTCGGTCGCCGCGTGAGAGTATCGGTATTGGATTCGCTATTTGCGGAGCGGAAATAGCCTGGTCGTGGGCGGGACAGCGACCGGGCAACACTGGAAGGAGGTAGGCGACTCATTCGCCGTTCACCTAGTCGGGATTCATCCAGCTGTCGCGCTAGGAATCGACCCTGAGCTGCAAAGGCATCGAGGGGAGACAGTGCCGGAGGGACTTCGCCGTCGAAATGTGCAATCCGCGGGGAGGGCATCCCTCCTCGCAGAGTGTCGTGAGAGTTGGAGCGACATTCGCTCAGTTTTGTACGCGGGTTCATCATTCGAATGCAAGGCGAGTTGAGTTTGTGTTCACGGGGGGACGTCCAACTGAGAGAGGTGTAGGGGGTTAGAGTTTCAGGATGGCGTGGCCCCGAGATCCGTTTCAGATGGTGGTTACGAGAGGCGCATGGAGTATCTCAAGTGGGCGGATGGGCGATGAGGCCAAAGGAATGACAGCCCAGAGAGGTTCTACAGAGAGAAAGGAGAAAAAACGGGCGAGGCCCTGACGATCACAATGAACACGATGACAACAGAAGCCCCGTGCACGATCCACCTTACCAAGGTTGGAAAGGGGCAGTCATACAATAAGTAATGGGATATAGGGATACAATGTACTAGCAATCACATTAATTGATTTCTCTACTCCGTATAGCCCCCATCTTGCATAACGCTTTTGGTTTGCTTTATTCAGGGGTTGCCAAGGCGTATTGACGCCATCCAATTCTATGAATATCGGAAGATCTTCTAGAATACGCATCTGCTCTCCCCACACGGGCTATTTTGGTTGTTTCATGGTTGACCTAGACTGGTTTGGGTTTGGTCTGCCAATTATACGTGTCGCGGTGGAGATGTCACATAAAACTCTTCAGGGGTGTCAACAAAGTAGAAAATAGTCTCTGCTAGTCGTTCAATGTTGCTTTTTTTATCCCACCAATAACTAATCCATGTGACAGATACTTAATGTACCGTCGCCCCCGAGCCTGCATGACCTGCGCCGGATTTTCTTTCTACTCCGCCCCGCAGTTGCATGTACACCTCGGAGGTAGCCCGGATTGAGACTGGTGCCATGGTAACAAGCCAATCCGGTGCCAGATTTTCCATCCGCCTTAAGCTACTTACTGTTAAGCTCTGTAGAATGCAGTTCCTTTTGGGTCATAGGTCCTTGCCTCGCAATGCCCAGAAACCAAAGTGGGTATAGTTCCTGAGCCGACGACGCACGAGGAAACCCAAGCCAAGGTGGTAAATGGTAGACGATTTTTCGCCGGAAAAATCATTCGTAGAAGCAGACTTGTCAGATTTGACTCTGATTCTCACTCCAATCCCAGCGCACTTGTGTTGGCCACCAACCTTCGAATACGAGGGGGGCTAACCTGAGCTATATCGGTACAAGCTATAGTTCAATACTACGTGAAATTCTGTCTGAACCCACTATGCGCCTCCCTTCCAGAGCGACGCTCATCGGAGCCGATCCTAAAGACGATCACCTTCACCAATTCGAAACTTCATGGCTTCTATCACCACTTGTGCTAGCATGTTTGCGCGGTCTGATCGCGCTCTACATCTTCACCACCATTATTGTCATCTGGATCTGGTACGGTACGCACGATGACCGTGTCGCAATCGGCGAATCCTTCAGCTACTTCACCTGGCTCACGTACTGGGGTTTGGGAATCTACTTCCTAGTATCCACCATCCATACAGCCCTCTACGCACGGACGGGCCGCTCGGTGCTCTTCGATCGCTGGCCGCGCGCATGTCGCGTGCTCCATGGACTCCTGTATGCGAGCATCACAACCTACCCGTTCCTCGTAACAATTGTCTTTTGGGGTCTTCTGTTCAAACCGCCGTTTTACAAGATCACGTTTCTGGGCTGGTCGAATGTAGGTTTGGCCCTTTCAACCCCTCTTTGTCTCACTCTCTTTGAGTCCTTCCGCCCCCGCATCGTATTCCTGCATTCCCACTTACGTAAACGGTGCTAACGAGGGTTTCCTGTAGATCTCTCAGCATGGTCTGAACTCCTTTTATGCCCTTCTGGAAATCTTCCTTCCGGCTACGGCCCCGCACCCCTGGATCGGTGTACCTGTCCTGATTCTCGTCTTGCTGTTCTACCTCTGTGTCGCCTATATCACCTACTACGATCAGGGCTGGTGGACATACAGCTTCCTGAATACTGAGCATGGCAAGAAGAGTGGGATCGTCGCGGCCTACTGTTTTGGCATTCTAGCCGCTATCCTGGTCATCTTCTGTCTTTCCATGGGTTTGATCTGGGTGCGGAGACGGCTGACCGGTGATAAGAGGAAGAGGTCGCCTCAGGATATTCTGCGACATGATTTTGCGGCTCAGAATATGGATATGCAGGCGCAGTCGAGTGAGATGAAAGAAGCTATCGTTTAACCCACTTTGCGACGCGGCCTGATGGGATATACGAGTATACATACGGGACACATAACCTACTGGACATAAGTTTACGCTTAATGTATCTACGGATAATACTAATCAAGAACAATGCACTATGCTATTAAGAGCGAAGAGGATCAAGAAACTATATACAGAGTACTTCCAATAATTAAGCTTTACAATATGAGAAAAGTGGAGACGGTGTTTTGATTCTCAATAGTCCGCCCCATCGGTGTTTCAACGAAGCTGATCCTGCTCTCAGCTGGTTTCGCTACCACTGCTGGGGCTTTCGTTGCCTGAATGACCAGTGTGGTAACCCATCATTAGGGCCACTAGTCCACTCGGAACCCATGCGCCAATCACGCTGTAGGATCGGGCGCCCCGGCCCACGTACATGACTGACTTCTTGGACTTCTTCCGTCCAAGGAAATTCACAGTCGAGGGCTCCAGCGCATCCATCACAGCATGATGGAGGTACCGTGCCGAAGAACCACGCGTGGCACCAGGGCCCGCAGATGCGACAGGTCGCTGTTCAACGCTAGACATGTACTGAGGAGCGTAAAGGGCGCGCTGCTGGACGCTCCAAGCCAATACCTCTGTTCCAGCGATCTGGCTCTGCGAGTTACGGTAAGCAGGGCCCAGGTCAATGTTGCCCATGCGGAGCTCCACGATATCAACATTGCCACGCTCAAGAAGCTGGAGCTCTTGTCGCAAAGAGGCCGCAAAGGCGGAGATGGCGCTGGTGGCGGTGACCTCTGGACCGGCGAAGGGGGCGGATAAGGATGAGGAGATAGCTGGGTAGGCGAAGACGATGGTGCTGCTGTTGTTACGGAGGGTCAAAAGGGGAAGGAAGGCCTGTGCGGTGAGGATCGGAGAAAGGAGGCGGGTGTTGACGGTATCTGCCCATGAGGAAGGCGGAATGGTTGCAACGGGGCCTGCGGTGTAATTTGTCGAGGGTACAATGATGAGACCGCTTAGTTGACAGGTATGCGAGGGCATTCCCGGTGAAGGGCACTGCGGCTGGGTGATCAAGGTGCGCAATTCGTGTAGAGAAGGGTGAAGATCTGAGGGGTTCGAGGGTGTCTGCAACTTTTTAGTTTATACTCATTTCTCAAGATCTGGAAATACTTACGGTGGTCAGATCCAGCCAAAGCGCTTTGATATCGGCCCGGTTCTCCGACTGGACAATATGTTCCTCATCCGCAGATGAAACCGTCACATAAACTATGTATCCCCGGCGCTCTAGATCCGTCGCGATTGCCCTAGTCATAGGCTCATGGGGTGATCCAGCAACAACTGCAATAGTTTAGCGCATGTCCATATCGTAATCAAGAGTCTACCAACTTACCAACAATCTCTTTTCGGGCCCCATTACCCGCCTTTCTAGCTTTCCTCCGTTTCGCGTTCAGTTTCTTGTTTCCATATAGCAGGACACAGCCAGTCCCGACAAACGCAAGGATAGCCGCGGTCCAAGCGCGATTCCGAATCATCCAGTCCTGGACTCGGTCGGTCAGGCCGCGGGGAGATGACCGCATCTGAGAGGCGCGCATCGGCGGCCGCACAGAGGACGGTAGCCATGTCTGCTCGGACAAAGTATTTCGGATAGCGTTCGCTGCATGGTCAACCGATCGGTCGATTGAGTCGGCGACTTGCTCGGAGTACCGCCTTACGTCATGGGGTATGGAAGCAAGCTGCGCAATAGCTAAGTGTTAGCACCGGTATCAAATCTGTGAAGGCGAGTTTGAAAAAGGCTCACATAGTCGAAGAAGAACTGATCGTCACTTGTCATCTTGTCTGAGTTGGTAAAACTTGAACAAAGAAAAGCGCGGGCGATAAGATTGTATCATTGATAAAACAGGCCTTATCGGTCACATGAGCGATTTCATGGAAGATGCGGGAAACACTTGAGCAGTCTGCCCAGGTGAGGAACTTTGGAAGGTATGGATCATTGCTATTTTTTGCTTTTTTTATTTGTAAATAATGTAAGAAGCTTACTCTGGTAGTTAGATTGTCTAGAATTAGGAATACCTGAGGATTATTCCCAGGATTTCAAGTATGACCTTGCCCATAGCTGTTGAGAAACTACGAAATATATCATAGCCAATGGAAGTCGCCTCCAGGCTCTTATGACCTAGCCCAATGCATGAAAACAACACGCAGATACCGGGCGACAGAAGCCAAGCACACAAAAGGCTATACCAGTGTTACAAAGTCTACCATAGGGTTTAGTTCGAAAACATCGAAGCAATTTGTAACATTGAGGGCTGTCATCATCATGCACGTGATGCTATACTTGCCTTGATGCCTTGTTTGTCAGGGCAGAACGTGATTATCAACCAGCAACTCCCAACCATGTTCTTGCCTTTGACAACGCCCTCGTGTTCTTCTTTTTAGTTGTTTGAAACTCCGATGGGGCTGCTGATATCTGGAGAATGATACTCTGGGGAAGCCATAGCATCTTGATGCATGTGCACACATCATTTATCCCCTTCTTTGCATCAAACCAGTTCGCATAAGCCACAGCCAAGATGCGCGAACTAGATCCTCTCATTTCAGAATATAGACATGAGAAAAAACGCCCACGAGAAGCAGAGGCACTCTTAATTCTGCGCAAAGTGGCCTCCATGGTCAAACCGATCATGCGCCAGCGCGCCTGGAGAGTGGGTGCCCTTTGCGAGTTCTATCCAAGCCAAAGGAATCTCCTAGGTCTGAATGTCAACCATGGCCAGAAGATCTGCCTGAGGCTACGGTATGCTTCTGATCAGAAGCAATTCCTTCCTATAGAACAAATAACAGATACCATGCTGCACGAGTAAGTCACCCTCTTCGCAAGATTCGCTTTCCCAAGCTTGAGTTGATCAATAATATAGACTGAGCCATATTGTCCATGGACCACATAACCGGGACTTTCACGCGCTGTGGAATCAGCTCCGTGATGAACATGAGGAACTTGTGATCAAGGGATACACAGGAGAGGGCTTCCTTTCCCAAGGCAAACGCCTTGGCGGAGCCAGAATACCGCTGGATGAAGCTCGCCGGCAAGCCCGTGCTACTGCAGAGAAGCGACGACTCCTCGCGAAGAACTCAGGAAAGAGGCTTGGTGGTGCTCCTGTACTTCGCGGAACGGACATGCGCAAGGTTAGAGCGGATGCTGCCCAGCGTCGCCTCGAGGTTATGAATGGATGTGCGTCTGGAACAGACCGGGAGGCCGAACTTGTGGAGGAAGAATCCAGAAACGGATTTAGAACACAGGCAGAAGAAGATGATGCCAATGAGGAAGCTATCCTTCAAGCCTTCATTGAGTTGATCCAAGAAGAGGAACGTGAGAAATATGGGTCTTCATATGTGCCTCCGAGCCAGGAGAACCCGGCGGGACCTCGAACAGAGCCATCTTCGTCCAAACCATCTGCTAGGGATAAAGCAGAACCTCTACAGTCCGAAAAAACATCAGCTGTTGCGTCCAGCTCGACAAGTGCCAACAACAGTTCCTATGACGCCCCGTGGACATGTCCGATGTGTACATTAGAAAATCCGTCCAATTTTCTGTGCTGTGATGTCTGTGCAGCAGAAAGGCCGACTCCTTCGAATATAAATTTGGCTGAGGGCCCAACTAGACAAAGTTCTGCCCAAAGTGCTCGCACAGAACCAGAAAAACAGAAGAAGCGCGCCCGGCCAGATGATACCGGAGCAAAAGTCGACCCTGCCCGTGATACGTTCGCATTCAAGAATCGTACTCGTGCGTTGGATACCCTTTCGTCTCTAGACCGAGATGCCAACAAACGACCACTAGGATGGGTTTGCTCATGCGGCACATTTATGGAGACTCAATGGTGGACCTGTTCCTTATGTGGATCAATGAAGCCATCTTCTTGATTTGCCGAGGACTTATTAGCTGAATATAGAAGTTCACGACGTATATGAGTATGAAAATGACGAACAGAAAGAAAAAGCCAATCTCAATTGATTATATTCATTAATTTCATATGTATTTCCTTTTAAACCGTCAACTGGCGGATCTACATGATATAAGCACGTGACTATGATGACTAAGCGACGCTCCACCCGCTAACCCAACGATTTTATTTTCGCGAGCTGCAACCTTCTCTTCTTCCCTCCACACTTCACCCGACATCCATACCAGCATGGACAAGGACCAAGAATGAGTGGATACCTTGTCGATGCTGGTCGAACAATCAATGGTAGGTCTTATAACCGCACCCTCAACGATGAGCAGCAGGGAAGCAGAAAGAAAAACGCAAAGCTTGAAACATTTCTTAAATGATGAGACTCTGCATTGAACCGAAATTATTAGGAAGAGCCGGAAGAGGTATGGCAATTAGTATACCCAAAAGAGGATACGGTTGTCGTCGATGCTTATAATGGTTCTGCTGAAAGAAATGCTTCAAGCTTTGCTTTTTCTTGCTGGCTTTTTGGGATGTTCAGTTATTTGTGGGATACATGGCTAACTGTATACCCCATTAGGTTTTTCGATTTATCTATGGTCTTGCGCTACATGATTGATACTTGGTGGCTAGATATGGGGTGTAATTCGCGGACGACTTTTCGACTGAAAGTTGGTCCAACCCGTACCATATCACTTAGTTTATCCTACAATCATAATGAATTCTTTTCAAATAACCTGACGAACTTGACGTATATACGATGCAAATGATCATTTAAAGTAGATCTAGTATAATACATCCCTCGATCTTGGCTCTGAACTCCCAAGGATATCCAACTTTTGTAGAACAAACATTAACATAACCAAAACAAATCAAGGTCAACGCCTATTGAACATGCTCGTCTAGAACTGGCCCAAATCAAGCCATGCTAACAAATTGCCGCTTCTTGCCCGTTCCCTTTTGTGTCTCAGGCTGCTTCCAGGTCTCCTCGTCAATGTAATCTTTGGTGCTCAGTTCGCGGATCTGGTTACCGATAAACTGCAAAGCAGACAAGTTGAAGCCCATCTCGTCCTTTTGACGGGTAAGAACACGACGCAGGGCGGAACGGATGCTGTCCAGCATGGGACGCATCATCTTGCTTGCCACGACCTGGCGGTGGTGAGTCTTGAGCATGAAGAAGAGGACACGGCAGGTAAGGGGCACGTTCCATTCGCGCTCGGCCCAGATGTTGAGGAAGGTGAAGAGAGCGGGGAGCTTGTTGAATGGCAAGACAAGGAGGGCATCTTGCAGGGCTGCGGCCGGGACCTTGGACACGGTCTTCAAGACGTGCTCCTCTGCTGAGATGTTGCCGAAAGCGAGGTAGATCGGGTTGCGGTTGGGAGGTGAGCTGTTGGGGTTGGTCTCGTGCCATTCCCGGACAAGTTCGAGGTCCTCCATGCCCAGGTCTAGAGCTTCCATGATCTTTTCACCAGCCATGAGGGTACCAGTGGTTTGCTTTCCCGCGTCAACTGCCTCGGCCTTCTCGCCGTCCTCGCCGTCCTCGTCTTGCTCGAGAGAGGCAGTAAGAGTGTTGTCGTAAGCTTCTTCCATTTCTCTTTCGCGCTCTTCCTCCAGGAACAGAGGCTCATCTGTCTCCTTCCAGATGCGAATACTCTTATCGTGACTGGCAGTGACAATGGTATCACCGGTACGGCTGATGGCCAACGCCCAGATCTCTCCGTGGTGACCGGTCAGTCGCTGGATCTGCTCAAACTTGTCACCGTCCCAGTACTTGATAACCTTGTCCTTGCTAGCACTGAAGAAGTTGTGACCATTTTGTTCCTTGTTGGTGGGAACGAATGCAACTGCCATGACACTGTCCTCGTGAGCGTGCAAGGACTTGTGGCAATCACCAAAGTCCAGACCCCACAGACGGACAGTCTTATCGGCCGAGCAAGTTACGATCAATTTGGTGTCGTAAGAAATGTCCATGGACAGGACAGGAAGCTTGTGGCCGTACAAGTTCAGGAAGAGTTTCAAAGTGTCAACGAAAAAGACCTTCACAGTGTTGTCCAGCATAGAAACAGCCAGAAGTCGTGCGTCTGGAGAGAATCGAAGGCTGAGAATGTCCTCGTTGACCTTTAAGGTTCTGGTGTGGACCAGTCTGAGGCGGGGAGTAGTGCGCTTGGTGCCCGGGATCTCCTCCTGCACAACCTTGAACTCCCAAAACTTCGCTTGCTTATCAGCACTTCCAGTGACCACGGACTTTCCATCAGGGTGCACGTGCATTGACCAGACTGGACCATCGTGGGCCTTGATGGTGTCCAGCAATGTTGAGGAAGCAATATCAAAGACCTCCAACTCTCCATTCTTGTTTCCAACCACCACGATCTTGTCACCGGGAAGGAACGCGGAGCAGAGCGCATAGCCACATTCAAGCGTACGCAGACAGGTTCCTGTGCGTACGTTCCAGATCTTGAGGCTGCCATTGGAAGCAGAAGCCAACATGCGGTCCTCAGAACTCAGGGCAATGGATCGGATATCGGTGCGGTGGCCGGGAATGTCGACAGCCAAGCTGCGGGTGTAATCAGATTCTTCCTCGTCTTTGTTCTTCTTGTTCGCTGTGACAATGCTATAGGCTTCCAGCTGGTTATTCGAAGTTGCTGCAAGGATGTTTAGGCTGTTGGATTTGATGGTCATCCAGTCGAATGAACGAATCTTTCCACCCGTGCGAACGATGACATGGGGGACGAAGACTTCTGTGATGGGAGCAGAAGAAACATCTTCAGGCTTGTCTTCTTCAGCTTCGGTCTTCTCTTCACCCTCACGCTGGGCCTCCTTCTCCTTTCTCCGCTTGCGCTTGCGAGCCATGCTCTTCTGCACTTCTGTTGCTGACCGAATGCGCCAAATTTCGACTGACTTGTCCGAGCCGTGCAAACCGACATAATCCAAACGAGGATGGAATCGAATGCCAATTGTGCGATCTTTACCATTTCGGTAGAAGGTTCCCCGGTCCTTCATGATTCTGCGACCCTCTGCGCTGACTTTCTCTTTTGAGATTTCAACCATCGCATTTTCGTCGATCGACCAGACCTTCAGCTCTCCATCATTTCCTGCAGTAATGCAACCACCCTGGTCTGGTGAAAGACCCAAGCTCCAGCACTCGCCATTTGTCTGCGCAACATGTGTTTCGATACAGTGCTGCGATCCCAGATCCCAAATCTTGACCAGAGCGTCCTTACCAGTTGTCAACAAGAATCCGGGATGTTCGCTGAGTCCGGAGGCATTGAGTAGCTCTGTAGAAGGGAAAAGGAAGTGGAGGGAGGTGATCTGGTCGGTGTGTCCGCGGAGTCTGAAAAGACCTGTTTCGCTGATCAGGTCCCAGACGATAATGTCGGTGTCTTTGGAACCACTGGCGAGGCGCACACCGGCGTTGTCGAAGGCCATCTGGGTCACGGCGGACTTGTGACCATTGAAAGAAATAATGACAGTGCGAGTACGCGAATCCCAGATGCGGATGCTACCATCCTCGTAGCTATAGAACAGAAAAGTGAACGTTAGCGACCAACATGCAATTATAGTATGAGGAAGAGCCTTACCCAACTGCAAAGATATCTTCATCGGTCTTGCTCTGGGTGACGACGGTCACAGGCGCCTTGCACGCCGAATCGCGCCACCGGCCCAGCAGTTCTCCCTTCTTTACATCCCAGCAAAGGACCTCCTCGCTAGCACCAACGATCGCTCGACCGGAACCTGTCTGGCGAGCTGCGCCTGGGACCTGCTCGTCCTTGGCCCAGATCGCATTGGACGACGCCGAGGCGATGAGCCCGAACGTGCTCGAATGCTCGAATTTGCTGAATATTTTCAAGTTAGAACATTAGGTACCCATTTGCAATCATAATTGGCACCTACAAGTAAGATTTCACCATCGTGGGGTGGATGGGAAAATTTTTGGAGAATCGTAGACTCTTGCTATCGATAGCACAAAAATTAGTACGGGCGGCGAGAGCGACCTATCCGGCTCCCCCACCGCCCGGTAATGACGATCGCGGGTTGCCATCCTCTCAACCTGCCATCTTGTTGACACACATTATCTCTGCCCGTCATGCTGCTCTTGGATTATCAGAATGTTTTGATTCAATCGCTCCTCACGGAGCGGTTCTCTGGGTATTATACCCCTCCCTCCCCGCTTACTCCCCCCTCGGCTCCGTTGTATACACTCCGGTCAGGCCCCAGCTAACTCGGTTGCCCGCAGTGCCCCCCCCAGCTTCCATTGACCAAGTGGCCTCTGACTTTGACGGAGTGACCTTCCACGTTTCTACCCCCGAGTCCAAAACCAAGATCCTGCTCTCTATCAACGTGAAATGCTTCAAGGAGCTCGTCCAATATGGCGCCCAGGAGGTGCTTGAGCGGGAATACGGCCCCTACATTGTGTCCCCCGAGCCCGGTTATGATTTCTCCGTACAAGTTGATCTTGAAAACTTGCCTGCTGAGCAGGAAGCCCGCGACGAATTGATCATGAAGCTCGCTCTGCTGAAGCGCAATGCCATGGCGGCTCCATTCGAGAGAGCATTCGACGAGTTCAACAAGCTTGCGGAGGAGGCTTCACGGTACACTTCGGAGTCAGCACCCCAAGGCATGAAGGAGGGTGGCGAGGTTATGGCTATTCATTATCGTGAGGAGGAGGCCATCTACATTAAGGCTAGCTTTGATCGGGTGACGGTCATCTTCAGCACCGTGTTCCGGGAGGAGACAGATCGCATCTTTGGCAAGGTCTTCTTACAGGTTCGTTTGATTTTGAATGAGGGAAGATTGCTTTTTGTCTGATGTTAATGGTTCTTAGGAATTCGTGGACGCCAGACGTCGCGTTGTGACCCTGCAGAATGCCCCTCAAGTACTGTTCCGCAACGATGCCCCATTGGAGTTGCAAGGTGTTCCTGGTCTGCTCACGGCGGGCGAGGGTGAAATTAGCTACGTCACTTTTGGTATGGATAATCCATATAGATAGTGGTACTTATTGAAAGTCACTGACATGCATCTAGTTTTGTTCCCCCGACACTTGACCGCCCAGCGCCGTTACGACAACATCTCCCACATCCAGACCTTCCGTGACTACTTCCATTACCACATTAAGGCTTCGAAGGTATGAACGTTCTTATAATAATACTTGGGTTTCATTGACTGACCTACGATAGGCATACATTCACACCCGCATGCGCAAGCGCACAGCGGACTTCCTGCAAGGTATGTGCACCTTCCAAATTGAAGTATTATGTCCCTTACTAACTGAGAAATAGTTCTTAACCGGGCCAGACCGGAGAATGAAGAGCGTGAGCGCAAGACGGCCAGTGGTCGGACATTCCGTGTGCAAAGTTAAATTGTGGCTTCATGTTGATATCCACTTGGAGGCGAGCGTTTTACGAACCAGCAAAGCTTTTTTTATTTATACTTATCTCATTCCCAGTAGAGCTCCGAGCTTAACTCAGTCCCGTATCAGCTATTTGGCTACTTTGTTGAATCCCCGTGATTTAAGCCGCGGAACCGATCAGCCTAATTAGGCAAGTATAGCTTAGTTGTCGGCTTAGTCGTCACTGCCATGTTATCTGCTCGACATGAGCTCGATTGTAGAAGAACAGATAAAAGGTTTGATCATGATCCCCAAACACGCAAAGTACCACCCCAGTTATATTACTTGACTTTCGTCAAAAGGCTCCTATACACAGTTCCAATATGAATCACCTTCGCAGGACGAAGAGTCACATCTGGAATTTCTCTCTCTTCAGACTCCGCCACAGAACTGATTCCTACCATCCCAGAACCCCCCGAACCCCCAGTAATGACCACAAGTCTGTAAGCTCAGACGTCTGGGTCGACGCAATTGAAGACCAGAGAGACGGATTCTACAGATACTCGGAGCTTCACGAGGAAAGCCTTGAAGGGCCTTTAGCCGACACCATGAGGCAAAATGACAATCTTGACGAGAATTCAGAGTTCTTTCTGGTAGGTCTCATCGCGCCGTCCCCTATATCCTGTCTTCTACGAGAAACAATGAGAATGACTGACAATTCCATGCGCATGAGCAGACTTCATCGTTGAAACGACATTCACGCCCTTACAGAGTTAGTAGCGGCGAGTGGGTGACAGCTGTGACTTCAAACTCGCCATCCCCATCCCCCACCTATGGAGCCTCCCGGGTGACATCCCAGGTACTGTCCCTGAACGACTTGACCAATGATGAGATAGCAACGCACTTTATAGTGGTCCTCAAGATTTTCTCCCAGATTTATGCCATTGCGAAGCTTGCACAGATTGCATTTATGGGCTATGGCATTGAGGTATGCGAATTGAAATTCCCTCGACACACAGACTGGTGACTCTTCTAGCTTGACAATTCGGAGACTGGCCTCAGGTACTGGATCGATCGAGCCGAGACCAATATCGCAACTGATAACCTTGGTGAACTTATCACCATTGTGGAACATCTCTTTTACGTGGTCTATGCCCGAATCAAACTCGAGATGGCGGGAATTGAGCTTTGTGCCTTGTACAAAATGGAAACTCGTCCGGCCATGACAAAAGATCGCCAGTTCTACATGCCCGAACCCAACCATCTGTATCGCATCTTCCTTCTATTCAAGGATATCCTCGACTCCCCAGGCATCTGCGAAGAGCGCGACAACGACCTCATTTCTCGGTTCATGGAGAATTATGTGCGAATGCTCATCTGCAAAGATGCGCGATTGGGACCGTTTTGCATCGATGACATCCTGGGATACCGCCGATACGCCTACAGCATTGTCAACAACCGCCATTCTACCTACTGTAAGAAATGGGACAGTCTCATCTCCATTTTTCCTGATTTCCCGCCCGAGACCATGACTGTGCTTTCTGAGAGATACTTCACTATGACCCCTAAGCAGGTACCCGACTGCGATATCCCCTTAAACGAACTTCCGTTTACCAACCTGGAATTAATCGATCCGGTTCTTCGGGAGAAGCAAATCATTATCGACCACAGAATCGGCACGCTGGCCAAGTTAGAAGGAAAATCTATCGGAGACTGTCGACGTGATGACGGCAAGATTCGTCTGTTGCACGAGGTAAAGCATTCCAAGTGTATCTGCAAATCAGCATGTGTCTGTGCTCGCAAGTGCACTTACGACGTGGAGCGCCGCTGCCCCTGTTCCGAACGACAGCTGCGCATGCAGCTTGCTATTAACCGCAAGGGTGTTGGTCGTTTTGAGTTCTCAGACCGAGTCAACACGGTTACCCTGGCCGGTTTCCAAGGACTGGCTGCCATGAAGGGAGATGCGCGCGAGGACGCCATCGCCGAAGAAATCATCGACATCTTTGAGGTAATTTCGATGGAGATCCACAAAGAGAGGCTCATCGGTGATGTGGTCAACTGGGTTTGAATGGAACATCATTGAATGACGGCATTCATCTCAGACTTCTATCGGGATGACGGTTAGGGAGTGTGATATTGATCTTAACATTTTATTAGTTTACAGGGAATGTATCAGTCTATCAAAGATAAGCATAGAAGCTCTTGTATACAAAACTCAATGCTCTCCGACAATAATCTGGTATCTCCTTCCAACTTCCCTCCATGTTCTCCTCAACAGCCCGAGCGATAATCTTCTCAGCTCTTGTGTGGGGAGGGGAGTCTTGAACCAATCTGTAATGCTAATGGCAAGTGTAATATCCTTGAGATTGTTTCCTCGCCCTCAGCTGGCATGATACCCACAAGCTTCAGCAACAAACTTGGGAAAGGACACGGTCCTCCTCCCGTGTCGAGTGGGTGAAGTCGGTGTACTCCGTACGGAGTACTCCTGCCCCCGTTGCAAGCTAGTGGGTCCGAGCCACTCATGATCGACATCAAAGCCTCATCGTCACTAACCGCGTTGCTACCTTCATATCCTTGGACTCCTTAATGGAGAAAGCTGGTTTTGTAGTGTTCCTGTCTTTATGTAATACTGGCTCCGTGGAGGCTCGCCCGCTTGGTCTGCACGGGCGCTATCTCATCGCTGATAAACGAAGATAATGCAAGTATGAGTCAAGATAAGCGTAGATCTTCAACACGAAACTATCCCGGGAAACTGTAATGTTCTCCAACGGTAAAAATCGGAGGTTCAGTGGAGTAAGAGAATTGAATTTGGCCGAGTATACTCCGCAGGTGCAGCAACGAACGTCGTAGGATCTATACTGGCGGCCAATTTTTGGTGGGTTCGACGATCATTGGGTCTAGATGGGATTTTTATTGAAAATGGAGCTGATAGTTTAGAAACAAATACTAGATACCCCAGATTCATTCAACAAAACCCCAAAATAGAGCAGTAGGGGGCCGTGGCATTCATATGACACGCCCTACCACGTAGAGCAGAGCACAGTTTCCCGGTCGGCGCAACAGTCCACTCAACGTTCGAGATTGCAATGCAACTTTCTTCACCGGTGAGTATCGGCCTTCAGAACAAAAATCTCTGCTCTCGTTCACTCAGAGAATTTGTTTTTGTCAGCTTACTTTTTCTTTCAATCCACACCCTCATGACTTCATCCTAAAATCAAATCACACCCCTTCCTACTGGCCCTGTGTGAAGACCGAGAAGGCATGGTGACCACGGCAAGGGTTCCACCATTACTTTCATCAATATCATGGTCGCCTCGGTGGACCGCGTCTACTAAGGCCATTTCGGTCCAGGTCAGCCCCGCGGGCCGACTCAAGCTAAAGACGCGGGTGCAGACGCGGCGATACACCGCGGCAGTGTGGCCCTCATATGGCACGACCACCCCCGTCCCAAATCACCACCAAACGCTTGCCCATTCCCCTTTCAGGTTCGAGACTGGCTACGCTTTATGTGCGAAACGCCCCTCCCGCCCGTTTCCCCCACCGTTTCTATCTCCGCCATCGTCGTCCTTTTCCGATCCCTTGACTACCCACTCCTTGAGCCAGGATAAGAGATTATCCGTGAAGGGCGAGCTGATCCGTGGCTTAAACAATGGAGACGATGCGGTTATCGTTGCCGAGAACTTTGTTGGTGTGGATGACGGCGTAGGCGCTTGGGCGACAAGACCTTGTGGTCATGCTGCGTGAGTGTTTCCCTTCCGCCCTGGTGGTGACCTTGTGTTTCTACGCACGAAGCCTTTTGTTCCCCTTCTCTTTTCTTCTCAAATGCTAATGATCATCCTGGTCGAATAGTCTTTGGTCCAGACTTCTCCTGCATTTCTGGGCTCTAGAAGTTGAACGCAGCCTGTCCGCATCGGCTACCCCCGACCCGGTTGAATACCTTCAATCAGCCTTCGAGGAGACTATCCGCGCAACGAGCACTCCAAATGAATGGCTAGGAACAACCACATCCGCCACCGCACTCCTTCATTGGACTACCGGAAATGATGGCAAACAAAATCCCCTACTCTACGTAACGAATTTGGGCGATTGCAAAATCCTCGTCATCCGACCCAGCGAAGAGAAAATTCTCTTCAGCACAACAGAGCAATGGCACTGGTTCGACTGTCCCCTGCAGCTTGGTACCAACAGCGTTGATACACCTCGTAAAGATGCGGTGATGACCAAGGTCGCTATACAGGAAGGCGACATCGTGCTAGCCGTGTCGGATGGCGTAATGGATAACCTATGGGAACACGAGGTTATGACCATTGTTCTAGATAGTCTCAAGAAATGGGACCAGGGAAATCCAGATACGGCTGAGCTGGCCTCGTCGAATTTGTCAAACGACCGCCTGGTCTATGTGGCAAGGGAAGTGATGAATGCTGCTCTGTCAGTTGCTCATGATCCATATGCGGAGAGCCCGTATATGGAGAAGGCGATTGATGAAGGGCTCGCTATTGAAGGAGGTACGTTTGGCTGCTGTCACCTTCAAAAACAAAAGACTGACTCTTCTTTCAGGCAAACTGGATGACATCTCTGTCGTGGTTGCTTCTTGTCACAAACGAGCTGGGTGATGAGTATCAAACCCATCCAGCACAAGACAACTTCCTATTATGCGATACAACTCGCTTTGAAACTCTACAAGATGCACCGCCCAACGTGAAGAGGACATGAGCAATTGTGGTTGTCATTGTCTATTCATACAAAACTCAGGTCTTCCTCCACTGTCGCCTTCGACATAACCTGCGTTTTCATACTTCCCACAACTCACGCCATGCCGTTGGGAGAGAACACCCACCGCGATGCCAGGTCTCTTATGTGTCCACGAACTTGTTATTCCCAGGCCTGAAGTCTTTAATTCCAGGTCCTTATCTATTACCGGGCTTCAACGCCCATTTACAGTTGATGTTAGATTCTAGCAGATACAAGGAGCAGGTCATCTAGACTGCTTTGCATGCGCACCAGCGTACTGGAGTACTTGGGATTTCGGGGGTTTCTAGCTTTTGTCTAGGAAGTCAATTTAATGAACAATAATAATAATCAGACAACGAACTTCACACAACAAGAATATCTAATAACACTATTATTGTAACCCAAGCACGTAGACTTCGTGGTCAGGGACTACTGTATAGTTCTTCATATCTCCACCATGTACTTCGCACGGACCATCACCGCCTCGCCCGCCGCCCGGCAAAATCAGAAAAAAGTTTCATTCGCGCATCACCGCAACGAAATCTCCGTAACTCCAACAATCCTTAATCTCAACCATTCACAATGAGGGCCAAACGTTCCAAGAAGTACCGCAAGCTCATGCACCAGTATGAGATGACATTTGGCTTCCGTGAGCCTTATCAAGTGCTCGGTACGTCGACTACAAAGCTGCCATCCAGACTCGAATGCTAACCCACCTCAACAGTTGACTCGAACTTCCTGCACGCTGTCGACCAATTTAAGATGGATCTGCTCCCTGCTCTTGAGCGTACTCTCCAGGGCACACCCAAGCCACGTTAGTACCCAAATCCAACCAATCGATTCAGCGATGCATACCGCAATCGCCAAGATGAGAATTGTTGGCACAGATAAATTAACAGCCATTAGTCCTCACAAAATGTTCTCTCGCAGCCATTATGGCCAAGCAACCTATCAATCCCAGAACCAACACACCCTACCGTCCCATGCATCTCCCCCCACCAACAATTCTTCCCCTCCGCCACTGCTCTCACAACGCAGAACACACCCCCATCGATGAGGTAGAATGCCTGCTCTCGCTCTTGTCGCCTAATGCCGAAGTTAAGAAGAACAAGGAGCATTACATCCTCGCTACTGCCGAGCCGCCATCAGCTAAGAAGAGTGACAAGGCAGACAACCCGGCACAGCGCAAGCGCAAGACCGAAGAGGAGCGTGAAGAGGAGCGCGCAATGCGCCGTTCTAAAGCTCTGCGCTTCGGCGCGCGCGCTATTCCCGGTGTGCCTATTATCTACGTGAAGCGCTCGGTGATGGTTCTCGAGCCCTTGAGCACACAAACCGAGGCTGTGCGTGATGGTCATGAGATGAGCAAGTTCCGGGCTGGACTGGATGACCCCGAGATTGGGGACAAGAGGAAGCACGATGGCGAAGGTGAAGATGGTGGCGAGAGAAAGAAGATTCCTGGCTTGAAGAAGGCCAAGGGACCTAATCCGATGAGTGTGAAGAAGCCGAAGAAGAGAGTCGAGGCCAATGCCGGTGGTGCAAAGAAGGAGCGGGTCGAGAGTGAAGCTGCCGAGGCCGAGGCCGAGGGTGAGCAGTTTGGTGCTGCTAAGACCAAGCGGAGACGCCGCCACAACAAGAGTGGTGACGCTGATGCTGCCCCGGTGGCCGAGGCTGAAGCGGACGCATAAATTGCGACTGCTCACGGTTGACATTGCATGATAATTATTGTCCACGGCATGGCGTTCGGATTGGGATATTCAGTTTAAAAAAAAGTTCAATAGTCCAAATGTACATGGAAGTTCACAAGCTCGAGAAGCTCATCGTCCCTTCAATTGCTCAAGGGCATCATACGATAACCTCTAGGTTTGAAACCAGTAGCTCCCGTCTCCATTGACCTTTTATGGCCCACTATATACACACACAGTCCGTCCAATATCGTACAAACAACCAGTTGGCCTCATTCTTTTACCGAGAAGAGAGTTTCGAAGCATAGAAAGAAGCAATTGACCGAACTCCAAACACCAAAAATGATCACGGCACATCGTAATACAACCAACGCTGCTTATTGCTTAGTACCATCCGTAGGAGCATCGGTAGAAGCAGGAGCAGCAGGAGTCTGAACAGCACTAGCATCCAGCGCCCGCTCCTTCGCCCAGATATCCTCAATCTTCCGTCGGTTACTGCGCGCGATATCCCGGTTGTTCTTTGCGCGGTCGTAGCGCTCTGCAGCAAGGCAACGGTTCACCTCACGCTTGACATCATTGCAGTTGCCGAAGACCTTCCACATGAAGCCACGGGCGTGGCACTCGTCAAGAGCCGTCATGATTTCCTCGCAGTCTAGTAAGGGCTCTAGTTAGTTTGCTGATCTGATTGGTTCAGGATTAAGTGATTAGTATGGCATTACGTACTGACGTTGTATGAGGTATGGAGGTGAGAATGCATGATGGCGGTTATAATCCAGCGCAAAGAACCAGCGTTATTGAAGAAATTTGTCTTATGAATCGTAAGTTCGAATCTCCAATAACTTGTTCATGGAGCAAATCGCAAACCCCGGGCGGTGAGAAGATCGGCCGCTTTCTGCCGGGCGGAAGACCCCTCAGCACACCGATAAAAAAAAATATCGCCGATAAAAAAAAACTGACTGATTGTTGGAGATTACTGTGATAACTTTTTTCACAATGTCTTCTATGATCACTACCACAGCCTGGGTGCGGCGCGGCGTCGCTGCCCAGTTTCCTACTAAGTATGAGATTGACGAGGAGGAAATGAACCGGATATCTAAGCTTGCTCGCATGCAGCTTGAGGATGCCAAGGAGGATATGAACGCTGCGCAGGGCGAGGATACTGCTATGGAGGAGGATAAGAAGGATGAGGATGTCATGGATGCCGCTGAGGAGAAGGAGACCTCCAAGGAGGGTACTGAGGCCAAGTCTACTGAGTAAGATCAGCTCGATGAATGATGCATTGATCAAAGCTAACCGACGTTCTAGTGATGATGATGTCCTTAAAGAGTTCGATCTCGACCACTACGATAGCGAGGAGGTTGATGAGGATGGAGAAAAAGTTACCATGTTCGGCAACGTCCAGTCACTGGCTTACCACCAGCCCAACGAGGAGGACCCGTACCTTGTCATTCCCGAGGACGAGGAAGATGAGGACCGCGAGGAGCTCCAGATCATGCCCACCGACAACCTACTCCTGGCTGGAAAGGTCGAGGATGAGGTTGCCCACCTTGAGGTTTACGTTTACGAGGACGCCGCCGACAACCTCTATGTGCACCACGACATCATGCTGCCCGGTATTCCTTTGTGCCTGGAGTGGCTCGATATGCCCGTTGGCAAGAACACCGAGGGACGCACAACAGGTAACTTTGTCGCCGTTGGAACTATGGAGCCTGATATCGAGATCTGGGATCTGGACGTTGTGGACTCCATGTACCCCAACGCTATCCTCGGCCAAGGCGGCCAGGACAGCGAGCGCAAGAAGTCCAAGAAGAAGAAGGCAAAGGCAAATGACGAGTACCACATCGACTCGATCCTGGCTCTAGCAGCCAACCGTCAGCACCGCAACCTGCTTGCCTCCGCCTCCGCCGATCGTACTGTCAAGCTTTGGGATCTCAACACCACCAGCTGCGTCAAGTCCTACTCCCACCACACTGACAAGGTCTGCTCGCTGGACTGGCACCCTACGGAGTCCACCATTCTGCTGAGTGGTAGCTACGACCGTACCGTGGTCGCTGCCGATATGCGTGCTCCGGATGCCAAGGCCCGCTGGGGCGTCGACTCCGACGTCGAGAACGTCCGCTGGGACCCTCACGACCCCAACTTCTTCTACGTCACCACCGACGGCGGACAAGTATACCGCTACGACGTCCGCAACGTCCCCGCCACCCCCGCCGAGTCCAAGCCCGTCTGGACCCTGCAGGCTCACGACTCCTCCGTCTCCTCATTCGACATCAACCGCACTATCCCTGGTTTCCTCGTCACCGGCTCCACAGACAAGGAAGTCAAGCTCTGGAATGTCGAGAACGACAAGCCCAGCATGGTTGTCTCCCGCAAGCTGGATGTCGGAAAGGTCTTCTCCACCGCCTTCGCTCCTGACGCTATGGTCAGCTTCCGTCTCGCTGTGGCCGGTAGCAAGGGTAACGTCCAGATCTGGGATGCTTCTACCAACGGTGCTGTCCGCCGTGCGTTTGTTTCCCGCCTGCCTGATCTCGAGGGTGAAGTGCAAGAACGTATGGTTGGTGTCAATGCTGATGGTGATGATGAGTCTGATGAGGAGGGTGATGCTGGTGTTGAGGCCGAGGCTCCTGGTCCTGATGGATGGGAGTCTATGGATGAGGATTAAATGATTTCGTCGAGGAACACAGATACCCGTGGAGTCCTGCTTTGATGTACACAAAAATAGATCTTTTATGTTTCTGATCACGCATGTTATTGATGACTATTGGCTCTAGCCGCCAAAATGGATATGTTTATTCATAGTTCACTACTCTGCGTATCGTATTTCGTCTGCCGGGGCTTTCCTATTCCATACGACGCCGCTTTGATTATCAGTCATTAATCAACGTCATATTCTAGAGTAGCTTAGTGTGAGCAATTAGGTATCTGGATTCGATGAGTGATAATGAGGTATAACCCTCAAAGGCATGGAGAGGCATTACGCGTATGCTGATACACCTGGGCAGCTTGCGGGTTGCTTGGAAATGTGAAAAGCAGGACAAAATGATGATATGAGCACTCACAGCAGGCCTTTTTCTAAAGTTAATACAGGATGTTATAGTTATTTCATGATATCAGCTACATTTGAATCTATATATCTGTGCAGGTTGTCCTAGCAGGGTTGTTTGATATATAATAGCTATCTCTTTTTTCGCCAATTGGATCTATCAGAAAATTGAAAATAAAAGGACTATCAGTAGCCTGAGTTGGAACATATCTTATTTCAGACAGTAATGGAATATGTCAAGGTGAAATATAAGTTACAAGGAACAGAAGCCCCTGGCCGTCTCCATTCGGAGCTCGGGAGAAAAGGAACGCGTCCTCTTAGAATAGAACAGAAAGAAGATAAAATCACATTAAATTACAAGATAGCCCGTAGCCGTCACCACAAAGGCCAAAAAGGAGCCCCAGATAGCTCTTTGAGATGCAGTACCGGTGAAGGCAGCAGCGGGGGCAGCCGAAGTATCAGATGAGGTACTAGCTGCAACGGATGCGCTGACTTGAGCAGTCCAAGCGGCTGAAGAAGGAATCATCGAAGATGAAGGCTTGGCTGCATGATGGAGTGTCGTGGAAGAATTCCATTCAGCCTCATGGCTCATATGCTTGTTGAAGCTGTTTCCATTGCCTGCGCTCGCTCCTTGCAATCCACTGGAAGCGCCAACACTGGATCCAGATTGAGAGGATGAAACCTCATCAGAGGAAGTAGTGTTAGTAGATCCACCAGCGGAGGAAGCACCAAGACTAGAGCCACTGGACTGGGTGGAAGAAGTCTCGACAGAGGTAGAATCATCTTCAGATCCAACAGCCTGCGAGGAAGGAACCTCGGCGGAGGAAGCTCCAAGGCTGGATCCACTGGTTCGGTCAGAAGAAGTCTCCACGGAGATAACATTGTCTCCAGAATTCTCGGCTGAGAAAGCGCTTGCCGGAACGGTGGGCGTGACAACGGTCGTGGTGACTGGGATGGTCGTAGGGCTGAAGAAGGTCACGGTACCCACAATAGTAGATCCATCCCGAATAGCGGTGTAGTCTGTTGTTTGAGTGACGATCTGTGTGTCGTAAACAACAATTGTAGTGGGACTATCTGTGTTTTGAGCATAGGAAGCCAGGTTTGTGACGGTCGCTGTAGCCCTTGACTCTGCTTCCTCAACAGGACAGACAGTGACATACGCTATCACGGTCTCCGTAGTCATGATAGTGACTTTCTGGGAGTCGACGCAGCTTTCCATTGAGGATGGGCAAATTGCAGTCGGACGGACATTGGTAGTATAAACCGTAGATGTGGTAAGCCTCTCGCCCGCTCCAGAGGGTAGTTCGGTGCCAATAGTCGCGGCCGTTGTGGTTGTCGCACTCGTTTCTTCTGCTGTGACAGGGCAGATTGTTGTGTACGCAGCCACCGTCTCGGTTGTGTAGTAAGTCATTCTCTCAGATGCTGGACAGTTGCGAACTGATGACGGACAGGCAGTGACTGTATGGATTTCGGTAGTGAAAACAGTCGAAGTGGTAAATGCAGCCCCGGCAGGCAAAGTATTTGGTTGTGATGTATGGGCCCCCACAGGGATAGCATCGGTGTTTGAGAGCGAGAGCGGAGTGACTGAGTTGCGCTCAGGACTTGTCGAAGAGCCCGCTGCTATTGAGGTCGAAACGGAACTGGCTGATAGCTTGGAGGAACCGGGGATAGAAGTGGGATTGACAGACGATGAAGGCAGGAGACCGAGTGGCGTAGAGGATGACGATGGTAGAGATACCGATAATGGATGCGAGGGCGATAGAGGGCGGGAAGCCGACGGATGGTGAGAAATTGATACAAGGTGGGATGCCGATACAGGATGAGAAGCCGAAGTAGAATGAGAGGCACGAGGCGCAGAAGAGCTGGGCACAAGGACAGAGACAGCTTTTGTCGAATATGAAATGACAGATGATGAAGAATGTTGAGTCGGGATTGCACTGCTCGAGACTGGAACAGATGAACTTTGGGACTGTATGACCGACGATGATTGTGGTCGGGGGATTGAAGATGATGACGCCCGTGCCGAAGAAGGCACAGGGTTGGCAGATTGAATGGATTGTGTCGACGCAATCGGCGTAGGGGAGATTGCCAGCGAGGAATAATGAGCGGTAATAGAGCTTGGTGCAGCGATAGACGCGACAGAAGAAGAGAAGCTTGCCACAGAGGTAGAATGAGCAGCACTGGAGCTTGCTGCAGCGGTAAATGCAGCAGGCGAGGAGGCTGTCTCTTTAGCAATGACTGGCGACGAGCTACTACTTGGAGTGCTTGTGACGATCGTAATGGTTGATACAAAGGTTGTTGTATATTCCACCACAGTCGTTTCAGTGGAAAGCTGGGTAGAAGAGCTTGTCACGGTAGCGGTGCAAGGATCCGTAGTATACCTTTCGATGGCAGCAAATCCTGAGCTACTGGTTGAAGTTGTTCCTGTGACGGTCCTGAATAAAGTGCACTGTTCTTGATTCGACTGGAAATCGGCAGCTGTGCAACCAGCGCTGTATATGGAACAGAACTCTAGGCAGAGATAAACATCCACAACACCAACTATTGTCATATATGGAACTCCCACAAGGGCAGATGTGGTACACCACTCACTCCAGTAAACTCCATTTCTGGAATATACAGAGTTGGTACACCCTGCGGCACCAATAGAAGTGCCTGCAGTACACGTGACTTCAGTAGTCGTTACTGGGAGAATACTAGTGACAGTATTGGTGACGGTCTCTGAGTAGGTCGAGGTAACAGTGGTGAGCGACGTCGAGCTAGCGGCCTTGAACTCAATCGCGGATGCACTCTGTGCCAATGATACCAAGGCCAAAGACCAGGCCCATGCACCAGATTTACCCATTGCCAATTGCGAATACGAATGGCAGGCAAAAAGGCCAATTGAATTCGTGAAGAGGGACAAGACAAAAGGAGATGGAAGGGGAAGATGCAAGGATCTATTTAAGCCATGGCATCCACATATAGAAAATCAATAGTCTACATACTCTGTATCACCAGATCGATCTAGGCGCTGCGATTCGTCGAGTGTAGTGGAGTCCAGCAATGATGGCTATTTTGACCGAGCAGAAGATGTTCATAAAACTAACCACGACCATCGAGATTTTTCCACTATTTTCATCTTTTCAATCTTTTCAGTCCTCCATATTTGATCGGATTTAATCAAGATATCTATCCTCACAACCGGCTTCATTGCATAGCTTGAATAGGAGGTAAAGGTAGAAATCAATATTCTGAAGAAGTGGGTCCGGTCATCGCCGCGAACCAACAATTTCGGGCATAAGATAGCGAGGTGGCTAAGCTTTGGAGCTGAGGTCTGCCAAGCATGGCGGGGCTCTGGGTGGGGACTCACACGTGAACTTGTTTCCAAATATTCCGTGCTGTGCGAGTCATTCAACTGCAAAGGGGTCATCTCGCAACGTCTCAATTACGACGTTTTCTCGCTTCTTTTTTCCAGTATGGAGCGCGGTAACTGACCACCATGAGATTGATTAAACATCCTCACTAACCGCATTTGAAATAGCGCAGTAATTGAAATGCTATCTCAAGTATCAAAGGACATCGCATCACCTCGCCCAATCCGCGTCAGTATATGAGATAACGCTGTATTAGAGCCATGGTGTAAACTTAAAAAAGCAGTTTAATGTATATCATATCACTCTTTAGTGACCTTCAGATTCTAGCGTAGTCTACAGAGTAACGATGGCAAGTAGGTACTTGGGTATGTGCTCAACGATATTACTCTCCGAACCTTGAATACTGCGCTACTTGGGACACGGTTAGTGGGGGTGTTTAAATAGTCTTATGATATTCAATCAAAAAGCTCCTTCAATACTAATCAAATGCACTTGCAAAGATTGCTCTCGCCCTATCATTGGAACTAAGTCTTAGAAACTCTACATATCAACACGCGCTCGAATCATATGTGCCAGGAAAAATGACAGAGCACACAACCTTAGATTCCTGTGGCAATCGGAGTCGCCTTTTATAACGATACGTAACCCACCCTCCAGTCTCGTCGAAACCATATCCCACAGGCACTGTGGGACCTATTTTACTAGACGGCAGTCACGACACCATAGATTATCTCGGCGCTAGGACAATCGATCGTCGCCGCCAAGGTACTCCGTACATCTAGTATATCATAGACCAATCCAGTTATCAATCATTCTATAACCATTTCGCATGCATTTATTCTGTCTCAATTATAAGAAAAACTAGCCTTCTCGCACATGACTCATGACTCATAAGTTTGGTATTATTCCTCAAATCCAACACCAGGACCGTGACTGTTCTTCAAAGCATGATCATAGTGTCTGGCAGCATCAAAATCGGCCCGATCTCTCTCTTCCTGGCTCATATGGGGTTTCTCATGGTGATGGTGGCCATGGGCGTGCTTATCTGTTATCTATTAGTAAATGATACTCTTTTCCTCTGACAAGATTAAAATGATCATTACCGGCGTGAGTATCGGGCTGCTTGGCATGTTCTCCGTGCTCGGTAGGCTTGTTCTTATCTTGGTGGTGGATATGCAGGGCATCCTCGGCTTTGTGCAAGATTCCAGACATTGTGATTGTGTAGGATGATATGGATATTCGAGTAATTTGTGTTTTATTTGAAATTGATTGAAGGGCGTTCGAACGTTGTTATTTATGAGTGGGGGTCAACGGGGAAGATATATATGTTAACATTTGGAGAAGTAGGTACAAGTAGCTAAGGGCTATGACGTAAAGTGGCCTGATGCTGGACAGTACGTATACTATTGTTTAGATCATGAACTAATGATGCACCGATCGGCCACCCAACTCACCAAAGATATTTGGTTTGCTATCTTGATCATTTTATTCTTCTTCAACAAGCTTCATGGCGCTTATCGGAGAACTTCTGAGCCGACTTTCGGAGCTTTCAATTATGATTCCCGAGGACAAAAGGAAATCATAGAGCAATACGTATCGCATGGAATAGACATTTTCCTTGACCTTGATAAGACAATGGGTGATATCATAGTAAGAGTGGAGCCAGAGCGTAAATCCGGTTGTCCGGGGGCCGACATAGCCGATTCATTTTCACGATAGGCGGTGAGAAAGTTATACACCGCCTACCTATTTTATGATACGTCTTGGTTAAATGAATACATTCATATCTATAGAACTCTGTTGATATCATATCAACGTCATAGTAAACGTACAACTATCAAACCCCTTATTGGACTTAAAGTGATTATCACTCTAACCACTATTCAACAACCCTATTGCACCTACTCTACCACGGTACCGGTATCACCTACTCCACCTATTTCGCAACCAATTCCACTATGGAACCACCTTCTACACCTCGTCCTTCAAAGCACCTTACGCGTGACCAGCGCCTCCGTGTCCTTTGCCTTGCCGGAGAGGGCTATACATACAGTCAGATCGCTTCCCGGCTTGGTTGTACAAAAAATCAAGTTCGCTATACAACTGTTTCCCAAAAACCTACACCGAAGAAGAGCTCAGGCCGGAAGCCGAAGCTATCCAAAGAGCAGCTAGATTCTACCATTGAGTGGATACGATCAAGCTTTGATAATCGGGCCAAGTCATGCAATCAGATAGCTGCCGAGCTTCATCTGCCTGTCTGCGGTGAAACCCTTCGAAAGGCTCTCAAGAGCCGGGGAATGGAAGCTCATCCAGCTGTTGTAGCACCAGCTGCACCACCGTTTCAGTTCAGCGGGAAGAATGATCTATTTAGTCGACGGGTGCTAGATTGAGAGGATTTTACGACTGACGATTATTGTAATTATATTGTCTACCAATGAAGCTTTATCCTCCAGAGAATGAATCGAATCGAATGAAAGACTGGGTATCGGTACTCAAGGAATGCCATATTGAAAGGTCCGTGAGCTTGTGTTGTGAGCTCATGGACTATCTCTAGAGATTGAATGTAAATCTACTGTACGCCTAAGCGTGTTGTGGAAGCCTTTGAAGAAGATCCACATGTAAGGGGTATATCTATACATACTGTATTTTACTACTGTAATTAAATACCATAGCTGGCAGAATAAAAGTGGAGAAGTGAATGGAGGGATAATGGAGCAGCGGGGATGCTGGCCAACAACTTGAATGTGGGGATGGAACGTCATTAGGGATGAGCATCAGGCCAAAGGCCTGTACATCTTCAGCTCGTCATATTAGAGATGGCGAAGGACTCTTCAAATTGTTTCCTATTTATGCGGATAAGGCCGAAGCCGGATAATCCACATGTTACATGAAATTGAGGCCATCTGTATTGCTATCTGTAAATTGGGCCACGTCAGCTTTTTCGCAGAAATCTATAGAAGGGAAGAATGACTGAAAAGGGAAAGGCCGATTGGACTTAGCGGTGTACAAATTTAACTCTAAACTCTTAAACTGCAACAACTTTAATTGAAGATCATAGTTGACTTACTGTATTGGACCTACCCTAGGGGCGATCTTGATTGCGCTTACTCGTTGCCGCGATCGTACGAGTTCTAGACCATGGTCGGTGTCTTAAATCATTCTGCATGAAACATATTCAAGGGCGACATTATTAGATGTTATTGAAGCCATGAGTCGGCTAGGTGGCACATCTCTACCAGCCATCCTTAATAGCCCGCCGAAGAGTTGGATGGCGATATCCACAAACTTGAGCGAGCATACCCGGTGGTAGTCTACTAACAGAAAAACTCTAGCTATTCGTCTTAAAGTTTGGGCACTAAAAGCGGAGGATCGCCGAGCTAAGCCCCATGGCTGTTTCGAAGCGCAACTTGAAACACTTTCTATGGGTCCCCCCTGAGTACAAACATCCCCAAAAATTAGTTACCACGACAGCTTCATTCTCGGTATTGATCATAAAGAGAAATTACCTTGTGTCAGATATAAGTTATTGGCTTTCTAATTAGATCAAATCCCGAAGATGAGCCGTGGCTAAAATCTATAAGAGGGCACTGTGCTTTCTCGAGAAATCCGCATCAGCATTCACTACACAATCTCAAAAAAGCGACACCTGATCCAAAATGAAGTTCACCACCTTCTTCGGCCTTGTGGCAGCCCCTGTCATGGTCATGGCCACCGTTGATCCATGCACATCCAACACAAAGGGATACAAGCCCGAAAGCTTGAGCTGCTCTGGTAAATGCAACCATTATGCACCATTCCCACTCAATGCTGCTATGTGCTAACCTTTCCTCGCAACTAATAGCCTCTGCGGTCTCGACTGCCATCCAGGCCGCCGAGTGCTCCCACAACACTCGCGTCTCCGGAACCCAGACCTTTGCCGTCTTCGAGACTGATCACCAGTACGATGATGATACCGGTGCTCCCTACGGTACCTGCAGCGCTTACACCTGCACCGCCCCAACCAGCGATGAGTTGGAGGAGAGCTCGGACTACTGGATCTTCTACTGGAGCGACGAGGGAGAGGACAGCGGTGTCGGCACTGGCTGCATCAAGGATCCCCAGACTGGAGACTGTGGCTGTGAGGACTCTGATGGAACCTTCATTTCTGGCAGTGACAGCTGCACTTAAGGCGTGCTTTGCCCTTGCATCTGGTTCACGGCTACAATGGGAGAATTGGAGGTATTTCGACCACTATGTTTTCCACTTCTTTTTGTGAATATTTAGAATCGTCCTTCGGGCTGAGCCTGGAATTACGACGCCAAGAAAAAGAATCGTATGAGTGAGAATACGCTGGGTGCTTCTAGAGCTCTACTGTCGTGTCTTGCTGATACAATGCTTCTGGCCATTTTATTTTGATATCTTCCCGAAGCTCGAATATTTCGCCTAGAGTGGAAACCTACTGTAAAAATGGCCTCCTGCTTAGATCAGCCCTAAAGTGCGCTTACAAGCAGGATAGGTACAATGTGCGAGGTCGCCCCGTTTCAACATGACTATGGGCTACTAGTAAATCCTGCAGTGAAAATTTTTGTAATTGTTCTAATGGATCTGTCTCGCAATGCATTAAATAACAAATATGTAAATGGTATTATATCTTTCGTCGAACACCAAACACCGTCCCAGCCCATCTAATTAGCCTCCCGGGCATGCACCAAATTCGTCAAATCAAGAAGTCGGTTCGAGTATCCCCATTCATTGTCATACCATGCCATGATCTTAAAGAACTATAGATGAATTAGCACATTGTTATCTTCTCAAACGATGACTAGAGCATACCTGAGGGTTGAGCTCTGCACATGCGGGAGCATCAATGATAGCGCTATAAGGGCTGCCGTTGTAATCACTGCTAACCAATTGCTCGTCCGTGACTCGAAGGACGCCAGCCATATCGGACTTTGCAGCCACACGGAACGTGGAGATAATTTCGGCAAGAGAAGTGGGCTTTTCGGTGCTGACTGTGAGATCAATCATGGAGACGTTGGGTCTGGGTATGTTAGCTTGCGCTTTGTTATTAGTTATGATAGGGTCATTGACTCACGTAGGAACACGAATGGAGACACCAGTGACCTTTCCTTTCAACTCGGGCAAGACAGATGCGACGGCCTTGGCGGCACCGGTGGTGGTGGGAATAATATTGTTGAAAACGCCACGTCCTATGAGAAATTAGACACCGTAACCTTTATTGTCGAAGAGGAGTTCTTACCAAGACGAGCGTTCTTCTTGCTGTACCCATCCAGGACCTGCTGAGATCGGGTAGCGGCGTGAATTGTGGTCAAGAAGCCCTGAGTAATGCCAAATGACTCTTGAAGAACCTTCAAAACAGGAGTAACACAGTTGGTTGTGCAGCTGGCGTTGGAAACAACACGGCATTCTTCGCTGGACTTATAATCATCGGAGTTCACACCATAGACAAAAGTAGGTGCGTCTGAGCTAGGTGCGGAAATGAGCACACGCTTGGCGTTACCATGGGTGATGTGTTCCATGGCAAGGTCTCGCTTTGTGAACTTTCCGGTGCATTCGAGGACGTAGTCAGCTCCCACGGAGGCCCAGTTGAGCTTCTTCAAGTCACGCTCAGATGTAAGAGCAATCCGCTTCCCATCGATGGTGATCAAAGCATCTGACACAATCTGGATGTCGACTCGGTCGTCCAGGTTGCCCATTGAGGAATCATAGCGGATAAGATAGACGAGGTCTTCGACGGTGACGCAAGTGTGGTTGATCGCAACAACCTGGATATCAGATCGGACGAGAGCAGCACGGAGTACATTGCGACCTATGCGAAGCTATTTATTAGCTTGTGTTGGGATTGGATAGGCTGTTTAGGTCTCGTACCAATACGACCAAAGCCGTTGATGCCGACATTACAAGCGGACGGCAGGGTTGTTTGGCCAACAGGCACGTCGTTGATTGAAGGAGCCATGACAATGTGATTAGGAAAGAAGGGGGTATTCAAAAAGATTCTTTCATAAAATGTATCTTTTGAGAGATTTAGCTTAAGATTTATTCTACTATCTAAAGAAATTTTCACGAGAATACACGAGCTATCAGTATAGTCCAGACCACACTTAGACCCATCGCCATGTCATAGAAACCCCTCTAACCCGAATTATTCCGCCTAGACACGGATCCTGATTCGGCTTCGAAAACGTCGCCCAGCCAAACGAGATAACAATGAGGAATGATGCCGTCTCTGCCTTAGATTCAACGTCAACCGAGACCCGTTCGGCGGTACCGCATCGGATATCCGGTTGCTATGGATCCATCGGCAACCAATAGCGGCGTCTTATCGCCCCGAAATTCCCGCTTCCACTTCCCGAGCTACGCGGTCATGGCCACCTCCGCCTATAAACGCGACTAACAAGCCTTGTCTGCTCGGCTGTGCCACTGGGTCTGATGGGGCTGGGTCGACTCCGGGGTAAAAGTAGCGATTTTCGGAGGATTTTGCCCCAGATGTGAGCGATCCATTGGTTCTTGTTTAGTGCTCGGCGTCAGACTGCGCCAGGGACCACTTTTCATGTCTAGGATCAAGTTCGTGGGTCCTTATGACATATTAATGCGTTGTGATTTGCGGAAGAAAACTATTCCCGACCTTGTCCTCCTCCGTATCGGCATTCCGATGCGTGGTTTTGTGATGCCGCAGCCTGCCAAGATTCCGGTCTCGCCGATCTGATTGCCGAAGGGTACTATTAATGGCTATTTCGTCTTTGAATACGGCAATTCGAACAGGTTGTAGATGTTGTGAAAACAATTTGTTGGGTATCAACTTCAATGTCTACCCTCGTCACATTCATCAGCAGCCCGCGGCCTGAACTTCAGGGCTCTGAACAGATGACTGACTCCTACAGAATGGATCGATATCAAGTCCCACCTAATGGCACCCAGGGTCTTTCTCTTATTAACGAAATGAGGAGATTGCTTGCTCCAAGAGAGTCTATATCAACACCTCATTTCTCCTTTTCTCCATCCCCAATTCGCCAAATCCCCATTTCCAAAACACGACGTTGTGCCAGGAGCAACAGATGAGTCAATTCGAAATAAAAACGTTTCCAGCCTCGCACCTTACAACCACAAATCTATAAGCAGTTCGCCCACTTTATACCGCCAGAAGGCCAGTCACTCTCCGTATCAGCATCCAGCTAGACTTCTTCCTGTTTCTTCGGGTGCATAAGACCCACGAGACCATCACTATGGCTGTCAGTGGGACTGCCGCCGCGAAGTAGATCCATAAGCTCATTGCAACTGTTCCGTCTGACTTTCCCTCTCAGTCAAAGAAAGACATGCTAAAGAAAGACTGCATCGAATCAATCACATCAGGTGTGTCAGTTACAAAGACATGAGATTCAAAAACGGGAGGCTCTTACACAAGCAAAAGTCGCCGGGAGAAAGACTCAAGTCATAACGGCACTGGGCTTAATTGAAGAGCTATCGCGCATCCTGGTTTCGGCAATCTTCGCAGACTCCTTGGCGAGGCATGGAAGCTAGCTCATGTGGAACCGCTTCGAGGGATAAAATGGCCTAGTCTGACGGCAAAGATCTGCCTATCCACCAAACTCAAGCTCAGTTCTCGATCTAATATTACAGCGCTCCACGGGTACTACAAAACTACCAGCTTACCTAGTCTAGGCGAATCAAGCAGATAGGTACATAATACAGCTTCAAACTTTGACTATCTCTGCTTCATAGTATGATATAAGATCCATCAATTTTATATACCTGTACACTCTAATCCACCGATCCTACTTTTATCTATTTGGAACCCAATTTCTTGATCTCAGCCACAACAGCCTCCGTAACCTCCTTAGTAGAAGCCTTTCCGCCCAAATCGCGGGTCAAAATTCCCTGCTCACAGACATTCTCAACACATTCCAGAAGCTTCTTCGATGCCTCTTCCTCGCCCAGCCATGCAAGCATTTCAGCAGCAGTCCAGAAAGTAGCCACGGGGTTAGAAATACCCATGCCAGTGATGTCAAAAGCGGAACCGTGAATAGGCTCAAACATACTAGGGTACTCGCGAGTGGGATCAAGGTTAGAAGTAGGAGCGATACCAATAGAACCAGCCAGCGAAGCAGCAAGATCGGAAAGAATATCAGCGTGCTAAATATGGTAAGCAAATATTTATCCAAGTTTTGGGCTTGTACTCACCAAATTGGTAGCAACGATGGTGTCCAAGCTCTCAGGCTTCAACACCATACGAGTGGTCATAGCATCAACAAGCATTTTGTCAACAGTGACATCCGGGAAATCCACAGCAACGGCCTTGGCAACCTCATCCCAGAGAACCATACCGTTGCGCTGAGCATTGCTCTTAGTGACAACAGTCAAGAGCTTACGAGGACGCTTCTGGGCAGTCTCAAAAGCGAAGCGCATAATTCTCTCAACACCGTGTCGGGAGAAGATGGAGACCTCGGTAGCAACTTCCCAAGGCTTGCCTGCGTGAGAGCGACCACCTTGACCGGCATATTCGCCTTCACTGTTCTCACGGATAATAACCCAGTCAAGGTCACCGTCTTTGCAGTTGCGCAGAGGTGACTCAGTGCCGCGGAAGACTCTTGTTGGGCGAACATTGGCGTATTGCTGGAAAGGTTGGCAAATAGCCAAGCGGAGACCCCACAACGAGATGTGATCGGGGACGTCTATTGACTGTTAGCTTTGCTGTAATACCGATTATCTGTATTTTGGTTTAGAATTTTTACCGGGTGCACCAACGGCGCCGAAGAAAATAGCATCGTGCTTCTTCAGCTCCTCGAGGCCGCCATCGGGGATATACTTTCCGGTCTTCTTGTATGTCTCTGAACTCCAGTCATAGTTCTTGAAGTTCAACTTGAATGTCTGAAGAGTATCCGTCAAGGCATTCAAAGCGGTGATACCAGCTTCGATGACCTCAGGGCCAATACCATCAGCCGGGATAGAGGCGATATTGTAGGTCTTTCCCACGGCAGAGGGCGACATTTTGATTGGAGATAGTATGTAAGTTTGAACTAAATATGGAGAGGGGTGAATACTTTGTGTATGCGGGGGGTTTATGGCTTTTTGTTTCTAGCTCTGTCAATCACTTCTGGGTCTTGATGGAGACCAAATTTAGTGTCCCCCTCATCCCTAATACATTTGGCCAATGAGGTCTCACGGGAGGCTCTCTCGGAGGTTTCTAAGTCCGGCGGGTTCTGCCATCCTGGAGTGTTGAGGGCGGGGGTCTTCATCTCCGGGGACCCACCAGGAGAAAGACATGTCCGACGCGTGCAGGTTTGAACAAGAGGCAAATCTTTATCCAGTGATAAGTTTAGGTGAATCTAATTGGCTAAAAGATTTATATATACAAGTACATGTTCATAAACAAAATGGCGCGTGTTCCTACTTCCAAGGTGTCGCATTCACCCTTGGCTTCACTGTCACAATGGGCGCTTCCAAGATACCCGCAGAAGACATTGACACTATCTTGAGTCACATTATACCACATATCAAACAACATATCACCAAACAATCAACATGTCCAACCAAATCTCCCTTCGTCCTTGCCCTAACGGGTCTACAGGGCAGCGGCAAATCCACATGGACCGATGCGCTTGCTAGCACTCTCGGCAACAAACACAATTACAAAACAATCAATCTCTCCTTGGATGATCTATATCTCGACCATGACGATCTCACCAAGCTTCGAGAAACAAATCCATCTAATAAGCTCCTTCAAGCGCGTGGACAACCCGGAACACATGATACAACTTTATCGGTATCCTTCTTCAGAAGTCTGATCGACTCAAAAGAGATATCGATTCCGTCTTTCGATAAGAGTTTATTCAATGGAGAAGGTGGAAGAGCCCCATCACCTCAATGGGAGACTAGAGCCACACGCGACATTGATATCGTTCTTTTCGAAGGGTGGTGTGTTGGGTTTCAGCCTCTTGCCGAAGAAAAGGTCCAGTTGCGATGGGAAGAAGCGGGGGAAGCTACATCTGGGCCAGCGTATCCGACAGATACACTGAAGGAACATGCTGTTGAGCATCTTCTGGGTATGAATAAAAGCCTTCGACAATACTGCGAATTATTCATGGGGCCGAAACATTTCAATTACCTGCTTCATTTGGATACGGATGACTTGGTCAATGTGTATGGATGGCGTATGGAACAGGAGCGTGCTCTAAGGCAGTACAAAAGTGCAGGTATGACTGATGATGAGGTTCTCAAATTTGTGAGAGGATATATGCCTGCATATGAGCTATATCTGAATCAGTTGCGAAAGGGATTGTTTGCTGGTATAGAAGGAAAGGGGCAGTTGTGTGTAGTTTTGGATCAGGGAAGGAAAATAATCGCGATAAAGTCTGTCGCATGATGTGCTACTAGAACCAAGCGGTACTTTCCTGGACTGCTGCTGTAGAAAAGTTCATCCACCCTGATCTAAGAAGTGTTATAGTAGATTGCCATCAATGATCCATGGGCCGTCTGCCACACTCCAGAGATCATTCATGAAGAAAGATGCATCGGAGAAGGGCTGAGACTCCTGACTTATATTCCCTGGGTAAAAATTGGCATTTGGGTTTGCCATGTTGCCAAAAATAAGACCAGCCGAGGTCTGACCATTCACTGAATACGCATCGAACGAGGGCAAGTCGATTGCGTGGCCTTGAGTATCATGTGGGATGAAAGCGGAGGCAGATGGCTCTCCAGGATTACGCATAGCAGGATTTGCCGGTGTTCCGATCCTTTGTGCTCTAGTTGAAGATGGGGCAGGCGGAGATGCATGTGGCCCTTGGTCATCGGAAGGGGCGAGTGATGCATTCTCTCCCACTGGTCGACGAGGTGTGACAGCTGCCGGAGATCCGCTTTGATTTCGTGTAAGACCCCTGTCGTTGGCAAGCGGGACAGATGATGCTTCTTGAGAGCCAATATTCGAGAGCAAAGCCGACTCCATACTTCTGATCGCCTCGATACATGTCTCTGGCCAGCTACTTCCTCGAAGGGCAAGATTTTCCAGCACAGAAGTACCCATCCTCGCATACTTTAGAGCTGTGGGTACAGGGAGCTCGCCTTCCCATGATGCATACATCAATATGAGGCATGCCATCCATGTTATCCAGGTAAAAGACGGCCATGCCAGGGGAGCATCAGATGATGAAGACATATACTTTTTCAAGGCAGCAAGCAAAGACCGCGAAGAGCCAATGCATGTCTGTAGGGCATTCTTATAGTCGGGGTTGGGTTTCTCAGCAGCGAGAAGAGGCCTGTTCATAGAGATGATTGCTTCCTGTCTTAAAACCATAAGCAAAAGTCGGTGGTACGGAGCGAGGACCGGATTTTGTTCAAGGTTGGCCTCTGAAGTGTCCTCAATTGGGTTGACATCATCATAAACTTCATTCCACCATTGAGACAGTTCACCATTGACATGTGATGCCTCGACCGTGCCAGCATGGCTATGCAAAATGGACTTGTTACGCAACTCCAGGATGAGCCCTCTGATGCGGGCAAATTTGGCAAGATGACCCATTAGCTGGAGGCGGCCGAAATCATGCTGACGGGGTGAATCAGCATGTCTTTCAGCTCCGGGATAGCAAACATCAATATCATCGTCTCGAATGCTGAGAGGTACTCCAAGAGCTTGGGATAAATACCGCTCAAGGGAGTATATTGACCAAAACAGACGCCGGCGGATGTCAGCCTCTTCACTGTTAAAGCAGGCAAAGCGGCCGGGGCATCGATGAAGACCCAAGTGAAAAGCAGTTCGGGTAATGATACCACCCACGCGAGAGGCAGCATTGAGACGTAGTAGGGATGTTATGGTGAGCTGAGCGGTAAATGCAGCCTGCAATAGTGGGAGCGTGGTTGGCTCTGCTAGCAAGCTCTGTATCTCTTGCATTATGTGCTGCACACTTTGGAAAACCAAAGGGGCAGGGATTGGCCCCAATTCCGATTCAGGAGTCTGGACTTGTCGACTATCCGCCATTGATATCGAAACAAGACAGCGGATGACCATTAGGTCCAGTCTATTGAGCGAGTCCAAGCCATGACGAGCAAGCGTCTCCAAAGTCTTCAAAACCGTTGGTGCATGGAGACAAGGGAAAATCGGATGCCAGTTTTCGAAGTACCGACGGGTCCAATGAACAAGATCCTCAAAGGAGAAGGTAGCGGGAGGCGAAAGGTTTAGTTCCTCCTTGGTCCATAGCTCGTTGGTGTCCTGGTAACCAGGGTCGCGCAGCAAGCGATCATCTTCTCCTGGCACTGAGCTCCTATCCCGAGCTCTAGTTTGCTTTAGATCCGCTGAACGGCGGGCAAAGGCGCTATATACATGCCGAACAAAGTGGATCCCGCTGGAGCTCCCAAGAAAGCTGGCAGAGCCGTCGTCCTGGGGCTCCCTCATATAACCGATCTCGCGAGGGGACGGTTTCGAAGCACCTGACGTTGAGGCTCGCTTGTATCGCTTGGTGGGACGAGGACCATACTGCCAATCTGACTCGTCTTCTAGGCGGGTGCTGAGTGACGACGGAGAAGCCATCCTATGGTCTTCGCTTCACATTTTCTAAATGACGCCAAAGCGAATATGCAATGTTGCGCGAAGCAAGTTGGGTTGCTTGGAGACGGCCACTGTTGATTATATAAGCAAGTATCTCCCAGACTTGAATTTGGCTTGTGTTGTTGTCTGGTTTGTATTATATTGACAGCAGTTTTATCTCACCGGAGCGGATGGACGTGAGCACTGTGATATAAATTTGTCTTGGCAACATGCGCCTGTCTAGTCCGACATGGTGACAGATCGATGTTGGGGCACGTGCCGGAAGCCATCGGAGGTTTCTTTGTCCGGACGGAATCTGCCATTTTCTCTCTTCACACCGTATAGGCCGAATTGGCAAGGGCCAGATTGGCGTGCAAAGTACTGATACATTATTTGAAAGTTGACTCAAATATCAGAACTCGGTATTGGCTAATGCCCAAATGGGCTATTGCGCCGTGAACGAATTCCAGCATCAGATAAGATGTCAGGTACGTACCCAACCGACCACAGAAATGAGAATGATTGGCTCATATTGATCACCCGACATGTAGCAAATGATAAAATAAGTTCAATCTCATGTGAGACATGCAGACAACGAAAATGCAAAGTTGGTTTCGTGAAGATCTAGATCTGGAGCACTACTGACTAGGTTATAGTGTGACCGCAAACTGTACGCCCAGAGGAACCTTGTTTGACTTTGAGAAACTGATATCAGTATCTAACTCAAACCTTTGCCTGTATCCTTGATAGTCCTTGCTGTTCACAGTGCTCGCATGAACCATCAAGATGTGTGTACCCAGAAAGTGGCAAAAGGTGAATTCCTTCTAGGTGACACCCGAGACGAAAGCTAAGCATTTACAGGGGCTTGCCCCTCGGATATCTCAACCAGCTTGAGCAAAGACTAGCCGAAACTGAGGCGGCTTTGTACGGCGCGTTGGTCACACTTCGCGCCGTGAGGCCATCGGCAGTGGTCCAAGCTTCTGCAAAGGCAGATGGGCAAAGGCAAAAGTCAGGGCGCATGGAGGAGTGGGCCCAATATCCTTTACAAGACTGGACCGGCATAGCGCACTGGATGACCGCAGTATCTAACCAATACACGGTGGAAGAATACCCGATTGGGCCATTTGGAGAATCCGGGGGGCAAATGTATCAATGTATGACCTCTCAGAATAGCAGCAAAGCTCGGAGCCCTGCAGATGGGGAAATTTTTGAATCGTCGGCTTACACAGGGCAACTCCCGGGCGACGATCATACTCGGCTTTTCCATGACATCCATATTCGCCCTCGGAGAATGAACTTATCAGGAAATTCGCAGGATGCTGTGACCGTGGGGTCCGGCGATGTGGCGACGGGCGCAAGTGCAGAGTCTGCTGGCATTAGTGACATGGGGGCCTTTCATGAAGACCAAACAAGAGGAACAGAGCAGTCCAAGGCAGACGAGCTATCGAAAAGTAAATCCAGTATATACTTTTGACCGCAAAACTTCTGCAATGAATATGTCCCATCCTCAAATTTGAGGATCGCATTGTGATGGGGTCGCACTTAACCTGCGACGGACTAAATTAACCTCCGGTCGCATGTTTCATCATTCCTCAGAACACGAGTAAGGATGAGAATGAAGGCCGAAATAATAATCAATTATGAGGGTGAGGCCCGAAATGGTAGGTAATCACATAGCTTTTTAGTTCCTTTGACTGTGCGTTGTCGTGATCAGAGAAGGATCTTGAGGCCCGACCCACTTGACTCGGTAACAGTGGAGGCCCAGCGTATATCTACGAGATTTTTAAGATTAACGAGCGGGGCCCACCTCAGCCCACCAAACTCGAGTGACCCACGAGCGAACCCCTCACAGGTCCATCGAAAAGCACCGCTCGCAACCACCAGGTTCAATCAGGTGCAGCAGCCCTGCATCTCGAAGCGCCGGTCGCACCAGGATCACGCCGGCGGCATCGGGATGGGTCGGGGCACGATTTGATTGGCTTTCATGCATTATGCCGGCCGTGCCTGGGACCTGGCGATCCGTCGGTCTTGCGGAGCACAGACTGCTTTTAGTTTAGGAACGGCTGGTAGTGGTGAAACGGACCCCGGGAGACTCGAGTTCGGGGCTGTTTCATTCCTTTAGAGCAATAAAGCGCAGAGCATTGTTGCATCACAAATCTCATTGCATGCTCCCTTTGATCGGTTCTTTTTTTCGGATGATTGGGTCGGCCTTTATGTACGTAGAGACCCGAACAACTCAGTGTGACCCTAGGGTCTGCATTAGCATAACACGTCAAGCGCTTTTTTCCTGCCCAAGGGAAGCATGACTTAGCCCCCCATGACAACCTCCGTTAAAGCGCCCCTTCCAGGCACGGACAATGGGGCCGTGGCCACCTTTTCGGACAAAGGCGATGGCGAAAAGAACTGGGACAAGTGGACCACCAGTAAAACTGTAAAAGAAGAATGGAGAGACAGAAAAATTGGAAAGAACGTGTTCGCCACGACCCTTCAAGGAACAAATAATAGTGGTGGAGTGGACTCCAGAACACAGACGAACCTTGGTACGGGAAGTAAGTGGGAACGTTTAAGTGGTGTTGGAGGTGAATGATTGGAGTCCAAACGGTAAGCGCCCACGGGAAAACACAGTTTACAAGTCCAGACCCTTGCCTCTTCTCTTCTTCCCCTTCTCTTACTTCAGGGATTTCCTTCATTCTTTCCCTTCCCTTCATTTCTGACAGTCCTGATAATATTGATCTATGATCTGTGATCTGTGATCCTGGACTCCTTTTTTTGACCTCATTCCCTAGGTTTTTTGACCACTTTACCATTTTTGTACCCCTGGCGCGTCCTGGCTGTACGCCCCTCATTCATTCCCCTAGACTCAGGGAAACAAAAGAGACTGAACGTCTGCTATTTTGCTGTGCAAAGTTAGCGCATTTCGGCCTTGACACTCATTAATCTCTGTGCAAGACACAGACATCTGACATTCCGGAAATTGATCTTCATTCGCCGCCTCCGCAATCTGCAATCATCTACCACGCGAGATCAGGAGGCTTTTTGACAGGTATTCGAAACTAAAAACGAATATTCAAAAGCATTTCGGGTCGATTTATTTGTCCCAAAATACACCAAATCAAACCAAACCCACATCTTGTGATCTTTAAATCCGCCTTCAGGTGTCACAAACCACCACTCTAGATCATCATGTCGACTCTCACGCGCGCATTTACCAAGCGCCACAAGCGGCCCGAAGTGTCGGCGCCCATGCCGTATCGCGAGGAGAAGCCCAAGGGTCATGCACGATTCAATTCTGGCTCCATCAAGCGTAGCAATATCTCTGGCCCTGTTCAGCTCATCTCCACCACCAACATGCTGGCTTACAACGCTCCCGATCTGAGCTCGATGGCGCAGTCCCCGCATTCTTCTGCTTCATCGATGCGATCGCGGGACGATTCCGATATTGCCGTATCGCCCCACAGCTACTCCTCGTCCATCACCACCCCCGACCTTTCTCAGAACACTTCTCCCATCGATGGCAGCCCAGGTTCTTACTTCCCCAAGCGGTCGGCAACTGTGACTAGCGGCCCACGCTCCTCCACTACATCGGCCTCATCAACGGATGCTCCATTGGTTCCTACTCGAGCTCTCTCGCATACCAAACGATCTCACCAGGACCTTGCACGCAAGCGCTCCCAGTCCAGAAATTCGCCCCCGACTCTGAATGCACCGCGCAGCAACCCTACGCTTGGGGCATCTCTAGAGACTTTCAAGCCTGCGCCCGAGTCGCATCCATTCAGCAAAGAGTTAGCGCAGGTTAATGAGGTGGCCGAGGAGTTTGGCGGCCCCCATGTTCTGGACGAGGAGGAGCTTTACCTTACTCGCAAGGGACTACACAAGTTCACAGTCGACGACTACCTTGCCGAAATCGAGGAGGTATATGGAAGTGTCTTTGACAACAAGCTTGGACCCATTAGTGCGGGTCCGTGGCTGTGAATCATCGACAATTCTTCTGGACACCCCGGCTGAGCCGGGACTATAATCCATGACCCACTGAGTGGCGTTTCTGACAGGACTGGATCTTCCTTAACAACGCCCGCTACGACCAACTCTTATTCACTCTCTTCACGACTCTTTGACCTTTATTCCCCGATTCGCACTATACCATGGGAGGAGCCGCTCTAATTCCCGATTTCGATTTTTGTCTCTCTTCTGCCATTTGTCTCACAATTTGTTCATTGGGTGTTTGTCAGGATCTACGATGGGCTCACAACTATCTCGGCATTGGTGTATGCATTACCTCTGACATAAGTAGACTTTGCACATATTTCAATATATTCAGTGTTGAAGACAAATACCTTAAACCCTCTATTCTACGTCCAGGGCTAGATGCCTGGTGATTCTAGCCTCGGTCGTCTTTGTAGTGTGATTTGGCGTCATACTAGTGAAGGAACAGTAAATAGTTCAGCAGAAATCTTTTCGCCTCAGGCATCACTAAGGCATCAAAGTGACATAATCTTTCAATTATACCCAATATGGACTAGCGTCAGAATTCACCAGTCACGGGTTCTCCGCAGCCCCACAACAAATCCAAGTGCATTTTTTTTCTTAACTCCAGCACTTGAATCCGATGCACATCACCTCGGCTTTGAGTATCCATCAATCCACTTGAGAGACTGGAATGTTTTTGGGGACACAGACTGGCCTTAAGAGTCCGATGCCTTATACCTGTAACACAAATTGAAAATTCGCTTCATCAAGCGGTCGTGTGCTTGACTACTGTCCCTGTCTTCACTCCATCAAGAGCTGTCCCTCTGCAATCACCGGAGGTTCAGTCCGACAGATGTCCATAACACAGCAGTCTTCATTTCTGCTTTCTCAATAACGCATTCTTTTAAATACTGGCCATGGTCTCCGTTGCCACTGCTCCTCTCTCACCGGCCCTCACAGCCACACCTTCCATTCATCAATCAAAGATGATTGCGATGTCGTCTCCTGTATCGATCCTCAAGTCTTCCAAACCCGTCGGGATCAAACGCAAGATGGACGACACCGACATGGACTTCTCTCCGTCGATCCCGGATGACCTCCCCAAGCATCTCGATAAGCGCCCGCGCGTCACCTTCGATGACAAAAATACCGTCCGCACATTCTCGGTCCCCTCCGACGACCCGTTCACAGACACACAAGGAAAGAGTGCTGCGGTTATTCGTGAAGAAGTTCGTCAGGCCATTCATCGCCATGTCACAGCTGGGGATAGCGAGGCCTATGACCAAATCAAGGAGATATTCGTTGCCGACCCTAAAAAGGCGGACACTGGCATGCAGGCATGGAACCTTCCGACACACGCATCCCTCAAGAATCACCTGATGGGTCTCCTCTCTCACATCGCCTCCTTGGATCGCAACTGCAGCGGGCTAGTAAATGCCGTTCTCGACAGTGAGTGGCTGGGCCGCGATGAGGCCTATGTGAAACTCTTCATCCGGTTCCTGGGCAATCTCGCCGCGGCACAGGGAACATATCTTGGTCAGGTCTTCCGCATGTTGACTTCGAAACTGACCGGCGTCTCATATGGAACTGGCCGACTTCCTGGCTACCCCGTTGTTCAACCCTCTGAGATCTACGCTCGTATCCATATGGCCCTGCGCCATGTGATGCGGCTCATCCCCGCTGGCAGTGGAGCCCTGTCGCCCATCTTATCTCACCAATTTCCCCCCATCCCGACCCTGCCAAGTGCTTCCTCGCCTATACCCGCAACCTCATCAAAATTATCCAATACGCCCCCGAGCTTCAGTCCGACGTTCTTGCCCTCATCACCGAGAAACTGGTCAAGATTGATGTGCAGATACAAGTGGATTTGGAAGATGTCGAGGACGAGTTCGGAGAGGAATTCCTCTTGGAAGCTCCTAACCCAGACGAAGAGCTGGACGATGAAGATGAAGACTTGAGTGATGACGATGAGGCCAACGAACGTGGCCAGGAGATCAAGTCAAACATCCAAAAAGTAGACGGGATGCTTGATATTCTCTTTGAATTCTACTCAGACCCCTTCTCCTCAGGGACTGCGGTCGACAAAGAAAACACTTTGTCACTTCTAATCAGCCACTTCCGATCCATCATTCTCCCAACCTACAAGTCCCGACACTCTCAATTCCTCCTTTTCCATTTCTCTCAGTTGTCTCCTGAGCTTGTTGAGCTGTTTGCCACCGAGTGTATGGATATCATCAGCAGCAAGTCCCAGCCTGGTCTTATGCGCCAGTCGGCTGCCGCCTATCTAGCCAGCTATGTCGCTCGTGGTGCCCACATCTCTGGGGACGTTGTGCGCGATGTCTTCGACCTCCTGCTTACACATGTGGACAACCTGCAAGCGGACTATGAACCTGGCTGCCGCGGTCCAGATCTTCGTCGCTACGCTCCATACTACTCCACCGCTCAGGCCGTGCTCTACATTTTCTGTTTCCGCTGGCGTGATTTGACTACTGCAGCTATCGAAGGTGACACTATAGATCAGATCGATGAGCTCGAGCCCAGCCAAATTATCTTCCCACCCAACGTCAAGGAGTACCTTCACAAGTCGATCTACTCGCGACTGAACCCGCTCAAAATTTGCTCGCCTGGCATCGTCACCCAGTTTGCACGCATTGCCCACCACTTCCAGCTCCTTTACGTCTACCCCCTCCTGGAGACCAACAAGCGTCTTCGCGTTACTTCTTTCCGCAGCCTTGGTAATCTCGGCCAAGTGGGGCGTGAAATACGCGCTAGCGACCACCTTGGCCACCAACTCGACGCTTACTTCCCCTTTGACCCATACCACCTACCTCGCAGCCGGCGCTGGCTGGAGGGTGACTATGTCGAGTGGCGCGGTGTCCCAGGTCTGGACGACGATGAGGACTCAGACAGCGAAGCTGATGAGGATGAGGACGATGACGACGATGTCACAGCAACTGACGAGGAGTGAAACCCTCCCTTGCTATCAATATGAAGTGCATTTCATTTCATTTGCACAAAATCTGCCGCTAGATCTAGATCTACTTGGCCTTATACTTCGTTCTTTCAGCGTGGCGTTTGGGATTTCTAAAAATTTACGGTACAAAAGTTCGCGATACCATCTCATTGCCTCGTGTCATCTCTTCGAGCGTGCATGGAACCTAATGGAGCATATGATACGATTTACTTGCACAACACGTGCTACCATAGCTCTAGCGAAAAATGGAAAATCTCTCTTATACTTGACTTTCAGGGTTTTTTGTAGTTTCAAATTCTACATCCCAGAACTATGGTATTTAGACATTTTTGAAACTACGCTAAGATCGATGTATAATGATCAATGAATTAATGAGCCATGAAACGCTACCCACATGCACAAGGACTTTGCAGCGCTGGTCGCCAAACTCAAAACTACTTTGCCATATAAGATTTGATATCTTTTGTCTCACACAATCTGGTTGCACAGCGAAAACCTAAAATCGAGGCTCTTCCAGGGAATGTGCTATTAGCCAATTGAGGCGAAACAAACGAGCCATAGTTCAATATATGACCACTCTCAACCAGTCAAAAGACTACTCCGTTATTACGCATTGTCTAGCAGCCACCACTCGACCCGTCATATATGACAATGGAGCCAGCATTGCCATGCGTCAGTAACACAAGTACTACAGCAATGACCGCACCCCTGTCCAGACCCCATAGACCGATGTTAGTATATCCCCGCGGGACGAGATCACGCGAGACGAGGGCTGAAATGAGTAGGGCCGAATGCATGTATAGATGATCTGAGATCTTCCAAGCTTCATGTTTGAGATCTATACTTGTTTTGGTGAGACATTGCTGCTGTGTCTAGCCGAGTAGCCTAGGCTAAGGCCTTGAAGCCTCTATAAGTCATGGTGACATGTATGCGTCTGGAATCGATACTCATACTCAATCTGCAACTATAATCTGCCCCGGGTGGCAAACGCTCACCATGTTCAAGTTATAGGTCGTTGGTGTACATAAAGATCGTCAGCAGACGTGCTCACCTGGATGACTGCTACAAGCACAAATAATGCAAGATTCGCCATGGAACAGCTATTCACTGTTCCCTCCATATCGAACAAAAAAGAGCTGAATCTATCCAGGGCGACACGATTCGTCAGACCAAGACCCAGGATCAGGCAATAACACGATATACTCGGGTAATCGGGTACAATAACCCACTACCATGTATTTCCACGTCATGCGCTCAAACCCAGAAACGACCAGGGCACAGCCCTGGAGAGATCTATACTGTAGTATATAACAGATATATACCAGGTGCTACACCGACACAATATAGCTCGAATCCTCTAAGAGAACAGGCATTCACCCAAAAGCCACATGCACCGGACCAGTAGCAAGTGAATAGACACCAGATACTGGAAAAAGACTTCATAGTCTGCATATTTCCGATCGATTCCGGGACAGATGCTGCGTCATCCCGTTAGTGTTGTATGCAGGTGTCATCTGGACGATGAGTAACACCTTTCATTCTATTTCGTCGATGTTCGGATATGTTAGTTGGGTCAGGGGATGGATAGATCGTGAAGATAGATCGTGAATGAAATTTGAGGGGAGTGAATGGCCGGTGTCGCCTGGTCTTGAGTATAAAGGCAGTCTTGATTCCATGGGAAATTGTTGGTAGACTACTCCCTACCTACACTTTTCCGACGCGAGCAATCAACAGCAGTGTGACTCGAAGATAGCACGAGAAGATGTCTGATGAGAAGGGTCAGGTCGTTGTTAAGTTCGTAGCACTGCCACTAACATTCTGTTATTGTTACATGAGGGTGAGAGCTGATGATTGTATAGGTCTGTTAATACGACTTCGGTACCCACCATGATCTGCAAGGCTTGTGGTGAATCAATTGAGGCGACCAAACACATTTGCCCGAAATGTGGCAAGTACGCTCGATAGTGCTTTCGTACGTACCCTTGGACTGGTTGGTAATGATGCTTTGAGTTGGGTCCTGACTGTGGTAGGGAATATTGATCCAGACTGATTGGGTCGCCGTTTTAATTGCTTGCGACGCATATCAGAGGCTGAGGTGTGGTCTTTACGCCATGGAGCGAGGGTTTTGAGATGGTGAGAGTCTGCAGTCAAAATCTTTTAGTTGATGTATTACATATGGAGACGGTTTTCTTTGTGCTTGCATATTTCTCGGGGCTATGAATGTTACAATGCGACTCGAAGCTGGTGTTACTACTTCAAAATCAAAATCTTCCCAACCTGAATGTCAAGATGCTCCAGGGTTTTAGTCAATATCAAGGCTTCGGAATATGACCGGGTAGCAGTGTTTTCTTCACTCACGTCAATCTTTGCTGGTGCACTATTGCATTCGAGTAACCACTCTATGTTTCTTCCTAAATAGATCACTTCTGACAAGTTCCGTTTATGGGACTTCACTTTCTACCGTGACTTTTGTCGAGATGGAAATTGCGGCATATCCCTCCGCACCACCCACCACGAAGGTATGTTATGTTTTTCTCCATTACATTATGCGTTCAATTGTCCTAGCAACTCTGTTTACAGCCCGCCGAGGCCGCTACATATGCCGACTTCGACCTCACGATGTGTCCAGCATACCCACCATACTGGCACATCACCTGCCACGGAGAGTCATATTTCTGTTGGCAGCATGAGGACGGTCATATGGAGGCGTCACTTGTCGTTGCTTTGCTTTGTTATATCTATGTCTTTTCTCCTTGTTGATTCCTAATCTTTAGGGATATATTCTTTCTATCCTACTTTTCATCCTACTTGATTACGGTGCTTGTTCTTCTCTTGGGGATTCTTTATCTGCTCGCACTTCAAGAACAGATATTGGTTAACATATCTACAGATATATTAGGCGTGTAGTCTCGTTTGTATCCAAGAAGGGGCGATATAGAACTTATCACCCATCTAATGATCAAATGTGGTTGATAATCAAATGTGGTTGCTTCCTCTGTGTTCCTTATTTGCCTTGGGTAATTCGTTGTTTTGAAAAGGGACTGGGCATGGAAAGTGTCAAGCAATCTCAATCATGGCCATATGAACCTCTGACATAATCCCATTTATTCAAAAAGTAAGAATTATAGTATACTTCTAATAGCGCATAAAGGTGAACATAGAGATACACATAAAGATGTGTTGGGATGACGTAGTATGCCCATCTCTCATGGGAGTCAGAGCTAGACCTTCTTATCATGGACCATATATCGACACATGATACCTTTCTATACGTACTACACTTCCATGATCGTAGACGATACAAGTAGCATATCTAAACCAGCTTGGTAAATAAGAAAGTTATCAGGCAACCTGATATTGATGAAATTGTGCCAAAAGGTCATTCTTTCATGCCCAACCTACCCCAACCTTCTAAAAGACAGCAAATGCCAGAATTTAGAATGATGCAATTACATAACAGAGATGGATGTGAGACATAGGAGCAGAGACCTCGGTACAGAAGCGGCCAGTCCAAATAGTCAAAATTAAGGTTTTCAACGCAATGTTGACGAGGTTCCCATTGTGGAGTTCAGACTGTGCCTTGATTTGATTTCTTGGCAGAACCAATCTTTCCCAATATCAAGGATACCAATCCAGCAGCCCTACAGAGTCCTCCAAACCTGCATTTTCGTCAAGGTACCCAATGACATCACGCTAGTGGATGCGGATACAACCTTCCGTGGCGACGTAAAAGCATGTGGAGACAGCTTTGTCGGGTGCTGATCTACCGGTCGGCCAAGATGAGCTTGCACGTTGGCCTGGGACGTCGGGCCAGCCAATGATACTTGAGATATTTTAGGTACTCTCGAATGAGGATAATGCTTTGGACATGATGCATTTATACGAAATCCACATATACGAGATGCGGTCATCTAGTGTGAATCTCATTTTTCAGCTCGACGGTCAAAGCATACTATTTAGAGAATTCAAAATTCGTCTTCATTTACGATAAGAAACGACTAAGCCAATTGAGTGTGCAATATGCATAAAAATTGTGCGCCAGGCACAGACGCCGCGGATGCTCATGGAACGCTAACTCAAGCTCTCAACACAAATCATGCAATCTATTTAGACAAGGCAGAAGCAAAAATAAAACCTCGAAAGCGAATCACCGATCAAAAATGGCTTTCATGTCAGCGCATGCATCATGATACAGTACGTCTACGCTGACCTGATCGCGGAATGGGTTGGCCGATTTATCCCAAGCGTGTCGGGCCTTCTCAATCATCATCGCACGAACACGCTTCCCAAGACCCTCTAAGCGACGGACGAAGACCTGGCCCTCTTTCATGAGCATATCCCATTCACAAATATACAGAAAAACGTCGTGCGGCAAGGCTTCGTCCAGCATTTGGTCGGAGGCGCGTACGGGTGATGCAAATGGGGAGGCCAGATCTTCTAGATTGGGGATATACGATGCATCAAACAGATTGGTGAAAAAAGACGGGAGAGTCTTGTCCGGCATGAGACTCATCATTCGGCGATGGTCACGGGACTCCATGAAATCCAGAATAGGGTACCAGCTGAACAGGGCCACGATATTGAGCTCATTCGTTTGATCTACCAATCGTTGGGTCGATTCTGCCCGGCCAAAGGGTTCCTTAATCTCCGTTGAAAGACGCTCGCGGAGTCGCAGCGGCACTGTAACGGCTAGGTTGCCGCCTGCCGAGAAGCCGCTAAGGGCCACGCGGCTCACATCTAAGCCCAGATCGGGGGCATGGGTGGCTAAGTATAGTAATGCGTCGACTCCGTCGTCGACTGCCGCCGGGAATGGGTGTTCTGGGGCCCGTCGATAACTCACACTGGCCACGACCGCCCCGACTTCTTGTACGATGGCCGCAGCCCAACGCGAATCATCGGTAGCGCATCCAAGAGTAAATCCTCCGCCATGGAAATTGACCGCAACTGGGAATCGGTGGCCATTTCGGCGTTTTTCTTCATAGTCTGGTGGGCAATAGAAATGAATGACGATGGAATGGCCGTGAGAATCGGATTCGACGGTGCGGGTAAAGCGAGGTTTCGGAACGCGCGGCGGAGCGACATCGTGCAGGAGCATTCCAATGCGCATCAGGACCCGCCAAAAGACGGCCTGGATATAAAGCCACCCACGAGATGAAGCCATGATGGTGGAGGAATGGAAAGAGGAATGAGCAGTTGGCGCTATTGGGCAACTCCTCAGGCTCCGAAGATCATACGATAGGGGGTCAATATGGGGTTAATGATCTTAATCGGACATGGCCCGGTTCCAGTAAGCGCGGCGTCTGGAATGACTGGAAAGGGTGAGGAGAAAGAAAGGAAGAAAAGCCGAGACCCAATCCGCGGTTGTGGCGAAAGTGGTAGATAACCGGTGATAACGAATAGGTACAGAGAGGACTTGGCATAGAAGTCTTCGGAAGCTATGCCATCCAAAGAATAAGAAAGTAGAGAATGTAAAAACAATAGAATAGCTAGACAAGCATCATAGCATACCAGCACATGAATATTCCTGATTGACCATCTTTTGAGTCGAATCCGGAATCCGGCCTGTGATGATGTCATGTTTGGACCCTCATTGAGCGAAGGCGTTCCTACTGTTTTCCTTCTCTTAACCATCCCCTGAAGACCCTTGAACCGTTCTATTTCTTTTCAGCATCCCGGATCCACGCGGCACTGTTTTGTTGATAAGGTTCAATTGATCGGTTTGATTCGGGGTTATTTGTGCACACAAGGATCGCCCTGCATTACAGTCCCCCTCCTTCTCCCGGTCTTACCTACCCCCCACATCTGGAACCCGGTCCATTAATATACTTCGAATTTCCCGCGAAATCCCTATCTTTTTCTCTCAACCATTTACCCCTTTGCTCACATTCCCTACCATGTCGATCAAACGGGCTCTTTCCAAGGCCATTCGAGGGCGCATTGGAGAGCATGACGAAGAGACTCCCGGCTCCCAGTCTCGTTCTTCCACTCTCACCCACAAGCCCAGACTCTCTCTCTCCCGAGATGAGGGCTCACCCACTGCCTCTCCTCGCCGGAGCATTCTGGGCAACTTCTTCCGCGACCGCGACTATGTCTCATCCTCCGAGGATTTTTCCGATGATTCCTCCTCTGGAGCGTTGAGTAAGAATCAACAAAAACGATTGGTGCGCGAGCAGCGACGTACAGAACGCAGTCGTCTCAGCGAGGAGGCCTTCTCGGAGTCGGATCACCGCCGCAAGGAAGAGGAGATTGCTAAGTCTGCTGCGGACGAGACACCAGAGATGAAGGCTCGATATGGCGAGTTGCCCTTGATGCAGTCGCGGGATCGATTGCGGGAGGTGCGCACCCCATTGGATGATATTACCGCGGAAATGGTCGGCCAGGATATCTACTTCACGGCTCGACTGCACGTAGTGCGCCGCATGAGCGCCAAGCTGGTCTTCTTGGTATTCCGCCAGCAGCTGAGCACCTTCCAGGGTGTCTTGCATGAGCGCGCGGGGATCTCCTCGCTGGCTATGGTCCAGTGGGCGGAGCACCTGCGTGTGGGTTCGTTCCTCCGGATTCGCGGCAAGCTCCAAAAGCCCGAAGTTCCCGTTCTCGGCTGCAGCATTCATGATGTTGAGCTGGCCATTGATTCGATACATCTGCTCGTCAAGCGCGAGGAGCCAGTGCCTTTCAGTGTGTACGAGGCGGAGATTCGGACCAATGAGGAGGACAAGATCGAGGGTCGTCGCAGTCATATTCCTGACCGGACTCGTCTGAGCAACCGTCTGCTTGATCTGCGCACAGCAACCTCGCAGGGTATCTTCCGCCTCCAGTCGGCCACTTGCAACCTCTTCCGCAGTGCCCTGGATGATCAAGGATTCATTGAGATCCACACCCCAAAGCTCCAAGGCGCTGCCACCGAGTCTGGCGCCAGTGTGTTCCAGGTCAATTACTTCAACCGCCCTGCATTCCTGGCCCAGTCTCCCCAGCTGGCGAAGCAGATGGCCATTGCGGCTGACTTTGGTCGTGTCTATGAGATTGGTGCCGTCTTCCGTGCGGAGAACTCTAACACCCACCGCCACTTGACAGAATACACCGGTCTTGATATTGAAATGGCGATTGAAGAACACTATCACGAGATGCTCGAGACCATTGATGCAACTATTAAGAATATCTTGAAGGGTATTTACACCAAATACCGCCGAGAGATTGACACGGTCAAGCATCAGTTCCCCAGTGAGGATGTCAAGTGGTTGGAGACGACTCCCGTGATTCGCTTTGCTGATGGCATCAAGATGCTCAACGACTCAGGATGGCGTGATGAGCATGGCAACGAGTTGCCCTTAGACGAGGACCTGGCGACTCGTGACGAGATCCACCTGGGTCAGTTAATCAAGGAGAAGTATGATACTGATTATTACATCCTTGACAAGTTCCCTCGTGGTGCTCGTCCCTTCTACACCATGCCTGATCCAGAAGACGACAAGTACACGAACTCCTTTGACATGTTCGTTCGTGGACAAGAGATTGTGTCTGGTGGTCAGCGTATCCACGATCCCCACATGCTTGAGGAGAACATGCGCAATGTGGGAATCAACCCGGATGACATGGAGGAGTACCTCGAAGCATTCCGCTGGGGTGCTCCGCCTCACGCTGGTGCGGGTGTTGGCCTGGAGCGTTTGCTGATGCTCATCCTTCAGGTGGGCAACATTCGACTCACCTCGATGTTCCACCGCGACCCGAAGAGTCTCCCTGCCAAGCCTCCAGTTCAGTCGCTACGTCACCCCGAAGCATCGACCACTGAACCGGTATGGCTGAAGGAGCACCACCGACGGATTGCCCAGAGTGCAGATGAGTTGCCGCCCTTAGAAAAGATTGTTGCCAACTACGGTGACGCTACCTCTACATCCTGGTTTGATGACCGATACAAGATTTGGCGTGATATGAGCACCGGTGCTGCCGTTGCCTATGTACCAAGCACCAGCAACTTCGTGATCGTCCCTGGTAACCCAGCTTGTGATTCCAGTCAATACACTCGTACCATCACGCAGTTCCTCCAGTGGCTGCGCCGCGACACCAAGTACAAGCCTGTCTGGATCCTTTGCTCTCCCGAGGTTGAGACCATCCTCGGTGAGCGATTGGGATGGCGCAGTCTGTCCTGTATTGCTGAGGAGCGCGTTGACCCCCAGCGCAACCAGGCCGCGTCCGACGGAGAGATTGCCCGCAAGCTGCGTAAGGCCGAAAATGAGGGCATCAAGGTAGTCGGGTTTAACCAGGGCGAGCTACCCGATGAAGACGTGCGCAAGAAGATTGACGGTCGTATTGCTGAATGGCTTGCAAACCGCAAGGGCACTCAGGTCCACTTGTCAGAGATCCGACCCTGGTGTGACTCCGAGCACCGCTGGTACTTCTACGCCCTGGATAAGGACGGCACCATCTGTGCTTTCGTTGCGCTGGTCATGATCTCTCCCTCCCACGGCATGCAGGTCAAGTACAGCTTGGACTTCCCTGGCGCACCTAATGGTGTGATCGAGTACATTGTCACCCACGCCATCCAGACCGCCGCCAAGGCCGGCGTCAAGGGTCTTACCTTCGGTGCTGGCGCTACCTCCCGCCTCACTCCAGGCCACAATCTGCATGGCGCCAAGATCAAGATGCTGGAGCACACTTACGAAGCTCTTGCTAAGCAGTTCCACCTCGTGCGGAAGAGTGAGTTCCGTGCTAAGCTCGGCGCAGTTGAGGATCCTCTCTACATCTCTTACCCATCACACGGCCTTGGCTCCAAGGGTATCCGTGCTATCTTGAACTTCTTCGAAGACTAAGCCGCCTAATGACCTGTCACTTGGATGTCGTCTACGAGAATTACGATCGAATGTTTTTTACATATGAACTGAAATAAGTTTGGCTAGATCTTGGATACATGGATAATCTCCATTTATTGAAATCTTCATCAAGTTTTGAAGATAGCATAGATTAAAGCGCAATATTGGGGCTTTTCATTAGTTTTCTGATTTCTGACTGTCTATTCTGCTTTCTGTTTTTGGCGTCTCTTTGGTTTTTGCACAATGCCCTGCTCGAGTATATCCCATCCTGTACTTTTCCACCGCATGTATTCCCCAGTCACTTATTTGGTATTGATTGAAATGCATCACACATCTCTATTATTGACTTGGTACATTTGATGATAGAGTTGGAGTAAATCAGGTTCAAACAATTCCTGCGTATATACATCACAAAGATGGCATAGAAAACATCGACCCTTGTCCCTCCAAGTAACACAATAGCTAGTCAAACACTAGTCTTTACTGGTCCTTTTTATCCTCCACTTCCTCGCCTTTTTCCCTCTCAACCCTTGCCCCCTCAATAATTCTCCCTATCTCCCCACCAACCCACTTTGCCACAAACCCAGCCACAACAGCAACAAGCACAATCCAAATCGCAGTCGGAACAAGTGATCTAGGGAAAACATTCCACAAAAACGGATCCAGAATTAGATCCACAGAAACAGGTGGCACATTCTTCATCAACGACTCATTATGACTGAAATAGTCTGCCGCAGCTTGGACCCGCAGGAACAGCACCGAGTCTGTTGATAAAGCTGCATCTGGCGACAGACCTCCGCTCGTATAGCCTGATGCGCGACGCGGAATGGCGTTCGCTTGGAGATCCGCGTCTAGAGCTGTGAGGCGGCTTGTGGAGAAGATGCTTAGTGATGAGAAGAGGGATTTGTCCTCGATTGTTGCTGTGAGGGAGTGTGTTGTGAGTGTGAATGATGTTGGTTGCTGTATGAGATTAGTATAAATTCATCATTTCGTTGAGGTATTCAATCCATTGAGACTCATTTCCATGGTTTATATAAAAAGGATCAAATCGGTACACCGAACTTTAGATGTGGAATGATCAGGGTGATTCTTACCGTAGCTAACCAACAAACCCGCACCTCATAACGCTGCCCAGGCTTCAGATTCTCAAGGAAGAACCACGAGTCCACGCCCTCTGGAGTCTCCTTATTGGGGAACGAAGCATTGAGCCGTGTTCGCACGACATGGTTCTCTGGCGAAAGCCGTTGCAGACCGAGGTCATCTAGACCTGGCTCTTCTGAAGGTAGTGTTGCTGCTGGTGGGGCGAGAAAGATAGTTTTCTCCACGTTTGCGTGAACGATGTTTGTGAGGGAGAGGAATATAATTCCTAGGATGGTAGTGATGTGGTACATAATGATCACAGATGAGAGGAATAAAAGGAATAATAGAATGATATGGGAGAGTTGTCTTAATTTTCTTGTGAGGCGCAAGGTTTGTGTTTTCAAATTTCAGTTCATTAACACGTCATTTTGTGCATTGGGACACATGAGGTTGTGTTGTGCAGCTGGAGATATATATCTTGGACGGGATGTAGTTGGTTCGTGTTTATTGGGTCGAGTGGCGTAGGCGGTGAGAGCTCTTGGTGAACCCTGGACATCCATTGGTCAAGAATCAAGACTGATACTTTTTAAGGTAGGCAAATGATTCTACAGGGTAGGGATACATTTAGACTATTGACAATCGAATTCATGAAAGATTGATACTCCAAAGACTTGCGCGTCCCAAGCTAGCTAGAACTTAAGTGTCAGAGCAGACCGATCTGTCCAAAATCCATCTCAGAAGCTTTTCGCCGTTTACCTCGACAGCCTCATAAACACTCCAACCACACTTTCGGAGAACACTTGCACTCGGTAAATTAGCCTCGAGAGTAACTGCTCGGATGTCGTAAAGATCCTGTCTTGATCCAAGAGGAATAGAGTGAGTTTGGTGACCCAAGTCAATTAGCCGCTTCCATTCTTTCTGAAATCCAAGAACCGCTTCAGTAGCATATCCTTTGCCCCAGGTTTCAGGCAAGAACATGTATCCAAAGCTGGGTAATGGAGAGACTGGCAGGGAGTCTAAGCTAGTCAGGCCACATACACCGATGATAGCGCTATTATCATTTGAAAATGAATTGGGCTGAAGTTCATCCGGGTGATTGTCCTTATCAGCCCGAAGAGCGACGATGAAGTTGAAATTACGTCGTGGGGTTTCAGTATCGTCCATGTATCTTTGCATCCACTCACGCGTCTGTTGTATAGAGCTGTCTGTCTGAACTTGGCTAGTCCATTGCATCACTTCTGGGGTTGTGCGGAGCCTATATAGGGATTCTAGGTCGGTCCATTGCAAAGGTCGAAGAATTAGCCGAGAGGTATGAATTGCTTGTGTCTTGGAATATGGCGGAAGTAGATCTTGGAGTGAGGTTTCCATGTTGTCGAGTGCGTAGAGCATCATGAGGAGGTGTCGCTGACCTGACGCGATAGATAATCTACAGTACACCGCCGAGCATTATTCTGTCGGCAGTTCATATCTCCTCCAAATCAAAAGCCGAGGAAAAGGGGGTCGCATGCCTAGAACAGAAGGCGGTAGGAGTTATCGTACTTTGGCCGTCGTAATATGCGAGCAATTGAAGTTCCCCAAGCAGTGTTTTATACTAAATCTACTTATCACATATTGATATCCCCATTTGAGAAATGGTGTGCCCACCGCAACACTGTAGCCCTGGCCCAAGGTTTGATGACCTAATCTTAAGTACGGTCAGGGACAGACCACGTGATCCAGAACAGGCGGTGAACTTCACAGGTCGAGGGCCTGCCGTGGCCAATCAGCAGGCTTGACGCGACCCAACGACCGGATCAACAATGAACTCCCCCCTGTTAACAGCACAGACGCCCTCACTCCACAACATTTCAGTTCTTCCTTCTTCTTGACTCGATCTCCATTCCTCCCATTCCTGGTGAGTCCGACCTCCCATGAAAACATTCACCCCTCCCCCTCCCCCTTCCTCGGTTATTTCGCCAAATTTATACATTTGAGCTAACCCCTGAGTCGCCAGACCCGTGTTTGTTATTGGGTCTAGTCTCCCCCTCCTTAATTTTTTGACGCCGTGAAAACACCACCAACACAATGAGAGAGATCATCAGTTTGAACAGTAAGTGGTGGAATTGATTGGCTATTTCTAGATGAAATTAATTTTTCTGATGAAAATGACGCGCTGACTTGTTGATGTCCTATAGTCGGTCAGGCCGGTTGCCAGATCGCCAACTCCTGCTGGGAGGTAAAGATATCACGTCCATTGGGGCTCGAATTCGCGGTGAACTGACTCTAAAACTGTGTAGCTGTACTGTCTGGAGCACGGTATCCAGGTATGTTGGAATTACATTCTAATGGTGGCGCCCAATCTTGAATTGAGCGACGCGCCCCTTTTCTTGGGCGGAAAGCGAGTATCCACGACTAACATTTCTGATAGCCCGATGGATACCTCACTGAGGAGCGCAAGAAGGCCGACCCCGATCACGGCTTCAGCACTTTCTTCTCCGAGACTGGTGTGTATACCAATTTTTCTACCTTGAAGAGCGGCCAGCCATGGTGCCCAAGTCCCCGCTTTAAACGCCTTGGCCATGTTAATCTAACATCTTACTTTTCACCTAACAGGCCAGGGCAAGTACGTTCCCCGTACCATCTACGCCGATCTTGAGCCCAATGTCGTCGATGAGGTCCGCACCGGTACCTACCGTTCGCTCTTCCACCCCGAGCAGATGATTACCGGAAAGGAGGATGCCTCCAACAACTACGCCCGTGGTCACTACACCGTTGGTAAGGAGATGATTGATCAGGTTCTGGACAAGGTCCGCCGTGTGGCCGACTCCTGCGCTGGTCTTCAAGGTTTCCTGGTCTTCCACTCCTTCGGTGGTGGTACCGGTTCCGGTTTCGGTGCTCTCCTGATGGAGCGTCTGTCCGTCGACTACGGCAAGAAGTCCAAGCTCGAGTTCTGTGTCTACCCTGCTCCCCAGAACGCCACCTCCGTTGTTGAGCCCTACAACTCTATCCTCACCACCCACACCACCCTGGAGCACTCCGACTGTTCCTTCATGGTTGACAACGAGGCCATCTACGACATTTGCCGCCGCAACCTCGGCATTGAGCGTCCCAGCTACGAGAACCTGAACCGCCTGATCGCCCAGGTTGTCTCCTCCATCACTGCTTCGCTCCGTTTCGACGGATCCCTCAACGTCGACCTGAACGAGTTCCAGACCAACCTGGTCCCCTACCCTCGTATTCACTTCCCTCTGGTCGCCTACTCGCCCGTTATCTCTGCCGCTAAGGCTGGCCACGAGGCCAACAACGTTACTGATATCACCAGCAACTGCTTCGAGCCCAACAACCAGATGGTCAAGTGTGACCCCCGTAACGGAAAGTACATGGCTACTTGCTTGCTGTACCGTGGTGATGTTGTCCCCAAGGATGCCCACGCTGCTGTTGCCAACCTCAAGACCAAGCGCACCATCCAGTTTGTCGACTGGTGCCCTACTGGTTTCAAGCTCGGTATCTGCTACCAGCCCCCCAGCAGGTCCCCAACGGCGACCTTGCCAACCTCAGCCGCGCTGTGTAAGTCCCAATCATATCAAACCGCAAAGAACATTTGCTAATCTATCTCATTTAGCTGCATGCTGTCCAACACCACCGCCATCGCCGAGGCCTGGTCCGCTCTCGATCACAAGTTCGACCTTATGTACTCCAAGCGTGCCTTCGTTCACTGGTACGTTGGTGAGGGTATGGAGGAGGGTGAGTTCTCCGAGGCTCGTGAGGACTTGGCTGCCCTCGAGCGTGATTACGAGGAGGTTGCCAGCGACTCTATCGAGGGTGAGGAGGAGCTTGAGCCCGAGTACTAGATTAGGGATGCTATGTGACCGTATCAGAGGCATTGGACTGGTGCCATGCAGATCGTTTTGGCATATCAGATCTTACCTTGGCAGATCGGCTTTCCTGAATCTACCGGGCTTTCTTTGCAAATACACAGGGAACATAGGTTTTACAGTCCGATGAATGTGTTTTCTGGCTTTGTTGTTTGATATACCTTTAATATCCCCGAAGCAGCGTGTTTTTCGCTCGTTTTAACCCTATTCTGGGATTCTACACAAATTGTAATTACAAAAAGCACTAAAAAAAAAACCTGCCCCATTTATCAACTCCACGTCCTTCTTAGTTCATCATGGCCCGGGTGTGTTTATTGCCGGATTGTATAGGCCCTCGTGAGGGCAGGATATTGTAGATGAAAGGAATAATAACCTAGGTTAGAATAGAACTTCGAAATTGTTGCCTAGCGACAGATCACCCATAGAGCCCAGAGATATTCAACCTAGACTATCTAAACCTTTTAAAGCATCTCTTTCCGACGATATCACACCATGCCTATTGGATATGTAATGGCAGGTACCTGCGTGAATGAGACCCTGGGCGGATGGAATGGGCGCTAAGCCAACTGACCGCCTTGGGGGGTACCTTCTTACGACATCGACTCCAGCCTCTCTGTAAACCCCCATTCCACCATCGGAATAACCTGTCCTCTTGTTTGAGAGCTTTAGCAACGATCTGCCTGACTTGGCACCATTGCCTTGAACAACAGAATTCCGCCTTGACCCATGCTCGTGGCATCTTCCGACTAAGCAGACGGCGCCCATTTCCCCAACTTGTCCTCCCAGGCACCCCAACTATTCGGATCCCATCGACAAGGAGAGGGGGTCCGCTCCTCCACATTCAAAGCCATGGCTGAAACTGGTGAGTTCCTTCTATCTCGATATCAACTTGAATGCGGCAAATGCAACGGCGGACATCGGCGCAAGCCAGGAGGCTCAAGGAGCTCCGCTCCCGCAATGACCCCCTCCCCTGTATACCCGAACACATTGATGCGCAATTCGGCGGAACTGACGGATACGATTCTTTGTCAATACAGCACAGCGACATCCGAACCTGAACCTCACAGCCGAGGAAAAGCGCGTCTTTTACCAGCTGTTCCAGGCCGCTGACACAACCAACCTCGGCGTTATTACTGGCGAGATCGCGGTTCCGTTCTTTGAAAAGACGCATCTTCCTGGCGGTGTTCTCGGAGAGGTATGAAATATAGAACCAGTGTTATTGGCAAAGGATTGTTTGGCTAATAACCCGTGTACATAGATCTGGCAGATTGCGGACAGAGAAAACAGGGGTCTCCTGACCCCGGCTGGATTTGGAGTTGTTCTTCGATTAATTGGACACGCTCAAGCTGGACGTACACTATCCGCTGAGCTAGCTTTGCAGCGTGAGTGTCTTTGGAACTTACTTGGTGCTTGCTGGTACTCTGAACTCCTTTACTGATTGCTATCCAACAATAGCCGGCCCGTTACCTCGATTCGATGGAATCTCAGTCGACACCACAGCCCCTGTACCGGAGCCGAGCCCCGCGAGCCCTCCACCTGGCGCAACTGGTCCCATTCGTGTCCCTCCGCTGCAGCCTGATGATGTTACTAAATTTGCTTCGCTCTTTGACAAGTCCGAAGTCGTGAATGGAGTCATGTCAGGTATGTATACTCCCATCACCTGATATAAGAAGCGCTTCACCCGGAACGGTCCGCTCACAGTAATGTAGGCGACATTGCGAAGCAAATATTCGAACGCGCAAGGTTGCCGAATGAGGTTTTGGGTCGTATATGGAATCTTTCCGACACACAGCAGCGCGGTGCTCTGGATTGCACGGAATTTGTCATTGCCATGCATCTTCTGACATCTTTCAAGTCTGGTGTACTGCGTGGTATTCCCCAGACTCTACCGCCTGGTTTATATGAGGCCGCATCCCGCAGGGGCCCTCCTGCAAGGTCATCCTTTGGTGCTCGGCCCGAAGTTCCACCCGTGCCTTCAATTCCCAGGCAATTTACTGGCTCTCAGCGAACTGCCAGCCCCATGAACAATGCTCCTGTTCCACAATTTGGAGGCCCAATTGCCGCCCAGACAACTGGTGGAGAGTGGCTCATTTCCCCTCAAGAGAAGCTGCACTTTGATGGGATATTTGAGACTGTTGACACCGCCAAGCGCGGAAAGATCACTGGTGATCAAGCAGTTGGTTTCTTCATGAAGGCGCAACTACCAGAAGAGGTTTTGGCCCAAATTTGGGACCTTGCTGATATCGACGCCGATGGTCAGTTGACCCGCGAGGAGTTCGCTGTGGCTATGTATCTGGTGCGATTGCAGCGGGGCGGAAAGGAACCTCTACCGCAAGTGCTCCCTCCTGCTTTGATTCCGCCTAATATGCGACGCCAAGCCCCTGTACCAGCTCCAATGGCTGCCCCTGCACCACCTGCTCCTGCCCCTGCCCCTGCACCCTTGCCACGATCGGCTGCGGATGACTTGTTCGGTTTGGACTCACCACCAGCGCCTGCTCCTGCCCAACTTCAGATGCCTCAGTCTACCGGTGGCTCTGGCGCATGGCATACGCCTGCTTCTCCGGCTTCTAGGGCATCCCCGCCATCGACATCTACCACCTTCAAGCCGTTTGTGCCGACATCATCCTTCGGCCAAAGTTTGCAACCGCAGTCCACTGGGGCGTCTTCTGGACACCCGGGTTCGATTCGCTCCCCTCCACCTCCATCCGATGATTTGCTGGGTGATAACGATCCAGAGGAAACCCAGAAGTTGACTCAGGAGACTACCGAGCTTGCGAATTTGTCAAACCAAATTGGAACTTTGTCCAAGGAAATGCACAACGTTCAACAGAAGCGCACAACTGCCGAGCATAATATGACACAGAGTTCACAGCAAAAGCGGGACTTCGAGACCCGGCTTGCACAAGCACGCACTATGTACGAACAGGAGCTGGCAAGCTTTAAGGCCCTTGAGGAGCGGTTGAAGGTATCCAAGGCTGAGACTACTAAGTTGTCTCAAGAATACGCCCTGATTGAGGGAAGTCGCCAGGACCTGGCGAACCAGTACAACCAGATCTCGACCGCACTGGCTTCTGACCAACAGGAGAATGCCAGTCTCAAGGAGAAGATTCGCTATGCGAATGCTGAGGTGGCGCAGCTCAAGCCGGCTCTTGAAAAGGCACGCTCCGACGCGCGTCAGCAGAAGGGATTGGTTGCAATTAACAAGAAGCAGCTAGCTACCGTGGAGGGTGAACGTGACAAGGCCCAGGCCGAAATTGACGATCTGGCCAGAGAAACCCCACAGTATACTGAAGATGTCACCCCCGCCAGCAGTGCTGCTGAGGTCGTTAGTCCTGCTGCTTCTACCACCAGCCAGAATACCAATCCCTTCTTCCGTCGGACTGCGACAGGTGCCTCAAGCGATCGTGCTCGCTCGCCTGATTCTGCCAGTGATCAACAGAAAGCATTTGACAGTCTTTTTGGTCAGACTTTTGCCAGTCCCACGAATGCCGGCCCACCGCCGACCTCTTTCCGTGCCGAGTCCCCGTTGGCAACTGCTAAGTCGCCCGTTACCTCCAATGTGCCAACTCCATCAGCTTCTCCCGCTCCTGCATCTATTCCTGGATCTGTGCCGGGAGCTTTCCCCGAGCCCCCCGCCCCGAGCCTGTCCAGACAACTCACCCCAAACTTTCTACCATTCAATGAGAACCAGTCTGTGACGTCGTCCACCATGGTGTCTCCACCTGCTAGCAGATTTGGCCAAGGCGACTCCGGATTCGGGACGCCTTCTCAGGCGCCAACCAGTGAAGTTGGCGCTCCGTCAGTGACAGCGTCGAGCGATTACAGCCATCCAGCTGATTCGACTGCCGAAGCCACCCCGGCACGTTCACCATTTGAGGAGCTGCCGCCAGCTACTGAGGCCCCTGCTACCGCTGTTGAACCATCTGCCACTTCTCCACTCAGTGCAGAAAGCCAGGAGCCACCCAAGGACTTGTCCTTCGACGAGCTGTTCGGCAGTAAGGCGCACAAGCGGTCTGAATCCCAGAAGGAGAATGACTTCGAGGAGGCCTTCGCATCTATGAAGCCCGCTGGTGGCCCAGCAGGTGGACCAGCAACTGCTGCTGCTGGTAGCTCGGAATTCCCTCCCATCCAGGAACTCCATCACGATGATGAAGAAGATGAGGACAGCTCAGACGACGAGGGCCCTTTGGGATTTGATGACAATTTCACTCCTGTCGCGCCCACAGGTACTAAGAAGGAACAGCCAGCCGATTCAATTGACGCCGCTCAACTTGCTGCGTTCCCGTCCCCGGGAAATGCTGGAGTTTCGGGACAGCCCCCAGCTGTTGATGCTCAGGCCAGCCCTCCGCAGTATGAAAACAACACCTCTAACGAGGCCCCCGAATTCAATGGCTTGCTGCCCACCCGATCCGATCCTACTGCGGCACCTGATGCTCCTCACTCTTTCGAATCTGGTACTGGCGCACCGATCATTGACAATCACCCCCAGCGGGAAGAGGCTGAGGCTGCGCCAGCTGCGGCAGCCCCCGATGCCAGCGCTGCCAGCGCTGCGAAGACAAACGCTCCCGATTTTGATGCTGCTTTCGCCGGCCTCAACCTGGCCCCTGCTCAAGAAGCGGAGGATGATGACGATGACGAGCCCGAAGGTCAAAACAAGAACACAGATTTTGACTTCTCCTTCGACTCCCCGTCTCACCCCAAGCATGAAGCCACATCCAGCACCGACGCCGGCGACGCTGGCTCATCCGAGTTCTTCTCCTTTGACGACAATGCCCATGCGACTGCGCAACCTACGGGATCCGCTAATGGAGGTGGTGCTTCCAATCACGACTGGGATGCCCTCTTTGCCCCCCTCGATAACGCGAAGCCTGCCGCCGAGGAAGGTGCCAGCAGTGCCAGCACCTTTGACCCTAAGAAGCCTGGCTGGGCCCTCAACACCGATACCGGTGAAGATGATCTGATTCTGCAGCGATTGACTGGTATGGGATTCCCTCGGGAGGATTCCCTCACAGCGTTGGAGAAATTTGACTACAATCTTGACAAGGTAAGCTTGAACGAAATATCTTAGCCCAAGAGACTTGAACTAACTGAGCCTAGGCCGCAGACTACTTGACGTCCAAGTAGATTTTGATTCCGTTCCCACACTTGCACATATCATTCCGCACACATATCTCTCTTTTTGCCATGATGCCTTTCTTTTCCAACGACCCATCTTCCTTTTGTTATTTCCTCTCCCATCTCTTGCGATGTGACTGGGGAATGGGTGGCGTCTTGCATCCGCGACTACCTCATAATTCCCTGTCTGTTCCAGCGTCTTGTATATCACTCTTTCCGTTCCTGTAGTCCTGCACCATCGATGATCGCATTTGATTCAATTCCTTCATTGATAGTGCCCATGAACGGAAAGAACGGCGGACTGCTTGACATTCTGTTCCATGTACCTTTCCCGCAGTGTAGTGTAGCTTACGATGATCCTAATGCACTTAATCATGAGCTGTGTACTATTAAGTGTTAATGTATCTGTGGTTTCAGTCGTAGAGGATTGGAAAGCCGTAGAATCGGCTTGTGTCTGTGCACATGTTCCGGAGTGGAGCCTTGTTTTCCAAAAGGAGCAATCGGAGTCTCGGAGTCTCGAAACGGCTTCAAGCAATAAAACCAAATCGACAACCGGAGTGTCTGCTAGTATTACCTAGTTAGTAGACTGTGATCTCAAGGAGATAATGAATCTGTTTTCTGCCCATAATGAGGAGAATACTTAAACATGCACTTTGCCCTCTTGAGTGCTACTCATCCGCTGAACCCAGTCTACTCCAAACAACCACATCTTTCAAAAAAGAATAATAACCTTTATAGCATCATGCCTCGCGTCCTTTTGACAGGAGGTAGTGGTTTCATCGCCACGCATGTTCTCGAGATACTCCTCGCCCGTGGTCATTCCGTTGTCACAACCGTCCGCTCCGAGCAGAAGGCCCAAGCAATCCTACAATCCCATCCCGAGCTGCAAAAAGACCGTCTAGACTGTATTATTGTGGAAGATATAGGCCAGGCCAATGGTATGAGAAAGCCAATATTCGTGAAATTAAAATCAGCGATCTAATATTCAATGCACAGCATTTGACAAGGCTGTTGTCTCCGAGCCTCCATTCGACGCGGTCATCCACACTGCAAGCCCGTATCATTTCAATGCCAAGGACGCAAAAGAGCTCTTTGACCCAGCCATTATTGGAACTACGGGTATTCTCACTTCGGTGCAGAAATATGCCCCATCCGTTGAACGGGTTGTGGTGACTTCTTCATTCGCTGCTATCAACAATATTTACGCCCAGAGCAAGGACAAGGTGTATTCAGAGGTGAGATCGAGACTAACATGGTGACTTGTTGAGCGATAGCTGATAGATGCAATTTTGAAGGCGGACTGGTGTCCCATAACAGAAGAACAAGCCAACGACAGCCCCGCCAACGCCTACCGGGCAAGCAAGACATTTGCTGTAAGACTGTGATCTCAGGACTGATTTGACAAATAGACTAACAAATTGACAGGAGCGTGCCGCATGGGATTTTATGGAAAAAGAAAACCCTTCGTTTGAATTAACTGCCATCAACCCACCGCTCGTTCTGGGTCCTATCGCCCACAGACTTGCCTCTCTAAGCGCCTTGAACACCTCCAATGAACGAATTCGAGACCTTATTACCGGCGCTTCTAAAGCCCGCTGTCCACCAACTGGAAACTACGGTTATGTCGACGTGCGCGATCTCGCCCTTGCACATGTACTAGCAATCGAGAAGCCCGAAGCAGGAGGAAACCGATTCTTTACTGTTTCGAGCCACTTTTCGAACAAAGAGATTGCGGAAATTATTGGCCAGGAATTCCCCGAGTTCCGGGACCGATTGCCTACCGGCGAGGCTCTTGCTCCGGGTGATTACCCGGCAGACGGAGTATATAGTTTTGATAACTCACGGAGTCGAGAGATCTTGGGCTTGAAGTTCAGGACGCTCAAGGAGAGTGTGGTGGATGCTGTGCATAGCTTGTTGGCCGTGGAGCCTGAAATTACTGAGTGATGGACCGAAATAATGACCAGGTAGTTTAGCTTGATCCCCGGACCGCTTAGTGCCGCTAAGAAGCATCACACTATGGACGTTATCACTTCTATCTCTCACAAGGCTACCAATCATAGATTCTATCTTTGCAGCCAACCCAGACAAAGAAAGAGTTTACAACGTCAAGGACGTAAACAAGTCGCTAGAGCATGTGACTGGTGTCGACTGAATTGAACCAATTGTGATGATTCGCAGCCCCGTAGTATCCAGTGCAGTAATTCTAAGCGACAAGAAGTCATTACATTACCAGCAGCAAGCAGGTGTGTACCACAAATCAATACATCTAATCTCAAGGGATGAATACCGAGTTGAAAGCCCGAGATACCCAGGACCAGGCGCCCAGCAACTATGCAATACCACACCAATCTGACAATTGGGCATCTTGCCCCAGGAGTCTCATGTTCCACGAACCTTGAATTCATCCTCACCCATCCCGGAATGAAAGGATGTGCGAATCCATGATGCCCGTGATGGGGCGGCCTATTATGCCTCGCTGTCATCTTCGTATCTTGGGTTTCGCAAAAGTCACTTTCCGCCTGAGGCGCTGAGCAAATACTCCGACTCGAGGGTTCAGACTGATGCTTTGCGGCTGCACAACCCGTATTCGACTTTTGCAGTTCACCACGGCCAGCCATGCCCTGAGAGATTGGGAAGTCTTGATCAGATGATGATGAGACCAGATGGTCTTTTCAGGGATCAAGAACAGTGTTGTTTTGAACTTTTTGGCAACCAATTTATTGAATATACCAGGACTCTTGCAGGGTCAAAGAGCTCGCCGCATACCTTGCCCGGAAGGTGACGATCTCTGTAGACATGATCATGGCCTGATACTATAGATCCCTGCTCACGCTTGAATCAAATCAAAGAGACTGAAACAGTAACGCAATTTGGCCATCAGCTCTTGAAGCACTCAGCATGACTCAGAATGTGTAAATCCGACGATCAGTACCTTGTACCATCGCCCCGTATTCCAAGTTGGTCTATGGGGGCACACGTTAAGTATATCCAGGATCTGGGTGCAAGATAAGCGAACTCTTCTAAGATTTTCAGCTGTACCTGCACAGCAGAACCCCTGAAATATCTCCTGACGATAAGCTTTTCTTCTATTGTTCCACGGTTCCACGCCAGACGCCTAGAATTATCAGGCGTTCGGAGACCTTGCATATGAAACTCTCCGAGGCTACGGGCTGGGGTTGCACAGCATACGATCTTTCGCGTGGCCTTCTAGTCTAGTACCGAGACAGGGACATATAATGACGTGAAGTTATGCATACGCAATCGTCGTCGTCAGAATCATTCTACCTACTTCCGAGCTACAGCCAAGATCATGGTTAATATGTTTGCCTTTCTGTGCTCAATATGGTTGATCGTGGCCTGCCCCGTTTGGGGGGTACTTAGGTTTAATCAGGATCCTGTTATGATTGAAGCAGCTGCTCGACTTGAGAAACTGGCGCAGAATGCCTTGAAGACTTCGATCAATACGATAATTGAGAACTCTTCTAAGGAGAATAACACTTGCACGTTGGAGAATTTGCGAGTTCGTCGGAATTGGAGGGCTTTTACTCCCGCCGAAAAGAAGTCTTATATCAAGTCTGTCTTGTGTTTGACCAAGTCTCAATCGATCACTCCGTCTCACTTGGCACGTGGAGCAAGATCTCGATTCGATGACTTTGTTGCTGTTCACATAAACCAGTCATATCACGTTCACCGCGACGTAAGTCTCAAAAGTGCAGGATTGTTCCAGTTACTCACTATTTACAGGGCCTCTTCTTTGCATGGCATCGATATTTTATCTACGAATATGAACAAGCTCTACGGAATGAATGCAACTACACAGGGGACTATCCGTAAGTATACCGTACCACCACGAAAACTAAACATGAAACTCACCCATAAAACTAGATACTGGGATTGGGCCGCAGACGCCGACAATCTCGAGGAATCCCAGCTATTCGACGGCAGCGAAACTTCTCTCTCAGGAAACGGCGCACACATCCCTAATGAACTTCCAATAGGAGCCCGAATCCCAGGCCCATACCCCCCACTCTGGCTCCCACCCGGAACAGGAGGCGGCTGCGTAACAAGCGGTCCTTTCAAAAATATGACCGTGAATCTCGGCCCATCCTATCTCGCCGTACCAGGCGACAACATCACCCGGATGTCCAACCCATTAGATTACAATCCACGCTGTCTAAAGCGAGATTTAACAACGGCTCTCCTACAAATGTACGTGAACTACACGTCGATCGTGGATTTAATCACCCAAAGCAAAATCATCTGGGATCTACAAGATAAAATGCAAGGCCAGGCAAATTCACCTGGCTTGCATGGTGATTCACCCGGGTTACATGGTGGAGGTCATTTCGCTATGGGTGGTGATCCAGGTCGAGATGCGGATGCTAGTGCTGGGGATCCCGCCTTTTATCATCATCATGGGATGGTGGATCGGGTTTGGTGGATTTGGCAGAATATGGACTTGAAGAATCGGGAGTATGCTGTTTCGGGGACGAGCACGTTTATGGATAGGCCTGAGTCGGCTAATGTTACGTTGGATTATTTGATAGATGTTGGGTATGCGAATGGGAATCGGGGGTCTGTTGCTTTGAGGGATTTGATGAGCACTACTGCCGGGCCGTTTTGTTATGTTTATTTGTGATGATGTATACATGGATATAGTTATGGGCTTCAGGTGTTAGATGTTAGAATGTTTGGGACATCACTCTGGATTCATCGTTGTTCACACCAAAATGTTATTTGTTATTCTATCTTGAATCCCACTAAAGTGGACTGAAGTTTAAAATGCTAATGTAAGCTGATGGTAAGACATTGATAGCTGAAGCCGATCATTGCCCTTTTCACCACGCTAAACCGGAAGAGGGGTTTTGTTGGGCCACATAACAATAGTTTCACACATCAGCGATCAGGGGAAAAAGCAAACAGAAGAAAAAGACAAAATTCTCCATGACAGGCGTGGCACACTAATCTTCCCAAAACATACCTCCAGAACCCATCATGGGCGGAACAGAAGTGACAATTTCTTCACAGATCTTGGAGATATCAACCCTCTATGCCGCCCATTGTCTAATCCCAGGTATACTCCTGATCACCACATCAAAACGCTCAGCATGGCGGTATCTCTCAATCCCATGTCTAGTGGTCATCGCGCACAGATCTATACGCGTGGCCACAAGCCTAGGGCCAGGCTTCATCTGGTGTGAACTAGCCCGTCTCATCGTGACAGTAGTTTTCCAATCCTTAAACCTGTTACTCATAAACCCAAAAGACAGCACCGACCTTCCATCAAAGGAAAGTCATGGTGTTGTCGCGCGTCTTTATTATGCGACGCGACTGTTTACTCAACCGCGTGGAATCAACACGCCCTGGCAAATCAAAAATGCACCCGCACAGCCAGCCTATTATGCGAAAAGGGGGATGAAAGAGCCGCCTCGAGGTCGGTTTCTGCTTCGTAATACTGCTATTGCAATAATTCAGTATTTGGCGTTGGATGTTTTCGCTACCCTTGCGTTGCAACAGGCGCAAGAGCAGAAGAAGCATGAACTTTTGCCACCCACTGTTCAGTGGGATATATCTGTTGAGCAGTGGATTGAGCGGATTATTTCGCATTTAGTTGCCGGGTTTGTGGTGAGCAGGATGCTTATTGATTTGCACCATCGCGTGTTCTCGATTTTGCTTGTTGGGCTTGGACTTGACTCTCCGTCGAATTGCCCTCCTTTGTTTGGCCGGGCGGCGGATGCAGGGTCATTGAGAGGATTTTGGGGGTATGTCATACTATTTGAACCTAGAATGTGACAGCCATCAGACATGCTAATAACTCGAACAGCAAGTTCTGGCATCAATTGGTGCGTGAACCATTTGTCTCTGTCAGCACATTTATTACCCGCGATATTGTGGGTCTATCCAAGTCTCCATTGGAGCGATATACAAACATCCTCCTTGTTTTCCTCTTCTCAGGCGGATTGCATGTCATCCTTGATGTTGTTCAGGGTATCCCAGGGCAGGAATCTGGCGCGATGTTACTATTCATGACAGCCCCACTCGGTCTTATCATCGAGGATGGCATCAAGGCACTCTGGAAAACCTGTACCGGAGCTAGTCTCACTGTCAAAGATGGTGATGGGGAGTTCCCTGTGCCGATGTGGCAAAAGATTATTGGATTCTGCTGGGCAATGGCATGGCTGGGCATCACTTCAACTTGGTATTTCTATCCGCAAATGCTGCGACCCGAAAACCAGGCCCTTGTTCCGTTTAGCCTGGCGAGTCAGGTTGGGTTGCCTGTCGTGGCAGGAACCGTCCTGGCTGGGGGTGCTCTGGTTGCCTTTGTGTTTGAAGTTGAAATTTGAAGGATTGTGGACTCTAGACACTAAATGTATTCGAAAATTACTCATAGAATGCCGGGACAGTAATAAAACTGGTTCCTAGTAATTGATTTTGACTGCTTCACAACCGAATAAAATCGGGTATTATATGGATATGGGCTCTGGAGTATGCGTTTTTCCTGGTCTCACGGGCAATGAGAAAGAATCTATGATTCCAAGGCTGGTCGTTATGGAAGTTATGATCCCGCAATGTCTTTGTTGGTGTGTGCAGCTTGGTAGGATCTATGGTTTTACCAGCGGACAGGCGGGGGACGAAAGTTGGTAGCACTCCAAGGGCTTAGGTAAATGCTTTACAAAGCAATTTAACAGAGATATTTACATGAATAAATAGAGACGATCCGCTTACAAGAGGCAAACAGAGATTTCTTGCGTGGTTTAAGCGACTGTGTGGCTTACCGTAGGCAGCCATATTACCACCACGAAATCCCGAGGTCCAAGAATGAACAAGGCTCTGCATTGAATAGACTCTTTCAGTTCATTTCTGCTGTTAACCTTTGCACTGAATGATAATTGAGGGGCTGGTTCGATGATCATTTGTGTGTTCTGTAGAGCATGCAACGCCTAAGACTTAGTCATTATTAGCCTCAACTCTGAAACTTGGTAATTCAGAAACGATAAATTTAGCCTTACCAATAGTAATAAGCTTCTATCAATACTCTGTTGCCTCCAGGGTCGATGAATATTGTCTCAGATGTCCCTGGATCGACAGTTGCAGAGTTACAATTGACCAACCAGACCCCCACTCAACCACTTAAGCTCTCGGGGCTGCCGCCTAAAGAAATCTTGACCCTGGAGTCCACGGAAGGGAATTTTATAAGCCTTGGTATTTAACGCTCTATACCCTGAGAGAAGCTTGCAAGGGCATTGATTGTCTCACTGCACTTGTGCCGAGGAGTCCATTGTATCAATTGCAGTGTAAAGTAGATTGGGAGCCATTTCTCATCAATATTGTACTCGTAGAGAGAAGTGGATGTACCGTTACAAAGCCTAGGAAGACCAGAGGGGCCGTATTTACCTCCTGAGCAACCTCAGAAGTGGATACTTGTCTGTTATTATAAGGCTGACAAGGCCGTAAGAAGTATAAGTACAGTATCAGTGGAGACCCCCGTTTCTCTCTCCAAATTCTCTCGTTCCAACACCAACCATCACCAGACTTCCCATGATCATTGTCAAGGCTGTGTGGGCGACTCTATTTTGAAGAGCAAATCAATTTTTTCTTTATTTCCTTGCCTCCTTGTTTTCAGTTCGCTGCTCTTGGCCCACTACAGCAACAGCAATGCCACTTATCCCACGCCACACTGGCTTCATGCTAGAGAAACCACTGGAGTCAATATCCATCCTTGCTCCATTCTCCGCTCTTATCCTCTCCATAACCCTGATAGTATTATTTATGGTCCGCTTCTACATCCTCGAGGGCTTTCTCATAAAATGGTTGTACGGAATTATCTACACAGACCTCAATGAGATTAATCGGCGTGGCTTCATCAATCACCACATCTCAGCAGCGACGAAGATTGTCATCTTGATTCTCGCAGCATACCCGTTTGTCTGCGTTGGTTTTGGAACTTCATCGTTTCACACGCCTTTCGCTCATGGCTCCATCGTAACGATGGGCGACATTCTCATCGTGGCAGCGCAGATGTTGATTGGCATGTACATATTTGAGCTTATATATCGCGTCAAGCTATCTCCTGTCGCCGTGGCACATCATACTGGTACAATCCTTATTGGACAGTCTGCTACCGCGATTAGCTTAAGGCTTCTGCGTGAGCCGGACGCAGATATTGAGTTCATTCTGTGTACTGTTTGGGGTGAGTGATCTCCAATTATTAAGCTTCCATGCTTTTCTGACCTAATTTAACATCTTCCTCTCTCCTAGGTGCCTTCGACATGATTGCCGAGTTCTTCCCCCACGTTGCCATCATCCTCTACCGCGTTTACCCCGACCGCCACCACTTTCTCAGCCGTGTATTTCTCGTGTCATGTATCACGACTGCAATCGGCACAACAGGCGAGACTATCGTTACAATGTGGCTATTTGGCAGCCTTTGGGAGCGGTGGCAGATTGCCTTCAAGGTTGTCACACCTATGCTGCATGTTGCGTTTTCGATTGCGCAGATACATGGTAGTATGGTTTTCTGGCGCATGTACAAGCGACAGCAGAAGTTTGTTCGGGAGGAAGAGGAGGGAGAGAGTATGCAAGAGATTTCGATGTATTTCGATGAGACTTCTAAGCCAGCCAAGGCTTTTGTGTCCATGCGGCTATAAATACGTGTCTACTGGAGTCGGTATCATGTAAAGTTTAAATTTTTGTACAAAATAAACGGAGTTCAGGATGAATATGAATGTTGCAACCTTACTAATGCTACCTGAAATTTTACCGAGTGCCAAATTTGCCTAGTCTCCCTGACCAATCATAAAGTATAGCAAAATCCTGGCAGTCCTTCAATGGCCAAGGTACCCCTTCTGGCTTTCCGATTTGATAAGTGGAAATGCACAGTAAGTATCCCTGCCACTAGAAGGATAATGATATTGCAACTGTTACAGTACGGGTTAGTATCAAAGTGGAAGACAAGGAGTCTGTATGTGAAACTCACACAATGGAGGCCATTACTCCTGGGAAGAAGTTCGGTGCATCCTGAGACCGATAAACAACAGCTCCAATGATACCTCCGATCCCTCCAAAGGTAATAATGCTGGCGCTGCAAAAGGCCCGCTTCCATTGGCCACGGATGTTGTTGGCCTGCCAAGCGAGCACGGCGGGGATGGTAGAGTTGGCCCCAGCTGCTACGAGGAAGATACCAAAGTACTGCACACCAGGTGCAGAAACCCATTCCAAGATACACAAACCGACAATGGTTTGCAACGCATTATAAATAATAATCGGGCTCCGAATATGCCACTTGTCTCCTGCCCATCCTTGTGTGTACATCAGAAGGCCGGCAAAGAAATATGGCGGCGTAGTCAGGGCTTGTGAAGCGCCAATTCCGAAGCCGAGCTTTTGGGATAGAATGATGGGTTGGAAGAAAGCCATTGCATAGGCAACGACGGTACTGCATCTTTAATGGCTTGAGTTAGCCAGAATCAAAAGGAGATTAAAGGGACAGAAATAAAAACTCACAAGAATATCAGTCCAAACCCCCAGATCTTCAGGTCCAAAGCAGGCGCCAAAAATGAAGATAGCGAAAAGGCTTCGTCATCTGCATCGCTCCGATCTCTGTCAATTCGACGGAGAATGAACTCGATCTCTCTCGGTGACAAAAAATTCCTTGCCTTGTGAGCATCCTGTGGAAAGCTGATGAGGAGCCAATAGCCGATTACAGCGATGACACAAGTGAGAAGGCCTTCCATCACAAAGATCCATTGCCAGGCGCTCAAGCCCCCAAGGCCAGCCATTTGCATAAATCCATAGGCAAGGACACCAGAAAGAGAAGCACCGATTGTACTCAGGAGGTAAAAGGAAGAATAGCGTTTGTGTACGTCATCTAGTCACGTCAATTGGGTCTCCTCCTGGACGAAATCACCGGGGTGTCTCACATCTTGAGTACCAAAGCGCAAGGAGATAAACTGCTCCAGGGAAGAGACTTGCTTCAAATATTCCCAGAATAATGCGCAGCGCAATCATCACTTTCCAGTCATGAACAAATCCAAAGCACTGACAAAGTCAGTTTGGTACCCTTTGAGTACTTTCACAACATACCATCATCACCACACCCCACACAAAAGTAATTCCCGAAAGAAAATTGCGCGGGCCGATCTTGCGGACGAGAATCGAGCTTGGGAATTGGACAAGGACGTAAGGGATGAAGAAAACCAAAAGAATAATGGACTGTTTGATCAGTTTCACTAGATCATGACAGCTCTCTGAAGACACTAACATATCGTGATTGCACTTCAAGCTCAAGATCCTTCGTCATCCTAGGGATTGTCAATGGAGATCTTTGCTTGGAGACAGTCTAGTGCCTACCCTGCAATTGCTGCATTTCCCAGGTTTGTTCGGTCAATCAAACTGGCTGCAAAAAGCAAACCCAGTCCCAGAATAAGTCTTCGATCGATTTTATGGATAATATGGCGCTGCTCCCGAGGAGTGAAGCCTAGATCATCGTCGACCGCTGGTGGTGACTGCGACTCCACATATTCGATGTCTTCTTTATGATCCATTTTCGTGTCCAACGGATAATAATCCAAAAAGAAACAACCAGATCTGCAGGGGTCCAATGTTATATTGTCATCTCGGCTCTCTCACTTCGGTATATTGGAGATCAAAACCCGGGGTAAATGCGGGGTGCCGAACCAACTTCGGTATATTCGGTAGCCACCACCGAGCTGTACCAAAGGACCTAAAAGAACTCGATTATTCTGGACATTTAAAGGAGACTATCTCCCATGTGATTCTCCAAGCCATCATTGTTTCCAAATCCTCTTCTTACTCTCCCTTATCACCATGTCCGACTTCCAAGACACTTCCCGTGGATTCCTCGGCACGCTTGAACCAGGCATCATCAAAACACTGTCCGGCGAGACAGCATGGGACAACGACGCATATGACTTCCTGGCAAACAACCAAGAATGCCCACCAACAGTGCACCCAAAATTATGGCGACAGGGCCAGCTTACCGTCAAACACGGCCTCTTCCAAGTCACAGAGGGGGTCTACCAAGTTCGTGGCTTTGACCTGTCCAACATGACCCTGGTGGAAGGAAAGAAAGGCGTGATAATCATCGATCCACTTGTGTCGAATGAGTGTGCTGCCGCCGCATTCTCGCTGTATAAGAAGCATCGTGGAGATCGGCCTCTGACCGGCTTGATCTACTCGCACTCGCACGTCGATCATTTCGGTGGTGCACGGGGAGTTCTCTCGCAAGGAATGGAAGATGCAATCCCCATAATCGCTCCAGAGGGATTTATGGAAGAAGCGACCAGCGAAAATATCTACGCAGGACCCGCAATGAGGCGAAGAGCAAGATATATGTACGGATCAACACTGCCTCGAGGCGTGGAAGGCCAGGTTGGATGCGGTTTAGGCATGGCTACATCGAGAGGAACCACATCCCTGATCCCACCCAACATGCTCATATCTGAGACGAACGATGAAAGGGTAGTGGACGGAGTTCGAATCGTATTCCAGATGGTATCAGGCACCGAGGCACCGTCTGAATTCAACTTCTACTTCCCAGACAGCAAAGCGCTCTACATCGCCGAATGTGCAACGCACTGTATGCATAACATCTCTACCCTTCGGGGTGCACTTGTTCGCGATGCGAAAGCCTGGTCACGCTATCTCGACGAAAGTCTGGTGTTATTCGGCGATCAGGCCACTGTCTTGTTAGCCGGACACCACTGGCCGACCTGGGGACAAACGGAGATCACCCGCATCCTAGTTGAGCAACGTGACATGTACGCATTCATGCATGATCAGACTGTTCGCTTGATGAATCAGGGCATGACCGGAGTGGAGATCGCCGAAACGCTCAATCTGCCGCCGACACTTGACAGCGCGTGGCATCTCCAAGGTTATTACGGATCGCTAAGTCACAACATCAAAGCTATCTATTCACGTTATATGACATGGTTCGATGGGAATCCCGTCAATCTGTGGAATCATCCCCCTGTCGAGGAAGGTAAGCGATACATCGAGTGCATGGGCGGTATCAACAAAACCATCATCCTAGCTGAGGAATTCGCCGCCAAGGATGATCTACGCTTCGCAGCCACCCTTTTGGGTCACGTTGTTGCCGCGGAGCCCCGAAATGCCCGGGCACGTAGTGTACTCACCTCAGTCTTCAAGAAGCTTGGATTCGGGGCAGTGAATGCAACATGGCGAAACTTTTATTTGACCGCTGCAGAGGATTTGGCATCTAAAGAAACAGCGAAAACGCCACAAACCGGCAAGATTGAAGATCTAAATCCCTTGCTAAGCGTGGAGCAGTGGTTGTGTGCCATTTCCGTCCAAATTGATGGAATGCGTGCAGCTAGCAAATCCATCGTTATTGATATCACGCTGTCGGACCAAGGTCAGACCTGGCGACTTATTCTGAGCAATGGCGCCTTAAGTTACCGCGAGGTATCGGCAAGTACATATCTCTCGGAGAAATCCGGACTACAGATGACAGTGACCAAGGAGGAGTTGAGGAGCCTTCTCATGTGTCAGGTTGCACCGGAGACTAAGATGCACAAGGGAAATCCGAAGCTGCTCCGAGATCTTCTACAATTCTTCCCGTGGGGAAGCAAGTCTCCTTCGCAGAGTCATCTCTAAAAAGTGTACAATTGACACCATGTTCTTCATGTCAATAGATTAGATCCTAGGATGCATATGTACCGAGAAAACAACAATGGAAGTATACTGAGGCTGCATTAATATGAAGCTTGGGTACCCATTTTTGATGGGAGCTCAATAAAGAACAGCACAACATTATTCCGTATCCAGCCTGGCGTTGGAATTGTAACTCAGAAGGTATTATTGCAATTCGAGTTATTTTAGGTTGGCAATTAGGAGCTTCTCAATTAAACACTACAGAATTAGTTAAACACCCCTCACTAACCGCAATATTAAACTAGCGCAGTATCCAAGATCCAAGGAGTAATAGTAATATTATTGAGTACATACGCAGGTCGTACAGTACTTGCTCACGCTCCTCTATGGAATACGCTAGAACTTCAAGCTGATGATATCTTTGAGCCACCTTTTCTTACCTATATCATGGCTTTCATAAAGCTTTCTCTCGTATATTGACGTGAACTAAGCGATATGGTGCGATGTCCTTTGATGCTTGACATAACAATTTTGCTGAATTACAATTACTACGCCATACCAGACATGGAAATGGTGTGGTGCTCAACTAATTTTGTGGTGTTCAACTAGTGAACTCCTTTTGATGTTCCTGTTTTGTTGATCTATACCGTCCACGGGTAGACATACGGTCCATGGCGATAAGTACACGCCATGCCGGCCCCCGGGACGACCCCCGGGGCCACCATCCCCGCAATAGTCCTATAATTATCACAAAGGGAATAGATACCCTGCAGATCGTCTATTGAAGTACCTGATGGAGAAATTCAAAAGATTCGCAAAATTCGGGGTCCGCCATTAACATCCATGTAATACCAGCGATCTTCTCTAACCTTGGATATCGATAACAACGTCCTTCAACCATTTACTCCGTATGTTGATACCTTCCTATCTGAACCAGTAATTGGGTCTAAATAATCTGAAGCACTAGGTATGGGCTGACGTAGTACTACAGGGAAACACATAAATAAGGAGCTTATTGTCCGTAGATATCGATTCCCCATCAATATTTTCCACTTCAACAACCCACAAGCTCAATCTTCCAATCTTTGATTCAATCATCTAAAGCCTTTGAAGCTCAGTTGAAATTTACACAATGCAGTTCTCCCAACTCCTTGCTATCGCTGGTCTCGCTGCCATGGCCTACGCTGCTGCTATGCCCGCTCCTGAGGCAGCTCCACTCGCAGCCCCCAACGCCGACGCCGAGGCGGACCCTGGCCTCTGTGAGTCAATCAAGCATTTAAAAATCCTTGGGTAAGCTCTGGACATAAGCTAACAAAATATCTTAATAAGTCACCGCCCTTCTCCGCGAGGGTTCGCACTGCACCGAGGGCGACTGGCCCTGCGACGACTAGATGCGAGAATATCTCGGCTCAGCGATTTGTTCTCGACATCGATGGATCATGCTTTGGTGCCTGCTTGGCCAGGCGCGAGGACTTATAGAAGAGCAAATGAATTGGCTGGCCATCATTCGCTCACGGCTTTGAATGTTCGCGTTTAGATCAGGATGGGATAGACTTGTATATGATGTCTTATCGTTTTGAATTAGATGACGAAATCTCGCAGAGCATGGCAGTAACCAAATAGTCGACAGTCTTTATGGAGCTATAGACCAATCGATTTCAAAAAATTGAAGCTTCCATGTAGCCAAGTTGATATTCATGAAAAATCCAGTCCAAGTCATCATTACCCAGGTCAACCATCCTCCCAAGAGCAATTGAATCAACGTTTTCCTCACACCCAGCCTCCACATGCTGGATACGCGGGCTCAGAGAACTGGGAAACGGAAACAAGCTTCTAAGATCAGGATGAGGAAGAAGTCGGAACCAAGTCTCGCCTATATAGTCCATATCTGGCGAACAATCCGACACATGGCCAAATGAATTGATCTCCTGATGACTTTTGATGATCAATCGCTCGATGATACCCAATAAAATTCTTACTGGGGGCCATTTCAAATGCATGTGCCGTAATGCAGTCAATAATTTGTTCAGCTCCTCTGTACAAAGTTTATCCCTGCCTTGACAGGCGGCATTTTGCTGGATTTGTGGAGCGCAGGCTACCATGAGAAACCAGTTATTCAGGGGCATCAAGTAGTTGATCTCGTCCCGGAAATATATCTCTTCGAATAAGTGGCTGATACAAGATGATGCCACCAAGGACACAGCCGATGCTGTTGTTGGCGGAAGTGAAGCTCCGAATAGACGGCAAAGAACAATCACGCAGACAAAATAGTTGACGTGTAGCTCGCATATATCTCGTCTGAAGGGACGACGATTATGGCCATCATAAAGGTTAAGCTGAGTAGGCAGGTTGTTGATCCATTGCTGTAAAGATTGAAGAATGATCGTCACCTGTAGATATGTAAGTATGAGTACTGAGTCAAGTTATAGAAATTGAAGATCAATGCCAATCGAAAATGGATATATGGAATGTTTCTCCGGGCAGTGGATTATACCTGTTCTTGGTGGGATTCACTCTGCCGACCATGGCGGTCCACTATGTGACCCATGATCATATTAAGCTTCACATATTCGATGAATATCTCGGCCTGAAGATTTTGACTTTCAAAATCGTCAAGCTGCAACGGCCGCAGGTCCATCTCGGCGGTGCGTATAACGGATGGACGTCCAAAACAGGCGCTTTGGGCCTTATCCTCCACCTAAACTATTTCAGCAATTGAATGAAAGCGAAGTCACCACCAGGAACATACAAAGAGAAACCACATCATCCGACGCGCACTCCCAGGATTTGTGAGGTTCGAGTAGGTAGACTCGCGATGTAGGCCCATCTGATAGGCTAATCGCGTTGCCATTCCTGTCCATTGCCATGAGCAGTCCAAGGTGAGAACATTTGGTGGGGTAACATTTCTGAAAATAAGAAGGCAAAGGGCCTTGAGTGTATTACGATGATCCATTTCGTAGTTGGAATACACCAATGCTTTAGCTTTGCAGTAATATTCTTCGCTCTCTTCGAGAGGTGATCGAAGGCTTGGGTGGCGTAATAGACTGCCAACCATACAGATGGCTTGAGATATGAGCATCGATGGTTCCTCCAAGTGTAGATCCGCCCTGTCAACAATAGGAGCTCGGTGGTAAATATGTTCAAAATAGGCATCTGTGAATGCTTCGACTTTGGCTTTCGGCGGCAAGGATGTTGCATCCATTGATCTCAAAAGCTCACTGGAGAAACGGGCATGAAATGCCCCCATAGGCTGGGGTAATGGCTGCCCGGGCACGGTTTCCAATGGAGACATGAAAGATAGCTCGCCCACGTAGCCTGGCGGGTCAAACGGCGTTGAGGTAGCCGAAGACGCCCCTTGATTTGGTGATGGATCAGGTTGTATTATCTCCATACCATTTTCACTGCCATCAAATGTTTGCGCAGCCGACGATCTTAAGGAGGGCCCCGCGGAGTTGGCACTCCTGGCAGGATATTTACTGCGGCCGCGACGTCTATAAATGAATGAGAACGTGTACAAGAGTTTTCTGTCCCATTGAATTCAAAACTTACCGACAGGTCTGCCGACGTCTTCTGCAATTTCCGCAGACATCTCCTGTCTGGTCAAGGTCGCATCGTACCTGTAACGCGGTCAGTTTGAGTTTGGTGCTGGAAACGAACTTTGCCGTACTTTTCGAGCATGACAATTTAAGCACACTATCCTCGCCCGGTCAGGTGCTTTCTTTTCCAGCATTTGCGATGTGATTATGCTAGGAAATGTTTGTTCTATTCCACCAACGCATCTGCTATGCATGAAATGATGTGTTCCCCGCATTGGTTGCTCCGCAATGAATCCGACCGAGGCTGTCATTGGTGGCTCTGATTGGTCAAATGAGGACCCGCTCATGCAGGCACTTGGCCTGCTTTTGATACATTTTAGTACGTAGTCAAGGGCACCATGGTTCGTATAAGATGAAGAAAGTTCAAAACTACATAGTCATTTGCGAGAGTTGCTTCCGTCCGGAACAATAAAAGCTCCATTGACTATTCTATTGCTAAGGCACCAGCGAGCTTCTCAATGGACGTAATTTGTAGGTATACCGATGCTTACTATGGATGATACGATGAGCTATTGATACAATCCGTGGCGGCACCCCCCCTCTAAATATCATTTGAGTGCCCTCTCATACGAAATCCCTGACACAATTCCCCTCCCCTTTCTTCTCTACTGTATTCTTAATGAGATAATACTCCTTCATGATCAAATAAGTTGTGCTAACTCGATTTGCTGATTTGTGGACTCCATTATGCGTCGCTAGAGTGATCAGGACCTCTGTTATATAAATTGTACATTACCAGACCCACAATCCAAAATGGTGAGCTGATTGTGACAAAGATTGCAATCAACAACGGTTTCGGGTCAGGAGATGAATGCAGAACACCGTCTTTGAGAATCTCGGCTCGCTGCCAATTAAACATCTTTTGTTCTTCTCTCATCCGCGTTTCGATATTTATAATTTGAGCGCGACCCAGCTCTTGTGACTCTTTGACTCTTTGCTCTTCTTCTCGCACTCTCATCTTAATATCTTTCATTTGAGCGCGATTCAGCTCTTGTAACTCTTTGAATCTTTGCTCTAACCTGCGACATTTCTCAGCAACATGACTGGACCGCAGGGCGATGTCTCGCTCCTTCCTTTGCTGTTTTCTTATGAGGGCAGCTTCATGATCATCTTTCTGCTTTTGCCGGCCTTCTTCAGTTGCCTTGCGCTTTGGACGTTTGTAGAGCAGTCGCATCTGTTGGCTGTCATGATCACGAAGGATTTTTTCACGAATGGAGAGTAGAGGGTCTCCATTTAGCGGAATCATGACTGTCGGTGGCTTATTTGCTTCTATATAAGCTTTGCAAATATGATGATACGGACACCAAGCGACCTGTGAAACAGACTATTAGCATATTGTACATATCACGAGAACAAATATCGAAGCAAACCTGATCTATTTCCCGGTCCGAGGCGACACTTCTGATAGCGTACTCAAGCATGTCGCTAAATGCCTGTTTGGTGTTTCCGAGATCGTTTAATCTGTCCTCATTCTGAGTCATATGGTGCGCCATATTATTTCGGATTCTCTTCGCTTTGCTCATCAACCCGCGGAAAGTCTTCAGTTCGTCTTCGCTCATTAGGTTGACGAGACTCCCATCTGGCTCCTCCACTTGGATACGAATGATGTCAATGAAAGTCGGCAGATCAGCTGCCTGATGATATCGGTACCCTGTTGTATCCAAGCTATGCGTATCGATCAATTCACAAAGAATATAACCCAGATACTCGAGCTCGTCGGTCCAGGTCGTCAATAGTGTTTGAGCTTCAAAATAGGCCATTGTCTATGCGGACGTTCTAACAGGTATGAGGTGGCACGGTCATACAGACTATTCAAATTCAAAGCAGAGGTATTTCGTGTCTCAGATTAGTTAAGTTGTTGCTATTTAAGTAGTATGTTCGTCATGACGTTAGCTTCTATGTGTTTGATGACGTCGACGATTGCAAGCCAAAGTGACATACGCCGCACTAAACTAAAAGTCGTAGTGATAGGAAATATGCTAACCCTTGATGACATGAAACTCCAGGGATACTACAATAAAGTGACCGTACTGTGGTTCAAGACGATTTACCAAAAAAAGATATTGAAGCGAACGTGGTCTTGTGGAAGAACAATTCGAATGCAGGCCCTCTACAAGGGAACATGGGAGATAAAGAACAAGACAATTGAAGACTTAGGTGAGTTCCAAGTTAAGATTATCGTTACTCATCAAACTAAGGTCCGACTAAAGCATTCGAGGCTGATGGGTGATAAGCCTTACTGGTCACTATACTTCGTAGGCGGGCGGCAGTCTATGGTTCCGCCCATTAAAAAGTTCAAGTGATTGATTTACCTTAAATGCCTTTAAAACTTCAGTATTCAACTCTTCAACTCTCCTTGTAGTCTAATGAGATACTTCCAATTCTTCAAGGGCAGCGTCGTTAAACCAAAAATTTGCGTGATCATTCCCGACTACGTGAAAATTGATTAGGGGAATGGTCATCAATTCGGACGCTATCATCAAAACAGATTTGATGACCGAATTTGGGATCACTGCGGAGGAATACAGATGAGAAATGGAGATCTAAGTCAAATGTATGACAGGAACGCAGGATTGTTAGGACATTGAGATCTAATTGGTCACCTTTGCAACAGAACGCGATCTGATGAAACTGACTCCGCGTATAGGCTAGAAGGGGACACCGATACGGATGTCCCAGAGGTTTCAAGCTCGGAAGCCACGAGAGTTCGACGGCCGGTAAAGAAAATATCGAAATTGAACCCACGTTTAAAGACTACAGTGTTAATAATACAAGCTTGCTCCTTTTTCTTGACCACCATCAATCCATCCAGGACACTAAATCCACGGATAAAAGCTGCATGCTATTCCATATTCAGTGACCTCCCATTCGACTTCCTTGATCATCCCTGAAGATCGGAGGATACTAAACCATTTCAATATCCTAGACAGTATGCTCATGTTCTGCTGCCATTCGGTTCAGGGTCAGTCCTGCAACTTCAATTAGCACGAGTTAAAGTTTTTACAACAGGGAAACATACCAAAATCCTCATTCTCTCGCTGGTGGTAGGGGCGGTGGAAGAATCGGCCGTGCATCAGGTCATCGAAAACTTTGGAGCGCTTCAATACCACGTACAAGGTGCCGCAAACAGTAGAGATACCCATGGAGAAAATATAGACCCGAGCAATGGACAACCAGGAGGTTGGAGTATGGAGAAAGATACCATAGTGACAGATGAGGGTTGCTGCAAAGTCCACAGCCAAGACTGCCACAATGAGTGCCGAGGATGGGGGATCTTTCAAGAGGGTGCCATGCTCACTGGTGTTCAGACGTGTGATGAAGATCAACCAGTTCTCGGTCAATGCGATCTCGAGGAACAGGACAGCGTCACGGGCGCCGAACTGCTGCACGATACCTCCTTTCTCCCCTTGCAAAAGCATAGTGCCGAATGCAACCCAAGAACCTATAGCGAGGATCACGCCGAGTATTACAGCAATACCCCAAAGCTGGTGCAGGTTCCATTGGACAGGGTATTCGGCATATGGCGCATTGTCGTATGCGATGGACAGGGTAGCAATATCGGCAAAGATGGCGATCAGAACCACCAGGCGGACATCAAGAGTCTGATCCAATATTATGATCCATAGCCCCATGAAACACTCAAGATGGAGCGACAGTGCAATACGGTAGATCACGTAGGCGTACATCCTGTGGAAAATTTGACGAGAACACTTGATAGCGTCAATTATGGCAGAGAGTCCAGGTTGGAGGAAGACAATGTCCGAAGCGGACCGGGCAGCGTCTGAGGACCCTTCAACAGCAATGCCAGTGTCAGCCTTTTTGAGAGATGGTGCATCGTTGACCCCGTCCCCCGTCATGGCAACCAAGTGCCCACGCTGCTGCAGAATTTCCACAACCTTATATTTATGCTCCGGGAACACCTCAGCAAAGCCATCTGCAGCTTCTACAAAGTCATTGACCTCGGATCCAGGTAGATCACCGGCCCCAGTCACGCCAAGGCGTTCCGCATTGTATATGTTAGTGCCCAGCCCAAGTGAACGAGCAGTCTCTCTTGCGATTCCCACGGCATCCCCGGTGAGCATTTTGATGCGAAGCCCCAACTTCTGCGCTTCGTTGATGGTTTGCTTGGTATCATAACGAGGAGGATCCAGGCAGGGCACGATCCCGAGAATTTTCCACTGCTCGCCAGTCTTGCGAGCAACCCCGAGGGCCCGAAATCCACGACTGGCAAACTCAGCCACCTTCTCTCTGTATGAATTCTCAACCTGCTCAGGCACAGGATGATCATTCTGGACAGTGCGCAAGACCGACATTGGGGCTCCTTTCACACAGATCATCTGCTGCCCGCCAAGACTCTGCACAACAGCAGTGATTTTCTTCGAGACTGGATCAAAAGGATAGAAACGGATGGTCCTGTGCACGGCCATCTGAGCCTTGGCATCTGGATATCTCCTCAGACTTTTAATGAAAACACGATCAATAGCGTCAAGACCCTTCTTCTTCCGACTAGCTGCCAAGCAAGCAGTGACGATCAAATCATCAATTTTAACCCCTGGAAGAGTGAACGGGTCACCCAGAGCCAATTTATTGCGGGTCAGTGTACCGGTTTTGTCAGAACATAGAATCTCTGCACCGGCCAGGGATTCAATGGCGGAAAGCCTCTGGACAATACAGGACTTTCGGGCAAGTTCAGAGGCACCGACGGCCATGGTGGTGGTCACAACTGCAGGAAGGCCAACTGGGACCCCAATAACAGTGATTGCCAGTGTGAATTCCAGGATCAATCGAATCTCGTTGGACCGGTAGTATGCGCTGATCCATACCAGGAGTAGCGAAAAGCTCACAAGGGTCATCAAAACTCTTGATATTCCGTCAAGGACAACCGTGAAGTGGCCTTTTCGATTGCTTGCTTTGTTCACAAGGGCTGCAGCCTTTCCAACAAACGTCTTGTCACCGATATCAGTGATTACCATGAATGCCTCGCCACGTTTGATGGTGGAAGATGCAAAGCATGGATCGTTTGAACGCTTGTCCACGGCAAGGGACTCTCCGCTGATTGCAGATTGATCAACCTGGAGGTGTGCATTTTTAGACACGAGGAATCCATCAGCCGGAACAATAACTCCCTACAGCACAGTCAGTACATTATCCTGAGTGCATCGCCTCAGTCGGAGCTTACCTCTTCAAGAAAAACAACATCGCCAGGAACTAAGTCTTTGACGGGAATTTCGACCGTCGTTGCATTTCGTATAACGGTCGCTTTGAGTGCAAGTGTTTTCTTTAGGGCATCAACAATGTTTTCGGCCTGGTATTCTTGGATAAAGCCCACAACAGCATTGAGCAACAGGAGTCCCGAGATCACGCCAAAGTCAATCCAGTCGCGCAAATAGGCGGAGAGACAAACCGCAACCTGATTTCCAGATCTGTCAGCTTCTATTCTACAAGGGTAGTTGCATGCAGTCTGTAGGGGGTTATCCACTTACCTCCATAACAAGCTGCACCGGCCCGACAAAGAGCTTGAGGAACTTAACCACCTTGCTCTGGCGTTCCTCTTTCAAGGTGTTCCATCCGTGCTTTCGTCGTCCAGTATCCACTTCTACCTCATTGAGGCCTGTTTTGAGGTCTGTTGTAGGAATCTTTGTGAGAATATGGATGTCGGTACCAGGGCCGATCGGCAGGACTTCTGGGCCAGGATCTTTGCCATCTTCCTCTTCAAGCTCCTTGATCAAGATGTCCAGGTCATCTTCTGTGTGAAATCTGGTTATTAAGTGGAGGTCTTTAGTCTCTACCCCGCAATCGTCTCCACCGGGGTGGTTGTTGAGAGCGAGTGGCTCAAAGTCGTCGGCGTCTTGGGTCATGGTGATAAAGGTAATTTGCAGATGAAATAATATCAAAAAGCCTATCAAGGAAAAGCCAGCTTATGTACTTCACAATATAAGAATCACAAGCTGAAGAATATCTTTGTGCAGGAGTTATGATAAAGAATGAGGAAGGTTCCCGGGGAAGACAAGCATTATGGCGACACCCGACAATTATGGCAAGACCATTTCCTGTCATTTGGAGCAAATGAAGAAGGCGCAATTCATTCAGGGGAGGCTAACGCGTAGTCATCTGAAGCTTACCCATTGTTGGCTTCTCTAAGGTGCGACCGGCGCGTCTTGCAAAAGAAGCTTCGAGGATGGACCGGAGGCAAGAGCAAGAGCAAGAGCAATGATCTTCGGAAACACTTCACGAGGGTTTCAAGCTTGAATTATCAGCATCAAGACCGCCACCTATTTTCCCAGCCATATCTTACCGATAACGGCACAAATATACAGGAAAACGGTCTTTTTGACCTCGAATACGGATCCAGGCTTGATGGAGATGGCGATGTCTTAGGGCAACGACAACTTACCATGCCTGAGGTATTAGGCACAAGTATTACCTAATCACAGGGACGTCACCGTCGCCATCAGTCGAATTTGCAGATACACTTGAACCCCAATGATTGTGACCTGAGCTGCTCCAGTCGGAGCCTGAAATTGTCACATCAAAGCTGTCTCTTATGTGGAGAGAAATTGCCGGGGCACACTTGCGATCAGAAAGCGTCAACCTCTTCTAAGTCGTTCCCACACCACCCAAAATCAACGCCTGAGAATACTCACGCAGCATTCTACCCTGCACTCTCGTTTATTTTCCTCGCTGCATCTTCCGTATCTTCATACCAGGTCTACTCCCTATGTGACAGAGGTTGTCTGTCCCATTTCCGATTAGAAATCGACTGCGTGTTTTACGTTGTTCCCCCACCACCACTCAAGCTTAACATTTACACTTTTTTTCTTCTTTGCCCTATCGTTGATCTTCCTTCTAGTATCCTGCACATTTGTGTACCAGGAATACTTCTTATTTGACAAACATCTTTGCTGCATCTTGCGATCACAGCCAGTATCTTTTGTGTTGTTCCCACACCACCACCAAAAGTTCTCCTCCTGAGAATTCCCACTTGACATTTCGCACGCCGTTCTTGCTTGTTTGCAGAGCTTTTGCTCTTATCCTCCCATATTACGTGCTGCAACCCACTTTCAAAGCTTTTGTCATTTTCATAACGACATGGCGCCGCGAGAGATCCCGGGGTTTTACTACGGTACGCAACCCCAAGTTTTTCGTGAGCTGAGATCGACAGCTGATAGAATTTACAGACCCCGAGAAAAAAAAGTATTTTCAGATCCAAGCAAATCATGTTGCACCTCCAGGAGCATCATATTCCAATGATAGAGTCAAAAGAAGACGCACAGAAGCAAAGGTTTGTATGCCTTCCCATAGGAAAGAACAATAATTATTAACAGCTGTTTTAGAAAGAACTTGAGCAGGAACAGATCGCCCAACGCATACAGAAAGAGAAAGTACGCAAAGGAGGTATTTTTTATCATCCATTTATCAATGGAGGGAGAGAGATTGGATCCCAGCATCTTTCAACTGCAGCCAGACAGGATCAGCAGGCCCGAACTTTTGCGAGTCAACTTCATCGAAAGAATCTTTGCAAGCTGAAGGGTTGGCAACACGACCTGTCCATTAAGTCTCTTTTCCAGCATCCTCAGACTGGAGATATCTTCGCTGGTTCGTCCTCCTTCTATGCAAACATATTGACAGGGTCGACTTATGAATGTTAACCTATCGAATAGTCGGGCAAGACGGCCCGCACGGTGTATTATTGTAAGTTTCTTATCCGCTCCGTTATCAGTTCACAATTACTGACAAGAGAGTAGCGCAACAAACGCAGATCCGGCGCTTGGAGAGCGGACCCACGAGCAAGGCCATCTATATCTTGCCTTAAAATCTACTGTACGCAAACTCAATATATGAAACATGCCTAGAAACTCACAAAACTTCATTATAGGTTTCTTCGGTCTCCCTGAGTCCGGCAGAGTATATTCTGTAAGCTTCTATATGGGCCCATGTGCGTTCTCATTCAATACTAACAAGCTCCAAGCTTAGCAACGGATGACCTCAGCGGAAATTCATACCTGATACCCCACAGATTTAAGGAGTTTGGAGATCTTGATTTCTCTGAAGAACATGGTACGTGTTACCCCACCAAAATGTCTTATCATCTAGACCCCAAACTCATGCACTGCCGTGTGGATTCAGTTTCTGCCATACCGACAGCAGCTGCCAGGGTTGACTCAACTTTATTCTCCACCGCAGCCTGTCCCACAAAGGACAAGGCCTTATTTGCCGTAGGCACCTCAGAGGGTCTCCACACCCTTGAAGGATCGCGTGACCGATGGACATATTCAGACAAGCCATTCCCGCAAGACGGAATACAAAAGTTTTCCCGGCGGCCTGATAGCTCGCATGCATGCGTTACAGCAGTGGATTGGCTTTCCACGAATGTGATCGCATCGGGTCTACGGGACTCGACAGTATTTTTGCACGACTTGCGCAGCAATAGCAGTGCCGCACGTTTGCAGCACCCGCACACAGTGTCGAAGCTCCTCAGGGTCGACGAGCATCGAATTTTGGTTGCCGGCCATGACGCTGTAAGCATTTTTTCTTCTGTTGACTGGGTATTCACTGACTCCAACATACAAATATAGCTGCAAATTTACGATATCCGATTTGCGCCAAATGGCGTGCAGCGCCGACCAAATCCGATTGCCAAGAGCCACACTGCAAGTCGGCCATACCTGACTTTCCAAGGCTACTCACCGTCTGCAGTGCCACAAATGGACATCTGCGAGGAGCTGGGCCTTCTTGCGAATGGTATATAAATACCCCGGAAGATTTCTATATTGGAAGGATATCTCGGCTGACAAGATGCATAGGCTCGGATACCCAGAAGGTGCAACTGTTCTCATTAAGAACAGGGGCAGAGGTGGCCTCCCCGCTCGAAGATCATAAATACTCGCATCCTATCGAAGCTCTGCGATTTGGCAACGGTGAGGAGATATCGGCAGGTGGAACGGGGGTGCCGAGCCTGCTAATTGGCTCGAACAAGAGGATCGATGAGTGGAGGTGGTGAGAGGGGTGGGCTTTAATCTTTTTTTTTTGTTAAATTAGCTTTAGCATATATCGTTAGCATTTACGTGATACCGAGTGTTGTGGGAGAGGCCATCTTCCACAACCATCATAGACCCTCTAGCTCTCACTAACGATTCCTAATACCCATCGTAATCCTCAAAACTATCTTCTGATATGTCTTCGGTCGTACCTCACTTGGGCAATAGCGCCTTGTCCGAGAAGAGGCCAAATATGCGTCTACAGCCTTGCGGTGGAGTGCAATAAGAGAAAGGTTAGGAAGCAGTCGGGCGATACGGTCATTTCGTCTTTCCATGGATCTCGCTTCATTCCAATGGCTAGAGGCCCCGGATGTTGCCACATGTCGCCCTCGCCACTTTCTGGAAGAGGATGAAGACTCCGTGAGTGTAGATCATGAAGCTATCTGGGTATCCTCCCTTTATCTTTATAGTAAAAACGATATCCATGGTTATACCTATTCAACGCAAAATTCCGTCTATGCTATAAAGTGCATATTAAAAAAAAAGTACCATACATGCACGCTTGAAGCCAGCGTAAACAGCTCCTATGGCATCATGATATACTCTTAGTCTTACAATTGAAAGGACACAAACATAAAGAAACGGGTATAATTCATTCGCATCTCAAGATACCATGCAACCTAACCAACAGCAAATGCATCAAGTAACAGAAACCACTCATCGTACTCCAAATAGTGAAACAGATGAAACCCTTTAGTCCAAACCACCAGCTAGCCACTCCCCAACCTCAACACCAATGCCCTTGGCCAACTCGCCAATCCAGTCTCCAGAAACGTTAACACACCATTTCTCCCCTGCATCTGCACTGGTATTTCCACTAGCAGTCGTTCCAAGACCACCATGGTGGCCCGATGCCGGTACAACCAGACGCAAACGACGAAGTGTGGCTAACTCAGCGTAGATCTGGTCCGCGACTGCACCTGTGCGAATGGGATTCTCTGGAGGATTGGGGTCGATGGCGTGGTAGATGGCTAGGAGACGCTCGAGTGGGAATGGGCGCGCCGTGAGAATTGTAGAGGGCCCTGTGATACCGGAGCCACCTCCCATGGCAGACGTAGTCGCTGAAGAGGTAGCAAAAGCAGAGGAGAGAGTAGATTTTGTAATACGGGTCTTGGTCCGTTTACCCTTTTTGTTTGGAGTTGAAGGGTCGTCTTTAGCGGCTTGTCTCATTTCTTCCGCTTGGGCCTGGGAAAGAACCTTGAGACGTCGGCGGTGGTGAGCGCGCTTGTTACGTGCAGAAAGCGAGGAGGAGGAGAATTTGGAGAAGAAGATCGTGTCCAGGCGTTGTGGGGTATGTGAAGCGACGTATGCAGATGTCAAGATTAGGGTCGAGAAGTATGGCAAAGAGGGCAGTCCTGAACGGGCGACGCCGGTCGATAAGGGCTTCCGGAAGGTATTGCTCGGGGCAGAAGAGTCCTCGGGCACAATGCGGTGAACAAGGGCTGATTCACCTTGGTGTCTGAAAAGCGCCCTGTTCTTGACGAGAAGTCGCGCAAAGTCCCACTCGGTGTTGCCAGGGGGTACTTCACCCTGCACCACGGGAGCCACGAATTGGGGCCATAGCCTCTCGCAAATAGATCGAAAGTTCGGGACCGAGCCGGCCGTCGGTCCAACCAATGCATCATAAATGGTCGAAACAAAATGTGGATATACGCGAGAGATGATTTCCTCAGGCAGACCTTCAATCGTGGGCGCGGGAGAAGCCATCAAGATATTGATCATCTCTTTCCGAGTGTATGGCGGGAAGCTAATATGAGGAACGGACGCACTTTGGAGGAATAGTGGTCGTGGGGTCGAACTAAGGACTAGAACAACACAAAGCGACGGAATCTAGGAATTTGTTAGTGCTGACCTAAAGGGCACGACTCTGGGGATAATCTTTTAACGTATACTCACAATTTCCCCAAGCCGAGCCAGCGCTGAGAGCAGGGTTGGTGGCGCCTCTCTTTGCCTATCAATCTCATCCAATACCAAGACAAAGTTTCCTTGTTTCTCTGCAGGCCTCGCGGCCAGACATTCCTCCAGGAGGACGACCAGAGTACTAACATGCTCGCATCGACCCTTTCCGAACTTCTCCCACTCGTCTTTCTGGCCAAATGCCTCCAATGTATTCCAAAGGATCTTCGTCAGCAGATGTCGGCCGGTAATGCACTCGGTGCTTCGGACTACAGCATGGGGTGCTTCAAGGGCAGCAAGAACCCCCCGTACAATTGTCGATTTGCAGGTCGCGGAGACACCGTGAACAACCACAGTCGACGGATTGGGTAATTGGGGCTGTAGCGTCAAAACAGTAGATTTAGCAATTGGTGCAAGACTTGTGGTCAGTTCATTGCGGAGCATCTCGACGCCGCGGAGAAACTTACATGAAGCAGACTGGCAAGTTGTCGCGCCTGGACATCCCGGCATGGCCATTGTGCGCTCAGAGAGCGGGCAATGTCAGCGGGCTGCATGAAGCGTGGATAATGCAAAGTTACTCCCGCTGGAATGCAATGTTGTTTTGCAGGGTCGAAAGGATGCGGACTGCGGACCCAGCTTGACTTCCCCGAAGGTCCATTAAAGTCACGTGGTGTCGCGACGCGTCGATAAGCTTTATCACGGCACCCATGCTATATACAGGGTTATTGATTTTGGTTTTGGGTATGAATTTTACAGAAGGAGAAAATTGGGAGAAATGAATTCAATTCCCGCTGCTAAGAATGGAACCGGGTCAAACGTATTGAAGTATGAACATGTATTGCGGCCAAGTAGGCCAACTGGGATACAAGGTGTACCACTAGTATCACCCAGTCCTGAAAAAGAAATTCAGATCTAGTTATTTAGTAGCGCCTCGAATCCTCCATGAACACATCTCCAAGTGGAAACCCCATTGATAAGGAGTCTTGGTCACCCAACGTTCGGTTGTCGATCAGTGTGTGCAGGCCTACACACTGAACAGATGCGCTGTCAAATCAATGAAAACGCAAATACATGCTTGTGAAACGACATGATGATAGAAATGAAACGAGAGAAGGAAAATGGGAAAGGAAATAAAATGTTGTGTGAAAACAAGGGCAGGAAAGGAACTGAATTTCCAAAACCTGACGCACCAACGGCAGCAATGAATCTCATCGCCTGTTATGGGGGTCAAATCCTGGAAAGTATTGAAGATCAGCGTGTACAAATGGGGTTGAAGACGGTAAAAACGAGTCAAGAGGGAGAATTCGGGCTGTTGCAATGATGGAATGCAGAATGCAACAAGTAAATCTTGCCATATAACGGAATGGACATTGCTTTACACAGGTAGAAATCCGATGTGTCAAAGGTGATGAACGGTCCACGTAAATGGAAGAAAATGCAGCAACCAAGAGAATCATGGTATGTGCAGCCGAGCCACAGTCTGATGATAATCTTGAATGGAGATCCGTGAAATCATGAAAAAAAATATCGTGGTATCGTGTCGATATGAATACAAGGGGAAAGGGATGAACGGTATTCACAGAAAAAGCTTTCCGATCCCCCATTTAGAAGTAGTTGAAAGAGTCATCATTGGTCGGCTCGAAGGGTGGGTGCTGGGAGTCGTAAGACGGGTTCTGCGTAGCAAAGTTTGACGGGGAAACAGGCGCAGGGAACATCAAAGAGTTCTCGTTGCCTCCGCTGGGGGAGTGTTCGCAGTAGAGCTCGACGCAGGGGTGGGCGGGAAGGTCTGGAGACCGTAATCATTGATACTAGAGGCCATCTCGCTCTTCTTGGGCCGGGGGTTGGCAAGCTGGTTGGTGCTGTTAATCTCGCGCAAGGTGTGTTCGCTGTTCGTGCGAAGATGAGTCTCAGCCACAAGAATCTTGCTGGCGATGCGGCGCCCATGCGGGGTCTGACGGATAGTAGGAAGGACGGGACGGATAGCCTCGATAATGCGATTGCAAGTCTGCGGATCCGCATTATCCAGAGCCGTCTGGATGACATAGTTTCCATACTGATGACGCAGGCAGTCTGCAAACATATCGCTGTTGATCATCTCATCAATCATCTCACGGCGGACGGGCTTTGAGCATGTGCGCAAACATTTTTCAACAACATTGGAGCTGAACTTATGCATGGCCAACTTGATCACGTTGCCAAGGAAGCCCTGGCAGATAGGTGTGGTGAAGCTTGGCTCATTAAGGTCCAGGATGTATTGGACGACATAGTTGCCGAAGGGGTCCTGGACAAGTTTGTAGGAGTGGTCGGTGATCTGAGAAACCAGGTGTGCCTTCTGAGCACCTGATGCATGGTCAATGCAGCGCTGCAGGACGCAGCATCCATGGCGGTGAGTACCGACTACGATGCACGCGCCGCCAACAGCCTCATAGATGAAATCAGCATCCTCAGAACGGAGACGGTTGAGGCACTTCTGGATGACGTGGTTGCCATTGAGGTCCTTAACCAGATCAACAACGTGATCAGCAAGTGCATCGATCACAGTCTGAGTCTGCTCATGGGTAGAGATGGTCTCAATCATTTTCTGAAGCGCACGTGTTCCATGCTGATTGAACGCAATGGTGACCAGCTGAGGGGCCGCATTGTCAATCAGAACAGTGCGCTGCTCATCATTGGCCAGGTCCAGCAATTTCTGAACAAGGTAGTTGCCAAACGGATCCATCATCAAGTCGGTCACATGCATGTAAGTCTCACTAAAGATAAGCTGAACGTTCTCGGGATTATCATCATCCAGCTTTCGCTGCAAGTATCGGCACCCGTGCTGGTCCTTGCAAAGACTGTACAGCTCGCCCTTGTAGTGCTCAAGGGGGTGGATGAAGCGATTCTGCTGCTGGCCGTCGAAACGATTCTGCTGAGAGGCATCGAAACGATTCTGCTGGGAGATCTGCTGAGGAAGATCTCGGCTAATCTGGTACTGGGAGGCCTCTCCCTCAGTTGCACGTCGTAAATTGTTTCCACCACGGATTGGACCATCATTGGCACGATAGCCATTGCTGGCATGGTTGGAATAGGCACCGTAAGGGTTTGGTTCAGCGTAACTTGGCATCATTTGACTGGGATGGGCACCATAAGCCTGCATGCCCTGGTTGAATGCGGGGAATGGCATTCCAACGGGAGCAACAGAGCCGTTTATACCGTTGATGCCGTTGTTGGACATGGGCGAAGTAATCTGGGGCCCAAAAGGCGCAGCGCTTGCCTGCAGCATCGTTTGACCAGACTGGTTGTTGTGGTTCGGGGATTCTGGAGATCCTCGGGCCTGGTGGGAATGGATACCGTTTGAAATGCGCCCAACGCTGACGTTGCTGACGTTGCTGGCATTGCGGTGATGAAGGTGGTCAGCATGGGTCTTGGGTGGAGTAATGGCGGCATCGAAGCCTGTGCCCCTGACTGTAGGTACATCATTGGTCGAGTACGACACCCGGGCACTGGGGCGGCTGTGGGAGGGAACGGGAGTCATAGACTCGTCAGAGCGCTCGTTGGGGAAAACCAAGCCACCCTCAAGAGAGTGTCGAGCATGGTGGCGGTGAGCAGAGCTGTGGTCCTCAGTCTGACCTCCCAGGCGATCCAAGCGGATGATGTCAGTGAGGCTCTGGGGCATGCTCTGGTGGGAAGAGCGGTTGCGGTTATGGTAGGAATAAGTTTCATGGCCCGAGGTACGAGAGTTTGCCAGGTCGTGAGCATCCGGATTGGCCGCCAGCTAAACAACGAAGTTAGAACAAGTCCATAAACAAAGGAAAACTGATTGAATTATTCACTTACCATGTTCGTACCCTCGCGGCGAAGAGTTGGGAACTTGTCGTCGGGTTCAGTCATTCTGATATAGCCTTTGATATCGGGAGTAGACAGACGGGGTTCGTCTTTGGCAAATGATCTGTCATCGTCATGGAAAAAATGCTTCACAGCCGAAAATGAGTCGAAGCCAGAAGTAGCATTATGGCCATTCATGTAACCGTTGGTGTTGCCATTAGTATTGCCGTTCATGTGGCCGTTCATGTGGCCGTTCGCGTGGCCATTGGTGGGGCCATTCATATGGCCATTCATGTTGGGTCGATATGGGTTGTAGTGGTTGTTGGAAGGCATCGAGTTGCGGTGTCTAATATCAAGTCAATCACGTTGTTCGGTGAAAGTCGAAGGTGCATAATGAGACAAGAAAAAATACACAGAAAAAAGTAGAGGCGGGGCGATTTTGAAAAACATTGAAAGCGAAACGCGAGAGAAAGGTGAAAGAAAAAAAAAAACTTACGATGAGCCGCGGATAGTTGAAGGATCGATGCTAGTATCGAACAAAAAGCTGTCCTTCTCAGAGTTCCGGCGAGACCCAGGAAGGGAGTGAGCAACAAAACGGTCCACAGATTGGGCGTGCGAATGGTTAGATTGAGGAGCTTGGGGAGAAGTAACGTTGGAAGGAGCAAAAGCACTGAAGAAGCCAGGAGATGAAGTCACGCTAGTAGGTGGGAAGCGTGCAGATCTTCCTGCACTAGACAAAGTCGGCTCACGATACTCGGGAGGGGTAGTGGGTTCACTGGCGCGGCCAGCAATACCGGCTTTGGCAAGATCGCGTGCAAGCTTGTCCATCTCGATCTTTTCCTTTTCGTGCTGGATATCGAGTAGTTTCATGTCTTCTTCAAAACGCCGTTTTTGTTCACGCATGTACTCAATATGCTGTCGTTTCTTCTCAAACTGCGGGTTGTCAGACGAAACTCATGATAGAAGGATAAAATGGATGAAAAGAAAATGTGTGAAGGTGATAGTAGGTTTGATCAAGATGATGACGCGTTGAGAATACGTCTTAAAATGATCAAAGTTGAATGTCAAACAGGAGATGGAAACGGAATAAAAGAGGGGAGTGGAAGAAGGAAAGGGATATGGGGTAAAATCAAAGCGGAGAATCTTATAATTCGTGGAGGCAAGGTGAAGTAAGATCGATTCAACTTCAATTCCACATGACGACTTAGAAAGTGACATAGAAATTTGAAGTGAATTTCGACCTGATGTTTGCTTGGCCCAGAGTATCCTTGTGTAGGCAGTATACCTTTAAATCAGATACTCAGAAGGCAACGACACCAGGTAGGCTCAGTGAATGTCCAAGCCTGAGTCGATGTGACCTCACTTGAATCTGTCTGAAGGCAGGAGGCAACAATGTAATGATGTGATGTTGGTGATTGGCAAAGGGAAATGAGACCACGGCAACAAATCACACACAATCATGGGCGTTAGGGCATCGATTGATTGACACAGACAGAACTTGATGTCCAAGCCACTCTACCAAATGCCGTTCCCGTTGTCAGATCAATCAACACACCTAACGCCGAGGGTTTATGCAAACAGATAATAAACTTTATTCTGTATGCATAGCCCTGCACCAATCTGTGGATTTGTGCCATTGGTCCAACGCGCGCAAATTGAACTGCAGAATAACCAAGGAAATATTTATACGCACCGACGACAGCAGGTCCAGGGGGTCGGGCATCGGGGTCGACCCCTGGTTCAAGAAGTTCCAAGACGAGAGCTTGCTCGAGTCTGTGGTGAATCGACGTTGCAGGTTGGCGCGAACATCGCTAGTTGGTCGTGAAAAGCCCGACCCAAAGTTCGAACTCCCCGGCGAGAGGGGGTTATAAGTCGACTCGGAGGGAGGAGAGCGCGGGGAAGGGAATCGCAGCTCATCGAGGCGTTCGCTCAGCCCGTTTTTGAAAGCCATGATGGGCAGAGCAGGCAAATTGTTCCACTATAAACATCCAACGTCTGGCGTCAGCAGTAGTTCTCCGAAGTTCGTCGTAGCCTGCGGAGTGCTTTTTAAGACATTGGGGTACAGCAATGACAGCGCCCCCCCAGCCCCAAATTTCCACGCCACGAGGGATTCGGTGGCCGGCCAAGGGGTGCTTTTTGACAGGTGTGTGGCCGAGCGGTGTGGTGTGTCGCAGGCTGTCCTTAAGTAAGGGGGGTCGAGAGGGGCCGGAGGGGTGGTCGGAGATGATCTGCGCAAAACGGATCCCACTCACACAATGAACGCCTCGAGAGAAGGAGGATGATTGACGATCAGGATCCAGCAGTCTACTAAGTAAGTAGATGCATCTATAGGTGGTTTTGTGCGGCGAGAGAAAAAATCAACAAGCGCTGGTTGTACCTGGAAAATGCGGAGATCAGCCGCAGGGAGTCGCAGAGTGGGATGGAGGAACTTACCGCTAAACCCTCCACTTAGCGAAACACGGTAGTCCGAACAAACGAGTGTGTTCACAAAGACAATAGTACAAGAGACCTAACAATATGCCAAAGGAAGGATACAAGAACTGTTGTACAGGGAGATGGTAGGGGAAGAAGAAGAAAGGAGGAGAGGCTGGGAGAGGAAGGGGAGTGATCCAGAGCGGGGAGTCTCTTCGCAACCCTAATCGGGAATGGCCGTAAGAACTCCCTTTTTTTTCGTTTTTCTTTTTTTTTTAGGAGATTGATTGGGCTCGCTTGTGGTAGATTTTCTTCAAATTAAACTACAGGTTTAGGGTTGGTGAAAATCTATAATCACGTAGCTATTTTCTTTGATCTTAGTATCCGACCGTGTTTGTAACCAGTCTCAGCTTAACCCATATCATTGGCTTTTATGCCCCCAAATTCGCCCCCATCGTGACCCCAAACATCATGACCAAAAGTCCTGATTCAAATGATATGATTAATCATTTCAAAAATCTCCAAATACCGTAAATCTAGTGCGAAATTGACGGCCACAGCAGATGATCGACCACAGTTACTCGGGAATTGCTCGGGGCCAAGGCATGATTGGAGAGGCTGCACCTGTACCACCAAGATGCAGCTATCTTTGCGCCCCCGGGGAGAGTCCAGCCCGGGGTATATGGTCAATCACTATGACAGAGGCTCGATCCCTCTTTTCTCGGTCGCCTTGTTTCTTATTTTGTGTCTTTCCACCATGTTTAATTCTATAGTGGACTGGAAGATGGTTGGTTCTGTTGTACCTTTAGGACCTTTTCCGATGACTTTTTCACTTTTTTTTTTTTTTTTGCCTCCCATAGCGCAAAAGCTATTGACTCGATTTCGGTCGCGCAAGGGGGTAGAGGAAAGCGGAGAGAAAAGAATGCGCTGTTCGCGAGCGTGGCAGCTGCAGATGCATGAATCCACGCCAATTGAGTAGCCACTGTATCATTTTAGGCGAGTGGAGACGCGCCGAGTGGTGCTGCGAGGATGTGACAGCGGATCGCCCTCTAAGATGGTTAGCCACCGCACGGGGCGACTAGTACCTGGATCGGACAGGTTTCGGTGGGAACGGATTTTATCTTTACGGAGTAAATTCTGCGGAGTCCAGAATACTTTATTCATGGTTTCCTTTGTTCCCAAATGTCACTTAGAAATAAGGATTTCCCTAGACCTGGGTCTAATCGCGTGCTCGGATGGTTCGCGCCGCGGCCATTTGGCGCGATTCCCAAGGTTCATATCATTCTCAGTCCGAGAGATCCATGGTTCCGTCCTGGAAACAAAGACACATGGCTTTGGTCTTTTAACCTTTCTATAATTGCAATAGTCCTGAACACAGTGATTTTTTCTTTTCTTTTCTTGGGAAGTGGACTTTTTCCCCTCGTTACCGATAAGGACTCGACTGGCGAGATGAGCGGTGAACGTGATACAAGCCATTGGCGCTGATCTTGTCCTTTAGAGCCCCTGATCCACCGAATGACGAGCATACCACCAGTGTTTGTGGAGATCATGCATCAAATGAACCCCAATCTCCCTTCTCGGAGAACGGATCGCCAATCATCACGGACCACTTGTTGCCCCTCATACCCTGGTCTTTAAGTCATGATTTATTTCCGTATGATTTGATCTTCAAGGCTGGAATCTTTTCCGATTCTTCATCCGAGAGCAAGGGTCTGTGCCACAAGACAATTAATAATGCCGGAACGCGATCATCTCCACGAAATGACACATACACTTCGGAGACGACTAGTGTCAACGCTAGTCCGATTGCCGAAGGATTCATCCGTGGCCACCGAAGCCTGGCGCTCGTTAGAGGCCCAAAGGGACCAAAGATTGGTCTTTCATGCCCAACGCCCAATTTACGCCTCGACCGATTTGCAATGGTTACACGGTTCTGAACGGGAATTCTATGCGTATTGACACGAGATCACAGGGATCTCCCAATATAAGCTCAACTCAACTTCCATATGCATCGAGAACGGCATTTTGAGTTGGTTGACCCATTGGCAAATCAATCCCCGAAAGGGAGATGCCCCGCACTCTTCAAATCCCTGCAACAGCACGTCTAGAACCATAGCCGCGATCGATACTTTTCGCAAAGGTTGCACTTCGGCCCGGTTCTATCATCTGCCACGTGTAGACTCCTTTCTACATTGTGCGCTGATTCTAATTTTCATCTGTGGATTACTCCTGGTCTGTGGATTACTTATGGAGCCCGTATCTGACGTAGCCGCCTGCATGAAGGTATGACCCGTAAACCATTCACAAAGCACTTGCATTGTGGGTTCGAGGGAATGATTCTTGGGCATTAAAGCCCACAGTCTTGGTTACTTTGGTTCTAGTGCACTAGTGGCGACTCCAAGCATTCTTACAATCTAGAAGTTGCGGTCAAGCGGGATTTGCCACAATATATTCCCCATCTCGATTTCCCGAGGTCAAAGTGGCTGTTTTGTCAAGGCTATAACTGCCAACGAATCAAAGCCCTAGCGCTGAAATGGCTACTGTGAAACACGCTATTAATATATTATTCCCTGCCATTTTGAATATTTCCAACTTTCAGTGTTCAGGCTTCTCTATGACAAGAAATTCCGATAACGCTTGTTCCCATGATTAAATGCAGTGACTTGAAAATAGGCCTGCCTGGGGTTCACTCCGGTCTTTTCTTCTCCTGACTCAATGCATGAGATAACCTCAGCTGTGTCTGACTTCTAAGACCAGAGCTATAAGTAAGTAAATCATGTACGACCTAACCAACTAAGTGGGTTCTAAACCCGTCGTCCGTGCAGATTCCCATGTCTGTAGCTGCTCACGCTGCAATCGTGAGGATTCCTAGGGCCCCACTTTGACACATCAGTGGACAAGAATGCCAAGCATTAAAGTATCTCCATGAAGTAGGGCTGTGGCCCGTGGCCCTTGGCCCTTTGCCTGTTGTTCATTCATTTATATAGCCGCCTCTACCTGTTAGAAATTGGCATATTAGCTATTGCCAACCTTGGAATTGGGTCTCTTCCTTTATCTGCCACTATATATAAGAGCGCTGAGGTCCTGAAGTCATACTACTGGTTTGGCAAATACAACAGAGTCAAGTTTTCTTCAGTGTATATGATGGTAGTACTCCATGGCTCTATTTGCAAGATAGCAGGATGTAGCAAAAATGAACGTGGGAAGAACAAACATTAGAGTGATCCCAACTTATGCTTATTAACCCAAATCCAACCTGCCCGGTCAATTGAACTTGCATTTACCTACATATGATAGATTGTAGGTGTCGGTGAGAACCGACAATTTGATGCTCTGCAATATAGAAATGAACACGAAAACACCACTGATAATTTGAAGCTGGCCATGACTTAAGTTGTTGCAGCAGCTACATAACTTGCGGCTATGTAAATACCTATGATGCCTCAGGTGTCGACGCTAACGGATAGCTCATGGGTTAGATAAGCGCATCTCCAAATTCTCTCTTTCCCCTCCATGTCAAAGGTGATGCATCTCGCGATCGCGTCCAACCTAAACCGTTCCCTGGCCTGAGATCTTCCGAGAGCGAAAATCTCTGAATCTTAGTTACCTTGCCACAATGCCGCCTCGCAGGAGGCCACAGCCCTCCGCGGCCACTCAGGCTCGCCGGGCTTCTGAGGTAACAAAACTTTTTTTCCCCGCGCGTTGCCCGCAACTGTCCGATCCTGGACACTCATACTGACCATTTTCATTGCCATTACAGGCGGGTCACCAGTCAGCGGACTCGTCAAAATCTGCGCGCCCCTCCATATCCCACGAATCAGCCCAGCCGACCCAGCCGACTGCCGCGAAGAACGACGATGACGATTATGTCAAGTACCAGCACCGAGATCCTTTCAATGCGCTCTTGGAGCCATTCTACTACAACAAATCGCTCACCGATCCAATCAACACTGCGAGGGACAAATGGAATTTGCTTCCCGCCTTCCTCAAGGTTAAGGGTCTGGTGAAGCAGCACATCGACTCATACAACTACTTTGTTGAGGTGCAGATGAAGAAGATTGTGGAATCAGCCGGTGTTATTCGCAGCGACATTGATCACCATTTCTACGTCAACTTCACGAACATTTGGCTTGGATCGCCCCGCCGCGCCGATGAGACTCAGGATGCTGGAATTGACTTTCAGTCTGATATCACACCCCAGGAATGTCGGCTTCGAGATACCACTTATGCTGCCCCGATTCTGATCGACTTCGAATATGTTCGTGGCCGACAACGCGTTGTCCGACGAGGTGTGGCCATCGGTCGGATGCCGGTCATGCTTCGCAGCTCCAAGTGTGTGCTGGCAGACAAGACCCCGGCGCAGATGTCTGTCCTCAACGAGTGTCCGTTGGACCCTGGTGGCTATTTCGTTGTCAATGGAACGGAAAAGGTTATTCTGGTCCAGGAGCAATTGAGCAAAAACAGAATCATCGTGGAAACGGACCCCAAGAAAGACATTGTTCAGGCCTCGGTAACCAGGTATGGAACAGATATGCAAAATTTTCGCCGCACGGCATTACTGACAACTCGACAGTTCTTCAAATGAACGTAAGTCCAAGAGTTACATCGTGCTGAAGAAGGGACGACTATACGTGAAACACAACGTCCTCAGCGAAGACCTGCCGATCGTTGTGCTGTTGAAAGCCATGGGTATCCATACCGACAAAGAGATGCTGCAGATGGTGGCTGGTGATGATAGCCAATACCAGGACGATTTTGCCATCAACTTCGAAGAGGCTCTCAACCTGGGAATTTTCACCCAACAGCAGGCTTTGGATTGGATGGGTTCTCGAATCAAAATCAACCGGAAGACAGGCGCATACCGCCGGACCCATGTGCAAGAGGCAGTGGAAGCCATTGCAACTGTCATCATTTCCCACATTGAGGTCAAGGATATGAACTTCCGCCCCAAGGCCATCTATGTCGCTCACATGGCCCGTCGTGTGTTGATGGCCAAGGCCGACCCGTCTATGGTGGATGACCGTGACTACCTCGGAAACAAGCGATTGGAATTGGCTGGTCAGATGCTGGCTCTTCTGTTCGAGGATCTCTTTAAAAAGTTCTGCTTTGACATCAAATTAAATATCGACAAGGTCTTGAACAAGCGCAACAGAGCGGAACAATTTGACGCATGGAGTGTCATGAGTATGCATGGCCACCATATCACTCAAGGCATGAACCGAGCCATTTCTACTGGTAATTGGAGCTTGAAGCGTTTCCGTATGGAGCGTGCTGGTGTGACTCACGTACTCAGTCGTCTGAGTTATATTGCTGCCCTTGGTATGATGACTCGTATCAGCAGTCAGTTCGAAAAGACTCGAAAGGTCTCTGGTCCTCGTGCTCTTCAGCCGTCGCAATTTGGTATGCTGTGTCCTGCCGATACTCCTGAAGGAGAGGCTTGCGGTTTGGTCAAGAATTTGGCTCTCATGACACACATTACGACCAATGACGAGGAAGGCCCGGTGCGAAACTTGATTTTCATGCTCGGCGCAGAAGACATTTCAACAGTCAGTGGTATTGAGCTCTACAAGAAAGGAACCTACACTATCTCAATTAACGGTACACCGACTGCTTTGACAAGACGGCCCAAACACTTCCTCAACTCTTTCCGCCGACTCCGTCGCATGGGAAGAATTTCGGAGTTTGTCAGTATTTACATCAATCACCACCAGCAAGCAGTACACATCGCAACTGACGATGGTCGTATTTGCCGACCGCTCATTATTGTTGAAGATGGTAAATCCCGAGTCCGGCGACACCACTTGGAAAAGCTGCGCGAAGGAAAGATGGCATTCGATGATTTCCTTGCTCAGGGATTGGTTGAATATCTCGATGTTAACGAGGAGAATGATTCCTTAATCTCCATTTACGAGAAGGACATCACTGAGGCCACCACTCATCTCGAGGTTGAGCCTTTCACTGTCCTTGGTGCTGTTGCTGGTCTTATTCCTTACCCCCACCACAACCAGTCTCCTCGTAACACTTATCAATGTGCTATGGGTAAGCAAGCAATTGGTGCAATTGCTTCTAATCAATTCCAGCGAATTGATTCCATTCTTTACCTGATGGTATACCCACAAAAGCCAATGGTCAAGTCCCGAACCATTGAGTTGGTCAAATACGATCAACTTCCCGCCGGTCAGAACGCGACCGTTGCTGTCATGAGTTACTCCGGTTACGATATTGAGGATGCCCTGGTTTTGAACAAGGGCTCGGTTGACCGTGGATTTGGACGTTGCCAGGTCTTCAAGAAGTACGTCACAAATCTCAAGAGTTACCCGAACGGAATGAAAGACCGTTTGAACCCTCCTGAGTATGAGAACGACGCTCCGATCCGCAAGCACGCGCTTCTGGAGGCCGATGGTCTGGCGGCTGTAGGCGAGAAGGTCAGCGCGGGTGAGGTCTACATCAACAAAGTAACCCCCGACCAGGCCCACACGAGTGGAATTATGGGCTCCGACACTGGAACTACCTCCTACAACCCTGCTTCCATGTCATACAAACTGCCTGATCCCGCATACATTGACAAAGTCATGCTCTCCGCCACCGAGGGCGAGACCCAGCTCATCAAGGTCCTGACTCGACAGACCCGTCGTCCCGAAGTCGGTGATAAATTCTCATCTCGTCACGGACAGAAGGGTGTCGTTGGTATTATTGCCGATCAGATGGACATGCCTTTCACTGAATCAGGCATCAACCCTGATATCATCATGAACCCTCACGGTTTCCCGTCTCGTATGACAGTCGGTAAGATGCTGGAGTTGGTTGCTGGTAAGGCCGGTGTTCTTGCTGGTCGACATGGCTACGGTACTTGTTTCGGTGGCACTCCCATCGAAGAGACATCGCAAACCCTCATCGACCACGGCTTCAGCTATGGTGGTAAGGAGTTCCTCACATCTGGTATTACCGGTGAACCCCTCCCATTCTATGTCTTCACGGGTCCCATCTACTACCAAAAGCTCAAGCACATGGTCCAAGACAAGATGCACTCGCGTGCACGTGGTCCCAAGGCCACCCTGACCCGACAGCCTACGGAGGGTCGTTCGCGTGATGGTGGTCTCCGTCTCGGTGAGATGGAGCGTGATTGTTTGATTGCCTACGGAACTAGCCAACTTCTGCTGGAGCGTCTCATGATATCGTCTGATCGTCATGAGGTTGATATTTGCGAGAAGTGTGGTTTCATGGGATTCCTGGGCTGGTGCCCTGGATGCAAGTCCACTCGTTCTGTCTCGAAGATGGTCATCCCCTACGCTGCTAAGCTTCTGATTCAGGAGTTGATGAGTATGAACGTTGCTGCCCGCTTGAAGCTGGATGATGAGTTCCCAGAGATGAAGGGCCGTTAATATTATAGCTATGGGTAGGAGGATTTGATTTTCTTTCGGCCAATTTTGGCCATGGTGTTATGGAAAAACAAAAGAAGGACTAGAGACGGATTCTATCTAGTTCATGTACATTGTCTTCACGAATGGCATAGCGCGGCGATTTGAACATTACCCATTTTCCAGGACTACCAGTAAAACATTCTCAATAGTCACCGAGATAAATCAAATTCTAGTGGCTCTAGCACTTCAATTGACAAAGCAGAAATCAGTAGCAAAGAATGACCCCGAAAGCACCAAACTAAAGCAACAGAACCCTCGACTCAAACGCAACATGCTGATATCGCATAAACTCGTTCAACTCTTCCAAGAACTTATACCTATGGTCCAGAGCCTCAGTAAGCGTCATAGGCATATTCCCCTTCTTATACTTATTCGCCAGCGCCAATTTCGCCATAGCAGCAGCCAGATCCTCTCCCTCCCCTTGCTCAGTCTCGAGCGTCCAATCCAACCGCTGAGGAGGAATGTTAGCCGTGGAGATAATGCGGATATTAGGATCAACGAGGTAGAACACAAGACAACTACTCGAGCCAGGCTTCGACTTGTCTTTCAGCTCGTACTTCACCATCCGGTGCTGCACTGTGCTGGGGAAAATGATTACACGGCCAACTGGGCACCGGATTGAGCCCGAGGACTGGACAGCTGGTTCGCCATTCTCAAGTCCGAAGATTTGTTTCAACCAGATGAAGTCGCCGGGGTCGTGCTCGACCTCGCTGAGCATGTCTGTGTCGACTATGTTGCGGAATTCCATGGAGGCCTCTTCCATGTTCTCATATTCCAGGAAGAGGAATGCTGCGGCGCAGATGTGTTCGTTCTAGAATACATTTAGTTATTAGTTAATTCGCATGCGATGAGTACTTGATGTGCGCTTGACTTACCATCTGTCCCTCTACATGCCACTCTGTTTCGTAGTAAGGCGATTCCGGCCACACATCCACAGACATCATACGCGTGATCACCTGCAATCCACGATCCTTGTAGTCCTTGTTCAGATTGACACTTTGCTCAATCCGCACAGGGGAAGGAAGATCCTCCGCCAATTCAGACATCATGCATTGCGGGACAGCCCAAGGAACAAACTGATCAACATCAGGCTGGACAGCACGATAATTCTCCATCCTCCATTTCTCAAAGCGTTCATCGAACACAATCTGTGCCTCCCGATCCAGAATCTTAGGCGCCTGTTCGCTGATTCCCTTCGTGACAGGGTAGTACTCAGCCTTGCTGTACTCGATTCGCGCTCGGGAATGCAACATATCTTTTAGCGGAGTCATTGTCATATTCCACTGCGGAATCATGCAGTTGAAGATATCTTCGATGACTTTGTATATATTACGGTGCTTAGCCGGGTGCAGGTTGTTGATGTACGTGGCGATATGCCAGCGGCCATCGCCACCGAATTCCCAGTCTGATGGCAGCATCTGGTAGGATCTGCTGTATGGCCGGACGGAAATGTCTGCGCGTGAAGAGACACGCCACGCGATATCTTCGCGGGTTATGCCTGTTTCTAGGGGCATGGGGATGGTTTTGCCTTGTCCAGCGTAGCGAAGTGCGTCGTCAAGACCAATGAGTTCATCTGGGAGGATGCGACTCTTTCCATAGACGAGTGGGTAGAGGGCCATGGAGAGCAGATCGCGCTGGTTGGAGAGAGACCCGGGACCGTAGAATTGCAGCTCCTCGTCTGAGTATACCAGGACCTTGGTTGAATTTATCAAGTCTTCAACGAGGCTACTAGGCACGTTTGAGTCGGACTTGGTGACGTCGCCGTTGTAGAGAGACACGGCATTGTTCACTTTGTATACCATGGCTTTGAACTTTAACTCTTCGATGATCCACTCGGACATATTTTTGGTGATGTCTGCACCGCTTCTAAGTGCCATTTCCTTCCACTCTTGTGCAGTATTGGAATTGTGGATCTATCCCAATTTAGTATTTGTATGTGTCGGACTAGAATAGTAAAGCAGGTACCTTCTTCCACCACTCAGGGATATCAGTAATTTCCTCCATCACCGAAACCATAGCCTTTTCTCGAAGCGTCTGCACAGGAAGCCTATCCATTGTCCAGTCAGTCATAGTGGTAACCCGTGGATATAGACATACTCGGTGTATCTGTTCTCGATATCCCTATCGTCGAGTGCAGATGGAAAAATGCTACGACTTTCAATGCCATAAATGTTCTTTTCCACAGGGAAGAAGTCCAATGGCCGGCCATATCCGGGAAGTTTGAAGCGGCAGTCTTGGCTTTGGCTACCTTTGAGGAACTCCTGCTCGTTTGCATTGTGTTGAAACATTGTTGAAATTGACCTAGCAGCTTCGCGATGAAAGGCTTACTACTTCTCACGGTCAGTAATCAGGAAAGTTCTGATATCAGGAACAGAAAACTCACAATAACTGATGGATCAGATAAATTAGCACTATAAATTGAAAATAACAAAGAGACACGGCTAAAGATATTAGAAAAGACAGCACAAGAAGCAAAAAGATCACACCAGAGGGGCCCGATTGGATTGATTGTAGTCGGAAACCCCGGCCTAAATTTACAGATATGATGCATTGCTGTCGTCGTGAGCCAACTCCTAAGGCAATTTCTGCGGTGCTATGGACTGGTCGAGGAAAGGTGCGGAACTTTTGTCCGAAAAAGTGAAACCCTTATATAATATGATTGCGAACCATTGGACATACCGAAGCTTGCCAAAATGGTGATCATAGTGACTGAACTCCTTCATGTCCCCACTTTTTTCCGTTGCCAACGAACCCTAGTACATAATTAAGTGACTGGAATGCCCTGTTACTCTGACCTTGCAAGACACAGGCTACTCGAATTTTCAGTAATCGGATCTGATAATCATATGACTGCCTTTCTTTAGCTTACAATGAGCATTTCGGCTCTCCATCGATGTCTAGTGTACACTCATCAACGCATTCTCACCCAATCAAGCATGAAGTTTTCAATCCACCTCCATAACTGGGGGGAAGTGACAAACATATCGTTCCGCAATCTCGGTTCCGAATTATCGGCATATCGCGCTTTAAATTCGGACACGAGTGTCAGCTTTCTAGCAATGGTGTGTTTCCAGAACTTGCGTCCAAAATAGACATCTTCTTTCTTCTGAACTTTCGACTGCGGGTCGTCCTCCTTTTTAACTTGTCGGTGAAGCCAGGTGTAGTGAGGTGAGCGCTGTCGTTGTAAAAAGTATCGCTGTAGGTTCTTTTCGGACCCATACGCAGATTTCCAGAGCTTGGCAAAGACAATGTAATCTTGCGGCAAGTCCATGTTTAGAAGTCGAATCAAATCCCAAGAGGTTTGGCTTCGCTCGAATGATTCAGAATATCTGTGAATCAACGTGTTTTCGATTGATGCAGCTGGCATAGCGGCAATAAACCCACTGTGGAAGGGTGCATACAGCTCTGGATCGAGTTCATTGCGTTGTTGCGGTAACCCTGGATAGGCCAACAACATGGATTCAGGGACCGACGAAGCAAATGTCCAGTCGATAACGCAAGTGATGTTGTAATCGTTGTCCACAAATATGTTATTGATGCTCAGATCAGGGTGGAATAACGGGAAAGTCGCGATAACGGTTGGGAGTTCGAGCTTTCCTACAATGTCACGGAGAGCCTCGGCTGCGATCATGTAGTCAAGTCTGTTATCAGCCGTGTCGATTTTTCTTCCAACAAGCATAAAGTCAATCCAGAGTTTCTCGGCCCATGTGAATTGTTCCTCCGATTTAAATTCTTTCCGCATGGGAACGGGTGCAATGAAGCAATGAGTCTTTAACGGTAGAAGCTCGGCGTGCTGCGAAAATGCTTCAATAACACTATCATAAAATTCCGCTTCTGAAGTGAAAGGCCCACGTGGAATATCCAGCCGGTATCGTTGATGGGACATGTGGCCACGTGAAAGACATTCCCCGATGTTGATAGACCCATGTTCCTCAAAGAGTGAGCCGATTTTGTCGAAACGTAACTGCGAAAGCTTCCAAGTAATGCGTCCAAGCTGATAAAGAATCTTTGACTTGGTGCGGATATCTAGGCCATTTCGAGAACTGGTTGCTCTCCAGAACTTTGACAATGGCCTGCCAGATGCCTCACTCATCAAAATAAACGGAACTCCGATGGTGTTATTGGACGAAACACTAGACGAAATCAGCACCGAAACATTGCGGCCTGGGGAGGACCATTACCAATGATAATAAACTTCTGGAACCGGTATGTTGCTGTAAAACTTGACGCATCGGAGAGTGGCCACTTCACTGGCGATTATCTTTGCCCTCATCTCTACTGGCATTGATTCTTTCACCAGCGGAGATCTGAAGACCCATCGCACCTGGTCGGCAAATGAGATGAAGACAACCCAGTGATAGCTCCCTGATGCAGGAAGTTGATCGCGGTCACAAGCACATGGAATACCCCGCCGCAGTGCGCTCGCTAGACTGCATAAGGCTCGGAGGTCAAAGTCAGCAAAGGCGAATATTCTTGGTTTCCGTTCTGGAGGCATTTCAACGGAGAAGAGATTTAGGGATGGAAAAGGGTTGAGGAGGGAAAGTCGAGAAGGAAAAGGTGAAGTAAATAACTTTGCAATGTTGGGGGGTGAAGAGCTCGTAGAAATTCGGAAGGAGTATTCAAGTAGCAGCGCAAAACATTGAAAAATGCAACCTCACCTAATTGAGGAAACCGTACAAGTCCCGGGGGGCATTCATGACCGAGAGGTCATAATTTCAGGCTTATTTATATAATCTTGGTATATCCAGGCATGTATGCACATATGAAAAGTGATGTAGCCTCTATAAACACATTGGTCATAAGGCTCATTTGTACATTTTGCAGGAGATCCAAATCATACATATACACATATCAGAATGGGGACCGAGGTTGGTCATTTTTCAACAGGTATCAAATCAAGCGCCTTTACCACGCTTCAAGCATTTGTCGATGATAGCCCAGTACCTCTCCGGATCAGTCCTCATAGCCATAACATGCTGCGCATCCTTGAACTTCTCAGGACGCACAGCAATACCACAAGTCTCCGAAAACCTGATATGCGCCTCAACGTGCTCCGAAAGAACAATCTTATCCGCATCAGAGTAAATGTAGTACCGTACAAGACCCTCTTTCTCAGTAGACTGGTAAAGCGTCCTGTCGTTAATCCGCTGGCAAGCCACAGAGACCGTATTGGGGGCATTGATGATCTTCCCATATATTGCCATAGAAACCAAGTATACCCACAACGCAGCTTGAGAAACCAGTCTCCAAAGCCAGAACTTCGGAAGCTGGAAGGAGATAGCTTGCATAGCAGACTGGATGCTCGTGACACCAGGGGCACTATCAATAACCATGGACGAGACGGGCAGCGGCTCTCCTGTCGTCTCCTTGAACAGTCGCATCAAGTGAGAGGTCTTCACTAGACCACCATTGGAGAAGAGGTGGATGAATACGGGGTTCCCCGGGACCGCGAACGTGCGGAGAGCATTCACAGCGGGAGCGAGCTGAGCACTCTGTGTCTCATCACTGGAGCCGAGGAAAAAGTCATTGGTTTCTGAGCGGAGGATCACAATACGAGCGGTAGGGAGCATGCGCCGGTACTGATTTCCATATCGGAGTAAAGCGGAGGGCCCAGCGTTCATCCATAACGCGATGATGATGAGTGGGGGATTGATGCTGTCTGGGAACTCCTCAGGATCTGAGATGTAGACGTGGTCATTAAGCTTGTTGAAAGCTGACAGAGCAGACTCGGGCGTTTGCATGATGGGACGGTGTTTGAACCATTTGCTCAACCAACCAAGGAATTGCATGAATTGCATGTTTGCTTTCGGTATTACATATCCAATATTACTAGTGCGGTTTTAAATACACAAACCCACATCCCTTTAGACAAGCGCAAGTACTCGAAATCCAGAGCAATAATATTATCAAGGACATGTCTAAGTACTTAATCATACTCGGCAAATCTGGCATGTGAACGTGATTGGGTAGTGATATCTACTGAGCCGTCACCTTTACTTACCTGACGGGTACCTCAACTGACGAAGCTTGGCATGCAGGGGAAGTATGGGCGGGCACGTACTTTGCTACCAAGACTTAAAATGATTAATCTTAGTGAAAAATTAAAGTGAAGAGGAAGATGGCCTAAGTAAAACCATAAAATCATAAGTGATAATTTAAACCACACTCAGGAAACGCCAACCTCGCTATGCCGAAAGAATGGTCTGAGCCACACATCTAGAGGGTTTTTACCTAGCCATTTTCATAAAGAATCATCAAATACATTAGCGTTTGCTGCTGCCCAGGGTTCGTCCATTTCCACTAGTATTTCCCTTGCCTTTCTGGCTCTCAGCCCCACTGTCCGAGGTAGGTGTTGCCGAACCACCGAGATCCTTCTTCTTTCCTCGCAATGTTTGACCGATGCCCCGGAACGTGGGTTGATCTTCGGGCAAAACCACTTGTCCGTTTTCGTTGCGTGGCTTTACTGGTTTGATTTCATATCCGAAGAAGAGTTGATTAGGTGGGAGCCGAAGTGGTTGGGGGCCGTTGGTTCTGCGCACTGGTGGGGGATGCTGGGGATTGGTGGCGCCGGGAGTGGGAGTAGAAGCCTTTGGAGTAGGTGCCTTGCTACCCTTCTTGGCATTTAGGCGTTGCCCCTCTGACAAGAAGTTGGAGGATGTGGCCCGGGCACCTGTGGCAGCATCGGTGGACTCGGGGGCGATGGCAGCATAGTTGATAGACTGCGCCATGGAGCCATGGGGGTGCAGAAGCCCACCTGCGGGAAGTTTACCATGTTTCACCACACTTCCCGGGGTGCTGGTACCGCTAGTACGTTGTGGTTCCTCATATCCAACCGGAGTAGCGAAGTCGACCTCCAGATCGGTTTCCAGAACAGAGATCGCATTCTTAGAGCCCGCGGGCTTTGTCTCTAGAACGGCCATTTCATAAACCTGATCATTATATCCGAAAGTAAAGACATCGCCCTTGCTTAGGCAGGAGAAGTTGCGGAATGCATTTTCGAGGACGGCCTTGGGGTCACTGATGTCGAGGAATGAGGTAGACTGTGCTTGGAGTTTGATGAATTGGCCGGGAGGAAGGTCTGTTGACTTGATCTGAAGTAGATCTCCAGGCTCCAGTAGTAGCGTTTGCATAAGCTATGGACCAGATAGGGATGGTTAGTATGTTTCAAGGTCGCAATAAGCCATCAAGCTAGCCTGGCGACACTCACCCAGAATGGGAGATAAATTTTTCCTTCCTCTGCAATGAACTCTAAGACACCAGCATGTGACATCCTTTCTTTGGCACCATTGTGAAGCTCGAAGAGCATAGGGTAGGTAATATGAAGGCGGGTAAGTTTGTCCAATGCGCTGGGAGGCATGATAACCTTGCCGCCATGGTTCACGTTCTCTCTCTCAGGGCCTGGAAGCATCGCAACGGGGTAGCATCGGTAGTATTCATCGAATCGACGCGCAGCAGGACCTCCACGGAGCATGCCACCCCCCATGATGCCGTCCATGGGGTCGTCTGTCCAGTAGTCAGGTCGGAACTGGAGCTGTTAGAAGCTATTTTAAACGCAGGTAGGAATGATATAACGACTCAGTTCTTGTCTTACCATAATTTAGAGAAATCTTGAGCAGGACGCGTGTGTTTTAAGGTGAAATTGCAGAAGTGGTCAATGAAGATAAGGGAAGTTTGAAGAGGGACGCTAATGGAGGTGCAACTCGGCGAGATCCAAGTGACGCAACTTAGCTTCCGACTTGATTTTCCGTTCCGACCCCGGACGCAAAGGGTATGCATACTACGACACAGCTTGAAAACTACACGTTCAAATCTTTTTTTAGTATAAAACCCTGACTTGATCACCATGTCAAGCTCTACGCCCCACCCTAAAAGGGCAGCCGAATCTTTTGCCCGCACACATCATGCCGAAGACGACTCCCAAGGACCCGACAACAAGAAACCTCGATTCGATCTTCGCAACCCCTCCGCACTTGCAGCTGATGCCCCCGAAGAAGATGCGATTCTAGACGCCGATGAAATTGGTCGGCGTGGCCAACAAGTACGCCGTAAAGCGATCAACCTCGACGGCTATGATTCCGACAGTGACAATGAGGGGTTCTCGGCGCGCAAGGAAGAGAAGTCAAAAAAGAGCAGTGCGAAAGATGACGACGATGACGATATGTTCGCCGAACTAGAAGACGACTTTGGGGACGAGGAAAAAGACGGAGATGAAGCTTCGCGCAAGAACAAAAAGTCTGTTCGTTTCTTGCGCGACAATGAGATTGAAGGCCAGGAGTCTGCTTCAAAAGGTGGAAAAGCAATGCGTGCCGACCTAAGCAAAGCAGATGATATGGACGACGAAGATGGCGAAGATAGTGAGAGTGATGTTGGAGAAGAGGAACGCGCAAAGATCGACAACGAGTTGGACGAGGAGATTGGTGCTGGCGGAAAGAAGAAGCATGCCCCATTGCTTGATGCCTTCAACATGAGCACAGAACAGGAGGAAGGCCAATTCGACGAATCCGGTAATTACGTTCGCAAAGCCGTCGATCCGGATGCTGTTTACGATTCATGGCTGGACGGGGTCTCCAAAAAGGATATCCAAAAGGCAAAAGACGCTGCAGAGAAACGCGAGGAAGAGCGGAAAGAGCAGGACCGGGTGAATGACAGTGTGTTGACGTCTGACGTCTTGAAAACCATTATTATACATCTTGAGCGCGGAGAAACAATATTGGAAGCTCTAGCTCGGTTGGGCAAGGGTCTAAAGCGCAAGCCCAAATGGCAAAACAAGAAGAAGAACAAGAAGAACAGCATTACCGAAGACACTGAAATGACCGACGAGAACCCGGACGAGGCCAACCGGAAAAAGGCAATCGACGCCATCACCGGTGCCGCGGATATCCTCATGGGTCGCGATCAGCCCGAGATCTATGACACCGAGCGCGAGCTTCTGACCCGGCAATATCGTAATGAGACTGGCGAGCCTTGGGTAGATCCGCCTTCAGAGCCTGTGGTAGCGCAGGCCGATGGTCCTACAATGTGGGAGTACCGCTGGTCGGATGCTCGAGACGGAGGCGATGCTCATGGGCCCTACGATAGCAGCATGATGGCTTCATGGAACAGTGCGGGTTACTTTGGTGAAGGAGTCGAATTTCGCCAGGTTGGAAATACAGGGCCATGGAGTGCGACAGTTAGTTTTGTGTAAAAGACCAGGGTAACCGGGGTCTCAGTTCGATTCCAATAAATAAAAGTTCATAAACATAAAAGATCACCTCAACAAGCGCCAGTCCTATTCATACATCATATGATGCGATAAAAAAGAAGAACAAAGAAGTAAGAAACCAGTGTAGTTTTTTCAACCCGCTAAATCGTCTCCCCCGCGAAAGCAGTTAACACATGGCAAAGAAATGAGCACAAGAAAAATATTATGAAATCTCCATGGCATCACCGTTGGTGGCCGTGGAAAATGAAACTGTGCCCTGATCACCGATGAAACGCTGCTCATACTGGCTGACGAACTTGACACTGCGGGCCGGGTCGTAGAACAGTCGGAAGCTGCGCTGAACATCGTCAACGCTGACTTCCTTGGCCTTGCGCTTCTGACTCAACAGGTGGGAAGTGGTGATGATGTTGCTAGCATAACGGAGATTTGACTCCTGGCCAATCTTGGTCAGAAGAGCTAGGGCGTCTGGAGAGACGTCAATTTCTTCTTCCTGGGCACGAATAGCAAGGATTTGACGGATTTCATCACCGGAATATGGTGCGGTGCTGACAATGACAACCCGGTCAAGGAAATCAAGAGGCAAGCCGTGAGGAGAGGTGTAGGTGGTTCCACGGATGCGAGCTTGGCCACGGTTGCTGGCCATGATGACAATGGGTGCTAGTTCAGCTTCCAAAGCACGATTAATGTATGAGAAGCACTCAATATCGAGCATGTGCACTTCATCAATAAACAGGACACCCGGAATAATTTCCGCCTTGCCCTCTTCTTTCCACTCAGCCACCTTGGTGTTGATCTGGTCTCGGACCTCACTGCGAATCTCGCCAGTGTCACCCGAGAAGAGCGCCAAGAACCCTTGTGACCGCGAGTTGATCACGTCGATCTCGTGAAGACTAACGGTATGAACGATCTCCTTGCGCACCTGCAGCTCTCCCTCTGGACATTGGACAAACTTGGTGTCGGCGCCCATGGCGTCGTAGTCGCGCGAACGAGCGTAAGACCGACCAAGCTTGGTGATCTTGCCAGAAGACTTGTCAATCGAGATAACATCTCCAGCCATAACCCGTTCCTTGGTCATCGAATCAATCATCTTTGTGCCCATATCGTAAATCGTCTCCATGTCGGTGGTCTTGATTGTGAGCTTTCCTTGTTTGTTGCCCTGTAACCGTTAGCAGTCAGTCACCGATAGGTTAAGGGGTGGTGATTTTGCTTACCCCAGTGACACTGCGGTCAATCTGGATCTCGACAACCTCGCCCTCAATGATCTCACTTTCTTCCTTGATCCGCACTCCAATGGACTTGCGGAAGGCCTGGGTAAGAGCCTCCGTCTTGGACATTTCCATCGAGAAGATCTCCGAGGAAGCAAGCATGGTGAAAGGCACGTCAGAGCCCAGCGACTGAGCCATACCCATCGCGATGGCGGTCTTTCCGGTGCTAGGAGGTCCTGCGATGAGGACCGCGCGACCCGCGATCTTGCCTTCCTTCACCATCTGTAGAATAACCGCGGCGGCCTTGCGGGCCTTTTCCTGTCCAACCAGGCCCTGGGAAGCCCCTCGGGGCTGCAAAGAGTCCGCATCCACCCCAAGACCTCTGATATGCGAATGGGCGGCGATGAGGTTCAGTCCTCGGAGCTCCTTGCTCTCTGCGACAGTGGAAATTGGCTGGATTCCAAGTTAGATAGTTGATCAATGGCACCAAACAAGCACTGAAACTTACAGCAGCCATTATGAAAGATTTTTTCCCACAAGATCTCCGTCTGACTTTTGGGATGAAGTTCAAAGAGCAGTTGATCAGCGAAACTAAAGCTGCGGAAGAAACAGCCTTGGGAAAGGGAAGAATGAAGTTCACCGCCCGGCAGTACGTTTTTCTTTGTCGTCAGATCTAGCGCCGCGATCGCGACTGCTGCCGTATTGGCGTGTTTGCGGTGAGGAAACGACGGGGACACGAAGCAATTGATATCCTCGTCATATTCTGTTGTTATTCTCTTTCGTTACCCACCCTGCTCACATTGCTTCATTATTCTGTGCGCACTGCACAACACGTCCCCGTTTGTTGCTGCACGGTTCCGCTTACACACATCAATTTACTCGTTCACAAACCACAACCCACATATTCTTCAACTCAATCTAAATCTCCTCAAAGGCCATTGTGTCGTCCTTGGTATGACTCGTCCGCTCGTGTAGTCTAGCGTGATATGTTTACGTGAGTTCCACAATATGATGAATCAAGCACTACACTTGCCTCAAGTGCTCGATTAACATGATGGATATGGATGCGCCTCCTCCACCTCCACCACCACCTCCTCTTCTAGGCGCGACTGATCCTCGCTTATCCAACCAACCTCCTCGTTCTTCCATTAATGCCTCACTCCCTCCTCGTTCTTCCATTAATGCCTCACTCCCTCCTCGTTCTTCTGTCAATATCTCGCTACCTCCTCATTCGTCTTCAAATCCCATTCCAACTTCGTCCACAAATCTTTCACTCCCAACCCCGCCCAGCACCTCACGAGCGAAGTCTAGTCATGACATCCCTCAAGCTAAGGCAGGGGGCTCTGAAGCGTCGGGGCCTCAAGATTCCCCCATGGTGGATGCGGATTCAAGCAATATCCTGACAATATTGGCCAAGTTCAACGAGTCCCACTTCAATATCCTCAATCAGCAAAATGAAAAGAAGCGGCTGGAAGATATTGCCGCCCAAAACAAGCGAGACGTTGAGCGGGCGAAGATAATGAGAATGTATCCTGCCACGGCCGAGATGTACCAGCAAATGAAGGAGAGAAGCGACAACGATATCAGCAGGCTGAATAAGTCTCTGAACCAGCATCAGGCCATGTGTCAGCAAATCACCGCTGAGTTTGCGAAGCATCAGAATCTTCTCTTGCCCCCGGCCATACCCAAACCTGTTGAGCATGTGCAGTCTCCTCAGCCCTCTGTGTTCGAAATTGAGAGGGTCAATAGGCTAGAAGCAGAGCTTATAAAGCTTAAAGAAGCCAAGTCGGTCACACAGACCAGTACCGACATGCCTACCAAAATTCAAAATTCTATTGTGGAGCATTCCACCAGGATTTCCCGAATGCTGAAAGACATCGGTGAACTCTCAACTTGGCGAAATGAGATCAGAGACGGGAAAACAAAATTGCCCCTAGAGACTATGCCCCTGGAAGTGGAAACTTTGGCAGGGGAGGTGATCACGATTAAGGAAAGGGTGGAAATGATCCACCCCGACTTAGAGCGATCTCTTGCAGTTGTCGCGGAGGTGCCGGTATTGCAAGCGCGCTTTGACCTCGCCCAAGAGCAACAATCCACCTTCATCGCAACGATTGATTCGGCTCTCAAAACCGTCAAAGCCAGTGAAGCTGAAATAAGTGGTCTTGAAACCAAGATCGCTAATACCGAAACAATGACCATTGAGCTAAAAGAGAGATTTGGTAATATGGAAATTCAAAGAGCGGAAATTTCGCAAAATGCTGCAGGCAGCCATCAGAGTTCTGATCAAGGGACAGACAAATGGGCCGACCGTGTTGTGGCCCTTGAGACTGCCCACTCAGATGTGAATGCTAAAATGAAAGCATTACTGTCACAGGGGGCTGTCTGGACCGAAGCATGTAATTCGCTGAACCTTGTTTTGAAAAAGCTCGAGTCAAAGCAAGACTCTTTCAAGGTGGCACTCCGGTCCATCGAAATGCGATACGAAAACATCAACACGGAGAGCCTAGTCAAACAGATGACTCATGCTATATGTGAGATGTATCCCACCTTGCCCCAGATAGCGGAGCAAGTCAAGAACCTGAAATCCGAATTCAGCTCTAATATCCGATCCTTGGCGGATCGAATCGACAAGTTGGATGTGAATGTCTCGTCAATGCCTAATAGCCTACTAGTCAAGGCGAAGGATGCTGTCAAGGATCAGCTCCAACCGTTTGAGCGTCAGTTCAGTGAGTTGGTAAAGCTCGATCATGGTCTTACGGATAAACTTTTATCTGTTGAGGATCGGATTGACAAGTTGACAAGCAATATTGCCTCAATGCCTGATGATGTACTGGCCAGAGCGAAGGATGATGTTAAGGATCAAATCCAATCTTTTGAGCGTCAGTTCAATGGAATGTCAATTCCTGATAAGCTGATGGAGGTCATGGATGCTATTAAAGAAATAGAGCAAGTCCAAGGATCGCATTCCGATAGGATATCCAGAAATCTTCAGAATGTCAATGATTTGCAGGAAAGCTCGAACTCGCTTTCAACCGCTTTTCAGGAGTTGGCCGACGATCATTCAGACGACGTCAAAAAACTGACTGACACATGCGACCAATTGTCTTTTGAATCAAAAACCCAGGCAGAAACTCAACACTCACGATATGAGATTCTAACAGGGCAAATTGAATCATTCAAGGTCTCCCTTGAAGAGCTTCAGATTTGGGCAAATAAAATGAAAGTACTGGAGCCGGTAGAGGACATTGTCAACATTTGTGGAGCATTCGGTTCACCGGAGAGCATAGAGTCGATGCGCAAACGACTGGATGGCCAGGAAAACGTTTTTGCTGTAATCGATCAGCTGGAAGCACTGGCAACCCAACACTCCGAACAATTTGACCGTCTCAGGAACATGACAGAAAAATTGACCGAGGAAGCGCAGCCGCTACAAAACAGTGAAGCAGCTCACCCAGTAGGTGTGGTCGACGGCGAAAGTTCAACACGTGAGCTGCACATTCGAGGTAGCTCCACTCTGGCAGACGTGTCAAATCTCATCGAGCTCTCAAATGATTCAAATGGCATGCGGGATCACAATCAGCCTCTCCAAACGATAGGCTCTGGGGATGAATGCGAGACGTTGGCTGCCTCCTCAGTTGTGGCTGGTTCTCGTACCCCATTGCCTCTTTCCGCCGGCCCCTCTGAGCCATCAAAAAAGAGAAAAAAGAATCGCAAGCAGGACGGCAAGCGCCTTCGACAATCGACAGGCTCTGAGGATGAATCCTCCTCGGTTGTAACTGGTAGTGGTACCCCGGTGCCGTCATCCTCCGGCCCCTCTGGGCCGCCCAAGAAGAAGCCCAAGACCCTCAAGCAAGATAGCAAGCGCGAGCCTGGCGAGACCTCGACCGCCTCCACGGCCTCGGCTGCCAAGGGTCCCTCAATAAATGCAATCCTCTCTTCTGCCTCGTCAACGAAAAGGAGCAAAAGGTCGAAGAAGAAGGAGAAGGAGAAGGAAACGAAGTGAATATCTTACCGGTTTTCATCCGATGATATTTATTCATATGTACCTAATATCTTGATACCAGCATGTACTTAATCAATGGCGAAGGAATTACGCCCAACGACTTCGGTCGGATCCGACTTGTGTTCTATGTAGTCATAGGAAGTCTGGCCAAGCACTACCTAGTCAGTAGGTTTCTGACTAACACGATAGATTCCCGCTTCTTGAGGGCCAGAACTTCATTGAATGCAAGATTTATAAGCCCTCTGCAGGTAAATTATAATGAGCTTGCAACACTTCGCAGCTTGTGACGGGATTACCAACCTTGAAATACCAAGGTTGGAACACCCCGCGGGGTTGGCGGTCTGTGCATTACCATATATCAATAACCGAGTGCCAAACAAATTGAAGTTATAAAGCTCACCTGGCAGACTTGACATTAATCACACTTCCTAGATATCTTAGTTTTTGTGTTCTATCCAATCAGCCCAAAATGTCCCCTCCACCAATCCCTTACGCAATCTCAGTACCAGATGTTTCTCTCCAGGAGCTCCAGCAGCGTCTTGCCTGGGCCAAGCCTGCAACCCAGTTTGAGTCTTCAGAGCAAGACTCATGGGACTTTGGAGTCCCTGCGAAGGAGATTAAGCGACTAGTGGCGTACTGGAGAGATCATTTTGACTGGCGGAAAGCCGAAGCCCATTTAAATGAACTCCCTCAGTATCGCACTGAAATTGAAGTTGACGGATTTGGAACTCTGGATATTCATTGTCAGTGCGACTTGTGGACTGCGAATTTGACTGCAATCAACTGAAATCTGTTTAGTTGTTCATCAAGTTAGCCCTGTCAAAGATGCCATTCCCTTGCTCTTCAGCCATGGGTGTAAGTTTTGGTTCTGGATAGATTGAATGCAATTTGGCGAAAATACAATCTGATCTGAAAAAAGGGCCAGGATCATTTATCGAGGTGACAAAACTCTTGCCAATGCTACAAGGTGATGACAGCCAGCCGGCATTCCATGTTGTGGCACCTTCATTGCCCAACTTCGGATTCTCGTCTGGAGTCACCAAACGCGGATTTGGGTGGGCCCAGTATGCTGAGACTTTTAACAAGCTGATGCTCAAGCTTGGTTATTCTGAATATGGCAAGCCAACACAGGTACTCTATAGTATTACAGTACTAATGTCATGAATAGTCACGCAAGGCGGAGACTTGGGCCATTGGATAACCAGGAGTATAGGCACTTTATACCCGGAGCATTGCAAAGCATCTCACCTGAATATGGTCATTGCCCAACCTCCCAAATGGACCACCAATCCACTCTTAGCTCTCCAGCACAGCATTCAACCCTATACTACCCATGAAAAAAATGGTCTAGAGCGATCTGCATGGTTTGAGCGCGAAGGCTTTGGATACAATTTATTGCAAAGAACGAAGCCCCAGACAATCGGCACAGCATTAGCAGACAGTCCCGTCGCACTACTCGGCTGGATCTATGAGAAGCTCCACGATTGGTCAGATTCTTATCCATGGACCGACGATGAGATTCTAACTTGGGTGTCCATCTATTGGTTTTCGGTCGCAGGTCCAGAGGCCAGTGTTCGTGTCTACTATGAAGGCTCTCACGGTCACCCCGGCAAGGATTTAAGTTACGAAAAGCTCCAGGAGTATGTACCCAATGTCAAATTGGGGCTTGTGCATCTCCCACGTGAGCTAGTTGTGGTTCCTCGTACCTGGGCTGCTGCGCTTGGTCCTATTGTGTTGCAGACTGAGCATGATCATGGAGGCCATTTCGCTGCCTGGGAGGTTCCTGAAATTATTACTCGGGATTTGCAGACGATGTTCAAAAAGGATGGGCCTTGTTTTGGTATCGTGCCTGGAAGAAATGGCTATTAGTTTCTTAGATACGGTGGAATAGGGGTTACCGCTGGTTTCGAAAAACGAGCTTCCAAAGTTTGAGATTCTTGGAAATTGAACCATCATACGTAAAGTCTCCTCGCTGCAGATCCTTTCAGCTTACTGGTATATGGATTTACATCATTATCTGTTTTAAAGCCGACCTCGGAGGCTATGGCAATGAACATGGGTGTTGTTTGTCATGCCGGATGGCAGCGGGTGACACGCGGGCATCCGCTATTCATATGTCAAACGTATCATAGGGGGATTCCGAAGCTCCCGCTAGATTTGACTAGTGCACTCCGTAGGGAGCACAATTGGTATAAGCATTAATTCTCCGGATTTCTCTTTACCCGGAAAGATTAGGCAGGCTAACCTTTACTGTATGCGCTACTGCCCAATATTCATGTAACACAGCCCTCGAGGCAACATATTACCCAAAACGGCTAGGGCCCAAAGCCTAACCCTTACTTGACGACATTGAATCAAAGAAACAAGCTCCAGTCTTATCTCTTGACCTATCGCTTGTCACAGGGATGAATCCGCCAAGAGCAAGGAGGAAGCTGACTCAGTCGCTAAAAAAGCGCGCAAAGTCATTGTTAGAAATGTCTTAATTCCCCTTGGTCGAAAGAATGACGAACCCCCTTTTCTCCTCATTTCCCCAGCCTAAAGATCAGGGGCGCAAATAGCAGCAACATTACTCCACTTAGAAGGCGATAAGAGGCTGAGCTTTCCAATTTTGGGGACGCGGAGACCCCAGAAAAAGGTCTAGCCTCCAAGACAGATTTGCGCCAAGACATTCATTCAAGCGCTAGCTTCAATGATTAGCGGCGATCACTGCCTTGGCATACAGATTCCACATTCTGTCATCGCGCGTCGCCCGCGTTCCACATGAAGCCCCTGGGGTAAATATACGCGGGGCTTGGTCCTACGTAGTAAGTGGTCACTTTCCAAATTTTCCTTCTTTTCTTCTCCAGCGACGATGGTTGCCACCTCACTCATTTACCCTTGAAGAAACCACAATCGTTGGGTTATCTATATAGCGGCCATGTCTAATCGTATTCAGTTTGCGGAGCCAATTTCGAAGAAAAAGCAGTATGGGCCTTCTGGTCGGGGGAGAGAGAATTCAGAAAAGGGGTCGACACAGAGATCTCTTTCGCCAGGGAATGAGATTGTCTACCCTACAGGATGGAGACTCATCCTCACCATTATTGGGTAGGTGTTGGCTATAGTGGTATTCATGGGTTTTTGGATGACATGCGTGCTTACGAATGTTATACTGGCAGGCTCTTGATTGGGTTCTTTCTCTCAAACTTGGACGTTACAATCGTTAGCTCGTCCCTTACCAACATCACCGATAGCCTCAATGGATTCGAGAAACGAAGTTGGATTGTTACAGGTTACCTGGCCACCTACACAGGCTCCATGGCGATATGGACAAAGATCAGCGATATCATTGGACGAAAATTAGCGACTATTGCTTCTCTTTTCATCTTGCTTGCATTCTCTATTGGCTGCGGGTGCGCTCAGACTGTCAATCAACTGTGAGAGATACCATGCCTTGACTTTCAAACATGAATGAAACTAACTTTTCGGTATAGTATCGTCTTTCGAGCACTGCAGGGGATAGGAGGTGCCGGTGCATATGCCCTGGCCATTCTTTGCATTTACGAAATCGCTCCTAAAACGAAACTTCCGACTTACAGTGGCGTTATGTCCTTCTGCATAGCGGTTGCAGCGTTACTCGGACCAATCATTGGAGGTGCCCTTGCACAGCACGCAGCCTGGCGATGGGTATTCCTCATCAAGTATGTGAACATCACATGTTAACATGGTTGGATTATCTGCTAATTATACTGAATAGCGCTCCCTTGTGCGCAATTGCAATCCTTATTATCATGGTCGCAATGCCGAAACACTTTGGCCTCGACCAACACACTCCTTCTTTCCGAACACGGGCATCATATCGATCATTCGCCAACCTAGATATTGTGGGATCGTTTTTAATGATCGCGGGCTCATTTCTAATCGTTACGGTCTTGAATGAAGCCAATCTTGCTTTCTCCTGGGATTCAAGAGCCTCAGTAGCTCTTCTTGTCCTAACGGGCGTTTCTTGGATTGCCTTTTTTGTCTGGGAGTGGTATCTATCTGGTGTACCTGGTGCAGACCCGATCTTCCCAAAACGGTGGCTCTGTGACCGCCCATGGATGGGCATTCTCCTGTGAGTTCGCATTCGATGAACTTCATTTCGTATCAAGGCCTGACCAAAGTCTCAGCTCTTCATTCGTCACTGGTGCACCGTGGAATGTCGTTCTAGTTTATGTTCCCCAACAAGCACAGATTCTTCTAGGAAAGTCACCTCTCGAATCCGGTATCTACCTGATTGCATACTCCGCCGTTGCAGCTGCAGCTGCCGCTATCGTCAATATCGCCAGCTCTAAGGGGCGTATCCCCTTCTTTTATTCCCTACTCGTGGGATGCATAATCCACACGGTCGGTGTTGGGCTTCTATCTATGATTACGCGGTCCAAGGGCTTTCGTGCGGCAGATATTGGGTACGAAATTATTGCTGGCGCCGGCATTGGCATAACGCTGGGTGTATTGCTGCTAGCGACACCCTACATTGTTGAAGACAGAGATCTCGGTAAGCATTCACTGGGATACATGATAGTAAAAAGACATTGAAGAGATATTTGCTAATATTCCGTTTACAGCAATTGCCACTGGAACTATCGTTCAATTACGCTTCCTTGGCGGTGCTATTGGCCTTGCCATTGCATCAAATATCCTAAATGGCCGCCTCGCGCATCACTTGAAAGGTGTTCTGACATCACATGAACTCCACCTATTTCTCGAGAATGTCACAACGGTGCAAAAGTTGTCTCCACATCTTCAGGATGAAGTGAAGAGCGTTTTTGCGAACAGTTACCGTACACAACTGATAGTCATGATCGGCTTCGCAGCCGCTCAGCTGCCGGCAGTTCTACTTCTGATCAAACCTGGAAGGCAACTTGCCGCAGACAAGGAGAAGGTATTCCCGGCTAGCAGCTCGGGATAAGAAAACCAATTTATATCATATACAGGCGTTCAGGCGAGGGATTCATAAGCGTTCTTCATTACAGGGATTACCCCAGGCCCTCGCATTCCAATCAAATCTTTTCATTTATTCATTCGCCCGTAAACTGACTTCTGACGCCATGCCTTTACTCTTTCCGTTGGACTCCGAGAATTGGCTGATCCTTCTTCCTTGGTGGGTCCGTCGTTTGATGAACATGCACATCCCTTGGGCAACGATCAATCCCTCCGAACTTCGGTATCACGTCCTACGTGTCTACAGCTGGGAGTTGGCTCTTTTAGTCGGCCAAATAAAATGCCAATATGGAATATTCTGTTAATGGACTTCTATGTCAAGGTGATATCTGTGCCTAGCCGTGGTATCCCAACGGCTTCCGTTTTTTTGTTCGTTCATCTGTCAAAAAGCCGATTCAGTAGCAGCTTTTGGACCTCGGTAATTGGGCATCTGTTCCACAAATCCGTGGACCGAAGTTTCCACCTCAGAGGTCAAACAGTAATAGTCCAATCTACGTATTTACTCATCTCTGCCAAACACCGCTCAGGCCCCGCCAAGCAGAGCTTGTTACTATAACAGTCAGAGTCGGCACATTTTGGCAAAGAAGGGCTCGAAAGCAATCTTAACCATGGTAAGTCATTCCGAGTCTTAGAGGACTGTGACGAAAGAGCTCGCAAAAGGCGGCTGGGTCGTTTAAAGGATCAAATCGGCATCTGTGGGGTGGATGTTTCGAAAGTTAGGGGACCGGGCTTTTTAGTTATCTGATGGCCGATCACTTAAGTACTCCGCTGATCGATTTCCCACATCTCCTCACCTTTCTTTTTTTATTTTTTTTTTTTTTTTTTCCGCGCGATAATCAGATTTGTCTTCCTAATTCTGAATCATGGAACTTCAAATACGAGATGATGCAACGGGAGAGATTATCATGCATGACTTCCAAGTTCCAAGGTTGTGCGTATAATGGGAAATGAATATCACTCTGACCACCCTCTTCCATCCACACCCTCCACAATTTGCGGGGACTTTTTCGACCTGGGGATACAAACTGGGGCCCAAATTTCAAAGTAGTGTAGCAATCAGACTTTTCTTCCACTAGGAAACTCCACCGCGCATCCTCCAAGGCTTGGAGCCCCGCTGACCTCGTACCTGGGAAACGTGTGGCGGGCTCGAGAATAATGAAAAGTGGGCCACATTCGGCAAAGAATCACGCTCCAATTGCTTAGTTCCGGGTCTCCCTTTTCTAACAAGGCAGGTTGGTGTTCATCATGTTGATCTTTCCGCGCTACGCGGCACAGGGTGGTTAGTGCGAACTTACTTCCATGATCAGATTAGATTGGCATCACGCATCTCCACTTTTTCCGCTGCGAGTATGCTCATGCGAGTATGTCGTTTTTCGCATGTTACACTGATCCCTGCCGGGTAGTGCAAAGCCCCAATATACTTTGATTGTCAGGCATCTTGTAATTTTCTATGTTTTTGGAGTTTCATCTGCGTGCGTGGGGCTGTTGTACCCACAGCGGTTGGTGATTGATAAAGATGGCATGTCCTTGGTTTGATCAATGCAAGGTCTATAGGAAGACTGTTTTAATTTCCCTCTTTTTGTGTCATTAATTCGGTCATTCAATCGTTAAACTGCTTATCTGCCGAGATGGAGGAGGCTATCAGTCAGACAAACAATGTTTGGACTGACAAATATTTTGCCATTTCTATGGGTTCGATCATAATCTTGTTCGGTTTTGCTCATTGGGGAACTGTGGCATTCAGAAAATATGGACCGAAAGAGCCTGGGAAGCTATTAGGCGATACTATAAGAGCCTATAGGTTAGTCTTGACGATATTGGGAATGAGTGGCTCTGACAACAAGCAGGTCTGTACGACGAGTGCTGGATACGGTTATTCTGGGAAAGTCCCTGGACAAATGGCTACTCTATCTGACGTACTGGGCCATCGATTTGATACTCGTGTTGACAAGGCTTGATTTAACAGACTTGGGAGAGGTTCGTTTACCATCGAAGCTTCTGAAACGTAATTCTAACAAGACTTATAGGTCGCTAAACGCATGGGCTGGCATGTCAAGCGCACCCCACCCCTTCAATCACACTATAATGACATTCTCCTAGGATCTCCGTGGCGAACTTTGTTTTGCTAGTCTTCCTTGCTCTCCGAAATACACCTCTCGCGCCCTTATCCGGTCAGTCTTATGAGAAGCTACGCCCCCTTCACAGAGTCGCCGGGTACACATGTATAGTGAGCAGTATCGTGCATGGTATATTATACCTAAAGGAGGGGGCTGAGACTGGATATCTTATGTTGATGAGAGGAAGAGAGGATCTCGCTGGTGCACTTGCTGGACTATCGATGGTAATTATCGGGTTATCCACAATCAGCTGGTTTGCCCGCCGATACTACGAAGGTAAACCCCTGTGATCCCGAGCGACAGGGACCATGGCTAACCGTCACTCTGCAGCATTTTATATCATTCATGTCGTCTTGTTTATGGTCATCGTGATTCTTGTCGGGATGCACCGACCCGATCTAGCGACATCCACACTGGCTATCATTATCTTCATAGCATGCATGTGGCTATCCGATCGATTCCTACGAGCTTTAAAGCTTTCTTGGAATTTCTGCGGCAACAATGCTACTCTTGTTCCTATGCAAGATGGGGCTGTCCGAGTCAAACTTCAACGCGGTTTGAATTGTAGTCCTGGATCCCATGCTTTCTTGTGGATGCCATCTATCCGGCTTTTGGAGACCCATCCCTTTACCATGGTTTCTACGAATCCCGTTGAGTTCCTGATCCGGCGATACGACGGGTATACTCATGATCTCTACAAGCTTGCTCACGAGCGACCCGGTTGTGTTGTGAGGTGCTCTGTGGATGGAGGGTATGGACAAGTTCCGGACTTTATGGACTTCGATAAAATCATTCTTGTTGCAGGTGGTAGTGGTGCTACGTTTACCTTTGCTATTGCGATCAATTTGATAAGACAATGTGCTGCAGCAAATGTGACCAAGTCGATCGATTTTATTTGGACAGTAAAATATACGAGTAAGTTGTTTGATAAATGCGTGGTTCTGTGGGTCTTTGACTAATACTCTCGCATAGGCTCACTCAAGTGGTTTCAGGATGAGTTGCGAGAGCTTCAAGACAACCACTTTGTCAATTTGTTCATTCACGTGTCGCAGGACGATACAGCCGATGACAGTTCCAGTGGGGAAACAACACCAGTTGGTAGTGACATCGAGAAGGGCAGAAACAAGACCACACAATCATCAGAATACATGTCCTGTATTCGGAGAGGAAGGCCTAATATAGCAGATCTGGTTGCGAGTGGAGTATCTCGGTGCCCTCCGCATTATCAAGTCGGAGTAGGCGCTTGTGGGCCAATGAAAATCCTTGAGGGCACGCGAAAGGCGACATCTCAGAGAGCCTTTGATCACGGTCCATCAATTACGCTACACACCGAGGTACGTTTTGCCAAACATTCTTTATGCCAGTGCACTTCTAATAATACTCTAGGAATTCGAATGGTGAGAAAGTTGATTTGTTCGTTCATGACCCTACATCACCCATCAGCAGAGAGATTGTACTTAACAACAATGTGACTCCTTTCGCACCAGTGAGCCTTGGAAGGAAGCTTTTGATGTCATAAGATTGATAGACTCGGCGCGATCGTCTTTAATTCCGCGTGGTCGGAGTTACGTATCTCGCCCCTTAAGTCCGTGGACTGACGGAGTATGAATCTTGGCGCAGACCCTTAACTCCAGGTTATAAGAACCTATCTTGACTTCAAGCGAAAATATATTATCAATTTTCATTCTGCGATTCAGAGCAAACCCTGGAACTCTCTTCCTTGCTAGAAGTTTTGAGCCTAATATAATTGTCAGGATCATCATGTCGAACTATATCACGAAGGTCGCGATTGTTGGGGTAGGTGATACTCTGTGTTTCAATTGATTCTGACGAAATGGCACCTTCCCTCACCTGGCTTCTCCTCTCTCCTCTCATCTACGCCTTTTTCTTACCAACCATCCCATTCAACCTGAGGAACCCATATACACAAATCAGCTCTCCTCATTCCCCTTGATAGGGCTTATAGTCGATTAATACTCTTTTGTCGGATGCATACTAATTGATTTCTTTAGGCTACCGGAAATAGTGCCCGCTTCATAACAGACGCCCTACTTAAGACAAGAAAACATACTATTACCGCTCTGACAAGAGCTGGGAACCTGAACTCTCTTCCGGCTGGTGTCACACCCAAGGAAATTGACTATAGCAAGCCAGAGACAATCGTGGAAGCACTGAAGGGCCAGGATGCGTTGGTGATCTCGCTCAGTGGACATGCCCCGGAAGGGACCGAGCTGCAGCTCGTCAAGGCTGCGGGCGAGGCTGGTGTGAAATGGGTGCTGCCGAACGACTGGTCTCCCGATACAACGAATGAAGCCATGAACAATGATATTATGATATTCAAGCCTAAAGGTGACCAGCCTGGAAATCAAATTTCCAAAGACTGATGCTAACATCTGCGTCAAATGTCAGCTGCCCTTCGAAAAGCTATTACTGAACTCGGACAATGCAACTTCATCAGTATATCGACTGGCTTCTGGTACGAATGGAGTCTTGCCATTCCATCGGCCTTCGGTATTGATTTGATCAATCGCACGGCAACCTTCTTCGACGACGGCGAGACAAAGATTACGACCTCCACCTGGCCCCAGGTTGGCCGTGCAGTTGCCGCTCTTCTCAGCTTGCCTATCAAACCCGAGGGATCAAACCAGGAAGCATGTCTCGAGAACTTCAAGAATCAGGTCGTATACATCAAATCCTTCACTGTAAGCCAGAAGGACATGCTAGAATCTGCTCTACGTGTCACTGGAACCAAAGAATCGGATTGGACTATTTCGAAGGAACCAGCAACTGAGCGATGGTCGAATGGTCTGAAGGAGATGCAAGAGGGTAGTCGGATTGGCTTTGCCAAGATGCTCTATACTCGAGTCTTTTATCAAGATGGTGCGGGGAATATCGACCATAAGGGGACTTTGAATTCGTTGCTGGACTTACCAACAGAAGATATTGACGAGGCGACCAAGATTGCAATTGAGCGTTCGAAGACTGATCCTTGGGAGTAAGATACATTACCGTTTGAGCTATGCACTTAGCTACAATTATGATGTGCATCCCGAAATGTGGGGGAGTCACGAGCTTCCGATATCGGCTCCGCGCAGATGTGGGACGTGGGGAAGATTGTGGCTAGACAGCTACACTGGCCAACCCCGAAAGCCAATTTACAAAGCGATTGCCTTTGAAGAAATGCTAGTACAGTTTCATTTTCCAGAAATATATACATGAAATTCATGCGATCATGATCTAGCTGTCCAGCAGCACAGGGACCTTCTCGACAAGGTAATCGACGATAGCATCGGGGCCGTACTTGACCTGCAGGCCTTCGGGGATGGCGTGGAGCTTGATGTCGGGGACAACGGACCGGGCAATGTCGTGGATCTGCTTGGCCTGCTCGTCGGACCACATGGAAGCGCTGAACTATAGGAAAATCAATGTAAGCTGCTGAAATCTCTCGGATAACCCGGAGAATTCGGAACGTACCAGAACATTGGGCTGGTGCTCCTTGACCTTGGCCTCAACCTGATCAATGGCTAGAAAATGAAAAGTCAGCTTGGAATATCTAATTGACAAAATGGGTGTACTCACAGTCGCAGTTGTCGACGTGGATGATCTCGTAGCGGTCCTTGAGGATATCGGCGACACGGCCGATGAGACGCTTAGCGCGCTCGGGGGCGGTGTTGACAGTCACGAGACGGAAGGGACCCTTGGGAGCAGACATTGTGTATAAGTTTTGATGAACGGAAAATAATTTGAAATTGCGATATCGCGGGGTATTTATTTCATTCGCGTCTCACCCCTCCTTGCCACCGGCTCCCCACATTGTTGTTTCCGGCTTATCCAGGCGGCTTAGATTTACTCCGCTTTATCGGCCCGATAAGAACGAGTACAAGAGTCGCAAGCTTCCTGTTGTACCTTCCCCTCGGTAATTCTACATTCCTGCATATTTTCCACCATGTCTGATATCGCATCTACCTTCTCGCGTGAGTGAATTCTGTTTCGATGGCATTGACGGTTGGGACTGACCATTGCAGGCCTTGTGCGCTTCGTTCCCAAGTCGGACCCCTCCAAGATTCTCATCGGAGAGCCTGTTGACGCTGAACTCGATGTGGGTTTGGCTCTGTACAAGGGCCAGGAGGTCTCTGTGCGCCCTTTCACCGGTACCACCGTTTTGGCCCCTGGTAAGGCCACCACCGGTACTGAGGTTATTGAGCGTCTGCTCTCTCCTCTCGCAGAGCAGGAGGTTGGAGCCATCCGCTGCGTTGGCTTGAACGTAAGTGTTGCCTGAATAGCCAATATGGTAAATCGTATTCTGACACGGCCGATAGTACACTTCACATGCTAAGGAGATGTTCATGCCCATCCCAGATGTGCCTACTCTGTTCATTAAGCCTTCTGCAGCCCTCGCTGATCCTTACCCCGCTCCTACTGTTCTGCCCAAGATCACACAGACCGATAACACCGGTGACTACGAGTCTGAGATGGTCATTGTCATTGGTCGCGATGCAAAGGATGTGCCTGAGTCTGAGGCTCTTGACTACGTTCTCGGTTACACTGCTGCCAACGATGTTTCCAGCCGTACCTACCAGATGAACCAGACCCAGTGGTGCTTCTCCAAGGGTTTCGATGGCTCATGCCCCATTGGTATGATTCCCCCATCGTCTAGTCTCTCGTTAAGAGACTATAAAGTATCATTTGCTGACCTAACAATCAGGACCTACTCTCGTCTCCTCCAAGCTCATCCCCGATGTTAGCAAGCTGCACATTCGCGGTCTTAAGAACGGAGATGTCATGCAGGACTGCCCTCTCACGTACGTGCTCGCCAATCCAACTCATATAAAGATAAACGCTAATCACAAAGTACAGTGATTTGATCTTCACCGTTCCCCAGCTCATCGCCTTCCTTACCCAGGGCACTACTCTGCGCGCGGGTACCATTATTTTGACTGGTACTCCTCCCGGTGTTGGTGCTGCCAAGAACCCCAAGCAGTTCATTAAGGCTGGCGACAACTTCGCCGTCGAGCTGCTTCCCCACGTTGGTACCTTGATCAACAAGATTGAGCACCAGTGATTAGTGACGACGTTATAAATGATTGTATACGAGGAATTGACTTGAGGGGGAAAGACCTTGGTTTTGTATATATCTATATCCAGGTAGATACCTAAAATATGCACTTGAGACTTCTAGAACAAACATAGAGTTCTGACACCTGTCAGCCAACCACGGCGCATGCAGCATGTAGATCACTTAAAATGCCACCCACTATGCAGTACTTCCATATTGCATATAGCTCCGCTGCACCGATCATTAGCCGCAGCTGATCTCAAAACTTACCATGTCTATTAAACCAACTGGTTAGCCAGTGACTCAGTCGATGATTCATAGGTGAATACCTGAGGGTTGGTCGACCAATCACGATTGGATTCGGGATATGACTTATTCCAGCGCGGAATAAGTTACAGCCGCGAGAGTCCGGCCCACACTCCGCGCCCTTGGATGCGGGGGAGTTGATCATCCGGGTATTATTAGTCGCACATATGTCATAAATTATTGACACGCAAATATGGATTAAGGGACACTGTTGGAGATACTGACTAAGCTTTGGGCAATCTTTGGGATAGAGCACTTTTTCTGCATGTGTTAGGGACATAAGTCTGATTATAATATTATTGGATCCCATTATGTATCTGGTACTTTACCATTGCTTGCTGCGAAAAAGGCATCACTTTGATGAGCTCGTACATAGTACATCTTTTGCGGTATATCATCTTGTTCGGAATTAGCTTGGCCTTAGATACTAAAGTTATCCTAAACCGTTCTATTCAGGTTCGAAGCCGAGAGTCTATCCTAAATAGGGGATTGCTACAGAAACTCCCTTTCAGTTGGACATGATAGATGGATGAGTCTCCCCATCGGGCGCGCCATTATGCTTGACAAGTAGATCCGTTTCCGTGCCTCTTGGTTGATTGCTGGCAATCCTGGCAGGCCTTTCTTCTATCATCAATTCTCTTGAAATGCTTTGGGGTTGTATCCTGGGTCAGTCGAAATGCTGCCTGATGAAACTGGCGAGCGTCTGGATGTCTGCATTGGCTTGTCCAGTGCATCCGTCGACACCTCTTATACAGAAAGTTTCAGGATAGAATTAACAAGTTGGCCACCTACTTTTCATAGCGTTCAAACATATGAGTCTTTTTTGCTATATGTATGGAGTCATGAATGGTTCCAGGACTGGGCACTGTCGTGCCTTCTCTGCGGTGAAGAATATATATTGTGGCCATCTCTTTTCGGGATTTAACGCAGCAATTTCACCATTGACTAAGCTTCTCTACCTAACTAGACGAAAAATGATACCTCAACATCAATAGATTGATTTCCCCGAGAAATGAAGTCTCTAATTTGCATCATTGGTGATGATCTACTTCAATTCTTACATCCATGGAACTAAGTCCAGGCCAGAATACATGCGCATGTTGGAATGGTCGCATCACAAATCTTGGAAGAAAGGATCCACCAGTTGACAGTACATATCTGCCGTACTACATAGCACTTGAGATCATATTTAGATGGCAAGGTACAACATTTGAACCTTGCTTGGGAACCTTAAACCTCCACGGCTTCGTGTTTTAGTCACATATATACAAGTAGTCCTTCAAGGAAGGTTGCCAACCTTCGCAAACTCGGAATATGAAGCCATTTCACCACATCATACACTTGGATGTTTGATTTACCCAACTAAAGCTCACCCATAAGATTGCCCTCCAGCTGAAGATCCCAAAGCTGTCATCCACCACGCATTTTCCTTTTCAACATTCAAACCAGCCATACTCCGTACTCCGAATATCGGCTATCCCATTTGAAACCAGTTGCTAATACTTCGCAAAATTGCCGGAAATTAAAGGTCCAAGAGCCATTTAGCAGATAGACAAGCCAAAAAACATCGAAGTACTCCGTATTCGAGATGGAAATACGAAATCATCCACCAATCACTCGTATGAAAGGGCGGGTATAATATTTTCCCCTGGCGGGATAAATCAATTCCGGCATGTTTTCGGCCCATACTCGGCATCTTGGCCGCATGACTTGAAGCAATCCAAAGATGCGCCAAGAACAAATCAACAGGATTGATCATGAGACTAGTATGTATGAGGCCGAATCTGAGCATTTTGGGAATACGGTCTGCCTATCAATACGTAAAAGCGGGAAATGGGCGCTAAATTACGCATATGCAATGTGACATTGGGTCAATTTTAGGTCATATTCTTTCGGCATACCGGTAGTTTGTACCTGCTACCTCCTGGGCTATAGCCTGTAGGTATCGTATGATTGCCGTCTTTGACTAGATAAGTAGAGTAGAAATACAATCTAGAGCTCAAGGATCTACAAAGCGGCAGTGATGTCCGGGAGAAAAGAGAATGAATAGGTCCGAACCTGGAAGCCGATAATCGCATGATTTGAAAACTTCGTGGGCCTAGGTCAGGGGCCGATGGTTTCATTGGCGCTACGGGCCACTTTCGGGATCGAGCACCGACCTGTCCCGGTCGGACTACATGTTAAGACGGTCTGCGGCTTTTTGTTTATGCCGGAGCTTTCTTGGTCATATTGTTTTTTTTTCTCCTATTCAGTTTTTTCTTCTTGATATAATTATTACTATCCTTTCCTGGAGGTTCAGAATTATCAGTGAAATGGATAGCTTTATTCTTTCCGAGCTGTTTGTTTCCTGATGTCCTTGTTGGTGTATACCCACACAGCTCAACGAATCTATGCTTCAGTGAACAAGGTCCATTCTTTGACGACAAGATGAGGCAATCTATCAGGTCCATAACAGGTATTTGAATATCGGTTCAATCATATTGAAAATTATGAAATCATTGCTTGCTCATGCATCTATATACAGGCATAGGTCACGAAGAACATTCGTCCCGAGCCGAGTCCATCCAATCTAAAGCGCTTCGCCCACTCTATGTGTTTATACCCAATTGATCATCAAAACATGCTCGCAAACCCAATTGAAAAGCGGCCGTCAAAACATCAAAAACGAGAAACGAGAAACCCATCCAGGAGTCAACCTCGCCAATCTACTCTTCGTGACGCATTTTCCTTCCACGGATGTGCAAGAAGATGGTCGGAATTACACTAACGACAACGATCATTGCACAAGCAATTCCAGCGGCAGGCGCTACGCCAACATTATCGAACATAGATGGGAACCTGGATAAAAGTCAATACGATGCGGGAGGGAAGGGGACACAAGGAGGAGGAAACTCACCAGAATGGTCCGATGAAACCCCAAGTCTGGCGCACAAAGGTGATAAACACACCAATGCTGGCAGCCTCTTGGGGGAAACAGTCGATGGCATATGTGATCATGACGGTGGTGACAAGCTGATTACCAACAGCACCAATGGCCGTGCCGATGATGGGACTCACGCTCCAGTGACCGGTGGCGGAAGTCTCGGTGCAGACCAGGAAGACAATGACACCAATGATGGTCAAACCAAAGCCAAAATAGCTAAGCCATAACCGGTATTCTGGCTGAGGTTTGCGATCGAGACCACGGGCACCACGCTTCATCCACTGGTCGGACATGACACCACCCAGCTGCTCGCCAATCAAGGATCCAATAATGACACCAAGGAACTGGAGACCCAACTGCTCAGTGTTCAAATCGAACTTGCTTTGCAACAGTTGTGGCACCTCAACGGTTGCCAAAATACTGCCGAACAGGAAAATCATCGCATACGCGCAGGCGGGAATGAGGATGGACGGGTGACGAGCCATGGTTAATGGCCGAATGAACTCGTACCATGTCATGGGTGTCGGATCAATCCGGCGGAGCGAGATATACTCGCGCTTGAAGTTTGACTCAGTTGAGTCGACACCGCCGCCCAGGTAACGGGTCTCTGGTCCGAAGAAAAGATACAGAATGAACTGACCACCGTTGATCTATTGAATCATTTCCAGTCAGCTGAGGAATCCCATCTAATACGGGAATGATCACTTACCATAGCTAGGATCCAGTAAACCCACCCATAACCAGCACGGTAGGTGACAAATCCGAAGATGAGTGGTCCAATTGGTACACCCAGTGTTACCATGAGTGTCCAGATACCCATATAGCGGGCTCGATCCTTCTTGAATGTCGTTTCCATGACCACCGCACTGCCAATGGCCGAGGCTGGCGAGATGAAAAAGGCCACCAGGGCCCGGCAGGCGGCGAGCGATGCATAGCTGTTGCTCTTGGCACAACCGACGTTACACACTAGACTGCAAATAAGGGACAGAAGGAAAATCGGTCGGCGTCCAAAGCGATTGGAAAGGGGTTTCCAGAAGAAGGGAGCACCTCCCAAAATTGCAATCTGCAGAGAGGTCAAGTAAGCCGCGGTGGTGATAGAAATCCCCAGGTCTTCGGCAATGATGGAATAAGCCGGAATAATGGCGGCGGCGGTAAATGTACCCATGCAAGCGTGGAAAGCTACAAGGATGAGGTTTGCCATTTTCTATATGTTCCTGCATTAGTGTCTGGTTTGTTTTCACATGTGGTCCAGTCCTCCCCGGAATTCCCGGAGCGGTTTTTTCAAGGGATGCAACTCACCTTCCATTCGGGCCAATTGTACGGATCGGCTGCACCCATGCTAGGGATCGGGTCAAGTTCCAATGTGCCATGGCGTTGGAGCAGATAATCCCGATGGGCTTTTGGAAGACGCGCTGCCACAGACTCTTCGTAAGTGGCGGCTTGACCAGCGCCAGCTCTCTCGACGAGGTCAATATCGGCCTTAGAGCCAGGGTTTTCCTCGAACTGTTCTGCCCGAGAAGAGCTTGCGTGTAACTCATAGGATGTCATTGTGGCGACACCGGTTGAGGGGGAAGAGGAAGCAATCCCAGTAGAGACGCTTAGAGATCCTTCCAACGTTGTTGGCTTGAGTGGTATGGGATGATATTTGGGAAGGGCGTGGTACAAGGGATGGGGTGGAAAGGAACTACGAGTACAAGTATGCCAAAAGGGCTTGGAGGAAAATAAGGAGCCAAGAGGAAAATGGATGACTGATTAACCTGGGGGAAAATTCACCCATATGCCGTTGGGCGAGGCGAAAAGGCTTAAACCAAGGCTATGTGGCGTGCCGAGAATAGGGCCGGTGAGTGTGCATAACGACGCTAAGTTCACAAATGTCCGGAGATACGGCCTGGGGTATCTTTTGCCGGGCTCGGCTCGCCTGGAGAGAAATGCGGAGGGTCTCCACGGCCCACCGAGTGGACTCTCTCCATCGGGATCGGCGAGTCAGGAGCGAGTTGTTACGGCATTCCATGTCATAAAGATTAGTCACCGAACACTCTGGCACTTGAGAACGGCTAGCCGAAACAGCCTTTTGCTGGTCATGCGGCATGCTCACGCACGGTTAATTACCGAACCGTGACAGCGAAGGGTCTTGGCTGCACTTTTTCCCCATAGATTACTCCAGACTATCCAGCGTTGACCATGTTTTTCTATCTGGGGAGGATCTCGGCCTCGGCATCCATGGTTAGTGGCCTTTACCATTGGCTATTGTAGTGTCACTAAGTGACCCAGGGGGTAAAATGAAGCGGCAGATAGGGAACCGTCTGTCAGCGGGAGCAAACCTGAAGCAGATAATGGAGCCACACACTGGATGGGTTGGAACCACGCTCCTGTTTCCTACCCAGTGCACTGCATCCTTCCTGGTGGGAACCAAACAGATTGACGGGCCCCCATTTTTTTTTTCTCCCCAGTCTCCTCAATTCCCATCTCCGGTGTAAGGGATTGGGAAGGGATTCGTAATCCCCCACGCCCCAGTTTTCAGTTGCGCGGAGAGAGAACGCGCAGAGGGAAGAAGATAGTGCCACATCCCCACAAATCCCCACATCACCACTTTCTCTTCCCTTCACCACTTTGTCCTCCCACACTCCCCCTTCAGCCCCAAGGTAAATCAGATGGCGTCAATGGAGATCATGACGGTACCTCCGGCGTCTGCAGGGGTAAAGAAACTGGTGTGTCGCGTTTGCCAAAAAGGATTTACTAAAGCCGAACATCTAAGAGTAAGTTGTCTCCCGTCCCCACGATTTTGAGGGGCAGCTCCCCAACTAGATACCAAGAGGCAAAATAGAACTAACACCGGTTTAGAGGCATGAGCGGTGCCGTAAGTGCTTATTTGCTCCCCTTTATTCGTGCATTTGTTTTATTTTTATCGTTATTATGCCGGTCATGCCATTTCCTATATTACCGATTCCGAGAGAATCCGTCGGCTGACCGGAAATGGCTATACAGACACCGGATCTAAGCCTTATGTCTGTAAGGAATGTCGCCGGCCGTTCGCCCGGCAGGATGCCCTTACTCGGCATGAGAAGTTGCATCAGCGTGATATGAACGCAAAGGATGGCCCAAGTTCAGCCTCAGTTCCCCCATCTGCATCTCTAGATTCAATGGCTTCGTGGGAATCAAGCAGTGCGTCCCCAGCGGGCCCAGCTTCTACTTCTGCGACTAGTAGGTCATGGGATGAGTCCCAATCTGTGCATCATCCCGGCATGCACAATGTTGCATCCGACATGGATTTCGCTCTGGTCTGGCCAGACTCGGAGAATCTATTCCAGAGTCTCATGTCTTCAGATACCACTGATCAATGGCAGATGCCGTTGGGGACACTACCATTCCCGCCCGTCGTACAGGACATTAATGGCATGAACTTTGGATCGCCCAATTCATTTGACGATCGCAGTTCATCGATCGGCGCTATTCCCTCTGGTGGTGGACACCAGGCCGTGCGGGATGTGACGGAAATGATCAATAGCTCGGTAGGTGCCTTTAGCCCCTATCTTAGGCACCAAAATTCAAGCCTCGGTCGTAGATATACCGATAGAAGGAAGTGCTAATGATGATACTAGTCCTCAAGCGTCACCGCTGCCGTCAAAGCCACCTCCATCACATCCGTCTTTCTAGATGAGTGTCTTCACATGTTCTTTGTCCGTTTCATCCCAACATTCCCTATACTACACCGAGCTACCTTTGTATTCCGAGAATGCACTCATGCCCTACTCCTCAATGCCATCGCCATAGGCTCCTTGTATCTTGGCCCTAGTGATGCTGTTGCAAAAGGAGAAGCTTTATGGCGGCTTGCACATACTGCTATCGCCACCTCATGGCAATCCTTAATCACCCATAACGGCCCTTATGACACGTGCAAGGGTGTGCAGTTGATGATCACTGCACTTCTCGGTCAAATATACGGAGCACTATCCAGGAATCGTGCAGTTCGGACCACAAGCCAAGTGTTCCGCCCATTAGGCTTCTTCTGGGCTCGGCACTGTGGAATGTATGACAGTGAGCCCTACTCGATGGAGAACCTGCCTTCCAACGATGCTCCTGCTGCTGAAAAAGAACACCAGTGGCGGATATGGGCTGCGCGGGAAATACAGCAGCGTGCTTTGCTTGCATACTACGTGCTTGATGGTCTTGTAGCCCAAATGTCTGGTGACGGAGCATCGGCCCGACATGTGTCGAATTCCTTAATACTCCCTAGCAGCGAACCGGCTTTCGATGCGAGCAGCCCTGATGAGTGGTTGGCACATATGCACTCGCAAAAACCCGATCAATCCTCCTTCCGAGTCGTCTTCCGGTCCTTATTCCCGCCTGTTGGCAACTTCAGAGCCCTCGACTACCAATTCTCTGCCTTCGCTCTTCGAGTAGTATTGGAGGGCCTTCAGTCCTTGATTTCCGATGGTGATGATCATGACTTGGCAGTGGGCGTTCCCGGCCAGTCCGATGTACGCAGAGCATTGGCTCAAGTTCACGAGACTATATCTATGAGTCTCCATTTCTCCGCCGCGGAAAGACTAGAGATACTTTTGCGCTGGCACACTGTCTGCCTGGATACAATGGTCAACTCAACAGTTTTATCCCGTCATGTCTGTTCCCGTTGGGACATTCCACAATATGTATCTGGTGGTTGTCGAACAACCCGGCCCGGGTTTGACCTCATCAAATGGGCCAACACCGAGGACGCAAGGCGAGCAGTACTCCACGCCGTCGCTATTCAAGATATCATCGAGCAGTTGCCTCGTGGCCGTGCACATGTCGTGCACATGCCAAGCTCCCTGTTTGCTGCTGCTACGATTTATGTTGTGTTTACTCTTGCCGGAATAACTACCATCAATCTCCCCCGAACTATTGTTTGGCAGGATGCTTTGCTATCCCATTCAGATCTTCATCTAGGTCACGATGATATTCGTCCCCCGTCTGGCTCGGAAACACGGCGTTTCGTCGCAACAGACCAAGGAATACCCCCTGTTTTCGCCGGCGGTGCTGTTCGTAATCTTCTTTACGAGCTAAATTCCATTCAAAAGCTTTTCCGTTGTCTTTCATCACAATGGGGAATCGCCCATGACATGGAAGATATTGTCGCTCAATGGATTCAACTTTGCCATTAAGCTCTGGAGCTGGACTCCGCTTGTCAGGATCTTCTTTCCTCAACCAGATTCCATCTACCTGGCTATGGTCTCTGTTTATCTTAATGCGTCGAGTTGTAAATATATGACGCTTATTGCATATAATGAGTCACGACATGAATTAGGTATTAATCTATTTGGTTCGATACGAGAGAGAAAGCTTAACGGACTGAAAAGGTTCAACCATTCTTCCCAGTATCGATCTACCTACTCTATTGCTAGATAGATAAGTATGCGGTCTACAATGACAGGAACCGATGACCGCTTATACCATTTTTACCCGCTGAAGCCCCGGAGGTGAGAAAAATTTGTCGAGGGGGCAGCATTTACCGCAGCAAGATCATCCGCATTTCTTGTATGCATCGTCAAGCTCCCTCGATCAGTCTCCTCTGTATGGATTTACAATCCCCAGGCGGGCATCAGTAAAAGCCTGCTTTTTGAGCAAGTTGCATATTAAAACCAGCTCAAGGAATAAGGTAATCACGCATCAACTTGCCAAACCTCTTGCTAGCTTCACTTTTGAAGCAAGGCTTATTTACATGGTCCTTAATAATTAGCTCGGGAGCGCGCGCACTGCAACAAGTTTTTTGCCAGATTACAGGGTTGAGACTTGCCTACATATTTCCTTCAAGGGCACCATACCACACATATTATACAATATCTCAATCAAACATTGCCGGATTTGGCCCATCTCACCGACATATATAGAGCTTACTAGGCTTCATAAGCCACTAAGTTATAAAGCATATGCGACCGTACGAAAAGCTAGGAAGTGGAAAAGATTTACTCGAAACCTTGAGATCAGGGACGCACATACATGTGTACGTCCTATTGAACAACCCGCCAAACAGAATAATCATTCTGGAGGCTACATACGATAGCGTGCAGAGATGGCGGAAGCTAAGATGCAGCCTAGCGGACGCTAGTCCCGATTCGACCATCTGCTCATCTATCTCGAAGCGCGAACTTCTTCCTGTTCATCATCCTTCACATTCCTCAACTCTTTCAACCTTCCCTCTTAGAAAGTTCAGGATATCACCCATAAAGCTGCAGCTATGCCTTTCCATACGTTTTCTGCTCGCCCACCCAATGAGTTCCAGCCTCAGGGTCTCAACAAGGTTCCTGGTCATGGCAAACAACTTACTGACGATGAGAAATCTACTCTCGTTAAAGTTTGTCATGATCTGGCTCGTTGGGGAACTTTTTCAGAGCAACCAAAGAGCTTCTGGATGGAAGCATCACGCGTTTTTGAATCTCAGGTTAACCGCAGCTATGGTTGGCAGGCTTGCCGACGATGCATGGCTAAGTGGGAGGCAGATAACCGCCCTGCGTGCTTGGAACGACCATCAATCCCTTCTCCAACTTTGTCTTTCGCCTATTTAGGTATTTGTTGTCTTCGCGATAATATAATGAATCACGAGCTGACCGATCCTGAAGCAACTCAAACAGATGCCGATGCTGAGGGTCTTCCTCACCATCCGCGCCCGCTTGTTCGCAACAGCACAAAGAGAACTGTCTCTGAAACAATGGCCAAGAGAAAGGAATTTTGCCGTTCAGTCTCTGGAGCGGTCGAGGATCTCGAACGCAAGATCCAATACATTAACGACGCGCTCGATGACGACAACCTTGAGCACCGGCGGGCCATTGAGAACACCTTAGGTCTGTTGAAGCTCCAGATCGCGGGATCTATGGCAAGATTTGAGAATCGAGCTCCTGAGTGAGGAATGAGGAACCAGCCTCCAGGATGAGTTACGCGATAAAGAATGATTATGGAGCCTTTGCAGCACTTGTATGGCGCGTTTTGATTGCGGAGTCAGCTGTGATGGTGCACATCCCCAGGACTTTGAATCTAAGGTTCCGATTTAGATACCCAAAATAAAACTTTGAACGGTTCAAGACTCTCTTCCGACTACCCCTAATAAGTTTGTATGAAAGATTTTTCAACTTCACACATTATGAAACACAATTGAAAAAAAGACATCTATCATGAATAGCGAATAAGAGTCCTTTTAATTCTCAAATCGATTTCACTTGCCTTTCTCAAAGTCAGGGTCACAGGTCCTGTTTTACTTTTCAAATCCCGTCATGATCCGTATTCTTGTATAATATGCTTAATTTGTATACTTTATGCTGATGTTCCTGATGCAAGACAGTTCTCCAACTACTTAATAGTACTCACAAAGATGAATGTTATGCATCAATGAAATGGAATCTTCTGCTACAAGAACTAGATTCGGGAGATCCAGCTACATGGTCTTCCCTTTCGCGAGTTGTCTCCATGAGTGCGACCTCACACCAGCCTTTTCAAGCAGCAAGCCGTATATCATGCATGAACATTGCTTTCAGTAAAGAGAGAATGAGTGTTTCATCAGAATGATCCCGGCGAGTCAAGTGGTAATCGCTGCTTGTTAAGGATATTGGCACTTTGGGGTAGGGTTCGACGGTCACGTGTGTCATCGAAAGCTTAGAAGTTGAGAAGTACTCGCGGATTTCAAACGAATTCCTGCAACAAATAACTTGCTTTTATATGAGAATCGAGTCCTGGCTTCATGGAAGAGGCAATACATGAGGTGGTCTAGTCATTGTTTGACCTGTCACCTATGTCGATAGCTTTTCACGACATGAAATCGTTTATCATCGTTTTTCTGACTTCCACGCACGTTTCCGATATCTTTTCACCCTTCCTACCATCACTCTTTCTCTTCTAAACAATCTTCTCTACTCTGCTCTCTCAAAGATCACCTTTGCTTCCTCACTTTCCACTGACAAACCAACGATTGCCACGACTGTCGCCAAGATGGCTTCTCCTGAAAAGAAGCCGGCCAAGGCTGCCAAGACATGGCGGCCAAATATGAAATGGGATGAGCATAACAATGCAATTGTAAGTATTCTTCCTGGTGGTTGTCTGATAATTTTGACTTGGCCATCTTTCAGTACAATTACAAACCAGCATTCCAGTACTTATGACAAGTTTTACTGACACAAAGTCCACTCTAGCTGCTGTCCAAGCTTATTGAGACCCATAGCATCAAGGTTGATGCTCAGCTAATTTCTGATGCATGGCGTAAGTTTATTTCTACTTCTAGCGGCCGATATCTTCTGTCCTCCAAGTTTAATTAACTTACAAGATAAATCATAGCCCAGGAGAGTGGAAGCCCTAGTGCTCGTGCGATCAGAGAGCAAATTGCCAGGATCAAGTCAATGAAGGCCAGGACCATCAAGAGCTTCGCCGTTCCTGACGAAACGAGCGCAGGTGAGGCTGAGTCGACCCCTCCCGGCAGCTCAAAGGGACCCCGCAAGCGCCCTCTCACCACCGAGGAGCGCAGCCCACCCAAGAAGCCTGCGCGAATGACCAAGTCCAAGGCAGATATCTTCGGGCTTCACGACTCGCCGAAGGATGTGCTTCAAGGGTCACCTCAGAACAACGATCCCAGCTCAGACGCCGACCGATCTGCCCGTGAGGATCCTGATACCGACTCCGACCTTGTCTAGGCCATTATGTTAGCAGCCTCAACCAAGCAATGCTATCAATAGGAAAAGAGGGCTGCTGACTGTCTCTGGGGTTTGAAATGCAAATATGGCAGGACTGTACATGGTAGTGGGTCGCAGGCCTTGTTTGAACTCACCGCACCATTTCATGTTTTAAGGTTATGTCTCTCTTATCATGTATCTTAATTATCCTGTGATTATCTCCGGGGTGGCTTTCAGAATGATATTCATAGTTGATGAAAAGAGTCTCGAATATTCTAGCTTCTGCAACGGCCATTGCACTTCGACTGCTTTGTAACAATTTCCGAGGTCTCGAACCCCATCTAGGTTGCTATACTTCCGCTTTCTCATTGAGAATTGCTTATTGTAAATCGCCCAGAACTTCATAATCAAATTATGTGTTCCAGCTGTATCTCATTGGGTAATTAGGGTTGAACTGGGTTGATTGATTAAATTATCTCCAACCCCTCCTGATGTGGTGTTGAATTCCTCCATCAATTTTTGCCAATCCGGGTACGTACCAATATAAACTATTCTGGCGCCTTTTAACAGCCTTTTCTTATTTAATCAAGCTTTTTTTTACCTGCCTCCTTAATGTATCCCTTTTTGGGCTTTTCGCTTACTATTCGGTGGCGGCCTTGCTTTCTCGGTATTTCTAAAAGTGACTGCAGACAACAAAACAATCTATAGTAAATACTCAAGAACAACAGGATATCTATTCTTGACTACACATAACAGAGCAGTCCATAACCAAAGCTCGAAAGAAACAAGATAAAAGGTGGCCGCAAATAACCGAGCAATCCACAACAAATGCTCAAAAGTAGCAGAGTATAAAGTGACTGCACATAACCGAGCAATCTATTCTATAACAGGAGCTCGGAAACAATAAATGAACAGCGACCGTAGATAACTGGGAAGCCCATAACAAGAGCACGGGAGTCACAAATAAAGTCGTTGTAGATTACCGGACAATCCACAAGGAGGACTCAAAAATAGCATAATAAATAAATAAAAAAGATCAAACAGACACGCCTCTGGCAGTCTGCAGCACGGCAATAACACGATTATATCCCCGTGCATGAGCAGCCATCATCCACTCAAAAATAAAACAAGTTTTCATCCTCTTCATCTTTCTTGATTTCACCATAATCCTCAACCGTAGGTGTAACAGACTTCAAGATAGTCTTTCCGCCCCAAGAACGGGCACCAGAAGACACAGATGATGTATCATTGCTGGTTTTCATACCTTTTCCTGCGTGAACAGGAACGGTAGAAGCAGGGTTCTTCATACTGCGGCTTTTGCTGTTGGTGGTGGTGGAAGTGGACTTGGCTGAAGGACGGTCATCAGAGGACTTCACTTTGGCAGAGGTACTGGCTTTGCTCTTCTTAGCTTCCCGAGCGGATGGGATCCCGGCTGCTTCTCGGATTCGAACCAGGCGGTGTTTGATAGCTGAGACTGTCACTCCTGTAAATCTGTCAATATGGAGGAGCAATGGAACGTTAAGGTAGCATACCTTCTCCCATCGCCTTGGCGACGGCTTCGAAGTCGGGTGAGCCAGTCGTGGCTAACGCGTTAATAAGCTGGTATAGAAGTGAGCAAACGAATTACTTTGGGTCTGTAGTAAGATGAATGAATTAAATACCTTGGCATCCGCCTCGCGGTCCCATTGGATAGGCATGTTGGTTGCAACCGGTGCGTTTTAAGCACGATAGAAATGAAAGATTTGAATGCTTTGGTAAATCTGAAAGGTGGGTAAGTCTGAAAGATGCTCATGTGGAGCGAAGGTTGAGCGAGCTAGGGGATGGAAGAAGGAAAGAAAGAATCAGGTCGAGAAAAGTGATTTTATACTTCAGCAGGGGAAAGGAACTTTCACTTCACCTACTCCAATATTTAGATGAAGTGAAAATCCCTAATGTTTTCTTATTATCCCGAAATATATGTCGCGCTCTACCTACTAAGCAGTGGTCAGTACTCAAACTTGATCGCGCCGAGATCCAGCTCCACCACGCAAAGCCCGAACTATGATATACATTCAACGACTAAATAGAACATTCAAAGCCTCCTTTTCACGTTCCTTGTGAGCAAACACATACTGCCTGGAAGTCTCTATGCCAATATTCCGCTGCCTGGACATGCAGGCTTCTATGTGTATCTTTATGCATATACACCGAATAACGTCTGGCAATTTTTGATTTCCCTTGCCGCTTCTTGCTCACTGAGTAAAACTGAGCACTCACTAAGCACGCACTGAGCGTCACCTAAGCAGCCTGATCCACTCACTGCGCACGACCTAAGCAAAGTGCGGGAGCAGCCAAGTCAATAGCCTCAATAAAATGCATCACGCTAGCCCCATCCACATGTAGTCGATCACCTAGTACTTTTGACCATTGTCCGCTCAACGAAAGCTGGCGTCATTAATTTGGCGGTCGGTTGGAGTTGAGCGGATACGAACAAAAAAGGAAAAAAATACGAACTAAACTAAGTGGAGAAGCCAAAACGATATAAGATACGATTTCCAAGAATCATGTATTAGCATGGCGAAGAGACATATCCTTGGAATGCTGCATATGGAATTTGATGAGTTATTTGTCTGGCCACCACCGACAACAACCAAATTGAATCAAGCAATTATGGGGTTCCTTAAGACTTCATGGCTATTGGGAGCTCTCCTAAATGCTGCTGGTGCTATTGCTGCTGTTAGCAACGACACTGATTATTTTCAGAGCTCAGATTTGGTGAACACCACCGCATCGGCTGCCTGCCAGAAAGCGCTCGTCATAAATGTGACCTGCTACCGCGATTTGCTAGCCGCCATCACCAGGACCACCTCGTGGTCGTTGGACGCGCTATCTCAGATCTGCGATGATGCTTATACAACCTCACTCAATAGCTGGGTATCGTCTGTAAGTGCAACTATGGCGCAACAACCCAGTTGTACATTATTTCTGGCACAGTACAAACCGCAAGCTCGGCAGGATAGGAGCTGCTATAGAAATAGACCGCCTCCTGTGTTAAAGACTCCTCGGGCGAGTTCTATAATCTAGTGATCTAAATTGCGGTAATTAATAGTGATCACAGCTTGCTTTATAGTGACTACGCTCTAGATTGACTACCGTTGTCAACTCGCCTTGGGGACAGAAAGTCATAAACCTGGTTGCTGTGGAAAGTCAGATCTAGAGCTGCTCGGCAACTGCTTAATACTCGGTCACATACACCGCCACGACAACGTCGAGCTCGGGAACCGCATCGGCATCATCCACTGTCGATGCTCGATGCAACACGACTGACCCAGACACAACCACATACAAAGTAATGCGAAACAATACGTGTGTCAATATTTCCACTGCGAAAAATGTGTCCACACCGGCTTTGACCGCATTGAACGGGTTAAATCCTGGATGCAAGTACCTCACTGCTGGTCAACTCTTGTGTCTCCCAAGTGTCTGCCAAACATATCAGGTTGCAACAAATGGTTCCTACACGTCGATCGTAGGAAATCTTACTCGATCGGTTAGCGCCTCAAACTGTGGCCAATTCAATCTCATATCGCATTAATTTCATGCCGCAGCCCTAGCCGTTCATTCCCCACAACATCCACTACAGATATTCGCTACGATATTCGGTCCGGCTTCAGCGTCCCAACCAAGTTAGGCGCCCCGCTACTGAAGCTTTCACTAGTACATGGTTGGCCAAGGTTTTCTTCCGGCATTTTCCACTCAATCGATTTATTTATTCCTTGGACCCCTACAACCCTTTGGACCCTTAACGAACTTAATCACACGTTAGCCATGCCGAGATCGGTTCAGCACTGGCCAGGGGGAATCCCCACTTGCATCCAACCACACCCAGAACCAGATTTATCTGACGACGAGATCAAGGAGGAAGTGAAAGGTTGGCTACTATTTGTAAAGGTATTTTATAGAATTTAAAATTCCAAAAAGGACGTCTTCGAGTTCTACGCTAATATGAATCCAGGAGAATTGGGTTTCTGCAGCAAATGCAGGCGCTTCCTCCGATGCGGAATATGAGCTAAAGCACCGTCGGCAACTGGTGGAAAAGTGGGCTTCAGCCACACAGGAATTTCGTGATGTGAATCCAACTCGCTTAAATTCGTCCAATCTCCGAAGTCCATTGCACTGATAATTTTTGGGCCTAATCCAGTCGTACCAATCGCGTGCACCTGTGAGTCTTCCAGGCACGGAGGGGTCAAGATCAAGGGGTGAACAGATTGAAGGTCTTCGATACCCAGCCGAAGCATTGGAACGTATCTACGATACTCTCCAGCCAGACAATACCAGCGGCCTGATTTGTATTGCCCCTGTCGATGAGAACCATCCTGAAAATCGAGCGCGATTGGTGAAATTCGCGATCTTGTTGTACGACTATGATATCGAAGCTGGGCACTGTATCGATAGCCACATCCCATCGGAGGCTAACCTTAATCCAGCAACCACTAATGATTCATCAGTTGAGGATTTTCTGCCCTGGGCAGATCTCGAAACCGCAAACTTCCTGTCTATCTATCTTACGCATACTGGCACAGTGATCTATTTCGGTTGTTTAGGCATATACATGTTGGTTGATGAACTAGGTCTGCAAACCGGGCGCTTGACATTCGTCGAGTATGAAATCAATGGAACTGTGCAAGAATCTGTTGAAATCCGTCCATTCAACATGAAAAGCCCAAACTTACGCGCTCACCATTGCGGATCCCGGGGAAGACCAGAAGATATCAGGTGTGTTGACGGTGGTTATAGACACCAAAATCAGCCGTGAATATTCCTAAGCCTACCAAGTCAGCTCCACAAATTAACGCATGATATTAGACTTGACATGGACCTACCGATCGTCGATATTCTCTGTCAAGCCAAGGAAGTTGACAAACTTTCAAACACAATGTTTCTATGTGATCGAGAGCAGTGGACCAGTGATGTTGAGCTTTATGCCCCGGGATACTTGGCTCTGGAGGCCGAAGGGCGCGGAGGGAAGTACCCCCTGACCCGTCTCGCTGACCCAAACACTATCACGGGCATTAAGAAGCAGGTTATGATTGCGGTGGAAGACCCCAATTTTTCACACGCCCGTTTTACATGGCTTGCTCCGCGCCGACCATGAGTCTACTAGCTTCAAATGAAGAGTCGTTTGATACCTTCCAATGTGAGGATGCAGCTTCACCATCTAATGTATAGTATTGGAAAACAAATTACAGATTGGAAGCCCCATGGACCGATTGAAAGAAGCAAACACTCAAGCGCAGAAAGGCTGTGCAATCGAGTCGAATTAGGATTGGATGAATGTTTAGTAAAAGCAAATTCAATAGTTGTGGACTAGAAGCTTGCACTGACCAGCTTGAGGAACATTGGAAAGTAATTTGGTCTACGACATACGAAATAGTACAATTTAAAGCCAATTTGACGTCCTTTGAGGATACAGCCCATGTCAATAAATGGCAACATTAGAATGTTCTCAAAATGATCTGAGGAACGAGGGAGGAACAAAAAGTAGACCGGAGGGTGGCTGTTATGGGTAAAGCTAATATCCGTATTATCATCAGGTGACTCTCAGTCTTTCATCCTCCAAAGGGCCAGTGGACGTGTTATGAATGAGAAAAGTATTGCTAGATCGCAGAGCACCTTTCTACGTATTTGAAAACGGCGTCTAGACAGTATATGGGCTGATGGAAACACTATGCTCTCAAGTCCTTACACTGGGGGCTAATTGAGCTAGTCACTTTGTGAGAACATTCAGTGTTTCTTTTAGGGTTATATCCATGTGTGTCAATTAGAAGCTTTCTTTGTATCGATAACGTGCCCAGGCGGAAACTTCGAGTTCGAAACGATTCAATATAAGGCTTGAGTTCCTATGAGCCCAGAAAGACTAACAGCGTACTAATGTGGGGTATCGTCTCAAAACCTAAGGCAGGAGCACTGGTAACTAACAGGGGTATATTATCAACGATGAAGGACAAAGATCATATATCGGCCATGACTGATTCAACGATTTTGCGCTTGTACTGCGATAGGGCGCGATCCTTCTTCTGCATTTGCGATCGAAGTTTCATGAATCGTTGCTTCCAGGTGGCATCGGAGACGGGATGTTCATCATCATCATCATCCTCCATGTCAATGTTCGATAGATCGTCATTCTCCGAGAGCTTTCTTTGAAGACCGGGAGGTGGAGCTGGCTGTTGTGGTGCTGGCCCGACAAAAGCTATCGCAGGATTGATATTTCCAATAGCCGTGTAGGTTGAAAAGTGACCAGTAGGATTGTAATCAAACGAGACACTGTATCGAGGCTCTTTTGGACCCGATGTCTGATCACTGGCATCCGGGGTCGGGTGTTCAACATGAACAACCATGGGTACCTGCCGGGGTGCTGAAAATCCGAAATAGTGCCCCACGCCGAGATTAAATGCTAGAAGATAGGAATGTAGCTCAATCGGTAGCTTTGAGTACTGGGCGGATGAGTTGAATACCATCATGGCAGCGAGTGTGTGGGCCTCCTCAGGACTTAGTGGCGTGGGTCTCATCACTCTTGCTGCTAGCAGCTCACTTGAGAGGGCGCGAATGATTTCGTCGAAAGGTATTTTTGGAGCATTGTCTGCGACTCCTTGATCCACAGCGGGACCAGGTTCGCCGAGTGCACCCCTGTGGTCAGCATGGTAAGACGCGTGGGGATGAATATGGGGATGAGCTTGAGTGTGTGGCTGAGGATGGGCTTGAGGATGGGCTTGAGGATGGGCTTGAGGATGGGCTTGAGGCTGAAGCTGAGGGTGGGCTTGGGGGCGTGCTGGAGCATGAGCTTGAGGATGAACTTGAGGCTCGCCATGAGATTCTGTAGGCTGAGAAATGACTCCTCCGTTGACACCATTGACTAATAATGTTGGGGGCGTTGCAAGTCGTACCGGAGCCCCCAGGTGCTGCGGAACCTGCAGTTGAAGTTTGCCTGGCCTTCCTTGAGTTGCGGGCGTTGGTGATTGATTATAGGATGATGTTGGCGCAGTGCTTGGCGTGCCATTATGATCCACAACAAGTGGGGACGATTGGGGAACGGAAGCTGGTGGAATCTGTGAGGACTCTCTGCTTGGTTGGAGTTGAAATGTTGTAAAAGATCCAGATGACGGTTTATTGGGAGGTCTGCCTCGACTTTTTCCATTGGATGAGTTATTACTAGTTGGCCAGGCGGACGAAACTGCAGGGCCATGTTTGCGCTTGGCACGAGTTTTTTCTCCGGACGATGGTGTCACAGCGGAGCGCGGCTCGGCCGACATGATGATATCTGGCTGGTGGCCTCGTGGAAGTATTGCGGACTGAGGATAGCCTGCCGGGGATGTCTCTCGTTCTGGAAGCCGCCAACGTAGATCCTGACCCTGTTGTTCTGATGCGCCAGGTTGTGTAAACGAAGAGTTTGCTGTCATCCACGGATCATCTTCAGGGAAAGCACTAAAAGGTATAGCGCTATGAGGAAAAATAACAGAGTGATTTTGAAAGCCACCTGGCGGTAAGCCTCCTACCGAAGTATCCAATGAAGGTCGTTTGGCCGACTTCTCCTCGTCAAGCTCCCTTTCGTCGGCTCTTTTCCTACCCCTCTTGGGCTTCCACTGAGGAACAAGAGCTCGAAGAGCCAGATCCTCCTCCAATGGCACCCCATCACGAGATTCACTCACGAATGGACCGGAGGGCGGTAGCTGGGTGTAGTATGCATGAGGATGCCCCAGACAATACTCAAAGAATGAATCGACGTGCATGGCACGCATCCAACGCTGCAGTCGGTCAGTGAAAAACATGCAAAATTTATAATATCAACCTACCTTAAGTCGAACGGCATACTGTTGGACTTTCTGTGTACTTTGTTTCTTTTCCATTGACGGGGGTTCGACGCCTAGCTCAATTGCCAGCTGGATCCATGTTTTAAGCTCCTTGTTGTCCAATTTTCGAATCAACTCGTATAACTTGAAAACGCTAAAGCTCTTGCCATCGCTGCGCGGAGGACAGCGAAATGTCTTTCGAAGCTCGGAACTGTCGACGGAAGAGGGGACATTGGGGTTGCAGTAGAAGATAAACATTACATATGCGTCATCAATATTGTCGTCAGTTATATCACGCGGCGGTAAGACTCTGGACTCTGCTTGGTCGGTTGCATCTTTCATCGGCGCATGACGCAGGGCATCAAACACAGGCGGTGACATTGATGGCCCTGAGCGCGCAGCCGATGCAGGAATAGCAGACCTCATCCCCCTGGGAGAAGACTGTACACTTCGGGGGGTTCCCTTGCGATGCAAAGAAGGTGATTTGTGGGCTTCCGCCTGGCTACGCGCACTCCCTAATGATGAGGCACTGCGGAGCGAGGACTCTAGCGTCTGCGGGTATCGCGCATACTGCTGAACAACCATAGGCGATGCCCCGAGTTCACTCCGGGTTGGGCGATCTGTTGAATCCATCATGACGGGGATAGTATTTTCCATGGAGTTAGACGGGGAGCCAGCCTTATCATCCAAGCCCCCAACTCAAGTGCGGGCCAAATGAAACCAATAAGTGGAGGCCAGCGATTATGGGGTCTCCAGGCGGGTCGCATCGATCATTTGTTTCTCGTGACCTGCGGCAAAGAGTTATGAAAATATATGGCAGGCAGTAATCCCATCCACAGAGCAGAGAGCGGATGCAATAACCTCCCACGAGGAAACCCCTCGAGGTGGCTGGAAGCGCTTTCAAGCTCAAGCTGAGTTCTATTTTGGGCGCATCTAGTGCATCTTAATTTGGTATAGCGCCGGAGCCTTAGGGCGGGGGTTGGTGCCTCACAAGGTCACATGCTGCACTAGCGTCTTTTAAATGGAGATAAATTAACTCCGTGTTTACGAAGTCGCTGCTCAAGTTGACTGTTCAAGCTCAGGGATGCTTTGATTGTTCTTGTACGCTGAATTTGCGGCTTTATTGCACAATATACTCCCGCCCTCAAACGATGGGAATGAAAGTGTGATGGTCCCTCAACATATGGCTTTGAAGTGATAATGACATGACAAATGAGCTATCGGAAGCAGCCATGAGCAAAACATGCACCTGTACAGGTACCTTGTACATGTGTCTTGTTGAAGAATTGACTTGAACAGCAAAAATCTCGAGTACAAAAAACCGTGTCACATGTCACGCTAATCTACATTCGGTATAGCGGATTTGATCTGCTTATCGATAACGTCGATCGCTCCTGCCGTCGCATCGAATGAAGATGGCGTTACAACCTCCTTCCTACTTCTTCCATCTCCCTGACCACGCTTACTTTATGCCAAGTTGGCCACGACCGCTTGGGACATGCAGGGCCATCATTGTTTGATCTAGCCCTGCTTTAGCCCACCATGGCCCCCGCTCGCTCTTCTCGGCCCGTTCGCCAGAGCCGAACCCAGGTTTCATCATATCATGAGGAGACCACTTCGGATGAGTTGGACCAAGATGTCTCCCGACGTGGCTCACTTTCTTTGCGCCCTCGGAATACCCCTAAAAACCGCCGGTCATATCGCGAGAAGTCCACTGATGAAAGTCTGGGGGAGCTGTCGGATGATGATGAGTTGAACGATGCAGCAACTGCCACTGGGCTTCCAGCTGCGGAACAGGTTCCTGGCGCTTCCCCGACTATTCCCCATGCCCTGAAGCGCACTCGACGTGCAGCAACCTCCCGGTCCACCCCAAACAAGAGACCGCGGCCAAAATCGAGGGCATTGGGTCAGCCGTTGAAAAAGCGATCGAAAGCCCAGCCAGAAGAACCGTTCTTCTTGGGATCTGGCGTGATCCCTCCATGGCAAACGCTGCCATACCATATACTTATTGAAATTTTCCTCCTAGCTTTCTACCCCCTTGACGACCCTAAGAACCAGGCCGCCAAAAAGACTCCTGGCAAAACACCGGAGACGAAGTCAACCCACAATCTACTCGGTATCGCGGCTCTGTGCCGTGGATTCTCGGAGGCAGCTCTTGCAGCTCTCTATTACCGGCCTCCAGTATTTTCCGCATATGACGGACATGGTCTCCTGAACCTTCTTTCGATGCCGCTGGACTCTCAATTCATAAACTACGCAGGGAAAATCAGGGAGCTTTACATCGACGCTGAAACAGTTCTTACTTTGAAAAGTGGCCCAACCCTCGGTTACTTTGATCTGCTCCAATTGCTACAAAAAACCCCCCGACTTCACACCCTACGCCTATACCATCCCGAGGATGTTGTGTTGGGGCTACCACGAGTGGCTCTTACCCTGGCGAAGTGGAGCTACTCGCAACCCCTTTTTTCGACCATTGACCAAAGCGGTATCAAAATTCGCAGTTGGGAGTGGAACGGGCGCTTTCTTGACACAGCATCGTTGCTTCCTCTTATGCTAGAAAAACATACAGGTGCCTCGTTTCAAGGAGTCAAAGACATCCGGCTAGTCCATCTCCTTGATCATGACCGAGAGGACACTGCTGCCAAGGAAACTGCTCTTGCCACCACTCTCAAGGCATTGCCCGAGATAGAGCGTCTGGAGTTTTACGAGTGTAGCATTTTGGCGGGTAGCATTTTAGAGCAACTGCCACCAACGCTTCGCTCACTGACAATCTCCAACTGCGATCGACTGTTGGCCAGCAATGTCACTGAACTCCTTAAAGTCCACGGAGGACAGCTTCTTGATTTGACGTTAAACCACAATCGCCACATGAATCTGGAGTTTATGCCCCATCTAGGCATTTGTTGCCCTCGATTGGAGAGATTCAAGGTAGATATTTCGATGTATGACGTTTCAAGCTACCATGACCTCGACCCCCATTTTCAGCAGCTTATCTTTCGGAATCAACATCCAACCTGGCCCGAAACTATTCAAGAGATTGAGCTGTATCAGCTTCGACACTGGAAGTTGGATCTGGCCGAGATGTTCTTCATGTCTCTTGTGGAATCTGCACCCAAATTGAAGGACTTGCGGCGAGTAGATATCAGTGCCATTCTCCCGATTGAATGGCGGGACCGTGCTCAATTTCGAAAGAAATGGGATGACCGCTTCAAGAGGGTATTCTTGCGGCGTAGCCCTCCGCCAAACCCAGACTTTCGTTCTCTGCGAAAACGACCATTGGCTCCTGTTCAACGTGCTCCCACTCCAGAAGCCTCGGCACGTCCAGGCACTGCGGACAGTGAAACGCTTACCCCCAAGCGGCACAGTAGCCGCATAGCACAGCAAAAGATCCCTGAAGATACCGACTTAGACGAGGTTAAGTCCTCTCATTCTGACACTGACACCCAATCTGCCGATAAAGATGATGTCCAGGGAATGTGCGAACATTTCACGATTCGCATTGACAATCAACGACCTAATGAAAACCAATACAACGAGAAAGATTTCCTCGATCCTGAAATCAGCGGCGATGAGGACTGGGACTCCGGTGCTGATTTCGAATCCGAAGATGGTCATGCGTGGTGATATTGCTATAGTATTTTTTTTCTTATTGTCTTTGAAACTGAGGTTTCCTATCTGGCGTATACATTTGGATGGGGTTCAGATTTCAGGTAGAGGGTTGGTGTCTTTGCTTCTGGGGTGATATCGGATCTCATCCTTTTTTTATATGCATGAACTATACACCTAATAGGAATGGTAGCCAATGCAGTGTAACAATAATTATTATGAGCACTATCTTGACTTCTCCAGAGATAACGTATCTACTCGTGATATACTCGTGATCGCCTTGCCAAGCCTAGTAGCCCCACATGATCGTCTTAACGCACCTGGAACATCGCCATTTCCTTCACCTGCGATGTTTTCTACATCCTCTGTAACCTGAAACCTATCTTTGCAGTGAGCAGAATGCCGCAAGATGCGCCGGCAGACACGGCTGGTCCGTCGTCACCACCTCCCCGAATGCCCGAGGGATGGTAGGTTCGCTCCGACCCATGTGTCCTTGGCCCGAATACTGACGGTCCACGCGTCCAAGGCTCCCTCAATGGGAAGGGGTCCAGCGCAAGTGGTATTACGTCCAGAGAGCGACCGGTAAATCACAATGGGAAATCCCCACCGAGCCTGTCGTTCTTACGCCATCAACAACGCCCACGTCGATCGGTACCGGCCCCTCACAAGCACCACCCTCGCGACCATCAACAAACAGCCCCCAAGTGACAGGATTGACAAATACATTGGCGGAAAGAATTGAAGCTGCCGCAGCCGGTGCGAGGACCTCCGTAGGGAATCGCGCTTATTATGTCTGCACATTCATTGTAAGAGTGACACTGATGGCGAGTTAGAGCTCCCTAGATGCCCAGCTCAATGGACAGCCTGCGGCCACGTCGCTCGGTTATCCAGGAAAAGCAGGATGGTACCAAGACCAGACTGGCCAGCACCTTGACCATACATACGGCCAACATGCTTCATTAACCGAAATCGGATTTAATTCGGTATGCCACGGTCTATTCCAATGTGCCATTGGCGTTATTTGACTGGGGACCTAGGGACTGCATCATCATGGAGCTTCCGGGAATATGAACATCGACTCATCTTCATATTACCCCGGTAATTCGCTTGCCAATCACGCTGTTGGCCAACAGCCATTTATGGGCAACTCCTGGGGCCACAATTCCAATCCACTGGCAGGATACAACCTCCAACAGCAACATGATCCCTATCAAAACTTGGTCATGGGGGGCTCTCAGCCATCACAACACATGGAAGCTTACCCTTCCTCGGTAGCTATCCCAGAGGGCCAAATTTCAGGTGTTAGAGCTGATCAAGCCCCGCCTCAGCCTCAATGGCGGGTGGAGCAACAATCTGTTCACCAAAACGCTCCACAATACACCGTCTCCACAAATCCTGGCTCCACCAACCCATCCCGACCATATCTTGGCTCATATCCAACACCACAAACAAACGGTTGGTCACCTGGAGAATTCACCTCACGGTCTTCACTCTCATCCGAACACTCGCATCCAGGAAGTGATTACAATTCGAACCGGTCCACACAACAGGCAGGCCATTCGATGTCACGATCTCAATCTCACCACAACTCGTTCCACCAGCAAGCCGCTCCATCCCACATGCAATACAGCGGTGCTAATATGGCAGGCTCTCGATCTGGGACGGGATTCAACTCTATGGTATTCCCGCCGGCCCCAGAAACCCAACCTCTCGGCCATTTCTATCAAAATTCTCTCGCTCAGCCCGGCCCCCATCAATACATGCCTCAACAGCAGCAAAGTAACCCCGGGGGCAACATGCCCGGCGTTGGATATCCGCATCAATACATGCAGACTTCCGGTCAATACAACGAGTGGCCTGGTGCCGATCTTCACCTATCAAGAATTTCGGCGTCGGATCCGCAATTTGTCAGTGGTCCATGGGGATCGTCGCCACCAACATCGGGTCCTCCACCCTCGACTTGATATGAATGATATGAATTGCATGAATTTTGAGAACTTGGCAGTTATGAAATGGTAGTTCTGCTTCATGTTACATATCACGCGCCGGCCCTTCTACCTCATTTCATATAATTGTTCCTTTTTTTTCTCGGTTGTTGAATAGATCGACAGCTTGGTTTGGCTTTGAGGCTGCTAAGGCTGTCTTGTTTTCTGAGCAGCTATAACTCGGTACTTTTTATTTTTCATACTCTTCGGAATGCCTTATATCCATGCAAGAATTTAGCGTCGGCCAATTTCAAACAACTTAATGTTCTTCGTAATCGATATACTGTCCACAGTCATCGACCTGAGTTAAGATGTCTCCTGCGTCGATCTATTGTCCCAGATTGGTAGATTACGTATAAAGAAGCTGATTCACTGATTGATGGCATGATTGAGAACCTGCCCCTGGATATAGGGGGTCCCTGAAGGGTGAAAAGAAAACCTTGAGTATCCGCACGTGACCACAGAAGCCCTGTCTGGCCCATGAACAAGATGGTCATTTATTTCTTCAGAATTCACCCATGAACATACATGCTCTATTCGATGTCATCAAAGCATGTTTGCAGGCATATTCATTAACAACCAAGCTACCTGGATAGAGGATATGGAGACATTGTATCAGTTTCTATCAAAAGAACTAATTACAAAGCCCGCGTCATTTCTGGCACAGCACGCATGCAATGTGCAAGTTAAAAGATAGAATTGAAACAAAATAAGCACTGTTACTCGCCTGGGCCACGCAAAACATTACGTCCCTCATGGCCCCCTGTCTATTCCCCGCGGTGTGTCACTGGAAATCCCCGGACTCAAGTGCCATGTTTGAAATGTAATTTCAAGAAACTGACCTACTTAAGAGGAACAAGAGAGATTAGGAAATTTCAATAAGTCAGAAGTTTTGATTTTAGCTTACTCACTTGCCGAGCAAAAGAATGCTGTGGAGCCTACAGCTCATCCTGAGCATTAGAGGTGTCTCCATTGGACAACTCGTTGTCAGGGACGTCATCATCATCAGACAATGGAAGGTTGTCGTCACTGACATCAGCCTCAATTGCGTTGTCAAGACTGGTGTTGGTGCCATTTCCAGGCTTGGTAACCTTGGTAGAGTTCTGAAGAATTGTCAATTGCGTAAAAGAAAACTGAAGGAACGGAAATTCCTACCTTGGCCCGAGTCATGTATCCCTCGACCTTCAGACCATGGGCCTTGCGCAGCCGACTGAAGGTATTGCCGGCGGAACGCACATTGGTGTATCCCATGAGGGCCGCGAACTCATGCAGATCGATCTGGATGTAATTTTGACATTAGAGACCAGTGTAGTAAGCGTAGGCATGGGACACGTTGTTACGCTTACCTTCTTTGCATCAGGATCAAAGGATCTCAGCACATTAGCGAGGATTCTGTTGTCGGATGAATCCGCATCGCGTGGGATCTTTGGGGTGGCGGGCTTAGAGCTCGAATTTTTGGCCCGGGTGGCTTTCTTTGAAGGAGTTGTCATAGGAGAAGACATCTCAATGGTTGGATCGCGTAATGTTGGAGGAACTATCCGTTGCTTACAAAATAGGAGAGATGTTGAAAGTGAAAAAAGGTCTGGGATGCGATGAGAAGAAATGAGAATCGGTTTAGGCAAGTAAGAGAAGGAATATTTTAATTAGGCACTTCATCGCAAGCAAACCCATTCGATCAAGCCTTGCGCAACTTGCTATGTAGATCGTGCCATCACTTGTCAAAAGTTCACTTCTAGCCGGTACTAGAGACATGCACAAAAAATTGGTTTGATTTGTTAAATTCTCATGGTACTAATGTCAAGACTAACAGAGACTTCTTGAAAGCATCAACAATATGCTAGGGGAGAATCTCGCAGTACCATCCATGAAAGTTCATAGTCGCGTCTCTCCCATAGCTTGTAATGACAAATTTTTGACAACCACACATCCTAGTAAAACCACTAATGAGAGGCATTAGATGGCATTCATCAAGATTGTTGGAAATGTGAAGTGCAGAACATACTTTGTACGAAGGAATAGCTGTAACACTTAAACAACTTCCTCGCTAGGGAAATCATCGGTGAATCCGTCAAAGGAACCATCATTCATCTTTATCTCCCCATCTTCGTCTTTATCTTCGGCTTCAGTGGGTACCTTAAGTAAATATTAGCTTCACATAATATGATGGCCCATGGGGCTATGCTCGGATTGACTTACCTTTCCCCTAAGGTTACTGCCGACAAGATGGGTGAACCCGAACTTTTTGCGCAATCGCAAGAATTGCATCTTCGCGTATTGAGTGGTGACGCCCATCGTGGTTGCAACCTTTGAGATGTCGACCTTATATTAAATAGAGTTATTAAGGAACCTCGGAAAGTCCTCGGGGTGCATACCTTCACACCCGTCATCATCACGCACTGGAGAAAGACGGCCAGCCAGTCTTCGTCAGAGAACGGCTTCTCGGGCTTGAATGCAATCATGTGGTCTTTCTTGGCGGTTTTCTTGGGCTTAGCAACTCGGGAAGACATTGTCAAGGTAGGGCAAAAGGTGCAGGTAACAGTGTGTGGGTGGAGAAAGGGAAAGCTTGAGGGAGCAAAGCTGTCTATTTATTACAGTATCTTATTAAACTAATCTCAAGCAATCGTAAGGGAACATGTAGTACTTTATTGTGTTTTCATTATAGTCTAACCTAACACCAGGCTTGAAATTTTGTTCACCAATCATGAAAACAACGAATTCCTTACTTACATATTTAGTAATGCAAAAAGAGAAAAAAAAATACTTCCAGTTTTTGATTCATACCATGGTCCAATAATGTCAGATGCCGCTTTACACAATTTGATATGTCTCAACTTTGACAGGAACATCTGGTTCAGTCTTCACCTGAACTAACTGAACATCCCCTTCAACATCCACTCCAGCTCGTGTGGTTTCGGACTGATTTACAGTAGTGGACTCCCAAGAAACGGCTGGATTATAGCTGAAACTTGGCAGGCTGGTGGTAAGCTCTTGGAAGGCGATATCCTGCGACATTCCAACTTTGATAGGAATATCTGGTTCATTCTTCACCTCGACTAACTGAACATCTTCTTCAGTCTTGACTGGTGGAACTTCAGGCTGATTCATGACGGTGGACTCCCAGGTGGCGACTGGATTGTAGTTACAATCTGGCAGGCTAATTGGAAGGTCTTGCATAGTGGAGTCCAGCGGCATTCCAATTGGAGAATAGAACCATTGCGAATTTGATGACATCGAGGGGAAGCCCGAAGGGAATCCCGAGGGTATGCCAGGGTATGACAGTCCGTGTTGCATTTCATGTAACATGAATGGGTTGATTTGGGGAGTAGGGTAATTTGTAATGCTGGTTGGACTTCCTTGGGACCACGGATATAGTTCGCCTATGTCAGAAAAGGGAACCCTCTGGTCTCCTTCAAATTTGACAGAGTTTATGTATTGAAATGACTCGCCGCTCTCCATGCTAGGCCCAGGGATAGGATGAGGCGGTATTTGCATTTCGAATACCATGGCTTTGGGATCTCCCTTTTCCCCTTTGTTGACATTGTCGGCCTTCTTAGAGTTTCTCTTTCTGCCCGGTCGCTGAGCCCCAGTTTTTCCTTCCATTTGGTTGCGAAATCGAGAGAATCGCATGCGAGCGGCATGGCCATTGGATATTGCTTGCTCGGTAGCCACACGGTTCCAGTCAATCTGTCCAATATGTGAGAAATTTCATTGCAAACAACATATGTCTCCGGAAAAACATCACTCACATTCTTGAGATCGAGCTGCTTGAGCATAGCATATAGAAATTTGGGTGTTGGCCCTTCAATCTCCAAAACCTTGCCTCGTTGAACCATGATGTGTATGTATTCAAATATCTTGGATGGAAATATTAGCGAAGGAAACTGTGGAAGCTGGAATGAGTTCACACGGGTGAACACTAGCCCATTATATAGGTATCTGGTAACCTTGGAAAGGCCGGCACCAAATAGAACCTTGGAACAAGTTTAGTACCTTTCGTGTAATCAGTCTCTGAATTCTGGCAATGAAGCACCTACGAAGGAGAGTTGTTGGTGAAAGCCAAAGATTGCCTGAAAAGACTTAAAGTCAATTGTAGAGCTTGGTTTGCTAGACTAGATACTAGATGATGCGATGCTACACTCCATGTGTGCATTGTACATCAAAGAGACAATATCTGCTTCATGCTTTGCTAAGCACCGCTTCCATAGGACCCCTGTTCTATTATGAAATACCAAAGGATCCCCTTCCAATGTGGTGAATTCCCTCTTGACAAAAGCAATACAGGAGATGTAAGCAAGCTTTTGCTAGAGATAGACTGCATCCGTAGATGCACGTGGCCTTCCGTGCCCTATTTGCAATAACACTCATATTTAGGTGGGCTAATTGCGGTCTAGAGGCTTTGAGGAAAGACAAACATTTTGAGAAGCTATAAAGGGCAGTCCGTCAAGAGATAAAAGCTGAACAATTAATAAGGTTGGTTTCCTGAATGCAACATGTCGATAGGTTGTATAGGTAATTTATATATATTGATAAATCATGCCGTTTCCAAGGTTTGCTGTTCCGAACCAGGCTATTAGGGTAGGTAGTTTTTTGTCTGTTTTCCTTTCATCCTCAGGAAAAGAAACGCCTTGGGAAGAACAAATCACGCACCAGACAATGGAACGATCTAAGAGCATCGCGATATTGACCAATCAGACGAAATGACTATGGTCGGCAGACCAATGAGTCATGACTAATCTGCCCCGCACCCGCCCAATCAGACTTGAAGGTAGATTCCAGCGAAGATTCCAGCGAACTATTCCCGTTCGTAACTTTCTGTGTTCAGTAAGAAGCTGGAGTGCTCACAAATTGCCCTATAGGAATATTCCATGTCTTTAGTCGCAATAGGTGCATACTATGTGGATACTATCCTCAGGTGCGTCATGTCCTTCCGCATGTGCAGTGGACCAGCGGACAAAATTGAACACTCATTATTGATCTAATTTTAGTACATCGCATTATCCAGGAGAAGATGAGAAGCTCCGCGCATCAAATATTACTTATCGACGAGGCGGGAACTGCGCAAACAGCCTGGAGGTCTTGCAACAATTGACAGCCACGTCCCGGCAACAGCTTTCATTGAATCTTGTCACAATATTGCCAGCTAAATCGTCGGTAGCCTCGCAACGACTCATATCAGCACTTGAGCCTCATATTCAGCTCCGCCATAGTTGTTATCGAGAGCAGTTTCAAGAGCCAGCATCATGCTACATTATCAAAAGTCAGTCAACGGGCAGCAGGACTATCGTGAACTATAATGAACTTCCCGATATGACACTCGAAGAGTTTATACAAATCACTGAAGAACTGGGTCCTCGAGCAACCTGGTTTCATTTTGAGGTATGTCTGTTTGTTGCACGTAGTACAATACATTCTGATGTACATTTAGGGTCGCATACCTGCGGTCACTTTTGGCTGTATTCAACATCTCCGAAAGCAAAACCCCTCTGCTCGCATCAGTGTAGAGTTGGAAAAACCCGGCAGAGAAGGTCTTCAAGAACTTGCGGAGTTGGCCGATGTGATCTTTTACTCGAAGACCTGGGCACAGGTAAGTTGAATCTTGTGAGACTTACAGTAGAGCATGGCTGATCTCTTGCATAGAGTCTTGGATATACATCTGCGGAAGAATGTTTGCGAAGCCAGTCAACCAAGGCACAGAATGCGTGAGACTAGTCGATTGCAACAACCGAAATTGGTAGGAGCTTTTGAACTAATGGATTGGTACTGCAGAATCTTGCTTTGCTGTACTTGGGGCCAGGATGGGGCCGACGCCCTTGAGCCTGGAACTGGAGAATTCGTCCATGTGGACGCCTATACCCCGGCGGACTTCCGAGTAGTGGAGTAAGTCTTGATTTGGGTACGATAGTCTGTGAACTAACTACGCCTAGTCCAATTGGAGCTGGAGACACATTCAATGCAGGAATGTTGTATGCCTTGAATTGCAAAGATAAAGAATGGGATCTTGGTACTAAGGTAAAGTTTGCAAATCAAATTGCCGGCATGAAGGTGGCGCAGGAAGGGTTTTCAGGATTGAGCCGGGTACTTGAGCTTTAAACTCGAGAATTCGAAGCTCAGATAACATAATGAAATAAATTCAACTATATTTCTCATATGGAAATGGCAGAAAAGACCAAGAACATAGAAGATCCACTTCGCGCCAAGATAATATATCTACACGTGACCCGAAATTATTGGGCGGTGTGAAACAAAAATTATTCTGCCACTAACTTTTCTCCGAAGCTTTTAGCGTTTGATCTAATTCAGTCGCACCCAACTAATCACAGTCACCATGGCAGCAGTCTACAAGGCAGTCAACAAGAAGAAGGCACGTCAGTCCATTGAGGATGACTCCGATAATGAGATGGAGGCTGGATTGCAGGAGCTTTTGAACGATGCCGACGATACCACCGACAGTGAAGAGGAGGATGAACAGCAAGAGGAGGATCGCATCATCGCAGCCAAGAAGATGCTTGCCCAAGGCTTCATGCCCAAGACCCGAGTTCTCATTCTGACATCTCGCGGTGTCACACATCGGTAAGAGTCAGACACTTCTAAATTCGAAGCAAGATCCATTTTACTGACCAGCGCAATTTTGCTACTCGTGCAGTCACCGACACTTGATGACTGATCTCTGCGCACTCCTCCCTCACACTCACAAGGAAACTAAGCTCGATACCAAGAAGAAGACTGCCGGCTACAACCTTTTGCTCAACTCACTCGCTGATCTCCACTCATGCAACATGATCTTTTTCCTCGAGGCCCGCAAGAACGGCCAGGATCTCTACCTCTGGCTTTCGCGCCCTCCTAATGGCCCTACTATCAAGTTCCACCTTAACAACTTGCACACCATGGCCGAGCTCGGCGCAGGATTCGCCGGCAACTGCCTTAAGGGTGGCAGAGGAGTTGTGGTCTTCGACCGATCATTCGACGAGCAAGGTCCCGATATGGGTGTTGCGGGCACTGAGTACCGCGCGCTGGTTCGTGAGATGCTGCGTGGTGTCTTCTGTGTTCCCAAGCGTGGTGTCAAGGGCATGAAGCCCTTCGTCGACCGCGTCATTGGTATCTTTGGTGTTGATGGCAAGATCTGGATCCGTGTCTACGAGATCCGTGAGTCCGAGGGTAGCGACAAGAAGGACGGCGAGCCGACTGCTAAGCCTATTCCCAAGGGTGGAGATGGCATGCCCGAGGTGTCCTTGGTCGAGATCGGTCCCCGATTCGTCCTGACCCCCATTGTTATTTTGGAGGGTAGCTTCGGCGGCCCCGTCATCTACGAGAACAAGGAGTATGTCAGCCCCAACCAGGTCCGTCGTGAGATTCGCATGGGCAAGGCTGGTCGATACACCGCGCGCCGGGACGTGCAAACCGATCGCGTGGCCAAGCGGACGGATCTTGGTCTTACCGACAACTCGTCGCAGAAGCCGCATGCTCTGGATTCGAGAAAGCTTTTCAAATAAGGGTCAGGGTGGGGTTTCAGCGTTCATTCATTTGATCCACTCTAGAGATTTTTTTCGACTACATGTATATTTGATGGCGACGATATCATGGTCTGCTATGGCGTCAAGGCAAAGTCTTGTACTGGTTAATTTTCATTCAAAAAGTATCTTGCATGTTTTACAAACAGAAATTTCAAAATCAGATAAATATTAAGGTTGTAGATGTCTCTATGTTTGGGCCTGGTTCGTTGCAAATTGGGCTAGAATGGACTAATATGAGCCCATGACCGCCACATTCTTATCATAGACGCATGATTCCTCATATTGTGGATCTGCAAGTGGGCCCGAGTCGTGGCAGCCCGTCTGGACTAAACACAAATTAACCGCACGATAAATTGCCGTATCCAAACATTACGTAGACTGCCAGCAAAAAAAATATTGAACTAATATACTGATTTCGTAGGAAAAGGCTTCGTACAAACCCATATAGCCACAGTGACGCCCAACCAAGATCATTGTACCGATCGCGGAGCAGGTGAATTCAAGAAGAATAGGTCCGGTGGAAAATAAATCAATTTCGTAAGGGGAAACCACGCAGAAAAAAAAAACAAACAAGCAACGGGGTAGGAAAGAAAATAAAACAAAGGTCCGACTATTGGGAGATATGTCCGGGTTACGATCCCCATCTTCCCCATGTGCTCTCTACCAGATCCTGCCTGTGTATCGTCCTCCGTGTTTCAAATTACAGACCCCATCACGGATCAAGCCAATCCAATATCACATTGTAAAAGAGTCGTTGCGGTCGGGAGCGTTCTCGCGGATCGTTTAGCAGCAGCCCTGCTTCTGCTCTTGATCCTGCTGAGTGACCTCGATGACGGGGCGGCCACCAGGGAGCCCGGCCGAGGAGCCCTCACCGGAGTCGAGGGCCTTGCTAGACACAATACGGTAGATTTCTAGAGAGGGGCAGGTCAGCTTTGCAGGTGGGGTATTTGGCGCTGAGTGGGGGCGTACCTGTGAGGATGTTCTGGAAGGCGAGCTCAACGTTGCTGGCGTCAAGGGCGGAGGTTTCGATGAAAGAGAGGTTGTTCTCGCCTATGGGAGGTCAGCATCATGATCAAACTCTCTTATAGTGGGTGCCTGAAGACAGGGAATAGTAGACGCACTAGCAAATTGCTTGGCCTCCTCGGTGGGGACCGCACGCAGGTGCCTCAAATCGCTCTTGTTACCAACGAGCATAATCACGATATTAGAGTCGGCGTGGTCGCGGAGCTCCTTCAACCACCGAGTGACATTGTCGTAGGTCTGGTGCTTGCTGATATCGTAGACGAGAAGGGCACCAACAGCGCCGCGGTAGTAGGCAGAGGTGATGGCACGGTAGCGCTCCTGACCGGCAGTATCCCAGATCTGTGCCTTGATGGTCTTCGAGTCCACCTGAATCGAGCGAGTCGCGAACTCCACACCGATCGTTGACTTGGAGTCCAAGTTGAACTCGTTGCGGGTGAATCGACTCAACAGGTTGGATTTACCGACACCGGAATCTCCGATCAACACCACTATACACTCCCGTCAGTTATTATCCTGTGGTGGAAGACCGTTGGTGGGCACGAGGTGGAGGAGGTTGCGCAGCGCTGCTCGGTAGGCAGCTGCACGAGGCGACGTTACCTTTGAAGAGAAACTGGGGCGACGGTCAGCGACGAAAACAATAACAGAGGGACATATGTACTTACATCGTATTCGTCGTTGGCCATTTTGAGGGATAAAGAAGGAATAGGAGAAAAGGGGGGTGAAATACAGAAGAGAAAAAAAAGCGGGAAGATGTAGTAAGTGAAGGCCGATAGGGAGAGAGTTGATGTCTCTAGGTGGAGTGTCTCCTTAACGCTCAGGTCACGTGGGTGTTGTTTTGCCGCTCGGCAACGTCAAAGGGTTTCTTCAAGTCTTTTGAATATTTGGGATATTTATACATAGATTGCTTTCACACAAGCTGAACCTGCAGACATGGCATTCAATTTGCTCTCGAAATGCCCAATTCTGTCAACTTAGAATGCACCAGGTGCCTCTGAATACTCATCTACTCCCGGAAACGGCCTTATCTTCATACAACATTCCGCACTGGCTCTGTTGATGACCTTAAAACACCTTAGTGCAAGAAAGTTATGCACCTGTGCACGTGTTTTATTATTTCATAACTACTTCCTGGGTGTCATTGAAACCCATCTTGTGCGCATCAAATCAGCTCGTGACAATGTTACTCAGGTCCGATAGGATGAGCATCAGCCCCGGCAATCAAGTTGGGAGGCCTTCCGGTGCTTCAGCTCTGCAAAATGGAGATGGTTCGGATCGAGGGTCAGAATCAGAGGAGGAGGTATTCGAAGTAGAAGCCATCCTTGAGGAGAAGCGCATCATGGGTGTTACGAAATATTTAGTCAAGTGGGCTGGATATGACCTGATGAACGCGACGTGGGAGCCAGCTGAGCAGTTCGACTCCAGTGATACATTGATGGACTGGGCAAGAAAGAAGCCCCTCATTGAAGCCGAAAGAGAACGTCGATTTGATGTGAAGAGATGGGAAAGGGACCAAAAAAGAATTCAGGCCAAATTTGAATCATCTGGGAAAGATTTGATTGCCGATAACGCAACGCTCAACACTGATTTCGACTCCTACTTTATCCCATTGCCTGTTCCAGCAAACATATCTCCCCCTCTACCCGCCAATAACGTCAGAAACAGGCGAGAAAGCCGCTTGTCGATCTCATCAGACGTCTCATCTCTGTTTGTTTCCGCCGAAACCGTTTCTCCAGGGCAGCTACCGGCGCCAGACCCGGTGCTACAGAAGAACCCCATAAAGCCTGCATCTGGCGCTTCCCAGCCTGCTCAAGACACAAGCACGCGGGCGCAAGCAGTCAAGGAATCAGGGGCAATAGCCAGGACAGCCCCAAAGGTAGTACCGCAGCGAGCAGACAACCAACCCGCCAACCAAGCCGAGTATCAAGCACCCAATCGAACAGGTCGAAAGTCACAGCAAGCAAAACCAGCTCTGATAACAAGCAACCCAAAGTCCAGGCCTCAAGTACCACCTGTGAAGTCTTCTTTATTCCAGCCTGGTCAAACAGCTCGCCTAAGCCATAAACGGCCGGGTAGTGATTCTCGGCGCTCAGGTCAAGAGAGGGTGCCCGATATCAGTCAATTGGAGCTCTTGAAACCATCCGAGTTCCCCAGCAGAGAGAATTACGGACATCTTTCAATTACGAACAAACCAGGCGTTGGCAACCAACTGCCTGGGAAGCTTCCCTCAGACGCGTCAGAGCCGGTGTCTACAGCATTGGCTCCTACAGATTCACCAAGCTCATTTCTATCTACAGGAGCGACCCAATCAGAAACACCTTCAGAGATCCAAGCTCCGGATACTACATTTCGACCTATACGACCTCCGCCCACTATGCCAAAAGCTGATAGGCTGTCCTTACGAGATAGGTCTCCGGATCGAGTCAACCCTGCAAAGCTGCCTGACTTTGCAAAGCGCCCTATCGCATCCGCAGGGAATATTCGTCGACGATCAACAGAGGCAAGCCACCAAAAAGCACCAAGTGTGTATAGCCGCCGAGAATCTCCAGGTGCATCTAGCTCTCGGCGGCGATCTCCAGATTTGTCCAGTCGCCGGCGATCACTAGATCCAGACAGCCGCAGACGATCTCCAGATCCACTTAGCCGACGAGGGCCTTTAGATCCATTTCGCGCAGGTGGAGACTGCTATAGACCAGGTGAACGTGACATGGATCCCTACAGGCCGTCAGATTCAGGCCGAAGAAACGAACAAATGCGGTCATCAGGCACAGTACTTTCAACATTACCCAGTGATCGCAGCCCGGCTGTAAAATCTCCCAATGTCACCACTACATCCGGTCACCAATACTATGAGATTGCTCGTCGCAATCCTGTTTCAAGTGAGGATCGAGATCTAATGCCACCTCCAGTCACCGTACCAAGATCTTTCAACCAATCTGGCCTCTCCAGAAGCGATGAAGAGATGTCTCCAGTCATAGCGCCGGGGCCTTCTAACCAACCCGTCATATCTGCAGAGGAGAAAGGCCAGATCGCCCAAATGCCACTTGGAATCCCAGATGACACAGTTTGCTTCGTCAAGAATGGCTATTTCTACAATCAAGGTGACCATGAGGTTCTGGCGCATGTTTATTTTGGCGTCGACAAGAAGTACATTGGCCCTGTGAGACTATGTGGTCACCGTGTTGCCGCTAAGTACGATCTTTTGCGCTATGGAGACCCCCGTGAGATGTGGTTTAAAGACATGTGTACTATGGAAGAATACGAAGAGCTCTCCCGTGATGTGAGTGGTACTTTTTCATTGAACATCCTACTTTACTAACATTTCCTTAGATAAAAGTCCCCCCGAGATGGTGCAATGCTTGGATGGAAGGGTTCGAAGACACGAACGAAGCACTGTTTTTAATGGGCGAGCGTCTTCGCACGGAAAAAAAGGTAGCCATATATTATTCGGCCAACATTCGCGGCTTGAGCTGGATCGCCTACTCCCCTTCGTCCTCTTTTTACCGTCGTCTTACGCATTTCAGCTGTGGGATGCCAGATGGTGCGGCAATTTGTCTTACCGTGACGGGTCCCTTGCTGGATTTTTCAACTCTGAGCACAAGATCTAGCAGACCCGGGCAGTCATACGCATCTGTCAATGTCCCATCGAAATTTGACGTGAATCAGGCTTCGCTACACAGCTCATCAATTATTCAGCCGGAACGTCGCCCCTGGGTACTTACAGAATTGAACAGAACAGATACACGGTTTTCAGATGAAACACTGCATGATGGTGGAAATGCCCCTTTAGATACACCAAACGGCCCTTTTGCCGACGGAGGGCTGATCTCAGTTCCTAGCCCTCCACATGTCCAGGAGCCAGTTGTTCTATCGCGAAAAGTGGGGGGCATTAACAAGGATACGGCGAACTCAACCGCCATCGGAATCGCTCAAATGCTCACCTTTTTTAGCACGAACCTTAAAGTAACGGTCAAAACCCTCGCCACCCTTAACAATGGCAGTATTGCCGACATGTTTTATCTCCATTTCCCTGTGGAAGACAAAGATGCCAGCGATGAACTGCAACTCATGGAGCTGTGGCTTGAACAGCATAAAGCTAGATGCTGGACAAGCCGGGACCCAAGGAGTTGGGAAAGATTCCAAGCCAATTGCAAGCGTGGTGTGGTTATCGTATGTGACACTAAGCAATTCACCAGCAAGGTATATAGAAGCAACTGACTTTATCTATAGTTCCATGAATCGTTCTTTGAGTACGATAGTTTACGGCCGAAAATTCGGTCCTTTCAATGGAAAGATGACTTCAATTTTTGGAGTGTCCGTCTCAATAGACCTTTGGATTCACCAGATCATCGACTCCTCAGCAAAAGCCCTTACATCCAGCGTCTTTTCCCTAGCGGTACTGCAATTCTCCTTACCGAGGATTTATTCTTGGATATGAAACGAGCGGCCATGATTGTCTGCTGGTTCTACCACAAGCACTGCATCAGCCCGGGAACATCCAAACTCGTGCTTTGGCCAGACGCGATGACAGAATTAGAAAAGAGATTGGACGATCCCCTGCGGAACAAGGATGATGACCCTTAGTACGTCCTCAATTTCGCTTTTTTCTTGCTTTTTACCACTAACACCTCTACCCAGCATTCTGAGCATCATAATCTGTATCAAGACGGTGAACTCAGTGGACCCAAACTTCCCCCTTTTCGAACCGAACAGTCTTTCCATCCAACACCTTGATAGTCTCAACAATAATGTGTTATGTCTACCCGTTGTAGGATATGGCCAGCGCACGGGCGCTGAACACCCAGACATCCCCAAGGGCCTAACACAAGATGAACGAAACGCAGATCATCTCGTCGAGGCTTTTGCTGGATGGATGCTAATGAATGCAACCCGCTTCCGAAGAATGGCTGTCATTTCCGACCAGAGGAACGAAGCCCTCTTACTCCGCTGGTCGGCTTGGGGACATCTTACTATCTTGGGCGGTTTCAAGGGTTTCTGCAAAGCATACAACACCGATGAAGCCGTCCTTCACGACAGGCTTCAAAACGGCCTGCAGCGCAATGTCAATTCTCCACAAATTACTGCTGAAGCCAACCCTCTTACTACTCCCCGGACCCCTCAGACCCCGCAGGAATCGCAGGATCCCTGTGAGCCTCGTAGGGAAAGCAGGGATCCTAGGCTTCGAAAGCTCAAGGACACCAATCCTAACGCCGGCCCTGTACAGCCTTACCGGTGAATGTCACGACCAATGAATGAATGTATGTACTAAAGCACCCTGTTCTCGCTGAGTCGATTGTCTGTATCCAGCTTCACTGTATTAATAGTATTTTCCTTTCCTGTCTACACCTTTCTGCTTTGTCGAACCTGATATCCCATCTGCCTTGCTGGACTACGTTGAGTCCATTTTAATTGTTGATAACCCACAATCTCAAGATTTATTGAGTGCTATCATAATCCTACCTTCCTCTACTTATATACTAGTAAGAGAAAACCAGCGTCGATGTAGAAGTCCAACATGATGGAATTTACAATTTCCAACGTAAATTGAGTTTGTGAAAATGAGCATATCCTAAATCGAGAATGTCCATAAACCCTGGGGGTGAAAAGAAAAAAGAATACAAATAAAAGCACCGGGTATGTCGTGTCATGATCGCCGAACCAGGTGAAGATATAAAAGTGGAAACAAATATTCAAAGAGTACCAGCTACCCTACTGCGCGCTTGCGATATTCCTGGAAGCTTGACGGATGCTCGCCAGAATCATTCTGTGAACCATTTTTCCTGTTCTTCTCATTCTTCTCCCGTCTCATCTTCTCTTCCCAGTTGCTTTCTTCGGATGATATCATAGCATGGAATTTACCCCCCTGACCACGGGCCAGATATACAGGCTTCTCTTCACGCTTGGCAACAGCCTCAGTTACAAGAACGAATTTCACACTTGATCCTGGGACTTCGAACATTGCGTCGCTGAGAATCGTCTCCATTTCTGTACGCAATGCACGGGCACCAGTGCCCATTTTGAAGGCATTCGATGCGATGGTGTGCAAAGCCGGAGTGGTGAAACGCAACTCAATTCCAGAAAGGGAGAAGAGGGTGGTGTATTGGACTTGCAAGGAATTCCGAGGTTCGGTGAGGATACGCATAAGCAAGGGCTGAGTTAGTGTCGATAGGGCGGCGGTGACGGGAATGCGGCCAATCAACTCTGGGATGAAGCCGTAGCTTTGCAGGTCTGCTGGAGTTAAGAGATCAAGTGCGTTGAAATAGGTGGGCTCGCTGCATGATGCGGGGGATGCGGAAGTGAAGAAAGGGAGATGCTTTTTGTATAGCTCTTCTTCTTCAGACCCAGGAACGATTAGAAGAGGTTCTGTGGAAGAGGTATCCGAGGGACCAGATACGTCGTGTGAACGGACGGGCTGCCCGAATCCCATCGAGCCACGGGAAATTCGGTCCATGACCAACTTGTGTAGACCAACGAAGGCGCCGGAGAAGATGAAAAGAATATTGTCTGTGCGAACATTGAAGACTTCGCCCTTGTTAGGGGGGTTGCCGCTGTGTGGCTGGAATGGAGTGTTTCCTAGTGGACTGTTGGATGGGTAAGAGTTGGGAGGACTATTTGTGCGAGGGTTCTTCTCGGGCTTGGCCTGCACTTGCACCGTAGTGCCTTCGATGATCTTCAACAGTGCTTGCTGAACTCCCTCGCCACCAACATCCTTTCCATGACTGATTTTGGCGGCGGCAATCTTATCGACCTCATCCAGTACGATAATTCCACGTTCCGCCTGCTCCACGTCATAGTTCGCAGCGGCGAGTAGTCGGTGTACACAAGTTTCGGCATCTTCGCCGATGTAACCAGCCTGTGTGAAGGGTGTACAGTCCGAGATACTAAAAGGCACTGACAGGACACGGGCCAGCGTTTTAGCCATCAGCGTCTTGCCGACACCCGAAGGGCCTAATAGTAAGATATTGGACTTGTCCAATTGCAGCGGGGATGTATCAGTAAGCTCGGCTTGATCCAAGGGTGTAGCCTGGCGGGATTTGGGCGTAGATGGCAGACCGACTGTTCGTGGTTGGCCTGGGTACTCATCTGAGTAATACACATGGTTAAGAACGTCCCCTACGTATTGAAGTAGAACGCGAGCGACATACCTTCCAAAGGATGAGTTTCAATTGCCTCCTTCCGCTGGCGCTTTGCCAAAAGCTCCTCTGCTTCTTCCTCTCGCCGTGCTAGCTCTTGTACTCGCTGGTAATGATTGTAGACTGCTACACTCAATACCTTCTTTGCGCGATCTTGCCCCACCACATACTGATCGAGATACTGCTTCAGCACTTTCGGTGTAATCCGTGGAGCACCAAAGGCTGGAGTTGAGCCAAGGGGCCCAGAAGTTGGGAGTCCGGGCTCATAGCTCCCCGTGTATGGTTGGTTCGTAAAGTCGGAGCGGTTAAACTGAGAGGATGTGGGGGAATTTGCTGGAGCCGCTGGATAGTCGGCGTGCTTGGCTGGCGGATAACAGCCCTGGCCGACATCGAATAAGCTCCCGATGCGTCAGGGCAATAGGAAGCCGGCGTTGAATTGGCCGCCACAGCATCGCCTAGAGACTCCGGGGTCTGAAGATCTGGGATCGGGAAGGGACAAGGATCAAGTCGTGCTTGTGGTGAGCAAGAGTTGGATCAGATAACCAATTGGGGAGCTTCCCCGCAGGTGATCTTATCGGCTTAGTCATCCGCTTTGCATCGGACCATGTTCGGAAGATCGGGAAATCAAGCTTCGACAATTTGGCCCTAGGTGACTCAGTCTTGGCGATAGAGGCTCAAAATACTTTCAGTTTAAGTCTGTAGAGAACAACTGCTAACTCCTTTCTTCAACAATGTAGAGGTTGAGCCAATTAAGAGGAAAACCTGAACATTCAGTCTTCTGCTCATACTGTGACGTAGAGCCTTGAAGGGATGTCGCGCAGGACCGGATACCGCGCCAAATTAGCTCCGCCATAATGCTACATAGGAGAATACGATGTGAACCATGGCTTGTGACTACTTGCATTATCGGCACTAACCTGTACCTATTGACACACCTCAATAATTTTGGGTCGTTCTCGCGAGCCCATTCCACACTAAACCCGATGTGGTAACTCGTTTTCGGCAGCCAAAGACATGATGTCATATGTTGACGAATACGAGGGAATCTACTCTTCAAACGCATGCAGCATCAAATGCTTTTGTTTCTCGCAGAGCTGTATACCACCTCCCAAGATGGGTCATTCGTATTCACTGGATCTCCGCGTTGGCATTGCACTGCCCCGGGGAAGTAGGAGATGGATATACACACATAAAAAGCTGCAAGCGCCCCCCCCCCCCCGGCAGAATAGTAGCTGTAGACCATATTGATCATGATTAAGACACTACTGGTTTCTCTCTTGTTGTCAGTGAATGTTGATGCACAACCGTCCACTCATTGCCGATGCCGTCTTAATGATAGCTGTTGGCCCTCACTACAGCAGTGGTCGACCTTGAACGACACCTTGGGCAATAAGCTGGTGGCAGTACGACCTGTTGCATCTGTTTGCTCTCCTGGAGAATTCAATGCCGCAGCATGCAAGAATGTCAGGGATCTCTGGACAGACTCTGTCTGGCGATCGTCCCAGCCTGGTGCAGTTCAATGGGAGAATTGGGAGGCTTGGCCGCAGCAGAATCAATCATGTTATATTGAGACGGCCAATATGACATGTGGACAAGGACGTATCTCTTTGTATTCGGCCAAGGTACAGAGTACTTCTGATATCCAACAGGTTGTTCGTTTTGCCCAAGACCACAACCTGCGACTCGCCATAAAGAATACGGGCCATGATTTCCTCGGTCGTTCGACAGCCCCGGAGTCTTTACAGATCCTCACGCATGACATGAAGGATATCAATTTGGTGGATGACTTTGTCCCAAATGGAGCACCAAAGAATATTAGTGACGGCCCGGCGGTCCATCTTGCGGCTGGGGTACAATTGCCCGAATTGTATGCCGCAGTTGAGCGCCACAACCGCACTGTTATTGTTGGGTCAAGCCACAGTGTCGGTGCAGCTGGCGGATATATTCAGGGAGGAGGGCATTCGCCTTTTGGGGCCTGGAAAGGATTGGCCTCAGACAATGCGTTGGAGTTTGAATTGGTAGTCGCGAACGTGAGTGGTCAACAGAAGTTGCAGACAGGCTAGCCAAGAGTTAAGCTAATATGAAGTTTCAGGGAAGCTTGGTGACTGCCAACTTGTATCAGAACACTGATCTCTTCTGGGCCTTGCGTGGTGGTGGCGGAGGTACCTTTGGCGTGGTCACCAGAGCCACAATCAGGACCTTCCCCGATGTTCCGGTGATTGCCTATAATTTGAACTTTACAACTTCCGCCACCAATCCCCAGTTCTGGGATGCTTGGGAGGAATGGCATGCCGCCCTCCCCTCCCTCAACGCTGCGGGAGGCTCAGGTTACTACTTCACCATGCCGAATCTGCCATTGAATGCAAATATGAGCGTCTCCAGCATGTACTCGCTCCTCATGTTTCCAGAGAAGACCAACGTTACCGAAATTCAGCTTTTATATCTACCACTCATTTTGAAATTGCAGAAAATACCAGGTGTGGCAACTCAAAAGATGGCAATTCCTTTGCCAAGTATCAACTCCACGGTATTTGGCGTCCTCTTGGGGGGGCCACCACATGACAGTACAGGAAGCATTGCTATGCTCGCATCACGTCTCTATTCAAAGGACCTTCTGCTGTCTAAAGATGGCCCATCTAGACTAACAAGCGCCTGGAAGAGTATTGGATGGGCCCCAGGCTCAAGAATTGTGGGCCATGTAGTCGCTGGCGGGGCTGTTGCTGCCAACGGCGAGAAGATCGACAGCGCTGTGAACCCTGCGTGGAGAAAAACAGTGACGCACTTACTTTTTGGCAGAAGCTGGAGTGCCACTGCAACACCAGCGGAGCAAACGGCCATCATAAAAAACATGACAGAAGTACAGATTCCCATCCTGCGGTCTGTCGAGGGAGCGGACCACATGGGTGCCTATCTGAACGAGGCAAATGCATATGAGCCAGGATTTCAAAAATCATTCTGGGGTGACAACTATTCCCGTTTGTACAGCATCAAGCAGAAGTGGGATCCCAATGGGCTGTTCATTGCTCGCAAAGGAGTGGGCAGCGAGGATTGGGATGATGCGGGCTTGTGTAGAATCAAGAGCAGTGGCCCTTCAGTCACTGAAGGGCCTCGAGAATGGCCGTTGGGATATTAGGTGGACCATTTCCACGTTGACTAGATGGCTTTTAAATCATCTGTGAGTATAGTGAGGTTGTTTGCCATGTCTACTAGTGACCGCGAAGATATATATGAATGTTTGTTGAATATTTGTATAAATTGTTTTGATTGGTAGACTATTTTTCAGAGGATACCTCAGTGAAGAGTTCCCCGAAGTGCCTGAGAGCGAGTTCATCAGGCACTGAAGTCTTTGAGATCCAGAATCAGTCAAGAGATGCATATCTTGCTGCATGGTATCATCGGTGCAGGAGAATGTGAACTTCGATTGCAATGTTGTTGGTTGAGGCACGTGCATGGTTGTAAGGTCGAGCCATAATATCGTCCCGGGTTGGAAGTCGTATGTAGTACGAGAAATGGGTATCGTCAAGTAAAGTAGAGGGATTGGAGGGGTTGATTTTAAATTCCGATGTTGAGGTTCCCTCTCAATTGTTCGTCTTGAAAACCGGCTGTTGCTCCATCGTCGACGAGATGAAGTTTCGCAACGCAGCGAACCGACTGGCCGTGGGGTCGGCAGTTGTAGTTGTAGTGGTTTCACCAGCACTCGCTGTTGGGGCCTGCAGACCAGACATCTGGGCCATGTTCATCGCAAATCGATCCCGTTCAACTTTCTCCATCTTTTCCCTGCGCTTCAGAGCGCCAGGCTTGTGACGTAGGGTATTCTGCTTGATCACGTTGACCTGACTCGCGGCATCGTGAGACTCCTCTGCAGCTTCGGGTAAGGCATCTGCGAGGGATTCGAGGTTGGCGACCAATTTCTTCGAGGCACGACGCTTTTTCGGGGTCTTAGTCGCATTCTTGGCGATTTTGGACATCAGCCCCGCGTGCTTAATTTGGCGCTTGTCCTTCTTGCTTGTTCGGAAATCATCTCCAAAAGGAGTCGACCTCGGGGCGGTCCTTCCGGTCGTCTTCGTCTTCGCCATTGCGTGTGTGTAGGGACGAGAAAGATCCGGTTTGTGACGTGGAGCACACAACTGAATCCCGCATGTGAGATCGGCACCAATTTTTTTTCGTTTTCCGCCGCCCCACTCTGACCGCCCGCGCCCCTTGTCCCTGTGAAAAGCAACCAACGACACATCTCGTCTTGGATGTACCAGATCCACTTCTTGACTAAAGCACACCGAAAACCACAGGAACAGACGAAAATGCGCTCGCTGTGACGTGACCGTCATTGCAGGTCTCGCAGGCTCCGAATCTTCGCTCCACCTTTCGGGTAAACCCTCACAAGAGTTCTCTGGGGCAGTGACATCAGAAGTTGTATACTTGAACGAATACCCGGTCTAACTTGTTTTAATTGGGTCCCGGTCAGCCTTTTCTGGATGCCCTCCCCAACCCGTTGTTATCGGATCTGCTTTCCTGGCCTGCGTACCACGGCCGTCTTGCCTCGGTCGCCTCCACCCACTCGGCTCCAAAGTCCTATCAAGCCTCCCCGATTGCCCCCGTCCTCTAGCCCTGCATCCTTTTATAAGCCAGCGCCTCCCGGCTCTTCTCCGTGCAGATCATATTCATCGGCTTCTTTTTCCAACATGGGTTCTCTCACTCCTTATCAGCGCAAACACAAGGTGACCGTGGTGGGTTCCGGTAACTGGTAACTGACCCTTCTTACCGCTCCTTCAAGAAAAATAAACTAATCCTTTCCTTTCCATAGGGGTACCGCCATCGCTAAGATTGTCGCCGAAAATGCCGCTAGCAACCCAGATGTCTTTGAAGAGAAGGTTGAGATGTGGGTGTTCGAAGAGAACGTTGAGATTGCAAAGGACTCGCCTCACTATGACCCCGCCAACCCGGGGCCACAAAAGCTTACTGAGGTGATTAACCGCGCCCATGAGAACGTGAAGTACCTTGCAGGAATTCAGTTGCCGGCCAACCTCCACGCAAACCCTTCCCTTGAGGATGCCGTCAAGGACAGCACCATCCTCGTCTTCAACCTCCCCCACCAGTTTATCCACAAGACTTGCCAGCAAATTCAGGGCAAGATCCTGCCTTACGCTCGTGGTATTTCCTGCATTAAGGGTGTCGATGTCACAGAGGATGGTGTCCACCTCTTCTCAGAGACCATTGGCAAGTCCCTCGGTATCTACTGTGGTGCTCTTTCTGGGGCCAACATCGCCAACGAGGTTGCCCAGGAGAAGTGGTCCGAGACCACTGTCGCCTACGACCCCCCGCACATGGACTCTAAGGCTCCCACCCCACAGCTTTCGCCTTCGGGCTCCCAAACAAACCTGGTCGAGTTTGAGCACAAGGATGTGTCGGGTAATATGTCTACGGTCAAGTTGCAGGCACTGCCCTCGGACTACCCTCCTATCGACCACAGCGTTCTCAAGTCCCTCTTCCACCGTTCATACTTCCACGTGCGCGTCGTAAATGACGTCGCCGGTGTTTCTATCAGTGGTGCTTTGAAGAACATTGTCGCTATTGCCGCCGGCTGGGTTGTCGGTATGGGCTGGGGTGACAACGCCAAGTCCGCCGTGATGCGTGTTGGTTTGAAGGAGATGGTTCTCTTTGGTGAAATGTTCTTCGGTGCCACTATTGACCAGCGCACCTTCACCGAGGAGAGTGCTGGTGTGGCCGATCTTATTACCAGTTCCAGCAGCGGCCGCAACTTCCGTTGTGCCAAGCTCAGCGTCGAGCGCAACCAGTCGATTGAGGAGGTTGAGAAGACAGAGCTTAACGGCCAAAGTCTTCAGGGTACATTGACCGCCTTAGAGGTCAACAAGTTCTTGAAGAAGAAGGGCCTGGAAGACAAGTTCCCTCTTTTCACTGCCGTCTTCCGTAAGTCATCTACTACTACTATACATTTGTACATCTACTAACATCAGTTCTACAGGCATTCTGGATGGTAGTATGAAGGTTGCAGATATCCCTGCGTACATTGAGCGGTAAAAACTCCTCTTTTCGGCCTCTTTTTTTTAAGTGTGTGTCGTTAATTGCGGGAATTTGGTTCATTTTTAGCCCTCCGGTGTCGCGTACTTCGAATTCTTCTTCTGAGACTCCTGGTGAGAACGGCGATGATGGCGCTCGGTATGCTGCCCGACTTTAAGTGGGGGAAAATAGGGTTTGGGATGGCTTGTAGATAAAGATTACGATTGTACTTACGCATCTATACGAATGATTTACAATAGACTTTCACGATAACCTTCTGTTGCCTGAATCTTTCTCGCCACACTTCATCCACGGAACATCGTAAACCTTGAAGATGAGTATATTGCACCCAAAAGTATTGGCTGGAATTCTTGGCTCTACCTACTGGCACGAAGGTTGGTGGAAAGTTCATCCGTTCAGAATGGTACATTATACCTATACTATGTTCATGAAGTATACCCGCTGTATATACAAATAAACTCCATCCATGCACCACAGACGTCATAAATGCGGAATAGATAATCATCCTACACTCCAACAATAAAAAATGCATGTGTCAAGGTCGATCCGACGTACTCCTCTTCCACCCCCCACCTCTCATCCCAAGCTCAGGGATCTTAAAATCAACAATACAAGCCGCAAACGACGGCCTCCGCACAGATGTATCCTCCTCCTGAATCTGTAGAGCATTAACAGGTCGAAGCCCATCTAATGTCCTACAAGACACATATCGACTAGTCCCATATCGCCCCACAAAACCATCTTTCAGCGCCGACGCTTTGCGCTTCCGGGAGCCGGACTCGGGTTCCGCCCCAGTCACGGATACGGGTTCGGAGCCGAGTCCCCGCTCGGATATAGTAGCAGAGATGATACTCCCATCCGAGCCAAGAGTGACCAGCTTCATCGGGGGTGTAGTTTGAGATGGAGACGTGAACGTATCGATATCAAATATCCGAGCAGAACCAGATGACCCAAACGCCCAGATACGAGCGCCACCGTTCGAAGATTGGAGAGCGAGTTCGACTATATTATCCATGTGACCGATTTCCTTGCCGTAAACTTTAAACGGCCAAACCATCGAAGCGGGTTTATATCGTGCGCTAAGTAGGAACTCCCAGTCCCCGTTAGCATTTTGGAAAAGATTCTCACGGCGGCGGAATTCTTCTGAATCTCCCCAGTCCCGTGCTGGATCATCACCCATTTCACCATCTGACTGGCGTTCGCGTTCTCTGCGAACTATATTGAGGACATCAAGCGGGATTGAGTAGAGGATTATACGGTCTTGGTATGCAGCTATGACGCGCAGGCCCCAACGTAGATCTGAGGCTACAGCGAATGCGGTCGGGACACGAGTTTCTGGCTGTCTAGTCGTAGTTCCTTTGCGATTCGGAGGGACGCAGACGAAAGCACGGGTTAAACTTGTTGGGCCACCGATGGGGGCGTCGGATCCGATGCATAAGAGGCCAGTGCGGGGTTCTATGAATATGATATGGTATCCATCGTTTATGGGCATAGCACGGTAATGATGACAATGTATTGCACGGACCAGACTGAGGGATGGATTGTTGGGTGGATTGCGTGATCTTGCATCGAGGAAATTGAATTGACATTTCTTGGTATGGTCTGGGAAGGGGGATTGGCGACATGCACACTCGTGGACGCCTGGCCCGGCGAGTGAGGAGATGAGGCGCATTTCTGTTGGGACTTTTGGTGAGTTTGGGAGGAAGTGGAGGATTTCGGATGGTTGGGACATGGGGAAATGTCGGCGTTGGTCAGTATTTGTTTCGTCTACCCAATGGATTTCGATGCCTCCTGCGCAGCCGAATGCAATGCATCGACGGCCTGGACATAGGGCTATTGTTCTTGGCGGGTGATCTTCGGAGCAAACGTTGTAGAAATAATGCGGGGTTGAATGGGTGGTTGTTGGCATCGAGTTTAAATTGTGTTTAGATGGTTTGGATGACAAGGATTCTGATGCCTCGTCCACTGAGCCAGCAGTGGCTGCAACATCATGATTGATATTTGATACGTCCAAGTCACAAACCATACCAGCCCGATTTTGTAATAATGCGGCGATCACAAACGGCGACGTAGCTGTATCAATTGTGGCCGAGAGAACTTCAAATGGACAGGAGATGCTGGTTATTGGTACCACATTGGAATCTGCCAGCTCTGCCGAAGACATAGATCTGGATCTCCTGTAGACGAGACGGAACACATATACCACGCAGCCAGCTGTGGCCAAAAGATACTTGCCGCAGCTGCTAACACTAAACGTTGGGGTAGTATGTGAATTTCGATCCTCGAATGCTGTCGCTCCACGAGTCTTCATCCTTGGCAAGCTTCTTGCAAGATGAGAGAAATCAACAGACCCCGTTGCCACAAAACCCGGCTTCTCAAACTTTGTCCTTTGCCCGGATAGTAAGCACTCTGTCGCAAAGCGCTTGCTCATCCGCCACACTTCGCTCTCATAGCTGGATGGATTGCGATAGATCCGTTGCGTCGTACTATCTTCCTGCCATGCATCCCACCAACCGGCTCGCTTTAACATAGATCCCAGCAGTTCTTTATTCAAACTGACTCTCATCCATTGCGAGCAAGTTCGTCGCGCATTGTCAAAGTCCCGTGGTGTCAACAGAGAGTATATTTGCAATAGAATCTCCGCGGGTGTAGTATTAGCGGCGGATGAAGAACCCGCAGCCTTTGTATGCTCATGTTGCACCAATTTCGTGATTCCTTCAGGCCCACTGGATGACTCCGGATTGGCGATTGTCAAGTGTCCTGAGCAAAACTCTCTTGGTGTCCGCTTTGCAAAGCGCTTGCTCCGCGACCTCAAGGCCGGCATTCCGTCACCACTAATCAACCAAGGGTATCGACATGCACTTCCACTGATGGTCTGGTAACTGGGAGATAAAATTGAAGAAAGAAACATTGAGTCGACACCCAGGACCAAGCCGGGAAATATGTAAAAGCAGATCTGCAAATCCCGAGGTCTGCAACGTGGGATCGACGGTAATAGTTTAGACGAAATAGAGTACGGGACGATCGGGATAAACTTCCACAGCGAACGAGCCAGTAGAGTCGACGTAAATGACCCAGGTCAGATCTACCACGATAAGCAATGGTAGTAGCAGTCCCGCAAAATTCAAAGCGAACAAAATATGCACAAGGTTGTATTAAAGAAGGCTGAAAGCGGAGAGGAATCTGATAGAAGAGAAAACGGGAAATTGGAGGAGGTAAGGGTTTTGTTATTGCATGAAAAAATATACATCAGAAACAGCCTGAACTCTCATTTGCCAAAACCTTTTAACGTCAACACATCGTGTGAGACATGAGCCACGATGAACGGTGGACCCCGTCAAATCATAGAGTTCTACGCCATCGCCACGGAGGACGTATGGCTTTCCGCCCCGGCATTGGACAAGTCAGGGACTCCGAGCGCTAAAAACAGCGGAACTAGCGGTGGAATGGAAAAGGCAACAGGAACTTGTCTAGTTCAAGGCATAGTAAGCGGGGCAAGAAAGAAAAACGAAGTTCTGCACTCGCATTGGAAAGTGGTTCATGTGCATTCCGTGGTATGGGAAAGTCAAGAATGTGACGTTTCCGGATGCAGTGCGACTCCACTTCGTGGGTTTACCATGTAAATCTTGTAGTTTGTTGACAGGGTTGATCACTTTTACTTTGATTTTGACGTACGGTGTACGTAGATTGTGTTTATTCTGTCTCATGTGTCGAGGGTGAGGCACGGGGCAACATTGTTGTGATGCTTACCGCAAGGCCGTGGAATGTACGATCTCATTGCCATGTGGGCCCCTTGGGGGATTCCAGAACACCGTTCATTCCAGCTATGCACGCACTAGGGCTTAAAGGGAATCATTAGAAAGATCTTTTCCGGAGGTTGCAATCTAGATAGTTGGGATCTACTACATTGTTTCGCGATCGAGTCCATGGCTCAAGACTATGGTTTCCCTACGTATCCCTAGATTGATACCGATAGGAAAACCGATCAGGCAATAAGACACACGATTTTGAATACTGTAGCCTTGGCATGTCAAAATTTAGATTGCCACGTTCGCCCCGGGCCTTGAAACTACTGGAATGTCGGTTAGACTTAATAACGTTCACATGAGTAGTGCACATGGAAATAAATATGCGGAAAGACCCAGAATTAGGTAAAAGTCCGAAATACCAGTCAGACCTCGATACTATACAACTTCTTATTTAGTGAATGAAAGACACGAACTGGAAAACACAGTGACAAAGTATGTGCTCGATGACAGATAGATGGTTCCAAAACAACATATTGATTATGAACAGACAGCGCAGATGTATTCAAGGGTATTGTGATGTAAGCGAGAGATTATCAACAAGTAGGGATGCGATCGAGGGATCACGGTCGTATATCATCGTAAAACAATAACATCAGAAACAGGGGTCATGCGATAAAGAGGGGGGAGGTATTAATGGAGTATCTAGACGGAAAGATGGTTCAACGAGTCTTGGGACTCATGCAAAGATGCACCGTTGCCTTGGGGGCTGCGGCCCGGGATCCATGCGTCATGCAGCGGTATGATCAAGTTTGGGTGAACATACTTCTTCAATCGAAGTTCCAGTTCTCGTCCGCCCATCTGAATAGGCAGCGCATCGCGGTCCAAACCAGAGGGTGGCGAAAATGGTGAGGACGAAGGCGAAGGAGAAACTTCCCCGCCACCGGGTTGATCCCGGTTAATGCTTTTAAGAGCGATAAACTTCATTAGTGGTTCATACGTTTTTGAAAACCAGTAGCTGAACCACATGGTGAAGCCTAAAAGAGGGACCAGAAGCAGTGGACGAGCGATACTTTGGCGCAGGGCCAACACACCGATCATAGCCAGCTGGAATACAATCAAGCCGACATATACTCGGTTACAGATCATAGGCCAAGCCCGGCCAGTGGAGTGCTGCTGGTGATCCATCGCGTAAAGCAGCTGGTACTTGTAGATGAATTTGCCGATGGTGAAGTACACTAGCCCAAAAAAGCAAATGAGCCAGGAACTGGGGAACACACTGTACACAATACAGATGATCAGAATGAGGATAGTCTGCGGGATGGTGAGGCCGTAGCTGAATTCTGGAGGCGTTGACAATTCCGCATATTCCCGGGGTGTCCGTGCCCAAAGAAAACGCAAGGGGTACAGCGCGACGCTGCCAAACTCGAGAAGTCGGAAGGGAAAAAGACCCAGGCTTTGAAGGACCAAAAGGTTGATGTAGAATGGGGAAAGATTTTCCAACGAACTAGCCAATGCCAAGGCAACAGTTTGGGTGTCCTTGAACGCATCACGGAGGTGTTCCCAGAGACCATAGAAACCACTGGCCGTTCCAAAAACGGTGAAAAGGAGGAACAGGTTGAAGAAAGAGAAGAAGAAGTTCTTCGAGATGATAGACAATTCGACATCTCCACGGGACATCATTCCTTGTTTGTTGGAGAGCCATTCGTAGAGGTACGGGACTGCCACGGTCAAAAGGGAGAATGCCAAAGTAGGCAGACCTGTCTGCACCAAAGACTTGACAATAGGGTGTTCGGAGAGAAGTTCTGCGAGTGAGGGCACAATCTTGTGTAATGTCTGCAGGTCCAGCAAAGTCGCGACTGGCAGTAGAAGAACCGACCAGAATACAGTGAGGAAACCAATGACAAGTGTGATCAACCACGACTGTGTCATGCGTCGGGTACGCGAGACATAGGTATTCTTCCAAATAACATCTGCCGGGGCTGGGGCAAGTCGAGCGAACATTTGCATGGGATGCGGATCGAGAATGGCCTGAACGAGCATTTGAGAGGCTGCAATAGATTGCATGGTCACGAAGGCGATCTCGGTAGGAGGAAAGTCCTTCTCTCGAGTACATTGAATCTGTTCATCAATCTTGCGCAACTTTTCTTCATAGTAGTCAATCGCATCAATCGATCGAAACCGCATCTTGAACGGGCCGTACCAAACGCGGACTCGAGGCCTTTCGTTGGCGTATCCGGATACATGAGTACGTTCGCCCCCCGACAGCAGTTGGGCTCGCTCGTCTTCATCATCTAAAGGCCTATTTGAGATAACAGGCGGTTGGCGGGTCAGTGGCAGGGTGTTCCCATCGCTCCGTGGACGCTTGTATCCGATATGCTTGGTCCATGCGCGTTCTAATTCCCAGATGATACGCTTTCGCTCATCAATCAACAAATCTAGTTCCTTCCATTTGCGACACAGAGTGACACTCTCGACCTTGCCGATATGTATCGTCTCCACGAAAGATTTGATATCTTCTTCTGTTTTCAACTCCGGAGGAATTCCTGAAAGGCGAACCGTACGATCCGTTGTACTTGTTTGGTTTCCAAGATAAGTTTGCCGGGTATGGATGATCTTGTTTGTTTCCTGGAGGAGCAGGTAGATAGCCAAGCCGCTAAACACGTATGGAAATACGACATAAATCCACAAGTAGTTAGAATCTATAATTGCATCTTTATCACCCTTCCCGAGTGCTCCAATTGCGCTCATGGAATCGTTACCAGTCGAGTTATTATGGTTATCCCAGCCGGGCAACCCGCCAGGAATTCCAGAATTGCCAGTATAGCTGTAATGGACCGGTAGGATGATACCCAGGGCAAAGATGAACACGTAAAGTAAGAGTCGAGTCGCATACTTGAAAAAGCATAGCAACTATCCAACAGAAAGAAAAATTAAGTTAGCAGAGTACTTCATCCACAGCTTTAGATGTTCAATACTGACCACATATGCATCTAAACCAGCCGACTGCAACACCTCCTCATCGGTAATGCGATGTAACACAGGAATCCATCCAAACAGGCTATCCGGCAGTTCCGGCAATCGTGAAGCGGAAGATCGCTGTTTTCTTCGCGCAGCATAAAGTTCCGTCCATTTGGGTCGTAAAACACAGAATGACATGAAAGCCCCCAGTCCAAAGGCAAAACTGATCACAAGTTGCGTGTACAAATCCCGATGGTGTTTGGTCTGATCTTCCCATCGGGGTTCGCCTCCATTATCCGGGTCATCGGCTAGTGCGGTCCACACCGTTGCGGCCGCGGATGCCGTCAAAGACATCTTCTTCGATCAAGTGACGCCTTGCGCCTGATGAGTGTGGGGGTGTGGAATCGTCGTCCGAGGAATGCTCTAGGTATTAATCCATCAGAACATGTGGCGCAAGGGGTTCAAGGGCGAAGTTGGCGCAATTCAGAAAAGACTGAAAGGTCTATTAAGACAAGGGAGGACAAGCCAAGCACGGTCCAAAGCTGGGGGTTTCAAAGAAGGGAAGGCAAAAAAGGAGCTAGCTTCCCTTGTTTTTGCGCAATGACGATTGCCGTGTCGCTGACTCAGCATTTATGCACGCTGACCCTGGGGTTTATGCAGCAATATAGGCAGAGAGCAGTAAGTAAATTATGTGAGATTCAATATAGAATAACACAACCTAGCCTACAGTACCTGGAGCCTATGCACAGTGATCTTGGCAACTTCACCGAGCGACCATAGCGTGCTGATCGAAGAGGTGCTTCCAAGATCTTATCAACGATCGGGCCACTATCGGGCCACTATCTACCTCCACGTTCCGGGACCGGCCATTCCCTTATAGTCCAGGCCTGCAATAACACCACCTGAACGATATTCCAAGCTATCTACATCACTCAGGAAACTAAAACGCACCAGCCGTGGAAACTCAAATATCCTTAAATTCTTCAATATATCTTTTGAAAGTGCTATGATAAAGCATGAGAAATGAACTTCAAATGACGTAGGACGGAGCTGAAAGAAATATATTATGCATGAAATGGACAAGAAGGAAACGCTGTCATATGCTAAGTCTATGAGCAGATGATAATCAAGTGAGCTTGGCCGCATCGTAGTAGAGATCAAGCAGACAACCAGCAGACCAAGCCTGTGTGGGAGACTAAATAATACAATTAGCACCGGTCAAGAATATTTGGTAGAACTTTGGGATCAATTAACATACCGAGTCCCCACAATACTCTCCGTTCTTGTTGGTGAGCTCTGTCAGTCCCCTCCAGGGACTCTCACGCAACGCCTTCTTGCATCCGTCAAGTCGTCGGGTGACCTGCTGGAAGGACTCGATGCGCTCCTCGGGTGTTTTGCGGCGAAGCAAATCGAAAGCGAGCAGAGCACGGAGGAAGTAACCACGCTGCCACACCCACTCGGGACCCTGGTGGTAGTTGCGACCCTTGGAGGTAGCAAAGTCGGTCGACTCCTCGGAGTTGTTGTAATTAGGACGGTAGTTCATGTCGGACGGATCAAGAGTTGCCATTCCGACGGGACCAACTACAGCAGAATCGGCAATCGCAAGAGCAGTCAGAGCCTTTTCGGGAGTGAACAAGGCTGGGGCAACGGCCATTGCAATTGGGAAGTTGGATCGAAGCTGATAGTCCTCGAAAGGCTTGCCAGATTTGTACAAGTCTTTGTAGATACCACGGCGGTTGATGATGCTGGCATCCACATCGTACTGAGAATCATCCTTGGAGTCTGTGGGGATGTAGTAGCATCGTTCAAAGTTGGCCTTGATCTTGGAGGCCCATTCCTTGAAGGTGATTGATTTCCCGTCACCAATGTCCACACCCTCGTGCGGGTAAGTCTTGGACTCGTTTAGCTGCGTCACCCAAGCCAAAGCGCTGTAAAGAAGACCAGTAATTTCGATGGCTGCACCATCACGAGGGGTACCAGGGAAACCCTTGTTTCCAGCGGTGGTGCTCTCGCCCATCTTGTCTTGCCATGTGCCGCAGTTATCTTGGCTCCCGCCAAAGACAATGCCGGTTTCCCAATCGACATTCACGTCAATTTGGAAGCCCTCGGGCTTCATCTGGACATCAAGATCCGATCCCGCATTGTACTCGCGAAAAGACATTCCAAGGGCATGTCTCTGGAAAACTTCTTGAATGACTTCCAGAACAGTAGGAGACTTGGAATAGGCACGAGGGTCATCGAATGGGAACCATGTGTCGTCATAGGGCAAAAAGCGTCGAGGCACCTTCTCCTGAAGCAGACTGATGCCGTTCGGGGCCATGTTCGTGTAATCCTGAATGGCTTGCAAGAAGAACCAGACCGAGTCTCGCGAGTTGTACCGGGGCAATTTTCCGCTGCTGAGTAGGTTTGGAATCATGCCATGCTTGAGTACACTGGCAAAGGCAATGATATGCTCCTTCGCATCATCAAATCGTCCCGTGCAGAGGAAGAGACCACGAATGGAGATGAACACATCGCGACCCCAGCATCTGGCCCAATCAACAGCGAAATGGGGCAAACCAGCCGCAAGACTGCGAACCCGTTTAGTGGGCCACAGCGAAGCCGAGTTGACGAAGCCAGTCTGTTGAACGCTGACCATCGCCAGTTGATGAACAAACTCTTGGCCATAGCGCACATTATCACTGAACTGATGGATTCCTGCCTTCCATGCAGCATTGTAGGCCACTTGAATAATGATCGCAAAGTACCGCGGAAGTAGGAAGCTGGGCAGACCACGAACGGCGTCAAACTTCTCACGAAGCCATGCAGCAGGCTTGTGCAGCCCAACGTAACCCTCCTTGGAGGCTACCTTCTCCATGCGCCCAACAACGTAGTCTAGAGCCCATTGGCCTTCACGTAGATGATCGCAAAGTGCGTGGCCCAGCTGGTTGTATTTGATGATGTCCTCAAGGACGCTCCACCAGCCCTGCAGACCAGCATAAACCAAAGATCCGTGCTTGGGAATGCTGTACGCTCCGTCTTGACCATCGCTAGAGTCTCTTTCCTCGGCATCACAGCGATAGAGTACGAAGTTCAGATCGATAAGGCTGAGTTCACTGAATGCCTCATCGGCTCCGCTTGAGAGGAAGCTATCCAGTCCGCTGGCATGCTCGGCGCTAGGGATCCAAGTCTCGAAAAGGGCGATAGACCCGGGCACAAGAGTCTTGAGTACCGAGATGGTGACATCATTTCCATCACCCTCGATATTTGTACCTTCAATGTCCTTTGTGGTACTTGGCAGGCCCTTGAGATACTGATCATCTGCTAGAACCTTGGCCTTTGTGTCATCATCTGCGTTCGCCTCAAGAACCCAGGAACCAAGGTGCTTGGCCTGCGTACCCGTGATGTGAGTAGGAGCAAGGATTGCACCATTATCATTCCCGGGGAACGCAGTGTGGGCGATGAGGAAAATTCCCTTTCGGGTCTTGGGGTGGACTCGGTGAACAGTGATATATTCTCCGTCGTGGTGGATATGGGTTTCGTCATAACCCTCAACACCCATCTTGGTATGAAGCTCGTTCAAAAGCTTCTTGACGCCTCCAATACCTTCTCCGGCGCCAACTTCCAATTTCTGGTCGCTGGAAAAGGGTGATGCGTATTGACGTGTCTCATGAACGAGGTCAATAAGCTTGGGGTATACCTCATCGTATCCCATCACACTTCCAATCGCGGACGCACACATCGCGACAAGAGCAGCATTTGGAAGAGTATCCCGAGCGTCACGCTTCTGAGCAGGGACTTCATTGTCATGAGTGCAATCCATGAACAGTGCCTGGACGGGAGATGGTCGAATGTGGGTGATCTGCTCACCCGTACCTCCAGACTTGGCAGAGGCAATGGCGTGGCTACTACCGGCGGACGGCAGGTCCACGTCAAAGCTACCAATTGGGCGACCGCCATGGCGATGAACCAAGCGACTCAACTCCGCGGTGCTCCAGGCCTGCATGGCCTCTCGGATGAGAGCGTTGATACCCAAGCGTTTGACAAATACATAGTCTGCTTCCTCAGATCCTGTGAAGAGCTCCGCAAAAACGGTAAGGTTTGGACGAACTTGGCGTGCTTGGTCCAGGAGATATTCTGCGACCACCAACGGTGTAGAGTGACAATTGTCGATTCGGAAGCCCGAGAAATACTTGGCCATGAGACGAGTATACTTGGTCATGAACTCCCAGAGGAACGGGCTGTCCTTTGGTGAATCTCCGTACCGAAGCTTGACACAGTCACCCCAGACGATAACCTCGCGACGAAGGTAGGCTTTGGAGTTCGGCCCTGCGTTATCTTTCATCGCATCTGCATTCCAAATCCAGCCGTTGTTTGCCAAGGAAAGGGCCTTGGGGTTGTGCTTCTTGGTAACATCGTTGAGAGGAAGTCGAGTGAAGTAAGTCTCTATCAACGGGTTCTCCTTGGTGACAGGGCCAAGCTTTGGGCCGTGATCATCGATTCGAAGATACTTGGTGCGGTTAAACAATTGATCCATGATATCAGCGATATCTGCGTCGTATTCCTCGTAGAGAGGAAGGTTCACAGCATCCAGGAGCTTGGAGAGAGACGCCTCAGCGTCGGGGAGGGCTGACTGGTCTTTCTTGAACACTCCATGGAAACCTGTCAAAATAGCAGCACCGAAAGCGGGGTCCACAGCGCGCTCAAACCTTCCACGAAGTTGGTTTGAGTTCACCATGCCGTGAGTGCGGACGATCTCTGATTGCTCTTTTGATGACAAGCTCTTAAATTCCTGCAGATAATCGGCCTGGGCAATGGCTGGGTCAACTGGTCCACTGGTCCACGCATCCAAGATCTTCTTTGCGTTAGACTTGACGTCAAGGGCATAAAACTCCCACAATCGAAGTTCCTTGATCACTTGCTCGCGCAAAGCATTCATCACAGTCACCAGATCTTCTGTAGTCTTGAACTCGGTCGGCAGGCCCAAAGATTCGAGATCATCGCTGAACTTCAACAGAGCTGTATCCAGCTCCAGTGCAGCCTCTAACCAGGGCGCGGTCTCTGCACTGTATCCTGCCTCTGGGTGTTCTTCCAACCATTTGCTGTTGTTTGCAGTGTGGTTCCAAACAACATCGGTCAAGGTCAAAAGTCCATAATCTTTCTCCATTTTTGAGACGAGAGCTGCGACATCAGCCTCTCCATTGGGAAATAAGGCTGAGTCAAATGAGATCTGATCAAAAATACTGTAGGGAGAATTGGAGGCTCCACGCTGCATGAGCGGCGTGAAGTGAACCATATTGTAATTTCGCTGGCTGATACCATGAAGATGGTTGTCCCAATCGACGGGGTACTGTCCCAGGAATTTCGAAATCACCGAAAATATTGAAAGAGCATTGAGCGGCAAGTCTTTTCCTTGCAGTGTCAGCTTCGGCGACACGTCTATGTAATAGATTGGGCTTTTGATTGGTTCCGGTGTTTTAACAGCCTCAACAGAGAAGTCCGGTAACGGAGTGAACGTGGCATAGTATGCAAAGGCGCCAGCGCTCGGGATCCGGATGTCGATCTGGATGTTCTCGTTGAAGTTGGGTTGTAATCTATTTTGTTTAGCAACCGGGCTTTGTCTGACGTTCTATCTGGAAGCACAGGGTTCATACTTAAACTCGCGAAATGATTGACGATCAAAAGCCTTGCCCTCCTCGGGAATGTTGACCCACAAGCTTCCTTGCCGACAGATCGAGCTGGTGCCTTCAATGATAAAACGCAGCACATATCCCTGTTCTGGAGGAGATGGCAAGTAAATGTACCCACCGGGCACGTCGGGTGAACCGTCATCCTTCAAAGGAAGCAGGTAGACTTGGGATGAGGAACCCATGATGATCGCGATTCAGCGCTTGTGAACTAACCGAAATCTGGTCAGAATCAACCGAACGAGCTGGGAGAAGCTCAAATAGCTGAACCCAGTGATAACTGGGAGTTGCTAACGAGCGAATAGCCTAACTGAAGGCCTTGAGAGTTGTGTGAATTAGAAGAAAAAAAATCTTGGAAGGGAGGAAGGTGGTTTTCCCCTCATCTTGGTGTTCCGCGCCGGGTGACATCATGCATTTGGGCTACACCTTGGCCTTGGCCGCGTATTTTTAGCGTCGAGGCTAGACCGGGCGTGGCGCCGAAGACCAGGGCCAGGAACACTGCTAGCACCACATTGACCGTTTTCCTCCAATTTGGAGCTGCATTGATGCGCATTGGTTCAACGAGTATTCCAAGTCTAGGAATGTGGGGTGCCCCTGATCAACGGTAAAGCCCCCCACGTCAGACTGTGCGCTTAATGAAGACATTGAGGAGCGAGAAAGAAATCATTCGAGGAAAACGTATGCTAATAATATTTTTGGTCTCTATTGAGCATCAATTCCGGTGCGAAATCCAGCTAACTTCAAGACTGAAGCGTTATTTCGTCAAGATAATGACATCATGCGATTTGGTAATAGTGACTGAACAGGAACCACGGAATTATGAATTATCAATCTACGCAGCGCTTTTGGTAAAATAGCTTGGAAACTGAGATTTTCAAACTTTATAGAAAGCGAGGAAAAATGGGCCGTGGGTCCAGACTCGGCACTTGTTCTGACGGTTACGGAATGCCGATCACCGGAGAAACGATGTTTGTAGGTTTGTCTTCTAGACGACCAATGCCATTATAGGCTATTTTATGGTCCCCAAGACATCTCATGGTTTTGGACAGCGCGAAGCCACCCGCAAAAGCCTTGAAAGATGTGCGAAGTTATGCCTTAGGGATGAGGCAGCCAGTTCAATAACCACGAAGGACCATTACTAGGAACGTACCATCGTAGTTATCCATCATCATTAGCATTGAAGATTGTCCTAAAATAGCAATACTCTCATGCCTTGTATTTCCATATCACTGCTGCGTCGTCTGTCTCTGGCATCAATGGCTCTGAGACATGTCAGATGCACCAAATCTTCAAGTTTCACAGTGCTGCTCGACCCTTTTCCCAGTACTGCATCGCAAGGAGGTCCTCGACTCGCCATCTGCATGTATCACCATCCTGTAACACAGCAAGGAATGTAGCCTCCCCTGAGTCTAGTTGATCTAACTATTTCTATTCTCCTTCTACCCCCGTCTTATGCCGAAAACGTCAACACACTATCGGGTCTTCGCTTTTTACTCTCTTGGAGCATCACACTTACCTTCTGATCCAAGCTATTTCCCACTTAAGAACCCCCGGTCAACAATCTTATGCGATCAGTACTTTAATCAGAAGTTTCCTGTGTAGTATCATGCGTTATTGGTAATTTTGTAATGAAAACATCAACCCTATCTATTACTCCTAACTTTCCTTAGGCATCAGCCTACTCGCTTCAACTACTCACGAACCTCGAAGTGGCCGCTGGGACTTCTGGAGGTGTTAAAACACGTGAGGATACTCATCTAGGAGAGCGTGTTATGCTTCTTCTCTCACTTCTATAATTATACTGAGGACCTAATCTTTGCCTGTTGTTTTTAACAACCAACGTGCTGTTTACTGTTGTGGTTAAGATTCCAGTAAATATGCCACTGGAATTGGCGTCCAGTCTAGCCGGTTTTGGCGCTCATCTACCGTCCACGAGCGTTATGCTTCTGATCAAAGTCTAAATCTTGACTAAACACCATTGTGGTGTGGCGAGTAGGAAACATAAATAGTCCTTGGCCGCTATGACCTTGAACTACAACATCTCACCGCAATTCGACGCTTATCTGTTTTTTTTACTAATCTCTGGCTAGGTTGTGGCCCGTGGGAATCAAAGCTCCACATGTTTGACCCACTCCGGCATGATGCTACTGATACTAGTCAGTAGCGCGATTAGCCAACACGCAACACCAATGTGCCAGCATCGGGCTCATGTGGAGTAGACCGTCGCATGTTACGTGTTTCATGAAGGATTCCCTCAATAAACGGTGGCAAATAAGTAGTAGAAATTAGCGAGTACTTTTGGGCAAAAATGCCCTTCATGTCTCATTCGACCGAGGCTATAAACTTGTAAAGGCTAACTAGATACGTAAGCGGACTAGGTTATCTCGCCTGGAGTGTTGTTAATTGGACGAAGCAAATTGATATTTGGTCGAAACAACTTCCATTCTGGGATAAAATTGTAATTGTATTACAATTGAGTATTTTCACAATCACATGCCTCAAGTCACATCATCAAAACAAATACTTTCCACATATACACACACGCACACACACACACACGCACATGATATAATTTGGGCTCTCATACTAGCCTCCAAAATTTAAAAGGCGAAATCTGAGCTCAATACAGTCAAACTCAGCTAATAAAAGGTGTATGTTACTAGTGAGCTGTGAGAGTATGTGGGAACAGGTCATGTGATCGCGAAAATACTTGACTGTAATACAATTACAACACTTTCCCGTTTCGTCCAAACATCAATGTGCTTCGTCCAATTAACAACGCTCCTCGCCTGAGTAAGACGAATTTCCACAAAGGGTCTAAGGGCTGGAGACTACTCAAAAGAGGGTATATGCCCCGTAGCTCGGTTATATTGGTGCAATCATCTTGAAGTATGGCAAAAAATTACGCTAAACTAATGTGCCTCCAAGTCCTTAAATATCCCCGGTGTCCCCTCAATTTCTCATTTTGCCTACTGTATATCAAGGTTGATCCTTTCATCAGCATCTGGACAAGCATCCACATCTAAAGAAACAACACATAACCTGGTTGCGCCATTGTATCATCTAAGCATGGGATTCACCACGCTAGCAGCCTTGACTGCCGCCTTGGCCTTTTTCTTCTTCATTTTACGGACATTTTCCTTAGAACCAAAGCTTGGCAAATTACCTCCCGGTCCCAAAGGCAAACCTATTATCGGAAATCTGCTTGATCTACCCGCAGAAGGGGCACAAGAATGCACGCACTGGCTAAGGCACAAAGAGCTTTATGGTACGTGATACAGTCTCGCTCTAATTATTGTTACTGATTCGACAGGTCCTTTGAGCTCCGTCACAGTCCTCGGCCAAACAGTGGTTATTATCAATGACAGAGAGCTGGCAGTCCAGATATTGGAGAAGAACTCGGCTAAGCATTCATCTCGTCCTCGCCTTGTCTTCGCAGACGAACTGTATGTTTTTTCTTGCCACATGAAATTCCACAACTAATTAATGATAGCTCGGGATGGGGTAAGACACCCGTAAGTCAAGATAACACCAGTCTCCTTCGGACATATCGTCGGGCAATGGCTCGCATCATCGGAACTCGTGCAGCTGCCTCGAAGTTTGATCAATTGCTTGTTGTGGAGGCCCGGCGACTCCTATGGCGCTTACTTGATCGTCCACAAGACTTTATGAATCACATCAGAACGTGAGCTAAGTCTGTTTGAAGAAAATCGACGGTGTTCTCAGTGCTGATACAATCGTACTAGCGCCGCCGGAGCTTTTGTTCTGAAAATGACCTATGGATATGACATTGTTCCCCATGATAAAGATCCTCTGGTTAGCTTGGCTGATTTGGCACTGGAGCAGTTCTCAAAGGCGGTGGTTCCAGGAGCATGGTTGGTGGATATGATTCCAGCACGTAAGTTCACATTCATCCAGGTAGTCATAGGGCGTCATTTTGACAAGTTATTGCAGTGAAGTACATTCCAGAGTGGGCTCCAGGGTCGGGCTTCAAAAAGACGGCACGCTTTTATCTTGAAACCCTCACAAACCTTACCGAGCACCCATTCAAGTTCACCAAGTACAAAATGAGCCAAGGTTCTAATGGTCCATCGTTCGTATCCGAGCTGCTCAGCCAGGGAGAGGATGAAGATATCACAAAATGGTCAGCCGTGGCACTATATGGTGGTGGGGCAGACACAGTATGATCTCCTGTTCTGGCTTGCTACTATCCTGCTAATATCACGACTAGACCGTAGCCGCTTTGGCAGGGTTCTTCCTCGCGATGACACTATTTCCAGACGTCCAGCGCAAAGCACAAGACGAAATTGACCGTGTATTTGGGGAGCCAGCTTTGCCTACGCTTGATGACCGGGATAGACTGCCGTATATTGATGCAGTCGTCAAAGAAGTCCTTCGTTGGCACGTGGTCGCGCCACTTGGGGTGCCCCATCGAACCGATGAAGATGATATTGTGGCTGGATATCTGATTCCGAAGAACGCCCTTCTGCTGCCTAACATCCGGTATGGACCCTCACATTCCACCCTGTCTCTTTCATGCAATTAATGAGCCTTGCAGCGCTTTCAATCATGATCCTGAGGTATATCCCGAACCATCAGTATTCCGGCCTGAACGATACCTCCCGGAAGAGGGACGGGATGTTGAGCCTGATCCACACGGTACAAGCTTCGGTTATGGACGTCGCCTCTGTCCGGGCCGTATCGTTGCTGATACTTCCTTGTTTTTGACTATCGCAAATACTTTGGCTACCTTCAATATCACCAAGGGTGTCGGGTCAGACGGTCGGGAGATTGAGCCGCCTGTTGACTTTACGCCGGGTATTATCAGTCACCCTCTGCCCTATGAGTGCAACTTTACCCCGCGGAGCGAGAAGCATAAAGCATTGATTCTGGACTTTGAGCGTGAAACCCCATTCGAGAATAGTGATGCTGTGGCTTTGAGTGAGGCTCTCAAGCGCATATAGGACGTTGCAGTACAATTTTGAAAACTACCATTATGACGACCAGGTAGTTAAAATGCAAAAGTGCAATTTTGCCAAGACAGAAACGGAAGTCATGCAAACAAGAAGTGCATTGTGTAAAGTGATTTCAAGTTTCGAAGCGAAATCGAAAATTCCTCTGCATGGGCCACGGCTCAGGCCCGGGGCCTACTATTTCCAAGTTCGAGTCTAAACTGGGCAGTCATTTTATAAGAAATCAATGAATATTATCACATTTAACTTTTGGCTAAATCCTTAAATACAGTACGCTAGTCAGGTATCCCGGTGATACGATCCGGGTGTCATTAAAAGAAGATGACAACAAAATTAGGACAGAAGAAGAAGAAGAAGAGACAGGGCAGTGACGCCGCTTAGTTGCCGTTCAGCTTCTGCCGGCGAGCGCGCACAGCCTGTGCCAATACCTCCAGCACGGACTCGGTATCTTCCCAGTGGATGCAAGCATCAGTAATGCTGACACCGTACTTGAGGCCAGCCTTGCCCTCCGGTGGGACCTTCTGGTTACCTACTAGTTGTCAGTAAAGTGCGAATAAAAATGTGGATCATTTTGGAAACATACCCTCGTTGATATTGCTCTCAATCATGACACCCATGATGGCAGTCTCACCCGCAGCAATCTGGTCAGCCAGCACGGCGGCGACCTTGGGCTGGTTCTTGTGGTTCTTCTCAGAGTTACCGTGGCTGCAGTCTACCATCAGACGAGGCGCAAGTCCCTTAGCCTCAAGTTTGACTTTAGCATCAGCGATACTGGCAGCATCGTAGTTGGGACCCTTCTTGCCTCCGCGCAGAATCACGAAGCAGTCGGGGTTACCGACGGTACCCACAATGGAGACAACACCGGGCTTGGTAACAGAGAGGAAATGGTGGGGGTGCTTGACGGAGCCGATGGCATCGACTGCGACATCGAGGGAGCCATCCGTGCCGTTCTTGAAACCGACGGGAAAGGACAGACCAGAGGACAGCTCACGGTGGACCTGGGACTCGGTGGTACGGGCACCGACGGCGCCGACGGATAAACAATCGGCCAAGAACTGTGGGGAAATGGTATCAAGCATCTCACTGGCAATGGGCATGCCCTTATTTGTGAGATCAACGAACAGCTGACGGGAGGTGCGGAGACCCTTGTTGATCTTGAAGCTGTTGTCGATATCCGGGTCGTTAATCAGGCCCTTCCAGCCAACTGTGGTGCGAGGCTTTTCCAAGTAGGAGCGCATAACAATCAACAAGTCATCGGCGTATTTCTCCTTCTGCTTCATCAAGCGGTCGCAGTATTCCAGGGCCATGTCCGGGTCGTGGATGGAGCAGGGTCCAATGACAACCATCAGACGCTCCCTCTCTTTGTCGGTACCATGGACAATTGCAACTGCTTCGTCACGAGCTTGCAGTACAGTCTGTCGTGACTTATCTGTCAAGGCAATTTCATGTTGGAGGACATTGGGCGCGGTGAGGGGGTTGTAGCCGGCAACTATGCGAGGAGTCAGTGTAGATTCAATTGAGCTTGGGATTGGGTAATACATACTGCGAGAGTCTTCCAGGTGATTGTGGTTGCCCACATTGGGGTTCTCAATGAAGAACTAATGTCATCAGGGTCAACAAATGCTCCATAGCTGGGACATGTTGTCATAGAGGGGCGGACTCACCGACATGGCGGGGCTAAGGTGTTTGTGATTAGAGAGGAATTGAGAGCTCGGGAAGACCGGGGAAAAGGGCACAAGGGTGATATTATATGGGGAAACAGAATTGAAGGGAGAAAAGAAGAAATAAGAAATAGAATTCTTTCGAAGTATAAATAATAATTCCCTGTAAATTAATAAAACGTAACAAAAAAGGTGTGGAATGAGTCAAAGGGCCTGGCCCCACGTGATCCTCCTCGGTGTACTCGGTGAGCGGGGACCAATCCCAATCACCACGCCCGCATTAACAAATAGTGAAAAAAAAAAGTATAATGACGTGGAATTAGCTCCGTCCATCGTCCCCACTTTCCTCTTTCCCACAGTCCCCCACTATTCGGAGTCTATTCCCCTTGAACCCGATGATCCAGATCCTGTAGACCCAGAACTAGTTCTTGACAAATCTGACGATGTTGCTCCTTCACCGCTGTCATCTGCCGCTGATAAAGGCCCATGCGAACTTGCTGGGCTTGGGAAAGATCATCGAGGATACGATTGCATCCCTGTCGATAGATGTGCAGAACCTGGCGGATCGTCTCCTGTTCTGCTGCAAGCTGACTTGACAAACGCTGTTGATTATTAACATCCGCATAGAAGGCAAACTCGGGGGGCTTTGGCTGGCTTAACTTACTTGGTTTGTCTCTAGAAGCAGGTCATGGGCACTTTTTTGGGCGGCCTGCAGACTTGTGATCCAGTCTAGAGGGTTAGACTCGCTCGGCTGAGAAAATTTCTGGGCTTCAGGAACCGCCTTGGAGGTCCTAAGCACTTCCGTAGATAAAGGCGCCACGGCATTTCGGTCGGCGTATGCACGAATCTCATCTGTAAATACCTGGTTGGGGCCTGATTCAATTTCTGCAGTCCGGTTTTGATCGATTCCATGAGCATGACACTGATGTATTATGGAGGTGCCTGGGACTGGTTCCACTGTTAAACCTTTGGTGTTCTGTTGGTCAAGAACTGCATTATTGTTTTCCGTGTTAAAGGCCCCCTTGAGTGGAGGCGACTCTGCTCTGCTTTTCTTCGTCGATGCATTTTGGAAGCCATACTCCATGAACATGTCACGCTGATATTTGGACCATGACACTTCGTCCTCAGAACTGTCAAGAGAGTATCCATCCGAGTCTTTGTCATAGTTACTGGAACTGGGGTCAGGAATATCGACATCGCTCGACAGCTGGACATCTTTCAGAGGTGAGTGAGCTTTATCAGTCGCCAGGTTACCCTGCAGCATAAGCCGGGGACTACCCTTTGAATCAACAATACTACTTCTGATAGCTGTCTTGAAGCCTCCCAAAATTGAAGCCGTTGCTTGAATGGGCGTTTGCAGTCTCAGAAGCGGTTTCTGGGATTCGGGGGTTTGATGGGTCCCGTTGTTTCTAATTCGGAAATATGTAGCTGGCAAAGTTTTTGTTCCTGTCTCCGGTGAGTTTTGGGATGAGCTATCTGTACCGTACTCCGATACAGCTCTAGGGGCCTGAATGACTCCTTGGAGAGCATTTTTCATCGCGTCGACCGTCTCGAGTGACCCCTGTGCATGGTTCTTTTGCAGATGATTTTGAGTTGGATTGTAGTCATCCACTCCATGACTGCCAATTTTGATGTGAACAACGTCTCTGCCAGTCAATAACCCTTGGCGTTTGGCAACAATCTCGCTTCCATCGGTGTTGCAGAGATTCGCCATCTCCGAGGTGAACAGTGTGGCACGGGTCAGTTGGAAGGCTCCTGAAAATCCTTGCTTATTTTGTCCCAAACCAAGGCTTACTTGTGTCTGTTTGATGCCATGGTCCAGTACCTGCGAATCTTGGCTTTGGGACCCATCGGTAGTAGGCATGCGTGAAGAGGGACTAGCAGCCTCTTGGCGATTACTCCCATCATGTTCCTTGTGAGTAGAATGTAAGGTAGTCTCAACAGCAGGCCGAAGTTGAGAATTCAGCTGTACTCCATGAAGGGCATCAGCCAGCTTTTGGCCAACAGTCTTCCCTCTGCCATCACTCCTTTTTCCAATCACTCGGTAAGTTTGCCCTCTGAGCACGTCAATGCCGTGGTCTAGGCTGGTGGATTCAGATACCACTGGGGAGCTTGTTATTTCAATAATGTCATGCTGCTGAATTGCTGGTTCATTCTGGTCACTCCCGTGTGACTTTTGGGCGGACAGGGAATCTTGGGGCCGTCCACCTGGCAAAAGGTCAACCTTTGTATTGGAGGCAATTGATCCTGGTTTTAGTGACATAGTGTGCTCCGCAGTTAGTGAAGTCAAGTGCAGTCGAGGCGGCTGACTGCTTTCCCTTCTGATATTGGCTGTGCGTTTCGCAGGCTTTCTACGTTTACCAGAATTTGTTTCAGCGTTGGATCCTTTCCGTTTGTGATTTAATTTCTCCACATATTCGTACGTCGACTCAGGATCCGGGCTAGACACCGACGTCCCCTCATCTTTGCTATTCGCATGGACTGAATCATCATCAGTTGGCCGTAGATCCTCGTTCCAGTCCACTTCGGTCTTGAGGTGAAGAGTACTCTTTTTACGGGCAGATCGCTTCCCCCAAGACTCGGGTTTCCGTGGCAGCGATAGGGTCAGACGCCGAAAATTAGTTTTCGGTTGGACTTTTTCACTCTGCATTGTAGAGCCTTTGTCATCTGTACTGCCATTGATGTGCTGCTTTGTATCCCGACTCTTCTTGGTAATTGGGGCATTGCCGTTAGCGTCAGCAACTGCTTTGCGTTGTGTGTCAATTCCAACGCTTCGGATAGAAGAGATAGGCTGGTGCGTATCGCTTATCTCTGTGGCTGATTTGTTCTTCTGCGGTACAGGGCCAAGACCTTCTGATTGGAGCTGTTGCGGGGCATTTGGGATTACGTGCTTGGTGATAGCATAACACGAGTCAGTGGCGCCATCCTGGCGTGCCAACGTGGGTGGGTCTTTAAAAAGTGGCAGCGTAGCTAATTCTAACTTCTGTTGAGGATTTCTCGTTCTTTGTCGACCCTTTTCTGGCTCTCCTGGGCCCGTTGTGCCTTTTGAGACAGCAGACCTTGGGACTGGCCCAATAACCTCCGTTGGAGAATGATGAATTTTTCCTTTGCCAGCTCGACTGAACCGTCGTGAGCCCGACCCTCGATCGTTCCCCATATTATATCCCAAATTCCAGCTGGACGACGAAAGATTGATATGCGAGGTCTTCTGATGCGTTGCCAAGTGGAGCAAAAGGTACGCAAACACAAGTGACAAGCCCGGCGACCGTCGAACGCGGAAAGGTTTCGGGTTTCATATGCTTCAGATCAAGTCAGGAATGATGGCTCGCCTACTCAAGGATCATCAGAAGAGATTCACAATGGCTCGGATTGACAGCATTTATACGACGGGTTTTGTGACTTGGCCTTAGAGAAACCTGTCTCAGTTCCGACAGTCCAGGTGGCAAGACTTGATGCTGAAATTCTTCAAGATGTTGACCATACTAAAACCTCGCAGAGTATGAATGATTTGAGATGAATCATGAGGGTGAGTGAAACTGAAGCAACAGCAACAAACAGCAATCACAGTCACATGATGCTCTTGAAGACAAGATAGAGCTCATCTCACGCGGGAAATGGGCCTCTACATGATCCTCTTTGGGTTTTCATACACATCTAGACTGACCAGTTTCGCTGGCGGATGATGACTTTAAGGTACACAAAGCTACCTTGGAATTTAAACAATGATCTTCTGTTATACTCCACTGCCAACCAATGGGTACACCGAATCTGACACCCATGAACAACACTACAATATACATTTCCATGAAATGTACAATATCACTGATAGTACCTTCCCAATTTTGGTTGGTTCAGTGAGGGGAAATATATACTGTACCTAATACATACTGTACTAGGTTGATTACCCAAGCGAGCTAATTTGATACCTAAATGCACCTAGAATACGATATGTACATATTCCAACGTACATATCGTGATCAGGAACAAGAGGCTCTAGGAACTTCGCTCTGAACCCGGCAGATGGTCTCGGATTCAGGAGTTCCGTTCACTCCGGACAAAATCCAATTGCTCCGTCACCCCGATTAATAATAGCGGGAGGCGGCTTAACAATCCATGTGGTTCGTTGCCAGGGTCCACCCGGAGCGGGCTCCCTGCAACTATCTCGCCGATCGAAGTACTTGAGAACCACCACAAAGAGCCATGCATCTGCTATGACTAATATTCTCCCACTAACTTCCAGGTCTCCCTTGTCAACTGATTTCCAAGGCTCCTTACAATAAAATCACACCATCAAAATGGCTCCTGATCCTACCTCCCAGCCTAACGAGGCGGAGACCATTTCACCGTCTCAGCGCCGGTTTAGCGCGGTTGAACCTCTAGACCGGCTCCAAGCTACCGTCCCTGCGGTCCCACCTCAAGCAGCGAAGCTCGATATCCGGTCAATTCCTACCACCTCTACTGAACGTTGTCGCGCTTCCAACATCGATGTATCCCCCGATCAGGATGTCGGACTTTCAGAGAAGATCGCAGCGCTGGAGGACAAGGGCCAAGGGTTACCGCAGACATACGCAGAGGAAACAGTCCTGTATCTAGCATACGGATCAAACCTGGCCGCGAAGACCTTCCTTGGCATGCGTGGCATCAGACCGATCTCGAAAATCCGCGTCCTCGTGCCAGATCTGCGCCTTACATTCGACCTTCCCGGCGTCCCCTACGCTGAACCTTGTTTCGCAGCCACCCAGTTCCGGGATCCTGATGTTGCATCCGAGTCAGAATCCGAATCCGAGGCCGACGTTGATGATGATAAACTCCTCACTGAAAGCGAATACCTATCCGAAAAGGCGTCGCTTCAGACTCAAACAAAGGAGATACGTACTGGTTCCCACGAGCGGCGATGGCATAAACCCCTCGTCGGTGTTGTGTACGAGGTCACACTGATGGACTATGCGAAGATCATCGCGACAGAGGGCGGTGGTCGTGGATACAGGGACGTAGTCGTTGACTGCTACCCCTTCGCGGAAGGCTACAAGCCCACCAATCCAGTCCCAGATCACCCATCTACCCAGGCCTTCAAGACACATACCCTCCTCTCACCGGCAGCGGATGACGCCCGAAAGAGGGTATATGCTGCCAAAGGTATCGAGACCACAGCATCTGACTCTTGCTCCACGTCCTCAATATTCGATATTCAGCCGCACATGCGTCCGGACCCGGAGTATGCGCAGCCCTCTGCACGGTACTTAGGTTTGCTTATCACGGGTAGTGAGGAGCATGATCTCCCCGTGTCTTATCGGGAATATCTTTCCGGCATTCATTCATATCAGATGACCACGTCTCGGCAGAAGATCGGGAAGGTGGTCTTTCTGGCGGTGTGGGGACCGCCTTTACTCTTGACACTGAAGCTTTCTAAGGTTTTCGCTGGTCCTGATGGACGCAGTCCGCAATGGCTAGCTTCCACAGCGAATCTACTTTTCTTGGGACTGTGGAATAGCTATGACTATTTCTTCAAAAAGGTGTTTGGGGATGGTGAGAGGACTATTGATGATACCCCGTCCTCGTGATATATTTTCCTTTGCGATAGCATAGTTTCGGGCATTACTTTATATGATGTAGAGCGGCCATAGTTGCGATATATTAAAATTCAATACACATGAGCAATGAATCTAAGAACATCCTCCATCTCAAGATATCAGCCTTTTTTGATCTCCAATTTTCTAGCGTCATATGTGCACGGTGATTCCACAGAAACAGCTGCATTCACAAAGGAAATTAAATTCGGTTGACTCCTCCAGCACAATTTTCGGAAGGGCAAAAAAAGAATATATCTAGGATACAGATACATGTGCCGGGAGTGTTCTAACAAAACAAGGGCCGCGACCCTAGACACAAAAAAAAAACAAATGACGAAAGAGATTTCTCCCAGGCGACATAACACACGGGGGGCAACAATGCATATAATGCCCGATGGGTCACGTAGCCTCGTTAACCTCTCCCATTTTCCAACTCATATAGTTCTTGCTGACTGGCGTTTAACGGCGGGGGGCGATCGGGGGGCTGTACACGACCTTGCGAGACTTGATCGGGGCCCACTTGTAGCGCTTGACCCAGACAGAGATGGCGAACAGACCGGTGAGGATGGCAATGGCCTTGACACCCATCTTCTTGCGGTCATCCATCTCGGGCTCGGCGGACCAGTTCAGGAACTCAGTGACGTCCTTGGCCATCTGGGAGGTGGTGGCGGGAGTGCCATCCTCGTACTCAACAACACCGTCGAAGAGAACACGACCCATGGCAATACCTATAATCCACTATTAGTAACCATTTCGGCACAGAGGACCTAATCAATTCCACACGTACCGGTACCGGGGAAGTAGGGGTTGAAGTTCATGCCCTCGGCAACGCTGGCACCGGCGGGAGCCTCATCGGGGTAACCGGTCAGCAGGTTGAAGACGTAGTTGCAGCCACCGTGACGGCCCTTAATGATCAAGCTGAGATCCGGGGGCAGAGCACCGCCGTTGGAGGCACGGGCAGCCTCGTCGTTCTTGTAGGGGGGAGGGATGTAGTCGGAAAGCTTTCCGGGGCGCTTCTCGATCTCGCCCTCGTTGTTGGGCTCGGTGTCGTACTCGTTCTCCTCGGCCATAGCCTTCATCTCATCGACGGTGTGCATAACACCAACCATTGAGCGCCAGGGGACACGGGTCAAGGAGTGGCAAGAAGCGCAGACCTCACGGTAGACCTGGAAACCACGGCGGAGACTGATGAAATGTTAGCTTCGCGCGATGGGGGCCGCATGGTCATATTAGGGGACTCACGCAGCGTGGTCGAAAGTCTTGTTGAAGCGCTGGTGCACCCAAGGGTACTGAGTAGCGTGCAGACTGGATGAAGAACCATGTGTTAGCTTGATCATTCCTCTATAACCTGATCGCACAATCTCGAGCTCGGGGCACCCGGGGGCGACCAGGTATGGGTCATCTCAACCCCAATGTAAAGACTCACCCCTCCTCAGCGGGTGTCATGGCGAAGGCCTCCTGGCCATAGAGGTGGTAGTACCACGCGGCGGAACCGGCAGCCGCGGCGGTTGCGAGCGAGGCAGTGAGGGTGAGGTGGAAGGGGGAGCTGGCGGCCTCGGCACCGGCGGCGGTGGAGGAAGCACGCTATCGAGATAGTCAGCCAAAAAATCCTTTCTCATCCGCATCAAGGTCTAGCGAAGCGATTGTCCTCGTCGATAAGGCTCAATTGGTCCGATGGGGGTGTTGGCAGCGTACCGTGGACTTGCCGAGCGTTTGGCGTGCGATGGCCCGGGAGGGCACGCGCGAAAAGGTACGGGCCAGCATGTCGAATTCAAACCCTCCAATCAACAAAGTGATGGATGGGAAGGGATTGGATCGCAAAAGCGGGAAGAGGGGGAGGGGGAGGGGGTGGTAGCAGGGAGAAGTGCTGGAAGTGATGCGAGTTGAAGTTCAGAAGGTTCAAGTTTCTCGCGGGAAAATGGGGTGTAAAACCCTCCCTCTGATTGGTCCACTCAACCCGCTCGGTGAAAACCGCGATCACTCGGAACAGCTGTCGGGTCACTGCTCTCTGCCTTTTCTCTACTTTTCAATATTGAAAGTCTGCAATTGCACATCAGAGCCTTTCGATCCAAACTACTAATGTATATAGCGATCCCCGACCCGAAGCGTGCAACGCCCACCCGTGACCGTTACTGCCTCATCCACCCGACGCACCCGAATCGTTCCAGCGACGCTATGATTGGTCGGTTCTGACTTTTCATGTACGATCACGACAGCCAACGAGAAATCGAGAGCTACCACTATAGCTCCCAGCATCCCATATAGTCTGGATGCTCAAAATATTTACGATAAGGCAAACACCCTTGGGCTATAGGAAGGAAATTGATTCACGGTGCTAAAACGTCAATGAACGTACACTGACGTGAATCACCTACCAAAATCGTCGGTTTCTGACCTGACTGAACAACAAATAGCAGTGTTGATCAGATGCACCTGCCTCTGCATCATAGATATACTAACCATATTTGATTTACTCGCTCTTATCCCCAATGGTTCAGAATTCGACAACAACAACCAGGAAATCAAGTACGGGTAGAGAATCTAGGATGGACAGGCGGACGCACCTGGTCAAGCTGGAGCGCTTTTGTCTTTTTGCGTGTGCCACCTGTTTTTTACCAGGTCGGATACCATAGTGCATCTTGGTAGGTGAACCACGTTAGTTTGTGTTGTGGTTGTACTGCTACAATAGCCTAATACAACTGAAATATGATGTCGGATCCAAATGTTGATATCCGCGTTCACTTAACAGATGTGCCTAATTATCATATTTCTCTAATATCTTACTATGCTCGAAGGTCTCATCCTTTCCTAGCCTGGACGTGGAGGATGGACCGTGGACATGATCCTCGCCCGCAGATTTTATCCCCTTCCGCATCCAGCGCCCTGTAACGAGCCGGCCCCCAGTGAATTGGATACTCCTTGTCATATTCCAAGGGGCGGTTCACGTTAAGCCTAATCTTTGACAAGGAGATCTAGCATATCAAATGTCTCCCGAGTAGACAAATTCCGACCAGAGCCTGCAACGATCCTCATCGCTGATGGGTTTCACACACGTGTCACACCTTAGAAGCATCTCGCCAGGAAGAAGTAGGTGTAAGAAGTAAGAGTCCAGGTGGAAATCTTGAAACCGAACGGCACAGTGAAGGGAAGGAAGCTATTGAAGTATAGTGTGAGCTGAATGAAGTTTTGTAACTACAGTGTAGGTTGTTCTAGTCCACAGTGCGACCTTGTTCATCTGGTCGTCCAAACTATAGTTGAGATGAGCTACGTTGATAAGCCTGATATGATGAGCATCAGGGTATGATGGGTGCCCGATATGGTGGACAAAACACATTTTCCCTCTATAGGACCATGGCTTCTCATCTTGCATTACAGAGGTCCATGCCCCAGTTTCATTTGCATCTTTTATAAATGGGTTGCAGTCTCCCTAAGTTTTCTCATCGATTTTCTATTGCCCTGAACTGAATTCAAAGCATCTTTATGCTGGATGTTGCAATATGAAATGCTACAAAATTCGGTATACTAAGATAAGACTGAGCTCAATAATAACATCATTGTTATGGCCTTAGAAGCCAAGGCTCGTGGCCCTTGCTTAAATACACTGTACATTCGGCGATCCAAACTCGGCGATTGAACCTTGCGCAGATAGGCGTCCTGCGTGACACAACAGCGGAACACTTCAATCGTGTCTATTTCTGCCCGGTTATTCAAGGAGGTATACATTCACCACATGACCCTCGAAATGACGCCATCTTGCAGGTGTTTGAAATGGTATTCACATACTATTCTTTATGCAGTACCTTTGCATTTATGCATGTCAATGCATTTAAACACACCAAAGAGACATAATAACGAGCAGTAATTTCCTGATGCTGAGCCTAGGGGATCTAGGTATTTAAAAAGGGCCCTATAGCCTATGAGTATGACCAGCAAGTAGTGATTAATTGATGCATTTCGAGTTATAGTGGTAATTTTGAGCCCTTATTCGGACACAACTTAGTGGTCAACATAGAATGGACTACCTGCCCTCAAAGAGATGATAGGTCAAATCATGTGGCCTGGAGCTGAGACTCTATTCTTATGTTCTAAGGTTGTTGAGGGGAGTTGACTTGGTATCTTGTATTCAAATGCAAATTCCCAGGTAGGCTCTTATATAATCATTCACTGTAAATTCCAGTTGAACTATTGGACATCCCAGGGGCCCTGGGTCATGCAGCAAATTTTATAGCAAGAAGCTGACTCGAAATGACAGTCCCACATAATTCGACGAAGTCAGTACCTGTGAGACTGACTCCTTAAATTGAACGACAAACTTGCTCAACTGAGTCTCTGGAGTCCCGATCACTCCAAAGTAGAGAGTAATGGACCTTGAAATTAGGCAAGATCTCAGTTTGGAATGGTCGACGGTATCACAGATTTCACGCACGTGCAACATCGAAAAGATAAGAGCGGACATAAGCAACTCCTGAGAACATGGCCACTTTGCTTTCAGAAAGCGACTCGCTGTCCTGTGACTTTCCATGTCATCCGCTTTTCCAGCTTTATACGCATACATTAATGAGAGAAATAAATAGTCGTTACTCTCAATGGAAGCTCCTATTCCGCACCGACGGCTGCTCGACAGCCAGAGATGACCCCAGCCTCGCAAAGCGAAACAAACTTCTCATATTCGCTAGTGCCATGAAACCCCCGCTCATTATTGGGCACAGGCAGATCTTCCGCCAGCAAGTTTTGTCTTATCGGTTCGATACCGGCAGATGAAATCGAGGGGGTGTATGATTCAGGCCCCGGGAGATTGGAGCGGTGGGCAAGGTTTTGGACAGACCCGGGTTTTGAAATCGCTATTGATGCAACATTGAGTATGAGCATAAAGAGAATAAACATTGGAATCATGCCTGCTGGATGGCACTAGGAACGACCGATGATAACAGAAGGTGAAGCAGAATGGCTGAAAGGCAGGTATAGGCAACGGGAAACCTGGGGAAAGGCACCAAAATTGAGAATACGGACTAAACCCTTGGCTATAGACCATTTAAAGCAGGGAAGATTGGGTCTGGCCTATCATTCGGAGATAAGACGGTCAATCCGAGGCTGACACCATTGGAGCGTGGTCTCACCAATCAAGAACATAGCGATTTCTTGGCTTTGCAGCGCCACACGACAATCAGATAGTATCGTATCGCTCGTTTAATATTATACAAAGCTGATTGGTTTAAGCATTGACCAGGTGTACAGGTGGGCCTCAGCATGCAGTAAAGCCTCGTCGGCACATACCATGGGGCAGGCAATCACTTTCATGCTGGAGAACGCCAAAAATAAATGCCGGGGGTCAACATGTCGATTCACATCTATCGTGACAATCTATTTCTACAAACAAGGGACTCCCACCCCCTTACCCTTCTGCAGTATTATCTAGAAGAAAGCATTGCTGGCGAGTCGCGGAGTGGCCATTTCCATGCATCAAAAATTTCCTTCGAAAGCTCCTAATTGCCCCCATGTATCACCCTATAGTGCAGTAGCGGTATTCTAGCTCTTTCAATGGTCTCTGTGCGGCGGACCATGCAAGTAGCTCCTACCCTTTTCGTAACACATTAAAAAATTGTAGGGTATGAGGAGGCGCCTGCGCGCATTGAAAGGTGCTGCTACGCACTTGTTCTGCATCTTGAGAGATATCGAGCAGCGAAAGTGCTGTGACATTCTGCTTAGCGCAATTTACTGTTCGTCCTAGATATCTTTTGTGATGCGATCGGCGACTGCTTCATTATTTTGACCAGCCAAGAGCTTAGCAGAAGGTAATCAAAGTATGGATGAAGTCGGCAATGCAGCTTGCTGACCAGCGACTCCACCAGAGTATCCAGGATCTGATCCGAAGGACCCACATGAAGATCATGTCTGCCTAGATGATCCTTGGCGTAACGCTCCTGGAAAAGATTTGATGAGTGATTGGGAGTAAGTCCGATTTCATTCATTGGTGCTTTCGAAACCCAGGAGGTGTCGGAATAACCGGGTGCATCGGTTTGTCACATTGCTACCGACGGTAATCTCAAGCCATGAAGATCTGAGGCGTGATGTCCTTGTTAAAGTTCGACTAATGCAAGGTGCTTACTTCCCAGACCCACTCAAGTAAGACAGTTGAGTAGAGCGGTAGTTGTGGCTGTGTTGAGGGTGTTTTGTGCTTCCTTTCGGGAGAATGCGTTTTGCAAGTTGATCATGAATCTGACAGTGGTGAAGTTTGCTGATGCGCAAATTATGGTTGAAAGTGTCTGTTCTGATCGCGGATTGCAGCATTGACCGGAATTGACTCAATCCTACATCCATGCCCTTATAACCAGTGACAATACCCTAGATTTTTCGAGCAAGTTTCAGTCATCTCTCACTTGCATCCTATCATATTCTTCTTGCCATTAACGATTGACAATACTAATGTTTACTTACCTATTCTACTATGAAGTTGAGTGATAGAGGAACAGTTTCACAAGTGTCGGGTTCATCCCATACATTTTTTTATCAAAAGCCAACAAGCACGCTAGTGGCATAAGGGTCCAGATTTCGGTGTTCAGAGTCAAAAATAGCTCTATCAGGAGACGAAGGAATGGATATGGTGTCTGTTTGTCCGTATTACTGTCTAAGAGGGATGCGGAGGAAGAGAAGGAAAAGGGCGGTTGCTACATACAGTAAGGATAAGACCTGACAATCAAAACGATTACGCCTACTTACTCGAAGCTCATGTTAGAATAAAGATTCTAACGTAATGCAGTTGGGAACGCTTTCGGCGCTGAGATGGCACGCGAGGAATGCCATCGACAGTGAGCCTGCCGTATCGATTCTCTGCCGCTCCGTTTCGTTTTTTTTTTTTCTCTCTCCCTTTCAACTATTCTCCTCAGTTATATTCCCCTCTCCTTACCATTTGGGCTTGTTGACATGTTTTGACGTCTTCTCATACAGTTAAGGGCACCTAAGTTCTAGAACGTGATTTCTGTTGAAAATGTCTTTCAAATTTAATTTTCGCGAGGGGTCCTACATAAAACTTGATATTATACTGTCCAGTCTTGTTGCGCAATAATCCACTCAAGATCATTACCGAACTGATCCACCTCATCAGCCCCCGAGGAATTCTTAGCCTTCAAGCCGAACTTCTGTTCCATCAACGCTCTCATTGGAACATTTCCGGAGTGACTACCAACCCGGATCTCCTGCAGTCCCAGCTCACGGAATCCATAATCAAACACCATATGAAGGGCCTCATACGCATACCCTTTGCCTCTCGCTGGTGGTTGAACAATCACTCCTGCTGCGCCAGCTCGCAATCCATCTTCTGGTTGGTCCTTATTGCATGGGCCAATCCAACCAAGCCCAGCAATACCAACAGGCTCATCTTCATGCCAAATTAGGAAGATGCGACACGTTGGTGGGTCAGAAACAATTATCCATCTCTTAGCAATTGATTCGAGATCTTCCGTGGTAGCTTTGGAGATGGATTTATCGTATTCTGAGTTTGCTTTGTTCCCAAGAAGATCAAGTAGAGTCGGTATATCATTGAATGTGGGAATTCGAAGGGACAACGCTGTATCCTTGGACCTAAGCTCGAGTGTCGAGTCACAAGATTGACCACATAGCTGGTAAGCAGGAGAGTTCGATGAGACGTGCGACATGCTTTGTTACAAAAGGCTGGTCTATGAGAGTCCAGATTACGAAGGAATTGAATCGAGAATGAGCAACATCATGTCAAAATGTGAAATTGCGGTTCAGATATGACCATGTCTAGGAAAATGATGACTCAAAATGACTCAACCTAATGGAGAGGGGTAGAGAGATATAGATAAGGATCATCTTCAAAGGGTCTTACCCCAATACTCGATCAGACCGATGAGGTGTAAGTAACTTAGGTTTTACCTAGCACTTTCTCAAATGGTGAGTTTAATACAATGTGATTGATCGAAGACTCTCATGGGTTCTAACGTATAGAGCTCTCAAAACATCTCTTTCCGAGAGGTACCTGACTACTCTTATTCGAGCAAAGACACCGCATGTGACGAAAGTCGGAAATTAATGAAGAAACTTTGTATATTCAAGTGCAATCTCAGAAACCAAAAGACCAAGCATACTTCTTTCTCAGAATACTGACAATCTAGAAACCCGCCAAGCCATGTGATGCATAAACTCTGTGTATCCGCTATACCTTCAAACCCGTGGTTCCTTGGTCACCTGCTGAGAGCCATGACCAAAGGCATAGTGCATTACAATATTGGCATCGAGGCGGCAATTTAGGTAAGTGTGTATGATTTACAGGCCCTATTGGTTAATGCGCGTGAAAAGGGGTGAAGTGTTGCGTAGGAGTCGTGCAGGGGCCAGATTCTCAATCGCCGAATGAGTCCCCGATATCACACAGGGAGAACAGACCGCCAGTTTCCAGTTGAAACCAAGAATCTAACGTACACGTAGCTTTCCTATTAATCCTCATTATGAGGCAAGATCACGCTATCTCCTCCCTTATCATAGATCCAATAGGTTCCCAGAGTTTCATTGACCGCTGTTCTACTACGCGACATACCACCAGGTGACAAGATATCATGCAGTCTAGATGGTCTATCATTTTCATGCGACCCCGCAAATGACCCAAATCGCCCCATTCTTGAGATCCTCACGTTATATTTCCCATCAGTCAAAAGTGAAGGACTCAGAAAGTACAAGGCATGGGTGCTGAATGGTTGACTCGGGGAAGCGGTGCCGCCCGGCGGGACCCAATTACGCCAGCTTTTGACTTGCACCTCACGTTTCAACAACCCGCTCACCATTTAATCATGACGCCGCGCTCCACAAAACAGAGTGGCTTGGCTTCATTAGCGTGTACCGAGTGTCGCAAACAACATCTGAAATGTGACGCGCGGAAGCCGACATGCTCTCGTTGCTTGCAAAATGAGTACTTCTGCCAGTACCTCCCTTCGCGACGCGGCGGCCGCAGGAAAACCCGGGAGCCCAATCGCCGAGCTTCTTTTTGTCCAAATGACCAAATCGACGTAAGTGTTTTATATGCTTCGTTCTAAGTTGATGCAAAATATGCTGACCGTTTAGCAGACATCTCTTATTGCCCCTGTGGCCGCACTTGGACAAACTAATACGCCTGACAGTACGTCACTGCCTAGGGCATCAGTAGGGGTTTCAACCGGCCAGGTCCCCTGGCCTTTGACCCCCCTACGAAATGAACTTGATCAATCACGGACAGAGCTGTCCCGCGACTCATGGTATCATGACGACCGCTTCTTACGGTTATTTTACGAAAACTTCCATGTTGCGCATCCAATCCTGGTTCCTAGCGGCTTATACCGCGACCGGCAGTATCCTGACTTCCTTCAAATGGTGGTGAACTTTGTTGGATCCCATTATATCTCGTCGAGTCCAATTCAACAATACAAAGAAAAGGTGATTGCAGAGCTCAGTTGCAGCACAGATCGATCGCCCTGCATGGTTCAAGCGTGGCTTATCTACTCAATTGCCATTTACGCCCGAGGCGAATGGCAGGAGGCACAGGATGCATTCTCACGTAGTGTGGAAATAGCTTTGGAGTTGGGCATGAATCGGCGGGATTTTGCTGCATCCTCACAGCCAGAAACCTCCATCGAGGCTGAAAGCATGCGAAGGACTTGGTGGGAGCTATACATCACAGACGTATTCATGGCAGCACCCTTTAAACACACGACATTTCAATGCAGCACGATGGCACCGGAAGTTGCTCTCCCTTGTGAGGATTCGGCATACACGGGTACATGCGAGATCCCAATTCCCCGCAAGATTCTTGATTTCAAGCGAAGGGTCTTTTCGCCCGATGAGACAGTCTTCTCGTCCTCCAGTTACCGCATTGAGGCAGTAACAATCTTATGTCGTGCTCTTGTGCTGAATGGCCTTCGGGACTATCATCGAGATCATCTGCAAGCCGTCGAGAACGCTCTTGTCAGTTGGATCAATCACTTACCTTCCAAAAAGTTGGATATTGTCGATTCATATGGAAACATCGATGAGATGATGTTTCAAGCACACATGACTATCGCCTATGCTACAATGCTCCTTCACCTACCCCGAAGCGATCTACAACCTGTTTTGTCACAATCAGATGATCAATTCTGGCCCGTTGCCACGCGCCATCTAGCATCAACACTTAACCGCTCAATTCACAGTATAAAGGCCACCGAAGCCTCTCGACGTCTATCAGACGCAATCTCGCTTTGTCCCAACGTCCCGAAACATACCCCTTTCGCCATCCCAGCATTAGCTCTCTGCGGCATGATCCAGCTTGCCACCTCTATCAAGCACAATGAGGAGTGCTTTGATCATCATTACAACCGTGTCACTCTCATTCTGGGGTGTTTGAAAAGTACAAAGCGAATCTGGAACCTAGCGGATGCCGCCTATGATCATTTAAGAGCCTCCGCGGCAGATAACCTGTCTGACTCTATGGAACGCTGGTGCACGGAACCTCCCAGGAAGCTTTTCCCATCGGATTCGACACCAAGTAACACAGAACGCCCTAACCAGCCTGTACGACCAATTTCGGCAATGTCGGATGGTCAGGAAATGTTGTTTCCTCCCCTTGTGTCGGCCTTCGTTGATCCGACTTGTTACAACGATTCGTTCTTCACTTCCCTCCCCGACTTCGATATCCACTGAATTGTACAATTAAAGATACCCATGAAGAGTAAATTGAGTCTACCCGTGAACATTTAACATGTTACAGCTGGCATCCATTACGCGTACCTAGATTACTCTTCCTGCCCGAGTCAATGTTACACGAAAATAGACATGTACAGGAAATATATTTCAGACCATAACACTGCCTGACACACGTTAGTGCTTTGTTGCATACCTAGGTACACCGCTTTAAAGATTTCCCCAGACTAATCACTAGTCCCTTAGATAGTGCATAACCCAAAATCGATCTGATCGAATAGAGTTATGTATCTAAAAGCCAAAGATAACAGATAGGAGTCCGACGGGGCTGAGCGAATCCGCGCGGCCTATCCATGCAGATAACCCCGGTCGGCGATCAAAGCCTGAATCGCCGACTAACCCACAACGTCACTACGCATCGGGGATTGACGCACACTTAAGTCGAAGCACATAAAACTCCTTTATAAGTGTCCTCAATTGATCCCCGAAATTCATTCAAACAACTTCACTACCTCTCCAACCTCATTCCAAAGTTTCTTCACATTGAAAGCAATATGTCGTCAACCCTCCTCTCAACCACCACCACCTTCGATAAGGGCTTAGCCCCAAGCTATCAGCCCTTCAAAGAGAAATATAACCTGGAGTGCCTGGTAGACGATATCAAACGGCATTTGGGCGAATCAGGCGGAATTTCTTCCGAAGAAGTCGATGAAGAATATCTGATTTCGCTGGCACGAAAATACATCTCCGACCCGAGTGACTGGATCGAGTATTTCTACAACGATACCAGCAAGAACTACACCCGAAATGCTATTGAGAACATCAACCACAAGGCGAACATTGTTTGTGCTCACCTCGCTGCTTTTGGTCGAATATCGCTAACGTAGCATAGCTTCTTCTCGTCTGGAATCCTGGAAAGGGCTCCCCTATCCATGATCATGCCAACGCACACTGCATCATGAAGGTCCTTGCGGGACAGTTACACGAGACTGTTTACCATGCGCCTGAGACCGATTCCAAAGAAGCCAAGCCTTTGACTATTAAGTCGGCCAACACCTTTGGCATGAATGAGGTGACATATATCTCTGATGATATTGGTCTTCACCGAGTTCATAACCCTCACCCCACTCAGATCGCTGTCTCTTTACACCGTGAGTGGTACCAGAGAACCTTCAGGGTTTTGGTTGCATAAATTGACCTTTCATCTAGTTTACACGCCGCCAAATGCAGCTGACTATGGCTACAATATTTTCAATGAAGCCACTGGGTCGGCTAGTTATGTATCGCAGGCCCACTCGGTTTCGAAGAAGTGAGAGACTGTTATGCTCTAACCGAAACAGAGACATCCTGTTGATCAGGTTTGATTTGCTTGATTTGCTCGGTGAGGATGTTGATCATTCTCTTTAGCGACTTGCATGCGATTTTCAAGATTGATATCCAACTCGTCGATTACTTATTCAAGACGGGAGTTCAGTGATAAGGTGCTACACTTTGAATAGCCATTGGAGTTTTATTCGATTCAGAGTTTATTTGGGGACTACAAAATGCAGGATTAAAGATTCAGGAGTCTCAGTGCCTTAATTAGTGCCATAGTGGCCGCAATAAGGGTCGTTATGACCAAATTTCAAAGTAGTCCACTAACAGACAAGTGAAACTGACTTAACATTCGGAAGCAAGCCCAAACAACAATATAATATCAGTATCTGTAATTCCTAATTTCCAATCTTCAACAGTCCATACTTGCGTCGAACAGCTTCACTGGTTCGACCTAATTCGTCCCCGCACGGGACGGTCGATCGCTGACTCATCTTGTGTGACGCCATTCCCCACTCGAGCTCCCAAGATGAGGAGTCACTACCACGAACTCATTCGATTCCTTATCGGTGAGGGAGTTGCTTTGCTCTTAAATTATCGACTCTCTACAAGCTCTAGAATGGCTACATCAAACGACGAGTAAGTGTTACCCGATAATTGGAACAGGGGACAAGCCGCCTAACGCTCTAAAGTGATGGCTGGAAGCCGGATCGCAAGTACATGGAAGACGTCGAGCCAGAAGACCAGCAGGTCCTCCTGGGCACCGAGGAGCGCCTGGAAACTGGAAACCATTCAATTGTGTACCGTGTCTTCAAGAGAGGTCGCGGTAATTGCCGGGGACGCCACCCTTTCTGGCGCGGCCTCCTGGCCTTCATCTGGACTTCTCTTCTGGTTTGGGGTCTAGCACGAATGTTCCATCGTAAGGTTCACGTGTATACGTACTTATACACTCATTACTGATGTTTTTGGAATTCCAGATCGGCCCCATCGTCCTCATCCGCATGGACATCATCACCCGCACCCTCAAGCTCCGCCGCCTATCTGTAAGACGCCTGAATGTGTTCACGCGGCGTCGGAGATCCTCTACAATCTGGATACAAACTATGAGAAGATTGACCCCTGTACCGACTTTGACCAGTATGTCTGCGGTGGTTGGAGAGAGCGCCATGATATGCGCGCTGACCAGGGTTCGGTCTTTGCTGGAACCATGATGGAGGAGGTTGCCCAGAGCCGCCTTCGTCATATTCTGGAGCGCTCAGAGGCTCCGCAGGATGACGCCGGAAATTTCAAGAAGCTGAAGGATGCGTACAGCGCTTGTCTGGATGAATCTGTTATCCGGGAACGCGGCATTCAGCCCTTGGTTGAAGTTCTAGCGAAGCTGCAAAGCATCTATCCTGAAAACGACGAAACCACCATGGGCACCGAAGATCATATCACTGACGCTGTACTGTTCCTCATTCAAACTAGTGTTGAGGCTCTTGTGTCTCCAGGTGTTTCGGTAAGGCCCAGACTCTTAATTGGTCCTTTAGTATACTAACAACTACAGCCCGACGATAGGGATCCTGATAACGTTGTTATTTTTGTGAACCCGCCTGGGGAAATTGGACTTCCCGCACGCGAGTATTACAATAATACGGACATGGTCGCCAAGTATACAAATGTCGTGAAGCAGATCTTCCAAGCGTTCGAGGTCTCTGACTTTGAAAAAGTCGCGGAGAACGTCGTAACCTTTGAGAAAGAGCTGGCCGATGTGACTCCGGATACGCAAACTTCAGAGGATGTCACAAAGTATTACAACCCACTCAGTATCAAGGAGACCGAGTCATTGGTGCCCCAAATATCCTTGACCGATATTATCTCAGGGCTTGCACCGCATGACTACAAAACCGATCGCTTGATTGTTGGGTCGCCTTCATACATGAAGGCTCTCTCCGAGATCTTGAAGCACACCTCCCGACAGACTGTGTCTTTCTTCTTCCAATGGAAGATCATCCAGGCCCGTGCCACTAGTATTGAGGATGACAAGATTTCCGCCCTCACCCGATTCAATAATGAACTCGCTGGAAAGGACGCAAATGCCAAAGAAGAGCGATGGAGAACGTGTATTCGCAGCCTCGATGAAGGTCTGGGCTGGATTCTGAGTCGATTCTACGTGTTGGATTCATTCTCGGAAGAGTCCAAGAAGCTTGGTGATCAAGTGGTGTCGGACATCAAGGAACGGTTTGCCTTCACTCTGGACCAAACCGCATGGATGTCTCCGGATGTACGGAAGTTGGGTATTCAGAAGGTGGAGAATATTGTTCAGAAGATTGGTTTCCCAACTAAGAGTCCCAACGTACTGGACCCACAGGATGTGGAGAAGTACTATGCTGCACTCAATGTGTCTAGCAAGACCTTCTTTGAGAACGAGGTTGCCATCGCGAAGTTTGATATTGCAAACGAGTGGTCCAAGTTGGGCAAACCAACCAACCGAGATGAGTGGGATATGACCGCGCCCACGGTCAATGCCTACTATAACCCCCCGGGGAACGAGATCGTCTTCCCGGCCGGTATCATGCAACCCCCGACGTTTTACGGGCCAGCAGCACCCTTGTACCTATCCTATGGAGCTTTTGGAGCTGTCAGTGGCCACGAGCTCTCTCACGCGTTTGACTCGACTGGTCGGCATTACGATGAGACGGGCAACTACACGAACTGGTGGGATGATGAGACCGTCCAGGCCTTTGAAGAAAGGGCTCAATGTTTTGTAGATCAATACTCCAACTTCACCGTCGAGGGACATGGCGGCAGGTTGTTGCATGTGAATGGACGCCTCACCCTCGGTGAGAACATTGCGGATGCCGGGGGATTGACCGCTTCGTTCCACGCCTGGAAGAAGCACGACGACGCAAAGCCCGACCTCCATCTTCCGGGGCTGGAGGCTTTCAGCAAGGAGCAGTTATTCTTCGTTTCCTACGCCAACTGGTGGTGTGGTAAAACTACTCCCGAGGCCGCGGAGAAGGCCATCTATACTGACCCACACGCGCCCAAGTCCGCGCGGATTATTGTAAGTTTGACCCGGTCCCATGCATGATCCCTGTCCATTAACAACTTTAGGAAACGATGGCAAACTCCCGCGAGTTCAAGGAGGCATTCCAGTGCCCGGAGAAGAAGCCGGTTTGCCAGCTCTGGTAGTTCGTTGCCTGGTAGTTCGTTGCCTGGTGGTATTCCATGTACTCCTCACTTGAGGATGATTTTCTTGATTTTCGGGTCTCATTTCACATTGCATTTTCCTGTGGTTTCTCGTATGCATAAGACACATTCCAAGGGATTTATGAAAATTTCGGTGTCCGAAAGTGTAACACACCAATCATAGTCAAACCTTGTAAGACATAAGCTCTAGATAATTCTACTTTCTGCGCTCACATCATCTCTTGCATGAAATACGAGGCGATCTCCCCTTGAGCTTGTCCATGCTTTTTGCATCCGGGTTGTATCGACCCCTCAACGCCGATCCCCGTTAAACTAGTGATTTTTCCTTCCGCGAGAATAAGCCAAAGGAAAAGAAAAAAAAAAGCAAAGGCCGATCCCCTCTGCAGATCGGGGCGGTATGATTTAGATCGACCAGATCCAAGTTTAATACGGAGCAACGGCCGGGGGATTAAATTATGTGACGATGGGAACCCGCAGAAGATCATGTGGATGGACTCAAAAATGTGACGCTGGGTTAGTAACACAGAATTCATCAAAAGTACATGTCTTGGCAAAAACAAAAATCAGACCACAGGTGGAAATTGCATCAGCTGAAGTAAAGTGGGCAGTGGGACTGCTTGCATGAGACATCCACTTTACTGGGAAACGGGACATGTCATAGCTGAGAGCTCCAGCTTTTTGTCCCAAGGGCGCGTCACTATGTGCCGAGCCAGTGGAGCCTGGCATAACGGCGGGACAAGCAGCCACTCAGCGGGCTGAACGGTCCTTCGCCCCAAAAGTAGTTCGCTTCACCGGGGCGAGGCGACATGGGTGGGTTCGACGTATCAACTGTTGTTCATGTGGTCATTGAGGGGAAGACGAATGTTGACGTGTGAGATGGAAACAAGGATAAATCAGATCAACAAGATAGGAATCAGATGAATCAATACAAGAGATAGATAGATCTTAGCATAGAGTAAATACACGCTAAAGTAGTCGTGTTATCGTATTTGGTGGCAACGTGCCTGGATCCGCCGTGTCGGGATCGATTCCCCAAACTTCCTGCTCCACTCGCGAAAAAAACAAACCCTTGATTCTTATTTCCTCCTATACACTCTCACCTAGACATCTGATTAACTCTCTGATCTACCTCATGCATTCGAGAGACGCCTGCCACTGCCTGTGAGCAAATATACGACCGCGTCGCGCGCGGTTCGTGGAGCTGTCATCGAAGCTCTCACGCCCGCCATGGAACCTTTCCCTTCCACCGTTGACCGGCCCGCACATTCCAAGGATCAATCCGGACCATCAGTGCGAATCAATGAACTGCCGACATTAGATCGAACGCGCAGCGCAGCCACCCCGAGAACTATCACCCCTCTCCGCCGCGCCAACACGGTATCACAAGGGAGTTTGATAAAAAAGAACCTGGAACGCAAGGCCACCCGGGACAGGACCGCAACGACTGGGACCGCGCTAGGAGTGGGTGTATCAGGGCTGCGGGCCAAGGATAGTAATGAGCTATTGCGAAAGTCACCATTGCAACGATCCCAGACGCACCGGGGCCCATTGGAGGCGCGTCCGGCAGGACGCAAAGCAGGCCATTTTACCGTTGGAAGTGTTGGACAAAACGGCAAGATCTTTCTCAGGTACGATCGCGCTACATTGTTCTGGATATCTAATCTCTCTGCACATCCCGTGTCGCACATCACCTGCAGTGAGCTGACAATTTACCTATATTTACTAGGCCGATTGCGAACCCACCCCAGAAAGATCCCCCTATAGTGCCCTTCTCATCTATCGATCAAGTGACGATCGATCGCCTTCAGCCGCAACGATATGCTCAGCCCCGAGATGATCCGTCACGATGGTCGAGCTCCCAGCTCTCCGAATTACGTCCGCGCGAACCGCGAGAAGATTACGAATCCGCAATGTCTGAAGTCGCGCGACCTGAATCTGCGAATCGACCCCGCCGTGCGAACTCGTTTTCGACAATATCCGATACTCATTCAGTGTCCGGCGCGGGCAAACGTGGAGAACTGCGCATCGTCATCGATCGATCTGAGGACCGGCCTAAAACCGCGAATGAAAAGTCGCCTGACACGGCGTTGGAGGTTCCTATTCCTCATTACCGGCTGGGCTCGCTATTCAATAACGAAGGTAGTGCGGCCCTGCATAGTTCCGTACACACGCGGACGTCAATGTCCGATAATTTTCGAAACTCGACCTTGCTAGGGGGCATGATTGATCCCATGCCTGGGCGTCATCCGAGTCCGTATCGAGATTCATACGCGCGCAACCGGGCGTCCTTCGCCGTTTCTATGTTCTCCGGGGCGGCCGCTATAGACCTCAGTCGGGCTTCGCCATTGCCGAGAAATTCGATGGTATACGAGTTGAAGGGGCCGGTTGAACCTTCGATATATGAAACCTTGGTATTGGACATGGATGGTGAAACTGTCGTGCGGTACATTCCCGGCACCAAAGATATCAGCGCAGCCACGCCCGCCCGCATTGTGGCTCAGATTTCTTCTGAGTCGTTCATGGATTATGAGCTGGTGTCAGACTTCTTCCTCACCTTTCGCTGTTATTTGTCGCCCAACCACCTGCTTGCTCTGTTGCTTGCACGACTACAGTGGGCAATTAACCGCCTTCAGGAGGATGGTCGAATTATTCGGATTCGCACTTTTGCAGCTCTGCGACACTGGATCCTGAATTATTTCGTTGATGACTTTGTTACGAACTATGATCTGCGGACCCACTTTTGTGAAACCATTAACAGCCTCTACCAAGAGGTCAAATCTCGACGAAATGGTGGTATGAGTGACCTGAAGATTCTTATTGACTTAAAACGATGCTGGAATGGCAAATGTTCGGTTTATTGGACCGCGTCAGATTTCTCTCGCGCCTATAATGACCCCGACAGCCCAATCTTGCCTGGAAGCGCCCAAATGGAGCTACCGAGTGACGAGCCAGTTCAACAGACTGTTCCGCTTCCTGGCATAGCCGCTCAGACAGACACCAGTTCTCGGAAAAGCTTCCCCGTCTCTACCCAGCATGATCGAAATGACTCGGCTGGGACGGTACACAGTTTACCGTTTTCGACAAAGAGCGATCAAAGCATGCTTGCGCTCTCCTGCTCATTACCTCCAAAGTCTCCAAGACGGATGTCCGGCCCTTATTCCAGGAGTAAAGCACCGCGCCCCGTTCCACTGGGCCTCACCAAGTCGGTTACCGCTAACGAAGGACATCCTGTATCGCCGATGCTCTCACGATACCCATTCCATGGCCATAAGCGAAGTGGCAGCTTCTCCGACTCAGTCCGAGATCCCATGTCTGGCGTGGAGGCGGGCTCCACGGCTGCACCGCAGGAGATAATGGACCCGGTCAGCTTCATTCGAGGTGTACTGTACCCACCTGCAGAGTCGTACATGACAATGATGGCCCCGGACTCCCCTCCTTTGCCTTTACCGTCGTCATCTAGCAATCCGGACCGCCGGAGTCAACCAGATGGTGGACCTAAACCAGCTCAATCAAACTCGGGGGTAAAGACCATCATTGGCTCAATCAGGCGGGCTTTGCACACTAGAAATGGCGGCCAGAGTGTTTCTGCTCGCATTGCCAATGCTTCAGAGAGCCTCACCATGCCGTATCGCGGGAAAACATCTGCAATGCCACAGCACATTGCCTTGGGGTCTGACTACTACCGCGAAAGAAAGATGGCGGCTGTTCCTAAACGACCCACCCGAATTGATGTGCTCTGTGAACAGGCTTTAAGGCAATATCGGGAGGCCATGGATCCCCCGGCCAAACGAGATAGCCAAGTGCAGCTCAATGCGCCTGAATTACAGATCCCCTGGGAAGATACTGCCTCAGAAACCCCTGAGGCCAATTTGGAAACTTCCAAGGATAATGCTTCGAAAATCAAAAGCGGGCTTACTACTGGTAGTGGGTCGATCGTGATTGTTGATGATACTGGATTTGAGTTCCCTGCTTCCATGTCTGGGGCTTTAGGAGATGATATGGCTTCCCGTCTGGGTGATCCGACACGTTTGAACCCCAGCGACAAGGCCGCGTACTCCAAGTCATACTTGTCAACATCGACACAAGGCGCAAGTGAACACACCGTTCCTATCTATTTCAATGGTGAAATCCCGGAAGTTCCGCAAAAACCGCATCCGTATAGCATTGCTTCAACTCGCAGATCGTTTTCCAATGAGCGCCAGACTACTCCCAACAAGAGAGCCTCGCTTTCCCTCCGACTCCGGAAATATGCCTCTTTCCAAAGCGGAATCTCAAGACAGCGGACGTCAATGGGTAGCGACGCAGGAAAGTCTTTTACGGGCTCGAATCTCACACAGGAGACAGATAAGCCATCTGGACGTGCGCTTCGTAGAAGACCTGGTGGAAACTTGCGAGAAATGCAATATGTGGATGATGTTGAACCCGGCTCGGGTCGTGGGAGCGTTGTGTCTACTCGCTCCTACGATGACTCGTTAGCAGAGACAACGTCTACCACCTCTGAAGCTCCGTCAAGGCCTCCGACTACCCTGATCCCGCCCAATCCTCGGTACTCCTTGATCCAAGCTCGATCCAACCGGAATATGAAACGCTCCTTTGAAGCAGCCATTGCCCGCTTTGCGCAGATTCCAGACGACGACGATGGAGGTGTTGAGTCGACCTTGTTGAAACTGGAGGGCAAGTGGCCCAGCTCACCACCGGCAGATCAAGAGATTGGATTTGAGCGCGTCCTCGCGCCTCGCGCTGAATATGGGGTTGAGAAGAGCAATGTTCCCTGGGATGTGATCGCCCGAAGGCGGCAGACGGATAAATCGGGCTATTCTACCGTTGGAGGGCGACTGGCGCCACCCAGGCCGTATTCAGACTCTGTGGCAGAATCTGAAGAGTCGTACAACTCGACTCCTCTTCTTGAGCGAGGGTTGACTGATGAGTCTATGAAACGACCACCGGCGAATCGAAGCCAGGCTCGCAGCCAGATTCTTGAGGTGCAAATGCCCCCTCTCAGTCTGATCTCCAGTCGGGATACATCTGAACTGGCATCATCGCACCCGTCGATCCAGATTATTCACGACACGGATAGCATTCGCCGCATTCCACGAGGCTCAACCCTACCCCTGCCCCTGTCAGGACAAGCCACCCCTAAACGGTTGTCGGCCATATCGGTTGATATGATTGACTCGCGCGAGGCCATGGAAGGCCGCTTTTCCACTGATACTCGCAGCCTGGCTTCGTCGACTGTGGAGATCCCGCCTCACCCCCTAGCACACCCACCTTCTCCTCCGATGACAATTCAACACCCCGGCTCTATTACTCCGTGTGTCTCGCCCATGGATAAAGTACTGTTTCAGGCTCAACCGCCTACTCCTGATACTTCTCCCCGGCGTCGGGGTACGGAAACGGCCAACTCACAGCCCAGAGACGTACCTCAATTTTCAAGTGACGTTCTTTCCAACTCTGAGAAAGACCGCCAATACGTCAACGATAATGGCCCAGACCATGTTGCCTTCGTCCTTTCCTGTGAGTCTCAGGTGCTTGCACAGCAACTCACATTGGTCGAAATGGCTGCGCTGAGCGAGGTTGACTGGCGAGATCTGGTTGAGATGCGATGGAGCAGCGGCTCTCAATGTATCTCTAGCTGGGTTCAGTTCCTCACTACCGAAGAACGAAAGGGTATCGATTTGGTTGTTGGCCGCTTCAACCTTATGGTGAAATGGGTCGTCTCCGAGATTGTCTTAACTCGTGAAATTCAAGAGCGAGCCCGCACAATCATTAAGTTTATCCATACGGCTGCTCATGCGCGACGCATGTGCAACTATGCGACTATGTTGCAGATTGCCATTGCCCTGTCTTCCTCGGACTGTTCCCGACTACAGAAGACATGGCAATTGGTTCCTTTGGAAGATAAGCGACTGTTCAAGGACATGGAATGCTTGATCCAGCCTGTTCGCAACTTCAATGACCTCCGTGTGGAGATGGAGACAGCCAATCTGCAAGAAGGCTGTATCCCTTTCATCGGTAAGATTTTTATCCGCACTTCTGGTGATCTTTCGCTAATTTCAATCCCTAGGTCTCTATGTACATGACCTTACTTATAATGCCCAAAAGCCAGCCCAGATCCCTCGAGGTGAGGGAGGTTTATTGGTTAACTTTGAACGATACCGCACCGCTGCTCGTATTGTCAAGAGCCTGCTGCGACTGATCGACGCCAGCACCAAGTACCGCTTCGAGCCCGTCCAGGGTATCATCGAACGGTGCCTCTGGGTTGCATGCCTCTCCGAAGATGAGATTCAATTTCGCAGCAAACAGCTTGAATGATCTCACCGGCGTGGCTTGTTTTATTTTCTAATGATTGGATATCTTATTCATACCCCTTTGCAGAACCTTTTGGTATCTTCTGCTATATATCACTGTATCTATATTTTGCATTTTCCCCCTTCTCACCTTCGTTTTAGGTTTCATTTGATTTTTGCGTTTGGAGCGAGCATTTGCATCACATTGGCTTGGAGATATCACGGCTTGAATGGCAGTCACATACTATTTTCTTTTATCTGTGGACCCACCAAAACACCCTTTGTTTCATAAATCAATACAGAAACCCCTCGAACTTAATATACAAACCTACGAACCTACTCAATCCTACAAATAGAATATTGTATCAGTTGATAGCTCGTTTCATAGTTTGAAAAAGTGGATTCACAGTGCGTCATAATCATAAAAAACCGCGGCGGAGTTGGATCTACTCGCGGAACACCATTTTCAGCCCGACCCCCATCTCTCTCCTTCGACCCCAATCCAAAGGTCTTCACCCGTTTACAAGTTCCTCTTTCGTTTGCTTCTTCGATTCCTTCGCACACCGACCAAGAATCTCAATTAACTACTCCCGTAATTAATGTCCCGCCCCGTGTTTCCCCGCTACGATGGACACGACCGAGCCGCGGCGCGGGGCTTCAGAGGAACACTTGGACAACACTGAGTCCAACCATAGCCCCACGACTCTGGAAATCCCACAAGAACTCCCAGATGACCTCCCCAAATCACTCGATGATCGCCGCTCGGTGCCAGTCTATCAGCAGGAGACGGAGATGTACGATGCGTGGCAGGGTAAGCAACACCCAACATGAGAACCTTCAGGTGGTCCGAGCTCGGGATGGTTCCTGGATAGAGATGTGCATCGCATTGTCTCTACCAAAGCCCTCAAATATGCGCAAAGGAACCGGATCAAAAGGCCGAGATATACTAATATATTGTTGTGCTTTACAGGACAATCCCAATTCCTGACTACACCCGTCGCCGCGAAACCGCTCACCTTCAGCCTAGCCCTGGACGACCACTCACACGACCCGGAAACAGATCTACGTGCTCAATACGGACGGGATCTCGAAGATAGCGATGCGCGTCTTATGGAGATGCTTGCCGCGCAAGCCGCGCACCGCGAAGTTGATTCACTAGCCGCGGACGAGGAAAGCATAGCGGAAGACGAGAAGTTGACGACAGCGGAGAAGAAGGATATCCTCCAGAAGAGCTTGAATATGGCAGCGAGTAATGGCGATGTCGAGCGGGTGCGAAAGCTGTTGTCTGGCGCCGCGAAGAACTTTGTGGATGTTAATATGAAGGACGAGGAGGGGACGGTACCGCTCATTTACGCGAGTTGCTTCGGACACCAGGATGTTGTCTCGGCGCTTCTTGACGCTGGTGCGTTCGTTGATCAGCAAGATCGGAATCAGTGGAGCGCGTTGATGTGGGCTATGACGAATCGGCATAAGACTATTGCTAAGATTTTGCTGGATCATAATGCTTCGCCGGATATTAAGTCCTCTTCTGGTGGGACGGCGTTTGATTTTGCGCAGCCTGGCAGTGAGATTTCGGAGTATCTGCACGAGAATGGGTATAGCTTTGGCCCGGGTGCGATTGAGGATGATTTCTATGACGCTGGAATGGCGCATGGGAGGTTTGAGGAGGAGATTGCAGAGAATGAGATGAAAAGGCGAATGATGATGGAAGAAAGTGCCATTAATTTGGAGGTGGATTTGTCTAGTCTTGGGCTAGATGAGAAGTACGAGCAATCGGATGAATACGACCTCGAAGAAGAACAACAGGAATTCGTCTGGGACCGATGTCTTAATGACCAGATGTTTGTGTTCCAAGACCATGAGCTCGAGCGCATTTTGGATATCATCATTACCAACATGACGCCTCAACGGTCTCCGTCACAGAAGCCTGTACCGGCAAATCTCCTATTTCTCAGTGCGCGTTATGCACACTATCATGCTAGCCCAGAACTGCTAGCAGAGCTCCTCACCTCGGCAGCGGAGAAGATTAATGATGTTGTCGAGCGCCACCAGTGGGACATGACTATGCAAGCATTCTGGCTGTCAAATGCCACGCTATTGTTGCACTATCTGAAGAAAGATCCCGGCCTGCTTGAGTCTACTGTGGAGTTCCAGCTCCACCTAGCAGAATTGATCAACGAAATCTTCGTCCTAATCATTCGTGACGCAGAGCGGCGAATGAACAAAGTCCTGGATGAGGCCATGCTGGACCATGAAACTATCCCAGGACTGGAGGACGTTGCCTTCCAAAACGAGTGGAAACTTTTCCGCAAGAAGAAGTCCGAGACTCCCGAGCCTGCAGAAAAGCGATTCCGTCCACCATCCCCACGGCGGCGAGCACAGATCTCTCCGCGGAATGTCACATCCTTACTCTCGTCAACACTTTTTGTGCTAGATCTCTACGATGTCCACTCCGTGATCACCACCCAGATCCTCTCTCAACTCCTCTATTGGCTCAGTGCCGAGATCTTCAACAGAATCATGAGCACAAGGCGCTACCTTGCCCGGACAAAAGCAATGCAGATCCGCATGAATGTTTCCACACTAGAAGACTGGGCTCGTACCAACAACCGACAACCAGAACACTACGAAAACGGATCTATGACCAGCACCGGAGAAACAACAGTCGATGCAGCCCGTCGACACCTCGCTCCAGTCATCCAACTACTTCAATGGCTCCAATGCTTCTCCTCCCTCGGAGACGACCACGAATCTCTAGTAACAACCTTACTCCAACTGCAACAACTCTTCCCAATTCAACTCCTCCATGCGGTCAAATCATACAGACCCGAAGTAGGCGAAAAAGGCCTAACCAAACAAGCCATGAAATTCCTTCTGGAAATGCAACGCGATCCCGAAATCCTTTTCCGGGAACAACAAGAAATGCAAGCCGAGAAGGAAAAAGCTGCTGCACCACCCAAAGATGACCGTCCGGAAACCCCCACTAAGGACGGAAAGGACGGGAAAGAAGGAAAAGCATCAGATACACCTGCTACATCAGATCTGGGCCCTTCATCCCCGGACTCTTCATATCCAGCCAGTATGGTAGCTGCAGCTCGAAGCGATGACCGACCCCACCCTAACAGCGTTTTCCTGGACCCCACACTTTTCCTTCCATTTTCTTTACCTACCAGTACAGATATGCTGATTAGTTATGGTGCCGGGCTGGGTGGGACGAATCGTGAACGAGCGAGGAAGTATATTCCTACTGTGCCACCGGAGGTACTGAGTCGATTTGATCGTGGTGATGCATAATCGATGAGATTAAAACGAACCATATGGTTGGCAAGTTCTTGTCCTCGTTCAACATACGTCTTGCACTGATGTGGTGGTAGTTGTATACCGCGTCTTCTTGGGGTTTAGTGTCTAGCATGGAATGTGCCTTTGGCCTCTTTGCTTTTGTTTGGACACAGTATGCTTCTCCGGCTTGATGGGTGCTAGATGGGTTGATTGCAAGGCCCCAAGTGTATATACTCTTATCAATATAAAATTTCCAAGGTTTCATGTCTTTTGCAGGGTTGAAAGTTAGGATCTATTGGTGTCTTTCGTTCCCCCAGTCCATCGTGTTTAGTTGTCAATATTCAGAGACAAACCCCTATGGCTTATCTCGAAGGTGGATCAATATTCCAAGGTGTTGGTGAGACTCAAGAATTATTTGGCAAAAGTAGTGTATTGATTAATGCATATTATTGATTAATGCATATATTTCTACTTTGCAGTGACCCCACGAACAACCTTGAAAGGGAATAAAAATACACAGTCGTTGTCCTGGCGGTTTTGTTGTTGACCAGTGAGACGTCATAATAATGTTACATGGGCGAACACAAAAAAGGCCCAGATGCAGAGATGCTCAGTCCGTAACCAGGGGTATCTTAAAAAGACAAGTGATAACATCGAACCAATGATAAGAAATGAAAGTGGTGAACTAGGGTTTGTTTCCAGTCGCTCCACCAGATCCCGTGTCCTGTTCCGATGAGATTTCCATATCCGACGTCTCAGCCTGATTTTGGGATGGCGGTGGGTGCTGGAAGTCTCTCTCGGGGCTTCGAGAGCGTGAATTGCGTTGGGAATTCCAGACAGACCCTCGCTGAGACCTAGGGCTGATCTGCGGCGTGGACAAGCGTCGATGACCAATAGGGTCTACTTCAGTGACAAGTTCGCGAGAAACTTCACTTTGTCGCTCATGCTGGCCCGGTTCACCAGCGACTGGGCTCTGTGCACCAGATCGCATAGCCCGTCCAGCTGACTCAGACATACGAGCAGAGGGAGGAGCAACTGGAGAGTGGGTGTTTTGGGATTTCCTTTTGCGAATTGGGGAGCTATCTTGGGCCTGAGCTGTAGGCTCAGGGGGCATAGTTGGTTCCGCTGTCTGGTTTTGGGTAGGTGTTGCTTGAGGATGAAGCTGAGACGTAGGCTGCGGTAGACCTGGAGGAACCCAATGATGGAAAGAGATAGGAGGTGCAGGTCGACTGGTCCGTGAATCCTGTCGGACAGAAGTGGGTATGACTTGAGGCGGATGTGGAGGCATATGTGGAGAAGCAAGATTGGGCATGACTTGAGGCTGCATGTCGACGGGGCGTGGCTGAGCAGGCAAAGGAAGTGGAACTTGGGAGTTTGCCGGAGGTCTAGCACCACTATTTCCTGCTGGCGGCATCTTCACAACTGGAGGATAGGGATACAGGCCGGCACCCGAATGAGTACGACGAAAGTCCCCTTGGGAATCCGTTGCTGACACTGACAGATTCACAGATGGACCATAAGAAGTGGTGGGTCCTGAGCTAGAAAATGATTGCTGAGACGGTGGGGGGCAGTTGAGAAACCTCTAGATGCAGATGCATGTGTCATGTACTGGTGGATCGTCTCAGACCAGTGAGTGTTTCCACCATTTCCACCATTTATACCGGCGAACATCAGCGGAATCAAATGAGGAGGTACACCTGCACGCAAAGAATCGGCCAAGATCGTCTGTTCAATCTTGCGCTGCTCCAATCGTAACGTCTCCTGTCTGGTCTTCTCTTCCTCTTGACTGCGACGATCCTCCTCAGCTTTTGCCCGCAACCATTGCTGCATGGGCTCAGTTCCTTGCCACTGCGATGGCGGCGGGGGTAACGGAGTGGGCATTGCTGCAGGCATGCGAGGCAGGGCAGACGGTGGAGGAAGATCTCTTGAGGAAGATTCCATGGGGGAAACAACCTGGGCAAGAGCAATTTCAGATGAGGACTCAGAGCACGATGAAAGCAGCGAGGGTGGATTGGAGCTCAGTATGGCCGAGCTATCAGAAGGGTCTCCCGCATCGGTCTGCTGGTTGTGCTGGTTGAGGGTAAGTAACATGTTTTCATTTGGAGAAGCGAAACATGGTGAAGGAAGTTTCGCATGAAATGGGAGAGGGTCAAGTTGAAGGGAGAAGGAGCAAAAGGAAGAGGAAGGAGCAGCCGTGAAGGCCTCTCCAGAAAGGAAAGCACCTTAACAACATCCTCTCAATCCTTCTACAAGGAAAGTGACACTCACCAATGAACCGATCCAATGGCTGACTCAGCCAGGCCCCGGGGGCCCCAGGCCGTGCGTAATTGGAATTGGCACAGCTCGATTGGAGAAATTGAGACAGACTAATTCGTAGAAAGGGGTGGTAATAGCGGAAGAAGAGCTCGCGCTTTCACGAATCTGAAATGGATTCAAATAGGGTCAGAATGGGGCCAAGACCGTTGGATGTAGGGTCTTGAGATCGCAAAAACGGGCTACCCCAAGACTCAAATAAAAACAAGCCCCAGGTCAATACAAAGATTGGAGAAGGAATGAAGAAAGGGTCAGAATAAACAAGATAGACAAATTCGAAAATCAGAGACAAACAGGAGGAAAGAAGAGAAAACAGAAAAAAACCCATCAGATCGAGCCACGCATGAGATGGGGACCTACATTAGCCCGGGACAGATTTATTGACGACGACACGAGTGGACCATGCACGGTGCACAAATGAGGTGAATCGGCATTTGCCTTAGCCTCACGGGAGCCGCCTGTCTGCGGGCAAATCAAAGATCTAGCACCAATGACAGTCTCCAGCGGCGTTCAAAGAGTGGATGGATTACGGATTCCGCGCAAGCGCCTGGTTCCACTTTACTCGTGCCGATCTCACTGTGCCGTCTTGGACCTTCCCAGCCCGGGAGTTCCGGGGTTTAAGGGCCGGACCCGAAGGCCTGGGGTCGACAACTTGGAAAAGACTGAGGTTGATTGGTTGTCAAAGTCGAACTTGTCCGAAAACTGCAGAGGTTTTCATCAGCGATGCGACCACACAGTATCCCTGACTAGCTTTCATGTAGGATCGGTCCAATAATACCCAGCTAAGAAATTGTGTGCAGGGGTTCGTACAGTAGTTCGGTAATCCCATGAGACGCACTACGCCTTCAGAACACGCCTCAATGCTCACTAGGGTCTCGGCTCTTGCATCACCCGAGACAGAGGTCCATGGGTATCAGACCAAGGGAATAATCACTTTATCGCAAGATAAAAAGATAGGGATCTAGATGTCAGATGCTAGGCCAATAAGATTAGCAATGGAAAAATCACCCACGCGGCATCTGGTACTAGCTTGAGGAATCCTGATGAGATCTATAGAAGTTCATGATGTGATTCGTCAGGCGGTCACTGCTATCGAAGCGAGACCAATCGCTCGGGGCAAGCTCCAGATTGATGAAAGGGTGGGTCAGTCGCAACGTTTACCCGACCATTGGGAATAAGATATGATGAGTTCTCGCTTTGACCCCTGAAATGTCAATGTCAAGGCAATATAGATAGATTGTGGCTGTTAACGTTGTGGCACACGAGGATATGGCTCCTTAGTCAGCCATCCTGGTCTCGTGATATGCAGCAGCCTCAGGCGACACCAAAAGTTGAATTCCATCGGCATGTTTGAACAGCTTGTCACTCATGAACTCATTATATCTAATATGAAGTTATTTTAATTTGCTATCCTTAGGAATGGCATGGCATTTGACTGGGTATGCACCTAAGTAACTTCAAAGCAAATCTTCTTTTGGCTTCGGATGTCCCAAATGTAAACATAGTTTCAACTACGTAACTATAAGGTATACCTCGACATCACTTCTTGTCCATCATTCTGATCCTGCTTCACGTCTCAGAACTTCTCCGTCCAATCGTATTAGACAGCACCAAGCCTCACTTATTCATACTATTTACCTAATTAACGACCTTCGAAACTCATATCATGGCATTCGACGATAAGTGCGCCAGTATCGGCTCAGATATCACCACTATCTGCGTTTTTATCGGCTTCCAGTTTGGAATCATCCTACTCCACGTCCTTGCTTTTTGGAGCGGGCGGTACTTACCCCAAACCCCCACTATGCAATGTCAAGGTGATGCTAACGAAAGGTGGTATTTAGGTTCAAGCCATTAAAAGCTTCAGCCGACCTAGAACATGGAGTCGGCTTGAATAAAACATCTAATATAAGGCGGTTACAAACGATTGTCATTCAAAATGAATCCGTCACTGCTTTACGTGACGCTATCCACGCTGCCTTCGCGAAATCCAAAGTGACTACGACCCCAGCGGAAACTTCAAATGTGAGAGTAGCCATTTGGGACCGGGATGGGGTCTCATCAGAAGCTTGGTTGGTTTTGATGCCGTTTCATGAGATTGCTGGCGCTTGTCCGAATAAAGATGGGTCGATTGAGGTTTATTTGAACCACACGGGCGGTTGGAATAATGTGGCTACTCTTGCTCTCCCACGACCAACAGACTAGAGAAATTAGGGGAGTAGATTTGATTTGCTCTGCTTGCTTATCTATTCAAAAGCCTTGGAAAACCATCCACCTGAGCGGTGGAACTGCTTAATTAGGAGACTGATTACTCGTATGCATTGGTCTAGGCTATGACGTGCAGACATGGGATTACAAAAGCATCCTTTAGCTATGAAAAAAGAAAAAGAATCCATGATGAAGACCAAGAGAATTGAGTTACAACGCAGTCTTTCGTGTATCGGATTTAGGTTGAAGAAGATTGTAATAGCAGATGTTTTTCGGAGTGGGTACCTATTTGGCCCCCACTGCAGACCAACTTTTCCTTGGCGGAGCCAGAGCCGCATCCCCCAATGAACATGTCTTAGAAGATGCCGAACTCGAGCATTTAGCGCTTCTCCTGGTGTAACATGCCGTCCCACCAATATCGGCCGATCCTACGGATCTATCCCGTACCAAGTGGATTAAACCCTAGCCGACTAAGACTGTACTGTGAACTTGTTTCTCGTCTGTAGAGGCCGCCCATGCAATCCAAAAAACATCTTCGTGACTCATTTATATATTCAAAACTCATGATTAGTATTGCCAAGACCATGCTGACCCCCGCAGACAAGATATCTCAGAATTCACAACTCATACGAAAAGTTTGTCGGATTAAAAAGTTAGTCATTTAAGGGTCCTACCGACTTATCCGTACCCAGTTCCCTTATGGGGGCGCTAGTGCACCCGAAATCTTGGCGCGAGAGGAAGAAATATTCGCAGCCGAGCGCTTGGGGCTTGGAATTCAAACTTTGTGGCAAAAGTGAGGAAAATTCCGGCTTTCTAACCTGCAATTGGCTTAGAGGAAGACTGTTAAAATAGTCCATCCCACCTGAGCCCCTGAGCATGCATGATTTTATTATGAAAACTTGGTCCTGGACATGTGGTATAGAGTTACAGCCTCGCCGAAGTTTGGTCTAAAATTACCAGGCCCTCAAGGTGAACGCCGATCTTGTCCGGTGCTGGCTCTAGATCACCCGGTCGATCTGGGCACCGAAATCCCACCAAAATCTCAACATTGGGTCAAAGTAAATGTACAGAGAACAGCGGACCACGATACCGGACTTAGGTCGGACCCCTGTGCCAATCAAGCCACCATGCCCCTTTAGTGCCTTGGCTAGTGAGAAAGCGACCCAATTAGGGCAAATGAGCGCGATCAGGGTCCAAGTAGCTCCATGATAATTTCCACTCGAGGCTGACTGGTTACACTAGCGTTTGTTGCTGCCTTTTGACAAGGCTTAAAAAAAGGGTACAAAAAGAAGGATTTGTCTCTATTGTCTCGGGACTTTTTCTTCCCCTATTTCAAAAGTCAATACATACTCTTCCACCCCCAATTCCTCCTCCAAACAGAAAAAAAGCCATCATGCGCGCTACTTGGTTCCTCGCTTCCACACTCGCGGCCTTCGCCGCTGCCGATGCCAGCACAACTACCGTCAGCTACCTCGGCGCCTCTGCCGACGGCGATGTCGACTTGTCCAAGTACACCAGCGTCGCCGCTGAAGTCATCGCAGTCGACGCAACTGCCACTACATACGATATCCGCTGCCAGAGCGGCGTAGCCAAGTCCCTCTGTGCAATTGACAGCAAGACCCCCTTTAGGCTCATTCAGGGCCCCACGACCTATAGCTTCTCCGCCTACGAAGCGATTACCACCCAAGGTGGTACCGCCGATGTTTTCGCGACTGTTGCGTGCTCGTTCACCCACGTCTCGGAATCTGTCTCTTGCCGCCAGAGTATCTCCATGGATATCTCCGCTGAGGGATACTCCACTGCCACCAGCACCTACATTCCTAGCCAGACTATCGAGGCTGACCAGGTTAGCTACCATGTGCTTACCGTTACTGCTGGTGTTGAGGCTTTGAAGGCCTACGCTACTGCTACTTCGCCTGTTACTGCCAGTGCTGCCGATTCTACTGCCAGTGCTGCCGATTCTACTGCCAGTGCTGCCGATTCTACTGGAAGTGCTGCCGATTCTACTGGAAGTGCTGCCGAGTCTACTGACAGTGCTGCCGATTCTACTGTCAGTGCTGCCGAGTCTACTGGAGCTGCGCATCCTATGATTACTGCTGCCCCTATGGCCTTTGCTGCTGTTGCCGCTGCTGCTGCCGCTATGCTCTAAGGATGAGCTGCCTAGAATGAGCTGTCTAAAGCTGTGTTTTGTTATTTCTTTTATACCCTGCATGTGTGAGACTTGAGCATATTGTCTGGATGATTTCGATGGATCTAATGTATATAATCAACACCTAATTCGGTCCAAGTTCCAATGTCACGACCTACTTAAACTTCGGCTTCCAACCATATCTATTTGTACACGTTCATCCGAGCAGTGTAAGCATGCGCGTGAATATGAATCCATGTCATGCTGTAGCTTTTCAAATCTTATAAATACGAACATGTCATGTCTCTTGTCTTTGCTTGGTAGTTAACCTTTTTTAAGGTTTGATGTTTTGGCCCCTTGGAATGTTTGCATATCAAAGATTAACCTTATCAAAACCACGAAACCAAGCATATCTACCTAAGAAGGGACGATAACCACAGCAGAAAGCAATAATAGCAATTCTTACTTCACGTAAAGAACAAAGAAAAAGCGATCGCAGCCGCAGACTTATAGTCACACAGCAACATCTTCGCCTGAGCAGACCTTCTACGAGATCATGTCCTGCGGAGAGACAGATGAGGACGTTCCCCCTTTCTTGGTGGAGAAGGCTAAGACGGCTCGGTTCCAGTCCGTGTGCGCGCATCGGGAGTCAACAGGTATGATTTCAAATCGCATTTGGGCGGGAATTTAACGGGAGTGTTTGTTTTGTCTTGCGGATGGGGGTGCATGATGCGAAGACTGTTGATGAGATGTTTAGATCGTGGTTTAGGGCGGAGAAGGGCCGTGTGTGATGATGGATGCTGTGGGATTGGATACTGTTTACAGAATTGAGTTTGTTCATCAGGAGCAGCTTGAGTTGAATCCAAACGCTAAGAATTGCCTCAAGGCTGGTTTTGTTGATAAGGGGAATGTAGAGAATAAGAGTGGTAAGGGAGTGCTGAGTTCGACTTAGATGGTGGATTGCTCTGCTCGGATGTCGGTTGTGGTTACTGGTGGGTTTGAGCTTAGTATGGGCTGCACCTACAAATTGAAAATATATCGGGGAGAAAATGAAGATAAAATTTCCTTGAGACCGAATGGATTATTGCAGGCTTGCAATTCTAGAATAAAAATGCTTGGTATACATAGTCAACCGAAAGACAAGACAAGAAACATCTGATTCAATGGGTATCAGTCGCATGGCTCTCAAACTCTGGCTGGACTGAGTATGAGTGTTGTCGAGCACACTAGTGAGAATTGAAGTAATTTGACAAACGCGGCATTTTGTTTCGTGACATCGATGCGGACCAGCGACCAACAGTCGGTTTGCCACCAATACCAACAAACCAAGGTCAATTATTCATGAGAAAAGAGAATACCAAGGTTTTGGCAAAGTCACAGAAAAGAATGAAAGGGGGATATAGCGAGCGTAAGAATAGGTATAAGCCAAGCAGCAGATGACAGTCGTAAGGAAATGAGGACTGGACAGGGAGAAAAAGATAATGATGTAGGGAACGTGACAGAACACACATTGATCGGGGACAGGAGTAATAGTAATAAGGTGTATCAGGATTATTAGGGCGCTCCACTGGTCATTCCAATGATCCATATCGTGGTGCAAGACAAAGGTTGGGTATAACGGGTATTAGACATCAACAGTGACTCGGGATTTTGACCCGACCATTAGGGTATAAAGGCGGCCATCAAAACAGTGATTAGGTGGGTAGGGACATGGGTACTCAAAAAGAGAACAACATTAAAGGAACCCAGCAGATTAATGGGTTTTCTTGCGTCGGTGGACCTTGTATTCGGCTTTGGCGACACGCATGAACAATTCGATATCCTTGATTGGGACCCAGCTAGTAAGGACCTTCATCGTATTTTCGAAATCAGATTCCAAAATGATATCCCGCATGCCATCAATAAGGGCAGCAGATGTGGCATGTAGCACATCGAGGCTCTGTCCAAATGTACCAAGGCGGGGTGGGGGTGCCTTGGGTCCTCTTCCAGATGAGGTGGTTGGCCGTGGAGCAACGGGTTCTTCGGCGTCTCCAAGTAGCATAAAGACATCCCATACTCGAAGTTGAGCGGGGAAAGGAATAGAATAGTTGAAGAGGGTTAGATACCAGCGGGTACCGTAGGCTGTTGGCGGGATTCCGACTTCGTTCTGGAATAGTATATTAGTGCATATTACATTTTCAAGCAGAACTCAAGGCTAATTCTTACCAGCTGTGTAGCCACTTCACCACCGGCGAGCCACTCGCGTTCAAAATCGTCCAGAGCCTCCATCAGCCCTGCGAAACCAGACTTGTACAACTCTTCTAAGCCACGCAGGCGCCAAAGGCGGGCTAGCATCACAAAAGCTTGCTCCTCGTCGTAGTATGCCAATAGTGTAGCCGCAATGGCAGCCATGCCTTGAACATAGCCTGTATCAGGATAATATAATGACATGGCATGAAGAACCCGGAATAGAAGTCGTTGTCCACCGCGATACCGCCGACGGAACATGATATGGCTGGTGATTGTGCGAGGCACATCTATATCGATCTGCACATCATCAGGAGAGGAGACGTATTGACTTTCACGGAAAGCGTTCACAAGCTCCTCTTCGGAGGGACTATCTTTGTGTCGCTTTGCACTGGCCTCTAGGAAGGAGGACCAGGCTGATGCCCGCCACCGATCCGGAATGCCCTTCCATGTCCGCTCGATAAGTTTCGAGCTATGCGTATCGAACTCAAACTTCATGCCACCGCCGTCACGATTCTTCTTGATCGGTTTGGCCATCTTCGTCCATTTATCTTCGCGTTCCCATTCCTTCTTGCGCGCCGCACGTGCAGCCGGCGTGTCTTTGCCTTGCCTAGGGTCATCTGCGGGGAGAGTAAGCATGTAAGCCGCCTCGTCAGTAAACTTCCGGTCTCTGTTGTGCGGGAGACGATTAGTGGCAGAACGCAAGCGGGACGTTGAACGCCGGACCGGTGCGCTGATGGTGCTTGCGGATGAAGTTGGGCGCCCATTGTTAGCAGAGCTCTGGGACAAGTTGCGAGTTGGAGACCTTCCACTGAACGAGCGAGTACTAGCTCGAGCAGTGGGAGGGCGAATTGAGAGTTTGCGACGAGGGGTCTCAGATGCAAGCTGAAGGCTGGTGGTGACGCGCTGAATAGGATGGGGCTCGGTGTCGTCCGGTGCATGAATAAAGCCATATCGATCAACTTGGCCTGCGCCAATATTTTGCCAGCATTCAATACCGCCTGCCAGTTCCTGGGTCTCTCTCTTCATGCGCTTGCGCTCTACCTCGGCAGAAGCCCTGTCGGTCGAAGCTATTGGCGTGTCGAGATTTGAAGCGGGCATCGAAGCAGTCTCGAGATCTGGTGTTGTCTCCTCCCAGAGAACGCCATTTTCAGTTGCTATCGCGTTTGCGACATCCTTGTCAGTCACATTTTCATCGCCCTTCTCATACATGAGTCGCACTCGCCGGGAAAGCATATCCTCGTCGGCGGAGATGGCCCTGGATTGAAGGCTCGTCTGCCAAGGGCGAAGATGCGCTTCTTTATTGGAAGGCCGGGGTGTTGCCTCCGGGATACTATCGCTCGCACCATCGTGGCTCGTCGAGGGAGGTGCTACACTCGGCGCTATACTCGGCGCTATACTCGGCGCTTTGCTGGCTGGCTCTGAATCAGCCGGGTTCGATTGCTGAATAGATCCAGCGTCCGACTGCGCCTCGTGGTTCTCGACCTCCGAGATTGGCTCTGATCGAAGCTTCGGGTTCTGGTCTCGTGGTTTCAATATCGGCCGCTTTGAACGATCCCTGATCAGGCTGCCACGGTTGGAGAACTTCATTGTCTGCCCCAATCCCTCCAAGGAAGCCGTTGGTATATCCAAGCTAATCCCACTGAATTCCGGGTCAATTTGCGGTACCGGTGGCAAGTCCTCCGTGTTCATCTTGTCCTCCAAGTCGCTCGATCGTTTCCTCAATCCACCCCACTTGCGCTCCGACCACCTTGACCCCGGACGAGACCCTGGTCGCGAAACGGGGCGAGAACTTGGCTCATCAATGACGATGCTGGGGACGCTGCGCAACGAGGGCGTTTTCCTGCTGAAATTGATGACGCGCTCATCCATTGATCGCCTTGCTGGGGCTTCTAATGTTGGCGATAGCTGGCCTGTATGGGATGCGCGTGCGGAGGCAGGGCGGTAGGAACCACGCGAGGCGTCGCTGGCACTGAGGGAGCGGCCATTGGCAACCGGTAGTGAATCTGCGGGCGGCGGTAGCGAAACGGATCTAATACCGACAGGGCGTTCATCGGCGACCGAGGATTCGTAGGGCGCAGCTTGGGTCGATCGCGACTCCGATCCAACGGGGGATAACGATGCAGGAACCTCCACCATTATCCCGGCATGACTCGCACAATAAGGAATTAAAGAGTGTAGCAAGAAAAGAAATCTCTTAACGAACGATTTCACATCCCCGATTTTCTCGTCAGGGTCTGGAAATTAAATTTGGCCAGGAGAAAAAGACGGAGAGGGTGGAGTCGACCTTCTGTCTTCTTGGCGCCGCTGTTCTAAGGTACCTATTCTCAATCTTTTCTCCGTCATTCCACACGATGAAATGTACCAAGGGAAAAATGTGAGGGGATAACTATAACAACATTTGCGAGCTAAATTTAGGATCGTATAGGGGGCAAGCAAGTCTTCATCCCACCTTCAGGCGGCCGCGCGAGCAGTGGGCCGCAGACGACGACAAGGAGAGAGTGGAGACGCTAGTGGTGCTTAGATTAGAACACAACCATGGTGTCATGAAGAGTCTGGACTGATTTGTTTCCAAGGTTTTCATGTAACAAATTAATTCGAATCCACAAAGTCTCGTAGGGAGAAATCGAAGAATTGTGGAAGATCTGCAATATATCTCATGCTTTTTTTCTAGACGCTATAGACAAGACTAGTCCTAATATTGAACATGCAGGTTCCCAATACAAAGGAAATTCAATTTTGGGATCTGAATCATGTACACAAAGCACAACGCGTGGAACTCCCGTAAGCCGAGGCTGTAAATCCAGCAGACCATCAGCTGCCAATGCAATGGATGAAAAAGGGAGTTAAACCCCGAAGTATAACAGCGACAATCATCATAGTAAAGGAAAAAGAAAAAAACAGTGGAAGGAAAAAAAGAAAGGCAAAGAGATGAAGAGAAGGTCATGACCATCCAGCGGCCCACACTTGGATCGAGTCTCAAGCCACAGCGGTGTTGACTCCAGACTGGGTCTCCCGCGCAGGCCTGCTCCGTTCAACAGGCTCCTTCGGCAATAATTCAATCTGTCGCACGAGGAAACTCTTCTCGTCGGTGAATTGATCGTCATCAGTACGGTCCTCTAGGAACTTAGGCAGGAACCGGAGTAATCGATCGCGGTTATTGATCAGAATCCGCTGCACGGCCACCGATTTGTTTGGATTGGCTACAAACACCTGGGCTTTGTCAGTGCATGCATCCCCTGAGGATCGACGAGGGCGACATACCTTGAAAACGTGGAACCCCTCATACTGGACCATCTTGCGATCATCCCGCAGGAGCTTCATGCATAACTTAAGATTATCCCCACTCTCCACATAAGCCATCATCACATTGTAGTTTGCACGGTCCAACAAAATCTCGCCCAGGAGCTTGATGCTTTGCCGCTTCGTCACATAAGAGTCAGATTGGACAAGAACGTCATTGAATTGGCCAAAGAACAAATCATAGTTGGTAGCCAGATACGCGGTAACGAGGTTCTTATGCCGGGTCAAAATCTCCTGTGAAAACGGTCAACATCCACTCTGGTGCTTCAATTCGTTTTCAATCATGCTCTTACCCGGAAAGTTGTAAACGCGTCTGCGCTCACTTCAAAACTGCTTTTGTCGATCCAATCGAAAAAGCTCCAAAAGACTCCATCGCCTTTCTGTGGCAGATTTGGCTTCAAATCGGAGAGTCGCACGGCCGGCTCTCCTTCCTTCGACTGATCATACAGAAGCACCGCGGCAACCACGTCGAACTTGAGCGCTTCCCTTAAAATTACACCACATGGCATGGCACTCTGGCTCTCGGAATATCCGCGACATAATTCAACAAGGATCTCTGGTCGGTGGTGGACAATGTACGAAATGACAGGAGGGTCTTTGTCAGGCGCGTAATTGCTTGGACGGAAACGGAGAATATGAGAGAAAATGGTCTGTGTATCTTTCCTAGCTTCGAATGGCAGCAAATGAATTGTTCGTGATAAGTCGTAGAGGAGGTCTTCTTGGAGCGTGGCTTGAACAAGGGCGTGGACTTGGTCCGGTGACGTGTTGACCTCTAGAATCAAAGCAATGGTCAGTTTCCCATTGCTAGAAAGCAAATAGAATAAGTCAACGACCAAGCAATTGGCTAACCTTGTGTCCCTTGAACTATCACTTTCATCTGACTTAGTTGCTTTGCGAGGTCTTCCTCGGCCTGGGACTGCGTCAGCTTTGTATATGCGGATGGCGTCGGGGACCAAACCTTGGGCAAGTTAGGAGTCTCCTGGACCCTGAGTAGCAATTCCTTGGTAGAGCGGGCAACATCAGCCGGTTGCCGCGACCGACCTCGATTGAAAAAGAAAGCCATGGCCTCGAGATTTTGTGAGGTTTGGGTGAAAGAAGGGCGAGAATCGATGCGCCGGACTGATCACATCTCTGGTTCCGCAATAAACAAACAGGGCGGGGCAACCGTTTGCCGGCCTCAGGCAACTCCCCGATAACGATTTTTTTTATCAGTTCGATCTCTGCCCCTCCATGATTCCTTGTTTCTGATATTCCATTGGGTTTTATTTGTGAAACAATTGTACCCAAATATCACAATGGCATCCTCTAACCCTACTGCAGTTGCCCCTGTGGATGATGTTCACGCCGACTCACGCTCGGTGTCGGACGAGTCTGACTCTAGCAATGAGGAAGGCTGGGAAGACGTTGAGGCTGATGATGAGACACAGCCTGTCGTGGATCTGTTCTCCGATGAGGTCTTCCCTGATGCACGCTCTATGCTGAAGGCGTGCAAGGAGAAGCACCAATTTGACCTCTTGAAGATTCAGAAGGATCTTGGTATGTTATCTTTGATTAATGGGCCATTTCGGACAAGAACATTGAACTAATGAGGGACGACTATGATAGGTCTGGATTTCATTGACACAATTAAGCTCGTCAACTACGTTCGCACTCAGGTCAAGGCCGGAAACAAACCCCTCGATTTCGACTCCAAGTCCAAGTTTGACGACGATGTCTACTTGAAGCCTGTGATGGAGGACGATGCTCTCCTGTACAGCCTAGACGATATCACCGAGGAACAGGGTGAGGAAGCAGCCACTGGAAGCGAGGCTGAGCGACGGGTTTTGGAGCTCCAGGAGGACTTGGAGAGACTGCAGACGCAATTCTCCGAGTACAGGCTCGCAGTCCAGCAGTCAATGGAAGACCAGATGTCCAAGGACGACGATAAGCTTGACTCGAAGGCATCCAAGGCCTCTGGGGCCACCAAAGCGCAAGAGATTGATGAAGATTACTTTGCATCTTACGCTTATAACGGTAGGCACTACATGTTCACCGACAGGATCTCCACTTGCTGACTGAATATTTGTACAAGGAATTCACGAATCCATGTTGAAGGATGCTATTCGTACCGATGCGTACCGTGACTTCGTCTACGAGAACAAGAACCTTTTCAAGGATAAGGTTGTTCTGGATGTGGGCTGTGGAACTGGTATCCTGTCTATGTTCTGTGCCAAAGCTGGTGCGAAGAAGGTCATCTCCGTTGACAACTCCAACATCATCGACCGTGCGAAGGAGATTGTCTTTGACAACGAGTTTGGGGATGTTATCACGTATGAACTTCCCCGAGGTACTCTAATGAATTAATCCGCTAACAATTGACAACAGTCTCGTTCGCGGAAAGATTGAGGAGGTCACCTTGCCCGTAGACAAGGTTGACATCATTATCTCTGAGTGGATGGGCTACGCCCTTCTCTTCGAATGCATGTTCGACTCTGTCATCTACGCTCGTGACCGCTACCTTGCTCCTGACGGTCTGATGGTCCCCTCCCACGCCACCCTTCGCGTTGCCCCTTACGCGGACCCTGACTTCATGGCGTCGCACATCTCCTTCTGGGAGAACGTCTACGGTTTCAAGATGACCAGCATGTTGTTGAAGATTTACGATGAGGCCCTTGTTCGCAACATCCCATCTTCGACAATCGTTGCAGACTCAACAGTCTTTCTGCCGCTTCCTTTGCACACCATCACTGTTGAGGAGTTGACCTTCTTGAAGGAGTTCCAGGTCACCTTGAACCAGGATATCGATGCCCTTGATGGCTGGGCTATCTGGTTTGACATTTTCTTCATGCCTTCGCGAGACACTCCCATTCCCGAGAATGCTGTTCCCGCCGACATGCAGAAGAAGGGATTCGTTGGATTCACTACTGGGCCCTATGGGACCGAGACCCACTGGCAGCAAACTATTGCCCTGATTGACCACGGCAGCCACAAGCCCAAGGCTCTCAAGAAGGGCCAAGTCATTTCCGGCAAGATTGGCTACCAGAAGAGGGATCAAGAAGGCTCTCGAGGCCTGAACATCAACATTGACTGGCAAGGGGGTGATAACACCAAGGGTTCTCAGAAGTGGTCACTCCAATAAGCCGCTTGCAGCTATCCACTTTGGATGTTGTTTCAATGACGAGCTACGTTTTTTCTTTTAGCTGCTCCTCCGAGGAAGCCGGTAAAGAGCATGTAGAATGCTTTGTTATTTTCGATTTTGGGTGTCCTTTCCCCATGAAAAATACTAGGATATAGTTATGCATGCACATGGCCTTGGTGGCCCTTATACCCAATGACTTGTATTGAAACCTGTGAATATACCTCAAAGGGAACACCAATAGCAACCAAATCCTCATAACCATACAGTCATAATAATTATAATCACCGAATCCTTGGAAAGCATATCTAACGCTTCTCATAAACAGCTTCATTCTCCAACCTTCGGGGACGCTGGGTACGATCTGATGAGTGATGTGAGCGTCGAGATGAACTTTCTCGGTGCCTATCGCGGCTCTGGTCTCGGTGGTGGTGGCGATGATGATGCCGCCGTGAACTTCTATAATCTTTATCGTCTCGGTCTTTGACGGCTGGTACATCGAGCTTGAACCCCTCAAGGCTATCAGCGGACCTTGATCGTCTTTTTCGGTGATATTTCGAACGATCCCGACCTCCCTGCTCAGATTTGAGCGATTCAAGCTCCTTTCTCTTCTCATCATTCCACCGTTTTCGCTCTTGCTCCGTCGCTCTCAACTGCCGGACACCGCGCTTCATAGCTGCGAGAGGATCATTGGCATCCATCCTGAACTTCTCTCGTTCTTTACGCATAGGATCCTCATTACCCCATACATTTTTTGATCTTGTGTCCGGGGCTTCCACTGCCTGTGCTGAAGATGAATACCATGGTTTCTGACCGATTGACTGTTTGAAGCCCGCCGCATTGGAAAAGCGCATTGTATATTGATCTTCGTAGCTTCGCTTTTCTTTCTGGGCTTCAGCCTCGGCTTCTTTATTTTTCTCCACCTTCTTCTTGCCTCCTTCTGCGGGGAAGAGGTTGATATGGCCGTCGCGGTCCAAGATCGGGGCGTCAGACGTCTTGTTCTTCCGAAGGGCCGCGACTGTTAATTCCTCCCGTTTAGCACTGGCTTGCTCCGCATCTTCTCGTGCATAGCGTATATCTCTTTCCGTATCATCCTCCCCTGCAATACGCCTTCTTTTGCGGGTTCTTCCAGCATCGTCTGCTAATGTTCGTTCTGGTCGACTGAGAGCCTCTGATGCAGAACGCGCGGGCGGTGGTGGAGGGGGCGTAGGTACTCTTTCTCCGCGCAATATTAGGATTCTCCGATCGGCATCGACCTCCTGCATGCGACGCTCATCTTCCTCCTCGAGGGCCTTCGCTTGGGCCTCATCACGCTTGACGCGGGCGACGTTCTCGGGGTTGTAAACGTTCCATGACTTCTTGCCAAGAAGATGACTATAATATGTTAGCTAGGGCCAAAAGTAAACAGAGAAAAAAAGGCGACTTACAGCGGCATCGTGGTGGTGATTAGAACTAAATGTACAAAGTGTAGCTTTGGTGAGGAGCTCTAGACTTGGCTTATCGATAAGGCCCCCACCGCCTGACGCTATTGCGGTCGTCGGGGTGAACCTCCAGCTCGTGGAAATGCTAGCTTAACTTCTCCACCATCTAGATATTTCATTGAATGCGCCTGTGAATTCTCGGGTCACTCTTAATTTACTGAACCTGAATCGGCCGTGCTAAACCGAGGTCTCAAATACCTGGTTGCCTGCTGTGAAAACAGAGTGGCGTCACCGCCAAACTCCCCTCAACATACCTGACTACGTTTCCAACTACCAGATCTCTCACGATCCAAAATGTTCAATCGGAAGGACCTACCCAGTATTCAAAACCCTTTCGCTTCTCGACAGGAGCCGCAGCGTCCGTCGCCGCAGGGCTACGCGAACCCCAACCAAGGGCCTCCACGGTATGATTACGGCCACGTCCCCATGCCCGCGGGGCAGATCCCTGACGGCGATGTGCCCATGACTGATGCAAACTTTCCTTCAAGCGGATACGGAGCTCCTTCACCACAGAACATGGGCAGACCGCAGCAACCGATGCCTGGGCGCATGCCGTCTGCAGGCGGACAGACTTGGACTCTCAGCCCTACCAAGAGTCCCAACGACAACTATACCTTTGGTAACCTGTATGTAGATTGCAAAGTTAGTGGTTTCTGGCTGGCTTCAATAACTAATTGTGCGCAGTGTCGCTGTTTCACCCCAGGACATTCCCCCGAGTCGCGATGGCACCGATGTGCTCCTCCTCATCAATGACGTTTTCGTCTTCTCCGCCCGGCCTTTGGACGGCTTCCCGCCTGGATTGATGAGCATGTCGGACCCTCAGCGAACATGGGCGAACATCGGACTGAGGGATGCCATCAAAGTGCAGTTGTACGATCCATTCAGCCAAGGCGGCCAGGCTTATTTGGGCTCTGCGGACATTGAAGTCAGCTTCGCATCGGCAAAGAAGCGAGTGGAGGCACCATATGACCAGGATGAGTTGGCCAATGCTGTCATTAGAGTACGTCGATTCTACGCTCAAACAGATTTCACTTTTACTAATATCTACAGAATTTCGAAAACCAACTGCTTGCTCCGGGTCAAAGGGTTTTGATGGACCACAAGAGCATTCCTCTACTGTTGCAGGTTAAGACTGTTCAACGGGTTGACCTGACATCGGAGAAAGGCGATGCCAATGCTGGAGAGGTTGAGACCAACCCCACAGCTCGAGGAATCATCACACGGCATACTCAGCTCAACTTCTTCAAAGACTCCCAAACAGGTATCAACGTCAAGGCCTCTAACCGACGCCCGGCTGCCAATTCGATTATTCAGCCCGGGTTCAAGTTTGAGGATATGGGAATCGGCGGTCTGGACTCCGAGTTTAGCACCATTTTCCGTCGTGCATTTGCCTCTCGTATTTTCCCTCCCGGTCTGGTTGACAAGCTCGGCATCCAGCACGTCAAGGGTCTTTTGCTTTACGGACCTCCAGGTACTGGAAAAACTTTGATTGCGCGACAGATCGGAAAAATGCTCAATGCTCGGGAGCCGAAGATCATCAACGGACCCGAAGTCCTGAACAAATATGTGGGTCAGTCCGAAGAGAATATTCGAAAGATGTTCGCGGATGCCGAGAAGGAATACAAGGAGAAGGGTGATGAAAGTGGCTTGCACATCATTATCTTTGATGAATTGGATGCTGTTTGCAAGCAACGTGGTAGCGGTTCGGGTGGCGGCACTGGTGTCGGTGATAGTGTTGTTAACCAACTGCTGTCCAAGCTGGACGGTGTTGATCAGCTTAACAACATCCTCTTGATCGGTATGACCAACCGAATGGATATGATTGATGAGGCCTTGCTGCGTCCTGGTCGTCTGGAGGTCCACATTGAGATCTCCCTTCCCGACGAGGCTGGTCGACGCCAGATTCTGAAGATTCACACTGAAAAGATGCGCAAGAATAACGTCCTGGACTCAGACTTCGATCTTCCTGAGCTTGCAACCGTGACCAAAAACTTTTCTGGTGCTGAGATTGCTGGTTTGGTCAAGTCTGCCTCGTCATTTGCTTTCTCTCGCCATGTCAAGGTTGGCACCATGGCCAGCATCAATGACGATGTCATTAATATGAAGGTCAATCAAGCCGATTTCCGCCATGCTCTTGACGAAGTGAAGCCTGCTTTCGGTGTCTCGGAGGAAGAGCTTTCCAGCCGCATTCAGTATGGTGTTATCCACTACTCTGAGACCATCAACGAAATCTTGCGGGAAGGCGAGCTGTTCGTCAAGCAGGTTGGTCAGGCAGAGGCCACCCCCTTGTTCTCTGTCTTGCTTCATGGCCCCCCTGGTAGTGGCAAGACGGCCCTCGCTGCACGCATCGCCATTGATTCCGGCTTCCCCTTCATCAAGCTGATCAGCCCAGAGGACATGGTCGGCTTCAGTGAGCCGTCCAAGATCCAGCATATTAGCCGGATCTTTGACAGCGCCTACAAGTCCAACACCAGTATTGTCGTCATCGATAACATTGAGCGCATTATCGACTGGGTGCCTATCGGTCCCCGCTTCAGCAACAGCGTTCTGCAAGCCCTTATGGTCTTCCTCCGGAAGCAGCCTACGCATGGACGTCGTCTGTTGGTCCTGGCTACAACCACTGAGCGTGCTTTGATGAAGCAGCTTGATGTGTACAATTCCTTCAACTCGGATATCATGGTCCCGAACGTGCAGTCCTTTGGCGAGCTGCGCTATGTCATGGAGCAGTCCGGTGCCTTTGATGCACAGGAAATTGCCCGTGCTTTGGAGAGCGTTGGTGGCCTGGCAGATGATGGCCGTGTCAGCGTGGGTATTAAGAAGGTGCTCCTGGGCATTGAAACTGCTAAGCAGGATGCTGATAAGGTCGGCCGGTTTGTCCGTGTCATTAATCGGGCCATTGAGGAGCAGTCATTTGCTTAGATATTATATAGATAAGGGCTTATTTAACAGCCGTGTAATGATGACTTCAGCTTCTAAGTCTGTTTGACTATATACCACACTTCATGCCTTCCATGTATACGAGAGGCTTGTTCTCTGCAAACTTATTCCTACTGTAGACCATAACAAGGCAGCTGATGTATTGCTTTGACTTGGCCATTCATCGATTGAAGCCCATTGTCTGTCATTCGTCTCAAATCTCTGGGGATTTAGTTACTTTAGTGAAGCAACGCTTTTGCTTGAAGATTCGTCGTAATTTCATGTACTCATTCTTGCATGGGCATTTGGACAAAAAGAAGAAAAACTAATGGGTTTCCTTTCCGTCCTCTTATTTTAATGTTTGGCAGATATTTTTCCCCCTTGAATACATGCAAGGAGCTAAAGCCCTAACAGGCATCACATCTACCAAGATTAACCAACGAAGTGGATACATGGATACATCACACAGCCTGTAAGCATATCTCGCTTCAGATACACGGCTTAAGGGCTCACTACGTATATCACCGACCTCGGGAGCCTTTGTACCTTAGTCCAATACACCAGTGCCCTAAATTTACGGCCACTGAATGGCCAGAAATCCTTATCCAGACCGGTATAACGGTAAAAACAGCGTATGATTCACGAAAACCACACCTATATAGATAGGAAATGCAGACATAGAGGCTATACACGCACAAAGAAACGAAAAGCCTATACACGTGTAATAAACAAACAGGCAGCCGCACCAAAAAAAGCAAATTAACCCGTCCCGAGCTAAACCATCCCAAGATTCCCAAATATTGCAAGTCCCTAGTCCCGATTTTGTCCGAAGTCGTCATAGCAGTCGTTAGAATAAGCAGCAGAAACAAAGTAACCCAAAAGCGGGTCTAGCCACCGAATCAGTAGTCGTCGTAGGTGTATTTCTTCGATGCCCGACGGTATTCGTCCGGGTGGGCCTTCTCAGCCTTAGACTTGAGGGCGCTATTCGTAGAAAAAAGATTCGTCAGCACTTCTAGAACACTGGGAAATCAGGGACCACTGCAGGAACCGCATGCGACGCTAATTTGGACGTCACTTGTCGATCCCCCGGTGCACGTGCCAAGATCTGGCCCGGCGGAGCGGAGATTATCTTGATTTCTCCCCCTGTCACGCGCGGAGCGGGGCGGAAATCTCGACAACGTCCGTTCAATGCCAGAGGTGTTTGCACTTCCTTTTTGGCGTGCTGCGCATTCCTTGCAGTGGTGTGGATTTTTTTAATGTATTGCTTACCTGACGCGCTTCTGGGTCCATTCGAGATCCCGCTTGGTTTCTCGGGCGGTCTTGAGTCCTTCGTTGAAGTTTGCTCGCAGACCCTTCATGCGGCGTTGTGCCATGGCTTGCAGCTCGAGGAGCTCCTGCTGCTTAGCGCGCATCTGACCGGAGCTAATTTTGGCGGCTCGTTAGCTTTCAATCCCATATCAAGTTTGACGCAAAGTGTGAAGATTGTGGTTTTAACTAGCTCTCTTTCGCATTTGCGAAGGCGAGTCGCCGGTTTTTGTGGGGTGGAGCTTCCGTCTCGTGTCGCAAATTCACTCACGTCTGCGCTTGGCTTGCCAGGCTCTTGTCCAGCGGTGTTGGGTCGAAGGCATTTTGCATGCGATCGCTCAGGACGTCGACAACATCCACACCGGAGTACGAGGCTGAGCTTGAATCATAATCTCCGCCAGCAGAGCTGAAGGTCAAGCCGCCGGAAGTACGGCTACCAGTAGTGGTGCTTGCATCAGAGTAATCTGTTGGCGATCCTGGAACCCTGGAGACTGGGTACATGCTGGCTGGTGCTGGTGCCTTGGAGGGCATGCTCATGGGAACAGCGGAAGGCTGGTAGTACTGACGGCGGGCAGCCATGATGGTTGATTGCTGATGAAAAGATGAATTGATGGATTAGAAGGTCTGAGTGTGTTAAGATAATGATGTATAGGAGGACGATGGACTCCTTGATGAAGTATGGGACAGCAATATAAAATGGATCGAAGAGACTTAGGGCTGTTGCAATCGGGGCAGCTGGAAGAGGTGGAAGAGGAAGAGGAAGGAAAACTAGGACTGCCCGACAAAACGAGGGAATTTATAGACTTCGACGGACAGTCTTCCTTCCGGCGGGGGACCCTCGTCGTGGCGAGGCGACGAGGGATGGCAAGGATATGAGGGCCCCGGACGGGATCCATTGGACCATTCGAGAGACTGGGACTCGCACCCCTCCTGTGTATCTCCCAATCTCCGGCCTTCGGCTGCACCTCTTTCTCCGTTTCTGCCCGCCGATTCGTCTCTTGGACCGCCCTGACCCCGCTCGAGTGGGAATCGAGTGTGTCTGGGCCAGGGCGCCATTCCCGTCCAAGGTTTCCGCTCTCCCGTGGCGGTTTTTTTCCCAGGATCATCGTACTAGGTCTACGTAGTCCCCCGAATGGTGTAATTACCTTGGGTCCGAGCGGAGACATTTGGGAAGCTGAAATTTGAGAAATGTTGGCTATGAGTGGAGTAGAAAGGGCTTTTGGTCATGAGGTGGAGTGGAGAGTAGAAGTATAAAAAGAGCTCCTTCCCGGCTCTCGCATTCTCTGCCTTTTTTTCTTTTTTGCCTCGCTCGAATTTTCCCCCACTTCCTCTTCAGCACTATTTTCTTTTTCTTATCTTTTCTTTACCCCTCCTCAATGGCTTAGGTTCTCGAAATTCGGTGGCTGGGAGGCGGATAGTCGACTCGAGGGTCAAGGTTGATTCGCTCGATGGAGGCCGGCCGGAACAAGCTGCGAACTACAAGCACCGGTATGACATAGCATTTTTTTCGCCCCAAACCTAGGGTCTCCCTCGTCCAGTTTGATTGCTAAGTGTATGTTAGTGTCTTACCACTGACCTCTATGTCTGCGTGGTGTTCAAACGTTGGAAAAGACCTGTTTTGACCATTCGACACATTGAGAGCCGCGGGTTTCTTTCCGAGACCTACTTCTCTCTGCAGAGAAAAAATAAAACAAAAGATGTCCCATTGCCTGACATCATCTGGGATTCAGCAACCCGAAACTCAAAAAGCAGGCCTCTCTAGGTATCAAGACCATGGCGAGGTCACACGGAATGAAGATCCATATGTTGGACATCACTGCATGGCCCGAACGAACCGTGGAGACTAAAGATCCCAACTTGCCGAGACTAGGGCCCCCAAGTCCTCAGGCGCAAACCCCATCTGCGCTAGAGTCACATCGAGATCAGCCATTCTCAAAAAAACGATTGTGTGACTGATGTGTGATCCGTTCCAGTCACGGAAAGTCAAAAGGCAATGAACAGGTATTACATCGACAGGCTGATCCCTGCTTCCCCGTTTGCCCGCCTTCATGCGGCTATTGCTCTCGGAGGGCACCAGAAGCCTCTGCACCAGCCCGCAAGTGGCTAGAAATGCAGGGAACTGTGAGCAATGGAGCACGGACAAGCGCTCTAGACGCCATTGGAAGAGGAGCATCTCCCCACTTTCCATGCACACGTTCGATGTCTTGCTTGGCCTCGGGCCATGCGAAAGAGACCACCTCTGCAGGCCGTCGGTAACGCAATTCGATAAGAAAAATTCACTCCCGGCGAAAACTCGTCATCATTGGTCCTGGCTCTTTGCTGACATAGGACTACCCAGGCTCCAGTCCGAAAAAGAAAATTCAAAAATCCTTGAAGAGCCTAAGGGCCCTGCCGCAGGACACCCATTGGGAAACTCCGATACCCTCTAACATACTTGCCAATGCCATCCAATGTACTCTGCATCCTAGCCGTGTTCTCTGCATGCCTTGCAGCCTGACAAGTGCCAATATGCCCCGTCGAAGACGCATCCTGCCACCGAATTACACCGTGTCACCACCCTCCTCCATTTTAATTCTTTGATTCTAATTGCCCATCCTTTCCCGAGGAATTAAAATTGAGAACCTGGAAAAGAATTGTTTTTTATTATAATAAGGCTTCGCAAGGATGCTACGCCAACAGACTACCTTCCACGCCCAATCTCTGTTCCGGTTCGTCTAGCCCGGGCATCGGGCAGCATAGCAATGACGCGCAGGGCACATCAATAGAATGAACACTGGGGGCAAGCCTTTTGTCTACCTCGTCCAGATTTCTCACATCGTCATAGCCCCAACTATCTGGCCATTCACCGGCGGCTGATCCGCCCCTCTCTGAGCCTCGCTATTTCGGTCAGACATCTCCAAGGCCCGGGTTATGCAGTTCCTTCAACGATAAAACCCCGGGAAACAAGTCTCACTATCTTCCCCATTCTCTCCTGTCGTCTTCAATGTATATATGCACCCTGTCAACAAGGCTAACCAAGTTGCATACGTTGCACACGAGCCCGGAGTTTTGGTCCGAGGGATTCCAGACAACACCATTCCCCACTCACATACACAGTCATGCTAGTTCATTTACTGCCCTCCAGTTTCTCAGCCCATGAACCGCGACCACGTCGGTTTTCTGCGCTCTTTCCCCCCCTCCCATAGCCCCCATGTTATTGAGCTATTGCCCCAATTGGCCTCGGGCTCCATTCTCTAACCTTGGATCAGAATATCCGGACAATCCCCAAGCCCACTGAGCCGATCACCTTGAATTTGGACCAGACGGGGCAGGGCGAGTGGGGTTAAGCGGGGATTTATTTTTTCACGATACGCTTCCTTCACCGCCACATGCAGCGTCATGACTGGACGGTTGCCGTCGCCAACTCATCCTACTTTGCCGCTTTGGGACGGTTTCTTTTTTTTTTACTCATTTATTCGGGCTTTTGCCTTTTTTCTTCCTCTGCACTTGTCCCTCAGATCTGCCTTGCAGAGTTTGAACGCCTGGGTGTTGGAGTCTGGATGGGGTTGTAAAGTTGGGCACGATCTAATTCTTTGTCGGATACTCACGGCCTTTTTGGCGTTCTTTACTCTAACAAGGCAGATTTATTCTTATGCAGGCTGCAGAATTGAGAAGCCATGATTCATAATTGAGGATTTAATTCCTGATTTTATCTATGGAATATATTACCTAAGAACTTAGTTCTTAGTTTTGAAGTGCTACTTATCCTTGATAGGCATTCTCATATGAATACATCCTGTCCTTTGTTCTCCAAGATTAACCTTTGCCCCCTTGATTCCCATTCTCTGTGGCGACTGTGCGAAACTTAGTTTCCTTCCTATCAGAGAGGAGCGTTGGTCCTTCGACAGGTCGGAAAGTATACCCAAGTACTCCGTCCATGGTATCGGGTAGATATGACCAACCTTCAAAGGTATTCTTGGTCTTAGAGATTAAGTACACAGAAAAACCTAGCTAAGAGTAGCTATATCGATGAAGAGGTTTCATATCAATATCAATATCAACTATTAAATACTCAGCCTTCATGTTGTACCACGTATATACTAGTAGTTACAGGATCCACGAGTTGAGTGACGAGGCTCGTGACTAAAAATTACGGATCCCGGCTCTAGTCACACCATAAGATCAAAAGTTAAAAGGTACCAAGGTGAATTATTATTGACAAATACAGATCCAGAAGATCAGTCCAAAGCTGTCGTTATGCGCTCGTAATCTGGTATCACAGGTTAAAAAAAAAAATAAAATAAAAAAAAGAAGAAAAGAAAGAAAGAAACAGAGAAGTAAAACCAGCAACATCATCTCTGGAAGGAATAGAAATAAAAAGACAAGAAAGCCCATTTCGGGCAGTAACGCCATGTACTCGGTCTCATAGGGCCAAAGCAAACCAAACCCTCCACACCGACGGGACATAGATGCGAAAAAGAAGTCAAATAATACACAAAACGGGGCCGTCCGATAAGAATGGAATGGAATGCCGTATGCTGTAAAGATGGCGAAGTGGCGCAATGTCCAATGCAATAAATGCGACGCTTATGTCTTCGGGAGTCGTAAGGAGGTGATTTCGATGCGATGGGGAACCAGATCAGATGGTAGTAACGAGCGCACCAAAAAATGCACATGCGCCGGGATATGCCCTTGGTCTGAAGTCCCCACCCCTCTTCCGTATCCCAAAAATCAATGACCAGTTGCACCGTGAACCGTAAATCAGAAACCGTGGAGTCGCTCGATCGTGTACTGGTGCAAATAAAAGGCTGAAAAACATGCAATCGAGGATATAGTGTCAAAATCAAAGTTAATCGCCATCTACAGAGCAGATAGAATAAAATAGTATCATGGTAGACGTCATCATGCAGGATTCGTCTCCACTAGCGGCGGATAGTGGTTTGTGGGTTGCCAGGATGCAACCGATCTCGAAGAAGGAGAAGTGGTTGGTGGCTGTTGAGAAGTCCCATCATCATTTTGCCCAGCTCGTTGTGCTTAATGGGCTTAGTGACATAGTCATTGAAGCCCGCACGTGCGGCATTCTCGATTTGTTCTGTCATTGCATTGGCTGACAGAGCCATGATCGGAATCTGGGGATAGTGGTTCTTTTGCTCCCAGGCACGGATGTCTCGACAGGTGTCGTAGCCGTTCTTGATGGGCATTTGGATATCACACTGAGATTTGTTAGCTAGGCTTCCTTTGGTGCACTGGTGAGTAGATTAGAACTTACAATAATGAGAGAGAAGTAGCCCGGCTCTTTGGAAAAGACCATATCAATAGCTTCTTGGCCATTGGATGCAGTCTCTGACATAAGCTTAATCTTGTCGAGATATTTTAGCATAACCTAGATATCTGATTAGCATCGTCGACATTCGAGTAAAGGGGATGAAACGCTCATACATCACGGTTGGTCTCGTCATCTTCCACAAGTAAGATGCGGTACCCCTTGTTCCCAAGTTGTTCCTTGACCATCTTGGACATGGACTTGAAATTGTTGTTGATCTCGCGAGCCATATCTTGATTGCGATCCTTACTCAGCTCGCGCTTGCTCTCGGGGTCAAATATAGTCGAGAAAGCAGAGGGTTTGACAGGTTTTGGCACGATGAAGACCTTTTTCCCCGAGGTAGCCAATTCTTTGACGCGAGTGCTGATCTGTCGTTTCTGGTACAAATCCGAAATTATCACGACCACAGGAGCTGTGCTGGGTTCACACTCGGTCACATGTTGGATGACTTCCAGTATGTCATCAGTTGCAGGCAGGTTGAGAACAAGATGGGTGCAGGGCACATTGGAGCCTGATTGCATCATGTCCTTCCACTCATCAATATCGGACAATGTGGTGATCTTGAAAGAAATCTCATGCGGTACGACTTGCTGGATGTGTTGCTTTGTCGATCGCCGCGTATTGTCAAGGGGACATAAGATGAAAATCGAGAGGGAACCGTGCGGAGAAACTTCGGCCAAGGGGTTGCTAGAAGCTTCAGAAACGTTGACCGGTGGTGGAGTCAACTGAACGGGAGCACTAGAAATAGAATCATCGGAATTCTCTCTGATTGGTGGTTTCGGGCTTGTATTCGAAGCTCCCTCGGTTTTGGGCAGATTCAATGGTGGTGACTGAGCAGTATGAGGATCCGCAGTTGGGGGAGCAGAGTAGGTCGATGATTGCAAATTCAGGCCCTTGGTGTCAGAGCCCGCGCCCGTACTGCTGAAGGTAGGTGAATGAGATCGTGACGCAGGAGAATCAAGCCCCGGGGAAAGGATGGAAGGATCTTGTAGTTTGGCATCAAAGTTGCGCAGCGGCGACAGCGCATATTGATCGTAAGATGTTGTCCTGGATGTCACTGGTCTTCTAGAGGCAGTTGAGGCTTGGCGGAGTAGATTGGGTCTCTCGGACGGCGAGGGAGGAGAGGGAGCATCAACCTTAACATTGAAGGAGAACTTAGCTCCTTTGCCTTCCATGCTGCTGGGCGTGAGCTTGCCGCCATGCATCTCGACCAATTGCTTAGATAGGAACAATCCAAGTCCACTTCCAGCATTTTGCTGTGATCCGTTCTCGCCCAACTGACTAAATCTTTGCATGAGACGGTCCGCATCAGTCTGGCTGAAACCTTTACCGGTATCTACAACATCAAATTTCAAGAAAGCCTCGGTATTTTGGATGTTGGGCGACTCGTCATGACTGAGATTACAGCAGATGAATATCTCGCCTTGGGCGGTAAACTTGACAGCATTGCCGACGAGGTTGATGAGGACTTGGCGGATACGGAATCGATCACCGATAACCATTGATGGCACATCTTGAGCCATCAGATAGTTAATCTCGAGGCCTTTATCAATGGCTCGAGAAGCGATAGTGTCAATAACATCTTCAATCATGGATCGGACATGGAACCAAGAGCTGACTAGTGACATCTTGCCGGCCTCAACACGAGACACGTCCAGGATATTGTCCACCAGTTCACGAAGGTTGATAGAGCTGTTCTGGATGGTATCCAGCATTCTCCTCTGGTCGCTGTCAAGCTGCGTATCAAGGATAAATGGAATGGTACCAAGGATTCCGTTGAGAGGGGTTCTGATCTCGTGTGACATGTTACTGAAGAACTTTGTCTTGGACTCCATTGTCTTATTAAGCTGACGCTCAAGGTTTTTGCGGTCATTTATGTCGGTACAAGTGCCGTACCACGAGGCTTCCTCACTGCCAAAGCTGCTTGTCTCAACAAGAACCAAGCGAACCAAATGCCATCGAAAATCACCTCCTCGGGAGCGAAGTCGAATTTCAGTGGAGTAAAAGACACGTCCATTTTCATCTTTCTGCAAGGATGCAACACCCCGCCTCACGAGTTCATCCAATGCAGATGAAACACCGTGCATTTCAGAAGGTACTTGGCCACTTCCTCCATCTGCGGATTTGGCTTTATCAATGGACCCAATTGGATTATGTTTCGTGGTTGAGGTGAGTCCGCCACATTTCTCCAGATCGTCGGGATGGACATGCTTGGCAAATCCCAGATCAAGGGCTTCCTCGAGCTGCTGTCCAGTGTACAAGTTCCATTGTTCATTAACAAATATCAACCCCCGGTTTTCAGTCGCCTCAAACACAACCTGGGGGATTGAATTCGAGAATGCCCGGTATTTGGCATCGGTGGCAAATTTCTCCCTCTCCTGAATAGCTGCCAGCTCAGCAGTATGCTGCTCATGGATGTCGAGGAAAGAACCAATCCAGTAAAGGACCTCTCCGGTTGCAGACAGCAACGGATTTGCTCGGAAGATGAACCAGCGGTATGCACCCTCATCATTGAACCGTCTCACGCGTACTCTTTCAGTGAATTGAGAGCCTGTCCGCAAAGCATTTTCCCACTCACTTGAGACATGATCGCGCTCACTGCTATGAATATTTTGCCAAGGATCTCGTAATCTTTGTTCTTGGGGCTTACTCCTCCTGAAAGCATCGAATTTAGCATTAGTCCATATCACTTCGCCACTCTGGGGTTTAGCCAAAAAGAGATGGAGTGGGATTGAATTGAGCATCAGTTGTGCTATAGTGTCAGAGAACGGACGGGGTAATTCACGTTGCAGCTGAGTATACAATGAATTCGTTGATGCCTGCCGCGACGAGGGTTGCGTTGGGGAGATAAGTGACGGCGGTCTCATATCTTGAATTTGAGATGCCATGGAAAGGCTCAGATCTTGGGAGTTGGCGTCTTCAGTATTGGACGCGTTTCCAGTCACTTTTCCGGGGGAGGTCGGAGTTGATTCGGCGACTTTCGTCTTGGCCTTCGGTATCCGCTGTCGATATTGAGCTCCATTCTCGCGGGGATGCTTGGGATGCTGAGCAGTGAAATAACTGTCTGTGGTGATATCGCGTCCTGTGATGGCCGGGGAAAGACCTGCTGACCCCAATCCTGCGTGGCCAAGTTCGAAACCAGGAGTTCCAAAGCTTGAGATAGCAGGGCTAAACTTTGTAGATGAGCGGTCACTGGGACTAGCGACACTGGCCCGAGCAGACCCTTCATCGCCAACAGAATAACTAACATGGCCGCTTAATCCTGCGACGAGTTCCAGCTCGCTGCTTGCGTCGGAGAAGGTACCGCCAAGTCCTAGTAAATGACCATAACGAGGAGTTTCGACCTTGGTCGCCAACTGACGTTCGAGCTGACTATACTGCTGAGCCAAGCAAAATGAGGTCGTTAAGTGAGGCATCAGATCTGTGAGGGATCTGCGGAGGTTGGGTGGGTATGGCACAATTGTGGACAGCAATGAGATGACGGCCACAGGAAACATTAAAGTTGACGAGGAAGGTTGATCAGAGCGACCTCTATGCAAAAGGGGAATATGAATCACGGTTTTAGATTGGTCGATTCCAATGGCCTCTAATGGGCGAGTGTTAGAGTAATCGTGGGCAGGTGGATTCTTGTCGAATGCACCTTCATCGACCGCATGATTCGTGAAAAAGGGATTCTGGTCGGCATGTGTGCGGGGTGCTGGTGAAGGCGCAGGGGATTGGGACCATGGTGACTGGGGGGCCTGCTCGTATTCATCATATTGTCGTAGCCCCAGGGCAACAAGGCTAGCCGCGGGTTCATGTTGCAAAGAAACACTTGGAGCAGTGACATGAGTTTTGGGCGGTTCACTCCCTGGTGTAACTTGGACGGTTTCTAGTGGGCTCCGACTTGGGTTGCTAAAAATGGGGGCCGAATTCTCTGAATATTCTCGCGTAAGGATGACAGGGCTTGTTCGGCCAAACAGCTTCACCACACCGGTACGTTTGATGAGAGGATCTGACTCCACCTCCAGAGGTCTTGACAAAGGAAACACTGCATGTCGCACAGGGATCAAGTTGTCCGGAGCCTCATGCACTTCGGCTTGCTGTTGGGGGGTGCGCTGACTGCTAAAAGATGGTGTAGTTTCGATAGAGAGCTCATCCGCAATACGAGCATGCTTTTTCTCCGACTTAACGCTATTGGACTTCCAAAGTTGATGGGACAAATCCTGGTCGAGAGGCTGCTTTTTGCCATGGCCAAATCCAGCAAAAGAGTGACGCGAAGACAGAGGAGGTCGAGATGAAGACTTCGCGGAGTTAGGGAAAGTCGTCGAGATCTCGTCCGATGTCGGGTTCGCCTCGTTGTTATAGGTCCGCACGACAGGTGTCTCCGGTGGCACATCGTCATGCAGGAATGATTTCTGGCCATTATCAACTAGAGTACTGCCATGTTGGTTGTAGATCGCCTTTTGACCCCATGGCACGTTCTCTAGATCTGTCGCATCGCCCGGTACGGCGAGTGATACTCGTTCGGCTCCGTAATGTCCTTGCAGGATATCAATAAGGTTCGACCACCATCCATCCAACCCCGCATCCGCATTCAACTTCAACGTCAGATCGTACAAATTGGGGGTCGCAAAATCTGGATCATCGGGTATAGCGGTTGTTTGAGCTGGCAGAAAGTTTGGTGGAATAGAACGTTGTACCGGGGTGGGTCTCTCCTCTGGTGATTGGGATCCTGACGACCTCACCTTTTCGGATGGAAGTTTCAATCGGAACTGGCCTTCACGTCCTGCTTGCTCCGAACTAGGTTTCATCGAGTCTTGTACTTTGGGGGAAGGGGTAACAAGGTGTTTGGACGGTGCTCTGGTTCGGCGAAGGGGCTTTGATGGTCCCTCCAGAGCCCAGTGAGCCAGATGAAGGATGCGCGATGGCGTTGGGAAGGTCTGTCACAGACGAGGTGGGTGGGCATCGTCTCTTGGGAGACTCGTTTGACTGTCCAGGGGGAACCTGAGTTGGGGCCTGTTGTTGCTGCATTTGTTGGTAGACCAGCAGCTCCTCCATCTGTCGTCGCAGTTCCTTCAAAGTTTGTGAACTCCGACCTTGGTCTTCCTGTCGCTCGCCGGTGGATCGTGTATCCTCTGTGATCGGTGTTAGGCTGGAAACCTGCTCGGCAGAATCGCCCCGCGAAAAACGAGGTGGTTTGCGGTTTGTCGACTTCGCCAACCCATCTAATCCGAGTAAGAATACATCCTGGGATCTACCTGCCTGATCATGGTCCAGGGGTGACCGCGGGGCTTGTAGGAGAGGAGGGTGCGATAGCGCAACGGGCGACACTGTCTCTGTTGGCGATGGAAATGGAGGGCTCCTCCTGTTATGCACGTCCCCCATTCTTTTCGACACTCCGAGCAAATCAATACTCCTGGGCGACGACGACAACGCGGGAGGAAGATGAGGCGTTCATGTCTCGGCCGCAGCGGTCGGTTCGCAAAAGTCGTGGGTGGGGGAGAGGCCAAGTCGTTCACGCAAAATGGGCTTGAAAGAAGGAACGAACTGGTGACACGAAAAGTGATGAGATACGCAATAGAAAAAAAAAAATCACTGTCAAGCAGTGGGATCATAAAATGGTGAGATCTGAGGGTTCAGATGATTAAGCCTCGGACTCTGTATAGGCCCTATCAAACGAAAGGTGTTTGGGGAAGGGCACAACAAGACCAGGTGTGTTGTGGGTGTGATTTGAGGGGGGATGATCGGGATCGAGGGAACCAGACAAGAGTGACTCTGGAAACTGGCGTCAGTACCCGCCAGCCCATTGCTTGGATCGACTTAGGAGTGGATGAAGGAGGGAAAAAAGTGGATTCTGAATGATGGACAGTCTCCGGGGGGTGTTATGACGTAGTGTGGCCCTGGTCCATAAAACAAAAAGCAAAAGCCAAAAAAACCTTGACGCCCTGCGGACATTTTGGTGGCTTGACCCCGTTTCTGAATTTTGATTCGTCTTTACAAGTCAAATGGGAAATAATTAGAGACTAGTTTGATATAGACGAGGTGATCACCCTCATTGAGAGATTAGGTGTTCGTGTTCCTGGTGTTCTTCCCAGGTCAGATGACCATCACTCTGGTTTTGAAACTTCCTGTTAATACCGTAGAGTCATATCCAAATACAAGGGGAGAACGGGGGAATCCTATCCCCGTCCATTTCCCAACCTCCTTTTCACCGGTTCTTCTTCGTTGCCTATAGTGATGGGTATTATTATCTTGATGGTGAGGCTAAACCCGATTCTCGAAATACACTATCAACGCACTGATCAATTCACCGACAATGTCCCATGTGGTGGCAAGCGAACCGCCCATTGAAAATAAAAATGGGGACGGATTCGATTTCCTTGAAATGGCTACTGCGTATTGTGTAATCAATCCATCCTGAGTACGTTATGAAGTCCACTGCATGGTCTGAAGGCATCTGAGCACTGGAATGTGCAAGAGCCCACCTTTCTCTCTTTCCTCAAATTCTAGGCCCAAGGCCAACTCTGCATCTGGAGGTCGATCAATGCCAAACTGCCGCAAAGTGATGCAAGCGAGAAGGTCCAGGGGTCGCATTAGCGGTGTTTCTAGAAGCCCCAAAAAAGAAATCCACCCCCAAAGTGGCCCCCTTGGAAATGAAGCGATCGACTGATGTGGCGCTGTCGGGACCACCGTGAACCCGCTTTCCTACCCCCCCTTTTGGAATGAAGTCAAAATGGCTTCGTCGAGGGGGACGGATCCCCTTTTTGACTCCCGACGATCGGTCTCCCTTTGGGGTCATCCGATCACCACCAGGTGTGAGTCCTCCCGCGCGGACCTGTCGTCATCTGGCATATTGGGCCATTCTAGCCGTGCCAACTGGCGCGCGACTCGAACCGAACCCATCTAAAAAGAGTCGAATCGAGGAAAAGGCTAGTGGAAAAAGGCTAGAGAAAAAGAAATCAGATCAACCACTGACATGATAATGAGAAAAAAGATCCCGTGGTACGTCATGGGCTGAAACCTCGATGAAGGAATCTCTTGGCTTTTCGGGGCGACGTCCATAGGCTTTGGGGATACCTAAAAGCCAATAAGGCTGACCAGCCCGGCTCGTATTGGTCCACGAGGACAGTCAGCATGGATTGGAGACAAACACTAGAGTCTGATTCGGACCCGAATTCCCCGACCGTGGTCCGGTGTACGGGTGTCACCCGACTGTAGAGTCGTAAATTGGAAGATTGGAGCATTAAATCAGGAGATGAGATGTCGGTACTCAGGTGGAGAGATGGAGTTTGAAGGGTTTCACTGCCGAGTTCTACGATACGGTGTTACCGGTAGATTAAGTCCAAAAGAAAGAAATAGAACCAGCCACCGATTTCAATCTGGCCTTGGTGGACAGGACAACATATTACCTGAATAGACTACCGATACATGTTCTCGTTTTTACAATTTTTACAAGTTTTGAAAGGGTCGGAAGGTTCGAAAGATTTGAGATCAACTGGTGTATAATGAATATTGAACGTTTCCAAACGGATAGTGGTGATGCACACATCTTCAATGTTCGAAATATATACTTCCCGAATTAAGTCGCTGTGACCCGCAAAATAGATTTCCCGTCCCACTATCGCATGCGCTGCGGTTTTTGCACGAGCTACATACTTGACTGTTTCCCGTTCCCCTTCTCTTGTGATTCTTCATGTGTGCCAGGTCCTGTTGACCCCTCCCTCTCCGAAGCGACATCTGGTCACCCTTGAATTTGGGGGCCGATACCCTCCATTTATCACTAGCGCCGCTTGGGTCCATGTCTATCTATCCCGCCGCGATCCCGCTCTACTTGAAGTCGGTAAACCCAATATTGGCTAGGCTTGGATGGCTACAGCTCTGTAGACATCTGCAAATTTCCCCTTGAGATGGAGGAGAGTCACTTAATTAGCGACGACCTGCCGCTACCACCTGCCCGACTATTTGAACGATTAGGCCACTTGCCTGGCTATACTTGGGATCAGTCCGTCGAGCCCTTCCACTCCACCTACAATCATTGGCATATATCAGGATTTCGCCATGCCATCGATTCAGACCTCTCCACCCCGATCGCGACCTCCTCCGGCCCTGCCTCCTCCGGTCCTTCCAGCCTGACTCGATTTTCCCCCCGCACCGACACTCGCCCTTCCGCGCGAGGCTCCAATCGGAGGTTTAGTGTGAGTGAGACGAGCAGTGAGCTATCGCTCTCACGAGGAGGCGACCATGAACCGGTCTGGATACCGGTCGTGGCCCGCGTTTCGACAAACTTCATCCGCCTTGAACGAGAGTTTCATATGCTTAGGTCGATTGTGCAATCATCAGATCCAGACTGCAATCACACCGTGCGACCGATCGACTTAATACGACTTCCTGCCGACCCCGTAAATGGAGGGTCCCTCTTGGTGGCTATCTTCGAATCACCCGGCCACGATAGATTGCGCGATTTGGTCACATTTGGCCCTGCATCCTTTGTCGCGGGGACTAAAGGCGATCATAATGTAACACCCAACGAGCAAGTCGACCTGTCAGCATTTTTTGATTTTGCAATTGGAGCGTGCGACTGCCTGGAAATTTTGCATTATGGCATGAAGACCGTTCATGGAGAGATTCGTGGTGATGCATTCCACTTTAGCAGCGAAATGGGATCCGTCAAACTCTCCAACATGGGCAACGGCGCCCGCTCCTTTGATAACGTGCTGAGTGAAGGCTGGTCCTCTGTTTCCCGGGAGCTTGGAGCCAAGTACAAGTTGCAATTTATCGCCCCGGAGCAAACCGGCAGGATGCCTACAGAGCCAGATAGTCGCACGGATATCTACGCGCTTGGTCTCTTCTTCTGGTCCATGCTCGTCGGGAAATTGCCCTTTGAAGGCAGTGATCCCGTTGAAGTAGTCCAGAATGTGCTGACCAAGAAGTTGACACCAGTGTCCGCCAAACGGATGGATATCCCCGACGCTCTCTCAGCCGTCGTCCAAAAAATGACGCAGAAAGTCGTGCACGACCGTTACCATACAATTTCTTCCGTCAAGCGGGACTTGGCAGAAGTAGCTAAATTGCTGGGTGATGGAGAAAGCGAAGCCTTGAATGATTTCAAGATCGCCCAGCGAGACGTGTCATCCTTTTTCACGCTGCCTTCCCGAATGATTGGCCGAAAGAAAGAATATGACACCATCATTGGTGTGGTCGAGAAGGTCAAAAAGCGCCAGGCGGCTGCATCTGCTAAGGCATATGTGCAAAGTCCGGCAACAGCCCACGCAATCGCCTCCAATTCTTCGATATCGGAAGGGCGCGTGGAAAGTTTCGACCTTGCCTCTGTCTCTAGTGACTCTGGTTCGTTCCATCTACCTCCCCGAAGCAGCTCGAATACCACTCAATACCACATTGCACATGTCAACGCCCAAGAGTCCATAGCGAGCAATGACACATCCCCTCCTCCAAGGTTGAGGCAAGCTTCGGCAGGCCCAGATTCATTAAGCCAAACACCACCTGTGCCAATTCCTAGCAACATGAAAAGCCCTTCCCATTCTCGATCTTCACACACCACAGATAGGGAGAGCCATCCTTCCATTGGTACCAATACCAACAGCCAACCATCAACCCAGGCCTTTAGCCAAGCTGATTCGTTGACCTCACTTGCGAAACAGAAAACGGGGGTCAAATACCGCCGCAATGGACGCTGTGAGGTGATTGCAATTAGCGGAGCTGCTGGCATAGGCAAGACGGACCTTCTGAATCGGGTACAGCCCCTCATCCGTAAGGGTGGGTACATTGCAATCACACGTCTGGACAGAGCCAAGCGGGTGCCCTTTGAACCGTTTGCAAAAGTCTTGGCCAGCTTGTTGCGCCAAATTTTCTCGGAGCAGGATGTCAATACCGATTACCACAATAGCATTCGATCAGCCTTGCGGTCCATGTGGCCCACACTCCATAAGGTGCTAGATCTACCGGAGCAACTAATGGCACCGGGAGCCAAGTATAAGCCATCTCCAAGGGTCTCTGTTGCGCAGCCAATTGCTAAACAGGAGGCTCGTGAAGACCCTGCCAAGCGGCTTCATATTCCATGGATGGACCAAGGCCAAACATCTGCTGACTTTTTCCTGTCGAATGCTGCTTCAAATAACATGCGTTTGATGGATATATTCATTGAAATTCTGAGAACACTGTGTCAGTTTAAGCTTATCACCGTTTGCTTGGATGATCTCGAGTATGCAGATGACGAGACCTTGGAATTGGTGCTGAACATCATCAAAACGAAGCTGCCATGTGTGCTTATTCTTACAAGCCGCAAGGATGAGATCGAGTCTGACCAGATTCGGTCCTTGTTTGAAACCGACTTGCCCAACGTCACGCGTATTACCCTTGAGTCATTACCAGAAGACAATGTCATGGAGTTTGTCGCTGCAACAATGCACCAAGAACCCAATCCAACCCTCACTCCCCTAGCCGCTGTTGTCCAGGAAAAGAGCCAGGGAAATCCTTTCTACGTGCGGGTAATGCTTGAAACATGCTACAGGAAGAACTGCATCTGGTATTCATGGAAGGACTCAAAGTGGCTGTTCGACCTTGATCGCATTTTCACTGAATTTGTTGCTCCTGTGTATGGAGAGGGACTTGGACTAGGCTTCCTCACCAAACGTCTCCAAGAGATCCCGGCAGCTGCCCGATCAATCATGATTTGGGGAGCTCTGATAGGAAGTCCATTTTCCTTCTCGCTCGTTCAAAGGATTTTGACTAGTGAATTTGTGACCTCAATAGATGATGATGACGAAGAGCTGGGTCTCACAAAACCTGGAAATGTCACTTTGGTCAGGCAATCAGAGAGTGATATCGTGGTTGGGTTGCAGTACCTCGTTCAGGCAAACCTGTTGAACACTGGTAAAACCGACGACGAGTTCAAGTGTGTAAATCTTAAGCTCAAGCTATCAAATTGACTAACCATCGCTTTAGGTTCGGGAACGATCGACTCGCGCAAGCTGCCTTTGCATTGAGTGAGAGCCGCAATGTGGAGAAGATGCATTTCATCCTTTCGCAGGCGTTGATGAAATACTACCACGATCACCGCAGCCGGTACTCCGTGGCTCACCATGTTGCACTTGCATCGCGCAGGATCAAATCCCGTGTGAGTCTCAGAATCGATTATCGACGTATCTTATGGGAAGCTGGGCAGACGGCTGCTCAATCTGGCGCTCGGCCAAGTGCTCTTTGGTATTTCCGGCACTGTATCGCACTCCTGCAAGACGATCCTTGGGATGATCAGCACGCGGACGTATATTATGACGAGACCATGCGTCTTTACATAGCGACGGCAGAAATGTCCTGGTCCCAGGGCCAGAACGAGGACGCTCTCAAGCTGATTGAATCTGTCTTCGCCCACGGCAAGGATGCGGTCAGTAAATCAAGGGCTTGGGTCATCAAAGCCAAGATCATGGCTCAAACGGGTGACCATCACCGTTCAATGGAGTCGCTGCTATCATGTCTCGACGAACTTGGCGTCCACCTCCGCGCCCCCACGACCTTCGAAGAATGTGACGTTGCTTTCTTTAAACTCAAGAAGTACCTCCAATCCGTCGACATCGACGCCATTGCTCAGAAGCCCATCAGCAAGGATCCCAATCTCATGACAATTGGAGCGGTCATGGCAGAGGCCATGGCCGTCACCTACTGGGACGATGCCCTGACGTTTTACCGAATGGCAATCGAGATGATGCATATTCACATCTCCAGGGGTGGATTCACACCTATTTCGATTGGCTGCTCCCATCTCTCCATGATCACACTGAGCCGTTTCAAGGACCTCGAATTTGGTACTAAGCTCAGCGATCTCTCCCTTTCCCTACTTGAACATTGTCCCGAGCCGTGGACGCAGAGCAGAGGCTCGATCGTTCACAACCTTTACGTCAGCCACCTTCGTGTTCCTCTGGCATCAACGTTGCCAGCTCTAGAGGCCTCGCTTGAAGTGTCCTTTACAATGGGCGACCCGTACATCACGTTGATTAGTATTTCTTCAATGGCCATGACTAGGCTTTACCTCGGTCAGGATATGGCCCAACTTGAAGCCTTCTGCTTAGAGGCTCCTGAAGATATCCCAAACTGGGCCCAAGATACCCGTGGCGGTGCCAGCATTATTGCTGTTCGTCAAGTCGCGCGGGCTCTGCAAGGCAAAACGGAATTCCGTTCCTCGGACAACGTCATGTCGGATGATGAGCACCGGACAACCTCATTCATGAAGTTTTTGGACACCCATGCTAGCAATGCTGACAGACCTCGTGACATCTACTTTGGTCTTTCCATGATCCCCCTGTTCCTTTTTGGACACTACAACAAAGCAATTCAGGTGGGTAATACGTTGCTTGGTACATCTTACAGACTCTGGTCTGTGCGTGTGTCCTATATCATTCATTTTTACCTTGCCGTCTCACTTCTCAGTCTACACAATGACTATCCTGCCCAGGGATATCTTGATGGGAAAATGGATATAATCCTTGGGTATAAGGCCGAGATAGACTTTGCTCGAAGTTGCTCAGAAGCGAACTATGGTATGTGGGCTTTCCTGCTTGAGGCCCTCATCGCCGAGGTGCGGAATGATCACAATGATGCCATCCAGAAATTTGAGGCCGCTATCGATCATTGTCAGATTCATGGATGGCCATTGGAGGAGGCTCTTGCACTTGAGTTGCAAGGCGAATTTCTTATCAGACGCGGCGCAAAACGGGCCGCTCGTGCGTTAGTGCAGGAGTCCATTGCGGCATGGAGCTCCATGGGTGCTAACGGCAAAGCGATCATGCTTGCCGAGAAGCATGAATGGTTACTCAAGACAGCGACCTCTGCTAGGACGGTTGATGTTGGATGCCAAACTCTTGACTCAATTATGGAGATTACTCGTGAAGCGGTTGAAGACGAGATTATCATACCATCTCAAATGGAGGAGGACGAGAGAAGGCAGCAATGGATCGAGCAAAATGGTGTCAATTCAGACGAGAAATCTATGGATATCTCAAGCGTGGGTCTAGATATTATCGATCTGTCCAGCATACTGGAGTCCAGCCAGGTCATGTCTTCTGAGCTTCAGATCGACAAACTCTTCTTGAAGATGCTTGAGATTCTATTGGAGTCGTGCAACGGTTCCGATTTTGCAGTCATTGCGACAAACTTTGATGAACAAGGATTTGCCATTGCGGCGGTAGCAGACTCTGATAAAGGCCAACGATCATACCCCGAGGGCTTACCCTTCTCTGAAACTGAGAGTCGGATGGCTCAGCATATCACGTACTATGTCATGCGTACAAAGGAAGAGGTCCTTGTGCACAATGTCCTCGAGGACGAGCGCTTCTCCAATGTCGATGAATCATATCTCGCCAACTACCCCCAGGGTCGGTCCGTCATTGCGCTGCCGATTGTTCAGGGCGACCAACTGCTTGGGGTTATACACTTGGAAGGCAAGCCGAATTGGTTCACACAGCGAAACGTGGTGGTGTTGCATTTGCTTTGCAACCAAATTGGAATTTCTCTATCGAACGCTTTGCTTTTCCGTGAGATTCGAAAGGTGAGCGCTAAAAATTCGTCTATGATCGAATCCCAGAAGCGTGCCCTCGCGCAAGCACGCGAATCGGAGCAAAAAGCGAAGTTTGCGGAAGCTGAGGCCAAACACAATGTGAAGCTAAAGGAAGATGCTGCACGCGCCAAATCCATTTTCCTAGCAAATATCTCACACGATCTGCGAACTCCGATGAACGGTGTCATTGGACTTTCAGAGCTGCTCAAGGGCACCAAGTTGGATAAAGAGCAAGATGAATATGTGGAATCTATCCGTGTCTGCGCTGACACCCTATTGACCCTCATTAATGACATCCTTGACTTCTCTAAGCTAGAAGCTGGCAAGATGAAGATCTCCACAGTGCCGCTCAACCTGAAGGAGACCATCACGGAGGTCATTCGTGCATTGCGCTTTACTCACCGCGAGCGAGGTTTGGCAACGATTGAGGAGCTGGATCGTGTTCCTGCGGAGCTTGTCGTTCTTGGTGACCCTGTCCGCTTGCATCAGATCTTCATGAACCTCCTTAGCAACAGCTACAAATTCACACCCAAGGGCTCGATCGTCGTCAAGGCAAAGACTGTCCGCGAGGGTAAGGGCCGCGTGCGCCTGGAATGCTCCGTGTCCGACACTGGAATTGGAATCCCCGAAGAGCAGAAAGCACGCCTGTTTCGACCCTTCTCCCAGGCTGATCCATCAACAGAAAGATCATATGGCGGCAGTGGTCTAGGCTTGAGTATCTGCAAGGCAATCATTGAGGATGTCCTTGGTGGTGCTATTTGGCTTGAGTCCGAGTCTGGAGTTGGAACCACTGTGACGTTCCACTTGGTCTTTAACAAAGCCCCGAAGAAGACGGCGGTCAAGACCGCATGGTCGCAGGACCTGAGCAAAGCAGAAAGCAAACAAGCTCCCCGACCCACCACTCGCGATCTCACGCAAATTCCACGCGATCAGATTCGCGTCTGCATCGCTGAAGATAATCCCATCAACCAGAAGATCGCGGTCAAGTTTGTGACTGGTCTCGGGCTCCAGTGCGAAGCCTTTAGCGATGGACGCCAAGCAGTGGATGCTCTCCGTGCCAGATCCAACGAAGGCAATCCGTTCCATATTGTCCTAATGGACGTCATGATGCCAACCTTGGACGGCTACAATGCCACCCGCGAACTCCGTCGCGATCCAGACCCCAACGTGAATGAAGTTCTGGTGATCGCCATGACGGCTAGTGCCATCGAGGGCGATAGAGAGAAGTGTCTCGACGCCGGAATGAACAACTACCTCCCCAAGCCGGTCAGATCGCCGATCCTGAGTGAGCTTCTTGACAAGTACCTCGCCCCGGTTCCATCCCACCCACGTACTCGGCTGGTACTCCGAGAAAAAGGGTCCAGATCAAGCATGGGCCATGATTCCGGTACGCCAACCAGCATTTCCTCATCCGGGTCAGACGAATTGGCCAAACTTCCACCAGCCCGGAGCTCTAAAGACATGATGACACACAACCCCAACCCAAATCCTCATTCAAAATGATACCCTGCACAGCTGCACCGAATAGAAGGGATGAGGCGCCATGGAGCCTTTGTCATTACAGAGCTCAGCGACGCTCATACCTGTTGATTTTCTTTTTGGTTCATCTTATCATTCCAAGCTTAAGTACTGGTTATTTTCGTTTTAGAATCCGTTGAAGTCTCCAGGGCTCCTCGTCGGTCACTAAACTTTGACATGTTTATGTTTTATGATAGGATTTATGAGTTGCATTTGATGTTTTTCTCATTTTAGTCATTGCCTACGTTTTTCATGGATGGTGTTTTGGAACTTCAGACTGGGTCTGTAATGTCCAAGTGGAATCGAATTTTTCTATCAAAGCATTCATGTGCTTAATAAACATACCCATTATTCCCTGCCATTCATGTTCAAAACAAACCAAGACGTAGAAGATTTAGCTTTTTAGAGCCCTCAGGAATTTCCGCTAGCGGGACTAGACATTCTGTTTACTCTTCATTGATTCGAACCTTGGAATCTGGCAAAAGTTCGATTTGATTTAATTGGTGCGGAGCGGTATCAAACACTTTTCTTACTGGCAAGTCTCCAAGGAATATATTTTGCTTGACCGCCGCAATGAGCTTAAAATTATTTTCATGATGGCCACTGCACCCGTACAAAGTGTCTTATTTTACCCAATTGTAGTTCGTCCAATTCCAAGGCTTCATTGATGTGTTGAGATTTGCGAAAAGCAGATTCTGGTTCTAATGGAAATATATACTTCGTGTTTTTAACACTCAGTCTCCCAGCACAAATGTCATGTGCAGCTTCATGCTGTGGAAAATGCTGCATATCAGCCCAATACTCCCGAATGCAATCCCTTGTTATGTCTGACTGTGCAGAGGATCAGACCTGGTACCTATCCAAGCTAGTGTCCGCCTTCAATGTGGTGATCGCTGGGTATGTTTGCTTTAGATAGGCTCCAAAGATAAATTGTTACAACTGTTGCAAAGTAGACCACGTTTGCTCTGTTGCTTGTACAACTGTGAGCGGGAATTCTTTCGAGTCCTGTCGGGGCCAAAGCTGTATGCTTGCAAGCTATGACGAAAGTGGGACAAGAGAGGAACAGAACGGTAAAGTCGCAAAGGAGAAAAGGCATGCGGTACGACAAAAAAAAAAACTCCGAACGGGCTTCTTTTACTTATTATAGGTGATCCGAAGAGCCTAAGAGACGTGAGTATTCATAATGCTATTTGAAATATATGGACAAAAGAATAGAGTGTAAGAGATACAATAAGGCCAGTGAAACAAGGGGGTTAAGCTAAGGAAAAAAAAAGGAAAAGGAAACCTCGACAAAGTTGCAGGAAGCTATTGCCTGCTGTGTTGAAGCCTTTTCATTCTAACCCAGCGCCAGAAATGCCATTCATATCGCCGTTCAAATGTATAGTCGCCAAAAAAGGACATAATGAACAAATCAAACAGCGCGTTTGCCTCGTCATTTGCGTTCAAGAATCGTTGGTCGCTGCTTTTTTCTCCAGCTCTTTATATCGCCATGCCAACTGCGCCAATAAACTTTTATCAGAAGGCGTAAGACTTTTCCCTTGTTCTACCAGCTCCTTCTCCGTCTGCCGCAACAATTCCCATCGCTTAAGCAGCTTGCCCTGAGCATCGGTTATTGCCGCCAAGTTACTATCATGAGACTCCATGCGTTGATCGATAGTCGCGTGATATGACAGCTTCGCGTGAAACAAGGCCATCTCCGACTCGTCGTATTTCAAACCTTGAGCTTCGGGCATGGCGGTGTCGTCGGCACCCTTTGTCGGCATTGCGGGTGAACAAAGGGGAAACGGCAAACCGAACAAAACCGAAGGTGATCGATCAAACGATTGGGATGCACCAATTCTAGGCAAGAGAATGACCTCTATCCGGATGGAATGCTGAAAAGCAGGTATCGACTGGACGTGGCATGGGCTCACGAAGAAAGTATTTTTGCCATAGATGGGCGAGAGCGCGTAGCGATGAGTCTGGAGAGAGATTGATCGATTGCAACGCAGATGCACGGACGAGCGATGAGCCGAGCGAAAGAAGAATGAAAACGACGATAACGAGAGAGTTGAAAGAGGGAGCTGCAAGATTGTCAAAGGAATAAAAAAAAAGACCGACGTCGGAGTGGTGTATGGAGATGAAGAATGGGAGGTGCTGCCATTCCCTTATATTGCAAGCTCACACACATTTCCCCGTGGAGAACCTGAACCTGGTCATCCAATACCCGACAGCCCCCTTAGTATCACCCGACAACTACTTCTAGGGTGATACTAGGGGAAAAGGGGGGGCTACGAAACACCCCCAACGGCGCAGGACCAAGCCAACCCGGAAAGAGGTTTAATAAATAGAATACTGTATAAAGAGTGAAACATGGAAAGTGCGAGAGTGGCGTACAGCTGATTGTATCTTGTAGCGTAACGGATATTCGAAGTGATGCTGAGTACCAACACATACAAGCGTTTGTCTATGGAAAAAAGAAAAGTGCTATCTGTCTCATGACGATGGCAACCGAGCCAATCGACCCGACCGCACTCAAGGCCAGGCTGTTGATTGGTAGAACTCATGGTAACACGATTTACTACCGCGCAACCGGACACGCATAGGAAGAATCTGCTGGAGCGTGGTCGAGAGATGCAGCAGTCCCGTCTCGGTCCGTATGGTTGTGCACGTAGGCTTGTGCGTCAGGGTCGAATTACTTAATGAGAGGAATTTTAGGCAACGTATTGATCAACGTCTGCTTTCCGATTGGTGGGTTCAAACGTTCATCTTGACTGGATCAACAGCTGTATCTACATTGTGGCTACGAGAGGCTGGTATCAATAGGGTATCAATAGGGAATCATTAGGGATAACCACCCCATCTCGTATCTTGCCACGCGGAAACCGAATGACACAAGCCGGAGCTAGTTTGATAAAGTCCAGAAATTACACGAAAATAAAGTTGATGTAGCCTGCCAGTCTTTCAGCCTTTCCGTCGTTGCACCGGCCTTTTTCTTCTCCACTGGCTATATTGTACATGGTCTACCCCGTATCCCATCGCTGCATGGGAAGAGCATTGTTATTTTCCCGATCAACGTCATTCTATGTTATACTATTGTTTTATGCTACGGAGAATTGAGTAAGAAGAAAGACACTATCAAAGGATATTACGAATCGAAGCATATAAGGCAGCCTCACTTACCACGAAAACCACAGAAAATCAGAAAAAAAAGAAGGACTAGAGACGCTTGCTACTTCTTCATTGTATACTTGCATAGTATAGGATCTGATCAATACTACAGAACATCGTGCCAATTTCCAAGGCTGTAACACTGTCGGATGCGAGGAGTCTGTTGACCATTTCATGTCCCAGCACACATGATCTGAAAGCCCATAAAGAGCAACATTGAAATGGCAAATTGACTTTAGATTGCAGGTAATCAAGAAGACCGGTGTGTTTGGTCAAGCCACTTAGCTCGGTACCTGAGCTGTTTGTGTGACGCTGCATGCCAAAGATATTAGTGTTTGAGTTTGATTAAAACTCAGACCAGGAATAATGGTGGAGATTCAATCATGTATCAAGCGTTTATGAATCAAACAAGATTCAAGACATGGCTTTTCCATGGTTGTTTAGGGCTGATGATATCATCTGATTTCGGATCGCCAAGATTCAATCCCATTGTAGGAACAAGTCACAGGACTCATCGCAATTATACCATCGTACCTGTCCAGGTGGAACTGAGGTGGAACTGCAGTATTAGCCTTATTCGACCGCACTACAGACCATGGAAGATGGATACAGTGCAACAGAACACGCATGCCTCCGTCGGAAACGTACAGCTGCATCGGAACCGACGCCGTTTCATCATCCACTTGGCATGGGCACCTTGTGTCAAATTTGGGCCCAAAGAGCCACTTGTAGCGCTCTTGCGTCCTGTCGCAACGTCCCAAAATTGTGGCGCATGCGAGGGGAAGATGTTTGCTTCTTATGGTTTCATTGTGGGTCTTGGATGGGCATCCACATGTATAAGGAGAATTATCTATGACTTACGGGTAGATGCAGATCCAGTGGTATTGAATTCAGGTGACGGCCGATGAGCTTGACAATATCCGGGATCGGATCTTCAATCAGAGGTCGGATAGAACACGTAATTTGATTATTAAGGTCTGCTACCGTTCAAACTCCGGTATACATCACAGTCCAGATCTGCCTTCCTCATCCCGTCTGGCCAAAGCCCTTTCTTTCTTTGCTTTTTCCATATCCAGGGACATCTTCACAGGTGCCACTCCAGGGGTCTCAAATATCGTATCAATCTCTTCTAAGGTCAGTCCACTGGTTTCAGGGAAGAAGAAGTATGACAGAACCAGCTGGACAGAGTTATATGCGATATACACCACCCAAATCTTGTAACCAACTTTGGCGATCCCCACGCTAATGCCATAGCTTTGAACAGCGCTTGCGCCACCTTGGATCAGACTGTACAGACCCATGCCCTTCGCACGGAGTGCCAGAGAGAGCACCTCCACAGGGTAAAGATTGTGCATCGTAGCGATGAGAGACGCAGAGAATGTTTGGTACAGGAAAATCCAGAGAATGGTCAGTGCGGCAGCGGCATGACTAGAGGTGAGGCTGTACTGCCAGGATGTGATGGTCACCGCAGTCTGGAAAATGATCATCGCGATCAAGCCAGAGAAAATAAGGGTTCGTCGGCGGAATTTATCAACCAACAGTGCTCCAACCGCGGTAAAGACAAAATAAGTCGCTGTGCTCCCGATTGTGATTCCCAGCTGTTGCTTTGTGGTGTTGACTCCAATGGTCTCCAGTGCCGGTGTCATCTAGGATTAAGTTGGTCAGTATTTGAAAGGCAAAGGTGAAGGAATCTATTCTTCTTACATAGTATGTGATGATACCGCCACCATTCCACTGCTGGAAGATCGAGTAGAGTGTCAGAACCAAAAGCCGGTAGCGAACAGTCTTGGTGAAAAAGACTCGATAATCCCAGAACTCAGAAAAGCCAGCTCGATCGTTTTCCAAAGACTCTTCCATCTGGGTGACCACAATCTCAACAATTGGCTCATTGATGTCACCACTGGTGGTGTGGTACTTGGCTATCACTTTCTTGGCCTTCTCGCGCTGGCCCCTCATGACATACCATCGAGGCGACTCCGGGGTCAAGAAGAAGATAGTCAGGCATACGAGGGCCGGGAACACAGCTTCGAGGATTAGAGGAATACGCCAGGCATTGTTTCCAGGCAGGTTGTCAAGCCCGATCATAGCACCGAGCATGACCAAACTGCCTACCTGGAAGCAGGCACCGAAGAAACCAACCATGCGGCCACGGAGGTGAACCGGAGAAATCTCACCAATATACTGAGAGCTTGACATCAAAGCAGTACCGAAGCCCATGAAGAACCGGCCCGCCATGAACATGCTTAGATTGGTGGCACAGCCCTGCAAGATAGCAGCAAGGATCACAATCGCATTTCCAGCGAAGTTGATGCCCCGACGACCGATCACGTCGGCAAAGGCCATGAATGGAGCACCGCAGACTGTTCCAATGCTCATCAATGCATTGATTAATCCGTAGGTACTTCCCGCGGTACCGAAACCAAAGTAGTCATGCCATGCCTGCAATGCGTCAATGCCACCAATCACACCCCAGTCCACTCCAAAGCCAGCCTGATTAAAGCCTTGAACGAGCATGATAAGGAACAAGCGAAAACCAGTCCATGACCAAAGGCTCAGTGACTCCTGCGAGATCGTCCACAAGTCTTCTTCTGTCAATCTTGCCAGAGCAACCTCCTCAACATACTCCTCGCTGTCAATCTTCGACACCTTCTCTGCTTGCGGCGTAACTTTCGCCATGGTAGAAGTACCGAAAAAGGAAGTCACAGAGTAGTCTCAAAATATGTGCCGAACAACCAAGCAGACCCAAGACAGGTTAGCTGTTGAGAAATCCGGGGAAGAACCAAGGAGCGATCGCTCGTATTTCAGCTCCAGTGAGCCTGGATAACCCGACCAGGATCATCATGGTGGCTAAAGATTCATGCTCAGAACCCTATTCGGCCACGGACACTAGCCAGGATCCGAGTCTAAACAGGAAAAAAAGAAAGATCTGGAGATCAATGACTGGGTCTCCTAGCTTCGCTAGCGTGACGCGACTAAAAAAAGCAATCATTGCAGTGAAATGGCGTTAGTCACATTACCTGTCAGGATGGAGAATCACCAATAAAGCCCTTGCTTCCACTAGGGGAGCATTATGAGGCGCGAAATGAGGAATCCTGGAAGGCGTTGATTGGGTTTCTCCACCACTTGCAAGCGAGTGCGGGGAAATATAGATTGAGCTTGATGCTTGACTTTCGCGCTAGTCTAAACGTCCGGGTCAAAGTCAATCTACCAAAGAAAGTCTGAATTTAACCGGGATCTAGGTTTGCGATGTTACTGCTAGAAAGAAGGCTAGCAGGGATTTTGTATCACGCGTTCCTTCTACGAATGTCCACTATATTCTCATGGCTCCACGGTGGTCGGGGTCCGGTTGCACTTTGAATCAGAGAAGACAAGGGAACTTCGTTTCCTCTTCATTTTAACATCTAAATTCTAACGTCATAATTAAAGCATCATGAGTGAGCTGTGGTACGAACAACCCGCGGCCACTTGGAATGAGGCTCTCCCCTTGGGCAATGGTCGACTTGGCGCCATGGTCCACGGTCGCACCGATACGGAGATGATCCAGCTTAACGAAGCTTCGTTATGGTATGGTGGGCCTCAACAACGAACACCCGAAGACGCCTTGGGCAACCTGCCAGCTCTGCGACAAGCCATTCGCCAGGGAAATCATATCGAGGCGGAAAGGCTCGTGACCACATACTTCTTCGCAACCCCAGCAAGTCAACGACACTACGAGCCTCTCGGTAATCTTTTCTTGGATTTTGGACATAAGCCCGAGAACGTTAACAAGTACGTACGTTCTTTGGACCTTACAAAGGGGGTCTTGCATGTCAACTACGAGCACCAGGATGTTGCATACGAGCGACAGATGATTGCCACTGATAATCCTTCAGTACTCATTCTGCGCGTTCGCTCCTCAGTGAAGACAGGTTTTATGCTACGTCTGACCCGAATGAGTGACCTTGAATTTGAGTCGCATGAGTACTTTGATTATGTCGAGACCGTCGGAAAGAGTCCTAACTTGAAAATTCCGGGTCGTAAGGAGAATACAATCACCATGCACATCACGCCCGGTGGAAAGGGAAACCCTGCCTGTTGCATCGTCCATGTTCAAACCCTCGATACGGACGGGAAAGGCAGTATTACTAAAGAGGGCAAGAACCTGGTCGTCAATTCTGATGATGCGGTAATTTACATCGCGGCGCGAACAAGTGTGAATGGGAAGAAAGGTGATAACCATGCGGAAGCCGATATTGCAAGCATTGCATCCGCTCCACGCGATACCTGGAGACAACAAGTCCAAGAGAACCAGAAGATATGGAAGCGAATGCATCTGACGCTCCTACCAGATCGATCAGACCTTTCTACAGATAAACGAGTTTTGGAAACCAGAGACCCGGGCTTGATAGCACTCTACCATAACTACAGCCGCTATTTGCTCATGGCCTGTAGTCATGAAGGGAGCGCGGCTTATCCTTTACCGGCTAATCTACAGGGAATCTGGAACCCTTCTTTTCACCCGGCTTGGGGCTCTAGATTTACCATCAACATCAATCTGCAGATGAATTATTGGTCTGCAAACCTTTGTAACCTATCTGAATGCGAAATGCCTTTGTTCACACACCTCTCCCGGATGGTAGCCAATGGCGAGAATACTGCGGAAAAGATGTACGGTTGTCGTGGCTGGACTGCCCATGCGAACACTGATATCTGGGCCGACACCGATCCTGTAGACCGTTGGATACCAGGTACGCTCTGGCCGCTCGGAGGTGCATGGCTCTGCTGTCATATATGGGAGCATTTCCAATTCACGGGAAACGAGAGCATTCTCCGAGAATATTTTCCAGTTCTTCGTGGATGTGTCGAGTTTCTCCTCGACTTCCTGATCAAAGATTCATCTGGAAAATATCTAGTGACATCCCCATCCGTCTCGCCTGAGAATTCATATTACGACAAGAAAGGACAGAAGGGTGTGCTATGTGAGGGAGCAACCATTGACATCCAAATAATTGATGCTGTGCTACGAGACTTCGAGTTAGCAACCGCGCAACTAGGCATGACGGATGATTCCCTCCTTCCCCAGGTTCACTCAACTCGCACTCGGCTCCCACCTATGCAGATCAGCCCGAAAGGCTACCTACAAGAATGGGCTGAAGACCATGACGAAGTCGAGCCTGGCCATCGACACACGTCTCATTTATGGGCCCTCTACCCCGGCAATGCGATCACGCCAGACAAGACCCCCAACCTCGCAGCTGGGTGCAGAGAGACGCTTCGCCGACGCGCCGAGCACGGAGGTGGTCACACAGGCTGGAGTCGTGCCTGGCTCATCAATCTGTACGCCCGACTCCGTGACACGGCGGAATGTCAAAAGCATCTCGACTTATTACTGGCGAAATCTACCCTTCCGAATCTCTTTGACAATCACCCGCCATTCCAGATCGATGGTAATTTTGGTGGGGCTGCAGGTATCGTGGAGATGTTGATTCAGTCCCACGAGTCGGGATTTATTCGACTCCTCCCAGCCTGTCCGAGCGACTGGACGGGAACCATCCATGGCGTGCGTGCTCGAGGGGGCTTCGAACTGGACTTTAGCTTTGAAAATGGAGCTCTTGTGGGTGATGTCATTATCCAGTCCCAGGGAGAAAAGAAAGTCACTCTTGTTTTCCCGGGTGGGTTTGAGTTGAATATTGAGTGTGCTGGCAAATCCAGGTTCCCGCCGGAGATTTACTCTAGATAGACTATTAGTACATGTGCAAGATACGTGGGACGAATAATCATTTGTCTTGCATGAGAATCTAGACAATCGTTTCAAGTACCTTTGTCACTCATAATCCCTGCTACTCCGGCCTTCCCTAAATAGGCACGGAGCAACCATCCGCATCAGCCAAGTCCTGGATAAAATGGAAATAATCCTAGTAAATACAAGAGCTTAGCCGGATGAACCCCGCATGGCTTTATTGATCGAGAGCTTTACCATGAGCTAGAAAAATATCAACGCCACCTATACACCACTCCAGCGAAAACAATCAAGCCCAAAGATGGATCTAGCTTCAGTTCACGACCTCAAAGGCGTCCTTCGTCCGGACTTTTTTCATGGTTACGCCACAGCCGCAGCCCAGATAGAAGGCGCCTGGGATAAAGACGGCAAAGGCGTCTCGATCTGGGACACATTCGGCCATACACCAGGCAAGGTAGCCGATGGCAGTAACGCCGACGACGCAACACGCGCATACGACTTCTACCGCGAAGATGTCGCCTTGATGAAATCCTACGGCGTCAATGCATACAGATTTTCACTATCTTGGTCGCGTATCATCCCGCTCGGAGGCCGTGACGATCCTGTGAATGAGCAGGGAATACAATACTATTCGAATCTAGTCGATGAGCTTTTAGCTAACGGTATCACGCCCTTCGTTACGCTCTTCCATTGGGATATACCGCAGGCGTTGGAGGATCGGTACGGCGGGATGTTGAATCAGGATGCGTACACCCCTGACTTCATTCGGTATGCACGCGTGTGCTTTGAACGGCTCGGCGATCGCGTTAAGCACTGGATTACATACAACGAGCCTGGAGTGTATACATTAGCCGGATACGCAGCCGGCGTGCACGCACCAGCACGATCTTCTTTCCGAGAACGCAATGCGGAGGGAGATTCATCCACCGAGCCGTTCATCGTCGCGCATACAGAACTGGTATCTCACGGTCATGTGTCGAAGATGTATCGTGAAGAGTTCCAGCCTCAGCAAAAGGGTACGATCGGTATAACGTTGCATGGGAATTGGTCCGAGGCTTGGGATGAGGAAGATGAACGCGATCAAGAGGCTGCGCAGCGTGCACGTGAGTTCGAGATCGCTTGGTTTGCTGATCCGGTTTATAAGACTGGTGATTATCCTGCTTCTATGCGCGCTCAGCTTGGTGATCGACTTCCCCGCTTTACGGAAGAGGAGTCGAAGCTTGTGCTTGGGAGCTCGGAGTTCTATGGGATGAATAGTTATACGACTTTCTTCATGAAACATACCACTGCGCCGCCGGATATCAATGATCATAAGGGGAATGTGGAGGTTTGTGATGTGAATAAGCGGGGTGTTTCTCGTGGGGAGGAGAGTGATACTGAATGGTTGCGAGCTAATCCTCAGGGATTCCGAAAGTTGATAAATTGGATCTGGGCGAGGTATCATACTCCTATTTATGTGACTGAGAATGGTACCACTGCGAAGGGAGAAGTGGCACCAACACCAGAAGTTCTGAATGATGACTTCCGCATCAAGTTTTTTGAAGGATATGTGGGCTATGCTTTGGCTCGAGCTGTGAAGGAGGATGGAGTTGATATTCGGTCTTATTTTGCGTGGACCTTTACTGATAATTGGGGTAAGTCTTCCTGATAAAATGTGCGATTGTCGAGATGACTAACTGGCTATAGAATGGGCCGCTGGCTATGCCGACCGATTTGGAAGTACTTGGATTGACTTTGAGTCTGAGAATAAGACTCGGTACCCCAAGCAATCTGCTTACTACCTGGATCGTCTGTTCAAGCATTTGATCCGTGAGCAATAAGCGTCGATAGCGATAGACTACCCATATCTAGAATGTCATTATGCGAGATTTAAGGTTTGCCACCAGTCATACACCTCGGCTGTCAATTTTGACAGGGTAACCATATTTTAAAGTAGATAGCTATTAAGCTTAGAAATTGCTAATATTTCGCCTTTCAAGCCATCCTACAATGGCAAAGTGGTTTACTCACGTATGGACAGTAGCATCCACCTTCCTTTCTGAGCGAAAGTATGAGATAAGACCACTTGCGGCAGGTCATTGCGATAACCCTATCGGCTAACCCCCTCATGACTCCAACCCTCGGCTCTATGATAGTGACCCCAATAGTCATCAGACATTTAAAATGAAGTATATGACCAATCGTGTTTGAACTTATACCACCCTCAACACCATCGCACAACACCATAATCATGCCTGCAGAGCCGATCAAATTGACATTGAGGGGAAGCCCCCGAGAGGTATTCCTTCTTCCCCATACTACAGATAAACAAATCTAATCAGTGCCTCAAGATTGGCGTTGAACATGGCCGCACTCTCCGAAACCAAATCCGCAGCCAGATCAGCATCTACGAGGCCATGTTCGAGTATACCTCGAAACTATCATGGCCCGATGTCCGTGAAGTCGCCAAGGACTTTCAACCCGCCTTGATGAAACTCGTCCCCGATATCTATGCCGAAATGGAAGGAATCGCCGAAGGAGCAGAGCTTGAAATCCTTGATATCGTCGCGCTCAACTGTCGTAGCGAGATTGCTCTTGGAAAATTCTCCGACGGCTGCACAACGCTATGCTGGAAGAAGAGCGATAATGCGCGCGTACTCTCTCAGAACTGGGATTGGGCTTCGCCAATAGGAAAAAACATTGCTATGATTTCGATTGAGCAGCTTGATAAGCCAACGCTTTATATGGTGACTGAGGTAAGGTATTCCCGAGATCATTGATGGACTCATGCTGATTGATGCAGGCGGGCCTTGTAGGTAAAATCGGCTTCAATTCTGCAGGTGTCGGTACCTGTCTGAATGCCATTCGTGCAAAGCCGATGATCAGCAGCAAACTTCCAATTCACGTTGCACTTCGACTATGTCTCGAAAGTGTATCTGTTGATGCTGCTGTGAAGACTCTGGAGGCTTTGGGAGGTGTTGCGTCTGCACAACACATTCTTGTTGCAGATAGCACAACTGCCCTTGCACTGGAACTCTCGCCTGTGGGTAATAAGTATATTCCAGAAGATGAGGCTGGGCTTATCCCGCATACAAACCATTTCATTGAAAACCGATATGTGGAGGAGCCGCCTTGGCTTTCTGGATCTCCGATCCGCTTGAAGCGGGTTAAGGACTTGGCACTGGGGCTCATCGCAAATGGGACTTCCGGCGATGCTATTACACCTTCTTTACTACGGGAACAGATCTTTTCTGATACTTTTAATGTTCCTCAGGCCATTTGTTGCCAGGAAGATCAGGCTGTCCACGTCTCGATCCGCGACAACACTCTATTTAATATTGTCATGAACCTGGAACCTGGGCGCGTGGGTGCTGAGGTTGTTTTTGGTCGTCCTGGTTCTGGTGAAGAGGGGCCTGTCTTCAAGATGCCTTGGGTATGATATAAAATGCTTGTCAATCGCTAAACTACAACTGGGGTCGGGGGTATTACTACTCAATCAATAGACAGGCTTCCTAGTTAATGGCAATACCTCTTAGTGAATGCAAAGACGTTCGCTCACTATTTCTTCCAATTGAGGCCTCTGATTCTTACTTTTCTCAACCCTCCGTCTTTGCATATTTTTCAGTCTGAGCGTTCTGTTGCTTGGATACTCCCCCACCCCACCTCATTCTTAACCTTTGCTTCTGTATTAGCTTGAAGGGCTCCTGTTGCTACTCTGAGTCTAGCATAGAACGTCAGGTTTCTCTTCAAGTTTGTCCACGGGTCTACTTTAATGCCTGAATTGGTCATACATTTTCTCTCGCTGCAGCTCTCCGCCCTTTTCAATTGCACAAATTGCACAGTCGCTACCCTCGATACCGCGTACGATCTTCCTCCCCTCCCTTCTCTTCCCTTTCAAGTGTATTAATTCTTACTGATCGACGGATAGCTCATTCACAGGCCCTGGTTTGTACCATCGACACCCTCGCTAGGCTTCGAGGCTTGCTTCGCAATGAACAAAACCTTGAATGCAAAAGCTGAGTGGGAGAAGTGCATTCGACTCATCACGCATGTTATCGTGGGACTGGGCCACCAGCCCTCTCAGCCCAGCCATGAGGTGTTGGAAAGTTTGGAATCAGTCCAATTCAAGTTCGAGGGCCTATTACTGATGGCGGACCCTGAGTACCAATACGCCTCCGACACCTTAACGACTGGCCGCATCACAATTCAAAGAGAGAAAGCCCGCCTCGCCAAAGATCCGCAGAGCTTTGAAGATGTGATGCGGAATATGACGGATATGTTGAGCTCAATGCAAGCTCGGAATATCTTCTAGTACGAAAAATCTAGTCAAATGAAAGAAATTCATTCCTCCTTAAGGCTCTTAAATCATCTCTTATCCTTCACATATAACTCAACGGTAGCCTGCTTCCTCTTCTATATCTCCCCCCTTCAACCTTGACATTTACTTCAGTCTGAGCTTGAAGGGCTCCCCTGACATGACCGAGCGTCTCGCTAGGCCATGTGACAGTTACAAGTTCAATGTTATAGGCCAGAAGATAGACCTCCAACGTGACCAACCGTTTCTTTTCGTTTACAAAAACATCGTGGGGGCTTTCAATATCTGAAGATGGTAATAGGTTTGATTAGCCAGGGATTTGAACTTGAATCTGAGGCGGACTTTCTTGGATGTCGGAGACTGAAAAGTCACCTGAATCCTACCATATTTGGAAGGCTTGTGCTTGATTGTTATGTTGGTTGTTCTGAATAGCCATCTATATCGTTATATATGCGATTGGCCATATGCTAAATCTACGAGTTGGAGATGATGACGAACCCACTTCCAGCCTTCTTATCGAAATTTCCCTTTTCCCAGCTATTCCCTGTTATCAATACCGTCTAGTCAGCACTAAGTTCACCTGTATAGTCTCTCGTGAAGTACCCTGTTTCTCCAATCTCAAGATTTCGACTTGTCTTCCTAGGACTAAGTCATACAAAGCCAACTGACAAATGAAGTCGCGAGCGGTAAGGAATGTCTTGGAATGCTGATCCAAATCAATAGAAAATTGATTCACAGAACATGCGGGGTCGCAACCCTGGAAGTGTGCAGAAGTCCACTGTACGATTGGCAATCGCTAGCAATCGACTGGTGTAACCGAGCTCCACTATATGCTGGGGGCTACATACTAATGCATGGAACTCGTCATTCTTTGCGGCGATCACGCCAAGTCTCACCTTCAGCTCTGTGTGATACGACATAATGAGAGGGGCTTGCATACCATATCTCGGTCAACGGGACCAACCTAAACACTAGTAAATCCATGGAAACCAGTTTAAGCGACGCTTTTATTAATGAGCCGGTTTCCCCACGTCTGAGAATTTTAGAATCAACTTCTACCTCAACACTGCGATGAGCTCCACCACTAATATCCCTGAAGAGCGCCCTGTGGCAAATTCATCAGAGAATGATCCTTTATTGGACCATTCAGGCGACGTCACCCAAGATGAACGGAACATATGGTTCAATCTGATCGCGGGTGAGGTCATATCAAATCTCTTTCTATGAGCTATTGTGAACTGACAATTTCGGCTTGACAGATTCCGCTGGTCTTGCTCAGATTGGGATCTGGGTTGTAAGTGTCTATACCAGGGTTTCGCAGTGTCACAGAAAGCATCACTGTAACACATCAAGGTCGATACATTGACTAAGTTCTCTAGTTCGCCGCCCTTGTATGGTCCAACATCTTAGCCCAACCAATCATCCTCTTCACGGCTCATCCAGTAAGCCGACCATGTGATTTTGAGCAAGGATAAACATCTCTGACCAATCTCCAGCTTCTCGCCAGCTCAGCTCTTCTCCTCCAGATCCAAGGAATCCTCATTCTTCAACACACGTCCATCGAAAAACCATCCCAAAAACGCACGGGAGCCCACATCCATTATACAATCCAATTAATAAGCACCATCCTCTTCCTCGCAGCCTTCATAGTAATTGAAATTAACAAAGGCTCCCATCCCCGCTTAACCTCCACGCACAGCATTCTCGGCCTCCTCACCGTCATCTTCGTCGTGCTCCAATCTCTCTTCGGAGTCGTCCAGTATTTCCTGCCAGAGTTGGTTCTAGGCAGTGTCGATAACGGAAAGAAAGTATACAAATATCATCGTTGGAGCGGATATGTGGCGCTGCTGGTGCTGGAGATTCCGGCTGCGATCTGGGGGGCGACGCAGACGGACTACAGCATAGCTATGTTGCATATCCCGTTGTGGGCTGTTCTCACTGCGGCTGCCGCGGTGATTGTTGGTGTGGGTGCGAGGATTAGGAAGCAGAAGCTAGGATTGGGAAATTGATTTGAGATTTGAGCCGGTGGTTGTTTATGATGAAAGTTGGTGTGATCGTGCGATCGTACGACTTAAAATGACCTGCTGCATTTCGGGTATTTCTTTGTTATAATTACAGTTTATGAATAGGCAAAGTCATAATTTGATATTAATTTCCCCCTTCATCTGGTCATTTCATTTGTATCACTGTCGGGCTTCACGGAGAAATCATATAGTTCAAGTGGATTAGATGATCCAATTACCTGCTCCACCGAACAGCTAATCCACACCCGCCAATTTCTCCAACTTCCTCACCTACAAACATCATGGCACTCACAAGCCCCTACATCTGCCTCAATTGCAGGTGGGCACCCCGATACAGACTAAATCAACTGCAACTCCGTCGCAATTTCTCCCTTTCCCCCCGCCACCACCAAATCCTCCGACCAGCAACAGCACCAAAGCAAACACCCGACGTCAAGCACATCCGCCAGAATGTAGAACGCTACGCCCAAAACTGCATCGACCGAAACTACGCCGGACACGCAGGATACCCCTCGCAAATCCAGATACTCTCCGATGAAGCGCGACAGCTTGACTACGACCTGAAAACGCCGCGGTCCCGCGCCAAACAGCTCGAGAAAACCATCGCAAAGCTCTCGATTGCAGCCCGCGCTACAGGAACCAATGAGCCGGCCGACACACAAGACCAGGAGATCGCAGCTCTAAAAGCAGAAGCGCAACGCCTGAAAGACGAGTCCGCAGTCATGACAACCCGCAAAGCAACCTGCACCGAGGAAATCAACCGCCTAGCTCTGTCCCTCCCGAACCTCTCCTCCTCCGAAACACCAATCGGCCACACACCCCGCCTAATAAACTACCTTAACTTCGATCCTGCAAACCCTCCCGCGTGGACAAAAAGCTCCCCATCCGACCTCCAGTCCCGCTCTCACGTCACAATCGGTACAAACCTCGGCCTACTAGACTTCACCAGCTCAGCTACAACAACAGGATGGGGCTGGTACTTCCTCATAAACGAAGGCGCAATGCTCGAACAGGCACTCATACAATACGCACTTAGCATCGCGCGCCGTCGAGCCTGGAAAGCAGTTTCCCCACCTTCAATCGTGTACTCCTACATCGCCGATGCATGCGGGTTCCAGCCTCGCGACCAGCATAACGAGCAACAAATCTGGAGCATTGAGCAGAATGAACGTGATCGCGACCATAAGCCACAGCGCTCATTAACGGGAACGGCAGAGATCCCGCTGGCAGCTATGTATGCGGGCCGCGATATTCAAGCTACCGATTTACCTTTGAAGCTTGCTGGTTCTAGTAGATGTTACCGAGCAGAAGCTGGTTCGCGCGGTGTGGATACGAAGGGATTGTACCGCGTGCACGAGTTCACGAAGGTAGAGCTGTTTGCTTGGGCGGATAATGTTGGGTCTGATAAGGCTACGGCTACGTCGGATGATCTGTTCGCGGAGCTATTGGATATCCAAACGGAGATTCTGACTTCCCTTCATCTTCCTTGCCGTGTGCTTGAAATGCCTACGGGTGATCTCGGTGCGAGCGCGACTCGGAAACGGGATATCGAGGCTTTATTCCCGTCGCGGCTGCGTCCGTCGGCAGCGGCGCCTGATACTGCTATTGTTGATCCCGCTATTCAGGAGCTCGAGTCTGCTTGGGGAGAGGTTACGTCTGCTTCTATCTGTACGGATTATCAGAGCAGACGGCTTGGGACTCGGGTTCGTGGTGGCGCTGTGAAGGAGTCGCGTTTCCCGCATACTGTGAACGGTACAGCGATGGCTGTGCCGCGTGTTTTGGCTTGCATTCTGGAGAATGGATTTGATCCTGAGCGGGGTGTGGTTGTCATTCCGGAGGTATTGCGGCCATGGATGGATGGTATGGAGACGATTGGGAAGAAACAGTAGAGGCTGTCCTGATCCGTGTATATTATGATAGATATTTTGGGGATGTGTACGTATATGGTTGTATTTATCTAAAACATTATGTTCAAGTGCGCATCATCTTGTAGATACTCTAGGTGCATACTGGTTGTCATGGATTTGATATAGATTCAAGGACAATTTTGTGACGATCTATGGTCCAGAACCATGGACGAACAGAAGTATAGAAGCGCCAATACAATTCATCAAGTCATAACACATTAACTAAGGCGCAGTAAGGACATCGCATCATAGGGAAAATCAAGACATAGGGATACATCCAAACCAAGCTCTAGAACAGACCAGCAGTTCAGAACGAGGTAAAATAACCAAAGACGCCAGGGTCACGACTCCGAAATATAACCAAATAGGTATCTGGAGAGCAAGCCGCCAATTGACGTGAAAACAACCAACAAATCAGAACATCGTAAACATAATAAAGAGAAAAACATAAGGCCCACATCTTATTGGGGCCAAGGCAGATCAGCCTCTTCGACCCGCGTGCAGGTCAAATACGGCAGCCCTACATCGGGAATATGCTCAATAGCCGCAGAACTTGCACTGCTGTGCTCCGCACCACTTTTCAGCTCCAACTCAAGGAAATTGCGCATGAGCGGTTTAACGATTTCACGTGCCAGCCGTTTAATCTCGTCCATCTTACGCTCGAAACGCTTCAAAGTTTCGCGATTGTAAAGCGAATCCGCTGATTGGGTCGGGTGGATCTTCAGGAAGCGTTTCAGTTCGTCGTGGGGCAAGTATGCCTGTGACGAAGAAGACCCAATCAACCGATACACGCGAGCAGAAGGATCAGGCGGGGTAACAGGTCTCGATGAACCGGCTTGTGAGCCTGGTGCAGGTGTTTGGGGAGGGTTGGTAGCGGTGTTCTTGAGTATGGGAGCTGGAGGAGGAGTGGTACTCTCAATGAGCCATTGGCGGAATAAAGAGACGGCCAACCAGTCTAAGTAAGCGTTGTTCGGACCGACCCGTTCACCGCGGGAGGTCGTCAGAGACAGACGGAAGAGCTTGGAGTCAACGCGGGCCTTTAAATCTTCCAGATCTTCGTATTTGTCCTCGATGAGATCGAGCACAGCATTTGGAAGGGGAGCGTATGAGCCGTTACGCAGGTTTGGCAGGGCGGCTGGCCACTGGCCGACAACATGTATGAGAGCTTCGGAGAAGATCACCCGGCTGCGGGCTAGGTATCCCAGTTTGAGGTAGCTAGGAGGGTATTTGGCAATCTGTTTGAAGAGTCGCGAGCCGAATCCTAGGAGGTGGTGGTCTACTCGGGGGCCAGTGACTGGTAGCGCATCGTACATGTCTGCCAGGGCGAGGAGAGACTTGCACTCTGTGTAAGCCGTAGCAATATTCACACTGTTTAGCACAGGCGGATGATTGTAGAACATGCGGAAGAGGTTCTCGTAGTCGCGAATCAATGGGTCGGCAGTATTGCGGTCTCCCCCTTCGGTTCGTGGGAGGTGCACTACTGACTGCATTCCGGCCAAGTTCGCCATAGATCGGAAGTAGCCCGCCTGAGCATTTGATGGTTTGGTCATCGTTGGAGGAAGCCCGTGTTGATCGCCACTGGTAAACATAGGAGCGTAGGTAGGTTGCTACTCAAGAAAGTGAGGTTAGTTATGGGCCTGGTACACCCCTTGCGACTCGCGAGTGCGACTGCGACATGAAGATTGGGACCAACCTTCTGAACAAGTATGGGCTCCTCGTCCTCTCCCATATTTTCCCAGTCCAACTCATATCTCCATCGTCGCTTTTCTCCTGTCCGCATCGATAGAGTCCCATTATCAGACTGCGCAAGCGTAGATCCATTGGATAACGAGTCGTCCTCGCTCACCCGAGACAATGTCCCATCGGGCTTCGAGGGTCCCGGCGTACTCTGCCCCGACCATTCCTCCTTTGTGCTTGCCTCGAAAAAGCCGGAGCATTGCGCCAGAATCAACCGGTGAAGAAGGTATCGTTTCTCATGCGACCCAGCACGGATCGCGATCTCGGTGTCGCCCGTATACGTGAAGATCGGGAAATCGTTCGAGGATGTCGATCCGGAGCCGCCGTGGTGGGAACGACCTGATCTATGACGGCGGGTCGAATGCGAGTGACGCGATACCACGGATGGGGCACTCTGGTTTGGTGCGATGCGATCGACGACTTGAGCCTGGGATACCATTGCGCGCGTGGATTTCTTTGTTTATGCTTCATGTAGATCGAAGTGAAAATCCCGTTAGCAACGAGGAGGTGCGCCGGCGATCAACACCTATTCGCGCAGCCTGATGCCGTCATTTAAAACCATGTAAAACGTGGGAAATGAGGGTGTGGGTGGGTGGATAAGGGAGTTGTGGTCAGAGAGTGGTATCGCGCCGGTGGATTTAGGATTTTATCCCCGCGATCCCAAAACAATGGTTATAGATAGATTGCACAATCCCACAAAGGCATGAATCTTGAAATGTACTCAGGATTTTTATTTGAGTGGTACCTGGAGGAAAAGCCGGAATAGTGTAAATCAAGTACTCTAGCCCAATTTGGTGGACATCGTACTTGGTAGTACAGGCCGCAAGCAGCTGAAATCGCAGTGGCAAAAGTCGCTGGCTGCAGGTTGAACCAATGAAAGCCTCTGACATAAAGATCGACAATAGAATTCCAGGAACTAAAATAGTTAAGTACAATTAATACAAAATTCTATAGACCAAATTAAGTAGGAATAGATGATCTGGGTTCGGCGGAGTTCGTCGGGACTTTCCTTAATTGACGCCCCTCCTTTCCCCTCGATCTCCTTTTTTTTTTTTCTTGGTAACTTCTACTTGATCATACTTGACGGAGTACATCATTCCCAATAACCTCGGCAGTTCAGATTTCCCCGTTATTCCAGGGAAATACACACACTTCCGTATACGAGGTCACACGATTCCTCGTCACGCTCCGGCTTACTTGAAACTCGACGCCCAAACCGCCCAACAGACAAACAAAAATCTGGCCTTGAACGCACATTCTCGGGACAGCTTCTATAGCTGTCCCGATCTGACCTCGCTGCAGATTTCTTCTCCCGTGATTTCTGCCGACGGTTTCGATCACGACATCAACACTGAGCCCTCTCGCTCACCCTCCCCCGACCCGCTTGCCCCGCGCGTCAAAAAACGTTCCGGCCGACAAACCGTCTCACGCAAAGCGCGCGGCGTCATCGGAAAGGTTCGCGCTTTGCAGCGAATCGCCGCTGCCAAAATGGCGCATCCGTCCATCAAGATCGACACCAGTGTCCAGAGCACTAAACGCGGCCTACCGGATAGCGATGCGGGAATCGATATGTTAAATGAGCAGGGGAATCCCCGGTTGGAGACAGGGGATACAGACGATGTCCCACCGTTCCTGTGCCAATCGGTGACAGGTGAGTCAAGCGGTGTTGCATGCGCCTATAGGAGAATTCTTGCTGCACGTGGGTGGTATGACGAAACTGACCGCTTCCGCTGATAGAGATTCACGACAAGTTTGAAGATCTCGAGTGGATACAGAGGACGCGGATTTCGGATGGTATGGTGTCTAATGACCCTACTCATCCGTATGCAATAGAAACCGACCCGAAAGTCAAGGCGAGGAATCGATACCTAAATGTGCAGGCCTATGCGAATTATCGCATTCATCTGCAGGTTCCCGAGGGCGAATGCGATTTCATCAATGCATCTCCGATTATCCTGAGGGACTCGGTGACGCATGAGGAACTGAAATACATTGCGACGCAGGTGGGTGGTTGTTCAGCTCTTTCCCCAGATATGGTTGTTAGCTAACGCGCTCCTCTGTACAGGGACCCAAGCTTGGACAGCTTTCACACTTTTGGCATATGGTCTTTCATGAGAGCAAGGAGGTGGGCGTCATTATTATGCTCACTCAGACAGTCGAAGCAGGTCGGGAGAAATGCGCCCAGTATTTCCCGCTGCATCAAGATCAACCGTCGATGGATATCTTACTCGAAGAGCCCTTCGATGCCTATATGGGCGATGAGTCTCAACCCGATGACCAACCCGGCATTCTGGGAAAAGTGACACTTTTGGAATCCTTTTATGACGAAAAATCTTGCTCCGAAGTCCGCAAATTAGAGTTGACTCTTGGTTCCGAGTCGAAGATTGTTTGGCATTTCTTGTTTGCGGGCTGGGCAGATCATTGCAAACCGGAGGGGCACGACCGCCAGGGTTTGTTGGAGCTCATTAAGTTGTCTGCCTCTAAATGCGACTCTGAAAGTCCACGAGTTGTGCACTGCAGTGCCGGTGTTGGCCGGACTGGAACCTTCATCGCCCTCGACCATCTCTTGCGTGAACTCGAATCGGGCCAGCTACTGCAGGTAACCAATACCGAGACCGATCCAGTTTATGAATGCGTCAACCAAATGCGTGAGCAGCGCATGATGATGGTGTATAATGAACTGCAAATGCAATTCATCTATGAAGTCCTCCGCGAGCAAACCGACGTCAAGCTGGGCAAATACCCCCAGGAGTCCCCCGAAAGCCCGCATGAGCCACGCTCTGCCAAGCTTCGCAAATTGAGTGACCCTTCAGCTTATGTACCGCCGTCGAAGCCCGAGCTGGAGCCCGTCGTGGACCGAATTCAGACTCCAACGCGAAGCTGGTCTGGGACTCCCGAGGTCTCTGATGAAGAGTAGCCATGGGCTACCCACCCCTTTCTTGCTTGTTATATGTATTCTTCCCTATCCTTCTTGCGATGTGATCACGACCCCCTTGGCTTCTCGATCTTGAGTTCCCCTGCTGCATCATACCATGGCATCCGGTGTTGTATCGGTTTTGTTGTTATCGTATTCAGTTCCCCCAATTGTTTAGCTGGTTTTCTTGCTTTTCGCTCTCGTTTCCTTGCGGAAGCTTTGCTCATCTTATGCCTTTTTTTTCTCCAATACCCCACAGCAGCTCGAATGTTGATGCCCCTTGCGCCGTATGTAGTTCTACCCCACTGGCTGGAATTGTCTAGGCCTGTGTTAGATGTGCTGTATATTAGCTCGATCCAAACCGTGTTTATAGTATATTGCCAGTGCTCCAGTCCAACGTTCTTCGACGGTTTTCAAAATAGGGAATCTAGGTACCTACCTCGGCTTCGATCTAGGTACCCGTCGGCTACCCATGGACGCAGGTATTTGTAAACCCGAGATGGATCTATACCTATCTCCAGGGCTTGATGTCTGACATTTAACATCGAGACCCGTGTGTTCTAAACCTTTGTCACAAATTCCAAGGTTTGCCAAGGTGGGCTTCAGATTTACTGAATTATTCTTTGGAAAACTCACGATCGGCCCTAATTCCAGGTTGTCATTAAAGAGCATGGTAACTATACACTACGGGGCTAAACCCCATCGCTCAAAAATCATTGCAAGTATAAACCGAGATCAGACTGGAACACGCACTGACATCCCGAGGTCCATCTCTCAATGAAGAGCTTGGGAACCATAAAAAAAAAGATAAACAAAGCGCTGCGGAACACAAAATGACTGATATCGTACCAACATGAGATTGATCAACAGATCAGTAATCCGAGCAGGATTGAGGGTAGAAATCGGCTCTCAAACAGGAGGGATAGCCATCAGGAAGAGCATGCTTTCTACTTGGCAGGTTGCTTCAAATGAAGAAATAGCCAATCAATCACTGCGTTTCCCGGCAGGTTCCACGACCGGCCCACCGCTCGCAGCGTAGGTTTTCCGGTCTTCCTGATAACTCGGGGGAGATGATGATGGCTCAGACGGCCCGGGGCCATCCTCGGTATCCCAATTATCAACGGCGTTCTCATCCCATTGATCTACTTCCCGTTCTAGGGACATGACTCCGGATTCCTGCGGACCGAGGCCATCATCTTCATGCTCAGAATGATTTCCTATTCCAGTACCAAGCTCAACATCTTCGCCTCCCTCCGTCATTCCAAAGCGGCTCTTCCGGCGACGATCCAGCATGCGGCGGTGGTACCAGCCGCACAGACCAACGGCGCCGAGACTTCCGACCACATTGGCAACAATGTCAAATGCGTCGAAGGGACGATCATTAGGAAGGAAACCCTGGACGACCTCAGAGCCAATGCTGAGACCAAGGGTACAGACCAGGAGAGTCAGGTGTAAAGTGCGCCGGCGGGTGGTGTCGAGGATCCAGTAAAATGTCAACGACAAGAGGAAGAAGGTGAGCAGGTGGAGGAATTTGTCATTTGGCTGTAGATTTGTGGGAATTGTCGATGAGACGCTGTGTGGAAGAAGACCAATGTACCCGGCGAGGATAAGTAGGAAGACAAAAGCTCCTAGAGATCGTGGTGTTTACTTATTAGCTTCTGGAGAAGTTGATCGTGCGATCGGAATCAGATTACGTACCCGCGAACGGATAGCGGATCCGCATGGTGGGTTCAATAGGCAAGAGAGTAACGATATAGTTTCGAACGTCAACAATTAATTCGAAATATTCAGCTTGTTTCCGTGGCCAAGCTGCTGGAAAGCTTCAAGTGGAGGTTGGGGAAAGCAGTGTGCGGAACGTGGATCAATTGGCCCCAGCGGCTGCCTTGTGCGTCATATGTGGAGAGATAACGGAGATGGAAAGGTGAGATGGTTGGCTTATGTGGTGGGTAGGCAGTCAAAACATAATGAGTCAACAATCCAAGCTGCCAACAGAAAAAGAAAAGTGAAGAAAGAAAAACTGGGGAAGATCGGAGTTATCAGATCGAGGTGAAGTGGAGAGAAGTGAATGTAGACTTGCGATCAGCATAAAACGCCCAAAGCAGATCGTCCCCATTTGCCGCGACTTTCCGCCTTCGCGCCTGCCGTAACTGTACTTCACCCTCGTCCAATCTTCCTTACAGAAGCTCCTGTGTTCTTCATCAAAACTCGCCTCTGTGCCATCGCTGTTGGCCTTTCCGACATCACCTGTCGCTTTGGCCGACCTTGCGGTTTCTCTTAATGCCTTTTTCTTCCCAAAAAACCACCTCCCTGTGATTTCTGGGCCCCGTGATCTTAGCCGTGGAGAATCGAGTCTCGCCCGACCCCAGAGCCGGGGTTTTGGAGCGAGCATGTCGCTCGGTCACAACGCCTGGCCCCCAGGCAATATTCGCCCCCCAGATGAACAACAGGACTCTCCGCGCCCCGTCAATGGCTTGGTCAAGACATTGTCCGGCTCGCGAACCCCCCAAATACGCGGTTCGGTCAGCGCCGAGGGCCCGAATGCCGCTAGTATGACTTCCGAGCCGGATATTACCATCGAAGAGGACCCGCGCATTGCTTCATTCCGCGAGCTATTCCGAACAAGCGAGGCGAAAATTAACGCGCTATTTTCGGGTCACTACATCCCCGACGAATCCTCCGATGCCGCGGTCGCGGAAATCGACTCGTCCGAGCTCAAAAATGAACGCGTCGATGCGCCGGCCGCCCCTGCTGCGGCACCCCCAAAGCCCACCCGCAAGCTTGACGACGACTACGACGACTATGACGAGGACGATGATGCGGATATGGAGGATTCGGTCGAATCGCCTTCGAAAGTGAAATCCGTACCGCCATCGCAGGACCCCAATTCCTCATCCGCCCAGCGCCCGGGAACAGCTGCCTCTATCAATGCCGATGTATCAAAGGAGCCCAAAAAAGAGTCGTTGGAAGACATTCGGAAACAACTGGAGGAGGACAAAAAAGCGACGGAGGAGGCCGCCAGGCGCAGCTTCCATACCCTGTTCTACACTCTTGAAAATGACCGAGACGCCATGATGGACCAGCAACGGCTGGAAGAGTCTGAACGACAAGTCGATGCAGAGATCTCGGGACAGGCCAATGCCGGTGGAAACAATGTCGCTGCTGGCTCGAATGGATACAGCTCTTTGAGTAACACCAATCTCGGAGCTTCCAGTTTGACCCTGAAGAACCTCATTGCCCGAATTGACAAAAAGCGCGACATGGTACAAGCATCCGATGCTGATCTCCGCAGCTTGCTGAGCGAGGTGCGCAAGAATCGTAGCAAGTGGGCCAGCGAGGATAAGATTGGCCAAGAAGAGCTTTATGAAGCTGCAGAAAAAGTTTTGAGTGAACTCAAAGCTATGACAGAGCATTCTAATGCTTTTCTGACCCGTGTCAACAAGCGCGATGCGCCGGATTACTACACAAGTGAGAAAACCCTTTCACCCCAACAGTCACGTCAAGCTATGTTCTGTATACTGACCTGAAACCCAGTCATCAAACATCCCATGGATCTTGGTTCAATGACTAAGAAACTCAAGGGCTTACAGTATCGTTCCAAACAAGATTTTGTGGATGACCTTAATCTTATTTGGATGAACTGTTTGAAATACAATACAAACCCTGAACATTTCCTGCGCAAACATGCTCTTTACATGCGAAAAGAAACGGAAAAGCTTGTTCCTCTCATTCCAGACATTGTCATCAGAGATCGAGCTGAAGTTGAAGCCGAAGAGCGTCGACTTCAGATGGCAGAGCTTGATGGTGCTGAAGAGAGTGATGATGAACCCATAATGTCTTCTCGCGGTAGAAAGGCTCCCGGGAAGTCGTCCAAAAAAAGCAGTGCCCCGTCTCGCAATACCCCCAGTGGCTCTGAGGGCCCCTCGGGAAATCGCACCAGTCAACCTCCAGCACCTGCTCGTGCAGATTCAGACACCGCTATGGAAACGAGCCAGAATGGGTTCGGTACTCCCCCACCTGGATCTCATACTCCCTCCGACCCAGCAGGCCCTGGAGTGGGTGGTACAGCAAGCCAGCAAGACGAATCTATGGAAATTGATGCACCTACCACGTCAACCGTGGTTCTTAGTGCTCTGTTGGGTCCCGGCGCAGAGTTGGAAGACCCTGAATACAAGGTCTGGAAACAAGTCACAAAGAAGGATCGGGCGCTCATTGCTGCAGAGCGACACCGTCTTCTCAAAGGCGACAAGGTCAATCCCGAAGAACCGGCTTTACTCCGAACCAAAGCTGGCATGCGACGATGGCTTCGCCATGAAAAGCAAGCAGCTATTGAAGGTGACAAATTGCACGACGCATCCCAGGCAATGGAGCCCGAGGCAGCCGGTGAAACACTAGCTGAAGGTATCGAGGGCGAGGAAGAGAAGATGATTCCCTATTACTACGACGTCATGTCGGGTGTACCTGACCTTCCAGAGCGATTGGCTTGGAAGGAAGATGCGCAAGGTAATGTCGTGGATGCTTCAGAAGAATACCTTAGAGTTCTTCCAAAGGGCTCTTTCCTGCAGCCCGACAGCAAGCTGTCTCGCAAATTAGAGGCGAATATGCGACAAATGCAGGAGACTCGCAAAATTTGTTCCAAGGTTGGCATCGTGAAGCAGATGCAGATACAATCCCAGGTATGTATAGCACCCACACTATCCCCACTCCAGCACGGAATCTCATTATCTACTAGATGTATCAAAACCAATTTCAGAAATACAACCCAGAGCCTTTTGCGGAACAGGATGTTCCCCCTCATGTCATGAATGACAATGGTCCTGTGATTGCTCCTGGAACTTGCCGGGCAGCACTGCAGCGCTCCGTTGCTAAGATATTCTATCACTCCGGGTTTGAGGAGTACCAGCCATCTGCTATCGAAGTTGCCACCGATGTTGCGTCCGACTTTTTCCACAAAATCGGTGAAACCTTCAAGTCATACATGGAAGCTCCTAAGGTTCCAATCACCGAGTCTCAGGAGGCCGCGACATCGGCTGCTGAGTGGAAGTCAGCATACACCGAGCCAGAGATTGTACTTCATACCCTTTCTGGTGTTGGAATTAGTATTGATGAACTTGAGACTTACATTAAGGAGGACGTTGAACGGCTCGGGACCAAGCTTTCTGCTGCCCACGATCGTCTCAAGTCAATGCTCACTGACCTGCTCCGCCCTGCCCTTGCTGATGCTGGCGAGGACGGCTCTAATGCGTTCAATGATGGAAGCGAGCAGTTCGTCGGTGGCGATTTCGCAGAAGATATCGATGAAGATTTCTTTGGCTTCAAGGAACTGGGGCTCGACCGCGAGTTTGGTCTGTCCCAGCTCAGTGTGCCGTTGCATCTCCTTCAGAACCGGATGTACAGTGCGGCCCAGTCACAAAACACCAGTACTACGCAAACAGTTACTATCTATCCCTCACCGCCATCATATTCCCGTGTCTCAACGGACAATCTACCCGAACAGATTGGGCTGGTGCAAGCCTTCTTCAAGGGCAAGCTTGACGCGAACCGCGATGAACCGCTCGTAGAAGATCTCGAGCTTCCACCCAAACAAAGACCAATGGCTGTCAAACCTCGTCTACCAGCCTCTGGCAAGATTCCACCCATGCCTGGTGTCTCAGCACCTAATACAAGCCCTCAGAAACGACCTGCCCCTCCAAATGCAGCCGCAGCGGTCAAGACAGGCGCCGGGGAACCGAGCAAGAAAAAGGCGAAGAAGAACAGTGGTGTCGCCCTTGAGGTGCCCAACTTCAACTTCGATGGAGATGCAGATCAAGGGTCTTCCTTCGATGCAAATAAAGATTTCTCGACCGACATCAAGCCTGAGGGTAATAATTTTCCAGATGGAACCGATGAACCCAATGCTTCCCAGCCGGATAATGTGCCCATGACCAATGGTACCACCGTATGAGCTGACAAAGAGCTTCGTTACTACACAAGGCTTCCGAACCTATATCTCACCCTTCATTCCAATCACAATTTCTTTCCTCCCTCCCGTTCCATTTTCGTTATTGTGTTCGTTTATTTTTCCACCATATTTATCTATATGCCAGCAGGACTGCTGGCGATGAAATCCAAAGTCCAGGATTCAATCCGTGATTTGATATTCTGGATGCATATGATGCCTCGAACGAACGATGATACCACTCAAGAAAAAAGAGATTCCCAGGCTATAGGCAGGAAAACTAATCGGTCACAGTGGATCGATTCATTACTCTTCCTTGCCCCGTCATTTCCGTTTCATGTATTATGTCCTCACTGCATTTTTAATCTTTTATTGACCACCAACCTTGGGACCCCCTTTGTCATGTTATATTCGCTGCGTGTACTATATCATACCATCCGTCGACTTGGCCTCATTATTTGAATCATCTTGGTTATTGTATTGGGAATGAATATCGTCATATTGGAGAGATTCTTCTTTCTACATTCATTGTGTATTCTTAGTATTTTATGGCAATGATACCATGCTACTTTACCCAGGAAGGTAGCACTGATTGATATAGGCTAGTCCCTACAACCATAGAAAACATATGAACATATCATGCACTTATACCTAGAGATGCTTCGTGATGACACACATAGTCAACACAAGAACCTGGAAAAGTTATCTATCTCTAGGGCTTGAGGAGCTACTACAAGACTTAGTCTCAAAGAGATGTCTATGCTTTACACGGGTACTTCTACGCAGACCATGGAAGACAATATTCAAAGTTAAACAGATTGTTCCTAATAACAAAAGACACGCTACCTCCCAAAATCGGTACTTCCTCGGCCTCAGTCCCAACTAAGGAGGATCAACACTGAATGAATTACTTCAATGTTCGGTTTGCTCGGTCTCGTTTGTTCCATGAAATATCGGAAACCCTGGGCATTACTGGTTCTTCAGCGTAAAAGACGAGTCTCGCAAGAAACCTGAATCAATCCATGCTGAAACTCGCACTTGCACGTCTTCAATAATCTTGCATGAAACCGAATAAGGGCAAGGTAGGTTCCTGTTGAAAGGTCCGTATAGGTCAGAAGACGCCGAGGGCCTTGCTGCGAGGCGAACTCATATGTAGAATGTGGACTCTTCGCAACACCATAACGCAAATATCAATACCCTTTCTAGCGCCATTATCTGCTAGTTCAGTGTCTTCCCCTGGAGTGCCAGAAGCCATCCTGAACGAAGACCATATTTTGTTTTTTATCTCTCGTTGGAGTTCTTTTCGCATTTTCTTTTGGAAGCTTTCGCATTTTTGACGACACTGTCGTCTTCTTTGGCTCTTTCAGGTTTTCCCTTTTCTTTCTTTTCTTTTTTCTTCTTTTCCTCTTTTTTTTTCGATTGGCTCAATGGCGTACCTTGTGTTTGTCGTTTCAGTAAGGATTGAGAGAAGGAAGCAACGGAAAGTCTTCAAAATAGAAGGTCACAAAAAACAAGCCTGCAAAAAAGCAAAAACAGTATCAGGTGTCATAGTCAATCTAAACCCACCACATTGATAGCGGAAGGTTGTTAGCCGAGCCCCTCATACTAAGGAGCTTAGTTTGGACCACATCTGGCTGTTCCAGAGAACGCTCATGAGGCATTCGCCCGCCACTCTGGGGTCCGTCAGAGGAGTTCACATTCTCGTGATGACGGGCACGAGCAGTGATTAGGTGCGAGTAGTAAATGGCGGGGTGGATCGACACAGGCGTCGTGGATCGGACATATTGGTAACTCTGTTCATAAATCATGTTCTCAAGCTCCTCCGGCTTGTGGCCAATCTCGTCAAGCACGACCTTGTAGTGGACCGGCCGGGCCGTGCCTTGGAGGGCGGCGTGAGCGTAGAGCAAGAAGTCCCAACCATGCGGGCTAGTGACTTCACGATCGATGAGAGTTCCGGGAAGTGGGTTACCATTGCGATCAGAGCCTTTGTCTTTAGGGTTAGGGAATGCTCGAAGGTGATGACGCTTGTTGGCAATGACCACGCATAGTTTCCCTTGCCATTCATATTCCTTGCAGGATTGGGCTACAACTTTGCGGATGGCGGGAACCTCGATGTTGAGAACACCACTAATTTCGGAGTCGGAGACACCATCACGGAAGTAGTAGATCTGTGTCGGGTGGGTTTTCTGGCCGACCGTTTGGTACCACTCTTGAACAAGAGGCCCAAGGATACCATTGATGTTCTCTTTAGAGATGATCTCGACCTTTGCTCCATTACACTGGCATCCGCCCATGTAGCTAACTCCATTTACATCATTAGAGATGCACATAGCCGCCAGAGATGGGGTCCAGACACCGAGAGCAGGGTGAGTCACATCGGCTCCTATGATGATGGAGCGCGGACGGAGAGTTGACCCAGTTGAGGTTGGGATGATGCGGTTGGTCACTCCACCGAGCTTGGCATTGACTTTCATGAGGACATTCGAGCTGTACTGGGGACGGTTGTCGATGCAGCGTAGAGATTGCAGAACCTGAGAAGGAACCCCAAATCGGCAATCGGCAGATTTCTTGATCCGAAGGTAAACAAATGCATCCTTAGACGGTACAATGATCACTAGAAGTTGAGGCTCCACTCCCGAAGCCTCCTTTGTCTTTGTGAACAGATCCTTCATCGCCTCACCGACGTCTTCCCTCATCTTACAGATGAAGGGCCGGTTTGTAACTTTGCCACCATGCTGCTTGTAGGCCTTGATAAACAGATCAAGCCATTGTTGAACCTGATCAGAGTTGATATCGTTACGATGACCAGTAAAGTATCCAACCCCCCATGAATTGAGAGACTTTGTGTTGGTCTTGTAGAATTTCTTTCCGCGAAGATCCCATCGAGCACTGGTTCCTGGATTATGCTTGGCATTGCCGAATTGAATCTCTGGATTGGGTAACAGACGAGCTTTGGCCATGACCATTCTTTGACCGATCTTAAGCCCGTAGTGTGCCAGGCTTGGGTCTTCATCATGGTTCAAGATAGTCTTGCACTTTCTGATATGCTCAAGACGCTCAGAGGGTTTCTTGGCGGTATACTTGATCATATCGCTAGTCTGAAGGTCAGTGAGCTTGAATGGCCATCGCTGAAGGTTTTTGATGACCAAAAGCTCAGCCGGGTAAATGACTCCCTCCTTCGTCATTTTGACAAGAGGCATGTGAGGATGTTCTAAGGCCTTGTTATACTTCCTGAGGAAGTAATCAGCCACGCTCTGTGACTTTTCCTTGCCTGTAGACTTGTCAGTAATCATCAGCTTGTACTCAGAAGCACTGGCGTCAAGGAGCTTGTCGATTATAAAGCTCTTATCCTTGAAAGGACATCCATTGTAGTCTGGCTGAACGCGAAGACCCTGGAGGTTCTTGCTGAGCTGGATAAAAGCCGAGGTGGAGTGTCGAACATTTTGTTTGTCGATCTTGGGCCGAAGCATCCTGGCAAGTTCATCATCAGCGCCGGCCTTGGTCAGTCCCTTCATTGTACCGAGGAGACTGATGCGGGAGAAGAAAACAGCATGAGCGGTATCAAGATTCAGCTGAAGACCATTGACACAAGGTCGGATCATCTGAAAGATTCCACGATAGCATGTGGCACCCGAGTAGGCCCCAAGCGAGTAATGGAATTCATGCGCAATGTTCTTGTGTGATGGAGTCTCTTCTAGGCTCTGGAAGAAGTATGCCCGTTTGTGTGAAAAGAATTGCTTTGTGGGCCAATCGCGAATCAAGTGGTCAAGGAAGTCTGAAAAGTCAGTATACACTGCGTTAAGAGTCTTGGAACGAGAGAGCACTCACTAAGTGCCTCAATCACAGAGTCATCTAGTTTGTGCTCCTTCTGTAGCCATTTGCCGATAACGTCCAGGTTGACCTTGCGCCGATACTTCATTCTAAAAGTCACCTGTTTGCCGAAGAGATCGATCTTGCCCATGCCGGCACCGCGGGTTTTACCTCCCTTGTATTCGAGCTTCTCTGAGATGTCTGATTCCTTGCGGATGCCGGACCTGGAATTATCAATATAGATTTAGAAGCAAAGCAAATTTCCGTCAAGCTTACCAGATAGTTTTTGCGCCATCGTAGATGGCATCGGGGAAGTTGACCTTACGGGTCTCACAGTCAAAGCATCGCCGAAAAACTCGTCTGTCCTCGTCGGCACTCACTCGATTGCTGCCGTGCTCAACGACCATCTAAAATAGTGAGCTTCCGATGTAATAAGGGCCAGAAAAAAGCCACCAACCTCGTATTGATGAACAGACTTGGTCGGAAATTCCTTGATCGGATAAGTGTTCATGATCACATCAATGCCCTTGCCGGAGTTGTTATAGCCCTGGCGATCAATTGGACGGGTTTCATTGCGCTAGCCATCATCAGTTTGTAAAATCTAAAGTAGTAGGAAATATGGCAGAGAGTAAGCTCCAGCCACCGGGTGGGAGTCTCAAGTATGGAAGGAAGTATCTGGCATGTACTCACCATGTCATACTTAGGTCGGGACAAAGCAGCATCGCGGGAGCTCGGAGAAGAGCTCTTGCGCTTATCCTCATCACGAATACTGAGTCCCGACAGAGAACGCCTGGTCCCTTCAACTCTTTCCCTGGGAAAGGACATTGCCTGGATGTGATTGATGTTACTATGATAGAAACCTTGTCAGCAGCTTTGAAAATGCGTATTAACGCGGTGTAAGGCCTGACATGGAAGATTGATAGGGGAAAATTGAAAAAGGTAAGACTTGGTCAAGTATCAAGGTGATTGTGGAAAAGAGAAGATGTGTGTTAGAAGGGAGAGGAACTCAATCAAGGTTGCGCATATAACTTACCCGGGAAGACAGCTAGAAGGCTGAAGAAACGTGTTTGGGATCCCTTGGGTGAAATCACACCGTAACTTGATGAAACGATTCCTAAATCAATGAGGAAATGGTTGTTGCTGATGGGGCTGGGGAAGTGATAGGTTGATATCAGCACCGAAATGGCTGATCAGTGTATCCGGTGTGAAGTTAGGTAGAGTTTGAATGGCGCTGATCTTGGAGTAGCCCACTTCTTGGACAAAGGCGAGCTCAGACGGTAGAAAAGCTTGTTACAACGTGAGAGAGCCTTCCTTTCCGAACTGGATGATGTCGAGTTTGAAGAGGAAAGAAGGAAAGGTGTAAAAGAAGAAATAAATCGAAGTATTTATAGTAGTTAGATAAACAGTTGCCTATAAGCTTGTTTGCTACGACTTTAATACAAGATATGAATGCAGAAGCTGGGCCATTCACACTGGCTATTGGTTTTGTGAAGCATGTGTTACGGGACACTGGAAATCAATAATCCTATTTCTCTACTCATTAGCTATTGATACTTATATAGTAAGTCAATCCTTGACGTTCATACAGTTTCATAAAATATATATAATCGATCCATCACTTCGACAGCCCAAGTGACCGAACGAATTTATAGTGGCGGATTGGATTTAAGGTACGGCTGATTTTTAGACCTAGTGGGATCTATCTACTAGGTATATAACTCTCTAGGGCCTATAGTCTAGGGCATTATCTTCTAAGGTTAAGCCAGATTAATAGGTATGAGCCTAAATACAGTATATATTTAATCGGTTTTTCCCTGTTCGCATAAGTTCATGCATATATGTACAGCATCAACTATGAAGTTCCAGATTGAAATGATTTTGAGTGCTCATACAAGTTGATGTATCAAGTGTAAAAAGAAAAATAATTCATTAATTTGGTAGAATAAGTGATGGATACATCTTTCTAGTAAGGGATTGATTTTCAGGCTAACGGGCTGGTATCTACACTTAGCCAAACCGATCAGCTATATATTTCCAAGGCCCCATATTCAAGGGCATCATCTTCCAAGGTTTACAGACTGGTGTTAATTTATATGTACATATATCAAAAGAAATGCTAATTGTTACTGAAGCTGATCTCACCACTCATACACACCGGCGAGACGCCACCCAATTCATATTGCCCCCCTTCGTAGATTACCTAGGTTTCTTTCCTCTAGAATCTATCCTCTACCTGTATACTACCTTACCTAGGATATCTCCGACCTAGCTTGCAGCTTTCTGTATGACTTTAAATGTTCCTCTAATTCCCTCTTCCCGCCCATTATATCCACAAATCATTCAGTACCGCTCTTGACACTATTAATACTATTGCAATGCCCTTTCCTTCTTGTTTCCACACAATATGTTCCCTTTAATACCCAGCATTACCCTAGATTTGAGCCAAGCCCCCTAATCGAGGATGTTCCCGGTTTCTTGGCTCAGAATCACTATTTGACCTAATCAATCTCGACCTAAATCGGGAGCAAAATCCCAGTCAAGGGCATGTCCTTCGAGAGCACATATGGAACTATAGCTAGGAGTGCCGAAAAATCACTCAAAGACAGCTTTATTTCACCCAGGAAATCTTGACCTTGGAAAGTAAATAATAGACAATAGCTGCGGGAGAATAATTATATATTGAAGTGGACCAGTTTATACTGTACCAACAAGTTTATTCAAGCTAATGCTGAACTATTACCGTTTCAAATATTGAAAGTCAAACACTGCCCATCCGAATGAACCTTGGAAGGTTGTTAGGCAGGTAGTTCGCGGACAATCGACATTCTGACTTTATAAGGCTAGGCTACGGAAGGCCAGCCCATAGACTGAAACGCAAAATAAAGAGATAGACATTGGAAGACAAGCAGACTCTGGCAAAAAAGCCTAGAATGTTACATTCATCAACAAATATCTGCCCTATCTAGGAAATGTACATATGTAGAGGAGACCCTCCTATTAAAGGAATCAAGCAAAAAATGAGACCTTAGGGCTCCCGATGCCCCGTGAAAATGGAAAATGCCCTTCAGACCGACGCCGACAGATGCAACGAGCTCTTGGACTAACGTGTGAATCCCACCACAGCATGAGAAGAATGAAAGCAGAGGGCAAAAGCTTTTCATGCAGGGCCATGGGATGTTAACGGGATAGAATCACCAAAGTTGCACCTCGAAGATTAAGAAAAATGAGACGGTATGATGGTGGCGAGATTATACACAGAAGATAGATGGAGATGATAGTGGGCGCCAGAAACATAAGGCTCAACGGTAGGAACCTATTATTCAAATGGTTAGTCAAAAATTACTGGTCGAATGTTGTTTAGAAAGCTTGCTTACCAGAGTACTGGTTCTGGCCCGCGCCAGGCCCTCGAACATTCGCTGGTAGAGGAATCTGTGCAGTAGATGCAGGGATATCAACTCTGCGAAGAAGATCAACCATTTTTTCTGGCGAAAGACGGGAGATGTTGTAGGCCGATGAAGGAGGAATAATGCTTAGAAGATGAACCACGTCGCGGGGCAAGGGAGCAGGAGATCCTTGCGGCTTGTATGACGAATTAAGTTGTCCGTTCAGTGGTGTGGAACGTTTCTGCTGGTCAACGCGTCGACCCTGGACGGCCTTCAGCGGTGACTCAGCACGAGCAAATTTACGGGGACGATCGGAATCATAGTCATCGTCGGCGGGGTAGGAGCGTTTTGGGGAGCTGAAAGAAGCATCCTGCGGGTCCATGCGAGACTCCGGCATAATGCCTGTTGCCAATGTCTTTGGCCTGGTCTGAGTAGGAGACAGAATGGGCTGGAAAGACAAAGGATTAAACGAAGGTGTGGAAAATCGGTGTGTAAATTGCTCCAGTGTGGGATCTTCAGGATAGAGCTCTCGCATACGAGCTTCTAGGTTGATCACCTGAACCAAGTCACCGTAACGGGACTCATACTCGTGTAGGAAAGAGAATATCGGCTTAGCCTTGTGCACACTGTCGGGGTTGGCGGCAAACCTCCTAACAGTTGTCTCAAAGACTGCCCTTGCGTCTATTAAGCTTGGTTAGTATCATTTTCAAAAATAGGGAGGATTTTGGCTTACTTATGATATCATTGATGTCAATAAGATGCTTAAGGTATTCGAGGGCAAAGTTTTCGTCTTCAGGGAACAACTTAGCACCTCTCTCAAAAATCTTGGTTGCTGCAGGGTCTTTGTAGCAGTGGTATTCCATAAGTGCACTGGCAATGTATACATCGCTAGTGATACGGCCTCTCTTGCGAGCCTCTGCAAAGATCTGGCGAGAGCCTGCCAGTTCTCCTGGTTTGCCTTTACCCTGAATGCGACGCATGGCACGCATCAGTGCAATCCATGCAAAGGAAACGCTCTTTGAGAGAATGTTGATTTGGACACCATGGGCTTTCCGAACAGCATCAATCTGTGCCTTTTTGGCTGCCTCCTGCTCCTTTGTCTCGGTTGAAACATCATCGTCGTCGTCGTTGGGTACGGCCTGCCCTTCGGGGATTTGCTTCGCAAATGCCTCCTCGATACGTGCAATATCTTGAGATTCCCGAGCTTTGGCCTTGGTGATCAACTCATAGAGGGAATCAAGCAAGGGGTCAAAAGGCTCCCTGACCTTAGCTGCCCGCTTGACAGAATCCTGTTCCGAGTCGGACGTAAACTCCAGCCTATCTGCTCGCTTGAAGCACAACAAGCAGCTCTCTGGGTTGGCTTCAATACCTTGCTTGAGGAAATCGTTCCCCTCGTTCTCCATATCATTCAAAAAACAGAACTCAGAAGCGTCAAACCAAATCTCGGGCAGGAATCGGAGAGTCATCAAGGCCTGCTTGTAGACATACACCACACGAGCTTTAAATGCGGCAGGGTCATCCTCTTTCAAGACCAACGGGTCCTCTTTCTCCCAAGCGATCCAGCGCTTCCAAATTTCAACCTGCTGAGCATACTCAACGTCACCCTCGGATCCAGCGACAGGAGGCAGCCGGGCCAGAGAAGTTCGAACCAAATCCCGGGTGATGTTCTGCAGCTCAGTATAAGAGCTTCGCGCTGTCATGTACGATGGCGAGTGTTCTTGCAAAAACTTGCGGCCCTAGAGATAAAAGTTAGATGGAAGTCTAAACACGAGACATAGCGGGACTTACAGTCAGTTTGTTGAGGCCCATCTCAAATTGATCATATTCCTTCCATAAAGCATTGACAGCCTGGGTCGGAACACAAATCGCCTTTTGGTACGCTTTTCGCAACAAGTCCATCTTCTGCTGATCCTGCCATCCGGTGCCTCCAACATTCCCTGGACCGGAACGAATGAACTCAACATAGTCGGTCCAAATGTTGCCGCCATCCTTGTCCATACCCACATATTGAAGAGCCAAATCATATGCCGACGAAATGACTCGTCTCGCTTGTCCGGTGGTATCGGTGGTTAAGGGGTTGCGGCGACGAACATAATCGAGATATACCGACCAAAGGTTCACACTGGGGATGGTAAGGAGGGTTCGGTTGAAGATCTGCTCCAGGCGGAAGAGTTCGTTGAGTTCGGATTCCATTGTCGCATAAGCTACCCATTGATCGGCCTGTGGTCCATCTATTAGTACCCTTGATTCTTTGCATGCAATTTAGTAGACATGAAGCTTACCGCCATGGGGAACACCTTCAAGAACTGCTCGTAAACCTCGCGCGCACTGTCGAGTCTGTTACGGCCTCTGTGCTCAGCAATTAACTCCAACCACGCAGAAAGATCACCTCGGGGATCCTCATCGACCCGATCTTGCAAGATGCCCACCCGGTCATGGGGCAAACGAGATCTGCTAACGGCAGAGTCATCAAGTACAGGAGTAGGAACAGTACTGCTTTGGTGGCTCGCATCAATCGCGGCCCCAGTCCAAGAAGCTTGGCCAGAAGCCGAGGGATCGATATTAGGAACGGGAACATGAGAATAAGAACTATTGGCAAGATCTGGCACTGCGGCCGTGCCCTCCTGGTGCGATACATCTTGGGAAGTGTTTTGATTTGCATTTCCTGAGCTTGGATCTTCAGACATAGTCATAGGCATGGCATTTGTGTCATCCACCCCAAGTACCGCTGGGGGCTCATAGTCCGCCTCATCTTTTTCATCCTCATCCTCATCATCCTCAACCACAAATCCCCCAATCGTTCTGGTCTGAGGTTGTGCCGTCGCACCTGCGGGAGGCAATGGCGTGGACGACTGAGACTCAGCACGCGAGGGGTTCTGGGAAGAATTCGGGGAGTCATCAGCAGGGCCAGTGTCGGCGTCTTCAGCGGCAGTCGGGTTGGGAGCAGCGGAATCATCTTCATCCTCCTGGGTGTATTCAGCAACCTCGTATTGGTCGTCTAGGGGTTTCGAGGGGTCATATTCTTCTTCGTCGTCGTCGTTATCGGCAGCTTGGTCTTCTGTTGAAGCCGCATTGTCTGACTCTGCTTCCATGGCTTGGGCTTGAAAGAAAGCTTGCTCAGCCTCGTTGTCCGCCATTTTTAGGGCGAAGTCTGTGATACGTTCAGTAAGAGGTGGTGAAGATCTGAGTTAGAAATGGGACGGGTTGAACACGATTGCGGGCACCGTGGTGAGAGAACCGTGAAGAAGGGGATAGGTGAAAGGAGGAGAAGGTTCGCCACTAGGATCTGGAGCTGACTCGCTGTCCCACCATCTAAAATCACCAAGTATTAAGTACAAGGCAGCAACTGGACTTCGTAGTGAAGGCGGTTCACCAATCCCGAATAGCACAAGCACGAGCAAGTTGAGTCTGCAGCTATGTCACGTGGGCGGTGAGCGCGCAAGGGACGCGAGGTGCGCGTTGTGGTGGATTTCGCGGGACGCTCTCCTCGCATCATGCTTTGGACTCGATCACTGCATTCCTTGCGGTGAAAAGAAAACTAAGGAAGTGGTGTTGTTTTCTCTTGAAATTGTTTTGTTGTTCCCCCAGATTTTCCCACCGCCTATAAAGTTGACCACACCTCCTTTTCATTCGTCCCACTATCCCACCTTCCTACACTTCCCCGTCCCGTACATAATCCCTCATAATGTCGGTCGTCTCCCTCTTAGGTGTTAAAATCCTGAACAACCCTGCCACTTTCACGGCGTCTTATCAATTTGAAATTACTTTCGAATGTCTTGAACAGCTTCAGAAAGGTATGATCGTGATCCTTTCTTGGAGCAAAAAAAAAAAATGAATCAACAAATAGCCCTTGCTAACAATTAATCCCTAGATCTCGAGTGGAAGTTGACCTACGTCGGCTCCGCCACTTCGTATGTTTCCACCCGATCAACAACACTGAAGAGCCCAATGGATCAAACCCACTAACGTCAATCTCAGTTCTGAATATGACCAGGAACTCGACTCTCTGCTCGTCGGCCCCATCCCTGTTGGCGTGAACAAGTTCATCTTCGAGGCTGATGCGCCCGACCTGAAGCGCATCCCTCCCTCCGAGATTTTGGGTGTGACTGTCATTCTTCTCACTTGCAGCTACGATGGTCGCGAGTTCGTTCGTGTTGGCTACTACGTCAACAACGAGTACGACTCCGAGGAGTTGATCGCCGACCCCCCAGCCAAGCCTGTTATTGACCGCATTCGCCGCAATGTCCTTGCTGAGAAGCCTCGTGTGACTCGCTTCGCTATCAAGTGGTATGTTCGCAATTCATCGACTATGTATCTCTTCATACTGATTGTCTCGTTTCTAGGGATTCCGAGGAGTCTGCTCCCGCCGAGTACCCGCCTGACCAGCCTGAGGCTGATAACCTCGACGACGACAGCAATGCCTACGGCCACGAAGAGGCCGAGCTTGAGGCCGCTCTCGTTAAGGAGCTCGAAGAATCCAACAAGCCTGCTGAGGGAGATGATCACGAGATGGAGGGCGCCGAGGCAACTGCGGGCAACGACGATGAAGATGATCTGTCTGATGCTGGCAGTGAGGATCTCGAGGAGGAGAGTGATGATGATGATGATGATCTTGACGAGGAGGAGGGCGGTGACGGTGATGAGATGGATGTGGAGATGGGTGATGATTCCGAGCAGAAGGATGAGTCTAAGCCTGCCCAACCCTCCCATCCTGAGGTTATGGTTCAATAAACAATGAGTGTGGATCCCATTAGCCGGGTAACGAATGCCTCACTTTCTCATGTCACCCCTTTCTATGCCTTTCAAATTTCTACGCACTTGATGACAAACAACATACTACGTTTATGACACCTAGCCCAAACTTGAACAAACCCCCTTTCAGCATTGCCGTTGATCAGGATCCCCAAATAGAACCCCCTTGTGGAAACAATTTCCTGTAGATCCATAAATGTTTGGCGTCGTGCTGAGATCAAAGCAGCGTACCATGTAGGTATGTAGGAGCCATTTTGTTGTTTGTATAAATACATGATGCAATGCATCTCCACGCCCTAAGCTAATGAAGGAGGGATGCTAAAGAAGAATTTGCCTCTACAGTAAGGTGACGATCCGTGTTTGAGAATGTGAAGACTAGTCTAGTCCTCATGTTTCAAGGTTGCCAAAGTATTTATCTACTAGGTACCTTTGTTAGATAGATCAGTAACGTGCAGAGGTAAGTTCAAGGGCTTAAAGCTGGGGGCAGTTCAAATATAAACACCTAAAGTGGTTACATAGCATTCATTATAATTCCGAGTACTATATACCCACTGCTTGAATGTCGCGAAATCTTTGCGTCGAAACCCTTGGAAGACTGAAGGCTGTTATTTTAAGTAACTATGTCTAGGCCGTCTTGGTGTTCAGAGAAAAAAAAATCTCGCTTAAATAGAAACTAGAGTCCGAATTTCGACCCGAGTACTGCAAAAGACCGGTCAGTGCGTGGCTAAAGGATGCAAGGGGGCGGAGAGGGGGCCAAGAAAGGGCAATGACGGGAAGCCTTTAGATAAGAGATCCTTGAAAGCGGGAATTGGGATGGAGTTCACTTACCGCCAAAGATAGCTTTCTTCTTTTGGTTTTGCACGTACTTGCCCACGTCTGTGGCAAAGTTACTGCTGTTCTCCTCTAGGCGGTCCATTGTGTCGCCCACCATTCCAAGGCGCTCTGTGCGCTCCTGGACTTGGCGAGACATATATGAACCCCAGCCCTCCTGGCTACCTTGTTGTTGAGGTGCTGCACGGCCTTCTCGGAGGGCTTTGCGCTGCTCTTCCTCGGTGAGCCTCATCTGTTCGAGCATCCGCTTTGAAGGGGGACGGTCTGGGCCTCCGACTAGATTATTGTTAGATATCACCCTGAGATGCGGATATATAGCTGGGGGAGAATGACAACGTACTCAGAATGTCCATATCGGTGGGTGAGACATATTGGGTACCGGAAATCCACTGGATATTGGTGATTGTAGGGCGCGGAGGGATGGCTTTCTCTGGGTCATAAAGACGATCTTGCGAGGGACTCCTACATAGATTTTAGCACGCTGCCTTTGTGACGCTGATGTGAAAACTCACATCGTAGTTCCTTTGCCCCACACATTGAACAGGCTGACTTCCGATGGCCCAACCCATGCCATAACACTACCAGTAGGTGTAATGCATGCCTCCGATAGACGGCGCATGTCAGCAAGTTGGTTGATGTTCTTGGATCCTATGTCTTTGAGAGCCGGGATAGAGAATGCACGGACATTTCCATCACCGAAGAGCCCAACCAAGCTGTAGCCTCGGCCTTCAGTTTTCACAACTTGAGCCGAGTCGCAGAGGTAGTCATCCCATGTCTTGTGGGCGCCCTTGGCGGTCGGTGGCTTGAAGATCCGACATCCGGACACAGTAACAGCAATGACAACACCGTTAATCTTCACACCGTTTCGCAAACCACCAACTGTATTCGCTGTGGCAAGAGCTTGGCCGCCAGAGTCCGCATCAATGGGAATTATTTTGATGACCTTGTCCTCAACGTTGGTAACTCCGACATAAGCTGCGGAGTATGTTCCATTGGCACCCGGAAGAATCTTGAAGGTGGCCAAGTTTCCTCTGTTTGTGCCGACGAAGCAGCAAATACTCGAGTAATCTGCAAATCAATCATATTAGCTTTATCACTAAGCATGAATTTCTCACAGTACCTACCTTCGCCTTCTAATGTCATTACGCCAAACTCGATGTGAGTAGGCCACTCAGCTGGCATACTCTCCGAACGACTTGGCTTCCGGAAACTGCCGCGTTTCGGTGCCTTCAGGAAATCGGATATTTGTGCAATATGAATAATGGCAGGACCTCGCAAATCAAGGATTACCAACCCTCCACCCTGATAGCCAACAGCGACAAAGCCGACTGGGCTATGTTTCAAAGCTGTTACTGGTCCTTGCTGCATATCCAAGAGGGTGAGAGGCAGCATTCCCGTTTTCAATCCGGGGTCGGTTCGGTTGGTGATGGGTGTCAAACGTCCAGGTCCTTGATTGGCACCAGGAGCCTCTTCTTGGCCATATGAGGCATTATTGCCCCATCTGAAAATGACGAGCTCGCCGCTTGCCAGTCCAACAGACAGCTCGCCTGTCCCGCTTGCTGCAAGAGACATTTCGGTTACTTCAACATTGCGAACCCGACCCACCGCCCGAGCCAAGTCCACTTGAATCGTCTCGGAATTTTCGATCTCATCGTCGTGGCCGCCATCCCATATGCGGATGGTACCGTCCGCATGGGCAGTAGTAATTATGTTTCGGTCCTCGTAGCGTTTGAGGGGATTCCTCGCCTCGGCACCGCCGAAGACAAATTTAGGGCCTTGAGCCCGGCGCTCTCTCAGTCCTAGCCAGGTATCACGAGAAACAGGTGTGAGCGTGACCTTGTTGACGAATGGATGAACGAATGTAAGGTAAGGGTGGAGCATGTTAGTTGGCGTAATTGCATGACCAGTTGGGAAACTCATGGTCAGTAGCTCGCCCGAGGAGAGGACAGTAAGGATGGCTATTGGGTCATGGGCCCCAGCAAAGTATGGCGAAGAGCGAGGAATCAAACAATACGTGCTGGCCATTGCACCGGGTGGGAACGGAAGGCTAACGTGTTTTCTTGTCCTCTCAAAATAAGCGGAGATGACCTGCCAAGAGGATGTCTGATAATTGGGAGTCGGTCCCATATCCAGAAAAGTGAGGCCCTTGTTCACATCCTGGGCAGACTTACCACCCGCAACCAGAAGACCCGTGTCATCTGGATTTTCTTTAGCGCACCACGATACTTTCGTGATCGGCTCCTTGGGTCCTGTGGCTTGCTCTGGGTCTGGCCGCCCGCCACCTGGCTGATCAACATTGGTAGCCTGAAGTGTCCGAGCATGAAGCTTGCGGCCGTCCTTCGAATCCCAAAGGACAAGACTGGTGTCTTCGTGGACAGTCAAAACGAAAATTCCATTCGGGTGCCAAATCGCATCCGTCAGTCTAGGCCTGCGCACGCCGCTGGAAGGCCTACTAGGGTCGCCACCTGGCGCACCAGCAGCGACCTCATAGATAAAGTACTTTTGCGCAATATTTTGCTTGAAGGTGAATGTCACTGCACCTTCCGGGTATCCCACTAGGATCTTCCCAATATCTCTAGTAGAAAATGCGAGTGACACCACCGGGCAGAGGCGGGACCTTGGGTTCTGTGCCAGCCAGAGGTTCGGGATTTTGAAAGCAGTTAAGGACTCCCGGTCTAGGTCGTACGCAATCACATCACCTAGATGGATATTAGTACCACAAGTTCTGGGTTCATAGTATCTTCAAAATCTACAGACCATTCGATAGACCGATGAACGCGTAATCAAGACTGGGATCCGTCGCAAGGCATGTGGCTTGACCGGGGGGCGCATAGGTGGTAACCAGACGCCGAGTGTCTAAGGAATATATGCTGATTTCATTTTTTGAGTCAATACTGACAAGCTTGTCGGCACAGAACTGAAGGAACTTCGCTGAGGCTTTGCGCGGAAACTCAAAGACCATCAACACTCGCCCTTGTCCATACACATAGATCTGGCCGCTTCCAAACTGGGTATCACTGGTGCCGACAGCGAGGAGGGATTGTACCGGTTCGTATGCTACCACGCTAATCTGCGAATTCACACCACAGCGCTCGAACTGGGCTCGCAATACGTTAGCTCACTGTCAAAGAGAAAAAAGTTGCCTGGGATGCCAAGACGAAGGAGACGAACGTCGTCGAGTGCAAAGAGCTCCGGGGACAAGCCCTCAGACAAGTCCCTTTGAATACCAGCCTGCTTTCCTCGCAGGAATTGAGCCATTTTGCGCACGCCGGGGTTGTGGCAGGCTATGTGCAGGAGGAAAATGAAGCAAGTGGAGCTTGGGGAATGTTAGCAGCTGACGACATGGCGGAGAGGCTAACGGATTGCCCCGCTTTCCGGGCGCCGCAAGGCAGAGCGGCTAACTGTTGGTCACAATCTTTAGGTCTTCTTTTTGTCAGATCTACGGGACTGATATCAAATAGTGTGTATTGAAATGATTGGAACTTTATTCTACATAAAATTCCATTGGAGTATTGGAAAGAAACGCTACGATTCAATTTGATATCGAAAAACACCAATTCACATGCCAAACTATATAATGGGGCCACACCGATTTTCTGTTATGCATAGAACTTGGAATTTGTTTGATTCGTGTGTATACGCCTGGAAACCGCAGTGTTTGGGCCTCGATCCTTGGAATAAGGCTTAGATTCTGCAGGCCTTTGGTTTATCTTAGAAGATCGAAGGGATTAGCGACCAGTTGACCAGACCGTATATTGGAAGGTTCACATTTGCTGTAGGCCGCATTGTCTTATATCGTAGTGATGTTTTTATTTCCTTTTGGTAATTTGATAGTTAAAGCCATGCGACATGACTGCTAAGGATGGTCGCTTCCGAGGTCAATATGTAGGTATCGCGAATAAATTAGGCTGTCATCTCTTTCTCCTTGGCTGGCGTATCAACTCCCTTTGGTGAAGGGTCGTAGATTTCAGCAACATTGAATCGCTTCAATTGGTCATAATCGCTTCCCACAACACTCATTCCGATCACGTTCTATGGAAAAGATCAGTACTTGCTGAGACAAGCTTTACGGCGAAACTTACCTGAACAACGTCGACCAAGATCATGAGGTCATAGTTTTTGAGGTTAACTGGATGTTCGGGACCAACAACATCGGCGACAGTCTTGATGATGACGTCTCGGTTAAGCTTGTTATTGCCTCGACATGTAGGCCTGATAGCGTACTATTTCAAGATTTATCAGCATCGGAACCCAAATGGACAAGCTCATGGCCGTCCTGTGATGTGAGGATGTGGATTGGAATTTACCTTCTTTGGTGGCCCTCCTGAATGGAAGTGCGGCTTAAGGACCTCTTTGGCGAAGGCTTCAAGATCCACACTAAGGGTTTTTTTAACCATTGTGATAGGAGTCAAACGCTTGATGTATCGGCTCTTCTTGGTGTCCTTGTTGGCCTGTGCATCGAGACACAGCTCGTGGACAATTTTCACAGGATCAACCGACTTATCGTTGAACCGTGCAAAGACCACTGTCAGATTTTAGCTTTACATGAACTTTTCAACGTTGATGACACAGATGAACATACCACAGGGTATGTCTAGCTGCATAGCTTGAACTGGACGTGTCTTTTTCTGACTTGCCTGCAGGCTCTCGAGTTCTCTGCGGATTTGCTCTTCAATGTCTGCATCGTCGTCATCAGAGTCTTCATCCTCTGACTCGGCATCATTATCAAGGACCTAGTAAATAGAGTTAGCAAAAATTGTCACACAGTAGCCATGGCGCCATATAACCATATAAGTTGCTGGTTTTACTGACCTGTGTGAGGATGTCTGTAATCTCGGCGACACATTTGCTTTCTCTGCCAATGTCACAAGTCACAAAAATCCCTACATCCCCAGCTTCGATATCAGTGCTTTTGCGCTGCGACTGAGTCCATTGTCCCTGCTGACCTGGTTAGTGTCCATTTGAACGCATTTCAAGTGAAGTCCCAACACTCAAAACGAACCTTTCTGCGCTTGGAAGACTGATTCGAATTATTCGGCATGGCTCTTTTGCCTGATCCGGCCATTGATTCTCTCACTTGATTGGATTTTCCGCCCCAAAAGTAGTTTAAGTCGGGTATCGCGGGGCGAAATTTGTGTGGTTGAATTGGGTTTAGCGGGTGCAAATCGTATGTGGATCAGCAGGTCAACCCGAGCTTCAAGCTTCATGGTTACACGGTCAACGTGTTTAAGCTCATGATTTGGTATCTACAGAAATACACAGAATCCATTCAGAATATTTCAATTGGATAGGAACTTCTCATGAGCCTGTGGTACCTGCCACTGTGATACAGTGTACCGGATGGCATGACATCAACGGTCCAATCATGACGTAGTTAGCAAGTCTCATGTTATCTGTCGAGCTGATCCGGCAAAAAAAGGTCCGAATTGCCTTGTTTTACAAGTGGGAAGATCCGGACTGACCCGTGATAACTTTGTTTAAAAGTCCTCTCTTTGTGTTCTATCAGCCTTTTGCATTTCCCCTCATCTCACTCAACTCACCACACCATGTCATCCACCGACATTGCTACGCAGGAGCTAAAGAATCCCGTGGACGTCGCAGAGTATCTATTCCGACGTCTCCATGAGGTTGGAATTCGTGCTGTCCATGGAGTTCCAGGCGATTACAATCTTTCAGCCTTGGACTACTTGCCCAAGTGTGGTCTTGACTGGGTAGGGAACTGTAATGAGCTGAATGCCGGTATGGCATGAAAAAACCCCCCGCTCATTGGTACTACGAGCACTGACATTCTTCCTTTACTTAGGCTACGCTGCCGATGGTTATGCGCGCGTTAAAGGAATTAGTGCTGTGATTACTACGTTCGGTGTCGGCGAGCTGTCTGCCCTCAATGCCATTGCAGGTGCCTACTCGGAATTCGTCCCAGTTGTCCATATCGTCGGCCAGCCAACCACCCAGTCGCAAAAGGATGGCATGCTGCTCCATCATACTCTTGGCAACGGAGACTTTGATGTCTTCACCAAAATGAGCGCTGGGATTTCTTGTTACGTTGCTAAGCTGAATGATCCACACGATGCTGCCACTCTGATTGATAGTGCGATCCGCGAGTGCTGGATTCGCAGCCGTCCCGTCTATGTGACTCTACCCACCAATATGGTATATGCCAAAGTCAACGGAGATCGCTTGAAGACCCCAATCGACTTGTCATCGCCCAAGAACGACCCGGAGAAGGAGGATTACGTGGTTGACGTCGTTTTGAAGTATCTTCACGCAGCCAAGAACCCGGTTATCTTGGTTGACGCTTGTGCCATTCGACACCGCGCATTGGAGGAGGTTCATGATCTAGTCGAAGCCTCTGGATTGCCGACATTTGTCACACCAATGGGCAAGGGCGCAGTGAATGAGAGCCACAAGAACTTCGGCGGAGTTTATGCAGGAGATGGATCCAATGCGGGAGTGAGAGAGGTTGTCGAGTCCTCAGACCTGATTCTCAGCATCGGAGCCATCAAGTCCGATTTCAATACGGCAGGATTCACCTATCGGATTGGACAGCTGAAGACCATCGACTTCCATAGCAACTATGTGCGAGTGCGGTATTCAGAGTACCCCGATATCAATATGAGGGGTGTCCTTCGTAAGGTTGTTCAGCAAATGAACAAGCTCAATGTCACTGCGATTCCTCCGATCAACAACGCTCTTCCACAAAGCGAGAAGACCTCCACTGACCAGACTATCACCCACGCGTGGCTCTGGCCAACTGTTGGCCAGTGGTTGAAGGAGAACGATATTGTCCTTACAGAAACTGGCACTGCCAACTTTGGTATCTGGGACACTCGCTTCCCAGCAAATGTGACCGCGATCAGTCAGGTTCTTTGGGGCAGTATCGGATACGCCCTGGGATCATGTCAGGGTGCGGCTTTGGCTGCCAAGGAGCTACAGAATCGTCGTACCATCCTCTTTATTGGAGACGGCAGCTTGCAATTGACCGTGCAGGAGCTAAGCACTATGCTGCGCAACAAACTGAACCCCATTGTGTAAGTCTTCCACCATATCGCTTGACCTGTTTAAGAAAAATTTACTTACTAGTGCGTTGTTTCTAGCTTTGTCATCTGTAACGAGGGCTACACTATTGAGCGATACATTCACGGATGGGATGCGACGTACAACGATATCCAGCCTTGGGATCATGTCAACATTCCAAAGGTCTTCGGTGCGAATGATGGTTACAAGGGATACCGCATCAAGACCAGAGATGAGCTCCACAAGTTGTTTGCTGAGCCCAGCTTCAATGAATCCGACAGCCTCCGCGTAAGTTGAATTATCAAATGATGAATGGACCTGGCTAATGCAATGTGCAGCTGGTTGAGCTTTACATGCCGCGCGACGACGCTCCTGCTGCATTGAAGTTGACAGCCGATGCGGCGGCTGCGCGTAACAAATAGGCGACTTGCGCATCTCATCGCCGGCAAATGTTTCGAACAAGGGCTACGAATCTGCAACCCCGCGCGCAATGTAGCGCAATAGTTGGGATCATAATTTCGCCATTATTCTTTCTTCTCGCCCGAAATGACGTTCCCTAATTGATAGCGATTTAACAATTATCAATCTCTCCTCATGCAGATATGATGAAATGAAGTCTTTGTTTTTCAAATTGGGGTTTCTTGTAGGGGGGAATCGGCCTAGCTCCGGCGCTAGGGTCGTTCCTGGACCGGCCCAATGATGCTGTGCGCCACTAATTTCAGCTGTCAGTTCCCTTACGGGGCTTTCTGAGACGTCAAATTAGAAGGTTGACCGGTCCAGGCCCACTTATCGATGGAGTTTCTCCATAGCAGTACAGAGTTCCGTAGATATTTTGGGGGCCATCGAACAAGATCGGGGAAATGATCTATACGGATCTTGATAGTAATACCTGTGACCCAATCTCAGGTTCTCGGAGCCCAACCCTCTTTCTGAGTTAATTTTAGTCGGAAAAGATAGATGAGGGGAAGAGCAAAGCTGCATCAATCCAATAATAATGCTCCGATGCAATGAAATGAGCCCTACGGGGAACAAAAACACCTCCACTTTAGCCCACGTGATGTACCCAAGCGCTCGGGAAGAGCATCAAATGTTATGAAGATTTAACTCCTTTGTTCCCCTGTCACATAACGCTTTGCATCCCTGTGATCTTGTCTCGGTAGGTTCTTTTGCTTATCTGGGAGAAATATCCACTGCGGGTGGCTGGAATCTCAACTTCCCGTCGCTTGCACTTGCTTCCTCCACGATCGGAGGGGGATCGCCCTTTTGCCCAATTTCTTTGCGACACCCGGTTGACGTTGTTAACATTACGCCAGGATCGAGTTCAGCTTGAAACAGCTGGCTGTTTTCCGATCAGACGTATCGCGATCTTTTATTCCTTCCTCCCTGTTATTCTAGTCCCGGTCTGCATTTTCAACGCCGCCATTATCAACTTCGGGGTCGCCGAAGCTTATGATGCTGGGCCAACAATCTCGCGACTGAAAAGATTAATTCCTTTTCCACGCCACCACACGGGATGATAATAGTGACATATACTCAAGACCTCTATTCTCCGTGGTCTAGCTGCGAGAAGATCGATTGTGCAGTGCGTTAATCTTTAATTTGGACCGTCAAATCACTCGCTTCGCCATGGACGGTCAAAGACAACAACAATATTTCACGACGAGCCTTCCTCCACCCCCTCCGCGGGTGCCGGCGCAACTCCAGCCTGTTGGAGTGCCTGGCATGCCACCACCTCCACCGGGTCCACCGCCAGTGCAACCAGGGTATGTTCAATCATGGCAGCAGCAACCTGCCTACGCCCGTCAGGTCATGACACCCCAATACACTCTGCCACCACCACCACCTCAGCCTCAGCATGTCCCATATAAACCAGCCAACTTCTCTGCCGTGGATACATCCTACCCCTCGGCGACTTTTGTCCCTGGAGAGACACCCCTCACCTCGGCAACTTACGTCCCCGGGCATGACACTATCGGCGGGTTTCCACCATTATATGAACCCTTCCATGGGCGGTCTACCTATGAGCCTTATGGGCAGCGCCCTAATGGAGCCCCTATATATTCTGAAGGGGCCTACAATCCGCAGACCCCGGGAGGAGGACGAACAATGGCCACACCATTTGCCATCCACAATAATTTTCATGAGCTGCCTAATGAGCATGTGAACCCACCGCCACAGACTGTCAATCCAGTGGCTGATCTTACAAAGTCGCCAAGTCATCGCCATAATACCAGTGGCGCATCATTGGGTGGTCTTTCGCCAAGTGAGGCAGCGCAGCAATGGCCTCTCGAGAAGGTTCTGCTTTGGCTTGCTAAGAATCAATTTTCTAAGGATTGGCAAGATACTTTCAAAACTTTGGAGCTACAAGGTGCTGAATTCCTGGAGCTGGGCCTCCAATTCGGTGGGCGAGGCAATCTTGGAAAAATCCATCAGGTTGTCTATCCTCAGCTGGCTAAGGAGTGCGCCCGAAATGGCACTGGATGGGACTCGGAGCGTGAACGCGTGGAGCGTAACGAAGGTCTGCGTATTCGCAAATTAATTCGCCAGCTTCATGATGGGGCAGCAGACTTTTCTGTATCTACACCTCTGCGCCAGGATGCACCATTCATCGAGCCTGGACCTTCATATTTTCCTCGTGAACCCCGTTCAGCTATTGAAGGGACGAACGATTTCACTGCAGAGCAGCTGGCTGCCGCAAACAACACCGGCCAAAAGGGGAACACAGGGACGCGCTCTTTCACCACGCCAAATCCCACCGGGCATGGATCACCTTACGAGTCGCCTCTGCGTGAGACTGCTCCTGCACGATCGGACTTCACACGTGGTACTCTATCTGCAGCCCTCGGTGAACATCGCCGCCAAAGTCCATCTTTATCGAACGACGCGGCAAATTTTTCGGGGTCTACTCTTCGGCCAGAGAGCAGCCCAAAGAGTGGCAGTCCAGCTACCCAATTTGCGTCACCTTCGTATGGAGGACAGGCATCATCATCCACCGGGGACTTGCCATTCAGACACGACCACTCCCGTGGAAACAGCACTGACTCAGTTGCTGGCGTTGGCCGAGGCCCTTCCTCTGGAATTGGTGCCCGTTACTATGAGAATCGCAAAGGCCCCGAGGGTGCTCGCCCATCACCCCAGGATGCCCATGGTCGGCCGTGGAGTGGGGAACCTTCTTCATGTCACGCAAAGGATCACAGCAAAGGATTTTTCGACCGGCTCAGAAAAAGAACCAAAGGAACCGAATCAACTTATCCATCGCCTAAAGAATCAGACCACGAACCTCCGAGCCCGGATCCTCGCTATGTGCCTTATTCAGTCCCTGGTTTCAGCACCAGTGACTTGTCTCTGACCGAGCGTCCATTGTCAGCAACAACAGCTAAAGTTAAAAATTGGGTTCTAGTGACTGTGGACAGCCTCAACTACCGCTTGATTGATATTACAGATATGGACACGCCAGATTCCCTACGTGCAGGCATATGTAACAAGCTAGGGATCCCTGATTGGGGTAGTGCTCAAATTTCTCTCACTGAACCTGGACAATCTGACCATGATGATTTCATGACTGATGATGCTCTGTCTCGCTTCCGAAAGCAGAAACCAGATCATCATGGTTCCCTGAGATTGCTGTTTGTCAAAGGCAGAAAATCCCGCCCCTCTCCAATGGATGGTCTTGGGGTTTCAATATCTTCGGTATCCCCCGACAAGCAGGCTGTGTCTCCCACGGCAATGCACACCCCAATCATTCGGAAACCCGTGGGTGAAGAGCCAAGAATTTCGCCACAGACCCATGCCAATCCCAATTCACCTTTCTCGAGCTCTCGGCAGACAACACTGAAGGCCACACCTGGCGCCTCCTCTCAAGCGGATCCTCACAAGGACGACCTATCTGCTCGTCATGAAGCATACAAACGTGAGGTTGAGCGAAAGCAGGAGGAAAACCATATCTCGCGGCACCCACCTTCCCCGGGACTGCCCCGCGATAGTAGTCATCAAAATGGCTTTAGAAGTGCAAAAGTTATTGATTTTGACAAACCTCGTGATTCGCCGTTTGAAGCAAAGAAAGTCTCGCCGTCCGACGACAAAAAGTCGGAAACCCTGGTGCCCTTCCGCAGACCCCCCGTTGCTCCGAATGAGTCGAACACGCTTACCAAGGTCAATTCCCTTCGCAGGCCGCCTGGCACTCACAGTTTGGGAGCTGCCATTACTGGCGTTGGTCGGGTAATCAGTGCGACTGGTAACCCATCCGTGAACGTCTCTACCACTCCATCTTCTGCAAATCGCGATAGTGCCAGCTCGGATGATCGACCACCGACGATCTACTCTGCCGAAACAGCCTCAAGTAGGACAACATTGGGTACGTCTACACGCCAAACAGACTATTGTTGTATTAGTAGTTATCTTGTAACCAGGCCAGATGCTGACACAACACCAATTCCAGATTCTTCCCATAGTGGTCCCAAATTTTCTAGTGAGAAGGTCAACGAAAATTCGCCCGTTTCTTTTGCTACTTCTTCTGTGAAGAACCCCTCTGATCTCCCAGAGCGGCCATCCCTGCCATCCCGCAAGTCGTTCGGTCCAGCTTTTGAGTTCGAGGAAAATGAAGTTTCTTTCCAGAAGCCAGCGGCACCAGCCGAGGACTCTGATGATGACGACTCATCCGATGATGGTCTCTTCATGGTGCCTTTGGCTCATAAGAACGAGAGCAAGCCTGAGCCTGAACCGGAGACGAAGACTATGCAGCGCAACCTGACTGTGAACACGGATCTTAAGGGGCCAAGAGTGAGCTTTGCATCTCCAGTCCCTGCAGAGAGCTCTGGCGGGGAACCCTCCGACAACCAGGACACTGGAACTTTCTATCACGAGCCCTCGCCCATTGACGAGAAACCTCCTAACCGAAGAAACTCGTTTGCCAACGGAGATGTCTGGGCTAGCAGACCCCCTGTCGAGGGCGTTATCGACAACCTGGACAGCTTCTTCCCAGATGTTGATCTCGATGCGCCTTATCTGGATGAACCGGCTTCGCCAAGCTCCAAGGGCAATCATTTCGATGACCCAAACTTTCGAGGAAAACCGCTACAACCGCCTCCTATACCATCATCGAACTTCGATCCAAGCAGTCTTTACGGGACTGATACATCAACAATGCGACCGCAGGCAGGATCTAAGGTCGTTGCTAATAAGTTGATAAACCAAAGTGGTGGGTTTGGCAGCGGCAAAGGCCTTGGAAGAACCAAATCCATTCGACAAGTGGCGCATGATTCTCATCGCACCAAAAGTGTTAGCTCGTCTGGCCCGCAGCAGTCAGGAATGCTCCGTCGCAAGAGTACGAAGATGTTCGGCGCCAAAATCATGCAAATCAGCCCGAAGCCAGGCAGTCGAATCAGCAGGCTCGATCCTATCCCGCAGGGTACCAGGGAGACTGGGCCCAGTGGCTCTGTTCCCGAGCGCCAGCCTACCTTCCGTATCATTCGTGGTCAACTGATTGGCAAAGGTACATATGGTCGTGTCTACCTGGGCATGAATGCCGATAATGGTGAGGTTTTGGCTGTGAAACAAGTTGAGATCAACCCCCGGATCGCTGGAACCGACACAGACCGCATCAAGGAAATGGTTAATGCTCTCGATCAAGAGATCGATACCATGCAGCATCTCGAGCATCCGAATATTGTTCAGTACCTTGGTTGCGAACGAGGTGAATTGTCCATTTCCATCTACCTCGAATATATTTCTGGTGGCTCTGTTGGTAGTTGTCTACGGAAACACGGCAAATTCGAGGAGAGCGTTGTCAAGTCGCTCACTCGACAAACCCTGAGTGGTCTTGCCTACTTGCACGACAAGGGGATTCTCCATCGAGATATGAAATCAGACAATATTCTCTTGGATCTCGATGGTACATGCAAAATTTCCGACTTCGGTATCTCGAAGAAAACCGATAACATCTACGGCAACGACTCGACCAACTCTATGCAGGGTTCGGTCTTCTGGATGGCCCCGGAGGTTATCCAGTCCAAGGGCCAAGGCTATAGTGCCAAGGTTGACATCTGGTCACTCGGATGTGTGGTACTAGAGATGTTCGCAGGCCGTCGTCCATGGAGTAAGGAAGAAGCAATCGGTGCTATCTTCAAGCTAGGCAGTCTCGGTCAAGCTCCGCCAATCCCAGATGATGTGAGCGCAAATGCGTCTCTTGCGGCTCTTTCGTTCATGTGGGACTGTTTCACAGTGTATGTTCTTCCTCGGCCCTCATCTTTTGAAAACCAAGATGCTAATACAACCACAGTGATTCCGCAGAACGGCCTACAGCTGGCACCCTGCTCACTCGGCACCCATTCTGTGTATCGGATCCAACGTACAACTTCCTGGATACCGAATTGTATGCCAAAATTTTGCCGCCCTCCTAGTCCTAGAATCGGTATCGTTTCTTATCGCTGTGCTTCTCTCTTCGGATGAGACTTTTTTCAGCGCTGTTTTGATCATTATTTTGTTTTGCCTGCATCATATATACATACCCCTTCGAAGTTTCTTCTTTCGTTCGAGCGAGATTTGGAATTGGAATTGGTTGCGATGGATTAGGGTTATGGTGTCTATGGGTTTGGTGTTGCTCTTCGTTGTATATATGGGCTCAAATGTTCATGATAATATGCCTTCCGGTCTGCTGTGAAGCTCTCATTCCCTGGAGTACAGATCTCTTGCCTATACACAATCATCGCGTAGACGGACATTGTTATTTTATACAGCTAGACAGACAACACGATCTCAACCTTGGGAATGATAATGTGCACCTGATGCTTTAGTATAAAACTGGAATTGCTTCCTAATTTTGGAAAGTGCACTACATATGGTATCTATGCTTGCAATGCGATGAATAAAAGACTTACCGAAGATAAAGCAACAGATCTAAGAGGTCGTACTCGAAAGATCGTCATCGTCATCTACCTCTTCAGCCTGTAAACCCGCAACTCCAACTCTGAAAACACCCTCGCACCATTCAGCGAAGGTCTCAACGTCCCAAACGGCATCATCGCGACCTTTGCCCTTCTTACTAGCAGCGAACCCCTTACCCTTATCCGACGAAGCATATTTCTCCAAAAAGTCTTCGTAAATCTGGATCGTCCGATCTTGTACCGCACCAACCAGAGTCTCCTTCATCCGCGTATCATCGATATACTCATTCAAGCACTTTCTCAGCGCAGGAACTTCTTTCTCGATAGTACGGCAAGTGGGGTGAATGAGTTCTCCGCGCTGGAGGTTTCTCGTATCGACGAACTTCGCAGGGAGCGAAGCGGTCATTCGTGCTGCATAGGCATTGATGAAATCATTGATGACAGTGCGAAGACGGCCGTCTAGCTCGACTTTTGCGTCGAGCATGTTCTCCACGACACGGGGTATGAGACCATGGCCGACGAGGCGCATCAGGTTTCTTGGATTGAAGAGACCGCCTCGTTCGCGGAGTTCCCAGAAGGTACTTGTGACGCCGGAGAAATCGAAGGAGACTTCTGGAGCGACGTATTCAATGTCGAAGGCGACGATTTGTTGCTTTAGGATGAGGAGGTGGCCCATTAGGAATAGTTGGCCGTCTGATGGGGTGGCTTTGTTGGAGATTAAAATACTGGCGTTGTGAAGGGATAGGGTTGTTTGGTGGACGATGTTATGTGCTAGATCGTCGAAAACGGTTGACTGTAGAGTATGTGAGCAAGGGATGGTCTCTGGGAAAGTTTTGGAGAGGGAGGAAGCTTACATTTACAAGGCGATAGATTCGGCTTAGAAGCCAAATCGCTTTGCGCAAAGTTGGATACCACCCTTTGAGCGCTGTCTGAGTTTCAAAGTCCCATTTTCCGTCCTTGTCCTGTGTCTCGTCGCCATCTGTAGGTTTGGTCATGTCGATCATTGTAGCTGCCGTCGTGTCCTTTTTACCCGAAATTTGAGTGTCGGTCACTGTCGTCAATGACATCTGTCGGCTGTGCATGGGGTAATCGATGTCTTCAGGGCGAGGCTTGTATCGTTCAATTCCATCGCGAAGAGCAGCCTGGGCTCGGAATACCAACCGAGATTGGACATCCTGCAAAGCTGGCTGAATCAAAGTAGAGAAGTCGAGTTGGTTTAATACATGTTGTTCGGGCTCCTCTTCTGGGTCTAGGAAGTACCGGGTTTGTAGTAAGGTGCAAAGTTGGCACAGGTTGACAATGTCACCCTCATGGATGATTCGAGGACGAAGGTGGTCATAGAGAGGCTCACAGATGGTCTCAAGGAAGTCATATAATCCTCCTTGCCCATGGAACCATTCGCCCCATAGATCATACTCATCTAAGCAGACACCGCGAATGTAGCCGATACTTGCTCGAGCAAATGACACCAAGTCTTTTGTTGAACTGGGTGTCTGTGTGATCTCGACGAGCTTCTTGCGAACAAGCGGAATGATAAGTCGTGCCCGAGTGGCGGAGTAGTTGCTATGCAGTTCATTCATCAGACTCTGATATTCGGCCTCGCTGTTCTGCTCCGGGTTCAGGGGTGGAACGGCTCTCTTCTGGATCTCAATTCCAATCTGCTTCAGCTCCGGTGCTCCAACCCTGAATTTGGCGTACAGAAGTGCCGACAAAGCAGTTTCATTCAAATTTTGATCTGAAACTTTCTTCGAAACATTTTGGTAGATATCTTTGAGGGCAGTCACGAAATTGCCGCGGATAAGGGTAAGGGCGCGGGTGAGGAGAAGCCGGTATCTGGAGCGGTATACCTCTGCTTCCTTTTGCTCGGGCTAGAACAGAAATTAGTGGAGGTTCACCTACAACGAACGCGATACAATGGTACTTACATGGGTTTCCATGTAGTCCAAGCACACGTCAAGGCGCCTGAGCATGTCCGAGAACTCCTTATCGCGAACAGTATTGCCAGCACCGGGAGCATTAAGCCGCCGGGACGCGGGGTCCAAGAAATCATAGTAATGGAGATTATTTTGAATGCCATTTGCAAGCTTCGTATCGCGCTCCTGAGCAGACAGTAGTCCCTCACATTGTTTCTCGAAGTTCGAGGTCTGCGACTCGACGGATCTAAAGGACTCGGAAAGGCTAGATAGGTCGTCAAGGAGAGTCAAAGTGTTCATCAATATCTCATCAATGTGTTCTTTCGATTGCTGAAGGTCATCGAGACAATCCCTGGTTTTGACAGAAGGCTCAGATTAGTCTCGAGAATGTTCACCCCACGTCCACCTATACTCACTGGTATTGATCATAACTCTCTTCAACAAGATCATCCCTGACGCCATTGAGCCACTGAGAGAACTCCAATTCATTATTCCAGTTAGGAATACTCCATTGGAGCAGACCAGAGGGTTGTACCTGTGTTGACTCGAGGCGAGGTTGTGTTTCGCTGGCAGTTGGCTTCCGCGGCGGGCCCGATGGCGCGGTCTGACGGCGGGCACGTTGCTGCTTCGTAGATGGCATGGTTGCGGTCAAGGCCCAAAGCAGTTGTTGTTGGGCTTCCACCTGCTCATCACTCTTGCAAAGCCACAGGTGAAGCACAAAGCCAGTAACGGGGATTGCGAATAGCAGAGTAGGAGATGTGTAAGTGCATTGAACCGGGGAAGTTCTGCCCGGTGAGTCCGCCCGATCTGACGCAAACTACATGTAGCTTCCCCGGCCGCAATTTGTGACTCTAGCTTTCTTTTCATCCATTCGGTCAGTTCGAATCCCCAAAACGAAGCTTATGGATATGTGTTAAATTGCTATCTTTGACATTCATCATGCTGGCAAATCGAGTACGACAGCCTGCGGCGCAATTTACCCGCCACCTCCGTCCGACCCTCGCGACAGGCCGATCTCTGAATGCTCCATGGCGACGATTGGCAAGTGGTAAAGCGAGGCAAACACCCTCCAACTGGATTACTACTTCGCTCGGAGTTGCGGTCGCAGGTACAGCAGGCTTCCTTGGCTATTCATACCTGACCAGCAACTGGAAAGAAACATGGATCGACAGCCAGCTGCCTAAGAACGAAGTCGTTGATATTAACGACCTTCGCGCGGACTTTATTCAGGAGAAGAGAAGTCTCAAGAGCCCTGGGGTCTACACTTGGGGATCGAACGAATATAAAGTGGTGGACCCAGGATCGAAAGACACCGACGTCAAATCTCCCCGACGATTCAAGTATTTTAATGGTCAGGTGCTTCGGGATTTCAAAGTTGACGAGAAGTCTGGCGCTGCAATTGCAGAGAATGGTGATCTCGTGCAGTGGGGTAAGGGCTTTTCTGAGACCGAGTTCAAGCCCAGCAAGACCCTGACTGGCAAGAACTTGATTTCTCTTGCATTGTCCGAGAGTCGACTCATCGCTTTGTCCTCCGATGGAAATATCTATTCCATTCCTATCTCCAAGTCGGAACAAACCAGTGGTCCGAAAGCCCGGGAGAGCTCCTGGGTGCCCTTTTGGGGAGGAAAGTCTGCTTTGAGCTACCGCATTCTAAAGCCAGCCTTGAAGCTTGGTGAAAAGGTCACCGCGATCTGCGGTGGCCAAGAACATGTTGTCATGCTCACAAGCTCTGGTCGTGTCTTTACAGCGGCATCATCAACTGAAAAATATCCAAGCCTCGGTCAACTAGGTGTGCCTGGCTTGACCTGGTCCACTAGGCCTAGTGGACCGGCAGACCAATGCCATGAAGTCACAACTCTGAAGGGCTCTAAGGTGACTCAAATTGCCTCTGGTGACTACCACTCACTGGCGTTGACTAAGGATGGCCGTCTCTTTGCTTGGGGAGACAACTCATTCGGGCAACTAGGCGTGGAATTTGAACCCTCGGCAGCTTTCAAGGACACTCCTTTTACTCTTCCCGCGGAAAAATACTACCGAAAGGCATTTTATTCCCCGACCATCACGAGTGTTGCCGCTGGTGGAGCCACCACTTTCTTCACCGTTGACTCTAAGCGAATTCTGGGTAGCGAAGAAGACGCTACCAAGGTACGCGATCTAGGCACCGTCACTGCTGAGACCTGGTCTTGCGGTAGAGGTATCTGGGGCACTTTGGGTGCCGGTAAATGGATCCACATTCAAGACTCACCCACCAAAGTGAAGGACCTGAGTGGCTTGGGCGAATACGACGAGAAGATGAAGCAGCTAGCCCCCATTCGTCTACGCCACATGTCCGTCGGCACAAATCATGTTGCTGCGGTGTTGGATAATAAGACAACCATCAGTGCTAAGAACACTGACTCGCTAGATAAGTCAAAGGACTTCGGCTATGAGGTCTCCTGGTGGGGAGGCAACGAGCATTTCCAACTTGGAACTGGAAAGCGAAGCAATCAATCTCGTCCGACCCATATCAAGGCACCTTCGGAGTCGAAGAAACCAGAGCCTGAAGCACGACTACAGATTATGCCCCGACACAAAGGTCCCGTTGGTAAGCGTAATATGAGTATGGAGCAGCGGGTTGAGTGTGGCCGACATGTGTCTGCTATCTATTCAGCTGTATAACAGATTGTCATCAAAATTCAATGTATATTATGTGTTATTAAGCAATTAATTTGTGTGCACCCTTGACACCCCACGCCTACCAAGATACATATAGCTGTGCCAACGTCTCAGCACATACCTCTAAACTGTTCCAGTCTTTTATTCTCATGGACAGTACATTGCCTGCGAGCTCTTGCCCACTGATTCTGATGGGCTAAGCTGCTGTTTTCCAAACAATCATCTGTGGACGTCCCACTTACCGTTACATAGACACATATTCCTGTTCGTCTGTTCGAGTGATTACATCAGGGCAGATATTTAGCAACCTCGAGCTGGTCGGATTCCATGAAACTTGTGGGGGTTCTCCACCACCTCCCTTGATAAACAAGCTTTGGGCATAGTGACTAGTAGATTCTAAGGGATATAGCCCTGGAGGTTGGAATAGAAAAATGGAAAGTAAAGAGCACTATTAACCCAAAATAACGTAAGCACTGAGGAACAAAAGGAGAAAAAAGATCTTGCGAACTCCCGCCCATGAAGACTACGGTCTGTTGCTAACGAGAGTCTAAGTCGAAATTGTTTGAAGGTAGCACCTAAGACCACTCGGCCACACTTGCTTATAAATGTACTATCCTGAAATAAAGGATCATATAGTACACTCCCTATACTCTATGAGATATACGATGGTCGTCTCATGGAGCAGTAGCTCTTGCATAGAGCTGAGAGATACCAGAGATTTGAGTATTTAATTTCCGGTTGAAAGAAAAACGTTCATGTCTAGATAAAGGCTAAGAAAGTTGAGGCTTCTTTACTTTCTCCGTGCGTCAACGGCAAATACTAAACAGGGGTTGTCCTGGTTACCGCCACCGCCTTAGCCTTATCGGATGCAAACCGAGCAAACAGCGCCGCGGAGACGCTTGGACCACTGCTTATCCAGAAATTTCCCAAAAAAATCCTACGCCGTTTCAAGCTCCCAAAACATAGCCACCATGCCTCGTGCCCAGCAAAAGAGAGGCCGTCGGGCTGAGAAGAAGGCCCAGACGGACGGCGAACCCAAGCGCAAATTCGATGAAGCCCCCGAAGAACCCGTCGCAAAGCGCATGAAGTCTTCCGATGATGCCGACGCCAACGTTACCTACGATCATAACGCAGACTATGTTCCCCTCGATATGGAAATCCAACCGTTTGAACAACAAGAGGAGGGAGAACAGAGAGGGCCTGACGACAATGGCGATATGCCTTTCTTTGGTTTGCTCGACACCGACGAACAAGAGTACTTCTCGCGCGCTGGCGAGATGCTCGAAGCGAATGAATTTGAGGACGCCGAGCAGAAGCACTTATTCATTGAAAGTGTATACCGCGAGGCGAATGGCAAGGAATTGAAGATTGCCTGTAGTCAGGGTTGCTCGAGACTCATGGAAAAATTGATCTCGATGTCAGACGTTCGACAGATTCGCCGAATCTTCAGCAAGTTCATTGGTAATTTCCTTCACCTTGTGCAACATCGTTTCGCCAGTCATTGCTGCGAGACCCTTTTCATCAACGCTGCCCCGGCAGTTATGCAGAAGACATCTAAGGCACAGGCGAAGAAGACCGAGGAGGATGGAGAGGAGGAATCAGAGCTGTCTCTGGCGGAGATGTTTATGAGCGTTATCAAGGAGTTGGAAGGAAACTGGGGTTATCTTCTGACGGAGCGATTTGCGTCGCACACAATTCGAGTCCTTCTCTTGGTTCTCGCTGGAGAGCCAGTTGATGTTGATTCAAACGACTCGATCGTTGCTAGCCGTGCCAAGGAGAGATTGAAGCTCTCGACAGCGAACACACAAGTTGAAAACACGGAAGATAAGGAGAACGCCGCTCCCAAGAAGCGAAGTGTGCCAGAATCCTTTGAGCCTGCGCTGAAGAAGATCATGAATGATATGGTTTCAGGTCTTGATGATGTTTACCTGCGCGCTTTGGCCACTCACGCCGTTGGAAACCCAGTCCTCCAGGTCATGCTGACTCTTGAGCTCTCTCACTTCGGAAAATCGAGCGCTAAAGATCCCAAGTCTATTCTACGGAGGTTGCTCCCCGATGAGAATGTTGAGGAGGGCACGGAAAGCGCAAATTTCATCCGCGGCTTGCTCTATGACCCTGTTGGTTCTCGTCTTGTGGAGACCATGGTGCGCCATATGCCGGGTAAAGTGTTCAAGAATCTTTACAAGAATAATCTTCGTGAACGCATTGGTTCTCTTGCCCGGAACCAAACAGCCGGTTATGTTGTTTTGAAGACACTGGAGCGACTCGGAAAGGACGACCTGAAAGATGCCATGGATCTCATCATTCCTGAAGTCCCGGGCTTGATCGAAAGATTCAGGCTTATTGTTCCTCGGACATTGGTCGAGCGATGCGTCATTCGTAATGTTGACACAAAGCCGTTCGCCAAGGCACTCAAAGATGCCTTTGACCAAGACCCCGCCGCTCGTATTCGCCAGATGCTCCGACTTGACGTGACCCCGGAAGAAGTTCCTCAATACAATGAAGACCAAGAGATGCAAGATGCAGGTTATGAGGGCCACAATGAGTACAAGAAAAAAGCCACATCGACCCATTCTTCAGAGAAGCTGCATGGCTCTTTGTTTGCACAGACACTACTCTCTGTCCCGGGCCCTCTCAGCGACCTCGTCTACAGTGGCCTGCTTGCCCTATCATCTGAGACAATCATCCAACTTGCACAAGAATCCACATCCTCTCGTGTCTTGCAACAGGCACTGAAATCTAAAACTTCCACCACCCAATTCCGACGACAGTTTGTTCCTCGATTCCAAGGTCACTTGGCCGAACTTGCTCAAAACAACAGCGGTTCTCACGTAGTCGATTGTCTTTGGGATGCCACTAAGGATATCTTCTTTGTCAAGGAGCGAATGGCACAGGAACTTGTCGCAAATGAGATGCTTCTGCGTGACTCGTTTATCGGCCGTGCAGTGTGGCGCAACTGGTCCATGGACTTGTACAAGCGCCGCCGGGGTGAATGGGTTGGGCGGGCTAAGGGTCTTGACCAACAGCCTTCTTGGACCGAGGGTCAGGGAGAGCGACCGAAGTCTAAAATTGAGCTGGCGCGCGAGCGATATGCTGTGGCCCAGGGCATTCAAGATGTCAGAAAGGCTGCCACTGATGAGCAGGCTGCCGCTGCCGCCGAAAACTGAAATCAAAATAGAATTCTATACCTTGTTAATACCACATCCCAATTTTCTTCTTTATCACTAATTCTGCATTCTAAACAACCCTCTTAGGTGCATTATTCTTGTGTTCCATCCTTCTTTCAACGAACAAAGACTAGCTGACAACTTCATTGTCTTGTACAATAGGAATGACCTCTTTGTGAGTTGAACAATGTTTATTCCGAAGTCTCACATGTATTAAAAGGTCTATTACCATTTGAATCCCATTGTCAAGCTCTCCTTCAAAGACGTGATCTCGTGTTTTGTTATAAAAACAACTCGTCCCCTACCAATGATGACCTATTCACAATCAAATCCACACTCGCACATCCATTAGGATTTGAACAATCAGCTATTCCAATCACATAAGAACAAAATAGCCCAATATCTCTTTTTCAGAATGGGTGAGCTCCTCGCAAATCAATTAGTTGTCTACCTTTCGGAGCCTTACAACGGCACACTGATCAGTGACAACTGCTACAACTCAATCACTCTCGAAGTGCTAACCCCAAAAGGGCCCATGAACATCTACAACTGCATCATGCTCTCAATCAATGACCACCCATATCTGCGCCGATGGTACATACCATCAAGGGAGTACCGGCGACTGAATCCCTATGTTGAAGAAGACCAGGTATGGGTTGGCTTTAACATGGATTACGGTATGTACGAGAAGCCCACAGAGCGGGATTGGCTCACAACACTAAAGCATGCCATCGAACAGGGGCGCTTTCTTACAACCAAGGATCCAAAGCGTGATAGTAGACACAGTCGGACGTTCTGGATGCAGATGCGAGGCTACTTCAAGTATGATGACCAAGGAATTATCAAAATTGCAGTAGAGAGACATGTTGATTTGCTGAATCAGCTTATACATCACAAAATTGTAACTATTCAGAATGAGAGGATCCTCTCTCTCTTCACAATGTACGAATGACTAGGCTAGGGACTACTTGATACACTAATTTTTTACGCCGTCTTTTTCTTTCACGTTTTCCATCTCGTCCTTGCGATCGAAAATTCTCGAAACCTCCTCCAATGATCTTCCTTTCGTCTCCGGGAAGAGGAAATAGGCCAATAAAAAGAACAGTACCAGACAGCCCACGTAGACAAAATAATACTTCCACTGTAGAACGGAAAACGCTACCGGATTGACGTACTGGTTGAAGAAGCAAGCGACAGCATCCGTAGACAGCGTAATCGCCAGACCCTTTGCTCGGAGCTGAAATGGCAGGATCTCAGCCGGGTAGGCAATGAATAGCGGCGAGTACGCTAGATCGAAGCCAGCAAAGAAGAGGAATAGCATCGGGACAACGGCAACACCTGCAGCAGCAATGTGCTTCTCCTGGAAGAGACCGGCTGCGATGGTTGTGATGGACAGGAAAAGAAGCATGAATGCTGTCGATAGCAGCCACAGAATACGTCTGCCATAGCGCTCCGATGCGACAGCACCAGCTGAGGACAATATAAGATTCCAGATTTGCAGTCCCACATTAACAGCAGCTTCGTGGGAAGCATTGGTGATGCCGACAGAGGCAAGAATCGGAGCAAGGTAGTAAGAGATGATACCTATAAGCTGGTTAGAATTGAGTACTATCTTGTCATAAAGAATTTCTTCATACCATTTCCAGCCCACTCCTGCATAAATCCACAGATAATACAGATTGCAAGACGATGCATATCGCCCTTGGATGATAAGAATGTACTCCAATACCCAGGTTGCTGATGCTGCGCATTGATACTGATGCAAATCTGATGATACTCATGCTGAACAAGCTCATCGTTCGAATTCCCATTGGCATGGAATTCAGCTAGAACCGCAAGCGCCTCATCTTTCCGTCCTTTGGAGACCAGCCAACGTGGACTCTCAGGAACAAAGCAGAGGCCCAAAAGCTGGGTTATAGGGAAAAATGCCTGTAGCATACAGGGTATCGTCCATGACCAAGTGGTATGCATACTCAATGTGGCCATGGTAATCGCAGCGGAAGCAATAGATCCCACACACCAAGCTGCATTATAAAGTGCTGTGGCTGTCTGTCGGTGATGTGGATGGGCGATCTCCGTCGCCAATAAAGGCGCTGCAGTCTGTGCAGTTCCCACGCCCACGCCGGCTAAAACACGGCACCCAAAGAAGGCCCAGTGGCTATGTACAGCGGCTTGGACCAGTGATGCAATGATCACCAATATGGATCCTATTGTAACGCAGTATTTGCGTCCAAGGATATCGGCGAGGTATGATGCCGGGATGAAGGATATAAAGGCGCCGAGCGAGGTAGCTGCGATGAGAAGACCGAGGATTTGCGGTTTTAAACCGCCGATGATCTCTTTAACTGTGTCAAAAGTTTAGTCCATATTCCTAAATTCACGCGTAGTTATCCGGACTGACACTCAGGCAACACAAGCAAGCCATTCATCAAACTCCCGTTATATCCCGTTCCAGCAGATGAAGCGAACATAAACGCAATACCCAAATTCAGCTTTCGTAGACCTGGGTCCCTCAGCCAGCTCCTCTTCTCCACTTTCAAACCAGCCTTCAATCCCTCCGAACTATCTGACTCCATCATTCGTTCCATGATTAAAGTAGCGTAAAGATGTCGTGAAAATCCCGTTAATGGCCGTCGCAAGGCCGTCGAGTATCAGTCGCAGAACACACAAGATCCCAGCACCAGACATCCCTGTTCTATTAAGCTTTTTAAGCTACAGCTCCTAAACCCCCGAAAAAACAAGGGTTATCTACATTCTTACCCTTTTTCTCCATGAAGCCACACAGCGGCGTGGGAAACTGCTGATCGAAAATCCGCGGAATGCAGGGAGGAATGATGACCTCTTATTTTCAGAAACTGGGCACATGAGATGGACACAGAGTATAATCTGCTCTAGAAAATCTATCAAGGAGTTACATCATTATCTTGTGTTCCAAATTAGTTTTACGTTTTACTTTTACGCTTTTTCCTAGGAACTTTTGAAGCTTATCATCCAGAATTCCAAACAGATCAAGCCCTAACTTCAATCCTACTCGTCCGATTCTCCGAGTAGCGACGCATACCGATTCCCCAGCCCGCAGAACCCCTCGCACTGTTCCCCCACCTCCTTGTCTTTCCCTAAAACCTCCTCTAGACTCCACGCGATTCGCTCCGCGCCTATTCTGGCGCCCTCGAGATTGGGCGCTCCGGGTCCTAGACGTAGTCCGGCCATTCGTCCGGTCATGTATAGTGGTACGTCTTCTCTCCACATTAGATCTTCTGTTAGACATGGTAGACCCTCTTTGACCTCGACGGGGTATTGCTCGTTCATGTGACTTAATAGAGACATCTCGCGCACGTCTGCGCGGGCTCCAGTCGCAAAGTAGATGTAATCGATTGGAGGTAGATTTGGGATTGGAGGGTCCGTGGTCAAGGTCCATGCTTGAGTATCTGGGTCATAATTATGCGATGAGATCACTGTGTTGGTATGAATCGATGCACGGTTGTGCGCGGCATGTTGCCTCACAATCCTTGTGAAACGGGGCGTGATGCTGCCGCCGTTCCGAGCAGTTTTCATCATTTCAAGACGTTCTAAATGTGTATTAGAGATTGGTTCAAATCACATTCTTGACTTCACGAACCTTCGTCAGTGTCTGCAGAGAAAAACGCCGCTTTTTCGAAATTCTTGTATTTTCCCATCCAGGGTAAACTGATATCGAAATGCTTGACTGTTGATAGATTAGCAGGGCGCCCTTAGTATCAGATACAGTTTTTGTTGGTACTCACTTTTCAGATCAGAGCGCATCAAGAACCATACTTTGGTTACCCCCTTCCGCACGGCCATATCCACAATTTGTGCTGATGAGAGTCCGCCTCCAACAACGACCACATTTGTCTGCTGTCGACGCTGGATTTTCTCACGCACGTTGACACTCGGGAATGTCTTGATTTCCATGCTATGACAGCATGCATTAGAACCCTCCTCGGGACTAGAAGGCTTCCATGGGAAGATCTTGGACACGCCCGCTCCGCCAGCACCGATGGCGAGGACAACAGCTCGACTATAGAACTTCAAGCCCGATGTCGTGATCAAAGTGAAAATCTTGTCGTCTGACACTGGTGCATCTCCTCTATCAGATGGATAATCGTATGTCATGTCCGCAACCTCTTCCTTCTTAATTAGGTCTGCGCGATTCAGGCCGTATCGATCAATAACGGAATTGCAGTAGTCAGTGAAGAGATCAGTCGACGGGGAGAAATAGTCTTTGCGATCTCGCTCGTCGATCTCGACTCCAATCGTTCTAGAAAGAGAGGGTTGTTAGTATCGACACGTTTGATGTATGTATAGAACATCGGAGAACATATAAGATACTCACTGGTTCTTCCCTCCCTGCCTCCTCTTCTTCTTCTTATGTTTGCTCACATCCTTCCCAACACACCCAGAAATCTCCCAAAGGTCTCCCTCGCGTCCCATCTCCTGCGCATAAGCAAGCATTCCGTCCCGATCCCCGGGATCAACATGAAAAAACATGGGACTTCTCAATTGCTTAATCTCCAACGTCCGGAACGCATTATTCCACCTCTGCATCCACTGATCACTGGATCCATCCAGGACAAGTGTCGAAATAGTTGAAGAAGACGAAATGGAAGAAGTCGAAGACGCAAGCGAGGGAACCGATGATACCGAGTCTGATGATGCTCTGCGCTGTCTGTCTGGCGTCTCTCTTTCTCCATCACAGCATTTCAGTCCGCGATTCCATTTTTCCGCGCGGACACCCTTCTTCTTCGTACGGCCTGCTTGGACGAGATTCATCTTTCCTGCATGTTTCTTGATCCAGTGGTATCGCTGGTGTTCTTCATCGGTAAATACGGCCGAGGGTGTATCTTCGTGGATGCGAGCAGCGACACCTAGGCCGCAGGGTCCGGCACCGATGATGATTACATCGTGGATCTCGCTTTCGGTGCTATTCATTTTGAGTGATTAGGGCGATTTGAATTATATCACATATATAAGTTGCGATAGAGGGGGTGATTTATCAGAGTAAAAAAGTGCGTTTGTAGAATTTTGAGGGGCTCTCTCTTATATATGAGTAGCACAGCTTTTGACCATTCTGCAATGTCCTCATTGCGCATGCTGGCTATCGAGGTACTCTTACTCCCAAGGTCCTTAGGGCTCAATAGAAGAGGGTGAACCCCCACAGTAATGTGGATCCGATCGGCGGTTAGAGGTTGTCAGCCCATGGGGACCTTGGAGCTTGGAATTTCAGCTTCCCAGCAGTATTGCGCATATCGTACTAATACAGGTTACCAGATATATTACCTTCAAAAGAGATAAAGAAAGAACGAAATTACCATTGAAGTAGGTTCTCTCACTGCTCCGCTCCAAATCGAATATAATATTCCGATATGTGTTCCCCACTGCTCTATTGAAGCTAAGTTCTGGTAGCGTAGACTAGCTAGCAATACATCGGAGATCGGATGATTCTAGACTTCATATTATATATCTAGATCTCAGCACATAATTCTTATACCGATTATTACCTTGTTGCCGATAACTTCAGATTTTAGAGATCTCTGAGATTCCTGCTTATGCGCAGGAATCCATCACTTGACACAGTTTGACGATATACAAATACCAAACTCTACTATACAGCTTGTACGCTCAGTTGCTCTTAAGTATGATAGATCCCCCACAGAACAGCCTGAGAATGCACGTTTTCATTGCAATCCATATTGCCTCTTGCACCGACCTTGCCATCGCTGGCGAATCGCTGGACCGACTCATTGATCAGATCAATGACATCTTGCCCCCCAACCACAAAACTCACATTCCCATTCACCTTCGTGGCCTCCACGCCTAGCGCACATGTCCCGAACGAGGCAATCTCGCGCTGGTTCTTGCCAACAACCTGCGTAGTATAGTCCGTGCTGGCATCACCCTGGATATTCTGAATGATGACCATACAGTCGTCAACCAGCGGCGATCCACCGCTAGTCTTATTCTCAAAAGTAGAGTCACCACAGGTGTCTTTGCCCGGCGGGATGTCGCACGGGTAATTATCACTGGAACCCTTATCGGCGGTATCCCAGGACTTGAAGGCGCGCTCAGGGCTGCAAACAGGAATGCGCATGAATCCGGGTGTTGTCACAACCACGTCCAATAGGTTGGCGATTGTACCTTCGTTGGTGGGTCCGCAGAGCCTCCGCCGTTTGTCTTGCCATTCTGCTTCCATGTACGCACCGAGCCCTTGATCAGATCCTCCTTGGTAATGCCGCCGAAGTTGCCGTCGCTAAGGGAGTCAAGACCGGGAGGCATGGAGAACTTGTTGTCAGAGCACACTTTCTGACAGGGACCTTTGTCCCCCCATGTTGCACTCGTAACAGCTTTGCAGCTCGCTCAATCGTGACCGAAAATATCTGCCAAAGGCTAGCGAGAAATGTGGATTGTCTACCTAATAGCACTATCACTGCTGGGTAGGTTGCGGTGGCCTCTACCACTGGTTTCAGAAATCAACCTTTGGACCCGTGAATGGAACCCATGAGCAAGGATAAGACCATCGAGAACGCATCTCAAGGTCGTGTATAATTCTACTCAACACCTAGCCACTATTAGCGTCTGAGTATCTCCGCCATAACAGAAGTCAGCCAAGACATAGTAGCAAATGCCAAGAAAATGGGCGAATTGGAATTGGGAATGCTGTGTTGTTGGAGCTGAGAAAACCCCATCTTTGGTCACTCCGAGGGTGCCATGCCAAGGGAATCAGGCCGCCAACGATAATTACAAATTGGCATGGACTTGCCAATACTTACACTCGGGAATCCTCGGGGTTCCAGCCCTAAAGGGTATGTTCGAACTGAACTCCCGAAATTGGCTACGGGTCTTGGGTTACAGTGCGGAGGGACTCGTGCAATGCCAAGGGGCAAGGTTTACTCTTAGCATCGGTATTTTGCTCTCCGAAGGAGTCTGAAGTAGCTGGCAAGGATCATACCACTCAGCCGTTTGGTAAAGGGATGAGGACCGCTGCGAGAATGGCTTGCCTGGCTATCAATGCTTGTAATTACTGAATATCCCGTATGTCAAGCGATATATTCTAATCTCTGGCTGGGTTCTATCTGTCTTTCTATCAACTTCATTATCAACTTAAATGCCTTACTGGTTGTTGACTCTATCATTTCGCCATTAGGTGGAAGAGCCGCAAAATAATACATAGATAATATGACCTTATACCCAACTCAGCAAATATGCAGGACAGGTGTATTTACAGATAAGTCAAGGCTTTTATCCAAGTAGTCGAAGCCTCATGCAGGGGCTTGTTTAGGCGAGAAAGAAGCCTAACGCCCCAACTGCAGCTAATAAGCAGGAAACTCCAGCAACAGCCAACTGTGTCGCGGCATTCTTTTCGCAATACTCTGGCGGGTCAATGCCGCTGCATACACGAGCTGTGACGGAGGCATGGATGCTTTCAGCAGCAGCTTTGTCGATATGAACCCGGCAAGGATCCGGCGTAGATGTAGAAGTAGAGTTGGCCATCACCGCGCAGGTATTATTGTTCCAGGCCTTGGCAGACCACTCCACGCTCGAAGGGACCTTCAAAGTTTTGTCAGATACATTGATTATCATGCCATATTCATTTGTGCACATCTCGTTGGCTGTGGCAGCAACAAGATCCACTTGGGGGGCGGAATTGTCGATGGAGAAATAGGTTGCCCAGGTAGTTTTATTATGGTCCATTCTTGGTATGCGATCTGGGTTCTCGAAAGATTCTTCGTCGCAACTGTCCCAGGTCATGGACCAGCTGACTTTATAGTGACCCTCCTCGCTCGGGAAGCTCATAACCTCGTGCGCGAGATAGGTCTCTTCGGTCCAAATCTTCCAGCCGAGATCATGAGATAGCGTGAAGGATGTATGGTCAGTCTGCAAGTTCCACATCAAATACTGAATCGATGGGTTCAAATATCGCGCTCGCTGGGCATTCTGGAAAGCAAAAACAACGGGGAAGTCGTTTGTGGGCGCATATGTCGAGTTTCGCGGGAAAATGAGGTCCACCTCCAGTACACTAGTGTTTGTAGCACTAATGATGTTCCATATACAGGCAGCGAGTAGCCAGCTCGCGCGAGGAGACTGCATGTGGAGAGCGAGTCGTATCTCCACGCGTACGTGTTGGTAAGGTCGTCAAGAAGTCTGAAGTAAGGAGCACTCGTGGTTTGCCTCATATCATCAGCATACGAAATAATTTCCAACGTGGCAATCAACGGCGACGGCAAGGCGCCCCAAAGAAGGGGTCTTGCGCCATCTGAAGAAAAGGAATTGAGACAGGGTCCAGTGGAAGACTAGGTAGGACCTCTGATTCTTAGCCGCATGAGGTCGCGCCTTGGCGATTATCGTGCTAACCTCTCACAGGCTGGAAGGCTCTCAAAGGTTCTCACGGTGAAATGGACGGAAAGCGCATATTCGAGGACCGGCTACAGGCTTGGCAGGGTCTTGGTCCAGTCTTGGCTTGGCTCTGCGCGGCCAGGAGTGCAGCGTTACATTGCATAGGAGATAGTTCCTGACGCTAGCTTGCACTTACATGTCGACTCACACCCGTCCTTCTCGATTCGAGCGAATAGGATCTCTTCCTGGTTATGTATGCTACCCTGCGGCTCTAGCGGGCTCTCCCGCACTGGTTGTGATCCCAAACCTTGGCAATTATACTCCATTGAGGGATAAACCCGATCACTACAGCTTGGTCAACCCTGCCTACTCAACAATGTGGCGCTGTGGTGACAACTCGAATGGTTGACCACGTGTAGGAAAAGGTACGAACAATGAGGTGAGTCAAGGGCATCGGTGCCTATTAACCTCCGAAGCACGCTAAGAGACATGGATGCAACCGGATCAGACAGAGAAGTACCTCCTCGGGACTTGAAGGGTCTGATCATGAAGTATAAAGTTTGACAGAGATCGCAGTCAGGAGTCAAACCATCCCTCACCCAACTTCAAACTTACCGACATAATGCGCTTCACTTATCTGTTTACTCTTGGAGCAGCCCCAGCAATGGCTGCGGTCCTGAGCTACCGGGCTGTCAGCTGCACGACGACTGCTGATGCAGGAGCTACATGTTTGAGCTTTGCCAGCTCCTGGGGAATCTCTGTAGAGAGCCTCCAACAGCTGAATCCAGGAATCTCCTGCCCTAATCCCGATACCAGCAAGTCATACTGCGTGATTGGCACTGTCAAAGATGACCCGTCGAGCGCAACGACCACTACCACTAATGAGGCTGTAACCACCACCCATTCTGTGTCTGATCCCTCTCCCACCATGCCTGGTATCGCCAGCAACTGCAATGGCTTCTACAAGGTGGCATCCGGTGACCAATGTGACACCATTGCGGCGAAGTACGGTATCAGCGAGGCCCAGTTCAGAAGCTGGAACACTCAGGTCAATGAAAGTGCGTCTTCCACTTACTTCCCCTTTGTGCAGAGCTTTTGTGATCTATGGTATAAGATTCTGACATCTGTAGAATGCACAAATCTATGGCTAGACTACTACGTCTGCATACAAGTCCCCGGCGCAACGACTACCCCAGCACCCAAGCCAACCACCGAGCCCTCAGGGCCCACACCCCCAATGCCGGGTATTATTGCAAACTGCAAGAGCTACCACCTGGTCCAGGCTGGCGACAGCTGTTACTCGATCGAAACTGCTGCGAAGATCACGTTGGCGCAGTTCCGTGCTTGGAATACTCTAATTGACGCGGCGTGTAGCAATCTGTGGCTGGAATACTATGTTTGCGTTGGTGTTTAAATTTTTTGTCAATTCAGTATATATATCCAGCAACGCACACCACGCGGAGGGTTTGTAGCCAAACTTCTATACACAGTACATCAATCAAACACGAATCCATTTCTTTTCTTCCAATTCCATATCCTCAAAACAACCCCACACCTGGGCAGTCCCCCTTCCATGGTTGCCCGGGCATACAGAAATCCCACAAAATGCCAATTAAAGCTCCTCGCTCTCCGAATCGCAACCGGGTATTGACTCCCATAAAGCAAAACAAACTTATCACCAGACTTAAGATCTTCATGACCGATACCCGTGAATTCAGAAGCAGTGACAAAAGAAACTATATCCTCCCGAGGTCGTTGATATACATAGAAGAACAACCGTATCCCATTTAAAGCGATAGCATCTTCCCACTTGGTCTCCTCCATTGATCGAACAAGAGCCCATAAGCCCTTTAGGGATGGATTGACAATCGGTATCGCGTTTTTAGGTCCGCAGGCTTTATCTTATTGACGGGAATAGGCATTCATCATGTTGAAGCGTAGTCATTGCTCTGTAGTTGAGGGCATACTTGTAGAGTGTTGGTTTTCACTGGAGGCTTGGACGAGCTAGTATGGATTGAAAGATAATTTTCCGCTCGATAGCTTCGTATAACGCACGCTCCATCGAGTTCAAAGTCCACAAGTCAAATTTCGTAGTAAAGTCGCTTGTGGAAGTTGACGCAATGATATTATCCGCTTTTGAAATTGGGAGCCTGGTCTCGCGAATTGAAGGCTGTTGTCTGCTCACACCTCGATGCGATATTGGGTATCGACAAATTCCAGACCTGTCAGTTCTATTACCTGCGGATTTGAAGGGTTGAAAAGGGGCTTTGAGGTGCATATGCATGTATAATACATGCATAATACACCCCTTAATAGCTTTATCAGCGGTCTCGGTCTATAAAAACACTTTGACTTCCTAATATCTATTTTCAATACTGATTACTAAGTTTAAAATGCGTATAGGCATCGAACGGAGGCTTATCTACTAAGATTTAAGGGTTAATTACAGCGTCAACTACATCAAAAACAAGATCATGTGATGATCTCTCGAAATCTGTGGTTGTATGAAAATTGATTCAAAATTATAGAATATTACTGTTTGAGATATAAATACGATTATTTTCAAAATGGATTATTGCGTGTCCAAGTAGTGATTCAGCGGGCTTAAATACCAACGCTCTACATTATCAATAACAGACGAAGGGGGAATTAACAAACAGCCACCAAAAGAGAAAACCCGAACCAAAGCATAAATCGTGACAAAAATGAAGAGAATAAGAAGAAACAAAAAAGATAAAAGTACCACACAAAATTCCAACGCCTCAATCCCAAAGCCAAACACCTATTTATGCCACTTCTTCGCCCTTATATCGATGTTCCTTGTTGATCGAGGGACACCGCCCCCTTCCCGACGATGCCAAGCGTCCTGAGGCCAAACCCATCCCCGAACCCGCTTAGCGTCACGACGCTCGCCTATCTGCGGCTCAGGAATCCAATTATCTTTGGGCTCAGGGAGGGTACGCTGCCGGGTAAGGGCACCCGGACCGCCGACGTTGAGGTGGGCGGAAGGTTGATCTGGAAGTGGGACAGATTTAGAAAGCATGAGTAAGAAGTACAGCGCCAAGCTTGCTGTCATGGGAGTCTGATAATGATCTTCCAAGCATTCAGACTCAGGGACAGGTGACGGATGCCGTGAATATGACGAGCCGTGAGAAGAAGCGGAGAATGAGCGTGCGCTGATGGGTGTTGCCAGGGCCGGGACTTCCCGCACAGACGGGGGTTTTGTCGCTGCTGTTTTCAGTGGGATTGGGGCTGCGACTTCGAGGTACCCGAAATATGGGACGTCGCAGCCATCATCACACCCGGCGCGGACGCAAAGGAGTTCGATTTCGGTGATAATGAAGCCATAGCGGCAGGAATGTTCCCTCATGCAACGCTGCAGATGGGCTAGGCCGTTTAAGTATTCGACACGGCGGTGTGGTGCCTCATTGCGCATGGCTGAGTTCCATCTGTCGAAGCTTTTGACTATGCCTACGAGTCGGCCTCGTGGGAGTCCTGCGCTGGTGCATTCTGTGTCTGTGGAGTAGTTGGCTAGGAAATGTGGGTGCCCATGGTTTTTGTGTCCGGTATGACGGATATCCGGAGCTGGGTGGAGTTGAAGATGTTCTGCGCCTTGGGAAACAGCTAATGCTGCATTGACTCGAGGCGCATAAAGGTCCCGAATTAGGGCAACAAGACCGGGTTCGGACTCCGGGGATAGACGTGAGGAGGGAACGCCTACTGGAGGAGCAAGTGCTCCAGGGATCTCGGTCTTAAGGAGCTGGGTGAGTCCGTGGATGGCGTCAATAGTGGCAAAGGAGAAGGAAGTCCAGTTGCGAAGCTGACGGATATCCCACCAGAAGTAGTCATGCATACCACGGGTAGGGATGACGCTGACGTTACGGACCAAGTTGACTGCTTGGGTGGGAGAGGTCAAATACGAGATCAAGTTGGTAGATGGGGGAGGGAGGTCTTCGCGAGGAGTCATTGGGTGCATTGGTGATCTCTGGGGTCCATGGACTGGGCTGTAGCAGTACTGAGGTGTCGGTACAGTCAACGGATGACGTGGTGTGCGTACGGGAGCAAGTCGAGGTACCTCCACCATCGGTTGCTGGGGTTGAGACGGATAGACCACAATGTTTGGTGTCACTGGCGTGACTGGAGTAGTTGGACAGGTTTGTGCCTGCACATGCGGCACATATTTTGGGAGCTGTCGGTAGGTAGGATATCCATACCGATTTAGAGTAGCCGCATCAATACCGGAGGCTGAAACAGATCGGCAGTGACCAGAGCTCTTGCGCTTGCTTGACGTGATAGTTACTGGAGATGACAAGGCAGAATGACTGACAGGGCTCGTGATGATAATGGGTGAAATGGGAGATGGTAGAGGCATTCTATCCCCAGCTTCGGGTTGGTTTCGCCGAACAGATGGACGGCTGAGGGAATAAGGCGCAAAACCAGGAGTATTTCGTGTGTTGGACAAGACTCGCCGATTGCGCAAAGGGCCACCAGCAGAGACCGGCTCAATCACCACATCCTGGGGTCGAATCTTGGGCAAAAGTGCCGGGCCATGATGATGCCGAACTGGCGAGAGACCAGGACTAGTGTTACCCGTCATGGTTGACCATGGCGAAGATTCAGCTGAGTAAATAGAAGACGTAGATGCGTTGCGACTATGTCCTGACCCAAGATATTCCTCATAAGGCACACCCGGCGGCGTGGTAGGCTGGTAACGAGTGTGATCCCCAAACATGATGCGATGAGGGAATGTTAATTTGACAACTTCACTGAGCCTCAGATCCAAAGGGACAGGAAGGTGTTTCCCAATGACAAGTAAGAAACGAATGTATATCGAAGTAAGCTGTTCAGATCAGATCACCTTCCGCGTGAAGGGACATTGACATGATTGTGGAGGAGGATGCTTGAATGTTAAATGGTTTGGGATGAGTAGGCTCAAACAAGCTAAGCAGATATAGATATAGAATAAGGGCCCACTAACGAACCCCAAGCAGATCTTGAATAACATGAAACATGGAGAAATGCTCCACGGTGACGCCAACGGAGGCTCATATTCTTTTTTTGGGATCCTGGTCTCCGATCCAGGGCCACGCCTGCCATGCGATGAAACGCGAAACTGCCGACAATTATTCCTCATGTCGCGCGACAGGGTAGACTGAAACCCCGTAAAGGGCCTCCATCCGGGTATAGTGCGGTTTCAGCGGTCAGTCGCGCGTTAAGTTGTTACTATATTTTGCATCAGTTTCGACGGTATTCTTCAGATTCCATGTTGGGATTAGTGTGCTGCAGAGTGATCGAACACTTCTAAATTCAGTAACAATTAGGTCGCAAATGTCAGGTAATTAGCGGCCTCATCCATCTAGGGGTAAAGTCCAAGGTGGGAGCGCCATGCCTCAGGAATCGCCGGGGGAGGAGATGGGCGGTTAGCTTCAGCAGAGAGAGATAAAAATAGCCAGGGCGTGTGCTGTGACAATGCATGAAGCAGAACCTTCAACTCAGGGTAGATGGATCCGAGGAGTTTTCTCCATAGGGGAAGTTGGAAATGTGATTACTTGGTCGGCGGCTAGAGATGTAGGTTAAGTCTCAAGTACGCGCCGGACGATCGTCGTCACACACTTTTCAAAGTTCCTGCGACCAGTCACTCACGCCGAAATGTCCCATAATTAGCAGAACACCTGTTTATGGTTTCAAGTACTAAATTAGCTATCATTCAAGTCCAAAGAGGTCTAAAGAGTAATGTAGTTCATATGCACATTTCTTATGTTTTGATTTCCATACTAAAGGACTCCACTTTACTTTGTTTCAAGTCTGTGCTTTTTAGTGATGTACAGTGATAAGATTGCCTTGCATTAATGTGGAAGATCATACGACTGAGAGTACCTTGGTTCTGAATAGCTTCAACATCCTTTCTTTCGTACCAGATATGTAGAAATGTCGTTAAAATTGAATATACAAAGATATAACCGACCTGTAGCCCACGACAAAATATCCAATAGCCCTAGTCCCTGCAAGTATAAGTTACTAGCAAAGATAAGCACCATGGGCGCATAAGAATAATCCTTCAGAGTTCTCCCTTGCTTTCTGCGTCTCACTTTTGACTGTCTTGATTACTTAGCTGTGGATCATTCTTTTTTTAATCTGTCGGGTTAATGTCCCACCCAAAATTACAGGTTAACCGTGTCGAACAAAAGTTACCATCTACGACTACAGATTTGGTGGTAATTTTGGTCTGAAGCCGGTAAATCTCAGTTCAGCTGTGTGTCAAGGAAGTACGTAGACCCATCATGGCGCTTCAAATACTTTGACATATACTGTAAATTCTTTCGGGGTTCTTTGGCTATCTTCTCCAAAGCTCTTGAGACATTAGTATTTTTCTTTTTGAATGATTTGGAAAGGTTTGAAGGAAGCTGTTTGGCTGAATGGGTGTGGGCACCTTACTTTTTGCCTGAAAGGGTTGCAGCGGGGACTCAATAGCCTTCTCGTGGTCTGTGTGTTCATGTGTCCACATAAATATCCTTTGAAACATTCCCTGTAATGCCCAAGTGTCCAAAGTATTCCGGGTTCATCGGTAGCTCTGAATAGTTACAGTAGTTGGGATTTAATTGCTGCCCAGGGCCATATACATCTTTATGATCATCAGCTCAAGTGGGAAACAAGAAGGAATTGATTATTATGTTCTGGCATATAGCCAACAGTAAATATTGATATTTTAGCTTCTAGCTTATTTCATCATTCATCCGAAAAATTTGGCGTAACAAAACAAAGATAAGACAATAATTAGCAAGGGCTTTGCATGGTCTAATCCAACGCAAAGCTCATGAAAAACGCTGGTGGGGAATCTTTTATGAACCGTCTAAACAAGGGAAGGGGTCATATCCAACGGCAAAAGAACAGAACGGGCAGACCATCTAGGCCTTGATCTCGTACTTGCGGCGGAACATGTCATCGACCTCAGTGAGGTAGTAAGTTCCGGGCAGGATGGTCTCGGTGCTACCGGAGGGCTTGAAGTTCTTCTGCAGGTGGGCGTGCTCGCGCAGCTTGCACATCTCATCGTAGGCAGCGGGGGTGAGGACGTTGCGGGCCTCGAGGCGGCTCTTGAGGTTCAGCTTCTCGACAATGGTGGAGACGTCGCCGACGATCTTGGCGCTGAACAGAGAGGAGGCGAGACCGGAACCGTAAGAGAAGAGACCGATACGCTTGGGCTCGCTGGGGGAGAAGGTGACATGGCTGAGCAAGGAAGCAATACCAGCCCAGACAGTAGCGGTGTACATGTTACCGCACAGGTTGGCGACCTGAAGACCGGGGGAGACACGCTCAGCGAAGCGCTTCTTGGTCAGGGCCATGAAGGTCTTCTCAACGGCCTTGTCGGTCAGAGAAGCGGTGTAGTCCAGATCACGGAGCTCAGGGGCGACCTCGGCGAAGGCGGGGTGGGAGGGGTTGGCCAGGTAGTCGTTGTAGAGCATGCGAGCGTAGGACTTCTGGACCAGCTTGCAGGTAGGGGCGTGGAACAGGAGGTACTCGAAGCGGTCCAAAGCGGACTGGGACTCATCGGTGGCGCCGTTGGTGCCGTTCTGGTTGGCCTTGAGGGCCTTCTCACGGACATCGTAGGCCTTGTAGCAGGCATCGACAGCCTCAGTGTAGCACTTCAGAGAGAAGTGGCCGTCGACAACAGGGTACTCGCTAGTGAGATCGGGCTTGTAGAAATCGTAGGCGTGGGTCATGTAGGAGGCACGGAGACCGGCCTCGAAGACAATAGGGGCATCGGGACCGATGACCATGGCGACGCAACCAGCACCACCAGTGGGGCGGGCAGCACCAGCAGCGTACAGAGCAATATCACCACAGACGACAACGGCGTCACGGCCGTCCCAGGCAGAGGACTCGAGCCAGTTGATGCTGTTGAAGACGGCGTTGGTACCACCGTAGCAGGCGTTGACGTTGTCCACACCCTCGACATTGGTGTTTTCACCGAAGAGCTGCATGAGAACGGACTTGACGGACTTGGACTTGTCCAAGAGAGTCTCAGTGCCGACCTCGAGGCGGCCGATGGTCTTGGGGTCGATGTTGTACTTGTTGAAGAGGGAGGAGAGAGTGGTCAGGGACATGGAGTAGATGTCTAATGAGAGGTTAGTTTTGACTTTGCGCAATTGGAATGGGACATCACGTACCCTCACGGTCATCACAGAAGCTCATCTTCTTCTGGCCGAGACCGATGGTGTATTTTCCCTCACTGACGCCATCGTACTTCTCCAGCTCGGACTGGTCAACGCACTAAAGGAATTGTCAGTTCTTTGCCTCGAAAGGTTTAATTAGATCTAAAGAAAAACTCAGGGGCACAAACCTGGGAAGGGAAGTAGACCTCAATGGCCTTGATGCCGATGTTCTGGGGGCGGGCAGACATGGTGGGGGAGGGGTATAGAATGGGGAATTGTAAAGGAGTATAACACCACCGAGGGAAGAGAAAGTCAAGTCAAAAGCGAAATGCAAAGGAAAAGAGATCTTGGACAGAAGTTAAATCTGGAATCGAGGGCCAGTTTATAACAGAAAAAGGAGAATGTTGTGTACTCGGATCTACCGTGTACGATCTGTCACCCTTTCTTTTTTTTTTTCTGCCAGTGGAGATGCCACTTCTACACCTTCCTTTGAGCCGAAGTGGATGGATTTGGGATCAATTCATAATGGATTTTGAAATTGAGAAGCCTGCCGCTTTCAATTCACTGACATTAAAACGTGGTAGTAATTAAGAGCATTTGAATTGTAGATTGGTGCAGCGAGAGAAGAACTCAAAACCGTAGTATGTACCAGACTTGGTAGATCCAGGAACGAAAAGGCCAACTGGTGAATCCAAATCTACGGTGTACAATCCAGTCCATCTTATCAGGCTCCACTATATTCAGTCTTGAAAGAATTACACTTGTTTCCCTGGTAGCGGTGGATCAGATCCGCTCATCTCCGTATGCAATAAGTATGCATGGTGGCATCACTTCGGATATACTTGGTCCAGGGGTCGTGAATACGGGACATGGAGATACTTGTAGAGTTGGAAATTACCCTTATAATAGGAGGGTACAGGGGAGTATAACCGGATTAACATTCTTCAACATCAATGCCCGGACACTCCGCAAGTATGCCGTATGGGTGGGAACATTTTAATTAGGGAGTTACCAAGGACGATCGTCCATTATGGATTTCCCAGTTGGTTGAAATACCCTGAACTAGTCGTTGTTTTTATTTCGCTATAGTTCTTGTTGATTGTGAAATGGGTTACATAGAGACACGCGTTAGGCAAATACGAGTGGCCAAGCGTGGGTCACTGCGCCACGAGAGGACGAGAGCAGGGAGATAGTCCGGGGCATCCATCAACCTTCAACCTGCCAACCACACCCCAAGCCATCCCTCATTGACTCCGGGATGTGGCACACTCGTTTTCTATTTCTGACAAATAAATCATGATCTGGAAGATCTCCGCATCCGCGCCCTCCACTTGCCACGGCTCCTGGGAGCCCACCCCGTGCCACCATGGGCGACGATAAGTTCGAATACCAGGAACTTCCCATCCCCTCCTACGAAGAAGCGACCGGTCAACCCTCATCTTCTCGCGAACATCTCGGCGATGGCAGCGATGCCGAACGCCAGGGGCTTCTTGCTCGCGAGGCCTCTCATTATCAACCCCCAACCGTGGAGTCCGTTCGCGGCAGCCTAGATGACCTTGCGTCGTCGGCATCGGGCTCATCCCGAGGTTCAGCGGATGAATTACGCCGGGAACTAGATCAGATGGATGTCGATGACTCTGCAACATCTTCCAGCCGCCGACCCCGATTAAGACACCGATTTTCCAAGCGATTTTCCACTCTCACCCGAACCCTCTCCGCAATCCATCGGCCCTTACAACGATACCTACCGAGCCTTCCCAGCTTTCGCTTCAGTTTTAATCTCCAAGATGCACGGTCGCGCATGCGGGATCAGGGATGCCTTATGTTATTACGGCTATTCGCCCTGATGCTTGTCGTGACGTTGGTCTATGTGTTCTTCATCGGAGATGTCTTCAACCTCAACAATCGCATGATCATGGGTCAGACCTACAGTTCCTCATCGGTCGAGAATTTCATACAGGGCAACATCAATGACACCAACATCGCTGAAACCCTCAGACACATCACCTCATTCCCTCATATCGCCGGCACCGAAGGTAGCTTCTATCTGGCAGAATGGGTCGAGCAGGCAATGCACCGGGCAGGCTTCGACCAGGTCGAGCGGGAAGAGTTCCAGGTTTACCTGAACTACCCGCGCGCCGATGGTCGCAAGCTGGCTATTATTGATCCCCCGGCTTCGGTGTGGGAAGCCACCCTCGAAGAGAATGACTCGGAAACCCCAGTGTTCCACGGCCATTCCAAATCCGGCAATGTGACGGGACCTCTGGTATACGCCAATTTCGGCTCTCGGGAGGACTTCAAGCTGCTTGCCGACCGTGGTATCTCCCTTGACGGCGCAATTGCCCTTGTCAGATACTACGGCACTGAACCAGACCGAGCCTTGAAAATTAAAGCCGCGGAGCTGGCTGGCGCTGCCGGATGTATCATCTATTCTGACCCAGCCCAGGACGGGTTCGTCAAAGGTCCAGCCTACCCGAAGGGACGCTATATGCCAGCCGATGGGGTCCAAAGAGGCGGGGTCAGCCTCATGTCCCAAGTTGTGGGAGACGTTCTTAGCCCTGGGTGGGCTTCCACCCCGGATGAGAAGCACCGGCTCTCACCCGAAGACAGCCCGGGTTTGACGAAAATCCCTAGTCTTCCAATCGCCTGGCGCGATGCGCAGCGACTATTGCAGGCCCTGGAAGGCCATGGCTCTAAGGTTCCGAAGGAATGGATCGGTGGTGTACCCAAGATTCAAGGATGGTGGACCGGTGATCAGAATTCGCCGACAGTCCACTTGATGAACCTCCAGGATGAAGTAGAGAGAATGCCCATATACAACGTGCATGGGACAATCCTTGGACTCGAAGAGCGCGACAAGAAGATTATTGTTGGCAATCATCGAGACTCTTGGTGCCTGGGAAGTGTTGATCCTGGCAGTGGCACCGCAGTCTTTTTGGAGGTTATTCGAGCCTTTGGTGAGCTGCTCAACTACGGCTGGCGGCCACTTCGCACCATTGAGTTTGTCAGTTGGGATGGTGAAGAGTACAATCTCATCGGTTCGACAGAACATGTCGAAAAGGATGTTGAGAGCCTGCGGAGCAATGCATATGCATATCTCAATGTCGATGTTGGTGTAGCTGGCTCCGAGTTCCGGGCCGCAGGATCGCCCGTGTTTGAGCGCTCAATGCTGCAGATCCTCGGACGTCTCTCTGACCCCACTGCCAATAAAACACTGAAGGACATTTGGCTGGAAAAGGGCAACAAGCTGGATCCACTTGGCGCTGGCAGTGATTATGTGGCTTTCCAGGACATTGCAGGTACCTCCAGTATCGATTTTGGATTTGAGGGCGAGCCCTACCCCTACCACAGCTGCTACGAATCCTTTGATTGGATGGAGAAATTCGGTGATCCAGGATTCCAGTACCACAAGCTCCTTGCACAGTTCTGGAGTCTCCTCCTATTGGATGTTTCTGAAAACCCCATGCTCCCATTTGACATTCAAGCATATGCCAGAGCCATCACTGGCTGGGTGAAAGACCTTGAAGGGTTTGTCAAGTCTAAGAAAGCAAATGTCAACCTGGATGTCATGTACAACGCAGCAGCAGAGCTGGAAGCAAATGCAGTCAAGTTTGAGGCATGGAACCAGGAATGGCATGATACTGTCTGGGGCTCTGGCGGGTACGAGAGCAATGTCATGGCAATCCAGCGCGTGAACCACAACCTACGCATGGCTAGCTTTGACACGCATCTCCTAGATCTAGGAGAAGGTGGCGGCGTGAGTTCTATACCAGACTCCTGCTTCTTATTTTCCACTAACATAATTATCTAGATTCCTAACCGCACCCAATTCCGCCACGTCATTTTCGGTCCTGAATTATGGTCAGGCTACGATGCATCCATCTTCCCCGCTATCCGTGATACCATCAACACAGGCGACTGGTCTCTCGCCCAGCACTGGATCAATCGTGTTGCCGACATCATTCACACCGCCAGCAATGATCTCCTACACTAAATGTACACTACCTCTACCGACCCTTCTCATTTCTCTCCATTTGTTCATTTCCTCATGCATACCCCTCACGCTTGTTCTTCAGCATTTTCATTGCTGCCCCACCTAGGCATTGTACAGCCTGTCTTTGGTTGGAGTTCTCACATCTATATTTTTTTGTCCTGCATCTCATTTTTTCACCCTCATACATATACACAGTCACCTTCGCACGGCTTCAGAAGCGATTTTCTTAGATTTGATCTATCTCAGTGATAACAATGAATACGCTCAATCTTTCATATACAAAGACTCAAAATGAACTTGGGTATCACAATGGATCAAAACGAGAGATAAGGTCTTTAATCCAAATCTCAAACACGAGGTAAAGGTGGATCAACCGCTAGCAAAGCCGGATGATCCGCCAAAGACTGCCAAAAGCCCGCCTCGAAATCCCACAGATCCTGACTCAATAATGCAGCCCAGTCATCATTTCCAGCTCCCTCCTCGTGACTCCCAGGATCCGTCGGAGCCTGCCCACTATCAGAGTGAAAAGAGTCCAAGAACCGCTGGATAGTCTGCGTGGCTTTAGACAGCAGCGCATAATTCGGATCACCCGGCCGAACTATAGTACCAATCTGCACCTCAGCCACAAACACACTAAGATCTTGCAAGATCTTCGTGCGAGCGATATTCTGCGTCGTATGCGTGTGCTGCTTTAAAAGTGCAAGAAGAATGATTCCTGCAGCGGGCAGACCGTAGTATGCGACCTGCAGCAGAATCAGAGTTAGCACTGAAGCAACTAGTATAGATGAATGTAAAGAGCCTACCTTCCAAATAAGACCAGTACCAGAATTAGTCAACTGATCCCGTAGAAGAATACATTCCACGACAAGCGCGAGCATCTGCCCCGCCGTCTCGATGATGGGGATATCCGGTTCGGTCATGGTATTCAATAACAAGAGGCGGAGTAAGAAGAGGACATGTAGATGTTGGAGACGGGCATGGGCGAGGAAATCTCTGTCAAATGGAGTCCGGGTACAATGCTTTAGACTACCTCCAAGGCGAAGTGTAGCCGGGAGAGCGAGCCATTGTTCTTCGGCTTTTTGTTGGATTGCACTATTGCATAGCATACGAGTTAGGAATGAGGATAAAAAAATAAGCAATATGAAACAAACGTACCTGGCTCGTTGCAGACATGCCGCATCTTGCTTATCTTGTAAAAGTTCCCAGATTTCTTCCTTCAGGAACGCGCAGAGTGCAGACCACCGTGAATCGGCTCTATAACCAGGCTTGGAATCAAGGTCCCAGGTATGATCATTATTATTCCGGCTGTAGCTTGCTGTTGTGCCTGTTGTCGTATGACTATGTGAAGGTGGAGCCATCTGGCAAGACGGAATTTGAAAATGGCAGAAACGTTTGTTCATCCGTGGGGGACGACCAAGAAAGATAGCGATATTCTTGTCTGCGGAGTATATGCGCGCAAAAGCGGACTTTCGCAGTTCCATGAGAAATCGCGGGATACCGGGTTTAGCCTCGAGGTTCTCATGGTATCCCATTGCGAAGGTTGAGGAGATGACATCGCCGAGTTTGCGCCAGGAGTGATAACCTTTGTGAATTAGCTTATAAGGAAGGATCACATAGCGAGGGAAATATGAGCTTACTCTGGTCGCCATCCACGTACGAATGTATGATAAAATTCTCGTACTGAGCGATCAACTGCAAATCATTAAGGCAATCCAGCGAGAGTGATATCTCCAGCGCGAAATCACAAAGCTTTGTTGTAAGCCGCCTCAAATTATATTGATCTTCCTCCGCGGTATATAGTAGCGGAAAGAAGGATATATCAATTGTAGCGCGACTGACCGCCGCGAAGAAGATACCGATAGTTTCCCAGCGACAGTTATGATCCATAAATTGCATCGAGAATTCGGACAGGTTCATCGATTGATGGAACTGAAGTGGCTGCGCGGAGTTGTGGAGTAACCGCCGTGCATACATCAAATGCCAGTTCTCATCATTTACGGCAAAGAGCTGGCTCACACTTTCGGCGCATTGCGCAACGAAAGGTTCTGCGAGCGCAAGATTCGCTCCTTGGCGAGCCAGAACATCACGAGCTCTTTCATGGCGGATAGTGGATATGTAGTGAGCAGGTGCCGGAGGACATCGGCCCCCTGCAGGACCAAATGGTTATCACCGACCCACTGTGGACTCAGAGCTTCAGAGCCGCCGGTCTGAGCGCTAGCGCTCTGGTCTCCGTCTGTAGTGATGTGCTTAAATATCGCGGCATGGCTAGAGGAACCCAAGTACCCGGGATTTGGGTATGGATTACGGCGAGGAGTAAAAGATGGTGATGGATCCGGTGAGGATAAGTTGCTGAAGCCTCATTATTATCTCATCTCTCAAAATCCAGACATACAAGTGTATATTGTCGCATTGTTCGGTAGGTCCCACTTACCTCGGTTTCTCGATGCGCTTGCGCTTGAATGGCGTGGTGCGGTAGATACATACATACTTACCATTCCTGCATCGCGAACAGACAGGCTGCTGGTGATCACACGCAAGCTTTGCCTTTCGACAAGCTTCACAAGCAGCTAAGCGCGATGCCATCAAGAGTGGTAAGCGGAGTGTTGTCCGCAAGGGAAAAAGTTCTCGGCTACAGACGGTATCGGGGTTACGGCGAATCGGCGATAAGATGGTGGGGTAGAGCTAAAAGCGGGGACTAATATAAAAGCTCCCTTGCATCTGCACTTACTTCTTACATCTATCAGGCATCACACTCACTTCAATCATGGCTTCCACCGATACCGTTAAGCTCGCTGATTATCTGCTTACTCGCCTACTTCAGCTAGGTGCTCAGTCTATCTTCGGTGTCCCAGGAGATTACAACTTGCGCTTGCTGGACTTTGTTGTTCCTGCTGGTCTGCATTGGGTGGGGAATTGCAATGAGCTTAATGCCGCGTATGCAGCAGATGGATATGCTCGCATCAATGGCTTATCTGCCCTGATCACTACTTTTGGTGTTGGAGAGTTGTCTGCTGCCAATGGTATCGCCGGCGCTTATGCTGAAAGGTCACCTGTCATTCACATTGTCGGTACCCCACCGCGACCACTCCAGGACAATCGCGCTTTGATGCACCATACTTTCGCCGATGGTGAATACAAGCGCTTTGCTGCTATGTCAAAGCATATCACCATCGCACAAACCGAGTTGCGGGATGCCACGACAGCACCAGAGAGAATTGACTGGATCTTGCAGCAAGCTCTCATTCACAGTCGCCCCGTCTATCTCGAGTTCCCCGACGACATGCCCCATGTCCTTGTTTCGTCTGAAAGGCTTCAGACCCCGATCAAGGCCTCAGTTCCTCCCAGCCCTGCATGTGAATCTGAGGTCATCAACCGCATCCTGGAGCGGATCTACTCAGCCAAGCAGCCCGCCATTCTCGTAGATGGCGAGAGCAAAGCGCTCGGTGTTGTCGACCAACTCGATAACCTCATCCAAACCACCAACTTCCCCACCTGGACTTCGGTCTGGGGTAAGGGACTCGTCAATGAATCCTACTCCAACGTCTACGGCCTGTACGCCGCATCATTCGGCGACAAGCCCGCACAAGAATACTTCGAATCGTGCGATATGGTCCTCACATTCGGCCCACACTACAGCGATACAAACAGCTACTTCGAAATGGCAGTCCCCATGCCCGCTGCCGCCATCACCTTCCGAGACAGCACCATCCAAGTTGGATCGGATATCTATCGTGACATTTCTCCTTTCAGAGTCCTCTCCGCCATTTTGACCAAACTTGACTCCGCCCGTATAAGCGCCGCCCAAGGCCCACCCAAACAAGTCGTCACTCTTGATGATATTAAATCTACCGACCTAGTCGCACAAAAGAACTTTTTCAGACTAGTCAATCCGCTCTTCCGCGAAGGCGATATCATCCTCGCAGAAACAGGCACAGCAGCCTATGGCGGCCGACACTTTAAACTTCCCCGAAGTCGCGCCTCTTCACTGCCGTTACATGGCTATCAATTGGTTTCATGCTCCCCGCTACCTTGGGCACAGCGCTCGCAAAGCGAGAACTCAACAAGCCGTCTGGTACACGAAACCAAGCAATTTTGATCATTGGTGATGGCAGTCTCCAGATGACGGCGCAGGAGATAAGTGTTATGATTAAGGAGAAGTTGGATATTCTTATTATTATCATCAATAATGAAGGATACACTATTGAGCGGGTGATCCATGGAAGAAAGCAGGCATACAACGATGTGCCATCCTGGAGGAACACGAAGGCGCTCGACTACTTTGGAGCGGATGAAGAGGCTGTGAAAGAGAACACTTTTACGGCTAGGACCGTGGGCGAACTACAGGATGTGCTGAAGAACGAGAGGGTTAAGGATGGGAAGGGAGTGAGGATTGTGGAGGTCTTTATGGAGAGGGAAGATGTGCAGGAGGGTCCTTTGCTTTGGGTTTTGAATAAGCAGCTTGCGGAGGAAGAGGCGGCTAAATCTGCTTAGATGCTTGATAATTCCATAAAAATTGAGTTTTCGATAGAATACATCGAAAGAGCCTGATTCCATTTTTCAGGGCATTGAACCACTATGCTTATACCATACCTATGTTTTATAGGAGGTTTCATGGGATTGTTGAAGTTTCAGTAGCGTAGAAATGGAACAATAGCAGCCAAAGTTCATTTCCGTTACCATTATAATAGTACACAATACTAGTTCCTAGATGAACGCTCGTTCCACCCGATAGCTCTGCCCGATAGCTCTGTGTCAGAATACCAATAACCCAAACGCCGATACCAGCAGCGAATGCTGAAGAACCATGGTGCCCTCAAAAGTATAGCCACTTATCAACAGCCAATGACCAGAAGTTGTATTAGCCTTCGAAGCCGAAAACAATCTTGCGCTGCGGCTACTTTAATAGTGCTTTAATAGTGATAGAGCAAAGCATCATGCAATAAAGCAGTAGATTGCCGCCGGGATTAAGGTATCCCATCAGGGGGGGGGGGGGGGGAAGGGGGGGGAACAATCGCCCGCCAAGAGCACAGATTCAATATCATATGCAATGTTTACATGGAAAATTATAGCACATGACATGATGTCTACTTAGACAAGTGAACTAGGTCCTAATGGGCAGATTGGGGCTTAGGCAAAATCCAAGGGGGCCACTTATGGGCTTTCCAAAGGTTAATAGTAGGCCGAAAGCCTCTACAAATTAAGGTACATTTTGCATCTCGACATTACCATGCACTTATGAGGATGGGGAGAGCGTTATGACCAAGGGAGAATAACAATAGGAAGAGTGTTTGAAACTTCAAAATGGGCTCTCGATTAGGTGTGTTGTTCGACGGGGAAAAAGTCACCCCACAAGAATGAGGCTCAACTGAACGTTCGAGATATTCCGTGCGATAAGCTTCCCGTTTTCGAGCCAATCTTATATAATTCCTTGATTTGTTCCTGAAAAAATTTGGTGGCTTGAAATTGGGCGAAGTACTAGTACAAAGCCACGCTAGATGACGCGTCTTTCAGTGCCGTTTGCTACTTTAGTACTAGTACAAAGAGGGTCACTCGCTTTTACTTAACTTGAAGATTTTCGGGATGGATAGATATCATGAACACCTTACCCTTATCTACAAAATTTGAGGGTTTATCTTTCTCTCCCGCCATGGCCCAACACTATCTCAAGCCCAGCTGTATAGCTAAAGAACCTTGTTCGACCGGCTGGTGGTCCATCGAAACCAGCAGAAAGGCTTTGAATCTCTCCCTAACCATCTGTTTCCCCATAATACTTGTGGCGGGTTTCATCTCTTGGTGGAGGGGACTCCATTTTATCTGAGAATCAATTCAAATGAGCTGAAAAATTGGCGTGAGTTGGTCAACCTAAAACTATCGAGTCATGACTAAGTCCTGAATGGATTTTTTTTTTTCAAGGTTGAGTCAGACTCTGGGATTTTGTGTCGCGCTTGATATACTGTTACAATCACCGATCGGCTCCCTCACCAGTTGGTGACCTATATATAGGTCCCAGGGAGGTCTCGGTGGCTCAAGGACTCGACATAATTGAATTGGCACTGCTGCTAGGATCAATGTGCATGTATAATTCCTTTGTGTATTGATAATGCAGATTGTGGTTTGAGAGAGACATCTGCAGATCCTTTGTTCAATGTGACAGAGTGTACCGGTTTACAAGGTAGATATCTCATAATGATATTTGCATAGCTTTTAGCTAATTTTGGATAATCATCAACGTCATGTGCCTCTATAGGCAGCGGAGGTCTCATGGACCACTTTTGCATCAACGCCAGAGTATTGTCGACAATCACTAAATTCAATTAAAACGTACACGCCTCCAACCTCCTTGGAAAACCTAGGCGCCCTTGGTTCGGCTGCGAGTGCGACTGCCGATTCCCTCGGTGGAAACCGCCTTCTTGATAACCTCTTTCACTTTCTCCTTCTTGGGACGGCCAGTCTTCTTGGAATCTCCATTGGTATCTCCGTTGGCGCCATCGGTTGTAGCTGGGGCTGAGGCCTCGGGCTCCTGGACGGGTTCCTTGGCAGTGTCCGGTTCTGTATCTAGCTTTTGCTTCTTGGGCTCAGGCTCTTCTGTCTTTTCGGCAGGCGGAGCAGCTTCTTCCTTATCTTCAGTGGCAGGAGGAGCTGGAGCTGGGATTGTAGTAGAGTCAAGGTCGCGCTTCTCGCCAGTCTGAGGCGCTTCCTTTTCGAGTCCCTCCGTTTTGGATTGCTCGTCCAGCTTAGGTTGTTCTCCCACCTTGGACTCTTCCGTAACCTTGGCTTCCTCTACCTGAGCTGTCACTGGAGCTTCTGGCTCTGAGGATGCAACGGGTCCATTTAGAGAGGATCCTGCGGCTGGAGCCTCGGGATCATCAACCTTGGCGCTCTCTTGGACCTTCTCAACAGCAATGGGTTCACTTTCTGGCTCTGCCGGATGCAGGACACTCTGAACTGGCTGAGTGGATTGGGGGACTGGAGCTATGTATGCTTAGTCATCATATACTGAAGTGCAACAAACATGAATGGCATCAACACTGGTATCTCCAATAAAATGAATAGTGCAATAAATACTGCAATTCATCTTAATGGACACACTTGCAGCTAGGAAACACATACCTGGAGCCGATGGGGAGTTTTGCGCGGGCACACCTTCGCTGGCCATGGTGGATCGATGATGTCAGACAGAGGCACGTGCCTTGGGGAAGGTTGAATTTGACAAGAATTGGGATCGCTAGGGTAAGGCGACTGCAATCAAAGTAATACAGATAGACTACAAGAGTAGAGTAAAGCAGGAAAGAAATAGATTTAAGTTGGGGGTGAGAAAGGTGAGGTTGCGCGGTGACGTTTACTAAGAAAGATGGAGACGCTAACCCGATTCCCTCCAATGCGACTGGGCCGATTCCCTCCAATGCGACTGGGCCGATTCGCCCCCCTGCGACCCCATGCTGAGACCACCGTCACACAGTGATTTGGGCCAATTCACCCATAGCTGCGCCATAACCAGTGTTTCCCATACACATGCTTGTTCATTCCCATTGCATCCCGGATCTATTGCTGTCCAGAATCTCGCTTCCTCATGTACTTGGTACCTGTATGCCAAGCCCATCTCGGAGAAGTTTATCCGGATGGCGCAGGGCGGGTGGGGTCTGAGTGCGGAGTACTGGAGCGATCTTCGTCATGGCGCACTGAAGTGCTCCGAGAGATGCTGGGCCCTGATGTTGACGTCGCTGTCGCTCAGAGGAACAGGAAAAACGCCCATTTCCTCCCAAGTCATACCAGTCGGGCCAAACCGTAAACTTGACAGTGAAACTTTGGATCTGTGATTCCCATGTCCCGGGGCATCCAGACGAGTACTTTTCAAATGTTGGACGTCTGCCTCTGGTTTAATAGTCGAACCTGTTTGCTTATTCCCATATAACGTGCCTTCTTGAGCGATAATTGTCATAAAGCCCAGTCCCAGTTAGACAACTCAGGTCAAGCTTAGCTCTAGGTGACTGAAAATATCTCCTTCTTCCCTGACGGAAGAACGGATGCGAGATCCCTCAGCATTTTCCGGCGCATTGTCCGGGAGCAGGACATGCACATTACGGGCCAAACTAGTTGCATCTCGAATCTTCTTCTGGTCGATCAGAAGCCGAAGAGCATCACACGCAATTCGAAGGAAAGCGTCTCGACGAGAATCATTCCAAGCCTGGACTTTGGGCGATGACAGGGACTCCACAAAGCGAACGAAAGGTGTTGCGTCGGGATGGGTCGGGTGACAGAGGGACACGCTCGCAAATAGCAACGATCGAGAGGATGCTAGGGTGGAAATAACTTCTCGGTATTCGTCGTAGACGTAAGGGGTAACCTTCTCGGTCAACGGTTTGGCGTCCATCGCGGCACGACTTAGATGGGCTCCAGCTGCGAGTAACATCGGCTTTCCCGTCTTAGTTTGTTGGGTAGAGATCGAATGTATGTGACAGATACGTAGATAATATTTCAAGGCCGAAGCAAGTCCCTCTCCATATCGAAGTTCTGCATCCATAAAGTCGGTGAGCAGATGGCTTATGCTTTGCTGGGCGACTGAATCGGTGATTCGACCGTTATATCCGCCCAAATCGCGGCTCAGAAGCATTCTAATCCACTGGATGATGGTGTCGTGAAGACCCTCGGCGACCATGAACTTGGTTAAGGATGAAGTGGTTGCTCGTGACTGCAGCAACATCTGCCGTGAGGCCCCATCGGAGGCCCAAAACCACTCAACCACGCGAGAGGCGGCCCGGGACGTCTTCATCGCCTCACTGGCACTTTCCTCAGCAGGAGAACGTACTAAAAGCAGCTGGGATTTTAAACAATTGGTGATGATTAACGGCGTTACAGAGCCTGAGGCTGCCAACTCGTCAAAGACGAGCATGGGGTCCTTGGCCATTCGGTTCTGTTCATCGATACCTCGGACACCATGATGATCCGGACTGGTGCCCTTGGGCGGTACGATTCGGAACAGCGGGTTGTCTAGGATAGTATGCAGATGCTGGTCGGTTGCATGACGTGAGGAATCAGTATTCAAGGGCTGTCGATCGCCCTGAGTGTCCGAGTGGGATGATGGGTACGCGTGGTCCAGCTGACGACGAAATGAGGAAGTGAGAGCGTTGAGCAATTGCTGAGACTCTCTTGGTGTCCGAGGAAGTGGCTGATTGATTTTGGGCCAGGACTTGAACTGGAAAATGGATGTACCCTTCATGATTTGCGGTGAGTCCCAACTCGATGTGACAACTCTCAAGTGTTTGGCCCCTTCTGAAGGGGAAGATCGCCGCGAGGGGTGGGCGGTGAAGATCCAAGATTGGGCGGGAGTGGATGACGAGCAGACCGAGTGGTGCAATCGGTTGTGAATGAGGAGTGAATTGGATACTGAAGCAACAGCGTAGAATCAATGGAAGGAGGAATGTAGATAACTTCAAGTAGATGACTAGAGAATCAAACAAATTACTTGGTTTAAGTCTATGTTCTTTGAAGGCATCAAACTGAAAGACCAAGCAACACACCAATAGGCGCCACTCGCTAAAAAGCCAGGCAGCGCCAAGACCAGCTGTGACTGGGAGCAACACATCAGAACTTAGCTTTTGCCTCTATTAACACTCTCCCCCCCCCTTCTTCCAATACCAACGCTTTTCTTGCTTTTTGCTTGTCTCTCTGGATTGCTATCCGGCCCGTGTGCCTGTGGTCCTTTTCTGGTGCTTTTCCTCTTGCGCGAGGGTGCCATCCTACACATTTTCACCCTACCTTCCTAACATCCTTCCACGATTCCCTTGCGACATCGTGACCTCCTTCCCCATTCCATCTCTTCCATCCTACATACCCACACACAATGTCCGACATTCAGAACCGACCCTCTGCTCGAGGCAGAGTATCCGCTCGCGGTGGCCGAGGTGGCTACAGCAACAGAGGTGGCCGTGGTGGAAACAGCAGATCCAATGCCGACAGCTCAGACCTCTCATCCTTTGATGAAGGTGAAATTGGCCAGATGAAGAAGAAGTATGCTGACACTCTGCCCACTCTCTTGGAGTTGTTCCCCGACTGGAAGGATGAGGATCTGTTATTCGCTCTGGAGGACTCAAATGGTGAACTCGAGGAGGCAATTGAGCGCATTACCGAAGGTAGGTCCCCCGAACCATCAACATCATCCAGCGCGTCGATATCCCACCAATTCCATGCCCGTTACTAAACCAATCCTTTTAGGTAATGTTTCGCAGTGGGGAGAGGTCAAGAAGAAGACTGTGGACCGGACCCGCCCCAAGCCCAAGGAGGCTCAGAGCACTCCGGCCGAGTCGAACGCAGCTCCCATCCGTGCAGCTCGTGGTCGCGGTGGATTGGAAAGCCGTGGTCGTGCTCGTGGAGACCGGGGTCGTGGTGGCCGTGGTGGCAGGGCAGGTGCTCAGACAAATGGAACTCGCATTGTTAGCACTGCAGAGTCTGTGCCTGCGGCTGTGGCGACCGAGCCCGTTACATCCAACGTGACAGAGGAGGTTGACAGCGAGCCTGTAGCCACAGAGTCGGAACCCCAGACCAGTGTGATCCCCGAAGGCTCAAAGAAGGGTTGGGCTAGTTTGTTCGCCAAGCCTGCTCCTCCTCCCCCCGCAGAAGAAGGCTCCGCAGCCCGCTCCTGTGCCTGTTGCTGAGAAGGCTCCTGAACCTGTGCCCGAGCAGAAGGCTCCTGAGCCCGCCCCTGTCCCCGCCCCGACTCAGAAGACCCCCGTTGCCAAGCCTATTCAACCTGTTGTCCCTGCCATCCCCGCCGCCAAGCCTCCCCAGGTTGACTTGACCGAGACAAACCTTGAACAGATCCCCGATGTGTCCGGCCCGGCTCCTACTGCGACTGCTGCCAGCACCGTTGGTAGTACTCTGGACCCCGTGGCAGCTGCTCAGGCTACTCCCTCTCGTGCTCCTCCCTCCAGCGTTCCCGGTAGCGGATACAAGCAGGGTGCTCGTGCTCCTGGCTTCCAGCGCCGTGTCATGGAGCAGCAACAGGCTGTGGTGATGCCCGGCAACCACGCGGTTGACCGTGCTGCTGTGCAGTTTGGAAGTATGGGCCTGAACGGTGACGCCGTCGACATTGATGAGAACCGCGAGGAGGCCGAGACCCGTGCCCAACCTCCTCAGCACTCCCCTGTTGCCCCTCGTGCTTCGCTCCCTCCTACCACTCAAGCTGTTACTGAGACCCCCACCGCCCGCCCCGCCCCTGGTCTTCCCCCAGTTCCTCAGGGCTCCGTTGCCGACTCCTCCTTCGACTTCGCCCGCTACTCCGAGACCCAGAAACCCTACGATCCCTTCGCCATTCCTGCTAGCCAGCCCCAGCAGCAGATCCAGGAGCCTTTCGCCAACCAGGCCCCCACTCAGCCCGCTGCTACCACCGGCAGCGAGTACTCTCCCTTCTACGCCGCCGACCAGCAGCGTTTCCCCTACAACTACTACGATAGCTACGGCCAGACTCAGAATGCCACTGCTGCTCCCCGTGCCGCTCCCGGATTCGGTGTCTCGAGTGCTGAGGCTGCGCCTCAGGTTCCCACCACTCAGGCTCCTAGCCGTTACGGTCCCGTCGATGCCACCAACAGTGGCCACAACACCCCCAATCCCACCATGCCTGCCGCCAACCAGACTCCTGCTTCCCAGCTCATGCCGGGTCAGCAGAGTGCCTACGGCTACGGTTACAACCCTTACTACGCCAACCCCCACTACGCTCAGTACATGAACCAGATGAACCAGCAGCCCCAGTACAACCGCAACCGCCCTATGTATGATGATGCTCGCCGCTATGACGACCCTAACCAGCCGCAACAGCAGCAGCAGCAGCAGCAACACTACGGCATGCCGCACAACACCCAGTACGGCTACGGTAACCAGTATGGTCCCTACGCTGGTAAGGGTGGCATGTACGGTCAGCCCCACGGCTTCTCCTACGACCACACCTCTTCCCCCGCCAATGCCGCTGCCACCTTCAACCAGGGCACCCCCGGACGTGACTCGGTCTACGGTGGTCGCACTGCCTCCGCTCAGCCTGCCGACAATCAGCAGACCGCTGCTGGCACCAATGCCTTCGGCACTGGCATGTCGGACGTCTTCGGTCGGTCCCAAGCCGGTGGATTTGGTCAGAACCCCTCTGTTGCCCAGCAGGCTCCTGTGACTGCCGAGGAAACCAAGGGCTTCGAGGCCCCCAAGGCTGGTGGCCCTAGCCCGTCTCTCGCCCAGGCTAACCGCCCCGGCTCTGCCACCAACAATGCTCCCGGTCAGCCCCAGGGCCAGACTGGTCTTCCCCCGCTGCAGGGTCAGCAGGGTCAGCAAGGGTTCGGCGGCTACGGTCACTTGAACCCCCAGTACGGCGGTCTCGGCGGCCTTAGTGGCCACCAGGGTGCTGCTTCGCAGACCGGTGGCTACAACAACTACGGCGCCGGATTCAGCAACTACTACGGAAACAACAACCGTGGTGGCTGGGGCAACAACTACGGCCACTAAGGGGAATGACTATTTCTTTTTTTTCTCCTTCCGTGCCATACACATATGGCGTTGCATTTGCAGGTGATTTGAGAAAATCAAAAACGGGCTGGGGTTTTGTTATATGTCGGGAAAGTTGATGACATCTTGTCCGGGCAATAAACAAAAACCCCTATCATTTTCTTTCCATCTTTCTTTCCTCAACATCTGTGTAATCTCTACTCTCTTCTGGGAGCTTGGCTGGCTTTTCCTTTTGGGGGGGACTGGGTGCGTTTTCTTTTCCGCTATTTTCCTTTTGCTACACGCCCGAGGCGGTCTGTATTAAATCCATCAATTTTCCCTGTCTACCCTACTCGCCTCTTGTCTTTTTTCTCTTTTTTTCTTTTTCTTTTTTTCACCCTAGCTCACGTCAATTGAGGGTGTGTTATTCGGTGATGGGTTTCTCTTTCTGTGTCCCTTTTTTCTTCCATCTGTCCTCTGTCATATGCATTGTCACGGGTATGGCCGAGGTTTGATCGTGGATTCTGCTCAATGAGCCTTCAAAAAGTGTGATGAGTTATGTACGCACCTATACGAACCAGATATTGCAAGACTCAATAGATTCTTCTAGGGCAGAAGCTCGATGATCCCGTTTTGTATTCGTATATTTCAAGTATAATCTTAATCCCGAGTTCACCCGGATATGCCTTTCAAGGTTTTACGTCTGTTCACGGGTTGACCACAGTCCACGTGTGCTTGCCCGTGCTTGAACGCTTACATGTCAATGGTTCCTCTCTTACAACCTTGAAGTGAATGGTGTATAGAATTCTGATAAAGCCTTATCTTGATAACTTAAATGTTTGTTTCATTTAGAAAGGATTGACCCCGCTCTGCATTACTATATATCGTTGCTCCACCCTACCTATGGCACCATTCCCGACGTCCGTTCTACACATAAACAACGAACTTGAGGCTGAATAAAAAAAACCCCCCAAGACCATTTGATTAGGTTGTGCAACTATTGATCTGCTCAACTCAAGCATATAAGCAAGTGGCAAGATCATTGGGACTATATACAATCGAAATGCATGACATGGTCCTCCAAATAACCAAGGACATCACAAGGCCAACTCTATGTGAAGACAATCGGGCTAAGGGGCAGGACTAGATAACCCGAGGGGGAGAGAGTATGTGATCCTGGCACCCTGGATCCACGAGAAAAAGAAAAACACCCCATAATGAAAACGAGAGCGCACGGCAAGGCGTCTCTCAATAGCCAAACAGATCTAGGCGTCTACGCATCAAGGCCGAGCCCCTCAGGGCCAACCTTGTGGTAAGGAGGAAGAGCACCCGCAGCACGAGTAGCGTCAAAGCGCCAGATTCCACCAGTCTTGTCTCCGTCAAGATCCGCAGTGAGTTCAAGCAAACGAGCAAGCTCCTGAACGGTAGCATCATCATCCTTGACTTCAACACGGTTGAAGAAGCGACGTTCCCATTCCCGATCCTCGGCCTTCTCTAAACGGCGCATCTCACGCTGGGCATGTTCGATACGCGACTTGTGGGCGGAGACGGCATCCATGTCGTTCTTCTGGATGTTCTCTGCAACCTCCTTCCAGGCACGACGAGACTCGTACAGATCTTGCTCATCGATCGGGGCCAGAGTCAACGGAGTAGTCTTGTTGTCCTCGACAGTCCAGGTATTGACGACATCCTTGGTGCCGGCCTTTTTGATGGTGAAGGTGTTTGACCATTGGCCGTCGATGGTGTACAGGGGCTTCTTCTCGCCCTCGCTGGCCTTGTACAGGCTGGCTGTGAAGGTGTTCTTCTTTCCGCTCAACCAGCCCTTGCCGGAGAAATCGATCTTAGAGACATAACCGGTGCTGCTGGCAATTTTGGCGGTCTTCTCGAGCTCCACGAATGGGGTGCCGTAGATCAGAGACTCGATGTGCAGGTTGGGGAGAGTAATCAGGTATCGCTCCTTCTCGCCGCCGGGCCGAGTCAGGGTGTAAAGAGCGTGTCCGATCTGCTTAACCTGAATGGTGCTGGAGAAGGATGCCTTCTGGGCGTTGTATCCTTGGAGCTGGTGGGACGAGAGTGTGTCAATAATTGGGATTGTGAAGGGCACGTGATAAACTTACCTCGACTCCGTTCTTGTCGTTTGAAATCGCATACGCGGTAGCAGGGGGGTGGTGGCTACAAAACGCTTGTGAGTATTCTATGGATCTAATTGAGACTGGGAAAGACCACGTACCTGACCTGCTCACTGACCAACTGTGTCTCGCCAGTCTCGGCATTACCCTGCCACTTACCAATGAACAGCTCACCAAGGAAGGGGTTCAAAGGCTTCTTCTCGCTACCAAGCTTCTCACTACGACTGCAGTATTGCTGGTGCAGAGTAGTCAGGAACCATTTGAGGACAAGGAGGGCCCGCTTCTCCGGATCCGACTCCTTGGCGGGGGCCACGAACACGTCGGGGTGTTCGGCCCAATAGGCAGAGTACTCGGTAAGGGAGGTCGAGGATAAGATAAAGGGAGGAGCTGTCAGGGAAGAGAGATCTCCGTTAAAGGAAGCGATGGACTGAAAAAAAAAAAAGATTAACTGCAGGAACTCGAAAATAGAGGTGGCATGCGTCTCACCTTGAGGAAACTAGTCCACGAGCCCTTGCTGTGGGCGGGGACGGCGCTCTGGGGTTCTTTGGGCGACATTTTGAGGATTAAATTGGAGAAAAATAGGAAATCGAGTCAAACAACTGAAACACAGGAAACTCCAAAATCTATTGAAGCAAGTGGGGGGAAAGTTGATGTCAACGGTTGGCGGTCAGAGGATAACGTCATGGCAAAGTTGCATCGGTGCCTATCGGTACGATTGGTCGATCTTGTGAACAGCCACACTGTCATGTCCCCCTATGAACGGTTCCCTTGGGCTTTCTGGGGTAGATTGCGCGTCTGAACTATGACTGTATATGTGACCTCTTAAAGACTTGTGATACTATGACCTCCATAGTGGGGATCAAGGTACCACAGAGATCGAAGGGCAGATGAAAAATCTCCGATACGATCAGCGTACAGTATCATCATGATGCATATCATATCTAATGCATTTGCCAGCACTTCTGATATTAAAAAACAACAAAAGTCCGTTGTTATCGCTTTATCGCTTTGCCCGGTTAACACATCGGATTCTTTTCCGCGCGACTCGGCTGTGGCAGAGACTAACAAAGTCCCCACGCTATCCTGTCTCAACCATTGGTCGCAATGCCGTGGATCGGACCCTGGAAGAGCCAGACTCAAGCCGTTTGTTCTGCAACATGGACGCTTTACTGCCTTACGGACTACAATCCGACGTTTTGATTGAATGTGACCCCGCCGGTCCTCGGCCAAAGATAGTCATCGCCGAAGATCCAAATTGGTGCAGACTTTTCCTTCTGACTCACTGTTCTCTGAATATGTTTTATCGATAACCGTATATCTTTCATGATCATTACTTTATATTGCAATTGAAGCATTTTCTGTCTGATTTCGGGAACTATACCCCCCTCAGTATGCCAACGGAAAGATCCCGCGATTGAAACTTGAGCCTGATCTCTGTCCCCGATCTTTTTCTTTAATTGCAAAAGAAGCATATGGCTTGGATGTGTACATATATTCTTCTTTGTGTTACCCCAAACCGCCGTATAGCACGCCAAAAGCATCAGAACCCACCATGTCTCCGACACACTCGACTTCCAGTATCGAGGAACTTCCCTCGGTAGAAGCGATACAACCCCAAAGAACCAAATCTCGCCGATCTGAAACTGGAAATGACCTTCATCTTGTTCAAAGTCACTTATCACATCATGATATGCCCGTGGCCAACGATGACGACGAATTCCATGAGGTCGACGCCGATCAGTATTTACGTTTCTCGCATACTCGCAAGATACTGATTGTTGCTGTATTATCTTTCTGTTCATTTCTGGCTCCTATTTCTTCAACATCTATCCTATCGGGTGTTCCGGAGGTCGCTGTGACCTATAATACCACAGGAAGTATTATTAATGCCAGCAATGCCTTATACCTGGCATTTATGGGTATCGCGGCTCCGTTCTGGGGTCCATTTAGTCAAGTGTGGGGACGAAGGCCGGTAAGTGTACCATGTGGTCATTATTCAGCATTATCTGCTCTGTCTCGATGCTAATCACATCTCCTAGATCTTCCTGACAAGCGCTTTTTTGTTCTTTGCCTTCAGTATAGGCACCGCACTGGCTCCAAACCTCCCAGCATACTTCATCTTCCGTGTTCTCACTGCCTTCCAAGGAACATCCTTCTTGGTCGTAGGTAGTTCCGCCATTGGCGATATCTATGAGCCTCGTGCTCGCGCTACAGCACTGGGCTGGTTCCTATCGGGTACCCTCATCGGACCAGCGTTTGGACCTTTCATCGGTGTAGGTTCATTCCCCGACCAGATCCTATTCAAGCAGACTAACCCATGCAAAAGGGTGTCATTGTCACATTCTGCTCTTGGAGAGTAGTATTCTGGCTCCAAACAGCACTAGGCGGCCTGGGCACGCTCCTAGTATTCTTCTTCTTCCCAGAAACATACCCCCACCTCACCAAAGCAGATCCAGCTCAAAAGACCACCAAACAGAAAGCCAAGTTCTTGTGGCACCGCGTCAACCCCGCACGTGTAGGAGTTCTTCTCTTCTCCTACCCGAATCTCTTCTTCGCAGGTTTAGCCGCCGGCGCTCTGGTCTGGAACCAGTACTCCCTCCTAACTCCCATCCGCTATGTCCTCAATCCCCGTTTCCATCTAATAAGCCCCATCGAGTCGGGTCTCTTCTATATCGCGCCTGGGTGCGGGTATCTAGTGGGTACGTTTATGGGTGGACGATGGGCGGACCACACGGTGAAGAAATGGATTCGCAAGCGAGGGGGTGTCCGAGTTCCTGAAGACAGATTGAAATCCTGTCTTGTGTTCCTTGGTATTGTCATCCCGGGCTGCATCCTTATATACGGCTGGACGGTTGAGAAGGCCGTTGGCGGGATTCCGGTGCCGGTTCTTGCGATGTTCATCCAGGGTGTTGCGCAGCTCTTTTGCTTTCCCAGTCTGAATACCTTCTGTCTGGATGTGATGCAGTCCTCAGGTCGAAGTGCAGAGGTCGTGGCGGGCAATTATATGTTCCGATATGTCTTTGCTGCAATTGGCTCTGGTGTGGTCCTTCCAGCTGTCGAGGCCATCGGCGTTGGGTGGTTTAGCACCATCAGTGCTTTGTTTCTTGTTGTCGCGGGCCTATGTGTCTGGGCGACTACCATTTTTGGTGATCAGTGGCGAAAGCAGGTTGATGCTAAGAATCAGCGGAAGGCGGAAGTTACTGGCGAGCAGCCTTCTCAACCAGAAAATGAGAAGAGAGAAGAGGTATGAATAGCATTTTTTCTCGTTGTTGGCAAAGCTCGGATAAAATACTCAGCAATAATGTTTTTTCCTTCTGATTTAAACATGACTGTCAAAGCTTCAAAATGTCTGTTCAATCTCATCTATCATGCTGTTCCTTTCCTATCTCTGTACCAGTTCACATAATCTCAGTAAGTGGGACTCACAGACTCGTTATCGGAATAATACTAATTGTCAGAATCGTAGGCAAGTTTCATCATATCACTGAGTCTCCAGTAGTCTATTGGGTTATCACGATCGGGACATGGGCGTGTTTGTCTGTAAGTGTTCTGGGCCTTGGAATTGACTTCAGTACTTGCTGGGAGTGGATGTATGTTTACGCCATTACTACTCTGAATAGTAAAGAATGATGGTTGTTCACCGTAGATTGAATCTTGCGCTGAAATAATTTTTTCCGGTATCAAATAGTACCTCCATTAATTCAATATGGCTACGTCTCGCAGCTAGGCACAGCGAAGGTATACCAACTGCTGAAAGCCATGCTTATATACCAAGGTAACAAATTACTTACAGTGTTTCTTCCTGTTCCGGTGTATGTATTGGGTAATTTCACAATGTTCAATTCTTGCTTACGTAGAGCGCCCTTAAATCAAGTCACAGGTTTCCTATCCTTCATGGGTGAGTGATTCTTGTGACTGAAATTAAATGGATTCACGCTAGATGTCGTCCTTGAATTCATTGAAGAGTTGTGGCAAGAATTTGGCCAAGTCTAAATTGGATTTAATCAATTTTCGATCCTTCACAATAGAAAATGGTAGACTCACGGGGCATTTCAGTGCCACAATGCACACAAATGTCATGGGCAATAGTTTCAGGGATGCCTGGTCCAAGCCAAAACCTGGATCTCATCTCCCGAGTGCCATCTGCTTTACGGCGAATCTGATGAACAAGATGGGAAACTCCATCAAAACCCTCCGTAATATGCGCTATGAAGCAGATTAGAAAGAAGAGTTCATTTCGCGAGTTTGTTTAAGAACATACCACCAATGCCCACCCGAGCGACAATCATAGTCTCAATGCCTAGAGCTGGCCATTTGGACTTGTCGATTCCTAGTTCAGCGGGATCAATGAAAGCGACAGTGACTTTAGCGTGGTCACCACCGATGTATTCATCGATGAAAGAAAACGTGTTGAAGTATCGCTCCGTGAAGGATTTGTTTGTAACATCCACGACTTCTGGGTGGCGCCAAGAGTACTGGTGGGCAGTCGGATACCAAAGTTTATACCTGTGAGGTCACATTTAACTGCCGAACGCTGCAAAAGTGCCGACATAAGCCAAAAATCTCACCTTGCAGATTCAACAGCGTGCCATGCAAACCACCAGTCATAGGCTTCTCCAGTCACTAAAAGGGCGTTAATCTCGAAGTTTTATAGTCTTGAGGACTTGTAGATTGCCTGGCTGACCTTCACCCATATCCGTGCGGCATGCAACCATCCAGGCCCCCCTTGGAGTCTTCAAATAGCCATTCTCGACGGGCAAATAACCCGGTCGCAGGAGGTAGTCATGTGCCTCGTTGGCCTCGTAGCCTATGTAGGCGTTAATAGAGCAAGATGGGCTGTGACGTAAGATGGGTGATCTTACCAAGGCCAGTAGCCCACGGACTACTGACTATGCCTTTCTCTACTTCATTGCTGATTGGACCGACTTGGAAATCGAAGTATTTTGCGAATGGCTTCTTATGGTCTGCGTCGCGATAGCCAAGGTAGTATGATGTAGGATCTGCCTCATAAGCGTCGATATTCTTCGAGAGCTTTTGACCTGCCATTGTTACACAAAGTTAGAGAATGATAATAATGAAATTTTTTTGCATGCTAACCTTAAAGCTACTTATAACTCTCTCTGACACTGTGTGGGGAAAGTGATGATGTACCATCTGAAATCCGCCATACCTCCGTCGATACATCCGTATAGCCAGACCCTCCTGCACTGAAATTACCGGGTCACTGATCATGCTCCGGCCGAATGTCCCTATGCATAACAGCGTAAAAACGGTAAAATAAAACTGACCGCCAGATAAATCTATGTGTAATTTTCAGATTTAGGCTGTTTTTGGGCTCGGGATTTACGAAGCGCGAGGCCGAGCTTGCAGATCATGCCTTTTCGGGCATCTAATGACCGATCATCTCTGCCAAGGCTGGATAGTTGCACTTGCGATTTTTGAATAGTTCTACACGGAAGCAAAAGCTTCCGTCAGAAGTGCATAAACACGCCTTTGCTGCTCAAATTTTACAATGGATTAGATCGGAGTGGGTTGCAATCACCTGTCATAGTAAGCCTGTTTCCATGCTGTAACAAGGCAAAGGAAAAAAAATATATATATATAAACTACTTCTTGTACCAACAATATTGCCATGAGTATCAGTGAAAAAGTATCAAACAATAATACCTTAAAGAAATCATCTACCGAAAATCCACCGAGCGATGGCATCTCAAACCCTCAAATACACAACGAAGCTTGTCGGCAAGCGTGTCCTCATCATCGGAGGGACGTCCGGCATTGGCTACTGCGTTGCTGAGGCCGCACTTGAGCACGGTGCAGACGTTATTGTGTCTAGCTCGAACGCCGCAAAAATTGATAAGACGATCGCAAAATTGCAGGACGAGTACCCGGAATTTACGCGCTCTCACAAGGTCTCCGGGTACGTCTGTGATCTCGCCAACCCTGTGGAACTGGAGACAAACCTCACGCGTCTCTTGGAGGAAGCGACGGAAGGGCGAACGTTGCCCCTCAACCACATCGCTTTCACAGCTGGCGATGCGCTCAAGCTCCCAGCTTTGCAAGATGTTGCGGTGGATGCCGTTAACGCATCTGGCACCGTCCGTTTCGTCGCACCATTGATCCTGGCCAAAGTCCTCCCCCAGTATATGGATAAATCACCCTCCAACTCTTTCACTGTGACTGGCGGATCCAATGCTCATCGGCCTCCTGCTGGTTGGTCTGTAATGGCTGGCTATGCAACTGCAATCGAGGGTCTTGTGCGAGGCTTAGCGCAGGACCTCAAGCCTCTACGAGTGAATATTGTGTCACCCGGAGCAGTGCATACCGAGTTGTTTGATGGGTTTGGTACGAAGCTCGATGAGCTTCTGAAGGGATTCCGGGAAAACACCTTGACTGGAACAGTCGGCACCCCGGGAGATGTGGCGGAGGCATACATCTACATCATGAAGGACAAGTTCATTACAGGCTCTCTGGTAGCGTCTAATGGAGGGATTCTCTTGGTCTAGTCATGTTTGTGATAAGAAAACATGGTCGGGCTTGTCGTTCAATTCGCCACCAGTCTAGGCTAGTTCCGACTTTGAGAATGAAGCAATTCAAACTGTTAGCCTCTAAATTAAGATTTGTTCTCAATGAAGCGGCAGACTTTTCATCTACTCTTGACTTTTTGCACAAGCAAGTCTGGAAGAGAAGCCTTGTTCGATATCTCCATTTCGTAGAGCCGAGGTATTGATAAAACAGCTTGGGGGCTATCAGACCTGGACCCTCTCTACCAGTCGCACCTGAACAATCCTGGTTACAACTTCTACTTCCACCAAAATTGTCTACATAATAATAAATCCAGTTACTCTAGACTGCCCTGATCAGGTGAGAGGCGACGCGCGGCTTGTCTAATCTTCCCGTCTGCACCAACTTCAAGCGCACTAGTCGAGCTTTTTGTGGTCCGTTCACTCCGTTCTTTCTCAAACAATTGATTTGCAAGAATTCCATGAACCAAATTGATCTGTTCCTTACCTTATCTTGATCCTTCCTTTGAATCCAAAGTGGGCAGTCAAAAACATATCGTGTATGGAGGTTAGTTCGTGAAAAGTTGTAACCCATCAGCACCTAATTTTTATATGCATACCCTGGCATGTTATATTCCGAAAGCCTTGGATCTCGATGATCAATTCATCACCAAAATCTCCGCTGGGCGTATGTTTAGCGTGGCCATTCTGTGTAATTGTATCTAAATTTTATCGATCTATTGGTCATCCGGATGCCAACTTCCAGGAAGACCGATTGGGTTACCTATACTGTGCATTGACCTTTATACTTTAAAGACCGCGATAACTAAACAATAAAAGGTAGCTTAACGGGTATCACTCTTTTATCACCTCAACAGTCCAGCGTAGTCTACAGGATAACGTGAGCAAATGGGTACTTAGGTATGTACTCAACAATATTACGCTCTGAATCTTGAATACTGCGCTACTTTGACTGCGGTTAGTGAGGGTGTTCAGCTAATTTTGTGGTGTTCAATTAAAAAGCTCCATACTTTAACTTGTTTACTTGCATGATGACGATACAATGAGCTCTGGAGAAAATAGAGTCACCGATGATTATAACCATTAAAATATCATACTTTTAGGGAGGTCTCCGCGCCGACAACTTTGTGACGTAAACTGAGACGAGCTCCATAAACCTGTAGCACGTCGTTCTTAGGTGTTTGCGTTTTAAATTCTGTTGTGTAGCCTCAGCGTGCACATATTGCAGGTGCCGGTCGGATAACCAGCATTTTATTGGTTCTTGTCCATTACTGGACTTCTGTGCAATCTACCAGATTCATGAGAGATTACTCTGAAGATTAGCGGTAGAGAATTTGTTTGGACGTATACAAACCCCACCGCCTAGCATATTCTCAATTCTTTTCTTAACTTGACTATCCTCAAAAAACTCCCACTTCTAAACAGAAATCAAACCCCAAAAGCCTATCGAAGCCGGATACCTCGAGCACACTGACAATTAAGTCTACGTCTTCAAAGGAGATCGTATGATTTGCATCAGAGTCATTCCTGGCACAATTATAGACAAGATCATCTGGGGATCAAAGCCATTCGCAACCGCTTATAAAGCCCTAGCCGAAGCCGGCTTTACCAAAATCGACGCAATTCTCCCAGTACCAGCGTACAGCGGGCAGATCTGGGTTTTCAGTGGAACTCAATATGCCCGGCTCAATGGTACCGAAGACACCATTGTATTTGGTCCTGCACCCATCGCAGAGCATTGGCCATCGCTCGTTCAGGCGGGTTTCCCTACCGTCAATGCTGTTTTCCCCACCCCGGGAGAATCAAATCACGCATATGTCTTCCACGAGGATAGATTCGCACGCATCACTTTAACCCCGGGCACAAATGATGATAAGGTCTACTTTGGTCCTGCTCCTCTTGCCAATCATTGGCCGGTCCTTGTCAATGCAAAGATCACTTCTGTTGATGCTGTGATTCCCACTCCAGGCTTTCCTAGTGATGGATACTTTTTTAGTGGTGAGCAGTTTATGCGTCTTACTGTCACACCCAATGAGACCCAGAACAAGGTTGTGTTTGGGCCTGCTCCGATCCAGAAGCATTGGCCTTGTCTCAAAGATCTGTGATCGCGTGTCACATGAAGGGACATGTTTGCTGGGCTAGAATCCAGAGAGAGAATTACGGATTATAGTATACTGCCAAAAGAGGGAAAGAGTAGTGTCATGAGGAGATGGTCTTGGGTCGTCGGCGGTTATTACAAGTAGAGAATCACAATGAAAGATGGAACTTGATCCCTGCAATCATCCAAGCCTCTAATTTACTTGGAGTCACCGATCATATTAGTCATTCGAAGTGTTGCATGACATGATGAGCCAAAACTGAGAGGTGCACATCTAGAGCTACCAAGATGATTCATGTAAATGGATGCGATATATAGGAAGTTTTGAAGATGAAACAAGGTAAATGAATGAATTTAAAGATCACCGTCAAAAAGCATATTCACCAAGTTTAAAGAGGATGGACTCCTTCCAAGGTTTGTGGGGTATCAAAGCACCCAGCATTACTACTATTACAATTCAATATCATCTGACCCATTCCCTAAGATGTAGGTATTTCTCAATGTTTATCGGCGATATAAATAACATCACCTAGAGATCATTCTATAATCTCTTTATTGAACCAAGCAAAGTTTGAAAATTAGAGTAATTACTGGTCAACCGTCTCGTGGTGCGCATGATGTGAAGTCTCCTTATCATGATCTGGCCCTGCTTCAATCTCAGCTTGAGTTTGAAGTACTTGCTCTTCGGCAGGGGCATCGATATGAGCATTGAACTCCTTTGATGGATTGACCAGGAACAATGTAGCTGCAGAGGTGCCTCAGGTTAGCAAACTGATAAGAATGACTGTCGAGAGTTGTCTTGAGTGACGATTACGTACCGATTGCTGCCACGAAAACAAAACAAGCAGCCGTGATCCAGGCATTGCGAAACGCGATACTGTATGCCTCTTTTAACGCCGCGAGCCCCGCCATAGCTATAGCTGGAGTGACACCTGGGACAGATTCGACCGCAGTGGCACTTCCTGATGAAAGAGCACCGATGAGTGCAGGTAAAGAAGCCTGTGGAAATCCCAAGGGCAATACGGCTTCCGCAATTTTCGGGGCCAGATTCTTCGAAAGGGAGTTATGGATAATTGCATTGTTGATTGCAAGTCCAATAGAGGCTCCGAAGGATCTGATAGAAGTCATTAGGCCGGATGTGATGGAGATTAACTCAGGTGGTGTATCCAATTGAGCGGCCACCATAACAATAGGTAGAATCATTCCAAGTCCGAGACCGGCGAATACGGGGTAACCCCAGAGGACTGTGAGATTGGTATGAGGGGTTATAGTTGCCATGAGGATATTAAAAATGACCAGACTTGAGACACCGAGGAAAAGAGGGCTTCGGACGACTTTTCTAGTGGACGACCACAACCCCGCCACTGGGGCGAAAGCGACGGACGCAAAAAAGAGGATGGTGAAATGAAGAGCAACAGTCCAAAGTGAGCCCCCAGTGAGTAGACCGGTCTCGTACGGGTAGTAGTTGTTGCAAGTAAAGAAAGAAAGGCCCTCCGCAAAGGCGATTCCGAGAGAAATTGGAAAGTTCCGGCGTTTAAAGAGGCCATGATGAAGCATCCCGTCGCTCTTCCAGCGCCATTCGTAGAGGACGAAAGCAATAAGGAGCACCACACCAATGATAAAAGGTGCAAGGATGTGAGCATCGGACCAGGTATATGGATTTTGAGACCACGCGAGACCAACACAAAATAAGGTCAGTCCGGGCGAGAACGTGCCAATACCAATCCAGTCAAGTCGCCGCAGTTTCTCACGAGTACTCAGAGCTATTTGAGCCTCTCGAGGAGGAGGATTGTAACAACAGACGCAGAGTACCGAAGACGCCATGAAAATTCCGGCGACAACGTACCAGTAAACTCTGTAATTCTCAAGGTTGTTGTAGCGGAGCAGTGCGCCACCCATGAGCAGGCCAGCCACGGCTCCCAGTCCCGCGGTCAGGTTCACTGTGGCCTGTGCGGTGGGTCGATGTTTTCGTGGTAAAACCTCCGAGACAACGGCGAAGAGTAGAGATTGACTACCGAAAGACATACCCAAGACGCAGAATCCGCCAATCACCATAGCCATAGACGTTGCTCGTCCGATGATAAGAGCGCCGGCGAACCCACAGAGCATCAGGAGAACGAGAAACCATTTTCGACCCCAATAGTCAGCAGCCTGGCTTACTGGTGGAGTCAAAACAGTAGTGAATATAGTAAGAATTGAGCTGGGCCAGACGCTCAAACCGCTTTCATTGAATAGCTCAGTAATGGGCTGAGCTAGAAAGCCGGCGCCGACGACAGCAATCAGTTGGGCTAAATAAACGAAGTTGATCGCCTGAAGACTGATTAATATATTATCCAATGGTTAAAAGCCAAGAAAAGGACATGATATCCGTACCGTGACAACCAGGATTGTTTTGAGGCCAATGTGGACTTCCTCGTGAAAGGTTGAAGATCGAACGGAAGCCATGTTGTTGAGGGTCCAAAATAAAAAAGGCGAAGATCTGCGTTCCTGCAGAAGACATGTGGATCCAGGGCTCTTTCTATACCCATGAGATGTACTATCATCATGTACATCGGCTCCCCACACAATTTAAGTTTAGGAATACGCGGGGTACACTCGGCATATCCCCCCTCATTCTCGAAACTCGCCGGTCTTGGACCTCGCCACCATTTCTTTCACCCACTCACAGCTGCAGTATCGTCCTTGGAAGTACCGAAAACCTATCCGAAATGATTCAGGGTAGTTCAGGGAATTCCGAAGACGGGCTCGACCAGTTCTATTATCTCCCGGCATCCAGCCACAATCTGAATGACCTCACGTGTAGGATTGTGCAGCTTTTGAACGAACGAGCATCTAGAACGTCATCACTTACAGCGTTCCGTCTTACTATAGCTATAGCTTCCCTATACACAAAGTAAAACCTCGCGCCACACATAGACTGCCAAAGGCTGCATGTCTTGACACATTCCGTGTGCAGTAGAATCACCGGGGAAAATTTGATCAAATACAATATACAGAGGTTCCGGCTATCAGAGCTCGAAACCAGAGTCAAAAAGGATTGAAGCCGGGTCTTTGATTAGATCAACAAGACAGGTACTTCTCGGAGATACCTCCTACGTGCAAGAAAATTTTGTCGGGAGATCCGAGCCGAAATGATCAAATCTAACATTGATTTTCTTTGCTTTATGCTTGCATCAGAGAAAATATTTTGCCCTGCGAATAGCTGACATATGCAACCTTGGAATTTGCTTAGGCTCACAGATGTCGAGGGCACTCTGGCCTTGAACGGTCTACATTCGCGATACTAAAATCATGTTATGCTAAGTTCTAGGTCAATAGGGCGGATGTTTCTATTCAGATTTCGGGAATTTGTATCCTATATGGCGGGGAAGCTTGGGTGGGGTAGTTCGGGAGATGATCAGGGTCCGACCATGACCCTGCGTTCAAGGACGAAGGGATATCGGAGGGAATTTTGACAGCCACGAGATGCAGATCAGATGATTTCTATGAACGTATAGCATAGTATGCAACTCCTGAGACAATAGATATGACTCTGGCTCTCTGTATACCCAAATACCGACGATGGTGCCGACTCGGATTTTCCGCTAAGCTCCTTTTGGCCAGTACCATGGTAACTGTTGCTCACGAGATAAAAGTTAGTTTTTATACGAGGACAATGTCTCCCCCACATTCCGAAATCAAGGAGCTTTGGGCCCAAACCATGGTTCTTTATGGGCACCTTTGAGTATCCCTCTAGACAGAGAGGCCGATCATGGCTGAATAAGGTGAAAATTATGTTGCAGAAGCAGCGAAGTTATTACTAATATTAATTTAGCGTATAGCAATACTATATGAAATTCCAAAAGGAAGACTCTATCGTCTATTTTATTCAGTCTCCTCTCTCAAAATAGCTCCAGGGTTTGCACAAATCTCCTTCAAGATCCCCCCCAGCCACTTGTAGTCATCCAGCTCCAAATAGATCTGTCCACTCAGTCGGATCCACAACGCCGAATCATACACAAAGATACCAAGAGACGCAGAATGATCCGTCACAAGCTTTTCATGCAGACAGGCTGCAAATCTCGTCGCTTGCAAAGTACTTAAAACAGGCCATTGCGCTGTTTCTTTTGTGCCTTCCCCTGCTTCCGAAGTATTAATAACGATTGGAAGACGCACATTGGCAAATGCACAGTCCCGAGCTCGGCAAGGTCTCTCTCCGTCCGATGCAGGCTCTCCTAGAACATCCGTTCCGAGGATTTGGGCGACAAGGTTTCCTCCTTTGAAGGCGATCTCGCGAATATATTTGAAAATAGCATCTTCGCCTCCAGGGACATGGGATCGGAATTGCAGCGCGGCTGGGACGGTCAAATACGGAGTATCGTCGGTGATTGCAGTATTCTGAAACATCAATTCGAATGATGATTTGGAAGCAGGATGAGTTGGATAGTCATGCTCCAGCTCTTTCGAAATAAGGACGTGAGACGTAGGGATTGTTGTGCGAATAAGGTTTTGATTGCGGCGAGGGACATGGAATACGGAGCATCCTCTGGGATTGTAGAGCCATCTAGACCAGGTTGTTAGGACTTCCATGTTGCATCAGTCAGACTTCAGGGGTTGGTGTTCTTACTTGTGAGTGATGCTCACGAAGAAATCAGGTTTGATTTTGCCAAGGTCGATAGGAATTTGGCCAACACCATGTGCACCATCGATGCAGCTGAGAACTCCATGGTCGCGACAAACTTCAGTCAATTTTTCAAATGGGAACCTGACACCAGGATTACTGGAAATAGTGTCAAAGATGGCGATTCGAACGTTGAAACCCTCTTCTTTAGCTTGCTGCACTGTCTGCTCGAACTTCGCAACAATATCCTCGTGGCTCATTGGGAGCACGCATTCTATCTTCCGAGCTTTCAACTGGGTAGTCTCCATGACAGATTGGATCGTCTTTTCACAAGCTGCGAAGATAGTAGAGAAGTAGATGATCATGTCCTGCGGACCGAAGGAAAGATTTCGAAGGACCGTGTTGATAGCAACGGTTGCACTTTTCACGTAAACAATCTCGTTTGTTGGAACATTAAGGTATGTGGCCATTGCCTTTCGAGATGTATCCAATAATTCAGGGTATAGGTAGCGAATGAACTTGTCCGGTCCAACTTCGACTTTGTCTTGGAGCTTGCGGTGCTCGGCTCGAACTACGGCAGGGAATGCGCCATATGCTCCTATTTGGATGTTAGTGGTGCGAGAGTAGAAGATTAATCAATGAAAGCTGACCATGGTTGAAGTTTTTCCATTCCTTATCCAAAAGGAAATGGTCGAGCATTGAGTGCCCTAAGGCTTGAGGCTGTTCAATCGACATGTTATGAAGAATAAAGGAAGAACAGAATATTACGATTGAGAAATGAACGCTTGGGAAACGTTATCTATAAGAATGGGCCAATCAGCCAGGTGGACCCCGGCCTCGTGATTGACTCATCCGAAGGGCGTGGATTTTTTGTGCGGATAAATAATTGACCGCAGCTTGGACCCTCAATTATCCAGGTGTATCCGTTCTAGATCATCTAGCATGGGAGTTATAGCTTTTGAACTTTCAAGGTGGGAAGTTGGGAAATGTGCTTTAATGGTTCACTAGTTGTCAACTTCAAGGCATTGAGGCAAAACCTTGTTGCCGCTATAAGCTCACTATAGCAAAGGTTAGCTAAAGCGGCGTTGATGATAGCTGATTTCCAGTACTGGTATCGTCGATCACCTTCTCAGCTAAGCAATGTGCAATTGCTACCCTATGCGAAATAGGCATTGCTACATAAAGTCCACACTTAAATAGACTGATATCCAAAATCGTATGATGCCTTCTAATCGAAAAACATACTCTAGTCAATCGAAGCATGGAATTAACCTGCCCTTACTATCGAGACGCTGCAGCTTCATGATTCCCACTCGCTACTCCCTTTCCATTCGCAAGATCATCCGGATTCAATCCAGCTTCCGCAACGACGCGATCTACCTTCCGTTGTTCGGTAAACTTCCGACAGTCCTCACGACCCTTTTCAATATCCACGAACCCGATTGCAATCATGGCACCCGTACAGACAGCAAACAGGAAAGGGAAGCCCATCCAATTGTTGCGGGTATCGTTGATGATGGCTTGAATAACATTCGGACCAATGATTGAAGACTTTGAATGAATTGACGTTAGTAGAGAAGAGATTTAACTGACGGTTCGCCACTTACTGCTCGATTGGTGATTCCGAACAACGCGAAAAACATATTATCATAACCACGAGGCATGAGCTCGCTGATCATTGTTTGAGCATACTGTGATAGTCAGCGATTAGTCAAGTTCGCGGATATGGGGGAGGCAATAAGGAACATACAGCATAATACGGCGCTTGAAACAGTCCGAATATGACATTGTAGAAGTAAAACTCCCACTAAGTTCAATTAGTATTGGTCAATTTGCTTGATCGAGATGACGTACCCTATGATGGTACCCGATTCGGCTGGTCCACAGCCCCAGCATTCCCCAGAATGGAATAAAGACACTGAAGAAATTGGTGATCATGAACATGGTCTTGGTTTTAAGCTTGAAGTATCGCTGTATATACCAGAATCCAAATGTTGAAGTAATAGAACAAACAGCCTGAGTAATACCGAGGTATGTGATTTGCAAGAAGGAAAACGAGACGTAGTCGTTCTGGATGATCGAGACCAAAGTTCCTAAAATTTATGAGCAGAGGAACCAACCATAGCAGGGAACATACCGGTCGTATTGAGCCCGTCTGCCAGCAAGAAATACGCCACAAAGTACAGAAAGGTCTGAGGGAGAGCCCTGATCTCTCTCATTGCGAGCCAGATTTGTTTGAACCCAATGGTAGCGTAGTTTGAGCCCTTGGGGACTTTAGGACCGGGTCGCTTCTGCTGAAACAAAAACCACCATATCCCGAGAATCACCCAATCTGTTCAAACGGTCAGACTCGAACTCGGTAAGCTGAAGGTCACCTTACATGAATTGGTCAGACAAAGTGCCAAGTTATTCGCGTACTGATTATTCTGCATCGGGAGTAAAACGCTCAAGTTCAGCACCAATGTGAGCAAATAGCCAATGTTGCTATGCGCAGTCGAGATATTGCTGCATACAATTTGTTAGTAACTTGGAATCAAATTGTTCAGATGACTTACCTAATATGATTCCTTTCCAAAGACTCGATCGCATCGTATTCCTGCTGATCAATCTTGCCTTCTCCAAGCTCATCTCGAGCCTTTCGGACATGGGGCATGTACCGCGCGAGTCGGGGAAAAACAGCAGCATAAAAGACCAAGGTTGCGCCATAGGCGATATATGCAACAACGTACATGCCCATGGCAGCGGGCCATTGACTAGGCTGTCGGATAGCAAGCATGCCGTACTGTAGTGCCCAGGCGACGACTGTCAGAACTAGAAGAAGCCATCGTCCGAAAGAGCCGTAATCTGCAGCACTTCCTAGCCAGACAAATATAACTGTCATGAAAGCAAAACAGAGACCATTAGCAATCAGGATCACCGAGGATGTAGATCGCGTGCCACCCGCCCAGGGCACCACGCAGGCAGATGAATCGGTGCAGGGCTGAGGCGGGTTGGTGTCTGGTATGAATCCCGCGTTTGTCAAGGCCCACTGAAATCTATCAGGTCAGCTTCATTTGTACTGCGCTTATATTTATGCAGAGATAGCATACAAGGCTTGGCTGTAGGAGCCTGGACCGACGCCATTATCACCTGATTTGTGCAATATCAGTCAGCTTCAGGCCTTTTACTTTATGTTGATCTCCAAGATTGAAGCATACCGTTATAATAGAGATAATAAGACCAGAGCTCTTTTCGAGTAGTAGTAGGTTGGTCATAGGCGTCTTCGTCGACGCCAAACAACCGCTCATATTCCTGCTGCGTGTCACGAGGCTGCGTAACTACCACTTCATCGACAGTGGCATCTTTGAATACTTGCCCTCCAACTGCTTCGTGAGTTGTTGAGCTCGCCATGGTTCCTGGGTGAGAACCTCTGCGTAAACCTCGGAATAAATGGAGGAAGAGAGTTTCGGACACAGAACCCCCTTGATCTACCCCGCATCTTTATGGGATAGGATACTTCTACTACCATGGCACTTTCCCCACTTATCTTAGCTTATCTCGATGTGACTGTAGGATGTTGCATCGTCTCTACTGTGTCTACGCAGATTAGTAGTGGCTACGTATTCTTGAACCTCCAACGTAACGTCGCGATCACTACAGAATACTTAATATTAGAACGTAAACAATAACATTGGAAACTAAACATCGTCAATCTTCATTTTGACCCTGAGCGCTAATTACCGCCATAGTGGAGCCGGTAAATCGGGCGGTTTCCACTTATCGATTTCATCCCCGCTTCGCCCGCGACCGTTGACTATTCACCATCACCTCAAGCCTCGGCATTATGGGCTCAACAGACCTCCAGAAGCAGGTCGGCCAGGTATGAGGAACTCAAGATGCCCATCTAGGCGCGCAGCTAATTGATAATAATAGTTATTTGCGGTCGGCTTTCACGGCCACACTCCTAGCCCGGAGATCAAAACACTGATTCATGAGTATCACGTTGGAGGCATCGTTGTCTTCTCACGAAATTTCCAAGATGCCGCCCAGCTGCAGGTAAATAGCAGCCTCCAAAGTGCCATCATATCCTTCGTACTAAATAATTTCTCGTAAGGCTTTGACTTTGGCCTTGCAAAACGAAGCAAAGTTGGCTGGTCATACGCGGCCTTTGCTCATTGGAATTGACCAAGAAAATGGCCTGGTCACTAGGATCTCCCCCCCAATCGCTACTCAGGTCCCTGGACCGATGGCCCTTGGTGCCACTGGCGACCCAGGGATGGCTTACCAGGCAGGCAAGGTCACAGGCGAGACCCTGGAGTTCTTTGGTATCAACATGAATTATGCACCAGTTTGCGACATCAACTCAGAGCCCTTGAATCCAGTGATCGGAGTCCGCAGCCCTGGTGACGATCCAGAGTTTGTCGGCAAATTCGCTAGTGCTGCAGCGCGGGGCCTTCGGGAGCACAATGTCGTTCCTAGTGTGAAGCATTTCCCCGGCCATGGCGATACCGCTACCGATTCACACTATGGGTTGCCAGTTATCCCGAAATCTCGCGACGAACTAGAGCGGTGTGAATTGATTCCATTTCGCAGAGCAGTTGCGGAAGGCATTGAGACTGTGATGACTGCCCACATATCCCTACCAGAAATCGATGACAAGCTTCCAGCAACATTGTCACCCAATGCACTCGGAATATTGCGAAAGGATATGGCTTACGACGGAATGATTATTACCGACTGTCTTGAAATGGATGGAATCCGAGCTACTGTCGGCACCGAGCAAGGTTCGGTTCTTGCAATTAAAGCCGGAAGCGATAGCATTATGTTGTGCCACACTTTTGAGGTGCAGGTAGCGTCTATCAAGAAAGTCTGTGAAGCAGTCCAGTCTGGAACAATTGAATCATCCCGCTTGGAAGATGCATGCCGTCATGTTGCCCATGTGAAAGACAAGTTCTTGAACTGGGACACTGCTTTGCGCCAAAATCATCTTACCGGACTTGATGCGCTCAACAACAGGACTGCCCCATTTTCCAAAGAGGCCTATGAAAAATCAGTCACTCTTGTTCGCGATGCCAGCAAAACTCTGCCTTTGAAGAGCACTGGCCAAATTGTGCTTCTTTTCCCTGGGAGTAAAATACCCGTCGGAGGTGCTGTGGATGGCGAGGGAATGGGCCGGCAAGGATCATATACAGTTTCCCCATACCTCAATGCGCTTCGATGTCACAACCCCTCTGTTACGGAAATCAAGTACAAGGACACGGGGCTCTCCGATGAAGAGTGGAATGTTGTTAAGGCAGCTGATGCTGTCATTTTTGTCTCCATAAATGGAACAGAAGCACCATATCAAGACGCACTCGGTCGTGAGCTTCCACGACAAGTTCGATCGCTGGTTGCTATTGCCGCTTGCAGTCCATATGACTTCCTGGAGGTTCCTGAAGTTCAGACATACATTACGACTTATGAACCAACTATCGAGGCTTTCACTGTCGCTGCAGGTATTATCTTTGGCCAGATGACACCAAGGGGATCTCTTCCCATCGCCCATGGTTCTTCAAAAAGCAGTGTGCATGTGACAACCTTCGATGCCGGGAAAGATCTGGATGAAGTGGTATCTGCATGGAGCGAAATCTTTCCAACCTACAGATTACCCATGGATAGTTTAAAGGCCTTGATTGTTCGGGAGAATGCGCATCACTTTGTTGTCCGGCTCGGCTCAGATTTAGCGGGATTCTGCCTTGCCTATCTCAATGCCTTCGGTCCGCCATCGACTGTGCATATAGCAGTTCTCGGAGTAGCTCCAAAGTACCAAGGCCAAGGAATCGGTACGGCCCTGTTAATGGAGGCTCGTTCATACTTCAGAATGAAGTTTGGAATCCAAAACATAAAGCTTGGTAGCTCGTTCCCTCGCTTTTGGCCCGGTATTCCTCGTGAACTTTCTGAATCAGTACAAAGTTTCTTCACTCACCGTGGTTTCCGACTCAGCCCGCCTGGGAATAGATCAGTGGATCTATACCAGGACATTCGAAACTTCCAGTCCCCCGAGAAGTATGTTCAGCGTGCACAGGATCGAGGCTTCCGCTTCGCCCCTCTACAATCCGAAGACTATGAGGCGTGTTTAGTTGGACAGAAGAAGAACTTTTCCGACAAAGCTGTACGTACATATAAGCCGTCACTTGATGAGCATGATCTAACTTTCTCTCCAGGGGTGGGTTGAAGCATACGTATGGTTACATCCAAGCAAATTTCCATCTTGCGTGATGACTGCCTTCGATTCTGAGGACCGGCAAGTTGGGTGGACATTGATGTTACCTCCATGTCCTGAGATGAATCAAAGCTGGGCATTTCCACAAATTTGCGGTCCAAATACTGGGCTGATCGGCTGTGTCGGTGTTGATGCCGATCACCGGGCATCCGGTATTGGTCTCGCGCTTGTCTGTCATGCTGTTGAGAATATGAAGCAGCGAGGGATTGAAGGGGTCTTTGTGGACTGGGTAGCTCTCGATGGATGGTATGAGCAGGTTGGCTTCAAGACTTGGAGAAGTTACCGACCCGGGGAGATTTGAGATGACTGCTTCAATATTTTTTAAACATCATCCTCGATTCGGACATATCTCAAAGACAAGGAGCGTATTCTTTAGATAATTTAACATGCTATACAGATAAACTTCCATAGTCTCACAGGCAGATCCCTCAATTCACTAAGTTCTGCTGTGCACAACAATGGCAATGAAACTTATACCGATCCCATCAATGCTTATCAGAATTCTCCATGGCATCAATCCTTGCCCGAGAATTCTTGAAACTCTCATTTCTCTCCGCATCCGTACGTCCACTGTCAGGAATATAAGCTCCCTTCTGCACAGCACCTCTCTTTTCGATCTCATCAACCCATTTCTTCAAAGCAGGGAACTCCGCAAGATCAATCTCAAGCGCACCAGGTCCACTACGAACCCAGGAGAAATTCGCAATATCCGCAATGGTATACTTATCACCAGCCAAATAGCGACTCTCCTGCAACCGGGACTCGAGAACGGCGTACAGACGCTTTGTCTCGTCTATATACCGCTTGATTCCGTAGTCGGAACGCGCGCCGGCAAAGAGACGGAAGTGGTTTGCTTGGCCTGAATTTCATCAATTATGTTTCCATGTATATATCACGCGCAAAGCGCACATACCTTGCATAGGTCCAAGTCCGCCCATCTGGAACATCAGCCAGGATAGCTGCTCGATGTATTCGGGTGTTCCAGGCGCGTAGCTGATCTTCCGATCGGTATCATACTTGTCAACTAGGTAGAGCATGACCGAGCCGCTTTCAAAGACGCGCTGTGATTTATCGGTAATGGCAGGGATTCGGCCATTGGGATTAATCTTCAGGAACCAGCTGTCGTCATATTAGAAGTAGCCTTATTCAAGGGATGTTCTCAACATACTCCTCTTTTTGAATGTTGGTGCTGATATCAATTGGCACGGTCTTGTATGATAGGCCCAGCTCTTCGAGAGTGATGGAAGCTTTGATGCCGTTTGGCGTGGGCCAGCTATACAGGGTAATGTCGGACATGGCAGTGGATGTTGAGAATGCACGAAAGGTCGATGAGAGTTGAGAGAGACGTGTCGTAGCTTTAAACGAGCTGGATCCTGTGCGGGGTAACATCATGATGAGATAATTGGAGCTGTGAAAGAATTTATAACTGGTTCTGGAGCTTAAATGTGTAGGTACCATGTTCTTAACGCCGTTGTTCCCCCGAGCTTCCAGCTCATTTGTCAGCATTCTTCGATGGCGTCATTTCCCTACAGCTAGCTCTGACAAACTTTTTAGAATATTCCGAAGCTTGCATCGTCAGATTACTGATGGAAACTTCCTGTACACATTTCCAATGCTTTCATGGAGAATCACAAACTCATTTGGTTGCGTGGAGTTGGTACTGAGCCCGATTGTATATATTCTGCCACTCTTCACCGTGTTCGAAAGTGCTTGTGAATAGCTTCGTCTACGGCGGCCAGAAAGTCAGCCAAGCATCTTTCCATGTATCACACTTAATACTTCGAAGGACATCTGACTAGATCTTTGGATTCAGTAGGTTAATATCTATCTAAATGGACTTTTAGGACTTGCAACAAACAAACCCGGGGGCCGCGCCTCGGCGCCATACGGCTGCTTTCAAGGGGGTCTGCCGGGTGCCCTGAGCGATGTTTTCCGGTTATTGACACTAAACAACGCAGGCTCTGGCGGCTACCCACGTTGGCCCATCATATGGCAAGTGGGACGGTTCAGCCAAGTATCACGCGGTGTCAAGTTTGAGTAGAATACTCGGAATGGTCATTATAAGTTGACATTTTTAATTCTAATCAGGATGGGGTTCCTTTTGCACCTTTTGGGGCTCCATTTTTTTGGGGTTCCAAGGTATGTAGCTATGCAATTCTCGTTCATGGGCCTTTTCCAACCTTGCCTTTTGCTTATATTGTTAGTGCAGATGGCAAAGTTCTGGGAATTTAACAACAGAAGCGCCATCTCCTTTAGCTTACCCCTACCCTCGAGTGGATATGTATGTGTCCACGGGTCTTTCTATCTCTCAAGTAGGGAAAACTGCATCGAACAACCCTCCAAGATTCATTACAATATCAATTTAGCATCTCTAGTATGACTGATGGCAATTTCCTGTTCGTCAATTGTCTCGTTTGTCATGTGACCACTTGACTTTTCCCCCGATGCAACTCCCTTTTCCTTCAGACTGTTTAATCTTCGGTTCCAAACGATTATGGCTGCATTCAGTATCCTACATGGATGATCCCCACATGGTTTACGGCCACGAGGTTCTCCATGCTGTAACCCCCGGGATGAATCCACCCGCTCGAGCCTCGCCGAGATTCCCCGCGTGCTTCGCCGGATGCAGATGACACAGCAAAATCAGACCACTTTCTTGTGTGGCCTCACCCTTTTGCCATCCCTGCGCTCGGGACTGCTTGGCTGCTTGGGGCAAAAAAAAATCTTTCTCGTGGACATTGTGCTTGGCAGTGGGATACATGGAGTGATGGGAACAAGCTCTATTCGGCAAGCCAGGGTACAACCCGGAAGCCGAGCCGTGTCGGCTTTGGTGGTCAACATGACTATACGGACAGATGTCGCTGTTAATTTCTGTACCATGCATGGGCTAGACTCGCGGCTTTCGTTCGGGAGGGAAAGCATGTCCCGAGAGGGGGGGTCGGAGGCAGGGGCTAAGTGGATCTGGGCGGCCAGGGATCTTGTTCGTTAGCGTCGGGCACAGACTACCGTCGATTGGTAGCTTAAAGTATCTCCAGATAAATTACTATGGCATCTGGGGCCGACTCTTAATCTGGGGTTGGGATTGGTGTTGGGGTAGGTGACAGTGTCTAACCCCAGATTACCCCCACTCGCTCGTGGAGGATGCAACCCGATCTCGGTCAAAACTCCCTTGATTGTCACGAGAGAACGAATTTCGCCGGATGCAATCTTCTTCTCGAACCCGTGGAACTGGAATACAGGCATGAAGAAGCATCCCAGTCGATCTATTTCAAGCCACCAAAGTCAGCCCGTATGAACCTTGACGGCAGGGATCAGCCTCATTAGGCCGGACATAGTATGGTCATTTTACGTTCGGCCGCCGAGTCAGCCACAGTGCATCAAGGGGCCTCAATCAACGAATCACGAGCTCCCAAGGCTCTTGGCCATGAGCAAATTCCCAGCAAAAGATAGGAAAAGAAAAATTGTGACCTGGTTCTGTTCCGGATGAGGGCCGCACTCCAATGGACGACGACTGTGGCGTTGAGCCTCCACTAACATTTCATGCACTATTCCTTTGCGCCCCATGCAGCATGGTTTCGGCGATATCCCGAGTCTGGCGGTCATGGTCTGTCCCGTAGTGACTGACCCGATTGGAAACAACACATCGTCTTGAACAAAAGAAAACCGTTGATCGAGTTGATCTTTTCAATGTTCAGCAAGGGAAACTGGGGTGATCTTAGGAAGCATGGATAGTATCTAGAATGAAAGGAATCAGCAAATTCCCCGGAGTAGTGTTCATCAACCACAACTCTCGGAAGGCAGCCATCCGCATCTTCTGAGAACAGAGCAGCGCATCCCGCTAAGTTTGAGTTTGACTTCTTGTCTCTCCCTAGCCGGGCAACGTGCAAAATGCTCAAGCACCCACGCGGAAGTGGGCCAAGAGCTGTATTGCTTGACTGATTGGGTGATAACAATCCAAAAGACCGGAAGTATACAAGGCCTGTCCATGATTCGTGCCCAGACTCCCCGCTTCTGCCATCTTTGGGCATTTCCCCATGGGCAAGTGGACCCCTTCCCCACCATAGAAATCCTACATAGTAGCATTTGAAGTATGGAAAAAGCTATCTCTGCTCTAGGTCTAGCTGTAATAGATTGAAACAGGAGCTCCTATCGCCCAATAAGCGTGTGCTGACCTTGCCAACCGGCCTGAAATGGGGAAAGGAATATTCCTGCATAAACCATAAAAGCCGGCAATTCCCCTTCAGATTTACTTATTCCTTTGTCTATCTCGCACCATCTTGTGTGTTCCAGGCACTCAGTCGTCTTGTACGCCCTACTTCTTACTTTTTTTCTACTTTCTTCCTCTACCCTGTCACCCCTCCCGTGACTCCTCGACACTTAACCATCACCTTCGTCCCTCCATCTCATGATGAAGGACGACACTGTCGAGATCGAACATTCTCAGGGGTAAGTAATAGCATTCGTTGAGACTTGCAGATTACTAAGTATCGGTAGCATCGGCCGTGACCACAGCGATGCTGAAAAGGGTCATCTTGAGGATGTGAATCTGCACAACAATATCTCCGCGAGGTTCGTTAACGTGTTGCTCACACATCTAGATCTTAACCCCCTCCAAACATCAACTAACCCCAAAGAAAAATAGGATTAAGAACCCGCTTGCCCATCTTACTGAAGCCGAAGTCATTCGGGATGTTGACGGATTCATGCGTCAATATGATGTTAATCCCACCTACGGTGATGCCCTGAGACGTGGAGCTCTTGTTGCACGAGATCCTACCGCCTATGAATCTGTCCCACATATCGAAGAGTCCGAAATTGCTGCTCTTGATGATGAGGTGCTCCACAAATGGCGCCAGCCTGTAGCCCTTTACTTCACCATCATTCTCTGCTCCATCGGTGCAGCGGTTCAAGGCTGGGATCAGACTGGCTCAAATGGAGCCAACCTATCCTTTCCCCAGGCTTTTGGAATCCCGGAAGATGAAAGTGTCAAGAACCAATGGCTTGTCGGACTGATCAATGCCGCTCCTTACATCGCCAGTGCTGGCCTAGGATGTTGGCTATCCGATCCGGTCAATCGTATCCTTGGTCGCCGTTGGACAATCTTCATTTCTGCCATTTTTTGCATCATTGCCCCGATTGGATCTGCCTTGACCCAGAATTGGCCTCAACTCTTCATCACTCGTCTACTACTTGGAATTGGAATGGGTCTGAAGGCCTCCACCATCCCCATCTTCTGCGCTGAGAACACTCCTGCCGTCATTCGAGGTGGTCTGGTGATGTGCTGGCAGTTGTGGACGGCATTTGGCATCTTCCTCGGTTTTTGCGCAAATCTGGCCATGAAGGATACCGGTGATAAGTCGTGGCGTTTACAACTGGGATCTGCCTTTATCCCTGCTGTTCCTTTGCTCGTCGGTGTATTTTTCTGTCCTGAGTCTCCCCGCTGGTATATTCGACGGGGTGAGATGAACAAGGCCCTCAGTTCTCTCTTGCGCCTTCGTAACACTCAACTGCAGGCTTGTCGCGACCTGTACTACATTCACTCCCAGATTCAGATTGAGCAGAGCCTCATTGGTGATAGCAACTATCTCACTCGATTTGTGGAACTTTTCACCATCCCACGAGTCCGACGTGCTACTCTCGCCTCTTTCACCGTGATGATTGCTCAACAGATGTGCGGAAGTAAGACATACCCCCTCCGTCAAAAATACCAAATTTGCTAATCAGCTCTCAGTCAACATCATTGCGTTCTATAGTTCGACCGTCTTCAAAAATGCTGGCGCAAGTGATACTGCAGCATTGTTCGCATCGTGGGGATTTGGATTGGTCAACTTCCTTTTCGCATTTCCAGCAATCTGGACAATTGACACCTGGGGTCGACGCGCATTGCTCCTGTTCACTTTCCCACAGATGGCTTGGACATTGCTTGCGGCCGGCTTCTGCTTCTACGTTCCAGGTAACGGAGGCGCCCACCTTGGCAGTATCGCTCTCTTCATTTTCTTGTTCGCCGCTTTCTACTCCCCTGGAGAGGGTCCAGTACCATTCACGTACTCTGCAGAGGTATTTCCGCTGTCACACCGTGGTAAGTCCTCGAAACAGTTCTTTCTCAAATCAAACTCCAAGCTAATTTTCGCACAGAGGTCGGTATGTCCTGGGCTGTAGCAACCTGCCTGGGATGGGCAGCCGTGCTCTCAATTACATTCCCCCGTATGTTGGTGGCAATGACAGCAACCGGGGCATTTGGCTTCTACGCGTGAGTATTCCCAAGCTGTGCAGTTATTACGATAACATCTAACATTCCTTTTTCTAGTGGCCTTAATATTACTGCATTGGTCATGATTTTCCTTTGGGTCCCCGAGACTAAGCAACGAACCCTCGAAGAATTGGACTACATCTTTGCAGTCCCGACTCGGGTCCACATGCACTATCAGGTCTTCAAGGCCCTGCCTTGGTGGATTCAGCGTTACATCTTCCGCAGGGATGTACAGCTTGAGCCTCTCTACAAGTTTGACGATTTGCCTGGTCACAGCGAGGGTATCAGCGAGAAGGTCGTAGCTGATGTCGATACAAAGAAGGGTTATGGTGTAGAAGCTGATGCTTAGGGATTGATTGATTAGTTTTACTGATGATTTCGATGAGACTGAAACATGCGCATTGGCTTGATGAGAATATGTTAACTTGACGGAATGGAATATGTGAATTATGTGAAACTTGCAAGATACTTTAATCAATACAAAAAAATTGACAAACTTCAATTATTTATCCACTATTGTATCCTGTCTGCCTCATTCTGGTTTTTGTTAGTATTGAGAAGACCATTAGTCGTCTCAACAAGCGTCAGTTCAGTTCCTTTCATGAAATGATATAGCCTGAACTGTCTAGTGTACAGCACTGAATTTAATTTAGTCGCTTTCTTGCTGCGTACGCTTTCGTGATCGACAGAGATCTGCTCGGTGGAACATGGCCTATCAGTGGTCCTCAACAGTCCGATCCCCTCCAAGGCTCTTTGAGACAGGCCACTTTCCTACTCTCGCGATATCTACAAAGCTGATAGCTCAATTAATTGCGAAGGTGTTTGCGCGAACCATGGCGATGCGCACTCACTCAACATATCGAAGTTGGAAGCTGTCTATGCTGTTGGTGGCAATGATACCTCTGAGAATGGATCCGACTACCACTTTAATATCGGCAAATTCCGCGCTAGATACTCACAGGTCCAGGCATAGTCGACCGCGACCAGCCCGTACTACTTTACCAGTGTAGTTTGGACTATGCCGCGTATAGCTTCGTCATCAACTTCATGTCAAGCTTCTCGGCGAAGCCGGCCGGTCATCTCGTATGTCACACTGTCTTCTGTACTAGGATACATCAAGCGCTACTTGGACGATTCCACCTCAATAAAGAATTTGGTGTAAATGTCTCCCTTGTTATTTTCGTCTGGAACAAAGGACAAGAGCACATTCCTAACAATCAATATCGTCGCCCCTCCACTGCACCTTACAGTCGTACTGGACGTCGGCTTCGGATACTTCGCATACCCAGATACTCTGGAAGTTGTAGGAAATACTGGTTCGGTGAACTATTTTCCTGGTGTTGAAGTTCCTAATCTCACTGGTGACGTGTCAAACGCTTGAAAAATTGTTTGAAGGCGACAAGTTTGCGTGCTTCGCTCTCAATATTTTGCAACCAGGCATTCCAGACTTCCTCAAAAGGTCGCTGGCAGATTTTAGCAATGCGACCTCATTCTTGGATACTTATCTTTTTCCAATTTTAGGGAAATCGGAGTGTTCGGAGCTTGGACAAAATGATCAGAGTCTTTTGAATGACTCCTCTGGTCATACCTCAAACGAACGGGACCGGACACAGATTACTAGGGGCGATGCCCTTCCATTTTTGGAGGTCCCAACACCAGTGGAGTCTAGGGGGGTTAGTATAAGAGGGTATAACACATAATGAGGATAGCTAGACAGATATAGTACCTGCTAACTAGTTGATTCAACATTGCAGCAGTCTATTACCCGTGGACATTGATTGCCCTCAAGGCCTGTATTGTTCTTATCCAGATTTATTATTCCGCATTCCTCCCGGGAATGTCATCAGTCTCGTGTTATCGCGGTCGCCACTGGCACATACATCCGTGGACATCGGCATTATCCGACCAACTTCAATCATGTGATTGCGCAACAAAGGTTGGTTAATTCCCACAGTTTCTCGTGAATATAGTCATGATTGTTTCTCGCGACAGAGGAAATTTATAGAAAAATGCATGGGTCAAGTCTGGCTATTTACTGATCTCCGTTCCAAGTCGATCGAGCGGGCCCTGGGGCAACGCGGCTGATCCATGGTAAGGGAACAGCTGATGTGGGTACAGTGCAAGATGACGAGGACAAACCCTCTCAAGATAGAAGTGAAGTTGAAGTTGTGTCAGATGGTACAATATCAGAATCCAATAGCAAAAATAAAGCCAGATGGAGGTCATGCAGCATACAGTCATAGGGCTTGCACAAGTCACGCTCTTGACGACTAATAAGGTGTATCACGTGGGAGTTCGAGATGTTTTGGTCCACTTCCGCCCCTCACTCTCTCTCTTCTGCCTGAGAGCATTCCGCTGCGTAACTTGCTTTCTCTTGATCCCCATGGGCGACCTGGCGGCTTTTCAAGCTTCTTGAACAAATTTTTAGATATCCCAGAGGAAAAGGGCCTTTTCTGCGGTCATCGCCAGCTCCTCATTTTTCCTGCGTCCCCACAAAAGCTGCCCTCGCCCAGCCTCCGTATACCAGCAGCAACGGTGGGGTTCGGACCCAGTGGGCTGCTGGGTGCTCCGATAACAATCTAAAATACACTACCCTGACCGCCTCTTCTGAAGCTCCTTCACTCCATCGCGGGACTCCAAAAAAGGCAAAAAAAACACAAATTTTACTGAGTGTGTTCCCCGCCGTCGAATTTGAACTTTCCTGTCGGTTCCTGCCCGGGGAATCAACGTTCTACGTGTTGACGGAGAAGTTCCATTTCCCCTATTGACGTCTGCCTTGAATTCACTTTCCCCTCTGCCCCTCTGAAGCGCCGCCATGCCCTGCTTTAAAGGTCTCGCAGTGAGCATTCATACTCCGGATGGCCCGATCTCCGAATACTCCATCCAGCGACACTCGCGCGCCTCTCGCATAGGTTGCTTCATTCCGGTTCCTCCGCCGAAGGTCCCTGACTCCAAAAATGGCAAACCCGAGCAATCAACGTTCGCGATCTCTATCACTCTCCTTAATCCTGGCCAAGATGTCCCCTACTCTACCCCTAAACCGACGCCGGATTGCCCATCTCCGAAGCCAAAGGTTGTTGGTGGTCTACCGGGCCAAACAACCGAGTCCGGCTCGGTCGCGCCATATCAGGCCTTGACGAATGGGGCAAATGAGACCGTGGCAGCATATATCTACTTCGATGGTAGACAGAAGGAAGAAGTGGCCACATTGCTGCGGAGGGGTGAGGAGACATGGGTGAACTCGCGATGGGTGAGCGTGCCAGATTCTGAGGGTGGCGGCATCGCTGAACGCGAGTTCTTGTTCCGTGAGGTCGGTCTGGAGCGCTGGCTCAATGGGTTGGACCTAGAGGGCAAGGATGCGGCTGCCAAAATTGAGCGCCGTAGACAGAAGATGGAGAAACGTCGGGCGAAGCGCCTGGAGGAAGGTCAAACTGCTATGGAGATGGAGGCGAATACCTCACTCAAGCAGAAGAATATCATGCGCTATGGAAGCGACGCCAAGGCGCCGTTGGAGAATGTGTCCGACGATGATCTCTCGGATTCCGACGACGACGATGACCCGATCCCGGAGACAACTGGTCAGATCAAGGTTGCTTTGTTCCGTGTTCTGGCCTCTGGAGAAATCAAGCGCGGTGAATATTCCCCGCAATTTGATGCCCATGATGACGATGAGGAAGGAGGCCAGGAAAGTGGGAATGGAGCCGATATTGATCACACCACCAGTTTCGCAAAGCCCAAGACTCTCGATCCGAAAAGCATTAGTACCCAAACGGTTACTGGTATTGATCCGACTGACAAGCCTTATGCCACCTTTACCTTCATGTACCGTGGAGAACGTACGCCAACGACCCCACCTGTCTCTTAGATTGGAACGCTAATCATTTATGAAACATATAGGGCAATTGCAGAAGATGGGTATCCTGAAGGATCCCAAGGCGCCAGAAACCCCGGCAGCGAAGCGCAAGTCATTACAAGCGGACTTTTCTAGTATTGGTCCTTTGAAGCCTGGTGGAACCGTTGGATTCCTCAATTTCCGGGACCAAGATACCGCACAGAAGGGCAAGAAGGGGGAGGATGAGATGGACAGTGACGACGACGACACCGACAACCCGATCCTGAGCAAGGCCGACGATGAGGAGACAAAGGATGACGACCGATTCTTGTCTCCTGATGATATCAAGCGCCAGGGCGAGCTGGAGGAAGGTGTCCGCAAGATTCGGGTACGTGAATACCTAATGTTTTTTTTGTCCATGATCTAACAAAGCCACAGTTGAAACGCCAGCACTCTGCCGAGCCGTTTAGCGGGAGTGGCGATAACAATTCTACTGACACCCCGGCTTCTGGAGCTACACCCCCGGCCACTGAGCGCGCCATCACCCCGCCAAAGACTATTTCAGATGCTACTGCTGGTCCCTCTGAGCCACCTCAGCTCCAGGTTGAGCCACCTGCCGGATTCCTGGGCAGTCCTCTGAAAAAGCAACGAGCGAGTGTCTCTACGGCCGACGAGAATGCTCTGCGGCGTCGCATCGCCGAGTCCTCTGGTCGGATCAATGAAGTCCTTGGCGCTGGCACGAACGATAGCTTCTCTGCCAGTGTAGGGTCATTTGGTAATAAAAACACGACCACAGAGTCGACCAATCCCTCGAATGAGGATGAGGAGCTATAAGGCTTGGCATGCCAGCGCTTGTTTTGCTAGAGCTCCGGAATGGAGCTTGGATATGATAGAGTCTTGGAGCCACACGAAGGCATTCGCGGGCAATTGCCCACTTCTTTTCTACCTTTTTACGCCGTCATGTCCAAATCAACTACAGGAAGCATTCGGAAAGGGGATACATTAGCTGTGCCGCTTATAGGCGGCTTGTTTATAAATTCGTAGGGAGGTGTCAAAAATCATATGCACGTTCCACCAGATTCAAGTTTAGACTCCATTTAGATTCAAGTTTAGACTCCATTTAGATTCAAGTTTAGACTCCATTTAGAACGTAGCGACCTTAGAACTTTCCCACAATGCTTGTAAGGGGCTTTCAACGCCTCCGACTCGCGGTGCCTTACAGAAACAACATTCGGATTCGGCCCGCTCGCGTTCTCCACCAAGTGAATCAGCCCGGTGCGCTCTCTGTTCTTCGACACTGACGTTGACATAGAGTACCCCAACCTCCATAGCTACAATGGCTCTCGCACGCTCATCCGATCCCTTAGTCTGGATTGATTGTGAAGTAAGTACCTCGTGTAATCTGCCAAATGCGCAAATCGCGTCGCAACCACATGAAGAGAGAAGAAAAAAGCTCACCCGCAACAGATGACCGGCCTCGACGCCGAAAATGATCAAATCCTTCAAATCTGCTGCTTCATCACCGATGCTCAACTCCAAATCCTCGAGCCCAACGGATTTGAGACCGTCATCCACCATCCCGACTCCACCCTCAACGCCATGAATCCGTGGTGTATTGACACGCACGGTCGCACGGGCCTCACCGCCGCTGTCCGCGCCTCGACCACAAGCCCCTCCGTCGCTGCTGAATCGCTCCTTGCCTACATCAAGCGCTACGTACCAACCCCGCGCACTGCCTTATTGGCTGGTAACAGTGTACATGCTGATAAAGCATTCCTGGTGCGTGGCCCTTACGCTGCAATCATGGAACACTTGCATTACCGGATTCTGGATGTTAGTACTATTAAAGAGGCGGCGAGACGGTGGGGTAGTGATGAGCTATTAGCGTCTGTTCCACCAAAGCGGACGGTGCATCTAGCGAGAGATGATATTCTGGAGAGTATCGCCGAGATGCGCTATTATAAGGAGAAATTGTTCAATTAGAGGTTTCTTTCTTGTTCCTTGTTTTCCAAGGCTATGAACTTATGATACTCTTGGCGGGCAAAGTTGCTGTGGTCTGGAGCTCAGTGCCCCGCCCCGCTATTTAGGGAAAAGGAAAATAGCTTCGTAGAAAGTCAATGGACTGAAATTTTGGTGATAATAGGCTAGTCATGGGTAATTAATGAAAGTCATAATCAATTGGAAGCTCTAGAGTACTTATATCTCCGTCCAATTGGCTTCATAGTAAAACGCCATGTTTTGCATGTAAATTCGTGCAGTGGGGATGATCAACACATGACGCCGACCCCCCTCTCTTCTTCGTGTCGGTCAACTTCCTCTTCTTTTCTACACCACTCTCCAGTTTTCTCACCATGTCAGTTCAAACGGTCTCCTTCCAGTCTTTCGCTGACCAGAAGCCTGGCACGTAAGTGTTTGATCCTCCTTCCATTTTTACTCAGTTCTAACAATGCCTACAGTTCTGGTCTTCGCAAGAAGGTCAAGGTCTTCCAGCAGCCCCATTACTCCGAGTCCTTCATCACTAGCACCCTTCTGTCGATCCCCGAGGGTGCTGAGGGTGCCTTCCTCGTCATTGGTGGTGATGGCCGTTACTACAACACTGAGGTGATCTCCAAGATTGCCCAGATCAGTGCCGCCTACGGTGTCAAGAAGCTCCTGGTGGGCCAGCATGGCATTATGAGTACCCCCGCGGCCAGCAACCTGATCCGCGTCCGCAAGGCCACTGGTGGTATCTTGCTGACTGCCAGTCACAACCCTGGTGGTAAGTATCACACTTGATGCTCTTACCAATGTCAGTCTGCTAACAACTCATTCGAATAGGTCCCGACAACGACTTCGGCATCAAGTACAACCTGTCCAACGGTGCCCCCGCCCCGGAGTCCGTGACCAACAAGATCTACGAGACCTCCAAGTCCCTCACCTCCTACAAGTATGTTGACGTTGGTGACGTCGACACCTCCAGCATCGGCACCAAGACCTACGGTCCCCTGGAGGTCGAGGTTGTCCACTCCACCGCGGACTACGTGACCATGATGAAGGAGATCTTCGATTTCGACCTGATCAAGGAGTTCCTCAGCACCCACAAGGATTTCAAGGTCCTCTTCGACGGTATGCACGGTGTGACCGGTCCCTATGGCGTGGATATCTTCGTCAAGGAGCTCGGTTTGCCCGCCAGCAGCACCATGAACTGCGAGCCCAAGCCGGACTTTGGCGGCGGTCACCCCGATCCCAACCTCGTGTACGCTCACGAGCTCGTCGAGGCCGTCGACAAGAACGGTGTGCACTTCGGTGCTGCCAGTGATGGTGACGGTGATCGTAACATGATCTACGGTGCCAACACCTTCGTTTCGCCTGGTGACAGTCTCGCCATCATTGCGCACCACGCCAAGCTTATCCCCTGGTTCAAGAAGCAGGGTGTCTACGGTCTTGCCCGCTCCATGCCCACTTCTGGTGCCGTCGACCGCGTCGCCAAGGCCCAGGGCCTCGAGAGCTACGAGGTTCCCACTGGCTGGAAGTTCTTCTGCAACCTTTTCGATAACAAGAAGATCTCCATCTGTGGTGAGGAGAGTTTCGGAACTGGTAGCAACCACATCCGTGAGAAGGATGGTGTCTGGGCTGTTGTTGCCTGGTTGAACATCATTGCCGGTGTCGCCAAGCAGAAGCCCGAGGAGACTCCCAGCATTGCCTCCATCCAGCATGACTTCTGGAAGACCTACGGCCGCACCTTCTTCACTCGTTACGACTACGAGAACGTCGACAGTGACGGTGCCAACAAGGTTGTCGCCACTCTGGCTGACGTGGTTGCCCAGGGCACCTCCGCCGCTGAGATTGATGGTCGCAAGATCGTCGACGCCGGCAACTTCTCTTACACTGACCTTGACGGCAGTGTCTCCAAGAACCAGGGTCTTTACCTCAAGTTCGACGATGGCAGCCGCATTGTCGTGCGTCTGTCCGGTACCGGCAGCAGTGGCGCTACCATCCGTCTTTACATTGAGCGCTACGAGAGCGATAGCTCCAAGTTCGGTCTCAATGCCCAGGAATACCTGAGCGAGAACATTGCTTCGGCTCTTAAGCTCCTCCAATTCAAGTCCTACGTTGGACGTGAGGAGCCTGATGTTAAGACCTAAGCAGTCAACTCTGCTTTGGTTATAGTGTGACCCGCTGGATACCTGCTGGATGGGGATCACGGCTTTATTCTTGATGTGAGAAGACGATATGACGACCGTGGAAGCAACGTATGAGATAGAAATAGCAATTTGCTCTAGTAATATGATGTCTTTTCTGCAGCGTTGACAGACGATTGGAGTCTTCCGTAGGGACTGAGTGCGTGTGTAATTCAAGTTAAAAACGTAACTAAAGTGCTCTCATTGTAAATTTTATCTGGGCAGGGATTTGGTGTATTGAATGAGACCCGACTGAGTGACAGTCCTCAATTCACACCTGCGTTCGTGTGTGTTTCTGTTCAAGAATGTTGTCGCTTTTCACCTTGTGACTATAATTCACGCTGTCGTCCGAGTTTCTATTCGCTGTATGAAAATGTTTGATGTGCTCAAAGCCCTAGCCTTGACATAAGCAAATCCGTAAGATAGTTGAAGCAAAGTGAATCAAAGCAGCAGTCTAAAGCCATTACCTTATATGTGTTGTGGTGGAAATTAGAGCCTAGGCTTGCTGCGTCCTTTGCCAGTTGATCTGCCGCAACCTCGATTTGACAGATTTAATCAGCTTTTTGACGGCAATCTACCATTTTGACCTATTTTATCTATCAATCATTGAATGCTTCAACACAACATTTCGAACTAGCTTTGGTAGCTCATTCCCAGCTCATTGATAGATATTGTATCTAACATCTTGCAATCACCAACCAGTCTTTGATCAACGCATCTAATGAGAGGCTATTTATAATTACGGACGTGCCATTTTAGGAGCGTGGCGTCAATTTGACGAGGAGTGGCCCCTTGTCCCAAATGATATAGGCCCGTTGATCTGCCCAATTCGAGCACTGGGGAGACAACTCCAGATCAAACGCCCATATTAATCGGGCAAGGATCAAGCTCGCCTCTCCAAACGCTAGACTGTAAGAAGAATCAGCTTTCCACCCGTAGCTATCCACGGTGATAAGTGACTGACCTCCTCCCCGGACACCCTCTGGGGCCCATTGAGAAGGCTTGCAAGGCCCCTTTGACATCGTCACCTCCATCATCAGTATCTGACCAGCGTTCTGGAAGGAACAGCTGGGGATCCTTGAAGTTTGACGAGGACTGGTAGGTCGCCCAAGAAGCAACAGCCACAGAGGTCTAGGGATGTCAGTGATCTTTCAGCCGTCGTACTCACTGTAGATAATTTACATACATTTTCCGGGACAAATTGCCCTGAAACTACAGCGCCTCCATGTGGCACAACTCGCGGCATGCCAAGCGGTACAGGTGGGTACATACGCAGTGACTCTTGGAGGACAAAGTGTAGGTATGACATATCCGCTAATGATGAGAATGTCATTTCTGTTGGAGAAGAAAAGCGTTCCCGTATTTGGCAAGAAAGCTTCTTGTATACCTCTGGATGTTTCAGCATGAAAAATGTGCAACCGGATAAAAACGTCGCCGTGGTTTCACTACCCGCAATCATCAAAAAGCTGCTATTAGATAAGATCTCTTCCTTGGATAGAGTCGACTTGTGGTCATTAATAGCCCGCATATACGTGCCAAAGCCAGGGTCGCCTGATTCCGACACACTCTCTGCAGAAACTTTGGACGCAACTGAGGTGAACTTGGTGGACCGATGCTGGAGCAGGTCACGACGGAACAAGAACAGGGCAGCTTTGATTACCCAGGAAAGTGATGGGAAATACTTCGACTGGCTGAGGAAGGCCCATCCTTTGATAGATCCGTAAAGCATATCAACCCAGGTGTGAGATATCCCTTTATCGAGGCAGTGTAATGACTCGCCAAACAACTCGAAGGCCATGAAGTCGAATATGACATAATTGTACCATTCAGTCATATCTACGACGCTCTCTTCCTTTCCGCCCGTGGGATGGAGCATCTGAATGAGAGTATTGACAAAGGGTTTCAGGAGACGCTCATGAGACTGAAGTGCAGAGATAGAGAACGCACGGAGGATCGCTCGCTTCTGCCGGCCATGAATGCCATCAGGAGCAACCGCCACACTGGGAGCTTTAATTTTGGACGCATGGTAAAAGCGCATGTCTTTTGGAAAGTTTCTTAAGGGGCCATGTATGTCTTTCCATGCTTCCTCGGTGCGGTAGCTCAATTCGTCTGGGGCAACACGAACAACATCTCCATACTAATCATGGAGGCGCTGTATCTGCTTGTGCAGTTGGCCCTGAGCATAGGCAGTCGCATACGACGCCCTCGACACGCTCCAAAGGAACGGGCCAGGATAGCGGCTCAGAGAATGAAGATATCGTCTAGAGAATACTTTCCATGCCGAGAATAAAAGAGCCTACCATCCTTCTATCAGGCGAAAGGGCTTGTCGAGCGAGCTTGAAATAAACGTACCAGAAAGAATACTTTGTAAATGTTGGAAATCATGAGGTTGGATGATGAATAAAGAATGTTCAGTGATGAAGTTTCCCTACTGAGCAGGAGGCCAAGATGATCCTGTAGTCTACCAGGTATGTAGGAAAAGTACAAATCTTTCGGCTCTAAGGAATATATAAAAAAGGTGGTCGAGGGTTTCAAACTCAACGTACTCCATATATGCAATAGTGCGTACTCTTCCTGTTTCGTGATAAGATAGACCTTGGGAATGCTTGATGAACTTTGTCTAGGAATCAACAATTGAACATAATTGAACACCATAACTGATCGCCAGTGCTATTTCATCAATCTCCCATTCTCTTCCCATCAACTTTCCTGGAGGAAACCCAATAAAGATATGAAACTACGTAGTGAAACCCTTGACTCCGTAGAATCAGGCTCGTGTGTCCCAATGCCATATTGACACGTTGTGATTTGCGAATCTATTTCCGTCCTTGTCTTCAGCATCGGCATTCCGATGCGTGATTTTTGTGATGCCGCAGCCTACCAAAGTTGAGGTGTCGCCGATCTGGATGCCGAAGGGTTCGGACGGATACTCATGGGAGCAATTGAATTGATTGAAATATCATAGGTGTAGAAATCTATAGATATCTTCTAGTAGACAGCTATGATTTGTTATGACATACTTCCTAGATATTTCTCGGTCACCACCCAAACATATGACTTGGATATAACTCCCGGGATTCACTACGCTGCAAATCCCGCAGACTTATTTCCTGTACCCCCACCACTTCAGTAAGACAATGTTACTTTTCTCTGCCACAAGCATAATAACACGCATTTTGGAACCAGCAAGTGTGACTCATGGATGGCCGGGACATGAAGTGATCTTCAATATTGTAGCCAGCCAGAGTCCCAGATTTGAGGCTGTTTCCCGCAAACAACCCAATTCAGGTCTTGAGCGTCACCGCTCCTGGAGCGACCAACATAAGAACACACAGATACACACATGTGCACGGACATGTGGGGTGAGAACATCTGCACTGCAAGGAGTATGACAGTTATAAAGAAGTTTATTCCGTGGCGATGACTTGAACCACTGCCTTTGAACCACTGTCTTTGAACCACTGCCTTGGAACCAGGGTCCATGTGATAAAAGATCAAATGGTGACCCTTTTAAATGGTGACCCTTTTAAACACACCTCATCTTCACCTTGTTTAGTACTCACTTTCAACCTTTTTTCTTTTCGACCATTTGAGTCGCCCTCCAGATATGCCTTTACTCGACGCCACAATGGTCCCAAGCAACGCTATGAAACCCAAATCAACAACCATACTGGTTGACCTCGGGGGTATCTTCATGCACCCGGCAGCGGAAAACAAGCTCCAAGCTCATGGCTCTACTCTTTCTTTGCGAAGAATCATGTCTACTTCAGACTGGATGACCTACGAATGTGGTTTGCTCAGTGAGCAAGAATGTTTCGCGAAACTTGCCGAGAAATATCATTTCCAGGCAAGCGACCTAACGGACATGATCCGGAAGCTCCGCAAGACTACCACCTACGACCAGGCGGTTGCTTCTATCTTCAGGGAGATCAAACGCACGGGAGCACGCATCTTCCTGGTGTCAAACATTTCCAAAGAAGACTATGCTGCACTGCGGGCCTCCTGGGACGAAGACTTTTGGTCCATATTTGATGGCGTGTTTACGTCCTCTGCCCTGGGTGTCCGAAAGCCTAGCTTAGCCTTCTATCGTCACGTCCTGCGCGTCACACGGGCAGTGCCCCATCAGACCTTTTTCATTGATGACAGACCTGAAAATGTGCTCGCGGCGCTATCTATCGGAATCAAGGGGACTTTTGAAACCGCAACGCTCTACCGTACACTCACGAACTTCATCGGCGATCCTGTGGCACGAGGTCTTGCATTCCTGCGGCGTCAGAATGGGATATTCCCGACGACCACTCAGCAGAACGAGACGATCGCTGAAAATTATGGTCCACTCCTGATCCTAGAAGTGTTGAAAGACCGGTAAGTCTCGCCCCGATACTAGGACCCACGGATCTGCTAACAAGTTATAGGAGCCTGGTGAATCTCAAATGCCCACTTCGACTCTGGAATTTCTTCAGTGGTGAGCCCCCATCAGTTTTCTATCTAGCTATACAAGAGTTGACCATTTATCTAGGTGACCCAAAATACACGAGTGATACCTACCCTGATGACCTAGACACGACCTCCCTTGGCCTGCTGACGATCCCACCTGACCCAGCAATTGTCCACTCTGTACTGGATGAAATGCATGACTATATCGATGAAGATGGGAACGTGCAGGTATGCCTCAACCCTCTGCACCACTCTGTTACTGGAGAAGCTGACGCCGTCTGTTAGATATACTTTGACCACTCAAGGCCGCGTGTCGATGCTGTTATATCTCTCAATGTCCTTACCCTATTCCACAAATATGGGCGAAGCCACGAGATCCCTGGCACAATGGAGTGGATCTATAACATTCTGCTTAACCGGGCGTATATCAATGGGACCCGCTACTACCCCAACGCAGAGTGGTTCCTCTACTATTTGACACGCCTTCTGGGCGCTTCTAGTGATCCTACTCTCCAGGAGAGGTTCGAAGCTCCTCTTAGGAAGCGTGTGGCTGAGAGGGTCGGGGCAGATGGCGATGCGTGTTGCCTTGGCATGCGAGTATTGACATGCAATTATCTCGGGATCGAAAACCATCCCGATCGCAAAAAACTCGCAGATATGCAGCAGGAAGACGGCGGTTGGGAAGCATCTTACATGTATATGTTTCCCGGCGCTGATCGTAAGGTCGGAAATAGGGGAACCAGCTCTGCGTTTGCCGTGAAAGCGCTTGAGAATTGGACTGGATGATGACATCCTTCCATCACTTATGGGGCTCATAAAGGCTAGGGCAATGATTTATCTTGTTATGCTATGGTGGCGATCTTTGTCGCTTCTTATGTCCGCAAGTTTTATGATGTTTGAGCCTTCTGGTCTGCTCTGGCTTTTCTCACCCGGGGAAATGGTACTAGATATGAATAACTAGCATGCATACACTAATCTATCTTTATCAATCGAACCATTAAACCTGGCATTGGTTTCACATAGGCTGCCTCGGTGGGCGCAAAGGGTTGCTTTGGATTTTCCAGCGAAACTTGATAGTGGCTGGTAAATGCGGATGTCAAGCATGTCAGCTTCAGTCTTGCAACAGATCGACCGGGGCAGCTCCGTGGGCCATAAGCGATACCGAGAAAGTCTCTGGAAGTTGGGCAGCTGGTTACTTCCACTTCTGTCCACATGAGGGTCTTATATCAATAATTGCATTTTTCCCGGGATCTCTTTATGATGGATATATGAAATTGATCACTATCCGGATTTCCAACCCCAGAAGACAAAAAGGATATAAGACAATACACGGTATAGAGTCCCAATTAATGCGAGAAACCTGTGAGGTTAATAAGTGCCAACTTTACAAATCCCACACCGAGTAATGGGGGTGTACATACCCCATGTCCATCCCAGTTCTATCTGACTTGTAACCACTGAATGTAAAAGCGGACTGGACATTGTAAAGGTAAGCCACAGGGGCCGTGTTTTCCTGGTAAAATGCCTCTGAGAACCAAGTCTAACAGCAACAATAGGTAAGTTCATCTTCACTGTTTGAATAGAGCAGGCATAGCTTACTGCTGGCCAACAATACCAAAACCATTCCATATGCCACTCCCGCACAGTCGATAACCGGGGAGCGCAGCCACTCAGGGCTGAAACGATGAGACCTAGTAGCATACATAACATTGGTCCATCTTCTCGCCGCATGACGGCTGATACGACGAATCCAAGGCCGTAGATACCTGTATTGAACATTAACAGAGAAAGAACTCAGATTGGAAGCATGCCAACTTACAGTAGGAATATAAAATGCCAAGGCCAAGCTGCGAGCGAAATGGGATCATAGGAGCTGCTAAAACCAAATAGAAAGCGGTAAAATGTAAGGACGACACCAACATTCGGAAACAGACGGCTATGTTTTTGCCCAGAAAATAAGCACTGTGGGAATGACCACTCTGTGATTCTCGATGGAATGTCAACTTCTCCTCCCCAAATATCTTCACCCCGGGAGGTCCAGCGGCACAAGCTGGAATCAGGATACTTGATTAGCCAACGGCAACGGCAGTGAGGTCAGATACGAAGCAAAAGAGGCCTTACCAATGGCGAGACAACATAAAAGACCCTGTTCGGCTATCAGACGATAATCAACGGCGCTCGAAAGGACGTCAAATGGAGCGTGGTAGATCCCTTGGAAGAAGTGGCCTCTGGATTCAAAAGCGGCCAGTCCAATCATGAGACCAATTACTGCACTGGATACAACCTCTAAAGCGAGACCCGTGGTTTGTCGACTCTGTTGGACTATACTCCGACACAAGGCGAGCCAAAGCTGGCGAGGCCATGGTGCTCTTCTTTCCTTTATGGCCTTCAAAAGTGTAGTCAAGTCATCTGCTATTTCGGTTCTAGAAGGCGAGTCATCCCTTGGGAATACCTGTTGAGCGCTCTCTTTCCAATTTTGGGCATGAGGATGATTTAATAAGACATCAAGGATCACATCTGCTGGATTTGATGCGATGGGGAAATCATGGCCTAACTGCTCGAAGAAGGACTGTGCCTTTGCTGCTTGTCCATGATACACTTGGGTCCCAGCGTTCAGAACGAGGATATCATCCAGTAGATGAAAGATTTCAATACGCGGCTGGTGTATCACACAGATCACCATGATGCCCTGGCGGGAGATCGAGTGTAAAAGTTTCATCAAAGAATGCGCAGCTGTTGCATCCAGGCCAGACGTTGGCTCGTCCAAAACTAAAACCCTCGGTGCGGCGGTTAACGTGAGGGCGATACTCACACGTTTATACTCGCCGCCAGATATACTTCGCCCCCTTTGTTTCAGGAGATCGCCGACCAGCTGATCGCGGATACCTTGTATACCCAGTGACGATATCAGGGAATCTACGTATTCCTGAATTTGCGTATCGGACAGCTGCCCACCGAGTAACACACGGCCGGAATAAAGAATATTCTCGCGAACAGTCATGTCAGGAAGAATCATGTCATGCTGGGGAATATATCCGATCAGGTCCCTTAGCCTATTTCATGGACGAAGAGAAGTTAAATGGTCAGTGCCTACACTTTTGCTCTGTGAAGACATGGGAAGGGGATTTACTCTGCAGGTTGGATTCTTTGACCATTCATCGTGACCCATCCCTGGGTGGGTCGGACTCTACCTGATAAGATATTGACAAAGCTTGCTACAGGGCATTAAATTTATTAGCTTTGGCCTTGAAGAGAACGATTCAGCTATTCTCACATTTACCAGACCCGGAGGCTCCTATGATTCCGAGAACTGAACTGGAATGAATTGTTCCCTGAAGACCAGATAGGATCTCTCGTTTCGCACGCCGCGGACGGAGACAGATGTCGTTGAAGGTAAGATTCAGGCCAAATAAAGGGATATTGTCCTCGTTGAAGAAGTCCCGAAACGGCTGCAACCGAGGACTATTCGCTTTTGAGATATTCTCATTGGCTTGGGGAAGAGGGCGAGGATGGGTTAAGCGAATGAATTGCCTCAGTCTCTTTGACGGCGACGAAGACCGTAAAAGAATACAGACCCCTATCAACAACACGTCCAGTAGCAGACAAAGGAAGAATCCCAATAGTGGGATCTGATGGGAACTGCCTGGCCTGCATATTGACATGACTGTGCATCCAAACGGAGCTACCGTCCCCAAAGGGCAGAAATGGCCCCGTGGACACTCAATCTGCTCTTGCCCACCAGGCGGACAATAGAAGCCCGGCATACATATTACCGGCTCAAGTCTTCCTTGGGGTGCCGCGCATATGTTGGCATTGCTCTGAAGCCGTGTTAAGAGGCAGTCGGGCAAAGGGGGACAATAAGTTGGCAGGTTGTATTTGTTATTTGAGGGGCCTGAAAATGGTTACGAAAGTATAAAGCAATGGGAGGATCAAAAGCCGTACAGTAAAATCCATCCTGACATACAATATGGGATGACAATTGAGTTGGCTGTCCGCCTGAAAGGCAGGTATTGTTGGATGGATTTGCCATTTGAACTTCTGCAGTTGTGATAGAGTTTCGAGGGCCTGTTTGAATGCAATAGAAAGGAGCACGATGTAAGCCTTTGTGATCTGTGATTAAATTTTGCAGGGATATGTGTAGATTCTGCAAGGGGTGCACAAAATACTTGCGTACCTGAATGATGTAATCTTTAAGGGGCTAAAAAAAAGACACTACAGGCTAGTTGCATACGTACATTGACTGGAACATTAAAGCTTATTCAATCTTCGCGCGGGCTCCTTAGACTGGCTGCTTTTGGTTGCTTCAACTCCGCCATGTCGTGTCTCTGGAGGCTGGGAGCTCTTATGCTCTGCGAGTACCTAGTTTCTTCAGCTGCTTTAGCCTTCACTAGCAAGGGATCAAATCTACGCCGATCCTGTATACTCTGCCTCGTCGTCCTTGCGATCCCTGAAATTCGTCTCCTGTCATTTTTGCCCGGGCCGGAATTACTGCGTGGTGTCTTCGCATTCTCCTGCATCGTCAAACTTCTCCATTTCATTGGTCTCTTTTTGATTATCCAGGTGGAAATCCATCAACTGATTGACCCAGCCAGTTCCTATTTTGCTCGCTTTTGTGCTGGCCTGAACTGCGTGACAAGTCCGCGTGGAATCAGAACACCGTGGGAGGTCAAAACCTGGTCCGAATGTCGAGAGCTTCCCAAACACCGATATATTGCCCAAAATGTAATTATCCTCGGCTGGCAGTACTTGCTCCTTGATGTCGTGAATTTTTGGAGTCTTGAAATATTTCCACTTTCATTGGCCAGGTGCTTTGGCTACAGGGGCGGAGTTTGTTAGCGCAGACTCAACCAGGGAGCAGTTGATGACCAGGCTCCCGCTCTCCATGATTTTAGCAGTCAACCTGCGTTTACTTTTCGCGATGGTCTACAGAGTCCTTGCTACAATCTCTGTTCTCTTGGGCTTAACTTCTCAAAAGGACTGGCCACCGCTATTTGGTAGCATGCGACATCTACAAAGGTTCAGCATCCAAAGCTTCTGGGCGTAAGTTGATCAAGAATTTCTACTCCGTTTTTCCCCAGATTGGGAATCTTTTACAAACTCTACATGTCTATACTGCATTTGCTTATTCATTTCGACTTGAAGGAACTTCTGGCACCAGTTGTTACGTTGGCCCCTGGTGACCCTAAGTCGGTATATCCAAGGAAGTCTCACGACCTACACTTCACCTTACCTTCAGGCACAAAGAATTATCAACCTCTTATTGATCTTCTCCATATCTGGCTTTCTTCACATGCTGAGTGCCCTATATGCGGGAGTTCCTGACAATCTTGGAGCAATCTTCCTCTTCTTTGCTGTAAATCCCATCTTGATCACGTTGGAGGATGTTTGCAGAACTCGAGTAGGTAAATCTTCTCGCTTGGATGGAATAGGCTTCTTGAATATCCTGTGGGGGCTTACCTGGGTCTACGTATGTGTGCCATGGTTCGCGTACACGGCGTTGAGGCTGCCCATTGAGACGAACGCTGTGATGCCGTTCAGCTTCGTCGAGGAATTTGGAAGTCATGTTGTGATAGGCGTAGTCGCTTTGGGCGGAATCTTCTGGGCTTTCTCACCTGGGCAGGTGATGAGATATTGTAATTCTATTTCCTGGTGGTAACATGACTAGCTTGTCCCAACCCGTGGTTTTGCCCGAGAAAATGACCTTGGAGGCCTATATAACGCAGCTGGGGTATCAACATGATGGTCATGGATATTATTTTCTCGATAAAAAAGCCCGTATAATGGTATAAAGATCACCTTGAGCCGGAGAATATCACATCTTTGCCTCCTGTAGATGGGCGTCTAGATTATGACATGGACACTAACAAGATCGAGACTCGAGCTTGTTCGATGGAGTCCCTGGATATGAGAGGAATATACTCAGCTGTCATCCTCGTAACTTCGTCACATCATCGTACTGTCCATAGTATCACGCCAAAATCGCAGCCGAAGCCCTCAACTTCTCTTCCCACCAATTCCCCCATCGTACGACCCGCTCCTCACGCCTCGCCTCTTCAGCGGCAAACACAACCGCATGGCTCCGCACCGCCTCCTCCAACGTACAACCCACGAATCTCGCCTGCGCGGTCTGAATATCCATTCCCCCATTGACCACAGCCTCAACAGCAGCCACATACTGCCCAGCAAGCCCATAATCGCCACCACCATGCGACTCAGCCCTCTCAGGCGGCGGCTTCGGCACATCATGAACAGTAGTCTCCGCAGACGCAAAATCATAGATCGAGATCCGATGGCTATCATACTCGATCTCACCCAGCGTCCCATAAGCCCTTCCTCTCCGCTCACACTGTTTCTCCGTAGGTGCAATCATATGAAACGAAGCGGTCTTCGCAAGCCGATATGACGGCCCAACCTCATCATCCCACGAAACAGTAACAACTTGATCATCAACAACATCATTATCAGCCTCATAAACACACCGCCCATACCAAGGTCGTGCCGCAATTTCTGCATCAGAATGTGTCTTAACATCCCAGTCCTCGCCCAGCTTAGCAAGTAACTGTGCCTCCGCAGCTTTGACACCCTGTCCTTGAAATGCATCTTCGATATCAGGACAGACAATGTCAACTGGCCACCCTGTATGTCCCTTCGCAAGATGCCGATCATTGTATATCCGCACAGCACTGTAGTTGCAATCCTTCTCAGCTGGACAAGAAAGACAATTTGTAGCATCACCCGCCTCAACCGGCTTCCTCTTCCGCCGGAATTGCGTCAAAGACCCGGCTGACGAGATACTCCGTGGAAAATGCGGATTCAAGCCCTCTTCTTGCGCATTCTCGGCCGAAACGGGCGAGCAAAGTAGCCAAAGGATGAAATCGATATCATGGCATGATTTCGTTAGTAGAGAGCCATCTCCTTTAGCTGTAGCACGACGCCAGTTCCCGCGGACATAGCTGTGCGAGAAATGCCACCAGCCTACTGGTTCTGTATGTTCCAGTGAGACGATGTCCCCGATAACACGGTCTTCAAGAAGGAGCCTGCGGAGTAGCTTGTTATGAGGACTGTAGCGGAGAACATGTCCAATCGAGAAGATTGTTTTCGGAGCAAGGGGAGACTTATCCGGACCCTCGGGTGGTTGGAGGGTCCGGTAAACGGTTAAACAGTCATCCAGCGAGAGGGCAAGAGGTTTTTCGCAGAGAATGTGTAATTTCAGTGGGGCGATAGCCTGGATCACCTCGACGTGTGTCTCATCTAATGTGCAGATAAAGACGCCATCCACGCCGAGTGGAGTGGTTATATTCAGCGCGGCATGCTGGTCCTCGGTGCCATTTTCATTCTTGTTAATAGCTTTGCGTCGCTCCGTCTCCCACTGCACCCATTCGCGCCAATCTGTGAATTCCTGTCCCTCTGTGGATGACCCCGCACCCCAAATATAGTTCCGGCCAAATTCGCGTCGTTTGAAGGCGTGTGGCTCGGCGACGGCGTGAATGGTACCTGGTGTTGTTCTTGTGACAGCGCGAGCGTAGGCGTTTCCTCGGGACCCAGCGCCGATCACAAGGTAGCGGGTTGCCCTTGCAGGTTTGGATAGTTTGGTGATATCTGGAGGTGGGAGCTGGGGTTCTTTCATTTTGGTTCTGGGTAACGGGGAATGAAGGTCTATATCTGATCCAGGTGACTATATGAATCAATATCAAGGGACCTATTTCTGAATTGACCCTTGGCTGGGTTATCACTTATGTTGTTCCATACGAGGTTGCACTCAAGCAGTGCGGGGAGATGGAACATCAGCAAGATCGGACGGACGGTGATTGGCGGTCAACTGCCAACTGTCGTATCACGGAAATCAGCGCCAATCTCCATATTTTTGATTTTGGACTTCACATCCATGATCTATAACGAATTCCACGAGATTGAATTGGCTCATAATACTGTACCATAGAACACTCTATCATGGTGATGACTTGGGTTGGAAGCTATCAGAAGATGTAATGTCTAGGCCATTGTCTAGGCCAAGCAGAGTATCCGCCCATGATTTCCATCTCTTGTGGAGCTGCCTCTATCGAAACATGTGTATTTTCGACTGTCAACGTGATCAGAGGTCATCAATAATTATAACGCGCATGAAAAGCTGGGAAAGATCAGGTGTTATTGAGTATTAGACATCACTTTAGGGATGTTCCTTTCCTATTCTCTTCCTCTACTTCCTCTTGGTTTATCCTCGCATTCTCCCTTCTCCTACCTTACTACTATATTACTTCAATGTTATATCATTCTGACACATTGCATATACTATCATTGCATATACTATAGCGGAAATCTTCATGAATACAGGTAAATATGCACAGCTTATACAAACTCATCTTGGACAAAACATTTAGCTACTTTATCCTGTTTTTTATCTATATATGCCTGTGCGCATGTATATTCGTATGTCATTAGATTTCTGGGCATGTAATTTGGATCTCTAACTCTAACAATTCTGTGTACAGTAATGTATATATGTCTATGCAACTTATCGAGAGTTCCTACTCGGAGTAAAGGTGCTGGATTTTAGAAACTAGACACTACAAAGTCTATGTTGAAGACGAGCCGAGGAAATCACTGACCCGATCTTAATTTTTGCTCTTTGATAGTATGGAAGGTGCGAAAGAAAGAGAAGTTCCTTTTGCTAAAAACGTGTGCGGCGTGGGAGGTCATCAACCCCGCGTCAGCATTGGCATTGGGCATCAACATCATTGTGAGATTTACATATGGCAACGCCGCCACCTACAAGGTATCAATACCAAGCATGCCTGTACGCAATGGCATCAAGAGTATCTTCAGACGGTCTGTTAGGGCGTCAAGCCTACCAAGCCAGGACATATCGGCGGAATCATTACCTCAACAAATCATTTGTCCAAAACAGTCCCCTCATACTGAAGATCAACACAACGAAACAGCTACACCGCAGATTTGAGAGCTAAAGGGCCTTTGGAAGGAAGCCTATGAAGCACTTTACAAGGAAGACGCACGCTTAATCGAGGCTTACGAAGATGCACTTGTCCAACAAGACGATCTGGGATCACAAAAATCATTAGGAGAAAGCAATTTCGACACACGTTTAGGGTCTTTGGCTAAACGCCGATTTGCAGAGATTGAGAGCTCGCGGCTGAGAATCACCTTCGCGGGGAAAGAGATCACTATCCGAGAACAGGCCCGTCGCGCAATTGACCTGATCATTTCTCTCAAACCATCCATTGCGATTGCAGTGGGCGCAGACCCACACGCAGCATTAGCATGGGCTGGTATCATGCTTCTCCTAGCCCCAATTACGAGAACCCTGACCCAGGACGAAAGTGCCATGGAGGGCTTCGAGTATATACTGAAAGCTCTGATTCAATATCGAGTCTTGGAGTCTACCCACATTGAGATCTACTCGAAAGAACCAATTTCAATATCCAATAACATCAAGCCTCTGGATGAGCTTGGAGCATCGATCAGATCTCAAACTGTGAAGCTCTATGTGGCTGTTCTGCGGTATCAGATGCGGCTAGCTCAGCATTTCGCACAGTCGGGTCTTTTACAATTTTCTACGGATTTGAAGATGACTGACGACTGGGACGATATGCTCCAGAATATTAGAAAAGCTGATGAGTCGATAAATCGGGAGCTGAACACGCTTTCAAGCAATACTTTGCGACAGGTTGAAAGGGAAATACAGAGGCTCCACGATGAGATAGCAGACTCACGATATGTGATCAGAGAAGCAATAAGCGAAACAAAGGTGCGTCAAATTTCCAACTATTACTTGTTTACATGGTTATAAACTGTCTTATAGGCAGTCAAGAATATCCAGCTGCTCGACAACCTTACCACTGCCAGTGGGGCGGCTTTCAATTCCTATGAGAATCGGAATAAACCTCAATGTTTGGAGGATACACAAACCAGGGCACTGGAACGAATTCAACCATGGTGCATCTCTTCCGATCGGCATATTTACTGGCTCCGAGGGATGGCTGGTACAGGAAAATCTACAATCGCCCGCACATTCGCAGCAGCTTGTCTAAATCGGCAATCTTTGATCGACGGCAGTCCACTACCCGACAGTACATGCCTTGGTGCAAGCTTCTTTTTCGATCAAAATGAGCGAGATCGGAATAATCCGAGAAACCTTTTCACCACACTTTGCAGGGGCCTTGCAGACTCACTTCCTAGCCTAAAACCCGAAGTATGCAAGTCCCTCGAGATGCATCCAAATATCCAGAATGAGATGCTTATTAACCAATGGGAGCACCTGATCCTTCAGCCTCTTCTGGAGCTCGATAAGCATATTTTGACACCTCTGACATCTATTATCGTCATTGATGCATTTGATGAGTGTGAAACCGAATCAGAAAATGACATTGACACGATCCTACAGCTCATCGCCAGGGCTCAAAAGTTGAATACCATCCACTTGAAGTTTTTCATCACCAGCAGGCCAGAATTAGACATTCTTTCCAGCTTCAATACCATTATTGATGATCTTCATGCAGCTGAATTGAACAAGGTCTTAGTTTCCCGCGACAAAAGTGCGCCCAAGGACGACATAACGAAGTTTTTGAAGCATGAAATTGCCATCATTGCTCGAAGACAGATGCTCACAGCTGGCTGGCCGGGTGAGGGTAAGATTCAAGAACTTGCCTGGAAAGCCGACGGTCTATTCATCTACGCTGCAACGGCGTGTCGCTTTCTCGGCGACCGAAAATTAACCAGGGAGCGCTTAAAGTCGCGCCTGAACCTTCTTCTCGATGGCAAAGTAGTGGAGCGCTCTTCACAAAAGGGCTTGGATGACATTTACAGCCGAATCCTCCAGTTCTCGGTTGTTGGAGATGCAATCGAGGAAGAGAAAGCGGACATACGCGATCGATTTCAGGTAACGGTTGGAGCGATCATCATGCTGTTTGAACCTCTATCAGCGAATGCTCTAGGCAATTTGCTTTCAATACCGGAACCTACCATTAGAGAAACATTGCAGAGTCTCTTTTCGGTTTTATCCGTCAGTGAGGAAGATATGCCTATCCGCCTTCTCCATCTCTCTTTCCGGGACTTCTTGCTTGATCCACAGCGATGTGTCAACGAGGACTTTTGGATCTCACAGAAGAAGAAGCACAGTGAACTAGCTTATGCTTGCCTCGACTTTCTATCTAAAACTTTGAAGCAAAACATTTGCTGTCTCAGTGACTTCTCTTCTCTTGCTGCAGAGGTTTCACCCTCTCATTTAGGCCAGTACCTTCCAGCTCATGTCCAATATGCTTGCCGCTACTGGGTCGACCATCTTCAGCGGGCCGGCACAGATTTCAAAGACTACCAAGTCCACGTTTTTCTGAAGGAGCATTTTCTACACTGGCTCGAGGCTCTTAGTCTCCTAGGCAGTATTTCAGAAGGAGTTCGTGCCATCATAGTGCTCTCCGAGCATATAGGCAGTTTGCCATGGCTCTCCGAAGATATATCTAGCTCGGTAAGCAAAGAATTCCAATCGCAACCTTTCTTCAAATGCAGACCACTGATAATCCTCTGCCATTGAGCTTGATCAGAGACTCAAACTTTTCGAAATAGTCAATGATGGAAAGCGCTTTGTACTCAAGTTCAGGTCAATCATTGAAAATGCGCCTCTTCAACTCTACAGATCAGCTCTTCTCTACTGCCCAGAGCTGAGCATCATTCGACAAACATACAAGCACCTGATTCCTAAATGGATAATTGGCTTGCCACCAGTAGAAAGAAGGTGGAGCCCCCTATTGCAAACACTTGAAGATCAGCAAGCACTGTACGACGTTGCCTTTTCTCCCGATGGAAAAATAGTCGCGTCTTCATCGGTTTGTCTCTACGATGCAGCAACGGGAACTTTACTGAAGACGCTGGATGCCCTCAGCGAGGATAGCAAGCGAAGCGAAGGAAGCGCTGTTGCGTTCTCCCCGGACGGAAAACGTGTGATGTCAATATCATGGCAAGGAGCTCTCAGAGTATGGGACGTATCTTCCGGGATGATGATCTCCGAAGTGAAAAGTGCCATCGTTGGTGCAACAGCATTTTGGAGAAATTTCTCACGAGATAGAACTATTGCAGTGGCACTTCTTAACAGCAATACGATTGAAGTCATTGACATTGCAAACGGACGACTCTTGAAGACATTCCAGCCGCATGGAGAGGATGCCCTGGCTTCTTTGGCACTCACCCAAGACGGCAAGACTCTAGCATCTACATCTCAGGGTGGCGCGATTCAGCTCTGGGATACACTCACGATGACTCCCAAACATGAACTCAAAAGATCCTCTGATATCCCGTTACTGGAAACGCGAATCACGTTTTCTCCAGACGGTAAGTGGCTTGCGACATTGTCCCAAAAATCTTCAATCTCACTTTGGAACCCTGTCAATGGAGAGCTTTTGGGTGAGATACCCGGGTGGTTCTTGCTTTCTGCCTGATAGCAAGGTTCTTGTAACTTCTTGCAAGAACAGAGGTGGTGATTCAGGCCTCATCAAATTGTGGGACGTATCATCAAGAATGCTCCTGAAGACAATCCCTGCCGATTGCTTTGGGCTACGGCTTTCACCGGATGGCAGATTCCTGACATCTGTCCCTCTGCGACATGGAGCTTACGACTCACATGGAGGTGGCAGGAGAATAGATGTTTGGGACCTAAATATCGGAAAGCTTCACAAGGTTTTCCACAGCCCTTCTGATGATCTGAGTTGTATCTCGTTCTCCAATGATAACAAGCTTCTGGCCTCTGCGTCAGATTTGAATGGGACCATTCAGCTTTGGGATCTGTCCGCACATTCCCAGTTCTTACAAGATTCCCAACAACATGGAATCGACACCATCAAGCTTTCTCCTAGTCGCAAGGTAGCCGCTTCTGTTACGAATCCTTACTCGAAGGTTTTTCTATGGGATATGGAAACTGGTGCACTCCGGGGAGAAATTATCGGTGGAGCCTCCTCATTCTCGCCAGATGGGAAATGGTTCGTCACCTCCAACGGGAAAACAGACGACATATATAATCTGGCTACAATGGACCTTGTGCACGGCGCTGAGAAAATGGACCCCCAAAGACCCGGACGATTCGTATTCAGCCCAGACAGCAAGCTTCTCGCACAAGAGTGCCTCCACCCGGTCTCTCAAATGGATGAAAATCGAGCGAACGAGATGTATGCCGATATTCCCGATGAACAATCTCTAGTCCGAATATGGGAAACAGGAATATGGAAGCCACTGTTCACATTCGAGGCTCGCTACAACCGTATCGCAACGATGGAATTCTCCCCGGACAGCACCCTTCTCGCTGGTGCGGTATCCCGACCACAGGCAGAAGTGTTCAGCTGCATTATTTGGGATGTCATTACTGGGTACCAACAGAGAGTTGTCACTTTTCCTGTTGTCTCTTATTCTGAATGCTTAATTGCCGATCTTGCATGGTCGCCCGGTGGAACTACCGTGGCCATGTTGACCACGGGTCGGAAAATACGACTGTGCCATCTGGCGAGCGGGCAAGTAAAGACTCTGGATATGCAAGAGATAGGGGTAGCTGTTTCTTTTTCGTCGGATTGTTTACTATTGGCAGCTGGATCGAGACGTCATGGTTTCATTGAGCTTTGGGATGTGCAGACGGGAGCTAGCATTGGAAAACGTCAGGCTCTTGACTCTAAGGAGCTGCAGTTCTCAGAGGACTGCAAAGCGATAGAGACGGTGACTGGCCGTATTGATGTTGACGCTTTTTATCCTGATCATGAGCTCGCGAGGAGACGTGATTTTCTGGTTGAGAACGACTGGGTAGTCTATGGCGGAAAAAAAATCTTGTTGCTTCCGATAGACTACCGAGCTACTTGTGCTGTCGCCGCAGGTGATCTCTTGCTAATGGGGCATGCATCGGGTCGTGTCACGAGTCTTCGGATTGATGCCACAAGCTTTAGGTTTACATAGAAATAACCAAGTCCTTGTTAATTGACGAAGATTAAACATAGTAAATTCTATGTTCGATGTATATTATGCTAATGAGATGCACAAGAATCTATGCTTTCTAACTGCCAATCTCCACCCTGTGTCCCAGTACAGATCGAGCCTCGGCCTCAGTCAATGCATCGATCTCCAACTCAACAAGAACAGCACGAGCACTCTCGTTGTCCTTGAACAACCTTTTTTCCACATCCCACAAGCCTAGCCCAGCACTAGACTCATTGCCAGCTCCATCACCAGATTCAGCGACCGACGGAGTCAGGTTCAGAAGACGCAGACCCTCGTTGAGCTTCTTCATGATCAGCAACGAGCCGCCTGGATGGCCAGCCACGCCAAGGGTGTTATCAACCACGCTGCATATTTGTTCGACGTCACTGACTAATTGATTCGCACCGGCCGTGGAGAAAGTGTTCCTAGTCAGGACATGATCCCAAATGTAAGTCTGTATGGAGAGGAGAAGCTGGCGGGACACTCTTCGTAGGGGCGCCACGCCCAAGGCTTCGGAAAGAAAGGCAAGTTGGGAAGACAGTGTGCGCATTGCGTGTGCCAAGTCGGAGGAGAGGGAGAGGGGAGAGGTTGCTGAGCCAGCGGAGGGGACAGAAAGTGTAGCCCAGGTAGCTACACGGGAGTAAGGCTTCAAGGCTGCAGTGATGTTCGAGGTCAGGGTGGAGGTAATTATTGATTCGGACCGTTGTCGTAGACGACGGTATGCGGAGGCAGTTTCATCGAACAATGCACCGTCAGACGATGTTTGAGGACTTGACCCCCCATTGACTGCTGGCGAAGTGCGAGCGGCTACCTCGGCAACGGTCATGGAGCCCGCAACATTTTTCCCACCCTGGCGGACACGTTCTTGAAGCTCCGACCATAGTTCAACGAAGAATACATCGTTACTCCAGTCCTCCATCTTCTTTTCAAGATACTCTGCACTGCCAAAAACTCTGCAGAGCCGCTCTAGACCTGCAACGTCTTCTACACTGGCTTGTCCGTCTGCTCCTCGTACCGTCCGGCCTAGTGTAGAGGTCATCGCAAGATAGGCCTCCAAGGCAGAGTGAAGGCGCTCGTGGAATTGATCGAAAATCGTAATTTGAATGTCGATGAGAAATCGCAACTTCTGGCTGAAGGAAGAAAGCGGCTGGTAGCGTTCTGTAATGGTTTCGAGAAGGTCGTTGACTCGAATTGCGGATTTTGTTGGTTTAGTCGCGGTCAACTCGACGCCATCATAGTCAATCTCTCCACCGTCGGCAGTCTCGATGATATCCTTGTAACGAGCCAGGGCAAAGTCTTTCTCGATCTGAAGCCAGCGATCATACCACCCTTGTTTGGCGAGAACCTCCCCGGTCATGCCCTTCCAGTTTCCATCCGAGTAAGGGTCTGGTAAGTAGTTCCAAGTTTCCCGGATCTCGTTGTCAAATTTCATCAACTCGTGGATGAAATGACTGAGCAGTTGAGGATAGTCGGAAACTTGTGGAAGGAATAAGTCGACTTTCTCTTCTAACATTGGCATAAGAGCATTAATGAATGCATGCAAAGCATTATAAAAGTTCCATTCCAAGCTGACACCAGCCGACTGAGCTTTTTCATCAAGTATTGGCTGGAAGTATGAAGTAAAGAAACCACCAAATTGATTGATGAGGTCCAAAATGTGAGAAAGAAAGTATTCCGGCTTGTCGAGTCTGTTTGTCGGCTTGTCACCACTAAAGTGGTACTTGAATCGCAGACTCAAAGGATGCACCATAACATCTAAAGGGAATAAGCATGGAGGTTCGGATGTCTGGCTGATGCTCAATGCATCACGGTGTGGGAGTTCTGGTGTCTGCAAGTCAATCAGGAGCTCAACATCATGTCTCCATTGATCCAACAATTTATCCGTGATGTTCAACTCCCGTGTTGGCCATTTCAAAGACGTAAGCGTCTTCTGTAGCTGATCGCCAAAGAATTTTTTCAACTGTTCCCTCAATGCGGACGCCAGTTTCTCTGTATAGTCGATAAGGTGGGGCGCAGCACCCTCGGCAGCAGGTTGAGCCTCTTTCAGTGAGACCACAATATTCCGTAGCTGAGAATAGGGTTGCAAGGCGGCCCGGGGATCGGAGGAGATAACGGACAACGCTTTCTTGCTGTATGGCATTGTAATTAGCATGACTCAATTCCAGGTGTCGGCGTATGCGCACCTCAGCTCTTCGGCCTCCTTCAGCAATCCCACATATCCCTTAGAAATCTCCAACCGCTGAAGCCTCTCCATACTTTTCTCCAACCGCCGCACTGCCTCATCGCTCGTCTCTGATTGTGTAATCGCCTTCAGCCGCTGGTCGATGTCCGCCTGCTCGGCCGCGAATGCCTCGGCACGCTTTCGAGTAGCTTCGGCATGGTCATTTGATGCCTTGGTCGCATTTGAGAGAGCTTCGTGCGCATCTGTTAGCTAATTTGGCATAAGTCAGTTAAATGCGTTTGTGTGGAGGCCCGAATTGCGGGACACGAGGGGAAGGTACCTGCTTCCGCTGGAGCTCCTGTTGCGCGCGGAGACTTGAGAGCAGCGAGTCCAAACTCTCAAGATCAGCCGGAATCTGTATTTTATCATTAAGATAATCCTCGACTCGTGTCCGCTCGTGCGAAGACAGAGACGTGGGTGGCGCCATTGTTGCGGAGGGAAGAACACGAAGCGCAACGGTGTTCGCGATGTTGATCTCCGCCTTTCGGTCTGACGTCTTGCCATCCGCAACTGCTCCAGTGGCAACGCAAGTGCCTCTTGCGCACCCCTACATTTGAAAAATGTCCAGCCCCGCTAAGAAGCGCAAGCATAATGGTGCTGAATCATCGCCGCAAAAAACGCGCGGTATCGAGTCTTTTTTTAAAGGGCAGACTAAACAGCCTGTGAAAGTCGAGCCCGACGTCACAGAGCAGACCCTCTCGGATGAAGCATTGGCGCGCAAGCTTCAGGCTGAATGGGATCATGAAAATAACGATCAACCCTCTATTTCAAATGACAATCAAGCTATGACAACAGAGTCTGAATCAAGTACAGCTCCGCCCATCCCGTCAATACCTACAGATACAACGCCGGTGTCTGCAACGGCGCCCAAAAAGAACACACTATCGTTGCAATCATCATCGGGTACAGAGGACACAATATCTCTGACTGTACCATTTGATCAGAGCCCGCAAACATTTGACGCAGGCAAATATGCAGCGGAGTTGCGACCGCACTGGGCCTCCGAGGGCGGCGATGCCACCTACGCTCTGCTAACAAGGGCTTTTGTCCTGGCAAATTCAACCACAAGCCGAATCAAGATCGTCGATACTCTTGTCAATTTTCTCCGAGTCCTGATCGAAGGCGACCCAGATAGTCTCCTTCCGGCTGTCTGGCTAGCAACCAACTCCATCTCACCACCGTACGACGAGCTGGAGCTAGGATTAGGCGGCTCATCCATCTCCAAGGCTTTGAAGAAAATATACGGTCTGGATAACCAAAGTCTCAAAACGCTTTACAATCGACACGGAGATGCAGGAGATGTTGCTTTCGAGGCTAAGAAACGTCAAAATTTCACGCTGGTCAAGCCGAAACCTCTTAAAATTAAAGGTGTATACCAATCACTCCTTAAGATCGCCACGAGTAAAGGCTCTGGGAGCCAGGAGACAAAGCAGCGAATTGTTGAGAAGCTCTTGCAGGATACGCGCGGGGCCGAGGAGAGTCGGTATATTGTCCGCACTTTGGTACAGAACCTCCGAATTGGCGCTGTGAAAACTACCATGCTCATCGCTCTTGCGCGAGCATTCCTCTACTCGAAGCCTGCTGGGGCGGAGTTCAACGTTCGCCCACAACATGAACTTGCACGGATGAAGAAAGACGAACTCTCCGAGCTGTATACTAACGCAGAAGAGATCGTCAAGGCGTCCTACGCTAGACATCCAAATTACAATGACCTCGTCTCCTGTCTATGCGAGATCGGCGTGACCGAGGAACTACTTCTCCGGTGCGGACTGGTATTACATATTCCGCTTCGACCAATGCTAGGAAGCATCACGCGCGATCTCTCGGATATGTTGACAAAACTGCAAGGACGAGACTTCAGCTGCGAATACAAGTATGATGGCCAGCGAGCTCAAGTGCACTGCGATGAGAACGGCAAAGTATCTATCTTTTCACGCCACCTCGAGCTCATGACAGAAAAGTACCCTGATCTGGTATCGCTCGTCCCCCAAATCCGGGGTGAGGGTGTTTCGAGCTTTATTTTGGAGGGGGAGGTAGTTGCCGTGGACCAACAAAACGGTGACTTGCAGCCATTCCAAACTCTCACCAACCGAGCAAAGAAGAATGTTGAGATTGGAGCTATAACCGTCAACGTCTGTCTATTCTCATTCGACTTAATGTATCTCAACGGCGAGCCGCTCCTAGACCGCCCCTTCCGAGAACGCCGCGAACTACTCCGAAGTCTTTTCGTCGAGATCCCTCGTCGATTTACTTGGGTGAAAAGCCTCGACGCAACATCCGCAGATTCAGATACCGTACTTGATTTCTTCAAAGGTGCCACAGACGTCAAATGCGAAGGAATAATGGTCAAAGTCCTCGATAATACAATAAACCCTACCAACCAACCCACCGAAACCAACCCCGAACAAAATCCTTCAATAGAACAAACACCCAACACAGCACATCCCCGAGAAAAAGAACTTCCAAAAAACCCCCGCCGTAAAGCCCTTCTATCAACCTACGAACCCGACAAACGCCTCGAATCCTGGCTGAAAGTCAAAAAAGACTACAGCACCTCCTCTGAAACCCTAGACCTAATCCCAATAGCCGGCTGGCACGGCCAAGGCCGCAAAGCGAAATGGTGGTCTCCAATCCTCCTAGCAGTCCGCAACCCTGAATCCGGCGCGCTAGAAGCCGTGACAAAATGCATGTCCGGATTCACGGATAAATTCTACGCATCAAATAAAGAGAAGTACAGCGCAGGTAGTGCGAATGTTATCTCGAGACCTGCATATGTGGAGTACTTCGGTACACCGGATGTATGGTTTGAGCCGCAGGAGGTATGGGAGATGGCTTTTGCGGATATTACGCTTAGTCCTACTTACCCCGCTGCTATTGGGCTGGTGAGTGAGGAGCGGGGGCTGAGCCTAAGGTTTCCGAGGTTCTTGAAGGTGAGGGAGGATAAGGGGATTGATGAGGCCACGACTTCGGATTATTTGGCGCTTTTGTGGAGGAAGCAGGGGGAGAAAGTTGTCGAGGCTGGGGGGAAGGATGGGACGGATGAAGTGGGTTGGGCGGAAGATTGATTATATATTCTGGTCTTTTTAAGGTTGCGAGAAGATATGGTGGAAGGTGTAATGTACTCATGCCATTTAGCACATGCGGATATATCAGATGAATAGATGAAATAAGGAGAAGCTTGGTAGACAGAACACATAGACTACAGGCTATTGGCTATATTCATGTGCCCAGGTGGTCAAAGACCTTCTGTATAAGAACAGGGAAGTATTAGGTACACGGATCACCACAATGAGGTCGGGTACAAAGTATCATAAAGGGCATGTTGAGTGCGAAGAAAAAATGCAAGCAGAACTGCCATAGCAGCGCAAGACAAAGTAGGAATATAAGAAACGTCATTCATGGAACAGAAATGCAGGACATGGGCCATGCAGAAAGGGAACGCCGTGGATGCAGGGGGACTGTGCTTGATAGGAAATCCGAGGCTAGTTTTGTACAACATGGCCTCGGCACGCTTCAAGACGGGTAATTAGAAGAAAAGGGCAGATAAGTAGATGCATACATAGCAAAATCGTCAAGCCGTAACAAGTAATGGGAAGCGAGGGGAATAAATGGACATAGAAGAGAGGGAAAAAATGTGGTAAGGGGAAACATATCAAGACGAAGGTGCTTAGGGACGTAGCTCGCCTCCAAGTTGGAGAGCTAATCCACCTGCACCTTCTTTGGTGGGCATTCGAGGCGAGCCGCTTGGAGGTACGAGAGCGTCAAAATTCAACCGTTTTCGAGCATCTTTGGTGGCAAGAGGGGTGCGAGAAAGGTTGCCAGGAGTTCGACTACCCCATACTGGCTGTGCAGGACTGGGTGTCACGTTCACGAAGTCCGCAAAGTTGAATTGCTGACCCGGGGTTCCAAGGACAGCATGCTGACTCGGCGGAGTTGACGGGGGGAAGATATGAGCATGCGAGCCACCTGCCACACGAGCCGGAGTTGGCGAATTCGCAAGGTAGAGCAACAAGCCCGCCCCATCATCTTCAAATTCACCAGGTCTATCCGTTCGTGCTAGTCGTGCGTGCTTTGGGGGCGGAGTGCGAGGGGGCGAAGAGCCCACCATGGAGCTCACATGTTGGAAACTATGCAAGGGCAGATCGGGATCGTTTTCTTCTTCAGAGTGACCGTGATATCCTGGCGAGGACATTTCTGGAATTGGTGCCTCGGACATAAAGGGGACTCGGCTCCGTCGTGAGGTGTGGCGGATACCTAGGCCTGGAGAAGACTCGGGCAGTCGGTGGGAGCTCTTCCATGACACTCGAGGCATCTTTGCTGGACGTTCTGAGTTGGAGTCTGACCGAACACGCTTGCGGCCTGCCGTCAACATTGGCGCCATGGCGAGAGAATCGAAGGTAACGGCATGCTTGTTTCGGGCGGATCGAGGCAGTTCCTTGGAATAGGTCGATGCTCGCAAGGGCGGCGACGTAAACGGAGTCTCACAACGGCTGCGAGAGAAGTCGGAAGAGGAATCGGAGGGCTTTTCAAGGTCAGGACGAGCCTTGGTGTCTGGAAGGGTTGAAGTCAACCCTTGAAGCCGGCCATGTTGGTACTTCAGTTTGGCCAGGCCCAAGCGGTCCTGCAGACTAAGAGAAACCTATAATCCCCACAAATCAACCGGTTAGCCAAAAGTGCTCCTGACAGGAACCAAGTATGCAACTTTTTGCGGTGGCAATTCTACAGTAGTGTTCCTGCATCAGGCACAAGACCCAACCACCGGCCCACTAGTTGCAAAATTTGGTCTTTCTCCTTCATTCCTTTTCACCAGGGATGTTCTTACCTGGGCAATATCAATCTTACGAATCGTCTTCTCTGCTGAACCAGGCTGTGGCAGGGTCATGGTGGGCAATGATGAAGAAGAAGAGAACCTGACGGAGACCCAGTTTGCGGGTTGGCAAGGCAAGGGCGGGAAAGGGAGCCAATTGGGCGATCGATAATGGAGCCGAAGACACACTAGCCCCAAACTGCCCTCGATCAGAGATGAAGAATATAATATATTCAATTGTATGGGGATTTTAGATTGAATGTGGAAAAGGCTAAAAAAAAAAAACCAAAAATAAAAAAGAAAGGTGAAGAGTTATGGTTCGACGGTTGTGTTGTTTGCGACGCGTGCCACGCGATCAATTTACGCGAAAGTCGTGTTCTTACCCATTCCACGGATCGATGTACATGCCCTGTGCCTGGTACCAACACGACAGGGAATAAGCTTGTTTGACCTATAATAAGACCTTTGTTGCTATCATCTGAAGTAAGCAACATGTACTCTGTGCATGCATCCAAGCCTGGAAAATTGAAATAAGAAAAAAATCGATCAATCGAGTGGGCTAAGGCTGGTTCCCCACCTAAAGCCGCAAATTGAATTTCTCTGATTCTTAGTGGGACTGCGACTGCCACAGAAATCATCTGGAATGTCATTCAAGATTCCTGATCCACTCATGAGCCCTAGCTTCAAGTCTTTATGTCATAAGGGCATAGCTCTGGGGTTGCCATGAGGTCAATGCCTCGATGCGGAATGCTAAGATCTCCGGAATTGAGTTACGTTTACGGCCCCTTCTCATGAACCACGCATCATGTAGATCTGACGGGAAAAAATGAAAAACTAAGATAAAATCCATAAAACGGTGTTGCCTCATGGGAAAGTGGAACAAGATTAATTGAGGGCCCTGCGGCTATTTAAGAATCGGCATTTCCGGGATGACCGTCAACTCGGCAATTTGACCCTGTACCTCGTGCATTGATTGATTGCAGTGATAGTGTGGCGTACAGAATCAAGGAAAACTGGAGCTAAAGTCGTGGATATACTAATCCTAAATCTCGGAATGCCTATGCAGATCAGCTTAGTCTAAGGCTTCCAAGACCCCCAGAAGTCTCAGATATGTGGCATAGCAACAAGTCTTATCTCAGGGGCCAAAAGCCGGTTTTTCTCCCGACCCTCATGCACAATGCACAACGCGGCGAGATTAGATTGAAATTAGGGCTTTTTCATTTGCAGCTTTATTACCTCCATAGAGCGGTTAGGTGGACCATAAATTGAAAGAGCAGGATGAAACCGACCTTCAACCTGGTATGTGAAGCCTTAGTCAACGCTAGATCGAAACTAAGAGCGTTAGGGCGATCATCAAAGATCCACCGGTGAAACATTGCGACTCTCGATAGTGCTGTCTCGCATTGGGGGTAAGAGGGGTACGTAATGTATTGGTTAAAAGTCCCTGGACCTTGGACTGAGAAAGATTGAAATCTGGTTGGGACTTGATACATGCTAAGTATAGACGGAGGCTTGAGGCGCTTTTTTTTTTTCCCTTTTGCTTCTTTGCTTTTCATTGATCTTCATGGTGGTTGCCTTCAAATCTGATCTCATCTTTCCTGTTCCCCCTTAATTCATCTGGCTTTCCAGTTGACCCTTTATTTCCCACTTCTTTGCGGGGCGAAACTCCACGGCGTCGTCACCCGCCGCAAACGGTCGCGCTCTCCTGTTCCTGACCCTGACGGCAACTGCCCCCTCTCTCTCCTCTTTTTCCAGGGCTTCTTCTACGAAGTACTCTTGACCCTGGAAATCCTCTCTGCCCCAAATGGCTTTCTTTAAACAATTACGTCGTCGCTCAAAGGCGAGTTTTCATAACGACTCAAAAACCGCAGCCGCAAAGGTGGAAATGGTCGGCAAATCTTCGTCCACGATCGACACGTCCTCCCACAGCTCCATAACTCCGCCATCGTCGATCAAACCGACCCTCTCCTCCCCCAATCTTCCTTCCTTGAACGAACTGAATAGCAATGCCTTGCCTTTACCCCCGCCCCCGCAGCGCCCGGGGCAGTTGGGGTCCCGCTCTCAACGAAACAGCATGGTGGTAGGTTGAAGCTCATGGTAATAAGGAAAACACTGTGCAACGAACTAATTGGATGCCAACGTCATTAGGGAAGCTCCGCATCATCGATCAATGGAGTTTATCGGACTCCCTCCAGCTCGCCACATGCGCCAAGGATTGTGTCAATCGCCGATAACTCCTGGGTACGTGTCCTGCATGTGATCAGGAATGCCAACACTAACACGGCCATTTGCAGGTCCACCAAAAAGTCCTACTCGTCTATGGCCAAGTTGGAGACCCAAGGAACCACCCGCTGGACGGAAATCTCACAGTCTTTCATCACCAAGATAACTTCCCATCGACTGGCTGGCCCGTCACAGAATCCCACTTCAAAGCCTTAGTCCACCTAGTACCCGGTCCCAATCGCCTTCGTTTCGATTTCATTTCCCCCAAACTCTCCACCGGCAGCACCCACCCCGCAGTTCACTCGCAATGGATTTGCATCAACTACCTTCCTCTGGTCAACACACCACCGTTACAGTTAGTCGTTTTACTCGGAAAGGATTCGGAGGGCACTTATGATGCCGTGCCGGAACGGGTGGAGCGAGAGGGCAATGATCTGGATATGGCAATACGAAAATACCGAACGGCAGCGTACTTATGGCAGGCCTTCACTGGGGAGCAGATGTTCCGCAACAACCTTGGGCGACGTTGCTTCCGGTTCGAGGAGGAGTGGCAATCCGGGACCCTAAGCCGTCGCGATATAGCGGCGGGACAGATGCGCAACGAAGCCAAGATTCACATTGTTCGCACCGATAAGACAGTCGCAGAGCTCCGGGACCTAAACATCGCCCAACAAAACAAAAACGCGCAGAAGAAAGACGAGTTGTTCACGATCGCAAAAGAAGCCGTGCGAAAGCATTTCAACACTCGACCCGGTCAGAAGCAGTATGTCTCGGTATTGCTGCTCGACTCTCACTGGGATACGGAGCAACAAATCATCACGGGCCACGCCGCATTAGGCTCCGGCGGTGACGATATCAAAATGGCCATCTTTGGATCTCACAGTCTGCAGACCTACCCATCGTGCCTCGAAGAAGTCGTGGACGCCTTTTCCGACTGCACGCGGACGGACACAGACTTCGTCGCCAACGACAATGGCGAAGCGGGATCAAATTGGGAATCTGCGAATATCGGCATCGGCGCTCATCTACATGAGGTAGGACATCTCTTTGGGTGCCCCCACCAGGAGTCTGGCATTATGCTTCGCGACTACGTACAGCTCAATCGCTCCTTTTTGACCAAAGAGCCATTCTGTACTCGTACCAAGGCTCAGGGCCTGAAGGTGTGTCTACCTAATGATGAGTGTGGTTGGCATCGGTTGGACGCCCTCCGTTTCAGATTCCACCCCTGTTTCCGACTGCCCAGTGACGCAACAGTAAGCTCGGACGATAGTGTCCAAGTCTGGCCCGTGGAAAATGGCAAGATTCTGTTTACTGCGTCATCTGGCGTCGCATTCATGGAACTGTACAAGGAGGGTGATGAATTTTGCCACACATCCATCGAATATCTAAACAGCGATTCTAGCAGCAATGGTCTTCCGAAACAAGTGACCATTACCGAAAGCGAGCTTCGAATGAAACTCTTTGGCAATGAGAAAGAGAAGAAAAAGAAGATCAAGATCATTGTCTACTCCGGCGCCCTGGGCAGTTACACCGTGGAGGATGTCGGAGCTTTGAAATCGAAGGGCTCTCTAGTCAAGCTCCCCAAGAGTCAGACTGGCTACAAGAGTGGGATCTTAGGTTTCTCCTCGATGGATGGCAGTGAACCTCAGCAACTGCTGTTAGAATGTGCCTTCATTGCGACCAAGCTCTTGACCTCTATCAAGGTGTACCATGGAAACGCTTTGGATGGTATCGAGTTTTGTTATGAAGATATGACCACTCAGCTGTTTGGCAAACGCGGCGGGAAAGCTGGTGGCGATGAATTCGTCCTCGGTAAGTAAATACAGCAGTGCCGCTATGAACCAGTTCTAATTGTGACTAGACACTCGGCGCGGGGAGATTTTACTTGGATTCTACGTCCGAGCTGGCCTCTGGATTGATGGAATTGAGATTCTCACCAGCCTGGGAAGGAAATCCAGCTTCTATGGCAACCCTAATGGTGGATCAGGGTAAGTTTAATATCTTGAGGAACTGCGGACTATAGCTAACTCCTGGTTCAGGCACACCTTGATCCCGCCTCTAGGCTATAAGATTGCGGGTATCTCAGGCTCCTATGGATCCTGGGTTGATGGTTTCTCACTTATCGTCCAACATTGAAAGCGATTCCTGCATACCTCGTGTTAATCAACACATGAACATTCCTTTCACCTTTTCTTTTCTCCTGCATCGCGGGGTTTGACCTTCTGCAAAGCAAAAACTGGCCAAGGACCGGCCAGTGCATATACACGAGGTTCTGTCGGGCCAGTGGGCCTTGTCCATATCTTTCGTTTCATTCCATTCCCTTCCTTCCAGCGGCGTTGTTGGGCTTCGTGCAGCTGGATTCATGTACTCATCGTACCATCATTCTTCTTTGTTGTATTTTTTTCAGACAGGTCCATGCGCCTACGGTGATTCGTGCAGCGGCTGCACCGGGACATTTTGTACAAGGGACATTCATATGGGCAGACTATAGATGAATAATATCACACAGCATGGTCGCCAGCGGTCAGTGCTTCACCTTCCAGATGCTTCCAGGAAATTTAACCTTCGGGGTGCCGATATTGCATCAGCCTTACGACACAAATGAGTCGAACTGCATACAGTAATATGACGAATTGACACAGCCACAATGTGTGATTGAGTTTATTCTCCACCGTTGGTTTATATTGGTTTACCATCTTTTATGCTGTACAGTAAAATGTATAATAAAGAACGGAGACTTTAAATGTCCAGTACCTTGATGATTTGTCGGTGAAGACAAGGCAAGTTATGCGAGCCAATTGACGGACATATAAATGTGGGGGTACATGTTTGCTTAACAGACCTCGATAAAC